CGAGTTCTCAGTAAGAACACTCGAAGTCACAACGCTCTCGGTAGTCGGCGAAGACTCGACGCGAGGCTCCACCCGTATGGCTTGGCAGTGCATGGGACCGCTGCGGCCTCAGCCCCAAGGTCGCAATTTGCGCAGTCAATAGTGCGTTTTCCAATGGCGCAGTGATATAGCGGCGTTTGACTGTGCTTAGAAGAGAAGCTCGGAGCAAGCTCAGACCTGCGTTAGTCTCTTTACCGAACCATGGAAACCACTTCGGCCTGTTCCCCAATTCCCCGTGTGGCATCTAGTCGGATATCAAATACTTTCCTGTGGCATGACGGTCGTTCCCTCCACCGCACCGTTCCATACCCTACATCCCATCCCCCATGAGCTTGTAGCTTCAAAGAGGCTCATCACTTCGAAGCACGGTGGATCCGCAAATCTGAAGTATAGCCCTGTGAAAATTAAAGTTGCGAACATCCCAGTCCGGTCCAACGCACGAAACATGTTCCCTGTCTAGTCGCACGGGAGGATCGTTCTCGGGAGGCGCCAACGGCTGCTTTGCGACTGAAGGTGGAGAGTTTTTCCGCTTCAATAGGGTGGGTGCCATGGGTTGACCGAGGGGGGGGGGGGGGGCGGGAGCCTTACAGGCAATTCGATAGCTAATAGGAAAGCGATCAGGGGGTTTGGGCTTGAGGGCTCTAGTCCTGATTCGGTGGTAGGACCTTGATTCTCCGCACTACGGATCGTGAAGTGGATCAGCCCGGTCATCTATTGGGGGACTTCTGAACGGAAGCCATCGGACTTTTTTGGGTTTAGAAGGGGGCTAACGTTTTCTTTGTTCTCTTTGTTTCCAAGGTTGCTAGCGGCTCTGTCCGTAATACGAGGCGGGTCCCATACTTTTCTTTTGCCCTCGGGGGTTGCTCATTGGCGCTCCTTCCTGGTCGCAAAACCAGAAACCCTCATGCTTGAAATGTGAACTCCAACCAAAAGCCAGCATCGGAATCGGGTTTCCGGCCCCACCATCCGCATCCGCGGCAATCCTGGGCGTGGAGTAAGGGACAGTCAGGTTGCCGATCAAAGGAAACCCTCGCCTCTATGAACCTCAAGTTAGATTGTGACAAACGCACTTACGAAGTCTATCTCGACCAAAGTCCCACCGGACAAAGGACCGAATCAGGCAAAAAAGGGTAAAGCTAAACTGGTGCGTGGAGAAGAGCACAGTCGAGGCAACCGTTTTGTGCCCACAGCACGAGCCCTATAAAGGTGGGGTGGGGAGTATTGTAAACACGTCTCCAATCTCTCACACCGATACTTCGAAAAGTATACACATCGACAAGAAATGCAGTTGTTGCGCGGTGAGCACGAAGGTCCATCCCTCGTGCGTTCCAGTTTGTGAGCAGTCAATTCTCGGCGTTAACCTCGCATGCTGCGGCAGTAATTGGCGTGTCGCGTGGCCGGAGCGTGCGATGTGTTTCAGAATTTGCAGACCGCACTATCTTTCACTGGGAAAAGCTTTCATGGGGCTTCATCGGAGAAATTGTTTTCCGGTGACGAAGGTCTCCCCCGACCACTTGCGCGAGCCATGAAGGAACCGACTCAATCAGGAGGGTTGATAGACAGAAGACATCCCGCCGGATACAGGAGGTTGCCCCCTTTGTCTCCCCGTAGATGGTCCAGATAGTACTGATGACATTTCTTTCATACTCGGACTTGGGCAAAAGGTACACCAGTCATTCGAGTGATCACACTGCATCGCATCTACTTGGAACCATGGTTCATTTCCCACCCCAGTCCACCACGCCCAAATTAGCCGCTCCAAGATTTGGAATTCTCTCGAGGGGGGAAAAAAACACTCAGCTACCCACAGGCTGTGATACAGTGGCGCTGGCCCCAACTTGATTTTTACACCTTCAATACGGTGGTGACACCGGTCACAAAAAAAGCTAACCGATTTTAATTGAAGTCGAGCGACCCCATCGGGTCGCAGCTGGCCGGTGCCAAGCCAGCTAAGAAGTAACGATATTCAGCGGCGCAGGGGTGGGTGGCCTGGCGAGGCAGCCCCATTTGATTGCCTGTCGATCGTCTGCCAATTCAAGTAGGACGTTGGACAAAGAACTTGGTTCAGGCTTGGAGTGGCTTGCTAATTGCAAGCCAGCAAGCTGTACCGTTTTCCTGTCATGGGCCCATAACGATGCTAAACTAACTCCGTCACGTTCTAATCGCCGGGACTCCTGCCTCGAAAGAGGGGAGATGCTGTCATCGGGTCCTATAGCCGCCAATCGTGGCTGATAGGTGTTCTCACAATCAAGATATAGAGCATAGAAGGCCCAGCGCACATAACTAGTTAAAACAGCGATTACGAATGAAACTTTTGCCGTGAAAAGCCAAGCTCATGCGCGGAGTCGCTCTTCCGAGCTAACATCTCTGCTTGGCCCGAAGACGAAGTAGAGAGGTGCTGGGGCTATGGGCGACACATGCAGGAAAGGGCCAAATACTCGACCCAAAGAACAGACTGCTGGGGCTCGTAGCGTGTGCATCCTGCTAGTCACATTTGGCTGCGCAGCGATTATCATACAGCACTCTGATCACAGAAGTGACCAAGAACAGTACTCGAATAGGCGAATCCCGCCGTCCACTAAACCCCTCATCGCCACCCCCATCAACACCACTGATCCAATCGGATAAATGTCATGACTCGCGCAGACGTCGGAATGAATCACAGAGGTAACCCACCGCGCCAGAAACTGCGCCAATGCAGAGTCGCAGACCGACGATCGCCAATCAGCAATGGGTAGCTCAATGCAGCTTGACTTACGGCCGAGCACAGCTGTATACAATGACGCAGGCTGCCCACTCTCCTCTAAAGCGACCGCTACGATAGGCGCTGGGATGCCCGTCACAAATAGAGCACTTGATGATACATCTGCCTTTTCGAGTGCCGGTCTGCGCTCTCTTCCCCTCTCTCCCCGTACAGATATCACAAGGGGATAGCAAAGAAGTGGGCCACACCAAATTTCCGACACCCCCTCCCCTGGGCCTCGCGCTTTCGATCGGCGCAGTCACGCTGCCGCTATGCCCGATCGTGTACGAACTTTTGTAGGGGCTAATTAGACCAAGGGAGCATGACGCAACCACATCCTTCTGGGAAGGATGTGCTACCGCCAGAAAGAATTCGACTAGAGAAAGCCAGCATTAAAAAACAACCCCGTTCGTTCTCGGAGGAAGGGGGAAGGGGGGGCACGTACAACTGGAGAACCCAACCAAGCACCGCGCAAGATCTATTAATCGTCGAGATGTCCGATTATGTACCGGGGTCCACAGACGCCTCGCCCTAGCCCTGTATCAAATCCGAAGTATAGGCCTCTCTCTCTCCATGGTCCAATCTCGCCCAGGACGCATACCCCAGCAGCACATCAGGGGGCCGTCGATGGTGTTACATCTGCGCACGCAGCGGATTCATGCTTATCATTTGCAAAAGCAAAAGTACATCGGGGGGACTCCATCCCAAAATATGGGTTATGTCTGTTGGTTATCTCGGCGGACATCGACTAAGAGCGGGCTCGCCGTACGGGAGTGCCTAATTTCTTCTTTTCCTGAAAAGGACCGTTCTAGAGCTCTCCTCCTCCAACATCGTCCTGTATACCAAACCAGCAATTTAGCTTTTCACTCAACTTGGGGGCCAATCTCCCCAAATGCCTTATTAGCATCCCAGGACTTCACCGAGAGGCGTCCTCCAAACTAGCGGACGATCTCGAGATTCAGACTGCCCCCTCCCCTAACTAGGTACCCGATTTGTTTGCTACCATCAATGGCGCCTTTCGCGGTCTAGAACTTGCAGATAGATGCACGAGTGGTGTCGTCTGCATTCCCCCTTTTTGCTTTTCCAGCTTGGTAATTTCTTTTTTCGTGGCCCCCTTCTATATCCTGCGCCATTCTAATGAGTAAACCACTCACGTTTTCTTATATTTTCAATTTCCTTTTACGTTACTGGTTTTCTTTACTTTCCTTGCTTTTTTTTTTTTTAGCCCTTTTTGTGAAACCCCCCCCTCATAGTCGCATATCTCCGCCTTAGCCACTGCTTCCCAGGGATGTTCATGCCCGTCAAACGCCTCCCGCGACGATCAAGGTGCGTGATGAGATGCTGGAATTATTCCGATGGGAAAAGATGCCAGAGGCGTCTTATTGGGGGTTTGGAGGGCGGAGCTTGCGTCCGGGATTCTCTCTACTGGTATTACATGAAGGTTGATACTTTAAACTATGATACAATACAACCCGCGTCTACCTATAGCACGTCTGTCGGATCCTCTCTCTGGTATGGTACATAGGGCGCATGCGATTGCAAGTCCAGGATAACCCGCGTTGCATTTGGAAAGAGTTCTACTTGAAAAGAGGGAGGGGTTGCTGGAAGATGCTTGACTCTCGTATGCAGTTTACGATAGCCTGCAGATTGCCCCGGCGCCAATTTGCTGATGGTGGGACAGAGCTGAAGTGGCAGGTTGCTTGACTGGGACGCGGACAGGTGTCTTGCCTGGCTGACACGCAATGGAGATCGCGACTGGGTAAGAATGCTGCACGGGCCGGACTGCAAGAGGGATGCACGCATTGAGGTTATTGGGGGTCAAATTGAGGTTTCTAAATTTGACCCGTGAAGGGTGAGAGTATGGAGGGTCCACATGTTCCTATTGATATGCTTTGTGTACCATAGTTCAAGGGCAAGGTGCGATAGGATTTGCATAGTGAATCTCCCATAAACAGAATGTGGATGACTTGGATACCCCAGAGCCCGAATTGGTGAACCAAGGTCGTGTTATCTCGGGAGCCTTGTCGCAGATCTGCTGGACCAGGGGTGAACTCCCTAGTCCGTGGCAATGGTCTTGAGCCGCGCCCGGGGAAAGAAGGCTTACTCCGTACACCATCCCTCATCCAAATCCTATGCCTAAGAAAAGAAAAAAAAAAGAAAAGAAAAAAAAGAAAAAAGTTAATAAGAAATAGAAAGATCACGTTCTTCCGTTCTCCCTTTACACTTGGGCCATTGAGGGAGTAGGCCTTAATCCCTCGGTTCCTTGTACAAGGGGGTTCGCTGCCCGAGTATGGAATGGTAGAGACGTTTGATTTGATGGTGGAGCCGGAGGGGCTTCAAGTCGAGGCTGCGGCTGCGGCTGCGGCTGCGGCTGCTCCTGGCGATGCTTCTCGTCTCGTTCTTCCTCATCATCACTCGAGGTCATTTCACCAGGGCGGTCCCTTTGGCTTGCCTCAATGCGGCGCCGCCTGTCACGGGTCTGGTCCTTGTGGCGAGCATCTAGAGTTATGTCAGTGTCCGTCACATCCTCCAAATTCCCAAGTCAATAGTAATTGGCATGAGCTTACCTCTGATCTCTTGTGTCTTCACAGCGTAGGCTTGAATCTCCTCCTTGCTCAAGACGCGCAACACAATGACATACTCCGGTCGCTCCTCATATCGCTCGTTCCCTTTCTCCAGCGCCTCAGGGTTAACCAAGCGCCGGTCAATTTTGTCCAACGAGCGCCTGGTGGAATACCCTTCTTGGTCGCATCCTTGAGGGGAGCAACACCCTCTCGCACTGGATTTTTCTCCTCTGGGAAGCTGGCGCGTGGTGTCTTCAAAATACCCTTGGGCGGGGCCTCAGGTGCTTTAGGAGCAGCTGGTTCGACAGTGATAGGCGTCTTCAGGTCGTCTTTGCTGTCATGAGGGAGTGACTGTCTTGAAGAGCTAGAGTGGTATGAACGATCATCCGGTAATCGGCGCGATGAACTGCGGTGTGAGCGGGCACGATGATGACGACCACTTGGGCGCTCATCCTCGCTGGTATCCGTACTGCTGTGTCTGTAGCGAGGGTCTGCAGATGGCTGCCTCTTGTACTCGCGGAGATCCTCGTCATCCGTGAACCCCCCTGAGCTCCCAGTAGGACGGTGTCGAGAGCGTCGACGAGACCGGCTTCGGCGGTCATGATAGTCACTTGGTTCCAGGTAGAGCTTTTTACTTCTCTCGCCGTTATTATCCAGGAGCTCGCGAGACGTAGACCCCGAAGGATGGTAATCTCGCTCGTCATCGCGTGGACGCCTGTGATGTCGGCGCACGCCTGGATAATCGTAGTCCGACATATCCGAGTAGCCCGCCAACGCGGCCGTACCAAGGCCTGCGCCAAGACCCGCCAGCGCCAGATCATTTTCTGTGTTGTGGGAGCGGGAAGACCTGTGCTCCGGTGATGGTCGTCACCGTCGCGGTGAGACCTTGGCGGCGGTGTCGACGGCGGTGGCCATCGCTGTAGGAATCGTACTCATCCTCGGAGCCATGTGACAATGCGACCAGCGCGCGGTCATGGGCCCTCGACTTAGATCCAGATCGATGTTGGTCCTCTGGACGGGCAGAACGTGGCCGGCCTTCTCGATCTAACGAGTCAAGTTTATCAAGTCCCCATGAGGTAGGTGGAGGACCATGGTGGCGACCCCGGCTAACAGAGCCGGAGAACCGAGGGTCTTCATCCATAACCGTCATACTCAGAGGTCGGTCTAATGAGGTTCGTCCTGTACGACGCGGCTTGACAGGACAGTCTCGGTCGAATTGCTCACGAGGAGTAGTGTAGGAGTAGGCATCATAAGAATCAATGTCCTCGCCCTTGCTCCATCCAGTGTGATGGCGTCGTGGATTCTGTGCATGGACGTGATATGATCCATGGCCAGATGAGCGGTGTTTGCTACCATGGGCTCCATAGCGTCCAGTGTCACTAGCATAGTCGGTGCTGTATACTCGACGGTGGCGGCTATGGGGGATTGTACGGGACAAGGTATTGACCCGAATCGGGGGCCACGGGGCTGGCAATGGAGCCATGACTCGAGCTGATGACAGGACGAAGGTGAGAGGAAGGCACTGCGAGGCGAGGCGGGTTATCGTATTCCATTCCCGATGTTGTGTTGCTTCGGTGCCTGGATTGGGGTTGAATTGTGTATTCTGTGCGCTTCTTGGCCCCGCTAGCCGGATTCTGAATCTTTTGTGAGATAACAGGGCGAGCCTCTACTGGAGATCGACGGGGAGGGTATCGGTAGGAGCTGGGGTATCCGGATTTGAGGTGTAGCCATCGGATTCGTAGCGGCTCCGATGAGGGTCATAGTGATCGTAAGAGGAACCGAGCTGGACTGTACCGGTCGAGGCCCGAGGGCCACTCTGGTGACGACTGTTGCTTGGCGACAGGCTACGATAGTATGTCATCGTACCTGTCGATGTGTCCTGAAGCGATATCAGGGGAGTTTGGATGGGTTTTAAACAAGAGGCCTCGGCTGACTCGATGTGAACGGCCACTGCAGCGACAAAGTTAGAGCACGAACCATTGTGGTGAGAAGACAACAATAAAAGGGTACCAACAGTGCCGATGGGTAGCAAATAAAAAGGAAAGATTGAAGATCACTTTGCTTTTTCCTCAGTGGGCCGGTTTCTTTTGGGTAGACAAAAGATGGAGTGGCGTGGGGCAGCGGAGAGAAAAAAAAGAGCTAAGGTAGACGAGCGGACGTGCAGACAGATAAAGCTCGAGGAGGCAGAGTTTGATAGGCGTTGATTGTTCAACTTGACACTTTCAGGGACTCGGACATAGGAGGATGTCTTGAAGAGTTGAAACCGAGAGAAAAGGAGAGCAGCGAGTGGAATGACGCAAAAGAGTGGGTGCCCGCGATGACAAAGTGCACCACACTAAGGCCAAAAACCCCACTTTCAGCCCAGTCATATCCAGTTAGACCAGACTTTGGAGCTTGTTGGGCAGAGAGACTCGAGGAAACTGGGCTCCCTGAAACTGTAAACAATCTATCTAGATGCACGGAAGGTTCCATGGCTCCCATGTGGATAACGCGTAGTTGAAACCGTGGATCAGGAATTTTTGGACGCCTGCTTCGATTCTGACGGATTGAAGGAATTTCCAGCCCTGCGGCTCTACCACTGCCACTGCTCCACTAATCCGCAGCATGATGTTCGCCTGGGTTGGCGGGCCTTCTGACCGTTGGGAAGTGAAGCACTTTCCCTGCATGTCAGAGCAGCTTAGAGGCCCTGAGCCCCATGGAACTACGTTGATTGCGATTCATCCTAGCCGAGCCAATCATCGATTAACAGGAATTGATCAATCTCCGTCCAGTCCAGTGCAATGGAACCCAACTAGTCTCTGTTTTGGAAGAGGCCGTTAATCATCTCCAGACTCCGGATCGGAGACTTTTAATTCCGATAGGCTGAGACTCGGTCTCCATCCGGGCAACATCTATGGAGCTGCCACCCCTAGCAGCCTCCGGTCTTTACTTCTAGCGGGGGTAGATTTGAAATGCAATCAATTCTATCCATCCCTTACGTTTTAAAACAACATGCACCGAAGAGACAGAGTGCTCGACTCTAGACCTACCGGTAGAGCGCCAATGCCGAGATGGAGATTCCTGACGAAACCCCCACGGGTGTTCCAGGTCGCTCCGCCTATTGATGCCATCTTAGATTGCATTTGCATCACTTGGGTAACCGAGGAACTCCAGAGCAAAGTCAAATCCAAGTCAGAAGCCACGTCTATAGGGCGGCCGGGTTACCAAGGCCTCCTTACCCCGGGTGGCTTACCTGGAAAGCACATGACGAGATGAGCCCCCGGCTATCGTCAGTCAAGGAAGTTCCACTCTGATTACCGCCGCATCAACGGATTCGCGGCCATGTGCTGCTAAGCTATATCCACCGCTCGTTGCCTTGGTGTGCCTTCCGGGCTCGCCGAAGTCTCTGAATATTCTCTTGCCCTGGTTCCAGGCCAACCGGGGTTTTATTGGCCATTTTCGCCAGGGCAAGATGGAGCATCGCTAACATCTTCGGTGGATTTCTTGCACGATTCTACGGCTCCCAGGCTATGCACGCTTCACTTCATCTGGGACCCGCCTCATCGTCTTTCCGAAGACGTGACTTTGCCTGGGCACACAAGAACACCCTCCCCTTATACAACGGAGTTCCCCGAGAAACCCTAGAGTTTATCCTGCCCAGGTTTCTTCTTGCCATGATCTTGAATGGGGTATTGTTCGGGTATAGGTCCCAGGCCGTAGTGTTCAAATGCTGCTGGGCTATCTCTATTCAAGGTGGCTACTTTATCAACTCGCCCTAGCCTATGGTGCCCTGCCCTGCGCCCTTAGCCCGGTGCTTCACGGCCTCTTCGAGTCCGGATTGGCGGTTCCTCGATTCCACCTGGGAATTGGGGTGATCTGGTTGGTGGCGATGCAGGACTTGCTGGCAAGAATCTTGTCACAGTGGTACAATATAAAGGGGATTGAATCCATGTTGCTGTCATTCCCGGTTCCTCTCTTTCAGAAAAACTGTCCTCAGCAGATCTTCTTGCGAAGTTTATACTCTATACTCTTAATTCATTATGTCGGACTATATACCGCCTATCATGCTCTTATCTAAGGTTCCGAGCGCCACTCCTGCTATGCATGCTAATGCAATCCCGACTTGGAGTCGAAGAAGATGACCTGCTCCACACTGAACGTCATGCTTTCACGACCCACTCTCGGAGAAGCTCTCCGGCACGTCTCTTCAGCTCCTCTCGTGAACATGATGTCGGATCCATTATCCGACTAGCAGACGCCCCAGCCGGTTTTTATTACTGCTGCGGATGCCGGCAAATGGTCAATATAGCATTGAGCGGGCACAAATGCTCGATCTGCGGGCATGAGAAATGCAATCACTGTACAACCAGCACACCTCCATACAGTTGAACGCCAGGAGATCTCAAACGAGATCCCGCAAAGATCTTGCTCTTCTGTTTCAGGGGATTGCCTTGCGTCGAATATTCATTCTCGTTCCAAGCGACTTTGCATTTACCTGTGGAGCATTTGGCTCCCTCGGATTTGGAGATAACGGGATTACCGCCGCCGCTATTTTCAGGGACTTTACTCCCCTTGCATCAGCATGCCAACTTTAATTTATGCCGGGTGGGTCTCTCTCTTCGGCATTTTCGGTTCGATCCTTGTTTCACGGCACGAATCTTTCATAGCCCCAGTTCCGGCTTTTATACGACAGTCCGTTCCACTTTGAGTGGTACTGTTCCGAAGGGTTACCTTCAGGGCTTTGTTCTTTTCCCGAGCGTTTCCTTTCATTTTGGGCGTTTTTCTGCAATTGTTGACAAATCTTGGGATTCCTTTCCGTTTCTGTTTCACTTGGCGGGGTTTCTAGCTCCAGAATTGTTATTATATCTGTTGAGCTGTCTGTGTCGAATTCTACCTATCCCGTCGCTATTTGTCAGTAGGCAAAGTTTCGTCTCGTACTAGTAAATCCGACTAAAGCTTCAGAATTATTATGTCTGCCAGTCGTTAGCCAAGTAAGTACACCGTCTCCGTGAGTAAAGTTGCAACCAGAGTACTATAATTCAATCCTCAGAGATGTCAAAACCCATCGGAGCATCGTGTCGAGTATAGCGGAAGCTATCATGTGACGTTGGAAGCCAATACCAATATTACAAAAAAAAACATTAACCAATAAGAACGAGATTTCGATTATTTTAGGTATCTATGTATGCCCATTGCGTCGGAGCCGGTGTTTCGCAGATCGGGCGGAACTCGATCCATTGCGCGCCGGGGCCAAGCCGGCTTCCTGCTTCAGACGAGCCACGACAGGCCCCATAGGGAATTCGCTTTCCTGGCTGCTGTGGTCAGTGCATGGACTGTGCTTGAGGGGTAGGAGCCATTCGGCAATGCTGTAGCCCATAATTTGCTGCATGTTCTGCATGCCGCCAAGGTCAAAGGGGTTTTCGCCCGGTTTAGTGTGGAGAATTGCAAAAACGTGCCGCTCAGGGGGGGAGTGGTCGTATGGGTGGAGATTCTGCAGGGTCCGAGGCGGGTAGGTCACCATTTTGAATGAAGGGGTCCATGGTGAGTCGTTTACCCAGAGCCGGTCAAGGAGGTGCTCTGGGACACGGATTGCGAGGATCCAGACGTGGGTGTTTTTGTTCAGGCTTTCGATCGTTGTCAAATTGAACAGGGCCATTTGGACGGCGCTCAGTGTCATGCCTCCCGAAAAGAAGCCGAAGAGGCCGCTTCTAGATAATATGTCAGTTGTTGCTTCGATGACGTTGGATACCGCAGGGATCTTACAGTACGATGCACACAATCCAATGCGCATTAACATCTCCGCTCTGCTGCAAGATTAGCATCAACTCCCAGACACCCAGATCATGTCGGGCATACTTACACGTCTCCTAAGCTCGCTAAGGAAATATGCAGAAACGATAAGGGTGAAGAAACAGAACACGGCAGTGTAAAAGACGAACTGGATGAAAAACTTGAATGAAGTTTTCCCCAACCACTCCTCCAACCCTGTATCTTGTTAGTTGCTGATCCACAAATCATAGCTTTGATCACACGTACCATGGACAGAAGTGGTCCATCTTGCGGACGCAGCGGTCTACCTCGCGACAGTGATGCGCGCGGTCCGTCTTGAATTGGCAGCACTTTGAGCAATACGGCGGCCGGCCATCCTCCTGGCAGACATAAACGTCCTTCTGGTAGAAATATTCGAGACCAAGCGAGTTGCCCACTGCCACATCCTCAGTATTACTAACCACGCCCCGCTCAAGGTCAACCTCCTTCGTGGGTTTTTTCTCCGTTTGCCGCTTCTTTGTACGGGCCCCACGGCGAGACCGGCTGCCCCGGGAGTCGCTGGACTTCAGCTTCTCTTGATCAGAGTCGATGCGCTCCTGTCCATAAGGTAAATATCCAGTGTTTCGGAGCACAGTATAGAGCAAGCGGCAATAAGTCGTCACCATGGCGATTAAGAGAACATAGTAGACCGCAAGGATCGCGGCGCCGGCGCCGCGCCGAGAATGGATATTATGCGAAGGTAAGGGATACAACAGGTAATCGACTAGAGAGCACAGTCAGTGAATGCAGTTTCAGAATTATCAAAGCATTTCAAGCTCCTTGGGCTCGTCGGGGTCGGTCGTACTGCATAATGGTTTCGTGATGGCATAAGAGGCGTAGGCGACGATCCCGAGCAACACGGGCGGGACGACTCGCGAGACCACGAGATTGGTGCGCGTTTGCGCCCGAGTCGCCATGGACGGAACTGGTCTGCCTCGACTCACGCGATATGCATAAAGGGAATAAGATGCTGTGATAAGCCGAATTGCCAGGCAGCTGAAGAGATCAAGTTGGCGGGACGTTTCCCTGACGTAAGTGCGGCCCCCTGGTCCTACGAGTACATAGGCTGGGGGCCTAAGGCTCGTTTGACGCCGCTTTTGGGCGGCTGACAGGTCTGTCCTTGCCGCGTTTCAACGATCGCGATCGCGATCGCGATCAATCCCAACTTGCTCCTCTTCTATGTCCATTCTGACGGGCCTCCTCTTATTCTAGGCAGAGTCAATTAGCCAATTTCCTTTTTTTTTTTTCTGCCTGCTGCAATATATAACGAACGTGATTATGTCCGGAGAATGAAGGGGAGTAGGCACACACGATTACAGTAATTGTATGTGGGATCTGGGAAGAATTGGGGTTTGGATGCGACACATCTTCAGTATCGCAGGTTTGGGGAGGGTTTGGGAGGGACCGTGGGAAGGACCTTGTGCACCGCCCCGGCACGTCCAGGATAAGCTTGGGTGCGCGTGGGATCAGCAACACCTCAGCTCCGGGACAGATGGTAAAACGTAGAGAGTAGGTTCACCTAGGTGCACCCTTTTCTGGCTTGACTTCAGCACCGCGCGCATAGCTGAGGTTCATGCCGGAAAGGGTCCTTAGCAACAGCAGGGCTGAGCCTGAGGACACCTGACCTATGACTCTTTTGTCGCCGGGGTGCATATCGATGGCCCATTCTTCGAGTCATTCACGGTCATGCTGCCTGGACTGTCTGAGACTGCCTGGACGGAGTGGGGTTTTCCTCAGGTCCTCACAGGGCCAGAGTGTCCAGATTCTCAAGGCGACACAAGGCACAAGGCACCACAGCAAATTATGGAACACATCGATCCGAGGGCATCGCGGGTCACCGTCTCTTCAGTGTATGCCGGGGCACGGCGGGCGCCCGAACCATAGTATCTCCCCCCGGGCGAATTGGCTATGTAGACGGTGAGTGCTGATGCAGCCTTGCCAGTGGGGAACCATTGAGTCAATCTGCAGACGTCAAATCCACTCTTCAGGTGATGAGGGAATGATTCATACCTGTTCTTCAGGGCATCTAGGCACGATGGCTAGTCCCACCTGGGCAAGGGCGCTAGCCTGGGTGCCAGTCAAGCTGCCACTATGCTGGAATCCGCGCCCCGTCAGTCAATCACATCCCTGCCCATTCGCGGGTATGTGCGAATGGGAGCCCCGTACTCTGGCCTCCTCTGGTGGCCCCATTAGCCCGGGTCGAGGACCTATTCCCGAAATGGTCTCCTCGGGGAGCCTACAGAGGGGCTGATGTTAGTCTCAATGGGTCTAACCAGATTGGGCCCTGCGTTGCCTGAATCTATGACGGTTCTTCAATGTTTCTGCAGCACTTATTTAGACCTCCTGACCTCTCGTGATCATATTCTGTTTCCTATCCATCATTCAATTACTACTCTATTCAATAGTGATTCAAACTTTCAGACCAATACGCTGTGAAGCCACCGAGGAACAGCAGGCTCCGAGGACAAACTCACAAGCCCTGATCTTATTGTCACGTACCATTGTTTACTACTTTGGCAATTAGAACTCAAGTGATACATACTATCACTATGCCTACCGTCTGGTTCTGCTGCAAGTGCCAGTTCGGCCCTCACAACGTTCAACTCTACGTTTCTTGCATCAGCTGTGGTGCAGAGCGCTGCTCCCGCTGCGCGACGGAAGACACCAAGACTTTCGACTCTCTGAGCACACACTCTCACTCTCACCCCGGCAGCTGCCACGAGAGCTCACCGTACCCTGCTGCTGTCTCCATTCACACTGTTCGTCGACCATCCTTTGACTCCGAGCCCATGTCGCCTACCAGCTTCACCGATCTACCTGGAGTTCGACCAATAGGCCGGGTTGGCCTCGGTCTCGCTGCGCCTTTACCCACTTCCGGCAGCAGCCAACACTCGCAGCAAGTGTACAGCCACACGTATATGTATATCTGCTGCAATTGCAATGACGGCCCGAAGGTTTACAACGTTCAACCGGTCTGCGTTGTCTGCCACCATCAGGCTTGCAGCGCCTGCACTCATGTCAAGTGAGATTGATTATTTCTCTCTTCCATGTCATTCTGCAACCATTTTGTCTACACGACAGACTACCATGGCTATGGAAGATCCCTTCAGCTGCGCATCACTCGGGCCCCCTAGTGGACCGGGCTGCTGACAGTTCTGATACAGTGGATCTAGATATGCCAACGTTTCTCCTCTTACGACCGAGCCTGCAATCTGTTCCCCTTTATTTTTGGAAGATGCATTGCTTTTTCGATGATTTTTTTTTTCGTTTCCACTGTTTATGATATGTCTTCTCCTATTTCCCCACATGGTTTTGCTCTGTTCTGGCTTTTAGATTTGATCTGATGATTTTCGACTACATTACACTAGCGGCATGGGAAGATATATGCAAGGTTTCCTTTTTTTCCCCCCTCTTGATGACGCATTTTTCTGGCAGTTGCATTGTTTTATTGTCTTGATGCTATTGGTTCTCATGTATCATGTATGGTGATCGCACTTAGATGGTGTTTGTATACTTCATGTCAATTACTCTATCTGGCTTAGCTCCGATTTCCAGACGATCTGCCTTGCCCCACTGTCCTTCGGGTTTAACAAATCTCGAGTTTACTTCAAACCGATCCGCCTTCTGTGTTCCACGTAGTCTTCCAAGTTCTATACTAGATGCTGTTTCAGAAAGATGCGCCCTGCAGGTTGAAAGGGAAGCCATGGCGTTTGTTTGCCGATTGCTGATCGGGGTTATTCGGCTTAGTCCTTCTAGTTCCATGCAGCCGCAGGGGCCTATGCACCCGGACTTTTTGGCGAGACCATCCCTACCCACTTCAGAGAAAGCCGGGCCCCAAGAGAGTAGACGTGCAGCACCCCTTATCTTAGATTGCAGCTACTTGCGGCTTCTTTTTCAGCCGCACCCGCCTCCAGTCACGGGCAATAGTTGACCGAAATATTTATATTATGGGTAGATATCGAGATAGGATACTTACCGGCATTGCTTTCAATGCTTATTCCTTGAGTGTCAAACATCGAACCCTGTGCAGCGCTAATTCGCATCGTAATTCCATAAGACAAAGCGGGAGATTCCACGATTCTACGAGGCAAACTTGGCGGGCTGGGGCTCCACCTTCCGAAGAGCCAAGTGGTCCCTTGGCCCCCGACATTGGCCTCACCAGGATAAGCTGGCGGCGCGAGTACGCTCTAACGCTCTTTAGTTCAGCCCAAAGGGGCCATGTGCCTGGCCTGTTTTCGCTGGCTCCCGATGGCTCTACTGCTTACTTTGGCCATATAGGAGGATCCCTTTTTCCCCAAAATAGACCATATCTCGTGTTGACATTCTGGGCGACCTCTCTTCCTTGTTATAGTAAAAACCCCCCCCCCTGATGATAGTTTACCCCCAACCTGTTATAGTCCGCGGGAATTACCGCCCTGGGAGAGTCTCCACCGCGTGGCCTCGTGCTCCAGTGACGTGCTTCTTCTCTCCAGGCGCGGTGCAACGCCCGGGGCAACGAACTACGATTGTTACTGGGCAGCGAACAGGACACATTGCCGATGTTCCGTCCCTATTCTTGCAGAGCCCTCTTCCGTTCCCCACGCCCCTAGCTCCCATGACCCAGTAACAGTCACAGGCACAAGGACGGAGTACATAGTCAATCCGCCTTGGACCCAATTCAAGTTTTATCGCAGAAAGTCTCGGGCCCACATCGTAGCAACACCCTTGATTGAGCCCGAAGGGCTCAAACGTGAAATTAGTCGGGAAGACAACATGTGCCAGTCTGCGTCGCACCTGCATTAGTCCCCAACCTGCGGGTTTCGCTGCGGGTGCTGATCGTCCTTCGGGGTGCAGTTTACCCCTCGTGTGCCGGCCGCTACGAGGTGGAGGTTTATTTTTGTGCGCTTGGGCTTGGATTACTTTTCCCTTGCGAGTCTATGAATAGATGCTCAAGGAATGTGCGATAGCGTGGTGACTGGTCGGTCATCCGACCGACCGGGTGAATCAAATGTATTGTCCAAATTTCTTGTGCTTTTCTTAAACCTGGCGCTCATCTCTAGTTCGCCGCTAGCTTGGGTATGCTCATAGATATATTTCGCCCCAGCTATATTTTATTCTTAGCTTCTTGCAGAACAAGGTTGTCCGCTGTTTTGTAGATCAGGGTCAGTTAGTTCGGTTTTCTGGGTAGGTTGATTGGCCAAGTGCTGATTCATAAATAGAGAGATTATTCCTTGGTTTCTCTGTTGGTGGCTTTTTTTGGGTTGGGGGGGGGGGGAGCCTTGGCGGATAACGGATAACGTGCATTAAATTTAGTTTCTGGTTCTTTAACTTGGAGTTTTGCAGGGTTAATCAGCCACCCACGTGGGAGAGAATATGTAACGGCAATGCAGCCCCCAATGCAGAGTCTTCACAACGGCCCCGCAGGTTTTATTTTTGCTTACTGGTAGTGCATCAAGTGGGAAACTGGCCCCAATCTCACCTAAGAATAGCATGTGTTAAACGCGAAGACATGAAAAACACGTGGGCGATGCAAAAACACTACGGTATGGAATACATGCAAATCAGAAAAAAAAAGTCGAATTGACTACTGGTAGTATCATGCGTTACAGCAACCCCCGATCATACAACCTTGTCCCTAGAAATCCTGGACCGAGAATCGAAACTCAAAACGAGCTGATAGGGTCTTTGCAATGGTTTGAATTCTGCGAATTGACCACTGGTCTGTAGCATGCCGGCGCCATGACGCCATCCGTCATTGGCTTGGAATGGACGCAATGCAATGATCGCTCAAGATGTAGGCCTTTGAGGCTGTCGATAATGAGCCTTGGATGTAGGCGTAATGCCGGAGCTAATGGGCAAGGAGAAAGGAGGGGTAAGATGATAATAAGTGATAAAAGATCAAAGCGGAAGAACTCAGAATTCGGGCTCTTCAATGTGCCTGTATAAGACGCTGAAAAGGGGGTATCGCAAAGAAAACGGAAGAGTGTAGGGAAAAAAGGCGCGGACGACTGAGAGTGGTCCAGGTGATGGAGGTTAGCACTAATTGTGGCGCCAGCTCACCTGGAGACTTCACAAGACGTTGCGCGGTTGTTACAGGGGCAGGACCCGTGATGGATCTTGGAGGAAGCGCCTACGGTATGCGGCTATTTCGGCGGCGACGGAACCGAAATCTTTCACCTTTTCACGTCGCATCTCGTTGATGATCTCTTTCAGACCGGCCAGATAAGCTTCGCGCTCTTGTTCGGTTTCACCTTCGCGGACAGAGCCCATTTGGATGAGGATCTTGTCGTCTGCCAAGGTTAACAATACTGTGGTCAGCAAAGGACCAAGCAAAATGAAAAGGAAAAATAAGGAAGTGAGAGGGCTGCAGAGATCTAAGAATGCGTGGACGGAAAATGGAGGAAATTCAGAAAGGTAGAGAGTGACAGAAAAGGGAATGCAATCCGGGCATATGGGATGAGGTGGGGGATAGGGAAAGGGAATAAGGACCATCTCGAAGGGTTTCTGGCTCTTAACTTCTCGACGCACCACTTAGAGTCATATCTCGAAAATGCTGGTTTTTGCAAGATCGGTCATTGCACACACCACCAGTTGCTTCGTAAGGGCAAAGATATTTCATCGGGTCAATATCATGGCTGTAAGTTAGCGAACGGTAGCCGTCCGGAACGTCTTCAGCAAATCCGGGGTGATAGCGGTAAGCCTTGAAGTAGCGTAAAGGGCTCACGTAAGGTGTAAAGCCCGAGCCTACGGATTTGGACGAAGCTTCGTTCTGAGAGGCAGTTAGTCTTTGCGAAGACTCAACTCTCAACATGGGGGAGCTGTTTCGTACACCAAGTATCACCTGAGGATCATGGCGGGAGTCGTAAGAGGTGGGTTGGCGGGCATTGGTTGGGACTTCGTGAGCCGAAGGTACAGGTGGCATGGCCGTCGATTTGGCGTCAGGCTGGGCCGGGACTTCTACAGAGGCGGGAGGTGCAGGACTGAAAGGAGGACTGTAAGCCGAATCTTCGGCGTCTTGCGGGATCGGGGGCTCGGGAGGCTCGGGAGGCTCGTATGCCTGGGATACCTCAGAAGATTCACGATGAAACTGTTTATTAGGGCCTGCTGGGCCTTCAATCTCCATCATGTCTCCTGTGGAAACGGATACCGGTGGACGCGCTGGAAGTGGGTGCCCAGCCAGCTCCACGTTGCTTTGTACTGATGTACTAGGATTTGGGACCATAGTAGCAACGGCACTTGCAGTATTGATGGGAGACTCCGATGCCGCCTGAGAAATGGGGGAGGGTTCTTCCAGCTGATCGGACGTCTGATCCATGCTCACTTCTGCCAAGGGCTCAGCAGTTGCCTCATTTGACTGCCGTACTTCAACCAGGCCTCCGTTCGTTTGTGGACCGGTCGAGCTTCCAGATGAGTCCGAGAGAGAATCATCCTCATCACTTGTTGTGTCTTCACTAGAGCTCAAAATCTCCTGTGTCTCCTCCATGGAGCCTCCTGTAGAGCCTGAAGAAGATGATGACGAGGAATCTGAGGACTGAGGGCCTGATCCAATACCTGGGGCATCGGTGGCTTGGACATCTGCTAAAGACCCGTTATGTTTAGTTGACAGCCCAAAGCATTTGGAACCAGTTACGCCATGCAAACCAACGTTTAAAGCCTCGGACGAAGATCTGGTATTGGATGATGCTGGAAAATACAATGTTAGTAAAGCAAGCCGGAAGCAATAAGAAAGATACGTAGATTCAATATACCTTCATTCGTAGGGTTTGAGACCTGGGCTTTATCTTGTGCACATGTTTCATCCAAGGTACCAGTAGCGGGCATTGGTACTGCGGTGGACGCAGGCTCCGAATTTCCCGTTGCATGCCCATCAACCGGGCTTAGTTGCATGGCAGAGGACCCCGACGAAGCACAGGAGCCATCAGGGGTTCCGTCTGTGACCTGGGCTGAATCAATTTGACTAGCAGCAAGCTTTGCTTTGCGCTTTTGCTCGAGTTCTTCTATTCTGCGGTACATATTCTGGATCTCCAAGTCCCGCTGCCGAATGTGCTCACTGTCACTTGGGCGCGAGGACCCTTGAGGTGTTGATGTAGAAGTTCTGCCACCAGATGGATATTTCTGAAGGGTCGGTCGAGAATTGCTCGAGGTAACCACAGTTTCAGAATGACCGGCTGGGAACGAGTCTACATCCATTGCATCCTGATTATCGCCGTAGATGGAGTCGTCGTCATTCCCTTTCCCATCCCCTTCTTCATCGTCATCCTCGCTTATGTCAATGACAAGTCGATCTGCGAGGCCTAATTGATTCACTTCTTGATTTGAAAGCTTTTTGTAACCCCATTCTGGTTCATCAAAATCCGAGGCACGGGGTCGCTTTCGCTGGCTTGCACGGGCAACAGGAGCTGGCTCGACGCGGACGCCTTGAGACTCCGAGGGTAACTGCTCAGGGGTTCGTTTTTCTGCCTGAGAGCCCGCCATGGATAGGCCGGGGATGGTGGCGCCTTCCAGAAGCTGAGGAGCCGGAGGACGAACAGGAAGAGGATGCAAAACAGGCTTGGAATCAGCAACGCTCTCTAGAGATTTATTTTCTGGTTCAACATTGGAATTGGTGATCGGTTGAGCCTTTAATTTACTTTTCAGGAGAGCTTGACGTTTGAGTTCCTCGATGCGCTGCCGCGCGAGATCTGTTTGGGCCTTATTTTTTGGTCTCACAGGGACAGCAGCAGGCTTTTTTGGGAGAGGCGCAGGAGTGGCCGCTTGAGAACCCTTCGGTGATGACTGAGTAGTTGAAGGTTCTGATTTCTTAGCAGCCTTCTCTGCAAGCATTCTAGCAATGAGTTCTTTCCGCTCCAGGGGTTTCTGTGCTGCAGTTTCCGAGGTAGCAGACACAGGTGGCTGAGTGTTTGCATTAGATCCTGGAACAGGTTTCTGCTGCTCGCTGACTTGAGACGCCGATCCTGCGGGATTCGATTTCGACTCCGACTTGAATGACTCTGGGTCCGTTGACTTTTCAGGCGGAGGGCTTGGGATCTTGACGCCCACATCCTCGTAAAGTGACCTCAGAACCCTTGAATCTACACCCTCTGCAACTAGCTCGTGATATGAGATACCATACGGAAGGAGACTAAGAAGAGCTCCTTGCGCTTGAACACGTAGCTGAGTGACCGTCCTGAGCGTCTGCGGATCGATGGCGGAAGCAGATGAAGCTATTTCGCCCCTTTGCGATTCGATTGCGCGGTTCACCAGTTCGGAATCTGTGGTAACTGATATTGGCGGAATGTACGCTAAGAATGATAAGTGAATGTTATGGCGCCGTCAATGGATGTGCACTCACGCGAACTGCTTTTATTGCTGCTTCGCGATGGGGACCTTGCGGAAACAGTCTCGCCTTCTTCCAGCTCAGATTCCCTGCGATCGGATCGCGGGGCCTTCCGCGCACGGGAATGCCCATCCTCTGACTCACTGACCTCGCCTTCTTCGCGGTTCCGATACGTCGTAGAGGATGCCTTCCCTAGTTCTGCCTGAGCCACAGCATGATTGTTCAAGTCATACCTAGGCGCCATGGAAGGTGCCTGGGATGGGCCTGTGGCTCCGCCGGGAACAGGGACAGGCGGATAGACTGCCTGAATGGGAGCGGGAATTAATGGAGGGGTGGCTGGGAGGGATCTAGCTGGTTCATAAAGGGAAATGGAGGAGGATAGAACATCCCTGGTGTGCCAGAATTTCCGGCACCTGCCATCTGCGAATTTGCATAGAAGCTCGCTAGGTTGTAATCCATCGGGTAACCTGGCGCAGGAAATGGCGGGGCCGGAGCGATTTGGGGGTTTGGTTGAAAGTTCAGGGCATTCATCGGGAGGTGGATTGGCCACTGTGGAGGGTGGCCGCCAGATGGAGGCGGGGCTTGGTCAGCCATGGCACGAGCAAGCGAAAAAGCAAACTGTGGTCGGCGTGACGCGTAGAAACGCCTTAATAGTAAGCGAGTCAGTTACGCGATGACGAGGTCACACCTCCCATATCATGCCGGCGCGCAAGACGAGTCTGCGGAGTGAAATTTTTTTGAAGGTTGAATAATCCGATTTGAAGACTTGTTATCCACTGCTATCAGACAATCTGCAGAGGATATGATGAAGTCAGCAGAAGTGTCTCCAACAAAAAAAAAAAAGGATAGATGGAGGTGGACGGTCGTTGTGCGCAAAGACAAAGAAGTTAGAAGTTGGCGCAGGATCACCAAGTTTAAGCGCCGAGGCGGACTGTATCACGTGATGGGCACGGGCCACGATCGGCGGGAACCCGAGGAACGCAAAGACGTAAACAAACAGCCGCTTCTCCGCCTGCGATACATCACCATCTTCCTCGAGTTTAGATCTCCCCACCTTTTTGGGATCTCACTACGCCGGCTTCGCCATCCTCTACTTACTTCAGCGCGTACTGAGGCCCTTTATATCTCCTATTTCCTGCATTGGTTATGGAACTCAAGTGTTTTGAATAATGACCCACTGAACATCACTCCGCAATGCTCCCCCTCTCAACTCAAAAGCTCGCCCCAGCGAGCGAACCCATTTGGGCGGTCTTCACCCTCTCCAGCACCGCAGTCACAGGCGCGGCCAAGGTCCGCTGTTCTCACACCAACAAGTGGGTTCGACTCACCTAAAGGGCACCTGCGTAATGCATCGGTGTCGCAGGTACCGACCAACCTCTCCCCAGTGACAGCAACTCGTGAACGATCAAACTCGGCTCGAAACAACGCGGCATCAGGCACTTTTGCTCCAAGCTTTATCAAGTCGGAGGAACTTAGGCGAGGCGCAGATCAGATCAGAGGATTGGAGGGAGACAATGATTTCTCCGGCAATAAATATGTGTGGTTAAGAGACCCCGAAAAGGCCTTCGTCCGGGGTCTAGTACTGGAAGAACTGGAAGGGAACAGGCTTCTTGTGCAAGGTGATGATGGCGACGTAAGCATTTCCGACCCAAGCAAATATGACGCCGGGTAGCTGACATGCCAAACAGCAGCGAGAAGTGGATGCCGAACAAGTCGACAAAGTCAATCCTGCCAAATTCGATAAGGCAGATGATATGGCTGAGCTCACTCACCTCAATGAAGCCTCCGTGGTCCATAATCTCCACACAAGATACCAGTCGGACTTGATCTACGTATGTTGCGTCTTGGGCTCGAAAACAGAGCCAAAGCTAATTATTATTCTTCTAGACATACTCTGGCCTGTTCCTGGTGACAATAAATCCTTATTGCCCCTTGCCGATCTACACAAATGAATATGTGAAAATGTACAAAGGCCGTGGGAGGGAAGACACCCGGCCTCATATCTTCGCAATGGCAGACGAAGCATTTCGGAATTTAGTAGAAGAAGGCCAGAATCAGAGTATTCTAGTGACGTGAGTATCTTGTGGCGTTCTTCCCTGCTCTCTGTGCCTTCTAACACGGCTGCACAGAGGAGAATCCGGCGCTGGTAAAACCGAAAATACGAAAAAAGTAATCCAGTATCTCGCGGCTGTCGCCACGTCAGACACACCATATGCGAGGTCTGGTGCGAAGCAATTTTCGACATTGTCTCAGCAAATCCTTCGAGCCAACCCAATCCTAGAAGCTTTTGGTAATGCGCAAACTGTTAGGAACAATAATTCTTCTCGTTTCGGCAAGTTCATTCGAATTGAATTTTCGCGACATGGCCAGATATGCGGAGCTTGGATTGATTGGTACCTGCTGGAGAAGTCTCGAGTTGTGAAACCAAATGGGAATGAGCGCAACTACCATATCTTCTACCAGTTGCTTCAAGGAGCTGACCGTAAAACGCGTGAGAAGCTCCTCTTGGATGATCTTCAGATCGAAGACTTTTCTTACACCCAGGATGGAAACGATTCCATTGCTGGGGTGTCTGATCGAGACGAATGGAATTCTCTGATTGAGGCTTTCCATGTGATGAATTTCTCAGATGAGGATCAGATCTGCATTCTCCGCACAGTCGCTGCAGTTTTGCATCTTGGAAACATAACTATCGCCAAAGAGAGCATACGTGCCGATCAAGCTGCCCTGGGCCCGGGAGGTTACGCCAGCGTCGAGAAAGCGTGTCATCTGCTGGGCATTTCAGCCGAAGACTTTGTCAAAGGGCTTCTTCACCCCGGGTCAAGGCTGGCCGTGAGTGGGTGGAAAAGGTTCAGACACCAGAGCAAGTTCGCCTATCGCTGGATGCTTTGTCCAAAGGTATCTATGAGCGCGGATTTGGTGATTTAGTGATGCGAATCAATAACCAACTTGGGCGCTCTATGGCGGACGACAATTACTTTATCGGTGTACTGGATATTGCGGGTTTTGAAATTTTTGACAACAACAGCTTTGAGCAGCTTTGCATCAACTATACAAACGAAAAACTTCAGCAATTCTTCAATCATCACATGTTTGTCCTTGAGCAAGAGGAATATGCACGGGAGCAGATCGAATGGCAATTCATTGACTTCGGCAAAGACTTGCAACCAACAATCGATCTAATTGAATTGACCAATCCCATCGGTATCTTCTCGTGTCTCGATGAGGATTGCGTCATGCCAAAGGCCACCGATAAGACATTTACCGAGAAACTCCACTCTCTTTGGGATCGAAAAACCCCCAAGTATCGCTCTTCTCGCTTGACGCAAGGTTTTGTTCTTACTCACTACGCTGCTGAAGTTGAGTATGATACACACGACTGGCTTGAAAAGAACAAGGATCCACTGAACGACAACATCACCCGCATGCTTGCTGCATCTGATCAGAAGCATGTTGCGAGTCTTCTCCGACTGCGCTGAGCCTGAAGAAGGAACCGACTATCCGCGCAGCCGAGTGAAGAAAGGACTGTTCCGCACTGTTGCTCAAAGACATAAGGAGCAGTTATCCAGCTTAATGACGCAACTTCATTCTACTCATCCTCATTTCGTGCGTTGTATCTTGCCGAATCACAAGAAGCGCCCGAAGATGCTGCATGCTCCATTAGTTCTGGATCAACTGCGTTGTAATGGTGTATTGGAGGGTATTCGAATTGCCCGAACTGGATTCCCTAACCGCTTGTCTTTTACCGAATTCCGCCAGCGATATGAAGTGCTCTGTCAGAATATGCCGAAGGGATATCTGGAAGGTCAAAGTGCAGCCAAGATCATGCTGGAGAAGCTTGCGATGGACCGTGCTTGGTACCGAGTTGGCCGGACAAAAGTCTTCTTCAGAGCCGGTGTTCTTGCGGACCTGGAAGGGAAACGTGATCAGCTCATTCGGAGTATTATGACTCGATTCCAATCTCTCGCTCGAGGATTCGTTCAACGCCGCATCTCAAACAAGCGCCTCTACCGCGCTGAGGCAACACGCATCATTCAGCAGAATTTCCACTCTTACCTGGAACTGAAGGGCAGTCCATGGTGGCAACTTTTTTCGCGAATGAAGCCACTGCTTGGGGATACTCGGAATGCCAAGGAGGTCAAGAGGCGAGACGAGAAGATCAAGGAGCTCGAAGCGAAAATGAAGCAGGACCTGTCGGATCGCCAGAAGCTGGATGAAGAGAGACGGCGAACCGAAATGGAGATCCACAAGATTCAGCAGACCTTAGAGAGCGAGCGTGCTCTTGCCCTTGACAAGGAAGAGATCTTCCGTAGATTGCAAGTTCGTGAAGGAGAACTCACAGAGAAGCTCGCAGGGGCCATTGCCGACCAAGAAAGCCTCGAGGAGCAGCTTGACCAGCTCGTCGATGCCAAGAAGAAAACTGACGAGGAGCTGGACTTGCGCATTACACAACTTGAGCAGGCCGGCCAAATAATCCAGCAGCTAGAGGCCGAGAAGAAGGATCTTCAAGGACGAATGGAAGATCTAGATGCCAGGCTTGTCGAAGCACAGGGGCAGTTCTCTGGAAAAGATGGCCAGATTCAAGAGCTCACCCAAGAAATGAAGATGCTTCAAAGTCATTTGAGCTTGAAGGATCGCAAGCTCCAGGACCTGGAAGCCAAACTACTCAAGACAGACCAGGACCTTGACATCAAGCTTGCGAACACGTCGAAGGAACTTGACAAGTCAAAGAAGCAAGTCCGAGAGCTTGTGGATGAGAATCGCTCTATTCGCCAGCAAATCTCAGAGCTATCTGCGACTTCCACTGGCTATGAAGATCTTTTACGGCGCAAGGAAAGCGAGTTAACAGTGCTACGAAACGATGCAAAACGACATGATGAGGACAAGCGTACGCTTGAAGCCGAGAAGAAATCGCTCGTAATTCGCCACGATGACATGCAAAATCGTCTGCGCGAAATCCAGGCCCAGAGAGATGCCATGCGCTCCGAAAAGGCCCAGCTTGAGCGAGAGGCTGCAGATGTCAAGCGACTCCTTGAGGAGAAGAGATCAGAAGATGCTGAGGCAGGAGAAAGCCGAAAGCTTCTTGAGCAACATGTTCATGACTTGAAGGCGCAGCTCTTCCAAGCCGAGGCGGACCTGAGTCGTGAGCGACAGTCAAGAGATGACGTCCAGATGCTGGCAGAACATAACCTGGCAGAGTTGACTGAGAAATACAACAAGCTCAATGAGTCCAAGATCACCATCGAGAAGGAAATGTATATTCAACAGGACAGCCTCCGCCGCGCTACAGAGGCTCGTGTTGCAGCTGAAGAGTCACGAAAGAGCCTGCAGTCTGAACTTATCAAGCTCCGCGACCGTTTTACCGATGCTGAGAGTGCTCGCTTGAATGCCGAGGCTGAGGCTGAGCGCAAAATCCGCAGCCAAGCTGAAGAACATGTCCAAAGCCTGCGACGAGACTTAGATGCTAAGGCTCGCCAGCTTGAGGATGTCGAAAACGAGCGGATCCACCTGTCAACTCGTATCCAAGAGCTCACAAATGCCATTTCAGAATCCGACAATTTCCGTATCCGCCACGATCAGCATAAAGAGCGTCTAGAACGAGAGTTAGTGACCCTCAGAGGGCGACTGACAGCTTCTGAGAATGACAACCGAGCTCTCTTGACAAAGATCCAGCAGAAGAATTTGGATATTGCTCGTTCAAACTCCAGAGCAAGCGATAATAACCGGATGCGTCTGCAAACTTTGCAGAAAGAGAAGTCCAAGCTCGAGGAGGATAACAAGAACCTTGGACGCCAGATGGGTGAGTTGCAAATGGCGATCACTTCTCTCGAAAAACAGAAAGAGAAGCTGTCTCTGAACCTCGAGGACCTTACGCACGAAGTCAATCGTGAACACAAGACCAGTCGTAACTCAGAGAAGGCTGCCTCTACAGCTAATCTTCAACTTGCGGAGGCAAATCGAAACCTTGAGAACGAGCGTCAGCTTCGTACCCAGGCCCAGTCCAACAGCCGTCAAATCCAAGGAGCTTTAGACAGTGCGAACAAAGAGATCGAGGGCTTGCATCAGCAATTGATCCTTTTACACCGGGTCTTCGAGCCGGAAGCAACCGAGCCCACCAAGTCCTGGGAGGCAGTTAAACCCCACCTTTCCAAGCAGGTTGACCTAGCCCAAGTACTCGACACCGTTCAGCACAAGCTTCAGGTGACGGAAGAGAAATATTCTAGGGCTGAAAGCCAGCTGGCAGAGATGCGCCGTCGCCACGCCGACGAAATGAAGGAGCTTGATGCTAGATACTCCTCTTCGAAGCGTGCTTTGTTGGAAGAGATTGACTCGAATGAGGTGGCCAACCCCCGGGCTCCATCCCACTTGAGAAAGAACTCAGAGACCGCTTATAAACGCTTTTCGAACCCTACAACGCCTAATCGCCGCCAGAATGTCTATGAGGGGGCAAACGACTCGGCTAGATCCGACCGCACTATTGACACCGTTGGTTACCAGCGACGCATGGATACCGCGGCCGAACTTGAGGAGCTCCAGAATAAGCTACAGATGACCGAGATGCAGAACAAACATCTGCAGAGTCAGCTAGAGCGTTCTACCCCATCTCGTGACATCTGGGAAGATGACAGTCCATCTATGCGCCGGATGAACCTATTGGAGCGGGAGAATGGTCGCCTTCATGATCAGCTGGATGACTCGGCTAAGAAGGTATCTTCGCTGGAGCGCAGCATCCGCTCAGGAGAGCTTTCCCTTCGGGATGTCCAAGCCAAATCGCACGAAGAGCTGTATGACCTGATCAACTCTCAGGAACAGTCTCGTCGCTCTCTGTTAAAGGTTCACAACGCTACTTTAGCTGAATTTGCCGACGCTAAGTCACACTTTGAGAAACTTAAACGCGCTCGCGCGGAGTTGGAAGTCGAGCTACGGGATGCTCGATCCGAAACCCAGGAGCTGCAGTTGAGTAGAGATCAGGATGTCCAGAGCCGCAACCAACTGCTTCAAGAATTCTCCGACCTTCAGATCCGCCTTGACGCAGAGACTTCGAGAACCGCGGACCTTGAATCCAGCCTCAGTCTGTACAAGGCTCGCGCGGATGAGTATTTCAGCAAGTTGGAGCAGGCTGAGGTGGCTGTTCTCAAGGCCAACCGTGCTGAACAGTTTGCCAAATCTCAGGGCCGGGAGGCAGAGGAGACTTGTGCTCAGATCATGTCGGAGCGCAACCAAATGGACGCTTTGGTGGAGGATCTTCAGCAACAAACCCAGACCCTGGAGGCCCGCATGGAGGATCAAGCTGCAGAGCTTCAAGCTGCTTTGCAAGCCAAGCAGCGTCTCCAGAACGAGCTCGAAGACTACCGCAACCAGCGAGCCATTGATCTGGAGGACAAAGAGACTTCCATGGAACAGACGAGGCAGAAGTACCAGCGAGAATTCTCAACGCTCAATGGTGAGCTTGAAATCGAGCGCGAGCGCCTGCTCCAGGTTCGTGACGAGAACTCCCGTCTCCGTGAAGAATTGGAAAACCTCCGAAGCAAATGGGACAACGAAGTCCTCAATAGTTCTACCTGGGCTAAGGAGAAGGCCCGTATGGACATGGTCCTTCAGGACACCGCCACCTCTCGGGACGAAGCCAGCAAGGCCCACAGTGAAGCCCAGGACAAGGTGGTCTCACTTCTTTCTCAAGTCCGAGCACTCCGCACCTCAATCGACGATGTCACTGCCGAGCGTGATATCCTTCTCAAGGACAAGAAGATGCTTGAGAGCCGTCTTTCTGAAGCTGGAGAACGCTTGGAGGATCTTGCCAAGGGCGGAAGCCCCTCCATGCGTAACGCTGCCAGCATGGATCGTGAACTTCTTGAGCTCAAGTCTAAGCTTGCTCAGCAAGAAGACGTCTCCCATGCTGCCGTAGGCAAGATGCGTCGTGCAGATGCCTTGGCTACGGAGATACAGAAGGAGCTGACTACGGAGCGAGAGACCAACTCCCAACTGTTCAAGGATAAGGCTGCTCTTGAGAAGCAGCTCAAGGAGGTTCAGCTCCGTCTGGTTGATCTTGAAACCAAGAGCTACTCGTCTGGTAGTCAAGACGTGCGATTCTTGCACAAGCGCATCAAAGAGGTAAGACCCAATGTTTTCTTCTTCTTCCTTTATCACGACAGTACTAACACAGTGCTTTACTATAGTTGGAGACTCATCTCGAAGATCAAGAGAATAAGCACAGTGCCGAACAACGCTCGGTTCGCAATATTGACCGCACTGTCAAGGATCTCCAGTCCCAGATCGACCGCCGCGACAAGATGAACGCCCAACTCACAGAAGAAGTCAGCAAGGGCCGGGACAAGGTCGAGCGGTTACTTCGGAACATCGAGGAGCTTCAGAAGGCAGACACAGACGCGCAGATGAAAGCCCGCCGTGCCGAGCGCGAGTTGCGAGAGGAACGTGAAAAGGCACTGCATCTCGAGAGAGAATTAGAAGGGTTGAAATCCCTACGAGTCGAACGAAACAGTACCCTCGGTCGACCGTCTGTCGCCTTCAGTGACATTGGTAGCCGCCGTGGAAGTGCTCTGTACGGATCTAATGACACCCCTCAGCGGAAGCCTAGCAACACAAAGGGTTTCCTCTGAGTACGGTGATGGGAATGTGTATTATGTGATTCTGGAATTGCCGTCATGATTTTGATTTAGTTTACTTGCTTTTTATGGTTTCGGATCGCGTTTACTGTCGGCTGGCGTCTTTGTGCATTCGGTGAGGAACGATTTGGTCTTTGTTCTATTGGCTTCTGGGTCTTGTTCGGACTACTTGAACATGATCATATGCCTTATTCATATCGGGGTGTATGTATTTGATGCTACTGAGGCTATGTGAAGATGTGGAGTAAATATGCGAAGAGGGTAGGATAGGCTATCTACAATGCAAGAATTCTAAGTTGAACCATCGAGCCCAGTGCCGTGGCATGTTAATTCTCATTTCATGAGCCCTGTCGAAAGACACTTAATCGCCGTCATTTTATATCCCTGGAAGTAAGGCCATATCTGTTCATATTGAGACTTGGAAATCGTGATAGTAGCCCTAGAAAGGCTTCCTGTTCAAGCTTGGCTCTATTTCTTATCGTGAACAGCGGGAGATGCCATAACAGTCGCATGAACTCTTATCATCCAGCTTTCACGTGCTGGAGGCGACCTATGGATATCCTTGGGAGTGAAATCCGCCACAGGCGACACAAAATTCCTCGCAAAAGCAATATTCTCCCGCTTCATGGCGGTATTCACCAATAGCAGGTTGGGAAGACCAGACGCCCTGGAAGGAGTCCAGGCATTCGCTGCCTTAGCTGTATTCCATGGTGTGCTGTGTGAAGCTTAGAATCGCTTTCTTTGGCGCAGCTACATTGCCCTAGCAAGGCGTCCACATTTATGCATCCTTGAAAGACACGAGACTTCTAACTGGGCACATCGTGGGCCTCGTAATTCCTTCCCCGCCGAACCCCTGTATTGTTGCATCCAATCGGGACAATCACGCCCACACAATCATGGACACGTTGCGCTATACCCTGTGTCTTGCATATGCGGGACAGTTCACCTCTGGAGGTCAAAGCTCATGGAGGCTTGTCGTGACTTTTTGCAGTCGCCGGGGGGCTTATCTCCAAAGTCCCCAATGCGCGAAAGAGCCTCCTGTCTTGTTGAGAGGATTGTAGCATAAATTGAAGCAAATTTCCGATGGAATAGTCTTGTCCCCGACTCTCAGTCTGGAGTTCAGAGCTTCATCCGATAGTCTTCCTGGGTTTTCTCATCATCATGACCCCTGCTATAAGCGCTCAGAGGGCTGAGCCTCAAGTCCCCACCAATGCTTCAAGTTCTGGGTCTGTATCGGATACAGCGCCCCTGATGCCCGAGACACTCAAGAAAGCCGTCGAGCACATTAACCAGCTCGCGAATCTCCCTGATTTCAAGGGAGCTACTCAGATCTTCGTACAGATGAATGAGCAGCAGAAGACGATCGAAGATAAAAATGGAGAGCTAGCGAAACTAAAAGATGCAATTGATGGATTGTATTTGCGCCATCAAAGCCTAACGACTGAAATGGCAGAACTCCGAACAGAGAACAATACCCTTCAAGGACAGCTCGAGGAGAAGGAGGAGGAAGTGTCCGAAGGATCTCGCAAAGCCGATGCTCTCCAAAAGCAGGTCGATTCACTCTTGTCGGAGATAGATGGGTATGTGAAGAATCATAGTGAATTCGAGGAGAAGAAAAAAGAGAACGAGAACAAGATCAACAAACTGGAGCTGTCGGAGTCTACTTTGAAGGAACAGCTCGCTTCAGAAAGGGGGAAGAATCAGAAACTGGAGGCTGATAAGGCCTTACTCGAAAAGTCAATGCAGAGCATTAAAGGCAAACTTCAGAAGCTTATCAACTTTACCGCCGGTCATTCCAATGAGAGCGAAAGCTCAATGTCAGTTTGCCCCGTGTTTGTTCCAGTTGGACCGAATCCATGCTCATATCCCGATGTTTCTAGGCTGGAACAATTCTCAGAGCTTTGGAATTATGCCAATGATAAACTGTCTGCAGTTATACAAGAAGATATTACTCCTGATCGCTTGAGTGTAAGTTGCCTCTGCCGTTATGGCTGTTTTTGATAGTATTATGTTCCGCTGACCCGAATTGAAGAAATCCACACGCTGGAACAGCTTTCGCTCGGAGGTTATCAAGTTTCTCCCCGAGGCAGAAGACATGCCCCTGTTGGCCTCTAATTCTGAGGCTTCCAAAACAATGCGACTGGCCGTAATGCTAGCGATCCTATCGAAACAGATCGACGAGGAGATATTCCAACCCAACTATTTGAGCTCAGATAAACGGAACTTCCGAGAAGTTCTAACTGAAGTTGCCTACATTGACCCAGAGAAAGAGTCCTTTCTTCGATCTTTGCTTCTTTCTATCGATCCCGAGGAGCAGGAGAAAGAGCTCGAACGCAGGAGCGAGAGAATCGGCCAAGTCGTGCCCCAGATCTTAACCAACCTTCTTTCTGGCGAGCAAGGTGAAAAGCTTCAGGAAGCTGTCCATGATGTGGTACAAATGGCCATTCGGACCTGGACTCCCATCCAGCATGCCCAGAAGAAATACGAACCTGTTTTCGACTACAAAAATTGGGACAAGAAAGACTGGAAAGGATTTAAACCCGCTGGGAAAATCCTCAACTCAGGTCAAGCTGGTGAAAACCCCGCAGCCCTTTGTAAATTTGCTGTTTTCCCAGCTATGTCCTCGTTTGGACTTGACATGGACGAAATTTTGAAACCTTTCGCACTGCTGGTCAAATCCCAAAAGCTGTACGTTGCTGCTGAGGAAGATAAGAAAGCCAGTACAAAGCAAGAGATAAATGAGGCATCTAGCCCTACGAGTGGGAAGATGAGCAACAAGCGACGGCCTTCTAACGCTCAACAGGCTCAGCCTGGCTCGAATGGCCATGGGGCTACGAATGGAAAGGGTCATTTTTTAGGGCAGTGATTTCTCGTGTCAGACCTTGGAAAAAGCGCAAGCCTGAGTACAAACCCATAGCAGGCGCTCATTTTCCAAAGACGTTTTACGAAGAACGACTTTAGGAACTGTTCTCAATGTGAACTTGGATGGTGTCATGGTCATTATCTTTTTTGTGCAACATGTTTTAATTTCTCAATGTACGTACCATTTCGGCTTGTTTTTGTAATTCTCAGAATGCAAAATTTCCTTCATCATAAGTACTTTAGACACTATGTCTAGTTAAACCACAGTCTATTAGCTTCAAATACCTGCTTGATGCCATGCTCCATATGCCAGGTCTCTGCACGTGACTCAAAGCGGTAAGCGCCAGGCGCCAAATTTGGCGCGGGACCTCATCTTTTGCTCCGCAGGTGTTAAGCTTCGCTTTTCTCTCCGGATTCCTCCCACGGCTCCAGTTACAACACTCCTGGTCGCCGACCAGGCCACTCGCTCACCATGGTAAGGAACCCCCCTCTCCCTCAAGTCCAGGCGATTACAGAAAGAGCACCCGCTCCGGAGCGCATGCCAGGCCTCAGAACAATGAACTCGCTAACGACAGCAACCTCCAACAGGCTCGCAACAGCGAAAAGGCGCAGTCCATGCTGTTCCGCTTCCGCGCGCAGCAGGCGGCGGACATGGGAATCATTGATATGGGACGGACGCGGCGCCCGAAGGCAATCCAAAGCATCGACTCGGTCCCCACCTGCGAGCGCTGGCGCGGCCAGGTCCTGAAAGAAATCTCTCGCAAGGTCTCACGTATCCAAGAAATCACCCTGAGCGACTATCAGATCCGCGACCTGAATGACGAAATCAACAAGCTCATGCGCGAGAAGTGGGCGTGGGAAATGCAGATTCGCAATCTTGGCGGCCCGAACTACATGCGTGGTACTGGGCGGGTTTACGATGATGAAGGGCGGGAAATTCCTGGTGGCGGGAAGGGCTATCGCTATTTTGGGAGGGCGAAGGAGTTGCCTGGTGTCAAGGAGTTATTCGAAGCTGCCTCCCGGAAAGCGAGAGGGGTCCCGGAGGAAGAGGAGGAGGGTGCTGGTGCTGGTCGTGGTGGGGATATTGCCACCAGGAAGGTTGATGCCAACTACTTCGGCTACGGACTTGATGAAGAAGATGGCACTCTGCTCGCTTATGAAAAGCAGAAGGAGAAGGAAGCGCTCGAGGGCCTCCGTAGCCAAGGTGATGATGATGCTGAAGACGGCTGGCAGTCGTTACCGGGTGATGCAGGCGACGGCGTCGAGTGGCGACTACCCACACCGGATGAGGTCCACGAAGAGCTGATTGATCGCCGGCGCAGACGTCTTCTAGACAAGATCTCATGATCCTTCGCGACAATCAGCTCCCACCGTGCCTTGTCACAACTTCTCACGTGTTTATTTTCCTTTTGCCCTTTCATGCTGTTCTGGCGTTCCGGATGCTTCTGCAAATCTTTATATGTCAAAGCACTGTCTCATTTCGCCTTATACCGGCTTGGTCATACAAAATTACATTTCCTTGATACAGAATAGTTCGTCTTTATATGTACAGCGCTAACTGGAGATCTCCTCGTCGATTTTCTGCTTTCGAGTCGTTCGCTCAACTTTGAGAGCCTGGGTCATGCTGAGGCGCTCCACCGGGTCAGGGTCATCCCTCCGCCGTTGTGCAGCATCAAGATCATCGAGGATGAATCTACCTAGCTCGCCTGCTCGCCACTTCTGAATAAAGCTGATCGCAGCGCCATCGTAATTCGGAACCCCGCCCTTGCCGAGTAGCCCAGTTTGACGAGCAAACTTCTCCAGAAGCGGCCACACCTCGTTTGTAGGTTCAGACCAGCGCTGATACGCCTGCGCATCATGCAGGTTGATATGATACAACAAGTAGTCGACGAGAGTCACGGGGGAGATGACCGCGTCCTTGACACAGCCACAGAGTGCCAGCTTGAGCATGTTCTCCGCATCTGCAACGTAAGGCATGAACACACCGGGCGTGTCTAGAACGTATGTATGAGCCCCTGATTCTCTTTCAATGATCTTCACTGGGGTCCCGATCTTGCGCGTGATTCCCGGCTGGCCTCCAGTTCTGAGAGCCTTTGCTTTCCCTACCCCGCTGTTCCTCAGATGATTGATTAGGGTTGATTTCCCGACATTGGGCATGCCCACCACCATCACTCGGCATCCAACGAGCTTATCGGGGGCTTGTGCTTCATGCCGGAGATGTTTGATGATTTTGCCGACATCAGGGCGGGAGGAGGAGCTGTTAAAGAACACAGGACTATTCGGGTCAAGGTTCCGCATTTTGTCTTCGATCTAGAGAGGTATTGTTAGGCAAGAATCTTCGGGAATAGACTGCGCAGTACCAACTCACAAGCCGTTGCGCCGAAGACTGTGGAATGGCCCCGAGGTCTCTTTTTGTGTAGACAATTAATCTCCGGATCTTTCCCAGGGCTTCCTCGAACATGGGATTGATCGATGTCACTGGAGCTCGATAGTCACGACACTCTACCACGTAGTCAATTGACGAGAGCATGCTCTTCATCTTGCTCAGTCCTGCGCGGTGGTGACCCAGGAAATAGGACCTCGGAATAGCCCCATAGTGGGGGAATGTTTGGCGAGGCACGAACTGCGCCATATAGAGTGGATTCGAATATTCATGTAACGAGAGTGACCGGCATTTTATCTCTTGTGTTAGATGGAGAGAAAAGCAAATGAATCGCCAGTCCGAAAATTGCCGGTATACTAGAGGCGGCATGCAAAGCGGTGAGACTTATGGAGTAGGTAACTCCCACATAGTCCCTCGACAAGGGTTTTGGTTTCGACCTTCTGAGTTACCCGTTTTTACATATTTCTTGACCTATTGAGCTATTATAGAAACTGCTGATCTTGATCTTCCTTTCTGTATCCGGTTCCGCAATTTACCGCCTAGTTTCAGGTATAGGAATATCAGAGACATTTCTTTAGCCAATATTGAACCTGACTACTGTCTAATCTCATTTACCCCCACGAGAATATAACTATCTAAAGAAGTCAGATGGTATATTTATTGAATCATAATCCTGGGTATCCTATTTTCGTAAAGCAAATGTTCTAAACACATCTAAACAAGGTCTCCGAGCAAGAATCATGCCCGCCATCCTTGAACGAACTCATGGAGTCGGTCAATCACAACACCGAAGATTGCATTGACACTGTCTCCAATCAGCTGCTCAAAGTGCCGAATGGCTTCCTCTTCTGACATTTCGAGGTGAAACCGCTCTTTGACCTTCAGGACAGCCTTGTCAGGCTCGACGCGGATATCTGGGATGTTGGCGTCGACCATCAGGCTGAACAGGTTGAGAATGAGGTTCGCTGACTTGCGTAGGGTCGTGTACGCTGTGAAGCAGTATTGTTTAAATTGCAAGTAGTGCGGTGAAGTTGTGCCGCCCATACCTTCGACCATCTCTTTGCAGAGCTTCATCATTGGCGCAAAGGGTTTGGGATCACGGCCAAGGATGAACCCGAAATCAGCATGGAAGAAATGGCCATCGGGCGCCAAGAGGAGGTTCTCTAAATGACGGTCACCCACGCCCAGAAGATATGTGATTACACAGTAGCCCGCGCAGGACTTGATGTATGTATCCATGGTTTCTTTGCGAACCCCGAGAGGCTCATTGTCGTCAGGATTGTGTTCTTTGAGATAGGCCAGGATAGACTTGTATTTGGAGGATGCGGCAGATAGAGAGATTGATGGGATGAACTGGACCGCCCCAGCGGTGGAGCTCGTGGCCAGAATTCGGTAGGGTGTGAGTTTCAAATCGAGGTTTTCTTTTTGCAGGAGGCGGTCCATCAAAATGATGATTTGAATGACCAGTTGATCCTGGCGGAGATCATCACCAACTTTAAAAAGAAACGGGTATCGTTGACCATCGGTGGTTTTGAAGGTAATAAGAAGTGGCGACAAAGTCGATTTGAAGACGTTAGCCTCGTCCGGGAAACACCCGACCACTGATACATCAGGGTCTATCGGAAGAGGCAAAGGAGGATCAATATTGAATAGGTCATTTTTCGGATCGCGAAGAGACTTTTTGAGCTTCTCGATTTTGACCGGTCGTGGCTCACGAGAAAAGCGAATATCTTTAGCAATCTTTGAAAGAATTGCGACGAGTTCACCTTGCCGAAGAAGTTGTTTTCGATGGTCTGCATGAATCCTTTCGAGTTCGGCCATGAAATAGTATTCCACCCGCGCAAATAATCTCCGCTGCGTGGACAAAGTACCCGGACCGGCATCATCGCATTCAACCATGAGGTACCAGTGGAGATAGTTTCCAAGTTTGAAATTGTTTGCTGCGCGCGTGATCAGGAAATTGGCAAGAGAGGAGTCTTGGGCTGCGTCGTCGGCGTTGTTCTGGGCACTTTCTTCATATTTCAAAGCTTGAACCAACTGTAGAAGATAGAGAAGCAACTCGTCATCATCCGCCTTGCGCAATCTTTCCACGGCGTATGATCGGACTGCCTGGTTATCAAAGGTAGGCCCTAAGAGTTCCAAGGCATCGTCAACGTCGATTTCAGTCCACTTAGGCAAGATCTCCACGGCCTGCCGAGATTCCCCGTCATCGCGCCAATTGACTGATTTAACAAATTTAGTAAGAGCTCTCTTTTCTCGGGTAAGATAGTATCGGAATCTCCAAATGAGATCCTTCTCTTCAGCCGTGAGGTCTTGGGTTGGTTCGTATGAAAGAATGGTGTTAAGCTCATCGCGATTCTTGGGGTTGGGCTTGAGATCTCGGTCCATGAACCCCGTGCGATGGCTACGAATGAGGCGACGGTGTTTGTCTTCACAAGGATTCCCAGACTGGCCCACCTCTGGGTCATATATTCTAATCACCCCGGCGCCATCTACCTCACCGATTCCAGGGCCAAATCGAACCTCGGGAATGGGCTTCAACGCGGAATTAGGATGTGCAGGCGTGTTCTGGAAGTACGCAGAGACGGGTGGGGGATCGTATTGATGATCTGCCCAGACGATGGGATGATCGAAACGAGGGAACTCCACATAAATGTGGAAATTCTCATCATCTAGATCTTCTTCATTAGAGCTGTCACCCGTGGTGTCAGAAGATTTCTGTTTCGAGGCTTTGAGTTGGAGCGCTCGTTTTCGAGCCGCCTCTTCCGCTTGAACCTTGAGCTTCTCTATTTTGCGAAAAGCGATATGGTCCATCCAGTCGATTCGAGTAATTTCACCCATCTCGTGTTTTTTGATCAATCCTTCGATCCGTTCTAGTTCGATTTCTTCGCGCGACAAAGCCAGCACATCACGATTATTGTTATTTCGACGCTTCGGGGGAGGGTTTGCGGGGTGGTCGTTGCTGAGTATCCATCGGCAGCTTTATGGCGGTGGATCTTACATTTCTGCCGACCCATTTTGAGCTTGCCTTCATCGTCAAATAGCTTGATCGTTGTTCCCCCGAATGGTACATCATGACCTTGAGGCCCATCGCTTGCCAGAGGAGATAGATCCCAAACAGTCACAGCCAACTGAGAATTGATTGGGGCGTCCTTGACCGATATGGGCATCTTCAACCATTCATTCCATGATCGGGTGGTTTTGAAAGCTTTGTACGATGTTTGCAGGGGAACACCGAGGGGCTTAGAGTCCGACCATACTTGTGCTGTGACGAAAAGATCGGATGTAGGATCTTGGGATGATCCAAGGAATCGTAGTTCGGGATTCTGGAGCAGACGCGAATATGGTATCTGCTGCTGTTTCCCTTCCAGCGATTCTCTGAAAATCTGTTAGTTTGAAACATGAGTTATACGCGCCATCTCTTACATCTTAACAAAGACAGGCAAATCCACCTGAGTGGACAGCGCAAAGGTGAATGCCTCCATCCTCGCGGGGCTTTAAGCTGGCAGCTTTGGAGAGTGATCCACGGGGAAGCCTGGGCCTCCAGTGGAGACTGAGTCAGCACGTCGATAAGTAACTAACCACGTGATTGGGTAGCTAGTATCCTGCTCTATTCAGGAACTGCACTATTCGCTCTACAGGGCTCTTAAGATGGTGCTTATCCGACCACCACTGCATGTAATTCGGTCACGGTAGTAGTACTGTAACGCTGCTGCTATCAGTGGTGCATAGGGAATCCTGTGTACGTCCGAAGTGTATATGGGTATATATCTATAGTTGTCCAGAAGGTCGCATAAGAGATTATTCTATTTTTGATGAACCATTTCTATCAATACCCTGGGAAACAATAGGGATAATGGATTCTATACTGATGCTTCCCAAGGTCTTGGCCACATGCTGCATTCGGCAGACATGATCGGAGATAGAGATAAGGGCCTTTCGTTGATCGCCCGCCAACGCGATCACGTGTAGCGCGTCGTTGCGCGCCGGGAAGATTCGATGCACCCCTGCAAAGGTTGCCTTTCGCCATTCGTTTAATTTTAGATCCGCAAACGACAGGGGTTTGCATCCACCTGTTTGGTTTTGTGTGTTTGTTAGCCCGGCATTACCCTATCTTTTGTCTCTTTTGTTCATTCACACGCTAAGAAGCGCCCACCCAAAATATGGCCCGCGTCCCCCTCTCTCAGCTGGATCAAACAACTGCGCCATCATCACCGGACTCGTCTTCAGACAAGGAAAACCCACGAAACCATAAAAACCAACGGAATACTGTCCCTATGTCCCAATCTCAGTCGAAAAGACGCCGCTTGTCGGAGCGTAACGCCAACACCCAGTCGCAAATGCCTTCATCTCAGCGCAATAACCATCTTAGTCGTCACTACGACCCCGACCAAGATCCAGAGGAAAGAAGAAGGGTTCGCAAGGGCTACAGAACCTTAGGCAGGAATTCAATGGTAAGTTTCGCCGTTGATTCACATAGCTACACGTCTTAGGAGTCGCGTCTTTCTAACAAAGATATTTTGCGACAGACCACCGCACGGAATATATGCGTGCCGACCACGATGGAATTCTCAAGACCCTCGAGAAACAAAACGAACTCTTCAATGATGTGAAGCAAACCTCCGATGCCACCGCCGATTCGGGGTTGATGGTCAAGGTCGCGGAGGTTGCATCTAAAAGGGCCGGGAGAATGGCACTTGGCAATACAGGAGCCGGGATAGACGTCGATGAATTCGTGTCCAAATGCATTAACTACATGCGCAATGCACCTAGGACTATGACTGCCACACAGAGCCAGGGACCGCGTCGCCACCGGCAAACCCAGAGGGCTTCCGGTGACAGCGACGATGATGAGGGTTCGGGCGAGCCGATGAACTGGGAGTGGCTTGGTCGAAATGCGTGTCTTCCCTACAACGCTCGGCCCGGTGTGTCGGGGTTTCTTCTGGGACCGTTGTCAGTGCAGAAGCGCGCGCGACAGCAAACCCAGCGCTCTGCCAGGGAGCAGTTTGATCCATCGCAACTACAGCAGCCAAAAGAGATGCAACAAGAGGATCTTGCTTCCAGTGAGAACTTTAATCTGACAGAAATCTGCTCAAACATCAACAAGTTGCTGGCCGAAACCCAGGCGAAATTCCAATCAGAGGCCTTCGAAAATCTTGGGCACCTGGAAAATGTCCCGAAGAGAGAGAAATATACCGCATTGCTAAAGTATCGTATCGCCGATGATGGGGGCATACCCCTTTTTCACTTTGTGATCAACCCCAGGTCATTCGGACAGAGTGTAGAAAACATGTTCTATGTCAGCTTTTTGGTCCGAGACGGTGCAGCTGCCGTGTCAATGGATAGTGAAGGGCAACCAACCCTCCGTGAGTGTCCCCGAGCCCAACCTCCAGCATTGCCACCGCAGAACCCCCTCCCCCTTTCAATCTGATTGCTGACAGCTCTGTAGATGCGTCTCAGCCGTTCGCGCCAAGTGAAGCACAAAGGCAAGGGATTCAAAAACACCAGGCCGTGTTCAGCTTGGACTGTGATCTCTGGGAAGAGCTAATTCAATCATATGACATTAAAGACAGCATAATCCCACATCGGGAGGAGAAGGAGGAGACCAATGCGACCTGGGCCTGAGTGCTTCTTGCTACCTGGATTGTTAATTAGTTCTTCAAATCATGATACCCCTTAGTTCCATTTGCCTTTGCTATTACCATTCTACATCCATTTGATTGTCTTCATAAGCTCTGGAAATAGAAACAGCATTATGTGCCGCATAAATGCATAAAATGTACAAGCGGGAGCGATGCAAAAGGATCTGACAAGTTGTGGAGTCGATGTGGACCTCGGCAGGAGCTCAGATGGGTAAGCAGCTTAAGCTCCCCCCCGGGACCGAAAGGCCCAGATGCGCCTGCTCACGTCATAACAAGTTCTTTCCTTATCGCCCCATATGGGCCGTTTTCAGAATTCCGTTAAGAATCCCAAAAACTTCCGCCTCTTTGCATCCCACTGCGTTTCCCATTGAGAAGCTCTTCATACCGCCTGTCGTTTCGTGAGTTGTGAAGAACCTCGGACACATCCCCGCTAGGGAATGCACTTGCAATCTTCAACTTGAAAACCCGAACGAACAAATATAGCCAAAATGCCGCAGCTCTTCCCAGCCAACCCCTCGGCTTCGATGGTGATCCGCAATGTGACACCAAATATTATTACAATGAGTCTACCGTTCGCGCGTTTTGGAATCGTCCGCTTCGGCGCCCGGGGGACGCTAGGTAAGTTGCCCACCTGGCACCCTTACAGCTGGAGCCTTTTCGCATGCTCCGTCTTCCAAGACATCAGGAGCATGGTGGACTCAAGTCAAGACATCATCCTTTGAAAAAGAAAGACAGGCTAACTCTAATCTCCTTGCGTACAGTCAAGCTTGCGACTGGTTCTCTCGCCATTTTCTCGCCCGTCTCGATGACCCCCGAGGTTCGCGAGGTTGTGCAAGCCCAGGGGGGCAATGTCAAATACATTATTGCCCCAGACATGGAGCACCACCTCCACATTACTGCCTGGAAGAATGCGTTTCCCGAGGCCGCCATCTTGGCGCCAGAGGGACTCTGGGAGAAGCGACAAAAGAATTCAGAGTATAACGATGCGCCCTTCCAGTATGTCTTCAAAAAGGAAGGATCGCCTCCGACTATCTCGGAGGAATTTGATGCCGAGTTCGACATCGAGTACGTGCATGCGCATGGAAATCGTGAGATTGTCGCCCTGCATCGGCCTTCGCGCACCCTCATCGAGGCCGACTTACTCTTTAACCTCCCTGCTACAGAGCAGTACTCGAAGACCAAAGACGGGAGCACTGCGAATTTCCTGACCCGTCTTTTCCTCCCTGCTATGTCGGTGGGGAACCCTCCAACCGGTCAGCGACGTTTTATCTGGTATTTGGCTACTACCGATCGGGGCGCTTTCCAGCAGTCCATTCGACGTATTATTCGATGGGACTTTGACCGCTTGATACCTTGCCACGGAGATGTGATTGAGACTGGGGCCAAGGAGGTATTTCAGAATGTCTTCGCATGGTTCTTGCAGGAGGACCACGAACATGTCTAGGATGGCTGCGCTCATCCTCATCTTTCTTCTATTCTTGTATTCTGTTATCTTCCTTTCTTGGAATCTCGGATTCCTGTCTTCTATTTTGTGGGTTTGGAGCATTTAAGTTGAGTGTGGAGCGAGAGATATCCGATACTCCTGGTGTTGAAGGAGGGGTGGCGAGAGATCCGTACTAATTGTGTATCATTACATTAGTATGAAGCTGACAAGAAGCGTAATATTCTCAAAGCCAGAGCCTATTCGTAGGGAGAGGATAGCGCCTTCTTCTCCGGCTAACCCGCATTGGATGAGGGGATTAATTTTATTGGGCGTAAAGGTATCAACATGATCTCCTGTGCAGTCGATGAAGCGTCCGCGAGTGCATACTCAACAGCCAGAGAAGTTGGATTAACGCGCATATAGCCACCCTGAGGAGCAAGCCATATTGAGCAAGCTACCATCCCATCGGGAATTTTCTACAAATCGTTAAAAATAGCCTATAACGCCAAGGACAAATGAAGGCCCTAGACGTGACCTTGTGCGTCATAGAGCTAGGGGTCGGGGCCGGCAAGGGCTGTGAGACCTTGCGCCCAGGAACAGACATGCCTGACATTCCTACCATCTGACTCTGTCCCTATGAGCTAACCTTGCAGGAACAAGCTCCTGCTTCTCTACTTCTATCATACATGCACTGTCTCCACGAGCCTGCAACAAGATGATGGACACTGCAGCCCGTAGGTTCTACAGCTTGCCATGATCGCCGCGGGTGGAGCAAATCCACTAGGCAGAACCCAACTTTCTCGCAAAACATCCCCACGGGACAAACTGCAAGCCATGCGAGGTTGACATCGCCAATGCCCCGCTACCACATCGCGTCGGGTTCTAGAAACAGGGATCACCCATGGGGGTGATGCGGATTGGCTGGATCTCATTTTTGCTCAGGTTAGGCAGCACCGTCTCGGGGGGTTGTATAGGTCGACTTTTTGTTTTCTTTGCTTCCCCTTGGTTTCTCATGTCGGGAGGTCCCAGCACTGTTGAGCCGGACAAAAATAGCGCCCATTCAGAGCTCCTTGCTGCAGGGGAAGAGACCTAGCCACTTGCGTTCACAGGGCGGTGACCACGTTCAAGGGATGGGAGCTTCGGGAATCGAAGTTGGGCCTCTATGGGCTAGACCATGCGCGGTGGCCAATGGGGGATGAGACCCTGGCGAGCTCGCCTCGCGACTGGAGCTGCTGGAAAGGTACGATTGACGACGTCAGTTCGGATAGATGCTTGGGGGCGTGGTCGCGAGTGGGGCTGGTCTTGTGCCTCGCCCATGCTCTGTATTTGCTAGCTCATTCTGGGCCAAATGGGGCCCTGGTCAGCTCGTGTTTGTGGTTCTGTCGCCCAGCTTGGCGGCCCTTGCTTCAATAGACTAGTTGGTCTCTTGGTAGCTCGGAGACTGTCTGTGCGACTTTCTGGGTACCTGTTATATACTTCCGCTTCCCCCATCGTTGTCATACCTTGTTTCCAAGGTTCTATTCAATACATACCTCGTCTACAATAATACTTCCCAGTACTTTGTGTGATCCAACAGGTTGCCAGCTAGGACTCAGACACAATGCCAGTCGTCTCGCGTATCGTCTCTATCCCTCTCCGCATCTGCGAAATTGCCTTTGCAGCTATCGTGGCTGGACTTATCGGCCACTACCTTGCCTCTTTCGATGAGATTGACCCTTGGCCTGAAGCACGGTGGATCTATACCGAGGTGATTGCCGGTCTCTCGATGCTACTGGGCCTCATATGGCTCATTCCTTTTAAGTCGGGGTTCTTCAGCTGGCCCCGTACGTGTTTCCCCTCTCAATTCCATTCCTGACCAGCATCATGTCATACTAACTGGATAAATCAGTCGACGTGCTCATTTCCTTTGCTTGGTTTGCTGCATTCGGTGTTCTCGTGGACGCTATTCATCACTTGCCATGCGGTGGCTTTTGGAATTGGCACTTGGGAAGTAACACGCTTTGTACGCGGTGGAGGACTGCAGAAGCTTTCAGTTTCTTGTCTGCTATGTTTTGGCTGTTCTCTGCTCTTGTGGTGAGTATATTGGAATCATCATCTATTCCGCCGTTCAAGCTTTGACTAACATCGATGCAAGGGCATCTGGTTTACCTTTCGATCTCGTGGTGACCGCACCGAGGGAACGTAAGTCATCCGATAACGAAACCATGAGCCCTAATTTAGGTACAGAACTGACTATCTGCACAGGACCGGCCGTCGCTGGGGTCGCTCTCGTGCGGCACCTGCCGCGGAAGCTTAAAGAGCTCAATATACTGCGGTGCTATCAGGAGAGAGCTGTGAGCCACTCTTCCTGTCTAGACAGCTACGCAAAAAGCAGCCCCCTTGATGAATGATTCGAGGTGAAACTGCAAAATAATGGTGAATGTCTGTCGTTTATGATAACCCTGACTTCTTGTCGCATTCTACTCCCGATGACGGGGCAAATGAATTACGACTTTATGTTGATACCCTTGGTGGACTCATGACATACAGCTTTTAGTTGTTTCGTGAGAGTCGCTCGTTATGAAATTCAATGAAATTCTACATCCCTCAAGATCCACTGCTTCGTACCCAATACTGCAATGATCCGAGTCCCAACCCCTTGCCAGGGTCACATTGAACCCCAGGCTCTTATCCATACCTTGGCCCCTTTCCACCAAACTGTTTAGCAGCAAGTACTGGAGATACTTATAACGCCATATCCCACCAATGAGATAATCGGACGAACAGTTGTTTCAATCGGAGACCACTAAGCCACCCGCTGGATCGTTGGCGCCGCCAGCGAAACGCCCCATGTGGTCTGATTTCTCAATTTCCTAGCAACCTGATACACCGACCCCGTAGATCAGTGGAGTAGGCCACGATAGCTCATTGGGCAATTAAGGTGAGTAGTTACCACCTGGGCACAGTATCCGATGACTAAGGTCCCAGTTAGCATCAGCTCCACCCCCATGCCAATAAAACCACGGTGGCACCCTCACGATGACAGCGTCTCAATGCCCTCAGGGGAGCCGTGAAGAGCATGAGTGAACCAGAACCAGCAGACCCGGGCGACGATCGACCGAGCACCGTATCGCCAGAGAAGAGGACCCCGCGCGCCCGGTATACCGACCAGGAGGATCCCGAGTCGCAACGCGCCCGCGTCAGCAAAGATGATTTCGACGACGATCTAGAATTGGGCAATTTGCCTCTCCTCCCAGGCGACCCAGCCAGACACGGGCAGGGGGACGGCGAGAGCGATTTTGATTTCGATATCGAGTCGGAGGATATTCAGTTTCGCCATGACCCGTCGTTTTCGTGCTCCCCTGCCGGGTTTGTCGCGTGGCTGCGCGGCCCGTCGCCGCCAGATGTGTATCATATAAACCCTTGGTTTCCGAAGTGGCAGGCTGCGCCGGCGCGCCTGGTCGAACGATGGGTGCCGTCGAAGTATGGGAAAATTGGGCTAGTACTTGGTGTGCTGGTGTTTTGGATTGGAGTGTTTTTCTCGTTGTTGCAGGCTTCTGTAGCTGGAGAAGAGGTTGCGGGATTGGGAAAGCCTGTAAAACTCTTGTGTCACGATCGATTGTGGTAAGTCCCCTTAGGCACTTCGACCGGGGCAGCCATTCGTATTCATGCTGACTCGGACGTAGGCGCAACGCCACCAACTGCGGCTTGGATGGAGATCTTTGCCGTCCATTCGAGGAGCAGTCATTTGCCTTCCGCTGCCCAGCGGGCTGTGCAGCTTCGATTCTTCTGGAGCCATATTGGGTTGGAGACCAAGAGCTCAACTATCAGCCGCTGGTCGTGGGCGGAAAGCCGTTCAGAATGGACGGAGTACATAGTGGTTCTTATCGCGGTGATTCATCCATTTGTGCATCGGCGCTCCATGCTGGAATGATCAGCGATGCAAAGGGTGGCTGCGCAATCTTGCACCGCAAAGGCGCCCGAGACAGGTTTCCCAATGCAACCTTGAACGGCGTGCAGAGCGTTGCTTTCGATTCTTATTTTCCATTCTCGTTTCAGCTATCGAAGAATGCACCAGCTGTCGGATCGGAAGGCGAAAAACCGATCGAGTGCTCGGATATCCGCTGGCAGCTGTTTGCCTTCACCCTAGTTTGGACAACGATCATATCTATGACCGTCACCTCAGCGCCGGTGTTCTACTCGCTGATCTATTTTATCGTATGGTTCCAAGTCGCCATGGCCTCTGACCCTCCTACCTCTGACTTCTTGGACCGCGTTTCAATTGGCCTTGGACGATTTCTGCCCGGGGCACTGGCAGGCTTCGTGATTTACTACTTCTGCGTGCGACACACGCTTGCCCACCTGGATGCGCATGCCGAAAAGACTGTCCTGTGGCTCGGGGGCTGCTGGGTCGGTGCCTTGAACGCAGATACATTCGACCGCATCCCAATTTCACGCCTCACGCCCCATGATATCCAACAACAACCCGGCGCAGTCACGGCGCTGATCATTATTGTCAGCTTCCTGGTCGTCGTATTCTTCCTCCAGGCGCATGCCTTCCGTCGTGAGGGCCGCTTCTTCCCCCTGCTGCGACTATACGGCCTGTTCGCTTTGGGTATCGTCATCTTCGTCGCGGTGCCGAAAATGAACCTCCGCATTCACCACTACATCATTTCGCTGCTCCTGCTTCCTGGCACTGCGGTGCAGACTCGTCCCAGCCTTCTCTTCTCTGGGATTCTAGTAGGGCTCTTCATCAACGGGATTGCGCGGTGGGGCTTTGACTCGATCCTTCAAACCCCTGCTGCACTCCTTGACGGCGCCAAGCTCGGTACTCCGCCCCCCGTGATCGATCCACCGACCGTGGTAGACGCAACCAACATTGTCTTCAAGTTCCCAGAATTACCTCCGCATGTCGACGGTATCAGTGTGCTGGTCAACGATGTCCAGCGTTATCTGGAGTTCAAGGCGAAGGATGCTGCGATCGTCAAAGATTTCGCTTGGAAGCGTGTCAACCCCAATCTGACGGAGTATCTGCGCTTTGGTTATGCGCACTTGAAGCTCATGGGAGGAACCTGGTATGAGGACTTTACGCCGGCGTCGAGTTGGGCTGCAAACGGCACATTCTACTACCATGATGTGTAGATTTTTCGCCATATGGATCCATCGTCAGTCGTAGATCATAGATAACTCGGGAGGTAAATAAGTATCCATGATGTATATAAGCGAGAATCCCTCGAAATTCAAGTTCATTCTTTTCTGTGCGTGTTCCTTGGCACTTGTATATCCAATTTACAAGAGAGGTCGATGATTAGGCACACGAGAAAAACAATTATACTCCGGGGCAAATAGATGATCTTGCTTCATTCCTCAACTACCAGTCGATGCATTTCTGGCTTTGGCAAAATCGACCGTCCATCGACGCATCCTTGTTACACTGCCATTATCAGGGCTGGACGCGAGACTAGGTGTGCTTATCAGTATAGAGTTGGGAGAGGTCATTTCGACCGGATTGAAAATTTTCGTAACCGTCATTAATCATGATAGCGAAATAACCCACAATAGGATCAACGCCAGTAATGCATATCATAAGCTAAGCCAGGTGACCTGCGGACATAACTCCAGTGAATCAACCTGATGTATAGTCGCGGCAGCGCACCTGTACAAGGCTTTGCTTGCCACCATCTTCAATGACCAGTGCAGTGAGCTTGCCACCTTTGACACATCCAGAATCCAGACCTTTCGTGTAGGTACGGATTTTAAGGCCAGTCTTGGCGTCGTGGCCATAGACAGCAGTAATTGTTCGCGAAAGTGGGTCTTCTTTTGCTGTTTGCAGGCTCTTGAAAAGTATGGACTGGTGTTTATCGAACATCTGCAGTTAAGAAGTTTCGTTAGCTATCCAATTCCCACGGAAAGACCTATAAGAAAATTGGGGTCCATGCTCACCTTAGCCCAGCTTAGCCCATTGCTTTCAGGGCTGGGGAGATGAGTGTCCACATCTATTGTACGCATGGTCATTACGCTTGCAGGGTCTTGCTCCTCAAGTTCAAGGCCCGGCACTAAGCCACCGTGTACCACGACAACTTGCCCCATCGTGGGGATACGCCCAATGTTCAGAATAACGGGACACTGCTCCAACCACTCGACCTGCTTTTTGCTCAATGATCGAGCAAGTTCTCGTTCCCTCAGCTGCTTAGAAGAGTAGATCTGCTTATCTCCTTTTTGCGGGCCATCCAAAGCCTTGGTCCTCTCCATCTCATGTCGGAGCAAAAGGATTCGGTCTTCGTGATTGCCACGAACACACGAAGCAGACTTCTCTCGAGCCAGATCGACTACACCGCTGCTATCTGGTCCTTTGTTAATAATGTCACCGGTAAAGATGAGATGGTCTCCTTCCTTTGCGGAGAATTCAACTTGATCGAGAAGCGCGAGCACTATAATCAAGGGTATTAGCTCTGAAGACAAAAAGTCGCTCGAAAACATAGACTAGCAGGACGCTGTACAACATACACGCATCTTTGCATCCATGCACATCACCCACGATGACAAGCCTCTTCCGCGACTTTGTTTGACCGTCGCTCTCGCCCAAAGCATCTGGTATTAGCTCCGGATTCAAATTTTTCATAAGGATTAGCCCATCCAGAGCCGGCGGCGAGCTTGAGCCAAACCATCCTCCCGACTCTTCTGCAGTTGCTGGGTCCAATGCACGAAGCAAGGTGTTTCTCTCCTGCAGCCGAGGATACAGAATCCACTTCCAGGTAGCCAAGCACAAGAGGAACAGAGATAGATAAACTACCACATACCGGCGGAACCGTGGGGCGGAGACAACGGTGAGCGCCATCTGGACTGAGTGGGGATGTTTTTCGGTATCGGCTCTCGTTCCCGAGGATAGCAGATCGTAAGATGGATTTGAGCGTGTTTGCCAGGCATTGCGAACAGAGTCGATGAGCGGCCGTGGGGAGTCCTTTTGGTGATTGAGAGCTGGGCTGGCCTGGTTCAGATGCCTGCTGTCCTCGATGTCGCTATTTGAATCGGACTCATAGCTATAGGTATTGCCGTGCGACGACATGTTAACGGCAGTTGCGAGGGCGTTGCGTCATGGGCGGAGAATTGGAATTCTAAGAAGTCTTTTTTGGAAAAGATGACCGGGGTTGATGTTCTTGTGTCAGGCAAGGGAAGGTTCCACCTTTGAACAGAATGGCAAGCTCTGATTTTCTTCTGGCTGTTTCCGATCCCGTTAGCCTTATCCTTATCGCCCGAGCTCCACATGAGCTGTCAACCCGCACTGATCGACATTCTTTGCCTTAAAAAAAGGCACAGTGGAAACTACCTGTGCGCTCAAAACTTGGGGTAGGAACGTTGCTCATTGATATCTTGTGTAAGGGTTCTACAGAATGGTAATTCATCCACGGTACTTCTCGTACTCTTCCATCTCTCTCCGCCGCAAAGCCACTCGTTGCAAAGCCGTCTCGTCATAGATCTCTTCTGGCTTTTTGCCCTCGCGAAGCACTTCGCGTTCATGTCGGGCAGCCTCATCCTTGGTCATTAGCACTAGGTCCTTGAGTTCAACTGGAACAAAGACCTGGCCATCTTTTTCCACGTCCTATCCAAGCCCCATCCGCGGGCTGGTGCTTCCCAGGGAATCAGATACAGCCGAGTAGGCAAGCCCGTGAGGGCACTCTTTCCTTTCCATACCTCTTCCACCAAGAATGCGACATCGTCCTTGCTGGTGGTAAGTCGCAGCCCAAGTGAATCTTCCCCAGCTACTTGCCTGGCAAACTTATCGTACAGACTCTGTAGAGAGGATAACATGCTATCGTACACCTTGTCTCGGCCTTTTCCGGCAAGATTGTATTCGATAGGGTATCCTGTAATGCTGCAGATAACGTGGTTTGCAACCGTGTAGCCGAATACAGCCGGCATCGTTCCCAGCACAGGGAGGATACGGACCCGGAAGTCAGGGAGCACACCTAACTCACCGACCTGGCCCTTGGCGAATTCCTCCTCTGCCAAAGGAAGTAAGCTCGCCTTGCCGGGTCCAGGTTTCTCGGTAGAGAATACAGCGGTGATCCCCGAAGTAACGCCTAGAAGCTTCAGTCGGCGCCGTGTGCTCCGAGAAAGCGGGTCGTCTGTGCTAGCTGAGATGTCACCCACAACAACCCGCGTCGGGTCCGACTTGCAGCCCGCACCCATGGATGAGATCACGGGCAATGAATTGGTATGGCAATAGTGGAGAAGATCGACCTTAGAGGTGATGTTGTCAATACAGTCGAGCACAAAGTCCGGCCGACGGCCTTCTCCATCATGTGTCAGAGTCCACGGGCCTAGGAGACTCTCCGATGCCTCTTTTCCGTATAGCTCGTTGCGGCAGTCGAACATCACCCAGGGTGCGATCTGCTCTAGTCGTCGCCGGATAGTGTGAACCTTGGATGTCCCGACATCGGCTAATGTTGCTAGCGCATGTCGATTGAGTGAGGAGAGTGTGACCTGGTCGAAGTCGATCAGCCGGATCTTGGAGACGCCGGATCGTGCCAAAGATGCAGCGGCATGCGATCCAACACCACCACATCCAACAACGACTACGAAGGAAGAGCGGAGCTTTGCAAGACCTTCTTCTCCAAGGAAGACCCGGTTGCGAGCAAGTTGTTCGAGGATCAAATCTACGGGAAGAAGAAGTTAGTCCGGCTTTCAGATTACCTGTCTAAACCTCTCGATGCCATACCGTCATCGTAATCCCCTTGCTGTGCTCTGCGTGCAAGAGCTGCACTACGTTTCGTCCTCTTTGCTAAGAGGAATCGAATTGTCCACAGCTCCAAATTGCGTAAGCTATGCAGGTCAGCTAAGTGTCAGTCTCATCGATTGCCAGATGTGCAGGCTCTACCTTCTCAGAATGATGCCGTTCATCGATAGGCGGAATCGAAGCTTTCAGCTCACTGACCGCTTCCTTCCGCCGATAAGCTTGGTAGCCAAAGATGGCACTCGCAACGGCGGCTCCCGATAATACAGCCGTTGTCGCAAGCTGCGAACTTTGCGAACCAGCCTGGCGCTGGAGCCAAGACGACATGTTTCCAAACACACCCCGTCCCTGGTCTTGGTCTCTGGCCTGTTGCGCCTCTTGGTCTTGTGGCCCTCGTAAGTTTTGTCGAGGTCTGGCGTGGTCTCGGCTGCGGTCAAGGTTGTCAAATCTATCATTCCAGTCGTCAGAATCGAATCCGTAATCGAGATCTTTGTCGGCGGGCGCCTGCCACCACTTGGAGCTTTTGGGGGCCATCTTAGGCTGCAAGGGAGCTTAAACTTACCACCTTGAGGCAATGGCGGGCATTGGCCTCTTACAATTCGAGAATGCACACCTGCAAGCCCATGCGCTCATCAGTGGGACCACGACCGCCATCATCACGTGATGGGCCGCGGTACTTACTGCCGAATCCAAATCCAACGACGCGTCCATTCATCTTACACGACGTATTCCGTCACAGGTATGTCTCGTGTTCTGTTGGGTAGGAATCATTCTTAGCACCCGACCTAGGTAGGAGGGGCATTATGATGGTTTCCTCCCCAATCCCGGTGATGAGAAAGATCAACAGAGCTTTCATGATACCACAGTCTAACGACAATGGCCGCGGACCTCATCCCTCGATCGGCATTGCCGTGAGTATGTGGAAGAAACGCGTGCCAAACGGTAGTGATTGAACCATTGAACGGATATCTGAGGGATTGCTTCCTCTTTTACAGCCTGTGTATTCATACGCCTCTCCATCATGGAGGCCTGTGTTGTCAATGTTGCAACCGACTCTGCTAACCCAATCCACCAAAGCTGCGCGCATGGTACAATTTCAGCGATCATCTCACTAATCCCTCATCAACTAAAATCTCATCAAATACTGTCCGATGCTCCCTGGGACGGGCGCACTCAAGCTGCAACCTATGGGATTTTCCGTTCCACTGCCCGGTGACGACAAATTTCTGTTAGCACACTCCGAGACGTCTTTCATATTCCATGCTCCATCTGTATGCCTGTTAAGGAAACGATGTCGAAGCATATCAATGACGAGTGACATTGTAGTTTTCAATCCGAGGCAGTGGAATGGAAAGTCCTATAGGTTGCCAACGGCAGTCGATCACTAACTTGGAACATTTCAGCGCACTCTCCTATCATGGTTTCCCAGGGCTGTTATCAACTCATTCCTGATACCAGCATGCAGACTAACTAGGAATGGTTTGAGCCTATGGATCTTAGCGCTGAGGTCATGAACAGACGAACTCGGAATATGGGTCGTGAGCGTGTGCGAATGTACGATAAAAGTTCGCCCAGTCATAGCCAACAAATCAAGTTCTTCACTCTGCTGAATTCTACCCATTCCATGATCATTGTCTCACTGCATAAGCGATGAGTGCATGCTATCTGATCACCCACTCCCAACCTTTGGAAAGGTAAAGGAATCTCACCCTCCGCCTTCCTCTTGTCTTTATCTCCTCGCACACCTGAGAGGCCATGTTCTGTAATTTACCTCCCATGGCTAACTGCCTTACAGAGTCCTGATCCCTCTGGGCCAGCACCTCCCGAGCTCTACGAGATATCGTGGACTCCTCCAACTTTAGTGGCGACGCGTAGTTGAAACAGGGTACAGTGGACTTTGTCTTTCTCACCCCATGATGACAAAAAGCCAATTCTGCTGGCAACAGGCCTCTGGGATCTTCCAGCGGTCGATCCGGTATCTTGATCCTATGTCTTGTTGCCTATGATGACGCGTCTGTTCTGCTCTACCCAAAGGGTTCATCGGGGCAGGCGCTGAGAGCTTACTGAGGGTCGGATCTCCAATCTTTTGTCATATATCTATATCCTAGTTCCTGGGTAATACGCAATGAAGCTTTTTTTCCCGGGGAGGGACTTGGGACCTACCCTCTGCTGTCCATGTCCCTTTCCTCGCCATGCTTCCTGTTTATCCCCTCCTTCTTCTCGGGTCTCCCACTGCTAGTAGTAATCTAAAGCTCGAAGTGGACCTGCTCCAAAAATGAGCTATGTGATCCTGTTGCCCATGTTACGCTATTCACTGCATCTAGGAGCCTCATCTATCAATCTAAACATGCCGGCCTGCGCGACAAGCCCACTACCGCCATGTGGCGCAGGGACCTTTTGGGAGGGGGACCAATTTGCTCGAGGTTGGATGTATTCCACTATTTGAACGCCTGCCAATGCACATTTTGTCTGCAACGCTGCCAAATCAATATACACATGAGATGCGGGATTTCAACCCGAGATTCACGATTTGAGATCCCATCGAGCTGCTAACCCTACGCCAGGAACTTGCCCAATGCACCGCCGACATTTTTTACATCCAAGAGGAAAGTATCATGCCCAAACATCGAGACATCTTCGCCGAGCTCATGGTGCTCCACATTCTTGTTGCCAGCCGCACGCAAAGTTTCCGCAATTTCACGCTGCTGCCACGCCGGGAAGAGGATGTCGCTGGCCACCCCCATGACGAGGACAGAGTGGTTCTTCAGGGGTGCAAGGCCCTTGATAAGATCCAGAGGAGGTCCTTCTGAGCCACCAGAAGGCACAGTCTCATTCAGCGGCGTCACCGAGGCAGTGGCCTCAGGCTGTTCCTCGTATGGCTTTTCCGGCAAGGTTAAGCTGCAAGCTGGGTCAGTCACAGTGGAAGAGGCCTCGCCGTGGGCAATACGAAGCTCGAACCCTGCACGGCGTTCGCGAGCCGCAGACTGATGCTCGTAGCCGAGGTCGAAGAGGTCCATGGCCTTGGAGACATAAAGTAGACTGTTAGGATCGTATTCGAGACAGAACTTCTCGCCCGCATGGTCGAGATAGGTCTCGATGAGGAAATCGGGACACAGCGCAGGCGGTTTGCTGGGATCAGCGCGGCGACGACCAAACCGCATCTCCCACTCGGGTCCGCTGCGGTATGTCACGGTGGCAATCTCTCGGGCAAGCTTCATTCCAGAGTGCGGGGGAATCGAGTTGTAATAGAAGCCCCGCATCCAGTTAGGGTCCATCATTAGTACTTGGCGCTGAGTGTGCCGCATCGCGATGCTGTAGGGGTGACTGCGGGCGCAGCCGCTGATGCTGACGATCTTGCCAACGCGCTCTGGAAAAAGGGTGCCTGCAGCAAGACTCTGCATGCCTCCCATGCTGGAGCCGACTGATGCAGCTAGCTTCTGGATGCCTAGGCTGTCCAGCAGACGGAATTGGGCGCGGACCATGTCATCCAACGTAAGAATAGGGAAGCGAGTGGCATACCATTCGCCATCAGATGGGTCCTTTGAAGAGGGTCCTGTACTACCGTAGCAGCCACCGAGGACGTTGGTGCAGATAATATGGTATTTGTCGGTGTCCAGCGGGAGACCAGGACCAATGAACTTCTCCCACCATCCCGGCTTGGGGTTTGCGGCAGTACTATGGGCGTGGCTTGATGCGGACAAGCCGGTATGCAAGAGGATGGCGTTGCTCTTGTCGCTGTTCAACTCGCCCCAGGATTCGTATGCGATATCGAACTCGGGAAGCACACCACCCCAATCCAGAAGAAGAGGAGTATCGCAGTGGAAGCGCTCGGTTTGGCCGGAGGTGTATGAGGGCTCGGGGCCGGATTCAAGCGATCTAGAGTTGAGCATGGCGGTCTTTGCCTCCTGAGCATCAAGGCACGGGAACGACATTGGTGGATTACTCGAGTCCTTCGCTGGCTTTCGACCTGGCATGCTGTTTAATCGCCGGGATTGCAGCAGACATCGGTGGACAGGTGCTCCGTGTGTAGCCGGGCGCCATTGGAGCGCATGGGTTGAGCGAGAAGCCACACGGCCTGCGCTCTGGAACGACCGCATATCGAAGTACAACGAGGAGTTCGATAGTATCAAGAAGCCCGGAGGTTCCCCCGCGGAAAGCTTCTTAGATGCACATATTGCCCGATTGCAGAGGCGGAGAGTTGATCTTATCGCCTCAGGCATGATTATGCATATGGCGTCATCTTGTCCGGCGCTGATTGGCAGGGCTAACTACGTTGCAAATAACCTCGTGTTGACACAATTTGACTTACAAATATTATCTTGTCGACTTCCTGCAATTATACGCATTCCACTCCTGCAGCTTAGTGGCGCCATAACGGTAGTTGGAGCATGGATTCTGGCTTAGAAACCTTCTGAAAACTTGGATTGTTTTGTGACTAAACTGTGCCAAATTTCTTTAACGCTTACAATTGCCTCTGTCAATTCAATTCATTGCAGGCTCCTTGACAAGCACCAACAGTTTTTTCGTATCCAAGTTGATTATGATAAAAGATCTCACTGGCACAATCTGGCACTCGCTATTCAAGAGAACTTGCAGGTCTAATCTTCAAGGAGGTGATTCGACAACCCTCTGTCTGAAGAGTAACTTGAAGCATACAATTCTGTACTCTTAACAAACTAATCAACTCCCACAACTATACTAAGGTTCGGGTTGAAACATCCATTCTAACAGCGTAGCTTCCAAAACTGAGATAGCCAAGCTTAGTGAGATCCAGAACTCGAGACTTGGAACGTCAGCCTGCCTGCTGAATATGAAGAGGTCACAGGATCCGTGGTTGGCCGCTAGTTCACAACCCATTCTGCTGTGTGCTGATGGCGGCTATGCCTCCAAAAGGAGGCAATGTAGCAGCAGGTCTTACGCCACTTTACGAATCCGAAGGTCATTCCAGAGATCCATTCGAGTTGGTAGCCACGAGCCTTCTGAAGAGTTGAATTTGATTAGACAATCTAAGCTAGGCAATTGTAGGGTAGAATGTTCCAAACTCGCGTTCCACGGCCGACATGAACCACTATAGCAAGCAGCAGTTGCTATCACTGGCTAAAAACCAGTTGGCTCGGCAGATTTTACAATCAAACGGGATCCACGGAGTAATACGGGCCGTGCGTATGCTAGCCCCCCGGGCCCATTGAATTGCTCTTGGGTATTGATCAGTTATCGTAAGCTTTCGGCCTGGAGCCCTGGAGGCCAGATGATCATCGATCACACCATAGTGTGCGGGGAGCTCTGAAAGGGAACAGTTGGTTTATTGTAGGAAATTTTTAGAAGAAAGTCAACCTTTGAATATGCCTGTGACAACTAGCTGGCCGAACAAGAAGAATCGCGATGTGATGGAAAGGGGGCGTTGGGCCCACGTGAGCCCGGACCCGCCTTGCACGTAGATAGGATACGCAATCCTTCGTTTAGGCCTCGTTTAGATCTCGTTTAGGTCTCGTTCGGGTCTCCCACCAATAACACTGGACTTGCTTCAATCGCCGCCAGACAGCGTGGCCTTGTGCTTCTTGCTCTTTTGATCTCGAAACTGCGTCCTTTGAATCGTCCAGAGCTTTTGGCTGGACGTCTCCGTGCACCGTTTGCGGCTCCGTGTACCCCGACCGGCATTCGAGCGTCGCATTCTGATTGATCAAGCCACGCTGCGACGAGCCTTTCGGGACATCGAAATGCTATTTCTCCGATCTGCCTGAGCTTAATTCCGATCGCAAACTCGCGCCCTATATCCTTCCCCTGGATATCGTCTTCCGCCGCCACCTCCTGATCCGTAAACTGGTCAGCTTTCGCCTGGAGGGTCGTGACTGCGGCCTCTTGCCGGTGCGCGTCACGATCGCATTTGCAAGAAAGAGGAGCGATCTTCCAGCCACCGCTCATAATGCCTCCTGCGATACGAAGGCTCGCCATCTTCGCAATCTGCCTCTTTGGCCTTATCTACCTCTTCCGCTCCCGACGGTCTACCGACATACCCGGCGCCCCCGGTTACAGACCTGTCCAGAAGATCTTCGACGAAGAAGAGCAATCGCTTGCTCATGCGCAACATAGCTACACCAAGATCCGCGGCCAAAAGAACCTCGCCATATCCCCTACTGCACCCTTGCGCGATCGCCTCCGCTACCAATTTCCCTACGACCTACGACGAAGCTTCCCCGCGTATATCTGGCAAACATGGAAATACACCCCAGCATCTTCGGAGTTCATCGATGACCTGCGTGTTACCGAGGCAAGTTGGACTGAGCTCCATCCTCTGTTCACCCATGAGGTGATCCCCGACGAGACCCAACGACGCTTGATCCAGTACCTCTACGGCTCGGTACCGGATGTATTCGAGGCATATGATTCCCTACCACTTCCGGTGATGAAGGCAGACTTCTTTCGCTATTTGGTACTCTTGGCGCGTGGCGGGATTTATAGTGACATCGATACATTAGCGCTGAAGCCAGCGGGATACTGGCTTCCGGAGGAGCTTGACAGATCAACTGTGGGCTTCATGGTTGGCATCGAGGCCGATCCTGACCGGCCAGACTGGCATGACTGGTACTCTCGGCGTATCCAGTTCTGCCAATGGACAATTGTGTCGAAGCCGGGACATCCGATCCTGCGTGATATGGTAGCTTATGTGACGGAGGAAGCACTGCGCATGAAAAAGGCGGGCATTCTGAAGGTTGGCAAGATGGACAAAACTATCATGGAGTTCACGGGTCCGGGCGCCTGGACTGACGCCATCTTCCGTTATTTCAATAACCCTGATTACTTCAATGTCCAGGCTGGGGGGCAAGAACATCACCTACGAAGATTTCTCGAATCAAGTTGAGCGCCGTAAGGTCGGCGATGTGGTCGTTTTGCCTATCACCAGCTTTAGTCCCGGCGTTGGACAAATGAACGCGGGAGACACTGACCATCCCTTGGCCTTTGTCAAGCATAACTTTGATGGTACATTGGAGCCTCGTCTGACTCGTTCTTTTGCTTCATTACTGACATTCTACTCTAGGTACCTGGAAAACAGACCCCTCACTGTAGAACATGCCTGGCACAGCCCTGTCCTCCTCTCCGCCTCTCCAACCAACTGAGATGCTTCCCGCTGGAATAATTGATACCCGAACCTGCTTTTACCCCGGCATCTTTATAAAAACCACACAGACACAAGCACCTCCGTTCTACCTGTTCATTCCATGACAGAGGCCCAACTGGGGATGTTATCAACCCTTATCTGTTTGGATAACTGGTGTGCCGAACTCGATACCTCGAGTGTCTCCAACCTTAGCTGCCGTGCCTGCCACTGCCACCTCGTGCTTAGCTGCGAACATTTGGTGATGTTGAAAAGGCCTTATGACACGCATAGCTCATGGCTCATGATCCTCGTACATAATGATTCCCAATCTGTTATTTTGTTTTATACACTATTTTCTTCGTTGTTATAAATCGACATGCCGGTTTGTGGAGCACGGTGTTCATTCACATAAAACGAGTAACCTTGCTTCAGGTTTGTATCCAAATAGTCGTCTTACCAACACCCAGCACTGCCAGGTAGCGTACTGCGCAGTCAAGTTCAAACCTGAATATCCGTGGATATGAATTGGAATGCATTTTCTAGCGATTTTCCGAGACAAAAATCATCATGATGTCAATGATGAGCATGGCTGTAGATGACGTTGGAACTCTTCAATAGTACCAAGGTATGTACTAGTACCTGCTTAGTGAACTTGAAAAGCCGTTCCTACTGGTATAATATAAATGGGAGCAAAAACATCATTTTCGCAAACATCGCTTATGCCGCGCACATACCATCGTGTGAATATAAGCTGGTGGTAAATCCGAAATGGAATCTAGGGTATCAACCCCGATAGATGCGAAAGTACCTAATACGCGTACTAGGATACCTAAAATCTCGAAAGAAAGGTACGCACTAGTACCTGCTGATTGGAAATATGAACAAGAACCATAGATTGCGCTGCCTCCGGGGAGATACCAAACACGGCAAGGCAAATCATGTGCATTTAAAACAAATGCGAAAATAAAACGAGGTCACGGATTCAGCCATTGGCTATAGATGAAACATTAGGCCCCAGAAACGAAATTGAAAGGGCCATGAACGTTAAATCGTTATCACTCGTAAATAACAGGAGCCCTCGCGATCTTGAAAGGGATCGGGGGTGGCTGCAGAGCAGTGAATTGGGGTTGAGCTAGAAGAGAGGCGGAAGAACAAGAAGATTGATTGAAAATAATCGATTTGCGAATGGAAAGGTACGGCCAACGCAGGATTCGAGATCGGCCAGAAGATGATAGCCCCCAGGAAAGCTCTTATGGGTATCATGTGGGGGCGAGGAGGAAGAGGAGAATGTGGGAGGAGGGTGAGGGAGAGGGGTCAAAGGGGATTCAGAGAGACCGGGTCGGTCTTGCTCGTTCAACTGGGATCGCTCGAAAGCGGTTGTAATAGCATTGATGCAGCAGGACACTTAGAAGTCGCTGAACAGTGGTTCGTATTTCTTTTTCAGATCTTCGGTGTAGATGTTCTGGTTGCGAGTATCGCTGTCGGGATATTCTTCGAAATTCCCCGTGTCGGCAGGATGCAGCACTCGCGGGATGATTGGCCCCTTCACTCTGCGATAATACAAGTCATCCCAAACAATGTCGGTGAAAAAAGGATGCGATTTCACTCGCGTCGAGCCTCCAGATATATGGCCCAGTCGCTCGGCGGGGTTTGTCTTGCATAGAAGGGTGACGATGTTCTGTGCTGCTGGGGGCATGTTGGATGGGAATCGGAGCTGACCCTCAACGATCTGTTCATATACGCATGGGATTCTGGTCCCAGAATGGCGGCTGGCCGACTAGGAATCTCGTAAATCAAAATACCCAAAGCCCACCAGTCCACTGCGAGCCCATGTCCGCTGTTGTGGATGACTTCTGGGGCCAGGTATTCGGGGGTACCGCAGAGTGTGTAAGTTTCGCGATTATCTACCTGCTTAGCAAATCCAAAATCCACCAGTTTGATATGGCCATCAGCGTCTAAAAGGATGTTCTCTGGTTTCAAGTCCCGGTAGGCGACTCCGTGGACATCATGCAGGAATTCAATAGTCATGGTAATCTCGGCTGCATAGAATCGGGAGTGCTCCTCACTGAAGCGTCGTTGTCGTCGAAGATAGGTAAAGATTTCGCCGCCAGGGCAGTAGTCCAGCTGTGATTCGTCAGCACGTTTAGTCGTCCTACAACTTCCTCGAAAAATTAGGGTTGGCCTACCAGCATATACAAACTGTGATCATCGGAAAACGATGCAACAAGTGTTGTAATGAAAGGGTGACCATTCACAGCTGCAAGTGTCCGCCGTTCATTGCGCACATGTTCCACTTGCTTGAGTTTTATGACTACCCATAAGGAAGAAATTAGGATTTTGACCCCTGGATATTTCGGAAAGCACGCATTGGCTCACCATCGGCCTTTCGCAGAATCTTCAACGCGTAAACTTTGGTCTTGTCATCACTGTCCTTTAACCTCGCAAGCCACACGCGAGCAAAAGTTCCTGTATTGAGCCAAGATGACCTCAGACGTTAGACTAAAAGATACAAGTACAACAAGACCAGGGGGCTAACCGGTTCCAAGCGTCTTTAGCAGCTGGAAGTCGCTCAGGCTTAGGTTCCTGGAGGACACGCAGAGCTGCTTCTCATTGTGGCGATCAGTGACAAGGAATGGGTTTGCAGCTCGTAGAGGGGCGCGTATCGCGGAGACGATCTGCTTCTCCTTCTCGTGGAGATCGTGGGGGCGCATCTTGTTGGTGCAAGAAGACCCGCCGGGTAGCGTGGGATACTGGAAGTTGGCTAGTTCTCGAATGCACCTGTCGCCATTGGCATGGCCCGGTAGCTCGTCGTTGGTCTTCTCTGTGATGTGGTCAAGGGAAGGAAAAAAAAGTATGCGTATAAAGCCCACTCCGGAGGTACTCCACCACAATCGCGTCAGCGACCCTTCTTCAATCCGAGTCCCTTTAGGGCCAACCAAGGGACATCGGTCTATACCCCGGACTTAGCGAGGGCCAGAGGTGCAAAAGCAGTATGCTCGGGGCAGGGTGTTGTGAAAGGAAGTTCTGCCAGCTCTGACGTTATCCCACGGGGGCGGGGCTGAACGGATAGGGAACTACGGTGATAAATCGGAATCTTCATTGGGCTGCAAGGCCCGTAGCTTATTTCTTTTGTCATTTGACCGAAATCTATATGCGACCAAGGCCCTTTATAATACATCCCTGAGAGAAGGAAAGCTAAGCCCATGCAAATTCAGAAGACAGCTGGCCCGGATCTCGATCCGAGACATTCGTCACGCGGGGCCCTTTCTTTCGTGACGGGGAAAGCTACCATTAAACGGCGCCTCGCTAGTTGAACCAAGAATAAAACAATCCGTATGGAGATGATCGGAAGGTGACGGGTAGGGGTATGCGCAAGCTCGAGGTAACCGATAGCCACTCAAGACTTCGAGTTTAAGATTAAGCCGACAATTAAGCTACCTGTCGCATTAACGAATGGCCATAGACAGCTCTTGGTACTTGAAGTACTTACCCATAAAGCCCCAGAACCTCACCAAAAATGAGAATGAGAATCATGCCCACATAGACGCGAGACTGTTGCATGTATGCTCGAACACCCTAGGACCATTATTTAGAACCACATGCCCGCAAGGGAGGAATTCCAGAGTTACCTACCGCATCGCCCACAACTCCAATCGAGTAGCCTGCTGCTACACCAGTCAGACCGACTGACAGTCCAGCTGCAAGATGAGTGAATCCCCTAATGTCCCAATGGTCAGCTTGCGACACCAGTCTTTCAAAACGATCCCCACGTACGTGTATAGACTCGGGGTATTTTCGGGACTGCAAGCCTGGGCGATGAGGACAGAGATGACAAGGCCGTACACAGCGATAATACCGGACATGACGACAGGAATGAGAGACTGTAGAAGCGATTCGAGTCAGCGGCATGCTGCGGGCTGCTTAGCTAGAGCCATCTACTCACCTTCATGATCAAGTCTGATCGGAACTGTCCCACACCTGCGATACCAATTCCTGATTTCGCTGTGCCATATGCGGCTCCTGCACCTATGAAGCTGTAAGCTACAAGTCGCCCATTTCGTTCTAGAGCCATGTGGTTGGGGAGCTAAGCTTCGACGTACATCCGAAGATCATCTTGGGAAAAGGATACAACATTAGTTGTCGCTATTGAATTTTTGACTGGGTACTTTCACTCACTGCGGAGGCAATGCCGGCCTAGGGTGCATGTTGGGTCAGTAGGCTGTTCCGTAGCTTGGAGCTCAGTAGAGGCCACTCACGAAGGAGAAGAACACCGCAAACTTAGGGGCATACGAGCTGTCAGCCATCTTGGATTACTTGTAGGGCAAAGCCAATAAAAAGTAAAGAGGGAGCTGAGATAGAGTGAGATTAAAGGAAACGATGGATACACAGAGTTGGAGTCAAGTCTGCGCGTTCCTGGCGTTGCAGACGGTCACTTTGCTTTGCCGTAGAAGCACACTTTCCCTCGGGGGGGCGTGACTGCGGTAATATTACCGCACATCCGCAATACCTGGTGATTTGGGCTTCTCCCGCGAAAAGCACTGAAAAAGTCCCCCTTTGTCACCAAATTACACAATACCGGGCAAGCCGTTAGTCTTCAACCTCCTGGTCTCTTCCCCCCCTCAAGTCTATCACTTTCAACAATCATCTTCCCCACAAACACGCCCCCCGCCCTCCCTTTCTCCTTTCCTGGTTAACCCTCCTGGCTTCTCAACTGGAGCATGCTGAGGGTATGATACTCCCAGGAGCCTTGACTTTGTTGCGCTCTCGGCTCCTAGCGCACTCCAGTTATTGACCACTCGCCTCCATCCGTTGACTTCTGGCAGCTATGGCACATTGAAGCCTAGCATTCTGCACAGAGTTGAGGTATATCTTTTACCACTGCTTGCCTTCCATTAACAACTGCGGGGCTGTTCACATTTACCCTGACTACCATTTCGTTCCTTGGCCTTTTGATCTTCTTCACACACATCTATCGCGACGCCCTGAACGAACGATTTCACGACTCGAATACCCTCTCCCGGACTCATCCTGACATTTGGCATCTCAGTGCGTGCTTTATCCTTCATATACAGTTGAAAACGGGAAGTCGCGCCCCGGTTTTGAGAGGTTGTGACTCCCGAAGATATGGCTGATTTGGGGGGTCAGCGTGACCGGAACTACCGGCCACCAGGGTATGGCGCGGCTTCATCGATGCAGCGAAACGCTGCCTATTCCGATATTTTTGGCAGCGCGCCACCTCCCGGTCGCTCCCAGACGATGAATTCACAGACCCCTCAATTTACCCAAAGTCGCGCCCACACGATGTCGTCTCAAGTGGCGCAGCCCCAATTTCATCGACAGCCGCCCCCGCCAACTCGCCAGCCAGTTCCCAACGGCTATGGATCCCCGCCATCTGCACCGCCAAATGGATATGCCCCGTCGCCTCCAAATGGGCAATATCAAACATACAATCCAATGGCTGCTCAGATGGGATCCCAGCAACCTGGGCGTGCATATGCCAGCCGTCCCTCGGTCTCACCCTATCCACGCCCCGTCCGCCTAAGCTCCAGAACTGGCCAGGCTCCTGCTCAGTATCCTGATCCCCGGACGATTCCCCCGCCCGCTCTTAATTCTGACTCCGCCAGGTCTCGCTCCATGGCCATGTTGAGCGGTCCTCCGTATCAGCAACCCTCCGCCCCGCCCCCACCAAGCAACTTCAATCACACGTCTGCGCTCGCTTCTCGACGCGGTCCTTATCACCATGGTGCACCGACGGTGACTCAACCAGGCCGACCTCTCCCGGACAGACATGCTAATGAGCGAGCCATGTCCATGACTACCTATGCGGCAGAGCGGGATTCATCTCACATCGTTGGTGGCCGACAAATTCCCTCCCGACGACCACAATCTGGCCAGGAACCAGAACCCTTGCCGCCCCGATTTGATTCAATGCCAGCCGCAGTTGCAGACGGTTTCACGTCAAACCGTCCTCCCAGCGATCAATCGATCGCGGCGCGAACCATGTCCATGGCATCGACCATTATGCCTGACCGCACTATGAGTGTTCAGAGCCAGGCGACGCAGCGGTCCAACGGCCAGAGTACTCTTGTATCCCGCGACTCGCGCCGGAAGGTCCCCGTTGTCTACCCCGCTATGCTTTCTCGAGTTGCGGAGGTATTCCGCGAGCGGATTTCTCTCGGCGAGAGACAAAAGAACGGGCTGTCCTATCAGAATGCCTTCTCCGGATCTGACGCAGTGGACATGATTGCTTCAATCATTAGAACAAATGATCGCAACCTTGCTCTTCTTCTTGGTCGAGCTCTCGACGCTCAGAAGTTTTTCCACGATGTAACATACGACCACCGCCTTCGTGATGCCCCCGGTGAAGTTTACCAATTCAAAGAAACACTTGGAGAGGAGCCTATGGGCACGGAGGTTAATGGTGTTTTCACTCTCTTGACAGAATGCTATTCGCCAACCTGCAGCAAAGATAGCCTTTGCTATTCCATTGCCTGTCCACGCCGATTGGAGCAGCAGGCCAGGTTGAACATGAAGCCTCAGCCGGTACTGAGAAACTCGAGTAGCCATGGAAGCTTGCACGCAGATGATGATGACGATAATGACAACCAAAAGCTTTGGATCAGTACAGTTCCAAAGGAAATCTCTGATGCCATCGATGACCATGAGAAAAAACGACAAGAGATCATCTTCGAAGTCATGTACACCGAGCGCGACTTTGTCAAGGATCTTGAATACTTGCGGGATTTCTGGATGCGTCCTCTGCGCTCAAACACCTCCCCTATTCCAGAACACCGACGCGAGAAGTTCATCCGCACAGTGTTCGGCAACTGCTTGGAGGTGTTAAAAGTGAACAGTGGACTTGCCGAGGCTCTGAATGCTCGCCAAAAAGAGAGCCATGTTGTGAAGTCGATCGGTGATATTTTCCTTCAGCATGTGCCCCGCTTTGATCCTTTTATCAGGTATGGTGCAAATCAGCTCTATGGAAAGTATGAGTTTGAGAAGGAGAAGGCATCGAACCCGGCCTTTGCCAAGTTTGTCGAGGATACCGAGCGCCTGAAGGAATCGCGAAAGCTGGAATTGAACGGATATCTCACGAAGCCCACCACGCGGCTCGCTCGATATCCGCTGTTCCTTGAGTCGGTTGCGAAGTACACCAAGGATGGCAATCCAGACAAGGTCGATGTTCCCGAAGCCATCAAGCTTATCAAGAGTTTCTTGTCTCGGGTCAATGCCGAGAGTGGTAAGGCAGAAAACCACTTCAATTTGGTGCAGCTGAATGCAGCCTTGAAGTTCAACCCAGGGGACTACGTTGAATTGAAGCTTACCGAGGACAACCGACAAATGCTCACCAAGATGGCATTTAAGAAGAGTACAGCTGAGAGCTCCGAAGTGACGGTATACCTTTTTGATCATGCCGTGCTTCTCGTTCGTATCAAAGTGGTGAACAAGCGCGAAGAGTATCGTGTTTATAAAAAGCCCATTCCTCTTGAACTGCTTGTCATCGCTCAGATGGACGAGGTTATCCCGCGACAGGGTATTGCAAAGAGGCCTTCAACGAACCTTCTAGCCAACAAAGCTGGTGTTAATCCCCCTCCCGCCAAAGACGGTGGCTTGCCTATTACGTTCCGCCATCTTGGCAAAGGAGGTTACGAACAGACCCTCTATGCTACCTCTCCAACCCAGCGGCGCAAGTTCATTGAGATGGTGGAGGAGCAACAGCGAAAGCTCTGGGAACGCAACAGCAATTTCTACACTAAGAATCTCTTGTCCGAGAACTTCTTTACGGCCACCAATCGAGTCAACTGCTGCGTCCCAATTGGTAAGTTCTTATATATCATCGTAAATTGACTTTAGAGCCAAGTTCTAACAACGCTTCCACAGATGGTGGTCGAAAGTTGGTTTACGGAACTGACAGCGGCATCTATTTGTCAGACAGATGGCCCAAGGACAAATCTGCAAAGCCTCGGCAAGTGTTAGACACCACACAAGTCACCCAGATCGATATCCTCGAGGAGTACCAGTTACTCCTTGTCTTGGCCAACAAAAGTCTTATGTCATATCCTATGGAGGCTCTTGAATTAGATGGGAGCCAGAACGCGATGGCTAAACGCCCCAAGAAGATTCAGGGTCACGCTAACTTCTTCAAGTCTGGTATCGGTCTCGGAAGACACCTTGTGTGCTCGGTGAAGACATCTGCACTCTCCAGTACAATCAAGGTCTACGAGCCCATGGACAATTTAGCTAAGGGCAAAAAGAAGTCGGCTGTGAGCAAGATGTTCCAGAGTGGACAGGACACTTTGAAGCCATTCAAGGAATACTACATCCCCGCGGAATCTTCTTCCATCCACTTCCTGCGTTCAACGCTTTGCGTCGGGTGTGCCAGAGGCTTCGAGGTTGTCAGTCTTGAGACTACGGAGACTCAGTCTCTTCTGGATCAAGCCGATACCTCTCTCGACTTTGTTGCGCGCAAGGAGAACGTGAAACCCATCCACATTGAGCGCATGAACGGCGAGTTCTTGTTGAACTACAGTGACTTCTCGTTCTTTGTCAACCGCAATGGTTGGCGAGCTCGTCCTGATTGGAGGATCTCATGGGAAGGCAATCCTAACGCCTTTGCCCTCTCATATCCCTACATCTTGGCTTTCGAGCCTAATTTCATCGAATTCCGTCACGTCGAAACAAGTGAGCTGATTCACATCGTTACTGGAAGAAACATTAGAATGCTACACTCTTCCACTCGAGAGGTAATCTTGGATTCTTACTATTCGGCTTGTTGGCCTGAAGTGATGTCTATCTTCTATATATGATGCTAACTCCAAATAGATCATCTACGCTTATGAGGACGAAATGGGCGTAGACGTGATTGCAAGCCTCGATTTCTGGAGCAAGGTGCCACCGCCTCCACAAACCTCGAACGCGATTTGATCCTTATGCACGAAGGCTGTGAAGGTTAAAAGGCCTTTTCCTACTCCTGAAAACGTCAAAAAAGAGACCGAAGAAAGAATTCCCGCGCCTGGATTCCTTTAAAGCAAAACGAAGACAACGAAGACCATACCCTTTCCATTCCACTCTACCGCCCCGCCCCGCATCATCTACCACACCCTCTACCTGGGATCTTCAGTCTACCCGTGTCCGTGCCTAGGTATCTCACCAAGTTCTTACAAAGCATCCCAGGCCTCAAAATTCCTCACCGCCTGTCCGTTAATTGCCGACTTGTATCCGCTACGCTCTGTCTTCTTTTTCTATCCCAGGGGCTATCTTTATTCTTTCTAAGCTCCGCAGGCCTTCTGATCCGTTTCGTTTCTGTGTACGATGGAGCGCAAATACCACTTCTTGCGTGTCTGATTTTTATCTTGGCTTTTATCCTACGGATTTCTTCTTTATGGACTTTTCTTATTTTCATTCCATATCTTGATTTTCTGAACACGTGCGTCTGTCAAGGCTCTAAAAATTAGTCCGCCTTTTCCCCGTGCATTGGGAGGTCTCTGCGTTTCAATTATCTACATTTTCCCAAATAACCAAAGCTCCGATCCTCTTCGTTTCTGGTCCACTGTAGTCTTCCAAGATTAGATCATCATGATAGTAACTTGAACCTGGCTGCTTGGCCATATTACTGGATGAGGCCCTAGGGGACTAGTACCAGTAACCTGGATGGACACCAGCATACAGGGGCATCATTAGTAGGTTAGGAATGAGAACTAGCGGTACGACATGGTTCAACTTCAAGCCCGAACTTCAAGTCAGGCTCGAACTTGAGCTCGAACTTGAATATCTTAAAAAAACGCACATATCCAGGTACGGAGTCAAGAGGTATGCTCGTAGTACCATTACTCCTCGTATACTTGGCTACTAGCTAGAAGTCAGTGGTTCATAATATGATACTTTTCCTTCCAGTCAACTATCAAGCTAGGAAGAACACTAACAAATCCACATGATAAGGCCACAAACACAGAGCTCAAACAAAAAAAAAGGGAAGAGGGAGTATCGCTGCGGACTTTAGACAGCCCCGGAGGACACGAGATGACCAAGCAATCCAAAAAGAAAGAAAAAATAGAAAATTAGAATCTGGATACTTGCAAGAAATCTCAGGGGGGGAAGGTAGGGAGTGGACAGGGAATAACGTGATTGGGGGGGCGCTCTCATCGGGCCATCGAAGTTGGGTTGTATCAGACAGAGATAAGAAACATGAAAGGAATGGTAAAGGATCGTGCTTATGTTCTTTGTTCCGACATGCTCGTGCGTCCATGGTTCCAAGATGACCCTGAAGGGACAGGGGCTGAATGTGTAATCATGGAAATCGAAGGGACATGCGACTCCACAGCAGTGATCATGATTCGCATAGTAGTCTGCCCCTGTCATATTTCGGAAAGAATTGTCCAAAGAGCTTTGCCCGTTGTCGAAAGCCGCAGCGTTGCATTCTATGTTGGGAATTTTGACCATCTCCCGCAGAGATACCAGGAACAGAGAAAATTGCTGAAAAAAAAAAAAAAAAAGCTATTAACGTGAATAAACAGTCAATATTATCCCCATAATAAGAAACCAGCTTCGTGCCCCCGGAAAACATGATGTTGGCACAGAACGGTATCACTTTGCGAACCGGCGCCCCGCTGAATGAGCCGCATCGACAGGGTATCTTTAGATATCTCCAGTAGCAGCCTCGCTGACATTGCTCTGACTTTCGCGAGCCATGCGTGCCTCGATCTCCCGGAGCTGGCTCTCGCGGGCCAACAATTCCTGTCGCTTCTCGGCAATTTCGCGCTGTACCTTCATCTCGATCTCGCGCAGCTTCTCTTCCTCGCGGCGTAGCTGCTCCTCCTTCAGGCGCACGGATTGGGAAGCAAGTTCCTCGGGGTTCATGGTAGAGTCTGGAGCTCTGTGATTTATGTTAGTACTGCGCTTAAAACTTGCGCGATATTGCATCTATGAAAGGAGAGAACATACTGAGAAGCACCGTCCACACTCTTGCTGAGCTTCTCAGTACGGTAATTTTCGTAAAGAAAGTCGTGTGTAATCTCCTTCAGATCAGACAAGTGGCTGTGGAGAAGAGCACTGCGGATGGCAAGGAAGTCGGAGTGTCGGGGGTTCTCGACCTCAACCACACCCCATGGGTACTGTCGGGCACGGACTTTTCGGTCATCAATTTCAACGAAGTCGTCAGAGCCGACGATGGCAAAAGGCATCAAACCGCGCAGCTCTGCGTTCTCCTCCACGGTGTCCTCGTCATCTTCCTCGACGTCATAAGGGAAGTTATAGACAGGGATACGGTAGTGTTCGATGTCCTCCATGATCAACTTCTTTGACTCGGCCAATTCTGCGGGGGTGAGGGAATCGGCCTTTCCAATAACGGGGATGACGTTCACACGAGGAGACAGGCGCTTCATCAATTCGATGTCGAGTTCGCGGAGGCCGTGGCCAGTGGGGGTGATAAAGTAGAGCATAGCATGGACACGGTTGTCCCTGAAGCGGGGGTTACGCTTGATTCGCGATTCTTCCGCCACGAGGTCATCGTATTGGCGCTCGACGTAGCCAACAATTTCACCGAAGCTGGAGAGATGTTAGCTGGGCTGAAACGAGGAGCCGGAGGAGTTGTTCCAGGGGACATGCCTGGCCTCGTTGTCAATCTGATCACCGAACCCGGGGGTATCAACAATGGTCAATGAGATTCTGGGGCCCTCCTCATCAAGTTCGAGCTCTATTTAAGACGAGAAAGAACCCGATAAGCTACTGCTATGCTTTGGCACAGACGTGCGAGGTACTCACCAGTGGTGACAGGCTTGATGCGGACACCTTCCTCCAGGTGAGCGTTGGCAGGATCGTCGGCATCCCAGGGGTTCTCCAGCACCTTCTTGCCGCAGAGAGTGTTCACGAATGTGGTGCGGCCTTAATGAGGTGTCAGTGGACAATTGGATGGATTGATATGGAAAGAGGTAAGCTTTACCTGTGCCACCAGCACCGCACACCATCAGACAGAACTGAATTCCTCTCTTGACATTCTTCTTGCGGCGGATCTTAATCTGCCCGCGGAGGGGGCTGATGTTAGCTTGATTGGATTTTTTTTTTTTCAAAGCCCAAGAACTCGTGAAAGTATGGGCCGCAGCAACGGTCTCTTGGGGGGGCGCCGTGAGGAATAAAAGGGGACATACCGCGCTGAGAGCCGTCGACATGGTGGGCTGAAAAAAGGAGGATTAAACAACACAAGCAAGAAGAAGACAACGGAGGTAGGGAGGAATTCCACGGAGAAGGGGTAAGGGTGAAACTCTCCTGAAGGTCTAGAGGTACAAGTAGGTCAGGTTAGGGGGGGGGAGACTTTGGGAAAGACAGTTCGTGTTTCCCCCTTTCCCTACCTAGCGGGCCAATCACGGGACTCCGTCCCTCGTACTAGTACTCTGCGCAGCCCAAAATCAAATTATTAAATCAAATTATTCCGTCCCAATGGTTGATAACTGAAAGTGAGAAGGATCCAGGATTACATTAAGGACACTTCATCCTCTATTTCTCTCTCCTAATCTATGCTCTGTGGATTGTTTACTTCTCAGTATCGCCCCATAGCTGCACACTCAGGGGTCGGGTGGGTCGCTCTTGTCCGCCGGAGGATTATGTAAATTCCTGCCTCAGGAAACGAGATTCCCGAAATGGGCAACTAACTATCACCCCGAGTTTAAATGGCTGTTCCAATGGATACGGGGGAGCTGGGCCCGCATTCTGCTCTTATCGCTGATCCACCATGCTCCGTCTGTGGTGGCCTTGTGACGACCGTTCTGCTGTGTAGTCCTCTACCATCCTGGTGCTTTGATTTCCACTTTGCTTTGGCTTTGGCTTTGGCGTTTGTCATGACAAGCTTTCATCATGAATACTCGCCCGGTTATCGATGAGTCCGTGGGGCCCTACTCGTTGTCGACCGCCTTCAACAATGATACTAGCTGCTTCTCCGTTGGCTTGGACACCGGATTCTGTGGTAAGGCATCTCTATAGCAGCATCCATATTTATAGCAGCGCCCACCTGCACGCTACCCTTAACGCCGAGGTATCCGGGGGCTAACATTGGTGCCTTCAGTGTTCAATACCGACCCATGCGAATTGCGGACGTTGAGAGGTGAGGAACGACACATCTACCGAGGCTATTGGGTTCTTGTCTCTCACATATGCCACAGTTTTCAATGCAGGTATCGGCATCGCTGAGATGCTCGGCCAGTCAAACTATCTGGCAATTGTTGGCGGCGGACGAAATCCCAAATTCCCTCAGAACAAGGTGAGTCCAATAACTCCCTGCGACGTCCATCACTAACAGACATCGCAGTTGATCATTTGGGACGACGCCAAACAGAAAATAGCCATTACCCTCGAATTTCGCACGTCGGTCTTGGGCGTTCGCCTCTCCAAAACGCGGATTGTCGTTGCCCTGCTGAACAGCATCCATGTTTTTGCCTTTTCTACACCTCCCCACAAGCTATCAGTGTATGAGACTTCTGATAACCCCCTCGGACTGGCATGCCTCGGTCAAAAGTTGCTTGCATTCCCGGGGCGCTCCCTGGGCAGGTGCAGGTGATAGAACTCGAGACCGGGAACATCAGTATCATTCCGGCACATAGCTCTCCACTAAGGGCGATGGCTCTAAGCCCGGATGGAGAAGTCCTGGCTACGGGCAGCGAGTCTGTAAGTTTTGAATGCCTGTCAACCGTTACAACGACAAAACAAAACTCATTTTATTATAGGGAACTCTAGTACGGCTATTCTCGACGGCAAATTGCAGGAAAATGGCAGAGCTTCGACGGGCGTGGACCCCGCAGTGATATTTTCGCTTTCTTTTCTCCTTCAAATTCTTTGCTTGCTGTCACATCCGATAAATCTACCTTACATATCTTTGATGTGCCTCACCCACGCGAGATGACACGTCGCAGCCAGTCCCCTGCAGCTGCAACCGAGGAAGGAACAAACCAGAAGTGGGGCTTTCTGAGCAGAGTGCCCTTGCTTCCACGGTTATTCTCCGACGAGTATTCATTTGCCAACGCCAATTTTGACATTGGTGATGGGACCGTCCCGGGTTCGCCGTCATTGGCGCCGCATAGCGTACCCACCGGGCGACCTCAAAAGGGCATTACTGGCTGGTTAGATGATCGGACAATCTTGGTGATCGGTGCTGGGCGAGATGGAAGATGGGAGAAATTTGTTCTTTATGATGGAGAGGACGGAAAGCGATACTGCGTGCGAGACGGGTGGAAAAGATACCTTGGCGGTTCAACGTTTTGATCATGGCATTCCACAGTTTGCGTTGGAGGTCGGAATGACTCTATTCCACGGGATATGAACTTTCTCTTAGCTCGGTCTAGCCCAAAATTGCATCTGGATAGGCATCATGTGGCCCTCTCAATCGGGGCGTATGTCAGGACAAATCCAGATTGGTCTCAGGTCAGGATGACCAATAGTCAAGAGTGTCGATCGGGGAACCGATGGATATCTATGTCTTGGAACATTCTGAATTCGTGATTGTACATAGAAAGGAATTGAACCAAGTAAGCTTGAATACTTGGCGAGATCCACGTCCAGATGTTACACGAGCCCAGCGCGAAATATGCAAGAGCTTGATGTTCTCAACGTTGGTGATCATCGCGGTCTCGATCACTGCGGTGACGGCGAGAACCGGGCGATCGAGATCTCTCAGGTGTGTGTGTGCGTCTTCGAGGCCGGTCATCGTCTCTTCGAGATCGTCCCTCTCTGTCCGTAGACCGGCGCCTATGCCGTCTTTCGCGGGCTGGGGAACGATCATCACGGTGCCTATGCTCTCGAGAACGGGACCGGTGACGACGATGATGCCGGCTAGATCGTTCCCTGCTATCGTCACGTCGCTTTGAAGACTTCTTCTGGCTCTGATCATATAGCTCGATAGCCCTCGCAACCTCTTCTTTCTTTTCATCGATAAGAAACTGCTTCATAGGATCTTCGTCGTCATGATTGATCATCAGCTCTTGAAGTTCTCTTTCTTCTTTCAGCATCGGTCGGCGCTCTTCTCGTTCATCCCCCTGGACACTCTCTTCCGGTCGTGTCGATTGCTGTCTCTTCCTTGCTCTTCCCGGTCGCTGATCTCTGCATCGCCCATCAACCTAGCAACATTATCCCCTTCCTCCTCATCATCACGTCGCTTGTATCGCGCATGGTCGACTCGTAGCATCCGGCCTAAAACTGTAGCTCCACCAAGATTATCAACGGCTAGATCGGTGCTGCGCTGGTCTTCGTATTTGAGCCATGCGAAGCCTCGGCTCTTCCCCGTTTCTTTGTCGCGCGCAAGACGAATGTCCACCGGTTTTCCATACTGAGAGAAGATAGTGACAATATCGCCCTCAGAAAGGTCGAATGGAAGCCCACCGATAGAAATGTAGGCCGTGTCGCGATAATCAGCGTGCCATGATGCAGCTGGAGGACTGGGGAAAGAAAGCGCGAGTTAGCTCGACTAATCGAAGCTTTTCGCCCAAAGACACTTACACGGCATTTTCGAGCTCCCGCTTATTGAGCGCCTGTATCTGGCGTATAGTATTCATGGTGGTTGACGAGCTGAGAAGAGCTGGGAGGAAGACAAAAGAAGCTCGTGACGTTGGATTGAAAAAACGGGTGGGGACCCGGAGCATCGGCGGTGCCCGAATTGGCAAAATCACTGTTTACGAGTTTCCAAATCTTCCTGCGCTACGCTCCCTGCAAGCCTGGAATTTTGTCTCGTCTGAATTTCTTGACCCTGGTGAACGTTCCGATTTGAAACTTGTGTCCGCCTCGCCGGGGGCATCATTGCTTAGATCGAACCGTGTTCCCTCCCCACTTGTCTCCAGATTCCCCTGACCGCGTTCTGCATCTTCAACCTCCCCTCCGCTTCTACATCGACACCGACACACACCATTTTGACTGTTCAAAGCATAGTCGCGCGCCTCACTGGGAATCTCTGGATCTGCACTGGTTGGAATGGTACGTGCGTAAGGCATGGTGGGACTAGAGCAGACGATGTCCTCCAGTCCGAATCGCGGATCCAAAACACCCGGCGCCAATAGTCGACCTAGTAGCAAGGATGGCAAGAAGAACATTTGGTCTTCTTTGCTAGACGGCGCCGCCAATGGGAAGCGCTTGCCGGAGAAGAACTTATTGATTCTAGGTATTCTATTCGGTCTTTATTCAGTGAAGACTTCAAAAACCACGCTGGCACACCGGCACTAACATTGGGAATCATAGGCGGTACCCCAGAAAGCCAGAGAGAGTTTCTAGAGACGCTTTCTGCAAACACCGAGGCCGATCCTAGCTTAGTGCATGACCGGCGGAAGGGGAAGACACCCCCAATCGCTAATCAATTCGCCCTTGGATACACCTACCAAGATGTGCTTGATGCCGACCAGGAAGGTACCGCGCTCCCTCCTGCAACGTTCGCTCTCTCTGCCTGTTCAAAATGCTAAATTTCCCACGATTCTTAGATACCCTGGCACGCGTCTCAGCCTATCTTCTATCCGAGCCGTCACCGTCTTTCGCGCCTCTCCTTAAACCACTTTTAACTCCCCAATCAGTACCGGAAACTCTCGCTGTCATTCTTTTGGATTGGTCTGATCCATGGCTATGGATTCGACAATTACGAGAATGGGTTCGTTTGTTGCGCTCTGTCCTTGTGTCTTTGGATGACGATACCAAGATCGTGATGGAGGAAACCATGACCGATTGGCGTGACCGCAAAAGAGGCGTTGATGGAAACTCGGCAGCCGCTGGTAGCTTTTCAAACTCGGGCGGTCCGGTCACAATCCCCCTTGGACCTGGCGAATGGGACGAAGGCCTGGGAATCCCAATGTGTGTGGTCTGCCAGGGAGTAAGTGGTCCCCTTCAGCGCTGCTCAGTCGAGCACAGCTAAACTAAACATATTCCTGTAGGCGGATAAAATCGAAAAGCTAGAGAAAGACCACGGCTGGCATGAAGAGCAATTCGACTTCATTCTCCAATTCTTGAGAACCATTCTACTGAAGCGTGAGTACCCTTCTTCCTACGTTCAAACCTAGGTGCTAACTTTGGTCCAGATGGCGCATCCCTCATTTATACTTCACCTTTCCTTGCAAGCTCTCTTCAAAGTTTAATCCACTCCTCCTGGGAATTCACTCTCTTTTGAAACGACAGTCATTAAAACACAATGTGATTGACCGAGACAAGATCATTGTCCCCGCGAACTGGGATTCGTGGGGCAAGATTCGCATCATTCGCGAAGGTTTTGATATGGAAGGGGTCTCGACAGCTTGGTCAATCGAGATCCAAGACCCTCCCGAGCCCCTATCCAAAGCCAGAAACGCCGCTAGCGAGAGCGAAAACAGCAATCCAGCCGAGGACGGCACCAGCGCTGTCACAGTCTTCGAACAGACGATCAAAGATCCCAAGATCGCCAGATCCATCATACCTCCAGGCACTGGGCAAGGTAATGAGATCGACATTGAAACTCCTGATATGCAAGAATTCCTTTCCCAGCAGAAAGAAAAGCTTGAACAGCTCAAAGCAGAAGATGCTAAGGACCGATCAACCCAGCAAGTTCCTCAACTAGAAATGTCACCTATGGATGACCAAGGCAGAGTCAACGAGCACATTGGCCCTGTCCAATTCAATATGGGTGGAATTCAAGTTGATGCCGATGACATGCTGAAGAAGCTCCGGGTATGTACTTACACATTATTTGTCAGAAAAACGATATCTAATATTCAACAGGACCGCGAAGCCAATCGCTCCCAGCCGCGTGAGCGAAAAAGACACGGGTGTCTCAGCAACACCGGGCGACGAGAAAGCGCACAACCAAGCGCTGGCCAGCTTCTTCGCCGGCCTTGTTAAAAAGCCCGGCAGCAGCCCTCGCGGTAGCCCTTCTTCCTAATGTCACTGTGCCCGTTGCCCTTTCCAACTGGGGCTGTATTTTAGTTCTGCGAGCGTACATATTGCGTGGGGGCTTCCTCTGCCTATCGATCTGGGCGAAGGGCGAGTTCTCCCATATAAGAAAAGATCTGAGGGGGAAAGCCCTATGCAAAACTCATACTTTCCTAGATCCTGATGGTTTCGCGGGGTGTGGATAATGATACCAATATGAAATTTAATCGTGTCTTCTTTCATTGCTAGGAGTACTAGTACGAGGGGCGTTGTTGCGTGTTCCATTTATATCACGTACTAGTAACAATACTTGAGAAGTTAAATTGCCCCATCCTACAAACATGCAACTGAGGAATGACATTCTACTATTGCCAGTGGTTGCGCTTTTACATACAGGTTTCAACCAAATGCTGCGGCAGCACCGCTAATACGCCGCCGTAAAATATAGTCCGTCTAGTAGACGATGTTTCCAAGGCTGTACAAGATGCTAATGTATTCTCGAGCTTAATACTTCAGAGTTTCCAAAATCTTACGTTGAGCATACCCAGGCTCTTCAGATTTATATACGATGAGTCGGCACCCAGCCTTGGAAAGTTCATTGCACCGCGACTTGAATCTTAATAAACCTTGCCCCTCCGATGCAACTGACTGCGGAATGACAAAACACACGCCTTCTCCGCTTCGCCACTCATCTCCACTTTCATCATCCCCCTCCTCCATCTCAAAAACGCGCCTGAATAGCCCAGTATGCACAATCCCCAAGCGGACTCCGGATTCTGGGACTCAAAGGCCCCAGAAGACGCGTCTCCCCGTGTACCCCCTCCTACACTCCAAGTCAAGAACCGTCGGATACGGTATCTGGCCAAACACCCCGAGTATTTCTCGGAGGAGCTCGAGCTAGCAGGTGCTTACTTTCTCTCCCCGCGGTGCGCCACCCTCGCGCCATGAAAGCGGCCCCCCTTCCACCCAAGTCCGGCCCAGAGTGACTGACGCGACACATCTAGACCCGTTGCTCTACGACCGCCTGATCCGCCGATTCCAGACACCCGAAGAGCGCAAAGCCAAGCGTCCTCGCACGGGGGGCTTCGCTTCAAGGTTCGCGGGCATCTTGGAAGCGGAGCTCATGCGCGCAGAGGCGAAAATGGAGGCGCTTGCTCATCCCGAAACGACCATGTTCAGCTACACCCGCGGCCCGAATGGTGAGGTTCTGCCGGAAGATAGCGAGGATATTCCTGCTACCAAGGAGATAGGGCTGGAGGAGTGGAAGTGGGAGATGGGGTTCCGGTTTGTTCAGGGGAATGACAGAGAATTCGATTACAAGACTGTTGATGAGAATGATGAGTATGATGACTGGAATGAAGAGCTGGATCAGCGTCTAGAGGATGTGGAAGAGGAGTGGATCGTCGGTGATCTACGGGGTGAGGAGGCTCGTGCGATGGCCAAGGGAGAGACTGGTATTCAGGATTATTGAGAGTGCACTTTGGAGCTCTCTTCAAGGAGGAAATCCCGTTGCGGAAGGGTATATGCAGCAAGTGGGTTGGTACTCGGAAGGACTTGATTGCTCTCGAATATTTTCCGCTTGCTTACTGGCTATATCGACAACCCGTATACGTGGTGGAACTATTTGCTGGGTCTCATGGCGGCTCTCTGAGTTGTATTACTGGAGTAGGCTTGAGTTCTACCTTGGCCCTGGTTTACCAAGTCTGGTGAACTCACAAACCACAGGCACAGCGATCCATGGAGCTTTTGGTATTGCTCTTATGTATTGGGCTCAATGATTCGGTGCCCATGTACTTACTACATGGACTTGGACGTCCTACTTCTTTCCTGCTAGAAGATCGATTGCTCTTTCCTTGAGCTTGAACTTCTGGATCTTGCCGCTCGCCGTCTTTGGGAAAGTTTCGGATGCGCCAAGGAAGAAGACATATTTCGGAACTAGAAATGGTTCGTATCGTCAGACATGAGAAGCAAGGTTTATGATTCGGAGGAGAACTTACCGAGGTGGTTGCTTAGGCGATCACGCACCCATTGTTGAATCTCGTTCTCGGAGACCGAACTCGGACTGTCTCGAGGTACCACAAAAGCTGCGACGACTTCGCCATAACGTGCATCTGGGACTCCGACTACGGAGACATCCACGACTCCTGGGTGGGCGTATAGGCAGTTCTCGATCTCCAAAGGGTGAATGTTTTCTCCCCACGAATGATCAAGTCCTTGATGCGACCAGTAATGGTGATATACCCGTCTGGTGACATACTAGCCTCGTCGCCAGTCTGTTCCAATTAGCCTGTGTCGTATAAGCAGCTCTAGTATCAAACCTACATGCATCCAAACTTTCCCATACTTATCCTTCAGCATAACCTCTGCAGTCTTCTCTGGATCTCCCCAATATTCTTTCATTAGTAGGTACCCGCGTACAGCAAGCTCGCCCTTTGCCTCGATGGGCAGGATTTGATTATGGTTACTCGGGCTCACCACCTTAGCCTCGACATGCGGCATGAGTCTTCCCACGGAGCCAATCCGCTTATCCATGGGGTCGTCCGTAGTCGTCATGCAGGAGACGGGACTGGTCTTCGTCATTCCATAGCAGATTGTTAGTTCTGTGAGATTCAGCACCCGGTGCAGCTTCTTCATTAGCTCTGCGGGAATACTGCTTCCTGCTGCAATGCCAGTGCGTAGATACTGGAAACCTTCTCCTGAGATTGCACCCGATTCGATCAGGCTGAGTTCTTCAAGGAACATCGTCGGGACTCCGTAGAGCGCCGTGCATTTTCTTCCTGGACGGCCTGTAGAGTGGCGCGGGCATGGAATGATTCGGATGGGAAGACGATGGCAGCGCCATGCGTGACCGTCGCCATGAGGCCAAGAATGGAACCAAAACAGTGGAATAGCGGAGGCGGGCAGCAGACGATGTCCTGAGGAGTGAGGAGCATGCGATCGCCGATCTGGGAGCCGTTGTTTAAGATAGAGCGGTGGCTAAGAGAAGCGGCCTTGGGCATTGCAGTGGTGCCGGAAGTGAATTGAATATTAACAATCTCGTGTGGTGAGAGGTTCTGGTCCGGTAAGGAACGTCCATCGGCGGGTAGCTCGGACACGAGGTCTGCGAATGGAATGAGACTCGAGTAGTCTGACAGATCTGGACGACCTAAGGAATTATCGACCAAGATGATCTTCTTGAGTGATGGGACCAATTCCGAAGATAATCCTGAGCCAGATAGGTCTTGCACCAAATGCTTTAGTAAAGGGATATTGTCGCGGGGATCTTTGCGGGGGAGATTGGATTCCGCGTTTATGATCAGATGGCTGGATTTGAGATGATCTAGTGCAGATGCAACTTGGGAGGCATTGAACGAAGGATTCAAAGGCACCTGTTTGGAAATTATTAGACACGGTTATTGATTGCATTCGTTCCTTGCTTTTTTATTAGACTGACCAAGATGGCTCCTAGCTTGAATAGAGCATATGTAGCCTATAGAGGATGATAATCAGTCTGTCAAGCATTTTCTTCTCGAGGAAGAATCAAACGCACAACGACATATTCCATTGAGTTCCCCAGCATCACTCCAACTCGGTCTCCCTTCTTGACACCGACTGATTGTAATCCCCGAGCCAATGCATTGCTTCTAAAGTCTAGCGAATCGAACGTGGCGATATCGTTTTGGTGTCTTGATATGAGGCTGAGGGCCATGAGTATATAAACCCTTCAAAATAACAAAGTTACTTACGCTGGGCGATCGCCATATGCTGCCACTATCTTCACAAAGTGATCACCGACAGTTGACTCGATCAAGGGCGGCTAGAGGCAGGACCTTGCGTTAGCTCTGCAGTCTTGTTTATTATTTCCTCGCTCACTTGGAGAGGACCCTGCATACTTCAGAAGCACCGCGAGAGTAGCTTTCCGTCAAAAGACCTCTTATTGTGGAATTCGAGAACCGGAGTGGTCGACACCCCAAGCGAAGCCCCCCGACGATCCGTCTGCAAGCACGCATGACTGGGCATATACAAGTCCGGAGGGCTGGAGGATTTGCACGCAACACCTTGGCCGAATGACACTCCAAATAGAACAAGGATGAGGAGAAACGAATCATTTGGCTAAGAACCCCTTCTTGTGCCACCTGGAATGCTTCCCCACATTTGCAGCTGCGGGGGCGGGCTGTCCCGAGGCTTGAGACCCGGCCATCTGCAAGACCGAAGGTAAGCGAGAGACCGAAGGTAAGCGAGAGAAGAGCGATGGTTTCAGGTTGGCTACTGAAGGTGCAGGACGCACATCCTGGAAATAGAACTGACTATCTCTGGCAAATGAACATCAATCATGGATCGGCTAGGTCATACTGAAGATTTGGCACGTTGAAAGAGCAGAGCCTCTGTCGAGTCTTTTGCCTACAACCTGGCACCATTGTCCCCGGCGCCAAGTGGTTGATTTGGGAGCCGCATGATATAGTTGTATTGTTTCTCGTCAAAAGAATTGAACCCAGGTACCTGGAATGGGCAGAATAAGTCGTGAGATTCAGATTTATCCCCGCTGTGGGCATATGCAAGCCCGCCCTCGACAAAGTACTCGATCCAAGTAGACCAGTCCCCTAAATATAGAATAGGGGTCTAAGTCCGACCCTTTAGGCTGGCGTATACGCAAACCTTGGCGGCTACTGGCGATTCTCAAACTATGCTGCCAATAACGATATGTCTGCCCCAAATACCCAGGGCGCCGCAATTTCGACTTTTGAGGTCATCGTTGCTATATCAGAACGGTCGGTATGGTATAGGGCGCTCGATGGTTAAATTCGGCAAGTTGTCGCGTTCGAGGAATCTTGGAAGATCTCGTGAGGCGTGCATACACGCCCCCGGAGCGAATCCTATTCTGGTAGTTTGGGTGTTGATGTGCCGGTAGGGATCGGCAGATTTAGACTCCGCGGTCGCGGCTCTAAAACCTCTTCCCCGACTCTACCTTCGTCCATCTCTTTGCACCTCATCTACGCTCGAAATGGCCGAGCCCACCATCATGGAGGTTCCTGCGACTAATTATCGCTCTCTATTCATTTTCTTCGGTTATCTCGCACTGGCTGTCTTTTTTACCCTAACCTGTTGCCACACCATCTATACGAGATATCAGGAGCGCCAAAAGCGGAATGACTGGGCCACGCCGCAAAAGCAAAAGCCCTTCTTTCTATTCAGCTTCCTTTCGGCATTGAGTCTCGGCATGACATGGTATCATATGATCAGGCTTTTTATTTGGTCTTACCACAATTGGGAAGCTAGTCCTAGCGGTGCATTCTGGTCAGCTACAGAAATGTCTCTTGTTGTACGCATAGGCCTCTGGCTGAAAGATACATACGTCTTCCAAGAGGCCTGGGAGACTGTTTCCGTGAGCCCAACACGGGTTTGGTGGAGTGGTCAGATTTTCGGATGGACGATTGGCTGGAGTCTTGTATTAGGCATTACTGGTGAGTGTATCAGAGCTACAGAAAAAACGTCCTTGCTAACCGACCCCCGCAGGCCGGAGATACGGCATTCCAAGGGTCTGGGTCTACATGCTTCTAGCCCAGGCTGTCAGTGTCTCTTTCGCGGCGAATCTCTATTTTGCTGCAGTTGCCGTGTCCAGAAAGGCAAACCCGAAGGATGGCATATTTGCATGGTCGCCACCACTGCTGGCTGAGCTCATTCCTGTGGCATTCTCACTTCTTGATACCGTCGCGGTCCCAATTTATGCGTACAAGAAGGAATTTATGTGGGTATTGATGGCGCCGCACATTGTCATTTTCATTCCTTGCGTGCTCAGGCCCATAGGTGCCCTCCCACCAGCTAGCAAAGCGCAAGGAGATCAGACTACCCGTCGATATGCTGTCTCCATCAAGTGGGTTGCGGCTGCTTCAATCTTACTGCTTGCACATTTTACCGTCATGATGCTGCGAGAGGTCGGAACCGATGTTCCTTATGGTGAGGTTGCTCAGATTTTGTTCGATACGATATATGTTCACCCGGCCTGCAGCAGTGTCAGCTGGGACGTGATCATGTGTACTGTGAGTGGCATCGCCTGGGTCTATGTGCACGATTTCAACACGAGTCATATGGTCGGTGGCCGGTGAGCATTATGGAGTGGAGGACGATTTCACCATGAATTATTACGGTTGAAACAAAACTACCATAAGGCGTGACTGACTTTCAAATTAGTATGGGGCGATAGAAGCTCAAATCTCGAAGAATGTATCTAATTCTGAATGGAGAGCTCGATCACCCTCGAAACTGCGCTGACGCTAGAGATCTTCAAGTTTAGGCAAAGGAACACTTACCTCTCAACGTGAATTGAGCACTAATCATTTGAAGTTCCAGCCTCAAGCACGGTTGTTTTCTACTCTGGCACCTTCCTAAACAAGCGAGTCCGAGTCATCACAAAACGGAGAACGGCATGTTCTGAAGCTCTAATCGAGCCCCGATGATGAGGATTGCGACTGACATTGTTACTGCGATTGAAAGGACTGAAAAGTTTATTTGCTGCTCTATGACCGATGCTATGTGGATGATGACAAGCGGTGCCGTTGAATGCCCAGGTGTGTGCTTCACAGCTTACTCACGCTGCCACATACCTCTAGGGCTGCAGCCCACTAACCGGAGCGGAACCATCGAGATGACTCACGTGTTTTTGAAACCTATGAGCGCGTTAGTCTACAGACTACTAGTAGTGGCTAAGCCCGTGCGGTACTATTTCTATTAGAAGAAGCTACTATTAGATCTCGCCAACATTTGAACACGGAAGGTCGGCAGCTACTAACGTTGACCACAAGGGCTGAAAGAGGCGGTACTTTGTTGTAGCGATACAGAAGCTAGAGAGAGACAAATCAGAAGGAACGCGGGGAATAGCACACCCAAATTCTTCTCCATACTCTATCTATTAATTGATTGGAGCTTCGGCCGGGAAGGTAAAGGGTTGGAGGAAAATCCTAGTTCACATTTGGAGGTACATCAAGTCTATGACCAGCTCGTCCCGAATTTGAGTCTGAGACAGCTCGCAGAGCCACAAAAGCAATCATAGTTCTTCGGTCTCCAGTATTCTTTGCCGTAGTTGACTGTGATTTCTTCAAAAATTCCGATATCCTTCTTTGCGATGACCATAGTAACCGCCATCCCTCCCACTTTCTTCGTGATAAAATCAGTCGAACTATCACATGAGTGATTGATGAATCTAGTCCAATTGCCAATCCGTGGCGCACATATATGCGCCAAGACGGTCCGGTTCCTATATGAAGCCGTGGGAGTAGTTTGAGACAAAGGATAGATCGGATCCTCGAACTTGCAGTCGTCCCCCAGGTACGGGTATCTTGCCCATGGCAACGGTCTGATTTCACCAATATACTCTCCAATGATCTGACCTGCTTTGATCGAACAGAGAGTGCGGACCCCGGTTCCTTTGTTAGGATATTCTACCAGCTCGATCAAATCACCTGTCAGAGCATCAACTCTGCAATCACACGACTTGTCGGCTTGACAGAAAGCACAAGGAAGCCATCCCCTGTCGACTTTTTCAGCAAGGGGGGTTTGGTGGACTGCCCCGGAACTCGTGCGGGTTGTAGATATTGGAGCCTGCGTTTACTTGAGCGCAACCAGAATATACCGGTCGTTTTAAGCCGCCGTCCCTTGTCTGCACTGTATGATGCGGGTGCTCCTGAGCGATATTGATCTGCGGGCCAAGATCCTTTAAAATGCCTGCATCCTGTTGGGCAAGAGCGTTCAAAGGCGCACGCCATTCCAGGCCGCGGGAAGACGCAAATATTTTTATACTGTCGCATTCAGAAGTAAGCAAGTGCTCGAAGCATTCCCACTGGGATTCATTTGCTATTTTGGAAATCTTGTGGAAGGACTCGGCGTAGGCGCAAATCCCCAGCAATTTCCACCCACCTATAACGGTCAATCTTAAGCCACGGTATTCCATCCCACGGTTCCCACGATCGTTTGTTCCAGAGGGAGTTTTGTGAGACGCATGGGCACAGTTATAGGCCAATCGGTACGCATAGTGTAGCGCTCTTTCGTACAGTCGTTTCTCGATTTCATTGGTTTTATTTTGGGCACTGGCCCGGAGCTGAGACACGAAGTTGATGTCCCAGTAGATCGCCTCGACTGCTTTCAGTGTATAAGCACTGAGGTCTTGTATGAACTCTTCGCTCTCGTCGTGGTATCTAGTACGCATATGAGCTTTGAAAGCAATGGCGCCTGCCATGTTGAAAGTGGAATGTCTGGATGAGTAAAAGCGGTGCACTGAATCCCATGAACTTCAAAACGTGTTATCAAACTCTTGAGCTGGACTTGGAGGAAAGATTGTAGCCGGGCTAATGTGTGCCGACGAAGGGTTGGTGACTGCTCGAGCGAAACTCTTCTTAAATAGGAAGTGGGATATATGGAGCTCAGGGCCTTTTTCCAAATAAAAGGAATGTATGACAATAAATATGGAGTCAATCACTTTGTACTTCAGGGTATCAGCTCAATGTACATTGTACTCACTTGACGATAATGGTCGACGGGTGTTGGCGGCCTAAGATCATCGCATTGTTTGTGCATTAGACAAGATGTAGTTTTGCTTTGAAAGCTTCATTCTGGAAGAGAAACAATAATCCCCCGCGCGAGGGGAGCTATAGGGGAATAATGCAATAGTGTCTAGGACTTCAACAAGGAGGGGTCATGTTGAAACATAGTGAGGACTGGAGTCCGTTTAAGCTGCATAAACAAAGTCGAAACACTACAAGAGCCCAGTCTTTCACTGCATATGCATTTTCCATATTGTCTACTAGACAATGAAGAAAGCAAGGAAAATTCAAAGAACACAAAGAACAAGAAATGGTCTGATCTTTTTGGAGCGAGGGAACATGGATCGGCATAATGCTTGGCGTCATGTGGTGGGGAACCTGAGAGCTCCCGTATCTAACACCTTAAACTTGGCTTCCGCAATGCTCCACGTCTAAAGTCTGGCCAGACAGCCCTTGGGTCACGATGGGCGCCGAACCGGATGAGGACGCTATTTCAAACTTCGTCAGCTTTACCAGTACCAGTCGCGAACAAGCAATCAGCTTCTTGAAGGTCCGCACGCATCCCCGCACTCTGTGGCGGCTAATCTGAACGACCTGTGCAGGCCAACAACCTCGATTCCCAGAAGGCCATAAATGCCTACTTCGAGGATCCCACTGGTTCTGCATTCCAGGTGAGTGAACGCTGCTTCGTCTTAGGCTAGAATGTTTGCGGACTGCATACTGACCCTTCACTGATAGACAACCGATTACAGCAATGAAGGCAGCCTGAAGCGTACGGACTCTTCATATTTCCCTATGTGGAAAGTTGATCATCCATCTGGCTAAAACTAAATATATAGCGTTAGGTTACGATCCACAAGATGATATATCCCGAATACCTACTACCGCTCCCCCTCTCGCCCTCCATCACGAATCAACATGCACGACAACACACAATCAAGCACGGAGCCTTCTTCTACAACGGCCACACCAGGGAACACCGGTAGGCCTTCATTATGCATGGGTTATCATAGACAATACTAATCTAGTACCGCTTGACGCTATAGGTGCTGCCAATAACGGCCCCGGACTGAGTCTTGCCGAGCGTGAAGAACAAGAGCTGCAACAAGCGGTCGCAATGTCGCTCAATCAAGGGATCGGAAAACAAGAAACCGGAGTGACCACGACGGAGGTGCCAAGTCAAGCCCAGTTTGGCAAAGCAACGCGCGACTACTACGACGAAGGGGCTTGGGCCATGACGTTGTTCAACGAGACAGCACAGGAAGTCATCTTCAGCCCAGATCCAGAGGACCGGAAGAAGGTCGGCGACGAGCCTTCCTTCATTCGCCCAACGACGGACAATCTCTACCTGGGCGGTTTCTTGACCATCCTTCATGAGATCCCGCTTGCGCGGGAAGCTTTGCTGTTACGCAATAAACTCCTCTTCGACTACGGGCATGATCCACAGTGGTGGAATGGACAGACAATAAATCTTCCTAAAATCGTGACGGTGAATGATTGCACCGAAGACAATGACTGGGAAGATATTATCCATGAATCACAACGTCTAATGGCATTTCTGGATTCCACGCAGCGGGCCTTCGGGAGTGGCGATGCGCTCACTGGCCTGCGTCAACTGCACTCTTACTCTTCTGACTCAGAAGAGATCGTGTCTCGCTTCCTTGAGGCATGGCACGCTTCTGCAATCCGTGCAGACCCCGACAACCCTCTTGCGACTATCTTCATGTCTCACGCTTACAAGAAATCCCCGTTTGAATATGCGGATGAAGTCGACGAGCCCGTCTCCAAAGAATTGTTCGTTTTTGAACCAATTGTTGAACAATCCCATGGGCAATCTTTGTACGATGTCCTCGACACTGCAATCTGGAGTGATCGGCCTGGGGACCCTCTCGATGACGTGTGGCTTGAGCATGTTGGAGAAGTCCTCGTGATGAAACTGGATTCATTTGAAAATGCGAAGTCGGTGGATGTAAAGATCCCGGCCGTCTTTTATCCAGACCGTTATCTCATTAGCTGTCAAGATGTCGCGCGAGACATGCGAACGAAGAAACTCAGAGTCCAAGAGTCTCTTATGGAACTGGAAAATCTTATCGACCACTACACTTACACCCCCGGGGAAGACAGAAGCCTCACTCGCGCGGAACGTCTAGAGATCGCTGCTGACGAGGTTCCAATTGCTCTAAAATCAGCCCTCGCGGGAAAATCGCTTGAAATGAGTGCCGAGGAAGCAAAGGTCAAGCTGGAACGAGTGCCCTATAATCTACGAAAAGTTGCTGCTCAGATTGATGCGAAGCTGAAAGGTAGGCTGACCTTCCCCCTCCAGCCTGAAGATATTTTCTAACAGAATTCATGAAACTAGAGCTCGATCAATTGAAGCAGAAAGAGTTAGAGACCATGCGTAGCTATTCCAAGATGCTCACTGATCCAGCCGAGTCCCCACAGGACCTTCCTCTCCACAGGTACACTCTGCGTGGTGTTTGTACCGAGCCCCATGTCACATATGTCCTGAAGCATCGCCGAGATGCAGGCGACCTGATGGAAGTCGACGAAAGTGGCCCCGAATACCAATGGTGGCGCATCAGCTTCTCCACCGAAGACGGCAAGACCCGTCTGGCCGAAAAAAGAATGGCTGAAGGCAACCAGTCAGCCACTCAGAATGGCGATGTTGTAGGCTATACTGCTCGCAAGGTACGCGAGATAGAAGTGCTGAAGGCAGCCCGCGAAGAATGGCGTTCGGTCCTTCTGGTGTATGCCAGTGATGCGGCTATGGGGTACCAAGGCGATCTCGCACCACCCCAACTGCAGGTATGTCCACTCTTCATCCGCTTTGAGGCCACTAGCTCACTCTGCATAGAAATTCGTGGTTAAGGACAACGAAGCTTTTGCAGACGAATGTCAGTCATCTACGACAGAAATAGCCCCGCCATCGGAGTCGTCTGGCACAGTTTTCAACACACAGGAGAGTGAGCGAGCCACTCCCACTCAAAATGACAAGGATGTCAATGTCTTTGACTACGAGGTCTCTGGATTTGATGGCGAGAACCGTACACAGCAGGAAATGGCTGAGAGAAGAGGCTCAGCGTTCCTTAGTGGGACGAGCTATCCGACCCAGAAAGAGCCAGACCCGGAGTCCTCACGGCCGAGCGACGACTGGAATGCCACTTACGTCGAGCACTCAAAAGGCTAAATTGATGAATTTATGACCCAAGCAATATAGAGGCAGTCATTCTCAATGAACTCATGAGACTGCTTCGCAATGGTATGTATGAATAGACGGGGCTTGATCTATGGTAGCGAGACATGAGACTTTCCGCCAACAAGGTGTCAAAGCCAAGGTTACTATTTCAATATATGGAATTGCGAGTAGTAACCCGTAAATTCAATTTCCATTTAGGATATTAGATATAATCCAAAGGGCTCGAAAACCAGGCAAGGCTTGGTCCACTTCTCGTTTTTAGCTCATGTTGCTGAGACCGGGGCCGTCCCCACCTTTGCCGTGTTTGCAATATCGGGGCTACGCGCAGTCCACCAGCTCCTCCTCTCTAGACGCTGAACAGCCCACTGCTCCTACCCGTACAATGACACAAGAAAGCGACTCAGTAGCCGGGGCTACCATCGAACTCCTGGAGGCGCGCCTCCGCCGCATTGCATACCTCCTGGGCGGCGCGACCGACTGGACAGGAGTCCCAACAATGCCGGAGAAACCCTCCTCCCACGAGGAAAGCGTATCGCGCCGACTGGCACGCTTGGAGAAGGAATTGGCTAAACTAAGCCGCAATGTCCCCGCCGTGCGAGACGTGATCCAACTTCGTACGTTTTCCCACTTGTCCATTCTTCGATCTGGAACAGCTCAATCCGCTCCCAACTCCCAAGCCTTAGTTCTACCAGCTTTCAAATCCCGCCGTACGCGCACTTATAAGGACCCCCGCTGATTGATTTCAACACCTAGATGACCAATTTCCCGACCTCTTTCAAGCACCCACCCCAGAAGATGTCCCCGAGGGCCTCTCAAGTCGGGCACTTGCCTCTATTGTCCTCTCCTATGCAACCGCCTTCCCAGAAACGGCTTCCCGCCTTACATCCCTCAATGATCTCCCCATCCCGACCCCGAGAGTTCTGCGGCCCTCGTCGAGCTTCAGCCGCAACTGGACCGCGTGGCTCTTTTGCAGAAGGAGCAAGCACAGGCTATATCCGAACTGCGGGTGCGTACAGCGAGGGTGTTACAGCGGTGGTATGAGGTTGGGCTTGTTGGGAGCGGAGAGTGTTGGGCGGAGTGGGAAGGAAGAATTGAAAATGTGGAAAGAGAGGTTAGGCGGAGAGAGGTCATTAAGGCGAGGAGGGAGAATGAGATCTAATCTGATCTCTGAGCCAAGGATCTTCAATTCTATTCTTCCTTTTTTCCCCCTCTGACTTTGGTTTGGCATGCGGTGATATCCTGCTTTGGGTTGGCGCAAGGTTTGAAAAGTGTACATACTTGATGTTGATTACCGGACTCCATAATTCTGACTTTAAACTACGTGATGCCACGAGGCATAATCCGTGGGTCCATGGGTGCCGCAAACTATAAGTTTAGTGGTAGAGATATGTGTCTAGGGAGTAGTACCGAATGGATCAGATAATACCCTTGGATGGTCCTTGGCTATCACTGGCTCTTGATCTCGAGGTCCAGACCGCAAGTGTCCATGGATATATCTTAGGCGAAACATCCGTCCCTCTGAACGGATTCTGCCCTTGCATTAAGCCACCTTACGTGTTTCTGAGGCGAGGAGGTCACCGCACCAGTCCTGAAAAGTCGATCTGAATGTGAAACAGATCGATTTTACCCCAGGTTCCTCACTTCCGTCCCAGAGCGTGAAAATGCGTTACCGTTGCGTGCATCTAGAATTGCACAAGTGGAAGCTCGCCACGCCGGGCTCGACTACACAGGCTGACGTGCACATACCAGCGCCCTCGGCCAATGAACATCGAATACTCGTCTCGACCACCAGAGATCCTTGTAAACTTTGAGTGGCCTCAGCTGCAAGGACTGTTGAGCCGGCGGAGACCCGGGCATTGCCATCGAGCCAGAACAGACAAGTCAATAGTACGAGCACATGCCCCTCGGTGTTCGTGGCCGATCGATCGAAGTGGGGAGGAACGTTGGTCAACGGGCGAGATATGGATTGTCCCTGTCAGAGGTTCCGTGGAACTTTCTACCCAGGCAAGGGGTCCGCCGATCGTGTTTCAGCCCTTTCCACGACCCAAGGTGAGGTTAACTGGACGGGATCCGGCAGTCTAATCTTCCATGGCGCAAATGGGCAAATGAGTAAAATACGGTACGACACATACAGGAGCACAACAAAGTACCCGCGTCAGCCCGTGACAACCTCGGAGTGGAAAGCGGAGTCTGGGATGACTAAGGACGGTTTCCAATTATAGATCACGATTTGGCTGGGGCACTGGGGGGGGGACTGGGGTTTGTTGTAAACTAATTGTACGGCGAGGTAGATGTGTTTAAGAATGTATTCATACACAATCAGAATCCTGGTCATGGGGGCATGGGGGAGACATCAAGGTAATCTGGGCGATTTCCCGCTAAAATCACCCAACCCACCGAAGATGGCCCAAGGCTGCTAAATCCAGGTCTCGATCCTCCTCGATTCCAGGGGGCGCGTCCACAAGTGGTTTTGGGGCCGCGCCAGGGTCCCACCGCACTCCGGCCATTGGCAGAGGATCTCGATTACTGTCTTTTCCCTCCTTTTCCCTCTCTTCATCTCTGGTCCACTGTCGCTCATTCGTTTCTTCAGCCTGGTGCTGTAATTCCCTGACTCTCCATCTTTCGTCTCTTCGTTGAACCTTCCTTTCTTTTTTTTTTATATATCGTTTTGCCCCTTGGACTCTCCTTTACCTCTTCGCCGCTGTCCGAACCTATCTGCTTTGAAACAGGTACGTCCCAAACCGACACTGGCCCTGCACTTAGATTGGGGGCTTGGTCGCCTCTTTTAAGCGTCGTGATTACCATGGCCCTTTTAACTCCATCGCCATGTGCTACTCTTCGGACCCCACGCGACCTTAGGAATGCGCACTAAGGAATGCACACTAACTGGCTACATCTAGTTGTCTCAATTCATTCATCTCGTGGTTCAGAGAGCTAGCAATCTACCTCCCATCAGAAGTCCGATTGTTGGAAGGACGAGTAAAAGGAGGGACGCGCCATCAATTGGAATCGAATTTGTCGCGTCGAGAAAGAACCCAACCCCTCGCCGACCCTCTTTTGGTCATCTTCATCCGGCAACCGAAGACATCTATTTCTCATATAATAACTTGAGCGCACGCGAACATCATACGCCTTCAAAATGCCAAAGTTTCGCCCTAGCAACATCTTGGGGGGACCCATTCGCCTTGGCCACCCTTTCTATCTCGATTCTGGCTTGGCTCATTGCCTTCATCTCGTCCATCATTGCGGACGTGCAAACACTCTACCCTAATCTCAACTGGTGGGCTATCAGCTTTATGTTCTGTGTGATTTTGGGAATCTTGGTCACCTTTGCGACGGACACTTGCAATGTCTATGGAGTCGCGGTATGCAGCCTAGCAGGACCCTCTTCCACCAGTCTGTCGTACTAATTGGGGTACAGATTGTCGGATACCTTGGATGCGGTCTCGTCTTGACTTCCATCAGTGCTAATAACTTGATCTATGGCAAGCAGGGGGCTCAACAAGCAGGAGGCGCAGGCTTTATCCTGCTCGCCATGGTTATTGTAGGTTGAATACATCGGTTTCTCTCTCGACCCAAAAACTTACTTCGACCTCCAGATTGTTTGGATCTTCTACTTTGGTTCTTCCCCAGGCTACGCATCGTGGTTTCATCGACTCGTTCGCCTTGAACAAGGAGCATCCAGGATCCTACGGTGGCAGTCGCCCGATGTCCAGTGCCTTCGGTGCCCGCCCCGAGACCATGACAACCAATCAACAGACTCCTCAGATGTACACGTCCGCCCAGCTGAGCGGCTTCGAAACTTCGTCCCCGTCTCTGGATACGCCGGTGGCCCCGCAGGAGCTGAACGCAACTCTTCCGTGCCCCGCTTCGGCGCCAGCCCCGCCCCGGCAACCCCCAAGAAGGCAGCGAGGTGCCCCAGCCCACTGAATACCCATACCGCGCGAAGGCAATCTACTCGTACGACGCCAACCCAGAAGACGCGAACGAGATCAGCTTCGCCAAACACGAGATTCTCGAAGTATCGGACGTCAGTGGCCGATGGTGGCAGGCTCGGAAATCAAACGGCGACACCGGCATTGCGCCCTCGAACTACCTCATCCTCCTGTGATCGTCACATTTGCGATGCTCGGTTTTTCTCCGTTTTGTCTTTTCGTTGCCGTTTTTGTCACAAAATATCTGTACTCATTTGATACCCTTCAGATCTCTTCTCGACGTGTGTATTTTCGGTTCCCCCTAACGTGATGTCTTGATGGCCACTCTTTTTCTTCCCTATCATATGTTCTGCCACGCAATATTTCTCTCTCATCTACACCCCCTTCGCACGGGCCTTTTCTTCATTCTTTCTTTTCGACCGGTTTGGTCATTTCCCGGCGGCGCCTTTCTGCCTCTTGAGTTTTCATTGTCCTTTATGGCTTAGGTACTTGACTGTCATGTCGGAATGGGAGTCTATAAGGACTTCCTCAATTTCATGCGAAAGGTACAGGTGACTCGAGTGTATTTAGCACATTGAGCCCTTGAAATGCAATCTGACACTTCTGTGGATATATACATTTCGCCATTCCGCGGGGTCTTCACGGACTTTAAGTATCTTACTCGCAATATTTAAGATGTATCCAAGTATTTGGTCCACCGCGGGCAAAGGGAAAAAATCCTATGTTGCTATCATGGGCAGTCTGTCGCGTACGCTCAACGGCAATCTGGATTGATAACATCCTCTGAGACTTTAAGGGCTAGTTCAAAGCTTAGGTCGATGACCTTGTTGCTTCCGGCGCACTCGATGAACAGTAGCTCACATGTATTCGCTCTTCTAGCCTCTATCAATGGCATCCATCTGCTTGCGTACCTTGCATCGGCTTTCCATCACCCACGTTACCCGGGCACGGAATCGACTCACCTGGTATGATCACTAAGATTTAGAATCTAGAAGGGCATCACATCGCTTCGTTTCACATTCATCTGTAAGCAGCTTTAAATGTAGTTACCTAGGTACCAGGTACTTCAGTATGATAGGTAACCCTGATAGTATACCTAACGCTGTGCCGCATAGAGCCTCTTCAGCAGGACAAGACTGCGCTGCTTCGAGGCAGTCCGATAAAGAGCATCACGTATAAACACTGGAGCTCTCACAAGCTACTTGCAGAACTTAGTGATGCTGGGTTGAAGGTATTGAAAACTCGCCAGCTTCCGTTCCTCATATAGTTCGCGTTGCATACTACTAGTGACATTGCGATCGGTGCTTCTCTTCGCGTAACCTTCAAACCAATCAAACATGTGCTCAACTATCTAATTGAAGCAGAAAGCATTCCTATTCCACGTATGTAGGGCACATCCACGGATCGATCTCAGGCGGCGCCACGTGGGATTGGAATGCTTGGTGCGCATTGGCGGTTTTCAACATGACTTATGTGGAGCTCCTAAACACCAAGTAATCTTGAGTTCATGACACGCTCTTGCAAGGATTGCGACAATCTCTCTATTCCCATTTCTCGAGGTTCCGCTACCACGGAGACCATACCCATCAAAACCGCACAGCAACGGACACCGAGATAGGACCCACACGCACCACGTGGAGCCCACGATTGTGTTTTCCGAAGAAAGGAAAACAGAACAACGAATGCAAAGCCAGCGAGCCTCCGAGAGATGTCTTCACCGTGCAGAGCTTCTCCATCCGTTACCCTAATCAGTGCTAGTGTGAACTGTGTGAACCCCTCAGTCCTAGTGGCTCCAGAAACCCGCTCTTCCTCCAATGGCGATTCTGATTTGTAGGTGATGTAATTGTTCCGAATATTCTTCCGGCTCTCGAGCTCTGCAGAAACCTTCTTATTGGCCGGGGCGGAGCGTGCTTCCACCTTCCTTCGTAGGGGGTTAGGATGTACTAAATCCTCAGAGTCCCCGTAGATCTTCTCTCGTCTTCACTTTCGTCTGTTCGAGCTACGGTCGTCTGTCTCGCCGAGGGCCAGGGAGACAGCTGCTATCTTCACCGGGGACACGGAGAGATATTTGAAGGGCTACGCTCTGTCTGCGTCCACCCCGCTATTCGACAGCTGCATTGGCTAGTGGCCCACTGGGCCTCCACGGATTGAACGTGCAAAAAGTGTCGTTCTGCGGAGGAATATCTCTCAACGGTCGAATACTGGCCGGTCCCCGGTTTCCGTTTGATGTATTCATATATCTATCTTTTTATTGGAGATATTTGGGTCGATATTCTTTGTCGATATTCTTTGAGCCATGTCCGAAGGAAATGTCACAGTCGCGTCGACTGTGCTCGGCACCATTGGGACGGTGCTGTGGTGCATCCAGCTGATTCCTCAGATCTGGTTCAATTGGCGGCGGAAACAGACTGACGGGTTTCCAGCTACTATGATGTTTTTGTGGGCAAGCTGTATGTGATTCGATATCAGATATGAGAGAGATAGACTCCTCTTTGGTGCTATTCGAGTTACTCACGACGGCAATAGGCGCGGTTCCAATGGGTGCATATCTTATTCTGCAAGATGTGAATCTCCCATTGCAGATCCAGCCTCAGATCTTTGGCTTCTTTTCTTTGGTCAGTTGGGGCCAGGTATTGTATTACGGCCAGTAAGTGCGGAGGTCTCCGAAAATTGTAAATGTTCGTGCTAATCCTGGGTCTCTTAAAAGCAATTATTCAGCCTTAAAAGCAACATCCGTCTGTTTGGGGGCCTCTGCTCTCTTCGGCGGATTGGAGGCTCTCCTGATCCTTACTCTAAGGGTATATTATAAACGATGAAGGCCTTGTTAAGGACATCGCCTCTAACTTCGAAATAGATACCCTACAACAAAGGAACAACCTGGCCTGATATCGTGGTGGGTGTCGTTGCCGCGGTGCTCCTGGGTGGAGGCCTCATACCCCCGTACTTCGAATTAGCGAAAAGGGACGGACGAGTTATTGGCTTCAGTAGGTCGCTCCAAAGCTCAGAGCGGATCCTGATAACTGACACAGGGACAGACTGGGTATTCCTATCGATCGATACTCTCGGCGGGCTGTTCTCGCTCTTCGCATTAGGTGCGTGCTTCACCAGGCTCACATAGGGAAGACCCTTTAACATCGTTTTAGCGGCGCAGGGAAGCTTTGATATCCTTGGCGGGATCATGTACATTATTGTGTGAGTCTTATATGGTGATGGTCGCCGCTGCACGGCTAACTCGGCATGGGCAGCGTCGTCCTAGAACTGGGCATCTACATCAGCCATATCATCTGGCGTATCCGGTATCGAAAGGTTTTGAAAGAGGCAAAGGAAACTGGAGTCAGTGTTGATGACCTGCTCGACCAACGGGGTCGCAGGAAGAGAATACCGCAAAGGACAATCAACCGGGGGATCTCGAAAGCCAAGGACCTGCTGCATCACAAGCGGTGCCAACTACCCCAGAGAAGGGAGGTACTAGCGAGAAAATTTGAATATAGTTACCTAGGTTGCGCTGTAAGCTCTTATCTCAGGAAGACGTCCTAATGTAGATGTATATTTTAGCGGCTATGCACAAGTCTCGTCCATCGCTTGGCGTTCCACACCCAGTTTCACAGAATATCACCAGAATTAAGGGGTTCAACCGATCCAAGACTTTCGAAATTTTCGCCCTTTCTCTTTCTCCCCTCTTCATCTGTCCGATTCCAGCCCAGACCTTGGGTGACCAAGCTGGGTTGATCCTTCCCAAGTGAAATTGGAAGGGTGTGTAGCCTTGCATTTCTAGGTCATAACACTGCGAAGAACACCGCAAGTTTGCATGACTGCGGATCGAACTACGGCCCGCGGGCTCAAGCTTGTAATTGCATATCGTACACCTCGATTGGGGCCACCAATCAGGCCCATTCCAAACACCCATCGTATAGTTCGCCCAATAATACAAAATCCTCAGGCGGAAATTGACCTGCGCCGTACAAGCAGCAACCAGATCAGGCCCCAAGGAGCTGGTCGAAGCTTACGTTTCGGCCTTAGCGTAGAACGAGAGCTCTCGCCCAATGTGCCGGGAGATCAGCGGTAAAACAGGTGAAAGCCGTGCAACTTCCCCTCTTTGTTACTTTTTCTCTCCACAGCTCCAGGGGAGAGGCTTCTTCAACAACAGGGCCCCTATACCAAATTCGGAGGTTGGTATACCTAGAAACCCCTACTCAACGGCAAGAGAACCTCCACCCACCTCGATATTAAGTAACCTGCCGAGGTCCGCTCGGGGCTGGAGGGCTCTAGCCTCTTAGGACGTTAGCTCGTCCCTTTCCCCTATCAGCTATCTCGGGGGAATTGGCGATATAATGCAGTGACGGGGAATCTTCTGGCAACAATCAGGATGCCAGAGAAGAAGCTATCGCGTCTGCTCCGGACAAAACTGTTACGTCGATCATCAGTACCCGTACCCAAACCGGGCAACAGGGCGGATCCGCATGTCCACCCGAACTCAACTTCTCACACCTCTGGTCCTCGACTGTTCGACTCCGCCAGCGAAAAATCCCCCTACAGCATCGTCTCCTCCACTCATTCATCCGAAGAGGCCGGTCCGGGACCTGACTCGCGCGAGAGGCATCGCCTAAAGCCACGCACAGAGCCTGGCCTATCGGCCTCGAGGAAGCAAGACTCTCGTCACACGCCTGAGCGTCGTGCACTCACCCCTCCGCCGACCGACCCAAACGCGTCTCCTTTGCATACCCCCTTGTCGGACGAATTCTCGAACCTAGAATATCCCCTCGCCACCCCCAGCCGTCCGACGACGCATCTTTCCAGTCGACGCTTGTCAAAGTGCGATCCGCGGCTCCCCCCGAACCTTCGCCGTTGACTCCAACCCTTGATACCGTCGTTGAAGCAGTGCCAGTCGACCAGCAACCTTCTTCCTTTTTTCCGGCATCCACAAGTAAACGGCCGAGTCTTGCCGTTCGCCGACAATCTCTTCTCCCCGCATCACATCAGCATCTGATTAGCGGATTGATCGACCGGAATCCATTTTCCTCGCAAGGCGATCTGGGCATCAGTCTCACCCCCGTAGCTGTTCCCAGCATGGTTCAGCGACGAATCTGGGTGAAGCGCCCGGGTGGCTCAGCCACCCTGGTACCATGTATGGAAGATTCTGTAGTCGATGAGCTGCGCGACCAAGTCATCATGAAATACGGCAACTCGCTGGGGCGGACTTTCGACCCGCCAGACATCTTGATACGGATTCTTGCACGCGAGGGCTCCACTAGAAACTCTTGTCCAGAACGACTCTTAAGCCCCGAAGAAGTCGTGTCATCCGTAATTGACGCATACTACCCCGGTGGTCAAACGATAGGCGAAGCGTTGATAATCGATGCCCCGTCAAGGCGAACCCCGAAACCATCACCGCGCGTATTACACCATCATCATTCTGAACCGGGCGAGCATGGCGACTATTTCCCCCTCATGCCGACCAACCCCAAAGCTCCTACGCCGCCTACACATTCGAATTCGGGAGGAGCCAACGCCCCTTCTATTTCGATTCTCAGTACGGGGGTTGCTCCTCCGATCCCTTCCCTGGAGGTCGTACACGGCCTCATCATCGACGCCCTCCACTTACCCGGCATACAACCAGCTCGCCAACTACGATGGGCCAACCACCAACTCTAACAGGTACGAATGGTCATCCACTGTGTGGCGGCGATGGCGGCAATTTAACTAACTTGAGTCCAGAAACGGGCCCATCCCCTCACAGCCAAGCTCCTCCTATACCATCGCCTCAAAATGCCCCAACTCCCCCCGTACCAGCTGCTGAATCTCCAGCGGTCAATAATCACACCCCGCCTGCTCCTGTAGCATCACCAAGGTCTCTCCGGAAGCCTAAGGGGGCAGTCTCGCCAGGGGCCGTCTTTGGCGGTCTCATCGATGGGACCGTTCCGCCAATTAACGTTCTCATTGTTGAGGATAACATCATTAACCAAAAGCTGCTGGAAGCTTTCATGAAGCGTCTTAGCGTGCGATGGAAATGTGCAGCGAATGGCGAAGAAGCTGTACGAAAATGGAGACAAGGCGGGTTTCACTTGGTCCTCATGGATATCCAGCTGCCTGTTATGAACGGCCTGGATGCTACCAAGGAAATCCGCCGTTTGGAGCGACTGAATGGGATAGGTGTGTTCTCAAAGACCGCAAATGGCCGCTCTAGCGCCTCGAGTGCCACCAATTTATCTCAAAAGAGACCTGGACTCCAGCGCTCTGTCAGCGAGGAGGATACTTTGGGCGACCTTTCGCTTTTCCGGAGCCCGGTAATCATTGTAGCATTGACCGCGAGCAGTTTGCAAAGTGATCGTCATGAGGCTTTAGCTGCCGGTTGTAATGATTTCCTGACTAAGGTAAGATGATCCCACCTCACCTCTTCCATATTGCGACGTCTCCAATGCTGACCAAAGTGAACTTGCAGCCTGTGGGATTCCCATGGCTGTCACAGAAAGTTACGGAATGGGGCTGCATGCAGGCATTGATCGATTACGAAGGCTGGCGCAAATGGCGTGGATTCCTGGATTCCCCACGGTCCACATCCCCCAGTTTTGACAGTGCGTCTAGTCCCATGCAAGGCGGTAACCAATACTCTCCATCTCACTCAGCCGAATCACCGTCTGTATCTCGAAAATCCCACGTGCCAAAAAGTCGCGTCAAGAGGCCCCATCTCCCTGAAGCTGCCGAGGTTTTGCGGGAAGATTCATGGGGTAGCGGCAGTGGCAGTGGCAGTGTTGAGACCCCCGATGATGAGTCTCCTCTTGTGACGGCGGATACCGACAAACCAGTCGAAACCACGTCTACTCCTGCCGACAGCCAATAATGCTGTCAACAATTCATCCGCCTTCCATCACATTTCCGTATCACCTTTCCATATGTCTCGACGCTCTGTCTCTTCATTGGATACCCATGTAGCAACCGTCATTTGTGTCTTCGCTTGCTTGATCTCCTCTGTTCTCTCATCTTGGTCGCCGAGGCCTCATGAGACCTTCAGCTAAACTATTCTTCTTCGAAAATTTTTGTCTGATTCCATACCATTTATTCTCAACCTTGATGCTTTGCATTGTACCACTTTGTTGCATTTCTAATTTTCCTTTGTCTTTGCCACGCACACATACACGACCGAACATACTCACGTATACGACTGAGCTTCTTCCATGCTCTTCATTTTTCTCCCGGGCTGCTTTGGCTCCAAGTTTTCATTGGACACGGGCCTTCCTGTCTGATATTAGCAGATCACAATATTAATCCCTCTTCGAGCCATCCAAGTTGAATCTACTTGATCCATTATCCCTATGTCCATTGCCAATTTCATCATAGTTGCGAGGGGCTTGTGGTATCTGGCTCAAATGATTACGTCTATCTTATGGACAAGAAAGCATTATCAAACCATACTGTCTCATTAGATGAGTAGCCAAGCACTTCGACGCAGGTACAAGCTGTGAAGTAAGCAAGATCTGAATCCCTCACAGCTCAACCGCAAGCTTTGTGGCGCTGACGCCAGCCTTCAGATTATCCAAAGCCTGATTAGCAGCTGCCAGCCCACCGTCAAGGACCTTGATATGAGGACTAGCCACAACCCGGCCCTTGGCAAGATTCTCCTTCAACCACGTCCCAAACACCCACTTGAGCCACTCATCCCTCTCCTCGGGCTGCGGCCCCGTCAAAAACGCCGTCTCAACCCCCTCCGGGACCTTGACCTCTTTATCCACAATCGGCGCAATCCCATACTTCGAAACAGCACCCTCCTCCCTCAAGGCCCCCATCACATCGACCCCAAGCTGCTGCACGGACGACCCAGCAGCATGCATCCCCTTCGTCATCTTCAACCCATCCTCCTTCGCCGCACTAACAATCTGCTCCACCACGTCCTCCGCCTTATAATCAAATACCCGCTTCGCCCCCCAGACTCTCAATATACCCGTGATGCTGCACACTAGCAGTCGCGTACACGGTATACCCCATCAACCGCGCAACCTGCACCCCGAATGCACCCATACTACTCGACGCGCCCCAAACAAGCACGCCCTCGCCCTTCAACGCCCCTCATCCACCTCCCGCGGCACCCCGGCATACGTCCACGCACTCCACGCCACGAAGGTCGCCATGGGCAGCACACAGCCCTCGACGAAACTCCACGACGCCGGCAGCGGGGTCAGCACGGTCTCGGCCACAAGCACGTATTCTTGCGTCGCGCCATAGTCCGGGTTGCCCTGCGCGAAGAAGGCGCTCGCGAATGCGGTGACCCGGTCGCCGATTTGCACGCTCGACACGCCAGGCCCCGTGAGGGTGATTGTGCCCGCCACGTCGGAGCCGCTGATGGCCGGGTAGGCGGCGATGAACAAGCCGACGTCACGCTGGGCCATGTCGACGGGGTTGAAGGCTATAGCTTGGACTTTGAGGAGGACTTCGCCGGGGCCTGGGGTGGGGGTTTTGCGGGTTATCAGGGAAAGTGGTTTGCCTTTCTCGACGATGGCGGCTGCTTGGTGGGTTGTTGGGAGGGACATGGTGTGGTGAAGCAAAAACAGGCACTTCAAAATATGTATGTAGTTGTGTGGAGGTAGGTTTCGTTCTCAAGGTTATTAGGATTCCTTGGGCGTCCTGGTTCTGGATGTTTGCGTCTTACTTGCTTTTATAGCTTCTCCCTAGGTCTCTTGGGTACCCTGGCGCACGGGTTTAGAGCGGAGTTATGAGATTACGAGGTCGGGCTTTACTATCTCCGTTGAAATGATGGACGAAGATTCATGATGATTCTGTAAAGAGGGTCTTTTACGATGTTAGCCCTCACGGTAGTTCCTGTGGATGATAAGTGATGGTTGGGGCTGCGCCAATCATGGGCGAGGCTGTCCCCACTGAATACGAGGAAGGGTTAGCGCGTGCGGGATGGACCAATCGTTGGCCATAATGCCTCAAAATGGATCCGTGTCAACCCAAAATGTGGAACCTTACTTGCATGGCTGGCCTCCATCTGAACATTGAATGATTGGAATCATGCCAACGCCCGGGTATGTAGCTATGAGGCACTTTTTTATTTTCAGTTTGCTTCCCTAAATATATCCAGGAGGAGGTCCAGCTATGAAGCCATTTCTTCCTCTTCTTTCCGGAATATATTTCCTGGTGTCTGCGACGATGATGGGCATATAGAGTAGTTGCTGGCCATTGTAATAACTAAATCCCGTGTCATGGCTAGTCCGAGGGCTGTCCCTAGTATTCCAACAATAGTAACAGGAATATTTAAGAAGCGTGTGCAACGGTCCTTCAAGACGGAATTGTGCACCCGTCCGGAGTCCGAGTCTACTGTACAAATTCAAGTATAGGTGCTAGCAGACATGATCTGGTCTATCGGCTTGAATTTGATACGTTAGCCTCCCAGACACTCAATGTCAAGAACAAATGTGCGGCTTGTCGAGTAAGCATGTCATAAGCACTAACGTTAGAGCCCCCTATCAAAGTGTGGCTGAAAGCGGGCTCCATACCAGGTGAAGTGGTCGCAGCCTTCGATTGCATCTCGAGAACAAGAAAGATTACTCAATCTTCTTTTTCATCCTCTGTGGTTACAATTCCCGGAAGGTGAAAAACAGCCTAATTGCTTTTCTCGCGAATGTGGAGTTAAGCTTTGCTCGTCTATTGTGGGGCGCCCCTGTGCACAGTCCTGCTTCTACTATTTCAGATTGTAGCCCCACAATCCGAGCCCTGTTCCCGTATGGCCGACTCTGGTCCAAGGCTTTGGGAATCACTCTATCCAATCGAAGAATGGGGAACCTTGGACGTAGAGATGAGGGTCTCTGCAAGCCTGTCAGTAATTGCACAGCTACAATATATTCTATACATGGCCGTTGCGACATCGGGACGACTCCTTCGTAAGCTCACGATGTACCCACTCAACAGAGCGCTAAACAATAAGCGGGCAAAATCCCCAACAGCTGACTGTCTAATTCTCCCCAAGGAATGCTCTAATAAACCGACAGTATACCATTGAGCGGCCTGGATGGTTAGTCTGTATAAATAGCGTAGCACAGCGCATCTAACGACTTCTACTTGGTTTGACCTCGTATTTGGCAGGAGGCCGTGCCTAGCACCCCCCATTGATCAACATCACGATTGACCCAATAGGCCCAGTTCCGTCCTAACCAGAGCTTTGGCCACTTTGATTACTCTTTTCAGAGCCACCCCCGTTAGTTATTCCACTCTTGAATGAATTAAGCCCAGCCCCCAAGGCTGTGCCCATTCTCTGCACTTAAAACCACTGTGATCCTTCGAGCTCCTCCCAAGAACCAAACCACAATGAATACCTCCGATTCTCGACCATGTTACTGGCCTGATGGGAACCCAGCCGCCGGCGTCGTACCTTGCACAGACGATGAAAATACTCATTGTTGCGGTACCACTTCCATCTGTCTCACGAACGGGTACTGTTCTAGACACGAACCAGCCATTCGTCGTGTCCCGCGGGGGCTGCACAAGCTCGAACTGGGGCTCTGGCTGCCCAACCGAATGTCGTAAGTAGCCAGCTTGCGCTCGCGCAATCACCGTCTCACTCCACCCATGCCGGACACGCCATGCTAATTAATCTTTTTTTTGTTTCCCGCATTAGAAAACGTCACCTCGAACGAAGGCGCATCGATCATCAATCTCTCCTTCATCGACGGAGTCTCATTATACTGCTGCGGCACCCCGATCGTCGACGGAGCTTCAACCGCCTGTCCCAGCGGCTCGCCTTTCCAGATGGACTCGGCGGAATTGATTCTCGGGCGCGCAGGCCTCTCGGGCGTCACCAACAGTTCCTCGACCGCTACGTCGAACTTAACGGCCCTCCCCACGGGTACGGGCTCTTCATCGCCGCAGGCTTCGAGCACGAGCGGAAACCACGACGCTGCTATTGGGGCGGGGGTTGGAGTCCCGCTGGGCGTGATCGCGCTGGGATCGATTATTTGGGCTTTCTGGGAGAGAAGGCGCGCGAATAAGGCGAGTCGGGCTTTGACTCGCGCGCCATGGAGTGACGAGAGGGAGATGGCGAGGCGCTGGGGAGGAAGAAGTACGGCGCCGACAGAGCTGGATTCTGGCGGGTACCCCTCGGAGTTGATGTCTAGCGAGCGGAGTGCGACTCATTCCTGAGGGGAGAGGGTGCTGGGCGAAGAGTTGTTCTGAAATACTGATACCCCATTTAATATTGCAAATAATTGAATAGCGACATTTAGTATCTAATTAATGCTTGTTTTACCTCGAAGTTCTGGATCTAGATCTGTATTCGTATCTGCATGCTGCTGTGGCAGGAACGTGGCGAACGGGTCGTGCCGGCCCAGATGTGGCACTTGTGGCTGATCTAGGGCTTTTGTGACGCGACGCCTCCAAACTCACGCCCTGACGCCTCTTGCCGTCCCCAGGCGAATCTACAAGGCCGCGTTTGGGTACAGAAAGATGACCGAAGGGAGAGACATATTGCTTCCATGCTCTGGTAAGCCTCTAAAAGTAATACTCGGCTATGCGAGCCGCATGTTTCATGGAACTATACCGTTTCTAAGTTACCGGTTTCTGCTCCTAGATGATAGGATGTTCCTCAAAGCTGAGAGGAGCCATTCCCGTTGCCTATCTCGAGATCCACACCTGTCATATCACCTCCGGTAGCAGACATTCCAGCCAAGGGTTTGCAAACCCAAGGAATGGGAACTACACCTCGTTGCAGTGGCAGCGTAGTTTCAGCCAGAATTTTGCGCTGTGCTGGATGCAGGAAGCATCTCGACCATCACTCACCTTTGTGAGCCGTCCAAAATACTCATAATGTAAGCAAAGCTCACGAGTCATCGCATCAAGAAGCCATACAGGTAAAGGAAATTGATGAAGCACTAGGGAGACTCTCTCCAACGGAAAACCAAATGTTCTAATCCTTTTGGATATCAAATATTCGGCCTCTGTAAAGCCCATTTGTAAAGCTCATCCTTTTCAAACTTTGCCTCCCCACCATCTCAAACCCACACTTTTCTAGCACGCGAGAACTGCCCTTGTTCTGCTTCTCCGAGATTGCCCAGATCTTCTCCACGTCACCTTCCTTGACACCGCTTTGTTCACGATCGCGCCTCGGAAGAGCCCACCACATCTTCAAGAACAACTCCAACGCCTCTGTCGCGAACCCCTGGCCCCAGGCTTTCGGAGCCAATGAGTACCCAATCTCCGGACAAGGATGCACGGCGTTAATGCTGATATAGCCAATGACTTGTTCCTGTGACTCTGGAATAGATTTGTCCAGGATGGCATAATTGAACGAGCGACCAATGATATCACCCGGGCCCATAGAGAATATCTTCCCTGCCAGCCAGTCTTCGGTCTCTTTAATCGACTGAAAGGGCGTCTTGGGGTGACTAACTCCTCCGGTGGTTAGCATTTCTATTTCTGGCCATTGTGCATCGGTCGAGCACTAGTAATACGGACTTTGTTTTCGCAACCTCCGGATCGGCGCGAATAGCGTATAGTGCAGGCGTGTCGCGCTTGGCTACCGGGCGGAGGAGCAGTCGATCACTCTCGATCGAGGGCCCCGGAGAGGGAATAAGCACTTCCACTTCCTGGAAGGGGAGCAGCTCGGTTTCGGGATCCATCCTAAGCTTCTTTACAAGAAAGATGCGTCGATGAGAGACGATATTCCGGAGGTTCTGACATGGATTATTGGTTGTCGATTGAATTTGCTGTTGGCGCTAATCCGGTCTCGGAGCCCGACTGTCACGGAGTTTATTTCCTTCTCCGCAATTATGTCTTTGCCCGCTCTGACATTTCTTTCTGAACAGCATCTGAGTACGGGTGATGCTGAGGATATTGCAGATCGCCTGAGATTTGGTTGACTGGGATTGGGTATGTTCGAGATAAGTAGTATGATTAACTCGGTAAGTTTTCCACCGCCGATTAATTGGGTTCAAGACAGATCCTGCAGGCATTCCTTATAAGGTCTACGGGACCTGAAAGTTCAAGCTAGAGGTGAAGCTAAATAGTCTTGTCTTGAATCAGTTGTCTCCTAGATAATATTCCTTTTTGGGATCCAATGAGCCCATCTGTTTGCGGCAACTCGGGTGCGTTTCTCCTGGTACTAGTCGCGCTAACCCCAGCAACCCCATATTCTGCCTGTCAAGACATCCATCTCAGTGATCAATTGACGGCCGCCGCTAAAAAATTTTACTATTATCATGTGTATTCTTGAATCACCATACCCCAGTTCCAACATTGGCTGGAAATTACCGGTTTATTTCTCCGAGCAGATTGCGATCGTCCAGGAACCGGTTGACTGATCACCATGGGAAGTACATGCGTCATTGTTCGAGCAGGGTTGGGCTTGGCTGGTTGCGAGGGGTGAAAGGGACGATCAGTCGATTTTTATTGGGGTTGATCGCACCAAAACCCACATGTCTCAGAACTCTCGGACACGCGGATTTCCGATGCTGATCGGCTGGGTATAAATAATGCAGCTCTTAATCTGCCTCACATCCCTTATTCAAAGTTCTGCCCGCGCTTTTGAGGGCAAAAGATTCCATTTACCTGCAAAATGAAGTCCGTCACTGCCCTGCCTCTTCTGCTCGCTGGTGCTGCCTCTGCCCAGACCATCCAGTCCAAGCCCTTTGAGCTAGTCATCCAGTCTGCCAACGAGACTCTGAATGGCCAGCAGTTCACTGCCTGCCACTCCGGGGCAGCCATTGAGTCACTCTGCCTCAATGGTAACCCCGGGTCCCACTACTATTTGAACACTACCGAGGGAGTAAAGTCCCCTCAGAGTGGTGTCTCTGCTCCTGGAGTCATCGTTTGGAACCTCCCCATCGGAAACGGTACTTTTCTCTAGTCCACCCACCCTGATCCTGCTCTAACGTGTTTTTAGAAGCTCCTGAGCCCGAGGCCATGAGCTTCTACACCGAGCCTGGCACCAACGTCGCCATGCCGATGTTCTACCCTAGCTACGGCGAGGTGCAGGTTGTGTTCGATAGCAAGGACCAGATGGGGATTTATTCCACCCTCGACGACACCGTCACTCCCCCGAGCGATAACAGCAAGGGCAAGGTCCTCAAAAACTGGTACCTTTGCGATACTGTCTTCAGCGGCTACCAGTACCGCACTCTGAGCTGGGTGAACGGCAACGGGAGCGAGAAGCCCCAGAACCCCAGCTGCGTCCACGTTGAGGTCGAGCGCAAGTTTGTTTAAACCCAAGGGCTCTGTCTCATGGGATAAATCTATGATGATGACCCACATGGACCCGTGCGACTTGCGACAAGCTGATGTGTAATCATGAAATGTGTTCATAATGGATCTTAAATAGACTTGAACATACTACTTGTAAAGCTTCTGATCCTTTTCCTTAACACTTCCCAACTCTTCCCAACTTTATGCCATTTCATGTTGAATCGCAATGGATGAATCTATTCAACGCGAAGCTGAGATGATACCATCAGCCATCTGCGGTAACGTCTCCGCGAAAACCTCAAGCTCCGTATCAAAGATCTCCGCGCATGACTCCTTCTCGTAGACCGAACAATATGCGCCCCGGAACCCAACTTTCACCGCTGCGGTCACATCCCACATATGAGCCGCCGCGAACCACTTCACATCGTCATCCGCAAACCGTGCCAAAGCAGGCCGATACGCAGCAAGCGCCGGCTTCGCCACGCCCTGCGAATCGCAGCTTATGAAGTTCTCCGCCGGCATACTCACGCCCGCACGCTCAAAGTACCCGCGCACGCGCTGGATATCCGCCGTGGTGAGCCCCCACACCGTGAAGCCCGCCTCTCGCAGCTTGGCAAAGCATTCCTTGGCTCCAGGTCGGAGCTCGAGCTCCGAGTAACCCTGCGCGCACCGGTCCCGCTCGTCCTCTGTGGCGAATTGCCGTGGATCTTCAATGCCCATCATGTACAGGGTGCGGAAGAAAAGAGCTTTCAAGATCTCTTTATAAGGCTTATACCGCTCCGAGATGGACAGGAAGGTGAATTCCAGTTCGGCGGCTGTCATCCATGTAAAGCCCAGCGAGCGAGGCGTGATGTGGTGCGCCCGGAGTCTGTCACCGAGGACCTTGTCGATGCAATTGTAGAAGGCGTCGAATGAGACGCATGTTCCGACAATGTCGAAGACGACGTGTTTTTGAGATACCATGTTGAAGGGATGGAAGAGTTGTATGTACGGTCGAGCTGACTCTGGGAACCGCCAATTGACTCGAGGGTATTCATGCGCCCATTAAATAAGTCAGTCTTCTAGCCATGTTTGAGTTCCCCACGCCGTGTAGGATCCACCTGCCGGACTGGTGATACCCGATTAGGAAGGGGCGGGCCGGTGCGATGCGATTGGCCGGCGGATCTATATCGACACCGGCTTATCTAGACGCGCGAAACATGAGATAAGTATGGGTCTCAGCGTGATTGGGCCTCAGCCCCTGAGCACACATCGGTATTAAGTCTTGTATTTCTATCCCGGAATTGGGCATATCGGTAAGGCTGACGGGAGTTTGTCACATCTAATTCTATTTGCGTCCAAGCTATAAAGACATCTATTCATTCACAAGACGTCTAGACTACAAGATCAAAGTCTCGTAGCTTCGACAATTTCATGATACTTTTTAAGGCGGTGGTCTTTAGTCCGGAGAAGCGGGAGTTGGCACGCATACGACGCGAAAATTCGACGGGCTGGACGTAATTGAACTTCCTGAAGAATACTGTCCACGTAGCCTGAATACACAAGGGAATTGTCTCCGGACACATGGACGCCATCGTCAGCAATATCTGTTGATTGACAACGTAAAATACTCCTTTCATGTTTTCAATTCTGCACTGGCAACGGGACAATAAGTCATACAGAATAAATACAACAGGCGGATATACAAGGGCATGATGAGGATCCCCAAACTGTACAAGAGGGGTCTTTCGGTCCAAGTATTCATGAGAAAAGGCAATCACCGCTGCAGGCCTCAACATGTCTACGCGAGTCCATAGAACGAAAAGAATCCGAGTATGAAGTTTTCAGTAGTCATTTATCCAAGTTGTATATTGTAAGTTCGCCTTGTAGTACTCCGGCGCCTACCTTCCATCGAGGTATCCGCTTCGAAGGTTCTTTCCCATGGGATTGTGTATTTACCGGCCATGCTGAAACGTTCCATCTACGTTCCTGCCTACCTTGGTATGCATTCAGGTACTTACTAACACACGGCTTCCCTCGAGGTTGGGGTTTTCCTTCAGTTCCCCTTCGCCTACTTGTTGAAGAGGAAAGTTCACACTCAATTCTTTGGAAATTGTCTTTTGCTCCAAATGGCTAACTAGCACCTCGCGGCAGCCCATCCCGCCTGAGTAGCTGGGACCTAGTTTGCTGCCCCGGCTCTCTGTCAGTTGTGGCAGGCCACCTGCGCAGCGTCTCTCGAGGCACCGAGCCTCATCCATTTTCACTTCAGTTTGCCATCACTCTATCCCCCTCAAGTAATGGGGTGAGCAGTTACAATCTCTCCGGATTGTGACGACTGTGGTGAGCGAATGTGATCTTGGAGTAAGGATTTGCCCATATGAGTATAGATAGGCTCCATCTTCGTAATAAGGGTCGATGTCTCTGCCACCTGCTGTGACTTCATAAAACTCCCTCTCGGCGGTCCAGTCGGGACCACCTGGGCATACTAGGAATGACTGACGTAAACAGGGTCCTGGTCTCTGAGAGCTGAGTGCCAAGTGCGAACAATCTGTTCATTGTTGGGGGGTTATCTGGCTGGTATGAATGGGTCGAAGCTCGGCGGCTTTGATAGATCCCCATTCTTGTGAGCTTGGAAGGCGTAAGACATGGAGATGGAAGTTCTCAAGATGGTGAAGCTTCTAAGAAGCTTATGTCCCAAACCAGACTGTGGCTCATAGAGACATCCAAATACAGCTCTGCATAACCCACAGAGCCTACACCCCAGCCAAACAAAATCAATAATGGCCAATAACGGGCTGGGCTTGGGCGAGGTCTATATCTAAATGTCTTGGAATACGTTACTCTACAACTACCTTGGTAGGGCCAGGTAAATTCATCGTGAATGTACAGTGCACCACGTACAATTCGGAATTTAGTAGGCACGAACCGGCTTACGTCTAGAAAAAAGGGTATACCATGCTTCCCCCCCCCCCCGAAAACCGTCGTTTCCTCTCTACAACACCCTCCAGAGATTTGAATCATGGAGTTCACTACTGCTACGTTCACAATAACCTCTACTTTCGTTCGTGTGAGCTCTGCTTCTTCTACTTTACTTGTCGTCCTTGGCAAGCCCAACATCAGCGAACCAGTCTTCAGCCATAGATGCTTTGACGAAGATACCGCCTCAGCTTTGGGCCACAGTCAAAACTGTTGCGATAGCAGCTACTGTTGTCGGCTTTCTCCTCCTGCTTGGCTTCGGGGGATATTTCATCTTTAAGAGGGTGAAGGCGATCAAGGATCAGCCGCGTGAGGAAATTCCGTAAGTTGAGGATTTCTCTCCTGGGAAGCCTGGGGAAGGGGTTCTCCCAGATGACTAGAGTATCTGTAGATAGTAGAATGTTCGAAAAGAGCGAAAGAACGACAGGGAAACCCATAGACATGGCATACATTGCCTTGAACCTATATTTACGGTCAAACTTCTCAATTTACTTTCTCAGTAAGGCATCCTCTCATTCCAACGTATCGCAGCTAGCTTAAGTTCCAATGGACTGGCCTTACTCTATTATCGTGGTGAGCAGGTGGGATTGCATACGTACTGCTCGCCGCGGATTGGACCCCGTAGAGTCACGTGATCAGGGCCAAAAAAAAATGACATCGATCCCAACCTTATCGTCTCCGCGCTTCAACCTCGATTTATTGTCCACTCCATCCTTGATCGCCGATAAGCCCAGGCTCCTCTTGCCTGGCCCGACTACTCCGCATCTTTCTTCTTCACCAAACCCGACTTCACTCGACTTGTACATACCATGGATCACTCCCGCGATCCTTGCCCCTGGGTGGCTCTGAGCGACTTCGGCGGTGCCTTCTGCATGGGTGCCATCGGCGGTTCGGTCTGGCACGGCATCAAAGGTTTCCGAAACAGCCCCTATGGCGAGCGCCGCATTGGTGCCCTCACCGCAATCAAGGCGCGCGCCCCCGTGCTCGGAGGTAACTTCGGTGTGTGGGGTGGTATGTTCTCGACATTCGACTGCGCCATCAAGGGTATCCGCAAGAAGGAGGACCCGTACAATGCTATTATTGCCGGTTTCTTCACTGGCGGTGCTCTCGCCATCCGTGGTGGCTACAAGGCGGCCCGGAACTCCGCCATCATGTGCGCAGTCTTCCTGGGCGTTATTGAGGGTGTTGGCATTGGTTTCCAGCGTATGATGGCTGATAACACCCGACTCGATGTAAGCTTATGTCCCGCTTTCTCTCCTGTGCTGCGTCTTTGCTAATGTGTTTCTCGGTCTAGCTCCCTCCCCCTCCACCATCCGAGCAGAAGGCTATGGCCTAAATACGCTCCGCGTCTTTCTTCCTGTGCGATCACTACACCGACGATTGCTTACTTTGTAACAATACCATTGTGTTATGTCTCTTCTTGGGCGTCTGATCCCGAGGGATTTGTTTTTGGAGCATTTGATTTTCATGGACGGCGGGTCATTCTCATGGATATTTTTTTAGACAAGCGTTTCTCTTTGTGGTTGAACAAAAGAATTTCTCTCCTCATTCCACAGCCCGTGCTTCAGTAGAACTGAACTTTTACACTACCCACATTGACGCGAGGTCCAGCCCTCTCTTGAGATTGAAGATTGTAGATCCAACATCCCGCTTTCTATCGTTACTGCCAGTGGTTCAAATCCCGAGTGAATCCGAGGACAGTTATGTGAGCTCTCAGGTGGCCTGGATCTATGAGCTCCGGGAGCCCAAGCTTGAACGCCGAGTGAAATGATGGGCTGCCGCCAAAATTGCTACGTGTAAAGCGGCAGGGCGACATCTCATCCTCAAATATGAAATATCAGTACTGCCTTTTCTTTCCGCTGGAAGATCCTCACTCTAACTTGCGTGAGAACCTAGCAAAGATCCATCTCTTCGTACGAGGTGCAAGCTATACAGTTTCATGTTGCTATTCACGGACAAGATCTTCCATTGCCAATACTATCCCCGAGTCGGCAGCGTATGGAGCGACCAAGGAGAAAACAGTGATATTCCTTAATTCCTAGGATTGGGCGTCGTAGGTTATATGGCGGAAGAGTCAAATAGTTGGAGAAGGAAAAAGAAATTCCCAGGAAATTTTTGGTAGTATCTAATGGAGGAAGTCAAACCGGGTTGATTTAACTAAAACCTGGTGCTTATTTAGAGAGTCAGGTGGCTTAGGCTGTACACGGGAAGGGGAAAGTCTAGAGAAAAACAAATCTGGTTGGTTTAACTGAATCCTGGTGTTAGTTCCTCGAATTACGTCTTGGAGGGCGTCCCGACGGTATACTGGCCTCAATTCCTCTGCCTACCAGCCCTTTATCATACCGGTATGAGCCCCAGGGGGCTGGCCATCACTGAGCTGAAACGAGCTTAGCTCTCAGACCGAGTCCCACCACATGCCTCCATTCATTTAGCTGACCATATCGCCATGGAGGACCTTGCTGGCAATACAAACTCCTGTGTATGGCTACTCCGTAAAGGCTTCTGGCTCCTAGGAATCCAAAGCTTCGCTCCCAGTCTCAAGCAGAAGGACAAAAGAACAGTGAGCACCGCATGGTCCACGCCATCCTCAAAGACTGCGGTGCCTATCAGTCATTGACGAAAAGTCTGACTCAAGATGGCCTCACTAACTAATGGGACACGCCGGCACCGAAGGATCGAGGACCCTGGTAGCAAACCTTGGGAGATCTTCCCAGTTTTTACCAGCCATTTTTCTCTTTGCCCCTGACCATATCGTAACTTCTTTTCCTGCTTGATTCCATACTCCGGTTCCATGAGAAATGAGTGCAAGAGCTGACATATGGAAAGTTCTTCGATGTGGCTCAAGTACTCGTTTCTATACCACGAGGTCGAGACTGGCAGCAATGTCTATTACATGCACGGCAAGATCCGAGAGTTTGTCTTCTCCATATCAAACTTCGATATCGAGGGTATGCTTATACCCTTCGTATATCAGACCAAAGGCCTGGCTGAGGCTGTTTGAAAAAGACAAGTGATGGGGACGAGATAGCAGACATCGTCCTGGGGTGCAATGGACGGCTCTTCCAAAGTGAAAAAGGCTAAGAACAAGTTACCCCAGCGTACACTTCATCTACTTGAACAAGGCACCAGCTAACACGAAATATCCTTTCGGCAGAATGCTACCCTTCCCCTGACTCGATGCGATAAAGCCCAAAAACAAAACTTTTCATTTCCAAATATACATGGATGAGGATTAAGCAATTATCAATAGGAGGTTCTCTCTTATTATGTTGACAGCTCTCGGTCATCTCCTTTCTCCATATCTCGGGGCTCTGTCCATGCGATTGTGCAAGGGCCATCCATGGGAGTTTCGCTCTACCCTTCACAGCCCTACAGCTGTTGCTTCCATGCCCGAGAGCTGCCAGTGTGCTTTTCAATGGGTTTAAGCCGTGCATTGCACTATGAAAGGTATGGCACTCATCACGACCAGAGGATGTTCAGTTTTTGGAGCCCAGTTTTAGGCTTCGGCTCGGGCTCAGGGTTATCCAAATATTGCTGAATGAATGGTCGGATAGGCACATCCTCGAGAGGAATAACCTTCGTCTTCATCACAAGTTTATAACCACCATATACCACGATGATGAAGGGCAAGTTGAAGTACGAGGAGATGAAAGTCTCAGTACTCCAGTGGCCATGGATGAAAGTGGTGTAACCGCCGGTGAAAAAGAGGATGATGAAGATGATCAACGCAATCCAGGAGCTGTAGGGCTGGAACGGAGCAGCCCACGGCAGTTCTGCCTGGCGATTGACCTGTTGTTTCTTGCAGGCATAGAAAAACCGCAAGTACACAACGAGGATGCAGATCCAGTTGACAAGAGTGGAAATGGAGACCACATTCTGCAACCAGTTGAAAACATTGCTGGCAGAGCTCGAGAGCGTCATGTACCCCAATGCCATGAAGATTCCATACAAAGCGACCGCGATGTATGGAATACCGAATCGGTTGATTTTGGTGAAAAAGGCGGGCGCATGGCCTTGCTTGGCCATGCCATAGAGAATTCGAGAGCCGCCCAGCATGTTGGAGTTTCCTGAGGACCACGCAGAGGTCAAGACAACCGCGTTGATGATCGAGGGCACGGCCTTGATTCCGGCGTTGCGCGCAGCGATGACAAAGGGCGACTGCGATGCAGTGCCGGAGGATTTGAGGAGGTTCGGGTCGGTGGAGGGCACGACAAGGCCCACCATGAAGATGGTTACCACGTAGAAAAGCAAGATGCGGACGAATATTCGCCTCGCAGCCATAGGGATGGCCCGACGGGGTGATTTGGTCTCTGCGGCCGCGATGGTGATATTTTCGATGCCGGAGTAAGCGTAGAGCGCGTTGTTGAACGCAGACCAAAATCCCAAGAAGCGACCCCAGGAGCCACCGATCGACAAATACTGCACGAATGGGCCAAAGGGTTCTTTCCAGTAGGAGAAGCCGATGGCCTTGTGGTTGGGACCTCCGCCACAAGTAATCACCAAGGCCATGATATTGATGCCAATGACTAGCATGATCTTCAAGATGGAGAACCCGAATTCAAGCTCGCCATAAATCCGCACAAAGAGAAGGGCGGTGACGATCATGAGAATTCCGAAGATGGTAATCCAGATTGCATTGTTGATCGTGACCCAGAATTCCACAATCACAGCCGCAGCAACGAGCTCCGATGGAATCGACACAATATACGAGTAGACTTGGTTCCAGCCGTTGGCGAAGGCGAGGGCAGGATCGCAGAAAATCTCAGCGTAGCGTATGACTCCACCGTTGAGAGGCACCAAAGCACCCATTTCCCCAACACCAGACACCACGCTGGCTGTCAAGATGCCCATGAATGTGTAGGCCAGGAAGGCCCCTAGAGGCCCAGCAGTGGCGATGGCCTTCCCGGAGCTCAAGAAAAGACCTGTCCCAACTGTGCCTGCCAGAGCAATCATTTGAATATGCCTCTGGTGAAGGCCTTGCCTGAACTCATGCAACTCTTCCAATTGGCCGGCCACATTTTCAGGCTCCGGCTCTTTTCCCATTTCTAAGTCGCTTTCGGGGCGTTCCACGTCCGAGACCAGCTTGCTAGACTTGTCCTTGCTTGACGACGCACTGCTTATCACGAAAGACATGGTGAATGATGTTAGATGGTCGAGACAGTGTCAGAAACAAAATTCGAGTATAAATACTCTGCCACGCAGGCCTAAACAAAAGCCCTTCAGGGTTCTTTCTATTTCTCATCATTCCACTTTTTATGCAAGTCGTATAGTGACCCCAACGGGAAGCACCAATCAAAGGATAGGTCAGGCAGCTTATCCACGAGGATTTGGCTATAGAAACTCTGTCGTTGGCCAGTGGGACCGGACCCAGTGCCCGGCGGCATTAAGGCTATTTTCCGCGCGAGACGCGACAAAAAGCTGAGCCCCAGAAAGATAAATCATATAAAGACCGGCAGGTCGCCCTGTCTTCCCCGGTTGAACCAGATAATTCCTCATATAGATCGAACTCCGGAGTTCGGAATGGATCTTCCACAACAGGAAATACCGGCCCGGTGGGCTCGGAGGGCAGACTCCATCCCGAATGGCCACCGGGGTCACCGCCAGAAGCCGTGGCGCCCTTTATAAGGGCGATGGAAGATGAGAGAGCCTTCCATCTAATCAATCAGTTGCAATGCCTCATGCGAATCAGCCCTCAGTAGCCGGAACCTCGCGGTGTGTTCCTGCCGATGCGCCCCTGGAGACGTTCTGGCAGACCCAGCGGGACGAGCTCCATGATCTTCGTTCCACGGAGGCTTTGCCGGAGCACAGTGATATCGTGATCATTGGCGCGGGCTACGCTGGTGTCAGCACGGCGTACCACCTCGTGAAAGATTTCCCGGACGTGGACAGATCCATCACGATCCTCGAAGCTCGCGGAGTGTGTTCTGGCGCAACTGGGCGGAATGGCGGTCACGCCAGACCAGATCTGTACGGCCACGTCCCCAAGTACATCGAGCGAGCCGGGGCACGCGCGGGCGCGGAGGTGGCGGAGTTTGAAGTCGCCAATCTCTTCGCGCTGAAGCAAATCATTCGCGAGGAGAAGATCGACTGTGACTTCACTCTTGCGCGGTCGCTCGATGTGTGGTGCAATGAGGAGGGTGCCAAGCAAGCCAAGGCGATTTATGATCAGATGGTGGAGCACAACTTCGAGTACATGGAAGATGTGATTTTCTACACGGGAGATCAAGTAGAAGGGGTACGTCGCTGGATCCGGATATTTATTATTATCACTTTGCAGCAGTGTGGCCGAGGATAGATGCTTACCAGTCAACAGATCTGCGGAGTCAAGGGAGCAAAGGCCTGCGCCAGTTTTACAGCGGGGACTATGTGGCCCTACAAGTTTATCCTACACTTGACAAGATTGATTCACGCCGCGGGTGTCAACGTCCAAGCCAATACGCCTGTCACATCTGTCGAGCCTGATTCAACCGGGGGCTATTTTGTCACCACACCCAGGGGAAAGATCCATGCCGGCAAAGTTGTCTTCGCGAACAATGCGTACGTCTCCGGTGTTTTGCCTCAGTATCAAAAGAGCATCGTGCCATGCAAGGGGATCTGCACCCGGATCACGGTCCCTGAAGAGACGACACCGCCCTTGCTGAATAACTCCTATATCCACCGAACAGAGGATAACGTCCTTTCATACCTGATTCCCAGGCAGATGGAAGTATTATTGTCGGAGGCGCTGCTGCTGTCTTCCGTAATCACGAGGAGCAGTGGTACGACAACGTGGACGATGGCGTCCTCATCGACTCTGCCAAGGACTATTACCATGGGTACATGCAACGGACCTACCGCGGATGGGAGGACACCGGCGCCAAAGTGGACAAGATCTGGTCCGGTGTCATGGGCTATTCCTACGACCTGCATCCCCATATTGGTTGTGTTCCGGAAGCCCAGGATCAGTATATCATTGCTGGATTCAACGGCCACGGTATGCCAGTGATCTGGCTCTCCTCTAAAGAGCTGGCCAAGATGATCACCATGAACATTCCGTTCGAGAAAACTAGCATGCCCCGACTGTTCCAGACTACTCAGGCCAGGCTCGATCGGGCTTTGAATGGGACAGTTGAGGATGGAGATATTCTGGGGGGCGGTAGCCCTTCTGCTACCAAACCTTGATTTTTGAAGCTTGGATATATATAGGACTCGGATGATAGGAACGAAACTAGAATAATGACAATGAACAGACCTTTTTTTCCCTTTTAAATCTATAATGAATTGGGGCCCGAAGTCCCGCTCGATAGTCGAGACGGAATCTTCGAAATCTCCGCGTTTTCCGTTCGCATCCGAAGCATTCGGATATTGCAGTAGTCGAACATCAGACAGTGGAGTACTTAAGGCTTCGCATCCTCGTCGAAGGACACATCCGAGTCTGCTCGTTCACCACACATCGCACACCGTCATCTCGTGGCTAGTACCGGATTTCGGACTTCCGTTATCCGCTTTGACCTTGATTCCTCGAAAACGCCCCCCCGCATAATCCCTCCAGCACATTGAACCAAGATTACACAAGATACAATGGCCCAAGCCACAGCGCCTCCATCCACAAGCGAAAAGACATTTACCTCCTACACTAAAGAACAAGGCGAAGCCTACGCCAAAGGGCGGCCGGACTACAGCCCTAAATTCTACCAAAGCATTATCGATGACCATGCGGCCACCGGCGGCCAGTTCGACCGCATCGTTGATCTGGGCTGCGGCCCTGGCAACGTAGCCCGGGCCCTAAGCCCGCATTTTGCGCACGCCTTCGGGCTCGACCCGTCCGAAGGCATGATCGCAGTTGCTCGCTCCAAGGGCGGTCTCACTGCGACCTCCGAGCCGATCCGCTATGAGATCTCTACCGCTGAGGACCTGGGGCGGAGCCTCTCGCCTCCAATCCAAGCAGGAAGCATCGATCTGATCACCGCCGGCAACGCCGCTCACTGGTTCAAGATGCAGGAGTTTTGGCACCAGGCGGCTCGCGTCTTGAAGCCACATGGCAGTGTGGTGCTGTGGACGAGCAATCCGGCGAAAATGCATCCGTCGGTGCCGAATGCAGCTGCGATTGACCAGGCGCTGAATGATCTTGGAGAGGGTGCTCTCAAGCCCTATATGGCGGAAGGGAACGTCTTGACGCGGGATGGGTATAGTTCTCTTCCGCTTCCGTGGACAATTGATCCTCCTCAGCCGGACTTCGATGAGAAGGACTTCGTTCGGAAGGATTGGACTCTGCCCGAAGATGACCCGAATCATACCCAGGTTGACCTGGACAAGCTTGAGCAGATCATGGACACTATGAGTCCGGTGACGCGATGGCGCGAAGCCCACCCTGAGTTGCGAGGTACTGATCAGGATGTGGTGAAGATCCATCGTAACAAGATTGCGCGTCTGCTGCATGAAGCTGGCGTGGAACCGGGAAAGGAAGTGCTTACTTCGATTCCCAATCTGGCAGTATTGATCGTGAAGAAGCGAGGCAATTAATCTGGGTATCCAATAGGCCAGACCAGGAATTTGAATCAGAATGCGAACCAAGCCGCTAGACGAATATACAATAGATGGAAGTATCTCGGTTCTTCTTTAAGGCACACGTACTGGGCTGCCAGGTAGAAATTTGGTGGAGAGTTCATTAACCTTCATTTAGAGGATTCATTAATCTTCATTCAATTTTCAGGCTGGAACCACATGCTTGCCGCCACATTTCATTCCGAGTCAAAGAACTCCTCGAGCCTACCTGACTCCGGGTGCGCACCAGAATTATTTCAGAAACATACAATCAATCACCATCGTTTGGATGAGATAAGGACCCTGACCAATCACACGTTGCTGGCTCTTTTGCAATTGCAGTTTAGCGCGTTGCTTTATGCCCCAATTCCAGCGCTGCCATTGGCCCGTTCGGCTCTTGACGTCATGTCTACTTTTTATAGAGTTGAACCAGCCCTAGAGAGTATCGTGAGGATGAATTAGGAATGGTGCATGCAACCTGGACTACATCGAAAATAAAAAAAAGGCCCTTATGACTGCGGAAATTGCCTTACGCCTAGGTCGAGGAGCAGCGGGGGCTCCTTAAAGGCGTATCGTCTCCTATGAGCGTGCTTCTCCTAATCACGTCTGCTCTTGAGATTTCAGCACTGCCGGTGGCATCATAAAGACTACTATTGCTAATTAAAAGTACCAGGTTTCAGCCAGTAAGACAGCCCGACACTCATGCTTCGGACGAGTTGCTAACCAATTCCGGCTTTGATAGAAATGGGCACCCCAGGGCAATATGCCCTTTATGTCTTCTGCATCATCCTCGGCAGCGTTCTGAGCGTCGTGATCGGCTACGCTATTCACTCCATGGCGACGAATGGGTTTTCTGATGGCCCGGCAGAAAAAGAGCTTGGAGAAGAACAACGGGCATACATGAGAGAAGTTCGAGAACGGAATCTAGAGGCCCTCATATACGAATGCCGACGCAAGGGCTAACGTACGAATCGCACGGATACTGTGGGCGAGAAATGGGTAGATGGCGTTATTCTACATTTGAAAGATGTGATATGCTTCCCAAGTTGGTTACTTTTCGGTGAGAGAAACTGCATATGGGCTACAGGCGATGTGATATTGGGATGGATATAGAGCAAATGGACAGCACCGATTGACGCATGGCACACACGCCAGCCTTCAAGATATATCACCAGTGTCCCGGTGCCGAGAGTGTAGGCCTTCACCTTTAGCTCCCCTTATCAGACATTTCGTGCTAAAGGAAAGCACCACTGTCCAAAACTTTGGTATGAGGCAGAGCTTATGGTAGCGTTGGATACCGCGATGCCCATTGTGACAATGCACTTCTTTCCGCACCTAAGCGCTCAGACTGGCAGAGCCGCATCGCTGAGGCAACTTGAGAGAAGCCCGCAAAGACGAATATCGACTTGTTCCAGATATGAACGGAAGGAGAGGCGGGCTCATAAACCACATCGCTACTTCAAGAAGCATAGGACGAATCACCGTCTCGAAACAATCACTGGCATCCGAAGGGTAGGGATGTGGGATAGTTGAGGTATTTGATACATGAACGACGGAAACTTTTATACATGCTCCCTGATATCCCGCCGAGACCCAACGCTGTCGCCATCCACGGTCGACTGAGTGACCTCGAACGTACGGTGGACGCCGACCTCGATCCTGGCGGGGTGAGGTGGACTTGAACTGTTTGTCAGTTCATCCTCACTGCTATTGGAACCGGGGGACAAAGTCCAATTGCTGCCTTTCCTCGTTTGACCATGGATATTGGTCACCACAACGGCCAGCTTGTCTGGCCTTAATCCGCTTTTGTTCTCTCCATCCATTGATCCTAGTGGCACTGGATGTTGCGCGCTGTTGCCGATACGGCGCGATGCTGACTGTCGAGGAAATCCGGTGTAATCACTCCCGGAGCGAGAACCGATCCATTGGCGGAGAAGTGGTCGGAGGGTGGCAAGGCTACCTGCCGTGATGCCGAGGGCAGCTTCGACGTTGGACCAGACTGCGATCTGATAGGTGGAATCTGCCGACTTCGTGAGCTCAAGGTTAGGAGGGCTTTAAAGACAAGGACCAGCATACACAGGAAGTCAGGGTTCGCGAACGTCTTCACGAAGGGGAAACGAATGATCACAGCTGCCGAAGCACTATGGTTGGTCAGTGAAGTCCGAGTAGTGGGAATGACTGAACGTACACGCAGGCCATGCTCAGGATTCCGACGACGGCCAGTTTGGCCTGCTTCTTCATGTGAAGATTGTGAACAATGAAGATTGGCAGGATGCCAACTGTAAAATCACACAGGGCGGCAAAGGCGCTGTATACATATGTCATGGTGATAATGATGTTGATGCTGATGCAGTAGCCCTCGATAGCAGGATCCATGGCAGTGCGGTTCCAGAAATAGTTGACAGGTTTGCATTGGAGGAGCATGAGGAAGAAAAATACGAGACCAGCCAGTACTGTCAGGACCATCACGATGTACAGGATCCAGTTATGAACCCTCTTGATCGTGATCCGCATCAAGAAGATGCAAATGGAGATCTTGGCGAAGATCGATGCAAGACAGTACGCGACTTCGCAGTACCACCAATACTATGCCAATTCGTTAGATACGCTCCTATGTTCGAACGGGTTCTAGCCAATACCTTCATCGCGGTCACGCGGTCTTGGCTCTCAAGGTTAATAAACTTATATCCTGTGCCGTAAAGAGTGCCCCCGATCGTGCAAGCACTGAACATCACATAGAACAGCTAATATCGTCAGTCCTGCCGTGGAGAACCGGGGTAGAGCAGGAGTAGTTACCGCCGCAACAACCATCGCACCATCATCCCATCCGAAGGCTTTCACCATCCAGCCACGGACGTAGCATCGCAACATCACCGCGATGGTGGCTATGGGCATAAAGACGGCCGCCACCGTCTTGACGGCCAGGGCCCTCTGTTCTTCGTCCGTCATCCTAGCGATTCCGAAACATGATCGGAGGATTCTGCAGGACGGTTGTGATTTGATATTTTCTTAAAAGAAAATAAAGCATGCAGAAAAAGAAAGGGTAGGAAGGTCTCGATCTTATTCACGCGCGGCTTCAGGGGCGGCTGCTCTAGTGTGACAATAGCTTGGGCCTTCACGGAATACAAATGGAGAGCGCGCCAGAGCAGACTAATCAGAAATGAGCTAAGGAGATCCACTGAAGAACGCAGGCAATTTCTCGCGAAACTGGATGGACGGGCAGTTCTGCGCACCCCGCGAGGCCCGCGAGGCCCACAATGGCAAATATGAAAAGGCTAGATGATATCCCCCTTCCCGGCCGAGGGGGATTTGTGCAGAGGATGCAGAGGAGCGTTAAGCTAGTGTAGCGAGTCCTTTTCGTTCAACACGGTTGGGTCCGACTGTTACCGCCTCCACTGCGGGCTGGCCAGTTCCCAAAGCAGTAGGAGCCCCCGTCCATGCAGATGTCTAACCGCAAATAAACCTTGTCTAGCGTCTTTTGACCCTCAATTTTGGGTTCATTTGACATTCGACCTTAACAGGGCTTTGACAGGCCGGATCAAATAGAGCCTCACAGGGGGGTTCCAGCGGCCCAATACTAGACCTTTTTTTTGGACCAGGATATTAGACTCCGGGATTCGACGGGACCCGATTCACGAGGCTGCCCAGAGCATCTCCTTTCTTTCCCACAGGCCGCAAGTTCTTGCAAGATGGCGGTCTTGAAACAATGCTAGTACTGGCGATCCGCCCCAAAAGACTATGAAGTGGCAGATGTGGCGTCCGACAAAGAAATTGTTTCGCACGTGGGGACGGGAACGCAATACCCACAGAAGCCACGGGACGGAATAATCGTGGAAGCGAGCGGGGTCAACGGCTCATGTCAGGCACAATTGCCGACCAAATCGAGTAGGAGTCGACATATGATCAGGCCAGATGGCAGCACACCACTCGGTATGGCAAGCCTACACCACCACCTGCCCAAGGCAGCGTGCTTCACCTTCAAATTGTTGGCCTGATATTCCATATGCGGCTCTGAGAGGCAGCTTGGACGCCACTGAGTCTGGAAAAGTCGAGCAGCCCTCGTGGGCGAGCCAGTTGATTCTCTGTGTCGCCACGAGGCCGATCCACTCTCGATGATCATGTCTGGGAAGTGGGTTTTAGTTGGCCACTCGGATGGAAGCCGTCTCAGCAATAGGGGAGCGAAGGTTTGAACCGCACTAGCATCACTCGATTTTTCTAGGGCTTCGCGCTCTACTCCGTACGAGCGGTTCTTGTCCCCTTGTGTAGCACGGATACACACGCCAAGGCGAACTTCGGATAAGACGGGCACGCAAACTACCGGAGAGGATGAAGAAACAGACTATTTTAATTGAACCCGGATTTTTTGGAGCCAATTTCCAAGACGGTGGCAATCGATTGATATTTCTGAACACATACAAAAAGGAAGCTCTTAGCTCTGCTCCAAGTTCTCAACCTTTCAGCTTTCGTCTTTGGCAATGCCCGCCTACGGGCTGAAGGATCTGAGGAACGGCGATGGGTGAGATGTATGTCCTCTTTTTAGGGGTTTGGGGTATTAAACCTTGTCTTCATCCTGGATGTACCAAAAAAAAGAGGGCTTCCCAAAAACGCATTATGCCTAAACCGGACTAATCTACCGAGCATCCCACATCACCTCATTCAACCGCAGAAGAGCATCCGCACTAGCCTTTTTTGCGGACATGAAGTCCTCGCGGTTCTCCGCGCCACGGGGCCCGCGCAGGATCTCCGAGAAACACAGATCCACCAAGACCCGTAGTTCCTCGTAGGTAAAAGGCTCGTCATTCCCAGCAGCCAATGCTTGCTCGCCCTGCGCCGCAAAGGTCTCCTTTTCCTCCTTGGCGTAGTCTAAGGCCTTCTCGGCGCCTTCGAGGAACCAGTCCAGGAACTTCGCGCTACGAGGCAGCGCGACAACTTCCTGGGTGGCGGGATTGGCGCTCGGGTCGATGATAATATTCTTGAGGTTCTGTTGGAGAACGAGCACATCAAGCTGGAGGCGCAGGGCACCGTTCTCGTTCATTGCCCCGATGAAGCTGGTGGAAGCTACGAACACGCGGTCGATTACTCGGGCCAGACCTGAGGTGATGAACCAGCGTTCAGCGGGGCCGAGGTATGTGGAGATGTTCGTGTCGAATGCGATGAGGTCGCTGTTCAGCTCAAGGATACTTGGCGACGCAGATGTGGGCGGATTCATGAGAATGTGCCACCAATTGTCTATCGTGCTTGGCACAGGGGTGGTGGGCTCTGAGTTGCGGTTGGGAGGGGGATTAGGACCGGACATTGTCTTCGTGAGCATGTGGATAATTCCGCACCGAATGTCGACGTGTAGAGTGAGGAGAGCGTTCGAGCCCAGAGTGTGGAGCGATCGAACAGTCTGGTCAAATATTGCAGCCGAATCATTATTGAGAGGGAGGTAGACTGGGGTGTTGAGGCTGTCTCGTCTGGGGTTTACAGCTCCGAATAAAGTCCATCTGCGCGATGGGCGGCCATTCCCTCTTATGCTTGACGTGCTTGCTTCTGTTGCAGGATCAATCACAAGTCTGAGCTTTGTGAGATGGCTTCCGAGCCATTGCTAGTTGAAGAGGTTAGTGGACACCGTCGTCTCTATGGTTCCAGTAGAATAGCCTACCATGCTGTTGTAGAGAAGTGAGAGGGCGACGACAGTCTTGGGGTCTGATATGATGTCGTATGGCTCCAAAGGCACGGCGGTAGTTTTCTTCAAAAGAAGGTCGATTTCCTAGGCCGGTTAACTTCCGGGACTCACGTCCACGTACCGAGGGCCACTCACAGTGTCAATTAAAGTCTGCTTGTTTGTGCCGGCACCTCCAATCCACAGCTCATCGACAATCCCATGGATATCCCCAGATTCAGCAAATGCAGCAGCAGCCTTTAATCTGACTGCACCACCATGGTTGCGAGCTGACACTTTTGTGACCATAGCTGGAAAATGATCAGTATTCTTCAACACTAGATTCTAAGACAAGCATGTCTTACCTTTGTACCAACCGCAGCATTTGTCATAGTAAGTGACAATCTGGTCAATCAGCAGCATTGTAAATGCTTGGTCATGCGGGATACTCGAAAGCATCTTGCTAAACTCTCTCACAATGGTCATAAATTTCACCGTGCCACGGAAGATTGGCCTTGGTGAAACTTGTGACCATTGAGGATCTTCGGTGAAAGAATCTGCTGCAATAAAGCTGAGCGTGCACAGATCTGTCACGGTTTCGTCTAGCTGAGGAAGGAAAACATTGACCATGAAGTCGTCGAGGAAGGAAGTCAATGTGCTCATAGAGATGTCTGAATCGGCCGGCACAATATCCTTTAGTCGTTGAATGAACGAGAGAGACGGTGGGAGCAACAGCTTTATGTTGAACACACTGGGCTCAAGTAGAATTTTGTGGCCAGTACCCGAGTTGCCCCTAGTAGTGACGGAGTCGTCGTTGGTTGCAGCCTTCTGTGTCGATTTCGATACAAGGCCAGGAACGGAGGATTTGAGGATTTCATCTAATTCATCCTGCTCTGCTTTCATCTCCGAGCTGTGTTCAAGATCAGATAGCTTGAACATTTTCTTCATCATCCACGTTAGCTGATAATTCTCCCAATCCGATTGGAAGGGCCGTTATACCTTGTTCTTGTCCCGATTGCTAGGGTGGAAATTCCGTCGCGTCTCTGCCTCCCCGGCCCGCGATCGGAAAGATGCCTCTCCGTCTGTCGCAAGGTAATCATGCAAGAGGGATCGGATCTGTCGACCGTCAGTATTGAACCATAGGCCTCAACAGGCGGTCACACACTTCACTCTGTAATAGTTTCCACAATTCCTTGAAGCCATCAGCAAGATTCGCACGGTTCTTCAGTCCCTCTCGTTGTACTATTCCCGAAACAACGTCGTGCACGACTCGATGGCTCTCGGCAATGGACTCAAACTTAGCATATAGAGCCCAGAGGAATTCGGAAAGAACGTGGCCGCGCTGTTCAATATTCTCGGTTGGGAGTTGAGACTTGAATTGATTATCATGGGATGAGTAGCTGCGGTTCGGAGTAGGATAGCGAGCATCGACCTCCGCGTTCGTTTTGTCGACCACTGCGAAAAGCTTTACCGGCAATCGCTGTTCAATTCGATCAACAGCGACGTTCAGATGACCCATCTTATTAAGCGCCTCGATCAGCAGCTGAATGTAGGAAAATGTGTCAGCTTCTGGATTTCGAGAGGCATCCTCGACCATGGGCGTTGATGCATCGAACTTGGCAAGGAAATTGTATACGGGACGCTCCCATGATCGGTTGCCGGTCCAACTCGTCGAATTGGCCTCTCCCTCTGCAACTGGAGGCTTCCAGCGGTCCGAGCAGTAAGGTGACTTGAGATATAGATGATCGTGCAACTCCTCGATCAGGATATCAGTAAGCGAGGTTTCTTGGTTATTGAAGTAGGCTCGGACGTCGGATAGTGCCCCAATTTCCTCAAGCTCTGACCGTCGTAACAACCGGAGACCTGTGTGGAGGACTTCCACTGCCGCAAGGAACCGCTTGTCGGAAATTCGAGACTCGAGCTTTTCTGGAAGAGATTGAATCTCTTCGATCTGCGCAAAAAGCTGCAATATATCATCGTACTTCTGAGACGACGTTGCGAGGCCTTTCAACTCCGGCTTCGTGGACAGTAGTCCACTCTTCGCATCTTCCAAAGACCCCCTCAGGTTTCGGACACGGCTCTGTGAGCTGGCTATATTGCCTTGGATCTTGTGGTAAGTACCAATAGAACTATTGAAGCCTTGGTGGTGCTCTAGAGGTTGATCTTGTTAGAGCGAGCCCCTTTTGCCGGACAATGGAAAGACTTGCCGTTCACTATCGATTTTAGTGTTCTCTGGATCTGATTGTACATGCGCAAAAACTCAGGTTCTCGATCCGCTTTACCCAAAGTGCTCGTATCCATGAGATTGAGAGCTACATTGACAGGTATGCATTCCGCATCTGTCATGAAATCCCAATCACGCTGGATAGACTGGAGAACCTCTAGAAAGTAGGATAATGTGTGAGAAACTTCTATGCCCTCTGATGGTGTAGGATATCTCATCTACTTACCCTCCACCGACATCTGTTCTCCCGAATCTTCTCCCGTATTGAGCACAGCACCTGGTTCCGGTGAACTCCTCTCGGGTCGGTGATCTGGCGCATAGCGAGGTGCGCTCGGGGGCCCACTCGGAGGAAGTCTATCGTTCCTCGAAGCTTGGTAGCGTCTATCGGGACTGGGGTTCTGCGGCGGTGGTCGGGCTCTTGGACGGGAGGCAGACTGCGGCGGCGGTTGCGGCGGAGGCTGCGGGTGTCGCGGCGGCGCATCGCGGTAATCACGGCCTGGACGCTCACGTCTGCGGTCTGGCGACGGACTCGGACCTGACCCTGGACTGGACGAAAGCGAAGGCTGCTGCGAAGGCTCAGGATAAAAGCCTCCGTAGCCACCAGGCCGACGCTCACCGCTAGCGCTTCGACCGCTATACCCACTCACGCCGAGATTCTCACTGCTGCCGTACCTACCATCACCATTGTCGTATCGGCCGGAGTCGGAGTACCCGTATCCATTGCCGTAGCCGCTTCTGCCACTCATGCCCGAGGGTGTGTCGGCGTGTTGATGGGGAACGTGGTGACCTGTGACGTGACAAGGGGGGTGCGCGGGCCGAGGAGAGGAGGATTGGATGTTCGTGTGGAGTTCAGAGACTATGGCTTGCGCGCGATCATATGTTCGGAGGGACCGGCGACCATTCTTGAGCACGCAATGAGCGACAAGGTGGTCGAGGATGATGCGTGGGGTGCAGTATGGTAACGGGGCGGGATGGGGAAGTCGAAGTCCTTGGGCTCCACATGAGCTTCGGCCCGCATTCCATGTGTTTGAAATTCATCTCGCAGAAGCGTCATCTCGGCCTCTTTCCTTAACTCGTGCAAAAAGTAGAGAGAACAGTTACTGGGGGTGAAATTGTTTATTCAAATGATAATTTCTATATTATATGCGCAAGTACATATTTCACTTGGGGAATTTGTCTTATTTCAACATCTTCGTCCATCAGAGGACCGGCATTTGCCTACCTTACTTCGAGATTGGCTTGGTCTCCCTCTCTAGCCACTTCTGAGTCAACTCGTCGTTATTGAAATAGTGGTGAGTCTTGTCCCAGATCTCTGCGTGGTAATCATTCACCCATTTGATCTCGGCATCGCTGAGCAGCGATGGCTCGATGAGGTTACGGCCGATCGGGGTCATCGTAACATGCTCAAAGCCGAGCCACTGCTTGTCTCCAAACTTCTGAGGAGTGTTGACCTCACGAGCCATGACGACGTCTGGAAAATATCAGTATATAGGAAGTTCGCCGAGTTCTTGGAAAAACCTACTCTCGATACGAATACCAAACTTGCCATCTTCGTAGTATCCGGGCTCTATAAGCATGGTCAGCAATGCAACTTTTCAGCGATCAATTTATGCGCTCACCGTCAGAAATGACGTTTCCGGCAGCAATTGGGACCTCGGTGTACTGGACGCGAGTTCCAATACCCATGGGTCCTTCGTGAACATTCTAATGAGCGTTAGTACAGGAGATCAATCTTGCAGAAACATGTATTTACCAGGTAGGAGCCAATGCCATGGCCAGTTCCATGAAGGAAATCCAATCCTTCTTTCCAAAGGAATTGACGTGCAAGAACATCGATAGCAAAGCCACTGGTGCCCTTAGGGAAAACAGCAGTATCAATTGCAATCATGCCCTTGAGGACGAGGGTGAAAGCACGCTTCTCAAACTCGGTAGGGGTACCGAAGTGGAACGTGCGAGTAGTGTCAGTGGTTCCATCAAAATACTGGCATCCCGAGTCGCAAAGATAGATAGCAGCAGGGTCAATAACGGAGCAGCTGCCCTTTTCTGGCTTGTAGTGGATGACGGCACCGTTAGGACCAGTCGACGAAATGGTATCGAAGGAAAGACCGGCAAACAGATCGTGCTTAGAACGAATCTGTTCCAGCTTGTCTGCACCATCAACTTCATCCAAGACAGTCTTCTTGTTGATCAGTTCATTCTCCAGCCAGGCAAAGTACTCAGTTAACGCGGCACCATCACGGATGTGGCAGGCACGCATGCCCTCCAGCTCAGTCTCGTTCTTGACAGCCTTCGCATCGGCGATGGGGCTACGAGTTTCTTCGACCTGCGCCTCACCTCCGAGGTTAAGACTCAGTGCCCATGAAGCCTTGTTGGACAACAAGAATTTTGTGGGAGTACCATCAGCGGAGTTGCTCCTTGCGGCACTCAAGGCTCGAGCATCCGCGAATATGGAATCGTAAGGCTTGATAGTCACATCACTTCCAAGGTGTTCTTTGACCTCCGGAGTGAGCTTGTCATCATCGACGTAAAGATCGGCAGTAGTAGGTGTAATCACGGCATAGGAAAAGAAAACGGGGTTGTAGGGGATGCTAGGAAAAAGGTTAGCAAGATCCAATAGCTATTTGGAAGACGTTTCATACTCATTTCCACGCAGGTTGAAAAGCCAGGCAATTTCATCGAGCATAGCTGAATCCTGTCAGTTGAAGGCGTTTGCATAAGATGAATTGGTCTGACGCACAGATGATGAAACCAGCCTTCTTCTTCGCCTCTAGCTCTTTGCGCAGATCCGCAATTTTGTCTTGGAAGCTCTTTCCAGCATACTTCACCGGGTGTACTCGCACTTTCTCTTGAGGGCGTGCGGGACGATCTTTGGCCCAGACAAGATCAACCAGGTTTTGCTGGATTCCAACTAAAGAGGATCCGTTCTTCTCAAGAGTCTCCGCCAGTTTCCGCGCTCCGGCTACAGATAGAGGTCAGCTGTGTACCCTATATAGAAGGGTGGGTGCACTTGCAAGCTGTGATCAAAGACGGATCCACTCCTACAGCTTTGCCCCCTTGGGCCTGCTCCGTGGTCCTACAATATGTCAATCCTGCCCTGATGCGACATTGGCGCTTATTCTTCATACCATTCTTGCCACGTGGGAACACCCTCGATTCCACGCTTGAGAAGAGTCCAATTGCTATCCAGCTGTTTGGCAGCCTGGTTGAAGTATCGTCCGTCGGTAGAGAGCGCCGCTTTGTTCAAAGAGATGACCGCGGTGCCAGCGGAGCCGGAGAAACCTGAGATAAACTCTGCGATTGGAAAAAGTCTTGTGAGTCAAGACTGCTGGCCACTATAGACGTTCAATTGCGATAGATCACTTGACTAACCTCGGCGGCCATCGCACGGGGCGATATATTCGGACTGGTGGCTATCCTCGGAGGGGACGACTGTTAGAAACAAGTTTCATATGTCAGCCAAGATCCGGGGGAAATGGGTATGGAGCGTTGACCGCATACTGTAGACATCAACCTTCTGTTCTTGCATCAACTGCCTGAGTCGCGCGAGGCGAGCGCCGGTTTCCACGGTACCCATGTCGACGGCGTAGCGTTGACGGGAGGTGGAGAAGAACCTTGGGTGAAAGGGCCTTAGCGATCGCAAAGAGGACCAGGGAAGGCGGGAATGCAGGAAAAGCATGGACGCCCAAAGCAGGATGCGCCAAGTCTCTCGCAATCCAAGCTTAGGTGGCGGGGTGGGCGGGGAGCAAAGGGCCAGCTGCGCGCCGATGATAGGCGGATTTGATAAACAGCTTGGTTGGCCGCTCCGAGCCGTCTGCATGGTGGGTGTTGTCGCCTTGTAAACCAGGCTTCCACTCGATGAGCACGTGCCGCATCAACATGTTCTTATATGAAGGTCTCTAGGAGTAGGCAAAGTATCGAATCATCGTCATAGATGATTGAGCACAAAGTTACGGAATCGATATTGAGCTAGAGCATATCTACAGGCGAGCATGTAAATTGACGATTATAGAAATACACACAACCAATATTGAGAGATGCACCTAACCACGCCCATGAGCCTATGGCTTCAAGGAACACCACCCAGTCATCGAAGAACACACTGGCATCTAAAGACAACCAGCGATTGATACATTGATGAGCCGATACGTGGAAACGGACACTTAATCACTCCAAGATATACCAGAATGAGAGTCAAAATTCGCGGTGTTTTTGCTCGCTGTTCTTGGCTCACTGTTCCACCGAGTGATTGTGACATTGCTAGATCCAGACTAGCCAGTTGTAAATTATGGGCCCAAAAGGCTTCTTCTCCCACAGCGAACTTGTCAACACAAAGCGGAACTCCCTTACATACGCTCATAGTACTGAAGTCATCACAGTCTACCCCTCATGAAAAATTGCGCCTTCAGGTGTCCCTGCGAAAGATTCTAAGCTCCGAGGTTATATCGCATTTCAAGGACACTTGCCGGACCTCATGGTTTGAGCTGAGACATGATCCACGCCGGGGTCTATTCATCGAGTTACTAAGCGGCCGAAATAACTCCAGGGCTCCGACGTCGGGTTCGCCAACCGTGTCATGGGGATGGACCCAGTAAACACACGATCAAGAACATCCTTTACTTGTGATGCTCAAATTCTCGTAGTATATCGGTGGCAACTGCATCGGAGCCCCTCGTCTTGGGGCTTATCTTAGCCTTGTCGTAAACGGATGACCTGCATTCCCGCTGTCAGGCACAGCCCGCACCGCCTCGTGTGGCGGTGCGTTGTAAAAATAAAACATCCCTTTTTTTCGCGCCTTACACGCCTGACGTGGATCGAGTGGAGAGATCCCAATGGGTACTGGCGCTACTGTGCATGCCGGCGCTCACCGCACAATGGCGCCGGCTCTATCGCTATTCCACCCTAGGGATACCTTCACACTTAGATATATTTTTTCCTTGTAACTATACAGATCTCTGGGTATCAACTGAACCTATGCCTCATATTTCAAATACTCCAGAGTCCCTGTTGCCTCGCTCAGATTCTCGGAATCCTGCCACAACCTGTAGAGGAATTACCTCCCAAGGTCGACCTTGCCGGCGTGCTTTGGCCACATCACCAGCTTCTTCTCCAGCCGTTCCACCTCGAAACAAAGTTGGCTGCCATGAGGCGCCGGATTTAGCTTCATTATATTGCTGGCAGCATAAGGAGCAGGCGATGTCGTCTGCTCCGAGTCCCTCCAACGTGCCAAATCCTCAGGCAAACTTGAAGCCAAGAACTAGCATTGACACGTTGATGGACCGACTCGGGGTACTCGAGATAAAGAATGAGGAGTCTTCAACCAAACCACGCCCCGGCCGGCAGACGGCCGAGAACAAGTTCAATGAAAAGCGTCGCCGCAAGAAGGCTTTCTGTTGCTTCGAAATTATAGATGAAGAAGGCGAGGGCGATTACAGACCATCGAAGCCCATACAAAGACCGGCGCAAAGCCGGCCTACGCAAGGACTGTCACCGGTGCCTCAAAAGCCGTATCAAGGAAGGCCCGCTTACGTTCGAGTTCCGTCTTCAGGGGAGAGGACTTCTTCATCTCCGCACTCTCAATCACATTCTCGACCTCCAAATCCAAGGAAATCCTCATCGAAAACCTCATCATTACTTTCATGGATACCCTCCGCGCTCTCCCCAGCAACGACGTCCCTGCTTCTCACAGAGCTAAATAAGCAAATATCTACAGCCGACGAGGAAGGCTATATATACATGTTCTGGTTGACTCCGCTCAAAAAAACACAGAACAACGCGCAATCTCCAATGCCGAAGGATATCGCATCTTCTTTACTTCCTCCCGCAACGTCAGGACATGCTCGACTCCGCCCACCAGGCCAACCTCGTAGCGTCAGTGATGCTATAAATAAAGCCCGAGATATGAATGCGTTGACATCAAACCCTACATCAACTGCGCCTGGTTCAATTTGTCTCAAAATTGGACGTACCAACAATGTACATCGACGGTTGAACGAGTGGACCCGACAATGCTCCCACGATCTCACTCTGATCCGCTATTATCCCTATACTCCTTCGTCTCCTTCCTCATCGCCGGCCCGTGGAAGCTATGGCCGGAGTACTAGTGCCGACGATGCTCTAGTGCCAGGGCGGAAAGTGCCCCACGTTCACCGCGTGGAACGGTTGATCCACCTCGAGCTTGCAGACTTGCGTGTACGGGATTTGGGTCGTTGTGACGATTGCGGCAAAGAGCACCGTGAGTGGTTTGAGGTCGAGGCAGCTAAGGAAGCACTACGCAGAGTGGATGCGTGTGTCCGAAGATGGGTTGCGTGGGGCGAATCCATGAAATAAAGAACTTAGTGGCCAAAGCTCTTAGAGGTTAGCCAAAGACATAGTATACTTTCATAGATCATAGACTCGGATTTCGCATGAAACACTTCTATATCCAGGATATATGTTCTGATGATAGAAAATGTTTCACAATGTCACCTCTTTCTCCATGCATTATCTCTTGTGTCATGTCTCTTCTGTAGGTTTTATTCAAATTGTACTCTCAGTATCATATAGTTTCGCTCCATAAAGATTTTTTAATATGGCAAAGACAAATATGTTCAATGATTCCTAAAGGTATCACCTGACCAAGATGCAAACAAACAACATACTATTAAGCTCAAACTTGTATCTTTATTAAACCCATGCTGCCACAAACCATCTTCAAGAAGCTGTTTCAAGTTCCATTCAAGCCGATAGAACATCCACACAATATGATTTTGTCGCAACGGTTCTTTCTCGCCAGATTTGGGCTCATTCAGGAAAAGGTATAAAATCAAGAGCATTTCCCAGTGACTGGAGTTAAAGGTCATCTTAGACTCTCAACAGCCAACAAGACACTGTTATAGCGGTAGCTGACTCTACTCAGCCTAGTTCCAAAACACAAATACAATCACCTCTTCTAGATTATCTACGATTAATCAATATGGTTTGCCCGTGGCACCTTTTTTCCGAATGCCCCGCAGCTTGCCCCAGAGGCGAGAACGCCAGACGTGAAGAGCGTGAGCTATCGCGGCGGACAAGTATTGCTGGTCCCCGACACGCTGACTGGCCCTGCAGAGATGAACGCTTAGTTGTCCTCGGCGACCGGGTAACTGGTTGGGTCCATGGTCTGGGCACTCAGGGAGAATGCCCAGTTGTTCAGGGCCTGATAGAATACTCCAAGATAATCAATTTGGGCCACGATACCGCGGTGGAAGAAAGAAACATGGTGCAGTCTGTTTCGAAAGAGGAGATGCACTATAGAACGGCCCAGCGTCTAGGACTGTATGGCATGTATGATACAGCTGCCGACTTTATCAGAAGCGAAATTATTCTGCCTCCCACGGACGAATGGCCTCGACTCACCCCACCTCCCAACACGTCACAGTGGGTGACCTGGGACCTTAACTTCAATGATCGGGGCGATGGGGTCTCTGGATACACCTGCCCTGGGATCATGGTAATCACACGTGTAGGCCACGCGAACCAAGAGTTGCCCCATGTCAATGATATCGCCATCAGTATGTATAGGAAAGCGCACGGGGACCTGGACAACTTGGCATGCATCTATGCTTGTCACATCGGAAACCAGCAGACCTTAGAAGTTATTCGAATTGTGCTAGGGGAGACTGCAATGGCACCTAGGCAGCTGAAGTCTTTTGGACGGCTCAGTGAAGAATTTGCTCGTATCGTGGGTACTCGCATTGGACGTATTGTTTCATATGGCATCATTAGAGCCTTTGGTCAAAATTCGATGCGCATTTCCCGGATCAGTGTCTATAAAGTCAGTGTCAACGGGTCGTGGAATCTACGCTTCGAGCTTGAGCGCATTGCTGCTCCTGGGCCTTATATGTGTTGGCACAACCTCAAGACTGGCGAGAAGAGGGAGATCACAGCGGAGAACAACCCTAATGACTGGCCATAGACTAGTCTAAGGTGGGGTAGCCAGGGGGGTGACTCCTTTACGGCAGTGGTTTACTAGTACTCGATTTTCTCATTTTCTTATGTCAAGACAGATTGCAATCAAACTGAAGTTCATTCTCTAGGAAATCTCTCCATTTCAAACTTGGAATTCCATTGTACCAGGTGGGTGCATTAATAGGGCATCCCACTTACATATCGTAGAGAACAACACAGCGCAGTGGCTACCCAAGCCTCGCTATCCAGGCCCTGGTAACATAAGACCAAACATTTCGAAACCAAAGGATATAGAATTATCCCAAATCACAGAAGCCCCGCAGTGTTATGCAGGTGTAACCCCCACAAAAACCCACCAGATGCCGTCTTGCATACTTGCCCAGCCCGCCAATCCGGGAGCACGGAGAGGGCACGCTGGGCGTGACAGCCTATGACATCACCCGGTATCTAATCGAACCCCAAAACCATCCATAGATTACAGTACATCCTTCGGTCTCATTCTTCTAGAAACTCCAATTGACCTCTTAACCTCTTAAATCAGCCTCTCCTTTTCAAGCTTGCCATTCCTCTCGGAGACCATCTACAATGTCATTCCGCCTATTCTCCCCTCCGACAATTGCCCGCATCGGTCTCGGCATGGGCCTCGGTGTCTCCGCAGCTGCCCTGTCCCCTCTCTCGCCCTTCCGCGCGTCCCCCCTGCGATGCGACTATGGCCCTCCTCAACCGCAATCCTCTGAGCCCGACTGGCTCATTAAAGACCCTCTGGTTCAGAAGCAAGGTCGAAGCGGCATTGCGGCACAAGCTAAAGCTGCGTTCCTGACACCGGAGAACATGAAGGAGATTAGCTTGGGCAGTGTTCTGGGCCTAGTGGCTGGTGTGGGATTGCGGGCTTTCTCTAGGGTATTGGTCGTGCTTTTGGGTATGGGTGTTGTCTTGGTTGAGGTACGTTTAAGCTGGATGTGGAGCGGATGCTCCTTCAATTCTTTCTTCTATTTTGGCTTACTGACTCATTGTTTCTAGTATGCTGCATCTAAGGGATATAACATCATTCCGGTCGAGCGGATTCAAAAATACGTGAAGAATGCCGATGTACGACGTGCGCTCTCGAGGCACCGACCCTTCAAGGCCAGCTTCGGCACTATGATGGCGCTTGCCGCGTTTGCGCAGTTCTAGAAGCCTACCCTGGCGAGATCATGTATATAGAACCAAAAAGGGAACGGAGTTTATTCCTAGGCTGTCAATTAGTTTACAGTCTACGAATTGGCGGGCAGGCCACTAAGCATAGCCAATACGAACTGGTAAAATATTTTGGTTTCAGACAGGGGGTATCATGACTTCAGCGATCTATTGCATACTATTATCACAGAGCAGGGACGAGAGGTCTTCGTCTTCATCCGAGCACCAGGTCTTCCAGCACACCCTCCATTTCATCGCGGGAGAGTGGTACGCCCAGAATCTCCATTCCGCTCGGATCCATCCGGGAGGTGATCATTTGGTGATCGTGGAACTCTTTCAACAGGGTCCGGAACATCATTTCTGAGGATGCGATGAACTCTTCTGTTGCTTTTTGATACAGTAGACGGAACTCCACGCCATGCTCGTCGCTGGGCTTGCTGTCTGCGCCGCCCTCGTCGTCTGATTGGTGGCCATCTTCCATAATGGTGATGACCTCTGTGAGCAGGAGACGGTATAGATTGCGCGCGTTCTCCGGAAGACTCTTGAGCACGAAGCCTACACCATCCTTTCCACCAGCACGTTGGCCCTTGCGACCAAGGAGAGCATTGACTTCTTCCACGACATCTGACTCCACGGCGAATGGTGTGAAGGTGGTGCAGTCGTGGAAGACGAGGTTCAACTGATCTCGCAAACTGATATCCCACATGACAGTGAAATTGGGCGTATCTGCAGTGAGCAGCAAACGGATTCGGGGCGTGGCTGCTAGGCGCGCAAGCAAAGCCTGGTTGGCTGCGCGACGCAATGGCGGAGCGTCAACGGAGTTAATGAGAACAGTTACCGGGTCCTCGTCAGCAGGCCTAGACTTGAGGACGGACTGAAGAAATTCAAGGACTTCTGTAGGCTGTGCACCAAGCTTTGAAGGAACATCTTCCCCCAGTAGCGCTGTCGCAATTGTAGCGAATATGGATCGGATGGAGACTCCGGGTGTGTAGCCATTGACAATGACGATGGGAGGAGAGGTCTTCGATGTAGACCGCTGATATACCCAGTCCGCGAAGTGTTGCACGAGCTTTCGTTTCGAGCCATATCCAAACAAGCAAATGTTGAAACCCTCTTCGAATTCAAAAGCCCATTGAGGGAATGAACGATGGTGCAATGATAACAGGTAATCTTTCTCATCCTTGCATGGATCCGTATGTTGAGCCATTTTGTCGAAATATTCTTCATGCGTCAACAGTGTGACCTTATTTAAAGTCGTATTAGACGTCTTGATAGTGCCTGCTCGGTTCTGGAAGAAGTAGCGCTCGTGAGGGGGCAGTTCTCCCTCAGGTGTAGGAGACCGCTTGTTCCTGGCACCCTTGGGCCGACCTGCCCGACGCTTTGCCGGTTTGGCATCTTTGTCTTTCGCATTTGGATTTTTCTCGGCATCTTCTACACTCTCCACCGGAGCATCGCTAGCTACCGCCTCCGCCTGCTCGTCCTGCAGAATCTCCTCTGCTAGCTGCTGTGACCCGTCCCAGGCAGTGTCCTCATTCTGCTCAAGTAAGACTCGGGCGCTCTTCTTCTTCGCGGATTGATCTGCTTTCTTCAGGCGCGCTGGGGTACCAGCAGTCGCGGCTTTGGGCTTTGCCGGCGTAGCGAATAAATTGCGGGCTTTCGATTTATGCGTCGGTGTCTTCAGACCGGATTCTTTCAACGGGGTTGCGGCGACGCCATTGGCCTTCTTAGGCGTTGACTGGCCTTGTTGAGAGGGCGGGAGTTCGTAGGTAGCGTCGCCGCTGGCGATAGGCGCGTGGCCTTTCCGGGCGCCATTGGTGGTCCGTTGTCGCTTCGGGGTGGAGGCGGCCGGAGGATCGTTCTCGAGGCCGGAGTCTGAGAGCTTGCGCTTCATGGTCGAGCGTCAGAGGACGTGCTTTGATGGAGAGGTCATGGGGAAGGGAAGTAACAATACCATTAGATCCGGAGAATGTGCAACGGGGACGCGATGCAAGGGGAAGGGTGCCTTTCTCAGGGGCTTGTTTTCGGTGGATCGTGCCGTCAATAGCACTTGCAGCAGACGATCGGCAAGTGGAATGTGACAATCGATAGATTGTCCCTGGGTTTGGGTTGGAAATATCGACGAGACACTGGAGATCAAAGTTGGTGTCTCCAGCCGCGAGTGGGTTTCTACGGCTCCACTTCGTATCTACACGCTGAGAGAAAAGGCGCGTCGTTGAGTATTCCCAGTTGAGGTAATTTGCGGTTTAAATAGGCGCCAATAGAAGGGGAATGTTTATCTATCCTCTTTCAAGTTTATATCGGATTCATCATTAAATATTGATTACGTATCTGTATCCATAGGTTTGTACTAAGCTTCAACTTTGGGTCGACTTTTAAGGTCATGTGAGCACGGCCGCGCTGAAGGTATTTTGTGATCATTACTGGTGCCATTGGAAGTGGCAATCTGTTTACACGGATTCTGCATTTTAGCTATAGAGTTCCTTCTAAGGCTGCCTTATTCAATATGCAAAGTCTGAGCTGGTGAAGTCTTATCGCCGATTAGACGGTGGATCATTGCCGGTCTCGGCCCTGGATAGCTTTTCGAGTTCCCACAGTGCGTTGACTCACTACCTCAGCTCCGATCGCATAACTTTCTTGGACTAGGCATGTATCCATGATCTATCCTTGACCCTTGTACAGCATCTATGGTGCCTCATTCCCCGGCTGCCTCAATGGCGGTTAATTCCTTTGCGCGTATGGCCAAGGGCCAGGTCCGGTGCTACTCCGCACCCTTGGATATGGCCATTCCTGCCTCTAAGCAGCGCTATATCCCTACTTCCGGCACATACCCCCAGGGATTCCTGGTCTCCGGCACCCATGTCGGAGTCAAGGCTTCAAACACTCGTTTCCCAGACCTTGCTCTTATCTCTTCTGAGACGCCATGTTCCGCCGCCGCAGTCTTCACCACCAACAAGTTCCAGGCAGCGCCGGTCCAGGTGAGCCGCGCGACCCTGAAGAGTCGCAAGGGACAGGGTATCCGGTCTGTTGTGATCAACTCTGGATGTGCCAATGCTGTGACTGGGAAGGGCGGATTGGATGATGCCGTCCAGATGGGCCACAAGGTAGATGAATGCAGCGGAGTTGAGAAGGATAGCTCGCTGGTGATGAGCACTGGTGTAATCGGACAGCGGTAAGGATCTCATCAACCCATCTGTGTTGAAGAAGGTACACTAATCGTCCGCTTAGGCTACCCATTAGCAAGATCATCGACCGTATCCCCACCGCATACGCCAGCCTCGACTCATCCCACGATGCCTGGCTCAGGACCGCCCGCGCCATCTGCACCACAGATACATTCCCCAAACTCTTGTCTCGTACCTTTACACTGCCTTCCTCTCCAGGCCGCACCTACTGCCTCGCCGGCATGACCAAGGGAGCCGGTATGATCCACCCGAACATGGCCACCCTGCTGGGCGTTCTGTGCACCGATGCTGCTGTCGAGCCTGCCGCCCTGCAATCGATCCTGAAGCACTCCATCTCCCGGTCTTTCAACTCCATCTCTATCGATGGCGATACCAGCACCAACGATACCATCGCAATCCTCGCCAATGGCGCCGCTGGCGGCGAGACCGTGCGCGCCCCAGGTTCTGCCGAGCCCAGTGCCGACTACCAGACGCTGCAGAGCGTGGTGACCGACTTCGCGCAGCAATTGTCTCAGCTTGTTGTCCGCGATGGCGAGGGTGCGACCAAGTTTGTGACTGTGCGCGTACGCAACTCACCTGACTATGAGTCCGCGCGCCAGATTGCTTCTACTATCGCCCGTTCACCATTGGTCAAGACCGCACTCTACGGTCGCGATGCTAACTGGGGCCGGATTCTCTGCGCTGTCGGATACTCCCAGGGTGTGCGTGATGGCACTGTTGTGCCGGAGCGCACCTCGGTGAGCTTCCGTCCTGTGGATGGTAGTCCGATTCTGAAGCTCTTGGTCAATGGCGAGCCTGAGGCTGTTGATGAAGACCGTGCCAGTGCGATCCTCCAGAATGAGGATCTAGAGATCGAGGTTGATCTCGGTGGTGGCGAGCAGGGTGCTGCTGGATGTGGTGGAGAGGATGCTGTCTATTGGTTCTGTGACTTCAGCCACGAGTATGTGACGATCAACGGCGACTACCGTACCTAAAAAGGAATTTCTATATTATATATTTCAGTGCTATCTTTTTCACAGTTCCATGAGAGTTATTCTCATTCAAGTTGTATGGTAGAAGGTTAGCCTCCGAGCTTTGGCTTGAAACTAGACTTACTGTGAGAACTCACTCCTTCTAGTAAGCCCCAACATATCCAGATCCAGACTGTCACTTTGTTTGAAATGTGAACGCCCAGTTGCAGGAATTCCCACTAGGATCTAGTAAAACTAACCAGGTTGGAGTGCGCAAGATTGTCAGTAGTAGGGAGATTATTTTCCGGCTCTCTGTTTCCCCCTCTACAACTACTTCGACCTTTAGGTCGACTGCCAGCTGAAAAATCTGACGACCGTCTACTGCAGCCTCATAGAATCAGCCCAGTTCAACCCCATCATCTCCTACCAAATAATCGCGCATTCTTGTTCTGGTTCTCAATCATCCCTTTCACAACTGGTCAAATTGTGTACCGTGCACCAGCTTTTGGCACCCGGTAGAAGAAGTCGAGGTCAAGGCAGTCAATCCAAATGGATTTGCTTGTTGCAATTCCCCCACCCCTCAAAGACTTTCGGAAAATTTATCCAGGACTTTGATTGTCCTCTTCATAGCTACCCGACTCTCAGTGTGTATATCTAGAATTTGAATACTGTACCCAAAGTCCCCTTGAACCCACTTGGAAGACGCTTGTCAGCTTGAAGAATCTTGAAAAAAAAAAGAGAAAAATATTCGATTTACCAAGGCTGTGTGATATGGGCTCTGTTTTCGAGCGAATTCTCCGCACCGCAATAATAACGAACTCCAGGCCAACCAGCTTGAAATCGAGGGTTAGCAATTAGTCAATCACGGGCATCCCTTTGCCCCCACTAGATAATAAGGTGATCCTCCAGGGCATCGGCTTGGTACTGGCTGCAGGAGGCGAAAACCGGCTAGAGGGAAATTGCGAACTTTCGATAGCTCTTCCGGAGACATTGCGAGGATACCACCAGGAGACCCGTTCTGCTGAAGCCTTTGAGTTTTTCTGTGAAGAGAAAACATGGACTCCCTTTAAGCGAACAAGAGCTCAACAACGAAGGGAAGCTATGAACCAGGCTCAAAATATGCTGAAAAAGACGCGAGGCATGGATTTATACTAATACAGCCTTCGAACACCTTCTGCATATGTCCTAGGAGAGACTAAGATCTAATATTACTAGTAGTGTGTTGGAGGGCAGATGGATCCCGATCGCTTGCCGAGAACCCTCGCAGTAAATTCACGTCCGCCACTTGGGGAGCCCACGTAAGGAAATACGCTTAATACGCTAATCTTGGCAATTTACCGCGGCAGAGCAGACCCCACGAGATACATTCTGAACTTTGGGTTACGCCTTATTCAGACGCACTTTGCACCGGGTCCTCCTAGTCATGATACCATATTAAGCTCAGGGATCTTCGGGATCTGAACGTACCAACCAATGACCTCATGTGGAATCTGGCAAACCTTCCCTTAGTCGTTATCTCGCAAAGCGCCACGAGTCATGAATCAAGATTTTGCAGCCCATTCTCTGCCCCCAGCTTGTCCGTGCACTTCCCCGTGGAGCCATGCAACCGTGGGATCCCCCATACCCCAAAATTCGCCTCCGTTATAAAAGTCTTCGACATCATCTCCAAGTCCCCTGATTCCCTTTCCCTGAGGAGTTCGAACTTTGGCCCTTGTGCTCAGTACCTGGAGCTCGTCTTGTGTCTTATCACACGTTATCAGTCGAGTGAGACCGAGGTAACTCGGGTCCTCGAGTCCAGAACGCGGGGAAGTCTAAAACCCTTTTGACGTCATTCCCACCCTCGAGTTGCTCAAGGGTTGCTGCAGATTGTCGGATTCAGAAGCCTGAAGTTGGGAATTCGGTAGAACAAAGATCCCCCCCTTCCATCGTCTGTTTGGTCTCTCGATTCCGCGGATCTTGTGGTTGGGCTCTGGTCACGTTCACATTCGTGGTCCCACCAGCCCCATAATTTCTCGCCGTTCACAGAAATCGCCAGCAGATAAAAGAGGGGACAACAGTCCGACGCTGCCCAACTTGGGGGTTGTTTGACTGGTATTCCTCCAATGGTCTAGACCTACATCCTGGTCGCGTACTTACATAGGTTCCTGCGAGGACAAGTAAGAGTTATCTTGCATAAAACGCACCTGGCGGTCTTCAAATGGTGTTCTCGCACGACTTCGTACTTGATTCTCGCTGTCCTGATTGACCGCCTCCCACACACCCCCACCGCAGCTTCTCTTAGCTGCAGATGCTTCCGTTGGTCCCCACCGACTCTAGTCTGGAGTCTACTTGCAAGGGGAAAAAAGTATCACGAGCTTTTCGGCTACGGTGGGCAAGTTGCGCTGGCGCTCCCTTTTTGGTCTATCGGGTCGGTGCCTGACTGGGATACCGGTTCCGCTAACAGATCCACTGCCCCTCGTAATCCGCACTTACTTTATTTTTCGTCTCGCGATAATAAATTGGACACCGACCAGCCCATTCAGACTTAACAGCTCTACTACCGTTGACCGAGATGAGACCTTTCCTGGCGGACCTACCCGAGGGCCACGGGAGCGTCTATAAGGAGGTCCGCTTCTCGCCAACTGCGACGCCGCTGCGCCGCGCACAGTCACTCTCCGCTGCTGGTCCAGCGAAGTCAAGATATAACCGGCCATCTATACTCGAGCGCGCAAGGACTATGGATTCATCCCATCTCGATTTGTCGCAAGATTTGTTGAAGAAACAGCAGAAGTATTTCCAGGCGGAAAGGGAGCTTTTTGACGAAGAGAGACGACTATGGGAGAAGGAGCGATCTCTCCTGAGATCTCGCATTGACGAATTAGAAGCCGTGATAAACGATCGGCGCGGAAGGCCTAATGGATTAACTTCAAGGCCGTCATTCGGATCACCCCCATTCAAAGCAAACGATACCAGGTTCCAGGTGGCCCAAGTGTGGGAGGGAACAAGCCCAGGGTCTATGCCAACAAGGGTCTTCAGAGACGGAGACGTTCCTGAAAGCGCCCACTCGTCGCCAATCGTCGAAGTCGGGATTCTCAAGGGTCCGTCCCTTGACGCCGCCCTTTCACCACAAGCATCGGCCATAGACGGCTCAGGCACGACTGTTAGCGTCCCAGTCCCGATCGAAAAGCTTGACAGCAAACTAGACGGGATCACCCTGAAGTCTACTGCGTTGCCAGCTGGGGTCGTTGCCCGGGTTATCACCCCACCATCCCCGTCGTCCCAGGACCCGTCCCCCTCGGGTGCCCCTTCAACCGCTGCAAGGCCGGCGGAAATAGAACGCCGAAACAGTCTCAGACTGAAGCTGTCAGAGCTTGGCCCGCCCAATGAGAACCTCGTGAGGAATGCCGGGCATACTCCAATGGCGATCATCGAGGCCGATGGGAGCCTGAGGACTACCCAGGAGGCCACCCCTCTCCCCGAACCCCAGGAAATCGATCTCGAGGAGGAAGCCCCTCTGGCTCCCGCCGCAACGCACCTGCAGCCGTCGGAGAATGCGCAGTCCTATTTTCCCGATGTCCCTGACGATCCTGCCCTGACTGGGCCCCTTGGTCTCACCAACGACGAGGAACTGGATAACAGTTTCCTCAATGTTCTGGATCAAAAACTCTTGGACCAGGCTAGGCGCATCCTTTCTACGGACGAGTCGGCTGACCCCAACGAAGAAGATTCAGAGTTGCCTAGCCAGGGAGAACAGGAGCCGGAAATCAAGTTCAAGAATTCCACTAATTTTGGCACTGCCTTTGGGACTGCCTAGGTTGAGTTTTCGATAGCAGGCAATACTGGGGGTTTTTTTTGCCTCAAGTTGCTCACGCTAGTGGTTCACAATTTTGTGACATATCGAAATTGGTTGCATTGTCTGGGCTATTGGCTGCTTTTATTTCCCTTCGTGGGTTGCCATGACCGTCTCTCATCTTCCTGTCTGACGCCGGCCTGGTTAGGGTCCGGGCTTGTTATTTGTTCAACATAGCGATTCATCATGACTGTACGAGATATCCTGAATACCTGCCAATGAATAAATTTCTTCAGTTTCGACTTTTTAGCCCTCTTTCTCACGCGCCGGGTGGGGTTGCAGTTGACCGTTCGAGGGGCCAAGGCTCAAAGCCATAACTTCTCCTGTGACTTACAGATATTGGCCTTCCTTGCGTATGATGTGTAAAACAGTACAGTGCAGCGTTTCAGTGCCCACCAATCCCAATGGAACTCCTGCAGAAGGGGAGCTTAATCAAGTGCTGCCTATGAACCGCCCCTTGCATGGTCTCTGCAACCCTCCCATGTTAGTCCCACGTGTTGCTCAATCTCCATGCTACTAACCATAGGACGGAAGAAAAGCCAGTCCACGCTAAGCTGAGGTTATGCTAGCTCGGATACTCGGCTGCGGGCTCGTGCATATGCTTCAGACGGTAGCTTGGACTTCGAGCATGCATTTCTACGCCTAGCCCGGTCTTCTGCTCACGCCTCATCCACAATTATGGCTCAACTCAAATTAAGAAATGGACCTCTCTCACACAGTTTGTCTTTTATCGGTTCTCCGTTTCTTGTCCTTTGTGGTGCCTTGCCGATCCTATGATCTTGTGGCGGCCCTTAGAGAAAGCCACCAAGGGCTAGCCTGTAACCTTGCAGCTACTTTGTTCCTGGCCCTGGATCCCCTCCATGATGACCCCTCGGTCGATTGCTCCTGAGCGGGCTACAGAGAGAGACGCAAAAAACTACATAAGGACCAGGAATCTCGTTCATCTTCTCATCATCCATCCGACACGACAACAGTCATTCGCTCTCTCAGCCTCTCTTTTCTCACTCCATTCGCTTCGAGCTTCCGGCCTCCTACTCTTCAGACGTACATTCTTTACAGTCTATACTCATCTCCCTCATTCAAACCATTTCATTCTTTGAATTATTTCATACAATGTCTCCCAACGCTTTCAGCCTCTCCTCGGCCTTGTGCCTTTTCCTTGCTCTCGGGCCTGCTGCCGTCCTGTCGGCTCCTCAGCTGGTAAGTCTCCGGAACACATGGGCCGTCCTTGCATCGCCAGTCTGAAGACTAACATTTCTTTTTATAGGGCGGCTTGCCTATTCTTGGTGGTGACAACACCGATCCTGCTCCTACCACTGGTGACAGTGAGCACGATGCTGGCGCTGGTATCGCCGTCGGTATCCCCGGTGGACCTGGCGTTGTCCTGGGCGCCGGCGACCATAGCCAGCAGCACGGCCCCTGTGGCCCAGGCGTGAACTCTCAGCACGATTCTGGTGCTGGCATCCTCGTCGGTATCCCCGGCGGACCCGGCGTTGCCCTCGGTGCAGGCACCCACGACCAGCACAACGCCTACCCATGCCCTGAGCCCGAGATCGTGGCCACTCCTGTCCCTGTCGTTGTTGTCCCTGGAGCTTCTACTACTACTCAGGCCCCTGCCGTTCCTGTTGTCACTGCCGCTCCTCCTCCAGTTGTCCCTCCTCCAGTGGCTCCTGCTCCAGTGGTTCCTGCTCCAGTGGTTCCTGCTCCAGTGGTTCCTGCTCCAGTGGCTCCTGCTCCAGTGGCTCCTGCTCCAATGGTCCCCTCTCAAGTGGTCTCTCCTCCCACTTGGACTACTCCTATCGTCATCCCTACCACAACTGCTCCTGCCTACATGGCTCCCTCCGTTGTCCCAGTCCACTCGACTCCTCTCATCCCTCGCCCTGGACCCTCAACTACCCCCTCCATTCCCTCCGGCATCCCGGCCTACAACGCCGGCTCGGCCATCTCCCCGAGCTCCTCGCTCCTGGCCCTCGCTCTTCCCATCGTGCTCGGCCTCTTCTACTAAGCGCAAGATCCTAAACGACGGAAGCGAGGTTTCATGATGCCTATCAGAATCACCGAGCTCTTGCACATTTTACGCGGGAAACGATCTGTAATCTTTTTCTCTTCCTGTCTACTTTTGGTCTGAACTTATTCCGTTGTATTATGCGATTGTGCCACTTTCCTAAATACCTGTTTGGCTCGTATATGAGAGCCTTGTCACTATTACTATTGGATTGGGGTTCTGTTTTTTTTTGGTCTCTGGGAGTCGGGCGTGCTATGCACATTCCGCGCGATAGTTACTTATTGCTTTTACTGTTTTGGAATTTCCTTGTCATACTATATGTATCGATATACTTAATGCTATTTTCGTCTACTACTTCATCATGACTCCAAATTTCCAGTAGGTGGTTCTAAGGACAAGTATTCATCTTGAGTCGTTTTGCTACCGCCTGATCTATACCTGGAATTCGCGCATATCATTGGCTGACTGGGCGATCCCCCGCCTGGGCCCGTTTCTGCAGCTTGTAGACGCTAGGGGGGCTGCAGAAGGGGTTAACGCTCGGTACCTCCGCGGAAGGACTTGAGCTTCCCAAGGTCTGAGCTAAAAGTGATCTATCGTCTTTCAACAGGCTTCAATAGTATATTCATCCCTGAAAAAGAAACAGATGGTGTGCTTGGTAATTCGCAGCTGAGCAATATAACTTAATGATCACGTTCACAGCCAAATAGTCAATCTATTATGGAGGGGAAAGATAAATGGTAGAATCGAACCAACATCACAAAAAGGAAGACCCCACGTAGGGGCTCATAGAGCCTGCAGTTGAAAACGCCGAAGTCATAAAAAATCGTCACATGCATATCGCTTATCCAGGAGTGCGGAGAACTTGCGCCAAAGTAGCCCAAGCGCACTTCCAAGAGGTCCAGGCGGATATAAAGCAAGGAACATTGAAAGGAGAATATCACATTCCATCCCAAGATCCTCCCTACACTCCCATCGTAAAGTCATGTTCAATACCAGGTGTTACGCTGGCAATAAACTTTAGAAAAACAACCAGGTACTGATCCACCCGGATCGCAGACTGCTCTTCCTCATCTGGCTGAAGAACCTCCCACTCATCACCCTGTGCATGCTCGCCAAGCGACAAGCCCTTCGTGTCATCAACGAGGCCGGCAAGACCGCCCTCGCTTGACTTGAGTATCCGGTTCGCTTCTTCGCGAGACTGGGACTGCTTAAGTTTTTCGCGGCGAGACTTGAGGGCTGCGTCAGCTCGGTCGAGAAGTGTCTTCATCACTGAGGCGTGCCGGCATGGATGCACGGTTGCCATCTTCACGCTCCCGTCGAACCAGGGGAAGTCTTCCAGCGTCACGGTCTTGTCTTTGTAGTCGCCGACAATGTCTTCCATCATCAGGTGTGGTGGTAGTGGCTCCGATGGCGAGAGATATCCAGACAAGTAGAGACGTGGCGTGCGGTAGAAGTTCGAGTATGTGATATACAGCGTGTAGGTGCGAAGCCGTCTGCAATGACGAGATTCATTAGCAACGAAGGAGAACCACGACATCGAGCAACAATGTGGATCTTCTTGGGGAAAAACTCACTGCGTTGTGTCTGACTGCCCCGCAGGCTCGCGGATGATAGCTTCTTCGTCATCATCCTCATCTTCCATATCTGGGATTTCGTCGTCCTCTTCTTGCTCGCCGACGTTCCCTGACTCGTCGACCGTCCGTACATCGCGGATCCGAGCCTCCTGCTGATCTCGGTCGGCCCCTCCGCCCGTTCGTAGCCAGCCGTCATCGCCATCGCTGCCTGGCTCTCCCGCACCACCTTCGCCAGCTAACATGTCGCGAACGATCTCATCTTCGTGGCCCGCATCTCCGGCAAAGTTGTCATTCAGTCGGCGGTGACATGGCACTCCACGAGTAACAAGGAACTGTTTCCCGTCTGGGAGGAAAGAGACTCGCTTCGCCGGACTGGAGGCGTCGGCCCAGGACCATGTGGGGAACTTGTAGACCAGGTAGTCGCCTGCAAGGACAAACTCCTCTGGTGTGATCTGGCCTGTGTTTCGGAAAGTAGAAGTGCGCGAGACTGGCGCTAGCCGGTCCCGCCAGGTAGAGAGGGTAGAATGAAGGATATTCATTGTATAATTGTATGCTTGCTAGATGTTGGGGAAGTCGAGGTTGAAGTGGGGAGCGATTACTTGATAAGCGGTGGAGCACATGATCAGCCCCGCGTGGACGACCAACGGTAACTCAACGCTGCCTTGCAAGTCAGGTTTATGAAGCGGATCCTGAGAGGCTTGCAGGTGATCGGAATTATATGCCAGGTGCTCTCAGGTGGTCCTTTGATCAACGTCATGGACCAACACTAAACCACCAAGTCTAGAAGCCCGATCCTTCTGTCTGAAGGCACATGCTAACCGCGATATCCTTACAGCCTTATCTAAAAGCCCTCCACAGTTTTATCCTTTGTCCGAATGGTGCTGAATTTGCTCATTCGCCCTCTCCCAGCATTCTTCCTTTTTCGATTTCTGCCTCCACGGTATCAACCACTAAAGGGATGGTCTTATTCTCCCACCGCCCTTTTTCAGCCCGCATGAATCCCTCTGTGCTTTGCATGCCCACAACCAAGAAACCCAGCTCCTCCCGGTCTACGTCAAACACTTCCCACCACTCAGTATCAACTAACTTCACACCTTGCTCCCGTGCTGCGAGATAAATAGCTGCCACGGCCAGGGCATTGGGTTGATGCGTCACATAGAGCAGTTGAGGAGAAAGTAACGCGGTGTTGAGGTGCTGTATAACTCGCCGGGAGACGCTTGGCTTCGTCGCGCCCAATGTTTGGAGGTAGGTCAAGGCAATGGCGTGTGGGAGGGCAACGTGGGTATCAAAGCCTAGAGCTCGTAGGATGACCGACTCGATGCGAAGGAGCGTCGACCGGGCAGACTGGTATCCGCCTTCCGTAAGTATGTAGGTCTCTGGCGCTGGGGGTTCATCGGGTGCGCCTCGCGGGTTTACGAACCACAGCGGTGAAGCATCTGGCGAGAGTAGAAATGTGTACACGTTGATAACGGAGCGAGGAGAGGTGGGTTGAAAGGATAGCTTGGCGGCCAGGTAGAGTGCTGAAGCGGAGACGTCCTGAATGCGATGTTAACGGACTGCAATTGCGGGCTTGATCATTCATAGTCAAGTAATTTCTTTTCCATACCTTGGCGGCGTATATACGCAAGCTTCCTCCATCAGCTCCTAGCCAAAAGCGTGTAAAAAGTACTATCGCCTGGGCAATGATATCTTGTGACAATCCCAGCAGGACACCGGCGGCCTGGGTGAGTTGTGCCCCCGCACAGCGAATTGAGGTTTCTAGCTCGGGAGGCACACCATCAATTGACGATGACGAATTTGAGAGCTGGTTTGGGGTGGCGAGCGCATTGGACAAGTGCTTCAGACCCGACTCCATGGTGGGCTGAGTTTGTAAGGATCAAGAAGAACGCGGGCGGATGACGTCTCATGCAGAGAAGAATCTCGTGCAGGAGCACCGTTGAACTGACAGCTTGATCACCCTTGTTTCGCTCCTTCAACTCCGCCCTTTCAGTGTTTCCTCAAGTCCTTCTAGAATGGCATTCAGACAGCGCTACCAAGAATACCCGGCTCTTGCGAGTATTCCAGAACGGCGACAAGACTCCACGGTGGATCCACCGCGGAGCTGTTAGCCACCGCTATTTCCAGCCCCCAGCCTCTCCGTTTATTTACTCGCTCTCGCGTTTCAAGACAGAAAGTAAAATCATACCTGATTTCAACTTGTGTTTCAAAAATCTGCACGTTGCATTTGTCTGGATTTGACATTTTGTTGTCTTGCCCCCTGAGGATCTTTAAATCCTTGTTTACTCCAAGGTACTTTTTATCCCCTATCAACGTCCTTATTTCTCCCTTTTTTTTCTCCACCCCTGAGAGGCCAGAGAGGTCACCAGCTCGAGCCACATTGACCCCGTTTCGTGGCATTTGAAACTAGACGGGGCTCAGTGAAGTGGCACCCTATGGTCATGTCCTCTGATTCCTCCCACGCTACGATCTCCCTACATTCCGATGCTTCACAGAGGCATGAGATCGTTGCCTCGCCTCCCCCGTTGATCCCTGCGATCCCTGCGATCCATCAAGAGAACAGACTTACCAGCATCCCTTCACATCGTCGGGCGAACACCGAATACATAGCACGGCCCCCGATCTTTGAAGATAGCGGAGACCTGTCGGGAGACGAGAGGACCGCCCGCCCACCCCTCTCTTGGGCCAATACATTCCAGAGAAAGAAGTTCGAAGCCAGGGCTCAGGTCCTGTCAGATTGGTTCCAGGGCAAGTCGGATCCAGTCGATTTAGGAATCAGGGTGCGTCCAGACGGAGTCCCTGACACTCTTGCAATGGAATCCCCGCAGCGCCAACCCGCTGTAGCGGCACAGCATGCACGAAAGGCGTCAGCGCCCCCAGGATCCGGCCGCTTCTCTTTCTTCGGTCTTCGGCGACAAGTAGATCAGCCGCCGCCAGACCCTGCCGACGACGAGTTCCTGAACTTCGATGTTTGCGCCGCCCTTTCCCTGCCTACCTCCCACTCCCACCCTGATGAAGACCTCGACACGCTCCGGCAACAAGCCACGACAGTCATACGTCGGATGCAAGAGGCCTACAAACAAAGAACTTTCGCCATGCACCAGGCACTCGCCGACCAACGAGAGAAACAAGACGAGTTAGAGGACACACGTGCTCGAATAGATCACTTCAAGACCCAACTCGACGGCATGGCGGCCAAAGTTCTGGACCAGGAAAGAGCCATGCAGGCCATGGCCGAGGAGCTGGAACAAGAGAAGCAGCTGCGCAAGCGAGAACAAAGCCGCAGCCGCAGCCGTATGGTCCGCGCGGCCCCTGAAGACGAAATCCCCTCGCTTGTGCTTCAGACTCCTAATCGCGGCAGCAAGCGTGCTAGCCATGGTACTCTGACCAGCGACTCTGGGTTCGAGTCAGGGGACGAAAGTATTGCAGACAGCGTCTTCTCTCACCGAGAAGGAATGGAGTCACCGACGTCTGCTATCACCGCACCATCCCCGTCCCCCAGTTTATCACAAGTGGCTTTGTCAACGCCGAATGCTGGCCCGACCCCGACACAGAAGAACTTAGTAGCTGCAACTACAACCCCTACACCAACCCGGTCATCTACGTATGACCGCGTTATGAACGGACTTGCTGCAACGCGTTTGGGCAGTTCTTTGGTCGGTAAATCCAACCAAACCAACCCATGCAAGAATTGTTATGGTGTCCCAGCCAATGAGGCCTGGAGCGTCATGGGGATTCTCAAAGACGAGAACCGAGGCCTGAAGACTCGATTGAGTGAACTGGAGTTGGTGATTGATGACTGCCTGAGTATGGTCGGTCCTTGATTATATATTGGATGACCAAACAGCTTGGTATACGCGACGGTATGGACTTACGAGTATATTACAGGGATCTATAGGCTTCAATACGGACCTGGTGTCCGTAGAAGAGGGCGACTTTTTCTTTTTCTTCTTCTTTTTTTTGTTATAAGATTTTTGACGATTGGCGTTTTAGAAAGGAGACTAGTTCCGTCTTTCCAATATGATTCATTCCGGATGAAGCTCCGTTGCGATGACCCTTTTATGGTTCGGTAGCGCAGAGTGTGGGGATAAGCTCCGGAGTCTGAGAAATCGCGGTACACACGCAGTAAGAGGACACTGTGGTTTGAGCAGCTTGTTAAAATGCGGTCTAGACAGAGGCAGAAGAACGTAAACACATTCTAAGATTCTTCCAGCCAGCTTGCAATTGGCATAGACGTCGACGTTGAGTCAGAAAGGCGTCGATAGACCAATTGTTGGGCGTAGTTGCGGCGAAGACCAAGTGGCCTTAATTAGCGCGAAGCGAAAAGTGGCCAGCGAACTTCTTCCCTTTTCCTCCACCCCCCATCTTCCCCCCGACCTCCTTCACCCAACCCTCTCCTTTTCGTTTTCCTTTTCTTTTTGATCAATTTCCTTCCGCTCCTTCTGCTGGTCGTTATTTCCAGCTTCCTCTTTTTAATTTCCGACGGATTGGGAGGAATACAATCACCATGAGCGGCCGTGAGTTCGCCCTGTCGTGCCCCAGCACGCGATCGTCGCCGCCCTATTCCCGATCGCTCTCAATGGAACGGTGAATGCTAATTGACGGTTGCAGTTCGCTTCCTTGACCTGATCAAGCCCTTCACGCCCCTCCTCCCGGAGGTGGCAGCTCCTGAGACCAAGGTGCCATTCAACCAGAAGTTGATGTGGACGGGTGTATGTGTTGACAATAGATGCCAACAACCAACTGCGCATGGTTTGCTAATCGTTCCGGTTCTACAGTTGACTCTTCTCATCTTCTTGGTCATGAGCCAACTTCCCCTGTACGGTATCGTGTCCTCCGACACCTCAGACCCCCTGTACTGGCTTCGCATGATGCTGGCCAGTAACCGTGGTACATTGATGGAATTGGGTATCACTCCTATCATCTCTTCCGGCATGGTGTTCCAGGTATGCGACAATAATCAATTGATATTCGCGCGGAGACGACAATTGAGTTAACCTCTTTTGATTTCCCCTAGCTTCTTGCCGGTACCCACCTCATCGATGTCAACCTTGACCTGAAGACCGATCGTGAGCTCTACCAGACTGCTCAGAAGCTCTTCGCCATCATCATCTCCTTCGGCCAGGCCTGTGTTTATGTCCTGACTGGTCTCTACGGCCAACCCAGCGACCTTGGTGCCGGTATCTGTGTTCTTCTGATTGTCCAGCTGGTTGTTGCTGGTCTGGTCGTCATTCTCCTCGATGAGCTGCTGCAGAAGGGCTACGGTCTTGGCAGCGGTATCTCCCTCTTTATCGCGACCAACATTTGCGAGTCCATTGTCTGGAAGGCTTTCTCTCCCACCACTATTAACACAGGTCGTGGCCCTGAGTTCGAGGGTGCCATCATTGCCCTCTTCCACCTGCTCCTGACCTGGGACAACAAGCAGCGTGCCCTGTACGAGGCTTTCTACCGCCAGAACCTCCCCAACGTTATGAACCTTCTGGCCACCCTCGTCGTCTTCGCCGCTGTTATCTACCTCCAGGGATTCCGTGTTGAGATTCCCGTTAAATCCTCCCGCCAGCGTGGTATGCGCGGCTCCTACCCCGTCCGTCTCTTCTACACTTCCAACATGCCTATCATGCTCCAGTCCGCGCTGTGCTCCAACATCTTTTTGATCAGCCAGATGCTGTACTCTCGCTTCTCCGACAACATTCTGGTTCAACTTCTCGGCGTTTGGGAGCCCCGCGAGGGATCTGCCCAGCTCTACGCTGCCTCTGGCATCGCTTACTACATGTCTCCCCCTCTGAACTTCAAGGAGGCTCTCCTTGACCCCATCCACACTGCTGTGTACATTGTCTTCATGCTTGTTGCCTGCGCGCTGTTCTCCAAGACCTGGATTGAGGTTTCTGGCTCCGCTCCCCGTGACGTTGCCAAGCAGCTCAAGGACCAGGGTCTTGTCATGTCCGGCCACCGTGAGCAGAGCATGTACAAGGAACTCAAGCGTGTGATTCCCACCGCCGCCGCTTTCGGTGGTGCTTGCATTGGTGCCCTTTCCGTTGCTTCTGACCTTCTGGGTGCCCTGGGCAGCGGAACCGGTATCCTTCTTGCTGTGACGTGAGTCATATGATATCCGCTGTATCCGAGCATCTTCTAACATTCTTCTAGTATCATCTATGGTTATTTCGAAATTGCTGCCCGCGAGGGTGACATTGGCGGCGGCCTGAAGGGTCTCGTCCCCGGCAACTAAATGGCTTGACTGTCAATTTCTTCTAATGAGCAGTACGATAGAGGATTGCCTTTGCAGTCTTTTCTCAGGCCTCTTCTTTTTGTGTCCTTTTTAATTGTCCGTTTTTCATATTACCTTTGGGGAGATGAATCGGTGTGCAGATAGCGGACCGAATTGGTGACCTCTTCCTTGGCGAGGTCGGATGCTCCAAGCGTGGGTAAAGTCGTGCTTGGAGCTTTTCTGCTGGTCGGTAGTTCGCAGCAGCATGGATTGGAACCAAGGAATGCGTTGAGGCGTCGATTTTGGGGCTCATTATTGCCGCCAGCTGCTGGAGCGCCCGACTGGGTACTGTAACCATACTTGAAACAAAAATGAAATTCATCTGTCTTTCCACGACCCAAACCATCATTCCAATCTTTGTATCGTCTGAGCTAGACGAGTAGTTCAGTTGGGGCTAAGAACATTCATTGCCCAGACGTGCTTCGAGGATACAGTTGCACGTCCATCCGCAAGTGCTTCTAACAGCCAAGGCGATCATGTCTGGATGATTCTTTATGACTGCCAGAGGCTATCTTTCTTCCTGCCGGCTGTCAGCTTTATATCCTTACTACCAAGGCTATTTGGAGAACTAAATGGAGTCCGAAGTGAATGATGCAGCTAACATGGCTCCCCGGCCTACATCGCAGGGGCACGATAGGGACACCACCCAATCATTCCGTCGACAAGACTATTTCTTCATCTGACGATATGCTTCGTTAGTTGTTTACATCGTACCGCCAAGTTTGAGGGCTCCGTGGGAGCCACACTATCTCAAGATCGACAATGATGCCGCAGCTCTTAGCAAAGATCCGCACTTGGGATTGTACCCAGGACTTGTATAATGGAAAGGTAGTGTTTATCTCAATCGGGGATATATATTCCAACCGTATACAAGCTTGACCGCAGCGATCTGGTATGCTGGCTTGGCTCGATATTGGTAGGTCACTCGATTCCTTCGTATCCAGCATCGATAGATCCGAGCTTCTTTATTGCCTCCTAATAAGCACCATAGGATCTGAATGGAGGGCCACGGAGAGTATTTTTTCATCCCCTAGTCCGTTTTTTCGATCAGATTTCAGGAGGAGCAACATTGGGCCCGAGTCAAACCTCGCACGGCCGAGGCATGCCCAAGCCAGACCTCAATAAGGCCACACCAATTGACAAGTAGACCGAACCTTAATGGCCCCACACCGGTCCGATTCTTCTATGATGACGATCTTAATATTAATTTTCTTTGCTCTCGGATCTTGTAATCGCCTCAAGCTTGACGTGAATGATAATGGGAGGTACTCTTGGCAGCAAGAGTCGTCTTACAGGCCGGGGATAGCAGCAACCGACATTGAACCCTGTAGCCCGTCAGACAAGGGGATATATCATTTTAAAAAGAAAGCAAACAGACCCAACCAGGTGTGATGTCGAGTCAGTAGACGTCAGTTCTCCACTCTCGGCTTTAGTGCATGTATGCCTACCGGGTGAAAGGGAGCTTTAGAATCTAAATATTGTACTACGAGAACTTATAAAGAGACCTGTCGAGTTCTTCGAGCTTTGAGAGGGCCCACTTGGGTTCCATACTGAAAAAAAACCCCTCTAAAGCAACAATCTAGTCCCATACTAGTTGGTTATTCTGGAAGATCCTTGCCCTTCAAGTGTGCACTCAGCCGATCTGATCACCGTACCACCTGCGCTACATGGAACGGGCAAAGTCTCACAAAAGTCGGGTTCGGCAATTCGTCTTGGAGAAGATATCTCAAACAGACTTGAAGTCCGAACATGGCGCAGGTGCCCATGTAGTTTGGCAGTCGTGAGTCCCACTGAGATAGGGCAAGCCGTGACGTGACCGCGGGCATAAACATGCCCGTGAGGATTGAGGGTTTTTTTTTTTTATTATGTTTTTTTCCAAAAGCGAAAATCTCCTGACCATCTCAAGCCCGGAAGCTGTCCGAGTACTCAACCTTGGTATCTGAAAATATTAATGGGAACACCCTACGCAGGCACAGAAACTTCATAAGTAATGAAGAGGAGACTTCTCCAATCTAATACACATTATAGCCATATGAAACCCAATGTCAAAGCTAATGATAAGAATACTAATAAAAACCCAGCGAAAAAACCGATCACAAACACCCCAAGCATGCAGTGTAGTAAAATAAACCCCATTTGACAACCAAACCCGCAATGTAGATTATAAACACAGCCCATGAGAACACCGTACCGAATCACCCATAGACCCCCCAATCTTCGCCCCCGATGACCCAGCCAGCGCCATAGGCTCATAAGGACCAGGCGACCGACTCCGCCACAGAACCTGCTGCGCCTCCTCCACCAGCCTATGGTGCCTATCCGGCAACGGACAGAAGGTAACATCAAGGTTTCCCACCTCCCCGAACATCTTCGCCAGCTGCAGCACCCCCCGCGCAGCAAGTTCCCGCCCCCCCACCGCCGCCGGCGGGTAATAGAACCGCGGATCGAAGTAAAGAAGCACCGTCCGCCACCGGGGCAGCCGGCGCGCGAGCAGGTCCCGCGCGCGCGCATACTGCCTGAACGAGCGCTTCGGCACGCCCTCCTGCGCGTGCACGAAGAGCAGGACCTCGAAGCCGACGCTGCGGATACGGCTGAGCGCCGTGGGGCTCAGCATGTCCAGGAAGGAGGTGAGGCGGTCGAGATCGAACGAGTTGCGGAAGAACAGCGTGTGCTGCGAGTACAGGTACTCTTCTGCCTCGTCGTGGATCTGGTGGTTGACCTGGAGCAGGCGGCCCGTCGTGCCGTCTTCGCCGACCCAGCTAGGGCACATGGAGAGGGCTCTGTAGCGGCCGCGGACGGTGGAGACGTCGCCGCGGTCGTGGACGACCATGAGCGGCTTGTCCATGTACTCGTTTGGGACCGCGAGGGCATATTCGTAGATCTTGAGCCGGAGTTCGGCGGGGAGGCGGAGGAGTTGGGAGGGTTTTATTGATGGCGAGGCCGACATTGTGTATCGTGACATGGGGGGATATTGAGTTGAGGCAGCGCCCACGGAGGTCGCTTCTTGACGGATACGGAAGATCGTGGGTTTGAGACCACCCCCTAAGCGAGAGGCATAGAACTGATGGCTACTGCGGTCTATTTGCTTGTTGTAGTAAGTGATGAACGCCTAAGGGGCTGAGACCACCTAGGTCGAGGCCGCGTCCTGCAAGGGGTTCAAAATCGAGTCTGGAGGAAAATTAGAAGCTCTCGGTTCGGAGGCGCTGCTGCGAGGATTTCGTTTTTATCTTTGAAGATCGAGGTGGGTTGGCTTGGTGGCGGAAACGTGTTTCTTATACGCATCATGCCATGCTCAGATCGGGAGACATCTGATGAAGAAATCTAGCCTCTCCACATCGGCCCGGGCCATCGCTGCCTAAATCAGCTCATGGGGGCGGTTGCCACGAGGGTTTAGTTCAGGGGCACAGTGCAGTACGATGGGCGTGGTCGTCCTGATGCCGATATTTGGCCCTGTAGGATGGGCCACCAGCGGCGAGAGAAGATTCGGTGAATATGCCGATCCTCCTCCGCTCCCGAAGATGAATCATTGTCAAGGTAGGTTCTAGTAAGTATGCGACATACCCTGTAGGTGTCTTGCGCTCGAGGGTTGCAAGCTCTCGGGGGTCGTTCATTTACCAGACGAATGAACACACCTCTTCGCTTTTGCGCCCACCCTTGGAGTTGCATGTGAATACGTTGAGGATTGGTCGCCTTGCAGATCTTCTACGCCTTTTGTGCACTAAGGTTAGGCCAATACTAGTCAACAGATGGAACCAACGGGCGGAAATCTTGGTGGATGACGGGGGGGTGCATGTTCATTCGTGGGGGCTGCACTTCCGATGCCTGCCCACTTATCTGTGTCCATTCACCTACTTATATGCACTTCGGAGATCATCAGTGGTGTGGCGTGATCGTACAAGCCGCTAGAAGACCAACATCTTCGAGGAAAATTTCTTTCAACTTCTTACGATGTGTGTGTACTTGAACATTGTATCAAAAACGCCGGTGGGCCAGTTATATGCAGTTGATCAAATGCCTGTAGTCAAAAATCCGTAGCTGCACTCTGGGTAGGAGTCAATCCTCTACATGGGAGTGAGTCAAGGTGTAGAACGATGACGCCCGTAAACCCGTCACCTCTGTCTATAGACACCAAGCGACCAAGAAGCCCTCAGGAGCGCCAGGCCCCAGGCCATACCAATGCTGTCACGCAAAACATTCAGCTTGCTCCCCCCAACCTCTTTCCAGCCGACAGGCACCTCCGCCACCGGAATATGGGCAAATTCTGCCAGCATGAGCATTTCGACATCAAAGATCCAACCCTCGGAGTGCATATACGGCACAATATAAGGTAGCGCCGCGCGGGAAAACAGCTTGAAGCCACACTGCGTGTCTTTCACCGTAGCCGTCTTCGGCGGCGTCATCAACCACAGAATCAAGTGGAACGAGTGCATCAGAAAGTTACGCAGCTTCGATCGCTACAGATGGTTAGCACAAGGATCGAGGTCCCCTCGCAGTCCCTAGCGCCAGTGGCTTAACTTACCTTCACAACAGCCTCACTACCCACCATATGCGCTCTCGAGCCCACCGCAACACCGCGGCCCTCCGCATCCTCGACATCCGAGCACGCGGCAACCAGCTTCCCCAGATCCTCGAATTTACTTGCCCCATCCGCATCAGCGAAGACTACATATTGCCCCCGCACATGCCGCATGCCGTGCGTCACAGCGCCGCCCTTCCCACGATTCCGCGTAAGGCTCACAACGCGGAACGCCCCGGGCTCCAGCTTGCGTTCTTTCGCGAAGCCAAACGCGACCTCTTCCGTGCGATCAGTCGAGCCGTCAGAGACAATGACTATTTCCCAGCCTCGGCCAGCCTCTGGGGCTGTAGCCGGGCCGTTCTTCGCGTGGCCGTTATCCGTCTTGCGTTTGCGCGCCGGCTTGATTTCGACCGCGGCATTGGCGCGGGAGGGGTATGTGTTTTCAAGGTAGGTCACAGCTTCGTCGAGCATATCTGTGAGGCGCTCCTCTTCATTGAAGGCGGGGACCACGACCGACATGAAGAGCTCTGCTGGTTCGACGGCGGGGGAAGGAGAGCTCTGCTTTGCGGAGTCAAGCGCGTCGGACCAGCAGGGGAGCTGTTGGGGGGGTTGCGATGGATCCATCTTTGTTGAGGGTCCTGTACTTCTTTTCTTCTGGCAAGGGAGGCCGTGGGACGGGTGCAACGAGGAATAAGAAGAGAAAGAACTGAGGTCGATTGTTAGTACTATGTCCTTTCAACTCCCTTATTGATACTTGGACCGCACGCGCAATAACCGTACGCGCAGGCGAGGGAGATCCCCCGACTTACCAGGACAAAAACACCGAGTGCTGTCGCTAGAAGAGACACGAGAGAAATCCAGGCAGGAGTAGCGGCCACAGTGGCCACGCATTGGCGACATACGTCGCTCCACGAGTTCATGGCGCGGGCGAGTGAGAAGCGGAGACAGACCGGGGAGATGCGACACAAGTCGGATTGCCCAAGGGCAAGAGATGGCAAGTTATATCACGTAGCAAGCCATGTAAACTCAAGACGAACTTAAGAAGCAATCATAGAAAACTGACTACCACCATTGACGTAGGTGGAAGAGGGGTGGAGGATCGGAGGTTAAATGATGTTGAATGAATAATCGCCAGCTTGGCCTTTTTGTATCGGCAACGCGTAAGGCTCCCCAACTATAAGCGGGGTCTCCACAGAGCTACGGTGAGCGCTCGCTCCGACTTTCTATTGCTGTCTAGGACAATTCAATTCCATTTGTTTATTGGTCTGTATCGATTTGCTTCGAGGGCGGTTATACAATAGTATCATTTGTACTAGTCACGGTTGATGCATCTCTGTGGGTCCCAAGTCTTGTCGATCCGTCCTGAAGAATCACGGCGAGGCAGCAGCTCTCTCAGCTGTGGACGTGCAAGAAATATATGACTGACAGCATACATAAGCTGGCTTACCTTGGATGACATGAAGGGATATGGAAGGTTCCAATTTTCGGTCGCTTCTTGGGAGGTGCACTCGTCCTCGGCGCTGTATTCTTGTCCTCAAAGTAGCGAACGCCAGTGCTGTCTCCATCGCGAGTATTCGAGCATTTGCTCTGATCCTAAACAACTAGATCAGGTAGATTAGGCGAGTTTAAATGATCGATTTTGATCAGTTTCGCATACTCAGTTTTGAGTATAGATTGAAGCACAAAGCTCAGCATTATCAACACAAACAAACAATAGCAGACCGACTTGGAGGGTGTTGAACTCATCTTGCCAACAGAGCGAAGATCCAAGGAGGAGAAAAAAAAGAAAAAGAAAAAGAAAAAGAAAAAAAAACCAGAGATGTAGAGATATTGATCGTATGGGCCCGAAAAGGAGATACTGGTGGGAAACAGATGTTCACAGTTGTTGAAGAGAAAGAACAGCAGATAGCAGAAAAACGAATGGCATCGAGGGCTAGGCGACACTTGTCGCCTTAAGACTCAACACTCCTAGCGATGCCAGACCCAGCGTCATGGTATAGCCATAGTTCATTGAAGCCGTTTCGCCCAATCAAAGAATCTCACAGAATAACATGCGAAGGAAGGGTATTCGGCAGACTTTGTTAGTACACGGACGTTAGTGAGAACACCTCCGACCATGAAACGGGCGGACTGGCTTACAGATTTGAACATGAAGAAAGAAATGGCCGAGGACACTGCCTACGAAGGGGCTGGCCCTCATGAAATATCCGGGACAAAGGATCCAAGTCAAGGCAAGTTCAAGAAGATAGGATGTCCGAGATGGGTATTCTGAAGGAAAGAGATCCGGGATATTTGACATGCAACTGCGGGATTTGGAGAGGTCTAAACACCCCAGTTCCAGACGGCCTTTCCATAAAGATAGGGATCACTCGGAACACCTGGAAGTGGGAACTCTCTTTTGCCAGAGACTGTCCTGGGGGGGGGGAGTGTTGGGTGCCCATCCTAGGGGTCGGTTGGTCCTGAAGGTGCATCTAAAAACAGGTCCAGTGAGAGACGGAGTCTCCAAGTCCATAAAAGGCCATGGCTTTGAATCCTCTGTGACGGGCAGCTGTCGTAATAATGATAGGTAACCCGGAATATGAACAAGAGACTATAGAACAGAAGGTCCTGGATCCTGGAATGTGGATGCCACCACGACAATCGACACTTGAACGAAAAAGAAGTAGTCACTATCCCCTGGAATGCAATTTTCGTCGAGCTGTGTTCCGCTATTCGATGTTCAATCCCTCACACGAGTCTATCGAATTGCCGAATGTGTTTGCAAAAGGTGTGACATGGAACTTAGGCTCTCGAATGCGCGCATAAGATATCCATCGATCAAACTAAAGAATAATCAGCGCTTCGCTGGCTCTCAAGTTGGGGAAGGGTCCAAACCGTTGCTATCCGATTACCAAGCCACAGGCACCTGTGTATCCGGGTGAATGTCGCTTTTTCAGTCTCGATCGCCGGTCTTTCGTCTTCTTGGGGTGCGTCCTGAAAGAAATCTGGCTGATAATACAGTTGGCTCCACACATTACCCCGAATTGAGAAATCTTCCGCCAAGTATTTGACCATCTCTTCTTTTTCTTCTTCTTCCTCTTCTTCGTCCATTGAAGGGAAAGATTGACACTCAATGATGGAGTAATTGATACCTCCCTCCTCCTTCATTAGAAGGATATTGAGAAAGTGCGCTATCTTTGCCCATGGTATCATCTTTTCGAGCTGTTGCATCGCGGTTGGATGGAGTGCTAAACACCATATAAAAGCGAGGCCAACATGAATACCCGGATAACTGTTAGGGTCTTGGACCTGGTCGAGGAAGATAGAAAGTGTCTGGAATGTAAGAGCGCTCCCTTGTGCAGCTATCTGTGAAGGGATATGTGGCGGCATCAACTCCATCATCCCTGGTTTCGAAGTTGAAATCCACTCCTTTGCAAACTTGTGCGCAGCGTCAGCAGTATCACCTGGCTTTTGCGAGAATTCCACCTCCATGATCGCATCTGGCTTTCCGTACTGCAGAATTGAAGCGATGTTACAACACGTTATGTAGACTCCTTGCTGGCCTTGTCTCCCAAGTCCATGATAATCTTTCCGGAGCAAAGCGAGAAAATTATTCGCCGAGTCCACAAATTTTTTGTCCGGATCTTGTGTAAATAGGATACCGTGTGTCGCAATGAAAGCTGTAGTAATAGTCTTCTGGCCCAGTGGTTGTTCTTTATATGGATTGAAGAGCAGAACGATGCTCTCTCGAGCATTCTGGAAGGGCCGTACACAAACCAGAGATTTTGTATAGTAGAACAGCTGTAACAGACCGTCCGGGCGAGCCAAGACCGCTAGGTGATGTTGGATTCTGCCAATATCCGGACTTCGATCAGCATCTCGCTTATACCAATATCGGGAAACACCTGCCCATATCTCCCTATCTCTCATATCAGATTCCTCAACTGCCATCCTATATCGGGCCAGATCACCTAGACATTCGATCCATGTCTCTTGGAATGCACGAACACTTTCATACAGTAGTGCCATCATAGAATAAGCCACATGGATAAAATTGAGCATATAATCCAGAGACGCAGGTAGATTTTGTCGGAGTAACTCAAGGAAGGAGTGAATCCCGTATCGCCACATACGTGCAGGCATTGCGTATTTCTCAGCAAGTCTCTTCAGCACAGGACTTGCCGAAGGATGCTGCGACGCCAGAAAGAAATCGTGGTGCTCATAGAGCAACGTTCGATGGAGAGAGATCAAGGCCTGCCACTGAGACTCTGATAGCTCAGCCCTAGACTCAATCTGCTGTTTATCCAGCTCAATACATTTTTTTTCGACCATCACCAATCCTGCATAGATGCCGCGGACTTCATTGATCAACTGCTCTTCGCTAATGGGGCTGGTCACAGGCTGCTTAAACAGGGTTGGCGAAGGCTCCGAGGCGTCGGGAAACTCATGGATAGCTTGGTCTGACGCGAAAGCTGTACGTTCATGGCCTGAATAAGCGTCTGATGCCTGAGGATATGTCGAGATTTGGGCAGAAGACGAAATCTCCATCTGCATGGTCATTTGCATTGCATCGCTATCATCGTGTCTATGATCCAGAGCCGTTGCAGTCGAAGCCTCGTCCGATCTTTGAAGGCGGAACGGGGCTTTCGAAGAACTCTCGTTCATTCGAGACCCAGCCCCATTTTGAGGCTCTGGCGTATGAAAGGGGCCCCCAGTGGATTGCCAAGCCCGACTGTTCACTCCGGGGCTAGACCTCTGTTGCACATGTTCGCCGTGTCCAAGATGAGTACGAACGGCCCTTGACCGCCGCACGCCCTGATCCCCGTACGCCTCATGCGACGAATCACCAGTGAAATTGCTAGAATTCAAAGGACCGCCTGTTGTGGCTGCGAGTTCCGGTGACAAAACCCGGTAAGTCATTTGAGGTGAGGGGTGGTCCCACTTGTGGCCCCCAACTTGTTTTCTGGAAGCGCATCGCCCGGGTTAACAACAGATAAGAGCGTCAGCAGGTTCAAGACTTACTTGGTGATTCCGCTAGAAGCTTTATCTGTTTTCGCAAGCCCAGTGGGTCTTGCCCGTCTTCCCTTTCCACGAGTTGGGTGATTGGCAGCTGGAACTCCCGCTCCCATAATATAATGGCGGCTGAATCTAGGCTATTCGCGATGCGGCGATGTTGCTTTTGGTTTGACTCCCAAGGTTCCTTCTGGGTTTACCTCACCAGAGGGCAAAGGCTTCGGCAATCAAAGGAATGTTCGCGGTTCCACTCTTTACGCGCTGAACATAATCAGAAAAGCCTGGGGAACATATAGGACTGATAGAATCATCTATGAAGTTAGGTAGATAAAACTGAAGGAAGATTCGCCCAGAGCCATGAGGTTAAGTATGTCGCTTGTTTGGTTGCCTGGTTTGGTCCGCGCGGGGGGCCCCACGCATGCTGAGATGCAGAGGCTCCACAGTGAAACCCGGGTTAAGGAATTACTTACGGATCGCTGCACTAGAGCTTACTGACGGTGGAAGGCTTCCTAGATCATGGAGCCTGGGTCCATGTGCATAAGAGTAAGAAAAAATGATCTCATTGTGTGTCTCATGAGATCCTGAGATAAGGCCGATCGTCAATGGCCCAAGGGTGGGGCCATCTTCATAAGCGCTTAGAAGGGGTATGCCCGGTCGATTAGTATTATTGAAATCGACTAATTAACTGGGTTCTCCTCATTAGCAAAAAGGCAAAGATGAGCTACCCAAAAGTAGATAAGAGTAAGTTGGACTGGTTAATACAGTACAGCGAATACCCACTTCGATGCCCAGCTGACGCCCGTCCTTATAGGCCCTACATCAATTGGGCGAACAATCTTAAGCTGGCCAGTATCTGGAGGCCTCCGGCGCAGAGACAGATTCAATGGATAATTACCTCCAGTCTTCACTTAAATCCACCTTCTTCTAAAGTAATGAGAGGTTTTTCTTCGCCCCTTACTTCCTCGAAGCCTCTGCAAAATTCACAGCCACCCAGTTTTTCACCGCTATTTGAAGCCTCGGTGACTTGACAGCCATTGCGTATTGGTGTTTGCTTTTTGCCGCGAACTACTGATGCCCCGTTATGGGATGTTTGATTGTACGTCTGTGGTCTTTCGAAATCTTTGCCTGGGGGATACAGTGGATGCTTCAATTCTCAATGACCTATGAAGTGCTACGTTAATTGGGTAGAAGGAGCTAGTGCTGAATTTCCTCACGCCCCAAATGTCTTGAATGCTAGTTATTCCTTGATTAGTCGGTCCTCATTCGAGTCTTTGACCAGCCTCATTCCTTCCACGGCCGCCTACACCCCAGTTTCTAAAATAGCATACCAACAGAAAAGCCAAAGCCAAAGATCGAACTTCGCCTCGATCCGGTATCTTGCCAGTGAGTAAAAACGGACTATTCTACGACTTCGTCCCCACGATGCAGCCTACACTGCGGAAAGTAGTACTTTGGGGCAAGATGGATGTGTTCTTGCTAGGAAATCCCGGGAATACCGATTTTGATGGTCTGATTTCCGAGTTTATCGGTTCTCCCTATATCTGTTTACAACATGTTTTGTCGGTAGGTGAAGCTGCTGGCCTTCGAAATCTCATAGATGGTTTAAATGGATACTAGCATTTCTTTGGCTCATACGATGTAAGCTCCAGCAAATTGAACTTGCCTCCACCCAGGGTGCGACTTGTCACAAGGACAGAAATACCAGAAAACACTTGATTGTTTCAATTTGATCACCCGTCCGTGCCGGGAAAGGTAATTCACCACTTATGGAAGTGAATTCTTACTATTACTAGTAATTGTATCATAAGATTTCAATTCTGAGGCATATATAGGAACGATCACCGCGTCCACGGGTGAGGCTTCAAAGCTTACGTATAGCAGTACCCGGGTGGAAGAGCTGAAAGCTTGAAGTTTGGATGTGTGCTGCTCATTACCGTGTCTTCGTACGCAGGTGCTAGTAATATAATGCGGGTAGAGGCGGCGGCTGAGCGCGTTGAATTAAGCACTGGCATGGGAGGCGGTTTGAATCCGAAGATTTCCCGTTCTTATCTCTTGTGGCCCGAAACCGGACTCCAGGGCTTCTGTTTGTTTGCTTACTGGCTACGTGCATCAGTGGTAGATCCTCGTCTGAACAATCAATTCTATGGGGGGGGTTCAGCAGTAGTTCTGGAAAGGAACAATCCAAACATTTAGTCCGCATTTTTCATTTAAAGCCTCTCAGTGATGCGGCGTGATCCTAGGGAGACAGTTTCATCCCTATGTAATATCTTTGGATCCATGGGGTAGCCAAGGCAACAGGCGCCAAGTAGAAGCCTGAGGTTTAGCTATCAGGGGTACGGTTGGCGACGAGACCCCTTGGAAAATCTGCCTTGCAGATCATGTGGGGCTTCACTGTTTCTGGAAGAATAAAGAGCTTGCTGGCTTGGTCGGGTATGAACCGTCCAAGTAAACTCAGCTGTTTAGCAGATCCCGGCTAAGAAGATTGAACCCGGGTTGAGTTTCTAGAACATGACTAGGACAGGGTAGCCAATCATGAAAATGACTCAATATTAGGCATGACACGAATATCTTTCTTTAACCCAGGTTACTGTGGCGCATTCTGGGTGCCCGTTTCCGAAAACCTTGGATAGTCTGGGGTACTGGAGCCCCTGCTACTTTGTAGCTCCGCTAGTCAATTGCCCGCTTATGGCGAACCAGATGTTCCCACGTTTCCAAAATTCATAATTCAATACACGTAGCCTCGTTCACAATTTCGGATAGCGAACAAGAGTTCGATCGCGGTTATCAAGCCTGGCCAAAATCCGCTCCAACTTGTCCAGTGACATTCTTACGCCCTGGTGTTATAGAAAATATTACAGTTTCTTTTATAGTTCTCCGAATCCGAGCCAGGAGGCATGCATGCTTTTACGTGGTACCGATCGTTTATTTCTCCTGCTTGGGGGGGGGGGCTGCACCTTAATGTCGAACAGTCATTTTGCCAAGACTGCATCAGAGCTAAGAAATACCAATCCCCCATGAAAAAGCACAAAAATCTCCTGATTAGATCAAATACTCCGAAATGGGGTGATATAATTAGCTAGCTGCAGGAGCTGCAGGGGTTGCATCCACATATGATGCAAGGTTCATCCCGAAGGGTTTGGCTGGAAACAGCGAATGGATCTGAAGCTTTTGGACTGCCACACATAAGGAGACTGCACACCCTTGGATATTGTGTGGTGCATTTTATCATCTTGAAGCTACTGATAGACATCCTCGAATGAAATCTAATTCTTCTTTGTGCAGGCTCGATATTAGAACAATTACTAATGATTTGATAATAAGTATTAATGTATTAAATATCAGAACAGGATATTGATATAATAAGAATGAATAAATAACGAAAATATCTAAAATTATTCGCGGACTATTACGCATCAAAACAAGGCAACCATACAGTACACCGCGTATCTCAGGGATGCAATGCATGCCTAGCCACGTGTCCCCAACCGAGTGGATTGCTTCTACAATATAGTAGTCTGCCGACAGCGATACTAATCTAGGATGGTCACAGCGATAAAGCAAAGTAATTTGAGAGGGTGGAAAGAAAGTGGTGTGGATGGTGGATTGCATGTTCCCATGTGATAGTGCCCTCAAGGCTCATTCGACTGCGGTAGGGGGTTTTGGATCTCCGCGGAGCTTTTCGACCAGGATTGTCTGGAACAGCCTAATATGGAGAGAGGCAATCACCGCTAGAAATGGAATCTTGATTGCTTATCTTGCACAGAACGAACTGCTTTGGTTGTTTTTTTCCCCGTTACGCCTGGGTATTATGACGTAAACAGATCTTGGCCCACCTGAGTACTCCGCTCAAGTTGCTCCTGTCGGCTAGATCACCTCATACGGCAAGGTACAGTAGACGCCCGGAAAGGCCAGCACTTCCCCGCGAGATCGCTTTGCGTTCCCCTACCAATCATCGAGCTTATCGGGTCATCTCGATGTCAGCTGCGGCTCTAAAGCTATCAAGAATTCCGTTTACTCCGTCCCGCACGTTATTATTGGCTGGACATCTCAGAATTACGAAGGCAACGATGGCTTCATTTACATTGCCTGACTCCAACGTGCGAGTCAACAGCATATCTGGCCTTTCTCAAGATGATTTGCTTTCGTTCCCTGCATTCAACAATTGGATTTCGACGTTGCGAAAGAGTCTCAACCAACAGAAACGCCCGACCCATGAATTCCATGCGGATCCATTTCAGCTCCGGAGCATAGACATCCAGTCCATTGACCGCTTCAGTGGCGGACGGCTGGGTTTTGTGAAGCTGAAAGCCGATGTCTCAAACAGCCAGGGTGAGAAGTTGCCCGGTAGTATCTTCTTACGCGGCGGGAGTGTTGGAATCCTGGTATGTCGATGCCCCTGACCGTTTGCCTTGCAGGTTAGCTGACACAATGTAACCTCAGATCATCATACAACCCGATGACATTCCTGTCTCAGAGGAAAGGGGCAAAAAGGCAATTATGACCATCCAACCGCGGATTCCGGCAGGAACCTTGTCTTTTGCGGAGATCCCAGCTGGCATGCTTGATGACAGTGGCACGTTTGCTGGTGCGGCTGCGAAGGAGATCGAGGAGGAAACGGGCTTATTGGTTAAGAGTGACGAGCTAACAGACATGACATTGCTAGCTTCAGAGTTAGCTGGAGAGCCTCGTGCAGCCCATGAGTCAAAAGAAGAGCCGCATGGTGGGGAAGTTCTGCAGAAAGCTGTCTATTCCTCGGCTGGTGGGAGTGATGAGTTTATCCCTTTACTCCTGTGTCAGAAGCGTATGCCGCGGAAGGAGATAGAGCAGCTCCAGGGAAAGCTGACGGGGCTGAGGGACCACGGGGAGAAGATCACATTGAAGGTCATTCCTTTGGAGAATCTATGGAAGGATGGGCTGAGAGATGGAAAGTCTTTGGCAGCCTGGGCACTTTACCAAGGGCTACGCCAAGAAGGAAAGATCTAAGAGGTTTCACATGTGAATCCGAAGCTCGAGCCGGGGATTTTTCACGCAGTTGCGTTGACAATATGGCAACGCCATGGAGCATACTTGAAGCCCGAGGTCGATCTATAGGGATCATTTTGATTCTCCAGAAGTCTATCTGAAGGATTAGTTGTAAAGGTCTATCATAGTCTAAGTGCCTTGGCCAGTTCTATTCCTTCCGCGACAGTACCCACTCGGGCATCGATGGCATAGCCCTCCTGCTCCAACTTCTTCATCTCATCAAAGAGCGTAGCCAAAGGAACAGAGAAACACTCAATGAACTCACTCTCCTCCAACTCGGGTTTCGGGTCTTGGTTTTCAGGCAGACTCATGTCCACACTCACATGAACCATTTGAAGGTTCGTGTTGCAAAATCCCGCATCTTGATGATTTCGAATTAGCCGCCAGAAGAGTCAAGACAGAAAGAAACAACGGAGAGAATCCGCAAAACATACCGTTGTACATGATCGGGCTCGTTTTTTCTGCGACACCGACGTAGCCCGTTTCCTCTTTCAGCTCTCGGACAGCACATACCTCCGGCGTCTCTCCCGCATCAATCAGCCCCGCCGGCACCTCGATGACCACCTTATCAACAGGGGGTCTGTATTGCTTCTGTAAGAGCAGTTCTGGCCCGGAAGCCTTCTGGAGAATCGTGACGATCCCCACACCATCGATACCACAGCCGGCGGGCCTAGTCTAGATCGCACAGATAATATTAGCATAAATACGAATGAATACGGCCTTCTGCAGCTCCCCATATTGACCGGTGCCTAATCGGTCCACCTAAGCCGCAAAGAAGATCCCAATTGGGCCTGGAACCCGCAATTCCAGCGAGGCAACCATTGATCGTCCATGGCAAGGCGTTTCACCCCGGGGATCTGTCAAAGAGACCCGATCGTTCCAAATACCGGTGAAGCGCTCAGGGGACCCCAGGGCAACCGGTTAGGCTCGCTGATGAAGGCCTCATGGCACGGCCACATGGTGCCACGTGCAGATGGATCCTTGAGCCCCGCTTGGCGGATACGAGAGGCTATGGGTATGACCGCCCTTTTGAAGGGTGATGCATCATCCTTCAAAGGGGCGGCCCGACAGGGCACGAGGGGAGGGCACTTCTTACAGTCCTTTCCGCAGACTCCCAGGATCGCTCCACTCCATTAGGATCCTGATAAGTAATTTGCACGGTCTTGATCCAGCGAGCCTCATTCGGGTCCTGGTGGGGTGGTCAGCTATTGGTCTCATTGAAGCGAGGCGGAACAGAATTTCCGCCTTTAGAACCTGGTTCGATTGCTTAGATGCGCAAGTCTTCTGTTCCCGGTTCCTTTGATAGGACGGATGGTTCAAAAGTGGGCTGGGCGGCTTACCAGAGGAGCCGTGCTGGTGATCTTGGAAGGACTAAGGTTTGCTGTTGGCATGATGGCTAGCGCACACTAAGACCTTCAAGAGATGGTTTCCTGAGAGAAATCTAGGTATGGCTTGTTGGACTTGGGAAAAAAAAATTCGAGATTTAAATGCGGACGACCGTAGTTTGAGTTTAAATCAGACTCAACGCAATGTTTGCAAGGAGGAGATTCACCGAGTTCCTGCGGTGTGATTCTTGCCCCACTTATGTACATCAGCCTGAAGAACCCTGGCCTGGACCTTCAGCGGGCTTGGGCTTCGTTTGACATGGATTTGGAAGCTTGAAGTCTTCTATCTCAATTTCGAGTCCGAATTAAGCAATCTCATGCTGAAACTACAAGCTCAGGAAATTCCGTCGGAGAGTTCAGGCCCACGTCCATAGAGTTCATACCCGTCCATGCCTCCAGCCATGAGACAAATACGCATTATAGCAGCTATGATGATATCCCCTAAGAAATCTCACTTCTAGTTAACTACCAGATGAATTGTGTCGCATGACGTCATCTAAGATTAAGGGATCGCGTATAATGAAACTGTATCTCATTGCTTGAAACCTCTTATCAGTAGGTCAAAAGATACTGTATAAGCTATTAGCAGCCAACAGTCAATCCGTTATGACGCAAGTCCTTACCATTCCAAAGAATGGAACGGAAACGGACTCAGGAGCAGGATAAACGGGTTGCGAGCGTCAACTGCCAGATGGATGAAAAACATAAAACCCAAGAAAAGCTCCAAAACGGCCGTACGCTTGCTATCGTCAAATAGTGCAGTTTTCAAAACGCGCTGCGGTAATCACAGACTGGACTGAACCTCCTTGGCGGGCAACTTTTCAATGTAGTCCATGCAGCTTTCAAACTCCGACCAGTTCGTCATTACTATGTGCGCACCAAGCTCGGTGAGCTTGTCGCCCATCTCCTTCTGGAGTTCTGGGGTATCATAGGCTCCGACATAAGCGATGACAAAAAGCCCAGCACGAATAGCCGACAACGCTCCAGACTTGCTGTCTTCTACAGCGACAGTCTCGCTGGCCTTCTTGCCGACTTTCTCGAGCGCATGCAGATAGATGGCAGGGTCAGGCTTGGAAGTCGGCGGATCAAGCGAACTGGCTGCACTGAAAACCATGTTCTCATCGAAGTACTTGTCCTGGCCGACCTTCTTGATCGAAGCAATCACCCGGCGCAGGGCAGATGAGGAGACCACGGCAAGGTGGTACTTCTTGGCAGCAAAGATCTTCTCCAGCTCCTCGTTCGCGCCGACGCAGGGCTTGGCTTTGGCTTCCAGATTGGCAATGACCTTGTCCTCTTCCTTCTTCACATATCCGTTGAATTCGTCCTTTTCCAGGGTGAAGTTGTACTTCTTCTGCAAGGAGCCCATCATGCCTCGGAAATTCTGGCCGACAAAATCCTTGATCAGCTGGCTCCCTGTGTAGCGATCGGCGATGCCGCGACTTTCAAGGATTTCATTGGCTAGTTCCGCGCAAGCCTCGAAGGCCAGCTCCTCGGATAGGACAAGGGTGTTGTCACAATCGAAAAAGATCTCCGTGATCTACAGTGTAGCGGTTAGCGGCGTTGAGTCTGGGAGTTGAATTCCATCAGCTTGCAGCATACCTGAGGCATGTTGACGAAAGAAGTGTTCTTTTAGAGATTTTTAGTTCCTGGATAGTGAACCTTGGAGATGAAGGTGGGGCAGGTACAAAAGAGGTACACGGGCAGAAGCAGAATAGGCGGAGAAGCTGGATGGTACGAAGAAGGTAGATGGGAAGTTATGGAGAAGATGAAGGTGGGACAACTTGGATTCACAGGGAAGTCAGGGTTCGGCGATTACTAGGGGCAACAACCCCCCACGGAAAGCATGACGCTGCTCTCAGGGCCGGGCTTTCGCGGGGGGAAATTGAGGTCATCCATGACATGCGCCAAGTACTGGTACATAATCGAACCCGCTAGACAAGTGTGACAAGAAGTACAGGTACCCTCCCTCGACCCGCGAATCAGAAACTCCCATCCACAGGCGCGCCTCCCCCGCACTAGCCGCTTTGAGCTATAGGCGCCGTTATATTTCATAGAAAATCGCAGAAAGTCGGAATCTCCTCGGTTGTTCACGGTCACTCACCGGGCTCCTATTACCGTTCACTCCCAGCAGGGTTACTGCGCTGCTCCCAAGGGTCTGAAACACGTTTCCTGCAATTCTTGCTATCTGAGGAATTTCCGCGTGACTTCTCAAAGGATTTATTAGGGACCGTGCGATTGGATCAGATGCGACTGGTTATGGATATTGAAATGGTCTGAACTCAGGTTAGCTACCTGCATGTTCGGTCGCATTGAGAAATCTGGCGCTGCTAATTCCAGTTCTCTCCGGACCGAACATTGTCTGTATCTGGGAAATGGGAAATAGAAGTCTATGAATATAATCGACTGAGGGCCTTGTTGCTGAGAATTGCTTCCAGATCACCTTTATCACCAGCCTGAGAGGATTATAGTCAATAGGAAAGCACTTTCCAGTGCAACCCGGAGGGCAGGTCCAGCTTGAAAGGACTGGGCCTTATATTAGTAGGCAGATTTCAGGCGGCTTATACCTACGGTGGCACTGCTGAGAAAGATAGTCTACTAGTACTGTGTATTTGACTATCATCCGATACATTTTAATACAGTGTCAATGGCCGTAGACCAACCTGGTTCCCAAGCCGTACTGCCCTCCATTTGACGTACGGTACCTTCTTTTATTGGTTTATCCCCACCCCGTCAAGGGCTGAGCCATGATTGGCCAAAATCCTATATCATGCCGCATATTCTCATCAATTTTCTCAGGTCATTAACTCCAAGGCTCGAGTGGCCTTGTCAACGCTTTTCCTTGTACCGAAGTATAGACAGCCCCGGTTCATCAGCTCCCGAGTATATACCGACATATTTCCGCTCTTTCTCGGTACGAAAACCCCTACTCCGCACTGCTACTCTGCGGGACAGAGCGGGGAGTCGGTAGATTTCACAGTCCTATAATGGAACCTGCAAGCTCTTTCCTGACTCTGGAGTCTTTGCATTTCCCATCTGCTGAGCAGTCCATCTCTCAGACCCTGTCTGCCTTGCGCCGGTCAGCCTTATCCGTCGCTAACCGGCTCCAATCCATTGAGGCCGACGCTGCCTTCGCTCAAGAGGTGGCAGAGTACTATGACCTTCCACTAGTAGCCAATGAGCGCTGTGGAAGCTGGTATATTCCTCCCACCACCAAGGTGGGCAGCGCATATTTCAAGAGCACGGACGGTCATACAGGCCAGTGGGATTTTAGTTTTCGGCGACTGAACCTCCAGCTACTCCCGTTGGCCAAAAAATATGGTGGGTGAGTTGTACATCTTTTATTTCCAAGTATTATGCTCATACTGGACTTTTTATATGGCCCCTCATCTGGTTGCCTCATCTCTTTGACCCCTCCATGAGGCTTCTCGTGTGATTGGACGCGTGAATCGTTTCCGGGACCTATAGCCAAGCCTCAGGGTTTTTGCGTATATCGGAATAATTTTAGGCTGACCCTTGTAACCCCATACAGATGCGTAATCGTTGATTCGACCCGGCGGGGCAAATGTATGTAAGATCCACGGACTGGGCCGTGACATGCTGGGCGCCGTTCCGCGCTCAACCCCCCCCCAGTCATGCAGCATATTGCACGAACTGCAGTTAACAATAGCATAGTGATGCCGGATGCCTTATCCAAGACTATACCGATATGGTGCGCCGTACTCAACCGAGCCCTGTTTCCCTCGGAAACCGACTATCACGAGGTCCACCTTCCCCCAAACTACCTGGGGCGATCGGAGGAAGCCCAGATCGAGGCTCGTATCGACGGATTCGTCACATCGCTGAAGGTATGACGACTCCCCGCATCTGTGTATCAGGCCGCATTGCGCCAACCCAGGCGTGAACGCTGCAGCGCCAGGCGTTGACATGTCATAACAGGCGTTGAAACTTGATCTCGGTCAGCTCAGAGAGCAGATCGGGTGCCCTATACGGGTGGCCTGGGCGAATCGAGATTATTACCACCCTCGGATCTCGAGAAAGGCAGTGGATACTGCCTGTTCGTACTGTGCTCAGCCTCGAGGCGCGTGCATGGTGCTGAGATGTCAGAGGGTGGGTACATCCAGGGTGCTGGCGATGACAGTGAGGCTTGGGCTCATGGGCTTACGCCTCCAGTGTTCTGGGCGAATCAGGCTCTTCTTAAGCAGACCTCTGAGGAAGGTCTGCCGAGACTTATCGAGGAGTTAGTGGCTCAGTATCAGCGAGAGACTTCTGTTCAATCAGCGTCTTTGATCTCTCCTACCAAGAATCTATACATCAGTATCACGGGAGAGACGGAGAGCAATCGATATGATTTGGTCATTGATTGCCATGGAGACCCTGTTGCTTCAGAAGGTAGTGACAAACGGCTGAACCTGGGATTGGCATCAGGTAAACTGGGCAGTCGAGATCTGCGGAAGGCTTTGGATAAAGTGCGGGACTTTGTTAGTACGCGACTTGGGGCAACTGATCCTTCACAGTCGTTATTGGTGACCTGTGAAACGGGCAAAGATCTTTCTGCGGGAACGTTGCTCGCGATTATCTGCTTATTCTACGATGAGCAGGGTACGTATCGGAATTTCTTCAATTGAGGCGCTAGATAAACAATATTGGGAACCACGCAGAACTGATAATTGTCACAGGAGAATTTGACGTCTCTCAGAGCAATCGCTCAATTGGCAAGCAATACATCCGACAGCGCCTCGCATGGATCGTCTCCTCCAAGCATGACGTAAACCCATCTCGCTCGACACTGCAGTCGGTAAATGCCTTTTTGATGTGAAAGATGACATTGGGAGAATACTCTTTCCATGCCCTCCCCTCGAAAGTGTATCGAGAACAAATTGGTACCCAACTTATTCATTGACAACATACTCGACAATAGCTCCGGCATCGCCTTGGTCGAGCGAGTCCAAAAGCTCTACATCATATTCGCTGAGATTGAAGTCGAAAATGTTGGCGTTGCTGGCAATGCGCTCTGGGTTGTCGCTCTTGGGTAGCGGGATCCATCCCTTTTGGAGGGAATAGCGTAGCAAGACCTGCTGTGTGGTTTTGTTATATCTCTTTGCCACCTCTACCAACGTCTCATCATTTGCCTTATAGTTTCGAACAATGGGCGAATAAGCCTCCACGACGATATTGTGCCTCTTGCAGTATGCGGTAATAGTGCGCTGTTGGCACCATGGATGAAGCTAAAGCAACGGCACAGTTAGCTACCCACCCACAAAAATCAATTAGGATAGTAAATACAAACAAATGGGACAGAAGGAAAGTAAAAAGTCGGGATTTGGGAATAAGACTCAACTTACCTCCAGTTGATTCACATGCGGCGGCCAAACCTTGGCGTATGACTTCATTTCCTCAATGTGACCCACGCCGAAGTTACTCACGCCAATACTCTTTGCGCGACCCTCCTCATGAAGCCTCTCCAGCACCTGCCAGAGGTGTTTGCGACCAGCTGGGCCCGACTTGGGGCTATGAATCAGGAACAGATCGACATAGCCGCCAGGGCCCCCAATCTTCTCCACACTGGCTAGCACCTTATCGTAGGTAGATTCGATCGAGCCTGCGGGAGTCAAGATCTTAGTTGTAACGAACACTTGATCTCTCGGTATACCAGAGGCACGCAATGCCTCGCCGACCTCAGCTTCATTTGCGTAGAATTGGGCCGAGTCGATATGTCGGTACCCCACCTCAAGCGCTTTGAGAGTCGACTGAACGCACTGATCGGGAGAGGAACGGTAGACGCCGAAGCCTAAGCGCGGGATACGGACATTGGAGTTTGGCAGGGAACGAGGTCGTGAATTGTGAAAGACATGGTTTATTTGCAGGATGGAGGGAGCAGAAGCAGTTCAAGTTATTCTTGAGGCGCCAAAAAAACATCGGCCCCGCCCTACGGAACCGGATCGAATGATATCATCTCCGCGATTGCTCATTGGCATAACTGAAGGAGCCATGGAGACAACCCTGGAAGAGACTTGGAGTTTGAGTCATATTTCTGGCATTCTTTTGAATAACTAACCAGCGGTCCATCTGTTTCCAAGATGACTAATTTCTCGTGAGCCCTTACGATGTGGAGATCGACCTGACAAGCCCCCTTAAGAGGCCTAGACTATTGGGACCAAAAAAAAAAAAGGGAAAAGCCCCTAGCAGTGGAAGAAATCCGATACCACACCAGAAATAGCAACATGCTCCTCCAAAAGACATGCGACAACTGTGATTGGCCTAATCCAGAAAGCATGGGGGGTAGTCCGATCGCCAGGGATGAGGCATCCATGGTTGCATATCCCGATTGGCGTGGCCTTGGATTGGCTTTGCTTATACCCCTGATACAGCCAGTCACTTTGTTCTCTTCATGAATTGGTCCCATATTCTTCTTGCAAGAACCACAGCTTAACCACAAAAAAAAAAGGTCCGTTGCTAGGGTGACTTGCGGAGCTGCGGGAGAACCACCCCGCCCCTATCAAACCATTCTCATTCAGCTCAACTCTTCTTCTTCCTGCACCAGGAACGCCTGAGCCTAGCCCGAATCGTCAGTCGATCCTACGCCTGCAACTAAAACGCGCCTCGCCCACCTGTTTACCCTAAACCTTGATCGCTCTTTTGCCAACCGGCCCTGGATGTCTCCGCCTTGATTAACAATGTTGACGGTCGAGAAGCAGTGGATCAATGTGCAACAGAAGACCTTTACGAAATGGCATGCTCTGAGGACCCGTCATATCATCGCGAACGTCAGCTAATACCCCCATCATAGGTTAAATAACAAACTGAAGGCTCGGAATCTGGCCATCGAGGACTTGGTCGCTGACCTCTCTGACGGAGTATGTTCGCCCCTCTTGATATATTCCCCCGCCGGAGCCCACACACCATCACACTTCCTTGAGCTTCACCGCTAATTCATGTGCCTGGTCAGGTTATTCTCATTCATCTCCTCGAGATCCTCGGCGGGGAGTCTCTCGGTCGATATGCGTCGAAGCCCAAGCTGCGTGTGCAGCGATTCGAGAATGTCAACAAAAGTCTGGACTTCATCCGCGGTCGACGAATCCAAATGACAAACATCGGAGCAGAGGATATCGTCGACGGAAACCAGAAGATCATCCTTGGATTAATCTGGACTCTGATTTTGCGGTTCACAATCAGCGACATCAACGAGGAGGGCATGACAGCAAAGGAGGGTCTACTACTATGGTGTCAACGGAAGACGGCATGCTACGACGAGGTTGAAGTGCGCGATTTCTCATCCAGCTGGAACGACGGACTGGCCTTCTGCGCCTTGCTCGATATCCACCGACCGGACTTGATCGATTTCGAATCTTTGGACAAGAATGATCATCGGGGAAACATGAAGCTCGCATTCGATATTGCCGCCAATGAGGTCGGTATTCCCGACCTTCTTGATGTGGACGACGTGTGCGACGTGCCGAAGCCCGATGAGCGCTCCCTGATGACCTATATTGCGTACTGGTTCCATGCCTTTTCGCAGCTGGAGCGAGTGGAGAATGCTGGACGCCGAGTGGAGAAGTTTGTCAACAACATGCACGGTGCTTGGGATATGCAAACCGGTTACGAGCGACGAATGAGGGAGCTACTTCGATTAATTCGCGCGCAGCGCGAGGAATGGCAAAACTCGTCTTTCGAAGGGACATACAAAGACGTGAAGGAGCAGGCCCACCAGTTTTCCCTTTACAAGCGTAATGAGAAACGGCAATGGGTGGCTGAGAAATCGGACTTGGCAGCCCTTCTGGGTAATATTAAGACCAAGTTAGGGACATATCGTCTGCGGCCCTATGAGCCTCCACGTGAACTCAGCCTAGAAACTTGCGATGAAGAGTGGGAGGGCCTGACTCATGATGAGCACCAGCGGAGTCAGTTGATTAACGAGACGATTCGGGATATCAAGAATTCGTTGCGCCGATCTTTTGCGGATAAGGCAAACGACTTTGCTTTAACTCTTAAAACGCTTTCTTTGGCAATTTCCGGGCTTGATGGGGATGTGGAAGATCAGCTGGACCATGTCAAGAAATTGAACAATAATCTGCCGCCTCTCGATGCGTTCCTTGATACTATCGCCGAGCTAGACGAGCAGTGTGCCGAAGCGAACATCGAAGAGAATGACTTTACAACATTTACACTGGACGAACTGTCATATGAGCTGAGTCTGGTGAAGTCCAGTATTTCCAAAAAATTGGCATTCCTGGAAAACCAAATGGTTGCTCGCAATATGACCAATTTGACACCCATTCAGCTCGAAGAATTCGAGTCGGTGTTCCGACACTTTGACCGGGATTCATCAAATACGCTACAGGAACTTGAGTTCTCTGCGGCTCTTGCCAGTCTGGGTCTTGTGTATGATGAAGATGAGATGCATGAAGTTTATCTTGAGACTTGTGGTGCAAAACGACTGGCACAGAATGCCGGTGTCAGCTTTGAACAGTTCATTAGATTTATGGTTAGCGTTACGGAAGATCAGAACACCGCCGAACAGGTGTTTCAAAGTTTCAAGGAGGTTGCCGATGGCAAGGTAAGTGCCCTGCACTTTGGATTGTCTTCTGAATGATTGCTAATGAAACACAGCCTTACGTTACAGAAATGGATCTTCGACACTCGCTTATCCCAGATGAGGTCATCGAGCACTTGGTCAAGACAATGCCACAGCATGAGGGTCCCGATATGCTTGAAGACCGCGACCTGCCAAAGTTTGACTATATCAGCTTTATGAACAAGATGATTGAGGATAAGAAGAACGGTCGAGGGTGAAAGGACAAGATGGTCCATGGTTATTTGCACAGCGTCGTGATACATGGAGGGTCTTCTTTGAAAAGGGTGTTGCTCCGATTTTGTTTTCCACGGTGGTGTTCTCGCAGACTTACTATTAAGTCTTGTTCCCGTATTCATTGTGCATTCTGGGGTTCGGCGACTGCTTTGCAGCTATCTCAACCTATTTGTATTCTTGTGTTGTTGCTCTAGTGAGCACTGGATACCATTAATGTCATTCAAGGATAGCGTAAAGGCTCTTTCGCAAGCTTTGACTTGTAATTCACGCTCAATCTCGATGCTCCGCAAGGCTCTACGCCTGCAAAGCTCTGCGTTGCTAGATTTCCGGTATCTTGTTGATCTCTCGTTCACGATCGCAGGTCACATGACATCTCCCCCAGTTGCAGTTCCCACCTCAGCGTGAGGCACCCAGCTCACGTCCACTTCGATTCTGCTAATTTGTCACATTCTCGCTTTGTGCAACCATTGGCTCGAATTTCTCTGCCAGGAATCTTCTCACAGCCACTGCGATCCGATCTGCCGAAAAATTGCGCCTGAAGATGGATCGAAGCTTGGATGAGATCATTGGTGAAGGCCCTGTAAGACAGAAATGACTTCCATCTTGACGTTTCCAAGCTCTAACTCTCTTGGTCATTATTCAGGGCCGTACCAATCGCTCCTCTGGTGGACGGCGCAACCAAGGTCGTGGCCGTCGTGAACGCGATGGCGTTAGAAAGGTACTGTTGCTTCATCCCGTAGCTTTTGTCCAATTGCTCGATGCGCTGACCGTTTTCTTCGCTCAAACACAGGTCCGCCCTCCTCCTCCTGCATCGAATTTTCTTGCGCCATGATGCGTTTCTGTGGCGCCTTTGTAGCCTATGCTCTGGATATGCGGAGACTGGCAACGGAGCCGCGGCGGAGACTTGGAAAACTAGAAGCTATTCGTGACTTACACCCTGCTCTATGCTAACATCTCGATCTCTCGATGGAACAGTCCTATGCGCACGACAACGTTGATTTGAACCTGTAAGGACACTCTGCGACTACAATTGACCTGGTGCCCTGCTAACGTTCTGCCAGCGACTGGGTACACGACAAGTTCGACGACACCCGCGATGGTGAGTATTCCTGCACGAAGAGCCCCGGGCCCCAGCTAACAACTTCCTAGGACGCCCATCCCATGGCTCCAACCGATACCATCGCTCCGCTTCCGCCGAACGGTACGCCTCCGCAATCCTCTCCATGTGCATTGAAACTAATAGGAATAGCGGTGGCCCTGCCTTGACCAAGGTACGCGTGTCAAACTTACACTACGACATCACCGAGAGTGACCTTAAAGTAAGTCAACTGCTAGGTTGCTACAGTTAATTTGTCTCTAACCGGTTATCTATAGGGACTCTTCGGCGAGATTGGTCCCGTTAGCAACTTGGAAATCCTTTACGACCGGGCCGGGCGCTCTGAGGGCGTGGCCTTGGTCACCTACACGTACCTCCGCGACGCAAAGAGATCCGTTGAGGAGTTCCACAAGGCGAACGCCAAGGGCCAGCCCATCTACCTCTCCCTTGTTCGTGACGCTCCTGAGCGCTCCAGCCGTACCTCACTCTTTGATCGTATTGAGCGGCCCCGCGATGCTCGCAGCTTGAGCCCCGGGGGTGACGATGGAGAACGCCGCAATGCACGAGGCCGCGGCCGTCGCAGCGATACCACCAGGCCTGCTCCTGATCACATTGATCGCTACGTCCCAGGCAATCGCTCCCCCGCCGCAACGGTGGTGCCCGCCGCGGAGGGCGTTCCGGTGGCCGCGATAACCGTCCACGAAACACAGAGAATGCTGGCCGCCGCAGCAATGCACGCCCCGGAAGACACAAGAAGAGCTGGATCAGGAGATGGAAGACTACTGGGGTGGAAATGCTGGCGGTGACGCTGAGAAGCAACCAGAGCCGGCTGCACCCGTTGCTGCTGCTGACGCTGTCCCCGCTGTCCCCGCTACGGTTGACGATGATATCGACATGATTGAGTGAAGAATTGCTTGTGGGGTCTTTTTTTTTTCGTCTTTTCTCCTTTTGCCTTCTTTTCGATCTGGTTTTGTTCTCCTCGGTTACACGAACGTCTAGCAGTGTGACTTTGAGCCTGGCATCATATCATGGAATCCTGCGGGTGCTTGAGGGACTTGTATTCTACCTTATCATGAAACAACTTGAACGCATAAATTGCTGCCCGGACTTAATATGATGAATTCTTCTCACTACATCAATCTTGGAGTCCACCCGTACTGCTTATCTGGCTTGCTTGTAGTAAAGCTTATATTTGAAGCAGTGGCTATAGCTGCTGAAGGTAGTTTCTGATATACAACTACCGACGAACGGATCCAGTATATATGCAAGACCCGGACCAAACTGAAGTTCCTTGCCGTACATTGGGGGGGGAATCATTGAAAATCGACTGCGCCTAATCCCAGCTATTACCGCCACAGGCCGTACGGCTCGCGGCACGCCTTCCACAACTTGATGGTCCCATCCTCGCTGCCAGTACCATAAAGCTTGCCATCCGGCGAGAAGCTAACCGACCAAATGGGGCCATGGTGGCCCTTTTGAACCTCTGAAACAATGTTAGCAGCACTTCCCGAATGTAAGGATATCAAGGAGGCAGACATACCAAGCTCTTCCTGGGTGTCCAGATCATAAACTCGCGCCCACGTATCATTCGCACTACCAGTCACCAAGCGCCCCGACTCCTGATTCACCGCTGCACTAGCAACGTCGTAGTCGAAGTCAAATTTCTTCAAGATTCGACCTGGCACAACCCCATCATACACATACACACTTTTTCCCGCTGCCACGGTCATAATCGCCGATTCGTTCGGCCGCGTGGACAGCGTGTTCAGCTCGCACGTCCCGATCGCCCCGTCGACCTCGCGCTCGACGATCGCGCCCCGCGACCGCAGATCCCACCACCGCAGCTTGCGGTCTTCGGCGGCTGTCGTCAGGATGCTCGGGTCCTGGTTCCAGACAATCGATTTGATAGTGCCGCCGTGCACGCCGGGCCCGATCTCGTAGCTTGCGATGGTATCAGCATTCTCAGGACTGCTTGGGGAAGAGCCGTTGCTGCCACCGCTGCGGGTAAGGTCGAAGATGCGGAGTTTCTTTTCGGCGCTGCCGGTTGCCAGGACTTGCGGGTTTGCTTGGATGGGGAAGGCAATGGCGCGGACGATGTGTGCGTGTTGGAGGGTGTGGAGGCACTCGCCGGTATAAGTATCCCAGACCTTTCTGTGTAGGTGTCAGTCCAGTCCCTGGAGAAGAGTTCGCTATTATGAAGTCAGGCGTACGCTGAGAAATCAGCTGCGGCGGTGGCTGCAATGGCTGCATCGGCTGAGAGGCGGGATTGCCAGACGGCACCTTTGTGGCCTAAAAATGTACCAATCCTGAGAAGATCGGATCTTCAGTGTTTTTTTTTCTTTTTCGGTTGTATGAAGAAGTTATGACAAGACGTACCAATCACCTGTGATGCCGTCACGAAGCATAGGGTTGTTATCTATATGTGGGGAGCTTCGTCAACACCGTGTATTTCTCAAGTGGCCAATTGTAGGAAATTGATCACCATACCCTTGCAGGCAGAGATTATGTAGTACTGATCCTCCTCCACAGTCGAGGAGAAGCTGAGATGTGTCACTGGGCGTGAATGCCCGTGGCAAGTAAGAGGGACCACCTTGGGAATATCTGCAATGGATATGAGCTCGGTGCAGGGTCATTATTTGATTTCGTACCCACCTGAAGCCATGGCGATGAACAGTAGGAAAGGAATGGAAATTTAGCGAAGTCAGGTCAGAGAGGGGAAGAAGCTGCTAGGATTGTGGGTTCCAGATGTCGGTGGGCAATGCTCATAGAAGCTCGTGACCGAGATTGTTCCCAAGCCGAGGGTCGGAAAAGATTGGAGCCACAAGTCAGGCACACAGAGCAACAAAAGAGATTCGTCAGGGTCGTCAGGTCATGAACAGGAAGAGACAGGACACGAAGTGGGATACTGCCCACGCAGTTACAAGAAAAGTCGGTTTGGATTGAGTCGATGGGGTTCACCTGCAGCCCACTTTGCTGAGGTAAGTCCCGTGCCTGGATCCATTTCACGTGTTTTCGATTTAAAGACGCGTATCCTGCGTACTATTCGCGTAGATCAGGGACGCCCTCAAATCTCGATTTCAGGGTCTTCAAATGGCGGTTTGACTCTAAGTAAGTGTTATGTCTTCCAGAGTAAATTTACACGCCTTGCAGGCCTACAATGCGAGGAGCGACATCCTTTCACCGCCAGTTGCTTGTCCACTTCGGCGCCCGGGGTCCTGGAAGCAGATATTCCCTGGATCTGGAGTAGCACGCTTTTTCTTTCCAGGGTATCAGATCAATCAAGGCCGATAGGACCTCTGCTCCTTGTGGTGGCATCGTGATACTCAAAGTGAGCAAGAGACTTGAAATGCGGTGGAAGGACTCCCCCAATTATACTCTAGGAAGCGGCGAGGGAGGTAAACCCTTAAATAAACAGACGGAAAGACGCCCGGGCGGAGGGTTATACTGGTGGTGAACACGAGCCGGACATTGGATTTGCACGAGCTGGCAAGAAAATTACTATCTAGCCTCGAGGTATGTGCAAGCCTTGGCTTCTCCGTCGCGGATGACGGGTACTGATCCCTAGCACGTCTTCGCGCAGGCCCCAGGGGTGCAGGTTCGGTGACTCAGTCGAAAGTTCGAGCGGGATTGTCTGGACACGCTAAAAATAAGTGTTGGACAAAGACGTCTTCATTGGGGAGTGGTGCTGGGGGTGGTTCACCAGTGATGGGGGATGTTTTGTGAGGCAATCCACAGTACAAGATGGTGCAGCAGGGGTGACACGGGGGGTTCTCTGACCTATCACGCTCTAAACTACCCTGAATGCAATGCCTTTCGCTTGGAATTGCTCGCGAAACTGGGTTGGCATGATCTTCGACGTCAGACTCGAGATCTGACTTAGGCCATCTCTACTTGTGATGTCTCCCACGATCACCTGTGGAATTGCTGTTTGACGTTGACAGGGCATGAATAGGGCCCTACCACACAGCAATTAGTAACATATCTAGAAACTAAGGGCTGCGGCCTCCGTTCTAGATTGTCTATGACGAGGGGCTCAAAATTGCAATGATAGAAGGCATTTCATCTATCTTACTCACGTATCTCTAGTACCGTTTTCCAAAGCAGTAGAGGAATCAGGTCAAATTCTTCAATGCCATCGTAAATATACATTCGAATGTCACGATAAAGCACCTCCCTGACCCGATAATGCGCACTAACTGATGTCCAGTAGAACTGTCCAACACAGGCCGATTCTTTTTGATCCAGCTTCACTTGACAATATGTATTCAAACAAGGATATAATTGTCAACCTGGAGGGGTACCAACTTGGAGGGGTACTGTAAAACCAGGAAATGAAAAGGATAGAAACTATGTCGACAATATATCGTCCTGATATCATGATCTCAGGGTGAGTACCAAACGTCCTTGTGCGTTCGAAAGAGCAAAGCCCAGTATGGACCTCCTTGGTATTGGCAATGAGGTGAGTTTTCCTCGTGTATCTTCATCTAGGGATTTGGTCCCATGTATTATGAGCATTCAGATCCTGCAGAAGATGCTGGATTGGTGGAATGGTTTGAGAATGGGGGAACAGAGAAGTCATTTCTGGGGTGGCATTGGTTGAAGAATGATGATTCTGCATCTCGGAGGTTGCGAATGGTGTCACTGGCTTCATACTTGAGGACTAGTCCAATTTCCGTAAGACTTCAGTCATAAACGTCTTGAGGGTATTGTGGGCCTGTTACCGATAGTGTAGATGTCATCATTGAAGATGGCTCATTTGTTTCTGAAACTGCGCCATGTAGACACTGGTTGGATAATGGATCTCCACAAAGAGGGGCAACGACTGCCGGCATCTGTCCAGGGATTCGAGGTCTGATTAATGAAATTTTCCTCGGAACCGGGGGATCGTTATTTTGACAAACAACCCCAACGCGTGAACAATTTCCACCTAGAGTCCATTAGAATTTGGCAGTAGATCTCAAGTTTTACGTACAGATCGGCTGCTTCTCATCACACTTCTTTCTTCTTTTCCGACAAGTGACGCATCCAGTTCTTGACCGTGTGTGTGTACTTTTTCGTTTTCGCGCAGAGTGTGTTGCTGTATCTTCATCGGTTTTCGAGCATTGCGACACAGGAAAAAATATTGCGCTGGTTGCTTTTGGGTCCCTGCACTGCTCGGAGTGCCCTTCGTCTCGTGAAGGAAAAGCGGAGGGGTCGTGCTTTGAATTCTCAGGCGAATTCACGCCACACAACCCGCCAATGTCCTGATCAGTAAATGATGACGCCTGGCGAACCAGGCTAGTCTCAGTAGCTATGTCTGCCATTTGATTAACTGAATCAAGCCCAGGCTCTTGGTTTGGGCGGTCGCATTGTCTGGCTTCTGGTGTCGATGGACCGTGGGACGATGCTACTTGAATCTTCGTTAGTAGGTATTCTAAAGAAGGAGAACCGCGCTCCATGTTTCAAGTCTCCTCCACACAAAATCCGGCTGTTCCTTCGAGTTTCACTCGGGCAATGTTGGCCACCGGCTGTAACGCTGGAAAAAAAAAACTTGCCTGGGAATAGCTCTTCCGCAGATTTGCATCGACTCTGATCATCCTGCAGGCATACAGAGCTAGGCTCTCCACCTGCTAGAGCCTCCAGACTCACATTTACCGGTTGGTTCGCGTTGCTAACAACCGAGCTGGGACTTCTCTGTCGACTAACTGGAGCGTTCGATAATTCACGCTCCTCGCTCATCCCGTGACGATTGGGCTGAGCATGATCAGGCGTGGAGATGGATCCTGCCAATTGAACAGGTAATTCTCTCCCATTTTCATTTTCTGTCTCCAAAATACCTGGATTAGAGGCAGATCTGGAGATCAAATTGATCGCTTGAGACAGCCTTTTGGATTCTGACGCTATCAAGATGGAGTTCGGCACAGACGGAAGTTCCGTCAATGATATCTCAGATGTTTCATGTCTTTCCGGAGCCTCTTTTCCCTTATTAGTCAATTTTCCAAAGCCCAGTTTATATAGCTGCGACTGTATTGCCTCATACGATCGTCTCATGTTGGAAAAGTCGAAATATTTTTGTTCGATATCCTTTTTTGATAGATGCCGGTGAGCCTTGAACCATCCCGGTAAATTACTGCTCTCATCATGAGTCCAATGGAGTCCTGCGCCTCCTTTGGCTGTAGGAGAAATCAGCACTTCAAACCATCAGAGGCTAAACCATTGATATACTGACCTCGTTTCTTCGTCTGCATACGATCTGATGCATTAGTTCTTGTTTGTCGGTGTTCAGGCGATTTACCCCTCTCTGCATTTTCCCCATTCCTGAGCATATCATCGTGGGTCACAAGGGCACCCAGCTTGCGTTTCAGCAGCTCTAGTCGCTCTTCCAACCTTTTGAGAGCATTTCCGGTCGTGTGCGACACTAAAGACCATTCGTTAATCCATTTTCATTTCCGAGGAAAAGGAGCTTCGCATACTTCCACTGATGATATCCTGCCAGTGAGTCATTTGCTCTAAAGTGAGCTTGGTGGCATTGATTTCTGATGAAATATCACTGGGATATGAGTACGGGTCGACAAGCTGTCGAGGGATTCCAGTTGATATAAAGTCATGGTCCGCCTGAGGCAGCTCTAGCAAAGCATTTCCTTTCTCAATCCGAACGTGATATTTGCCGGTCTGTTGGAACTCTGCATCATACACCGCCGATCGAATGACATCGGCCCAATTGACAAGAGAGTCGCATGAGTCTTCGACTTCCAGCACTTGGGGATGCAGTGAGCTGAATAAGGGACCGATTCCGGCAGCTTTACTATCGCTAGCAAGCGGAATCGCAAATATCTGTGCAAGATTGGCACCAGCTTGTAAGGCGATTTCATAAGATTGCAATAACTCCCCCAGTGATTGAAGCTCAGCTTTTGGTGCGGCAAAGAAGCGTGAGATAAGCCTGTTCTCGAATTCTTGCCCCATTGAACGTGACCGCTGTTGAAAATTCATTTCGGTGGGCCCCATTGTATTTAGCACTCGGGTGAATAACTTCAAGAAACATGAAAGGTTGGATGACTTGCTCCAAGCGCATAAATAGTCGCCATGCCATTTGTCATGTGACGGGGCCATGACCTTGTACCTGCGTTGCAATAGTCCAACGGTAGCTGATATACGACCCACATACGAAAACCAACAGCGCCTAGGCCTATATAATGATTGGCCGGTATCGCGAATAGCGTTTGACTAAAGGAAAATTCCCCGCCCTCCCCAAAGAAACAGTGGAATTGGACTTTCCTTCTCCATAGAAGCAGTGAGCTTTTATGTGATAGCAGCCTCGCGGGGCCAACCACTGTCACCTATCCACTGAGGGCATCGCACCGCGCAAGCCTTGCCGTGAATATGATCGGCCTGTGGAGGCCCAGCCTGGTTTCTTCCTTTCGCCTGTAAAGGCGCATCCAAGCCAAGGTGGGCCCTCAGAAATGGCACTAGTCGACATGGGATCTAACGAATGGCTAGCATTCACCTAGAGACTCATGAGAGACTAAGCGAAACCGAAAAAGTCTTATCTGCCCGGACTCTGTGATTTGGCCTTATAATCTCGACCTTTGGCCACGACAGGGGTCCCCAGCTGTCCAGGCCCAACAATCACGGCCGATATGGGGGATGACGCGGCCAGAGCAGAGGCAGATGCCGATCTCCAACATTAACGGCTCTGCGCTCGGGCCCTAGAAGGCAGAGCGGATGAGCGGGGAAAATTGACTGTACTGTAAGGGAAATTGGCTTCACCTGCTCAGCCCTATCTATGCCGCCGTAGCTTCACTCCAGCTCCCTGCCGGGCAGAGACAAGAGACCGTCTCCTACCGGGCGATGACAGCGCGTTTGTCTGCCGTGGAAACACACGTCTCATCGGATACGACAAAGTTGGAGCGAAAGATGCTGGTCAGGAACCGTACAAAGAACCCAGGTTGTGACTGCGCCCAAGTTACAGGGGTCCTTTGTTGCGAAGCCTCGGCCTTGAGCTGGATTGTCGACCTGACTCGCGACACGGATCGGACTGGCCGCAGAGAGCCTTCGATTTGCAACCGCCGGGTAACTGGAGTGTTCCCGCACCAATCAGGGGAGTATTTTTCACGCACCCCTCGACAAATAGACTTTTCGACTCAATGCAGCACAGCCAATGGCGGCCTAGGCGATTGTTGGCACAGTCAATTCGCCGCAATTGGCTCAGCTCATTATTTTGGATCCTATTATGATTCATTCTTATCTATTTCGCGCGTGCTACAGGGAACCCATGCTTCTTATCTTTTCTTCTTTTTGCCGCAACTTTTGTCTTTCGAATAGATCCAATCGGCTTCAGTTGTTGTCTTCTGTAACCTTGCGCATGCTATGACCATACAGCCACCACTCTTCACACTCCCATTACATTCGACTCTTGCGTCACGAAGAAAAGAAGACTACCCAGCTTAGCCGGGCCATTTATAATTTAAATAGATCCGTAGGCCCCATACCTTCCGCTATTACCTCAAAAAGGATAAAAAGATATCTGGCTCGTTTCCTTTGTGAGATTTTATTTCCGTTTCCCTTGCCTAGTACTACTTTTATACTTTTACTGTTCCGTGCAAAGCAGCCCCTTGACATAACATCTCATCCAGTAAGGATTTCCGATCTGCTACCTACGCTCATGTTCTCCTAACTTTGCTACGTGTGCAAAGCACGATCAGGCTATCCCATCACGCATTGATTAAAGAGGTCGAGTACCTCCTTCGAAAGAGCCACGCGTACTAAAAGTAGTCCAGCTAGTATGTCCGTCCACTTTGTATTCTGACACTGTGAAATCGCCTGTAAAGATTAGATCCCACTCAATTTGTCTTTTCAAAGATACATGCGTACCAATGCCGAAGCCTGAGGAATGAATGCATGCGCTCCAACCGACCATAGTGTTTTTCGAATCCAATCATACTGCAGTTGCGATGGTTTCAGTGTTTTAAAAGCGCAAAATAAAGGCCATAATACCAATAAACCCCTGGTAAGATGGCCCATCTCTTCATTGTGTTGATCTTTTATCCGGTTTGGACCTGGTTCGAGAATCGTAGCGACGGCGGAACATATGTTTTCCACTGCTTGGTGCGTTATGCCCGAAAGTATGGAATATTCCTTCGTTCCTTCATAGTTCCTGCCAGAATGAAGACAGCTACCTGTCAAGACAAGTAACGCGGCTGTGATGAGCTGAAGACACTGGTAATCATTCCATCGGACTAATAGAACCACCTAGTAAGGCGGCGTCAATAGATGTTGAGATGCATGTTCAAAGTGAACTTACATTCATCAATCTGTCGCGAGAAGAAACCTTGGAAATATCCAGATCTGGATTTGGACATAGGTGTGGAAATAATTTTAGGTTCTTTTGAATCTGTCGGAGAAAGGCTCGAAGCTTTTGTATGTCTATTTTTCGAGGAGTTGCTTCCTGAAGCAAATTATTAATCGCAGATGCCAGGGGACGCAGGCAAAGCATGGCGATGTCTAATATAAGGAAGCCTTTGTCGAGACTATTCATGTTATGTGTCGCAAATGATCCAAAGGCATTACCTGCAAATTTTGAAATTTGAATGGCGACGCGCAGAGGATCAGATACATCAGTGAGCACGGAATCTTGAGCACAAAGTGGCTTTTCTAGAATGCCTAAAAGCCCATCCAAATGAATCTGCCATGTTCTGTCCTCTGCTTCGATATTAACGATCATCTAACTCCGAGATTAATATGATTGATCTTAGCAGGACCTAAGTTGATCATACCTCATATATTGAGAAAAGAAAAGCCGAGCTACCAAGGGACGCTGAGTATGGTGAAGCCACCAGCGTATCCTTTAGGTAACTGGTTGCAGTGCCGTACTCAGTGAGTAGTGCTTTTCTATCCTCTGAATATTGAATGGGCTGGCGCAGTGAGTGAAGACACCTCCTTATCATCCTCACGGGATATACTGCCCTAAAATCTGGGCCTTGTGTCGTGGTCACGATGCTAAATAAAGATGGAGATCTGGGATTGTTCGGTAGGCTTTGGCCGGTGGTGGTAAGCAGTGCTTCTAGCAACGAAGCTGCAACTGTCGATGTCTCAATCTGTTGTGACCTGTCATAATTTGTAGACACCGACAAAGAATAGGCGTGTGATATTTGCTGGGTTGACACGGTGATGGCAGAATTGTGTAATATTGTTTTCCCTTTTTCTTGCCCTTCGTCCTCCTAGGCAGACTCTTCCTGTTTTCGTGCAATTTCCACAGAAAGGGCGGGTCAAGTCACATAGAATCTTCCTAAGCTTGCAGGTCGTACAACATTTGCTTGCATGGCCGGGGTTAACCATTATTACGAATCAATAATTCATTCCAAATTAATAATTCTAAGACTTTCCGATAAGTCTCTCGGTAGGATTTCACAATCGGAGAATGCGGGGATATTATGTTATCGGCCGTGGAGCTGGTGGCTCCGCGCTAAAATTCTCGCATCAGGTGGCACTAATCCCGATCCTTGCGGATAGCTGAGCTTGGACTTTCCGACGAGCTTTGCGCTAGATTTCTCGCAAACTAAACTTATTCGAGTATAGAGAGTGGTGGGGAGAAGCGGTTTAATGGACAGTTCTTATATTGGTATCATATACCTTGACCAATAAACTACAATAGGGAAAAAAGATTCTTAACAGATACCGAGCTTACCGAACATGTGTTGTAGTTACTCGCTCTATATGAGAAGCTAACCAGTCCCCGTTAACAGCAGATTCGAATTCTCCTATCTCATGAAGTTTTCCCTGTGCTCCATAATTCATCAAAAGCTCAACCCGTCTGCCCTGGTCCGAATGTCTATTCAACCGATTAAGTTATGGGGTCACTGGGGTGGCCCCAACCCCTGGTTAGTTCTTGAACTCAGACATTGTGAACCAAGATATATTGACATCCAGTGAAGGAAAGTCTGCATAATTCTTGAAGAACTAGGCCTCCCTTATGACCTACAGCTAGTTGAGTTCGCCGATGTCAAGCGGCCTGATTATCTAGCGATCAATCCCAACGGGCGCCTCCCTACTATTCAGGATCCAAATACTGGCATTACGCTCTGGGAGGTAAGCATGTTCCTGTATTTGAAAACCCATGATAATTACGAAGTTGACAAAGATCTTTTCCTAGAGTGCTGCGATCATCATTTATCTGATTGAAAAGTACGATAAAACGGGCATCCTCTCTTATGCACAAAGCCAAGAAAATTATCTTTGCCAGCAGTGGCTATCTTTCCAGTCTTCCGGTAATAATGAACCACATCTAGACGTATGTTAGTGAGGCTAAAGTTATCGACAGGCCAAGGTCCCTACTTCGGCCAAGCAACCTGGTTTGCTCGCTTCCATCCAGAGAAACTTCCTTCTGCCACAGAGCGTTATGTTAACGAGATCGTCCGAGTATTTCGGGGTCTTGGACAAAGGGTTAACACGGAATGGTACAGGTTGGCTCGTAGGGAACAAGTGTACGTATGCGGATTTATCATTCGTCACTTGGGCTGTTATAGGCGAAGGATTGCTTCAAGAGTTGGGCCGAGCAGATGAGCTGAAAGAAACCCATCCCAGATATACAGCTTGGCTCGAATCAATGAAAGACCGAGAGAAAGTGGCCAAGTGCCTGAGTCTTATTGCGCGAGGGGAGGGCCGCGCACGGCTTACGATGACTGATAGTTTTATGTTAGATAAATGCAACTACCCAACCAATGGCAATTTATATGATTTCCTTCTCGTACTTGTTTCATTTCAGGGCCACGGCGTGCAACAGCGCATCACCAGCACTAATAACGATACATGGAGTAGGCACTTTTATGCACGCATGTATGGCCGGATAGGTACAAAACTGTGTAGAAAATGTGATATAATATACTACAATTATGGTGCTGTATCTATAATAGAGTAGGAATGTCCGCAGTTCGTGGTTGGAAGCTCGTGGGTCTGGATAGTGATAGTGAGATCTCGGTGTTAAGAAAGCCCCTTCTCGTGCATAGAGCTTATGCCGGACAAGTTATATGGCAGGTACGTCTTTTTACTGGTCAATGTCTGTTTGATCGTGACTGTATGATGTCCTAACCCTAAAGTCTAGAGCATATGGTAATGTGTTACACAGAATAGACAGATAGTAAGAAAGATAAGCCTATATTCTCTAGAGTGATGTGATTGATGTTGTTGTCTGGTTATGGTGACTGTACTTGCTGAGTATTGGAGCGGCCGAAATTGTCCTCCCTTTTCTGCAGTTTCCGGCTCAGATCCCAGACACGACGTTTGCGTTGGTGGAAAGGGCGGAATTATGGGAATGAATTTGATTATAGGCCGCATAATTATATACTGTAGCGAAAGAAAAGACAAGGCCCTTGTCTTGCTAAATCGCAAAATCCCTCAACTGTTCGAAAAAAGGCACAGAGGAGCCTTGGGCGTCCTTCAACCTTTCAACTCTGACCTGCTTTGTCTCCTGTCTCTTGAGAAGGAAGACTCGGGTGAGCTGCCAAGTTCACTGAAAGCAAACACAGTGGACTAAATCGACAGCGAGGAATTCATCGTTGACGGCCAATGCAAAATTGAAAGGTAAATAGAAGAAACTACCGGAAAGAGACTGGTATTTGCTCGTACCGGTATTTATGTCTTATTGTGCCCGTAGCCTAACACGTAAACTCTAGCTTACATCTGAGATGTGGAAATATGCAGATGCCCCGCAGGCTGATAAGTCCAGATAACCCCATCCCCTTCACGACTCCCCGCCCTTACGAAGGCACCTTTCTCCACTTGTCCCCATGTCTCAAATAAACCTGAATTTCAGAACAGCATGTGCCGAATATATCGCTCTAAGCTCCTTCTTTCACCAGGTTCCTGCCCCGGTCGTTCGCAATACGAACAATATCTTGCCAACCAGCCAGAAATATGTTTTGCCATTTTCTAAGGAGCGTGGACTGACTGAAATTCTCGCTTTTATGGCTAAAACTAAAGATGGACGGGAATATATTCCAGCGGTCTGCGTGAGAGAGAGCCAATCTGGCACGGCCTTGGATATCATCCTAGCCATTAACAAGACAACCTACACGGATGGAGATGATATCTTACAAAACCTGAAAGCAAGTTTTGAGCAAGTTTTCCAGATCCTGAATAAGTCCGACTACGGTTAGTTTGTGTCTGCTTTGTATGCAATGATAAACCCTAACGGTTCTCCAAACATTATAGACAAGCCAGGGGTTCAAAGAAGAATTTTGATGTCAATCATCTCAATGTGCTCATTACGGATACTCAGCCGGTTGCGACTTGAACAGAACGCAAGTAGGAAGCCTATCGAGGATCTACTCGAAGACGCGATGTTTAGTATTCGGCAGGTCCAGCGTCAAAAGCTTTCTCAGCAAGGATCTATCATCCACAATGACTTTATTTATAACAGAAGCTAGCAAAGTCATACATCTGGTTGATCGATGGTCGAAGCACCAGAAGCTGGAAGAGTTGAGTGATCTGGTGGAGGGGATTCATCATTTGCATCAGACAGTCCCACGATTAGAAGAGTTACTAGACATCATATCGAAAAAAGATATGGCTCCATCTTCAAGATCAAGTTTACTGAACATCATCAGAAAACTGTCACGGTACTGGGAAGCCGCCAGAAAATTGTATCGAACAGCTAAAAAATTTCCGCTGGTTCGAAACATGAAAATTCAACTGGCAAGTCTCCCCCAGAAGGCATTTGAAAGCCAGATACATTCTAGCCAGATTCAGAACCTATGTGTGTGTCTAACTAAGCTTGGATTGCCCGAGGGCCGACAAAACGTTCCACTGTTGTGCCAAAGTCTGAGACTTGATCAAAAAGCCGCCTGTGACAGATATCAAAATGCCCAAAGGGCACTTTCAGCGTCGAAAATACACGCCGAAATCCAGGTTGTTACTTTTTGCGAAATACAAGCCCAAAAGCCATTTCCACGAGTGGTTAGTTCAAGCAAAGATGCATGCTTTCTTTGTGATACTTTCATTCAGCTATACGGACGAATGCATACTCCAAGGACCCATGGTCGGCTTTATCCTGGCTGGAGACTTCCAAGTTTGCCGGTGTTTGGAGCCCTCCAGCAAAGATTCAATGAACATCTAGCTGAGAAACTTCGACGCAATATTTCACAAGGCTTGGCGCAAAGAAAGTTGCCGATTTACCCATGGCCCAATGAAAGCAACTTGCTTACCTTATCGGACTCTTTGACAACAGTCGGCCAGCCGGATCTCACTGCCCAGAACTCCGAGGGCAAAGTGATATCCCTTGGCTCGTCCTGTAAGTTGTCGGATAATTCACCCAGACACGGCCGTTCATTGGCGCTCGTCGAAACACCTCACATTGGGGCCCTTTCACATAGTCCCCTCGAGGCCGTCTACTTGGCGGATGGAGAGCTTCTCAATGATTCTGTGCGCCCTATCAACCGTTTCCGTCTTTACATTGCAGGATGCTTCGAAATATATCTCGAATTGGAGTCCCCATCAACTTCTGAGAATAAAAATGAAACCTTAAGCTATGGTATCAAACGGTGTTCAGCCGACAGCTTCAAACCGAGCCCGAGGAAATCGGTCATTGACGTACAGCAGCTCAACGGTGAAGTCTTATTACAGTTGTCCAAAGATACTGTGATTTGTCTAGCCTCTAACGATGTTATATTGGAGATCAATATCCAGGGATGGACTAAGGATAAATAGTAACCCCCTCGTCAGGTGCCCGCAGCTGTATCTATCTAAAGACAGAAATAGACAAAGAGAGAGAGGAAGAGGTTATTTTGGGTATTTAGTTCCGGGTTTGGTTTTGAATGAGAATAAATCATCCACCTCAAAAGAAATTTTCAGACTCCCTTCAATGATCAGGCGTGGAGGCCAGACATTGAAAAGACCGGCACATAACAGATCTGAAAAGAAAGCTTTGAAGTTTGACTTCTTCCTGGGCACTACAATAGAACTGTCCCAGAAGCTAGACACGATCCCATGTCGGTCTAGACATCCAGCCATCTGGAGGCCTGCTAAAGCCTTGAAGCCACAGGTACTGCTGAAGGGTGGGGCGCATTGGCGTCCCACGCTAGCACAATGCACGCTACGTTAGTTGAGCAACCATGCTGATATAACTAGCTACATAATCACAAGATATATTACTAGATATTAGCCAGCCGCCACTCCCTTCTCCACCTTAAATTTGTGGAGCGAGCCGCATAGGCCTTAGCGTGCCGGATTGCGGCGAGAGCCTCGTTTTCTGATGCTCCTGCGCGAATAGTGTCGAGCGTATGTTGCACGAAAGTCCCATCACAACTCCTTAGGGCCCGAAGAAGCTCACACATAAACTCTTGGAGACTGGTAAGCTCTTCTTTGGTCTTCTTAGCGGTGGCCTTCCGATGTCCATCGGAGAGTTTACCGAATACGTTAACTAACTAGATCGGGCATGGAGGCGTCGCAAATTTCCATTACTAGGTCCACTCACGGCCCAAGGCCCGATATGGCCACCGGCATGGTCTTCTCAGACTTTGCGGCGCACGAGGCTGAATTGCCCCACTGACCCCCTCAAGTAGATTCAGTAAAAAGTTGTTTGTGATGTCATTATATGCACAGTCACCTGGTCCTAATGAGTCATTCCACTGTTTTCTAGTCTTTCGAATTAGCAGCCTCTTAGTGGCTATCGCAGGCTGGGCAGTCAAACAGGACTGTACAATCTCAATCTTCATGCTGACCAGCGTATGACTGTGCAGTAGGTCCGGTATCGAAGGAGCGACCTCTACGGGTATAAGAGCGTTGAGATTGATGGTTTTGTTAGCGTTTTAATTTTCATTAAGGTCAATCATACTCAAACAAGTAGATAGCTTTCCTTGGTAACTTTACTTGGTATTATGCCCTATCGTCACCTTTGCCACCACCACCCCTCGCATCAAACATTTAACAGTTGCCCTATCCCCAATACGTTTTCTGTCGGGCTCTTTAGACTATCTTTCTTTATATTTCATTTATTGAGTTTCTGTTTCTTACAAAAAAATGCAAAGGCAGATCGCTGGAACGCTAGACGTCCGTTTTTTTGATCGTATCCAACAAGATATCCTTGAGCATCGACACGACAAAGAATACGACATCTTGTACTTAACTCCAGTACCTGATTCAAATCACGACTTCCGTGTACGCATCGAGGATTTTCAAAGTCTCGATTTCGACAACTCTGATCAGTGGTCTCAACGTTTCAGAACCGCTTACGCCCATATCAACCAGCGTCACCCTCTTGGAGTACCTTTTACCGTCAGTCAAGTCTGCAAATCAGGATGTACTCGGCATCATTCCACAACCTAGCCGTCGGCTTTTTCTAAGTTCCGTCCTGGTGCAAGGAGTATCTATTCCAAATGTCGACCAGCGCAGCAACATTAGCGCCTTGGTTACTCGAGCTGGAAACGAGTACTGCATCGTAGTCTATCAAAATGATCAATGTACCGGAGAAGCTATCTCTTACTCTGGTGATGACGAAGATTGTTATACGATCCTTGGCGCCGGCGGTGCTGGACTCTAACTCTTGGCTTCAGATGCTGACGGTATGCTTATTTTTCTTTGGTGCAGCTGAATGCCCCGCTGGCCAAGAGGTCGACACCTTCAAATCCAGATAAAGACCAGACCGGAACGAACTGGAAGCCTCTAAACGGAGACCCTGGTTCGTTTCAGTTTTTCAAGGTTTGAAGCATTTATTCTCCTTTGTTGTCGTAATTAATATGGGAATACGAGACAAGGCAAATCTATGTACCCAGAGCGTGACCCTAAAAATAATGTATATATCTAAGGATAAATACTAGGTTGTAGTGGAATCTTTCTACTAATCTTAGACTTAATAGAGAAGACGAATAAATGTCTTTTCCTTGGGTGATAGATCTACTAAGTCTTTTAAGATGTTAGATGGTGTCTATATTTCTGAGGGAGATTCTGCGAAATTTGAGTAATGCTAGACGTCTCGAATCCAATGATTTAAGGTTGAGGCTTTGCCCGCCCCGCCGGGCCTTGCAGACGGTGATAGCGACTGCCAGATGATATCCGGCTTCACGCGCACCGAAATCACGCAAGAAGCACGTGGCGCATCGTGGATACTTACAGTGTAGGAACAATTAAGGGCTTTCGATTAGCACTTTATCAGCTCTTTTATTCTAGCATGTTCGTTATCTGCTCCACCGCCCACGTGATTTCAATGTGGGTCAGCGGGGGATCATCAGAGGTAATAAGACAACAAGGTCTCATGTAGCCACAGCTTGTCTATTACGCTGCGTACGTGATCAACAGTATCGCCAGCTTCCACCATCCTTTTGCCTTCTTTCTCTCATCAATACCTTCGGCTTTCTCCCGTCGCAGTGCGCCGTTGTATGTATGCCTGATTTCAAGCTCGCGGCGACCCTCGAAGGCCATAGCGATGATGTAAGATGGCTCCCTTCCTCTCCGATGTCGAATTTCGAGCACCTTGGTAGTGCGCGGCACACCACATTCATGAGGCTGAATAGAGATGCTCTAGGTTCGCGCTGTGGCCTTCCCAAACCCCAATGCCGTGCTATCCGCATCTCGTGATGCCACGGTTCGCCTTTGGAAGCTCATCTCATCCCCGCCCCCGACCTACGACTACACCATAACAACTCATGGGCAAGCCTTCATTAACAGCTTGGCATACCTCCCACCTACTTCTGAATACCCAGAGGGCCTAGTCTTCTCCGGTGGACAGGATACTATTATCGAAGCTCGTCAGCCGGGTAAGGTCGCCGACGACAATGCAGATGCTATGCTTCTGGGACATGGACACAATGTCTGCGCACTGGATGTATCCCCGGATAGTACATGGGTAGTCAGCGGCAGCTGGGACTCTACGGCCCGTATATGGAAAGTAGGCAAATGGGAGGCCGATGTGGTGTTGGAGGGGCACGAAGGAAGTGTCTGGGCTGTGCTGGCATATGACAAAGACACAATTATCACTGGTAAGAGACGGAAACAACTCAGAAGGAACAGGACACTAATGCGGCATTGTAATAGGCTCTGCGGATCAAATGATAAGAATGTTTAATACTGCTGGGACCCAAATTGGAAGTTTGAAGAACTCCAATGATGTGGTTCGAGCTCTATGCAAAGTCCCATCATCGAGTCCTACTGGTGCGCAGTTTGCCTCAGCCAGCAACGATGGAATTATTCGGCTCTACACTCTGAAAGGTGACTTGGTTGCTTCACTCCATGGCCATGAAAGTTTTGTCTATTCGCTCGCAGCACTCCCAACTGGCGAATTGGTCAGTGCTGGAGAAGACCGAACAGTTCGTGTGTGGAGTGGAACTCAATGTGTTCAAACCATCACACACCCTGCAATTTCGGTCTGGAGCGTTGCTGTATGTAATGAGACTGGTGATATCGTGACTGGTGCTAGTGACCGCATTACCCGTGTCTTCAGCAGAAGCCCAGAGCGCCATGCATCACCAGAAGCTATTCAAATATTCGACCAGGCTGTCAAGGAATCCGCTATTCCAGCACAGCAAGTTGGGCAAGTCAATAAAGAACAACTTCCTGGTCCAGAGTTTCTTCAGCAGAAATCTGGCACCAAGGAAGGTCAAGTTCAAATGATTCGGGAGACTGATGGCAGTGTCACTGCTCACACTTGGTCATCTGCGACCCAAGAATGGATTGCAGTCGGTACTGTGGTGGACTCAGCTGGTAGCAGTGGCCGCAAAACTGAATATCTTGGCCAGGACTACGACTATGTCTTTGATGTCGACATCGAAGACGGCAAGCCACCATTAAAGCTTCCTTACAACCTTTCACAGAACCCCTACGAAGCTGCAACCAAGTTCATTGGAGACAACGAGCTGCCTATGTCTTATCTGGATCAAGTTGCCAACTTCATCACACAGAATACCCAGGGTGCTACGATCGGTCAGTCCCAGGAACCGCCCGCCGGAGCCGACCCTTGGGGCTCTGACCGACGGTATCGCCCAGGGGATGCTGCCGCCGCTGAGAATGCGCAACCGCCAATCCCCGAGTCCCGTCCCACAGTCCTCCCTCAAAAGACCTATCTCTCCATCCGATCTGCAAATCTCAAAATTGTCACTAAAAAGCTGAAGGAGTTGAATGAGCAGCTTATATCTGAGGGTGAGAAAAGGATAGCATTGGCTCCAAATGAGGTCCAGGCCCTTACTGCACTATCGGAGCAGCTAGAAAAATCTCCAAACCTTACCAAATCCCCTATCATTGAGGAGGGAGTACTGCTGGTGTACAGAATCGCAACAGAATGGCCCGTCGCAAGTAGACTTCCCGGACTGGATCTATTGCGGTTGCTTGCAGCAGCTTCACCCGTGACGGCGACCTCAGAATATCCTGATGTCGACCTCATCTCAGGTGTGATATCAAGTGGAGTATTCGAATCACCCCTGAACGTCAACAATGCAATGCTTGCTATCCGGACTTTCGCAAACCTCTTTGAAACTGAAGCTGGCCGGAAGCTCGCGGCCGCTCACTTCGGCCAGATCCTCACAGCGGTGAGGTCCGCGCTGGCCAACGCAGGAGCATCGCCTAACCGCAACCTCACCATTGCTGTAACAACTCTCTACATCAACTTTGCTGTCTATTCGACCTCAGAAGGCCGAGCACAGGCGCCTGAATCGGCAGAACACGGCTTAGTACTTCTCGAAGAGCTCACAAAGATTGTTTCTGGAGAAAGGGACTCGGAAGCCGTCTACCGTGGACTGGTTGCCTTGGGTACCCTCGTTACCGCACTGGGTGCTGAGATCAAAAGCGCTGCGAGGGAGATTTATGAGATCAACAGTGTCCTCGCTCGAGTATTAGGCTCAAGCTCTGGAAAGGAGCCCCGTGTGAAGGGTGTTATTGGCGAAATCCAACAGTCTCTCAAGCATTAGGCGCTGATGGATTCCCCCATAGATAGATAGAAGCGCTCATAAGAATGATGATGCCATTCTTTACTCTTGCATTTCCTAGTAATTGACACCCCCGTATCACCACCTAGCTTAGAGCACTGGCCTAGAGTCGACCCTCCGCATCAACTCCCACCTCTAGAATCTGATCAATGCCCTGGTACTGTGGCAAATCCAGCCCATACTTCTCTGCAATAGTCCTAGTCAGAAACCGCCCTCCAATAAAATGGCGACCGCGGTAATACTGCACGCAGGGCTTCGGCGCCGTCAGGCTGATAAGTGCTTTCGGCATAAACGTCGCACCAGGACCTTCTTTCGGTGGTCCGGCTTGGATATCCCAAGAGCTGGGCGCATCGACGCTTAGGACTGGCACAGACGATTTCTCGATCTGAGAAACGATTTCGCCAAACGGGGCACGGAGAGGCCCGCCAAAGGAGAAGCCGAAGATGGCGTCTACGAGGAAGTCTGTTTTCTGGAGTTCTGCTTCAAAATCGGTTATGAATGGGACACAGAGATTCTCCAGTTGTACTTTCAGGCGCTGACGACCAATGTTAGCTCGGGTTGCGATATTATATGAACGAGGGCTCACCTGGTACAGCTCATTTTTGCCTTGCTTGGGGTAATATACGGATGGGTTGTAGCCGTACTGGGCGAGGTGTCGGGCTGCTACCAGTCCATCGCCTCCTGCAAAAAAGTCATTGACCAGGTCTTGGGTGATGAGACAAGGTTACTGATGTCGATAATATCATACCATTGTTACCAGGCCCACAGACTACAAGGACATTCTTGCCAGCATTAAGAGGGTGCATGCGCCATACTGAATCATGAATTAGGATGAACGTAGTCTTGGAGCTCAGGTGCAGCCAGGTACTTGCCAGCTTGAGAAACAGAGAGGCCTGCGAGCTCCATTAGCTGGTCAAGCGACCAGCCTCCAATCTCCATGAGATCCTTGTCGAGAGATGCTGCATCTTTCGCAGAGATTGCCTATGATACTCAGTAACGATCTCGTTCTATCGAATCTGGAGACATACCTTGAGCGCCATTGTCGATGACTTTGTGTAGCGACGGATCGTGGGTGATAGAAAGCGTCGGCTGAATATGGTACGGAACATGCAATAATCTATGTCTGGGTATACACTGTGAATTTGCCCGTTTGTCTTAGCATTGGAACTTGGTAGAAGGAGTAATTACGTCTAACAAGGTATTCGACAGCAGGTAACTTATACATGCTCATTGCATCATCCCCGCCGGCGCTAATCCCGATTAGGCCGCCTCGGTATATATATTTTTCCGTTTCTCCCTGAACTTTTGGTAGTCGATTTTACGACGGAATCAGGTCGACTACGCGAGCTTCATAGCGAAACACATCCCACCCGGCATCATGGTTGTTCGCATTCGGCTGGCTCGCTTCGGCAACAAGCACAGCCCCTTCTACAACATCGTCGTTGCGCAGGCACGGTACGTGGTGCGTGCTGGTTTTGCTGTCCACACGACATCCTAATCGGCATCAAGACCTGGCTTCCTGGAGGCATCCGACTAAACCAATCGGGGCTCCCCGTCAAAGACTTTTTTTTACTGACATCGGCATATAGATCTGCCCGCGGAGCTAAGCCGCTCGAGGTGATTGGCACTTACAACCCCGTGCCAAAGCGTCCCACGAACCTTTACGATGAGAACCCCAATGCACGCCCATATAAGGAGATCGCTCTCGACCGATCAAGGGCGCGGTACTGGCTGGGTGTTGGCGCACAGCCCAGCGACCCGGTCTGGAAGCTGTTGACTATGGTATGTGATACGACTACTGGGACTCGGGCATGGACTCGGCCTTAACGTCTCCAACTTGACACAATTTGTCGAGCTCCGTCTTTGCCATTCAGGAACAACCGGAATCATTGGCTAACTATTCGTCTTCCATCTGCAGGCTGGACTCGTCAAGCCGAAACCCGCTACTTACCTGGAGAAAAACGTTTGAACGACCAATCTTTATAAAATGATATCCTGCGCCTGGCCTCAAGCGAGGTCCCTGGACTCCATGACGAGGCGAAGCATGTCTGATTGGAAGCGACCGCCACCAGAGACGCTGATCCCAGCGACATCTCCATGTAATTCTCTTTTTCTTATGTGTTCCGGCATTTGAGGCGTTTTCTTGCTAGTTGGGCCGCAATCGGGACAGCTGCATCCCGACTCTTTATGTACAGTATCATATGCGGCGTGCCATGGCACAATCAAAGACTCCCATTCCCGAGATTCGATGTTAAAAGTATACGAGTACGGAGTAGATCAGGCATAAACATGTACGAACCCAATCCGCGGAGTGGACCTCCTAAGGCTACGCGCCTATGGGAAAACTTTTCCGTATCACTCATGCAGAGTCGACTTAAGTTGTACCGATCGATCACATGATCCAAGCCCTAGAGGCTCGACTTCCAGCTTCATGCGCAAGATTTCGCGAATCGCAGGTGACGCGCCTATGATCGGTGCTCTCGGGACCAGGCACCAAAGGGGACCGGAGACTTGGGCTGAGCTTTCAAAAGAAAACCGGCTTGTCTCCACGGCCCAACCAGACGAACCATCGGGACTCGATAAGCCTGGGCCATTTAACGGGCCAACCAATCCGCGCGGACGAGGCAGACTAGCCTATGGCAATTGGTCGGCGGCCCTGGAGGATCGCCGGTTTTTGAGTTCGCAAATTCCGTGGACTCAGGCTGACAGGCCTTGGGACTCTCACTGTCCCACCCTGATCCCAGTGTACAGTATACTACTCATGTACTCCGTAAACGCGTCCCTGATGCATGGACTCGGCTCTTTCTCCAGATCTAACGTGCACGGATGACGCGACTTTTGTCTCTCGGCACGCATCTAGAAGACGATGCTTGAAAGCCGAAATACGGGAAGATCGCGCTTCTGGATCGTGTGGATTGGGGCTTGCCCTCTTTATGTTTGGCTTGCTTCGGTTCTTAAGAGAGAACAAGGGGTCCCGGACCCCTTGAACGTGATGCCCGTTGCGGGAGTCATAATGAAAGCGGGGATCCACGATTCTTAGCACTGGTTCATTAAGCCCAGGGGTTGGAGTTTGTTTAGCCCGATCGGCCCATTTCATTCTGGGCGGGAAGCTGCAAGTCCGTTGAAGCTGCCAACCCGCGCCAGAACCTGTAGCTTATGGCTTGCATCTGCAAGCCTGCCCATTGCCACCCCCCGCCGAGGGAGTCGAGAGTGCTTCCTCGAGGGTTCGAGTAGTTCTCCTCACCCTGGTCTAGATGCTCGTACTAAAACCTCCAATAATCAAATTATACCCCAGACCTTTCTCCATGTATCACCTTGCTGAGACAGGGAAGTGATAAACTACCCTATCATTCTCGGGGGTTGAACGGCGAGCCGCAGATAGCCATGGGGCTGCACGTTTCTAGAACAACGGCCCTTAGAAAATCCCTGATCAAGGGTTGAGAGAGGAAAAACCGGGGGCATTCCATTGCAGCTCGGAGCACGCACTTTACCCACACCCACGTTCTGCAAGCGGCCGGGTCCCAGGACGGCGCTGGGTAAGGGGATTACCGCGTATGGTCATTTTGGTGCGTTTGGGTAAGGCGGTACTTGAGATAGTCCTTGTGCTATACCCGCGCAGCCGGTACCCTCCCTCCATCGCTGCGCTGTATCGTACACGTACCTCTGGTTGAGTCGCGTCGTGAAGGCAGATCCATGGATCTGGCACCTGGCTCTTGCACTCGACCGTTCCGGACTCTCTTCTTTCCCCCCTTCCCCCTTCCACCTTCTTTGCCCCCCCCAATCCTCCCCCACCCCCTGTGGCCCTTTCATCCTTTTGCATCCATCCATTCTTCTACGGTCGCGCCATTCGATTCCTGTCGCCTTCTATCTCTCCAATATCGAGGAAATTCCCTCCCACGCGCGCGCTCTGTCGCAGATCCGATGAGAGGCGAAATCGTCTACCAGCTCGACCTGAACTGAAACTTCCCTTTCGCCGTTCCTTTGCGTGCATTGCGCGTCGCTATTCCTGTCGCATCATCGCGCACCGCGCTCTTTTCACGTTCCCTCTTCCCAAAAGCGACTGCGTTTCTCGGGTTTTTTTTTCCAAGATCCCCGTGTCGCAAATATCGGCCTTTGTCTCAGAAACTTCGTGAGGGATGAGCGGCAGCTCGAACCAGTCAACTCGAACGAGTCCCGGCTCTTTCGGCACGACCCAACGCACAGAGTCTGTATCATCTGGTTCCTCGCCGCTTCAGCAGTCACTCTCTTCCCAGGCGCCCGCGACAAATCAGCATGCGATGTCGACCGACGTGTATAGCCCGACTGTCTCACAAGCGCCCGCTTCTTTAACTCCTACCTTTACATACCCCTTCTCGCCTCTCGGTCCATCCTCCTCCTTCGATAACGGAATGCGACTGGGTGATTCCGATCGCAACCTCCAGGGTCTGAATGGCCTGGGGCGTGCCAACAGCGGTGGTTCGATTCTCATGCGCAAACTGCCCCGTAATACTAGTCGCGAAGCCCTCCGCAGCATGCTCTTGTTCGCCAAGGACTTTGTCGATGCCGACTTTGTGACCTCTGACCATCCGGAAGACGATGGTTTCCTAAGCGCGATCGCGCGCTTTAACACGCTCCCCGCCGCCGAGGAGGCTCGTGCCCTCCTGGATGGTAAGCCGAACTCGAAAAATGATGCGACCATGGTCGTCGAAATGTACCCCGGAGCCGTCGGATCCAACCTGGTCAACGCGCGTCGCAACACGATCGATCACACCGCAACTCGGGGATTATTGGGTGGAGGCTCCTCCAACGGTCCGTTGTCTCGTCAGTCCTCGCGTTTCAACGGCACGTTCCAGAGCTTGGAGCGCCTCTCTTCGGCCAATCCTTCTTCACAAGCCATCGGCGAAGGCTTGCCTTCCGCCTCCGAGTCGGGATCCCGCTTGCATAACCTTTTTTCTCCAAAATCTCCGATCGGAAACGGCTTGGGTGATCTGCCACGCGTCACTGGAAAGTCTATGATTGATGAGGATCCTGATGAAGAGACTGGAGAGCTACTGAAGGACCCTGTGGGATACGCAGAGAATGGCCATTCCGCCTCGGTTTCGTCCCGTCGATCGACCAACCCCCAGATCCCGACCGGCCGATTCGGCAGTCTATCCTTATCCACCAACATGTCCTCTCCGCCTTTGCCAAACTATGGTCCCAATGGTCCCAGCAACGGGCCTAGCGGGCAACGCATGAGCGCAAGTGGGCCCTCCTCTGCTTACCCTGGCGCTGTGAATCACGGCCACGGCTATCCTTATGGCAGCCAACACACTCCCCGTCATAGCCTGCCGGCAGCGAACCCGAACGATCTCAACCCTCCTTGCAACACGCTCTACGTGGGCAATCTCCCACCTGACACGTCTGAGGAAGAATTGAAAGCCCTTTTCTCCAAGCAGCGTGGTTATAAGCGGCTTTGCTTCCGTAATAAGCAGAACGGCCCCATGTGCTTTGTGGAATTTGACGAGGTCGCAATGGCCAGCAAAGCTCTGAATGAGCTGTATGGTTACAAACTCTCCAACAGCGTGAAGACAGGCATTCGTCTCAGTTTCTCGAAAAACCCTCTTGGTGTCCGATCAGGTCAGCCCGGCAGTATGAGTTCCTCCAATCCTCTCTCTGGCCCTAGTGTTACCCCAGGAGGAAGCAGTCTGGGTGGTGTCCATAATCATATGTTCTCGTCCGTGAGCGGTCCACCTCCTGGCCTCGCGGCGCCTCCGGGCCTTGCCATGCCTATGCCTATGCGCAACGGCAACCCGATGCATGCACAGGGAAATCCGCATGCGATTCATCAATCATTCAACCACAATTCCGGCTTAGGCATTCGGACCAACGGAGGTAATTCTATGATGATGTCGCCACCTCCTGGTGGCACCCCCCCGGCAACAGCGCGGGGCCAAACATGAATGGCTACAACTCCTTCTATCCCGACTACATGATGGGCCGCTAAGTCCCCTCAAATCGCATCAGAATCGAGATAATGTCCGGCATGTTTGATGAACGTCCTAGGGTATTGGCGCATTGGGGGTGGGTTGTCTCTTCGTTTCGTGAGCTAGATCCAGCATTCGGCGGCTGCATAACTCTCGGGAGTTATTATTCTTTTATTGATTCGGGGACTCGGTTTGCTCCCTTTTCCAGCTTTAATCCCTTTTCCATGTCGCTCTATCTGTCTATTGTTGTTTATCTTATTTGCATGGGGACTCGGGCGCTCTCTCTTCACATTCTTTATTTGTGGTTTCCCCACTGGCAGGATTGCATTACAGGTCATTTTTCCAGCTTTGTACTCTTATTCTGGTCGGTACGTGGCGCTCTCATTGCGCGTTTCTCTGTTCGACCATTGCGTTTCTCATCTCCGCCCTCATACCCTTGTGTTGCTTGCTTTCTGGGTCTACGTTATGATTTGTCTCCTTCGCCTGTGCAGTTCCTTGTCTACGGTAACTCATCTTATCAGGTGTCTACCTTGCCAATGAAGTATGTGCAGTGTCTCTATTTCACCGTGATTCCCCTTACAACAGCTATTTGAATTTTGCAATGTTTTTGTCTGTTGTTTATGCATCTTCAACGTGTGAACTGGAATGGATTTTGCTATTGTGTTTACTCGAACTTTCTATCTTTTCTATGCCGGTAACGAAGAGGGTTTTATGTGACTTTTCCTCGATGTGTTTAAGTCTCTGCATTGCATCGGTCTGGAATGGTCTTGCGCGTATTATCTGGGTATTCTTTTCGGTCGCTTCCACAGTACACGCTCATGCAAAAGAGGAATATGTATGGCTTTCATTTATGCGGGCAACTTGAAGTTTTCATGTCTGAAAACACATTGCTCCAGGCTCGCTCCTTCGATCAATATTTCTGGAATTGCTTTGAAGTTCAGGCCCCGCATTTCGACAACCTATCATCGATGTTTATTCTACACTTGCTCTTCTCCGTCATTATAATGATAATCAAGTGGTGGTTCAATAGTTTCCCACGTACAACTTCTAGTGTCAACGCTATGCGATCAGGGCTTTTTCATTCGAATCCTGGTCTCTTGGTTTCTTCCAATGTTCTCTCTTAATCTCAGCTTGATTTCATACTTATTTCTGGGGCCAGCAATTATAGCGTCGCCCTTTGGTGGGTAGTGGTGCCCAGGGGGCTCGGATAGATGCGCTGACTCGGCGACCTAAACGATACAACGGACATCCATATGACTATTTTCTTTTGCCATTCTACAAACATTCGAGTACCTAGTTAGGATTTCAAGGTTGTTTACCCTCTCAAAATTTGGGTTCTAGCGCCGTTCAGTTGCCAATATGGTAATTTGTTCAGTAGTGTACGAGAAGGGACATCACGTGATGCCACGACTCTTCCCGCCGACAAATTTCTTCCCAGTCAACCGCTCCTATTCCTCCACAATCACCAATCAATTGCAGCGTAGGCTATCTGAAGCCGCTGCTTTTGCGAATCTCATTTTCTTCAAATACATACCATTTCAAACTTGACTTGTCCTCCCCTTAAGACAGAGGCTTCAAGTTGGCCAAAATGCCGCCCCGGGTTCAGAGCCGGCGCGTGTCCAGCATCCTTCTCCCCTACCTCGCACCTTCTTCCGCATCAATTCAACCCTCCTCATGTCCTTCGCAAATACTTTCCCGTCAGTTCTCGGCCACGTCGGCTCCCCAGACCAAGCTACGTCGAGAGATGTTTGCATGGCTCAACACCGAGGGAGCTGCTTTAAAAGACCACGTGCCGGGTGAGACCAACTATTTGCCAAACCCGCGCAACTTCAACGAGACCAATCTCAAACCATTCCCACATAACGACAACTTTATCAGTGAAAGCATCCTCAGCGAAGAACTCCGGAACGAGATCTATACACGGGTTGTAAAGAAGAAGAGGAGTGTGCGTGCCGTCAGTGTTGAGCTCGGTGTTGAGATGAAGCGCATTGCCGCGGTTGTGCGATTAGTAGAACTTGAACAAAGACAAAGGGCCCAGGTAAGAAGAGCTTTTCCGTTTCCGTCCTCACCCAGAAACCCCAAGCGCATATGATGAGACAAAAAAATCGATTAGTCTTTAAGACACTGGCTAAGCCAGCCTGGTTAAAAATACCCTTTTTACTGAATTGCTCAAACCCAACTATCTTCAGCCGCATTCTTTGACCAATACAACTGCTGACATCTCGAAAAGGGTAAACCATTAGCCTTACCATATGCTCGCGCTGTCCACGAGATGGTCCCAACTACCCGCCTCGCCGAAAAGGGCGAACGCCAGGCCTGGCACGAACCCATCAATGACCTCCCCGCGCACCCAGCCACAGGTGCTCAAATATTCTACCCCGTTCCCGAATCCCGCTCATTTACGCGTGTTGACGCCGGCCGCGTCTTCTCCGCCGCCCCCGCCCTTGAGAACGAGAGACGGGAGGCTATCTCCCATCCTTCTGACCTCGCAGAGGACGTTCTGAATAAGAAGCCCGGCGCGATTGAGATGGTCGGCAAGGGCGACAACGCCCGGGAAGTCCTCCTTCCTGCTGACGCCCGCATTCCCCACCCACACTTGGTGAAGATGGAGCTCGATCGCATTGCCTTCCCCGAGGAGCGCCGCCAGATCGTTGAGCGCAACGTCAAGCGCATCGCCCGCCAGGACGAGATCGAGAAGTCTCGCCGGGAGAAGGCAGAGGCTTGGCGCGAGCGCTCCATCAGACACATTGAACCTGAGGGGGGCCGCTTCGACTTCCGCTTCCAGAACGTCGAGTTCAGCAAGCAGACCACCGGCGCCAATGGCCGTAGCCACAAGGCCCCTGGACGCCGGTACGGCGTGCCCAACCAGAGCCACAAGCGTGGCGTCACCAAGATTCCTACGCGCGTCGAGGCGTAAATATCTGGCGTGAGAATCCCGCGCTGCCATGTGTTTTGAACGTCCTACTCCTCGGCCTGTGCTCCGTGCAGAGTCGTCGGATGATTTGTATTAGTAGCTGTACAACTCAAGAGCGAGCTACTCGCCCTGTATCTATACCATATGGATTCCCCTATTCGAAATCGGATTGCATAAATATCAACTATGGCCTATCATAAAAATCTAATCAAGTAACGCCCTGAATATAGAATCAAGAAACTGTCGCCCGTGTCTAAAAGCGCTGCAGCCTCAAATAGAGCAAGAACCACATCGTCCCTCGAGTACCTAGGCCGCCACCATTCTGCGCCGATAACTTTCCGATCTCAAAGCTTAGTGCACCTCCCCGACAGAGCGGCATCTGCCTCTGCCTTTGCGGCCGACCCATCCACTAACAGCGTCGGCTTCGCTGTCGTTGCTCGATTGTCGGCCCCAGAATATACCGCGCACAGATTCAAGGACGCTCATTTTCCATGTTGGCGAGGAAGGTGGCTGCTCTGAAGCGGGCGCAGTGTCCTTAATCTTCTCTGTCGCAGGCATGATGCGAACCACGGCTTGTGAGTCCACAGGGTACTTTCAAGGGTCTATGATTGACCGGTTCGCGCGCGAGGACACAAGGAGTATATGTGCCAGGCCGAAGAAGGGGGTAGAGGAAGATGATAGTATTAAATTAAAGCGAGATATGCCCCCGGAGATTCCCGTACAGCGAAGCGTCCAGACAGAATGTAGTGGCGCCTATCACAGTTGAACTGGTAAAGGTAGCATAACCGGAACAAGAAGCACAAAATCTCTCAGTAAATTTAGAGAAACTACCCCAACAAGCCTCTGGGGGTACCCAAACTACTTAAAGCTCAGACCCTCGCGGGCCGGGCGCTGGGCTACACAGTCTGGCATGGAAGTCACAGGAAGGGGTTGACTTGCGGTTTGTCGAACATGCATTGTGGCCATTCTGGGCTGCAGACAGAGTCGTCTCGTCATACTCGAACCAGCAAGATTGGCGGAGGGGTCTGATAATGCGGGACGTTGATGATCATGGGTCGAAAGTCGCGTTAGGGCCAAGGGTGGCAAATTCCTGGGCGATGGAGCCCGATAAGTTGCTGTGCATACCTGGGATCAGATTTGGTTGGTTGGATTTTTCTTGCTCTATTGAGTAATTTAGTTGTGATGGGGGGGCTCTTTTTGCGGGGGCCATGCAGGTTGGTTTCCTTACTTGGTCACATTGTCATAGTGCATGAGGTACTTTGTCACACACCAGAGCAACTTATTAGTGGCTGCTAGATATGCATGGGGATCCGATCTAGGGAGTTGGGAGAAATGGAAAGAAGGCTCGATAGAGTTCGGGATTTCAGGAGTACATGTCCGAGAACTGGATACTATATACATCTCTCCTCTCCGGATACTGAACTCGTGCATGGTTAGTGGCCTTGGTTCTGTGTGGGAGCTATATAAGTGGTCCCTAAACAAAGAATGACCCTCTAATGCGCACCCTGCCGAGAAGCGGTCCATAATCAGCTTGAGCTGGGCAGGCTTCGTAAACGGGCACGTTTGCAAAAGCAGTTTCCAAGTTCCATCACTACCTGAGTGTTATCAGCGGTATTAGGAACCCACTTGGACAGCGAACCCTGATCCCTCGTCGGAACCACCCGCGATAGGGTCAAGCGTCTTAGCAAAGTTGGCCTGATCCCTGGTCCTGACTGGGTGGTGCATATGTGTACGAATTTGCAGTGGCAGCTTGTACCACTCTGTAGCATGGGCCCAGAAGCCAATGGCCGAGGTGTCGCGAGCTGTGGCATTCCAAGAGTAGCTGGCAAGTCGTCTCGTGGCCCTTGGCCCGGTAGAGATCGAAGTAGCGGCTGGAAAGGTTTCCGTATTCTAGCAAGCAATACTATCCATATTTTCTTGGCTGTATAGTTCGTGGAGGGCGATGCACAGCTGTGCTCACTGTCTACACAGTCCTGAGATCCACTCCGGAGGGCTTCCATGGATTTGGCGCGGAGCTTGGCAATGCTGCATTACGAAGAGTGCTGAAGTCCTTGCCGGTGCTCAATGGCGGTAGACATATTGGCGTAGGTTTTGGCGAGTTCAGCGAGCAAAGTTTCTGACGCCATCGAACGCCAGACCAGGAAATACTAGCCACTCAAAAGAGGATTGTTGATAGCGCGGTAGACCTGGGAGGAGCTGGCCAGCAACAGTGACTCGGTCAGGGTCTCCATCAAACTGGACGATGGTTCTCTTCAGGCATTTGAGGACGACAGGTTGATCAAGGATGCCATAATTTCCGGAGGTATTGTGGCCAGTAGTTCAGCCCCTCTGCGTTGAGCTCGGAGTGAGCAAGATATCCGAAAGCACTGCCACAGCGACTGAAAGTGACCAAAATCATGTCCTTGAGAGCCACGCCACCACCATACCACCATGCCTTGTTGCTCGTTTCATCAGAGGCCTGATTCCAGATCATGATAGGGAACTTAAAATCGAAGAAACCTGCGTTAGTCCACCAATTGAGATTGAGACAAACTTCACTAATGTTGCTGGTGGACGTGCTGGGATAAGTATAGCCCTATTCAGTAGTATGTAGCGTCTCGTTCCAATCCTCCTTGGGCTGAAGCGACCTCCAGCGGTTCTGGTATCCGGTGTCTGTTGCAAATATAATGCCTAGATATGCAGTCACGTTAGACTCGGATCTGTCGAAGTACTTTGGAGCGTTGACACGTTGAAAGTATTTGTAACCCGGGACACGCTCCAGCAATTTCTGGATCACTTTGTTCCAGAGCCGAGTTTCAGCATCGGCTGTCCGTAGAGCCAGCACAGCGGTGGTCTCAGCAGTAAGGAATGTCATTGGTGTTACATTGGTCCAATGCCGACGGAAAAGATCTGTATGTTAAGAATGGATGCCTTTGAGGGCTCTCGAGTCCAGTTCCTTCGTTATTTAAGCCCAGAGGGTCCAGTAGCCCACTTGACTACGAAAATTGGATGGAACTTGTGACAAACATGATGTCTAGTGGTGCTAGGATCTCACTAATTTTAATTGAGACCCACTTTCTTTGCCGACGTATATATATATGTGCTAAAAGGCAGTGCTAGAGGCCCAAACTCCCCCCAGCATCCTTACTAGACACCATTCAAAATAGCGTGCCAGTCTGATACTGTGAATCAAAACAAGATGCCAGTACAATTTTATCATTGCAAGTTCGTTTGAACGGAAAAGGATTTTAACAGAACAATGTTATGAAAATTGGCAACCTCTATATAGTTGAGCGGAGACGTGAATTTAGCAAGTGTACGGAGAAACGAAAGCCGCAGGAATAGCAAGGCCCCGTCCCCGGCCCAACCCCTCTAAACAGTTGGCAAGCGTCAACGAAAAAGGTTTCAATAGCTGAGTTCAACGAAGGCCGCGTGTTTAATCGTAGAATGATCGATCCTATCAAGTATCAGGTGTAGGGTCTTCGCTGGTGGGACTTGGGCTACTATTCCCGGCTTGGTTTGTTCGACCAAGTGTGAACCAACATCTTCGATCTGTATGCAAATTGGGCAGTTCCAGCTGTCTCGTTCGTTAAAGGCAAGAACTTTAATCAGGGCTATCAGAAAGGAGTTGAAAGGCTAGCCACAAGTAATAGATTAGTATCGAGATTTGTTTAAATGACCTCAACTGTCTTTAAGGCTGTGACTTATAGCGGCTACGAAGTAATAGGTCCAGAACAGTTTCCTATTGATCCAGGTAAATTCTCTATTTGGCATGTCTATGACGCGCTCCATGGATGTCTCGATAGGCGACATTCATTACAAAGGTTTTATTTTCCTAAAGGTATACAGAGACCCTTTTAGCACCCTGCAACCTTTCTCTTTTTCTCTTCTTGCACTCGGCATATTTGCTCTTCTATCTCCTGACTTCAAGTAAACAGCTCGTCTACCAAGCACAACTCTTATGCGTCCCCAACTGATCATGACATCCATGTCTTTCCACTCGTGATAACTGACTCGCACCATCGCATCTTTTCTTCCACTTACTTTGAGCATGGAACCCACATCTCTTCCACCTCATGATCATCAACCTAAGCTGCCGTGTCTTCATGCTCCACTACGAATGGCAATGAGACACAGCTCTCATCCACTCGTAACACATGCGAGCCACCAATTGTGCCTTCTCTGCTTACCCTTGATACAGACGCGGGTGCATTCTGGGATAATATTTGGTTATACCTCATGTAGAAGATTGTTAGGTGTCCTCACAAAGGTGGTATACTTCGGTTGCCCTGAGCCATGGCTATACGCGCTTTAAATGCTTACTCCAGAGGAGTCAAAGTCGACCGTGCAGCTCTTGAAGATGGAGCTCTGATGTGGGACATGAGTGATCTAAAAAGTCACAGAGGGTGTTCATCTGGTGCATAGGGATGTTGTGTTCTGCAGCATTCCCAGGTCGTCTGGCGCTGATACGTATAGAACAGCACCTAAAATTGTTCATCATGAGGTGACCTGCATCTTAATTGCTCTCTCTACACGTGCATGTGTCTATACTTACGATCTTCCCAATCTTACTGGCTCTGTCGAGCTCTGCCACCTCAACGATGGATCTCAGCCGAGAGAATACCGTTACCACCCCGGCACGAGAAATCAAGACATTGGTTCTCCCTAGTGTCATGTTATACCAAGTCGACACGTTAAATGCTAAGAAACCCGGCCAAAATAACACCACCACGACCGCCGGTCTGAAAATCGAAGATATCCACCCCTTCTTACACCGGGATCATACGTTCAGTGCTCTGATTCATGGTCTTTAACCTTCCAGGAAGTTTGAACTCATATGCTCGGATCTTTGCTGGTGGACACAATGTCATATAATGTCCAGGGTCTCTGTTCCAGCCTCAAGTGAGGCCCATGGATACAATAGCTTGATCCCAGCCCCGCAGATCTCGATCTTGGTTGCCTTGGGGACTCAATGACGAAAGCATCTCAGCCGCACTTATTGAATGGGAGAAAGAGGGGAAACAACGAAACACACGTAGGGGTGAAAAAGTGAAAACGGAAGCCACCAGCCAATATGATTTGACGGAGGTTAGGAAGGGACGCTTATGAACTCAATATTCATGAAGTTAGTCTAGGAGTCTGAAAAAGGTTGCACACACAAATAATATAGAGGAAATGCAGGACGTGGACGAGTCTCACGCATATTAATTTTGTTGAAACAAGAGCGGAAAGACGGATGTTACGATCCTGGTAAAGCACGGGGCCTTTCGGAGCTAAAAGGTTGAAGAGATGAGCCGCAGATCTGCAGACTATTCCACGCGTCAGTTACACAGAATCCCGCGCTCGATACCAAAGTCCATGGAACCTCTGCGACACAGTGTCCGTACACTTCAAACCGTAAAAGGTACGTAATCACAACGCTGATAAGTAACCGTGGTAAGCTCATGTATGGTGCGTTCCACATTAGATTGGGTGGGGGGAAAAACGCTCATCCAGAACGAGCCCAGGGGGCTTTGATAGCGTAGGATATCAGAGACTAGGACAGAGTACTCGAATATTCTGTGCATGGCGTTGAGACTTCCGGCCAGAGCGTTTCTCACAGGGCGCGCTTTTCCACGATCCGGACTCTCTCCTCCTCGACACTTTTCCGCTTCCCCGCGATCAACCATGCGGATCGCAACATTACAACTCAGCCCCAAATTGGGCGACTTCGAAGGGAATGTGCAGCGTGCAGATGAAATTTTAAATACCGCCAGGGCCACCAGCCAAGGTGCATCAAGTCTCCCCGGCATTCACAATTGGAAACCAGAGCTCCTGGTCCTGCCCGAGCTAGCCTTGACCGGTATGTGTCTATGCGTCTGATCCAGACAACAGACGCAGACGAGGTTCCCTTGACTCTGATTCTACGTGTTCCGATCTCTCTGCGGAGCAGCACCTACGCACAAACTTCGACAAATGCTGATCGGACCTCCCAGGCTACAATTTCCCCTCTCTGGATGCCATCAGACCTCACCTGGAGCCCGCAGGGACCGGCCGCAGCGCTGTGTGGGCGCGCAAGACAGCCCAGCGCCTCCAGTGTAAAGTATGCGTCGGGTATCCCGAGATCGAGGGCGAGGGGAACTCAGAAAAGTACTACAACTCGCTGATCGTAGTTGACGAGCAAGGAGAGGTGGTCCACAACTACCGCAAATGCTTCCTGTTCTTCACTGACGATACCTGGGCACACGAAGGGAATGTGGAGCGTGGCTTCAAGGAACTTTCGTTCCCGGGGCGCGCAGAGCCCAACATTTCGACCTCGTTCGGCATCTGCATGGACATCAACCCTTACAAGTTCGAAGCGCCGTTCACAGCCTTCGAGTTTGCGAGCCGGGTTCTGGGGTCCAAGTCACAGTTGGTGATCTTGTCGATGGCATGGGTGAGCACGCATGAGCGGGAAGCGTACGATGCACTGCAGGGCGGGCAGGACGAGGACGCTTTTCACTGGTGGCTGCAGCGGCTGAGTCCGTTGCTCCGGCGGAAGATGCAGCATGCGCGGAACCTGGATGGCGCGGGTGGCGATAAACGGATTGTTATTGTCTTTGCGAATCGGACGGGCAGTGAGCCTGCGACGGATCCTGAGAAGCCACCCACGTTATTTGCAGGTACAAGTACAATCTTGGCTGTGTCGCAGCGAGAGGGGTCAGAGGGTTTGAATGTGGAGATCCCCCTCTGGGATCAACTCGGGGCGTCGGAGGAGGGGGTCTGTTTTGCGGATACTACGGCTGAACCCGAATTAGTTTTTGGGATAGCATGAAGTTTAGGAGGGGCTGTGGGACTGCTTTGGGCTCATGGGCTGCGTCATCTGTCTTAGATGCGCTTGTTAGTGGGTACGAGATGATTGCCGTAGGCTCCCAGGGAGGGACAGGAGAGGTATGGATAGATAAAATTGCATGTGTGGTGGCTTTAAGATAACCAGGTGGCCAATTATTGATATTTAGGTTTAGAAAAGGGCATACAACGCATCCAACTCGCTTGAGGGCCGCACAATTATAGGCAATATTCTTTTTTTTCCATTTTCTGATATGATATAGACATGATCTGCCTACTGGCTCTGACAGGGTGATATCAGTCCGTTGATCCCCACCCTGATCGCATGGGAGATCGACTTCTTCTGCAGAACATTTTTGACTACGCTTCTACTCGGGTCTGATGACCGGCCGATCTTGCACAGCCTAGACCCTTTGTTCCAGGCTATCGGTGCAACACCGATGGCTTGAAGGGCGAATGGGGCTAGGAGGGGGAGCATGTGATGGTTCACGCGCTAAAGCCGTAGATCCCAGCCATAGGAACCCAAGATAGGGAAGGGAAAGGGGGCGAGGAGCAAGCAGAATTCTGAGCCAAAAGCCCAGTTGAGTCTCAATATACGGCGTTACGGGTTGCCTTGCACGACGGGGTGAAGGTAACCCGGTCCCACGCCTTTCCGCATCTGGAATGATGTGGTCTGTGCCCTCCCATTACACGTGATGAGGGGTTCGATCTGCCAATCAGAGTCCATATCTCTCGAGTGTGCGAGGGAGGGGCACGGGATAGGCACACATGACGAGGCGACGGGAGATATTTTAGAAAAATAAGAAAAAAAAATACGATAGGCTTGATGGAGAGGAGGAGAGTCATCCGAAAAGAGGGGAACGGTATGGCAGATCTGCAGGAAGCCCGGGGCCTATATGGGTTTAATAGAACAAAGTCATCCGTATGCGGAAGGGCAGCCACGGAGCGCTGCTGTAGATTGCCGGGTCAGGTGATAAAGTGCATCTCTGGTCTCTCCGACCAGCCGGAAGGCCGCCATCCTCTACTCTATCGCGTTCCACGTGAGTTCCTCTTGGAAGAATCTCCCAAAAAGACGCCCTCCTTTTTACGTGAGATTCAACTTGGTCTTGTTTTCACCCTCCTGAGAAAGGACGTCGCTGCACAGCCTATACTTTTTTTTTGACCTTTTTCCCACTAGTTGGGAGATTTGTCTGTTCCGGTCACTATCGCGACAACGTGACTTCTTGTTATTGTCCGTGGCAGGTCACCTGCTGTCAGGTGATAAAGAGGATCTTCCAAGGTAAGAGCCTCCCGAATCTCTTATGCTCGTCAGTTCATCATTTTCGCTTCCTCGTCACGCGTCTCGATGAACTTTCTTTCGAGAGTCATAACTGCCTGCATCCCCCTTGTCGCCCCTCGACGGTCGCCGGCGTAAGGCGCCTTTGATGCCTACGCGTAGCGATGCGCGATACGCCCTGGCGGTGCCGGGGGGATGCCTCGGAATGACTCAAAGACTCTTTGAATCCCTGTAGTGACGCAGTGCGGGTCGCTGCCTCGAGGCTTCCAAGCGAAGAAAAAGCGTTATCTGCATCGTTGTCGGTGCAGGGCTGCTTCGGGACCTCCACGGGCGCGTCTGCTTCACGCGTTTTTGTTTTGTCTTCCATTGCTCCTCGAAGAATAGACCCGAGGAAGGAATCGGTTGGGGGAAATGAACGGTTTCCAATGAAACCTCCTCCACTGATTTTGCCCTCTTCCTTTCCTCCGTCTTGAGAAACTCCATCCTTGCTTGCTTCGCTGGCTTCCCCTCATTTTCGATGACTAACCGCTTCACCAACCTCCAATAGGACTGACTGACGCCCTTCATGTCTGACCCCTCCATGAACAGTCCCGACGCCAATGCCCACAAGCGCAAGCGCGAAGGTTCCGACGATCTTGGCCACGACCCGCAGCGTCTGAACCGTTCATCTCACGGCAGTCACGGCAGTATGGGTGACCCTCAATCCAACTTCGGCCACAGCTTGGCCAACTACGACCACGGTCTGCCCAACACGGGTGCTGAACTCAACATCGACCAGCAAATCCTTCAGCATGTCGGCCACCAGAACGGCATGTCTGATGACAATACTTTGACCGCCAAGGCCGCGCTGGCCGCACACCCTCAACACAAATATCCGCCGCCACCCGATGCTGCTTTTGATGCGAACAACCTCGCTTCGGGCCTGAGCTTTGGTGATGACATGGGCCAGCCTCTCGGTGGCCACAATCATTCCACTGCCGCCGCCGTCTATGCTGCTCGTGAGGCACAAAGCATGAGCCAGAAACCTACAGTTGGTTCCCCTGAGTGGCACCAGATCCGCAAGAACAACCACAAAGAAGGTATGACAGCGTATCCGCTTTCTCTTGCCTGCCTAATCAGCGCTGACATGAAATAGTTGAGCGTCGTCGCCGTGAGGCTATCAACGAAGGGATCAACCAAATCGCCCGCTTGGTGCCGAACTGTGACAAGAACAAAGGCGCTATCCTCCAACGCGCCATCGAGTACATCTGCCAGCTGCAGGATGACAAGAAGCGCATTGAGCAGCAGTTCGAGAGCCATAGTCTTACTACCGACCATGCCATCAATGAGATCAGCGCCGCAAACTCCAAGCTGAAGGCCGAGCTCGACCGTCACAACGCCATGGGGCTTAAGTGGCTCCAGCGCTGCCGCGACAACGGTCTGGAATATGATGACTACGAGGATGCTAAGGAGTTTGAGGTCGAGAAGCTTGACTAGATGCTTTGACATGGGCAGGATCCCCGTTCTCTGTTTTACTCCTGTTATTGGTCCCCCCCTGTCGCATGCGCTACGACTCGGCTTCGGCGGTTAATGTTTTGAACATACCCTCACTTCTTTGTGTCGTGCTTTTTCCCTTTTTCTTTTTCTTTTTTTCCCCCATGGTGTTCCCATACAGTTTTTCATTTTTCATTTTTCTCCTCGACGTGATCTTTCACCCTTGCCTCCAATTTACAGTGAGCAACATGTAGAAGGTTCTTCCCAGCTTCTCTGCCTTGATGCTGGTAGTTGTGGTGGTTCCTTCAAGCATGATCTCATCAGTTGCTCGGGTGATATTTGGGGTGGCGCATTTGTTTGTCGGCGACTATTTCTCCCCCCTTCCTCTCTCTCTGTCTAGTAGCTCGTTCTTCGTTGGTCTTCCGTTTCATTCTAATTCTTATGGGTCAGGTCGGCGAATTTACGGATCGGGTGGGTTTTACGGGACACCATGGAGCTGCCGGTGTAATGGAACTCTCAATCAATTTCAAATTATAAAAGCTCTGCTCCTCGAACGTAGGCCACTTATATACGTGTATGCTATATAGCTTATACGGTGTAGTTAAAATTAAAGTGGTCAAATCCCGAGAGCGAGTGGTATGTTGAGCTACTGACAATTTCTCTAAGTATAGAAAGGGTGTACGTTCAAGTATAGCGCCTCGGCGTATATTCTGACTCCCTCTACGCTACCTTCGTGAGATAGCAGCAATCCTGCACACACATTGGCAACAATCCCATCACATATACGAGGCGCCCTCCTTCAGAGTGCTTGAGGGCTTATATCAGCGAGGACTGAAGCGAGGCGAAGGACTGGCTCCATGCTATACTCCAATGCTAGAAAGACAGGAAAATGGCGACTGGAACCGAAAAGCAGGACTCGAAGCCGCTAGGAGCTATCAAGAAGACGATCCAACTGCGGTGCTAGTAGGGGCGCTTTCTTGCATCCAGATAGGGATATAGCCTCGAGTCATTGTGAGCAGAGCGTTATGGCTCCCTCGCCTACTCAGATCGAACCTCCCACCTCGGCTCCTTACACAATGCGATTGAGCCTTTGTGTCATCTCTCATCTTTTTGCTCTGTCGTCCGTTTATCTGATTTCTTATATCCGATTTCTTATATCCAAATCACCTGAGAATCTTTGTCCCATGGACCGGAAATTACAATGCGTTTACTACTGAGAGTATGGCAGGTAGTCCGCGTCTAATGCAAGCGTCTTGGAGCTGCCCTCCTAATCTCATAGAGCGAGTGGAAGCAAACGAGATTTGATATAATATGACTCTGATTTGGCAGAATGCTTTGAAACAATATCAAGAACAAAGCTCACCACATGACTTGAATCAACATCCTCTTGTCCGTCAGTAGCATTTATTCTTTTGCTCGAGGATCCATTTACCTATTCCAATCAACAAGAAAGAGTTATACAAATCCAGGCGCCTTCCACCGAGTCAAGCTTCACTGTTCCCAACCCTCCTCTACGCCCAAGTCCCAATCCTACATCCAATAAACCTCCGACGAGATAAAAGGTGCCTGGGCCAATAGTCACACCCCCATGCCTGGCTGCTACGATAACCGAGACCCCAAACTCCCACGCTCGCAGCTTCGCGAAATCGGCGTCCGTCTATCTACCCAGATCGACGGCGCGGCACACAGCATCCCCCATCACTCCACCCAGCTAACCTACAGACAATTGCAACGTCACTATCTTGAGAGACAGCCAGAAGACTGGCCTCTTAGCCATATCGACGCCGAACTCCTATTCCCCCCCTCAGCACCGCTCTCGGGGGCCACAACCGGCTACGTCAACTGGTTCTATGAACACAAGCGCGGGCCCGCAAGCCCCAAACACCTCGAGCTGCTAGGAACAACTGCACGGGGCTGCATCGTCCTGAGAGTACTATGGCGGGTACCGGGCTCGCAAGCGTCTGAGGTTCCCTACGTTTCGAACGTCGCGTTGTGTCTTTACGAGCATGAGCATGGGCGCCTGGAGAGTCTGCGGTATATTTTTCGTCGATTCGGTGACCAACCATCAAACGGCGGCTCTGGTGAGGCACATCTTGCCGCACTGGGGGCCCGAAGCCCCGGGGGATCGACAGATGGAAACGTGGGAGCATGGAACGCCGGAGTATCAGGCGGTGCTGGGGACGAGGATCGGACGCACGGTGGCATACATGATCCTGGCGGGGTTTCAGGGAGGGACGCGTCGCATTGCGAGGATCAGCGTTTATCGTGAACTGGGGAGATATATGAATTTCCGGTTCGATATCGAGCCTAGGCATGGCGGGCGTGAGGAGATGTTAGAGTAGTTTCTTGATGGATAGGCTTCAGGTAAGTGTCGAAAGGTGGAGGACTCAAACTCTACTCCTCCTACGCTGTGGGTTATTAGTCGGGCTCAGGACTAGTATAGACATGCACATCACGACACCGCCATTACAAGACCTTCTTCAATTACACTAGTCGTAAGAGTAGCGGTACCCCGGAATGAGGTGGTGTGCAACTTGAAGGCTGAAGTCGAATGAGTGTCCCAGTCAGGGTCAGAGATGGGCGTAGTACGAGAATTGGTAATATCACGTCCTGACAGTAAGGCACTCGGGAATAAGGAGATTTGATATTGATCAGATGGTATATTCCAAGTTTCGCTGCTGGACTGCCATTGGCAGTTCTGGGACGTTACTATATTACATTTCGATTCATCCATGTTATCTGGATCTAGGGCCGCCCGGCGACCTGCAAAGTAGGGAATCAGCCGTTGGAGCACTCCGTACTCACACGTCGAAGATACTGCGCCCCGTTCGCAGTTCCTCGGCGGCAATTCGGGCAGCTGACAAGGCCAGTTCGTCTCGGTCAATCTCCAGTTGACGTGCTTTTTCCATCTTCTTCATTGCTTCCAATGCTCTCGCGTGCCCCTCACTGAGCGCCTCAGGGTCTATTATCCCTTTGATTCGTTCAAGAATTGGGAGCGTTGGGATTTCCATCCGCCGTGCCTTTGAGGGCTGTGGGGGGGTTTGAGCTGGAGGAATCTGTATCCTTCGATTCCTCAGATTGGCGCCTCCTTTGTTTGCTCTCTCGCAGGCTTTGTTTCTTCTGTCGCTTTAACATCTCCCGTGCTTCTCCTTCCTTCACTCTACGGATCATGGCCAGCCAGGCTGCTCGTTCCTCGGCCTCTGATTCATACCCTAAGGTGAGTTAGCGCGATGTTCATATAATCTTAGGGAACGAAGATATGGCTTACGAGGAGGACTGTCCCCAAATTTCCGCTTCTTGTCGGGGTTCTGGGCAGAAGCCGGAGAGCCTGCAGATGTCGATTGGCCCAAATCTGGAGTTTTCTCAGTGTCGAATATCTCTAATGGCCGCTTCTGTGCGGGTAGAGAAGGTATACATTCCTCCAGAGGGGCCGGGGCCATAGAAGGACGGCTTGTTGTTAGTTCCGCGTCCGCTGCCGGAGTTGGTGCTGGTACTGGGGCGGGCGAGGGAGAGAGGCGCGCAGGAGCTGGCGCTGGATCTGGCGCTGGATCTGGTGCAGGAGCTGATGCAGGAGCTGATGCAGGAGCTGATGCAGGAGCTAATGCAGGAACTGGTGCAGGAGTTGGAGCGGGATATGGCGCAAAAGCAAGATCTGGAGCTGAATTTGGAGCGGGATCTGGTACAGGGGTTGCAGCAGAAGCTGGATTTGGAGCGGGATCTGGAGCTGGATCTGGAGCAGGGGTTGAAGTAGAAGCTAGGGCTGGAGCTGAATCTGGGGCCAGAGCCAAAGTCGGAACAAGAGCCACAGCGGGTTCCGGTGCCACGACCGGCTCTGGCGCCGTCACCGGTGCAAGCCCTAATGTGCCATCTATACATGTCAGTATCTTCCTGAGACTAGCAAATAATCCCACCCCAAAGACTAAAATAACGACTGCTCAGGGAGATGTGCTGGGAGACATTGAATAGGAGATGGGTGGAAGGGGCACGAGAAATAACTAGGAAAATGACTTACCAGCGGGCTGGGATATAGATCCCACGAAAGCGGCCGTTTCAGCGGGTTGTACAAGGTCCCCTTTCTTGTCGATGGCCAGGTCCTCGTACACAGAGTGTGTCTGTTCCGGCAGTGGCACCGATCCAGGAGAACGCTCCTCTTCCTCCATAACCAGATCATTGTCCTCTGAGGGGGTCGGCTCTGGAAGTCGGATAGATTCAGGAGTGCACTCCTCACCCTCCACCATCGGATCGTCACTCTCCGAAGAGGCCGACTCTTGGAGAGGCATCAATTGGGGTGCCATAATGGGCATTGACGTGGCCTTAGGTAGGGTCGACATATCCATCATGCCCGTCATCATTGCTTGTTGAATGCTCATCCCAAGGATAACAGCGGGAAGATTTCTTCCGGCTCGCTTGGACTCAACATGATTCTGAGAGAATGAGTGTTCTGAGGAGGGTGCAAATCCTAATATTCAATGTCAGTAAATTAGTGGATGCTGGGTACGGGTATTGGTACTCACCAACGGAATCAATAGGGCGGTTTCCCCAGTTGAGATAGAGGCCCTTTTCGTTTTCGGCAAACTGCAGATCATTATCCTCACAGAATTTCTTGGTCTGTTCATCATTATCAAAGCGCAGTATCTGTGTAAGTTGCGCCAGCGTCCATTCCTCGTTCTTGTGTTGCTGTCTGACCGGTGTACGGCAGTAAGCTTCCCAGATATCTCGAACTGCGGTTTGTCGTACGGAATTGAAATAGATTTCGGCCACGCATGCCATTAGGTACGACACACTCTTGGAATCAAGGATATTGAAAAAGCGGGAATAGAAGCCTTGAGCAATGGCATTCGCCCGAGACACAGAAAGGGCTCCCTGGTGCTCCCAAGTATTGCAGGCTGCAGCGTGTAGCTCCAGTGCCACCTTGACTTGGTCAGACTCCACCAGCGACGCTGGCCACTTCTGGACACGGGCTTCAAGATCATGGCGTTGGTCGTGAATCGATAGGATGATGTGATATGCACGGAATTCGGCTTCGTTCTTGAACTGCATTCGACCCCGGTTATCATCGTAGTAGTACATGAGCGACAACATAGTGTTATTCAACTGTTCGCGCTCTTGGTGCCGGTCGAATGGCTCTTCATTCGACGGGCTGGAAAGGAGGTGGAGAGAGACAATATGGAATCGCGCAATTCGCTCCAGAATTTTCACAGCCATGTCGACCTGGGATTCATCCGTGAGCTGTTGGACAGATAAATCGTTTCGGATGGAGCGCGTCCGATCCCAGACAAACTTGTGAATGATTCCAAGGGGCTCGTCGCCATTAATGATATACCGGATGAGATAGTTCGTTGCTTGGAGAAGCGTCGCGGGCGTACGGATATCGGATGGCAACTGCTCATCGTACCCTGCAGCCGAGCGGCGAAATCTCTTCAACATTCGACCTTCCTTTGGTTCCATTGAGCCGGTAACAGGATCGATGGCCTGTGGCATGAAGTTAGGATGCGGCGGCTTCACTATTGAGGCCCAAGAGACTTACCTTTTCACACTTGTCGACCATCTTTTGCACGATGCGTTCAACACGCTCAAATTCTGGACACATCTGGGTGCATGTGCCAACAGGGGTAATGGCCTTGTTGAGAGAAGTTGGCTGCTTCGGATCGGCCATGTGGCCATCTTGGATGGCTTTAGTCCTCTCATTCGCGCGATTGAGTTTGAGCTACAGAGCAATGTTAGAATAAGGCAAGACAAGGTATTGTCAATACTATAGCCGCTGCGGGGTTGCTCACCTCTTCGTAGCGATCCTGGTAGGCGGAAGGTTTAGTGAAGGCATTGTTCGTCTGCAGCTTCGAAAACTCCTGCATATGCTTCTCTTGCAGGTGGGGGAAGGAATTCTTTGCGCCACGAGCGAAAAGATTGCTTGCTGACTGCTTCTTGCCAGCTGTCTGGGCATGCGAGCCACGTGCAGAATCAGATGACGATTCTTCAGATGATGACTCTGCCACTGACGATGAGTTCTTTTTTAGATGAGCGAAAGGGTTTTTGGCGGCTGGCAAAGCCTCCAAGGGGCTATTGGCAGTGGGAAAATGGGTGGATGTATTCTTAGTTGAAGGCGCGAAATGATTGCTTGCGGGCTGCTTCTTGCCGGCTGCCCGAGGACGCGGGACATTTGCAGACTCTGATGACGATTCTGCCACTGATGGTGAGTTCTTCCTCAGATGAGCAAAAGGATTTTTGGCGGCTGGCAAAGCCCCCAAGGGGCTACTGGCGGTGGGAAGATGCGCGAAAGGATTCTTGACCGGACGCGCGAAAGGGTTGTTGTTGGCCTGCTGCGTGTCATTTTGAGAAGCCGATGACGACTCTTCCGCTGGAGCTTGCACAGGAGGCGAGAAGGCCCCCTGCTCCTGGTTCTCCTTGAGCTGGGCGAAAGGGTTCATTGTGCTTCGGAACCGCTCGAAGGAGCTTTCAGTCAAACACACGAAAGAGTCGGACGACGTGGAGTGACCGCGGTGGGGGAGACGGAGGATATGAACGGGGTTGCGCGCGGGGCACGTTGGGAGTGAAGCACTGCCTTTTGTACGCGAGAGGGGTTGGAGGCCACGGAGGAGTGCATGAGGGGAAGGTGTAGAGGAGGACAAGGAGTATGCGAGGTTGTTTGATAGCGAATTCGCTCTTCCGGCGGTTTTTGCAGTCGCTATCAGCGACACTTCGCGACGAGGGTCTCTGGCGCAATGAACGGAGAGAGGCTATCAAATGGAGAGGGATGAATCTGGGGAAGCCAGAACAGCTTGGTAGCTGCAGACTTCATGTCCCGGAGGAACGAGGTCGAGGCACACGCAAAGCCGGAGATTACGAGAAGCTGCGGAGATCAGGTGGGCTTTGGACACGCGTGAAGCAAATCTCGGGGGCGCGGGACCCACTTAACAAACGCGCGCCTATGAATATTAACTAGGTAGTCCCAAAAAGGATTAGCTCCGAGCCTTCGCTCAGTCAAGGAAGCTTTTCCGTTCTCAACTAATGGTGCCCTTCACTGGCATTCCTTCCATTGCTTCCTCGTGATTGCATTTCTCCTGATTACACAGGAGATATACTCTGCTTCCAAAATACAATATAGACTAATTACAATCGAGAGAAATCATATCCTTGAATTTGTGTTTGTTCATCAAATGTTCATTTATTGACAAAGCCCCAGGAAGTAAGTGTGAGCTTGAAAGTAAAGCATATACAGCAACATCGAGAGTAATCAGAATGAACGAGAGTCGAGAAGGATAAAATATAATGGTGGCTTCGACAGCCCGAAGGCCACAAGAATAAAATCAAGTAGAACCGGAAGATAAAAGAAAAAAAAAACAAAAAGAAAAGGAAAAGACAAAAGACAAAACCTGAACCAACCAATGGGTAAATAAATCGATCAAAATTCCAAGCCATATCGGTGCGGCTCCTTTTAGTGATACCGTCCTTTTTTTATTCACAAAACAACTCCTCTGCAAAAGCCCCACAAGAGTGCTTGATATGGTAGTCAGAGCCATCAGTCATATAGTCGTTAAAAAGTTTGAAAATCCAATCGCTTCTTAATCATAGCAATAGCCAGTCAACCGGGTCCAGCCCGACCATCGACTTAAGCATGGTGAGGGATAGGAAGCCCGTTGGGCAATGAGCCGGTGCGGAAAGGAAGGGCCCTTGAATCCATGTGGGCATGGTGAGCCATGTCATGCATCTGGGCAGTCGAGGCCATAGGCATGTGGAAGGACATTGGGGGTGGAGGCACAGCGCCGGCGGACGCGTAGTCTACCGGGTTGAAGATATTCTGGCGGAAGGTCGGCGCCCATGCATCATAGTGATTTGAGGCCACGCTACGAGGCTGGTCTGGGCTCGATGCGGGGAACGGATTCTGCGAGTAGTCGAAAACGGAGACATCGTGCGGACTGATAAGCTCTGCGCTTACAGGTGTGCTAAGCATTGCCTGGGAGAAAGAGTCGGAGTATTGGGGAGGGGTCGCATAGTATGAACGGTCCTGTCGGTTATCGAAGTGCAGGCCATCTGGGACTGAGAAGTTGCCGGGTAGAGATCGAGCGTTTGTCATGGGCAGGGTGTCAATTGGGGTTGCCAGAGGAGGGATTTGCTCCAGGGTGGATGTTGGTGTAAGGGCACCACCGTCGAGATGGTCTGCTATCTCGGGAACGGCAGGCTCGTTGGTCTCTTCGTCTTCATCACCCTTTGGGCTGGGGCCTCGGTTCATAACATAAACAACCATGCTGGCATCTGCAAGAGGATCCGTGATCAGTAGGAGTTTTCAGGTGAACAGGATCTGAATTCTGCACATACCGACTTCACCGCGCTCGAAGCGCTCTTCCATCTTTCTCACACGAAGGATCTCGTAGATTATGTCAACGTGAGAAGGGTGTTTCAAGCTCCGCTTCGTGTCACCAGCGACTTCCTTCAGCTTGTCGGCTGTGATTCCGTAGGCGGAGAGGTTGCGGATGATGTGCAGCAAAAGCTCGATTCGATCTATCAAGAAGGGTTAGAACCGCAGAGGAGGCCGCAGAGTCGATGACTTACATTCTTTCCGCAGGTGGTCAGGCTCCTTGTGCATGACACCTGGAGGCCACCACTCAGGCTTGGTCTTCTCAGGGTCTCCGGTGGCACCGGGGGCAGAGCCTGCTGGTGGCTTGCCACCGTTATATGGGTGTCGAACTTGCTTGCGCGGCTCGATGAACTTGATGAAAGCCTTGGCGACCATGCGGCAGTTGAGCTGCTGGAAGTGCTTCAGAGCACCTTCATAATATGAGGTCACCTTTGCAGTGTCTCCAATTCGCAGAGGAACCATTTCCGTAGACCTATTGTGGCCATACTCATCGCTGTCAGAGGGTTCTTCTTCGATCCGGGAATCGATAGAAGTATCAGCGTTTCCTCGGCGGCGGCGGACCCGGCGAGGAGAGGCCTCCACAACACCTTTTCTTTAGATTAGCCCATTGCATTTGCCTGCAGAAGACGATGTATCTTACGTCGAGTAGCGGGCTGCTGGTAACCGATGCGTTCACCCAGGATCTCCAGGAAGTTTTGACGGACATCGGGAGAGAAGATGGTGGCGTTCTGTTCTTGGATGGAGGACGACTCGTCGACCTTCAACTTTCCGTCGTGATCGAGGTATATCATGGCATAATGAGCGTATGGCAGACGGAAAGAACGGGATGGAGTCATCATAGGCTGTGGGACAAAACATTAGACATGTCCTCCTCCCAATCACTGGGCAAATACTTACAGGAGGAGCATCCCAGCCAGGGGGCCCCTCGAGGGCCGAAGCAGAACGCTTCATGGCACCACTTGAGGTGCTAGGCTTGCTGTAAACCATTGCGTTGAAGCCAATGAGTTGGCTTGGACCGAGGCTTTGGGGATGGGAGGGGAGGGGTATGATTAGTCCCAGTGGAGTCAAGCGACACCTATAGACTTTGGGATCACAAGGTGTAGAAGCTGAGATTCCTCTTGCTGGAAGTCCAATCTAGCCAAGAAGGAAGAGAGCCTTCTTATAGGAAATTGACACACTTCCCGAAGGTGGGCCAGCTGAAGAGTGTGGATCTTGTGGGTATTCTGTTGATCATCCGGTTAGCCTACATCCTGTATTCTCGAGATCCTCAAGAGGCATGATGCCGACAATGACAGCCGTTGGGTACCCAACGGCGGACTCTATCCGGGTTTTCCTGCTGGAGAGCGAAAGGGCCATAGGCAATGTGCGAACGATTCCCATCAAACTATTTGGAAGGGAACTGGCGGAATACCTTATTTTGGCCCGCGGGGAAAGATATCAAGACTTACACCGAGCTCGAATGGGACGATGCTGCAGCAGCGCTTCCAATGGTAGGAGGAAGACTGCAGAGGCAGATCAGTTGCGGCTGGCTCCCGGGTCGAACGCAGGGACAAAGGCGAAAAATGCGTTTGCGTTTCCAAATTTCGAGGTGGTTGGTAGTCGGGATGGTGACACGAATGGGGTTGGGTTGGTTGTATACACAATATCTGGCCCAGATAGAACTCGAACTCGGAGAGAGGGGCTGAGTGGGTCGAGAAGTGGGATGTTTTATAAACGAAAAGCAGGTCTCGGGTTCCAGGGGAAAGCGAGTTTGTTTAAATCAATCACAAAGCCATGAAAGGGTGGGAAGAGGAGGAAAACAGGTCTATTTCAAGTATCGAGGTTTGCAAAGCGCAGTTGATTTCCTCGATTGGGAGGCACTCAAAAGTACCGGCTTGATTTTGCTAGGGGGGGATTTTTTGGAATTTAGGTTTTTTTTTTTGAGAATAATTAGAAAAATCCGAATTGAAGAAAATGGATTAATGTGGATCCAAGTCAAAAAAAATTTAATTTTTAAGATGATAGACTAAAAAGAGGGAAAAAAGAATAAGAAAATTTGGGTGGGGGGGAGGGGAAGGTCAATTCGACAAAACGCCCCAAAAATCCATGGATCATAAAATTCATTGTGCAGATATAAGGGAAATTACGAGCATGGATGATCCTTGTCGAACATCAGAAGCCGGGGGATCCCCGGATGAATTTGGTGGGAAACGAACGGAAAAGGGGAAATTAAATTAATAATAAATTCAAAAAAAAAAAGGATATTTTTAATCTGTAGTTTGGCTTTAGCTGCAGGACACCATGCAGTGCACCTCTCCATCTTCGCATCTCATCTCCTCCACTTCGCAAGCCCCATAGGCCTCCCCGATTCGGTAGACCCTTGTCCCAACTACTCGTAGATCTTTCTGTTCGGGTGTTTTGGCGCCTGTTTTAGGGACTGACAAGCCCCCCACCCTTTGTCGGGGCAGCTCCTCAAACCAGCCTGGCGTCGATGATCGATCGCCTCACTACCCTGAGCCCTTCCCGCCGTCATTCTGTCATTCTGTCATTCTCCCAATCGGCGTCCCCCGGCCATCATCGTTCCGAACAGGGTATGAGCCATTGTGCCAAACAATCCCGTATTCTATCGTATTCCTTCGGCACCATGGAAGTCCCCTAGTGTAGCCCACTTAGTCCACTTCTCACCTTTGGCCGTCTTCCCGGCGGCATGGATGATGCTTTGTTTGACGATGAAATAGACGGTCAAATCCCAGTCACACAATCTACGCCACTGTCAGGGCATCGTCTCTTTGGGGGGCTTTTTTTTTAAGAAAAAAAAGAAGAAGAAGAAGAAGAAGAAACCATATGCGCCACCCCACTCGCACAGGCCCTGCCTTGCGTCGGGGTCCCACGGCCACGCCAGAAGATTCGCATACGAAATGCCGTAAAGCCCAGGCCCTGTTCGCAGTACTTCGTAGACGCCAGGCCACTGCGGATCCGCCTCAGCTCGGATTTCTGGGGAGTGGGGACCGTCAGACCCCTCCATCATCAGGAACAGTGCATCCTGAAGGTTCGATGGTCTTGCCCTCTCAAGCATCCGCGTACTTTTTTTTCCCCGGCTACCAAGGGACTGAGCGTACGTATGTACCTCGCTTTGAATGTACCGTGACATCCTGACTAACCAACCGGTGGGTACAGAAAGAAAAGAGAGAGAGGATAGGGTGTGCTCGATCGCCGGATCTGACCAGATGTGCCCCGGGGCTAGCTGCATGGGCCTTCACGGCCAATAAGCGAGCCCAGCCAGCCCCCGGGTTGTGGTCGTTTCCACGAACCTATCAAGGTGCGGCTTGTGCGTGGCCCAACAGGCTGGGACCTGGGATATGTAATCATGACTCGCCGATAAGGGCCCCCCTGGGGAGGGGAGAGGGGGAACTTGACATCAGTAGGCGCGCGCGCACTGTTTGGTTGCTTGTCGATCTCCCTTTCCCAGCACTCTGGCTATCCAAGATATGCCGCAAATACGTGGGTACTTCCAGAACCCAGATCCTCCCTCTTCCTCTTCATCTAGAGGCCCGAGTTCAAACTCACCCCCCCTCCCCTGAGATCAGACCTCAAGTTGATTTCGAATACGAAGACTGCAAAGTGACAAAGTACAGGGGTTAGAACGTTCTAACCCGGGTGAGAGCGCAATGTACTGTAGATCCAGAGCAATCGGGCCAACTTCTAGGTCTCAGCGTGATCTTGGCCGCGTGGAGAGTTACTGCCACTGCGGGTTAGCAGCGGTACTTCTGTTGGCCAAGCTTCCTTTGCCTGGGCCTACAAAACATGGCCATCCCGGGCAGACGCCCCACCTCGTCCTTCGTCAGACTCCACCCCCAATCGTAGCCTCGCCTTCCGCCTGACGGCCCCTCTTAGGGCTTTAGGACCAATGTTAGGCGCTGGGGGAATCCCGAGGGAAAGGGAACCTTCACCCAAGCAACTGTCATCACGCCAATCTCCCGTTCAGGTCAAGGGTTTAAGTGTTTGTCGGGTCGATTCAATTCAATAGCAAGGTAACACTGAAAAGACCGGGATTGAACTTTGATCGACTTTCATTTTAAGAAAGCGGGGAAAACTATAATCACAGCCTTGTGTACCGTAATGATCGCTCTTTTTTCCTGGGGAGTCCTAATGAAAATGTATCCCCGTCGTCCCATGTTTTCTCCCTTTCCTTCTTAGCCCCAATTCGCCCGGATTAGCGGCTAGCTACTGCTCGGATTACACCCGTTTCCAGGAGATGCCACCGTTGCGCTAGCATGATAACGCAAATAGATGATCTCTATAATGTAGGAGGTAGGTCGCCACAAAGGCTGCCAAGATAACAATTCTGCCTCGGTAGCCTTTGCGCTATTTGCGACAGCTCTATCCAATACCATTGACACCGGCACCAAGCAGCAACGGCTCAAGCAGCCGCGCGAGCCATATCTGCTGCACGTCGCAAGGGGGTCGGAGTCTTTGTTTGTCGCCCCCCCCCAAACCCGTTCTTCCGCAGTTCCCCGGAGGATTTGCGCTTGGGAAGTGCCGAAGCCATTCTACTCAATCTACTAGTATGCAACGACTTACGTCCGTAAGCCACTATCAGCGCCATCGGGCCCCCCGTTCAGAGAGTCTCCCTGACTCGCGGACAATCACCGAATACCAAAATAAGGAAGAACACTAAATCTTTTCGAGCGCCACTGCATGACAGCTTCCATTGCCGCCTGCCAACGTAGATGATCGGCGCGGGTCTAGAACTGCCAGTCGAAGACATTCCTCTCTACGGAGTAGCCTGAGACTCAACAGGGCCTTGGGGGCACGCTGATTGGCACGCGAGAGCAGCCGTCCCTAAGCTGCCTCATCCCTGCATGTGGAGTCTGAGCGTTGAAGTGCTTAGAGTCTATGAGCCACAAACGTGGCACAGCTATTTTCGGGCTTCACCTCCTCGTTATGCACACACATACGCGCATACACACAGATTTATGCCGGATGCAGCGCTCGAGCCGTTCTCCCTCATCACCACCACATCTACGGACGTCTCCTGGGCAGCTGACGGTCGTGCAGCTGGCCCAGCCAGTCATAAGTTCCGGCTAAATGGGGGCGACAGGGGTGTCCCCGGTAGCTTCAATGCCCGCGCCCCAACGGGAAAAACTCAAGTTCAGATTGAAACGAAGAGGTGTATGCCTGGTGACAAGGGGCTTTGGGCGAGGTTTGATGCGTCCGCGACTATAATCAGTCTCGTGCAGCGAAGCAAACAGGGGTTGCGGGGGGAAGGGGGAGGAGAAGAAGGGTTTGGAACCAAGGAATTCGGGCTTCGTAGATCTTCCCCTTTCGGCTTCAGGTATAGCGCCGTGGCTAGTGTCTAGTGACGGGGCCGTCCGTCATGGGGTTAGATCAGGGCGATCGGGAACGAAGCCAAGCTGATTCCGGAGATACTCGGACGCTATGATGCAATCACCCTGAAACATTTCGAGGCGTGTCTTTTGGGGAAACCAGGAGGGATGTGACAGCGGGAGGCCACACAACCCTCCCCCCCTCCCCTCGAGTGGGGTCAAGACGGTCGGGGAGTGGTGGACGGGGTTCATGGAAAGTCATGGAGGAGGGCTCGATTGGACAATTGGCTACTGTAATGCTTCTGATCTGCAGCTTACTTTCTACAGTTTCTGGATGGACAGCTGGTGGCGGCGCTTTTACGGCTTGGGGTGTGTTTGTATAGTTCACCGCCACGGTCACTGCACCACGGACGAGTGCCAATGTTTGTTCGAAGAGGTGCACCGTACCTTTTTCCAGCGCTTCCTCTGCTCTCCTCATTTCAGACTCGCGGTCTAGGCCTCTTCGTATCGATCCAGAGTCAAATTCCAGAAGAAGGAGGCACATGATGCAGATATTGTTGTCTATTCGCGGCAAGATCCAGGTCGAGACTGTCGTTTCTAGAGAGAGGCGTGGAAGACGACAAAAGTTCCTCCAGGCGACCAGTCCCGTGATGGATCTGATGGTGGGATTACCGCGATGAGAGGTGAATCTCGCTAGCAGACACGAGAAGAGGGACAGAGCTCTCGTATCCTGGGCGCACACTGTGGAAAGGGGAGAATATGACTGTACTCAAATTGCATTGCCGGGGACTGAAGCATAAGGAAGAAATACTCATGCACCGGACACATATGCCGATTCCACTGCCCGTGGCGATCGAGCAATGAAATGCCGCGATCGAGAGTGCATCGGAGCGGCACATGGGATGGTCGACGTCATAGGCTGAGCATTGGGGAGGGGGAAGTTTAGAAGGGACTAGACCGGGACTTTTGTGCCCTTGTACTTCTGTGAGATGGGGGGCCCAGGCCTTTCTCAGCTTAGTGGTTGGTGTCTGGGGCGGCTCGGGGACGCCGGTCCGGGCCCCGCTAAAGCTGTCAATTCCCTCTTTGGGCTTTAGTGTTTATCCCACGGGGTTCCACTGTGGGTCTGAGGCGGAAAATCATCTCCGGAATCCTGGTTCTGGAAGTATCAAGTCCAAGATCCTATCAAGTTAAGGGGGATACGAGCTCGTTTCAGCCCACGCGTATCATCCTGCCATATTCTATAGTCATTCGACAATTTCGGGTCCAAGGAACGATGGCGTCGTGGCCGGAAGCGTATCACCAGCATGAACTCCGTGGGTTTGCGCCTAGTGGGGAGGTTTCGCAGATCATGAGGATGGGGAGATCCACACCATCCCAGCTGTGCGGTCCTCCATAATCATACAATTAGCCCTGGCGGTCATCAACGGCTGGCTCTGGCAGTTGACTCGTCACAGGGCAACACGCCTCCTACTTCCCGAACAGAACCCTCTTGTTTCGGAGAAACTTGCTAGTGCGGTCCAAAACATGGAAGCTACCTGGAACTGGAGCTGGAGCTAGAAACTAGAATGATGTTGTTTCATGGACCGGCCCGCCGTTCAAACCATACGGTAGTGTGCTCCGAAACTAATGCCGCCCTTCTGCACAGAGGGTGACTTTCTACCAGCTACGGTTGGATCTCCGGATTGTCTCACTGTATCCATCTATCGGGATTGGATTAGAGTGCTCTGTCCAGCATAAGAACCATCACCTTATGCACGACGGTTTGGCTATATAGAGTCCGCTGTAGCGTGGATCCCAGGGAACTTTCCATTCTGCTGGGTTATCAGATAAACATTATGCTCCGGCCGTTGCATTCAGCCTAATTTGCTTGCTTTGCTTGAACTTGTTCTGTTCTGCTGCCCCTCTGCCCCTGTCCACCTATCCTCAGAACGGAGTTTCGCGTGGAGTCGACTCTGTCGGTTACTGCGGGCTTCGGAAACCACGGGTCCGCGCACAGGCCGGTCGCATCTACTCGCGTGGATTTGACACTTGGCCCTTGCTCCCATCGATTTCCAGAGGGTGGCAGGACTGCGCTCCATTGGTTTGTCAGGGGCCTTAATTTCAAATTTTCATCCATTTAGTCGATGTTTCTGTCTCCTCCCGGTTGCATGAGAGGCCCCCACTTGGCCTGCTGGGCGCACTAGTGCAAGATGGCTCAAGGATCGACAGGATCTGCGAGTCTCGGCTTCACAAAGTCATGGACTAGTGACTTACGCCTACCCCCATTTGGTACAAGCGGAATTCAATCTCCCTTGCATTGGCACTTGGCGATATCTCCGGGCCATGAATTGTCCCTGCACAATACTTCCGAAATCACGTGGCCTTTGTTTTTTTTTTTAGCCTATGGGGCTTGCCCCCGATAGTGCCCATGTGTTTGAAAGTGATACATTGGACAGGCATCGGGGCCACAATGGCTTATTGGGACTGTTAAACGTCAAGCTGCATGAAGGCAACCCAAACTTTAAGCAGACCCTAAGATTTGCGCACCCTGAGAATATGAGATCAGAAAAACTCAGAAGCATAAGGCAAAAATGACAGATTCACTTTCGCTCCATACAAAGTACCTTGCGAGTCCCAGCTACCGGGATAACCGGGATCGAAGGTGCTTTAGCAGCCCAAAGCCTCGGGGCTGAAAATCCAACCCCAAGCATCCTTGCAGGGCGACTCCATCCGGACTTTCAGCCACACCCAATCGTTTCCCTATAGTGCCGCAGGCGCCGCCTCGTCTATTGCCACTTACGGCACTGGCGCAAACTCACGACCAGAAACGAAAAGACTCCCCGAGCCCATTCTGAAGCTTCCTCATTCTCGGGATCCGACCATACTGCAAAGCCCGAGACCGAATATCGCCGGCAAAGTTCGCAAGGTTCATAGATCTTCGCTGTTGGACTTTTGGGGGGCCACCAGGGCCCGTTCAGGACCGACGTCATGCTTTCGAGACTTTTCCTGCTATCCGGCGGGCCTGACTGCTATTTGTTCTAGGCCCGCATCTCATGCACTCCAGCCTTCGAGCCACGCAGGGGCGGACAAATTGCCCGAAACGGCCGGCTCCAGATCTGTGGAGATCGGAGAGGATCTGCGCTTGACCCGATCGAAAGGTAAACGATGGCTGGATTTCCTATAAGGTCATTGTGCTTCACGATCGCCCAACTCTGATTTTGAACTTAATGCGATGCAGCTGGTCGCCCAATACCATAAATCTTATCAGGAAGATGAGGCCCCGTAATCCTGCCTCCATATCCAAACCCGAATCGGCGGTACCACTCCCCTGGAACCATCCCCACCTGACCCAGGAGGCCTCCATACGAGGCGATCCGTGACTTGGGCCCTAGCAGTGGGATATGGGGCCGATACGGAGGAAGCATGACAAATCTTGGGTCCTAGCGAAAGGCAATTCACTCGACGCGAGAGGCAACCGGCCTCCACCGTTCCCCGTCCGCAGGAGGATTTCCGATTCCCATCCCCAGGTCGTCTCCGCCTACTACGGCAGGTGAAGAATAATCGTCAGCTCTACGGAGCCCAGAACACCATCGTGATTTGCCCCAACGATGGCTTCCCCCCCCCCCACAGTTATCGCTCGGAAGGAATCTCCCACGCACACACAAGATTGCCTCCTCAAGTAGTGGCTCGATCCAAGGCACTCCTCGCATTATACATTATCTCCAGCAGGAGGTAAAGGACTAGGGACTCCACTGACAAGCCCGATTCGCCCACCTCCTTTTTCTTCGCTTAGATAAAGTCCGTGTTTCTTGCAGTGTTTAAGCCTCCAAGGCTCCAAAAATCATGCTTTGCCCTCTTGCGCTCTTGTCAGAAGTACCGGGCCTTAGCGCGCGTGCGGGTAGCTCGATCTGGGTTCCTCAGTCCTGGAATTTGGCGACGATCACCTGCAGCTACAAATGAATCGGGAAGGCAGGATGGTTCGTTGTCAATGCAGAATTGAGAGTTTCTTTTTCATATCTGTCTTATTCTTTGCTTTTTTTTTCTGTCCTTTTTTTTTTTGTTTCTCTGGTATCAGTTCTGCATCTTCCCCTCCGTCGGGGCTGGATGGAATCGCACCATGGGAAGCGGGGCCCTGGTCCACCCGAGCCCTCGGCCATGGAGTCGCGGGCGACCGGATGCAGGTCATAGTGTCATGAAAACACCCTCAAGCCGTCCTTCAGCAGGTCTGGCAGGTGTATGTGCGGTGCTGGGCCAACGCGGCCGAGCACCTGACCGTCTTCAGAGTTACTTATCAAGGAAATGATCTAGGACGATCCAAGCCGGGAAACCGATGAGGCTGGCTGTGGCACTCTACCAGAGCTGACGTTGACAACACGGAAGCTACGGGATTTAGATTCGAGATGCGTCATTGCTGGGGAACCAGGAAACAGGACCGTCGCCGTCGCCGACTATAATGCAGATGTATCGGTACAAGGATGCGCGAAATCCTCTGATGGACATCCAGGTACATGAATACCGCTAATCAGAAAGTATATCCTGCATACAAGATGTCGAACAAGGCAGCTGTCTCGCGATGCAAGTCTTTCATTGTGGGCGGTGGAGCTGTGGAGACTTCTCAATCAGAAGATCTCGGTCAAGGGCGCAGATCCCTCCAAAAGAACCAAATCTCGACGAACGGGGAATCTTCCCCGGGAAACTACTAGCCGATAATGACTAGCCGACGGCTTCAAGTTCTTAAGAAAAGGCTGGGGAAAGGGGCTGGAAATGGTCGAGACAAATGACAGCTCCCTGCCATTCTGTCAAAAGGCGACAGCTTGCGGCCTCATGCTGCCATCCAATCACTGTTGCTCCGATCGTAGCTGGAACCCAAGGTTTCACATTCATGATTGGGTCATCGTACCACCCTAGCTCTTTGAATAAGGTCTCTGGAACGGTCTGCTCAAGTTCCGCGGCCCACCATTCGCCATGTGGATAGAGACTACTGTACATCAAGATTAGGCCAGAATGAAGAGCGCTAATGCAGTGCGCTGGCCGCCACCAGTGCCCCTTACCTGGATACTGGATCCTGAAACAAGATTCTGATGGAAAGGTAACAATTCCCTCCAATGGCGGAAGACGAGCTCAACCCAGAGGGGAACCCGCTTGCACCTCCCCTGATGACATGCAAACCCCCCTTCTCTGTGCCACGCGAGATCTGATATATCACTGCGTCCGTCAGAATTTGTCCCGGGTTCCTGGCCCGGTCCTCCATCATCGAGATCAGGCACAATGCACCAGCGCAACACCAGACTCCGCAATCCTCTTGGGGTCAAAGGGATCTTGCGAACTAGCACGTCCATCTCTAGATAAGCATGTACATCCACTGGTACTTTTGAACCACTGCACTCTTGAACTTGAGATTTCCCCCCCCCCCACAAGCAATTCAAGATACTAATGGCTACTCACAAATCCTAGAAATCCACCCTCCCGGAGCCCATCATCCCCCTCTGTCTCCTCGTACATGCAGCGACATACCCATAGCTACACGCTAGCCCGCCACCACACCCTAAACCACTTCCGTGCAAGACGTATTTCATAGCCGAAAGGACGCGAACGCAGATAGAATCTAGTAGGCGCTGAGCCTAAACTCAATCGAATCACGCCGATGGCCTCGGGTGTCTTTCATTTACACTGCATGCACCGTTCTACGAAGTCGAACACGAGCCCCAAGGCGGGGCCTACAGTATGTAAGCCTGCGTTGCTTCCGAGCTACCACTGACAGCGCGGCCTATAGACGTCCGAGGCAGCGTGGAGAACGCATATATGCATGAGTTGAACACTTGCGTGTCCAGTAAGGGGGGGGGGGGGTGCAGTATGTCCATTGCCACTATCGATAGATGGCAGTGGCAATGGCGTGGGGGGGCGGACATGCGTTAGCTATGATTAGAAACGAGTTAGGCTCACGGCTTTGTGCCGGGGGGGGAGGGAAGGGGGGGAATTTCCAGTCCTAGAATAGAATAGTGCGAGGAAAGATTCCTGGTTGTCGGTTTGCATTGGGGGTTATAGATGGTGGGACAGTGGCGATGTCGGGAATAGTGTTTTGTGGGTTTGAGGATTTGCTGCAGGTGGACCTGGGACGTATACTATGAACTTCGCGAGGCCTTTCTAGATAAGGGAGAGCAAATGGGAAACCTCCAAGGGTCTGTCCTATCAATTTTTGCTCCTCGCATTGAGTGCGATGGAGGGGGACGCCGTGGCAGGCGAAAGGCTGGGAAACTTCACCGCTACAACAGGACGCGGAGTCGGAGGGGGAATTTTGATTATGAGGATGTCACCGCCACGGTTAGGTCCTTCGAGTCGGGGTCGACGCTGCATATAGTCACGCCCGGTTTCACTAGGTGGCTGTGGAGGTCAATGTATTGCAGTGGCAGTGTCTATAATCAAATTAGTGTCTTCTAGCTATGCGGGCTTAGGCATTCGTGTGCTTTGGAGAAAATTTTATGTACGTGCATGAAAATATATTGTCCAGTGGTTACAAGTCGGATTTCTGTACAGGCGCATTCTGAAACAACAGACACAGGAAATTCGGAAAAAGGAGAAGAAAGCAATTCCATAACAAAGCACTTTTCTCATATCTCCAAAGTCCAGGCCCCATAGGCGGTTCTCGTATGTTGCACGGCGGCGCAACATATGCGAGACACAGGAAAGCGGGGAAAGGAAGATGCTTTTGGAAAATGTAAAATGAAAAACTTTTCTCGCGTCCCCCATTGACTTTCTTGTCATGGATCAAGGGGGCCTGAGTATTGCATGGAGCCCACAGAAAAGATTTTCTTGAAAGGTACAGGGAAGATTCGCTACACAGACGTCGACGCCTCGGTTGGGCCACATCAGTGCGTTGAGACGGTCAGGATCGCGCAGAGGGCTTGGTCCATGCAGAAGGAGGAAGAATCGATCAATCAGGGTTCGCTTTCTGGAGTGATCGGCCTCGTAAGCCCCAGAGCGCGGGTTCCCCGAGCCAATCACAGCTGTGGAGGCTGGGTGCGCCCTACAGTGCAAATGGAAAATGAGCCAGGGCCTTTGGCAGCCCCTTCCCCCCCGATCTAAGGATATGACAGCAAAACGGGAGTTCTATGCTATTGCGCGGAACTGGAGAAGCCATCACCGTCCAGTAAGTTGGCCTCCTTGGCAAGTTCGTAAAACTTGCCGCCTTGCTTGATCAGCGCAGCGGGGGTGTCAAACTCCACCACCCGGCCCTTGTCAAGGACGACGATTCGATCGGAATCGATGATGGTGTTGATGCGGTGCGCAATCGTAATAATAGTGCGGTCTTTGAAGGTACTGCTGCGTAGCGTCCGCTGAAGCAATGCGTCGGTCTCCACATCAACCGCAGCCTGCAAAGATATTAGATTTTGTCATTTCGATGCGACGCACTGAGGGGAACATACCGTTGCCTCGTCCAAGACAAGGATATTGCTGGGAGTCAGGAGGGCCCGAGCGAGTGAGACCAGCTGACGTTGGCCTTGACTCAGGTTGGAGCCTAGGAACCTCAGGTTAGCAATGATTACTTGGCTGCCTCATAGATCAGTCCAATCCTACCTCCTTCTTGGACTTGAGCATCAAGTTGGCCTTCCATCTGAGCGACGTGATCTTTCAAGCGGGCATTGTCTAATGAAAAAAAAAAAGAAATAATGATTAGCCATGAAGCATGGTTGAACTAAGAAATGTTGTCTTACCCAGGGCACTCCATAGTGCGGTGTCATCATGAACATGTCGGGGATCCAAGTTATCACGCATAGTGCCTTCGAACATAGCCGGATCTTGAGGAATGATGGCAAGGCGACCACGGAGATCTGACACTCCAATCTTCGAGATGTCGAGATTATCGATACTGGATGAGAATTAGCAATACGTCTCAATGCAGCCAAGTCACTATAGGCAATGGGTTCTTACCTGATCTGTCCACCGACGGGCTCAATAATGCGGAAAAGAGCTAATGTCAACGAACTCTTTCCAGCACCAGTACGCCCAACCACGCCGATCTTCTCGTGGGGTTTAATATCAAGGTTGATATCCTTCAGCACCAGATCAAGGCCCTCGCGGTATCGGGTACTGTAGTCCTTGAATGAGACAGCACCCTGGCCAGGCCAACCAGCAGTAGGTCGGCTCTTGAAGATAACTTCCGGTGCCTCACTGGGAAGGTTGGCGTACTCCAGAACTCGCTCAACCGAGACGATATTAGTCTCCACCTCGACTGTCTGACGAACAATCCAGTTGAGAGAGTTGGTGATCTGAAGGGCATATGACATGGCCAGACCGACCATACCGGCCGAAAGGCCACTTCCGGTTGAGACAGAGACGATGGCAAGGCCTGCCGAAGCCAAAATGATCAGGGAACCGATGAACTCGAGTCTGACTGCGAGCCAGCGGTTAGCACTGATGGATGGGAAGTAGGCGCGCAGGTTGGCATCCATGCGGTATTCGTTCTCGAGAGCGAAGCGCTCCTGCTTCTGATAAGCGCGGATGGTCGAGATGCCCCCCAGGGATTCTTGAAAGTGAGCATAGATAGGACTGCGGGTCACACTGTCCAGACGCTTAAGCTCGCGGGAGCTTCTCAGGTAGTACTTCTGGTAGCTAAGATAGATGTAGCTCAGGGGAAGGATAAAGAGCAAGAAGGCAGGGGTGGAGGACGAAATAACGATCATGGTAAACACAGCACGGCCAGTATTGCTGAAGAGCATATTGAACGTACGGGCAAGGACTTCGTCAACTCGGTAGATATCGCTCGAGAATCGATTGAGGATACGACCAGAGGGCGTTGTCTCGAAGAAGTTCATGGGGGAGCGGAAGATGGCAAATGCCATGCGCTCGTGGAGTTTTCTAGAGGCCTCAATAGAGCAGAAGATCCAGAGGATCAAATTCTGAATAATAACCAGGAAGGCAGACCCAATGCCAAGCCCAAAGTATACTCCGATGAACAAGCCAACGCTTTCATTGGTGCCACTTCTCTCATTGGCTCGGTCCATTTCTTCAGCCAGAAGTTACCCAGCAATTGCACAGTCTGTGATGCGATCAACGCAAGCATATAGAAAACAACTGCAGTGATATTGCTTTCCTTCGCATATTCCCCGTACACGCTCCATTTGACCTTGCCCTGCTGCGATGTCTCCTGTGTTTGTTTCGTTTTGATGGCATTCTCTTCATCAACCAATTTCCGCCGAGGACCTTGCCATGTCGCAGTACTAGCTCGGCGCAAAGTCGCGTGGCTGGTTCTTCGATTAGGACCACTGGCACGTTTGATGGGGACAAGAGAACCAGGCTCGTCAATGTCTTCGCTGGCGTCGGTATCATCATCATTTCCAAGAACAGCCGTGTCGTCCGAGCCTTGCTGGTCATCAGACCCGATGAGAGAACGCTCATCGTCCGAGTCGGCCAGGTTGTTACGGACCAAGCTAAAAACCTCGCCCTTCATGGCCATGAGCTGCTCGTACGTCCCTTTCTCCAGAATACTCTTGTCGCGCAGCAAACCGATAAAGTCGGCTTCCTTGAGGACGGTGATCGCGTTGGTGGCAAGAATTCTTGTCTTACCGTTGAGGATACCAGACTTCCCAAGAACCTTGTTGATAATGTGACGGCCGACGTGTTGATCGACAGCCGACAGGACGTCGTCCAAGAGATAGATGTCAGCGCGAGCATAGACCGCGCGAGCGAGAGTCAAACGGGCCTTCTGTCCACCAGAAAGGGAAATTCCTCGCTCTCCAACTTCCGTTTGATCTCCATCAGGCAGAGTCTTAAAATCATCGAGGAGAGCACAGGCCTCAACAGTAAGGTCGTAGAATTCTGGATCCCATCGATGACCAAAAACGATGTTCTCTCGAACGCTTGCATTCATCACCCAAGGACTTTGGGCTACGTAGGCGATACGGCCTCGGACAATCACCTCGCCGTGCTCCTTCCAAAGTTCGCCAAGGATCGACTGGAGCAGAGAGGACTTGCCGGCGCCTACACGGCCGACAATACAGCTCAGCTCGCCCTTGCGCGCGCTGAGGTCGATTCTCTCCAGAACAGGGTTTCCAGAATAGCGATTCCAGGTGAAAGAAGCATCACGCAAAAGAACAGACTCATCTCCCGTGTGTTCAACCGCAGGTTCGAATTGAACAGCTTCTGTTTGCAATTCTTCGGAGGTGAAGTACTCTGTCAACCGGTTGACAGCCACGGCGGATTCAATAATTGAAGTGATGACCGTGGGCAGGATCGAAAGTGGGAAGCTCAGCAGGTTGAACAGAGTCAGAGCAGGGAAGACAATCTCGGTGGTTAATGGGACCTTGCTGATCAACACGAAAACGATGAATGTTGAGCAAGACACAAGGAAAGGAGTTGATTGCCAGGTGAAATTAGCAACAGACTGGGTGGCACCAATCTTGCGCAGCGTGTTCAATTCCAAATCATTTCTGATGTGGCTAAGCTTGTTCATGAACGCCGTGTTCCAGGCGTAGAGCTTGATGCTCTTCATGTTATTCAGAATTTCGGTCATAAGGCGGGTTCTCGAGTCCTTGTTCTGCATTTGAACAACCTGGAGCTTCTTCATCATTCGTGCGATCATACCGTTCACCGGGATCATAAAGATCATGACACCGACACCAGCAAACATACTGGGTCCGAGAAGATTATAGAGGGAAATCATACACAAGACGATCTGGAAGGGCGCAGAGACTAGCTGAACGCCGAATTGCGTCAGATCCGTCAGGCGTTGTTGATCAACGGCCATGTGGTTCACAATATCTCCCGTCGTTTTCGTGGAACGGCCCTCGCTGGATAGACGGAGAGCCTTTGAATATATCATAGCTGTCAGGGAAGCTTTGACTCGCATACCAGCATCGAAGGCTCGCTGAAAGTATTGGTGGAGGCAGCTAGTCTGGCAAATGGACGTGAAGAACATTCCGAAGGCAATGAAAACACCACGGATGACCGGCTGGGGCTCCGGACCGCGGTATGAATCGATGAACGCAATCAGATACCGCAAAAGTTGGGGCTGCACGAAAGCGAGTATATCACTTCCAGATTTAATGAGGGCCCCCGAAAGATAGGGACCGCCGAACGCCTTGAAGAGGGCAATCCAAAGAGATGGCTGTTTCTTCTTCAATTGCTCTTCCCAGGCCATGGTTAGACGGTCTGAAGTATGGCTGGTGGTATCGCTACGCCGCAGATTCCACAGATCATCCTGAGTGAGATAATTGTTATACCCATATTTCATCATCGGGGTCATCCAGCTGAAAGTGAGCACCGAGAAAATATCCGCGTAATTGTATGGGCACTCGTCTTCATCGCCCAAAGCATCATAAGCACTCTGTTTTTTTGGCACTAGATATTCCAAGATGAATTCCAGCACGGCCAATCCTAGGCTCACGTTGATGCACACGAAATAGACGAGATCAGTCACGTAGTCCTGGCGAGCAACGAGGGCCTGCAGCTTGATGGCGTAAGCGATCATAAAGAAAAGCCAATAGAACAAGACGACACCATTCGGCTGTCTGCTTCGCCAGTGCTCAAGGTACTGGACTGCAAATATCACCCCAAGGGAGGCCACAGTCGTTATCGTGGACCAGAATTGGAAATCGGCCCAGAAATTCTTTGGGTGAGATTCGGCTTGCAGAGCTGCCTGGAATGCGGTGACAAAGATAAGAGATCCAACAACAACCTGAACGCATGATCACAATACGTTAGCGGACTCTGACAATCCAAGTAAACTGGTGAAACCTGGTGAACGGTAGGGCGAAGCGACAAACCAGTTTGAGGTAGAAGTGCCAATTCTTAGCGACCGGCTGCGGAATGCGCCTCTTCAGTAGCAGCCAGAGTGCAGCAGCGCCGGCGAGGGTTCCCCAGATGGCCAAGACACCAATGATAGCATCTTGAAAGCATGGAGTCAGATGAAAGCCAGTAGGGCCAAAGGGACCCCAGCCCTCCGCATCGCGACAGAAGGACCGATGGCGCTCCAAAGCCGGGACAGGGAGCGACTGCAAGCCACCGGGAGTAGGGCCACCTAGAACCACCTGCGAACCGTCCAACATGGTGCCGAGCGACCGTGATGCAAGATCCCAGAGGAAAGACGGTGTCGGAGAAGGACGGTAGCCCGAGGACGTAAAGCTCTTGCTTAGTAAAAAACGCTCCAGAGAAGCGCTTTCAAATCCGAGTGGGATTGGTCCGCCGGGTCCGCTTACCGCAACAAGGGGAGCAACAAAAAAGTGGAGTCGAGAAGCTTCTCTCCCCCACTAACAACTGCAGAAGAGGTGGCCCTGCCGGGTTCTTAGTATGGGCCAATAGGAGGACCGCCAGTCGTCAGATTCATACAGATCCATGTAGGAAGTGGCTTCGTGTGACTCTCCCCCACTGCTGGTACTCGCAGTAGTTCGAGCGGCTCCGCATCCAGTGATGTCACGTGCTCGGCGATAAGCTTGCAAGGCCGAGTTGATATCGAAAAGCACTGCCGGTCGATAATCAACTTGCTCCAAGGCGTACAGGATATACCAACTCAAGTTGATCTGCTAAACGGACTGGGTCATTTTCAATGTAGAAGGCTTCATAATTCTCAATTTTACACATAAGAAGAGCCGGAATGAAGAAAAATATCTCGAATTCCATGACCATATTAGTATTAGTACATATATATTGGTACCGGCGGACTGCGAGGGCTGACCTGAGCAGACTCGGAAGGCCCTTACAGATAGACCGAGTATCGTGGACCCCGTGCTCAACCTCATGATGCACAAGTTGCCCGGGAATTGAGCAAAGCCTAGTAGTTACAATACCCATAGTATCGAAAGGGAAACCTGAAGCTGTTGAACCGGAGCGCGACTACATGTTTCAAATATGACGTCAGTGGTCAGATCGGCAGATTGGACCGAACTCCAGATTCCAATCATTCCTGGTGCAAGAGAATGGAATTTTTTCTATCTCTGAAGAGACCAGCTGCAGTAGTACTAGCTCCAATTTAATCAACACAGCCTTCAAGCATCAAAGTCATTCGGCACCACTGTGACTCAGAGCGGAGCCCAGCCCTTGAGGCGGACAACCGTTTAGTCATAGTGAGAGGTTCAGCCACATATGGCTCTGGTTACTTACAGACAACAATCGAGGAAAAGCGGGTTAAATAGATTTCCCCGTAGCCCAATTCCCTTTTAAAAAACAAGACATACCTCCGTGCAAACCCTCAAGTTGTCACCCGAGGAAAGAGCAACAGCCAACGTCATTTTCCATATAGGCGGCAATAACCAGGCGGTCAGAGCGCGATCGGCATCAATATTGGAGGGGCATATCTCAGACACGAAAAAACATTTCAAATCACCATGGTCGACTCTGCCCGCATTGAGGAGCTTCTAAAAAGACCTCTCTATGGCAAGTATTGCTTGCGCTTTTCTTAGGTTCTCCAGCTAATGTTGGATGCTAGTCTACGACCTTCCACCGGAGCTTCTGTCGACCTTAACCGCAAAAACGACCCAGCAACCCGTCGCCGAACAACCATCCGATCCGACCCCTACAGAGCTTGAGATTGCAGCTCAAGAATCTGCAATTGCGACTTCGACGCAATGCCCTCTTTGCAAAGTATCATACCGAAATGTGCAGGAACAACGGAGCCATGTTCGCTCCGACCATCACCGATTCAATGTGAAGGCGCAACTGCGAGGAAACGCAACTTTGGATGAGGTCCAGTTTTCGAAGGCCGTGGGCGAGCTCGACGAATCGATATCTGGGTCGGAATCATCCGAGTCCGAAAAGGATGGAGCCGAAGAGGGCGACACCACGCTCTCCGCATTGTTGAAAAGACAGGCGAAGTTGTCGGAAGTGACCGAGGAGGAGGAAGAGAGCATGAAAAAGTCCGCACCCAAGAATCCTTTATTCTGGTTTTCAAGCTCGGCTTTACCATCAAATAAATCCTTGGGTATCTACAGAGCTATCTTCTCCGACATCGAGCAGGACGAGCCCTCTCACTTGGTGGATACGCTACGGGCCAAGCAATTGGCACCTGTCAAGGCGCGCACAAACAAAACACAAGAGCAAGAGGAACCGTCCTCTAGCCCCCCATATCTTCATGTGCATGATTGGAGGGGGGTCACTTCGCAGCTATGCTGGTGTCATTGGCTCCCGAGATTCACCGGAAGCAAGGAGGGATTGAGGAGCGACAGGCCCGTGTCATCGCGCACAAGAGCTTCCACCGATACACAACCAGGAGGAAGCAAGGTGGATCGCAATCGGCCAGTGATGCCTCTCGAGGAGCGGCTCACTCGGCCGGTTCGAGCCTTCGACGTTACAACGAAGCCGCATTGGAGAAGGATATCAGGGAGGTCCTTGCAGACTGGAAGCAGATGATAGATACGGCAGATCTTCTATTCATCCGAGCTACAGGGAAGACGAACCGGAAGATTCTCTTCAGTCAACACGAGGGCCAGGTTCTGAGGCAGAATGACCCTCGTATCCGGGGGTTTCCTTTCAACACGCGACGTGCGACACAGGGAGAACTTATGCGATGCTTTAAAGAGTTGACTCGCGTGAAGATCAGTGAGATTGACGAAGCCGCACTTGCAGCAGCAGCAGATGCCGCAAAGCAGAAACAAGAATCCAAGCCCGCCACCCCTCGCCCACCAACCCAAAAGCCCAAACTCTCGAAAGACGAAGAGGCTGCTCTGTTACATACAACCCAGATACAGGCCCTGATTCGACGGTCAAAAGTGCCAGCACTTATGTCATACATGAACAACAACTCAATACCGTCCTCGTTCACATTTCAACCGGCTGAATCAAATCTTCGCACTCCAAGTGCACTGCACCTTGCGGCGAACTTGAATTCACCGGCCGTAGTATCTGCTTTGCTCATCAAGACCGATGCTGATCCTACGGTGCCCAATGGAGAAGGCCGGACCCCATTCGAACTTGCCGGTGATAGACCGACGCGCGACGCATTCCGTATTGCTCGACACGAGCTGGGAGAAGCAAAGTGGGATTGGAATGCCGCCAAGGTGCCGTCTGCAGTGTCAAAAGCGGACGCGGACAGTCGAGCCGCCAAGGAACGAAAAGCTGCGGAAGAGGAGGAAGCCAGCCGTCGAAAGGCGGACCTTGAGCGGCTTAAACAGGAGGATGCGGCGCGGCCACCACGGAATACCACTGGGAAACCAGGGCGACCCCTGGGGACGGTGGAAAAGACTGCAGCCGATAAACGAGAAGAGGAGGCCCGGGGCATGACTTCAGAAATGAGAATGCGCTTAGAACGAGAGCGGCGCGCGCGAGCTGCGGAGGAGCGGATGAAACGCATGCAGGGCAAGTAGATGTTCATACGAGTGGATAGGTTATGTGCGTGAGTCCCTAAGCGTGTTCAATACCCATACCAGGCTAGCATATATTTTGTCTCCATGCCTTTCTCCTCCCGATTCTATTTATCTTTCGACTAGTCACTTTAGGAAGATAGGGTTAGTCGCGATACTCAGGACAGATACCAACAAAAAGCTAGTTTACAGAGTGGTTTACTAGCTACCTTACTCATAATCCCGCGTCGACCCACTGATCGGCTATTCATGGGAGGCCTTCGCCGACTATAACAATACCCGCCCCAACCTCAAGACTTCACAATCCCGCATGGATATCCAAAAGGAACAGGAGAGCAAGGAGGGAGCCTGGCACAAGGTCGGGATGCTCTCTGAGTTCCCAGACATTAGCCACGAGAGCATTGGCTGCAAGATCTTGCCCGGATGCAAGACGAAAAGTATTCCTAAGCCACAGGATCCGAAGAAGTCGAAAGCAAATCGGGGGTCCGGCCTTGAGGACCAAGTGCGTGTGTTCAAGCATAAGGGGTTTATGCATGCGATCGATAATGTTTGTCTTTGATAGCCCTCGAAGATCTGTCCGAACCTGAGCTCACGTTATCTAGCAATGCCCGCATTCATCATTCCCGCTGAAGCAGGGTAGTGTTTTTGATATCGAAGACGGGGCTGGCATCAGGTGCTTTCGACATGGCTGGCAATTTGACTTGTTTACGGGGACTGGAGATCGTGGCAGCCATACGCTCAATTTATGGGACATCGAGTTACGAAATGCCCCCGCGTCAGGATCCATGGAGGCCTCCGAGACTGGGGACAAAGAGGTCTGGGTTAGGCGACCGCCAAGCTTGTGGGCGTTTTAGTCGATAATCTGCTTTCCCGAAACAGTCCATGTAAACAATGGAGCTTCGAGACCTGGGCAGACCCAGAGAAGATTATGTCAAAGCGCCGTCTTGCGACTCGTCACACACGCTAGATCATTACGGGTTAACAAATCAGCCTAGAAAATATAGCTTGGGGCCATGCAGTGATAAATTGGCTCTATCAATGCCGTCGGGTCTCGGCTGAGGCAGTCAAGGAGATGGCAGCCTCAAGCTCAAATTAGGCAATACACCGCTCTTTTGGCTCTTTGACATCTTGGAAACCAGGTTTCGTCACTATAATTAGACTCCGCCGCGATTAAGTCCTTGCCCGATTCATGGAATCGTGAGGCAAGGGAGGCTTCCCGGAATCGGTGCCACGGCTACGTCGATCTGCTTTTCCAAGGTTGGGATTTCCACATGGGCTGACACTGCCGATCACTACGTCAGTAGGCTCTTGTACAAGCAAGACAACCGAAATTAAGTTCTGAGGTTTTGTATATAATCAGACAATCGCATGCCCGGGGGATCGAGGCCCCAAGTAGTCGCAGAATGCATATCCAATCAATTGTGGTGGCCCTCGTGGCCCCCATTCTGGCTTCATCCTACCGCTTCAACCCCCTAGAGCACTCGTCCGGAATCGCCCCTTATTTCACCCCCCACGATCCGCCGCTGGAAGCTTCCCCTCCGCAGGGCTGCAATGTCACCCGGGCAGCCTATCTCGTCCGCCATGCGGCCATATACGCCAATGATTTCGACTACGAAACGTATATCGAGCCCTTCGTGCAGAAATTGCACAACACCACGCAGAAGTGGTCCGCCACAAAGTCCCTGAAATTCTTGTCCAATTGGACCGCTCCAATCTCGGACGACGAGCTGGAAAAGCTCACTCGCGTTGGCTTGCAAGAGGCGCGCTCGCTAGGCGTGACCCTGAACAAGCGATATGCGCATCTGAAGAAGCCAACCAAGCTCTGGTCCTCCACGGCCGAGAGAACCGTGAAGAGTGCCCAGGGCTTTATCGAAGGCTTCACGAACAACCGCACGAAATTGCTTAACTTGACTCAGGTCGCGGAGAGCAAGAAAGCGGGCGCGGATTCTCTGACTCCATACAAGGCCTGTTCTGCCTACAGCAGCTCGTACGGGAGCGACCAGTCGGAAGTAAGTTGACAACTTTTCTACTACGGCGTCGACAGGACTGACCAGCCAGAATTTCATGAAAGTCTATACAAAACCAATCATCGCCCGTCTTAATGCTGAGGCCCGCTCGTTCAATTTCACAGAAGACGACGTTACCGGCATGTTCGAGCTTTGTGGCTACGAAACTGTTATCCGGGGTTCATCGCCTTTCTGCTCCTTGGACTTGTTCACGCCGGACGAATGGCTGGGCTTTGAATACACCAATGACCTCCAGTACTTCTACAACACCGGCTACGGTCGCGATCTGTCCCCCAGCCTTGGATTCCCATGGGTCAATGCGAGCGTTGCGGCCCTAGACGAGGAGTCCCGGTCCCAGGAACTATTTGTCTCGTTTACTCACCGCGAGCTTCCTCCTACGGTCATCACGGCATTGGGCTTGTATAACAACAGCGCTTACACGGGAGCCAACAACGTGAACCAGACTATGCCCCAGAATCGAATTAACTACAACCGCGCTTGGAAGACGAGTCAGATCCTCCCGTTCTTGGAGAACATTGCCATCGAGAAGATGTCCTGTCAAAGCTATGGGTACGACGAAGGGAGCTACTACCGACTGTTGAACAATGCCGGCCCTCAGCCCCTGGTGGACTGTCAGGATGGACCGGGCGGAAGCTGCTCCAGCGAACAATTCCACGATTTCATCCGCCAGAGGCGAGAATTGTTCGGCGACTTCAACAAGGCATGCGGTGACAAGCATCTCCCTGCCTCGTTGTCAATCTACCAGCCTTGAGTACAAAATTTGCAAGAAAGAAAAGAAAAGGCCATAGAGGAAACAAACTTATTCGAATTTAACATTATAATTACCTCGGGTAGGTACCCGAGGCTGTCATGTAGAACGAATCGCCTCCGGTAACCCCGCACTCGCTCCACCCGGCCATTGGCTCCCGCGCCGTGGCTGCACCATCGTCGGTCACTAGAACGAAGTCGGCCTTAGTGCTGATTCGCCATGGGAACCCGACCGCTTATAATCCAGGTCCTTTCAAAGAAAATAAAAGAAATTAATTCCCCCCCCCTTTCCCCTGATTCAAATGACCATTGACCTTGCATGATAGCAACCTCCGATGTAATGCGCCTCAGAAACCAGAGCCCTCCTCCATCATGGCCGCACCATCTATTCAGCCCTCCTTCCGGGCCCATTATATCCGATATAGCGGATCAATAGGTACGCTGAAATCCCATACTATAAAAAGAACGATCTCGGCGTAACCGCCACGCCGCCGAGCCCGACAGCAAATCGAACCCGAATTTCTAACAATCCCCATAGCTGGCCGCGACAGAATACTGCAATTAATCCAGTACGCCGCCCGCTTCATGGCATGGAAGCTGGCCCGCGCAAAATACAGCCCCCAAGCCGTGGAAAAGTACGACGCTATCAAGCGCCAGATTATCCTCACCAGGAAGCTGTGGCGTGTCGGCAGATTCATCGACCTGCTGAACGGGGTGTACCTCTCTCTGCCGAGGAAGGCACCTGCGAACCCGATCTCGCATTATCTGACGCTGGGCCGGCAGCTCAGCCTGGCAAGCTACCTCTTCATCGACTCATGTACGGCTGTCGACGCGATTGGGCTGGTCAAGATCCGGAGTATGCCCCGCTTGTCGCGGATGTGCATCCAGCTTTGGGCGACCGGGTTGGTGTTTGGCATTTCGAATGGTCTTTACCGGGTTGCTGGGATTTTGAGGGCGCGGGCTAGAGCTGTGCAGTCCAGCCCGGATGGGAAGGGAGGCGAGAAGGTCACTGTGCAGACCACATCCCCGACATCCGTGGTAGCTGCAACGCCGATAGTCTCGGCGGAAGAGCAGAAGGCGGTGATTTTGCAGCTTTCTGCGGACATTGCGGACTTTCACGTTGCTTCGTCTGCGTTGAATCTGCATGGCTTGAATGATGGCGTTGTCAGTGTAGCGGGTATGTGGAGCAGTCTGATCGGAATTTACTTTCAGTGGCGGCAGACTGCATAGGGGAGGGTTGAATAGTGTTCGAAAGAAACTAGTGATACCGCCCCTTGGCCTTGCTCTATGGCTTGGTGGTTGTCCCTCTCTCCATAAGGGGACGGAAGGGATATAGTCCAACGAATGAGAAAGGGAAGATGTGTCGCTGGCAGGGATCAGATCAGAGACCAATCAGTCCATGACAATGCATTTCGGACAAAGCGAAGCCTAACACAATAGGCCGAGGCTGTAAGTTTGTCTAGATCACTTGAATCAGAAACAAGACATTCAAAATCATTCCATGAAGGAGACGCTGCCTTCAATAATCACCACCTGGGCTCTGACAGGAGCACTGCAGGAGAGATATCGGCGGACGCTATTGGCGGCGGAGCTATTTGTTCTAAGGAGAGCGTGCCTAGTGCTGCCTTGCACAATCGTGATTGGCTATAGTTGGACATTTTGCCATCCCTGGGATTCCAAAATCTCGAGAAGTTCAGTGGCCACAGCAAAGGAGGAAAGGCTATTGGCCCGAGGAAAGGGTGGGATTGAAGGGTGATCAATAGAGTCAAGAGAGGGGCAAAGATTGATCACTGGCCTCGAGGCAGGGCGAAAGGTGGGACCGTCCACCTAGTTCACACGGAAGATCTCAAGGAGATCCCCTATGTTGGATAGGTAGGTACAGATTGTCAGCTTAATGAGAGGCTGATGATAATACAGAAATTCATAGGACGATAAAAAGGGTCGAGGATTTATCATGAGATGCATGCAGTCCTTCGAAGCAATAGGATAGGCCGGCATGGCAACATCATAAAAGAAGCTGCATTGCATGTTCCGGGGCTCATGCGCCAGCTGTGTCTCAGGTGGTCGAAGCCACACTGCTCTTGACATACTTCTGAAGGAGAGAGTCATTTGTGATCAAGCACTCGCCACTCGGTCCATTGAATTCCAAAGAAGGGGTCACTTTTGGGACTGGCTTGTGCTCAACGATCCCTGTAGCAAACTACAACGAGGTCGTCGCTATAGATAGTCGGGTCAGACAAAGGGGCTGTGAGGAAGGGCAAGTCCAGGACCAACTTTTGTGAGAAAGGTGAGGTTTTGAAACCCGGTGGATCCCCAGGGCCCTACAAAGGAGTTTTCAGCCCTACTCCGGGGGTGATAGAAGGATAGACTGAAACCCCAGCCACATACACTTTAGATGGGTTGGCGAACTGACTTACTCGAGATGGTTGAACTGTCTTAGCATGTTCTCAATGTCGGTTATAGAGACACCCGACAACCCATTGTAACGAATTAGAGTACTAGTAATGCAGAAGCAGATGTTGTGCATCCCCGTGCTCTGGTGTCCCTTGAGACTAACCTTGTAGTGACCTATCAGGAAGCTTTGTGGGAAGGTTGGCTGCAGCTCTACTGCTTACCCCTTGCGTTGGACTGGATGGGCCGGTGGCTGGGCGAATGGCCAAATGAGGGGCTCGAAGAAGGGCTGATTCGTGTCTCCCAGCCACTATTATCCATGTCATTCGGACTCTTCACGGCTTCTTTTGTTCGAGAGTGGAGCCTATCCGCCTCGGAAGGTGATGATATCGTCCAGTGTACGGAGTAAGTAGGGAGTCAGATGCTGCTCCAATTCGGTAATATTTCTTGAGATGACCATGTACTCGGAGATATACGAGATGGCCTTGGCGTCTCTGGAAAGAGGGGGTTTGAGAAGTATCCCGTGATAGAACGTAACCTGGCAGTTGCAACGGCCAGTGATAGTGCAGGCATGCCCTGCAAGATAATGCAAAGGCCAAATTCAATCTTGCAGCTCCTGCCAGTGGAACAGGAAGTAAGGAGAGGTCTGGGGTATTGGATCTTATTTTGGGGTTGCCAGTATACCGTAGAAAGCGTCCTATTCTCATTCTGATTGGATTCATCTGGTAGACGAGCGCTTCGTAGCGGGGTGACTACTTCTATACAGAAAGCGCATAAGGAAACGCTAGGCTTGTTGGGGATGGTAGCCACGGCGACGCTATCGATAGCATCACTTATCCAACCCCGCACAGGTCAAGCCGAGGGCTTTTTCAGATGCAAAGCGACCAAGACTCGGAGGGGATGCACGTTCTCTCGTTTTCGTCGACGCACCGGTCGCACTGGTCGCACTGGTCGCACTGGGCCTGTGCCCTCGTCCACTGGACGCTGACGTAGAGGCCTCCGATGATGTCGCCGATTCTGAGTTCACATGGCTTATCACTGACGCATGCGCTCCAGTGTTTGGACTAAACGGAATCGAGTATTCCGCACTCCGTAGAATCCCATGAGTAATGCAGATCGTCAGGAACAGTGATTAGTTTGAAATCCCAGCCAATGAGACCCACAGGAGAGCTTGCGCTGATAGATTTGATTGGCGAACGCGCGGCGCGTCCCGTCGCGTGGGCGTCGCGTGGACGCGATGGGGCCTGGGAAGAGATTTCAAAAAGCCTCATGGCTTTGACCCCCAAGGCCACGGCACCAATTGTACTACGTTTCTAGGACGCTGAGGTGATAGGGACATGCCAACCCATTGTAGGGCTAGCTCTCCTTCTCGAGGACTGGTATGGCAAGGGAAGGTAGAGTCTCCTCCTGGAGGGCAGAGAGGGAGGCACCCTTGAATAGCCTCCACAATGGGACTATATCATAGCGCATCCGCCCAGTTGGGACGAAGTGGCAAAAACACTTTCCCCCAAATTCAGAACAGAACTCCCTCAGACCATGAGAGCCGGGTCAGCCGGGACGTCCTCGCAGATGCACGTCATCGTCATGGACTAGCCCAATAATATCAAGATTGAGAACCATGATGATGATATTGATGACGATCCCAGTCTTCTCGCCGGGCGCGCGTCACCTACTGACTCACTTGACAAGCAGACGAAAGAGCACCGACCCACCGTCCCAAAGAGGAAAAGTAATTGACACTGAGATCGTCAGTGCAGGGGCGTTTCAGGGCCCGGCGTTGCCTCGTGCTGGATCCCGCGATCGAACCTCCTTGCAGGTCCCTACAGGGCCCTCTCCTTTGTTGTTTCACTGGGAGCAGTGGGATCCTAGGGGGAGGGAGGGATAGAGTAGCACTTCGACGAGGTCTTGAGCTACGCAGAAACTGCAGAGTTGGGGTATAATAGATTGGGGCAATCCTGAATTCAACGGGCTTAACAACTTTTGTATTGTTTATTGGTAATCCTAATCCGGTTCATTCGTTTGTCCGATACCTTTGCTTCCTTGATCTCACTCTTTTAATTTTATCTTTTTATTCTTTAAAACATTGCTACCATTTGGTCTAGCCATTTTGCGACCGGGGTTCTTGTCTTTTATTTGATTTGCAACTCTTCTTTGGCCTGATACCCGCTCCGTGATTGCCCAGTGGACCCTCTTGTGTTGACGGGAGATGCTCGCTTGACCGTTTGCGGCCACTTTTCCCTTTTATCTCGCGCTCCCCGCCAATTTTCCACTTCTCCCTAATCTTCGCAATCTTCGCAACTTCACTCCCAACTCGGTTTCCCCGTCGCTGTTCTTCGGAACAGGTGGATTTGGAAGCGCATTCAGACGGCATTCTCTTCCATTCGTTCATTTCTCTCTGACTCGCCCGTCGCGCTTCGCAACCACCCCCGGCGCAATCCTGGGTCGCACATTCGCGCACAGCCTTCCGTCGCAAACCTCTTGGACTGTCCAAACAACCTCCCCCCTTACGCCAACTCTATATTTTTCCCCTATACATCGGAGCAAACTTTACTTCCCGCGCATATAAAAAGAAAAATAAACAACCTGCGCCATGTTGCTCCCCTCCGCTATCCCCTGCGATGTGCGCCGGTCGTCTCGCTTTACTCCCAGTCGCCTCTTCTCAACACCTCCTCCCGACCGCGGGACCGCAGGCAACGGACTTCTCGGTACCTGCCGCGCTTTACAATCCATGCTGAATGGATCTCCGGCTCCTTCACCGCGACGATCTGTGAAACCCCAACGTCTACAGAGCCCTCTCCCTATTAACCCTCCGCGTCGTTCACCCCGATCGCGTACGCGCAAAGTCGCGCGACCTGCTTCACCACAATCCACACCTCCTCCGGCTGCTCTGGCTTCTACTCCTCCACCCCCACCATGTGCGCCTCCGCGTGGCGCTAACAAGCGTCGCCGCGCGGAAGACGACGACAGCGACTCAGACATGAGCCACGGGCGCAACCGTCTCTCTACCCCTAAACGCCGTCGGCAGGTGCCGTACAACCTGCCCCTCGGCCTCTCCTCAGCGGACTTCTATTCCCTACACTCACCACCTATCACACAATCTCCTCCTTCTCCTGCTGCGCGACGTCAACTGGTGTCGCGGATCCCTGACTCTGCACCTATCAATCCTGACGCTCCTCTTCCTTCGATCGAGGTGTCAGACGAGACTACTCCAGGTCCTTCTGAAGAGTGGACGGCCGACGAGGACCAGCGGCTACTCGAAGTGGTCCTCGAGAAGTTTCGTCTCTCCCAGGAAGAATGGAATGAATGCGCGCGCCGGGTAGGCTGCAGGAATCCCGCAAACGCTGGGCGGCGATGGAACTCCCTCGTTGGAGGGGGCCGCGTCATTCTGCGTCGATCACAAAATTAATCTCTCTTTTCTTTTGTTTCTGATGACTGTATTATACCACGTTCTGGAAATCTGCAAGAAACCCTGTATTATCTTTTGCTTTTTGGGCTGGACATCATCATGTTCTTTCGTTTCCATTCTTGTTTCTTTGCAACATTTTTCCTGCCCTCCCCTTCTTCACATCTGGCCATGTGTTTTTGCTCTGGGAAATGTCTCCTCTGGGACACATTTCTCCAAGTGGCTAAATTTTGCACATGGATTGTTTACTCTCGCAATTATCATTCGAGATATGTACCACTATCAAGCTGTATTATTTCCTCCCGAGATACCACTGTCGAATTTACTTGAGTCTGAATTACCAAGAGTACTGCATTGAATATTCGAACAAGACCAACCCTATCTCACACGAAAAGCGCAAGCCACTGCCTAATCCCCAGATCTCTGACGAATCCTATCGATAACGGGCCATGCATAAAACCGATGCAGCTAGTCGCAGCTCGGTCCATGTAACACGCACTGCAGGCCCTCCGCGCAGCTCCACTCGCCGATCTCTCATGGACAGTTCGCAGAGACCCAATAAACAGCCCTGATCCCGGGGAACTTATCCCGGAAGTGCCCCCGAGCACTGGGAATAATGGGCCGATATGGCGTTCCCACCGACTCGAAACCCCGTTTCATAACGTTTTGCACCTTCCCCACCCAAGGGGGGTTATGCATTTGAGTAATCGCGCTTCCCCACTGATCAGCTAAGACTGATATTTGAAGTTATATCCACCGGAGGCACTATGCATATAAAGTCGGCTCATATTCCAGACCTGCAGGTCTCAAGTTCACAAACTTGATTATTCCCCTCCTACCTACAGAAGACCTTACAAAGTATATACGGGCGACCCCAATTTCCTACCAGCATGGCTCCTCCAACTATGAAAGCGGCCATCTGCAAAGAGGTACGCCCGTTCTACACCAAAACCCTCCGTCTAAACCTCCAAATCCAAAATTCAACAACTCACCACCCCCTGAACTACAATAGCTAGGCAAGCCCCTCATAATCGAACAAATCCCGACCCCGACCCCCAACGCCCGCGACCTCCTCGTCCGCGTCAAAGTCGCCACCGTCTGCCACTCCGACACCGCCCTCATCGACACCGGCCTCGGCATGGCCACCTTCCCGCTGATCCCAGGCCACGAAGCGATCTCCGTCGTCGAAGACCTCGGCCCCGACGCCGCCGCCCACGGCTTCAAAAAGGGCGACCTGGTCGGCGCGCCCGCCTGGCACAATATCTGCTTCTCGTGCCGCGAGTGCGTCGAGATAGGCCCCAGTTTCTGCACCCGCAAGCTGGTCAAGGGGGTGTCGTGCGAGGGGTATTTCGCGGAGTATACGCTCGTGGATGCGGCGACGGCGGTGGTCGTGCCGGGTGGGGCGGGCGTGGAGGATGCGGCACGGTTGTCGCCGCTGTTCTGTGCCGGGGTGACGGTCTGGGATGCGCTGCGTCGGGCGCAGCTTCAGCCGGGGGAGGCGCTGGGGGTAGTGGGGATTGGAGGGTTGGGGGAGATTGCGGTGCGGTATGCGCAGGCGCTCGGGGTGAGGGTGTTCGGGCTGGATGTGAGTGAGCGGCAGTTGCAGGGGGTGGTGGAGAAGGGGGTTGTGGATGGGGTGGTTAATGTCAGGGGATTGGCGCCGCTGGAGGTTAGAGGGAAGGTTGCGGAGCTGAATGGGGGCAGGCCGCTGGATGTCGTGGTTGTGACGGTGGGCGCGGTGCCGGCTTATCAGAGTGCGTTGGCGATGGTGAGGCCTGAGGGGAGGGTCATTGCGGTGGGGATTCCGGAGCAGGATGTTCCTGTTTCGATGGCGTTAGTTGCGACGCAGGCGTTGAAGTGAGCATTGGAAGTTCCTTCTGGATAATGGAGCGGATAGCTAATTGATTTATAGGGTTATAGGCGGCAGGGTCCCGGATCAGGTTGATTGTGCGCGCTGTGTGGATTTTTCATTCCGCAAGGGCATCTTTCCAAGGGTCAATCCGCGGCAGTTCCAGCTGGAGGATATCAATGAGATGCTTGATCTAATGAGAGCTGGCAAGGTCGAAGATGGACGGATGGCCATTCGTTTCTTCTAGGGGAGGCTGGTATACTGACGCAGGCACGTAGATCATTCAAGCCCGCACATTCGCAGCGGAGTAATGATCATAGCTGTTACTGTAGTATGGGGGGCCCAAGGGTGGGGGTTTCCTCCGATCAGAAGAATGTGTCGGATCTACTCCCGATACTTCTGGAATCAATTCCCTGTCCTCCGTATGGAAGATATTTCAACCAAGCCAGCCTCGCCGAAACATCCGACAATGAAATTGTCGCTTTGGGATGCCAGGCGATCACGAACAAGGAACGGAACGATTCAAGCAGTCCCAATCCGGCGTAAAACTACTCATGGTCATAGTCGATGAACGAAACCAGCGGCGTCGATCCAGGAATGTAACCCCAGATTTCACTGGAATGCGAGGCCTCGAACAACTGGGCCCACTGACGTAGAGATCAGGGTCTCGATCTTAGATGGCACAAAAGTTCAAGCTAAAAGAGTAATTGAATATGCTTTGCGATGACCCCATATTCCATCCATACTAGATACGCTGTGGCGCGAAGATCAATCTTATCAACTTAAACTCCCAAGGAAATGCATCTATGACCTGGCCGTACCATGGATACTCGTCCCAATTTCCATGGATCTCTAAGCCGGCTGTACCTGTGCCTTGTGACCGCAACAATAAAAGTGGGTACGGTCTGCGCCACGAAGATGGTAGGAGCTATTGCCATCTAGCTCAATTCACGGCATAGAGTCCAGATCGGTGAATCTCAACTACGGTTTGGCCACCTGGATCCGATGGACCCCCCGACGTAATTCACGAACTCAGGAAGAGACCCAGCGAGCGCCCAATATTCCTTGGAGAGAAAGCCGAGTGTTCCACTCGGGATGTAACTAAAGACTGTCGAGCAGTTCTGTTAATATAGTCGCTTGTGGGCTAGTTTTCTTCGGCTAGACTGTTCCTTGGACTATTTCTCTACAAATCTCTGGTTCGATAATTCTCCCTTCCCCAGATAATTCAACTCAAAGCCTCGATGCATGTATTCACTCTCTCATTATTGCTTGCCGCGTCAGCATCCTTTGGCGCGACACAAGATGCAACAATCACTGCCCCAGCATCCCTCATCATGCGACGAAGCAGCGCGGGCTGTGAAGACCCAACGTGAGCTTCCAAATTCTCTCAAGAGTCCTAAAGAGCCCATCTCTAACAAACCCTAAACCAGGGTCGTCGACCACTGCGTAACCGCAATGAAGGCGTACCTCGCCAAATGCTCCGATAGCGACTGGGACTGCAAGTGCTCAGGCGCTGCAAACATCGCCAAGTAAGTACCGTCTTTCGATGCATAGTACATACTCAGAATTTTGAGAACTTCCTCCCGTTCCCCTTCCTCCAAGAAACCTCTCTATGGAGGACTTTGCCTGCTTCCAACACGGACAGTACTAACAGCAAACAGCTGCTACGTAAACTGCGAAGGAAACTCCGACGCCACATCCGCCCGCTCGCTCAGTGCCGGAAACTGCGCAACGGCAAACGCATACGACAAGGGCGTCACTGACGTCCCGCCGGTCCAGGTCACTCCCAGCAACAATGCTGCGGAGCTGGCCGCTTCTACGGGCGTCCCGAAGGGCTCATCGCCTGGAGAGCAACTGGCATCGGGGGTGAACCCGACACACGCAACCACGACGGCGGATGCTAAGGAGTCGGCGAAACCGTCCAAGGGTGCGGCTGGGAAGGTTACGGTCGGTGGCAGTTGGTTGGCGGCGATTGGTCTGGGATTGGGAACTTTGGTCTAGGCTTCTGATAGAGCAGGTTTATAGAAGTAATATATGCTTTGGATGCTTGACTGCCGACCTGAAGTTACTAGTATTGATTGGGGGGAGTCGCGATGAGTTGCGATGAGATGGTGGGGCCTCGGGACCTTGAAGTGATGATTACCTGAGATGAGCGACTCAGTTGCGCCGATCAGAGGTTCTAAGAAAGGTAGCTTGCCATGTCACAGATGCAGGGGTGATGCATTGAAAAATAACCACGAACATAAAAAAACAGCCATCCGACGCCAGACACCTAGCGTGATAGTTCAAATGAGAAATTGAGTGCGATAGACAGGAGATATTATCCTGCCCACTCTTCTAAAATCTGCAATTGAGAGAGTAATTAGCATCCTGGGACAGACGAGACCAAATAGAAGGACATACCGGATCTCGTAGCTTCCCGCCCGAGTCATGTAGCGCACCCACTTGACAGAACTATAGTTACTCTTCTCAAAGACCTTGAGATAACGCACCAAAAGGCCCGACGAAGTAAACATGAGCAGACTAAACGACAGACTTAGCGGAGGCCGACTCCACGCCTTCTGATGCGTCATAGTCGTCAGCGTAGCCTCCGCATTAAGCACATACTCGCTCTGGCCCGAGAACCGCGGAATCTTCCAAACAATATTGTTCTGCTCAGGCTCATACTTCGCGCGCCCCTGGCTCGTCCGCTCCGTCGTCTTCGCCGTATTCAGCGGGGTCGGAATGCGAATGACCACGTTGGTGGCAAAGAGCTTTGTGCTGTAATTCGCCTTGATCGCCACACTATACTCGACCTTTGTCGTTCCGATCTCCCGCACAATCGGGTGCACCTTGAACGGCAGGTTCACGTTCTCCGTCGCCCGATACCGCATCAGCTCGAACTCGCCATCCGGCGGCACAAAGGAGATGATCCGGTCCGCGTCGAACCGACCCAGTTTCACGCACTGGTGGAACTGGCAGTCTTCCAGCGTCACGGAGCCCGCTGCAGCCCGCGTCTTGCCGTTCCCAGCTCCCCCGCCGTTGCGGCCGCTGCTGGGACCGGACGCGTCACCCGTGTCGAGCAGGAGGCGGTCGTTCAGTCCGAACTTGCACTCCGGGGTGCCGGAGAGGTAGGCCCGCATCACAATCTGGCCGTTGACGTCGGCGCGCAGGACGGTGCCGGTGGCGGACATCAGGAGGTTGACGTCTTCAATTACGTCGACGAAGGCTTCGTTCTTGCGGTACTTGACGTCTGCACGGCGCCATGAGAGTGCGCCGGTTGCTTGCTGCGTAATGCGACTGGAGTCTGTGGCGGAGTTGACAATGGCGGATTTCACGCCTTCGGTTGTGATGTACATTTTCAAGGTATCGGTCTCCGTGTTCTGGGGGTATCCGAAGTCGAGAATTTCTGTGACATGAGAAAGATGTGTGTGTGGTTAGTTTGTGCCTTCTGGTCTCGGGGAGCCAGAGAAGGGGAAGGCGCTTACCATCGAGCAATTCGTAAATGAGCACAAAGTTGTTCTTGACGGCCTCCTCGTCAAACTTGCCGAAGTAGCTCTTGCCCAGCAAGATGAGCCGATAGAGAAACTCGAAGACAAGCGCAGCATTGGCATTGCTCTTCGTCACGGCGACGATGTAGATATTCTCGTGTTTGACATGGCTGAAGGTGGTCGAGCCTAGGGTCAGGATCGGGGATCGGACTTGCGGGTTGGAGATGACTTGGATGCGGAAGATGTCGGCGAGGCGAGGGCGACAATCGCTGCGGAAGGCCCGGAAGATCAGGTTCTCACCTTTTTGGTTAAACACCAGTATCCCTGAGAGCATGATGGATGTTGAGGGCTCATGCCGAGAGTGGCCAGGAGCTCGAACGGGGGGGTGTGGATATGTGGGGGGGGGGTTACTTGATCGACACCGCCTGCGTGGTAGGAGGCACAACTTTAGGGCGGAGCATGCTACACTGTACATGGCTGTATCACTTGCTGTACTGACAGTTTGGATAAAAGCTTATCACATTTTGAAATCAGAAATCGAATTTCTTTCCTTACGTTCCATATTGAACCCGACTGGCTTTAAAAGGCAAGGCTGAACCACTGAGGACCGGAGCCTGCTACAATTGGAATGTATACGAAGCCTCGCCAGCAAAGTCTTCAGAAATGGTGTATTATGTTGTATTTAAGCACTTTTCGCTCAACTCCGATATGTATATCAAGTATAGGTCGCAGCCAGCGCTACTCCCATTTGGACCATGAGGTCTTATTTGCAGGCTCTCAACCAATTGACAATGAAAGCTCAGGACAAAAGCCAAGTATGAACAATCGAATCAGGAAGGGGCAAGCCGAAAAAGTATAAGACAAAAGAAAACCCCCAGCGGCAGAATGCAGGATGAGAATCGGGTACAAAGAAAAAAGAGCCAGGTATTAAGGAGAAGCGAAGCGAATAATTCAAGAACTGCCGCTGGGGGGAGGGGATATCATGCAAAGGACCAAAGAAAACAACACGAACTGTAAGAGAATATCAAACAAAGGTGGGGATAGAAGGAACGGATGCACCCCTGTCTTACACAGGAGCCCCGACCCCTGTACTGGGTCTGGTGTGCGGCAACGAGGGCGCCCCATCGCTAGGCACAATGCCGACTTTAGGATCAGGGATTTGGATGTCAAGAGACATGTATGCAGTCCGCCGCAGACTCCAGATGTGAACGCCGTCTTTGGCACCCACTTCTCGATTCCACTTCTCCAGCCATGTTTCGATATGATCCAGGGAGCGCTTGATGCCGGGAGCATTCAGATCATCCCAGAACCAGCCAGTAAACATTCCGATCGTACCGTCCAGCCAGTTCCGTAGACGGAATGGATCAAAGGCCTTGATCATGCTTTCGTTCACTTTTCCGAGGATTTTGCGGAACTCCTGTTCAGGCAGTAATGGGTCCAAGATCTCCGGGTACAGGTTGGAAAATGTCGGCGCCAGGTCTCCTTTTATCATCCAGTCGCGTCGTATACGAATGACTCGCGTGGTGAGGTACTCTCTGGACCCAATGGGGATATGGGGATTGAGGTGCGGGTAGCAGGGGTGGGCGGGACCCCATGCAAGCTCTTCAGCTTCTTGAAGAGGTTGGCCGGTGTTTGAAGGGATCGATGCGATTTGTGATTGAGAGCGAAGGGAAACTTGGGACTGATTATGACGCGATCGACCGTCTTCTCTGCTTCCGTCCTCGGCGAGATGGGCCACCTCGGGTGGCCGCAGATTCTCGACCTCCCGAGCCGCACTGCCGGCGAATGCAGCAGCCATGGCTGTCGGAGAGAATTGGTCGCTTCGTCGGTGGCGGGGAGGTAGGCCGATACTTGTTCGCCGGCTGTCGGATTCCCCTTGGCTTTGCTCAACGAGGAGACTATTGGGAGAAGGGGTCAACCGGCTCCGCCGGCGTTCGGGAATGCTAAGCAGAGGACGGGCGTCGCGGCCAAGAGGGAGGCTTTCGTCGGAGTGCGCAGAGGCGATGGTGATGGGCGTGGCGCGGGGGACGTGGTTGACTGGGTTTGCGAGGCGAACGGCGGGAGGACGGAGAAGGCCAGGAAAAGACGGGCCCGAGATACCGCACTGGCGCCGCTGGATTGAATTCACTCCCTCACGAAAGGAAGTCTGCAGGCGCGGAGACAGTCGAGATGAATTCCAATCAATCTCCCTCGGCCGGGATCGAGGAGGTGTGAAGGACGCCGTTTTGGACGACACGATCGCAGAAAGCTAAAGGAGCGTGGAGCGTTGGTCGGAGCTTCCAGGGGCGACGGAAATGATCGGCGGGGAAAAGAGTCTTAGTGGAGAAAATCTGCAGGAAGAAAAAAAGAGCGACTGAAAATATGCAAGAGGAAGAAAGTTTAGGGCAATTTTAAAGCCCTGGGGATTTCATCCGGGAGCTCGGGTCCAAATCGACAATGAGATCCTGGGAAAATCGAACTAAAACAAGTGGATTCGGTGGGGAATAATTTTTCATGATGCAATTGGGGGAGGAAAAGCAATTCATCTCTATTTAAAACCAACTTCTACTAGACTACCGCCGCTTCTAGGAGTGTGTGGCCTCTCGGGCGTTATGCAGCCTGCGATACATCAGTCGTGGGCGCTCTCAGGACCACCCCTGCAGACCCTGGCCGCATTGTCGCAATAAGTTTCGGGCATAAGAGGGGAACCGCGAGCCTTGGCCTGGGGCTCCATGGGCCCTTGCGACTATCTGCAGCCAGATTCCTGTTCAAACGCCAAGACGTCATCTAATATAACTCATACCCCTTTAGCCTGGATAGCTGTCGAGAACCCTCCACTGAATCTGCGGGCCATCGAGGTGGCTATGGCCAGTATGAGGAATGATCTTTACTTCCTGCTTTCACGAGAGCAGGGATGGTACTCCGGATGGTCATTTTCCAGCCACGGCCACTTTTCATGGAAGCTTTAAGTATGAAGACCCGCAAACTATGTAACGCCCTCCCCGCAGTATATCCATCAGTATGCTGCCCGATGTGTAATGGTAAGGTGGAGTCGACCGTGACCCTGTAGGTCCTCAAACAAGAGCATAATGTCAGATCCAGGATCATTAATAAACTTAATTTGCGAGTCTCTGCTAGGACTAGGAGGCCTGTTCTCACTCTGGTCGAAATGTCAGCAACATATTACTACGTGGATTTTCAATGCTCACAAGCCTAGCAATTAAAATCCTAGTAGACTCGGAGTGAATTAGCGCATGGAATAGAGATGAGACACCTAAGGGGAATGCCGGACTGATGTATGTACTGCCTAACTGATAGCCCAAAATCCGCTGAAACCCCGTCCAAAGAACATCAGTTCGCTTATATTTCTATTCATGAAATCTAGTCATAAACAAAACGAAACCCCCCATAGCCAATCAGCGTGAAAGGGGCCCAATAAAACGGACTCGACCAGTCCAGCTGGTCCAGCAGCATTCGTAACCGCAAAAGCAGAAACTCCGCGTCCGGGACGAACTCAGCTGGACTCAGCTGGTCAGCTCCTGCAGAGGCCCAATCATCCATCAAATCATCAAGCAATGCGCCCGCCTTTTCAAGATCCAGTTGCAAGATTTCCACCTGAGCCATTCGCATGAGCTCCGCGACGGCCAGATCCGGCTGCCGCTTGAGATGCCGATAGAATAGCGTCATGATCAACATTGATCCAAAGTCGCTGACTTCCCATAGCGATCCAATGAAGGCCTGGCATCCGCTACTCAACACGATGTGCGAGAAGCCGAGGACTTCGCTTCCGGTGGTTGCTTTGCCGAGTCCGCTGAGACATGCTGCAAACACTAAAAGATGGACATTGCTCCGGATAGCGGACATGTCAATGACTCGAAACTCCTGGCCTGGCCCGATGGAGATGGATGACAAGAGGGGATTGCGGTAATTGATGTTCCCGTGCGTGCCAATGTGCATGATCAGGGACCCGCCTTCAACGTGTTGCTGGAATTCTGTTCTGGTAAGATCTGATGCCTCGATGGGCCATGTCGCGAACGTCCGCGCGATGTTGACGGCTTCAATTCCGGCCATGTGTAGATCAGCTTCATCGTTCACTCTTGCTCCGCTTGAAGTGGCTTTCGTAGGGGACTTGGCCAGCACAGACACTGTTGGATGCTCCGAGATCGGTTTGCGTTGCGATAGGTAGTAGAGAATCGTGAGACTGGGGACTTGAGATACCGCCGCATGAATTATGAGAGGCTTGCCTTCGAACGGTAGGATCGAAAATGGGAATGCCGTCAACGGGTCTGAGATGGAGAACACGACGTGGGACTTCGTTCTGATGATTTCTGCAAATGGGGAAAGCAATTCGTCAGATATCAGCTTGCTTAGTTCGTTGAGTTCAATCTTGGCCCCTTCATCTTCACCCCGATAAACCCGTTCATCGTCTCCATTATTTTCATGGCTTGCATTACAGGTCTCCTCATGTCTACGCGCCGTGTTGTTGATTGGTGCGTCTTCTGGATTCCCTCCTTTGTTATTGCAAATGCGATGAGACCGCGTGATCCAAAACTCGCCTCGATTACTACAGCGTTCTCCTCAATACTCTTGTACAAGAGTTTGGTATCAATAGTAGAATTGGCAGTTTCGATAAATGCCGTAGCAGAAGACAAGGCCTCGTCCCCCTCAAGAAGCTTTAGGTACTCGCGTAATTCGGTGACCTCTTTCTCCTGCTCTGGCGTCAAGGACTGCAGAGAAAGTAGCGATCGCAGCAATCGCCTTTTGTAAACCGCTTCGGAGGCTGTTTTGGGTATCGCAGGTACACCTGAAGCTTGGGAGCCCTGTGATTGCAAAGATTCGAGTACTGCTCGTGCGCGGCTCATCTCGACAAAAAGAAGTGCGTGTTCCACCCACGACATTCCATCAAAATGCCCGTGGTCATATTGAGTAAGGACCTGCACTGGAATTCCAGATCTCTCGCACCTGAGCGATAGACGTGCTAAATTGAGATAAATTTCTCCGCTCCAGCCGGCGTCAGAGCTCAGAGCTAGCGCGTCCACGTCAGTCGTTTGTTTTCGACGGTTTTCGAGAATGCGGCAAGCCTGAAGGAGCTTGGAAAAGCAGTTCTCCGGCTCAAGGTCCATCATGGTCGTGGCGTAATCACCCAGGCGCTCAGAGTACTCGATCTCAACATCAGTCATCGAATCGAAGAAACTTGGGCTGATATTGACAATCATATCCACCAGTCGACGAGCTCGAGCCATGTTTCCTCCAAAAAGGACGATCCTTAGTGCGAGTTGTGCCACGAGCGCAAATGAGGCACGAAGACCAATACCATTCTGATAATCCTCAAGGTTCCCGTCAAACAACTCGTCGTCAGTAATAGAATCCAGTATTTCGCGAGCCTTTTCTAGATCTCCAATCCGATCACACGCAATAATGCGGTATAGATCCCGTGTATAGACCTTTTCAAGCTCCTCTGCCTCACTAACAAATTTTCGGAGCACTTCTTCTGCCTTTAACACGTCCGTGTCTTTCTCATCGAACAAGAACTTGCGATAGGTGATACAGGCCGATCCGAATTTGACTTTGGCCGCCTCGTCGGCCATAAGCTTGCGCCAGAGACCTTTTGTCTTGTGTGCTGGATATGAGATCTCAGAATTGAATGTCTTGAAGTGTTGCGTATACTCCCCTGACTCAAAAGATTCCCTCCACGAAACGAAACTGGCATCGGTATTGACGAAGTGTGCCTGCTTGATTTGCCATTTTTGGAACCCATCTAGGTTTTCTGCTCGGAAATATATCTGGCTTACAATGCGCCCGAATGTCCATAGAAGCGTGCACTTCGTCGCTGTCAAGACGGCCTTGTCTACTTGGCCGTGGGGTGTATCTGGTGCGGACTGAAGCCGAGTATCTAGATACTCGCGGACTTCGTCGAACATATCGATAGCTTCGTCAATCAATATTTGCGAAGCAGGCTGGTTGAACATTTCATGGTGAACAGAAGCACGTGCAACGACGCTCTGGAATAGTGGAATCAAGTCTTTGATGGGTGAAAACAACTCGTAAGCACATTCTGAGGCTATCACGGCATTATCCATGTTCGATGATTTGTTCCACTCCTGGTACGCAAATCGTAATAACAGGAGTCCAAGGAAATGACCGAGAACTTCGTTCTTCCTGGAAGCGCACCAGTCACCTATTTCCCGCGCATAGGCTTTTAGTCCTTGCGAGTTTCCTCTGGAGATATTCAACAAAATTTGATGGGCTTTGACAATTTGGACGCTTGCTTGGTCTTTCCCGAATAGTGCAAGAGCCTCCCTCAGTTTCAGATGTGCATCTCCCAGCTGGTGTAGATAATTCTTGTCAACCGACTTACGCAAGCGGGCCACGTGGTGAAGACAGCAGGCTTGTCGAAGGAGAACAGCTGCCTGTCCCCTCTTGCTGCTAGCCTTCCGAAACAGCTCAAGAGCAGACTCATAACAGCCCTGTACTTCGGCACTGTAGTCGAATCCAAGATCGAATTCGATTGGATCCCATAGAGGATCAGCTCCTTCAATTGAAGCGGCGTCAATGATAACAAGGTTCAGAGAAAGAGGGCTAGCGAATGGAGCGCAAAGCAGACGATCGCCTTCTATCAGCTTGGCGTTCGCCATGCCAGCATAGTCACCGAATGATTCACATTTCTGATATAGTTCTCCCAGCACACGAGCTGTTTGAGGACTATTTGCAGAAACATGGAACTGAGCTATGAGGCGCGTCAGGTACACCGCAAGATTCCGGGCGCCGTTTGCTTCTGCGGTATCGCGGAACTGAACCATGAACTTGGACGCCTCAGCAATCGTGGGCCCGGGATCCACATGTGGTTGATGCTCTGAGCCTCCAGGCGAAAGAGGGTGAAACCAAGCAGTCAATGTGCGAGACGTAACGGGGAAGCCTTGAATTCCTGGCATCATTTGACATAACAATTGGTCACGGATGACGCCGGTGGGGAAGTACTTTTGTACATTTGCCATGAACAGTGGCTGTAAGTCATTGGGGCCCAGGACGTCACCGAGTAGCTTGATATCCAGTGGTCTGCCTCGCTCGTGGTAGAAGCGCAGCATTGGGGGTGCCCGGCGTGTAGCGTCTGCGAGGACTTTGTAATTCGTGTAGCGAAGACCCCATTCTGGCGGCACCTGCTCAAGCAGCCCATGTAGCAAATCGAGATTCTCGTATGCTTCTGCAAAATCCCCAGTCAATATCGAATATATGGAGGCACATCGCAAATATTCAGCTCGAAGGGTGAGATCGGTGCTCGGGTCAAACGCCTCCGACTTCGCTGTATGTAGATAGTCCCATGCTGCGTCAAAATCGCCTCTATGCTCCTCCGCGAAAAGTGAGCGACCGCACAAACCAAGAAAGTGCTCGAAGTCCATTTGTATTAGTCGGAGGCGTCGCTGAAGCAGAGGAGGGGATAACAAGGCCGACTTATTAGATCATCTCCGTTTATTTTCGAGGGAACATAGTGCCGCTGCGCCACCATTGGCTCTCCATCAGCACGACAGGCCGGAGCCTCGCCAAAAATTTCCCGACTCACTTCATTAGCGCGGCGATGCCCCATTAACGCAAGCTAAGCCTGTCAGCCCAGGCTGAAGCCAGATGTAACGGGAAAGGGATCCTTTGTCGTGGCTGCCAGGAACCTTTTCCTTACGGTCCCTAGGCCTTTGAAATCGATCGGGCTTGGCGATCTCGAGTTGATTGTATTCAAGATGGCCACTGACGAGTCATCCTTTTTTCTATATGGAATGGGTGAGAACCCTGAGGCTCTGACTCTGGGTTCTTTGGTCCTGGAAAAGTACTGGCAGCCTACACTTGCGCGCCATTACACCCACGAACTGCTCAGGTACATCTCTTATTTCCCTTTTGCACCCGCCATAGTTCAATTCCTCGTACTAATTGTTGATGCCCCACAGCGACGAAGCTCTAGCCAAGCACGCTTACTCCACGGTCCTCACTGATGTGGTGTTCCATGGTCGCTCCCGTCTGACACCCGGAGTCGGTCTCGATGGTGGGGACATCGTCAATCTGAATCTTGCCTACAATAAAGACCTCGAAAGGGTTGTTGTTGCTGATAAAGGCACCCGAGTTGTTCTGAAAGAGTCAGCTCCCCCCGGCTTTCCTGAAAATGAATGTTGAGCTTCGTATCTGACCCTCTACAGCCCTGAAGCCTTCCTGACCAATCAGGTGTTGAGAAACGAGCTTGCTCAGCAAAAGCTGAAGCTATGGCTGTCTGCAGCTAACAGCACCTTTGTTTTGAACTTCAAATTCGCCCGCCGCCCGAAAGTTTGGATGCTAACTGGCTTGTATCTGCTCGAGGGCACACGAACAGCAGTGTCCCATGGGAAATCCGTAGATCTCTCCACGGGCATATCGTCTGCGCTCGTTGGGGCATTGTCTGGTGTTCCTATTGGTGCCTCTGTCAAATTGGGCGTCGGCTCGTCCTGGGAAATGGCGATGCAGGTCGCCGAGCCGCATGTGTGGGCTGCTCAGTTCCGGTTGGTCGATGCCAAGTTTATCAAGGTAGGAAAGGGTGGCATCGACGATGTGAAGCTACCCGCGGTAATGGGCCTGTATAGGGATGTCATGTCCGTTAGGCGATCGAGGAAGACCGAGAGCGAAGAAAATGAAGGGAAACAGACGGTGGAGCTGAAACTCGAGAGCGATGAGCCTAAGAAAGTTGAAGAAGGACATGGCTTAGAGCAAGATGATCAAGCTGGCCCTGAGGTGGAAGAATACGAGAAATATTTAGAGAGAGCGATCAAGTTCTTTGAAATGACGCCTGACCATTTGCGGCAATAATGGCTCATGCTGACACTAAATGGATCAAGAAAGTTGGTTTTGAGCGCCTCGTTGTAATATTGTATGCAAATAAGACTAGATACCATCATGCCATTGCGGTTCCACTAACTTACAGAGCTTTCGCTGTTGAAGGAGCTACTAGTACATGGCAGTGGGTTCAAATTTGTTCTTCCTTAGCAGGATATGCCAGCCTAGGTGTACTTCCCATATACTGGTACTTCAAGTTGAATTTTAGCTAGTGATAACTATCCATATTTATCGATGTTCCACTTTGTCAAGCTCTTTTGGGGTGTTCTGTGTATATCCGCTCCAAATTGTCTTCGCACATTGACAATAGGGCAATGGAATGTGGCACTAGATACTGAGGTCGGTCTAGGTAGAGGTATAGCTGATATTGGACCTGGATGGCTTGAGGTATAATATAATAAAAAAGAACTAGACTAGCATAGGGTCTTGTCGACCTGAATTTTAGGTAAAGTTGAATCCCTGCAGGCCGCCGATGTATATAACGCAGCCGCGGCGGAGATAGGACTGCCGCAGCAAACAGGAACAAGTTAGAGATTGAACAACTCAGGCCGACGCCGAATTCCATTCTACGAAGAAAGCTATGAACTCTGAGGTTTGCGTGAAAGCGATCATCTACCGAGTCTAAAATTCGCTCCATACTGCGCCGTGGTTCAATTCACAGGTTCTAGATACCAACCTCCGGACTACCGCAAGGACGAAGAAGTTATTCTAATCAGGTCAACTTCCCCCCCCCCGCCGAAAGGATTTTGCTTCCAAGCCCTCGTACGATACATGGATACTACTCTACGCCTCCGTCATGGTTGCTGGGATGGTTAATAATCAATAGAATACCTTGGAAATGGCCGAGAAAGCGGAACTTTCATCTACAACTCCGCAAACTCCGCAATAGCGCTCCACCGGCTGCTCCGAGTCAATGTCCGCAAATGTCGACTATATGAATCTTCGAATGTCTCGAAAATCAAAAATCATCTTTCCGCAATACAATAAGATTATCTATCATCCAGGATAACTTTCCCTCACTTTCATCCCGCGAAATGGTGCCCAGAATTACCGTTGTCGGCGCAACTGGAAAACAAGGAGGCTCTGTGGTCCAAACGTTTCTCCAGCATGGCGGTTACGAGGTTCGAGGGCTGACGCGCAGCACCGAGAATCCAAAGGCTCAAGCTCTGGCGGCACAAGGCGTAGAAATTGCACAAGCTAATTTCGACGACCTGGATTCGCTCGTCAAGGCCTTCGAAGTAAACCACCTTTGCAATCTAGAGGGCTTCGTTAGGCGCTAATGAATCGCGAACAGGGCTCTGACATGATTTTTGGCATGACCGACTTCTTTATCCACTTCTTCACCAAAAGCGCAGAGGAGGCTCAAGCCATCGAATCCGAACAAGGAAAAAAAATCGCGCAAGCAGCCGCTCGCACCCAAGGCTTGAAGAGCTTCATCTGGTCCACCCTGCCGGATACAAAAGCAATCTCCGGAGGTACGGCAATTGTGCCACATTTCCAAAGTAAAGCCGATGTCGACAACTATATCCGAGAGGAGCTGGCCGATACTTTGTTGCCGAAGACCACGTTCCTCTATTTGGCATCCTTTATCGACAACTTCTATTATCCTCCGTTTCAGCCTATCTATGCGGGTGCTATTGATAAATACGTCTATATTCAACCCCAGGATAAGGCTACCTTGACCCCTCTCTTGGGGGATGCTCAGGTCAATACTGGTCCCTACGTGCTGGCCATTGTCAAGCATGCGGATTTGACCAAGGGTGGAAAGACTGTTCTTGCAAGCCTCGGGTTCGAGACTTACGAAGATGTCTCGAAGTCCTTGAGCAAACATTTGGAGAAAGAACTTGTTTTCGCCAAGGTCGATTTCCCGACATACGAATCGATCTTCCCTAAATGGGGGGCAGAGCTTGGCCTGAACATGCTTTATTTCGAGCGATGCCCCGGAGAGTCTGGGTGGGGCTCCTCTGGGAATACTGGAGTGAAGCCTCTTTTGCTTCAAGACCTTGGTCTAACGATTGGCAAAGAAATTGAGACATGGGAATCTGGTATGCAACGCATGGACTGGAAGACAAAGTTTGGCCCATATGCACAGAAGTGAGCAGTGTAAGCATAAACTTCTATGAAATCACGGCCACGGCCATGGAAGTCGCTAGTCAGCATGATATCATGCTATAACTACTCAAGTAGCGAACGCAGACCAACTCCCCTCCAAATACTATTAGTCCACATGGTATTGCCCCATGTACTCATTCTAAACCACAGCTATATTAGGCTAGATTACACCTCAATACGGCCGGACTACTGTCCCAGCCGCTGAATTCTAGCAAAGTAGTAGTAATGAGTACAAGTCATATCTTAGAAAGCCAGTATGAACTTAAGAGCCGGAATATATCTCTATGTGAGACAGGTTGTCTTCAATCAGGATGGTCTTGAAGTTACTGTCAGTATAAAAAAGACCACTACGCGGGTGCGAGGATTCCCCTGCCTTGAGAGATAGCCCAATGCCATCATCTGATATCTGATACCCTGCCGTTGCCACTACTCCTAGTTATACCTTTTGAGATAGAATCTTCGGTCATTCCGTCAAAAAGCACTGACAGAGGATATTCTCTGGTGCAGAATCCTATGAACAGCATCTTTTGCCTCATCCTAGCTTTTAGTATAACTGTAACTCTATACAGCGTAGCCCACGCATAGTGCGCATATCTCTAGAAGTGGCAATTCTTGCTGGTATACAGAGGCACAGGGAGAGCAGAATGAAAGCGAGAATATTTAGTACGTATGACTACGGACGGTTTAGTTTTGGGCACTTGCACTGCAGGGGGCTCAGTGGAGTCAGGACGGCAATAGCAGTATATTTGACTTCCCAGGGTACAAAATCAGCTAATTTATTATTGATGGACGCTGACTGGAATTCCACAAGCCTCGGGGAATATCTTCCCTCGCACATGGCATGGTGCCACTAGGAGGGCACCCAACCAGGAATTCGGAGATGGAGGCCAGGAAAGACCTGCAGCTTGGACTTTTGACAGCATGTGGCATTTCACTTCAGTAAGACAGATCTTTGAAACTATTCAGTGTTTCATTGTTGCCATATTGCCCGTTCTTCTAGCCCATGGATCGCGAAACCGGATCGGTCGGCGAGAAGTGATCTGCACATAAACAATAAACGGGCACCTTCTCGATGATCGAAGATACTTTCCTTTTCAGCTTGTTGAAATCTTGGAAATCCATGCACCTCGCACATTAGCTAATATTGTCGAGACGCGGTCACGACGCTAGCGCGTCCAACGGTGCTGTCGCCCAACACGTGTAGTGTCGGTCTGGACCATGAAAAAGTAAATCGCGACCGCTGGCCACAAATGCACCAGCTGCATATGGCGAGGAACGAAGTAGGCCCAGGGCCTATGAAAAGAGGCATGTGCTACGTGGATGCAGGACAAGCGTCAAGTGGCAGCCAGCCAACTGTTTCAGCGACGTATGTACTAGGGTCTCCCTTGCCTGAGCGAAAAAAAAAAAGACAAAGACGGCTGGGCCTGCAAGAGACAAAAAGAGAAACATGGAAAAATGAGGTGGGGAAATAACCCCAAATTTTCGATCGAAGAGCAAATCAATTCCATTTCCCCGAGCTCAGGAACAATCATGCAACGAGCTCCGGTGGCGGATTGTGATAGGGTGATTCTATGTGGGACCAGGGGAAACGCAGCAGAAGAAAAAAAGAGTTGAGTACCTTGGAATCCTGTTTTCCCCGTTCAACCTCCCCCTTGGAGGAGTCTGATGTTCGATGTGCCTGAATCGTGTCGAGGCTGGAGCTGTCAAATGCAAGACCCGTTGCTTTCGATCGCAGAGCATGACATGTACTTGTACATATACGAGCGGTCAACATGGCGGTGGGCGATGTGACAGATCACGAGAGGAAGGGGCCCGCATTCCTGGAAGTTGACGATGAGACAGAAAGCAAAGAGCTATGCAAGCATTAGAAATTGGCAGATCGGATTGCAAGCATTACGACGACTAGCATGATTTAGGTTTAATGATTTCAAACTTGGAATTCGGGGATCGGGTGCTCGGGAACAGGGTTATAGCAATAGCGTCTATAGAGGACCGGGTGATACTTCCAAGCTTTGAGAGGATTATCTACAGTTCAAAGCGAATAAAAGAGCCCCAGTGGATGGCGAATGGAGCCAAGAAGGGCAAATGGTCCTGTCGACGCGAATGGAGTTCCGGATCAGCGCGGACGAACTACTGAGACTCGTTTAGTGATGGTTTCGTGATGGGAGCAGCTTGGAGCTAAAGACACGCTAAGAGGAAACGCCGCCTTCTGAATGGGAGGAAGAGGCGGGCAGGTCCACCTTTAATCTCCCTCGGCGCGAGGGACTGACCAAGGCGGGAACGCTGATCCTTCCTAGATCGAACTTGATCGGTGGAGCTTTCAATAATCCATTTTTGAAAAATCGTTTAGATATTGGGATGTAATGTACAGATTATGACTGGACTCGTCGAGTCCCCCCGTCGGCTTCCCCTGCCAGCTCAATATGGGAACGGGTGCTCATTTCCCAGCCCGGTAAAGGCCCATTTGTTGCTGTTAATAACTTGACCTCCCCCACCAGCTTTATACTCCCGACCTCGTTTCCCTCGCCTCTCTTCTTGGGAGGCTCCTGCCCAACCCCACCCATCTCGCCATGCGCCTAGTCGTGTTCGAGCTGTAATAGTACGACGCGGAGTTTATATAGCCTCGACGCGCCGGTCTATTTCTCCTAATCGCACTATACCACAGCCACCATGCGCTGGTATCTAGTGTTTACATTTCTGTTCTGCCTCCAATGGGGGCAAATCCTCGCCGCGCCAGCAGACTTGGCGCACCGAGATACCAACGCGCTGGAGATATTGGGCCGCCGAGAAGACACCGAGACTACGCAGACCGCGACAGATACAGCAGCCAGCAAAACGCCTACAGCTACTGCGACAAACACTGACGTCAAAGCCAGTACGACTACGAAGCAGACGAGCACCGCAACACAGACTGCAGACCCTACAACCAGCGCGCCGCTGGTCCAGACGTCGGTTCCATCGGTGGATGGAGCTGGTTCTTTCGGAGGCTCGTCGAGCAATTCCACCAAATCGGTTTACGAGGGAGGCTTGCCTATCCAGCCGACCATCACACCAGCGATGGGCATAGCAGGAATTATACTCATACTGTCAGGGGCTGCTTTGACTTTCATTGGGATCCGCAAACCACGGTACGATCGATCTACTTACCAATCAGAGCGCGAGCAGAAGTATACTCACACGTACACAGCATTTACATCTTTCTCTCAACTGCCCTTTTGGCTGCACTGGGTGTTACGGTAGGTTTTGCGAATAGATCAGGTAGAGATGAATCAAAGTACCGGCTGACAATTCCTAGGTCCTCATCGAATATGTCCAGAGCCCGCCTGTTAGCAATGGCGTGCAGGGTGGATATTTTGTCGCAATTTTCTTCACGGGTGCTGTCTTTGGTGGCCTTGCCCTTGTGTTCAAAGAGATCACCGAAGGCCTGTGCTGTCTGCTCGGCGGTTTCTGTATCGGAATGTGGCTTATGACTGTCAAGGCAGGTGGTCTGGTCACTGATCATGGGGCAAAAGTGGGATTTATCATTGCCTTTGCTGTAGGCTTCTACTGTCTGTCTTTCAGTCACTACACACGCGCATACGGATCAATTCTGTGCACGTCATTTGCTGGTGCCACCGCTCTTATCCTTGGTATTGATTGCTTCAGCCGGGCTGGACTGAAGGAGTTCTGGCTCTACGTATGGGGTAAGTTTGACAGACGGTCATGGCCATCGCGGCTGCATGCATATCATGCTAATTACTTCATGCAGGGTTGAACGACAATTTGTTCCCAATGAATACCAACACCTATCCCATCACTCGCAATATTCGAGTCGAGTCGGCGATCATTATCATAATTACCGTGTTCGGTGTCATTGCTCAGTTGAGATTATGGAAAGTGATAAAAGAGCGTCGCAGCAGAGAAGAGGACGTGAAACGAGAAGCCCAAAAACAGAAAGAGGAAGCCGAAGCCGAAGTCAGCCGACGAGTTGAGGAGAAGAACCTCCGTGAGCGAGCCGACTGGGAGAACCTGTACGGCAATAGCGCTGACATGAAGGCGCCCTCTATGTCTGAAACAGCCGTCGCAGACGACTCAAGGAGAGGGTCAGGCAGCGGCTTTGCTTCAGGCCCTGAGAATGGCAGTGCGGTCGAATTGCGAGAACTGACCAGCGCCGAGCATTCGAACGGAGCCTCTGACTGTGGAAACACGCTAGAGGCCGTGGAGGAGGACGCACATGAGTGTGTCTCACATGGCGGAGAAGGCAAGCCACGGGCTTCCGGATCCCAAGCGGATCACCTCGAGCAAGAAATACAGTCCGAGAACGTCCAAGGGAAAGAAAAGCAACCACTTTCTACGAAAAGGCGTGCGCCAACACCCGACCCCACCGAAATGCTTCGCACATTCCCCCCGTACTCGAAGATGCAGGCTCTGAGCACGGCGCCATTGTGGGATCCGAAGCCGGGATACAGCGCCCAGAGCACTTGTCCGGAAGGGCCTTTACCAAGCGCAAGTCCTACCACAGCTTGGATGAGAAGAGTAGCTTCTACTCGGAAGCTGACGAGCTTTTGATTCCACCAAATCCAGATGATACTTCTTCAGTAGCTGGAATGGTTGATGATCTGCCTAGCATTGTGTCACGGACTCCGAGTATGGAGCTTGAAGATCCACATGATCTACCCGAGCACGAGGATGTGGGGTCTAATGCCAGGAACGATCGGGACAAGGTTGTGGAGGCGGAAACGGATCTGCTGGATTCAAAACCCAACCAGCATGCGGATGCAGAGATCAGCGTAGCTGAAACTGGAATCTTGGACAAGGATGTTGAAAACTCAGCCGACATTATTCCTACGGACGAAAAGGTCGGAGATGAGATATCCAAGCGGGCCCGCTTACCAGATCCAGTTCGGGTTGACGAAGCTCGCACCGCTTCCCAGTCACAAGAACAGCCGGAAGCTCCGAGGATATCGCCAGTTGAAGAGAGCAAGGTTGTATCAGAGGAGAAAGCTGGTCCAGCAAATACCGTGGCTGATGAGGCGGCTGTGTCTGGAAAATCAGAAACGGCCGCCCAAGAGGAGATAAATATCAAGACGCAAGATGAGAGTTCCAAGGCTAACAAGGCGCCTGAAGAATCGGTGGATCCACCGAGAGTGAAAGAGAAGGCGAAATTGGACGTGTCTACTGTGCAAAACATTCCTACACAGACTTCAAAAATTGTCAATTCATTCCGTACACAGGAATGGGCAAAGCATCTAGCAGACGCAGATGCCCCTGATATTGAACCTCTGCAGTACGAGAGAGACAACGAAGAAACGTCGCCAGAACCTGAAGAGCTTGCGACCCCTGTTGACATCCACGGCCTTCTGCAAACACCCCTGGATGCAGCACCTGCCCCGTTTGTGTCCAGTTCAAACTATGAATCACACGGAGATGATGCAGTCAAGTCCGAGCAGCCACGCCGTACTTCTCGCATGTCAATGCGATCTCCTGAGTTGATACAGCCCAAGAGACATAGCTCGCATAATGGTCTCACGGCTACACCTCACCCAATCTCTCGAAATGTGTCGTCGGGTTCTCTTCCTTCGCCTGACCGGAAGGATATGACGGCAGTTCGCAACAGTATCTCAACGCCATACTTGCCCGTCACCACCACGCAAGAGAAAGAACAGCCAGACACCCACCGATGGAGCGGCCCTGCACCACTTCTAGCTGTCCGTGAAAATATGGTTCGGAATCGAATGTCCTCCACATCTCTCCGGTACGATCCGTATGGCCCACGAAGCCAATCCCGCCAGTCCCTTGCTGAACCAATGGCGATCATGTCTCCGACCTCCGCCATCCTGAAGAGGATGAGTCCGAACGTGCAAGTGCGCCCGACGGAGCCGAGGACGACATGCCCCTCTCACAACGCCGTGCCCTCCTCCAACGCCAGACCATGCGCTCTCCTTCTTCAACCAGCGTCCACAGCACTCACAGTGGCGAACGAGCTCGGCCTCCACAGCAAACCTACACCAACCAAGCAGGTGGCCGGCCAGCTGCTGATATGGCCGCATGGCGTCAGTCAGTACGGGAGAATCTCAAGAATCGCGACTCAATAGCCGCCTTCACTGGTTCTCCTATCTCCCCTTCAGCTGAGCGACCTCGCAGCCAGTTGTGGGGATCAGTTCAGCAAATGCGAGACGCCTCTAATACCCAGCTCGGCAACCAGATCGCTGAGGGGATGCAGCGAGGCGATATGACAGATCTGCATCGGAAGGCCATGCGCCGAATGCAAGCTTCTGCGAATCGAAAAATCTAAGATCAGAAGATCAAAGATCTTTTAAAAGGAAAAAGGAAAAAAAAGACCATCATAAATTCTACTTCTATTTGATACCCTTTTGTTTGAGCTCTTTATCTCGAGCGTTTGGTTCTGGGCTATATACTTTACTGCATATACTTTGATGACAAGGATGCTTATGTCTTCTATACGCATTATGGCATATGCATTCCAATAATATAATCGTTCTCACCCTAAGTTCCTTGCCTCTGGTTTGACTAGAAACAAATCCTTGTTAGTAGTGAGAGCAAGATAACAATATGATAAGTCCAAGAGTTAAGCGTGGCGAGCCCCTGGAATGAAGATCTGCTGATGATGAAACATCACGTGAACTCTCCAAGTACAGGGGCGGTAGTGCTTGGCACATTCGAGCGCCAGTGTAGGTTAACTTATCCAACTTCAATTCACTTGTGGTAAGCTCATTCTGTTTCATGTCACTTTGGCCTCTCTCCTGCTGCTAATCGGCTACTGGTCCAGAATACATCTCTTGTGTCCGACCTGGGTTCATCCCGCCATGGACGACCTCAACGGGCTGAGTTGGTCCAACTCAAATGCCCCCGCCAAACCCCCACCGATGTCATCTAGTACTCTGTTTCCCAATGTGCAGTCCAGCGGGAACTCTGGTCGATCTACTCCTTTATCTGCGACCTCAATGCGATCAATTTCCCCCGCTAAACCCGCCGCTCCAGTCGCAGATAGCTTCGCGAACCTCGTATCCTTCAACTCGTCTGCCTCCAACAAGAACCTTTCATTAATAGAGCAGCAAAAGAAATTACAAGAAGAGAAGGCGAAGAAGGATGCTGCGGATCAGAAGCGCCTAGATGCGCAGTTTGGAGCGCAGAATTCGCAGTTCTGGGACAACCTCGAGGCAGGCCGCACGCCGAGCCCTGCCGTTGGATCTTCAATACAACCAACCGACGATGATGACTTGCTGGCTGCTTTTAGTGCCTCGGCGCCTGTCGACGCGTCTACGAATTTTCCGATTCCAACCTCTACCTCGTCTCCTCGGCCTCACACAAATATCTCAATGCTGAATAGCGGAGGAGGAATGGCAATGCATGATAATTCGGGCGGGTTGGATTCCTTTGAAGACGATGATCCCTTTGGGTTGAACCAATTGAGGTCGAAACAAGCACCTGCGCCGGCCGCTACCCAAGATGACGACGATGACTTCCTCGGTTTGCTTGGAAAGCCGGTGTCCGAGATCCCGCCCCAGCGAAGGACGCCAGAACCGCGAACCACTTCTCGGGGTTTAGAAGAACGTGACCCGTCTCCTTTGCCTTCTAGCGACGCCGATCGGGCGATTGCTGAATTAGTTGACATGGGCTTCCCAGCGGATAGATCTCGCGAGGCTTTGAAAAATACTTCATCAGGCACCGATGTTCAAGCTGCGGTGAGTTGGCTGCTCACGCAAGCGCATGCTGAATCCCATAAGAAGGTGCAAGGAAGATCGACTGCAAATGGCCGCTCTGGCAACCAAGAGGGGCGAAGTCAGAACCGGAGTCGCCATGGTCCTTCTTGGTTAGAAGACCAGACCCCCCGCGTGCGCGAGGACAGCAGAAGTCCAGCTCCTGGGGAGAAAGACGCAGCTCAGATCGCGTCTCAATTCGGAAACAACTTGCTGAAAACAGCAAACTCCTGGTGGAAAACCGGAAGTAAGAAAGTTCAGCAAGCTGTAAATGAATTCAATACAGAGCATGACCCTAGCCAACCGAAATGGATGCGAGATGCATCCGAATCTCGTGAGGAGTCACTTCCACCACGACAGCCTCCCCGGCGCGCCGAAGGAACAGGTCAGCCGCAGGAGCAGAAGGCTAGCGATTTTACAGATGAGGCTATTCTGTTGGAGGCTGGGAACCCGCGCCCTCGCAAGCCACTTCGCCCCTTTAAACCCTCTCCAGATGGTAATGATCTCCGCCACCAGCCATCTCCAGTCAGCCAACAACAACAACAACAACAACAACCAAATTTCCTCCAACATCCCTCGCGACAACCCGTGTCTGAGCCCAGGTCTCGCGCGTCACGTTTCGCAGCAGAGGAGCAGCCCGCACAAGCCTACGTTAGTCCTGCACGGAGAAGAAAGCCCCAAACGCCACAGCCTCCAGCAGAAGCCAACGTGGATCTTTTCGATTCTCCTGCGCCTTCATCAAACCGCTCGCACCCTACACCTCCTGCTCAATCCGCACGGCCCAAACCTAGCCCTGCCTCTATCCCTGTCCGACCCAAAGCACCGCCCCGCTCTATCCCACCCGTATCTGCGGAAGCTTTGCAATCTTACACACCGACATCGCGAGAAAGCAGCAGAGGCATATAAGCGGGGCGACTATGCGGCTGCACACCAGAGCTTCTCGACGGCACTCAGCATGTTGCCAGAGAAACACCCAATCACGGTGATGATCCGCAGCAATCGCGCCATGACGGGTCTTAGGATCGGCGAGCCTAAAGCTGCAATTGAAGACGCCGACACCATCCTCGATGTGATCGGTCCGTCGCGCGGTGAAGGCGAGATGATCGACCTAGGAAACGGCGAGTCTGCCAAGCCAATGAAAGACTTCTTCGGGAAAGCCCTCATGCGCAAGGCGGAGGCCCTTGAGCAACTTGAGCGGTGGGCTGATGCAGCGCAGGTCTGGAAATCTGCTGTCGAGGCAGGACACGGTGGAAGCACCAGTATCCAGGGTCGCAATCGGTGTGAAAAAGCTGCAGGGATCAGCAAACCCCCGTCCAAGCCTGTTGTTCCCGTCAAGAAGGCTGCGCCTGCGCCTAAGAAGGCCTCTGCTTTGTCTGATCTCTCGGGCTCGGGCTCGGGACAAGATTTTGAGGCTGTTAATCGCTTGCGTGAGGCCAACAAAGCTGCAGAACGTGCTGACGAAGAGAAGTTCGCTCTGTCAGAGAGCGTGGATGCACGAATTGAAGCCTGGAAGGGCGGTAAGCAAGACAACTTGCGTGCACTTTTGGGTAGCTTGGATACTGTTCTGTGGCCTGAGGCTGGCTGGAAGAAAATCAGCTTGGCAGAGCTTGTTTTGCCGAATAAAGTAAAGATCCAGTACATGAAGGGGATTGCAAAGGTCCACCCGGATAAAGTACGTATTGGTTCTTCCTGGTTGCCACTTTTCATGGTGCGAGTACTAATTGAACTGCTAGATCCCTACCAATGCCACGACTGAGCAGCGTATGATCTCCAGTGCTGTCTTCGGAACCCTGAACGAAGCCTGGGATAAGTTCAGGGTCGAAAACAATCTCTAAGCGTCTATATCCCTAAAGCCTTAACATTCATAGCGAATCTTCTTTTGTCACATATTACCATTGCCTGGACTTTTATCACGAGTCATGTGCTTGAACACTTAGATTACCCTTCATGGCAGCGCACTTTTCGGTGGGCACATAGAAGTGCATGAACTTACATCATCTTGCTTATACCTTGGAACTTGCTGCATAATTGCAATTCATCTAGGCTTTAGAGAGATACTATAATTTGCAGATTATTTCGGAATTCTGGAACATCGTATATTCTACATTCTGAAGCCGAATGATTCCCATAGGATCATTTGGAGTCACGAAGATTTATACTTTTACGGCCTATACGTTTCATTTCTCAAAACTTTGATAATCATGGAACGCAAGCTCTTGTACTGTAAGAAAAAAATGCCCCGAGCAGGGCTGAAATGGCTTCACTGTCAGCTGAATTGGCGCCTCGCACCCAAGAGCGAACCCCGATATTACGAGTGAGCCTGTCCATTGATCTTGTTTCGAGGCTTTCGTGCAGGGATGTTTATTGGAGTCGGAGTTGCTCTATACGTAGCTACTCTATACATAGCTGAGGGCGGATGCTGTTTTAGCTTCCAGGTTTCCCAGAATTGGGCCTATTCATGACATCTTTCAATATGTGAAGGCGAACTTCAAGAGCAAGTCGTAGCTTGTTCGCTTAAAAGTATAATGCATTAGTCCTTGTCATGAAATGATATTCATGCATCGGTCTTCATCTCCGTATCTTCCTCGACATTTTCGGTAGTCTGTGTAGCGTCAGCTGGGGCTTCTGTCGCTGATGCTGCGGCGGCAGCCCGTTTTGCGGTCCTTCGCTCTTTCGCTTCCTTCATCTTCTGAGACGCCAAATCTCGTTTAATCTGTTTCTTGCTTTTCCCAGGCTTTGGCTCCTTTTCAATTTTATCTGATGGCCACTGCTGGCGACATTTCTGCTCATCCTCTTCGGTCCAATCCCGAGGAAGGATAGCAAAGACCAAGTAGGAGGTATGTTGTTTCAAATCAGGCTCCGAGTGGTGAATCAAGCGCCCAAGCTTATAGGCCGGATCGGTAGGCCGGGGCAAGAAGGGCTCTATGTGGACTTTGCCCGTGGGCTTTTGGTCGGCCTCTTCATCGTCCTCGTCTCGCTCTCCGCCATTAGCATCAATACGGGCTGCTCGTGTGAGTTTCGTGCGCTCCTCGTCCCATCGGAGCTTGTTCACAGCTTCGTCCACGGACTTTGGATGAACGTTGGCACCGCGCACACCTTCGGCATCGAGACCGATTCGTTCCCGCTTGACCTCGATTCGGTGGTTGTTTGCTTCGACCATTGAAATGTTGACCCATGACAACTGACGCATGATTCGGATTGTTTTCTGTGCTTGCTCCAAACACGGAGAGAAAGTACACAAATGGACAGTTGTTTCGGGATCAAGTGGTGACTCGGAGCCGTCAGCAGGCTTGCGGACGAGATGTTTCAATGCCAGCCATGGGGCAGGTAAGTCCAAGAAAATCGCATTCGCTTTCGGTGATCGGCCAGACTTGGGTTCTCCAAGCAAGAATCCGTTCTCGTAGACGTCACGATGTGTTACTTCCACTAGCCCATCAAGTCCGTGCTGTGTGACTTCCTCTCTGATGCGCTCAGCTCTCGGTTGATGAAATTCGAAGCTGCACACTTTGCCCAGGCGCTGTTTCTTAGTCGCTGGTTCGTCAACGGGGTATCCGTTAAACACAGCTCGTACCGATGCATGTGTAAATGAACCACTTCCAGCGCCTGCCTCGATGATGGTTGATCCGGGGCGTACTCGCATGCGGTGTAGGATATAGCTGGAATCGTGGGTGTAGACAATCTGGGTACGATGAGGAAGTGCCAAGGTCCAAGACTCAGGTGTAGGGTACATTAGATGCAGAAAACCGCTAGCAGCCGCCTCGGGCTTCTTTAGTTCGGGCTTCTCTTCGCCAGTGCCGGTCGTGGTGCCTGAGGGTTCCTCCAGCTCTTGAGCCTTGCGCTTCGGAGCATTCTTGGGCGCGCGGCCCCGCGAGCCTGTGTCAACTTTGGAGGCGACAATCTGGGAGCCCCATGGCTGGTTGATGAGAGTACTGTGAGGGAAAGACCCGAAGCGAGTGTTGACAACTTTTCCCTCCTTGTAGCCTTGGTTCTCATCGTCGTAGGTGCGGAGGATCGTCGGAATGCTCTGATCGCGGCGGACGTAGAGCAAGGCGACGTTATCGGCACTGGATGTAGCTCCGGGATTGAGGAATGGGGAGGGCATGATGGCGGACCGTAATACGTAGCTCAAGGCGATCAGTTCCAGGCCCGAAAATTTACAATGAAGACAAGCCACGCCCTTTGCTCTTGAATCTCAAAAGGCGAAGCTCTTTATCTCGAAGGGCAAAAAAATAGCTAAAGCATTTCCTATCAGGAATGTAGGGCTTAGGGCTGGGGCGTGCGGCGGCCTCAGCCACGCATGGGCCAATCAGCGCAAGTGTTGCTGTTGAATGAGTCGATCTGGTCGAGTCATTAACTGCCCCTCCTGCTGGTCTTAATGCCCCTCTTCTCCTCCATTCGCGTTTTCCGACTCCCCAAGCAGCGGTTTTTCCCAATACCAGTTCAACGGACTCCCATTTGCCTTCCTTTCGCCTCAATCAGGCTCATGTCGTCTCGCCAGCAGCCGCCATGGCGGCAACCTCCTTTGCCCGAAGGGACCCAACTCCCTCCCTTGAAGATCTGGAACTCGTTGACCAAATCAAAGACACCTTTTATTCCGCTTGATTCGGCGGGAAAGAAGGTTACCTGGTATGCTTGCGGTCCGACGGTGTACGACGACTCGCACCTGGGCCATGCGCGGAACTATGTCACTACGGATATTATTCGGCGCATTATGCGCGACTACTTCAAGTTCGATGTTCACTTCGTGATGAACATTACGGATGTGGATGATAAGGTATGCTTTGCGAACTTCCCATTGTATCATTGAGGCCCAAGCCGCTCTTATCAATACAAAATTGAGAATCTAACTCATCACCCACCGCAGATTATTTTGCGTGCGAGGCAACAGCATCTTTTTTAACGAATTCATCGGAGTCAACCCCACTATTTCCTCCGAAGTCCTCGATACTGCCAACGCGGCCTACTCTGCTTATTTGAAGAAGAACCTCCCGCTCTTGTCCCCCGATCTCGCTCCCTCAAATTACAAGGAAGAGGTGGAGAAGGCCTATGCGACTGTTTTGAACGGTGGCACCCTCCCAGGCAACGAGAAGGCCGGCGACGATGAGGCAAAAGTCAAGATGCATATCAAGACTGCCGCATCGGCGGCAAAGGTTATTGCTGAGGCGGAGGCCAAGCCTGCATCTGACCCTGCGTCGTTTGCCGAGGCGTTCTACTCAAACGCCCAGGATGTTCTTCTTCCATATCTGGATTCACTCAAGGGCGCATCCATTAACGCAGACGACTATGGAATTTTCACAAAACTGACCAAGAAGTATGAGGAGCGCTTCTTGACGGACATGCGCGATCTAGATGTTCTGGATCCGGATGAGCTAACTCGCGTGACCGAGTACGGCGCTGAAATTGCCGACTTCGTGGAGCGCATTGTGAAGAACAACTTCGGGTACGTCACGGACGACGGATCTGTCTATTTTGACATCAGCGCGTTCGAAAAGGCGGGCCATCACTACGCGCGCCTCGAGCCTTGGAGCCGATCTGATAACAAATTAGCTGCTGAGGGCGAGGGATCCCTCTCGAGCAAAACCAACGAGAAACGAAGTGCGTCCGACTTTGCCCTTTGGAAGTCATCCAAGGCCGGTGAACCTAGTTGGCCCAGCCCATGGGGCAAAGGACGCCCTGGTTGGCACATCGAGTGTTCTGCCATGGCTTCAGCTCGTCTCGGTGCGCATATGGATATCCATTCTGGTGGTATTGATCTTGCCTTCCCGCATCATGATAATGAGTTGGCACAGAGTGAGGCCTACTTCCATAACCATGAGCAATGGGTGAATTACTTCTTGCACATGGGTCATTTGTCTATCCAAGGATCCAAGATGTCCAAGTCGCTGAAGAACTTCACCACTATTCGTGAAGCTTTGGAGCGTAAAGAATGGACTTCGAGGAGCCTCCGTATTACTTTCCTTCTGGGTGGCTGGAAAGATGGCGTTGAAATTACAGATGAACTTGTTTCATCTGGGAGCTCATGGGAGGACAAGGTCAACAACTATTTCCTTAAGGTAAGGGACCCTGCAGCCCTCCAGGGTACCGGAACCGATGGTGCTTTTGGTGCGGATCTCCAAGCTGCCAAGGACGCCTTGTACGAGCAGCTTTGCGACTCCTTCAACACCCCTGCGGCTATGCAGACAATCTCCGATCTTATCACGAAATACAACAGCGTCGATAAGGCTTCGGTGAATCCGAAGGATGTTGAGGAAGCCGCTCGCTGGGTCACTTCCATAGTGAATATCTTCGGTCTTAATGGCGCTGCTCCTGCCGATAGCAAGGAAATTGGGTGGTCTGGTCTTGATGTCCCCGAGGAGTCCAAACCTTTCCTCCTTCCCCTCTCCAACATTCGAGATACCCTTCGATCGTCGGCCCGCTCCGCAGAAGGAATCTCCCCACAGGTAATCGAACAAGCCCTTAAGCAGAATCCAGCACCTCAGGCTACTTCGGACTCTGCCAAGCCCTACGCCGAAGTTCTCTCCAACTTCTGCACGAAAGTCTCCGCCTTGCAGTCATCTGACTCGGCTGGTAAGGATATCCTGGCACTGTGCGATCGTTTGCGAGATGTCGATCTTTTCGATTTGGGTGTCTATCTTGAAGATCGTGAGAACCTCCCGGCTCTTATCCGTCCAGTGACCCGCGAAATGATTCAGGCTCGTGAGGAGAAGGCTCAGCGTGCTCGCCAGAAGCAAGCCCAGAAGAAAGCCCAGGAAGAAGAGGCGCTAAAGAAGCTTGAGAAGGGCAAGCTCAGCCATTTGGAGATGTTCCGTACCAACGAGTACAGCGCCTGGGACGATGACGGCCTGCCTACTCGTGATGCAGCTGGTGAAGAGCTTCCCAAGAGCCGAACCAAAAAGCTCCGCAAGGATTGGGAGCGACAGAAGAAAGCTCATGAAGCGTGGCAGGCTGCCCAAGCCAAATAGATGTTGCTTGCCGGAATTGAACCCCCAAAAGCTTTTTCATCTAGGTTTCAGTCGAAGTTTCGTTGCATTAGGGGCGTTTCGGTGCATTTGTTCAGGACAGTCACTCGTAGTCCTCTATATACTTATACTACTTATTAACTATGAAATCAGCGATTTTCATGTTGTTCAAGCTTCTCATTGATGTTGGAGCTATATTTGAGCTTAAATCTTCTTTGTATTCCCAGATCTACCAGTACATGTATGCACACCTGATCGTGTCTTGGCCGCTAAGGGAATTCAAGGCTTGACCAAATAAGGAACTTGGAGTACGACGGGTTCGCATCAACAACTAAAGTATTAAGCTTGTTCTCTCCGTGAAAGTAGTCAAGCGTCTAATGATTGTTTGTTATTCGATTCCTTGAGTGTTTCAGACCTGTTTGCTACCGCGTACGACCTCTCAGATATTATTTTCCCTCTTCATCTTCATCCCGCCTTTCCGTCCCTGCTTTCCATTTATCCTTTCCATTTATCCTTCGCCACACGCGTCACACGCGTCGCACGATTGTCAAAATGAGTCAGCATTCGTACCTTTCTCAGTTACGAGAGCTCGGCACTGTGAGCTGTGATACTCTGTGGTATGAAGGTATGTTATGACAGATATGGATGCTCGAGTCTCGCTACCTAACAGGAAACAGAGATCGTGGAATACGGCCCCTTCGAAGATTCGACATTTGACCAGGTAACTTCCTCGAGCTATTAGGAGTCTCTCTATGCCATACTACATAATGCATACTGACAAAAATACAAGGCAATTCTTTACAAGACACTTTCCGAAATCAGAAAAACCGCCATCATGACAGAGTCGATTGTCCTCGCTTACAAGGTTCAGGAGAGGGTGGACACGCCGCTGACATTCGAAGAGCTTGTGCTGGAGACTGTCGTACGTGAAAAAATAATTTCTCCTTTACATCTCTTCTGACCTAAAACATGAGTACCAGATGATTCGACTTGCTTCTACAATGATGGCATACGTCCGTGGTCGTGTGCATTTGCCCATTAATCCGAAGTATGCATACAACAGTGACGAGATAGTTGAGCGCGCGATGCGTATGTTAACTTTATAAAGACATTTGATGATCCAGGCTAACAATTCTAATAGAGACGATAAACTTATTTTACCATTTCGGAGACAATTTCGATGTCAATCGCATCTGTATCGACATTCCGGCAACCTGGGAAGGCCTTGAGGCCTGCCGGTTATTGGAAGTCCATGGCATACGTACGTCAGCAACCATGGCTTTCAATCTTCCACAAGCAATCTTAGCTGGTCTCAACGGTTGTACCTATGTGTCTCCTTACATAGACGGTACGAAGCTTCATGATAAAACGAGGTACGTTACAGATCCCCTCCAAGATGAATTATTACATCTAATGAATCCATGCCTGAAGGTCTCCTGACGATGACACAACCTATGTGCTGTGTCATGATATCAAAAAATATTACCAAGAAAGGAACATCAAAACCAAGGTCATGCCAGGCTTTCTGACAGCTGCAGACACCGTGGGAAAATACTCTGGTATCGACAATCTGGTTATCTCTTCAGAGTTACTTTGGGAGCTTTCGACACGAACGCACATTGTCCTACAGAAGCAGTTTAACAAGGAATCCCAATCTGGAACTGATGTAGGGACTGTTGAGAATCCTGGCCCTGACCTAGATATGTCAGTGGAAAATCGTGCGAAAAACCTGATCCAATTTGCAAACTTCGATACACGAAGCGGCGATGCTTCCGACAAAGACAATCTCGTGTGTGCCGATAAAGTAAAGCAGGTATTTATCACAAATTGAACAGCATGAAATCATTTTTTAACATGAATCTAGATCGTCAGCTCTTTGTGTGTGTTCCAGGGTAAACTGGAAGAGATGGTGAAGCATGAAGTCGCGGAATTGCAGGCGCAGTGATTTAAGGGGGGTAAAAGAGACAATGTAGGAGTCAGTTTTCCCTAATTCTAGTGATTTCATTGCTACCTGGAATAAAGAAATCACAGGCTTTCCATCCATGGGCCATTTCCAGTTGCAAGCAATCCATATAGATCGGACACACGTGACCGCCCGACGTCATCCACAATGGACTAAGGATTGCTCCATCTTTTTCTCCGTTCCCATGCAATCGCAAAATCTGTGATCAAAAAGGTTCACGTGGTTTTCTTTTTCTTTCTTTCTTTCTTTCTTTCTTTCTTTTATTGTGTGGGAGGTTGCAAATTCACGATCTGAGCTACTAGGCGTCCATACATTTTGCCTGCAGTTGTTGCGACGAGCCTTCCAGGCCGATCATCCATCGGTACCATGTTTCCCCCTTCACAAGCCGCCAATTTGAACATAGAAGCCCTTAGCGGTATTTGTGGGTGAGTACGCTGTTCGCTTTTCCGTTGAAGCTTCCAGAGAGCCATCTGAGAGTCCCTTACGTACACTTGGAGGCTCGCTCGTATGACTTGCATGAGATTTTCCGCTTGCCCAGCCTTTTTGGCGCCCCCACATTTCTAGCCGATCTGAAGCCAACCTGTTAATTCGCACTAGTTCTATCTCTATCGCTTGCTGGGTTGTTGTATTCTCTCCCCAGATCATTGAGAATTTTCGACGTGGATCTGCAGATGGACTCTCGCTCGTGTTCCTGATTATCTGGCTGGCGGGTGATGTCTTCAACATCCTGGGCGCCGTTCTGCAGGGCGTTTTACCAACCATGATTATATTAGCTGTCTACTACACCCTGGCTGATATTGTTCTCCTCGGCCAATGCTTCTATTACCGTGGCTTCAACATTCGAGAGGAGTTCTCTCGTTCCCCAGCGGAGTCAACAGTTGCTGCCACTGGAGGATTGAACAGTGCTGAAAATACTGAGAACGTGACCTCGACAGCAACTGAAAGATCATCACTCTTACCACGATCGAATGGCCATATCGGGGATGAGGAGCAACCTACCTTGACATCTGCAGAACAAGGGCGCCGTGATTCGACAAACTCCTTTCACTCATTCCGAGGTCTTCTTAATTCCAATGTCGACGGGACGCACCTTTCACCCGCGACCCCATTCGTTGAGCCAAGTGATTCTGCCCGCCCACAGAAACGTCGGCGTCGCATCTCCCCTGTCCAGGCTATTTTATTTAACAGTACCGCCATTGCTCTCGTCTGCGCGGCCGGTATTCTGGGCTGGTACTTCAGCCCAACCTCCAAAAAGCCCTCATCTGAACCAGAACCACTGACCATGGATTTACGGGGCCAAATATTTGGCTACTTCTGCGCCGTTTTGTACCTCGGCTCTCGCCTCCCACAGCTGCTGCTGAACTTCCGTCGCAAATCTACCGATGGCGTTTCCCTGCTCTTCTTCCTGTTTGCCTGCATTGGAAACCTAACCTATGTCTTGTCCATCATGGCGTATTCGCCTGTCTGTCGGGGCAGTGCAGATGCGGAGTCGCTGCGCCATCAGGGAAAGTGTCAACCCGGCGAGGCGGCTGCCATCTACGGCAAGTACATTCTGGTAAATCTGTCATGGTTGGTCGGCAGCTTCGGCACACTTTTACTGGATATGGCGATCTTTGTGCAGTTCTTCTTGTATCGGGATGCTGAAGAGGATGATAATGATGAATAGATATGAATGGTATCTATAGTCTCTATGCTAGAGACCATGCCAAAAAAAAAAAACCCAATACCCACCCTGTTTCATCAATTTCATGCCCATGAGCCCAAGTAGCGATCAACGGTAGGGTCTTTCAAGACTATTGTCGCCGAACATCATGCCAAAAAGGCCCGCTGGCAAGTGGTTGACATTAGATGCAGGTAGATGCCCCTCTTGACGATCGGCTGAATAACCGAGTAGAGAAACTGGAGTTTGGAACATCCCAAAGTCCCCAGAATCCACCAAAGCGTCCCAAGGGGGAATTCACCGGATTCACCCAAGATCAAAAACACAATTCTCAGTGAAGCGGCGGACGAAAGCCGGGTCCCGATGCACAGTCCCTGAGCCAAAGAGAAAAAAAACCAAATCGCAGCCAGACAGATACCCGTTATTGGAGATCCACAGCATTTACCCGGTCTCGTGCGGGGGGGATGAGGTGGCATTCAAGCGGGGGAGGGACATTTCATGAGGATTTCGTCTGATTCAAATTAGAACTATCGGGCTTGTCCATTCAAACCGAATCTTGCATTCCTCCCTCTTCTCCCATAGATGACCATGGCACAGTTTACGGCAGAGCCGTTTTCTGTTACTGGCAAGACAGCTATTGTCACAGGCGCAGGTTCTGGTAGGTACCACATTCAAAAGACTTTCGTAGAGATCGCGCTCACTAGATCCAGGAATCAACCTCTGCTTTGCTCAGCTTCTCATCTGGCGGGGCTGTAATGTCGCTTTAGCAGACCTGTCCCTTCGACCAGAGGCGCAAGAACTAGTGGATAGCTATAGTTCGAAAGAAGCATCTCCTCGCGCAGTATTCATCCCGACAGATGTCACCAAATGGCCAGAGCTCGAGAACCTGTTCGACAAAACGCTTGAAGAGTTCGGTGGATTCGACATCGTCTGTCCCGGCGCCGGCGTATATGAGCCCTCGTGGTCGAACTTCTGGCTCCCTCCCGGCTCAAAGCAGAGCAGGGATGACCCCCAGTCGGGGCGATATGCAGAGTTGGATATCAATCTGACTCACCCTACGCGGGCAACCCAGTTGGCAATATCGCATTGGCTGTACCCGGGATCGAAGGCAGGCGAGGCGCGCGCGGCAGTCTCCCTCAAGAACCCCAAGCGCATCATCCATATTGGATCCGTCGCTTCACAGGTTCCTGTCTTCAGGGCTCCTCTCTACGGCGCCTCCAAGTTCGCGATCGCGGGCTTGGTCCGCTCATTGGCGGACCTGGAGCCTCTGCATGGGATTCGTGTGAATGCGGTTGCTCCAGGCCTCGTGAAGACGCCTCTTTGGACGGAACATCCCGATAAATTAGCCAATATAGACCCTACTCGGGATGCCTGGGTGACACCCATGGAAGTTGCTGAGGCCATGTTGAACTGTGTGGAGAGCGGGTCGAAGATTGGTGGAACTGTCGTTGAGGTGGGCGCTGGCAGAACTCGCGTCGTTCCTTGGTACAACGCGCCCCCTCCGATCCCAGTCCCCAAGCTGGACTGATCACCAGCAATAGCGATGCTGGTAATAATGAAGTGAAGGCATGGTTGGACGATGAAAGTGTGTGGGGACCGAAGAAGCAGACACAGGATCCGGGCTACTAGAGGAGTCGATAAATTAGAATTAGCATTGCCTTCACTAGGTTTAATGTCTGCAACAGTAAATCCTAGGATCCTCTCTACATCAACGTGATCGTCCTATGTAATCGAAGTCGTGACTCAGCATCATATATGCCACCTGGGCACCTGGCAGAGGTAATGTCTCTTCTACTTCAGCTTTGATATCATTTACTCGGAGATTATCGTCTTCCAGTCGGTCTTCTTGAATAGAGCCTAAAGAGACATAAGCATAAACATACTACCAGAAAAGGGGGTTGAAAATTCCTGGAGAATTGAAACCGAACCTGGTGGCTTTATGAATTATCTGGTGGATGCGAATCGCTTTCTGGTGAAAGCCGACCGTACGCTGGTGACATGATTCGCATCCTGGTGGATCAAAGTCGAACTTGGTGATATTATAAATTATCTGGTGGGTGCGAATCGCTTTCTGGTGGAAGCCGACCGTACGCTGGTGGCTCAAAGTCGAACTTGGTGATTCTACAGATTCTTCGGTTCTGCCGGTACGTAAAATGGTAATCTAGAGTGACTTGTAATTTGTTTCTACTTTGAGATTCGCATATCCTAGCAGCATCCACGGACATCATTGCTCAAGTTCTGCCAGGAAGCAAACAACAGCAGTAGCAAAGGCCTTCGCATCATCCTGCCTCTCTTTAAGATCAGGCCCAACCTGCTCCAAGAACAGTGACAACTTGGACTCCTTCCAACCGAAGGAAGGCGCAGATTCAACACACATCTTCTTCATGCCGAAGGCGTCCATCTCATAGTGGCCCTGGACAGAGAGCACACGGCCTGGGTAGTAGAGTCCTTGGATTGGACAGATAGGAGTGCTACCCACATTGATCCACGGCGCAGGGAGCGAGACAGGAGGAGATTCGCTCAGGCGGACGGGGGGTTCCTTTCTCAACGGCCATCACCCGATCGCCGTGGAACATCTGGATACGGAGTTGGCCCTTGGGCAAGTGGCCCAGGGCATGGGGAAATGCCTTGAGAAATTCTTGCTCCATCTGCACAGTGTGGATGCCGACTTCCCTGCCCAGGGGGCATTTCTCGACGTAGACGTCGCGGACGGGGTCCCGGGGGCACGCATGAGGGTGTACCCGATGAGCTGGTGGCCGAAGCAGGTTCCCAAGATGCGGACCTCGGGGTACTCATCAAAGACCTTCTTGATAAACTTACTCAGGATTTGCATCCATGGCGAATGGGACATTTCATAGACTCCTGGGGAGCCGCCGGTGATCAGAATGGCATCGATGGGTTTGGCAACGGGCGGGTGGTCCGCGGAGACATGGCCGCGAAGAAGCTCAAAGTCAGGGTAGTGGCCACCGCGGATATCGAAGGGGGGTCACTTTGACATTGAATGGATTGGCTGGGTGTCCTTCATTCAAGCGAGATGCTGTCTCATGGAGAATATCGCGAAAATGGGCGCTGCAGAGACCGCGGGCCTCGTACAGCTGGCGGGCTGGGATGTCGACATCAAGGACTGCGATGTGGATATTCTTTGGCATTGCTTGTGTGGGATATTTGCAATTTCAAGTTCAAGTCGCTTGGTGGGATTACTCAGGCTTGAAGAATATGGGATTGATATCTGGAGGGCGTAGTATGAATCGTCCTCCATCCTTCAGAGGACAACCTTGAATTAACACCACCATCAGCCCCGAGATCCTTCAGGGCGTTTATGTAAAAGGATACGAATGCGTACCTTGGAAAGGAAGTCAATGAATAATAAAAACAGAGTTGTATAGGAAAGAAAACCAAGGTACCCCAAGTGACTCCAACTTGATCGGGATTATTATGTAAAAGTTAGGGCAAACCCTGGGGCCATAACCTTAACGTTGAGCCCCCGTTACATCTCACAAGGACCCTTACTTGATCACTCATGAAATTCATCGATCATCCTTCATTAAAGCGGAGTCAAAAATTTATTTTAATGGAACACCTTTCGCTAAATGCCTCCAACAAAGTATAAAAAAGAAGCTCAGACTTATTGCAGCCGCCCAACAGCTGTCCATGAGGTTGTCGTGTCGTCAGTCAGAACGGTAAGCTTCCATCTTCTTGCTTCCCACCTCGGACCAGTTTGTGCTCAGAGAGGTGCCCTCACTCTCGACAAAGCTTTTCATCATTGCACGGCGGGTATCCGGGTCTGCATCGGCATATAATTTCTTGAAGAAAGCATTCGTAGCATCACCGCCGTAGTCAGAGCCGATGGAATCAGTATCAGAGTCATCCGAAGCATCCTTCGTTTTATCCCTCTTCGTCTTTGATTTCTTGCTTGTCAGGGTATCTGCCAATTTGTCCCAGTCTTTTGGCCCAGTGCGAGAAGAGCTAGGGTATGAAGGACCTTGGGCGGACGAGGTCGCTGGTGTTGCCGACACGGCAGGGCGCTCTGCGAGCTTCGTCTCATCTACTGAGCCTTCTAGAGTTTTCCATTTCAGGCCAGCTGACTGTTTCTGGAGAACGATCTCGATCTTTGTGCCCATAACAGTGACTTTTGAGGCAGTGGGGTCAATGCTCGCGTAGAGGGGATCCAGTGTGAAGTCGTATTCAGCACCAGATGGAAGCGGAAATTGGACCGATACCTGTGAACAATAGTTAGAAACATTCATACCGATTGAATCAGTCCAGCTTGGGGTTCCCCTCACCGAATCGGCGTTGAGCTCTGTCTGCAGGCTATCCTTTGCAACGCCCTTCGCGTACAAAGTCACCACAACAGCGTCCTGTGACTGATACCATTCATGTCGGACTTTCTGTGGCGGAGCTGGGGCACTTTCTTTGTTTGATGTGACATCCTTTGCTTCCTCAGTTGCCTTGCTTGCAGCGGATGAGGCCGGATTCACCAAAGCAGCGGCCCCAACAGTTGTCTTGTCCGTCGTAGCTGACTTTCCCGACTTCAGCGCTTCCCACTGTGCCTTCAGTTCTTTCTCCGTCGGAATGTGTACCGAAGTAGGATATTCCTGCACAGTAGCCGTAGCTTTCTCATCACCCTCGGGCAGCTCACCCAGTCGACGGCGAACCTTCATCATCCAAATGGGCAGTTCCGCGGATATCCCGCTTTTCTTCCCAGCGCCGGCCATGGCCGCCTGGACACCCTCAGACTTTGACTGTGGCCCGTTTTCCCCAGCTGTCTTCTCTTCGATCAGTTTGAAGATATATTCAGCATCACCGTACCGCCCGTACTGAAACAGGGCGATAGCGCGTCGCATTTGAGCTGACAGGATCAGCTCGCGCTTCCCCCGCTCACGGGCAAGTGTCACTGCGACTTCTGCATCGTGGAGAGCTGCTGCAAGGTTTGGACCTCCGTCAGCAGGCTTCAGGCGCAAGAAGGCTGTAGATCGATGGATGTAGTACGCGGGGGCGCGGGGTAGCTCGGTCAAGGCGCGGGTGTAGTGCTGGATTGCGAGAGGGGCGTTGGATTCGGCAAGTGCCTTGTCACCCTGCGCTGCGGCGTTCATGGTGGCTCCAGGGCAAATCGCGTGGGAGGTTGGGTGTAGGTGGTTCTCGAATATGAATGAACCTGGAGTTGGCGGAGACTCGTGTGCTTTATACGGGAAGCTCGAGGTTTGGGAGCGACGCTGGGACAGAGGAAGAAAGTCTTCAATGGAATACGCAACAAATCGATTTGAGTCAGACTATGCGCATCATGAGGAAACATCAAGCTCACTTTCTATATCTTTCTAAATGGATCTTTGCATCGCAGCCTGGCCGCCTGGACAAGCTCCGATTCGATTAGATTCTGGGTGGGGACTCTTCCTCCGCCTTTTTCTGCCGCATAGCTAGTAAACCTTCTGGTCTGGCTAACAATGGGCAGAATTCAAATGCTGATTCTCCTATCGCTTGCCTATTTCGTCGCATGACTGAGCGCTCGAGCTGGGTATCATTAGGAATATCCAGGTAATTGTCCCCATATTTAGTGTAACTCACTACATGACAAGTAACTGTGCTGGGGATGCCTTTGTGCTTACCGCCTACCAGTTCTATGTTGTATATAAATATCAATGATATGAGCACTATAGCGAGGTATCACCTTATACACACTACAACAAACATTGATGTTTGGCGCCATCGTAATTACTGATGAATATGCCAGCCGCATGTTCATTCCTACATAGGAGTGGATGAAGCTTGTGCTCATGTTTGATATAAGCAGAGGCTCAGTTTGAGTCCGCCCCTGAATAGATCTGCGACCAGCCACACTACCGAGAGGTAGATCTTTTTTAGCTCATTCACACAGTTAATTCAAAACGTTACACACTCAGGGCAGCACGAGTCATGATGCCTGGGACTCAAATCTGTTTTAGCATTGTTGATCCTTCCCGGGCAACGATATGCAGGACAACGGAGTACTATGCTCCTCTCCCTTCTCATCCGGAGTCCACCATTTACTGTAGCTGCTGTGTATGTACTTTGAGATCTGACAGGATAAATAAATATAAGCACATCGACTCAGGCAAAGCTAATGCATGGAATAGGGGACATGTGCCGGATTGTACAGTGCAGCATTGAGAATGCACGGGGGGTGGGTCCAACCCCGGGCTAGACGACCCGCTTTAGCAGAGCCAGCCAACACAAGCTCCCTTCAAGTTCTTAACTCCTCGAGGAGAAGCAACCGGCACAATGACCTCAAGAATTGGACCCTGGAGGTCAGACGCCCAGGGTCACCTGTCTAAAGACCCCAATGGCGACCTCAAGACCGATTACACCCGCTGGCGGTTGGTGAACGAAGAAGGTCGCCAGACGTGGCGGTACCTTGAATCCGATGAAGAGAACGCCGCCTGGGTACAATCAGTTGCTGAGAAATACCATTTAGGTCTCCCAACTGTACGTGTAGTACGGCTTTCGCTCAATGCGCAGCTACTTACCTCGTTTTCCAGGGATTGCCAATTCTGCCTGAGGCCAAAACACCGCTTCAAGCTGCTGAGAATGGCCTGTCTTTCTTCTCACATCTGCAATTAGAGCCCGGTAACTGGGCTTGTGAGTATGGTGGTCCTATGTTCTTGCTGCCAGGGCTTTTGATCACTTGGTACGTGACCAACACTCCAATTCCACCCGAGTATGCGACGGAGATCAAACGTTATTTGTTTGCCCGTCAACATCCAGAGGATGGCGGTTGGGGTCTGCACATCGAGGCCCATAGCTCGGTCTTCGGTACTGCTATGAACTACGTTGCCTTGCGTCTGGTCGGTGTCAGTGAGGACGATCCTCGTATGGTCAAGGCCCGTGGTCTGCTGCACAGTTTCGGTGGTGCTGTCTACGGTCCACACTGGGCAAAGGCTTGGTTGAGTATCTTGGGAGTTATGGACTGGGACGCTGTTAACCCTGTTCCTCCAGAGATCTGGTATGCTACCCATAATTATAGTAAATTCATGATGCTAAACGATCAACCAGGCTTCTCCCCGACTGGGTGCCCTTTGCTCCTTGGCGTTGGTGGATTCACATTCGTCAAGTGTTCCTTCCATTGTCCTTCATCTGGTCCAAGAAATGGTCTCACCCCCTCAATGACTTCACACGACAGCTCAGAGAGGAGTTGTATACTCAACCCTACAGCTCTATCAACTTCAAAAGATACCGCAACACGATTCATGCTGCCGATAACTACTACCCAAAGACCTGGCTTCTGAATACTCTTAACGAGGTCCTAGTTCACCTTTGGAACCCCTTCCTTCGCATTGGCCCCATAGTCAAACAGGCCGAGGCTTGGACCTGGAAGCTGATTCAGATGGAGGATGAAAATACCGACTACGCGGGATTGGGTCCCGTTAGTAACCCGCTTAACATGGTCGCCTGCTACATTCAAGAGGGCCCCGATAGCTACTCTGTCCGTCGGCACCGTGAGCGACTGAACGACTATATGTGGATGAAGAACGAGGGTATGCTCGCAAACGGAACAAACGGTGTCCAGGTGTGGGATACAACTTTCGTCACGCAGGCTGTGGTTGTCGCCGGCTTCGCCGATGATCCCAAGTGGCGGCCGATGCTTACGAAGGCCCTCGAGTTCATCGAAGACCACCAGCTGCGTGAGAATGTTCCCGAGCAGGAGAAGTGCTACCGTCAACACCGGAAAGGTGCTTGGCCCTTCAGTACCAAGACCCAGGGATACACCGTCAGTGACTGCACAGCTGAGGGTCTTCGATCGACCATCCAGCTCCAAGAGATGCACAACTTCCCGAAGCTTATTTCGCTGGAGCGCTTGAAGGACAGTGTAGACTGCCTGTTACTAATGCAGAACCCAACTGGTGGTTTCACCGAGTACGAGACCACCCGTGCATCTCCCAAGGTCGAGTGGCTCAACGCCGCCGAAGTTTTCGGCGGAATTATGATCGGTTACGACTACCCAGAATGCACTACAGCCTCCGTGACCGCACTGTCTCTCTTCAGCAAGTTCTACCCCGACTACCGCGCCGACGAGATTCGCGTGGCCAAGCAAAAGGCCGTGGCTTACATTAAGCGCGTCCAACGCGCCGACGGTAGCTGGTACGGATCTTGGGGTATTTGCTTCACCTACGCCGCCATGTTCGCACTGGAGAGCTTGGCCAGCATCGGTGAGACATACAAAACCAGTGACAACTCTCGCCGGGCCTGTGAATTCTTGATCGAAAAGCAACAGGCCGACGGTGGCTGGGGTGAATCCTACCTCAGCAGTGAAAAACACGTCTACGTGCAGCACGAGAAGTCGCAGGTGTGCCAGACTGCTTGGGCTCTGTTGGCCCTAATGGAGGCCCAGTACCCTGACCAAGAGCCTCTCAAGAAGGGCATCCAGCTGCTCATGTCGCGCCAGCAGGCCAACGGCGAGTGGTTGCAAGAGCTCTATTGAAGGTGTCTTTAACCAGTCATGTATGATCTCGTATCCCAACTACAAGTTCTACTGGCCTATCCGTGCATTGGGCTTGTACAGTAGGAAGTACGGCAACGACCCTTTGCAGTGAAGAGAAAAAAAAAGCTTTTGAGATGTTTTAGCATGCGCTCTACCCTTAGGTAGTCAATAATAATGCAGCTCTGTGCATCATATTCTCTTGGCTCGCATATGCTCCAGATACCACTGTGTAGACTCCAACATGTATCCTAGCTGGCAGAAGTGTGGAGGCGCACCAGCACGTATTCTCGAGTAGATTCTAGAGTGCAGGCCAAGTGATAAGGAGATATGAGGGAAGGAAAAGAAGTATCAACAGGAGGTTGGAGAGTCTTGGAAAGCTCCCCTAATCCTGGTGGTATGCCATGGATTTAGGTGTTTCTTCCCCTCGAAACTGGAATCGGGTGACCTTTTCTTTGGCTGGCTGGTTCTGGGGTGTATATACGACTCCGTCGTACTACCAGCATGCAATCATGCCGAGTAAACCACTACTTGCTCTTCATTCGAGGAGTGGATTTTGCTAGCAAGAATCCCTTGCAAAATTGTATACTATAATGATTCTAGCTTACCAAGTAGATGAAAGACATACACTTTGGAGTCTGGAGTCGCTAAGTTGTTCGGTTAGTTCGCATGCATCTCGTCGGGAGGCGGTAGGGTAGGATCGCTCACCTTTTCGCCCTACAGACTTCGACCTCAAGTTCATCTCTCCTCTCCATTCGATATCCAATGGATCTTTATACGCCATCACCACAAAATCTGGTGGAAGAGTATATTCACAATACCTTCGAAGGCCTCAATCAACAATTGGCTCTTCCGGCGTCGCAGGCCCAGCCCTCGGTCACTTTACGAAGTCGAGTATGTCCCGGAACATACATCGTCAATCACCAGAATGGGTCACTCGAAGCTTCTCGGTCGACCGAACTGACTCGTACTTACTCCTGGCCGGGCAAAACTGCTTTTGAAGCGTGGAGATTCAGTATGGAGGACCCTATTTACAGTTCCGAGATAAGAGCTGTCGGCAACCACTGACAAGAGCCTAGCTGTTATAATTCGTGTGCTTGCAATTATCGAGCAAGCTATCAAGGACAGAAAAACAGTGACGAAAAGGTCAGTGATTTTGTACCTTGGCTCGGAAGAATGGGCTGACGAACGTGAACCTGGCAGAGATATTTATTATATCGATCCAGCATACTTCAAATCCCAAGTTATAATTAACAATATCATTGAAGATCTTGCATACACCATCGGGGTCAACCGGGCTGCATTGAACGTGGTAAGTCTCTACCGAACTACTGGGAAGTATTTGTTCATCTAATGCGTATCCTAGGAGGCAGCAGGCAAAGGACTGGTAGCGGGCCCAGTTGTCTTAAAACGTGAAGGCCAGGTTATACTAGACGCTCGCTCCTCCCAGGTAAGCTCAGACCTCGGAGGATATCACTGAGAAGACTAAGCAGTTTAGGACTCTTTAATCCCCCGTATCTACGAGGAAGACGAAATCGATATCTTCGTTGCTCGCTGGGTGCTTATTGTGGAGAAGGAAGTATGGCGTCTCCACCTCTCAAATGCCGGAAACTGCTAATGGATCACTCTAGGCGGTCTTCCATCGACTTGTGAGAAACAATTATCACACAACAGCCCTCGCCGGAGAAGGAATCATCGTCACAGTTCGTACTAGTAGAGGAAGCTATTGTCAAGGCCAATCACTGATAAGTGTTATACTATAGGGGAAAGGCTATCCCGATATCTTCACTCGCGCGTTCCTTCGTCGACTGCTAGAGCATGCAGCACGAGTACGAGGACGGACACCGCCGTTCTACGCATTGGTGGATGGAGACCCAGACGGCCTCGCCATCATGTCGATATTCAAATACGGCTCCGCAGCTCATGCGCATGACAATTATATGTATACTATCCCCACCCTCCAGTGCCTGGGTCTTCGGGTATCCGAAACCGTACCAAGGGTTATGAATTATGCAAACAAAGCATCTTCACCTCTGTCGATGCGGGATCGCCAAAAGGTCATCTCAATGCTGCGAAATAACCCCGCGTGGGCGAGCAACGGACCCGAAACTGAGAGTCGAGTCGAACTCCAGAGGATGTTGATGCTAAACATTAAAGCTGAAATCGAGATGCTTTACGATCAAAATGGCGGTTTAGAAGGGTGGATTGACCGGAAAATGTTTCGGCAAGAGTGATCGTTGGAAACCGAGAATGCCTCTTCAAGTTTATGCGTCGGTATCACTGCTAGCAGAAGTAAAGGGGTATGTATCACAATATGTAGCATCGCATACCACTCTAGGTACTATGTAACATTGATATCGTATTAGGGTATATCAATGAGATTCATTTTCTATCAGGAACCACTTCATTTTTGCTGTGGCTCATAAACACACAAAGCTTAAAGGGCCCAAAATGGGCCATGCAAAAAGGAAAACCCAACGGACGCCCATTTATCGCAACTTGCTCCCTCAAAGACACATATCGCATTCGTCTAGAGACCCAATCCCTTGCGCACCTCGTCCCGAACCTTCTGCTCATACTCAGATCTGCGCTCACGCCACATTTTAGCTGCCTCGACATTGGCAGGGCTCTCGTCATTCGGCTCAGCAAGCATGCTCATCACTGAGATCAGGATCTTCTCCACGCTCTGGATAGGCGACCAGCGTTCCGAGGCATGTTCATAGTGATTCGGGTCGTCACCTGGTGGGTGAAGGATAGAAATGCAGACAGTGCCATTGGGATAGACTGATGGAAAGGCAGGTATTAGAATTGAGGGGGATCACAGAGGGCCACTTGCTAGGTGAGGACTTACCGTTCGGGTGCCACACCCCGCCGCCAACAAATTTCATAGTCGGGGGGCTCAGAGGATAGTCCTTGGGGGAACTTGAGCTCCGCAGCAAAGACACCGCCTTCAAAGGGGGTACCTCCAGGACCTTCAATCAAGGCTTCCCAGTAGAACATGTCATCTTCGGAGACGGGGCCCGCTGTGATCCCCTCTGGGGGGTTTGTGGAGAGGTTCTTGTATTCATGGAAGAGACGCTTCTGTGCGACAGAAGAGCCCATGTTGACTGCCTGGCAGGTTCGATTGGCGGAGGGAGATATGAAACCGGTGGGATTGACCCTGGTGGGGGGGTAGGGTTGGAGTGATCGGAGTGATCCGAATGTCCTAGGCGGTCAGGGCTGAAATACTTAGTTGAATGTGAATGGACTCGAAGCTCAAGGCGCAAGTCAAATCGATATCCGAAGGGGCCAGCCGGAACTAAGAATGAGCAGAAGAGGGAAAGAGAAGAAAGTGTGCCACCGGTGATCAAGTTCACGGGGAGCAGCGTCATTGTCGGGTCGCCCCGCAGCGATCTGGCCAATCGAAACTCTAATGTCTCTCGTCTGATCTATACTGCTCAACACTTACTTCTTGCTAGATGTACTGGCCCAGCATCCATCAGAAAGTTCTGCAGAGTGGAATAGTTTTACAGTTGGTAGTCTATCTCAGGTATCATATTCTACAGAAATCAGAACCAGCCAAAGCCATCACCGTCACCGCCGTCACCATCTTCCCCATCACCGCCCCATGGATCCTCACGGCCCCAGAAGTCATCCTGTTCCTGCTCAGGCCATTTATCTTCATAGAAGTCAGGTGGCTGCTGCCCGTGAGGAGGCATTGACTGCTCAGGTGGGATATCTTGGGGACTTTGCTGGCCCGACATACCCCGTTGCATGGCTTCATACCCAGCCATAGCGCCGGCGCCGGCCACTCCTGCACCGACACCTTCAGCGATGCCCCCAGAAGCAGTGCCTACATTACCAATGGCTCCGCCAGCGGTCCCAGTAATAGCTCCTGCCTCGCCGGCAGCGGCACCTCCCCGCAGCAGCGCCTCCAGCAGCCTCTCCAGCAACAGCGCCTCCAGCAGCCTCTCCGGCTGTGGCTCCGCCGCCCATACCTGGGAACCACATGGGCATGAAGCCGAACTCTCCTGAGCCACTGTGCCGGCTGAAGTAGTCGAAGTCGATGCTAACAGCCGTAGCTAGCATCACAGCTCGTTGATCCAATGTCATTCCAGTGGGGGTGCTTTCATTACGATGAGCCTCGGTACCAAGTCCAGCCGAGTCCATGCGCAATGCATAGACACCGGTGTCTGTGAAAAGCTCCCGAGCAAATCCCACAAAGTTTCGATTCACGGAGCCGATTAGGCGGTTGTCGGCCGAAAGAAGCGAAAAGTCCCAAGAGAGGAAAGGTTCATTTACATATGCGAATTGATTGAATACGCCTTGCCCTCCTGGAGAAACTTGCGTTAATTGTGTTTGCTGATCTTTAGAAAGTCCCGAATCTGCTAGAGCGAAATTTTGAGTACCCATGTCCAACGCTGGATTTGGCGACTGGTGATAGGTGAAAAGGTTGTACTTGCGGCGTAGCGGCGCCCATTGCTGCTGCGCCTCACCGATAACACGCATTTGGTCGAACCCTAAAGGTGAAACACGAGTGTTGGATGTATCTCCAGTCAGTACCAGAGACCCGGTGGGGGTGTGTTGGAGACCAGTCGAGGAATTATAAGCGGTAGAGTGGTCCAACGGGTCGTACACTTTGATCCGAGAATTGATCCAAGAGAATGGCCGGTGGAACTAGAAAAATCAATGTATGAGAAAGAACTCAGCGTTTCAAGGATGGGGAAGGCTAAGAACTTACGCGCAGTACTTCATTTTCATGGCGGTCGAACACATGAGTGACGAAGCTCCGGTGAGTATGAAACCATTGTCGTGCCATCATGCTACCCATGCCCTTCTCCTGTTCAGCAATATAACCAACGTGGTTGCCTTGTGCATCCATAATGACATATCGGTTGGCTTGTTCGAACCCACTACCGAGGCGAACCCATCAGTAACTATAGGACAAGAAGAAATAGATCCCACGTACATCAACACATTCATCATTTCGATCTGACGCTGAATCACGAGCCCTGAATTGGACAGAATGTTTGTTGCGGGGTGTGTTTCCTTGAGAACGCCATTTGGGTCTTCGGGGATGTAGACCGGAGAGAGGAGGGTGTTTTGCGCAGGGTCATAATTGATATTGGGAGTCTCTTGTTGGTCTGGGTTCACATTTTGCGGTTCTTGTGATGGTTCCGCTGCCCTTCTCGCTGACGGGATGCGCTCTGGACGAATGCTGCTGTGGCGAGAGTTGCGACTTCGAAGAGTTGAATAGGCGCGCCGGGCAGGGACATCGCGGAGCGGTGACAGCCGCAGCCTGAGTGCCCACATAGCTGAAGGGCCTTATTACCAAGCTCTCTGTCTGTACAGAATGGCTGTGGTGGGTGAGGTGGTGAGTAAAAGGCGGAGGACGGCGAGCTCTTCGATGACGGAGCATTGCCGCTTCGCGTCGCGGGGTTAACCGGAGCTATCAGGAACCGGTGCAGATCTCTACAACCCGACCAGGTCATTTGATTGCGGTACACTTCACACTTCTGGCACGTTCTATTTCTAAATAGAATAGTAAAGATTCTTTGTTTTTCTTTTCTTTTCTTTTCTTTTTTTTACCGAATGGCCCGATATGTTCGAGGAATTTCCAAGGCCCAGATTAATCATTAGCTATACGGTGTCAAATCCCTAGCCTGGCGATAGTGTTATTTAAGTCAGAATGATATAGTCGAATAATTCCTATTGATACGGACAGCGCGGGTTGCCATTGTATACTAGCACGCATACTTTGATCAAGATACTTGGATAGCTCCCAGATTCAATTGCCTATGCGTATCCTACTCGCAGAAGCTGCCACGGTCCATGCCGGGAGTACCAGAGTACCAGACCTGACAACAGCGCAAATCAAATACCATTTGATTCCTAGTATATATTCCGCCTCGAGGTACATGGACTGGTTTCGCCGGGTTTCATCTGGGTACCCGAATTTCAGAGCAATCCTTTCCTGGCCAGTTCAATCTTCCGGGCTGCCTCGCCAGCTTTGAAGCCACCTTTAGACACACAGATGGCGCTTCCCTCTCCTAGCTCAACTTTTTCTTCCACATCTGGGTGTGGGCAAGGGCAATGGTGTGGAAAATGGACACATGCGAGGGTTCCGGGGCAAAGGTAGTTACTGCATTGAGCTATCAAGTTGTCAACGTTAGCAAATTTGAACTTCACAATTAAAGAATAGTGGCGCGGGTGATTTCTCACTCACCTTGAGCCCACATATGCTGGTATCGTCCGCTATCACTTGGGGCATTTCCAGATCCGCCTTGGTGGCGTTGCTGTTGCTGGTTTCCTCCAAACATGTGGTCAAAGAAGTTGAATTGGGCCTGAGCGACAGTCACAAGCATACATAAAGCCCACAGGGCTTGCCCGAAGTATCGCACCATGTTCAGCAGGAGCAACCGCTACCAAAATGATTTCGTCCTGCGAAATAGAGGAAGATTGGCTGATAAGATAGTGCACGTCGCGTACCTCAATGAAGCCAGTTTACTTGTCCGGTCTCAGTCACGTGACGCCAAGGGGGAACTCCAGTTTTTTTCCCGGACTTTCAGAGAAGCTGAGATTACCGTCAGTCTTGAAGTCCGCCCAAATCAACAATGCTTCCGCCCAGGTTTCTAGCGCCCTTCCGGGCGTTAGAACGGGTGTTCGCTCCTCATTACGGTCTACTCCGGCCCTGTATCAACCACAATCCCTCATTCAACGCACCCTCTCCGCAAACCTCGGTCTCCCGAAACCTACACCCTCTCTTTCTCATCGGCTTCTCCCCTTCTCACAGGTGCGATACGCCTCGCACGCGTCCCAAGGAACAGCCAATCGACACTCCCGCGACCCAGCAGGCAAGCGCCTTGGCGCGAAGCGCACGAACGGCGAGTACGTGGTGCCGGGATGCATCATCTTCCGACAGCGCGGCTCAAAATGGTTCCCCGGCGACAACTGCGCCATGGGCCGTGACCACACCATCTACGCCACCCAGGCCGGGTATGTGCGGTACTACCTAGACCCCGCCCGGCACCCGGATCGCAAATTTATCGGCATTGTGTTCGAGAAGGAAGGGAGACTGCCGCATCCTCGGAATGCGCCCACCCGCCGCAAGCTGAACATGGTTTCTGTTCCCCGGGTTGAGCCTGTGGCCTTTCAGTCTGATATGGTTGCTTCGATTAATGAGAATGGGACCCAGGTGGGCAGCGTTCCGGCTGCTGATGCTGCTACTGGGCCCCAGCTTCGCCCCGGCTATATGTACCGGGAGGCCAATTGGGTCATTGGTCGTGCGGCTGAGAAGGCTGGGATTACGGCTAAGTCCTACGATCGCGGAAACCGGTGGCTTGCCTGGAGAAAGAGACAGGCTCGTATCGAGCGGGCTGCTCAGATGAAGAGCTTGAAGGGCAAGAAGAAGAAATAGAGGTGCATCAGTTTTTTGCCCCCGGGATTGGGGGGCTTTGTAGCGATACGAGAATTCCTCAATGGCGTTTTTATGTACAATAGAAAGTGTCACATTCCTAAATATCATCTCCGTGTGTACAACTTGAAGCATTGCATGTCCTTAGGTCGATCGAAAGTAACTGTTCCGGATTGGTTCTCGAATAGCCTAAACATGGGATCGAAGTTCTGGCACACATGAAAAGTCTAGGTGAGCCTTAGCTATTCCTTGGCCGGCATTGCCGAAGAGAAGCAGAAAAGGGAAAGGGGAGTGCAGCAGACGGAGTTCATCGCTCTTCTAATCACTTGCATAGCTTTTAAGGTTCCTCCTTTTGGATCCTACAACAGCCTTTACACCCAGTTCTAGAAAGTGACATCAAGATCTAGCAAAATCCACCAGGATCAACTTTCGTGACTTTTCCGGCAGATACTAGCAAAAAAAATCTTTGCTGGCTCAGGATTTTCTCTTCTTACAACCACTCGACCTTCATAGCTTTAATTAGGTGTAGCTTGACCATACCAGTTCCACCCATCTCCGGCAAAATTCACCAGGGTCGACTTTCGTGACTTTTCCGCGAGATACTAGCAAAAAGAATTTACTGGTTCTGTATTTTCTCTTCTTACACCTATTGGACCTTTATGGCGTCGTTTGCTGTATCGTTAAAGCCCTGTTCATAGAATGTGGCACCAAGATCTAGCAAAATCCACCAGGATCAACTTTCACGACTTTTCCGCCAGATACTAGCAGAAAAAATTTGCTGGGTCCGTATTTTCTCTTCTTGCAACTACTCGACCTTCATGGCGTTGTTTGCTGCAACATTAACGTCCCAGTCGTAGAAAGTGACACCCATCTCTAGCAAAATCCACCACGATCAACTTTTTGTGGTTTCTCCGCTATATATTGGCAAGAAAACCTTTGCTGCCTTTCTTTTCTCACGGAAATTCTCCTAAGAGTGGAGCTGCTTCGATGGCAAATCTGAATGAGAGCGGCCATTCGGAATCAACAGGCTTTCGAGTAGGCGTACGTTTCGAACGGAAGTGGATATGGATGTCCAATACCCGTGATTATGCCATCGATGGAAACACCCTGCCTCGGCTACGAGTAAAGTTTATAAGGTAGAAATAGCGTGCCTCGAGATAAGACAAGAAAGGTAGGAAGCTTTGGTCGCGTGGCAGTTGAACAAATTGAGGGGTCAGTTGGCCGGCAAGGGTATGAAGGACAGGGACCAATTTTTAAGCCATGCAGCCGGGGCAGTAGTATATCGATCAGGGAAGCTATTTGGGGCAAAAGGGCCCGATGTTGTGCAGAGCAGACCCTCTTCAGACAGCCCCTTCCAGCCCCTTTTCGATAATCTTACAGTCGGCAAACGGTCCCCCAAAGGTCGAACGCCGGTGATTCGGCGAGGCGATTCGGTTCTCATCATGAAACAGCGGTTGGAAACACTGCTCGACGTTGGGTGCCGGAGAAGACAGTGGAGCAACGACGATCACCTAACCTATCGATTGCAGTGCAGCTATGAAGAAAATGTCTTATCGTCATCAACGGTGATCAGCGAATATGTTCTTGTCTGGCCAGAAATCTAAGAGGATTGTTGATCAGTATGTGGTTGAAACTATCGCCATCATACGGCACGCATTTCCGCCACATCAGTTCGCGGACGATGAACGCACAAGAGACAACCAGCCACCATCCATGGCCCTGGCCAAGTATTCCGTTCAGCCGTTCTAGTGAGCAAGCACTGCTGCACTGCTGAAACATTCCAAGGTTCTGCTGGGAGGGGGAAAAGGGGGTTGTCGTGAGAGATTTCGCAGACTAATGTTTCATACTGGGCCGAAAGGGGAAACACTCTGCACGTTGAGAGCACTGCGATCTGTAAATCTTGATCTGGACCTGCGAGGCTCTAGAATCGCCCCCGAAATTAGAAAAAGTATCCCTATTGCTCCGTACCCCGTACAGGACCCGCCGTTTCGTCTTAGCGCACCTCGGTGGTTTATTTTGATCGCCGTGGAGCGCACGAGTCAAACGCTGCTAGCGAGGCTCTCCACTCTCGAGAGAGGATGGAGCCGGCCTTGGATAATGTAAGGTGACCTGTTTAGAGCTATTTTAATCGGAAGGTGTTCCCGCTTCAGTTGAGTTTGAAATATTTTCTTGACGGGCGACCAGTGGGATTCAATCAGATATCGGCTAGGGATTCCGGGGGTTGAGGTTTCAAGCGGTACAGCTGGCCACCATGTTCAAGACAGCGATGCCCTTCGAGGGTCTGGCTGTAGCAGTCTTTGTTGTATGTATCTTCATGGCCGGCTTATCGATCATTGCTGTGCTATTGAGGTGCTTTGTGAGGCTGGGCCTCGTTCGTGGTGCATTCGGCTGGGACGATGCACTAATGATTGTCGGGTTGGTGAGTCTTTCGTCTGTGAACGCCTGTTAGGCTGCCAATTTGCTGACTCGAATTCTGATTTAGGTTTTGTTCATTGGTCTCAACTCATGCTGCGCATTTGCAGCCACAGAGGGCGTGGGGCATCATGTCACCGAGTTTCCGAACCCGGATATCTACAAAGAGACTCTTTGGGTATGTCGCAGCAGCAAAGCTAGATCAAGCAATAGTTCCCTAATGGCCGAACACAGAAATGGTGGCTCGGACAGCAACTCTATCTATGGTCCTCCGCCGTCGTCAAGATCTCAATCGCATTCGCCCTGCTGCGACTAGCGGTGAAACAGTGGCATCGCGTTATTCTTTGGTCTATTGTGAGCACTGTGATAGTTATCGGCCTGTTCTTTTGGCTCGTCCTTCTCTTTGACTGCAACCCTGTCCAGTATTTCTGGAACAGACTGGACCCGAATTATCAAGGAAGTTGTCTATCTACAAAAATCCTGTTGGATGTTGCCTACACCTACAGCTCGGTCACGATCCTCTGCGACTTCACCCTGGGGGGCTTGCCAATCCTTATGGTTTGGTCGTTGCAAATGACCTACCATACAAAGATTGCCGTTGGAACAATCTTGGGTCTCAGGCGCCATGTAGGTCCTGCCCTGACCGAGGCTTATCTCATAGCATCCACTGACTGCTAGTAGCGCAAGTGTGGCCGTCGTGATCCGGATGCCTTTTCTGCACCACTACGAGGACGCCGATTTCCTTTGTAAGTCATTGGCCACCAAGACTCGATCTAATATTCGAAAGGAGTGCTCATTTCATGCCTCATAGATTCAACCACCCAGATCATCATCTGGTCAGTCATCGAAACCGGACTCGGGATCATCGCCGGCAGCCTCATCACCCTTCGCCCACTAATCCGCTGGTGCACCGACGGCCGAGTAGGCCAGCCTGTCTCCGAGAACAAGAAAGCCAAGCTCAGTGATCCAGCCTCCTCTCTGCCCCTCACCAGCCCGGAGAGCTACCCGCTTCCATCCTCCCAGCCAGACCATATATGGGCTTGCCCCAACTGCTACTACCCACTCGCAGCGCGAATCTCGCCCCAGTCCATCTCAATCTGGCCATCGAAAACGCCTGTGCATACACCCCCACCAAACCAAATCTTGAACCCGAGCCAAAGCTTGGAAGAGTTGAACCCCTTGGGCTACGACGGCCGTGACGTTCCTTTCACCCATAACAGAACCAGTCCGCTCTCCATAGTCTCGTCCAGACTCTCCTCTGTATTCAGGGGGACACCATATCGTTGACAACTAATCTCTTTTGTTCGGGCCCGGGAAGAGAGTACAAGGCCTATAGCTCCTTTCGGCTCTACATCACCGAGGTTGATCCTCTGTATTAATATGGTAACAAGGCCCCAGGCGGGCATACGGTATAGCATAATACAACTGGAATATATCAAACCTTAGCTTGGAAAGCATTATAGCATGGCGATTTTGTAAATCGATCAATGAGATTGGTATCAAGCTAAATGAATCAAATAACTAAAGAAGCTTCAGGATCAGTCAAACACAAGCCGGCCAAGAATCAGACTCTGGCACACAAATTCGTTCCCAACAACTCTTGCCGGAGGCGCCACCGGTGTGACTTCCTCCGAATTCAACGGAAACAATGCTGATGACTTCTTGCGCTTCCTCCCCGCCTTTCCATGCGACAGGCTGATCCGCTGGGTCTTAGACCGAGGCGTCAACATCACCTGCGCAGCAGGCTGATCTGCGTCATCAACATAGATTAGATCCCAGGGGCAGGGCAGAGAAGTCTCAGACTGCGATTCGACCAACGCGCGGGCGGTCTCGAGATCGGGCACGCGTTCCACGCGTGACGCTCCGAGGGCGTAAGTGAGAAAAATATATGCCTTGCGCTTTTCTTCCGCCTTTCCTCGGCCCGTAACGATCAGCACGGACTGGCCATCTAGGAGCTTGGACCTGGAGGCGATGGTGTTGGGCAGGAGAGCGTCGACGGGGGAAGAGATGTTCATGACGCGGGACTTCGTGGCACCGTTGAGGTACATCGAGTCTCCTGCCGGGAGAAGATAGATGTCCCATTCGAGGATTTGGCCTTTGGCCACACAGTCTTCGACCCAACGGCCGCTCAGACAAGGGAGACCGAGGGCGAGAGCTTGCATATACTTCTCGCGGCGGGAATGGGAGTCGGCTATCAGACATGAGAATCCGATGTTTTCAGCGAGGGAGGTTAGTTGAAGACCAGTGGGTCTGTCGTTGCTTGTGGAATTCCCTTTCGTTGGTGTGTTGGACGGGAAGATAGACGAGGGTTCAAATAGCTCGGTAAAACCGTCGTGCAAAATCGATCCACCGTTGTCGGTAATCAACTTCGTGATGCGATTCTTGGCGCGTTCATCTTCCTTGTAAGATATTGCAAATGCCATGTTTGTGAATAGTCCACCAGCGGACTGTACTGCGCGAGAGAATCTGACGCTAGGAGAAGCCGGAAGAGAGGACTTTTCGGACGGCGAGTGGACGGAGCTCTCTTTTGGATTCATCTCCGGCTGGAATGTGAAGGCATTGTCTTTCAGCTGATTCCACAGAATAGAGTCCAGATAAATACGAGAAATGGGAACTGTGATCACATTCTCACTAGAGTTGAGGCCGCCGTTCGGAAGGCTTTTGCGTTGCTTTGGCCCAAGGATGAGGCTTTTGTGGCCATAAACATCTGTTTGAGGGTAAAAACCAGACTCTGCAGCTTGAGCCAGTTCTTCTCTCGTAACTTTGTCGGCAAAGCCACGCACGATATGGGTGACCTTGGGCACACCCCGCATATCAACTTTGACTGCGTCTCCGACGCGGAACTCGAGTCGCTTCACCATTCCTTTCACTACATCAACAGGAAGGCTATCTTCGAACTTGACAGAATATTTGTCTTGCGACACACCAATAGGTGTACCGAAGCAGGTGGCTGGGTAGTACGCTCGCTTTTGACCCATCCATATTGCAAGTACTTGCCTGGGGGCAATTTGGGCGCTGTCAGAAGTGATCCGGACACGGCTAGGGGTCGTAGGAGGACTGCTGCCAACGTGGCTTCCAAATGGCAGAATACTATCAGAGGGTGGTAGATCATCGGAGTTGATATCTGTGCCCTCTGAAGCTTGCGTGGTCTGAGGTTCAGGCTCAGGCTCGGGTTTGGGTTCGGGTTCGGGTTCAGGTTCATGCTCGGTCTCAGGCTCAGGCCTTGTTTCCGATTGAGAAATCTGAGACGGAGGGCGTTGAGCTCGAGGTTCGGAGTTATCCATAGCGACCAGTTGCGTGGGAGCCCGGGTTTTTACATCTGTCTTTTGCAGAGGGGCACGATGTTCTTCCAGTCGATGCCGCTCCGATTGACGGGAGTTATTCATTGTGCGATGTCTTGACTTTCGTCGTGGGATTGGCTGTTGTGGGGAGCTTCCAACATCCCAAACATTATCGTCACGCCGAGACACATTTGCTTGCTTGCGAACTGTCGTAGCGGGGACTTGAGATATTGGAGAAGGTGCATTCTGCGACAAAGGATTCTCATGGATTGGTGCAACCGTCTTTGGAGGGCGAGGCGTGGCAAAATCGAGATCTGAAGTATGGAGGCTCTGCCCTAAATTGCCTCTTCGCCTCTTTCGAGGTCGAGTCGGAGATCCATCAATGACGAGCGAGTTGAACTCTTCATCATCGGCCGTCAAAAATTCCATGTTGATGTCAGTCATTTTGAAATCTCCGATTGGGGAACATTCAGAGGCAATCTCAGTAAGCCGCCGGCGCTGTCTGCCACTTGGGCTAGACAGTACTTGCGGCACTGCTTGAGACTGTAGAACTTTGAGAGGAGAAGAAAGTGCACGGTTTTGGGAAGGCCGGATTTGACTGAATCGCTGCGAGCCTCTTGGAAACATCGGAGGAAGATCGTCGTCCTCATTCTCGTTGGCACCCGGGTTGGACTCCATATCAAATTCATTATTATGGGTCTTGCTCGGGCTGGTTTCGGGAATCCTCGTCAGCCGAGCCAGATCATGGACTGCTGGACGCAGGTGTACAGGAGTTTCTGTAATGCGAGAAGGCAGTGATGATGGTTTATCCCCTGCCCCGCTCTGGGCTTTGTAGGGCTGCGATCCTGATTTGGCTTGGTTTGAATATTGATTGAACTGGACAAGTCTATTCTCCTTGAACGATGTATCGTTAGGTTGACCTTGCTCTTTGCGGATTGCTGAGCCTGGCATTGGAGTCAATGGGCTAGGAATAGGCCGGGGAATCGGCGGCGATGATTGTTCACGATATCTGACTGGCGGAGGAGTTCGTGCTTCATCAGAACTGCGCGAACCATGGGCTACCTCGAGCACTGTGTCGAGCTTAGTTTCATTGCTTCGCTTTGGCGATGGCTGTTGGGATTGTTGCGAGTCCATGACCATTATCTGTGAGGAACGACTAGGGTAGTGGTGACCTTCTTCATGCATGTCTGCTGCATCGTGATGGGATTCGTTCGCACCCTCCACGCTCTCCTCAACTCGAGATGATGAAGTGCCCCCCATAGCAAGGACTTGGGATAATCGTTCATGAGCACTACTCGTACCAACAACAGCGTCAAGTGGGCCCGCATAGTTTTCTTTGTCTTCTTCCGAGGATGGTGGGACCTCCTGGGACTGAGGTACCTGCGGCGCTGGTTCTCCTCCTGTTCGGTCTCTTCTTCACTTCCAGGGGGGGTCAAGTAATTCCACGTCGGTGTTGTCATGCAAAGATCCTAGTGAAGTAGTTCGGGCATGAGATGTGGACGAAGGCGCGTTCAGGGCAGCAAACTGAGCTGTTGTGTCTTGGTCTATCTCCCGCTGACGACGGGCATTTTCAACAAAACTCGATTCCTTATCAAATTCCAGATCTAGAGGATCCGATACATGATCAGCCGACCGAGTCAGGCGCTCACCCAGTGTCCGATCCCGTCGGCTTTGCGATTCCTGCATAGAGATATAATTCATGTTCGGCTCCGAAGATTCACGTGCAAACTGCACCAATGGCGACGATACATTTTTGATTAAGCGAGTATGTTGCATAGGTATGTCGGGTGATGGACGATCCGACATAAGCTCTGGTTGTGGCAGGTTTACCAGAGGCGATGACGGAGCCTGTGTTGCCTTGAAGAGTTGGCTCAGGCCCATGAAACCACCACTTGACTCAACCTCTCCCGCCAAAGGGTTCCGTGAGAAGCTTGGTGTTCTGGCAGTACTGGGGGGTTGGGGGCTTCTTCATCACGGTGCCGGGCGTTTGCGCCATGAATCGCTGCGATTCTGGAAACAATTCGGGTTGGAATGCCATCGGGGAGGATTCGCTCTGGTCGTAGTTGCTTTCTTCATCAGGTGCTAAGCTTCCATTCTCTTCGTGATGATTACTCTCGAAGCCGGCAAGGAGATCGATATGCCCACTATCCCCTTCATGTAATGTCATGAGGGTTGCCGCGTCTGCACCATTTTGTGAAGCGCCTCCAAATGCAGATACATTCTGGCGGATAATACTGTCATATACCGATTGCGAGACCGGTTGGGTGTCACTAGGAAGAGCCTCGGCGGAGCCCATTGGGCCCGCTTGTGGTCCAGACATTAAGTTCGTCTCGTTGACTTCCTTTAAATTGGTGTGGGGGTTTGACGATTTCTCTGCATAGTGCTGGGCGGAGGAGTGGAGCGTTCTGGGGACGCTGGGAGGAGTCGGTAGCGACGGAGAGGAAGGTTCTAGGCCGGAGGGCGAAGCATACGGAAATGCTGCAGGGCGGTGGTCAGTTTCGAGGTGGGAGATGCCAGTCACTGGCTCGGGAACAATTGGCAGCGTTGGGTCGTGCTCCTGAAGATGTCAAAAATTAGTCCAATGAGAACCTGCGACGCTGCAGGCCATTACATACTAGTCCCAACGCGACGCGTTGCAGCGCGGCAATGTCGATACTGTCTTGGGTTTCCGTCCACTCCATCGTCTCCAATATCGACCAATTGCGAGAGAGTACTGCCCAATCTGAGGCTTTGATCTACGCTCCAGCATAGTTATCATCCCTTCTGGGCGAGTCCTGCTCAACGTAGACGTCCCGCGCAAAAACGCATGTTAGGAAGCGGACGCGAAACGCGTGACACACGTGACTGGCCCCAAAGTAATATTACCTCTTTCAGCCTGGGACGCTAAATGTGTATTACCAGTATATTCAGGGAAGGCTACAATTGATCGAACTGTTTGAAATGTTGCACATATTCAATATCGTGAAATTCGTAACAAGTTACAGGGTATCTGAAGCCCATCGTATCTTACAGCTCTTTAAACAATGCAGTAGGGATCTCGAGCCGGCTCTAATCACGACTTCGATTGGCAATCCATCGTCGGAGAAGAAATTCTCGCACTCGGTAGCGACCGAGCATAGCACCAACATCATCGTAAGAAGACGATGGGGGCGGGACTTCCACATAACAGATGACCAGAGTCTTCTTGACACTGGCTTGGACACGATTCACGCAGTGCAGCCACCACCAACTCCGATCTTGCTTCCGAGCTACATATTCCTTGCGCTCCTGTGTCTCAGACCAGTAGGGATGCTCATAGGCGGGTACGATGATGACCGCAAACTCTGCATGCGAGAACACTGGACCCCTGTTGTAGAGAAGGTAGTCCGTGCCGAATTTCACACCGGAGCGGACAACCCATCCAAGGAACGGAAGTGGTGATAGACGACATAGGAGGTCAGGAAAGGGTCGTCTGGTTGGATGTCATATGACAACTCTCGTGGAGGAGAATAGGAGTGGTGACAGAGCAGGGGAATGAGAGAGGATAACGGGATCGCAACATTATTCATGTCAACGAGCTGTAATGCACCAAGACCATATACCAAGAACAGAGCCTCTTCTTTGGAAAGTTCCAAGTGCTCCTCATTCTCAGGTTCCAATTCCAACTCTAGCTCGAGATCTTCATCATCGACTTCGGTGGAAAACCTCCTCGCACGCACGACGGGAGAGAACCTAACCGTCTTACCATTTGAACGCACAGCTTCAACTTGGCCTTGCAAAGGGACAGAATTGCCATTGGCAGTTCCATTCGTTTCGGCTTCGGCTGTCCGCTGCCGTAGAAGCTCCTGGTATTTGGCATCCATGGCCCTCTTCACTGAAAACTTTTCCATAGTGACCGTCAATGACTCGGATGATTCCAAAGGAGTGCCGGCTTCCCTGGCGGCGGTTTCAGCCTTGGTGCGCTCTTTGATGATTAAATCATCTATACGAGCTCTCTCTAGCTTCAGTTCGCGGCGCTCAGCTCTGCGTTTCCGTGTAGCCTCTTCGCTGGTATCGCCGCCTAGCTGGCCTCGTCGGGCCTTCTCCCGGACTAACCAACTCGGTTCACTTCGACTCAAACTGCCCTTGCCGAAGAAACCCATCTCCCATAGCGCCCGGATTGCTCTCTCATCTGTTACGTGGATGGCTGAGACGGCAGGGTCGAAGTAGGCATTGTAGACTTCTTGACGTGGTGGAGAAAACAGGAAGGTAAGATACGAGAGAGCAACGCTAATGAGAGAAATGGGATTATGAGGAATTACGGAAGGAACAGAGTGGGTTTGGACTGGGAGAGGGAAGCGATGAATTTGTCTGTAGTTGGGCCTTTGAGGACGAGGACGAGGCTGGCCAGCGACTGCAGGAACACCAAGAGCCAGAGCTGGCTTGTCGGTCATCGTGACAGGGTTTTACAAATGGTACTGAGATTCTGGCGAGAAGTCAGGTCAGTCAAATTGTCTTTCAAATTTTCGGTGAAGAAAAATTAAGACAAGACGGTTTTCTCAGATACCGTTGTAGTCATTTAAGCAAGTCATCGACAAAGGCTAGAAATCAAAGTGCCAATTGCCTGGGCTTAAAAGTTGGGTCATCATCGAAGAGATGGTGGTGGGCAGAAGTGCAAAAGATAGCTATGAAAGCTTGAACAGTGACTCACCTTCCCTCTCTGAGGCCCTCAATTGTTGGTGTGGCGGGCCAGAACATGCAAGAACTCTCTCATAGCAAATGAATAGTGCTGCCTAACGCCTAAGCATATCTAGAGTAAGTTCTGGTGCATCATTTTCACCATGTGCGGTTTGCAATGTTGGAGTAAAATCTTGCCGGGCGCGGGCGGTTTTTATCTGCGTTGGTGACTAAGCATCTTTTCGGCAAAAAAAAATTCCTCGAGCCTCCGCCAAGTCAAGATCTCCAGTTGACCAGCCAATTCCACTTGCGACGAAACACCTTTCGACGAAACATCACTCAAGTAAGTTGATACCTGCTCTAGCATTTCCATTCCCTGTATGGCCTTGAGACTTTGCAGAGCTGACCTATTGATAGAATGCATCTTATGGTATGTGGGACGTGTCCGCTATCTTGAAGGCTTCAAGACCAGCAAATATGTGATCCATGAAACTAACCGGCAAATCAGTACACTATTGGTCCTGACGGCAAGCGCGTCTACACCTTGAAGAAGGTATGTTCCCGGTACTCTTGGCATTTGTATTGGCGCAATGCTAACTTCATCGGCAGGTTGTTGGCGACAAGGTCTCCAAGTCGGCGTAAGCAACCAGATCCCGGACGAGGACAATTCACAATTACTGACACGCAGAAGCCACCCTGCCCGCTTCTCCCCCGATGACAAGTACTCTCGGTATGTACAAATAGGTGTCTTTACAAGTACAGCTACGCGGGCGTGGAGCTAACAATATTTTCAGTCACCGTGTGACCCTCAAGAAGCGCTACGGTCTCCTCATGAACCAGACCCAGAAATCCTCCTGTACGAATTGATGCCCCCGCATTCGCTCCAACGAAGATCTGACGCTTACTCCTGCAGAAATCATGACGGTTTTGGAGGAGATTCAATTGCAAAAATGGGATTGAGCGATAAGGGCTGGTGGCCCATATCCATGGCGCTTGGTGTTCATGTCCAGTCGGCGAAGGACTGTTCTCGCATTTCTTGATTTTTACGTTCATATTTCTACTAGCCAGAGATTGAGATGGTGGAACCTCAACCCTTCAACTCACTACCAATACCGTACATATTTCTTGATATATGGATGGACTGGCTCATAATTTTGCCTATAGACAGGTCCATGACTTGTAAGAAAGGACCGCCTTCGTAAATAACCCTACCATCTATTCCGCGGAACAGCAAAGACTTTTGTGATATAAGAACCCAAACGCCGCTCGATATGATCATAATGCATTGGGAAGCGCCATCTAACGCTTCCTCGAGTTCACATTTCGGCCAGCGCCAACCTTCACACGACCGCCCATTCTGTTGCGCTCGCCGGTCAGGATACCAGGGAGGTAGTCTTGATCCATGAGATCGCGCTCGCGGCGCTGCCGGCGCTCTTCTTCTGCAGTGGATCGGGTGTACTCTTTCTGGTCCTCGGAAAGAATGAGCTCTGTTCCCCATCCGCCTTTACCGCCGCCGCCTTGCCATTTTCCGTTGGAACTGCCGTGCACTGGCTTGGGGACACTGTAGACGTTGCCTCGGTTGTTCCATTGCATGTTCTTCTTGAGATGCATAGTGAACTGGCCGTTGGCTGTAGTCGTGCAGGAGACACGCGTGAGGGTGTCTTTGCCGCAGCGAGGGCAGAATTGCTTGCTCATGTCCTTAGTGGTGAGAAAACAAGCATGGCAACGCTTGATGAACGACTTCAGGTGCTGGATACGCTGCAATGTTGAAGTCGATAGAAGATTGAGGTTCATTTGAAGGAGAACGTTTTGACACTAAAGATCGTTAGCGATTGGTTCAAAAGAACGGCTTGGAGATAGATATGACCTACAGCAAAATCAGTAGTCATGGTTGCAACCTGCATCGTCTTCGGCTCTGATGCACCTGCTCCGGCAGCGTTCGCGTCATCGCGGGCCAGTTTTTTCTTGTAGTTGGAAGGAGTGATCCATTCACCCCCATCGGAATCGGCTGCATCATCCTCCTGTGATTCTTCTTGGGTGCCATCTTCTGGAGTAGCCTTGGCCGAAGGTTCTTCGGTTGTTGACTTAGTCTGCACTCCAGGTGTGGCTTCAGCTTCAGTATCATCGGCAATGGTTGTGTCCTTTACACCTTCTGTGATAGACTCAACGCCGTTTGACTCTGCAGTTTCATCCTGTTGGGCATCCTGAGGCTTCTGCTCCTCTTTCACAGGTGGTCTTCCGTTGACTCGCTTCTGACCAGGAACACTACGCAGCCGCCAGTCACCTAGGTTACGCTCGCACTCAATCTCATAGGCCAGCGCTAGGACCTCGATATCGGTTCGACTCAGAACGGATCGGTCACCAGTCTTACGAGCGAATTCGCTCATAGTATTGACACTGGTTGGGTTTGGTGATCGCTGCTTAACAAAGGGCATGTACATGGTTTCGACACGCAGGCGAGCATTGGGGTCCCGGATTTCGCTGAGCACCGTGGGGGTCGTAACGAGTTCTTCGCATTGGGCGAGAAGGGTAGAAAGCGGCGGGGTATTCTTCAAGATGGGACCGGCGTCTAGCACGATTGTGTGGACGGGCTTGGGGGGGTTGTGATGAGTCTGCCATCGTGGGTGGTGTCTCAACGATTTACACACCGAAGAAATGGGATATCAAAAAATTAATTGTCTATTTGGAGGGACTAAAAATATTGATGATGCAGATGTGGAACGGAAATTTCGCACTGGTCTGTGCGCAGTTATCGCTTATCGCTTATCTTATCGTCCCACGTCCTCCTGAATTGGCATCTGCTCGATGCTTTCGCGCTGCGGATCGAGCTACATAGCGGAGCCACAGTTGATTGTAGGTGCCAATGTATATGTAGACTGATTTGACTGCATTGTTTCTTATAACAGTCTCAACAATCACGACTATTAGATCGGCTTTTGGAATTACTAGCAGATAACGACAATTGCACTAACTAGCGCTGGGAAGAAAACATCCTCGACATTCAAACTCTCGATCATCACCAAGTACCGCAATTATCACCTAAGCAGCCATAACTAACTAACTAATTAGTTAACAAGTCAAGACTGATAGTTTATGTAATTCTTCAGACTATTCAGCATTACTGCTTCTAGAACCTGAATCTCCCGAGAATTTCTCTCCAGGTCGGCACAGCTTAGTGTTGTAGATGACGCTGTCGGCCATTTATCTTTGCTTTTCATGACCAGCATACTCATTCCAGGCTGAAAGAATGTTGCGGTGGAAAAATAATTAAGCGTATAGACTAAGAATGTCGCTCATGCGGTATTTTCGGTCTATCCATGGCACTGGCGATCCTGACTAAGGTAAATGGTCAGTACCATGGGTGGCAGTATATGCGCCACTTTTATCGGACAAGGCCTAATGTGTACTATTATGAGCTTAGCAGTGCTGGTTATAAATAGCAATGGCACCCAGAAGTAATATACTACGGGGGCTTTGCGTTGCGAGGGGCCAGTGTAAATTAAATAATCCATCTTTTCATCCCACTACACCACAATTGTTTGCACTACATTTGGCTGATCGCCTAGGAGATAACCAGCGAGCCTTGTTGCGTAGTGAGCGCAAGAGCAAAAAGGGAGAGCAAAGGTTTGCCGGATATTAACTGGTATGTGGAATGCTGTGGCTTTCGCCCAAGGACGAATGTAAGGGATAGCAAGGATTTGAGGAAAGGGTTGACAAGTTAAATAGAAAATGAGGCAGCATTCACCTTGATCCATATTCATAATATTGCACCCACTCATCTACCATTATACCGTACACTCAGGCAATTTTGTATCACGAAACCAGGCTTCTTAATCTTGAAGTTACCATGGCCGTCGATTTGGCACAAATCGAGACAATTATCGTGGACTCGGCGGCTCTCCTTCAGTCTTTCATAAGTGAGGTAATGACTCTTCGAACTGATACTCCATCACTTTTCGTCGACCTGGAAGGCTGTAAGCTTGGTCGTGATGGTTCAATATCCATCATATCTATCTACGCACCTCCAAAGAAACTAATATATCTCATTGATATATATCGACTGGGAGCTGAAGCATTTTCTACCGTCAACAGTGATGGTAACTCTCTTAAATCCATTCTAGAATCACCAATTATCTGGAAAGTTTTATTCGATGTTCGACATGACTCCGATGCATTATTTAGCCATTACGGTATCTGCCTTGATGGAATTCGAGATATCCAGTTGATGGAACTAGGAACAAGAGTGGGCTCGAAGGAATTTGTCGCCGGCTTAGCCGCATGTGTGGAGAAAGACAGCACGATTTCTGCAACAGAAAGAAAGGCATGGGAGACAACAAAACGCAATACTCAACGTCTCTACAATCCCGCACTCGGAGGAAGATACGAGGTATTCAATGACCGTCCTATTCGACCCGAAATTGTGAGATATTGCGTCGGAGACGTTGTTTTCTTGCCAAACCTCTTCCATGTCTACAACACTAAGCTATGCCGACCTGGAAAGAAATTCTGGGAGATTCAGGTTCTAGAAGCAACCAAGGAGCGGATCCAGTTTTCGCAAAGTCCAAATTTTGATGGAACATCTCGAACCAATGCCCGCGGGCCTTGGAATAGGGAGGCTATTGAAGAAGCGATTGACCAATGGAATGACGACATCATGGATAATGCAATGAATGAAGGGGATGATTTCGATTTTGACTTCGATGATGACTTCGATGATGACTTTGATGATTACTTTTATGACGACGGTCCGACCAGCGGCAGAGACATTATCAATGACTGTGACTACGGATACTACTACTCTGATTAGGATCATGAATGGAAGATCTCGAGTTGACTGCGATTACTGTGAGGGCCGGCCGAGCCCAGGGAGCCCGTGAGGAGTGATTATTGCCCTACTGAGCCGGCCGCTATCCCGCTGACCCGGTTAATGGTGGTTTTCAGCGACGAGCCGCAATATCGATGCGTGGTGGTGCTGGGGACGGGCGAGGAAGGGTCGGAGACGAAAAGGAATGCAGGAGTCCCACAGAAGACTTCGCAGTTCAGCAGCTTAACCATTTGATAAACGGTATCTAGATTCTAATAGCAGATCGAAACCGGGGGTACTGCTAGCAGTCCACTGCTCGTGTATACATGAAGATATTTCCCAGACGCTCCTTGAAGCAGAAGTATACACCAGTTAGGTTCAAATAGTAATTTACTAGTGACGTATCTCGGTTTATACACACAATAAGACCAACGAGTAACTCCTAGGACTCACAGTAAAAACTCGGTTATAGTTAACCATCCTTCGTCTACCCAATATCAATCGTGTACAAAGACATCAAAAAGACCTTTACGCCAACACGCTGAAAGTACCCGTATATAAGTGCTTTAAATGAAGCATCAAGAGCGTCGCTGACAATGATATGAAATTCCCAAATCTAGCCCATTACTATGTAAGCCTCTGCACGTAGAGAAGGTTATCGGGCGACTTACTTTGATCATGCTCCTTGAATTGACTGGAAACATATGAATCGAGCCAGCTCCCCCGTCTTCTCGCAACTCGCAGCTCATAAACAGCAGTTTCAAGCGCTCGCATTTCAGCTTCATCTTCTTCCGACATTAGGGGCTCGTCGGCGCCCGGGAGTAAAGGAAGGGCTGGCACATCCATCGCACATTGCAAAGCGTCGAGCCGCTGCGAGAGATCTCGCTCTGCACGTCTTTGCATGGAGCTGCAGGCAAGGACATGTCTTATATCTGGTTCGGAGGCGCTGGCTTCCTTCTGCATCTTCTTCAACGACAGCTCGCATAATCGATACGCGAGCTGATCTGGATCGACAGGCTGAGGACGAGGTGTGATAACCGGAGGAGTAACATTGACGACACGCAGCTGTTTCTTTCGATTGTAGTTCAAGCTTGGAGATAGACTGCGTGCGATGGTTCTGGTCGCTTGCATGGCGAGTGGTGGAATATGATGGTTTGGTGTAGGTAGCTAGGTCTTTGAAAATTCAGAGTCAAGGCCGAAGGGATATATGAAGGGTTATGTTATAGTCAAGGGGCTTCAATTAATGTTTGACAAGATGCATCGTGACCTCATTTGCAATACTACAACGTCAGGCCACTTAATAGATGTGTCTTATGGGCATTCCCGGGCGAGGGTTTTCGGTTGCCGGGTGTCGCCACTGCATCATGCCACTTCAACCAACTGCGCTCCTTTTAGCGATTGGTACACCCAAATAAGAGAAAGATGCAATTCAAGGAACTCGTTTCATCTTTCCGTATGACACTCACCGTTAGTACTGCTTGAATCATCTTGAATATCCATGCTTTGGTGGCGATGGCATTTTCCTCCACTTGATGCACCGCGAGGGAGCAACGCACAGACGCAGTCCAAGATTGTCCAATAATAAGACGGAGGGGGATGTTTAATTCAAAATTCTTTAGGGGGGAACTTTTTCTGCCGTTGAAGGTCACTATTGGTTCCTCTCCAAAGTCGGAACTCAATTCGCTGCGAATTTGAAGTATACAGAGGCCTGTGGTTGGACGTACTTTCGATCCCACCTAATCAGCCCAACGTTGCCCCTCGCCATTGTCAGTGGTATTCCGACTTAAAGACTCAGTAAACCGCTCAGATTGGTGTGGCGACCATTTAGTTCCTGCAAACTTTGAAGGAAATTAAGATTCCTATCGTCATGCGTACGTGTGACTACTCAGGCCGCGGACTTATCGAGTCAAGCAAATTACAACATAACGTTATCCAACGCCAACATTCAGCGCTCGAGTCATCTTAGATGAGGACTAATCCAGATTGTAATCTTTTCATCGGATTCTCAAGAATCAAAGAAGCTAGATCGCAATTTGAGCCCGACGTCACGCCCTATCTACGGGCGTCATCCCGGAGGACCGTTCCGATGCTGACACCCAAGACCCAATTTTTCCCCGCTCCAATCCTGCAGCCACCAATCCTCAGGCGACGGGAATCCATTGAACTGAATGAGTCATGGGGCACCGGCTAGGGAGCCCGGCACAAAATAAAGGCTTTCAGTCCACAGAAGCAAGACATCATACCACTGCACCCCCAAACGTGATACCGGAGTATGGCCACCGAAACGACAACCGGGGCGATAAGTTTAGATCAGCAAGTTCCACCGAACGAGCCGCAAGGCTCGTCTGTCTCGAAGAGTGCGTACCCCAGCGCAAATGCTAGTATATACGATGAAGAGGCCCCGCGGTCGGCCTTCTCGGTCATTGAGCCAACGGCGCACCTGTCGACTGTCACTACTCACATCCTAGAGCCCGTAGCCAGCGACACATTTCCTGATGGAGGTCTCCGGTCGTGGTCCGTGGTCGTTGGCTCCTTTTTTCTTTTGATGAGCAGTTATGGGCTCATGAACTCCACCGGTGTTCTGCAGAGCTATTTTGCGTCACACCAGTTGGCGAATTATTCTACCAGTGCCGTGGGCTGGATTCCCGGAGTGTTCACATTTTTCGGCTTGGTTCTTAGTGCTCAGGCCGGGTCGCTCTTCGATAGGTATGGACCGACGGGCATCTTGGCTGCTGGGACGGTGTGCTACACCACTGGGCTTTTGCTTCTGGCCGAGTGCAAGCTATACTGGCAGTTCCTGTTGACGCTGGGCGTGCTCGCTGGGACTGGAGCTGCGCTTCTGAGTACGGCGGCAATGGCGGCCGTTCCGCATTGGTTTAATGCTCGCGTGGGTCTGGCGATGGGTATTGCTATGGCCGGTGGTGGTGTTGGAGGTGTCACTTTCCCGCTTATACTGCGGGCGGCTTTCACGAAGCTCGGGTATAAGTGGTCAATACGTCTTTTAGCCTTGCTGGTGGGCGTGTTTTCTGGAATTGGAACCCTTTTGGTGAGGTCTCGGTTGCCGAAGGGACGTAGCAAGTCCACGATCAACTTGCGGGCTTTCCAGGATATGCGGTTCACGTGGCTCACTCTAGGGACATTCAGTAAGGAGGAGCATGCGACTGAGCGTTGGTTATCGGGGAAAATGTTAACATCCCACTAGGTCTTGAACTGGAGGTATTTGCGGGCCTGGGTCTGTTCCCGACATTCATCGTGATGCAAGGATTTAGCACCTCCGCCAGTATTGTTCTTCTGGCAGTGTTGAACGTGTATGAAGATCTTCTTCTATGCATGTTGCCTAGCATTCCACTGACAGTAATTCAGGTTCTCGACAATCGGTCGCCTTTTGGCCGGTGGATTCGCAGATAGATTCGGGCGGATCAACACGCAAGCAACTCTCATCATCGCGGGTGCACTTGCGGTCTTCGTGATCTGGCTGCCATTCGGCAATACATTGCCCGGCCTGTACGTCTTTAGTGCGGTATTCGGTCTGGCATCGGGCTCCTTCTTGAGCCTCGCACCCGCCTGTATCGGGCAAATATCCAAGGCCAGTGAAGTGGGTGGAAGATTCGGCGCCTGTTATTCGATTGTCAGCATTGCGTATGTGGCCTTTCCCTGCCTTGTAATGGATTCCCCGGTTGACATGATGAAGGACTCTAACTTGCATTCCAATCGGAGGTGAAATGCTGGAAAAGGTAGGGAAGAGAGCGATGGTCGCATATTTGGGAAGTTTGCTCATCGTTGCTCTGGGCTTGTTCACGATGGCTCGCTGGGCCTGTTTGGGCTATCGTTGGCGATGGAATGCGAAAATCTAAGATCATGAAAAGGTCATGAAAGCACCAAGGGAACCCGCGCTTGGATTCATGGGAGGCAATTAATGAGAGATGAGTTCAGATTGCATATATATAACCACACAGGTTTGGAAAACTGCCACTAGATTGATACTGCACATCTCAAAAAGCAGAAACAACTGTTATGCATGTCAAGCGTACACTCTCGTGGTGGTTGGTCAATTTTCTTGGGTCGGCGATACAGAAGGCTTTTCCGAAGCTATTTCTCTCCACCGTTCTTCAGATTCTCACTATAAAATCAAAGTTAGGACTTCACCTGGCATGCTATGCTATGATCAGAGAGAAATGGAATCTTACATCTTCTTGTCCACCTCCTCGGTGGATTTGTTCTGTTGCTTAAGCCTTAGCCGAGCGGCTTCAAGTCTAAAGCGCCTTGGTATTAGAGGTTCTCCTTTGTGTAGGTCCTTTAGAAGCTCTTACTTTTCTTGCTCGTGCTGCTTCACCCACAGGCCCTCTGAGGCAGCCTCTCGCTTGGCAAACGCATCCTTGCTGTGACTCGCATCAGTATTTATGACGTCACTACTCATCGGCTCACTCACCCGTCCAAGTGACCGCGCGACTTTGGGGCGCCAGCATCTCCTTCGCCCATCGTAGCTGTTGTAGTAGAAAGTGGTCGGATGAATGTAGATGGCTTCGCCGCACGAAGAACGGGTCGAGAGAAAGCTGCCTTCATGATGGAGTTGGTGGCTCGAGAGCACGGGGAAGTGGGGAAGCGAAGAAGGGGGCGTCGAACACAAGCGGAGGTTCCAATTGCAGTTCAAATTAAGACCCTCTCGAGTAGGATCTCGTAGATTCTGGAAGGTCACACAAGGTGAGCAGAAAGGTGAAATGAGAAGGGTTGGGGGAGGCGCGGGGTTTATTATGGCTGAATCCGGACAGGATGCTACATGCAAGGGTAATCAGGCAATGCTGACCCCAGCTTGGCGAGCCGTGGATTACGCCACATGAGGAGGTTACGGGACTAGACCCGAGGAAGTACGTAATATCCCAGCCAAATAGTACATTTACCTACTGCCGAACGTTAGTGGCTGGAAGCCCCCGTCAGGCAAGTTCTTGTCTATCAGGACAGCTATGTTACGGAATTGTACTATTATCATATCTGTCGTAAATCGACGAAGTTAGTATTGGCTTCGTAGGAACAATATACACGGCAGCCCGCTACAGCATGTAGCGATATCCCTTCTGTAGACGCCGGGCTGCTGCAATGTCAATACCCTCAAAGTCGGCAGTAACCTGCAAGCGCCGGAGCTCCTTCTCTGTAAGCTGGACCTCCTCATTTTCCAACCGCTCCTGTCGCTTGTTGAGCGACCGGAGGTGGAAATACATGAAGATACCCACGAGGGCACCGACCCCTTGCAGGGCGATGTTAACACCCATGGCAGTTCGGTAATATGGCTTCTCGGTATCCAGGTACGTGTAAGGTGTCCAGATACTCGCTGAATTACCGATCGAGTTGATGAATGCATAGGCAGCAGCACGTTTCGCGGGCGGGCGGGGCATAGAGCTTGCAATCCACGAGTAAAGAGTGTTGTTCTGGGTGAAAACGAACATCATCAAAAACATCGAGAAGTAGCGAGGCCCGAACTCTTCAACAGTCATGAAAATCACGAAGCCAACGATTGTAATAGGGATGGGGTAGACGAAGAACCAGAACCGCATCTTCAAACGGTCGGAAATCCAAGCATGACCGAGACTCCAGAAGACCATGAACACATAAGGGGGCGCCACGAGCAGTAGTGAGATGATTGTGTCGAAGTGCAGGGTCTCGGTGAGGGTGGGCATGAAGTTTTGGAATCCCGCAGTTCCCGTGATACACATGTATCCAAGCGCAAGGGCGTAAGTCTTGACATCGGTCATGGCGAGCTTCAAGCCCTTCAGCTGGCTCATAGAGCCGCCTTCATCCACGTCCGCATCTGCTGCATCGATCGCAAGACGGCGTGCAGCCACTCTGCGCTCATCCTCCGAGAGCAGTTTCCATGTCTCTGGGAAATCGGGGAGAATGAAGCAGATCAATAAGCCGACGAAAACAGTGATCGATCCCTCAATGATATAGAGCCATTGCCACGCCGACATACCGCGTGCACCCTTCAAACCGTTCAGGATTCCAGCTGCAATGAGGTTGCCGAAGGCACCGCTAATCAATGATCCCGAGTAGAAGATGCTCATACGGAACGCAAGTTCCTCTCTAGTATACCATTTGGAGAGGTAAAAGAGCACACCGGCGAAGAATGGGGCCTCTGTAGGAAAAGAAAAGTTAGAGACACGTCTCATAGCGATAGTTCCATACATCACCTACCAACAAAACCGAGCAGAAAACGGCATGCTACCATTGAACCATAGCCCTTGACCTGACTAGTGAGAGCCGAAACTAGACCCCAAGCGGTGACGAAGAATCCCAAATACAGTGACGGACGCCCCGCGTAGTTCAGCATCAGATTACTCGGTACTTGCATCAAGATGTATGCAACGAATAAAATAGATAAGGCGGTCTGGTATTGGGTAGGGGTTAACTTGAGATCTTCAGTGAGACCTTGAAGTTTCGCGGAGGCATAATTGTTTCTGCAAGCTCTTAGTCTATTGCGCAAAGCGTATAGGGACAGCCAGTCCCTACCGATCAATGTAGTTCAGAAGATAGACCAGAACCACGAGGGGCATGATAAGAGTGTCAATGCGACGGCGCAACTTCTTCTCGATAATCTTCTCCTCTGGGGTGAGTCCTGCTATGTGCACGATTTCCTCGTGAGACATATCAGCCTTCTCTCCCATCGCCTCCACGTCGGAGATGGTGTTTTCATTGCGGGTCATCGTAGAAATATGAGAGGCCGCCCGGAAAGAGTAGTGTGCAAAGGGTGAGAGGGGAAGAAGGGGAGTCTACTACCCCTACATGCCGGGGCGGGTCATGACTTTATGGACTGGAAAGCCAGAGGGGCAAGTCCCGGTCTGCTAACGGGTCTTCTCTTTGGCCAGCAGGACATATCCATGTCCGAGGTGGAACCCCCACACGGTAATCCGTATTTGGGACGACCGCAGGTACCCCGTGCATTCAGGAGGGCCGGTTTGAGTAAGATGGGGAGCAGGCCTGTCCGCCAATAGATGGTCGGGGCATAGCAGAACGCGGCGCAATACGAGAGTATTTGGTGTCATAGCTATGGTGGATCGAACGCTGATGGTTCTCATCCGCTGGCTAGTCGGTCTCCCCCACGAATGCTGGGCCACTTCGGTCTGGGGTTGGCCGTACCAAGAAGTTTGTCTGGGGTAAAGCTTCCCCACCGAACCCGTGATAGGTGGTCTCCTCTCTCCTCCTTTCCCCCCCCTTTCGCTCATTTAGCCTGCATGGGTCGGGTTATCCGGCCCAGATTTGGGTTGATGCAAGCGGTAGAACTCTGCATCTGTGAGTTTCTCACCTGCCTGATGGAGCCACTCCGAGTGGCACCATGCAAATTATTGCTTTGAACCGGTCCCTCCCCACATCCATTTTAAGTTTCGGATACAGCATGGAAGCCACATGCCGATGCTCAAGCTTCGCAGCTACAAGGAAGAAATTGTTGCCTCCCTCCCCGAGATTCGACAACTTACCCACTATACGGGAAGTGCTTTTATTGTCTGTACCTTGTCTTTTATGAAGATCAAGTACTTGAAATGCAAATGATGTACGCAGTATGTGACATGAGCAGACTCGGTCCATCTCCGGGGGGCCCATGCTTTCCAAAGGCCAATTGACGGTCAGTGCTCTTTGCCAATTCGACCCCGACCGGGTGAGCCAACGTTTTCTCGCACTTACTCCGCGTGGAGGTAAAATAGCTTTCCCGGATTGGCCTCCTATTTCTCTGTCGAAACGCGAATGGGTCAGGGGACCCCGAAACATCCCACGCCGTATGCACGGCCCAGTGGCTCGGGGAAATGGATTCTGGGTTGCGTTACTTCTCCCAAAGCTCTTTGGAAACCTCTGACTTCGGGCCAGAAAGTTGCTATGATCCCCATCGTCATTTTGGCGGCCCGGGCAGAACCAAATTGTCTCCCCTGGAGATATCAACTCCAGTGATGATGGAGCCTGAGCACCCCAGGACACGGACATCACGGCCTGTATTTTCCGTCGTAGGGAATGAGATCCAGGTCGCTGTGGTGACGTTTCGATGCAGAGAAAGGCACAAATGCACGACCAAGCATAGAACGCATACAGAGCATTGTCTCTTCCCACATTTGCCTCCCATGCTGACTGCGGCGGAACCAGCTTCAACTTTTGATTTCCCTTAAGATCATGTTAGACTCAGGTAAATAAGGGTCCGGATTCATTGATCGATTTTGCTTGGAAGATGGCAAATTCTCCGTTGTGAAGAACATTGCGCCATTAGAACCTCGTCGTGGAATGGGCCACGCCGCAACTTAGACTGGACTTACATATATCTGAACCCCAACGCTCTCTCGTTGACGACCATAGTGGAGTACTAGCAAGGTTTAGTATCTCTCTCTGTGCATGCTTGCCTCCAATATTTCAAGATGTCATACCGTATGCATGGGTCCGAGATACATGCTGGCAGTTCCTGAAACCTTCATTAGGAAAGAAACCTAGTCTATTTCAAGCCAAGCTATTGGATATTGCCTTGGTGAGCTTGAATAACCTTAAATCGCCTAGTTTAGATGCGTCTCCTACTCATACAGCATAATTCTAGAAGTTTACATAAGAACTGTCTGGACTCTCGATTCTCTAACATAATTTTAATTTCGTAGTTCAGTAAAGGCCTCTCAAGGCTGGGCTGGAATCTTGGGAATGCGGGGCAAATTCCTTAAGCTGCACCAGGTCCCATTCGGACCAAGCCCAAAGCTAACGGGTGACGAAACCCAGTGTGAAGCTGCCTTGATTAGTCCAGCAGGCCAGTCACCAGTGCGGACAGGCCCCCTCACTTCCCCTTCAGGCGCCTGACATGACCACTGGGGCCTCGGTCCCTGCCACTTGCCAATGGCATTGTGGCCTAGCGGAGCCCACACGTAACGGGCGGACCCAGCCGGTCTCGCAATTTGCCTATCGGAATCACTAACAGAGGAAGCTCCCCACTCCAGGAAAACGGGCGGGTGTGAAATGGCCCACCCCGAGCAACAGATCTCGGACACCCCCAGCTGAAATCTCGCTCGCCAAAATCCCGCTGTGTCGTTGGCCACAGCATGTTCTCTCCCTACTCCTCCGCTCCAGCCTCGCCTCCCCATGCCCGCTGAATCGCGCCCAGCTGCCCCGGACTCGCGAGTCCGGAAGACGCTCAATCGCCAGTCCCGCTCCTGTAAGGTCTGCAGGTCCCGCAAAGTTAAGGTACGTGCTATCCTGATGGCTCAGATCGTCTCGCAACGGCCCGGTGTCAGCCAGGGCTCAACTCGTTTCCACCGGCGTATTTTATCTTCATGTAGAAGAATATTTCCCCGTCTAACGTCGATCTTAATATTTTCTAGTGCGACCGCGTCAAACCATGCCATGCGTGCTGCGCTCACGGGTATCCCTCGCGGTGCGTCTACGACACGGTGCCCGAAGATGAGGCTCGTCCAATTAGCCAGGCGGAGGAGATCCGAAATCTGCGAGTGGAGATTCGAGATCTCAGGGCAAAAATAGACGAGAGGCAAGATGGTAGGTGCATTGGGGCGGCTGTTTCATTGACTGGCCCATCTCCTTGGTCCCGGCTTAGTCTGAAAAAAAAAATAGAAAAAGGCAGCCAATGAATGCTTGGCATGGGCAACCAGTGCTAACATCTCTTCTACAGGATCTGGGAGACGAGAGTTTGAGCGGCTGGACCAGCTTGAGAGCTTGTTTGAGTCTATTCGGTCGGCTCCAATTAGCGTGGTGGACGATATTGTCCGAGATATCCGGGCAGCACATGGAGGCCTCAAAAATGATATGGTGAAGGTAGGGCCATGGGAAGGCCTAGAAGGTGAGCTTATCGCATTCCGTGATATTTGGGAGCTGGTACTGATACTGATACCACCTAATCTATAGCTTATGAGGGCTTTGATTATACACCCAGCACTCCTGTGTCTATGATCCCGTACCGCAAACGAGCCTTTGTTGCTCCGAGTGCCAATTTCAATGGACCCATTGAGACGAACGCAGATGAGGGCGTGGATGTGCAATTTATGGATGACATCGGCATCGATAGTGGCTCTGAATCGGGATCGTCTGGTACGATTTCCTTTATGAGCATGCAGCGACCGGCAGTCGATGTCTTTGTAGAGCGTTTCGTTGATGCGTTCAGCCCTGAGGTCGACACCAAATCGGGGCGTGCTGGTGCATTAAGAGCGGCCGCAGGGATTCGAATGTTCTCTCCACTCATATCGGACGCATTTGAGGCAGTTTCGGTGGCCTTTTTCGGCCGGTCTGTCGGGAATAAGGGGCTTGAAGCTTCAGGATTTCGACTTTATCCACGCGTGCTTCGTGGTCTTCAAGATGCATTGCTTGACCCAGAGCGTTCCAAGTCAGAGGCAACGCTCGTGACCGTCACACTTTTGCTGGCTTTTGAAGTTTGTGATTCTCCTACTGCCCGCCGAAATTGATCACTGATTTGTATAGAGTGTCGAAAGAACTACCGAGGATAGTGTACCTGCTCACGTTCGCGGTGCCGTACGCCTAATCGAGCATCGTGGCCCGGAAAACCACATGTATGGAGTTGAGCATCTCCTCTTTACCGAGCTAAGACCTTATTGGGTACGTTTTCCGGTCCTTTGGAAAGATTTCTATACTGACTTTGATAGATCGCGGGCTCGGTGGCTATTCGCCAGCCCACATTCTTAGCTCGCGAGGAGTGGAAGACCATTCCTTGGGCCGCTTCTTCTACATGCACAAAAGATGCCCTTAGCAAGATCATATAATAGAATATCCCCCGTCGTAGACCATGGCTCAAGTAAACCATCAATCGCGTATCCATCTCGTATATACGGGGCATTCATTAGAATTGGGTCATAATTCACATGCTAAATGCCCGTGCCCTCCATGTTGCCCATTTGTCCGTCTTCCATATCTCTAGACCTGGCATTGCACGGGCCCTCTGCAGCCCTCCCGTTTCACCGTCGGATTTACGGGACCTTTAGCCGCTCGCCAGGGCAATGATCGTCACGGTATACCGGCAAAGACCCGTGGGACTGTGAGATACCCACCCCAGTTCTTGCAGAATGAGCTCAGCTGCCTTTTTAACGTCCCCAGGCAGATACCAACTCCGGCATTGCCAACTCCAGCACACGGGGATATGTCTAGTTCTTTGGTAGCCAAAGTCATCATGTCACACATGTGAAACCAGCGGCCTGTCCACGAGATCGTGTCTGATGAAAAGGGGTGAAGAGGTGGGGTATGAATCTCTACACTTCTCTGCGTGTCAGCCACGGCAGCCACCATATCGCGCGGAACAAACGATGCACGTCTTAGAACTGGGCTGTAGCGCTTGAATATGACTTACCGTTCTTTGGTTGCTTTGGGGATAACGGAAAGCTTAGCCTGCCTAGACGACGTTAGTCTGTGCGCCACTGTAGTATTCAAACTCTCATCTCTCCTGGACTTTACCGCGGATCCTGCTGGCCGCCTGGACGAACAGGTCGATCATTGCCTGATCCCCCGCCTTCTATCTCGATAGAGGTAATTCCCGCATAGAGTCGTATTGGAGAAACAATTCGGGGCATATTAGACATTGCAATTCATCTCGTTTTGATGCATTTGGAACTTCGTATTCCGGCAAGCCAGTTAGGGTCGAGCCTGATTCATGTTTGAGCGCGAGGGATCCAGATCTGTAACGCTAGAGAGGCAGCTAGACTAGTCTCTATGCAGAGAACTCCGGGTTGCGGGTTCCTCCACGCTATACGGGCTTGCCAAGCATGTCTGTAGGGTTTTTCTAATTTTTTTTCTCCTTGGAACCTGGGGCTGTTCTGAGGAGTTTCGGTCGTTTCAGCGCTTCCTTCTTGCTGAGATGATCCCCTTTTCTCCGTGCCTGATATGGGAGGTTTGGGGGAGCTGGGAAATAATACGAAGTGGTACCCTTTTGGTCCCCCACCTGACACCCGCGCCCTGAACGAGGCTAACCCCCTTTTTCTCCCATTGCCCCAAGCTCAATTTCCAGCACAAGCCAGGAAACTCTCTGTATGGCAGATGGTACCCTATTGCCGCAAAGCGCTGTGAACTCTCCTTGATTGGACTTAGGGCTTCCCTGGGAATTGCGTTCCGCGTGAACCGTTCCTGACGCACCATGCCCGGCGACTCCATCGCGTGCGCTAGTCCTTGAGGACTCCATCGGCCTCCGACGGTTTGAGCGGCCACTCAGACAATTCTTCAGGCCCCAGATAAACTATGCAATGTTGCACTGGGTGTGAAGCACAGAATACGGCCTAGGGCGAGATGATATGGAATCCTGTCGGAGCTTTCGCTCCTAGTGGCCCGGTTGATCGACATCCACAAGATGATTAGCCCGATGAAGAATCGAGACCAAAACTATATAAGGAATCTACAGATCTCCCAGACTCGGCCTTGACAAGCAACTCATCCCTTCAGCCCTTCTTTGTCAAGACAATTAAGTTCTAGATCTGTTTGAGACCTCTCTTATCCCATTATGAAGTTCTCTACAGCCGTGCTCAGCAGCTCGTTGCTCGCAACTGCTGCAGTTGCTGCTCCTCTGACTGCCCAGCGTCAGGCGCGCCACGAGCGCCGTCTTGCTGGCCGCAAGACCAACCCACCATACAAGCCTGGTACCTCCGAGATTATCCACCTGAGCAACAACACGTCCCAGGAGCAATACAGCGGCAACTGGGCCGGTGCTGTCCTGATCGGCAACGGTTATACCGCAGTGTCAGCTCAGTTCACGGTCCCCACCCCGTCGGCGCCGAGTGGGGGTGATGATAGCACTCAATATTGTGCTTCCGCCTGGGTGGGCATTGATGGCGACACCTGCAGTAGCGCGATTCTTCAGACTGGTGTTGACTTCTGCATCCAAGGAGGGACTCCTTCATTCACAGCCTGGTACGAGTGGTACCCTGATGTCGCCTACAACTTCGATAGCCTCACCATTTCTGCTGGAGATGTGATCTCGGTCAGTGTGAATGCTGCCTCTACCAGCTCGGGAACTGCTACGATCGAGAACATCTCCACCGGTCAGACCGTCAATCACGACTTCAATGGTGGTGTCCAGGGTGACCTTTGTGAGACCAATGCTGAATGGATTGTCGAAGACTTTGAATCTGGTGGTGGCGAGGTTCCTTTCGCCGACTTCGGCACCGTCACCTTCTCCAACGCCCAGGCCACTACGGGCGGCAGCTCTGTTGGGCCAGACGGAGCCACCATTATGGACATCAAGCAGGGTGACACTGTCTTGACTTCTTCCTCTGCTGACTCTAACAGCGTCACTGTCACATACCAGTAGGCGATATGTGGACATATTTGACATGTCCAGAAACTCGAAAGAGAATTTCCTTCATTTGTCAATATGTTTGAAATTGTTGAATTGTTAATATGATTTAATCCGAGCGGAATTGCGATTCATTGTGGAGCCAAAACTGCTCGAAAGAGTTGAACTTTAAATATCCCACGTTCTACATCCAGCTTTCTCCGTTACATCTTCAACTTTGGGGGTTAGAGATAAATTGGGCAGGCTTGTATACTGTCTGCCTTGACAACTTAGTATTCTATCCCTGTAGGGCCCACGCCCCTGGCACTGGCTGGATCATGGGACTTTGATGGTAATCACCTAACGAGGGCGGCGCTAGAGCATTTCATAAATGAAAGAAAAGAGAGAAAAGAAGAGAAAACTGATCACAAAAGATGAAGATCGTGCTCCATTCCTTGAGAAGCTGCCACAAGCACTCCAAGTTCCCTAGTGTCAGATACTGCCCATAGCGAGATCATCTTGTTCTAAAGGAGTACCAACACGGACTACTGGATACGGGGCTGGTTGTCGGGAAATGGCAAGCATTTCGTCAAAAACTGATATTGCAGACATATAGTATGAATGCGCACGGATATGTAATGCCAACTTCGAGCTAAGATCCGCTATATGCGGTCCAAAATATAGATCCAATGGTAAACATCGGGGGTATGAGTGGACGCATGGACAGGCCCCGAAGGCGCCTTCAAACCCGTCCGTGAACGGACTTTCCAGAACTGCGCAATAACGGGGTGAAGGCCATCGAACCGGAATGTAGAATATGATAACGCAACCCAAGTGCTGCCCTTATGGGTCAATGTTGCCAGATGTAAAGCCAGCAGCTCGACAGGGACAGCACGAGAGTCGGAATTTCGGAGAGCATGTCCTGGACGAGAGGACAGACACCTGCAGGATCATCCCTCCGGTTGAAGTGGCGATCATTCCCAGTGGCAATGGCATCGCTGGTGCTTTTATCTAAAACAACCTGGAACGGAGCAAATGCAGATAATTCGGCGACACTGTCCCACTGGAGCAAGTCTGCACAATGCCAATGCATCGCTCTGGCCGGCTCTTCTTGCTGTTCAGCAACTTTGCCCTGACGGACGGCTTCGCGGGAGAAGTCAACATTCTAGTCGCATTAGTGAAAGATCATAGAGAAGCCAATTGCCCTCCTTATACATACAATAATACCGCTTCCCCGCCGCCCCCGCTCAGCGAAAGCGTCTCGGAGCTTCGTCCCCAGCTTCGAGACGCCTGGCCCTCAGATGCAAGACGCGCGGCTGTTCGTCTGTACCAGCCTTGCTCAACTCCGCCATGATGGTCCCAATGAGCATGTCGCCGGAATTCAGCCACTCGCCCACATCACGCCCTGCGGCGAACCGAGCGTCCCAGAAATCCGCACTGTCATAATCTGGAGCGCCTTTGGTGTGGAAACTGGGCCGACTATTTTCACGGGCCATGGTCTGTCCAGTGGCTTCCACGCACTTTGACCGCGAATCGCGCCCGCATGCCGCACGTGACCGAGTGTCTGTCCAGGATTCGCAACAAAAACTCAGGACGCTGCAAAAGAATCAAAATGTTGATGCCGCAACGTTCTAGGGGCTTAATTGCTCGTTTGGAGTCCCGAGGGCCTTTGCAGGGACGTATCTATAGGAGTCATTAGATGTAGGGCTACTCTCTGCACAGTCATGCTATTGATGTCACGGTGCGTGTCGAGATGGACTCAACCCCACTTCCTGCAGCGAGTTTGAGCCGCAGGGGAAACTACGTATGAGTGGATTTCACTCACACAGAGTTCCAGGTTCAAGCTAGTTAGCTTGGTCGCAGCAAATACATGCGCCACGGAGGTTCCCTCAATTGTAAATGCCAAGATCTACAGTCAATCGTAGAAAAGCAGCAACCTCCGGATCGCATCGTCACTTCTCTGGTTGCTCACGAGGTAGTTTAAGCTTCTTTGTCTGCGCTCGATGATTGGCCGATCGGGTCGAATGCAACCGCAGCGGCGCGGGCCTGACATCACCGCAAATCGCCCGGAATGAAGGAGAGGCAACTTGCAACTTTGGCTTTTCTGCTCTTCCGCTGGAGGACACCTCAAGTGCTGACCATCGGAAATCGACATGCCTCAGAATATGCAGAAAAAGCGGGTGGCCATCGTGGGAGCCGGGGCCGCAGGGATGGTAATTCCAACCGTCCAAAAAAGAATGGCTATCAAGCTAACCCGTGGCTCGAGTCCTGTGCATCGACCTTAGCAAAGCACCCGGATCGGTTCGAAGTCACAATGTTCGATGTTGATGCTCACACAGGGGGCCAAGCAACTTCGATTGACCTTGATGAATCCCAATACGGTGCCAGCTGGCTGAACGACGGCGTCCAAGGAGGCTCAGCTATTTTCCGCCATACGTTTCGATTCTTTCGGCGATATGGCTATGAGCCGCAACCGGTGAAGCTGCAAGTCTCCTTTGGAAAGGGGCGTGAGAGCTTCTGGACCAACGTGTTCCCATCGCCACTTGTGGACAAACATTCCGCAGAAATTCGAAAGCTCGGTCGCGTTTTGAAATGCATTAAATGCCTCATGCCTGTTCTTGGGATTATGCCCGTCAAGGTGATCTTACGACTGTTCGGTTTTAGTCGTGATTTCAGCAATAGAATGGTGTTGCCATTGCTGGCCTTGTTTCTCGGCACTGGGAACCAGACGCCGAATGTCTCGAGTGTTCTCCTCGAGCGCTTGTTTGATGACCCTCAAATGAAGCTCTGGGAATATGACCCGGACACTTTACTGCCAAACCTCCCAACCATGTACACGTTCCCAAACCTGGGGAGGTTTTATCAGGATTGGACGGCCGATTTACGTTCAAGAGGAGTCCGTATTCGATTAAACACGCCTGTCGAAATCGTCGAGCGCAGTACCAGCCGGGTGGTCTTACAGACTAGCAGAGCTGATCAAGATCCCGCTATGCCAGCTGAGCCATCGAGAGAAGTGTTCGATGAGTTAGTCCTCTGCTGTCCCGCCGATGAAGCAAAGAAGCTCCTCGGGAAAAAGGCCACCTGGCGTGAGAAGTATGTCCTCGGCGGAGTGAAGTTTTTTAATGACATCACCATCACCCACTCCGATGCCAACTACTTTCAGGGCATTTTTGAAGCCCAGTACGACCCTGCCTTATGCGCAGAGCCGACAACCAACGAGCGGAAGCGACAGATTGACTTTGCCCAACAAAATCCCGTCTGCCAAAAGGACGGCTGGGACGGATTCAGACCCATGTACTATACGCACTCCTTTGCATCAGCGCCCGAAAAAATTGAAATGGGTTTTGATTGCACCAACTACCAACACCAGTTCCGCGAGAACCTGGGAATGGGAAAATCTGCCCAGTCCGGAAGCCCACATGTTTTCCAAACCATCTTCCTTAATGACCAGCAACAGGATCTGTGGACATGGAACGACATAGACTCTTCCAAAATTATCGCGCGCAAATGGTGGCATCAATTTGGCCACCGGTGGCAGCACTATCTACGAGTCGTTCCGGGAATGATGTTTATCAATGGGCAAAACCGGACGCTATATGCGGGAGCCTGGACCATGGTGGTATGTACTTTGATCGCGACCTTGGGGGGGTGCAGAGCTAACCCATCTCACAGAATATGCATGAGATTGCATGCATTTCTGGCATTGCAGCTGCATATCGGCTCGGAGCCGACTATGAGCAGTTTGACGACTTCGCAGAGGACTTCTTCTCCAAGTATTTGCTTGTTTGCCATGGGACGAGATACAAAAAGAAGCCCAAAAATGCTTGAAGCCCGCCTGTTGGGGAACCGGTAACCCACAACGACCCACGTCTCACATAACGTATCGAAAACTTTCTATTTCATGATCTGTTTTGTTGGAAATCTCGTCCTGTAGCTCCTCGGCGGAGGTCAAGTCCGCTGGAGACCCATACAATCGATCTCGGCGGCGATTCTCCCACATGTAAAACACCCGTAGACACATCAAGAAGAAGATTCCCAGAACCAATCCAGACATGGCGGCCTTTATACCGGTCTACGTAGGCAGTCAGCGCTGTTCAAAGGTTAGGAGGGGAACTGGCTCACCGGATATCCTGGTTTCTCAGACGGAATGAAGAACTGAGGACCCACCACATTCCCAATGCAGTATGCGATAAACATCAGGGCGCTGACCGTGCTCTTTTTAGTGAATCCCGCGACGTTAGAGCTGATGAGGCTCAAGGAAAGCGGGATATTGGCCGCGAACACCGAGCCCAGACAGAGACCCGCCATCTTCCCAGCACGGTTGTCGTCATCCAATTTCCAGATGAGAATCATGCCAATCATGGAGGTTGCACTGTTAAGAATCATCATGAAGATTCTGCTAGATTTCACAGTCGTGGCAAAAGCCGACGTGATCAATAGGAAGACCAATTGGGCTGCTCCGATGGGCATTTGAATGAGGAGGGCATTGAGGTCGGAGAAACCGAAGCCAGCAATGATGATTGAGGAGAAGCTGGTCAGGCCTCCGTTGCACAAATTAACACACAGGGTATAAAGGACCAAGAGCCAGGTCTGGGCATCTTTGGCAGCCATCCACACCTGGTTCCATCGGAACTTCCCGGTGTCCATGACGCCGGTCTTGTTCTCCAGAGTTCGCTGTAGGGCCACCTTTCTTTCGGTTTGGTTCAAGAAGAACACTTTCAGGGGCGAGTCGGGCAAAAACACGAACAGAACGAGTCCGTATGCAGCGGTAATGCCTCCTAATATTAAGAACAGCAGCTGCCAATTACTCACGGTATGGGACTGGATCAGCCCGATTCCATAAGCAACAAGGCCGCCAATGACTGAGGCGATCGAGTTTCCGGCAAACCAGGCTGCTTGCCGAGCTGGTTGCTCACTTCGCTTGTAGAACATTCCGGTGATCAAGGCAAAGCCCGGTGCGACGGATGCTTCTCCCACCCCCAGAAAGAATCGTGCTGCCACCAAGCCCCCGAAAGAAGTACAGGCCGCATGGCACATGAGAATGCCACCCCAGAGAAACACAGCGATACTCAGATATTTCCCGAGAGGCAATCGTACAATCAGATAGGAGCTTGGCCAGCTCCAGGCGAAGTATCCGAAATAAAACACCACCGACGCCCAATTATACTCCGTCCCGTGAAGACCCTAGAGAAAGGATATGACCCTGTTAGCATGTGAGACTGGCTATTGCTGAGGAGAGCATTGAAAGATGGTATACATACCAAGTCTTCCTGTAAGTTGAACAGCGTCGCTTGGCTGAGGGCCAATTTGTCCATGTACTGAAGCATATAGCAGATGCCCATCAGGGGGATGAGACTAGACACTCATTAAAGTCTGAATGGCCAGCTGCAAAGTTCCTCATTTCTTACAAGAGATCGAGCTTTCGAAGGACTTTCTTTTCGACATCCTCGCTAACGCTTGTTTCCAGCACTTCCCCCAAGTCCACATCACGAGTGCCAGGCGGCAGGTGAAGTTTGGATAAATCCAATTCAACAGAGTCCTCCTTGTGGGGATGTTTGCTTTCGGCCATTATGGGATAGGACGTAAGTCAAAAGAGAAATTGGCTCGTCTAAGATCAAAGTGCGATATCACGGTTGGAGCCCCCCGGGATGAGGTGGATAGGCCTTTAATGTTCACTTGATTCAGAAATAGAAAAAGAAAAAAAAGACAAGCTACTTAGTCTTTGGGGATTGAAGAATATAAGATTGTTCAGACTATTTTCATGCTCTCTTTCGTTATCTTGGATTGGGAAAACTGTCATAGGCTTGTTAACTAAGGATGCAGGGCCAATCGCATCGATCATTTGCATGGTAAGATGACGACGGCTTCTACAATCGGCATTCATGGGCCTGTGGCAACTGTCGTAGATACCAACATGATAGACAGCTTTGTAGATACTGGAGCCGATCTATTTGGCAACCATGTTAACTGGAAGCCTTTTATCAAGCGAGGCCAAGACTACTTCGGCAGCGCAGCCAATGCGAGAGCCCCGTCGGCAAGCACGAAGCAAATCCGGTCGGCAAATTCTTTCCCTATCACCATCTGCTTGTGTGTCGTATCGTGCTTTATCGAACTGGGCTAAGAGCTATCATTCCCATTATGTACTAGGATATCTCATGACTGTTTGTCGCGCGCATGGAGTACCCCCGTTTCCCCCGCAAAGGTTGTTCCATCGCTGCAGCCTCGGATGATGTATGAAACACACTTGAATCGAATGCGCATCCTAGAGGGCATGCAATGCAGCTGTCCTTCAATTTCGGTCAGGGCAATGAACTCGGTCGTGGTATGGAAGAGCCAATCAGAGGCGCATCTGTTTCCTGTCAACCAGCGCTCGATTATCAGGAGAACAGTTTTTTACTGAATTGGCTAATGCTATCTGGCTAGCAGCTAGCGCCACGAGATACGAGAAGGACAAAGCTAATCCCCGCATTTGCGGATCTTTTACTGCTTCAACCACGTGGATTGCCGAGATAACTAGGACGCACGATTCACGTCGGCAACGGGGAGTGCCCCATCGTGAAAAACGGCGCGTCAAGCCTCGTCGGCAAATATGATCTGGAGTAGACCAATGAAATGCTATCGTCTGTTATCAAAACCCAAAGCTAACCCCTCAGCTGCGTGTTTGAAATTCCTCATTATTCCTCACCCGACCTCGCAAGGCCGTCGGTAGCTTACGATAATTCGCACCAGCTTTTCGCTGCCACCCATAGTACCTCTCCTACCAACTACTCAGCGTCCATAATGGCCAGTTCCAAAATAGAGATAGAGGCAGTTCGTGCATCGATCAAAAACACAGTGGAGAGGTTGGGAGACGCGCTGCGGACCATCAATCATGAGGTATGTTCGAAAGCGCCCTTTGCCGCCGCTCGGAGAAGCACAGACAGGAATGCACGAAACAGAAGATGACGTTTCCTTCACCTCCGCAGATCTGGTCGAACCCCGAGCTAGCCTACGAAGAATTCAAAGCCCATGACGCCCTCTGCGGTTTCCTCGAGAAGGAGGGATTCCGAGTAACTCGGCATGCATATGGATTGAATACTTCTTTTGAAGCTGTGAGCGGATCTGGGGGCCGCTTGATCAATTTTAACGCGGAATACGATGCTCTGCCGGGGATTGGCCATGCATGCGGACACAACTTGATCGCTACTAGCAGCCTCGTGGGGTTCCTCGCATTATCATTTGCGTTAGCCGAGTTCGGTCTGCCCGGACGAGTGCAGCTACTTGGTACCCCTGCCGAAGAGAACGGGGGTGGCAAAGCGAAGCTCATCGATGCCGGGGCTTATGACGGGGTGGACATCTCTTTAATGGCGTGAGTCCGCTGATAGCACGGCGCCTCTGATTATCCCGCTTGGCTGACAGCATCCCAGGCACGCAGGACCTGAAAAAATGTTCCCTGATTTGGGACCAGCCACGGGTATCGCGGGAGCGTTAATGAACGCAAGGAAGAACATTCGGTGCGTATTCAGCGGGAAGAGTGCCCACGCTGGCGGGAATCCCTGGGAGGGAATCAATGCTTTGGATGCCTTGGTTTGCTCTTACAATAATGTGTCTGTGCTCCGTCAGCAGCTGTTGCCCGAGCAAAGAATACACTGTGCTTTCATAGACACGCCGAAGGTTGCCAACATCATCCCCGATCATACCACGGCGTTTTGGCAGGTCCGAAGTCCAACGCTCCAGGGCCTCAATGTTCTTCTTGGCAAGGTTCGCAACTGCATTGAAGCGGGGGCTTTGGCCACACAATGCCAGGTGGAGATTGAAGAGTTGGTCCCCCTATTCCTGCAACTGATATGTTGTGAGGGGCTTGCTGCTGGAGAGAAGTTCACCCGTGCTGATGATTGTCTCTCTACTCTATAGGGAAGAGCTCTATACGGACGTGCGGCTGAATGACACACTCTGCGACCGATATCGAGTCCATATGGGCGGATATGGCCGAGAAGTGCTGAAACGCCACGACACAGTTCTCACCGGATCTTCTGATATTGGTTCGTCCGCTCTTCTTCAAGTCTAAAAAAGACTTTTACTCATGGCCATGCATAGGAAACGTCAGTTACGTGACGCCCACGTTACATGCGATGTTTGGGATTCCTACACCAAACAACAGTTACCCCCATAATCCAGTATTTGCGGCTTCTGCAGGGACAGACGAAGCTCATCAGGAGGCCGTGACCGTTGGCAAATCTCTCGCGTTGATCGGATGGGAGATGCTGACGGATAATGACATGTACGAGGCCGCGCATCAGCAGTGGAAGACGGAGATCGAACGAGGAGATTAGGTTCTGGGGCAAGGATTGGACCTCTAGAAAATATATTGTGCCTGAGTAGACCAGCAACCGAAGTTCTAATTCTTCTACTTTATTTCATTTGAGCTCGTATTTCCTTCGCCGCTTCAGGGGCGGCTATCATGCTCTTATCGGTGGGTCGTCTCAAACTTCAGCATGAGCCCGTGGTTCAACTTCTTTCTCTCCCTCCCCGCATTTCTGCATGTCTAGCCTCCAGCAGATCTCCAAAGCGAGCGCGTGGAGGAAATATTAATGTCCTCATGTCTGGGAGGAATGCGCCGCGCTCAAAGAATGGTGAGCTCCAAGATTACCCACCCCCCACCCCGGCTTTTCCGTCTGGCTCCGGGAAACGCGAAACTGATCAGAATGTCCGACCCCAGGCTGCAGCACCTGTCGCCGACGCAAGGTGAAATGCGGCGAGGAGCGCCCCATCTGCAATCGCTGCGCAAATCTTCGTCTGGACTGTGAATGGGGAGTCCCGGTGGCGAGAGGCCACAGTTCGCGGGTCCGGCACCTAAAGCCCGCCCCGACGACCCGCCATCATGATGATATCGAGCCTGTATCCGAAGTCTCAGAAGGCGATGCAATGGACCTCTCTCCAACTGCGCTTATTCCGGGCCTCTCACCGGTCTCCTGGACTGGTGACGGGTTTCATTTGGAGACCTCGCAAGCAGCGGCCTTTTACCCTCCCTTCCCGTCTGCCGCGTTCACAATGCGAATGTCCACGCCCCTTTGTGCCCCCATGAGCACGTCAGGACTCGCATGCGCTAATTCCCTGGTCCTCAACAAGCATGACCGGAAATATTTTGAGTACTTTCCATCTTCATCAACCGTCTACTACTATATGAAGGGCTGGCACTGGAGTAGCTTCTCTTATCTTTACCAAGGCCCCGCGACAACCAACAAAGTCATAATGCGAATGATCCTTGCGCTTTCTGCGAGTGATATGCATCGCCAGGGACTGGTAGCGCCGTCCCTTGGTCATTCAACGGCGGATGATCACGGTCGATATCATTACAGCCAAGCCGTCAAGGAGTTTCGGCAACTCCTCGAGACCCCTCGGCGACAGGTCTCTGTGGATGAGTTGGAAACGATATTTGCTACAATATTCTTAATGGTCACCTACGAATGGCAGTTCGGTACCTCGGTGCGCCATCTCCAGCTTCATCTGCACGGAGTACGATCCTTGCTAGAGTCACATCCCCAGTTATTCCGTCTGAAGGATGTGAACGACGTCTTCCTTGCTCCCGAGAACGAGGAGCTCCTTCCCGAGGATAGAGTGTCATCTAAAGTATCCTTTATTTCTGAACAATTCTTGCTATGGATGCTGTGAGTGTTCTTGCCTTTTGTCCCCGCCCGTTTGCAAGTCCTTTCGCTCACACAGAGATCAGATATATCGATGCCAGTTTTCGACCTATGGGACTCACAGAGTCACTATATGATTACGTCCTGCAGTCCAAAAACCCGGCGCTACACCCGGATCATCTTCACCGGTGCGCTCGACTCTGGGGCCGGTGTTACTGGGCGGAGCAGTATCCGGATCAGGAGGTCTTGGATGACATTGAAAATTACCGAGCGCTCGAGCTGTTACACGCAGGATTTTGCATGCGGCATCGCATATGGAAGGTGTTAATCAATTCAGAAGTTGAAGGGGATTCCTCAGAGTCCCTCTCGCGGGAGATGGTCTCGATTCGTGATGTAAATGCCCTCTGAGCGAGCTCCCCATGCAGGTTTTTTTTTTCTTTTGGTTTTGCTGACAACCCTAGAAATATTCCGATCTCTTCATCACCGCGAAATTATCCGGGGCAATCTCCAGTCGTCGCACCCTGAACACCGTCTATATGGCTGTGTGTCAATTATATGCGCAGATCGTCTTTCACCGGCGGGTGCTGCGTGCACATGTGCCCCCAACAGCGGTTCATCGGCAAGCCGTCGTGGGGATAATCGAACTTGTGCAGAAGCAGCATTCGTCCGATCCGCGCCTTCTACGGCGGCTATACTGGCCGATTCTGATGGCTCTCATCGAGACGAATGACGTGATCCACCAGGCGTGGCTCCGAGAGCGCCTCTTTGACTGTCGCGACTTCAACTCGGAGTGCCGATGGGCCAACGAGGTGGCCGACCAAGTACTCGTCTTGCAAGACGCGGGCCAGGGCTGTTACGCCGACCTGGCCGAACTCCTCCTCCAACGGTTCCACGTGCTATGAGATACCCCCTGCCACGTACTTATGATGATGATGAATATGATAAGAGATGATAATACCAATAATATGCATAACCCCGTCAGTGGCGCGATGCGTCGTCATTCCCATTTCCAGTAATCTCGCGGTCGCGGTTCGAGTTGGCGATACGCCCGGGGCAATTTGACTTCGCAACTAGAAAGCCAGAGACGCTCTCGTGGGACGAACTTCCGTGTACATGCGGTTATCTATCTCACTCGCAGAGGAACCGGCTGGACCCAAGCGCTCCTTCCTTTTCAGGACTGGCGCTTTGCGCATCTTGTTCGTGAGACTATACGTGTGTTGGTGGCGTGTGGCTGGCAGTATCTTGATATCCCCGACTCACGTGATTCCGGGGCGACTTCTTCAAGTTGGCTCGGTCGCCTCGGTAATTTCGGTCGCTTTCTGGCGTTGTGGGCCAACCCCGGCGAACAGCCGAAATCACTTTTTCTGTTCTCTTACTGTTTCTGGAATTCGAATATTCCTAATTTTTGCCCCAGATGCCGGACTCCGTGGAGAGATCCCATCGGAAAGAAGCGCGTATTGCTGGGAAACCCAAATCCCATTTGTTGCCACCGCCACATGACTAGCAGCTGCATAGCACTTTCAAGGCTCGGTTGCATTCCCCGGATCTTCATTGGGAAATCCTTATCTTGTCCGGTTGGGTGCTGGGTGGAACCGAAGATTCAAATTACGGATTGTGATTGCGCTGGAATGTTTTAGAACTCGTATTGGCAGGAGGGTTCGAAGCCCGAGAGCTTCTTTGACCGGACGCGCGGCGGGAGTCCGGCATTGACTCGCGTTGCCGGCTCTAGCACAGCTTCCAGCACAGCGAATTCAGCCTCGATTCCTGATCCAAGGAACTGGAAGGAACTTTCAACCAGCTTGCCCTGTTCCATGGCCTGATAGGTAGTCTGGACCCCCAGGGGCAATCTTATCTCGAGGAAATCAAAAAGCAAAGAAACCAACCGCATCGCCACCGGGGAGTCCGTACAACAGGAAGCTAAAGATAACCCAAAATGCGAACGCAACCCCGGAGTCCCAAAGTCAGTGCCACCGGCCTATCATAATGGCTGAAAGCTTGTCTTCGGTTGGCTGAAAAAGGTTCTGGCGCAGGCTAAGCCTCGGATGCTACCCTCGAGGCGCCACATGGGCGACCTTTAGCGATCTCTTAGTGCTTTTTAGTGCTTCTAGTGCCTCCTGGACCCTCTGGTCGTAGGTCCCGTCTCCTCCCTTCATCTGCCAATCAGCCAATCCCGCTTATGCATGGTCCAATGGAACGTGCCGCTGCGGTGCGCATTCCAATCTCAACCCGGCTGCATTCCCCGTTCCAGTGCATTCCCCCGTCCCCACCCTTATCATGGCGATGCTTGTTCCCAATCTACCGCCATATCGCGTGACTGACCAGTGCCATTTGAGTAGTGACTTCTCGTCTGGAAGTATCGTGCGGGAAAAATGGACACAGCAGGCTCAATTGGTCTGGTGTACGGGGGGGGTGATGGTGAAGGAGGATGTTCTCTCATACGGGGTGAGAGGAAGTCCTGGTCGACTTTCCGCGAACGGCAGTCTTTTGGGCCACATTCGAACGTCGTGTTATCGCATAAATGGAGATTGCAATCTGGGGCCTAATCAAAGAAATCCAGAACGCCCACACGCACTAGTCTGCTAGCGTATCGGCTTCCATAACTTTTGCGCTTCAATCCATTGGCGCACGGTGCCACCAGACTTGCCCCCCTCCCAGCACCGGTTGTCCTACAAAACCGGCAGTCCTGCTCCTCTAAAATTCCCATTCTCGTCTTCAAAATCGTGCTCCCTCTGGTAGGCTCTCCGCACTATGGCAACCGTGCTCCCCGGCCCTTTGGGCATTACTGCTCCTACGGAGCTGGTCAACGAGGCAATCGCTAGCCCGGACCAGCTTCGCAAGATGTCTCAGGCTGGCGATCATCCCGGCGTGCGTGAACGCCAGTGGGGGTCTGGAGGCGCGTCTCGATCCCTCGGTCACCTTTGAAGAGATCACCTACTGGGCCAAGGTTGAGCGTGAAATGGAGGAGGAGGAATACCGACGCTACAAGGCCATGACCGCCGAACACACCTTCACTGACCATGTCAAAGGCTACTTCAGCAGCGATCGCTACGACGACGTCAAGAAAATGCATGATACCTCGCGTGCGCTGCAGGTCAGTGAAGAGAGTGCCCACTGGTCTGAGAAGGACACCAGTCCTGACGTCAAACCAATTGGACCTGCCACTCACGACTTGGATGCCGAATGGCGGCAGGCTTCTCGCGCCCTGCGGACTGCCAGCTGGGGTGGTGTCTTCTACTTGATTACCACCGACATCCTGGGCTGGGGCCAGACACCGTATGTCTTTGCCAATGACGGCTATGGCCTCGGGGCTGGTATTTTCGTTCTCATGGGCCTGGCTGCCGGTTGCGCCGGCTTCATGATTTGGAGAGTGTTCATTGGCCTGGACTCTTCTCGTTACCCTATCATGAGTTACGGTGATCCCTTCTTTCGTCTGTACGGCCCCTGGATGCGTCACTTCATCAACGTCGCTCAGGCGATCCAGATGTTCCTCACTGTTGCGGTCGTCCTTCTGGGCCAGACGGGTTTGATTGCCCAGCTCGCTGGTAGCGTCAACCTCTGCTATGTTGTCTGCGGTATTATCTCCCTCGTCGTGTCAATGGCCAGTGGAGGTATGCGGACTTTGAAGCACCTTGGCTGGTTCTGTAATGCGGCGGTGTGGATCAACATTGTCTCCTTCATTATCATGTGAGTGTCCACGAATGGGGGTGTACAGGCTCTGTTGCTAATTCGGTAACTCTTTAGTTGCGTTGCCGCCGCCAAGTATGGACCTGACCCAGCTGCAGCTGTCCAGAACGGTATCTTGAACAAGGCCTGGGCAAGCGTTGACACCATGGCCCCCGTCAGGACGTTCGCGGGCACACCCCCACCGGAGTATCAGCAAACCAACACGGACCTCTTCGCCGCTAAGTTCAACGGAATCAACAGCATGGTTTGTAAGTTTGAACTGGTTCTCTTTCGACGGGCTCGTAGACCAGCCTTACTAATTAAATCTTTTAGACGCTTATTCCGGTGCCGTTATGTTCATTGCTTTCTTGTCCGAGATGCGTCATCCCATGGATTTCTGGAAGGCGGTCCTCCTCGCCCAGGGCTTCATCACTGCGGTTTATATCTTCTTCGGCGCTTTTGTAAGAATGCGATCTTCCCTCCATTCATGAAGAGATACTAATCTCCTCCTGAGACGTACAGCTACTATGGCCAATATGCCTATACCACCATTTCTCAGACTGTCCGACCTCTCGGCCTCCAAATCGTCAGCAATGTGCTCGGCCTCATTACCGGCTGGCTCGCAGTCTGTATGTTTCCAAAATGCTTCACGACGGATAATAGTTTCGCCCACTAACAAAGCCTTAGTCTTGTACTTTAACGTTGGCATGAAGGTCGTTTACCTTGAAGTTGGTCAACAGATCTTTGGGTTGCCTCCCATTTCCACCACTAAGGGCAAGTACTTGTGGTGGGCTCTTGGGCCCTTTTACTGGATCGTTGCCTTCGTGGTGTCGATGTCTGTGCCCCAGTTCAATGCGTTCACCAACTTTGTCGGAGGTCTCTTCAGTCTGAACTTCACTTACTCCTTCTCCGGATTTATGTACTTGGCATACAAGATCCACCAAGGCGCGGCCCTTCCCGGCGAAGGCTTCGACCCTGTCACCGGCGTTACTACCCGCCACGACGAAGGACCCAAGAGATACATTCGTGGATTCCTCAAGCTTTGGTACATCACCATCCCTGTGCTAAGCTTCACTTGTGCCGGTCTCGCCGCATCTGGTATGGGTACATGGGCCGCTGTTGAGGGTTTGAAGGCAGCATTTGGACCTGGTGGTTCGGTGTTGACCTCTTGGACTTGCGTAAATCCTTACTATAACCCATAGCCGAGAGACCTCTCTGTGGTTCAGTCGCCAGGTCCAAGGCAGCCCACTCCTGGTTCTGTTTCTTACTTGGTTTCCATGAGATATGATCATTGAAGCGCACTTGGGGAAAGGGCAGATTGGGTGAATTGCTGCCATGATGATGACATGTACGACTTGGACAATTGTTTAGTCGCGATAATGACATAATAGGACATATCCACTCCGTTCAATATTAATTTTCCAGAGAGCTTTTTCAGAGCTCATACTAGTAGATACTTCATCATATGTTCAAAGAATAGACGTTGCGATTTGTTGCCGGATGGATGAATCGGGTAAGCCATTTCCCGCTGGGCTGCATCCCAACACAAAATGCGTGAAGAAAGTAGCGGGGGCATAGATAAAAAGAGTGTAGTGTCTACTTATACAGTATGTGACTTACATTAAGCGGGGTCTGAAGTAAACGATACTCGTGTCAGGAAGTGACTAACTACTATGTCGTGAATCCAATCCTTCGTTGTCGAAACCTAGGGATATACGGACTTGGATATTCTCGTTCAAGCACTTGGGAGCAATCAAGTGCCACAAGACACCCACCCAGATGATAAAGTAGAATGAGAGTATTTGTGTCGCTCACGCCTTTGATTATGCGACACTAAACACGCATGTCTTCGCCCATAGATCCATAGATCTGGTGGAGGCGAATCTGGCATGGAAAGCATTCGGCAATGGGACTCGGGTACGAATTTGCCATTCTTCCGACTGAACGGAACCCCAATGGACGTGGAACTGCCGGGGTGGAAGGTCAAAGGGATGCGAATGGATGCACCGCCATGGGATCGATCCCCTTGATGATCTTGAACTCAATCTTTCTCATCTCCGTGTTCGGCGTTCCTCTCGAGGTACCACTACCGCTCCATCCCCCGCCATCATGCCGACCGGCCTTCTCTACGTGACAATGCAGCCCAAGGGCTCACTGCCCGACGCCCAATTCCACGACTGGTATAACACAGAACATGGACCTCTGCGTCTCCGGTTGCCCTTTGTTACCAATGGCTTCCGCTTCCGCGCTACCGATGGCGAGAAGCCCGAATACGTTGCGCTGTACGATATCACCGATATGGACGAGCTGACCCAGAAAACATATCTGGATCTGCGAACAGACTTAGTCAAGACCGAGCGGGAGAAGAAGACGATGGCCCAGATCGACGTTGGGCGGAAACTTTACGACTTGGTGGACGAGCTGAGCTCCCCCGCGTACCGCGCACTGGAGGATCGCGCCGACACAGACCCCGAGACGCGGGGCACCGTCATGATTGCCGTGACCACCGTCACTCACCCGGATCCGGAGAAAGAGGCGGAGCATGACCGCTGGTACCACGAAGAGCATTTCGAGATGCTCTCTCGTGTCCCCGGATGGCGTCGTAGTCGTCTCTTCCGCACGGCGGCAATTGACTCGGCCGCCCCCCGGGAGACTCTAGCTCTGCACGAGTATGCACCACACAACGGACTGGGAGGGGAGGCCCACAAGGCTGCCATGAGCACCCCGTGGAGAGACCGCCTCGTCAAGGATGTCGTCGCTTCCAAGTCCCGTCGCACCTACCAGTGGTATTACACGTTCGGACCGGCCCCTCGCGAGCTGGCCTCGTTAGCAGCTCCGGATGTCATTGGACCCTGGGCTTCTAACGATGGCAAGACCCGCACATTTCCTTCAGCTACGCGGCCGGCTGTGGAATCTTTTATAACTACCAAAGATGGCGTGGAGATCCCCTATCGACTGGAGGGCAACACTGATCCAGGTGCCCCCGTGGTCGTCCTCAGCAACTCGATTCTGGTCAACTGGAACATCTGGGATCGTTTTGTGGACGTGTTCCTTTCCCGGCCTCAGAACCAGAAGTATCGCGTTGTGCGATACCTGACCCGTGGCCGCCACTCGGCCAGTGGTGAACAGCCGGTGAACATCGATTTGTTGGCATCCGACCTGGCCACCTTGCTGGAGGCGCTGCGAGTGGCCCCAAGGGCGCCCGTCTGATCGGAGTCAGTCTGGGCGGAGTGACGGTGCTCAATGCATCCCTTCTATATCCAGAGCGCATTGCGGCGTTCATTGCCTGCGACACCAACTCATCCGCGCCAGAATCAAACCGGAAGGCTTGGGGAGATCGCGTAGCAATGTGCGAGAAGGAAGGCGCCGTGGACCCGACGACGAAGGAGCCCATCGTTGGCGAGGAGCTCGCAGAGGCTACCACTCGACGCTGGTTCGTCCCCGAGTCCTACGAGACACAGCCGGAGGTGCTAGCGCCCGTCAAGGAAGCCGTTCGCACGAACAGCCTCAAGGGCTTCGTGCACAGTGTGCAAGCGCTCTGCGCTTACGATATCCGCGAGCGCATGGCGTCGGCGACCGTGCCAGGACTCTTTATTGCGGGCGCCAATGATGGTGTTCTGCCTCAGACTATGCAGAAGATGGCGGCTGATCTGAAAGGCGGAGCTGAGCTGAAGATTATTGACCGCGCAGGCCATCTTCCCATGGTCGAACAGCCCGCGTCATTTGCGGATGTTGTGACAGAATTCTTGGGCAAGATTGACGAGTGAAAAAAAAAAGGAAGAACATAGTCTGCTAGTTCTTAGGAAGTATGATGATACAATGCACAAATCTCACGAGTATCGGGCAAGGTGGATGCCATCACAAGCGTTGTGTCCCTTAGTTTTCCTTACTTTTCGCAGCAATTAAGACAAATATTATAGTATTTTGCCACGTTGGCATGTATCTGCCTTCCCCTTGAATAGACCAGCCTCTTCTCCCATCCTTTATCCATTGCGAGCTGTTCATGGAAACCTCGTGGCTCGATCAAGTGGGAAACGTCGTGTGCTCTGCGGCGCCCGACTCCCGCCAAGCGCGCAAGTTTCGCCCCCCTCCGCCTGCTCCGCTTCGATCTGTTCTTTCCCCCCTCCAAACTACCCTGACATCCACGCCATGACCGACAGTAAGGTCCCCCAGCCGGGACCAGCAAAATTGAAACGAAATGCTGGCCCCGACGAGTGGCTGGCGGCGGCCAAGGATTGCAAGTACCTGTCCGAGGCCCACATGAAGCAGCTGTGTGAGATAGTCAAGGAATATATGATGGAAGGTAAGATCCGAGCCCCCTGCTTGGGGTTTCTTGGTTTGGCTTGCCGCTCACTCACGCCCCAGAGTCAAACATCCAACCCGTATCGACCCCGGTGACGGTCTGTGGCGATATCCACGGCCAGTTCTACGATCTGTTGGAACTCTTCCGAGTCTCGGGTGGCATGCCTGACGGCTCCGAAGCAGACGCGCCCAAAACATCCACCGCGGTCATCACCTCAGACGACCTCGAACCCCCATCTTCCATCACAGACCCTAAACTCCGAAAGAAGTTGCGGAGCCCCAAGGGCAAGAGTGGAGAGGACGACGAAGATAATGGCTCCGATGCCACCCCTCGCAGCAGATCTACAAGCGACACGTCCAACGATATTCAACCGAATCGCAACTTTGTGTTTTTGGGAGACTACGTCGATCGTGGATACTTCAGTTTAGAGACATTGACCCTGCTACTTTGTCTCAAGGCCAAGTGAGTTGGAAACCCTTGCCCTGCGTCACATCAGGTTGGGGATCATTATGCGGGGAATATTGCAGCTGACATGCGACTGAAAATTAGATACCCTGATCGAGTCACCTTAGTGCGCGGGAACCACGAATCACGACAGATCACTCAAGTCTACGGATTCTACGAAGAATGTTTCCAGAAGTACGGAAGTGCCTCGGTGTGGAAGGCATGCTGCCAAGTCTTCGATTTCATGACGCTGGGCGCCATCATCGACGGCAAGGTTCTGTGTGTACATGGTGGCCTCAGCCCCGAAATTCGGACCCTGGATCAGGTGCGCGTGGTTGCCCGAGCTCAGGAAATTCCCCATGAAGGCGCATTTTGCGATCTGGTCTGGTCAGACCCCGATGATGTGGAAACCTGGGCCGTCAGCCCTCGAGGTGCAGGTAAGGCGAACCCGATAATGCGTGTCTGTGGTTTATCACTGAGAACGAAAACTGACTGACTTCTCTTACACCTACAGGCTGGTTGTTCGGAGACCGTGTTGCCGACGAGTTCTGTCACGTCAACGACCTGTCCCTGATTGCTCGCGCGCACCAGCTGGTCAACGAGGGATATAAATACCACTTTGGCAACCAAAACGTGGTGACAGTGTGGAGTGCGCCGAACTACTGCTACCGATGCGGTAATCTGGCCTCTGTCTGTGAGATCGGAAACGACCTCAAGCCCACCTTCAAGTTGTTCAGTGCAGTCGGCGACGACCAACGGCATATGCCCACATCGCGGCCGGGCCGTAGTGAGTATTTCCTGTAACATTCTCAGCAACAAGATTTGCAAGCATCGGCGTTTTTCTTTGGGATTGGCGAGGAAGTCCTTTAGACTTCCCATTGTATGGGGGTGGGGATGATGAGCATTTACCGTAATGATCTTAGACACGAAATGAACGAATGTCTATGCTTTTCCAGAGCTCATCCGCCTATCCTCCAGCCTTGGCCCAACTTCTATCTTGTCTTGTCTCTTGGCCTTGGTATCTCAACACATGGATTGAAAGGGAGCTTGTAGTTTAAAAAGGTCTCGTGATGGCGATTGTTCGAGCAGTGCCGGCCGTCTGCGTATCGCCTGATCCCGTAACTCCGAGTGTCTACTTCATCATTCGAAGTCCTCCAGACACCGCGGCCCCAATCAGGATCACTAATCCCTCGGTTCTCGCGACTAAGAAGGGCCTTTGAATCTCGGCCTTTCGCTTTTTCAGCCATCGACGAACAAGCTGGACCCTACCCAGCGCCCTAAACGGGACCATGACAACGGAGATGATGTGTCAGCAAAGCGCGGCGGATTCCGCCCTGTCAACGAATCGTAGTACAAAGACAACGGTTAAGACCAATAGAATCATTGACACCTTGGGAGACAACCCTTGATGATGTGATTAGGCAACCCTTGGTGATGTGATCAGATTATGCAGCTCTAGCTTCTCGCCGAGTGCAAACAGGCCAAGGGCCCCTAGAATGGGTCCAACTGGACAAACTGCGCAAATTGTCGATCTCCATGATCCTGGACTACATCGCAATTGTCGCAAATAGTCCCTTTCCGACAGTGGGATGTTGGATATAAAAAGGTGCCCACGATCCTGTTGGGTCTTGCTCCCATAGTGGAACGACATCACCTCTGATCATCTTCCTTTGAAAAGTCATTTCTGAACTCACATTCAACATGGCCATCAAGAAAGTCGCCATTGCCGGGGTATGTGTTGAGAGAGACGGTGCTCTGTACGTGGGGATACTGAACGGGAAAACCAGGCAACGGGAAATCTTGGTCCCAGAGTCCTCACTACTCTCCTGGATGCTGGCTTCGAGGTGACTGCACTGAGCCGCTCTTCGCCACACCAAATTGACGCCCGCGCGAAAGTACAAGTCGTTGACTACGCCTCGCGAGACAGCCTGGTAGCCGCGCTCTCCGGACAGGACGCCGTAGTGAGTACACTCAACGCCTGGGCTGTTCCTCGTGACATCCATCTGCTGCTGGTCGATGCCGCGCACGCCGCCGGGGTGAAGCGATTCCTTCCGTCTGAGTATGGCAGCGACACTTCTCATCCACTCGTGGCCAAATTGCCCGTATTCGGCGACAAGATCGCCGTTGTCGATCGCCTGAAGGAAATTGCTGCCAAGGACAGCGCTTTCACTTGGACCTCTGTCGTCAACGGTCCGTTCTTCGACTGGGGTCTGCAGAATGGGCTCCTTGTATCCCTGAAGGGGTCCTCGAGCCAGATTTTCAACGGTGGAGATGTTCGGTTTAGCACCACGACAGTGGCAGGGATTGCGCGCGCTGTTGCGGGTGTGTTGCAGCATCCCGATGAAACTAAGAATCGCTACGTATATGTTGCAGAGGCGGAGGTCACCCAGCATGAGCTTCTGCGGTGGTCGGGGAGAGCCAATCAAATCAAGGAAGAGCACATATCCCTCGAGGAACTGGAGCAGGGTGCCTATGCGGGGGTGAATGCAACGCCTCCTGACCTCAGGGCGTTTGCCGTTGGCTTGATTCGACGAGCGATATTTGACTCGGCTATGGTACCCAGTTTCCTCATTTGGATAATGATTTGCTGGGTGTTCGCAAATTGTCGGAATCCGAGATTGAGAACCTGGTTAAGCAGAATGTTTAGGGTTCTGCTCGGGCAGGTTTGAAGCCCAATTAACCTCATTTTGGATAGCCAGAAGTTAATTTCATTGCCATTTGTGATATCTGCTATTCGCTTGGAACTACGTGTCAGGGCTATGTAACGCTGATCAAAGAGAAGCTCCTCAATTTACACGAACAATGATGTGAATCAACCAAAACGAGAGCAGTGTACAAGACGTCCTCCCGAGGGTAGAGCAACACTCTTCAGTGTGTATTTCGGAAATTTATTCACTCCTCAGACTTGGTGTTAGTCTGCTCTTTCATGAACCCAGAGAAAAACCCGGCCATTTCTTCGTAGTTGTCCATCTCTCCGACCCAGCTTACATACTGGTCAGGTCGGACGATGACGCTGGCGCCATGGGCAGGGTTGATTCCATATTTCGCGTAAGCCTGGCCGTGCCCTTCGTGGTATGATTGGTCGTCGACAAAAACTTTCCAATAGTCCCAGCCCAACTTTTCATCGTAAGGGTGGAAGGCAGCGGGCAGATCTTGAAGCTCAATGCTGATGCGGGGCCCAGCATGGACGGTCAAGACTTCAATGACACTATCCACGGGTTGACTGGGAGGCGTAAACCTTCTAATGAATGAATCACGCGCACCAAGCTTCTCCCCCAGGTTGCCAAAGCGTTGTTTGGTTTCTGGGTTCGTCAAATCCCCCGGAAACACAAGCAGACGCCATCGCCCGGTACTCGGTAGCAGCTCCTGCAGATGCCAGGGGCGGGCATCCGATTGATTGAGTACTTTGAAGCTGGGCATACGTTTCCCAACCAAGACCCCGGTTGCCAGGTTTGATTTGCTGACAATGTTCTCATGGCTTTTATCTGTCTTGGCAACCAAGATACTTGGGCCGTAATCGACCGCTATCATCCAGATTAGTAAAGATTCGGTATGGCTGAGAGGTTTAAATCGTTCACATACCCGTTCCACTTGCGAATTCATTTCCTTTCTCAAATGCAGCCTGGAATTCTTCCATGCTTACCCCCTCTTCATCTAGGATATCTTTTGCAGGCCGTCCTGAAAAGAGTCGCGAGAAACGATGGTCGAATTCAATCAGATCAAGCGCAATCTGCCTCCTCTCGGTCTGGTATGTCTTTAGGATTGAACCGTCACTATATCCCTTGACCACATGTGCAATTTTCCATCCCAGGTTATAAGCTGGGTGGCATCAGCGAAACCGTCGTAACCTTATAACAGGGAACTCATGGATGACTCACTGTCTTGCATGCTCACGTTCATTCCTTGGCCAGCTTTAGGAGAATGTGTATGCACTGCATCGCCGGCTAGGAAGACACGCTCTTTCAAGGAGAACTCATTCCCTACCCTTTGCCCAATTTGGTATCCTGTCCACCAGTCACAGTATGTATAGTCGAGCTTATAAGGGTGGAGAATGCGCTGGGCCGATTGGAGAATAACCTCTGGGGTGATCCAGGACCGATCCGCCTTCCTCCCTCCCGTTTCATGTTCCGTTGCCTGCAGCTGAATATACAGCCGCACCAGCTTGTTTTCTCGAGGAATGACCATCACACTGCCATGGCTGGCGGAGTGGATAGCACAACGCTGTCGGATGTCGGGGAAATCGGTAATTGGAATGATGTCCAGAACCCCCCAGATATAGTCTGTGGAATCGCCTTCCAGCACGTACCCCAACTGGCGTCGAACCCACGAGTGCGCACCGTCACATCCTATGAGAAACTTGGCCTTCACTAATTCAACCTGATCCACTCGATTGCGTTTCTCGGCCGCCTGTATCAGCTCATTGGTATCATCGGCAGCCAAGTTGCTCCGAAAAAGGCCATCGCTGACAGTTTCACGGCCAGTTGAGCTACGGTGGTGCTGTTGTTGCTGCGGTGGAGCTGCCTCTTCCTCAGACAAGGTTCGCAGCGTCACGGAGATAGGATAATCCTCGAAGTCCGCGGCTTTCGCATCATCGAAGGAAAATTCGGTCGGAAGTACACCACGCTCCACCGAGATATCACTGTGTTCCTTGATTGAATCTAAAAAGAAGCGTTCGATTCTTCCCTGGTGGAGCACTACTTGCTGAAATCTACTGATTCCAGGGATGGTGTCCGGGATACGGCCAGACCGGCGAAGCCTGCCCTGTTCATCAGGATTCCAGAAGCAAATCTCGAGCATGTGGTTGGATTCTTTCCAGGCCTGGTCAGCAAAGCCGAACGAGTCGAAGATCTCCAGAGTTCGGCATTGCAAGCCATCTGCCTGTCCGTTATAGATCTATTCCAGCATGTCAGCTATCTAGGCTTCCCTGTGGGGGGATCTTTGGTTTCATTTTCACTCATTCAGGATGGAAGAGAAATTACCTTGCTACCACGTTTGTCAACAATACGTGTCTTGACTCCACATCGGCCCAGCCAATTGGCCAACATGAGACCAGCAGGGCCAGCCCCAATAATGAGCACATCGATATAGTCGGGAGCTGCCGTCGCGGACATGATGTGGAACCTCTCAAGGCAAAAAGAGAAGAAATCGAATTTGAATCGAATTTGAATCGATTTCAAGCCCCAAATAGTGAAGACCAACACTGACTATGTTCTTATATTACTGTCCTAGCTGCCCTTCCCCAGTATAGACGCGTCGGACATCGTGTGGGGGGGTTCGATCTCGACTGCCAATCACGAGTCCAGTTTCTCCTCCCCCACACTCCAAACGATCATCCAGGCCTCACTTCCCCCGCATCCGAATCGGATCGGACGAAGTGGGATACACTGGACAGGAGGGAAATCCGAAGCCCTCTCTATTCCCCCCGGGGACCATCGCCATGGAATTTCCCTACACTGTTGCCCCGCATCTGGATTATTTCTCCATTCCTCGGGCTGAATTTATCGCCCGTCGGCCAGAGTTCGACAGCTTCGCGGTGGGCGGCTATGTTTTCTCTCAGGATGGGCCCCTTGATGGACCAGCTACTCGCCGCATCCTGTTACTTCAGCGCGCTTTGACCGACTCAATGCTCGGATGCTGGGAGGGGCCTGGGGGCGCTTCCGAATCGGATGATCAAACCTTGCTGGATGGAGTGGTTCGTGAAGTCCTCGAAGAGACCGGTCTGCATGTATCGAAGGTGGTGGAGCTGGTTGGGGTAGACAGCTGGACCCACACTCGCCGTCTTGACGGGGTCAAATTCCGCATAGCGAAGTATTCCTTCATCGTGGAAGTTTACGAGGCTTTCCAGCAGCCGCTCGAACGGATCCCGGTGCCAGTGGCTACCGAGGAAATCCCTGTGCGTCTAGAAGCTACAGAGCATCAGGCATTCGAATGGGCTACGGAACAAGAGGTACGGGACTCTGCACAGACAGGCCAAGGCAAATATAAGCTCTCATTGCCATCAATGGGGCCCCAAGGGGCCAACATCCTGCGATCGTTCGAGATGATCAGAGCGCGTGATACCAATTAAGAGTAAACTAGGAGAATCTCATGAGATCAAGATTCAAACATAATCTCTCCTCAAGTTAACAATCTTCCCTCAAAACAGCAAGTCATCTTCCACCGGAAGGGCGCCCTCAGCCTGCATCCGCAGGCCCACTTCATCCGCTTCCTTCCATACTCGCAACAGATTACCGCCCGCAACTTTCGCGGCATCTTCGTCACTTACCCCACGTCGAAGGAGTTCCGCTATAAGGTCCGGGAACTTCGACACGTCTTCTAGTCCCCGGGAACCGAAGCAATCCCATCAAAGTCACTGCCCAGCCCGACATGATCGTAGCCCGCAATAGTACCAATGTACACGATATGGTCTACAACACGTTCCAGGGTGGCTTCCTCGTGAATCACGCCGGGGATTCCATTCGCATTGACGGAGTCAGTGCAAGCGATGAACTCGGGGGCGAAATTGACCATCACAATTGAGTTTCTCTCTCGTACCAGATGCAAGACATCATCAGGGACATTGCGAGGGTGAGGGCAGAGAGCTCGTGCGGAGCTGTGGCTGAATATCACAGGAGCCCGACTGCCCTTCCATCCGTTCTTCCCTGCGCCCAGTACATCGCGCATTGTATCGGTGCTCACATGGGCCAAGTCCACCAACATCCCGAGACGGTTCATCTCGAATACCAAGTCCTGACCGGCAGGACTTACTCCGTTCCACAGGGGCTCTGCCTCGACGACGCCACCACCTGGCTGTTCGGTTAATGCCGCGTCGGCGTAGCGGTTGTGACAGTTATGGGTAAGGGTTGCGTAGGAGACCCCCAGCTCGTGAAAGATGCGAAGCTGCGATAGCGAGTTTCCAATCGAGTGCAGTCCCTCGATCCCCAACGGAGATATGATTTTCCCCTCTCTAAACGCCTGGAGGGCCGTGGTCCCGTTGGGAGGCGCCGAGAATACATCGGGATAAGCTTGCTGAAGACGTGAGGTCACGTCCACTTGCTCGAAAGTGAGCCGAACGCCTATATTTCCGCCCCATGCTGCATTAGCAGGCGAGGCAAGCTAAGATGGACATAGAAAGAGACAAGACTACATACTTTGGGCATAGGCTTCGTCTGAAAAGTCGGTCTTGTTATCGGGGCAGGGGACGAAGACACTCCAAAACGAACCCCCAACGCGACCTTGCCTCAAGCGCCCGATATCCGTGTGGCCCACAAATTTTCCACTTTTGAATGCTTCCGTGAAGTTGTCTCCATAGATGTGGTTTTTCAAATGAATGCGGAGCAGGATCGGTAAGTCGTTATGGCCATCTAAAAAAAAAAAGTCAGAAGACATTCTTGCACTGGAGATCTAGCCCTAACGTACCGATCAAGGGTGTGTGAGTTAAGATTTTCTGTACTCTTTCCTCGATGGTTAGAGGACCCGGTGCTGCTCGCAAAGTTCTCAGCCACAAGAGCCACTGCCCGGCCACCAAAATGAGTAGCAGTAAGGCCCAAGCAAGGTAGTCTGAAGTTCTCCGAGTCCGCTTCGAGTGCAGACTTCGTGAGACTCCGGACGTTGCCGCTGGTAGCTTTTTGGAAGCGTTTTTCTCCATTATACAACAGCGTTCATTGAACAGAACCGGAAGACTGTAAAGGAGAAGGAGTGACGCGAGGAGCAGCCCTGGAGTAGTTACGTAGTGTCGCTTACTTCATACCGGGGCCGGTCCTAGTGCCCCCGACGATGCAGTGGAATACGACGCTGCGTCACCAGTATTTATTGTTTAGCCAAAGACAAAGGGGTACTTTCCTGGCGGTCGCGTTGGGGATGTCCTCGCCCACCATAAAGTTACGTGACACAAAGGTCTCGTAGAGAAACGGGTAATTTTCAACCCTCCCTATGAGTAATAGGATGTATACGCTAACGGCCCGGAGATAAGGATGAACGTAGAGGTGCTAGTAAGAAGTGCTAGCGGCAAGCTGGAGATAATTCTAGCATGGTTCCATCCGGATGCCCGGATGGTCCGTAGGGTCATGGACCCGCTGTCTCTAAAGATACGGTTCAGCGCCATACCTAAATAAGTATGGCTGAGTTAGGTATACCCACACTTGACTAAATTTCATGTTTCTCCTTATCTTGCTCCTTCGCCTCGTAGGTGCTTCGCGGTATAACAATTATCAACCAATACGTATATAAAGAAGGGCGCTGCTAGAATAATATTTTGATGCCTTTAATGTAGGATAAGCTTCTACGGTTGAGTGCGAGTTGGCCGAGGGTCAGAGGATCCGGGGAGACTGGCGAGGATATCCAGAGAGCCTAGGCTCGCCCGTGGGGATATCAGCGGGACTGTAATAACAATAGTCCATAATCTGTACTAGTATCTTTGAACATGCCTAGAACTTCCTAGCCGAATAGAACCTAGTGGCTACCACATAACTTCAGTTGCGCTAGTGTATGAGGCCCGGACTCTACCTGCATGCACATCTGCGACATGAAGGCTCGCGGGGTGGAGGGTCAGAAACTTGACTCGACCCAATTGGCGACTTTGGAGCAAAATGATTTATCAGCGCAAGTCCAGCGCCAACAAACCCCCCTTAACAAATAGGGTTCACAGAGATTATACGAAGAATATAGAGCCCAAATTTCTCATGTGTTAACGGCTCTTTTGTTCTGCTCATGCTAGCTGAACATCCCACTGGTAGTGAAGGGTGTATGTCTGAACTTATCATATAGCCCGTGTAAAGACGGTGTCAGATGAAGCCCCTGGGCCACCTGCATTGAGCCCGAACCTCATGGCTCGTACCGATAGAAATACGACGAGCTCCAGTCTCAGGCATCCTTCTTCACTAGGCTAGAGATCGCGGGGTGGACTTAGGTCAAACATGGGCGCCACATCCTCACACTCAACGACTGGACTGGATAGGCCAGAGCGAGCAAATCTTGGCTGGACCCACCAAAGACCAGCTGAATCCTAATAGGGTGGGCTTCTTATTGCTCTAGACTTTTAAGGCCTGAGACCTCCTCTTACAGGAGCGTGAGTGGACCCTTGTTGCTGCCAAGCCGTTAACCATCCCACACCGGTAAGAGCAAAACCAGTAGTTCAGGGCCATTGTCAGATCCCAAGGCCTGGTCTGTGCTATCTTCCGCGAGAGCAGATCCAACGAAGGGGAGTCATGTTCAAGATCCTAAATTAAATGCCTTGGCAGCATGCGGTGGATCCAGGGCCCCTCAAGTGTCAACGGCTAGCCCTACAGCCCCGGGGCCATTACCTTAACGTGACCATCCTGCTCATCCCTAGAGGCCGCAGCTGACCCACTTGAATTGTAGGACTTCGGCTGGATGACTATGTACTTGAAGGAGTAGTCTATGGATCATCTAATCGCGCAATGACAAACTACTTAGGTGTGATTCCCGTTATGGGAAAGATTCGGACTCGGAGGCCTTGGATGACCTTTATGGCAGCATTAGTTACACGATGTCGCACATAGTACCGAGCCAATCTACATTAGGCCTGGAGGCGAGGCCATGTTACTACCCATCTAGAAAACAATTCGGTAGTACATGCCCTCTAAACGGCAAGCAGGTGGCGTATGCATCACAAGGGTGTCAAATCTTCAAGGTGTCGGCAGAGCAATATGTTCAACTAGCATTTTACTTTCAGGGCCTGATTCAAGTTGCACCATGGCCTACTAATACATATGTGGTCACAGTGGGCATCCTTTGAGCGCCGAGGCTCTTTAGGCCCTTGATAGACTTCCTAGCATTGCCTCCTAAGTATGGCAAGGTGCCAGAATATAGCGGGCATATTGGGATCAAGGGCCGGGATCAAGGGCCCCCCAATATTCGGAGGCTTACATGAGAACATTATTACAAGGTTTTAATCTATAATTTGGTCTTGTCTTGGGGTTCACTACTCGATAAGCTACCGAATGCCTTCTCAGTGGTCTTCACGAGGCTCGGCAGTCCAGACATGCAATCCGCGCCCGCTGATTTGCTCCGCTCTCCCCCACTTCTTTTTTTTTCCACCTTTCGCTCCCCCCGCGCGATTCTCGTAGATGTCAACATCATGGACGAGACATTCGGAGCGAATGGTGAGCGATGTTTGATCCGATACAAAGGAAAAGCCTGCTAATCATCTCAATAGCCCTTGTAGCCGTGTGGCATACCTACCGTCTCCCCCTCCTAGGGCTGGTCGCGGTCGTCCTCGTGCTGCACGCCTATCGCCAGTTGCAGTCTAAATCAAAGACTCCTGCTTCAGCCTCAGTTCCTCCATCGCCGCGTGCCCTATCCCCGAGCCCCGATGCAAAGTTCTCCGCGACTGAAAGTGAACCCTCCACATGGGCGACAAAGGAGATCAAGAAGCCTGTCCCTTCTGTGAATGGCAACCCACCGACCGTTGGTCCCAAGCGCGTGCAGGGAAAGAAACCGGCTAAAACGATTGGCAAACGGCGCGAATCGGAGGAAAAGATCCAACCCATCACTCATATTCAGCCCATCATTTTTTTTGCCTCCTTGACAACCACGACCGAACGCTACGCCAACGTCCTTCTGGAAGACCTCCGAGCTGCAGCCCAAGATCAAGCAGACCCAGAAACCCGTGCCAGCGGCCTTTTGCCTCCACAGATTCACGATATTTCTTATATTGACTTCGATGACTTCTTTCTTTCTGTCCCAAAGCCACCGTCCACTTCCCCCGGCACTCGCTACGTCTACTGCATTCTCGTCCCTACCTACAATATTGATACCGTGCTCAACACCTTCCTGGGCCATCTGGATGAAACACACAATGACTTCCGTATCGACACGGCGCCTCTGTCTCAATTGGCCGGCTACTCGGTGTTTGGGTTCGGTGACAAGGAAGAATGGCCGACCGAAGAAGAAGGCTTCTGTACACAAGCCAAGGATATTGATCGATGGATGGCAAAGCTGACCGGTCGGAAACGAGTCTATCCTCTGGGACTGGGCGATGTGAAGAGCGATGCGGCATCCGCTCTGAAGGAATGGACCAAAGGTCTGCAGGATATCTTCTCTGATATTCTGAAGACGGGCGGTCTTGGAGAGGGCGTCGAAGGCAGTGGTGATGCGGTGGAGAGTGACGAAGAAGATTTCGATGAGAATGAGCCCAAGTTCCAAAAGGATAAAGCTCAGACTATGGTGGATCTTGAAGATATCAAGGTAAACAGCAATTCTGCTGCTCCTGTGCCGGTTGACTTCACCACCGTCGGCAAGTCAGTCGTTTCAGAACCCACAGCCAAGGAGATGGTCCCCAAGACATCGCCAACATATGCTGCCTTGACCAAACAAGGCTACACCATTGTGGGCTCGCACTCGGGTGTCAAGATCTGTCGATGGACCAAGTCTGCTCTGCGTGGACGTGGCTCTTGCTACAAGTTCTCATTCTACGGCATCCGCTCTCATTTGTGCATGGAAGCTACTCCGTCCCTTTCTTGCAGCAACAAGTGTATTTTCTGCTGGCGTCATGGCACCAACCCGGTGGGGACCACTTGGCGTTGGAAGGTTGATTCGCCGGAGATGATTTTTAATGGAGTGAAGGAAGGCCATTATAAAAAGATCAAGCTCATGCGAGCCGTCCCCGGCGTCCGCGCCGAGAGATTTGCGGAGGCTATGCGGATTCGGCATTGTGCGCTGAGTCTGGTTGGTGAGCCGATTTTCTATCCTCATATCAACCGCTTCCTCGATATGCTGCACGCTGAGCACATCTCTAGTTTCCTGGTTTGCAATGCTCAGCATCCCGACCAACTGGAAGCTCTGAAGCGTGTGACTCAGCTATATGTCTCGATTGACGCGAGTGATCGAGAAAGTCCTCGCAAGATCGACCGCCCGCTTCACCGTGATTTCTGGGAACGTTTCCAGCGATGCTTGGACATTCTTCGTGAGAAGCGCCACGTTCAACGGACCGTATTCCGCCTCACCTTGGTCAAAGGATTCAACGTCGATGACGCAGTTATTGGGTATGCTAATCTCGTTGAAAAGGCCCTGCCCTGCTTCGTGGAGATCAAAGGTGTGACATACTGCGGAACGAGCACAAGTGCTGGCGCTGGCTTGACCATGCAGAATGTCCCATTTTACGAGGAGATCACCTCGTTCGTCGTTGCTCTCAACGCGGAGCTCGAACGCCGTGGTCTTGGGTATGGTATTGCGGCTGAGCATGCCCACAGCTGCTGTGTGCTGCTTGCCTCGGACCGCTTCCATGTGAATGGAAAATGGCACACTCGGATCGACTACGAGCGCTTCTTTGAGCTCCTGGAGAGGGAGGAGGCCGATGGCACTTCCTTCACCCCCGAAGACTATATGCGGGAGACGGAAGAATGGGCGCTCTGGGGCCGGGGTGGATTCGATCCAAATGACGAGCGAGTCTATCGTAAAGGACGCAACAAGGGCAAAACGATTGGAGCTGCCCCTGAACCCACCGCATCCCCCGCATCGTGAGGACGCCTAGAATCACCAGTGTTTATCAAAACCACACTCCCCGGCGAAGTGTCGGAAGGCACTTCCCAAAAAAAGAAAAAGAAACAGAAAAAAGAACATCCTCCTTAGTTGACCAGGCAGTCCTTGCCCTTGGCATCTGACGACCTATGCCTGCCTTACTTGCACCAACGGATCGCATCTTCGAGGCACGGAATCCCAACGTTGGGATATGAGATCCTTTGCTCTCTTCACTTGGGCAGCAATATTTCTTGCTTCCTGCTCGGACGATGGCTCTTTGATATTATTGATCTATTAATGATTGCAGAGATATGCAACATGCATTTTGATCAATTTGGAAAACAGCAATAGGCTATTCTAGTATAACGAAAATCTTTCCCGTTGACCGTTACCATTGTTTTAAGGTGCCCCAGTAATATATGTAGAGATGCCCGATGTAAATATGTAAATACGAGGGAATGCCTTCACCGCCCAAGATTGTCCCGCACGAGCTTTCTGCCTTTCAACCCAGTCATAGTTTCCCCAAACGACAAAAAGGCTTCAAAGGCTTCTAAAGCTCAGGTTTATTTCTGACTTCTTTCCAAACTCTCACTTTAGAGGGCTTAACCCTAGAGCCATGGCCCAAACTACCAAAGGAACCGCGGGTGTCCTTCAAATCCCCGCAGCCGCCACGCAAAAGTCGGCCCCGTCGAAGAAGGTTCACAAACCTCCTGCGCCTCGCCTCAAGCTCCTCATCCGCCGATTGCCCCCCGGACTGACCCAAGCAGAGCTTGAAGGCGCGCTGGGGACTGAGTGGAAAGTGGGAGGCGGGAAAGTCGACTGGCTCCAGTACAAGCCAGGTAAAGTCTCCAAAGAGTATGAACCGAACCCTTACTCTTGATAGCTTCGACGCACTCGCTCACTTCACAATATTGTTATATCTAGCCCCGCCAAACCTTCGCGCCCTTCCAGAGCATATGTCCATGTCGTGTCTAGTGAACAAATTACGCCGCTATCCGAGCAAGTTCGTCAAGCTTCGTTCCACGATGCACGAAACACTTTCCATGACCCAGTATTGTTGGGGCCCCCGACGCTTGAATTTGCCCCATATGCAAAGACGCCCGGTAGTCGCGTGCGCAAGGATGCTCGCCAGGGTACCATAGATCAAGATCCAGATTTTATCGCGTTCTTGGAAAGCTTGACGCAACCAATTACCAAATCAGCACCAGCAGAGGCTGATGGGAATGAGAAGAAAGACTCCGTGGTGACCACTCCTCTGGTACAATTCATTAAAGACAAAAAGGCGAGCAAGGCAAAGGACGGTGGGGGCTCTAAATCTTCGAAGGGCCGATCGGATAAGGAACCGAAGGAGAAGGTCCAGGCGAAGAAAGTTCTACAGCGACCAAACAAAGAGACAAGTACGGCTGAACCCTCGGAGAAGAAAGGGAAGGGCGAGAAAAACCCCAAGGAATCTGCCAAGGCTAGCAAGCAGGCCGCCTCTGCATCCAAACCAGGCAAAGCCAATGCCTCCAACACTGCAAAAGAGAGTGGTGGCCAGGAACGGAAGAGAGAGCGTGGCAATGCGACTGGGGTCAACAAGATTCTCCAGCGCGATCTGGGAGTGTCTCCGGCAGGTGGATCAGGTGGACGGCGACGAGGAAAAGGCGATTCGAACGAAACGGACTCGCCGAACGACAGTACCCGCGACTCGGCTACGGCTACGTTGGCCCCCGATTCAACCAAGAAGGACCAAACTACGAAGGGAAATAAGAATGCCGGACCGATAAAAGCCAAAGAGAGCGAGTCTCCTCAAGGTCCCGACAGCACACCAACCTCGAATCCACCCGCGAAGACCCCCAAAGGCACGAAAGGAAAGTCGACCGCGCCACCCTCTCCAACTGCCACTCAAGCGTTCTTGAAGCACGCCAACCCATCACAGGGAGTCACCGAGGCCTTGTTGCAAGAGGCATTCGGGTCGTTCGGTGCAGTGAGCAAGGTGGAAATCGACAAGAAGAAAGGCTTTGGCTATGTGGACTTTGCCGAACCGGGTGGGCTGCAGAGAGCCATCGCAGCAAGCCCCGTGGCAGTCGCGCAAAGCCAGGTGGTGGTACTGGAGCGCAAAGCGAATGCTGCGGGCGAGAAGTCGCGGAAGGGTCGTAACGACCCGCAAGCTAGCGGGAAAGCGAAGGCCGCGCCAAGTGACGGGACTTCGCCGGCTCCAGCAGCAAGCACTACTGGCAGCTCATCACGAGGACCGCGTGGCAGGGGATCACGGAACAAAGGGCCGAAGGGAGGTGGTTCAGGCGGAGGAAACACTGGAAGTACGGACAAGGCGGAGAAGCCGAAGGATGGAGAAACAAAGTAAACAGGCAATAGTATCCCATAGCACCGCATAGCACCGCGCCGCGCAGGACTACCTATTAGGCAACCAATCAACGCTTCATCTCTTAGACAGGATGAGAGACCATAGAATACGAGTCCCCACTAGTCACTACTGGATCGAGCGGACTAGTTGACTACAGGGTTCGGGTCCCCTTAACCAAGTACACCAGCAAGTTCACATAATGCCACCAAGGGCGTTCCATTATTGACAACTATCTGTTCGGGCAGGGGGCAACACAGCGGTGCTAGACCGCTTTTCTCAATCGCGAGAATGAAAAACCTTTCAGACCTCCTCGACACCCACCAGGACCAGCCGACCGAAGTCAAGACGCCGAGACCAGGCAAAGATCATCACCACTCCCTGGACCGAGACACCGACACTGCAAGCAGCACGCGTAACGATCGAGGCGGGAGTAAAAACGGTTTCACTTTAGGGCATCGAGGACATAGAAGTCATCAGCAAGGGTGGAGATTCTGTGGCTCTTTTAAAGAGCTTAGAAAGGGGACGTCTACTCTAAAGTGATTCTTTGAACTGTAGGAAAAGAGCAGTTAGCAGGAGTTCGAATGTTCCAGGGAATCCCCGCTGGTAGGGGGGAGGGAGGCACATACGTAGAGTCGCTTGAAGAAAAGAAAAATTGCGGGAGGCCGAGACGTTCTTATATACCTGCGCCCGCCGGCCGCTCACGCTAAGCGACACCGCCTTGGTTTGTCCTGTTTGTACGGAGCGGCTCACTCAGGGTGGGCCATGAGGAAACTTCCGCCAATCCGCGCTGAGGCTGTGGGCATATCACGGGACCCGAAGGCAATAGCTTTGAAAATTTTTTCTGCCACGCCGCTTCTGATTCGCCGGTTTGTCGTGAGCTCCAACACTATGAACGGCGGCTGGCCCTTGCGGGTTTTCTCTGCGCGGATTGCGGTGTAAACAGGACGGTTTTACGTGATTGGAATCCGTTCACTGGTGGACTGTTATGATTCAAATTGGTAATAGCCCTGATATTACGTGGCGTAAAGAGATAAGAGGCAATATGTGCGGGTACACGGCCTTCTAGGCCTACAATCGCCATCCATGGATGGATCGCCGAGAGTGGTCTACTCCAGGGGCTGTTGAGCGGTTGATTTTCCAATCGACTCTGATCCTCCCTTGCATCTTCAAGGCCAAGGTAGGCTAGTCTGTCTTGGATTTGATGAAGCTGGATGTTTCATTCTTTCCCTATCGGAAGGATCGAATGATATTACCATCGAGCTGCCACTCATCATCGCCCTGTGAGAAACGATATCCTAGCTGCGTTGAAGTATCCCGCCTGATAATGACATCCATGGTTCCTAAAATTTGCAATGTTGGGGGGATCAAGGGCTCGTAGACTGCCCGATAAAACTGGTCCGATCCCCTGTCACCCGTACAGCTGACCATATATTTCAAAAGATAATGATCATCTGTAGCACACAAGGAGGGGAAATAAATTCCCCCAGAATGCGTACAGCAAGCAGAAGCTTCCACGCGGCTTTTTCTCCCGTAACGAAGCCACCGTCGCAGCAATAGCAGCTCCCTGGCTAAACCTGATCATCCTAGCTAACGGCCCCAGATTGCTTGTGCACAAGTGGCGGCAGCAGTAAGCTACCCTCCAAGCCAGAGTGAATACCATCTATGGCTTGAGACTCGAACGGTCTCCATGGTCCATATCGCGCAGGCGTAGCACTGCCAATCGCTTTATCGAGGCCTTCCGCTGCGAACAGAGCTGTAGATATAGTAGCTCGATTTTTAGGAATATTCTTAAACTATAGTACTTCTGTAGAGCTAGTATTTTTGCTTGGAACAGCTTCCCGGGTTGGAGGGATCCTGTATCAAGGAGCGGTCATCGTTACAGGTCAACTTGACGTTGGCAGCATGATCGTGTGATATATATCTACCGCGTCCCAAGCAGATAGCGTGAGGACTACCGTTAGCCAATGACTATGACGGCTTGACTTTCGAAGGTCTCAATCGGTCTGTTGCCCACAGTTCACGGGTGCTGTTTCAACAAGCGTCGAAAAGTTAATCAAGAATTTTGGAAGTGTCAAATTTGGAATAGTTATTTCATTGTGGCGGGGTTGAGACTGAGCGACTGGCCGTGTCGTCGGGCTCCTTTAGGACTGACGCCCGCAATGGTCCGACAATACGTAGTACTTGGCATACTAGTAAGGGCATCCCTTTGTCACGCAACGCCACGTGGCGATGACACTTCCTGAATCGACTGTGAGTAACGGCGGGACGGGCCGCGATGCGAGCCCTGAACTGCCCGCGATGAACACGAAGATCCGCCCCAAACCGAAACGCATCAACCGTTCTGCGCGGCACGGCGACGAACGATATCAACGGGCAAGCTTCGACTAGCGACAACTAACGTCATGTGGCTCCAGGAGGACCACATGTTGTCGGAATCGGAGCGGAAGTCTGACCCGGGAGAGCGTTGTTTCAGTGCTGGACCGAGTCGAACGACCCTGCAAGTTCAAAGAGATCAATTGGATTCCTACCTCCGGAGGGGCCGGCGCGGGCTGAATTATCAATTCGGGATGGGAAAGAACTCATATCAAATTGCAAGACCGGTACACTTATATTGGTAGTATCCGGTGAGGTTGGCTTATTCTACTCACAGCTACAATGGCAATGGCAACATGAACAGTATCGACAATTGTTGAGGATGGAGTGAAAGAATTACAGATGACGGGACAGTGCTGCCACCTTCCATTGACGCTACCCATGGAGCTTCAGTACAAACGTTCGGGTTTGGGAATATTCAAGTTAAGAGGGAATCATCACTTCTATTCGAGTCCCCTTGTATTGATTGAGCGTGAACCCCACGAAGCTCGTCCGACTGAAAACTCAGTCTGCCTGACCCGAGCAGTAGTACCCGCTATTTTTGCTCTCGAAGTCACAGCCAACAACACATGATCCATCCGCATTCTCATACGTCACAGGATATAAGCTTTCTTGATCAAAACCTATGAAGAACGAGTCCCCAGCCTCGCAGACGCTATAGATTGAGAGAAATTGCGTTTGCGACTCGCAACTCCCCGAGGCAACATTGACAGTCGCAGAGCATCCGCAAGCAGTAGTCATGATCACATCGCACCCGTCCGTGTTGTCCATAAGGGTGAAACCACCGTCCACCGCGGACACAGGACTAGCGTTGAGCAGCGTAAGAGTGAGACTAGCGAGGACCGCGAATGCATACATCGTGACCTGGGTTCGGGAGAATAGGACCATGATTAGCTGAATTGGGGGGTAGCTTCGTGATAGAAGAAGATCTGTACCTGGTCGATTCCAACGAAGTGATTTGGTTTGAATTATGCGTAGAGAAGGAATGTATTGCTCGATCCCTGGTGAACAGAATGCTGCCTTTGAGCAGAGGTCGACCAAGCTTTTATAGCCCAGTTTCGCACCTTAGGCGTTCCACAGGAGTGGTTGCCGGCCCCCGAAATTTGACCACAGCATCCAAAGAGCTTGAGGGAATTGTGTTGGATGGGGGTTGCAGTAGGCCACCTTATAGTTACCCAGGTAGCGTGAGACAACATTGACCAATAAGTGGAGGCTTGGCTAGGCTTTAGAACAGGAGGTCCTTTACATACTCATATCAGACAGAAATAGCCTTGGGAGCACTGAAAAGCTTGATATTACTCGGTGTTTCCTGCACGAAGGACTTTTACCATTGATCAACAGTCCTTTCTGGCTTACACGTGATAACATGAGGAGCTGTCACTATCATAGCTCTAAGGCGCGCTCCCATGGGCCATTCTGATTATCGGCGATACGTACATGGCCTGCGAAATCTAACCCTATGAGTGACGGAACTCTTCTATAGGATGGCTCGCGCGGCCCCCAAGCTGTTTGGCCCCACGCCCATCCCCGGCCGCGAACGTTCAATTTCCCGATGTCTCATATGGGATCAGCACTCAGGCTAAGGGTTGGAGTCTAACTGTTTGGCCGAGGATCGGCGTTACTTATGCGCCTGGGGAAGCACACTCCAGAGTCAGGCGACCAACTGTGTAGGGTAGTGAACCATACCCCAACAACTTGGACCACAGATCCTCGGGCTTCTCCTGTAGTTTTAGATGGACTAGCTATGGGTCTACTCCCATACAGACCCACATTCGAGCAAACATCTGATTTATTCATCGAGCCGGTGGACTATCCCGCATTCTCAATTTACTACTTAGCAAGCAAAAGTCAGGAATGCTGGTCGAAGAACCCATAGATCTTTAAGCCTGGATACAATTGTCCTCTCCTCCACTCGTCCCTGGTCATTCCTATAGCATAAGGATCTTTAATGGTTGTGACGGGCGTTGCAGCAAGATCCGCCCATGGCTGCCCTCGCCAGTTGAGCCCGACTGGGGGCTCGGCGCGCAGGAAGGAAGTCATGGCCACCAATGTCGGGCGTGGGGTCATCGCTCTCTCCCAAGACACCCGAAAGATCACGCTTGGCTATGCTCGCCTTGTAGATCATGTTGAGCCAGTTCCCCAGGCGGTAACCGCCCTTGGCAATCTGAAGCTCGACCGTGCCAATGGCAGAGTTGTAGTAATCGGGATAGAGGTCGCCGGATTGCAAGGCAGCCACTCCATTCGGCATCACGACGGAGCAGACATAGGCGTTCGCATCGGAGGCCCACCGAGTAGCAGTCGTCACAACATCGCCGATGTCGTCGCCGTCAATCCAGCCGGCGGCTTGGGAGGACAGATTCCCGGACTGGATCTCGCCGACCAAGGTATCGGCCCAGCTCTTCGCATCGGTGAGTTCCCCGCCGCCGACCAGCTTCTCTGGCATGTAGGTGTCCCAGTCCGCGTGGAGGTTGTCCTGGTACCCGTCGAAGGTCACTTCAATCTCATTTCCGCCCCTCTCGAGCGCCTCGTCATGAAGGGGCTGAGTCAGATCGCCGACGAAGTGGACGAGGAACTTGAGGGCTTCCTGCACGTTGGCATCGGAGAGACGACCGTCTCCAACGCGCTGAGTGTAGTTCGCCATCGCAGAGATGGAGCATCCCGCATTCCCGCAGTCGCGATTATAGTCCACGTTGCAGTCGCTGGGCGGATTGTCCTCCGCATCGATGAAGTGCAAAGGCGCCGACCATTTTCCAGCCTTCGTCTCCCGATAGTCATCGGCCCAGGAGGCGATGTTGGCTAAATAAGAATCCGAGGTATCCCCGAGGACACCCTGGGCCCTGGGCTGGTCAACACGGAGATTTCTCAACCTTCCAGACAAAGAGCCAATTTCACATCTAGCCCATTGTCTCAGAAGAAAAAGACGTACCAAGAAGCCGTGTCTGAAGTGACATAGTTTTGGGCAATGTAGGCGACGGTGGCGTGGCCGAGAACACCCCATGCCTTCACTCCGCTCACCGACCCCAAGCCGACAAGGGCAACCTTGGCCAAGCGGGTCATTGCTGTGACAAGTGCGGGGCGGTAGTTTCTGCAAGGTGTGGATCCGTCAAACGATCCAGGCCTCTGTTTCGAGGACCTTGGAGAAAGGCCAAAGGCATTTTATAAGACCAGGTCTGCTCGTATTCGACACGACGCTTTGGCTGCATTGGATCTTAGTACATGAACGATTGCAACGTGAAGTTTGCTATCGGCGGGTGAGTGGACATCAGCCGCTCACGGTTCGTCAATCTGCGACCGACCTGGACGTAGATTCGTTGGACTAAAACTTCTCGATGGGAAAATGATCGACGTCGCGGGCAATCATCGCCCACGGGCTGCTGCGATTTGCTGACCCCTGACGCGGGATGCGACACCGGAGTGCATGTCTAACCCAAACAAGCCAGACGAACTTGGCAACCGATATGCACGTGGGGACAATCTGTCGCTCTTCTGGAATTCTCCGATCGAGAAGACCTGCAGACACCGCGGGCTTATTGTGGGAGGTAGCAGCGTTACATTGTGCTTATCGCCGCCAAACACAGTGTCGAATGGCCCCACGGAGGAGCCACGCAAAAGGCAGAAGGCATCATGATGACCCAAGGTGGGATATTCGACAGTTCGGTCAAACCAGCGAGGAAGGAGCGCCAAATAGTCTGCTTCCCACGATCACTGGAGCAAGAGCATCCTTAGAATCCTTTACATAGGCATTCAAGCGTGCTTGAGCAGAACGAAACGGACTCCGTCGGAGGACAATCCAGAGACGATCGTCGCATCAATGACTCGGCAGCCTCCGATGGCCAACAACCCACTGAAAGCCGGAAAGCCGGGAAAACGACAAATCTTCAGGACCCTTCCTCCAAAGGGAAGATCATGGATAACTCTGCGATCCACCGCGGCAGTGGTGGGAAAAGCCCATGGTAAACAAGTACCCGTATCGTAACCATCACCGGAGGCCGTCAGTGCAAACCTTCGACCTGCGAATGGGTTGCTGTGATCGGTCATCTAGCCATTGAGGAGTTCCAGAGAAGGCCAATACCATTGGCAGTTGCTCTTGGACTTCTTTTAGCATACTATTCGTGACTGCTTTCACTATCAATTATTGTGAGGAGACCGTTTTCATGGTCTGCACCAGGGCAGGCATTACACTACCTGATGTAGTAACCGAGTCCACCGGTGGGGCTCATACGGGAGAGCGTCGCGGAGTCTCCGCATGCCGTAGACGTTCTCCAATTTTGCAATTTGGTTAAAGGAGGATTCATATGTGGCACCAGGAGATATTCTGGCTTATAAGTCCCACTGCTTTCCGAAGTGGAGGATTTGATATAGGGTACATATAAGCATGGGGAAGATCGACGGCAAGCTAGCGATGATCGCCCCATTGAATGTCTAGAATACTTCTTCTCTGGAAATCCATGATTTCCGCCCAGCTTGACAAATCCTGGCCACAGGGGCCCCTTTTGAATCTCATCTCAACCTTGTCACATCATACCGCCTGATGAGCTCCTCTCGGTGGAAACGGCTGCCCGCCCGGTCCCCGCACCGGCAGTCGGAGACGGAGCCGTGATGGGGTTTCCCCTCAGGATGCCAGGACAAGCCCGATCGAGGGGGGCTTATATGGGCTGGAATACCGCGTTATGAGACAGTATTCAAATCTACATAAATCAATCGAGCAAAAAGTAAGCTAAGGCGAGTCTCCACAAAAGAGCCGCACTAACAATCGGCTCAATAGTGTCGGGTCTTGTTCCTCTTACCGTCATCAAGGGTGCTGGCCATGAGTTCATCCCCCTGCCCCAGGGAGAAAATGCCATTACCGCGGACTTTCATTTTATTCGGACCCAGACCGAGTCTCCGGCCCATATCACCTCGGGATTCTACAAGATTGAGAGCGGACCGGAGCGACCCGCCCACTACAATTTCGAAGAGACCAAATACGTGCTGAACGGCCAAATCGATGTTCTGGTAAAGCTCCCGTCTCCGGCATCCATACGCCGATTGGGGAGGCCATGCTGACCGCGCGATTCCAGGACGAAGCGACCGGATTTACACATCATCTGGTCCCCGGAGACTTTGCCTTCTTTCACGTCGGTAGCAAGGTGAAGGTCGGGAGATCCGCTGCATATAGATCATGCCACTGCATGGCTAACATCCATTTCTCATAGTTCTCGACCAAGTCCCACGGTTTGGCGTTCTATGCTGTCACCCGCCCCATTCGAAACCCGCACCCCAACCTCCAGGGACGCGAAGAGAAGAAGTCAAGACTATGAGCCAGCACTCTGAAATAGATCGGGGGGAAGCCTAAAGTACAAGCAAGAATAGATAAGATCGTGGCATGGAAGGCAGTCGTGGATCCCTGCGAAAAGAAATCGGATATTCTGTGGATCCACTTCAAGTTGCACCAGTCTAGAAGCCGAAAGTAGCGTTCAGCAAAACCCCAGGCGTATTTGATTAATCTATTTAATCTCATGTGGAGGACTGCAGGATCTTGGGCCAACGTCACCTTTCGTTACGGGCGGCGTTCGAGGTCGCATGCTCCAGTAGGCCAATCTTCGACCCCCCACGTACATGAACACCCCCGAAGTAAAATCATAGCAGTCGGAATCGTGAACTGTGAACATCGTTTCTCGAACGTTTCCCAAAGCAAGGAATCTAAAAGAAAAGAAAAAAAGAAGAAGAAAGAAAAGCTAGTCTTCGGGGGCTTATCAAGTCTGTGAAGTCTGACAGAAGTGGCGCGACAAAAGATAAAAACCAAAGAGAGGAAGGAGCGGTGCGGGCCGCGCACCTGCCCTTCGTCGCCTCGCAGCATCCGGCTCGTTCACGCTTCACGATGGGCCGCCCCAAAGTCGACCCTGCGAATCGCCTTAGGGCCAACACTGCTTGTACAGCCTGTCGTGCCTCCAAGAAGAGATGTAGCGGCTCCTTCCCATGCACAAGCTGCATCCAGAAAGGGCGCGCGCGCACCTGTATTCCATTCAAATCATCTATATCCGAGGCCAGCCCTCGCAATGCACTGGCCCGCGAAAGCCTGCCTCCATGGGAGGAGTCACAGCAGGTACTCAATAGTCCGTTAAGCTCTCAGATTCATGCCCCTAGCTCGTCTGGCCGAGGGCCCGAACAGCCTATGCAGGGCTCTCGGTCGCCGGAAGCTACGCATCGCACTCATCCGCGAATGCTCCGGAATTTACAGGGTGATCGCGGTATGTGACTTTCGGGTTGCCACGAGGCACATGGCAATGGCATCGTCTAAACCTTAAGTGCAGTCTACGTCGGCAAAGCCGCCTCCCTGTCGTTTTTACAGCTCGTTCGGGAGACGGTCACCCAGCATATCGGACCATCGCAGTTCTCGCATCCTCTCGGGAGAGAGGATATGCTAGAGGCCGAGGCAACGCACGATCCGTCAAGCTATGCCGAGGAGAACTGCAGCCCTGAAGACCAAGAACGATTAGTCCGTTCATACCGGATAGCAGTCAGTCTTTCGGGCCATTACCCCGGGGAGCTAGCTCATGGCTAAAATTCACAGACTAGCGGCTTCCTTCACTTGGGTCATGATGTTACGGATGACATGGCGGGCTTCACCGAGCCAAAGACCGAGCGTGAAAGCACCAGAGCTGCCATAAAGGACTTGATGCTTGCCATCGGAGCACAATCATATCCGAATGATCCAGACACGGTCCAGATGAGACTGTTCTTCTTCACGCGGGGCCAGCGCAGGGCTTTTGCTAGCTTTCTGGAAGACCCAAGCATTAACCTCATACGGGTATTTCTTCTCATGTCGTTTTACATGTTTGGCGCTTGTCGCCGGAATACAGCATTCATGTATCTGGGCGTCGCAGCGCGATCGGCTGTTGCCCTCGGTCTATACGAAGACTCGGCGGGGTGTTCCTGGCAAGAGCAACGTGATCGGTATGGCAAGCAGATCTGACTTCATTTCTTTTTAATTTATATATATATATATATATATATATGTGCATGCCATTCACTAACTTCAACTAGGTCGAGCCTATGGATGAGCCTCTGTGTAATTGATCTTATAGCGAGCTCCATTCTCGGACGCCCGGCAGCCACGGCAGCAGTAATCCCAGGACAGCGACCAGATCCGAACCTCTTTGGGTCAAGTCCCGCAGAGACAAGCTTGGGAGCCTCGTTCCAGCTGTCGCTCATTCTAAGTGAAATCATCGGCCGCCTGTACAGTGAGAAAGGAGCCTCTTCAGAGATCGCGGAGGTGCTACTCCGACAGCTGAAACACTGGAGTGACAATTTACCCGATTCCCTGAGAAGGTCGTCTGTAGCGGATGAGGAAGCGACAATAACACAGGAGCGCATCATCAGTAACATGCATGTTGCCTGCTCATATCACTTTGCCGTTATTCTTGTGACCCGGCCTTTCCTCATATCTTTACTGAGTATCCGATTGGCGCAGCTCCATCAGACCCTGGCTATAACCACGCAAGATGAGAGCATTTCCGATCCGGCACAGTCCCGACTTGCAGCCGCCTGTATTGACTCGGCCGTGTACATGCTGCAGACCTGTATCGAGGTTCACCAAACGGGCTATTTATTACGGAATATGGCGATATTGAAGTGAGTCGTCCCACGCAGCTCCGGACATGAGACCTACTGATCCAAACCTGTAGGGCGTTTATCTTTGCAGCAGCCCTCGTGCTCGGGTTCACCATGTTTGCCCACCGCGAGATTGACTCGGATGTAGAGAGTGCATTCAAAGGGGCCCTGGTGATCTTGCGGATGCTTGCTGCCCAGTCAGCTCAGGCGGCCCATTACTTAGAGATCCTGACTCTCCTCGAGGCCGCCATCGTGCAGCAGCGGCAACGATTGGCCGCTCACGCCCGTCAGCGACGCAGTCAATACGTCAGTCGCATATTCAGCTTGCACGACAGTCCCAAGGCTCCCCGCGACCAGGGACCAGAGCAAGTCCGACCCGATCCCTCAACCCCGCTTTCGATGCCAAGCGGCTCGTACCCGTGGATCCCGCAGGACGGCCTTTGACGGTCATCCCCCCGGCGATGGATGGTGCATTGCTCGACTGGGAGGGTATGGAACTCCCTCTATGGGACAGCTTTCCTTTCACCGAGCCTGGGTCTTCTGTCCTTTGAATCGGCAAAATATATGAATCTATCCTTTTTGCTCCTTTTTGCTCCTTTTTTGCGTGGAGGCTTGCATGGCTGGGAAGGGGTGGTTTTCTTGATTCCTATCCGTAGATAACTGTCTTCGAATCCATCACCTCGATGAATATAGTATCTCCATCAACACCAAGACGGTATATTTCCTGTCAGCAACTATTCTGGTTGGCTTCCGTCTTTGATGTCGCATATCTCTAGCAAATAACGAATATCATCCTCGACGCCACAAATTCCCACCGCAGATAAGCGGTGCGCGGGCCGCAACTTGCCACCCGAGTGCAGTATCCGATCAGCCTTGCTATAGTTTGGGATCGAAGATAAAATGAGCCCAAGATTCGCCTGGCCACCGATTCTCAGAAACAAAAAGAGAAAAAGAAGCCTGAGAAACAACAATGGCCCCAAACCCACTATTGATCAACAACTCTGGCTGGAGACGCCTGAGCGTCGGCGTTATTGGCGGCGGCATCGGTGGCATGTCTGTCGCCATCGCTCTGCGCCGCGCAGGCCACGACGTGACGATCTATGAGAAGTCTGACTTTGCAGGCGAAGTTGGGGCCTCGGTGTCCTGCGCTGCGAACGGAACCCGTTGGCTCCATGAATGGGGGGTCGATGTGGCCAAGGGCGACCCTGTAGTCCTCAAGAAGCTGATCAACCGCGACTGGAAGACCGGCGAGCCCGTGAGCGTGTATGATTTGGATGACTATGAGAAGCGCTGGGGATATGTGAGTCTACTTCGGTTTGGATGGTACCTTCTTTGGACTCGCAAGTCTAATCTGTTTTTTTTTTTTCCCAAGGTTTACAACATGTTCCATCGCCAATACATGCATGCGATGCTGAAGGACTCGGCTCTGGGCGAAGACGGCGAAGGACAGCCCGCGAGATTAATAGTGAACCACCGTGTATGTCAAGCTGCCTGAGCCCTGAAGGAAAAGACTGCTTATTAACCCACGATCGCCTTTCTAGTGTCGCGATATCGACCTGGCGACCAACACCATCACCTTCGAGAACGGCGCAGTATCTCAACATGACCTGATTGTCGGCGCCGACGGTATCGGATCTGCTGTACGCGGCATCATCGGTATTCGTCCGGAGAAAAAGCCCTCCGACTCGAGCTGTCTGCATGCCAACGTGGATACCGAGGAAGCCGTCCGGTTGGGGCTGGTCGATTATTCGCAAGACAGCGCCTTGGAATACTGGGGTGGCCAAGAGGGGAAGTGGGACAAGATTGTCCTGTCGCCCTGCAACGGCGGCAAGCTTCTTTCCTACTACTGTTTCTTCCCCGGGAGAAAGGGGATTATTCGACGCAGGCCTGGGGGTCGGAGGGTCGCCCGGTGGAGGATCTGCTGAAGCCCTTTCCGGAGCTTGATCGACAGGTCTTCCAGCATCTCGCGATTGGCAAAGAGATCCAGCCGTGGCGACTCTGGGTCCATGAGCCGTATCCCTACCTTCAGCAGGGCAGTATCTGTCTGCTGGGGGATGCGGGACACCCGATGATGCCACACCAGAGCCAGGGGGCCTGTATGGCGATCGAGGATGCTGCGGCTCTGGGCATCCTGTTTGACAAAAAGTACTTTAACGGCGACGTTGCCCAGTCGCTCGCGGTGTACGAGGAAGTCCGTCTGCCTCGCGTGACCCGGGTGCAAGCTGCCGCGGCCAAGGCAGCTTATAACATCAATGAGAGAATCGGTCAGTTCCCAGTTCCCCATGGGAAAGCTCCTTCACCCGCTAATACATCCCTCAGGCTTCTCTTTCAATAAGGACATCCCCACCTACAAAGTGGAGGACACCAAGAAAGTTCTGACCATCGAGGAGATGAACGCGTAAGTCGATCGTCACGGGGCTGCTGTCCGCATACTAATTCTCTCCAGATATGACATGTACAAGGACGTTGAAGAGAAACTGGCGGCCAAGCGGGGCATAAGCTATACAGACAAGTACATCTGTGGATTACCGGTTGGGTTGGAACTCCCTAGTGGAATCACGATCGGAGCATGAACATGACCGTATTTTTGAGCCATTTGCTAGAACTATGTATAGTGTCTTCATACAATAATGACGAACCCTGTCTACTTCTCATCTCATGCCGCTCGTTGTTCGAAAAACGATCGGAAATGGGTAGGCCTGTCGGCGAGTTCCATTCAGCAGAGCTTGAAGGATACAATATGGAGCCTTAGGAGCATGTCTACAACAGACGTATATGCTTGTAGTACTGATACGCCCAGCCTGAATGGTGATCCGAACTGCAAGGTCGATACCAATCAAGGGCTTCTTCGGAGACTCGGGAAAAGGTCTAGATTCCCTCCCTGACAGATACCCCCGAGCAACCCTCGAGAACCACGATCTGAACGACGATTTGACACAATTGCACACGTGTCAAGGTTAATCGAGCTCCATTCCACGGCTTGAGAATACGGCTTCTACTAGTTGATAGTGACCCGCTTGATCTTCTGGAAAGCGGCACTGCAGGCTGACTGAAGATATCCACTCAGGATGATGCTTTACGAGGCTTTTCCATCACGTCTCAAAACAGTACCATTTTTAGGCTAATACAAGTTGATATATAAGAAGCTTAGTTCATTATCGTCAATTTCAATTTCTTGTCTTAATATCGCTTAACCGAAAAGAGCATCTCCCAGGCGGTAGTGCACAGTCTTGACCTGGGTGTAGTTCTCCAGAGCGTAGGAGCCCAGCTCGCGGCCAAGACCGGAAGTCTTGAATCCACCGAAGGGAGCCTGGTAGGAGATCAAGTTGTAGCTGTTGATCCAGACGGTACCGGCCTTCAGAGCATTGGAGACCCGGATGGCGGTGTTGACGTTCTTAGTGTGAATGGCAGCGGCAAGACCTGGAGAGGAGAAAGTTAGCATCAAAAGACTAGCAAGCAAACCAGGGCACAATCACGTACCATAGCTAGTGTTGTTTCCAATCTGGATGGCCTCAGCCTCGTCCTTGAACTTCTGGACGGTGATGACAGGGCCGAAGATCTCCTCTTGGGCGATCTTCATGTCGGAAGTGACATCAGTGAACACGGTAGGCTGAATGAAATAGCCCTGAGTACCGTGGCGCTCACCACCGGTAGCAACAGTGGCACCCTCGCGCTTTCCGTGGTTGATGTACTCCATGATACGGTCGAACTGGAGCTGGGAGACCTGGGGACCCTGGAAGGTGTCGCTCTCGAAGGGGTTGCCGACCTGGTTCTTGGCGGCACGCTCCTTGAAGCGGGCGACGAACTTGTCGTAGATGCCCTCCTGGACCAGCAGGCGGGAACCGGCACAGCAGCACTGGCCGTGGTTGAAGAAGATACCGAAGTTGGCCCAAGAGATGGCGTTGTCGATATCGGCATCATCAAAGACAATATTGGGGGACTTGCCACCTAGAGAAGAAGTTAGTGAATCGTTTCAACTCCCGAATCATATCATGGAATACGAACCAAGCTCAAGGGTCACCTTCTTCAGGTTACTCTTAGCGGCAGCCTGGAGGATGGTTCGGCCAACCAGGGTGGAACCAGTGAAAGCAACCTTGTCAATGTCCATGTGGCTCGAGATAGCAGCTCCGGCAACACGGCCGAAACCAGAGATGACGTTGATGACACCGGGAGGGAAGCCCGCCTCGACAATCAGCTTGGAAGCGTAGAGGCCTGAGAGAGGGGTCTGCTCGGCGGTTTTCATGACAACGGTGTTACCGGTAGCGACAGCGGGGCCGATCTTCCAGGACCACATCAGGATGGGGAAGTTCCAAGGGATAATCTGACCGCAGACACCGACGGGCTCGTGGCGAGTGTAGGTGAGGGTCTCGGGGTTGGTGTCAATGGTTTGACCGTGGATCTTGTCGGCCCAGCCACCGTAGTAGCGCAGGCAACCGGCGGCGTTGGTGACATCGACCTTGGCCAGGGTGACCGCCTTACCGTTGTCCAGGGCCTCAATGGCGGCGAGAATCTCAATGTCGCGTTCGAAAAGATCGGCCAGCTTCGTGAGCATCCGGCCACGCTCAGAGGGGGTCACCTGGGCCCAGGCGCCCTCGAGGGCCTGACGAGCAGCCTTCACGGCAATGTCGACATCCTTCTCGGTGGCCTCGTGCACGGAGACAATGGCCTTTTCGTCGGAGGGATTGATGGTCTCAAAAGTCTTGCCGTCGACACCTTTGACGAACTCATTGTTGATGAACCTATAGCGAACAGGATTAGCAAAAGTAGTGAAGGTGGGAGGGAAAGAGAAGAGGAGGGGGCGGGGAGGGGGTGGGGCCGATGGCATACAGTCCAAGAGGCTGTTCATAGGTGACCGTAGGGGTCTTGATAGTAGTAGAAAGCGCCATATTAGCTAATAAGGGGTATCACGAAAGACAAGATATGAGCAAGGGTTAGGGACGGCTCAGGAGCCTCTTATAAGGAAATCAATTCTGGAGAACCTTGAGGGTTCGGCAAGGTATGCGGGGTCACAAACGCCACAGGGAGAATGAGATCAGAGTGTGTACTTGGCAGGTACCCACCACCGCGCGACTTGCGCTGCGGACAGAAGTACCCTGCGGGTACCACCGTACTGCGACGATCTAACACGGTTCTGCTGGGGCCCTAGCCAATCCGAAGCTCGAGGCTCCGCGAATGGCCGCCCACAGCCCACCAAGTAAACCCTACCCCTCCCCCCAGCCCTGCGGCTGCCCCTCTTGCCCCTCTAGCACCCCCAGCCAATTCGGAGTTTCGGAGCGCCTCGAGGCTGCCAAGGTAGCGCTAGCGGTAGATTATTCGAGGATTATTCAACTCAACACATCATGGCCACATATCACTAATCATAACCCAAGTGGACCTGCTTATACCACGGGGATGCGAAGTCTCGGTGGAGATCAGTCCCGTGGAATCAGCCCGAGCTCTCGGGGTGGAGCCCTCACGAATCTTCCATCTCTTTTACGGCCGAGAGGATACAGGCATTTCCCGCGATGGCTGATGGCAGCTTTTATAGAGCTCTGGAGGTACTGGAGGTGCTGGAGATACTGGAGGTGCTGGAGATACTGGAGATACCCTGGACGCTCGGTTCCGTAGAGTCGCTCGGTGGCTCCCCCGCAGAAACGCGGGGGTGCGGAACCGCAGCGTGGCGCGCAAAAACAGGCCATGGGCATTCCCGGGGCAGACCCGGGGATGACCCGGGGGATACTTGGGCATCGGCATGAACTCTATACAAGTTGAGGCAGGTTGGATTACATCGGCTAGGGAGCCAAAGGGAACCCTCACAGTCGCTCACAGCTTCCCGCAGTGCAAGAACCGCGGTAGATCCACATACCGGGCGCCCAGTTATTGCGCCACTTTCTTCCCCAAATGTGTACCGTCGTGATCATGCCCATTCCGCGATGGAGGAGGTTGCGGAATGAGAAATGAACGGCTTGCAGCCCTGGCAACTCGAAGCGCCCATTAGAATCTTGTGGAACCACACAAACACTCCAAAGGGAACGGAGGTGACCTGGCAAGATCTGTCTTCCTACTCACTCCCCGTCGTTTTCTCTCGTCTTCGCTACATGCGGCTTCTATCTATGCCCCTTCAACTGACGCTTTTTAACTGACACTCTTTTGGTTGACACTCTTTGGACCGACACTCGTTTGGCTTCCCTCCCATCAACATCAATATCCTGTCCTCGCAGGATTCCGGCACTCCACTGGATATTTCCCGCGCCCAGGCTACCGTTGATCCGAAGGGTCTAAGCCCGCTTGGTATTCCCGGGCCTAGGGATGAAGCAGTCAAGGAATATGGTGAGTGGCAGGTGTGGCAGGTCACGCATGACACTCGCAAGACTGCATTTCGACAAGTATGCGAGGTGATGCTTGAGAATAGTCTTGATCTCGAGCAGGTCTACAAGGGTCAAGGCCCGGATTTATTTATCGCCAAGCGCATAAAGATGGGTATTGCTCGATGTTTTGTAGAAGACATTCGGCGATGGGTCGAGGCGTGAAGAAACCGGTCTCGGTCCATGAAATAATCTAGTAACGACTAGCTCGGGTGTTGGACCCGTGAGCGGTCCGGAGTTCTATCGGAGAATATTGGCTATATTAGGTAGTGTTTATAACGGTGATTATACCGTCACTGAGGAATTCATAGTCAAATATAAATGAAAAGATGCATATTTTATGAAAAAAAAAAAAGACCTTTACCACTATGTATTTTAACCAGTTCTTGCTGACTTAGGTTTCGGAGCTGAAGTGTTTTCACTGGCCAAATGCTGGTTGAACGCTAGAGGGGAAAACGTTTAAACACGTCTAAGGTTGAAGTTAACAGTCCAATACTAGTCGTTCTTGTCAAGGGACTTGGCCTGAATCTCCTCTAATCGTGGGTGAAGTGGCATTCTTATATTGAGGGGAGTACTGGTAATCAAAGCAACATTTCGCGTGTAAAGAATCGGGCCTGAGCATCATCCGTTAGTTGAGGGGAATGGAGTGCTGGTGACTCGAGTCTGGCATCAATTTTGCTACAGTACCCAACATCCAATCGCAATATATCTAAAGCTAGGCATATCCTTTCTACCCCAAACTCCACCGTCCGCGCCGTCACTGTAGTGTCTAACCTAGTAGCGGTTGGAAACTTTTTCTAATCACGTCTATACCTCCATTTTTCGTTCCTTAGCAGGAATCTGTAGAGCTACCTTATATACTTGGAGGGCAATGCCAAAAGTAATTTTGTTAGCTTCACTTACTAGGCAGAGCTCTTCGGCATTCTTGTTTATACTGCAATCGTTACTTAACGCTGAGGTAGCCAGGATATGACATAAACTATAGCGATCGCATGATTTTTTATTATTTCCATTATTTCTATTGTATACTTCAGAATACCCTTACCTAGTTAATGGAGCAACGAAGAGGTTGATCCACAAGTCTTACCTTCCTTTTTTCTCCCTCCCACATTCTTTTTCTTCATACAATCTCTATTAGGTGCGCTAAATAACCAATTCCAAAAGAGAATCCCTATATAAAGTAATGTTGAGATTAAGGTTATACTCGTCGATTTGTCCTACTTTGTAACATGGGAGACCAAGAACATACCGATGGGATACAGCTAAGGTGAGGGGAGATTCTGGTCCGCCAGTCACAGAAGAAATGTGGGAGAGTGAAATGCGGGCGATGGGGTATGCACTAATGTTGTGGAACGGCCCGTGGAGGGTCCCGGAATGGACGCCATATGAGAACCTGGAGCTGTAGGTGGGCTGGTTGGGTGCAGATATGGTTCGTCAAGACGGTTACTGCGGTAAGACATTAGTCTGTTTACCTCGCAAACCTGCTTAATTCCAAAATTATCAGGTACATGTGGAATGCCAGGTGGGTAAGGTTACCGTTACAACATATAGGAAATGACGCTGATCCATTGGGCGGCTGGTTGGACGGTTGAATGGCGGTTATAGACCTACTAGACTACATTCCAAAATCCAACCACTCCCGTCCCCCTAGCCCTAACAAGCACAATAAAGGCGCTCAGCTGAAAGTTATAAAGCCGCTCATTGATTTGAACGAAAGCCAATTTCTAACACTCATCATTATCACGTTGATTCCAATACCAACCTTCCATCTTCCACCATCCTCTCGTCAAGATGAAGTTCTCCATTGCCATCCTCCCCATTATTGCTGCCCTGGGCATGGCCAGCGTTATGGACGAGAAGTCCACTGCGAAGTCCGCTGCTTCCTCTTTGATTGATGCTGCTTCTCCAAAGGCAGAAGTCTGCTGCAACACCACTCCCTGTTTCGTTGGATGCCCGTCAACGGCGCCTTCGCGGTAAGTTCTCATGACCACTAGTGCGTTCAGGTGAATAGAGAAATGCTAATATAGGTTGGAAAATTAGCTTTGCTGCTAAGCCTATGTCGCGATAGAGTTAGGATTGGAGGAACATCGGGATAGCTTTGACCGTTGTATGGAGTTCTCCCTAAGGGTTTAAGCTCGGCCGGTCAATAGCGGAATGGTGCTTTTTCTAGTGTATTTCAAGCTTTGCGAGTTAGAGCAATCAAGATTGAGATATACTCCCTAGCGCCTGTGTTTTCGCGCGGCTCCTACGAGCTTTTAAAGGAAACTGGGGATCCAGTTTAAACAAAAGTCCGCATGCCTCGTTCGTTGCTCAGCGATCTACGACTCCCTTGTCCGTGTACGCTATCTCGTATGTGGCCACTGTCGGGCTGCTTGTGTCTGTGAGATTATAGCGAATTGCATTCTGCGTTGTATCAGGTTAAGCAGTAAGTTTAGTTAGTGTATCTAGTTCCGACGAAAGCTGGCAGGAGCTTCTCGAGTTTGCAGACAAACAAAATGGCATTCCGGCTGACCCGGTAATCTTTACTAATAATTGGCCCTGGGGGACAGATGACGAATGTTAGTATATTCATGTTAGATAGCGATGCGGTTATCCCGGAGACGACTTGTCTATGTCCTGATTTTCTACTACTTCGGTATAATATCTCTGCCTAGTATCGATACTCCAACATACAAAAACGAAACTCTTGTTCAGATAGCCCATCATCCAACCAGTCATGCCTACAGATCATATGCCGGCGTTGAGCTCTGGGGCGCGGTTCCCTGGTTCACACGCCGACCGGCAGCAGTAGCCATGTTAAACTCGCTCATAAAGTCGGCAATAATCACGTCCACTGGATCGGTTGGATGGTAGTGGGCGAACTCAGCGATCGCATGACGCCCGTCCGAGGCAGATCCGGACGCCCTGACTTCGTCAGTAGAGGTTAGTGCTCGTGGAGGTTGGTATGCTCACCTGCGATACGAATAGGTTTGCCCGTGAAGCTCATGGTTAGGTTATTTTTCCAGTCGGGTCACTCTGAACCTGTTGACCCCCACATTAGAAGCAGCAGCCACGCCCGAGCCTCGGTCCATATATTGCGGAGTTGATGGATTATAGTGAGATTCATGATACTAGGAATATCATCGCATCTTGCCGATTCCCCAGTGGAAACCTAGTATGGAAGCTACTGGTAGTTGTAAGGCTACCGAGTCCTTAAGAATTGCTTGTATTTAGGCCTGGCAGTGTCCAACTTCTCATGATAGCCTGCTGGTGTATTGCGTGGAGCTTACTCCTACCTAAGTAACCGATGGAATTTTTTTCAACTCATGTTTTCCTCCAAACAATGGAGCGTCTTGATCGCATGGAGTTCAGAGTTAGTTAAGTTCGATGGTTTTAGCCCCAAGGCCGAGGCCAACCAAACAGAGGCAGGACGCAGACACAGGAGAGAGAAGCAGCCCTGCGGGTCACCTATAAGTGACTGCATACCTTCTCCACACTGGTAACTACGCAATATTTTCTCAAAATCATACTCGCTCCAGTACATTTCGAGGCGGATTCCGGAGAGTTTCCAGTCCCCATCCATTTTCTTATACCAATGTGTCACCTTCCCATATCCATGGCCACGAAGGGTGACAGAAGTGTGGTCCGGATCTTCGTATCTCTGATGCGCCGCACGAATCTGATAGCTCGCACCGATTTCCTCGTCACACACGGGGTTATATCTCACGGCGCCGATCAAGTTTTGAGTGCGCACCAGGGGATGGCCAAGGAGTTTGGGAGACGCAATCATCGCAACAAAATCCTCCGCACTCACTTTCGGGAGACGTTCATGTCCAATCATACTATAGTCCACCTAACGAGTACAGGTCAACTTCAAGAGTTGGGGGCGGTTGCGCTCGTTGAAGGCTCCACATGTTTATTACCAGCAGTGTGGGGGGCAAGGATATTGCGCAGTCTATCCCAGTCCTGTAGAAAGTCAGGAAGAGGCCTCTAGAACGGAAATCGAGCTTTGGGCTCATCAACTGGACCTTTATATCACAGCTATCGGCCCACTCGAAAGCGAGTTGACCAAAAGCGACGTAATCTAGACCGCAAGCCCGGCAGACGTTACTTGAATGGCACATCAAACAAGACCCGCTTAATCCGAGGACACTTACCTCGAACTTGAAGTTTTTCCATGTGTGAGTGAAAGGGGGGAACTGGGGCTGTAATGATCTCTGTTGATCTGCTACGCTTATATGAGGTTGAGATTGTGGATTGGGGGTCCATTTCTCGGGATGATGAGCCCCCTCATTCAAACGATCTAGACTTCTTTAGGCGTTCTCTTTAGCGGCCGACCTGTGAGGCCTGATCGTTCTCACATTGCATTAGATCACATCACGTGGAAGGCTCTAAGTGGATAATGGGCCTTCAAGTCAGAATGACCGAAAAGGTCCAGGTGAGTGGGATTATAAAGTAATCAAGACCCCTCGTAGTCGGGTTTATACAGCAAGGCAGGGGGCCATAAGTGCCAATGGTGAGGTTTCAGGGTTACTATTACTGGCAGCCCATCGCCTCTCCTTTTATCTCTTCTACTACACTCGCGGCCCCCATGCATACCGTCATTCATCAACCCTGTCCTCTATATTCAGTCTCGTCCGCTCCTTGAATACACTTATACCGACCATCCTCACACCCCCGTCAGTATGATTCCCGTATCTCAACTATGCTAGCAGATACTACAAAAATTAGGGCTCACCACATGCAACGTAAATACGGTCTAGTCTCAGTGCATATAGAATCCTTGCTATGAGGCGGACCTTAAAAAGCATCACTAGATCTGCTCCAGGGTGTATCATCGCAAACCAGATAGGTGACGTTTCAAAACAATGATGCACTTTGAATGCAGAATCACGATTCAATATGTGAGGCTCGTTATATCTAAAGTAGTTGATCCATCGCAGCTTCTTTTGCCAGCTCCCCAGGCTGAACAGTTCGACTGGCAGGGCTATGGTCATCCTGGTCCAAATCCCGCGCAACCAGATCGGTAAAGTCCACGCCAACCTCAGTCAGCTGAGCCGCATGCTCATGCACGATATCCAAACATTTTTGCCAGACTGCAGTGCCGCGCTGGACGCTGCTGAGCTGGCGGCTGAGCAAGTCATTAAACCCATCCAAATGATGCTTTGCCCAGCGGATGCAAGAACTGCTCATTACACCAGAGAAGCACTGTTGATATATGCTGACCGTATTCTTGATGAGGGTGAAGTAAACAAACGAGATCTGAAAGATGTAAAGGGGCAGATCACCCTCGAAGACGCAAGCCCTATGTCAATCATATTAGCATTTGCTGGAATACCTTGGATACAGAGGAATATGACTTACCGAATACGCTTCGCAACTACATCGGATCGAGCGTTGAGGTATGTCTCCCGAGCTTGGTCCTCAAAGCCCAAGCGGCTCAGCCATGTTACGTTGGTCTTCGTCGCCATGGGAAAGGAATTGGTATCAACCAGAGCACGTGAGAGCACACCGGCCAGCCGAGTTGCTCGTCCGTCAACCTTGGCATTGATCACATCCTGGGCAATCGAGTTGCCCTTGAGGCTCTTAGCCAGCTTCCGGAGCCGTTCGATGCTGGAAACAGCAGCCTCGAACCGCTGCAGCGCAATGTCGATGTCAAGTTCATCGACCTGACCCTCTACCCAACGCAGGTTCTGTTGCTTGCCATCGACGTCTATACGCAAATCTGACGTATCACGAGGGCTGTCGTTGTGGTCAAATTGCTCGGGCTGCTGGGAATATGAAAGGTGACGTCCTGAAAGATACCCGTATGCTTCCCTGGGGTTGCTGGCGGCTTCTGTCTCGGAGCGGAGGGTACGTCGCAGGTCTTCCACTGTTTTCCGGAACGTTGCCAGAAGCTCATTCTTGGTTGACGTGTCTCTCTTATCTTGACGATAAGTAAACGGCTTGGACCCCACACGAATGCTGATGGCGTTGCCGATTCCCCGATCCAAGGCCTCTTCGCGGGCAGCGCCAGTCCCCAGATTAGCTGCCAGGTCGATCATATCAATATCCTGCAAAGGCCAGCATTCTTCTGCTACCAGTTTCGTTGGGACTGGGCCACGGTGATTCGGGTGATTTTGATCGACTCGCTTGCGCTTCTTCGCGGCGACCAGGAGATAATCATTCAACAAAACAATATGTACTGGCCGGCGGGGCTTCCATGTTGCCGAGTCCAGCTCTGCCCAGTTGCCTGTTTCAAGCACGATATGCCGACCGGGCACCGCTGGGAGGAACTTTTGGGAGCCTTCCACCGATTTCCACAAGGTCTGTAGCTGAACGCTCCACATGCTTTCCAAGTTGGCCACCGAGCTTCGATTTGCATTCCGTTTGGGGAAGTGGTCGTCGGTTGGTGACATCGGATTAGGAGCATTGCCCACGGTTGTCTGTCCCAGCGCACTTGTCAGATCCGCCATGAGAGTCCTAAGCGTGCGCATCTCGTCCTTCAACTTCTCGGCCTCTTTGCTGATTTTGATGAATTGAGTACGGTTCTGGTACACATTCTGCTGCAGGTCGGTGGAAGTGCGGTTCTTCACTTTGCGAAGGCTTTCTTGGTATTTCTGGATTTCCTCTTCGGACGCATTGGCAAGGAGACTGGTCACATCTTTTTCCATCCGGCGGATTAACAACTTTGTGAGATATCAATATGGAAATGGTGTGAACCTACATCGTTCCACAGGCAAGCTCGGATCGCGTAGCACGTTCAGATCAACCTGAGGCGCAGGCGCCGGGCCATCCCCCATGGACGGTTTCTGGGGGGCCGTGGACGGTAACCCACCGTACCCACCACCCGGCATGGGAGGAGGAAGGGCTGGTACAGGAGGTGCATTTCTACTCACGTCGGATGGGATGTTGAATCGGGTCGAATAACGTCGTTTCACCAAGTCCGATGTGGCATCATTCGGGGGCGCTCGGTCTGCGGCCGCGGGGATGGCAGGCTGGCGGACATCGGAAGCTTTGGAGTTGGGGGGGTAGGGGGCCGGAAATGAGCGTAGGGGCACCAATTTCAGGGCGAGTAGGTCGCTGGCGGCGGGATTTCTTCCGCAGAGTCAAACCGCGGCCTTCCATGGTGCAGCGACAAAGTGGTGGTGAATATGGGGAAGAGCGACACGGGAATTCGGGGTAGAATCGCTCCCCATCACGGGGCGGTAGGCCGCCGGCGGCTGCGTCACTTGAATTGCCAGAACGGTAGAAGCACAGAGAGAGAGAGGTTTGAGTCTTGTATTCTAAGGACTCATGCTAGACTGCTCTATCTTTTCAAAATAACTACTAGGAACAATTTAGACTCTCAATTTGCCTTTCCCCAATTGAAGACACGGCTGCCTGCGTCACAGTGGTCAAGGGTGGTGTTCCACCTTCCCTATATATATACCAACCCTATTGTGAAGAGACACCAGGCTCCGCCATAATGAGGAACCCACAGATCAAAGCCTCCACATAGGTGCCTAAGTCCATAATGGCATTGAGAGAAGCAGGATTTGGGGTTTCAGCACATTATGCAGTCTCATAGCAATCAATAAACAACGAAGGAAGCTCCAGATCTCTGACGTCGCGTTAACTGCAGCGGGAGAGAAAGGCCGACGGAAGAACATAAATCCTTCGCCCAAAACAACCCCGTCCCGGGATCGAGACCAGCAGTCCACGTCTCTTCTCATCTCCATCTGGCCCAGGAGCTCATCTGTCCTATCCTCCATCAACTCTCCGACCTTTTCCACAATGAGGACGTCCGTTCTGGTTGCCGTTTCGGCCGGCACTGTCTTGACTGGTCTGCTCGGTAAGAGCTCAAGGTCATCGCGATCCGCCTCACGAAACTGACAATGCGTGTTACCTTAGCTTATGCTGCATACTTCGACCACAAGCGCCAAACTGACCCCGAATTCCGCAAATCCCTGAAGCGTAACAACCGCCGCGTGGCCAAGGCTGTCAAAGAAGAGGCTGAGGCCCATGGTGCCCAGCAGCGCGAGGAAATCAAGAAGGCCGTGCAGCGTGCCAAGGAGGAGGGCTTCCCCGTTGACCTCGAGGAGAAGGAGTCCTACTTCATGACCCAAGTTGCCAAGGGTGAAGGACTCTGCGCCGAAGGTATGGACCACTCTCTGGAACCCGGATGATGGCAATGGCAGCGGCGACATCGCCAGTCGATCGCGAAATCAATTCGGACCTGACAATTGTACTCCTAGGCTCCGAGCAAATCGAGGCGGCCATTGCCTTCTACAAGGCCCTGAAGGTCTACCCCCAGCCCAAGGACCTGATTTCGATCTACGACAAGACCGTCCCCAAGGAGGTTCTCGAAATCTTGGCCGAGATGGTGGCCATGGACCCTACCCTCAAGCTGGGCTCATTCACCGGCGAGAGCGCTGGCGCTAGCGCTGACAACGTCGAGTAAACGCAGCGGGTTGCAATTCCACGGCTGTAATAATTGCTCCCTCCGACTTTCCTCGTCCGCTCCTCCTCTCCACTATTCCGTCCTCTTTCTCCGATTGTACTGTGTATATGTATTGGGTTCTTTGCCTGAGCCCGGTGGCATCTAGGGCCTTGGTATTTCTCGGCGCCATGAATTTTCCTTTCTTTTCTCCATGTACCACACAACACCCCCCTTTTTCTGTTTCTGCTTCTGCTTCTTTTTCTTTTCTTCTTGCATTGTCGGGGGGAAAGGGGGAAAGGGGGAGGAATTGATGTACTACAGACTGTATTTTAGAGCGAATGACATGAAAGACCGGATTGAAATCTGAAACGCGATCTGCCATGCACCATACTACCGGGCGTAGAGTTTATAACAGCAACAGAAGGCTAGAAGGCTCCAGGCCCCCTCCAGCTGGGCAGGGTATATATAGACGAGAGGGCCAGTGGCTGAAACAGTACAGGATCGGTACCTTGGGAATGCAGTGACTTCACAGGGTGGCTGAAGTACCCGCTAAGTCTCGGCTATGGGTCCATGTTTCAGGCGAACCAACCCGCAAGAGACCGTCGGAGGGGTAAGCGCAGCCCAAGAACCCCCTAAGGACTCCCCAAGATCTCCGAATGGCCACTAGCATCCGGAAACCTCCAGGGGGGGCCCCTCCCCGACGCTGCCAGCGCGCCCGTTGACTCGTCCGATTCGTGATGGTTTGTCGCCGCTCCACTAGTGCGCAAAGATGATCCCCGCCGATCTCTATTCGCCTGGTTTTTCATGGCCTCCCTGTCCCATACCGTCTTCCATCGCTCCTTCTAACCCTTTCCCGGTGGTCTATATCGCCTGTCACTCGTTCGACTGTGTTTTCATCGTCCACTCGCTTGTAACCGTACTTCTTTGTTTACTTTCATACAATATACGCTTACGCCTGGATCCGTTTCACGATGATCGCGGTACGTCCACGGAAAGCCAGGAATGGAACACCTGCAGAGGCATTTGCAGCCACGTGGGTTTCCTCGGATAGAGAGCTCGAATACTGACGAGTATGCAATCTGTAGTCTTACGGTCAGCTTTTGACTGCCGCCTTTGCCTTGGTGGGCACTGCGGCCGCCGTCACCCCCGTTGAGGTTGATGGCAAGGACTTTGTCAACTCCGACACCAAGGAGCGATTCCAGATTCTCGGTGTTGAGTATGCAGCCCCGCATTCTTCCCCTGCACAATTCCCCCGCGATCTGACTGGTGTGACAGTTACCAGCCCGGTGGCTCGTCGGGCTTCAGCGTCAAGCAGGACCCTCTGAGCGACCCTGATGCCTGCTACCGTGATGCGGCGCTCATGCAGCGCATGGGGGTAAGATCAATGATCTCTTGCTACGGTGGACTCATCTTTAATAATACCATCCCAGATCAACACCATCCGTGTGTACAACCTGTCGCCCTCGGCCGACCACAACGAGTGTGCCTCCATCTTCAATGCCGCGGGTATCTACATGATCCTCGATGTCAACTCCCCCTGAAGAACGGTGCCCTGAACCGCGCTGAGCCCTGGACCACCTACACCCCCGCCTATTACGAGCAGGTGTTCGGGGTCATCGAGGCCTTCAAGAACTTCGACAACGTTCTGGGATTCTTCGCCGGTAACGAGGTCATCAACGAGGATTCCACCCTGACCACCCCCGCCTACGTTCGTGCCGTCGTCCGTGACATGAAGCAGTACATCGCCAAGAACTCCAAGCGTGCGATCCCCGTCGGTTACTCTGCCGCGGATGTCCGCCCCATCCTGACCTCCACCGCCGCTTACTTCGAGTGCGACCTGAAGAACTCGACCGAGTCTCGTGCCGACTTTTTCGGTCTGAACTCCTACTCCTGGTGCGGTGACGCCACCTACCAGTCCAGCGGTTATAATGTCTTGACCGAGGACTTCTCCAACGCTACTCTCCCCGTCTTCTTTTCCGAGTATGGCTGCAACAAGGTCACCCCCGGACTTTCAGCGAGGTGCAGGCTCTGTACGGCGAGGAGATGACCCAGGCCTTCTCCGGCGGTCTTGTGTACGAGTGGACCGAGGAAGAGAACGAATACGGTCTCGTTAATGTCAACAACTCTGACACTGTCACCACCCTGATCGATTATAAGAACCTCCAGGCCCAGTTCGCCAAGATTGACATGGACCGTATCACCACCAGCAACAAGACCCAGACCAGCATTAACCCTCCCGAGTGTGCCGCCGACCTGATCACGGCCGATGACTTCTACAATTCCTGGGATCTGCCCGCTGCCCCTTCCAAGGTTTCGGACTACATCAAGAACGGTCTTCCTGATGCGCCCTCCGGCTCCCCTGTCTCCGTCACCGGCAAGACTATCAGCCAGAAAGTGTACGACTATACTGGCAAGGAGATCACCGGTGTCAAGTTCGTGGTTAAGAGCAATGGTGAGGCCAACGCTCCCTCCCCCACCAACTCCGACTCTGGCTCCAGCACCTCCAGCACCTCCAGCACCTCTGCTTCGGCCTCCACCAGCACCGGTGCTGCTTCCATCAATAGTGCCCCCATCGCCATGACTGGTGTGAGCGGTTTCTTCATGCTGCTCGCTTCTTTGCTGTAAACATCTGGCTTAGATAGGGCGCGTGCATGTCTTTTTTTCCCCGTTTTTCTTTTCCCTTTTTCTTTTTTTTCTTTTTTTCCCTTTTCACTTTCATTTCCAGCCTGTTGTCCGAACACGATTGGATTCTTGTAGATCCCTTTTTTGGTATGATTTAGTTATTTCTACACACGTGTGACGTTCTCACAACCAGTGGATGTCTTGATTGTACATCCAGAGGCGTTTCCCTGCGAGCTCGTATGATTCAATGTTAGACCCAGTTTGAATAGATTCCTTTCGATTGGAAATCCCCGGTGGCTACTAATAAAGAAAGACTATAGTTATCTGTCATCGCTGTCTTGACTAGATGATGGAAACAAACTTGGAATAAGCATTGGAGACAAAAACTGAAAATCTAGGTCTAAATAAGGAATTCCGTAAGGTCAAACACGAAACTAGTCACCGTCGCTTGTAGACAAAGCACTTCGCTACCGATACAGCAAATCAGCCACACAACCTCACGCTCTCGCCCTCCCCTTGCCCTTTCCAGAAGACCGAGTCGAAGACAAGGGTGGCGAGAGAGCGGGGAATTCCTCCCATTCTTCTGGTTCCTCACGACTCCGGTTCTCCGCTAGACTTAACTGAATTGCGAACTCAAGGTCGTCCATCTCCTTTTGATCGCTACGTCCCGCGCTTGCCATTCGAGGAGGCGAAGGGGTGAGTTGTTTCTGGACGCCCTTGGCGTATTTGATAGGAATAGATGGTGTTTGATCGAAAGGCTCGGGCGTTGCCTTGCTGTCGAGGAGACTAAGACGGATAGCCTCAGCAAGATCGTCATCAACTTGATCGTCGATGGGATCTTGATTAGGCGACGAAGAAGAGGATACACCGCCAATGCCAAACGAGCTGGGACCCACCGCATCGCTGAGAGAAGTACTGGTGACGGAACTGGCAATAGCAGTCTGATCACCGCGCTTAGCGGAGGCGCTAGTGTAGGCCTCTTCACTGAGTAGCTGCGCATAGGCCAGCAACTGTTCTTCATCAACATCCGGCCCGAGCAGATCAACCCCAAAGCGGTTACTGAGGTGTGCTCGCTCCTTCGCATCTTCGATACTCTGGCGCTCAATCTCGATGCGTTCATCCTCAATGAAGTCTTGAATCGCACCACGCCCACTTGTCGTGAAGCGTTGACCATCGCCCACGCCGTTACTGCTGCGCGCAGTGCGACGAAGACGCCGCTTATTGCTCTTGTATTGATCGGCACCGGAAGAACTGTAGGACCAGTAACGTAGATGGGTACCCAGCGATACCATGCCTCGAAGAACGGTCGGATCAGGATCAAGGCATATAGCGCTTGCAGCAAAGTAATTGTTCCCCACACCAAGGGTAGAAAGCTCCGCCTGTACGAGACGTCGGCGAGCCCGAGAGGAGAAGCGCGAATTCAAAGTCCGAATTGGGCGCGTCGAAGATGCAAGCGGGTCCCAAGCCTGTACAAGGCCATCGTTACCGCCGTGCACTAAGTAGAGTGAGGTCAACGCCACACAAGACACCCGAGGCGATTCTGTCTGAATAACGCGAACCGGAGCAATGGAATTGATTACATCGGCGTGTTGGGAGGCCAGAGCACGCATGTCCCAGACAAAAATAGAGCCAGTAGCGGTTCCAACGGCCAGGTAACGGGCCCGTTGCCCAGGAACCTCAAAGCTGGAACGTGGCTGTGCAAGATGCGGCAGTACTGGCGAAGAGATCGCAGAGGAATGGGAGCTCCCAGACATACCCAGAAGGGGATCCTCGTCAGCAGTAATCGTAGCAAATGTTGAGTTATCAATCGCAGCGGTCGTGATCTCCACGGGTTTTCGATCGCCAAACACGAAATCCGAGACCCGCCATTCCGTGTTGAGAGGTGGGTTCTCGTGCGCTGATCGCACGGAGGAGCGAGACGGCGGAATGCTCTCTTCGCCGAGTGATGGACTTGAATTGCCCACCGGGCCGCCAAAGAGAGAGCGGACTGGATCTCGGCTACCGCCAGTGGTTGACGAGGGAAGGTGTGTTTCAGAGGTGCCCCGAATAAATCGCCGGATAGATGCATCCTGGACCCCTTCTGTGCCTGGTACAAGGACGACGACCGACTCACCGGCACCCTTTCCATCGTCACCAGCAAAATCTACCTGTAATGTCCGCCGCATGTTCCCAACCCTCGCATACCTTTCGGAAGTGCTTGGGCTTGAAAGATAGGTACTTCTCGATTTCTCTTGTCTCCGCAGCGATTTGATTTGGGTCAAGTTGCATTGAGTCTGATGAGGACCGTGGGCTATAGCTGCCGTCGACGAGCTCAAGGTTGAAGGGGTCAGGGCGCGCCGTGCGCCGGCTCATTTCCAAGAGCTCCCAGCGAACAGTCCGACCAGTCTTCCAGGCGAGCTCATCTGACTGCTCAGCATTTAGCTTCGCATTTGATGGGACCTCAGGCTGGCGTGGTATCTCCGTCAGATAGAAAATTTCACCCAGTGCATTTAGGACGACGGCCCAGACCCGGCGCTGAGAATGGCGACGAGTAGAAAAGTTGTCATCTACAGCAATGCCAATGATGGGAACGCCGGGACAAAGAGCCCACCTAGCAGTGACCTGCCCACGTTCATATCGCCTCTCATACGTTGGATGGGGGCCCAGGGCATAGGAAGATAGTATACCGGAAGATGAGCCAGACATCATGGCTACCAGCCCCCCGGTTGCTTTCAGAATGGAAGCAGATTTGGCGATCCAAACAGAGCAGATCGCATGAGTAATCATATTCACAGCTGGAATTCCCAGTTGAGGATGAGAACCAAGATCAGACAATCCCAGGAAGCGGCCACGTTGCTCCGTAGTTGAGATGAAGTAACTGCGGCCTTGCGGGCAGCCCTCTCCGTATATCATACCGTATGGCTGGCTGACATCCATGGAATTAGGCATGCCCACCATCTCTCCTGCTCCAAGGCCATACTGCGCATCTCCAGGAAAGATATCCGCGAAATGCCGAAACATCTGATGGTCTGCCAACCCCCAGGTGCTCACCTTCACAGCCGAGGGATCACTTGCAGAAGCGATTCCTTGTTCCGAAGCACCATGTATGAAGCTCGGCTCTTTATCAGGATTGTTGAAAGTTCCATGAATATGGCTCACCGGAAACAAGAGCTGCGACGTATATGTGGAAACTGCACTGCCGTTGCGCGCGACTGCGGAGCGCACAGTGGCGTATTTCTTCGACAGTTGAAATTGTGCCGGTTTGCCTCGAGATAACGATCGCATCAGACGGGTTCGGAGAATATATTCACTGCGCCAGGATGCTAGCGCCGTGAGTCTTGCGAAATATCTTCTATCTGAGGCCACGTCGGCCTGGTCTACCGGGGATCCTCCATTTTCAGCAGCCTGAGGACCAGGGAAGAAACGCGAAAAAGCAATTCTCCAGGCATGCGGAGTGGTGACAAGGGCATAGAGCCGACGAGATACCAAAGTTATGGCCGAAAGCGACTGCGGAGGCAGGTGCGATAGAATATGAGTCAGAACCTCTGATGTAGTCGAAATTAGCTAGCGTCGACAGAGCAGAAATGCATTTTGCATACCGTTCGGTAACGACTCCAAGGGCAGGTTTGAAGAGCCAGAAGATGGTGCAACATGGGATCCAAGCTCGGCGCTTTCGCCTCTAGATAGTCCGGCATTCTCATACTGGCTTATGCGTTGCGCAGGCGAGGGCGGGGCGGACTCGACGTCATTCAGGGGTGTGGAACTGGACTCCGCGAGGGGCCAGTTTGAAACCGACTGGTCTCTGACAGCCTCGCACTCGAGACTGCCAGAGACTGTACCATCTGCAGAGTCATTTCCATGCTGGGTAGGAGTGCGGTTCAGTTGAGATGAGTCAACGGGGAGCGTCTTTTGGGAAAGGGCGATGGGCTCTGGTTGCATAAAAACTGGTAAGAAGAAACGGATGGCAGAAGCGACTGAGCCAGCGATGTCACCTGGGTCAGTCGGGATGTTGAAGAGCAAGTTTGCGGGGCGAGAGCGTACGAAGCAAGGCGTTGAGGAGGAGGGAAAGGAAAGCGGGCAATTCGGGAGGCGAAAAGCGGCGAGAGCGGGTCTTCACGCGTTTTCCCTGCGCCCGAATCTTGACCTTCCCAGGCCCCTCCAGTGCTAGGCCCGGGGCATTCCTCTTAGATTACTCCGATCCCCTGAAATCATATTGATCCTACTGTTACATAGGTAGGTTCGATATGGAGACTCGTATCCTTAGTATCTATAGTGGCAGACTATCTATATTGACCGGCCGGGCTTGTACGCAAGGACATTGGCGTTTTGCTTGATGTGATTGGCCAGACAGTGCTTAGAGCTGTTATGACGAACGCCCATAGGACCCGGACCCGAATTACGAACTTGAATTATGCCTGAATAGGTTTAAAAATGCACTTGATATATTTAGTCCAAGTTCCGCTTCCTCGTCTCTGGCCCATTCAGCTCTCAGTGGGATCCTAAGTAGGACTCACGGGCTTTCATATTCAGTGGGTGTTAGCACCTTGGATTCGAAAATGACGTCCATGGTTTCCAGAGGAATACCGCTAGTCTTGGGCACCAGGAGATGCATAGTTAATGAAAATTTCCAGGATGCCCACGAAGCTACACAAAGGTAGAGTGCTGTAGGTAATGTTCTTGAACAGTGCCACCGAGCCGGTGACAACGCAATGTAGTCTCCGACAAACCACCGAATGGGGTTGGGGAGATTTTAGCCGCAGTGCTCGAGAGCATGTTCCACCCGATGGACGGTAACGGATGAATCAGTTCCCTGATATTCAACCTTATACTGTGTAGAACTGGAAAAGGTAGGGCTAGTTATATTGGGATCAAATTGGCTTAAATTCAGACTCGGAAAAATGTTCCCACGCTTGATGAGGCGATTTATCAGACGCACAAGTCGCACTAATCGGCCCTTCAAGTTTGTTGACGCCGTGAAGAGAAGCATTTAGTCATCCAGCCCCGTCCGCCCACGTGATCACGCGCAACCACGCGCTTCCTTTCTGTCCCTCATTTTAGAGGAACATCCGCGCACAGTCATTGGTGGCCGGTGACGTCGTATCTCTGGTATGCTCCAGAGTGCCTCATCCTTGTGCTGAAGATGGCGCCCACTAATGGTGAGGTCTTCCTGAGCGTCCCAATATCAGCATACGCTGACCCACATAACAGAGGCGGAAACCATCCGCATATTGATATCAACCGATAACCATGTGGGCTACAATGAGCGGGATCCCATTCGAGGTGACGACAGCTGGAAGACCTTTCACGAAATCATGACCCTTGCCAAGGACCGAGACGTGGACATGGTTCTTTTAGCCGGCGACCTGTTCCATGAGAATAAGCCGTCCCGGAAATCTATGTACCAAGTGATGCGCTCCATTCGCATGAACTGCTTCGGCGATAAGCCCTGCGAGCTGGAGATGCTTAGCGATGCCAGTGAGAATTTTCAAGGGGCCTTCAATCATGTCAACTACGAGGATTTAGATATGAACATCGCCATTCCCATCTTCTCTATCCATGGAAACCATGACGACCCATCCGGGGAAGGTCATTTGGCAGCTCTAGATCTGTTGCAGGTGTCTGGCCTTCTCAATTACTACGGACGCACACCCGAATCTGACAACATCGAGATCAAGCCCGTTTTGTTACAGAAGGGAAGGACCAAGCTTGCTTTATACGGGATGAGTAATGTGCGAGACGAGCGCCTATTCCGGACGTTCAGGGACGGCAAGGTCAAGTTCTTCCAACCCTCTGTCCAAAAGGATGACTGGTTCAACTTGATGTCCGTACATCAAAATCATCATGCATACACAGAAACTGGCTATCTGCCAGAAAACTTTCTCCCGGAGTTCATGGATTTAGTTATATGGGGCCATGAGCATGAATGTTTAATCCATCCCAGATTGAATCCAGAGATGAAGTTCCATGTCATGCAGCCGGGTTCCTCTGTGGCTACTTCGTTGGTTCCCGGGGAGGCCGTCGCAAAACAGGTGTCAATCGTGAGTGTGACTGGCCGGGATTTCAAGTGTGAGCCCATCCGGCTGAAGACAGTAAGGCCATTTGTCATGCGCGAGATCGTTTTATCGGAAGAGAAAGGCGCCCAGAAATTAGCACGGAAAGAAAACAACCGAACGGAAGTCACACGGCTACTTATGGGGATTGTTGAGGAGTTGATAGAAGAAGCCAAAGAAGAGTGGCTGGAGATGCATGCAGAGCGCGATGAGCAAGACGACGACGACGAAGCACCTGAAGTCCCACTTCCGCTCGTTCGTCTTCGGGTGGAAATTTCAACACCTGACGGTGGGACTTTTGACTGTGAGAACCCGCAGCGGTTCTCAAATCGGTTTGTCGGCAAAGTTGCAAATGTAAATGACGTCGTGCAATTCCATCGAAAGAAAAAGACCGCTTCATCGTCACGGAAGAACAACGAAACAGACGGGGCAGCTGTCTCGCACCTCGAAGGCTTGGACACTGTTAAGGTGGAACAGTTGGTGAAAGAGTTCCTCGCTTCCCAGTCACTCAGTATCCTTCCACAAAACACCTTCGGGGATGCTGTGGCGCAATTCATCGACAAGGACGACAAACATGCCATGGAAATGTTTGTCAATGAGTCTCTTGAAAGTCAGATCAAACACCTCATGAGTTTGGATCAAGATGAAGATGACATGGACGACGAAGAACAAGCGCATAGCTCGCTGGTGACTGCCATGGAGAAATACCGTGGACAGATGGAGGACATGTTTTCCAAAGGCGTCAAGAGGCGCACTCGCGGTAAAAAGCGTTTCAAACCTAAGCCCGATGGCTGGGATTCCGAGTTTGACGGTGCTTGGGAAGACCAGCCTGGCGCTTTGATTCATTCTGACAACGAAGGAGGCGATCCTGCCGGAGAAGAGGCTGCGGAAGACGGCTCCAAAACCGCCCGCAGTCGTACCGCAGCGGCCACCCGCGGCCGGGGAAGAGGTCGTGGTGCTCGCGGTGGGGCTGCTAGTACTCGGGGTGTAGCGAAAACAGCCGCTTCTGCGTCACGCAGTCGACGAAAGAATGAAGTGTCAGACGAAGATTCGGCTGACGAGGACATTATCATGCTTGACGACGATGAGGACGACAAAGTAAGTTCTGATGATGACGACTCTCAGGCCTTATTTGTCAAGCAACCTCGCGTTACAGCCTCCCGGAGCAAGGCAACGACCACGACCACCCGTAAACGAGGCGGACGTACTGCAGCATCCCCGGCTCCGTCGTCCTCTACCGTTGGTGGTCCAGCAACGCGGCGAGCGCCAGCTCGAACTGCTAAACCAACACAGACGACCCTCGATTTTTCTGCTTCGCAAGCAAGTGAGCCGCGCTCTACTCGGGACTAGTCGCTCAACTCGCAATATTAGTGTCATTAGCGATGACGATGACGATGCCTTTGAACCAGTGTAAATCCTGGCAAATGCTGGAAATTAATAGCGATGGAAGTATTTCCCCACATTTTTGCCAGCCCATGTATAGCTAGCTCCTGCATCAAGGCACCATCCATCCACGGAATGCATTGGATTTACCTCTTATGAACTAGTTACCTCTGACTATTACCTCATCTAGGAATCGTACACGCTTGATTGCCAGTACTTCGAGCGTCCGCTACTAGTACTAGCTTATCAGACAGGAAATATCAAAGACCTAAGGTCAATTTCCCCTTGAACAGAACTGTAACCTATCATTTCAATAAACCTCATGGGCCGCGATTTTGGATTTCCAATATCTAAGACTCGATTATTACTAGCAATGAAAGTACGTAAAAGATATCGATGTCGTCCAGGACTATCGGTGGGCCGTGATGTCATTTTAAGTGGGACTTAGGAGAATTTTGCATCTGGAAACCGCCAGCAGCAGAAGGAAGAATATAGGATCACGAGGAGTCAAAGAATCGATTGTGGTATATAGCTAGTTCGCCCTCCCGAAGAATGCACCTGGAAAAAAAATAAACCCAAAGAACCCCAAGGCCACCGCTGAAAAATGCCCGAAAAAAAAGAAAATAAAAGACATGAACGCCAAAAACCCAACCGAACGCAACGCACGCCAAACACAAGACATCACACACATCACACGTAACACATGACATCACACATAATATACAGACATACATTGAACAATTCATCGAGTTCACGTAACGGAAATTCGTCTAATCTATACAGCTCACGTTCTATGCGATGCAGCTGCATCTACGAAACACTGACATCGAACGGACAGAAACTTTTGCAAATATGACATCAAGGAAAGACATGGCATGCGTAAAAAAAATCGACGGCGCTTTTTCTGGGATCCCAGTCGTGGACAAGATAAATAAAAGGAAGGTTTAAGGAGCCAAGACCAGGGCCAGCAGCGCCATGCGGCAGTACAAGCCATATCTCATCTGTAGATTGATTAGCATGAATTCTGTAGAACGGAGACAGGGTCAGAACATACTTGGCGGAAGTAGGCTGATCGTTGGTCGAAGTCAACTTCAGGGGCAATCTCTGCGTTACGAGGCAGAGGGTGCATGACAATCATGTGGCTCTTGGCGTGCTTGAGCAGAGCGTTGTCAATGATGAAGCTGTTCTTCAGACGCTCGTACTGAGCGAGGTCGGTGAAGCGCTCCTTCTGGACCCGGGTGGAGTAGAGAATGTCGGAGGCAGCGACAATCTCAGGGGTCAACTCTTCGCTCTCGCCAATCAGCTGACCGGAAGACACGAGCTGAGAGCGAACTTCCTCAGGAAGAGCCAGCTCCTTGGGTGACACAAGCTGGACACGAACATCGTAGAACTGAAGCAGCTTGATCAGAGAGTGGATGGTACGACCGTACTTCAAGTCACCAGTGAAGGTAATGGTGAGACCAGTGACAGTACCCAGCTCCTCACGGATGGTGAAGAGATCCAGGAAGGCCTGCGTTGGGTGCTCAATAGATCCATTACCACCGTTGATGACGGGAACCTGCGAGAACTTGGCTGCGATCTCGGTGCTCTTGGGATCTGGGTGACGGAGGACAATGGCGTCGCTGTAGCATCCAAGAGTGCGGAGGGTATCCTGGAGGCTCTCTCCCTTTTGAGTCGATGAGTGCTCAGTAGCGATAGGAATGGTACGGCCTCCAAGGCGTTGCATGGCAGCATCGAACGAAGCCGAGGTGCGGGTTGAGGGCTCGTAGAAAAGAGTAGTGAGGACACGGCCCTTGAGGACATCAAGGACACCCTGGCGTTGGACACCAAGACGCATCTCCTGAGCGACGGTGAAAAGCAGGTGAAGGTCGGCACGGGTGAATTGGTTCACAGACAGCACATGCTTCTGACGGAAGGGAGACCGGGAAAGCATCTCGTGCAGCGCCGACGAGACTTGAGATGATGGGCCATACAGGGGAGGTCCAAGCTCGCCGACCGGGACGTTATCAAAAGCTCGGGTGCGGCGACCGGGGGTACCGGAGATAGAAGCATGGCGGTCGAAGGAGCTCTCAGGACGAACCATAGGAGTCGTGGGCTTTTGCACAGGAGACGCAGGAACGATACGGTGAGAAGACATGTCCACACCGGTAGGAGAATCGGCAACAACCGCACCACCCAGGCAGGAAGTCTTACCCTGGAAAGTGACACGCTGGACGGAGCCGCGCATCATCTTGCCGTTGAATGGCGACCAGCTCTGGGCCTGGAACAGATAAGGGCGATCGATCTCAATCTCAAGCGAAGAATCGGCCTGGTCGTGAAGCTCGAAGATCTTCTTTGGATTTTCGTACAGGCGAGCAGTGATATCCTCGACGGTGAGACGACCCTCAGCCACGGCAGTAAAGAGGAGCGGGAGAGATTCAGCAATGCCAACATCAGGGGAGGCATCCTTGCCAGCAAGCTGGTATGGGATGCTACCAATGGAGAAAACGTCGATGGTGCTCATGTAGTTCCACAGAGCCTTCTGGTCGTCAGCCGAAGGCAAAGAGGTGCAGGTAGGGAAATCGCTCTGAGAGAGGAAAAGACAGAAGATCGAAACATCACAAGTGACCTTCAGACCCTTCTCTTTGCTCAGGGCGATGAGCTTGATGTCCTCCTTGGAGGTTACGCTCATGACGTGGATGTTGCGGCTGTGAAGGCTGGCCAACAGCAGAATGGAAGCGAGGTCCGTGCCCTTAGCATCGGTGATCAGAGGCTTGCTTGAAGGCCAAGCACCGAAGTGGTTAGTCACGGTGGCCACCTTGTTGATATTGCCAGAAAGGTGGTTGAATGGGATGAAAAGAGAACCAACTTCACCGGTAACCTGGGTGATTTGATCGGAATTCGTGGCAGTAGCGGCAACGGAAATATTGAAGTCACAGTATGACTTGTCTTGGGCATTCTGCTGAACAATCTTCAAGTCACTAGCCTGAGTAACAGAGCTGTCGACACCGACGGGCATGACGCGAATCATGGAGAAACCGGCGCCAATCGAAGCCTTGGTAACAGCCTCGAAGTCCTTGGCACCGGGGGTGGCAAGGGCGGGGACGAAGGCAGCGATATTGATCAGGCCAGGCAGAACAACGGTACGGTGGCTGGTCTGGAAGTCGGAGGTCTGAATGTTCAGAGGATAGTGGCGGGCAATGGCCTCAATCAGAATCTTCGCATTCTTAACGTTGGTGACCAAAGGAGTCTGGTAGTCCACAGCCATACGACGTGTGCGGTAACCCTTTGACATGTAGTTGGCAGGCCGGCGGAACCGGTTGTTGGAGGGCAAGTTGATGTACAGATCGATCAGGTTGTTAGACAAGTGCTGGGTCAAAGAGTACTCGGACTTGATGTCATCCTCCTCACCGCCAAGCAGCTCAAGATACTTGACAGGAACGCCATTCTCTTTCAAGAAATCAGCAGTACCCGAAGTGGCGTATAGGTTATAGTCAAGCTGGTGCAGCTTCTGAATAGAAGGCAGCATCTCGAGCTTCTCCTTGTAAGAACCGATCGAGAAAAGGATGTTTCGCTTAGGAAGGCGGAATCCAGTGGACAAGAGGGCCTTCAAGTAGGCTTCATACTTGTCACGACCGAACGAAGCAACCTCACCAGTGGAAGCCATCTCAACACCCAGAACGGGATCGGCACCAGAAAGACGCGAGAATGAGAATTGGGGAACCTTGACACCGACGTAGTCCTTAGGAACGTTCACAGGAGGATATTCAGTGAATGGAATGCCAATCATGGCCTTAGTGGCCATCTCGATCAGATCAACGCCCATGACCTTGGACACGAAGGGGAACGAACGAGAAGCCCGGACATTGCACTCGATCACCTTGATGTCGTTGTCTTTGGCAATAAACTGAATGTTGTAAGGACCGGTGACGTTCAGGGCGTTACCAATCTTGCGGGTGGCCTCCTCGATACGGCTCACCGTCTCCGCGGATAGATCCTGGGGTGGCAGGATGAGAGTAGCATCACCGGAGTGAACACCTGCGTTCTCAACGTGCTCGGAGATGAAGTGACCAACCATAACACCGTTGCGAGCCACAGCATCCATCTCAATTTCCTTGGCATTTTCAATGTACTTGGTGATAACCACAGGGTGTTCGCGGGAAACATCGGCAGCTTGGTCTAGGTAGCTTGCCAAGTCATGCTCGGAGTAAACAGTGTTCATCGCAGCACCAGACAGGACATAGGACGGACGAACAAGTACAGGGTATCCAACCTTGTCACAGAAAGCACGGGCCTCGTCAATGCTGGTCAGCTCCTTCCAGGCAGGCTGGTCGACCCCGATACGGTCCAGCATGCGGGAGAACTTGTAGCGGTTCTCAGCTCCATCAATCATCTCGGGGATGTGCCCAAGATGTTAACATTTAAGCGGTGGAGGGGCAGGGCGATGTTGTTAGGGGTCTGTCCACCCATGGACATGATGACGCCGCTGGAGGTCTCGAGCTGGTAGATATCGAGAACGGTTTCCAAGTTGATGTTCTCAAAGTACAGACGATCAGCCTCGTCATAGTCAGTACTGACTGTTTCGGGGTTGTAGTTGACCATGATAGTCTTGTGACCTTGCTCGCGAAGAGTGCGGATAGTGCGAACAGAACACCAATCAAACTCCACGGAGGAACCAATACGGTAGACACCGGAGCCAAGTACCATGATACCATGATCGTCAAAGGACAGATCACTCTCGGAGGCATTGTACGTAAGGTAAAGGTAGTTGGTGACCGCAGGGAACTCGGCAGCGACTGTGTCGATCTGCTTAACGACTGGGGTAATGCCTGCTTCGACACGCTTGCGGCGAACGGCCAATTCATTTGAGCTCAAGAACTTGGCAAGCTGACTATCGGAGAAACCGAGCTGCTTAGCCTGACGAATCATGGGAAGAGGCACGCTAGAAGCGTCGAAAGAAGTCAATGACTTGCCGAAGTCACTCAGGCCCTTGAGACGGCTCAAAAACCACTTGTCGATGTTGGTCAGTTGCCAAATGTCATCAACAGAGTAACCAGCAGCCATTGCGTTGGCAATAGCAAAGAGACGCTGGTCGGACGGAGTCTGAAGCTCGCCCTTGATAGACATAAGGGCGTTGGTCTCATTGAACCCTAAGTTGTGGAAGTCAACGGATCGGATAGCCTTTTGGATTGCCTCTTCGAAGGTGCGGCCAATACTCATCACCTCACCCACACTCTTCATAGAGGATCCAAGCTGGGTTGAGACACGAGTGAACTTCTTAAGATCCCAACGAGGGATTTTCACAACACAGTAGTCGAGAGAAGGTTCGAAACAAGCACATGTGGACTTCGTGACAGAGTTCTTGATCTCGTTGAGTGGAATTCCAAGACCCAGCTTGGCAGCAATGAAAGCCAAGGGGTATCCAGTGGCCTTGGAAGCAAGAGCAGATGAACGAGACAATCTAGCGTTGACCTCAATGATACAGTACTCCCTGGAGAAAGGGTTCAAGGCGTATTGAATGTTACATTCACCAACAACACCAAGGTGGCGAATCACGTTGACAGCGGTAGTTCGCAGCATATTGTAATCCTCATCTGACAGCGTCTGAGAAGGAGCGACAACGATTGAGTCACCGGTGTGAATACCGAGAGGGTCGAAATTTTCCATGTTGCAGACGGTGATACAGTTGTCTTGGGCATCGCGAACAACTTCGTACTCCACTTCCTTCCAGCCTTTCATACTGCGTTCAATGAGGACTTGGGGGCTGACTGCTAATGCCTTAGTGCAAAGTTCCTTCAATTGATCCATGTTGTCGGCGAAACCACTGCCGAGACCTCCAAGGGCATAAGCAGCACGAACAATGACGGGGAAGCCAATGTCCTCAACAACACGCAGCGACTCCTCGAGAGTTGATGCAGATGCAGACTTAGCACACTTCTCGTTGATTGAGTCCATGCTGCGTGCAAAGAGCTCTCGATCCTCAGTGGTGATAATGGTGTCGATAGGAGTACCGAGGACCTTAACACCCAGTCCCTCAAACTCATCCTTGAGTTGAATACCAACCTGCAAGGCGGTCTGGCCACCAAAGGTGACATATATGGCATCTGGACGCTCGTGCTTGATGACCTTGCGAACAAAGTCGGCGTTCACGGGAAGGAAGTACACCTTATCAGCCAGACCCTTGGAAGTCTGAATGGTGGCAATGTTGGGGTTGATCAAGATCGTGTAGATCCCCTCTTCCTTCAGAGCCTTGATAGCCTGAGAACCGGAGTAATCGAATTCACCGGCTTGACCAATGCTCAAACCACCACTGCCAAGAACCAAGACCTTCTTGACGTGCACACGGGGTGCAGCTAAGCGGTTGTCTTCTTTGAGGCCACCAGGGAACTCTACAGGCTGGTTGAGAGCAGCAGGGGAAGCAATTGTGTTCTGAACGGTCTTGATGAAGACGTCGAACAGGTACTCGGTATCTCTGGGACCAGGAGTGCTCTCGGGGTGGAATTGAACACTGAAGAAGGGACGGGTGGTGTGACGAATACCCTCGTTGCTGCCGTCGTTGGCATTCACAAACAGCTCTTCCCAGCCATTCTGCAGGCTAGAGGCGTCCACAGCATATCCATGGTTTTGGGATGTGATATGGCACTTTCCGGAGATCATGCTTGTGCAAGGAATGTTGTGGCCACGGTTACCAAACTTCATCTTCGAAGTAGTGGCTCCCACAGAGCGGGCAATCAGCTGATGACCCAGGCAGATACCAAAGACCGGGGTACGAGCCTCCTGGATTGTCTTCGACAGGTTCTCAATCGTCTTTGAGAGCGTAGCAGGGTCACCCGGACCGTTGGAGACGAAAAGACCGTCGTAGTCCTTTCCAGCGAGGGTAGGGAAGTCGTAGTCCCAAGGTACGACCATCACTTCAACTCCGCGGGAGAGTAAGCAGCGCAACTGGTTGAATTTCATACCCACGTCCAAGCAGAGAACGCGAACAGGTCGGCCTGATGGGTGCTTAAGGGCAACGTCGGCTGGGGGAGAAAAGACACGAGGCTCACGGATGGAAACTAGATAGCAAGGAACATTAGATATTGTTTTGCCACTGACAACTCTTCTATGGGGTAACTCACCCTCTGCAACGAGGTTCTTAGTGTTGGGATCCACCCATTCGACCTCTTCAAAGTGTGACTTCCAGTTGGACTCATCGAAGCCGCCGGAAACGCTGCTGGGCTCGCCTGATTTTTGCAAGCGCAGGCGACCGAGCATGCTACCCTTTTGACGGATACGCTTGGTCAAAGCACGTGTGTCAACAGCGTGAATTGCTGGGACGCCTTGCTCCTTCAGCCATTGGCCAAGAGAAGACTTGGCCAAGAAGTGTGAGTAGTCCTCGCCGGCATAGGCTGCCACCACTAATGCCGCAACGTGAATCTGGCTCGACTCGAAGTGCTTGGGCAGAGTCTGCAGTAGCTCATCCATCTCTTCCCGTGAAGGTACGCCGTAGTTACCGACCAAGGGGAAGGTAACGACGAGGATTTGGCCTCGGTATGAGGGGTCGGTGATGGACTCAGGGTATCCAACCATGCCGGTCTGGAAGACCAATTCACCAGACACACTCTTCTCCGCACCGAAGTTGTATCCCTGGTAAACTGTGCCATCCTCCAGCTCAAGAGCCATGAGGCGCTCGTTTCCACCCCGAACGGGGATGGTGGCCGGGGCAATGACAGTGTTCACAGTCGCCATTTTGTGTGAGATTTTCTTTTTTTTTGGTTTTGGAATTTTTCGTGGGAAGCGTAGATTATTCGACCACTTTACAGTCCAATTGAGGACGTGAAGCTATCGGCCAATCTTCGTGAGGAGCAAAATTGGAGACGACCGAGGGTACAGAGGGGTGTGAAAAAAGAATGAGGGGACAAGTCCTCTCGAGGACGAATGAAGGCGAGGTTCAGGCACTCTACCACAGCATTCGCCAGTATTATTTTGTATTTTTGGGGAGGAGTCAGGGGATCTTTCGATTCCTGGGGTATTTGGGGGAATGGAGAAGAAATCAGAAGCAGCTGCAAGGAGCTGGAGAGATGAGAAAGAAAAGAACGAGCGGGTGGTGGCAGAAAATTTTCTGTGTTGAGTCAAAAAATGACCCACTTTGGTTTAGGGTTTTGCAGCTGCTTTCGGTGCTCACCGCCCCGGTCTTAAGAGATTTATACCTCGAGGATGACGCGAGTTACGCTCTGGGGGGGGAGGGTTCAATGGTAAGATAGGTCTTAAGATCCTTGACATACCACGTCAATAGGTTCCAATAAGGATCCAACGCCATATCCCATTCACCATCAGCAGGGGTTCCATCTACGAGCTATGGTGGCAGATTTGCCTCCAGATCGATAGTGCCGATTTCGGCGCATACCTAGCCGCTTTAGCGCTGCTTCCTCTGCTTCCCCTCCTGCAGCGCCTTTTGCATGCAGGCGGTCAGCCACGATAAGATGCGATAACTAGTTAACGTAAGCTTGGTTATTTACTAACTAATCCCAGTTGGGTCAGGAGGACATTCTTAAGATGAACTCCAGGGTGGGGTACACGCAATACATTGCTCTGGAGGTCTGATCAAATCAACAGTAACAGCCCTGAATTCCTGAGATGCAAACCTTGGGAGAGTAGCCGTGTTGATCCAAGGTCTCTTCAGCCGACCGCATCGAGCTTCCCAGATGCTCTGATGATTATGGATATAGAACCATACTTGTAGTGGTGCAAACCCAACATGATACCGTCTATGGGTGTTCTCGTACATTAGGAGGCATTTTTACTTGGTAGTAACCCCACCGACAATCTAGGAAATGGTCAATCGGCCGAACGGCCGACTGTTTGATCTCACGAGGCTCGCAAGGTGCTCGGTCACCTGTGGCTGTACAATGACGTTGGAAGTGATCTATCCACGATCTAAATTGTCTAAATTCCGTCTAGCGTACTGTGATCGACGAACGTAGGCCTGCATCCCGTGAGTTTCCAAGCTCTGTCCTTATCTTGGGGATTCTCCAGGTTCTACCTTTTTTAGTAGGTCCGTTCCCCCCACTGGGCTCCAAAGCTGTTTTTCGTCCCCAGCCCTTCCGCTATTCGTATTCTTATTCTTTCAAGCAGCCTTCACGCCCCCAAACCCCCTACGTCGATCATGCGCATGTGAGGCTTCTTCCTCCCTTCGCGATGTTGGCCTCTTTGCTTCGCCCAAAAGGGAAGCGCAAGCAGAGTGACCGGTCGCCCTTCTCTTCCCCGGTTACTGGCAACCCCCATGGTTCGGGGCCGCGGCGCGACGCGGTCCCCGAAATCTGCACGAGGCGGGAGAAGTCACGGACGAAAACGATTTTTCAGGCCTGCATGACATCGATGAGGATATGGATGAGAATTGGACGCGAGATGAAGAGGACGAGGAAGATCATCCTATGGAATCTACCCCTCTACTCCCAATATTCTCGGCTTCTCACCTGGGTATGGTCGGCGACTGGAATGCGCGACTCATCTGGCGAATTACGCTAACTTCATATCATTTCATAGATGCTCTCCCCGTCTACGATATCACCCACGCCATTCGCCATTTAATTGTTGACCGCTGTGAGACAACATTAACATGGGACCAATTACGCTCGCCGCAGGTTTCGCAGTTCCTGATTAAGCCTATCCAGCAGCAAATAATGTCCGAACACTTCTCGAGAGCAACGCTTTACGCGTTGATGGCGAACTGTTTGCAGTTCGACAAAGAAATCAGTACAAACCCTGGCAATAGTGGTGCCAGCCAAACGCGGGCTATGGTTAGCGAGCTGCTTGCAATTAAGCTATTGCGAGACTACACAACTCGGGAGTTGATCGATGCATTGTCGTACGAGTTTTACCCACTTCAGGGCCAGGATCCCTCTATCGCATGGAATCCAGGAACCCAAGGAAAGCGACCGATGGGCACAGGCCGGATATCCTGCCTAGAAGTTGCCATTCGCGCTCAGGCAAAGCGTTTTTTTGCCCATCCGGTTGTGGTCCAGCAACTGGAGGCCATTTGGGCTGGAACGATCGTTTTCCATTCTGCCGCCGATCACCTGCATCGCCAGGTCTTACCGTCCACTGAAAACTTGAATTACGGAACATCAACAGATAGGAATGGCATGCAGTCGCATATTCCGACCAACCCAGCTCCTCGACGCTCCGTCACGCTGTACAACCCCAGGGATGCTTCGTTGTTCAAACTCTCGCGCTTACGAGTCCCGCGATATCGACAATTCCTCTCCACTCTCTCGTTCGCAGTTCTTTTGGGGTTGTTTCTGGCTGTCCTGCAGGAACGGAGTAGGCCAATCACATCTCTCGAGATTGTGTTTTGGTTCTGGAGTGCTGGGTTCATGCTTGATGAAATAGTCGGGTTCAATGAACAAGGATTCAGCCTCTACTTAATGAGCTTCTGGAACCTTTTTGATCTGGGGATCTTGCTTTTACTCTTTGCTTACTGCTCCCTACGGGTCTACGGTGCCTTCTTGACCTACCCTCGAAACCAGCAAGTTGCGAATCAGGCGTACGATGTTTTGGCGGCTAATGCGGTTCTTCTCTTCCCGCGTTTGTTTTCGGTTCTCGACCACTACCGCTACTTCTCCCAGCTTCTGATCGCCTTCCGCATCATGGCCTCTGATCTCATTGCTGTCTTCGTTCTTATTGTCATTGCATGTAGCGGCTTTTTCGTTGCTTTTCTGTCATTTGGAAGCGAGAACTCTCCAAATGCGGTCGCATATGGCCTGTTCCAGATGCTGATGGGATTCACCCCGACTGCATGGTCCATGTGGGATGAATATAACGTCCTGGGGAGAACTATCCTTACAGTGTTCCTGTTCATCTGTCACTTCGTGGTTGTGACCATCCTGATTACGGTTCTGACAAACTCTTTCATGCGCATTGTTCAAAATGCGAATCAAGAGCATCAGTTCTTGTTTGCCGTAAACACGATCTCTATGGTCAAGTCCGATGCCCTCTTCTCCTATGTAGCGCCGACGAATGTCATTTCTTGGCTTGTTACTCCGGCCCGCTATATTATCTCCTTCCGCCAGTTCATCAAGCTCAACCGAACAATCATTAAGATTACGCATGCGCCGATTCTGTTCACTATCTGCATTTACGAGAAAACTATTCTCAGCGCGCGTGTGGTAGAGGCCATGGATCTTGTTGATCCAGCTCCTGCAAATGATTTGTCTAGGCCATGGCGGCCTGGTCGGTTTCATTCATTCAACACTCGGGCTCCGCGGCTGGTACGAGAACCGTCTATTGCCACTTATCAAAAGGATCAGGCTCTAGAGGAGGTCTTCCGACGGCCAAACGGCGAGGATCGACTCGGGGAGCGTCCGAGTAGTATACGGAAGCGTCAGGTGAATAATGTAATCAAAGACTGGATGCAGAAAATTGGATCGGGCCCTGTTCATGCGCCAGACGAACAAGACTCGGCCGTGGACGACCGTCTTGATATGCCAATGCGACGATCCCAATTCCTCCTTCGGAAGCGCCTTGGTCCCCAAGGGCGCAATTTCACAGAAACCACTCGCTCCGTTGCGTCTAATCCAGAGGATCGGATGGCCAATATTGCCAGTCCGGCCTTTGCACCGCGTCGACCAATTTCTGCTTCACCGGCCCGATCTCCCCAACTCTCTCGGCATACGGATATGGAAGGGGACGACGAGCTTGACAGTGACGATGGCTCGCATGAGGATGGATCTGAAAAAGCAGCCATGACCGATGACGATCAACCCATAGGCAGCACCGAAAAGAGTACACCGAAGTTTTACAGCTCTCGACCATCCACTGCGCGGCTGTTCTCGCGGCGCGAGAGCCCCGTCCGCCGGTCCAAGCACTTACGTACAGCATCTAGTGTTACTATGCTCTATAACCCAGCCGATTCTCTGACCGAGGAAACTGAGGGGCGAACAATGCTCCCACACTCGCGCCGTGACAATTCGGATGATCATGAAGAAGAAGAAGAAGAAGATTATGATGATGGTGATGATGGAAGCGGAGCTGATGATCGCCGACAAGCTCTCTCGGTCTCTGTGGACCAGGGCACCATGAAGCGACACTCAGCGACCGCGGCCAAAGCTCGTATTGCCTCTCTTGCGGATCCAATGTCTGTTCCAGAAGTTGAAGGTATTTACATCTCTGACCGTATTTCGTCCCGTCGGCCCCAACGGCCGCTGCTTTTTGACCTTGGCTCGGACCTTGGAGACAACAAGGCTGTTGCAGGGGGCTTCCAAGGGTTGGCTCCTTCGAGCTTCAATACCCAGATTGGATTTGGGCAACCACATCGTGATGCCCCTGATCGGACCCAGGACATGCTAAGCAAGCTGGTCCCTTGCACGAATGAACAACATTGAAGAGGGCTTCCGAGAGGTGATTAAGGAAGTTAAGGACTTACGACGAAGCAACTCCAGCCGCAGTCTGAGCTGGTTAGATGATGTCCACGAAGCCCCCAAGGACAAGAAGAAGAAGGACAAGAGAGACCGTAAGCGGGGCAGACCTGATGGACGTGAGGGTCGTACTGGTCGGGACAAAGGACCGGCCAAGATGGAAGATTAACACGCATGAGTAGGTGTGGGCATGTTGACGTGCCAACCTCTTGCGACATGTACATTTACAAATGGTGTATACACTGGGTGGACGGCTTTGTTTTTACTGCAGAGGTGTGTTCCAAGGTCCTTTCTTATTATCTGATACACATTCTGAGATTATACGCTGTATTTTAGCCGGTACTAGGGAATCTAACCATATAAGCCCGTCAAGTTCCACCGGAGTAATGCCTTAGCAAGGGCTTATGCTGTCATATCATATGGTATCCAGATGTGCCTATCAATCCTTCAATGCTTTTTGGCCTCGGCTTCCCTTTTAGCTTCCCTTTGAGCCTCCCTTTTAATGTCGTCCAGATGGGCATGGGGCTTCGGAGTTCCGAAGCGAGGTGACCGGGCTGTCCGGTTGCCCACGTTCGTTTGATCAAAGCTGCCTCCTTCGAACGCATCCACCTCGGTAAAGACGGTCCTCTTGTGTGGCGCCATCAATCGAAACATTGACCAAGCCCCTCCAACAACGCCACAGACGCTGATGATCGCAATCGAGCTCGATCTTCATAGAGCCATGTTGTGAGACAAGATTATACCAAGGCTTTGTGGCTGGTGCTTACCTCAAATGTTGGCGACCGCCAGACTTTGTGTAAACAGCCATTCTTAGAAGCGGCGTGTATTGCTGCTTTGGGGATGTGAAGAAGGGTTTAGTTCAAACTTGAACAGTTGAGGCATGCCCTACAATGGGCGGTGGCAATTTTCATGATCGCATTCATACGTTGATTGCCCCTGTAGAGCTTCCCCGTTGAAGTTGAAGGTCCCAAGGTTTGATGTGGGCGGGTCCGTGGGTCCACTGGCAGACGTGGAGCCACAGGTGACGAAAGTATCCTGCGTACACTCCAGTAAATATTTGGGATAGACTCCCGGGTTGTCTGAATCCATATCAACAAGGGCTTCCTTTCCAAAATTCAGAATTATCATGGATTTGCGAAACCTCCCCATTACATTCCAGGGCTACCACTTAACGCTCCAACATTTGGTGCTGGCATTGTGAATAGATCCAAAACTTTGAAGTTAGACCTGACACGGAATAGATATGGCTACATCAGGTAATGTCCTCACGATGCATTTAATGACTGAGCGACTTAATGCAAGTAGCAAACTGAATGAACGGATAGGATCATGGCCAATAAAACCACTGGGGTCCTACACATTTGCATCTAGCGTAAATACTTACTTCTACTAGCGAATCTCGGTTATAAAGCAGTAAAATAAAGATCCGCAGCCCAGACAGCATGGGGCGGTGACAGCGTTATTTGATTGGTAGGATACCCCAGGCAACATTTCTGCAGAGCCTCTTACTCCGCCCCTCCCCCACAGCCTTGCGCTTCTCATCGCTCGCTTTTCTCCTTTTCGTTTTCCATCTTCGAAGATTTACAGTTTTTCAACGATCCCATTCCATGTCGTACATCTCCAAGATGTCTAGTTTGGGCTGCCATAAAGACCAGGAAGCGCGAAAATGGAGGTCTATTCCTCTGCTTCTACTTCTGGACGACGCGGATACACTGGTCTTCATCGATCCAGCGCCAGAAGATCAGCACAGATTTGCAACTCCTACTGTCCCTCATCGCGTTCGTAGTTACAATCTATTGAGTACTGGATCTGAGTATCTTGCCAGATGCTTTACACCCCGTGCTCAACAGCGTGTTCGTCGACAGCGGGGTTTGTCTGAAAAGCTGCCTGATGGTATTCGATATGTGATTGACTTGACACCCCCTTCATTAGAAGATGAAGCTATCCTCCACATGACAGAGGTGACTTGCCCTAAAGGGATTTTGTCCTGGGCATCGCAACAGAAACGGTGGAAACTCCCCAAATCTTGCGTCGGTGGTGAAGACGAAGTTGAGAGAACCTGTACCTCTGTAACTGCGGAACAGCCGATGTCTCACACGGTGGTGTACGATACCGACGATCTTGTCATTGGGTCAGTGGGAAAAACCAAGAAGAAAGCGGCTCATGTAGCTCTAACATACGCTGGTGATTTAGCGGGCCTAGTGAAAATGATGATGACGAAGACGACGGCGACGATGACGACGACGATGATGATGATGATGATGATGATGACGATGATGTCCATTACAAAGTCCCGTTGGAATACTCTGCAAAACGCCACCTCCAGGGCATTGATAACGTTCTTGTTGTCCTTCATGGATTAGATGTCACTCTTGATACCCCTTGCAAGCTTTGGACCTTCTATGCCGTCGCCAAACTCTTCGACGTGGTCACCGTTCCGTCCATTAGCGGGTGGATCGTCTCATGGTTTTATGAGTCGACAAATTGCAATTTCATTGAGATTCACCCTGATGTTGCTTACCGAGTGGCTTGTGGAACTAAATCTGTCAACCTTTTCCAGGATGCATTCACGGCGTTGGTCTGCGATGAGGCGCTCCTTGATACCATCCGGCCTGCTCCTCTCATGCCATCCGAAGAATGGCAATACAGATTCTCCCACTCTCTCATGAAAGGTGGCCTAGACGATACTGAGATTCAGCGCATTCAATATGCCAGCAAAGCTTTTGCCGATCGGATCACCAATCATTTCCTTTTCCTCATTGGAAAGGAGATGCCTTGGCTATCTAAGATATCAGAAGTCGCTACTCTAATCCGATACATGCGGAAGTACCCAGACGAAGAACTTCTGATAAAGGGTTTTATGAACTTATTAAAAACATTCATCCGCTCTGGAATCAATCTAGTCCTTGCCCGGGCTGACGACCCAGTCAGATGCTGCCATGCGAAGCCGCGGGATAGTGTTGGTAAATCCAAGCATAGGTACTTTGGAGATGCGTTACTTCAGCGCATCTTTTGCCGTGCATTCTGGGATGATCTATCGAAAATCAACTTGGGATCTGATGGTCTTTCGAAAGCGTTTCCAGAAGGGCTTCCAAAAGCGTTGAGGAAGCTCAACAGTTCAGTTCAAGCACTTGGTAGAGGCCTATCAACTTTCAAAGATCAAGGAGATGCCAAATTGCAATACTTCCCCTACGAAAAAATGGCAAAGCATGTAAATCAGCTCAACGCAATCGCCAATACCAGCGGGAATTTACGAAAATGGTCAGAAGAGGCCACCGAGCCAGCCCAGTCAAATTCATTAGAGCCGGCGGGAAATGGAGAAGATGAAAAAATCTCGATGACAGACACGCAAACAACAAACGCCAGCCAGGCAAACTTTGACATTGGATCAAATAGACTTAATCTCGGAGAGCGTCGTGAAAGGCTGCTCTCTCACCTCCCAATCAGACCACGGGGGACAGGAGGAACAGAGACGCCTCTCAAGAACACGTATCATGGCCTCGGAGCGCACGTCAAAAGTGCTACGGGCAATGAAAACCTGACTGATAGCAACAAATGGAGGTTATTTTGCCTCGAAGAATGTCTGCCGGCCGTATGTGCATTCATCCGCAGTCATTCTCAGAAACTTTTGCAAAACGACAGCACTAGTTTTCCTTTCTCAGCAACCCATAATTTGGCTAGTTTGACGGAAAATGAATGGCGGTATATGCCTCTATGGGCTGGTGGTAATGACGACGGAAGTGGTGGTGTTTTCACCGATCCTGTACTGCCAGTGCTCGAGACTGGAAGCTTTTCTTCAGCGGGGCCTGCGGCTCATGCTAGCAGTGACACACCCAGCTCTTTCTCTGACGATCATACCATCTCCGAGATCACACGAAGCGAAGCTCAGAGTACTGTCCAGAGAGCCTCACATGCTGCCACATTCTCCCATGTCTCTGATGTGGAGTCACTTGGGCCATTCCAGGACGACTTGGGCGGCTTGCAGCTTTCAGAGAGCGCCTTAATGACCCACGACGTGCTCAACGGTGATTTTGGCCAGGGAACCCCCACAAATAACAATGACAATAACAGCAGCGGCGTCAGCGTCACCATAAAGGAGTCGTCCCGGTTCTCTGCATTGTCTGACGATGAAATGGAACTGGAACTGGAACTGGTTGAAGAAGATGAAATCAGCGACACTGATGACTTTGACATGTTAAGCAACGACGAAGCCTAGTTGCAACGGAGGAAAAGAGTTCAGAGCTCTAATGGCGCCATGAGATCTATGAAACGATATGATATCCTTTGTGAGACGACTTTCCAAATTGCAAACTTGCTACCAGCTGCCAGATTCCCATCGTCACTTTTGTTATGAAGAGCCTCCAAGGCGCTTATTTTGACTAGTCATATGTAAGTTTGGACAAGGTATGGACGTAGTATCGAATGCTTCCTCATAAGCGTTCATGACCAACTTGGTGTTTCATTGTAGATTGACGGGACGTTGCAGAGTTCAATATTTGTAGGATGCATAGTTAACTATGTGGGGCGACCCCTGGCAGGCAGGATCGACATGTGACTAAGCGATCTTCGTGTTGGAACCGGGAAGCTCAAATTCGAGATCTCCCACTGAGCAGTGCTTTGGAGTCTTCCAGGTGCCATCTCGAATCTCCTTTCCTTGATACTCGCATAGTCAAATTCTCCTTATCAGCACGACTCTTCACTATGGCTTCTTCTTCGAAGCCCCCAAGTTTCTTGCTCTAGTGAGTCTTCACCCAAGATAGCGTCATAGGCATCGTGCATCAATGATTCTGACCACTTCATACCAAGCTCTTGTATTGCCTATCGTACGACTATCCTCGCCGACCAGACCTCTCCAGGCGCCTCTTCAACCGCGGCCTCCTCCCTGGCATCCATCATTCTCCCCAAGATCAGCCATGACAAGCCGCAGAAGCTCACATATACCCATGAGCGCCTTTTCGTGCACTACATCGCCGACTCACCCACCGGCGGCTCGACCGGTGATCAAACCGGACGAAGCGAGCCAAACTCGTATGCGCCACTAAGCTTCATCGTGGTCGCATCGGCCGAGCAAGGCCGACGCATTCCGTTCGCGTATCTGCTGAGAGATGAAGCGGAAGTTCCTGTCAACGTTCGATCCGTCGAGCACCGACTATTCCACTCTTCCTGCCTACGGGTGCGCATCATTCAACCCTGAGCTCCGTGGTCTTCTGCAGACGTACAACACATCCCCACCCGCAGACTCGCTCGCCTCTGCGCGGCGCGAGATCGATAGTGTTCGCGATATCATGACAGAGAATATTGAGCGGGTGCTTGAGCGCGGGGAACGGATTGACCTGCTGGTTGATAAGACAGATCGGCTTGGCGGTAGTGCGCACGATTTCCGTATCCGAAGCCGGGGGCTACGGCGGCGCATGTGGTGGAAGAACATCAAGTTGATGGTTCTGCTGGTACTTGTGGTAGTGTTTCTGGTCTACTTGTTTGTTGGCTTTGGCTGTGGTCTTCCTGCGTGGTCAAAGTGTGTAGGGCACAGCAAGAAGTCGGGGTAAATCAATTGCCCTTCGGACTCTGATCATAGCCACGCTTGGCCAAAAGATCTGGGGCAGTTGCCAAACCCAGCGTCTGGATTTTGGTTCCCTCTATTCCACTATAACATGGGTCTCTTTTCCTATTCTAACTTTTTTTATGCCCGTCACGATGTTTACTTTCTTCACCCTGTTGCCAGCTGCATCAATCAACCTGGTTTTCATGTACATTACATTTGACTTCTCCTTTTGGAAGCAGTGCGAATTGATCTCGGTCATCACTTACTTGACAAAAGGACTCTACACCTAGTAGCACATGCACTGGCTAATTGGACGTTGAGAAGAGTCGTGTATTATGATTCGGGAACGCACACATGTTGTCTTGAAGCCTCTCGGGACTCTTGTATTTCTCACATCAGGTTACAGCATGCATTGCGTTTGGCATTAGAGCTGCGTGGACCAAAAAAGCTCCTGGCATCTACTACGATGACTCTTACCGGATGAACCCACGCCCTGTCGCGTCAAGCCAAGCTTTAAGTGGGGTTATATGTTCCGGATAGAACTGCCGTTCCGACAAGACCTGGTCTCGCTCGGATCTTGTACTCGGGAAACTTCATTTCCCCTCAAATTGGTGCATTTGGTAGCAGGGAATTTCACACAATATGCCTCAAAATCTCACGATTGCCGCAGCCCAAGCCCGCACTCGTGACGACGTAGCTTCAACGCTCTCAGCGTTAAAACAGATCACGACAGATGCTGCGTCACGGGGCGTGCAGCTGATTCTCTTCCCCGAGGCCTATCTTGGGGGATATCCTCGGACCTGTGACTTTGGCGCAGCAGTCGGTGCGCGTGCTGCTCACGGCCGAGACCAGTTCCTGCATTATTTCCAATCTGCTGTCGATCTAGGCGATACTCCCGCCGGAGCTGGAGACGATTGGGTAGAGCGCAAGCTTCCCACTGCTCCTGGCAAGAGCCACCGCGGTGATGGCACTCGAGAGGCTCTGGAACAAATTGCCAAGGACACCGGTGTCTTCATTGCTACTGGGGTCATTGAGAAAGCGGCGGGGACCTTGTACTGCTCCTTGGTCTTTGTAGATCCGATTCGGGGTGTCCTGGGAAGAGGAGAAAGGTTATGCCGGTGAGTCATACGCCTAACTATACTTTGCATCACATAAGAATTGATAGCTCATACAAATCGAGTCTCTAGACTGGATCTGAACGCTTGGTTTGGGGCCAAGGCTCTGCGTCGACGCTGAAGGCGATCACCACCGAAATCAATGGTGTTAGGCTAACGATTGGGGGTGCCATCTGCTGGGAGAACTATATGCCTCTTCTCCGCCAGAGTCTCTACTCTCAGAACGTCAATCTTTATCTTGCTCCAACCGCAGATGCTCGTGATACTTGGCTTTCACTTATGCGAACCATTGGATGCGAAGGGCGAACTTTCGTCCTATCGTCAAACCAGTGCGTTCGCTATAATGAACTCCCTAATTGGATCACAGACAAGAATGCCCCACAAGAGGCCTCGTCTGATGGTAATTGTTTCCCGGATCTCATGCTCACATGTTTCACGTACTAATGCGGACATAGGGAGTCACTTTGTGTCTCGAGGGGGATCATCTATCGTCGGTCCCCTAGGTGAGGTTATTGGGGGTCCCATCTGGGAAGTCAGCGCAGATGATTCAGTGAGCGACGGCCTGGTCATCTCCGAGGTTGATTTGGAGGACTGCGAACGAGGCAGGCTAGACATGGATGTGGCAGGCAGCTACTCGAGGAACGATGCTTTCAAACTCTCGGTAGAAGGCCTGGACCTGAACCCTCCGCCCTTTTAACAGATTTGGTCGTTGCAGGCGAGGGAGTCACGATGCAGCTGTTGCAGAGGCTACGAGCTTGTTGTATGATATCGTCCAGCTATATAGTATATAGAAGTCTACCATACTGAACAGAATGTACCTCACTATCAAACCCACGCCCTCCTGGCAAACGCATCAGGGTCGGTCTGCAAGCGAGACGGCAAAACCGGTCAATGACCAGTAGAGATTTAATTTGCTCTGCGCTAGTCGTTTACCTCTCCAACCATGGAAACCGTGGAAACGGGATTGACGAGGAGATAATATAGCGGAACTAGGGACGCTGGGGCTTGGATTCACTCCCAAGGGCGACAGGTGAAATGCCCTACGTTAGGCTCACGATGCGGAGCCTGGGTTTCCAAACACCAAAGTGCATCATCAACACCTGAACGGTCGGAAATTGGAAGGCTTCCGCAAAGGGAAATAACTTTCATTCTAAAGTGTTACTTAATGAGTAGGTGACAGGGATTGATATGTCGGGAATGGCGAAGAGGAGGTCGTCTGTGGGTGGAGAATGAATATGACTTGGAGGAATCGAAGGAAAAATCCATTTTGAGTGTGCTATCACGTGATATTACTTGACAGGCCTTCTGTTTGACGCGGATCATTGCCTCTTTGGGTCTTCTCCAGATTAAACTCGAGTGACGCGGGTCGCGAGTCTCGACGTGCAAGTCTTTGTTCCAAAGCGAAGAAGGAAAGAAGCAGCGACAGCCCGCCCGGTCTGGCCACCTCTTCTCGAGATAGAGCTTCAGACGAATTGATCGCATCCCCGCCTGCGAGCATAGCTCGAACATCGTCATGTTCCAGGATTAGTCCATGCAAGAGGATATGCTGCCCTACCTATTCCCCGAAATAAACAGCACGCACTCGCCAAGAGGAAGACCAGACCAAGCTCCTACTGATAAAACAAGCTCTTCTGGCCCTGGATTCCCATATTCCATGGCATACGAACAATAATTGGCCCACAATGGCACAACCTGGGAATGACCGTGGAGCAATGGGGTTACACTCGCAGAGCCTCTCTACTAGGAGGTTGCCTGCGCAGAGATCACCTTTGAGCAACTGGGGGACCTTTCGTCGGGACCCTGTAGCTGTGCAAGGGGCTCTAGATAAGGTATCTTCTACCGACAGTGGCAAGGGCCGCCACTCTCAGCCAGAGGCGCCATCAGAGAGTCGCCCGGCCCCTCGGATTGTGAGACCATCAGAACTTGGCCCATCGCCGCTATCTTACCCACCAAATTCGTCACGCCGTGTCGATTCCGCTGAACCATCATCCATCGGTCCTACGCCGTCGAATCACTCGCAAGCACAAAGCCAATACACAATCGATCCTTACGGGCAATTGGTTCATTACCCGTGCCTTGAAGCCCAATACGCGAGCGGTCTTGGGCAAGGAAATGAGACACTCAGCTACGACTCACTTGCATTCATGGCACCGGAGCAGCGTATTCAGAGTATGGGGGATAACCTACAATCCGACCCTCAGAATCTTTCCCGCACACCTCAATATGCACCTCTTCTAGGCGGATTTGTTCATCATTATCCTGCCTCAAGACCATCCTCCATGGCCCCTCAGTCACATCCGCCTGGAATGCATGCGGCTAATGGCAGTTCCGGGAGTACAACTGTCTCCAGGATACCATATTCTCACCCACAGGCCACACGTCGAGCCTCTCACGTTTCAGATGCACGCGGAGAGCAAAACATCTCAGTGTCAACCAAGTCTTCAGGCTCAACGCCAAATCACCCAACCCTGTTTTCAGCACCCAACCTGGCTCTTCCACCGAGGTTTTTGCATTCCGATACAGGTCGACAAGGGCTATCACTCAATAGCAATCTGAATCCCACCTCCTCGGCTCAACGGTCATCCAGTGCTCCGAAGATCCCGCATGGATTGCCCTTGCCTACATACAATCAATCCACCCGACCACCGTATAGGCCAGATGGATCTCTTGCGCAGCCCACGGCCCTGCCATCGGCGGATCCAAATAAACGGCCGCGCGCAGAATCTGGTGCCAGGGGAGAAGAGAAATTACCTGCCGCTAAAAGACCTCGAGAGTTGCATGATCCTTCACGCAAAGGAAAGGCCTTAGCTGAGAAACTGAAATCCTCAGACATTCCCCGCCCGAATACCGCGAAACCAACAAAATATCAGCTCAACCCAGCAGCATTAAAGTACCACATGGCACACCGTGATCTTGTCGAAGACTTCAGACTCTCTGACGCGGCTCCGGTCGCGGAGTACAACCCGGAAACAATTGCGCGGGATATTTTGCTGGCCGCAGATAAGCATCCGACCATGGGTGGTCTGAATAGCCATTTGGCTCCCCTTGCGTCAACATTTCGCGGGGTGGCAAGCCAACCTGGACAAAATTCCCTGGGATTTGATCGACTCGGTATACTCTATGTCTCTGAAGACACGTACCGACGCGCCCCACGCGCCCCACGCGCCTCACCGCCCACCGTCCCCGCAACCTAATTCGACTATGTTTACTGCTCTTAATGCTCCTCCTCCAGCTCCAGCTCCCGCTCCCGCTCCCATTGGTACTTTGTCGGCTGCTCCTCAGGTTCACCCACCTCAACCAACATCTCCCCACTCTACCCCTATTCCCTCTTCCGTTCGTGACTCTCCTGTTCTCATCTCATCCGCATCCGCCTCCCCTGAACCTGAACCTGCCTTGCAGCCTGCAGGAGCCTCCGCTCACCTTTCTCGAGCTCACCCCCTCTCACGCCGCAAGCACAATCCGAACATCAGGAGCCGGAGGAGCAAGTCCCACTAAATACCACTGTTCAACGGTCGTTCAGTTCGGAAATTCCCGAAATACGTCATCCGTCGCAAAGTCCGCAATCCAAACATCAACCTACTCCTACTCCACAAGTCGTCATCGAGACTCCTCTCGAGATGTCGACGAAACGTGGTGTTGGCCGGCCCAAGAAAGCGGCACATTCCGAAACCGATGCGGAAAGCCCTCCGAGCTACCCTGTTTTTCGGTGCGGTATGAAGGATTGCATGGCAGAGCTCCACAACCTTTCTTTTCTACAGACACACTGTCTGAAGATACATATCCCTTATTCCCTGACCTGCCAATGGGAGGGTTGTGATGACCAAACTCCCCGTCCGGCCGCAGCTATGTGGAGACATACCCGCGAGAAGCATATCAAGCCTATTGCCTGGCAGCTTGGAGACGGCCCAGCCGCACCTTCGTCTGGTGAGCTTCCTAGCATACAAACAACGTTGGAGGATTTGTTGGGCTCGCGTGCCTAGTCCGAGTGCTTCTGTGTTTCCTGTCTCTTATTCTTTTCCCCTTCATTGTCTCTTCGACATTTCTAACAGGTTGGTGATTTTCAGGTAATGACACTCCAGTATCGGGCGGAGAAGCTCGTGGCCTTATGTCCTACCGAAACGTGCAAGCGACGACCATGGTATTGCCCGCAGATTCTCTCATGGTTGAAACGTACAATCGGACACACAGGATCTACACCTCTCAACAGAAAGCTGAAGCGTTTCGAGAGGGAGGATGCCATTGGAAGAAACACTGGGCCGGAATGTGACTTCACTGACCGCCGAATTGCTATTCCTAGCCAAGTCTACTCGACCCCCATGGATGATGTTGCGATGACTATTCAAGATGGGGCGTGACTATTTCTTTGTTTTTGTTTTCTTTTTGGGAGACATTTCAGGCGTGCGATTCCTTTTAAGATACCCATCTACACTGAGTTCACTTGGTTTTTTTTATTACTTTTTCCACAATGGGTTCTGTGTCTCTACCGGTGGGGCAATACTATTGCAGGTTCTTAATAGCGAGGTGTTGAAAGGTTGCATCGCCCCTATTGTAGCCTGTCTACTAGTGCGACCCTTTTTCAGTGCAATTCATGACCAATCAATCGAGATCGGATAACCATGTTTCGCTTGTATTTCCGCTTTATTGAACAAAAGATCGAGGCCAAGCCAGCTGACCATGCACATTGGCCTTGGGTATTATTATCGTACATGCACTGCTCTGTGGGCAATCGATGGAACTATTGGATCCCACCCCAATTGTGCCTTCTGATATTGCATTTGCTGTAATGTTCTGCAGGTCTTAATTCGGTGAGACCGCAGGTTGGCGGAGTCGATGGTGGTCTTGGTTGATTTGACGGGGCCAGCAGGCTGGGCTTCGTTCTCGTCATCGACGGCATTGACGTCTAGGAAATGGTATAGAACAATCATCATCATCGCACATGAGCCGAGGAAGATGGCAAGGCGGTAGAGGTCGCCGTCGGAGATCATGATGGTAGTAAAGGATAGGTGTCGCAAACGTCGCGGTGGCGGTGGCGCGGACAGCGATTCCGATCAATGATCGCGTGCGGTAGATATACCACGAGGATACGTCGGCGCGCCGGGGACAATACAGAATTCAGAGGGCGAGGGGCTGGAAGACTGCTGTCATCGAAAGTCCTGACGTGGCATGAAGCTCTCAGCAGACAGTACGTAGCGATAAGATCATGTGACCGCCTGAAGATACGGTATTTGCGTGTACGATACTAGCCTGAGTAAAAGCCACTTCAGGTTGGAGACCAAGATATTACTGTATTACGCTTCAAGTACTACTGTAGTGATATATTATGCTTGAACTGTGGTGCATCGGATTCCCTAAGCATTGATGACAGGAAGGAGGAGGATTTCAATCAGTCGAGTATATATTTCCCAAATGTAGTACCAGCATTGCATTCAGGAAATATGAACCGAAGCCAGTCCACAGGTATAGTTCAGACCCGAATTGATACTAGAATCGGTATCAGCCACGTTAGGGATGACTGTGCTCCGAGTGTCTTGCTGTTTCTTTGCGGGCACCAAAGTCAGGACTGTACTTATGAGGGTGCTGTACCTGCGGATGATCCTTAGCTGCTTCCCTTTGCTATGAATGAGCTCACTGCGACTTTCATGGGTATAAGCCTCCAATCACATGAGTCTGATAGTCCGGGTCTCTAACATGATATAGACCCCAGAGAGGTACGTTAAGTTTCGGGTCTAAGTCCCATACCACTTCCAGGGTTGCCTGGTCCCGAAAAGACGGGGAGGTGGTAGCACATAGCTTGACATAAAATCACTAGATTGTGCGTTTTGAGGCTAGCAAATAGGGAGGGGGGACGCAGGGCTAGAATGGCGTGCTATGTCCCATTACACTTGTGCAAAAGGCACCAGTGCTGTAATGTGAGCTTGAATTTGGCAGGCCCTCCTTCAACCATTTTTGGGCGTCTCGTGCCTCGGGCTTCGCATAAGCACCTACTCGCAGCTCTTGAATTAGTGGTTATTAGTTGGAAACAATGAGTAGTTCAGAGGGTCAAGAATGCTGAGAAAGAGCCTTGAACTGGAAGAGCAGAAGCCGAAGTACCGCGATTCTCCCCTCCATAGTAGCACCTCCCACAAATGACAAGCAGGCACCCGGCTCGTCTCAATAGGCTATAGAATACCCCCGAATGCTTCGACCTCATCGAATCGAGGGAAGGATCCGACTGTGTGACTCCCATGACCTTCGCTTTTTGATTACCCTGTATCGGGGTATTCGAAGGTACGTCTCTGTAAGGTATTAGTCAGAAAGCGATGAGCGTGACCTGGGGTGACACCTCCACTCTTTACTCCGGCCTTCCTCCAACAACTCCAGAACATAATACTCTCCGGTCGATGCATTGACATCAATGATCATGGCCGAGTCGCAGGTTCCGCCAGGCCCGCCAGGCCCCGTCGTGGCTCCGGTGGCTACCAAGCCTGCTCCTTCATTATTGGCTTGTTTGGCATGCCGCCACAAGCATCTCAAATGCGACGGCAAGAATCCCGTCTGTGGCCGCTGCAGTATGACCGGCACCGATTGTCAGTATACTAAGTCGCGCCGAGGCTACCAAGGGCATTCCAAGAAACGTCGAGTGGATCCGTCTCCTGATGCCACTTCGATTGAGCCCTTGAACATCGTCAATGTTCCGTCTGATTGGAATTTCCAGTCCGGCTTCCATTATGCCCCGACGCTGGCAATTTCATCGTCTTCATCCGGGAGCCCGGGTACGAACGACGTGTCTGCCATGGGACCGAACGTTCAACGCCCTCCAACGGATCCGCTGACCCCGGACTCGTCGGCGTCGGCGGGCGGGGATGGCTATCTGCTGGATATCTACTACACCTATTTCCATTCAGCCCATCCGATTCTTCCGCCTTTGCGATTCCTATCTCGTCAGCAGCTTCCTGCGTTTTTAGAACAGGTCATGAAATTCATAGCCGCGCATTTCACTCCAGCAACGTCTAGTGAAATCTACCGCCCCACCGTGATTGCGGGGGTGCAGGAGCAGCCATCGTCAGTAGAAAAAGCCCAAGCTCTCCTCCTACTGTCAATCGTCCTTCATTCACGAAATGAACGCAGCGAGGCAGCAGAATGCCTGTCTACTGCGGTGGATACCGCTTTTGAGCTTGGCCTGAACCAGGCTTCCTTTGCAGATATAGCCAGTAACGGCGACCCAATCCGTGCAGAGTGCCTCCGGCGCACCTGGTGGGAAATCTTCGTGATTGAGGGTATGCTCACAGCTCTCGGGGTACAAAAGGTTTATCGGACAAATCAAATACCCCTCGAAGTGGCACTGCCATGCGAAGAGCGCATCTACCAGGAAGGGCTCACTCCGCCTCCGCCTCCAGATATTGCTCAATTTGATGGGCGCATATTCGCCGATGAGGAACACGACTTTTCCTCTTACGCTTATCGGATAGAGGCTGTGCGAATCCTTGGCCGTGTCGTCGCAACACAGAACGTGGTGGAGGGACAGCAAGACCAGGTGGAAGCTATTGATGCCCGCATTGCAAGCTGGTTCCACCACCTGCCTGAATCGAAGCTGGAACTCATGCGACCAGATGGGTCGATTGATGAGATAATGTTCCAGGCGACAATGATAATCAACGGCGCCTCCATCTACCTCAACTTCCCACGGTCGGATCTTTTGTCATCTCCTGCCGTCGCATCGGAGGTCATTTGTGGTCACCATGGCCCTATCAGCGTGCCGGCCTTTTCTCACCATGCTCATGCTATGAAAGCAATCAAAGCTGCGAGTGAGCTGTCATCCTTGGCAGCTATCCGTTTACCAGTGGAAAGGCACACGCCCTTCTTCATCTGCGCTCTAACCCTGAGTTCGATCGTTCAACTTGCTGCCTGCTCTGTCAAGGCTGGCCGCATGCCTGACCCCAGCCGTGACCGCATCGGGCTCACGATCGGTGTCTTCAAGTCCCTCGGACGCACATGGGCGATCTCTCAATCCATCATGCGCCAGATCAAAGCGGTCTCGCGCGATGTTCTTGAGATGGGGGTAAGGCAGAGTATGGACCAACTGGATTTGACCTCGATACTAGATACCGGCCTATTCTGGGCAGGAGATGACCCTAGCTGAAAGAGACGAGTATGGTCCGATTCCAAAGCAAAGGCGAGTCGCCGGATATCGACAGAGTCTTTGAAGATTCGATTCAAAGCCGCGGGAAAAAGTCCATATATGGCGACGTAGAACGCAGGATCTCTTGAGCGGGTGTCATAAGCTCCGCTCATAGAGTGTGAGGAATCTGCGAATTTCAGGGGTCGTCACCGTCCACTCTGTATTTCTAAGGCCTTTCGCTCGCAACCTGTGTTGTCCACATGTTTGCACTTGCATATCATCCCTTATTATTCCAACGGCCCTACGCGTGCATACTGGAATTCACTCGGGGTTTCTGGAAATGGCTAGCCGATGGCGGAAATGCCACAACTTTTGAGACTGCAGTCTGACGCCCCTTCGCTCTCAATTGGCCCAGGCAAGTATCTATGGGACGCTTGCTCTTTCCACGCGTTCAATAATATCCTGTTTCACCTCCACTGGATCGTTTCTCGTCGCTTTAGTTCACCCTTGGCACGCCTCTCCCATCCGAATATTGTATCGTTTGGAAGCTCGAGTCTTGCCGGCATCCGGTAGGATCTTGCCTGGCACCCTCCCTGCCTGGGACATTATTTATTTTGCTGTCGTTGAATATTACTGGCGGAAGGAGTAATATTTCAAAGATAATTTAGATTTAGAGTCCACTCAAAGATATCCTATTCGATTCAATCATATCCCCTATCGATAGCAGTATCTCAACATCCTCAGACCAGATCTTCTTTTTTATATAACTATCTTGGAAAGACCAAATGCGATCCTTTCCAGGTTGAGCAAATAAACTCCGTTAGGCCCGCGGAATGTTCAAGTTAACCGGGCTGCGTTCCTCGCTTCAGATAAAAAGCTCGCCCTACAGGTGGATATGCTGTGAAGGTACAGCAGGCTGGAGGGAGCACTGCACAGAACAAATCTCAATGCAAAGACAAAGTGGTATTCTATGCTTGATCCCTTTTAGAAAGCGGGGGTATCTTCAAATGCGTGGACAGAAGTGATACGCGAAAGCACGCCAAATACTATGGATTTCGAGATGCTTGTATGACAGGAAAAGAAAAGCGCCAAGGAATGATTGAAGTGGGATATCAAACAAGATCTATAAATCGAAACCGAAACTCCTTTCATGATGCTGGCAACATATCGGAATCACTTAAAATAGAAGAACGCAAAAAAAATTAAAAGGGGAGAGGAAACGAGAAATGAGAGTCAAGAGCTAAGCCTGCTCTATCTCGAGAATGATCGTATAAAGTCGGCCTCACGGAGAGGCCCCGCTCATCCGCCGCATTTCATCCAGAGCGACAGCGCGACGTGAGACTACATCTTCACGGCGAACCACATTCCGCAAAGCCTCGCTTGCTTGAATCAGCCCATCGATACTGATCGCGTGGTTGGTCATTTGGTGATTGATGTATGTGTACAGAGCGGCGGGGGTTGAACAGGTTGTGAGGAGCTCTGGCTCATTCAGTTTCAATAGTGCGAGAGCCACCTGGAACAAGAAGGTGCTGCCACCTCCGCTGCCAGAGGCAAAGTCATCGGAGGCCGGGACTGCCTTATCACTGGCGTCTTTCAAGTTCGAACCAGCCCCGTTAGGTGCGATCGTACTTGTGACATTGAGGCAAAGCACGACATCCCACACCCGATAGAGAGCCTCCGCGGAGAGACAGTCGGTGAAGAGCGAGAGGAACCACTGGAAGGTGAGCGCCTCTAGCTCGATACCGAGTTCCTCCAAATGAGCCGAGAGATTAGGCAATATCTCAGAGATGTACTGTCGCAGCACGACTTGGTCAGCACGAGAGGCAAGAAGACCGTGGTCATAGTAATGCTGAGGCAGAATCATCTCAATCATAGACGCTAGTATCCAGAACGCATCTTCGGCAGTGGGCATAATCAGGAGAAGTGACGCGGCAATCAAGTTCATTCCTTGGCAATACCCCACCTCTGCATTGCGACGTGAGTATGCAAGAAGAACTTCCTTGAGCTTGGCAACCCCAGGTCCTTTGCGGAAGAACACATTGTCAGTCAAGGTACGTCGAATGTCCATATCAATCTGAGCAACCACAGAAGGGTCAGGGTCATCGCCTCCCACGCCGCGTACAAGATCGTCGTAGTATCCGGGGATGCGCATGCCAGAAGCGCCGCTACACTCGGACCAGACTTTTGCACGAAGAGCAACCGGAATACCGCCAAGCACGAGGGCACGGAACTCTCGCCACTTAGCACGGCCGACCTTGCCCTTGTTGCCGAGACCAGCGATTCCGACCACTTCTCCGTCAGTGAGGGAGGCCTCTGGTGTGTCGACAGTGGCGAGACTCGTCCGATCTGATGAAGTGGCTGCCGCCGCAGCCTCACCTTCTTTCCGGCGCTCAGCACGAACTTTCCGCAGGAATTCGTTCCATCGCACGGCACGGTCCCGCTGAAGGTTGTCGTGGAGATCAGTGAGCTGCTCTAGGAGCAGTTTCACAGGCTCGGTCTCGGCCGTATTCGACTTAGCTACCGTTCGCTGAACGGACGGCTCCTGTGAAGATCCAGCGAATTCTGGACTATCAGCAGTAATTGTCGACGTCAATGCAGACGGCTGTGCACTAGACTGGAACGAAAGAGACGAACCATCTTTGTCCACTGAGACAGATCCACTATGAGGGCGACTCTCAGAAGCGGTGGTCAAAGAAACGATTGGGGCTGCTGAGGGAGTATGAGAAAGCAGTTCTGTGGGGCGAGAAGGAATTCGGAGATAATCCTGCCAGCGACGTAATCCAACGGAGCCACTATCTGGATCAATTGGTGACCCCGGTGGAGAGACGGGACTTTTAACGGATTCGTCGTTCTGCTCGCCATTTCCATCCTCGATATCCGAAGCATCAGCACGAAGATTCCCCAAAGTTTCTGCAATATTCAGCGGGGGCTTGGTGGGCCGAGCGGGAGTCGCTTCACGTTGGCGTTTCTTTCGCCGCTGGTCATAAATGAAGCCGAAGCGGTCGGTGAGGTATTCCTGTGAAAGAGACTTGTTGTAGATGGGGGCAAGACTTGGCGGCCGCGACTCGACAGGGAGTATAGCATCCATTTCGACGGGGCCAAGATTGGTCGAGCTGAGTTCTGTGCTTTCGGCGGCGTTACCCTGTGCCACGCTCCCTGCAGGGTTCCTCCGAGACGAAGGGGTCTTCTTGCCTGCAGGATTCATCCCACTAGGACCTCTGGCAGATGGAACCTTGGTACTGCTATCAATTCTCTTCAATGAAGCTACTGCAGACATCGGGGTCTTCGGAGCAGCCGCTGAGGGATTCCTGTTCTGATCCGATGCTGCTGCGTAGTCGCTATTGGCCTCAGAGTCACCGCTGTCCTTGGACTGCGAACCACCCGCAAAGAGCTTGATGGTCCATGAACCGATAGAACGCGATGATTTACGCGAATGGACACTGGCATCATCTCCGTTAGCAGAGTTGCTCGTAAGACGTTGTTTCGCTCCATTACTAGAGAGTTGCCCGGGAGGCTGAAAAAGTTGTTCGTCAAGAGCTTTGCGGCGAGGTGGGTTACTCGCAACCCTCGGGTGCTCAGTTCCATCGTCCTCTTCAATCTCTTTCATATCACTGACAATACTGCTGGCACGACTCGTCTTTCGACTGGTGGCCGCCGATGTCCCGAAAAGATAATCTCCCCAGCCCCGGAGGGAACCCTGTCGCTTGCGATTGGCGGCGTTCTCAGCTTGCTTTACGCCATCCTCAGCCCGCAGTGCACGAATAGTGGCATTGAAGTTTGACGGAAGATCCGGCTGCTCATCCTCAGCTTGAGAGCCAACAGCGTCTGCCATAGCCTGGGACATTAGACCATTCAGGCCTGCAGAATGTTGAGAAGATTGGTCTCCAGAATGAGTACTCTCCTCGTCTGAATTGCGATCATCGATAGGGTTCTCCAGCTGGTAGAGTCGTCGCTCAATATCCTGGTTCGAGACTGACACCTCGCGGAGCATCCGCTTGAGCTCGCGCTCGCGCGCATCGGCGCGCTGTCGTAGAGCGGATATCTCAGCATCGCGCTGCGCCAGGTCTCGTGCAAACTGCCTCACAATCTTCACCGGTCCAGTGCTCGCAATTAAACGCTCAATGTGTGTATCTTCAGCCAGGTGTAGGGCACCTGGAACATCGTGGGGAAGTACCGAGTCGTCGAAAAGGGCCGCTCGGCCAGGGTTGTTGGGTATCCCAGTTGTAAGCTTCGCCAGTGTCCCCTTCCGTCCTCGCCTAGTCCCAGCCTCATTTATCCCATCTGGATCATCGCCCGCGAGAGCATTCGTCAGCCCGCGTGCCAAGGTGGGGGAGCGATCAGGCGGGGAAAGCGAGGGAAAAGAGGTGAGGTCGGTGGTAGTGTTTGATGAGGTGGAATTGCGTTTCTGTACTTGGGCTCGCAGAGTTCTAGCCCTTTGGCTCTTGGTCGAGGCCGACGAAGCTTGGGATGAGGAGCGCCGTTGTGGGTGAAGGTCGGGCTCGGCCATAGCTCAAGGACTGGGGAACGGCGAAAAGATCGGTACGGGTGGTTGCGGACCTCATGAATGCTTGTAGAAGATCTGTAGAACAATTTTATCTGTAACGCGTTCGGCTGACAGGGAACCCTTAAGGGCGAGAGGTCCCGCCGAGATTTCCCTGTAACAACTTTTGTCGTGCTAGTCACCCTTGACGATCCGGGCGTTCTAGGTGGAGCTTGTAAGAATGCAGGGAGATTGGCCGCGCCGCTCTGGGATTCGAGGAGGAGCGAAGAGGCCGGAGATTCTCCGTGATTCCAAGGTTGGGAGCGAATACTTTAGTCAGGAAGCCCAGACCTTTTTTCTTTCTGTCTTGAAACGAAGGAAAGCATTATCGACGCCCAAAGACTGACACACATGACGTGTATATCACATGACGCGTATATCACATGACGCTTGATAAGGTCACGCGATATCATGTGACCTGGCCTCTCTGAGCCTCGGCTTCTCCACATTAACCGGGTGGGGGGTAAAAGCAACAGGGTGCTATTTATTATGGAATACCCCAGGTTTCACGGGGGTTACGTTTAGACTCTTCAAGCTCATCTTACCTTCCCAAAAGGAACTCCATCAATCATGTCTGCCGCGGCACGCCAGCGCCTCCAGGCTCTCAGCAAGCAGCTAGTAGAGGGCATTCCGGACGAGGGCACATTTGAAGATATCCCCAAGATTCGACATGTTGCTGGTGATTCGGTAGGTCCGTAAGTGCTCCTCACAACCCTTTCATTCGAAAATGCTCCAAACTTTCCCTAGAATCTTAACATAGGGCAAACTTAACAAGTTCCCAGCTAACATGAATACAGTCGGACAAAGGACAAAGTAGTCATCGTGACAGGTCAGCAGTCTTTATACTAATACTTGATCCGAATAAGCTTTGTTACTAAACTTTATGGTTAGGAGCAAACTCTCCGACCGGAATTGGTCGTGCCAGTGCCCATCAATTCGCCCACAATGGCGCCAAAGCAGTCTACATCTGCGATTTCGCCGACTCACACCTGGCTACCCACAAGCGGGAGATGGAATCACTCTATCCAGGAGTCGATATACATACGCGCCAATTCGACGCGGGCGACGAAAAGGCAGTGGCGGGCGTGATTGACGAGGCAGTTGCGAAGTATGGACGCCTGGATATCTTCTTTGCCAACGCCGGGGTGGTGGGCCAACCGAAGATTTTCACCGACATCGGGGGCGAAGACTTCATGAAGACGATGAAGACAAATGCGCTTGGGTACGTCAATGCCCCACTACCGAGAAACGGGGCGAATACTAACAAGCTCAACAGCGTCTTTCTGGCTGCAAAGTACGCAGCGCCAGCGATGAAAGTGACCTCAGCCGAGAAGCCCTACCCCGGTGGCTCAATCATCGCCACAGCCTCGGTAGCAGGTCTCCGATCGAATGCTGGGTCAACAGACTATTCTGCTTCCAAGGCAGCGGTGGTCTCTATTGCACAGACGGTTTCTTACCAGCTCGCTGGTAGTGGCATCCGGATCAATGCGATCTGCCCAGGACTGATTGAGACAGGCATGACCCAGGTCACCTTTGACCGCGCCCGGGAACGTGGTACCGAGCGCAAGATTGGCCAGTTGAATCCTACGCAACGTGGCGCGGTCGCGGATGAGGTGGCTCGAGTGGCACTGTTTTTGGGCAGCGATGAAAGCAGCTACGTTAATGGCCAGGCGTGGGCAGTGTGTGGTGGACTTAGCGCGGGCCACCCGATGGTCCCTGGGAAGCTGGCGTAAACGGGGAACGGGTGTACGCAGTAACCAAATCCCCTGCAGGTGCTTCATCGGATCTGCGAAGTCTTTCCAATCGAGATCTTCCGAGACCAAGGCGATCGCGGAAGCTGATCCGTCTTGGAAGATCCATACACATCCTGATACATCTGACGGCCGACCTTCAATTCGAGAATTCACTACTACGGCTTAGTGGATAGTGTATAGCTTTAAATTATTGAGAAATTTGAAATTGCCAAAAGGTCCGACTTCCCAATACAGACAGAGCTGGACTTGCCCCCAGGCAACTGAGCCAGACAAAGCCGATTATAGACAAAAGGAAATGAAGGAATGCATAGCACAGTGGAGACACAATAACGGAAACACATCCTGCTGCAAGGGGGAGCCCGCCATGCAGGCGTGTGGATCGAAATGAACTGCAGGATGGCGTGGCCCCCTCAGAAAGATCAATCTTCATGGTTCATCCCAGGGACCAAGCCCCGAGAGCCCAAATACCAAAATAGTAACAGATTTCCTCGTATGACAGGAAGAACAGGATCAATTTTTCCACAAGAAACAACTGCTTCCACAGTAATAAACAAGAAAGACGGACAAAGAAATATGGGGATATAAAAAAGTATCAAAATAATCGACACCGTAAAACGAAGCGAGACGAATTTAGACTACGCCGGACAGCCAGACCGTGTTGTGCGCATCAGGTCACAGCACAAGCCACAGTGAGAATTAAAAAGAAGAAATCAGCACCACGCCCCAAGTTGAAGAAGAAAAAGCAATCCAGGAAATCGATGAATGGGAAGATCGTCTCAGTAAAACGTTGCATCATCCGAGGCCTGATGAGACATTCTACGAGATCACGCGGGAGGTCTGAGGCCGCATGAGGTCTTCGCTGGCCTGCTTGGACAGGTTGCCGGTTTCGGTATGCTGGGATTCAACTTCGTGAGCGTGCTCGTCGTCATCCTCGACGATGCGGGTAGGAATCTCGCCAGTGGTGTACTGCTGGCTGGACCGCTCGGGGTAGGTGGAATTGCTCATGTTCGACATGGAGGTGCTTGAGCGGTTGTGGATCAGATCCGGCGTTGGGGGGAATGCTGGTACTAGCGCGGTTGTCTGGGTGGAGAGAGTGGTTGTCGAGGTCGCTGAGCTCGCTGGGGGCGCGGGTGGTGCGGCCGTCCATGGTGCTCTCGTAGTCGGAGACGAGATGAGGCTCGAGGTTGTGGTCCTTGTGTTCGGCCTCGTCATCCTCGGCGTTCTGAGCGAGGTGCAGGCCCTCAACAGCTGCGGCGCATTGGTCACTGATGCTGCGGATGATCTCGGCGATGGCGTCCGTCTTTTCACGCAGGTAGCGGTCAGCAACGTCATTGACACTCAAACGGGCGATCTTGCGGTCCTTATAGGTGTTCAGCATGTGTTGCTCTAGTGCAGGGGTCATAGTATTTACCGATGACTTGTGCTTGCCCTTTCCTGCATCTTCCTTCTTCTCTGTGGCCTCCACCACACCGTCTTCGTAGCCCTGCTCGATGCTCTCGGAGATTTCAGATGAGTTTCCAATAGAGCGCACAATGTGCTCCATGTGGTGGCTCTTGCCGTTGATCAGGCTGCGCAGGTGCAGAACCACGCGCTGGGCATCATCACGCTCGCGGGTGAGGGTAGAGTTGGTGTGCTCGAGAGCACCAAGCTCCTTGTGGTTGCGCTTACGCTCACGCTCAAGCTCCTCAGCGATCTCTTGCTGAAGAACCAGAGCCTCGAGAGCATCGTCGCGCTGCTTCTCGGTGCCAGAAAGGCGCAGAGTAAGGCGAGCGACATCATCCTTCTGTTGGTCAATAAGGGCGGTAAGGCGACGGTTCTCACGCTTGTGGTTCTCAATCTTGTTTTTGAGCTCAGTGGTCTCCTTGGTGAGCTGCTCGGCGAAAGCCTGGAACTTGAGGAACTGCTGCTTCCAGGTCTCGAGCTCCTCAACCAGGAAGTTGTTGCGTTTGGTAACCTTGCTAAGCTCCGTGTCCATTCGGCCCTTGAGATTGATGAAGTCTTGCCAGGCCTCCTGGGCATCACGAGAGTACTGGTTCCGCTCACGGACGATCTCATTAAGGTGACGCATAGAGACCTTGGTCATCAGGGGCTTCTTGACAGCGCCACCAAAGATGGCCTTCATTCCGGTGTTGCGACCGAGCTTCTCGCAGACGTGGTCCATGACGCTCATGACAGCATCCTGATTCCACCATTCGGGCTCCTGGATGCTCTCAACCTCACCACGCATGACAATAATCTGACCAGCAGGGATAAGCTTGCCACCGGCGTAGGCCGAGCGGAGGTGGTTGGGAACACCGGAGGGGGTAACATCGCCATTCAGGGCTTGAGTCAGACGAGTGATAAATTTGGTGCGCTGGCCCTGGGTCAACACATCGGGCGGGCTGGAGGTCAGAACGAAGTTGCGGTCCAGGTCCACCACCAGAGCATCGGAAGGAGCATTGAACAGTGTACGGCACTCAGCAGTCACACCGAGAATGTATGGGCCAGGCTCCTGCACAAGGTCTTTGACGTGACGCGCGTGAACCACGGGGACGTACAGACCACTCCACTCATAGACACGGACGCAGTAGCGAATGGTCTCCGCGGCCACAGTCAGCATAGCGGGATAGTGACTGACGAAGATGATACGACGAGTAGGCGAAACGGCCGCCTCCATGACACCAACGATGTTGGGGATGGACAGGCAGTTGAAAAGGGGCCACATGGCGAAATTCTGGAACCCGGTAGGGGATGAAGGGAACTGGTAGCAGAGGGCGTAGTCCTTCATGTCGATGCGAACCAAGTCGTTGAGTCGGGGCGCAGGGAAGCTGAGAATACGAGAAACTTCCTCGGCGTGGAACAGGTTGGTGGCCTTGTTCCAGTGAATCCACATCCCACGGAGGTAGTCTCCCAACAGGTCGTACAGTGGGTAGCGGGAGAGGAAACTCAAACAGTAGGGAATCCAATACGTCTCGTCAGGATTGTCGTAAAAGTCGGCTTCAGTCTTCTTGCGCAGCTCACGGATGGTTTCAGCACGCTTCTCATCAGCACGGGACCAGACGCGCAGCGCGATACCGTACAGAGTGTGGGAAGAGTCCTGCTGGAGGACGAAAGCGTGATGACCACAGTGAGGCTGGCTCTTGCCAGTGCAGATCTCCACATCGTGCGGGAAACAAGCCTATCGAGGGAAGAGTTAGTCCATTGTTATTGCTTTGGCTGTGGGTTCCCATTTGATCCTGAAGATCTATGAAGATCGGGCGAGGGGAAGAGGGGTATCATATAGAACCTCGAGAGTTCTTCTCAAGCGTCCCATATCGATATCACATACCCGCATGGCCGAATGCAGAGATCGAGCAATCTCATTATCCTGTTCTAGGCGAGGGCTGCTGCCCAGAATCTCCGGGAGCCAGAATTGACCAACGGCGCCCTTCATGTGGCCAATCTTGCCCTGTGCGGGGGCGGGAGCCTTGACCCATTGGGAAGGCTCCCTGCCCACACCACAGACCATGTAAGCATGGGTGAGGGTCTTAGGAGTGCGCTGAGCCGCGGGCTTGACGTTCAGGGTTGAGGGGATTGGTTGGGTGATACGAGAGTGTAAAGAGGAGGTGCGGCTTGGGACGACCAGCGAATTTTCTCCCTCGCCGCGAGTAGCAGGCCGGTCCCGGGTAGCCGGCCGGGCATAAGAGGTATCTCGCAGAGATGGACCCATTGTGAAGTTGGAGTGTCTTGATAGAGCGTCTGGAAAGTCTCCCAGGCACACTGGCCCTCAAATGTGCAAAGGAGGCGTTATAAGAAATAGACAAAGAGAATGTGGAGGACCTGGAATCGGATAGGTCACAAAAAGAGAGAGCGCAGGGTATATTCTGCGAAGGTCGGGGGGGGGGTTTACAGAATGACACAAGCCATTTGAGAAGGGAATTCGAAGTACTCGACACCGAGAACAAAGAAGAGAGAAGTTGAATTAGGGGGAGCAGGGAGAAGCTCCGGAAGTGCAGGGCCTACGAAGCTAAAAAGACCCAAAAACGACTAAAAGAGGCCATTAATCCTAAGGGGGCAACACATGGTCTGTTCGAGCAAGAGCGAGCCGCGCAGGAGCCAGTGGGAGGCGGGAGACGAGGTGGTGCACCCCCACTTAGGCCCGGCTCATTAGAGCAGAAATGGAGAAGTCGAGGAAATTACAAAAAAAAGTGGATTCTCTGGCTGCTGGATTGGGGGGGAGTCAGGGGTTGTTCAGGTCGGTAACCGTATTGTATCCAATCTTACTCTCGATCCGCGAGGCCTTCTGGAACTCTAGACAAAGTCCAAGAATGTGCGTCTGTATGTCCTGCATCTTGTCTGGGGTCGCAATCCCATGTTTCGTCCTTGATGATCCATTGGAACCTCATGGTCCTTTTGGTCCTTTTGGTCCTTTTGGCTCTCGAGGTTGAGAAGGCTATACCACAACTAGTCCCCCCCGAGGGCCGTTAGCGAGTCCACTCTCCCCCTTTTATGGAGGCGATTCATCCGGTGACGCAGGTCAGCAAGAGCCTTGGAGTTCTGCAGGGTCGATCCAGGTAAACTACTCTGTAGAGACTGATGGCTCACATCCTTAAATCTGGGCTCTGCGGTTCCAAACCTGCCCAAGATCCCCCCCCTCGCCGATCGGTGTACAAAGTTCTGAGCGGTCGCAAATGAGGGACCGCTATGGACGCGGTGAATGCTGCGGACGCTGCGGATACTGCAGGGCCATCGTCCTACCTGGCCTTGTACGTCCCTGCGCGCGCTCGTGCTTTAAGGTGTTCGTGTCTTGCCTGCGCGCGGCGAGGGGAGCAGTTACATTTACGGTACATTCCACTGACAGTGTTGACAAATACTTTCGAAATCCGTACTCCGTGTACACGCAACAATGAAAGCCATCACAATCACAAGATTGGGCCTCTCACACCGGAACCATCCACGGGATCCTTCTGGATCCTCCACGGTTCGGGGCCTGTCACTCCAGGCCCGATCGCGTGGGAAGGGATCGACAGTGCGTAACTCTGTACGGAGTAGAGAAAAAACACTTGACCAGAAATCAAGGTTCCTGCGGATTCCATGGTTGGAGGAGCGGGAAAGGCCCCATTTCGGCGTTTTGGTCCAAACGGTCTCGACTGGCTTCGCAGGCACAAAGAGCCTCCGCGTACACTACATTTGATACAGCTCTAGGTAGGGGAGGGGGTTTTTTGATTTTTAACAGAACATCCAGGGCAAACAGTAGGGAAGGCTCGACGTGCTCCTGGGATCGGGAGCTAATGGCTGGCTGCATTGCGCACTTTTCCTCTTTTGATCCTTCGAATCCTGTATTCTCCGAGACTCTCGAGTTCTCCTTATCTGCTCGTTACCGGAAGTAATCCCAGTCCTGCCCCGCTCGAAGCACGGCTGAGAAGAAAGCTGAGCGGGCCCCGCCTGTCAAGTCGCAGAGACTACGGAGTACACGACAGAGTTCGAAGGGCTCATCGTAGGGAACGATCGCGAGCAGGGGCCAACGGAGCAGCCCGGACAAGCATGTGGCTCCAGGTACGATCAACCCACAGGAAACCTTCGTCCATGCCCATTTCCACTCTGGCTTCCACTTGAAACCTTGTCAATGGACTTGAATGGTAAGCCGAGCGTGTGATAACAGGCATAAGCGAGCATAATCATCACAGGAGTCTTCGATCGACCCACCGGTGTTTCGCGTGGGACGCGCCCCACGTCCCCCAGCCGTTTCCTGCGACCAGCTGAACAGAGAGTGAGTATTCAGCACTGCGTACAGTCACCCGTGCGAGGCTGAGTACAAGTATTCCCTTCGACTCGGCGGCAAAGGACTCTACTCATATATATTCTACGGTATGCTATTACCTTTTTTTTTTTCTTCTTATTTCACCTCCACTTTCGAGGGCGGTCCGCATCATGCCGAATCGGTAGAGATGGCCCCTCAGTGCCGAGATTGTATGTATCAAATTAAATGCAGGCGAATACGCTACGGCGCTTTCGGTATGGGCTGATATGGTCGAGGAGTATTTATATGTTAAAAAAAACTCTGGGTCAATTGAAAAACCCCATGATTTTTAGCAGAATTTTCAAGTTGGGCGCTGTTGGTCGAGTACTGACCGCGGATACTCCAAAATATATCGGGAGAAAAGCCCTTAAGCTAGCTTCACCTTCGACGCTAATTCAATGGAGACGCCATCGAAAGCACTTAGGGAATAATAGAGTTCAATTGCAAGCTTCAATCCAAACCTAAAGAAAAGCTACTGATAAGGTGGTGCCATACCATCCCCGTTCAGGGGGAAATCGAAGCGCAAGTCCGTACTCCGAGTACCACTAGTGGATGAATCCGAGTTCGACTTTGGTACCGGTATACTACGATATTTTGCAGAGTTTGACTTCACTGCTATCCAATGTATTACTGGGTATCAAATTAATGCAATGACCCTCTCCCGGATCACAGGGTTATCCAAGCCAGGAGCAATCATGAAAAGACTTCACTGAAACACATAGATCATTCCTGCTCGGTCAACGCTCACGACCATTCCGTAAGGCTGCCTCAGAACAGCCACATCCTGAATAATATCCAGATGGCTTCGCAGCAATTGTTGCTGCTGAAGGCTGATGACGGTACTGCGGGGTGGGCGGGGACTGGCCCCCTTCCGCGAAGGAGTCCCTGTACTGCCGCTCGGGCCGCTGGGGAGATGTTCCGTGGCAACGAGCAGACTGGGGCCCGGCTGCGATAGCTCATATCGAGGCCTTGCAGCGGGATTGCCGTCCGATGCACTGTCCAGACCGCTCACAATCATGGACATCTCCGGGCGATTGAGGTCCCAGAATCTGATCTTGCGATCCCATCCCGCTGACACAATGAATCCATATCGACTTCCGGAGGACCTGTCGTTGTCTGGAACATTCAGCCCGACCGTGAACGCCGATGTACCAAAGCGATCGCCCGAAATGATGCCATTTTCGCCGGCCGGCATAGTGCCCGCGGCAGCAGGACTGGCAGTGGCAAAGCGACTGAGCATACCCTCTGGTCGGTCTTCATCAACGGACCAAGCCTCGAAGTCCCGCGGCTGATGAGATCGAGGCGCGGTTCCGCGGGGAGTGCGTTGATCTCCCCCTGGAGTGGTTTCACCGCCATTCAGCGGCGTTGCTTGGTATACCTCGCGGCAGCGGAACCGCTCGATATCCCAGACAGTGATTTCATGTCCGCGGCTTCCGCTGCTAGAGACGCATACCCAACGGCCACGGGGTCTTGTAGGATGTAGATCGATCCGTTGAATACTGCCCCAGCCCGGAAGGCCCCAGGCCTTAAGCCGAACCCGGAATCGCAGGTCCCATAGATCCAAGATGCCGTGTGTCGTGCCAATTAGAAGCCATGAATGACGGCGGTCGCAGCAAAAAGTGGTGGGTGTTCCATGGTGAACAGGGTTATCTAGAGTGAAGCTCGGCATCATGGTTTTCATGTCCAGAGCAATGATTCGACAGGTATTGGTAGCAACCAGTAGAGTTGACTGGCCCTCGTCCCGGAAGTGCTCCATCCATACTGCATATTCGGGCGATCCATTGTCCGCCATTGGCAGTTGGTACTCGCGGACGCGCTGAAGTTTACCATAGCGAGCGGTCTCGTTAGTCTTATGATAGTCGACTCGGACGGCATGGATGGTACCGTCCGTTGCACCGCTCACAAAAGTGTAAGTGTTCTCGACAAAGGTCAACGACTTCACCCGGGCGCCTGTTGCGTGGCGATGGGTCTGGCGAGAGCGCGAGGCCAGGTTTCTTTCCAATCGAGTTGTATCCCAGACCTTCACCGTGCCATCATCCGATGCAGTCACAAAGAAAGCATGATCAGGAGGCAAAGCAATTCGGTTGACAGGACCGCTGTGCTCACCGAATGTAGTTACCAGGTTGCCCTCGGGTTTCCAAGGTTTGTCCGGATCTTGTGCTGTAGCTTTACGAATCGGCTGTCGAGGGTCTAGCTCTTTCACGTAGGGGCCCAAGTCAAACAGGTCGGTAGGATAATTCTCTTCAAAGACGTTGTCCAAAAGCTTCAACACCACTGGGTCATCACCGGCGTAAGAATGGTTTGCACGATACCGCCGGGCAGGTGGGGCCATTCTGCGCTCATTTGCCTGGGAGAGCTCCGATGGCTGAGGGCCCCCCCCTCGTTGGACAGGAGCGTCAAGCTTTCCAAATGCGTTCGTTGGGATTGTACTCGTTTCAGCAAAGGCTTTCGAAGTCTCGTTCCGGCCGAGTAGATTAATGGCGCTAGATTTTCGTTGAACTCTATCCGATGGACCCCTCAATGATAGGGTATCGCCATTTGTTGGTGTTGTTGCTAGCGAACTTCCCTGACCGGAGCTGAGCCGTCGGTCGCGGTTCTGACCGTCTGAAGCTGGGGGTGATAATGGACGGGACCCGGGGCCGGCGGCAGGAGATGATGCCGCCGGTGAGGAGGAAGATGAGCCGGCCCCAACAGCTCCAACGCGAATTGGGCGCGGCACTTCTGCTTCTTTGTGCAGTTGAGTTCGTGTTCGAATATGTCGGTGTTGAGCGTTGGAAGCCCCTTCGATGGTAGTAGAAGCATCGAGTAGTGCATCTGCAATCGTGCGCGGTTTGGTTGCTTCCGGCCTGGGGCTCTCTGTTCGGTCTCGAGAAACATCTTGTTGAGGCCTCTCGTTGAGGTTCTTATCGAAGAACACTGTCTGAGGGGTAACTCCATGTTGACTGAGGCTGATAATGTCGCTGAGTGGGAGAGCAGGCTCAGGATCACTATCTCTTGCGTGCCTGCGTGAAACCTTCCATATGTAATCCTTTAGTGCCAGGAGTTTGCCCTCATCTTCGACAGTCATCCCGAGACTACGCAACCGGCTAAGCCATTGCTCATCTTCTTCATTCCTAGGCTGGGAACCCATTGAGAAGGATCGCCTTGTTCTGATGCCATGGGAGCCGGGTTCAGAGAGGTTAAAAGACCTATCACGGCCACTTGATCTCCAGAAAATGCCCCTTTCTGCTTTAGATGCCCACACAAGAGCCATGTCATAAACATTTCGGGACAAGGGACGTTTCAGCGAGTCCAGAATTTCCACTTCAGAGAACCCTGCGGCTTGAACTTTCAGGAGAGGCCGGATCAAAGGTGTCAATATCGAGTAAATATCAGCCATAGAGAGGAACTTGGTAGATTTCACCACAAGATTAACTGCTGCCTCTCGAATCCAGATGTTAGGATGGGCCAAAAACCCAACGGTCATATGGAGCAAGTCCCAGGTGGTCGATCGCTGAAACAGGCCTAAATCAGCCATGGCCGCAAGGGACCGGATCACCTTTTCGACCACGAATTCCTCACGCTCGGTCATCGACTGAATCATCAGAGGGAGAATATAGAGCTCTAAGCTGGTACTCCCGACATATGCAGCAACGCCCACCACGGTCTCGAGGAAGGCGCATTTCAATATCCAATCTCGATCATTCAGATATGTATTCAGGTGACTCAAAATCACTTCATTGGCTTTGGTGTTGCCAAAGAATACGCATAAACTAGAGACGGATCCCAAAAACGTTCGACGAACGGAGGCATCTGTATCGGTCAGAAGCGCTTTGGTGTGAACCTCGAAATATTCCAGAAGGTCAACCCGTGCAACGTCGTAGAGGTTGTGGTATGTAGAGTCCTCGCTCCATCGCGGTTCAAAGCCAACAGGAATTATTGCGGTCAGTCGGCTATCAGAACGCAAAGCCTGGATCATATCTAGGAACCTCAAGGAGAGTGGGCTAGTGACGCAATACATGAGGCGTATGCAGCGCGTACCATGGGACTGGGGTGGTGTCTATGGGAGGGGATAAAGGGTTGAAGTCGTGGGAAAATGTATTCGGAGAATAGGTAGGCATTGACGGGCGAGACAACGCGGACCATCTCCAACAGTTGGGTCAGCGTGCGGATTGCTGCCACCCGGACTGTATCGGTTTTGTCTGCTAAAAGTATCATGATATATGGCAACACGCGGTCGAGTCTGGCATCATCAGACAATCTTTCCGAAAACGCTAGAAGGATATCACAGGCTTTGATTCGGGCCGAAGCCTTGGAAGTAGTCCGCAAGTTGGAAACCACAAGCGTAAGGAATATCAAAACGCCTTCATCTGATGAGGTTGATGGCGATGTTCCTCCACTGGGCAGATCGAGTTTGACAGGGAGTATGTCACCCGTCAGTCGAACTCGTGTAGAATCCGCATGATCACGAGTCCCACGCGGCGAGGTGCCAAGAAAGTAGGATATCTTATCGAAGTCCAGACATATTCGTTCGATCCGATCGTCCGGCTCGCCACGATTGGCAGATTCAGCTTCCACCTTTGTTCTCCCAGACGATGGGTCTGTCATAAGGGACATGTACTGATGAAGAAAGCTGTAAAAATACTCAGGGAAGGCTTTATTCTTCCAGAAATTCAAGTACTCCTCTGCCGAGTAGCGTGATTCTGGATCAAGCTGAAGCATATGCAGGATCAATTCCCGGATTTCGGGATCCTCAATCTTCGAGAGCTGGCCATGCTCTGGACTGTATTCGCCCTTCCGATACTTGTACATTTGGCTCAGTGTGAAGATTGGAGACTCGAGAAAGAGCTCGGCGATGACGCAGCCAGCACTGAATATGTCCATGGCCCAGTTCACATGGCGATTTCCTGGCTCTTCACCGGCAACCAGGAACCGCTCCGGAGCTAAATAGCAGGTTCTTCTTCCAGAAATATCGAAGTAAAATGAGAAGTCTGCAGGGTTGTCTTCCGGAAGGAATGTTGGTTTGAAAGAAGAAGAAAAATCAGATAGGTAAAGCCAATTCCAGGAAGTCACCAGGACATTCTCCGTCTTGATATCACCGTGGAAGATATCCAGCGAATGGCAGTCCCTTAGAGCGCATAGAAGCTGGAAAGCGACCCATTTCTTTTCGATGTCCTCTAGAAATGGCCGAGTGCTATGAAAGTTGGTCAACAGAATTGATTCACCGATTCCCCAGGAGGAAGCACTTGACGTACCTCATACGGTCATATAGAGAGCTATGGATATACTGCCGAACAAGATAACCACTGGTGTCAGTCTCGATGATTCTCTCATAGCTTAATGCATTAGGCACATCTGATAAGAGCTCCCGTTCGCCTGTTCCCGAGTTAGTTTCTGATGGAAAAACACCTGTCGAAATGCTCTGTCATACGGCGAATATCTTTTGAGTAAGGTTCCAAGTCCATGGACGGATATGGCTTCATGATCACCTTGACAAAGGCCAGGCCATTCTGCTGTCTGGCACGGATGCTTTTCATGAACCGTCCCCCGCCCATGGACTTCTCATACATGAGGTCTGAGAGTTCGGCCACATCGATACCCGCCGACCCTGCAGACAGGGTAGTAAGGGAGTATCCTTGTCCCATTCTGTCGGCTCATTATTTCATCCCTGCGACATCGAAGTGAGAGATATGGAGGATCCGGGAATCGCGATTCGCTGACCCGGAAGCCTAATAGTCACCTGACTGCGAAAGGGAGGCGGTGAGCAACGTAAACACCCTGGGGCATTTGCTTCCCCTGGGCTTGCCTTTTAACTTTTGGTTAGGAAATGATCCAGAGCTAAAAGAAATGCTGTGCGAGACCATCTAGAGCATTATCTGTGATGTTTCCGATGCGGCTTCGCGACTGAAATCACCAACGGCCCGAAGACGCGACTGCGTAACAGCCAAGACTGGCGAAGCTTAGCGCAAGGCCGCTTTTTGCATATTTGAAGTATTCGCAAAACCGGAGAAAGAAAGCTCATGCCATTGACTACGAAACGGTCTATTCGGCATCTACGTCCACAACTTCGGCTGTCGTTTGGTTGCGATAGCGTGCGTCTTGCACTTCAAAGTCAATACGTACTTTTAGTAACCGCAGCTAACGACGGCCCATGTGAGCTTTTCCTTCCATCATGGAGCTAAGCATGATTTCGACTGACCATATGGTCATTCCAACCATCCATACCGAGGAATCTCTGTTCGTTGTGATTTCGAAGCTTTCCGAGTCAGTCGTACCCTGCACCGATTAATAGTGGTAGTCAATCTCATGAAGAATCTAGATTCATCACTACAGCTGTGGGTGAGATCTCATTCTCTTTCGAACATATGCCACATGAGCCGCGCGGGCAGCAACTCCGTGAACTGGTGCATAGGCTAGCCAGGGACAGCCGCAATCCCTTCATTATAATCGCTCTCATGATTCTCAAATATGAGTTTACGAACATCCCCGACGACGACTGGGGGTTAAATGAGAGCAGAGGCCAGGCTTGTGAATTTGTTGCCTGGCAATTCCTGTGTCACCTAAATGCGAGCGAGGCCGTTGAGTTCTTGCTGGAAGAACTCCCAAGACCCAGAAGCAATTCGACAACTATCCTTGAAATAGAGAGGGGAGAATCTGGTTTTGGGTTTACTTGCGAAACCGAAACCACTCCTCTTATATCCGGAGCATCTAGCCCACTCCCCTCTCCAGCACTTGGTCAACGGACGCGTCTCGCCCAGAACGCGAGCGGCTCGGACCTTGACGACTCCGAAGGCCAGGGAAACGACGTCTCACAATATTCTCAATTCTTCGGGCTGAACGCGCTTGAGGTTGCAGCTGTTGGTCATGCCAAAAAGTTCCTCAGTCAGCAAGTCATTCAACGAGTCGTCAATGATATATGGAAAGGTGAAATTGTTTTCTGGGATTCACTCACAGTCAACTCGAAGAAGAAACCCCAGCGATTCAATAGAAAGTGAGTATGAACTAATAGGATGACTTGACTGCATCAATCATGACTCACCTCTTTTGATTCAGAACCGCAGATCCATATTCACGTCTCAGGGTCCCCGTTTATCGGAAGATGTTCGAAGCCGCCTTTTTCCTCTCTTTCCTTTTTCTGTACTATTCAGTACTCTTAGAGAGGAGAGAAAATGGGATAGGGAATTTTGAAGTGCTGATGGACATCTGGATCATTGCCTTTGCTTATGATGAGCTCAGTGGGCTCGTCGACGCCGGGGTCCTCTTCTACCAAATGGATTTCTGGAGCCTGTGGAATCTGGGAATTATCGGGGTCGGCCTCGTCTTCATCATCACAAGCAAGTGAACCCTAAACACCCGTTCCCCACCAAATCAGCCTTACCTGACGCACAATTCCATTCTCTTGCATGAACATGCCCATATGATCTTCAATGCTTGAAAGCTGACGGCCAGAGTCATAGGAATCGTCGGCTTGGCGAAAGGTGATACCTACATTCTCGACCTATCATTCGACATTATTGCCCTGCAGGCATTATTCCTTGTTCCCAGGTGAAGCCATATGCACTTTCTGTGCCCGGACCTCAGCTCTGACTCAATGCGTCACCAGGATCTGCTCTCTTGTGAGCTTGAATGGATACTTCGGGAGCCTGGTAGGTTGAAATTGCGCCAGTAATGATCAGCAGCCTCATATTTTTCTGACTGTGGCGATGATTAGATTCCGGTGCTGAAAGAGATGGTATAGTTTCTAGCTGAAACACCAGCGGAGTGCCCGAGGCTGACAACGGACTCGCCGTTAGACCAAAGCATTCCTTCGATTTTTGCCGATAGTAGTGGTCTTGTATGCAGGTATGCATTTGGATGCACAGCCTCTTTGGAATCAGGAAAGTGGCTGACAGGGAAACCGAGGAGGGCAGCATTCGCAACAACGTTCTCACTTCTGGCTCGCGACCGCTTCTCGCTCAAGCAAATGTCCTTCCTTTTGGTGAAAGTGTTCTTTGGGTAAGTCGGTGTGAAACCCTGGTCTTCAACCGCCTCTTCTTGCTAATACAAGGCAGTGCTGGAACCCTCGGTTTGGTAAGTGGTTTCACGATCTATGACGAGGAGAGGGCTTTGACCAACTGTGGCTGAATTGATTGGATACAGGATAACGCTTCGGAAGTTAGTCTCCCGCGCTAAGCAGCTGTCCTGCAGGTGAAAGAGTTTCATCCCTGCAGATTGACAAAATGATTGGCTGTGGCGTTTAGTTGACTGACGCGCTAAATTAGATCTCCCCGATCTTCGGCTACGGCTTGATGTAAGTTCTTCTTTGACCTCCACGCCACAGCCCCAGAACATGGTAGAAGGGAAAACAAGAAAGAGGGAGAAAAAAAGGGGAAAAAAAAGGAAAAGGGAATAATTTCCGCATGCAATTTCAATCACGTTTTGCGGTCCAGATGACGTCCAGGGCAAGAATTGGCTCTTGCTGCGTGTTGGCCCCACAATAATTTCCACGCGGGGGCTGCATCCGCGTGTGAACAGATGACTGACAGCGATCTCTGTAGGTTGATATTCGTGTCGATGAGCAACATACTACTGCTATCGTCATTGATCAGTTTGATGAGCATGAGCATGGAAGGAGTATGTTTTTCTTTCTTTCGAATTTGTTATTTCATAATGCGACTGCCGAACCCTGAACTCCCCCATGGTTCGACTTCGAGCTAATGTGGAGTAGGTTATGCGCCATGCCCGCGAGGAGTATCTTTTCCAGTAAGTACGGTTCTTCCCCCAAAAGGGAAACTCCTCATCCCCTAGCGTTTATTGCATTTGCCGTTTGTCGGGGTAAACCTCGCTTATTTGACGATGCCGATCGCTATTATGTCCTTTTTTTTCGATTGGCTGATACAACCCCAGGCTCTCTATCTACGTTCTGGAGAGTAGTAATTCCCGGCGCTTGACCTATTTCATGCCACCCCTGGTCAGTTATCGACACATTTTCAGCTTCTTCCCGGATTCTAGAACACGGCGCTGACTGCGAATCCCAAAATCCGTACACAGAACCTAATCCCACTCCTTTGCATTCGTCCCATGCGATTGATTTTGTCAGCAGGGACTGTTCGCCGCGTGCGCATTGTCCTGCTGCGAGCAACCCATCTTCCATTCGTTATGATGATTTGGGCATATGAGTCAGATAGACCGCAACCACGAAAGTCGCAAACTTGGCCACGTCCCTTGGCCACCGGACGACGTCACGGGACCTCTTTCGGCGAGCCTAGTCGACGTTCCACATGTCTCGACCTGCATTCCTCTGAACACGAGCACGCTAATACGGATCAGCGCGATGTGCGTGAACCAGACCTACGTCGAGCGGGAAAAGCTGAGCTCGTAGACGTGATCGACGCTGTCGAACGGCTACGGGTTGAGGTGGCGCGCGTAACTGCGACGCTCGCAAAGCAAGAACATAGCGATTGATATTTTCTACTAGATGTAATTACCCCGAGATTGTTCAGAAATTCAGATCTGTTGAAGTCTTGAATGCTCCCTCATTAACCCCCCCCCCCCCCAAGAAAAGGCTCTCAGAAAAAAGGGGGTGGAGAGGCCGGGGAGTACGTGCAGGCGCTTAGGGCCACGCACGCCATGTCAGGTCAGGCCTTGCCTTAGTTTCGAGCAAGTGGGTTTAGCGGCCGCCACTTTGACATCCTCAGAACAATCGTAGTCCGATCGAGCTCGCGCGCCCTGGAAGGAAAGAGGACCAGTGCTAGTTTCGGGTCGAGTGCGCCTGAAAGAAGATCCCTTGATTTCCCGACTTCATACCCCACCCCGGTCGATTCCTAAACATGTTTGACTCGCACTCATTGACGAGCAACCTGGACGAACCAACGGTCATGACAAATACAGTTTTCTCCAGTGGGGGAGTGGAGCGGAAGACCGTGTACAGATGGATCGAACGGAAGGATGCTCCCGTGTGCCGTGAGCATCCTCTTGGGCAAGTTTAACCCGCTCAAACATGAAATGATCGTCAAGCGGTTTGGCTCGACTCTTCACGTTCCGCAAAGTCTTCTTTCCCCTTTGAGATGGCGGCTGTGTCTGCTACTGGCCACCGGGCTCCCACGCCAATGCAAGCTAGGAACCGAATCCAAACCGCTGGGCTCTGGATTGGCCATTCACAGCCCTGGATTGTCTACTTTTTCACCCCGTCGGTCTGGTCTACCAACAGCAGCTCGTCCCGTGCATGCACGAGGGATGTTTAGTCTGTCCCAGAACAACTGATCGGAGGCGCCGTTACTCTTGGTGCGCCTATTCGCAGCCCTCGGTGGTTTCGTCTATTATTCTTTTTTCGATTATTACTATTTTGCGTTATTATTCTGCCTTCTTGCAGCACATACCTCATGTACGCTGTCCTTGTAGGGCGAAGGTTCCAATGCCTTTTGTTTTATTCTTATTTTTTATTTTATTTTTTTTAACATCGAAATTCACCGTTGTTTCTTTTTTCCTTTTTTCTTTTCTTTTTTTTTTTCTAGCTGTGCTGCGCTGTCTACCCTACTTCAGCTAGGCAACTAGCCCCAAAGAAGATAGCCAACTTATTAGGAAACTCATATCATTTGATGAGGAGTCGGGCTTCTCAGATCATTGTGCTCCGGCGCTAAAATCTGCTGCATGGTTGCGGGCTTAGGCTGCTATCGATCTGGTTCTGGACAGGGCCTCCTCCCTCCCCCCCCCCCCATGCCTGTTAGTGTTTCCCCCTCCCCACTTTATCTCCTACCGCATTTGCAAGGGCTCTGCTCTTGTTTTTGGTGAAATCAGCCTTGTCTGTGGAGGCGTCAGGCCATAGAATCTTCACTCTTCGTCAATCTTCATGCGGTGGCACTCCTCACCAATGGTGCTGTGCCATTCTTCACACCCTTCCCTCAGCCACATTTTATGTATAACGCTCCTTGTCACCAACGGTCGAGTTGTTTGAGTCATTTGTTATTTATACTTTACACTGTCGCTACCTCCCGTGTCCTATTCTTTACATATAGACCTGCTTCGGTTGACCTCAACACTCTATATAACGAAGACCTGTTTTTGACGCCCAGTGCTTCTACCCACGGCACTATGAATCAAGCCCGGGGACCCCTTCACCGCGCCTCTTCGATGGCCCCGTCGCTGCCTGAAGACATGCTCTCGCTAGATACCAGTACGACGTCTGAGCTTTCATCACCTATGTCGACCACGCTTTCCTACGGCTCGCATACGAGAGGATATTCCAACCCCGTTGGTCTGGGTATTTCTGGCTGTGGCACTGAGCTTCACATGAATCAACTGAGCCAGTATCCTCACTCGAGCTCTTTCGACGCGACTCCGCAAATGCCACACCAGATCATGCCCGCGCACGACTGCTACAGTATTCCCGTCAAAGTTGAAGACTATTCCCACGAACCATTCTACGGCCTCTATAATTATGTCCCGGAAACGACCCCTTCGCCAATGAGCTACTACGGCTCTCATGCTATGAGCGCATCGCCGAGTTACAACTCGCCCATGGAGATGACCGCGCCCCAGGCACCATTCTCAGTACCTGGATCAGGCTACTGGGCTTCTGCCTCTCGTGGACCCATGACGCCGCCAGACATGGGCAGCAATCCCACTAACACTATCGCGGTCGAATCCTGGAGCCAGCACCTCTACCCATCTAATGCTCCTGTCAACGCGATGGCGCTACCAGTGTGTCCTGCTCTATCAATCACGCCCGATACCTACTCTTCTACCGGGGCAATGGAGACGAGCCCGGCGGAGATGTCCCTTATGACCCCTCCCAAACCTGCTCCAGCTTCGCCCAAGCCTCGGAGGAGGTCCTGTGGGGAGGACGAACCTAAAAGGAAGAGCTCAAAGACCTCCAAGCGGAAGAACAGTGGCCCGGCCACTCCCCCGAGGAGAAAACCCCGTCCGGATGCGAAATTCCCCTGCAAATTCTGCGATTTCAAATTCACCCGGCGGTCCAATTGTTCAGAGCATGAAAAAAATGCACGATCCGAGGAATAAACGACACTTCCTTTGCTCGCAGTGTAAGAAGACCTTTGGCCGGAATGCAGATCTGAACAGACACATCGAAACTGTAAGGGAGATCATCGACATTGGCCCGCGTGAGCCGCATGCTGACCGTGCTCTAGATCCACAACAAGATCCGCAAACACATCTGTCAATGGTGCGACGTTCGTTTCTCCCGCGCCGATTCTCTCGCCAAGTAAGACAAAATACCTGTTCGCAAGGGATCCGACTTTGAATGCTAACAAGGGGTCCATTTACTTAGACATTGGGCTGAATGTGACAAATCCCCGCTTACCAAACCAGCGACAGCTACGGGGAGCTCCATGGGGTCTGAAGCTCAGCCAAGTCGACCAGGGCCCGGTTCCAGGCGACGCTGATCTCTACACCCACATCGCTCCATTTTCTTTTCCTTTTTTTCTTTTTCTTTTTCTTCTTTTCTTTTCTTTTCTTTTTTTTAATTTGCAAATACTGTACATTGAGCCTGCTGGACAGAGCCAAACTAGCGCGCGGTTTCTCCACTTCGGTTTTGATTGGACTCCTAGTATGGCGCACGACCTTTCGGGGTGTGTCGGATTGAGCATAGCGTACAGGCTGGACCTACATTCTGTTGTCATTGCATTTCGGAATATGCGGTACCGTAATGTACCTTGGGAGGTCTTCTACTTGATCATTGATTTGCTTTTTCTTTTCTTTCCCCTTTCCCCCCATTTTCTTTTTTTCCATTTTCATTTCTGTCTGTTGGTTGTCTGTTTTTGTTGTTCGCGCTTCTATATGCATATCCGGAGGATTTCGTGGGCGGCTCTGTCATTTAGCAAATTCGAACCCCTGTATTCTGTTTGTTACCGTGTGATATCAGTGCAGTAGATACGCTGGCGCGCGGTAGGGTGGAAAAAAAGCGGGGGCTGCACTTTGTCTTTGTACGATCTCGGAGTTAGCAGTCGCAGGATTGGCCGGCTCGACGGCTGCATTTCCCTTGCATCAACCAACAATGCACTCTAAACAACCACCCCCAACGTGGGAGAAAAGCACAAATGCTCATGATCTACGAAGTCGGGGCCACAACGCTGTGGAATCTTTGGAGCAAAAGTCTGGACCCGCACTCCACAATAAAGTGGAATCACACGCTAGTTGACTCCGTACGGGGCCGAGGACGACCGTCCAGAGATTCCGGCAAGATTGGCTGGAGACAAAGCCGTGAGCGATTTCTTGAAAGGGAATCTCATTGCCCGGGGCATTTTCCCGGCACAAGCGCCTGTCCCAAGCTCCTTCGCCTCCGAGCTATCACCAACGCTATTGTGGTGTGCCGATCCCCAAGCGACCAGGAGAACCAAAAAAAAAAATAAATAAATAAAAACATTTGAGCTGTTACAACGGAGCCCCCGGTACCGCGGCAGTTGAATCGGTAAAAAGGAGACATGTGCTATTGCCAGGTGCACAACCCACAATATCCCGTAAGAGACGCTTAATGTGGCTCTCGGCCCCCAGTCGAGATCTTCAAAGCCACCTTGTCCTCACCAGACCGGCCTCTTCCAAGCTAAACCCCTGAGCGATCCCTGCATTTGCTGTTTTGGTCGCCATCCGGCGACCGGTCATTGAAACGGTCAACATTCGGTTAGTGTGGGTATTGATTTTTCTGGGCACTCGGCAGGATGGCTTTGTCCCCTATAGGCTTTGTTTCTAGACAGGCACTCTTGTCTGCTCCTCTGTCGATCCCGTTGTGGCTCAACGCAATCTAATGCAGGAATACGAAAAACGATCGAGGTACCCGAGGCATACTTCCTGTATCTCAATCTTAAGCGTATTCCCAAAATAGAAAACCAAGCAGCCCCGATGCAAATGAAGGGGGCAAGCTCGCGGATCGGGCAACCCGCAGAGCTCGATGTCTCGAATCGGTCAAGTGCAGACGCTGATTTGAAATGATAGGCATTAGTCGGGGTCTAGTGGTTGGTAGATGGAGAATCCTGTCACGTAAGGACTCGGGAAAATGAAAGCAGCATTGGAGGGTTGGCAAGGAGGGGGGGAAGCAGCCAACTCAGCATGATCGGCAGGTGGGCCAGGAGAGGGGGGAGCTTTGGTTTGGGGCTGGTGTGGGAAGGAACCGTTGCAGTCTTTCATGGGGTTGTTCTCGGTTAGTCAAATTATCCAGTTCTTTATGAATTGTTATGATCGGCGGACTTTCGTCCGCGAAACAACCGACCAAACAAACAGTCGCGAGAATAAAGAGCCGGGAGGGAAAAAAAAGAAAAAGAAAAAGAAAAGCAAAGCAGCCAACCACAATAAAGGCGGGAGCCGTGCAACTATTCCTCTCATCCTTGTCATTCTGAAAGGGTCGCATTTCAAGAACGAAAGGTGGGTTTTCGGGCTTTCCAGAATGCGCTTCGGTCGTTTCTCCACGGTTGGGCAGCTATCGACAGGGGCCATGATCAGCCCGTTGAGATCCCAGATTTGAGTTCGGGCGCTAATGGTTGCGTGAAGACAATTTTGATTTTACGGGGCAAGGGAGGCCGTTTACAGAGTAGTTTTCCGTCGAAGGCTTCCACGGTGACGACCTGGGCGCCCCGTTCCCAAAACAAAGAAGAAAGAATCCCCTCCAACAAAAGCTCGAAGCCACCGACAGGGATCCTGTATCCTGCAATTTCAGTTACTGAACAGACCACCACCTCGGACCATGCCAAGTAACAGTGGGAATACTCGATGGAGCCAATTCCCATCACCCAACGCTATTTCTCCGCCAACCCATCCTCTCCGAACGCCCTCAGGCTTGTTGGACTATAGATCCGGGCCACGCGCTGGTGATACGGGGGACCGGCACTAGCATGACATGCATCTACCGTTGGATTTGAGGATCGAGTCAGGTCGATCACGACACGTGGGGACGAAAAGCTCTACAGAGCACGAAAATTTAAGGCGTAAAAAAGCCGCATATTTAACGTCTACCCTGCCAAGTGGCCAAGGTCGGGGATAAAACGGAGTACGCAGCATGCAATCAAATGTCCCCGTCCGATTTGGAAAATGCAAAGGACTTTGTGGGGTTTAAGCCTGTTTTCGGTTTGCCCGTTTGAGGATGTCCATGGATTCAAGTTACACTGTGGCTCTCAATACGCAAACATCTGCCATTCAACGTTCATGGCATGAGTAGAGGCCAATTCCATCTCGCGTTCCGTCGTATCCGAACGGGTCATGCCTGTCTGCGAACACGATTCGTTGAGGGCTGATGGGCGTGTAACCAGGGGGGGCTCCATCCTTGCCTCTCTATTCATGCCGAATAAGAACCTGGGACTTGGGGGATCCCTGCTCTTCTGACTTCATGATCTCGTCAGAAAAACTACCTTGTCCCTCCTCGACGGGTATTCCTTGGGCCCTGTGGCCGGAATTATTAGACGACTCGACGAAAATCAAACTGGGGAAATAGTCTGTAAAGCTCACTGTTTGATTGATCTGTCCCGATGGTCATAGGAGCGAACAGCAAAAGTCGTGAAGATCAAAAGAACGGAGAGACAAGACACTGTAATGTAACCTTTTTTGGTACTCGGGGGCGTCAACCTGTTGCCAAACAATAAGCGGCAGCCATGCTTGCAGCACGTAAGCCATTTCGTTCATGCTGCCGATGACTAGAGCTCTTTCTTCATTGTCGTCCGAACAAATTTCATGAGCCCATCTATGGAGCCCAGTTAGATTGGCTGAGAACTTGCATTGTCTGGCTTCTACTCACGCCATGCATAAACCACTCAGTCCATATCCCGCGCCAGAAAGGATAAAGCACGCCCATTTCCATCCTAATGGAATGTTCCAAGCCGCTAGAGAGGCCTCGGTTATGATGTTGACCACCTAGTGTATTGGTCAACATTCCACACGATTGCTGGAATAAGTTGAGTCATAGTTGCCACTCACAGCACCAAATATGATAGGCGGCCATCGGCTGCCATGGAGAAACGTGTCCGAAGACCCTTACTTGGTCAGTGCATGCTCTGTGACAGAGTCCACGTATACTTACACGCATAGGCGAGTGTCGTCACCACTTGAACGGCATAAGTGGTTGTAGGGTAGGCATTGACCTGACTGGTCGTGTAGGAAGGGTTCTTGGAGTCCTTGAGGAACCTAGCCGTGAGTTAGGAAGGCTAGTCACCTAGAAAGTCACAAAAAGTCACATAGACTCACTGCTGGAAAACCGGTTGGCCGCCCAAAGAGGCATTGTTGAAGAGCCTGAGATAAGGTTAGTAAAATATAATAGCTAGGCCGGAGCCCTTGCCGTACACATAGAGTAATGTGAGCAAGTAGATACGCCAGGAGAGGAATATCTTCTTCAGCTTCTGTTTTGTGTAAGGCCCTCTGGTTTGCCTGCCCTCGAGCTCCATCCGCTTTTGTGCAAGCAGGACCTCCTGGTTCGAATTTTAGCATGGTTCTTCATTCTCTGACAGATCGTGAGCCGTACATCCTTCGTGAGATACCATGGATTAGAAATCTCAGGCACATCTGGTAGAACGAAAAACCCAGCCAGTGCCACTGGAAGCGATATAATCCCATTAATCAAGTAAAGCCTGCGATGATGTTAGACCTTAAGTTCGAACTAGCCGTGGCAATACGTGGGGCGTACCATTGCCAGCCCTTGAAGCCACCACGCCCCCCCAGATGGAGGACCCCGTCCATGAGATAACCAGAGAACATGCTGGCTATTCCACTGCTGGTATGAAAGATGCATGAGCGTTTTGCCAGCTCGTCCTTACGGTACCAGGATCCAATGATATACTGCATCCCAGGGTAGAACGTGCTCTCCGCCAATCCTGAAGTAAATCTGGCAGTTAGTCGAAGTCCAGAGGGAGGCACTGGCTGGATTCGTTCCTCAGGCTTACCAATAAGGAATCGAAGAGCATAGAACTGCGTTGCGGTATTGCATCGCGACAGGGAAAATGTCAAAATAGTCCACAGAAGCTACGTCGAATTAGCCGTTGACGTCTTCCATAGGAGAGATGGTCGTACTTCAGCTGCCGGAATCCAGTAGTGTGGCTTGAGCCGCGTCAAGAGAAGATTACTGGGGATTTCGCCAATCACGTAGCCTACGGTCCAGCAGGTCTGCATGTAGTTCAGCTGGTTGCCGTACATGCCCAGATCTTCTTTCCTAGAATATGAATCGAAGTTAAACCAACCACGAGGCAAGGCGATATTGTTTTAAACGTACATGCCTGATACGAAAGCATTATTCAGGTTGATTTGGTCCAAATACTTGATAAAGTATCCTGATTGCCGACGGAGCCGTTGGTTAATACTAGCACTTGCTTGATAGCTCGACGGGGTCTTCTTACCAAGCGACGCAAATGTCAGAATCGCGCAATCCAGCTTGAAGATTAAGCGACGTTCTTCGGGCGACTTGTCGAACGTGTCCCAAATATAGCTGACCCATCTCCGCTTGGTTTCCTTTTGGACATGCGGGATGGATGTGGTGACCGCTGCCTCCTCTGCGCTCAATTTTTGCGCCATGTCTAATCTCCCTTGAGTGATTGCTGGTAGAGAAACTACGAGGCGATATAAGCCAGTAGCAATCCGAACGATGGAAAAGGAAACGCCGGAGTGTCCAACCGGCACAATTTCCTGAGATCATACGCAGTCCCCTTATGTCCTCGATGCGTGCTTACGAGTTGCTGCGAGATACTTGAATCGCGTGATCGGGAGGTTTTATGTCCTCATAGCTCGGGTCGCGGGGGGGTTTCTATTTGGAAACGACGCTCGTTGATGAGGGTGTAATCCGTTGTGACTTGACGATAGTGACAAAGAGGCCTTTTCCAAGTCTCATGATTACTTGCAGATGTACTAGTAGTTTGTTGATTGCTTACTGCCGGCCATCCGGAATATCGAACTTGGCATCATGCCCGAGCTGGCTTCAGGTTTGAGATCACCGGTTGTGCAAAAGCTCGTCATCCCTTCCGAGGATGGTGTGCGGGTCACATAATCTCGAAACTAAGCTAGAGTACTTTCAAAACATCGAAGCTATGGATCAACTCCGAGCGGCAAGCTGGAATCAATGATATTTATGTACCCTCTGTAGGTCTATGCGGAAACTTCTATCTCGGTGGGTCTTTCTAGGTCTTTACTAGTAATTTCCGCCCCGGTGATACCAAAGAGCGTGTTTAGCCTCGCAACTTGGGCCTTCTTAGCCTCACGCCAGGAAGAGGAATGGCCCTCAATCTCCGGAAGGCCCTGGGAAACCCTTTGGGGATTAATCCATTCCAGAAGCTGGTTTACGTATTCTTCCTCTACCCCCTTGAGGGAGTGGAATTCCCGTCTGTATCCTTTCGCCCGCACCCGCTCCCGGTACTCTTCCCTCATGGCACTGGGAGATGGCAGTTGTGCTACACCAGAGAAATGAGCAGCAACAGCGATAGCCTGGAAATCGAATAATGAAAAGGTCGCGGTATAGAACGGTACGCCTACAAAGGCCAACGTGGAATCCGGAATATAGAATATATCCCGGTGCAAGTTGTGAACCTGCGTACCGTCCGTAATCAACACCAAATCATCCGCTTCCGTCACGTCCAGCGAGTTGTTGTTGAATTGCGGCAAGAATGGGAACGTCATCTGATATCCCGTGCAGATCACGATGCGATCGATCTCCTCCAATACCTCTCCGGTTCTCAACTGTGCCGTCAGAGGCAAATGCTCCAACTCCAATGAGTCCGAAGCCTGAATGTTAAATGCCTTGACCTCTGCGATTCTGGAAGCTCCAGCAGGTAGGGCGGTCGCAGGGAGATCGAAAGTGCCGTTGCGGGTGCTCTGAAACACTTTTCGAGCAACTGGATTGATTTCTTTGGCTATATCCGTAGAAGAGACTGCACCTCCTATCAAGAGGACATTCTTTGCTGCTGTCAGCAGTGTGGATGGACTCATTGGAGGATCGCCCTCACCTTTCCTTCGAAGCCCTCTGCACTTCGGAATGATTTCGAGTGAGAAATCTTAGATGGCCACTTTTCCTTTGCCTCCGCAAGGCCGGGAATATCAGGAATCAGTGGGGTGTGGTAATGGCCCGATGCAACAACGACCGCATCGAAAGCCTGTGATGCTCTATTAGTCCGATGCCATCGATCACGAACTCCGAAAATGACTAACGGATGTGTCTTCTTTCTCCACTAAGCTGTCCGCTTGGGGGTCTTCTTGCAGCGACTTCCAAGCCACGTGCCATTTGGGACCATCTTTATAAACATTTGCGACTGAAGCCCCATACAGTGTGTGCGCCTCAACACCAGTCTTCTTTGCCGTATCCTGGATATAGTCTTTCAGCACATTGTGCGTGACGTAGTCGGGGGTATGATCTGGCCAGCCATTGAGAGTTGTCCGCAACAAGGTAGTCGAGATATTATTGGTCAAATTGACATAACATGGCCTATTGAAAGGAGATTAGCCCTAGATCTGCTGGAAAAGACATAGACGAATCCAGATACCCAGGGGGGAGCATGAATCAAGCTCTGTCTTTCCTTCCCGTCTCTTTCGTCTTTCACGTAGACTTGCGGGTGGCTGGGCTTCGGAGCAGGATATCGCGCTTCAATTGGCACTCGCTTGTCATAGACCCTGATAGCCATTAGCCTCTATCAAACCGAATTACAATTCGGAACCGACCAAACTCCGCCTGCGGCATTACTTCGCTCAAATACCGTCACGTCTATCCCAGCCGCCAGGAGGTGCGCAGCACTGACGACTCCCGAAATCCCTGCGCCGATCACTGCGACACGTTCGATCTTGCTGTCAGGCATGTTCCAGCTTTTTTTTTTCTTTCTTTTTTTGGAGGTTAGAAGAAGTTGAAGATATTGTAAGGGTAAATCTTACTTTGAGTCGCTAAATTAGATGGGTTTAACTCTCGCAACTATCGTCAAGTGTACTCGGCTGCAGACACGATCTCGCCATCCACGCTATCCAGGAGCATTAACATACAATATGTCCTGCTCCAGTGATATAGCTATGAATCGGAACTGGCGGCAATCCAACGACTGGCTCTTTGGTTAGAAATCCCGTATATCAACGGCGTGATTATAGTAGCAGATTGTGCAATATGGCTTTCCCCGCCTGTAAAACGATTGTGTACCAACTGGATTGGTCCCAAATTGTCGACGCTATCGGAGCATTTATGTCATTGGACTACGAGTGAGGGGTAGATAAAGCTTTGTGGTCTAGAGGGGCTTCGACTGTTTTACTATGGGGTGATGGAAGGCGTAATGCGACACCGCGATGATGTGCTTGCACCTCAGATGTCGCATCATGGCGTTCGTCATCCCGAGCGCATCTGGACACTGGCAATAGCAGCTTAGACATAAGTAGCAACATATTGGTTTCCAGTCGTCTGACCGAGAAAAGCAATCCAGTTTATCAAACATGGCGCCTGCTCCCATTGATCCCCGCATCGTAGATGTTGTGGTGCCGAAGAAAGATAACTTGGGCCTCCCAGAGCCGACGCGAGAGCGTCTAGAGAAGGCCGGTATTGATCTCAGCGCAGGATATCCCTACCGTCCGTCTCGTCCCCTCTATAAAGACGACGTGTTTAATGTCCGAAACGAGGACCGCCCCCATATAGACCCGGGGAGTCGAGCAGATCCCGAGAAAAAGGCGCTCTTTTCCGCAGCCAAGGAAATCAACCATTTAACAAAACATATTGGTACCGAAGTGGTTGGGGTGCAACTCAAAGATCTCACCGAGCAGCAAAAAGATGAGCTAGGGTTGCTGGTTGCTGAGCGGAGTGTAGTCTTCTTCAGAGACCAAGACATCAGCCCTCAGCAGCAGAAGGCACTTGGAGAGTGGTATGGCGAAGTCGAAGTTCACGTACGTGAGATCGGAATCAGACTCAGAATCAGAGGTCGGAATGCCCTCTTCAGATGACGCGAAGCTAACAATCCTGCCCTGCAGCCACAAGTTCCTCAGGTTCCTGGAGTGCCGGGGGTGACTGTCATTTGGCCCGCGCTCCAAGCCACTGAGAAAGAAGTGAGCTTCCGTAAACCAGGGGGGTTCGGCTGGCTGGCACACCGACCTCGTTCATGAAAGACAGCCCGCGGGCGTGACCCATCTCCATAATGACACGGTCCCAACCGTAGGAGACGATACCCTCTGGGCAAGTGGATATGGTGCTTATGAGAAGCTTTCACCTGCATTCCGCAAGTTCATCGACGGCAAGACGGCCATCTATCGGTCTGCCCATCCCTACCTGGACCGGAGGAAGCCCGAAGCGGGGCCTTCGTACGTCGAGCGCGAACACCCTTTGGTTCGAGTGCACCCTGCCACTGGCTGGAAAGCGCTCTGGGTGAACCGCGCGATGACAGTGCGGATTGTTGGCCTGGACGAGGATGAAAGCGACTTGATTCTGGGTTATTTGAATGACGTCTACGAAAAGAATGCGGATATCCAAGTCCGCTTCAAATGGACCCCGAGGACAAGTGCTATCTGGGACAACCGGTACGTTTCACACGCATAGAACGATGAGTTACACGCTGACGGGGTCTTTAGCATCACTATTCACAAAGCTAGCTGGGACTATGAAGGCCTTCAACCACGCCACGGTACTCGAGTGACTTCATTGGCCGAGAAGCCTTTCTTTGATAGTAAGGCACCTACCCGGCGAGAAGCACTGGGACAGCTGGGCGCTAGCGAGATCGAAGAATTGGAGAAGTTCCGAAAGCTGCAGTTGCAGTAGTAATACAGCAATCAGGCATTCCGGACTCTCTGGCTATATAATGAAATTGAAGTTGGATACGCGTTCTCTATCAATTTCCCCCTTTGCCAGTGCGGGTTAAGCCCCCAGTCTGTTTGGACTCTGAAACCTTGATTCCCGGGTCGTAGTGGAATGCCCGTCTATGACTAGGAATAATAAAACGCTAGTGGTAGTGAAACATTGCGGAAGGCGCCACTGTCAAATGGCACATTGGGGGCACAAGCCTTTCAAGCATGAGTAGTCAGTCAGTCTAATGAGCCGTGCCCACGTCCTTTGGACCAGAGAGTATTGGGGGCCACTCCTATATTGAGGGAATCCCGTCCCAATTGGACGGTCACCAATGGTCATGTTCCAGCATGTTGCATTGCTGGTGTCCAGCACAAAATAGTGTTTACATCCTGTATAAAACAGTTTGAAATCTAACACGGACATTCTGGGCTGGTTGTTTCTGGGTCGGATGTGTTGGTGCGTAATGTAGTCCTCAAGCTGTCTGCTCCCTCCTCTAAGGGTAGCTCCGGGTTCTTATTTATACTTCTCTGAGTGTGGAACATCAATGGAGCCCAAGTGAGACTCATCTTTTGTCTCTGCTGTGTACATGGTAAAGGAATGTAGACAACACCATTATTTCTCCAAGACCGCATCTGAATTTAGCAGGATATCAGAAAAGACCTACTATGCCTAGAGCCGAGCTATTGTTCCCCTCCACGGTCCTCCAAAGGCAATGAAAGGAAAGAGTTTGTAACGGACTAGGCCCCCTGAACACGTCACCATAGCAAGACTCAAGCATAATTTCTCCCTAGATGCCCTGAAGATGTCCCAGCTTGACCTGCTCAACAACCACGATCCAAATTTCCCCAATAGGTAGAAATGACAGCCATCAAAAAAGTGGAGCTCATAGCCTGAAGAGGGTCAATAAAACGGAACGGAGGCCGCAAATCTTTACCGCTCTGGGGATCGCCCCTCGTCTTACTCAATTTATCGGGACTCATCTGAACTCTGCACTTTCCAAACCGCAAAGATGAGCGCGACCGAGACGATTACTGCTCCGCCAGAGATCACGGCCGAGAATGTGGCCACCATCTTCCCCGAGGTCGACACTTCGCTCGCCCGCGACATCCTTCCCACCGCTGGTGGCCGCGCTGCGTCCCAGGGCACCGAACTCGAGGGGTACGATGAAGAGCAGGTTCGTCTAATGGAAGAGGTGTGCATTGTCCTGGACAATAATGATAAGCCCATTGGTAGTGGCAGCAAAAAGCTCTGTGAGTGCAGCAGTTCCTATGCCCGTATCCCACCCGCGTCTCAAGAGGGGCAGGGGCAACCTTTTTTTTTTTTGCTCTTTCTTTTGAATCTTATACTGATGCAAGATTTTGTCTTCCCACAGGCCACCTGATGACCAACATTGACAAGGGACTCTTGCACCGCGCGTTTTCCGTTTTCCTGTTCGATTCCAATAAGCGCCTCCTGCTCCAGCAGCGCGCCAGCGAGAAAATCACCTTCCCTGACATGTGGACCAACACTTGCTGCTCCCACCCTTTGGGAATCCCCGGCGAGACTGGTTCAGAACTCGATGCCGCCATTCTGGGTGTGAAGCGCGCGGCGCAACGGAAATTGAATCACGAGCTGGGAATCAAGGCCGAGCAGGTTCCTATTGAGAAATTCGAGTTCTTCACCAGGATTCACTACAAGGCTCCGAGTGATGGAATGTGGGGAGAGCACGAAGGTATTGAAACCCCGGGTCGAAAGACGTGCACGCATTGAGACTAATTTATATCGTCAGTGGACTATATTCTCTTCATCCAGGCAGATGTCGACCTCGAGCCAAACCCCAATGAAGTCCGCGATACTGCCTACGTCTCGGCAGACGAGCTCAAGGCCATGTTCCAGCAGCCGGGACTCAAGTTCACTCCTTGGTTCAAGTTGATTTGCAACTCAATGCTGTTCGAATGGTGGAGCCACTTGGGCACTCCGGCGTTGGAGAAATATAAGGGGGAGACCGAAATCCGCCGGATGTAAAGGCGAACAGTAACATTATACCTTGCAATACCTTTCGGCTTTGGGCATTCTTTGGCTTCTCATCATTTTGGAAGCACCGCGCAATACCATTTCTCTTGTCTACAATGTTCCCAACTTTCGGACAAATATTACTTTAATCGCAGTCTAATGAACTTAAAATATGGGTTGGATAGTAACCGGGTCACGCGATCAATATTAAGCATAGAGAACAAGCACCGGCTAAACCGTAACAGGGGTATAAATCGCTTAAATATAAAAGACCGGAAATGAACGCCGAGTATAGACCTCCTAGTCTAGACGAAAAGCCCTTGATGCTGTACATCACGAGGACGGATCGGTGGACAAGAAGAGGATACAACTGCCTAGGATAACCACCCCGACAACCGTGAAGACCATCTGCGTCTTCCACCCACTTTGGACCAAAGCTGCCTTGCGACTATATTTCATGACGGTGCGGGCGTAGTTCGCGAATCCGTTCGCCAGACAGGCCAAGCTCAACACCCAGAAGATTATGCCCAGGGGCAGGGCCATGCGCCGTTCTAACGAAGTAGGCTGGTCGCGAAAATGGAAGGAAATAATTATGGCGACAGAGACAACTGCAAGGTACATCGATAGCCGAAGCCAGGAGAGAAAGGTCCGTTCGTTGGCGCAGTGGTCGCGCGCATCGGAGGAACTGTTTTCAAAAAGCAAGGCGCCGAACAGGGGGGGTTGAGTATAGAATATGATGTTGGTCTTCGACGTGCCTGTGGTCTGTTAGCTAGAAGGATCCAATCGTGTGTACAACCAGGTCCACCGGAGCGAGCCCTAGGTAAAACAGCCCGCATGCTCGTAAGGCGCGACTGGGGTAACCGGAGAGCTGCCCGTTATGATAAAAGTTCACTCACTCTTCCACTAGAGCTGGGTGGGCATGGAATGGGTTTATCAGTGGATTATAGCGCCCGCGCGAGGGAATGCTGCTTGTGCAGCTCCCTGCAGACGCCATTGTGAGGATGGAGATCGAGAACGGAAATCTGGAGATCGAGAACGATATGAGGCGATCATGTGATCCGCAGACCGCTTATTTGTGGTATGAAATGACCCTTGGTGACTTCGCTGATAAGCGTGCGATCGAGGCGATTGAGGCTTAGATAAAAGAGTCTTCATGATTCAAGACCAGACTGGAATTAGGCCTTCTTAATCCCCGCAAGCAATCTATCCATGAATCCCTTGCGCACGGCCTAGTGGGTCCATCTCCAAGGCGGGGGAGCAGCTGATGCACCATGATCGAGTCAGGCGGAATTCTTTGAATCGTCCTGGCTTATCGAGCCGACGCGAATTCTCAAACACGAACAGGTGAATTTTGAGGCAGGGGAAAATCGCCGACTTCTCATCTCACAGTATCGAAGTTCCACTAATTACTCGAAAGGGCGAGTCGAAGCTACCGCCGAGCTGTTCCCCACTTTCGAGTCCCGAGTCTTTGCCCGCTTTGCCCGCTTTGACTCTTTACTCTTATCTCTCCTCCTCTTCCCTTGTACATGCTTGTAGATGATGCTGGTGTTTAGTAAATGAAAAAAAAGGCCAGTGCATCTCCTAGGGTTCCCTCATGGCGCCGCGCAACATTCGCTCCGCAGAGTCCGCGGAGCACTTAAACCCATTTGGAGGGTCCTTCACCTCCAGTTCACCGATAGCGGCATCGGCGATCGCGCGCGACCTCGCTCAGTACGAAGACGAGGACTCGAGCAACACCGACGGGGACTCCGAAGCCTCGACACTTCGTCCTGCCAGCAACCATGCTAATCCGCATTCGTTGGCTGGGTCTTATCGCCGCCCGAGCTATTTCACCAACGTGAACCACGCCACAGCCATCCCCGCGGCTGCGAACTATCAGCCTTTGACTGAGGGCGAACGGCAAAAAGCGATCAAAGAAGAGCGGGACCTCCTCGGAGATAACCATGTCATCCCAACCGACCAAAGGTCCAAGGGACTGCCGCATCAAATTGGCAATCTGTTTGCTACATCCCCAGGGCAAGGTCCCTCCAGGCCGTTCGGTGCGGGGAGAGAATCGCCCATCAAACCCCCCGGGATCCAGCCACAGGCCACAGAGTCCACGGCTCTGCTAGGACCTCCCAGTGGGGCGGAAGGCATGGACCCGGAGGAAATTGATCGGAAATGGGAAGAAGCTGTAATTGCAGGGTTGATCAACACGACTTGGAAGCGTGAAGCGATCGTGATTGGTCAGTATTCTGCACCGTTGATGTTGACATTCTTGCTGCAGTACTCCTTGACGCTAGCCAGTGTCTTCACAATTGGCCACTTGGGCAAAGAGGAGCTGGGGGCAGTCAGTTTGGCCAGTATGACGGTGAGCATTACTGGGAATGCCGTGTATTCTGGTCTTGCGACGAGCTTGGATACCCTCTGTGCGCAGGCGTACGGTTCAGGGAAGCGCAAGTTGGTGGGCCTACAGATGCTCCGCATGGTCTACTTCCTATGGCTGGTGACTGTTCCTATCGCTGTGTTATGGTTCTTCTCTGAGAATATTCTCGTGAAGATTGTGCCAGAAACAGAAGTGGCGCGAATGGCCGGACTGTACTTGAAGATTGCGCTCTTAGGAACCCCAGGTTATGCGTGTTTTGAGAGTGGAAAACGGTACCTGCAGGCGCAGGGCGTCTTCTCTGCCTCGTTGTATGTTTTGATCGTCTGCGCTCCATTCAATGCTTTCTTGAACTGGTTTCTGGTTTGGGTAAGTCATCATCATGAGATCGTCGAAACGATTTTCTTGAAAAAAAAAAAGAAAAAAGAAAAAGAACAAGGCAAACTAATATGGTATCAGAAAATGCAATGGGGATTCATCGGAGCACCAATTGCCGTCGCAGTCACGGAGAATCTTCTCCCGTTAGGTCTCTTCCTATATGCCTACTTTGCTGTAGGGTCTCAATGCTGGTGTGGGTTCACCAGACGGGCATTTGATAATTGGGGCCCAATGATTCGCCTCGCCTTACCGGGCTTGCTCATGGTCGAGGCCGAGTGCCTTGCCTTTGAAGCTTTGACTCTTCTCAGTAGTTATCTGGGCACGACTGCTCTGGCTGCCCAGTCTGTTCTCTCTACCATTTCAAGCATTACATGGCAGATTCCCTTCCCACTGTCTATCGCTGGTAGCACTCGCGTCGCAAACTTGATTGGTGCTACCTTAGTTGGAGCCGCGAAGACGTCTGCGAAGGTGAGTTTCTGTGGTGCTGTAATCGTCGGGTTGTTCAACATGGTCCTTCTCTCGGTTCTGCGAGACTACATTCCCATGCTTTTCAGCTCTGATGCCGACGTCATTGCGTTGGTGGCCCAAGTCCTACCCCTGTGTGCTGCTTTTCAACTTTTTGATGCGCTTGCGGCCAATTGCAACGGTATTCTCCGTGGATTGGGCCGTCAAGAAGTCGGTGGCTACATCCAACTTTTCTGTTACTATGTTATCGCGATGCCTGTCAGCATTGGCACAACCTTCTGGCTGGGCTGGGGAGTCATGGGCCTATGGACTGGAGTGGCCCTGGCTCTTCTGCTTGTATCGGTCATCGAAGCGATTTTCATCAGCCGGATTAGCTGGGAGCGGTCAGTGGAGGAGGCGACGCGACGCAATGAGATGACTTGATTCTGTTCAGCTTCCTTGACGCTGGAGATTTCGCATATTACCATTTCTTGGTAAGGCAGCCCACGCTGGTGACGAACAATCGCTTGTGCATTTCCTGTTTTTGAATGAAACTTACGACTGGAAGACGTGAAAAGACCATGGAAGTATGAAAATAGATAAATCATGATATCATTTGAAGGCTGCGAAAAGTCTTTTTGAAACTTGAAGAATATAGGTGCTCTCTGGCACCAACAATAAACCTTTTACTCGTACTCAAGAATAGCCCAGGTCTGTTCGTCCATAGTGGAGAAAATGACACCAGCGCCCATTAACTCCTCGCCAGCACGTGCCACATCAGTCGCGGGGACATTCAGCTTTGTAGCAATCTGTTGCAAGTGAAGACCGGTGTCATCTTGGGGCTCGGTCTTCAGGACATTGTAGATCTTCTTCGCTAAGGGGGGTCATATGTCCCAGAGCCTTATTCTGCCCAGCACCATAGTCATCAGCCCCACCCATCACAGCATCGCCGCCTTGCGCATTTCCACCGCTAGCACCACCAGGAGGCCCACGAGTGAAGAACAGATGGACCATAGTAGCCTCAAGGAGATGGCAGTTCAGCTCGTTGATATCCGTCATCGGACGCACACTATGCGCACCAATGTATCGCTTGTTTCCGAAAGACTTGATCGCACCGAAGACACGAGCATGGCCATTCAGCTTGACCTCGTTCTTCCCATCGCCAGGCCCCTTAGTCCCCTCATCGGTGTCCATGCTATCAGCCATAGCCGAGTCCACCCACTTCTTCACCTCGACCTCGCCTGTTCCATCGTCGATCTTGTATGTGACATTGGTGCTTTGGGCGCTGATATTGCGCACCTGGCCAATGAAGAGCACGTTGGCAACGTCGGCGCCGTCGATCTGGTAGGGAGCCTCTGGGTACGGCGAGCTGGCATCGAGAATCTGTTTAATTGTCACGGGACGGAGTGTTTTGTTATCACGGTCGCCAGTCTTTCTCGAAATGTCAGTCGAATGACGGGCTTTTATCACATATCGCATGAGCTATTCGCACCTTTCCGCCGGATGGACTGTTCGTCTCGCCTGGCATAAAGCCGCCGCCGCCTGATTGGCCGCCATATGAGTTGAAGTTATCTATCAGAATGCGTTAGTCGTGTAGCAGACACCTGGTCGAGCATACATACCCATTATGTGACAAGGTGATGGTAGAGACGAGAAATCATTTTACTCGTTTGGGAGCGTGTCGTGCCTGAGACGCGTCGCGGGGAGGAAGCAAACAGTGCAAACACTTCTCACCGCCTTTCGGGGGTCTCGATCTCAATTTTTTTTTTTTTTGGGCGGAAAGATAAAAAACGTCTAGATCGTCAAGCTCTGCACAGGCCTGTCTGGAAGTCCATCAAAGCCTGTGAGTTGCGGCCAGCTAAGTCATAAATAGCTGTTTGCCGGATTTTTGTTGACGGTGATTTTTTTTTCTTCTTGATTTGTTACTCGCTTCAATATATGGACACAGGTCTCTGAACAACTTCGTCTCCATCCCGCCGTAGATCGGCTTATCACGAGGCGCAAGACTTTCAGGACACAACAATGCCTCACCGTGCCTCTTCCCCCGCGATGTCGGAAAACGAGTTCGACATCACCGGTGCTCTCTTCCAAAATGACAGTGACTCTGATTCGGGTAAACCTCAAGAAAAGAAACCAACTCATCAGGACCTCGACTTCCTCGGCGCGGACGACGACGATGGCGATGCAGCATTTATTGCCTCCCACCAGGCATCTGCCAACCGAAAGGGCTCTAATCTCAAGGGTCGCACTGTTAAGAAGGGCGGTGGCTTCCAAGCCATGGGCCTGAATGGACATCTTTTGAAGGCCATCGCACGCAAGGGATTCTCTGTCCCTACTCCGATTCAGCGCAAGACCATTCCCGTCATTATGGAAGACAAAGATGTAGTTGGGATGGCCCGAACTGGTTCCGGAAAGACTGCGGCTTTCGTCATTCCCATGATTGAGAAGTTGAAGAGCCATAGCACGAAGTTCGGAGCTCGCGGCTTGATCATGTCTCCCTCCCGAGAACTTGCCCTGCAGACTCTGAAAGTTGTTAAGGAGATGAGCCGTGGCACGGACTTAAAGGCTGTCCTGCTTGTCGGTGGTGATAGCCTGGAGGATCAGTTCGGAATGATGGCTGGCAATCCAGATATCGTCATCGCTACGCCCGGTCGATTCCTTCACTTGAAGGTCGAAATGGACTTAGATCTTTCGAGTATCCGCTACGTGGTTTTCGATGAAGCTGATCGATTGTTCGAAATGGGATTTGCTGCCCAGCTTACTGAGATTCTTCACGGTCTTCCCTCAAATCGACAAACGCTCCTTTTCTCTGCTACTCTTCCTAAGTCGCTGGTGGAGTTTGCACGAGCTGGTCTCGAGGAGCCCACTCTTGTGCGATTGGATACCGAAGGAAAGATCTCTCCAGATCTGCAGAATGCATTCTTTGCCGTCAAGTCATCTGACAAAGAGGGTGCTCTGCTGTACGTCCTACATGAAGTTATTAAAATGCCCACAGGGCCTACAGAAGTGACGCGACGGTTCAAGGAGGAAGGGCCTTCCAAGTCGAATAAGCGAAAGCGGACTGAGAGGAATGCGCACAAAGAATCGCCGACCGAACACTCAACGATTGTTTTCGCAGCGACGAAGCACCATGTGGACTACCTCTATTCGCTCCTTAAAGAAGCCGGATTTGCGACATCCTACGCCTACGGTTCACTGGATCAAACAGCTCGTAAGATCCAAGTCCAAAACTTCCGATCCGGGATCTCTAATATCCTGGTCGTCACCGATGTCGCTGCTCGAGGTATCGATATCCCCGTTCTCGCCAACGTCATCAACTACGACTTCCCCTCCCAACCCAAGATCTTCGTCCACCGAGTCGGTCGTACCGCCCGTGCAGGCCAGAAAGGTTGGAGTTACAGTCTTGTCAGAGATGCCGATGCCCCATACTTGCTCGATCTTCAGCTCTTCCTGGGCCGGAGGCTGGTTCTCGGCCGCCAATACGGCGACCAGGTTGATTTCGCGGAGGATGTGGTTGTGGGCTCTATCCCCAGAGACCCCCTATCTCGGAGCTGCGAGTGGGTCAACAAAGTTCTGTCTGAGGTTACAGACATCGCATCCCAACGCCAGGTGGCTACGCGGGGAGAGAAACTATACATGCGAACCCGCAATGCGGCGTCTCTCGAGAGTGCGAAACGTGCCAAACAAGTCACCACCACAGACGACTGGTCCACGATTCATGTGCTTTTTCAACGACGCCACCAGTCAAATGGAAGCGGAGCGTGAAAAGCTGCTGGCACGCATTGGTGGATTCCGTCCCCAGGAAACCATCTTTGAAGTGCACAATCGCCGAACTGGCAAGAGTTCCCAGAAGACTGAGGGCGAAGAGGCGACCATGAACACCATCAAGCGGATCCGGTCCACTGTGGACAAGAAGAAGCAAAGAGCGCAGGCCAAGGAGCAGTCCGAGCTCAACGAACTGGGCATTGGCGATCAATTCGCCGGCGGAGATGAAGGTGAAGGCGAAGGCGACGAAGACATCCCCGCTGAAGCTGGGGATAACATGTCCCTCGCCTCCGAGTCAGACCTGGAGGTAACCTTCTCCGCATACTCCCAGCCGAAGAACAAGGCAAAGGCAAATCCCAATGGGGTTTCCGCTACCTCGTTCCAGAACCCCGACTATTTCATGGGTTACACGCCCAACAACAACGACCTCGCAGAGGACCGGGCGTACGGCGTCCACTCGGGCACCGTCTCGAACTTCGCTGCTGCCTCACGCAGTGCTACCATGGACCTCAACGGGGATGAAGGACACAAGGGATTTGGCGAGCCTCGGTCGATGCTGCGCTGGGACAAGCGGCATAAAAAGTATGTGGCGCGACAGAATGATGAGGACGGGTCGAAGGGCGAGAAGCTGGTGCGCGGTGAGAGCGGGGCCAAGATTGCGGCTAGTTTCCGCAGCGGGCGCTTCCAGAACTGGAAAAAGGGCAAGCGGTTGGGCCATATGCCTCGTGTGGGCGAGGCCGAGGATCCTTCTCTGGCCCGGAACTTCAACCACCGGCCTCCGGGGGCCAGTGGTGGGCGATTCCGGCATACCAAGCAGGAGGCTCCTAAGCGGGCTGATCCCTTGCGGGGCGATTATGAGAAGATGAAGAAGAAGAACGCCACGGCTCGCGAGAGGCAGCTCTCTCAGGTTGGCGGCGCTGCTGCGGGTGGGAAGAGCGAGATTCGCTCTACGGACGATATTCGCAAGGCACGCAATCTGAAGCAGAAGCGGCGTGAGAAGAATGCCCGGCCGTCTCGGAAGAAGCATTAAACGACGCATTTCACCACTTTGTATAGGTTTCGTCTTCCTAGCAGATGTATTCCATGTTCTGGGGACAGGGGCCAACTAGTTATATACTGCATTGAAGATACCATGTCAATTGCTTGCGACCATGTCCTGAGTTTTTACGGAGTCCTGTAGCGACTTGTAGGAAACTTGAAAGACTCAAAATCTCAAGACCCCGTGTCTATATCCCATAGCGAGTGCTATCAAGAACGCAACCCGGACCATGGTTCATGCACTGCCACTACGCGTCGATCGCGCGCGTACGATTGTCAGCCCTTTCGGATCCAATCACGATCTCCAAGGCCTTGTGCCCTTTTGGGAGATATTCCACGAGGCCCCAATAGTCCCGATTAATCTCCGCCTGGGGCCAGACTCGGCGAATTTTGGTAAGGCTCGGCCTTTGACAAATCCCGATCCAGTTTCCGGACTCTGTTCGGTACAAACTAGTCGAACGGGGCGGGGTCTCTGAGAGAGACAGAATCCCTACTCCGCAGCCCTGGGAGGCATGGGAAAGGATGGGTTGAACCCCTTGTGCACCCGCGTGCGGTATGTTCCACACAGGCTGGTGCAGCCCCTTAGGCGATTAACAGCCGCCTTTTGTTGCCCTCTCGGCAGCTCCCGCTCTTGGCCTTGTGTCTTTTCACCTTTTTTTCCCCCCTTTATTCCTTCTTCTTTCTTTGTCTTATTATTTTACCTTCCGGGTCAATTGGCTCCCCCAGGTCTGGTCTGCTGCTTGCCCAATCACCCGATGAAGTGGGGACCTTCCCTAGTCCAGGCCAGGGATGGAAAAGCATTGCACATGCTGACGGTGATCCGCTTTCCCCAAGGCTGAAGGCTGCAGGCTGCAGCCACATCTTGTTCCTCGATTCCGGAGTACCCGAAAAATAAGAAGATAAACTTTACGAACGGTTTTTGCGGTTCATGTCTTTCCTTCCTCTGCTCTTAATTTCAGGGTCTCAGTTGGGTGGGAAGAACAGGGTATCTTCCCACAGGGTACCACAACAGAGCGAACTTTGCCCTGATCTATTGAAGCTTCGGGGACCACATCACCACCTGCCGCCCCCCTCCAATCCAATTCGCAAGCCGCCCTTTTGCAACAGAGAAATCCCCAGTCATGAGATCTGGAAATTCAAAAAGAAATCTGTCCCTTGGCTGCAGGCTCCCGACTCATGGTTCGCGGCCCACCTCTGTCGTGTTCCTCGCCTGTCGAGGACCCTGATCTACACTTGTGTCGGGCTGGATTGTAACAGTAACCCCCTTCTCGTCCCACGGAGGATAACCAGCGGGTTGACTCGGTCCTACGGTGCTCCGGTGGGGCTTGTTCATGATGAATATTGTTTTTTTTCCCCCCTTTTGCCTCTAGGATCTCCACTGCGGAGAATAATGACCCGTGGATTCAAGGTTGACATCACCAGTCCCCTCTAGTTCTTCTGGAAATCCCCCTTTCCAGCAGGGCAATCGGGCAATTTGAAATCCATCAGACTCAGTTCCCCACTCGCACTTACCCAAGAAATCCATGGTTTGCCCGGCGCAACCATGGGATTCTCATCTTTCCGCCCCATTAAGGTTTTGCGGGCCATTAGCCTCAGCCCTTCGACGAGGCCGATCATTTCTCGGCTTATAGATCCGGGCACCAGAGCCCGAAGGCCAGAGAGTGGAGAAGGGCGTTTATCGGAGTCTTGGGACCAGAAAGGATACAGCATCGCACCAGATCTTCCAGCACCGTGCTGTTCCCAATCTTAGAAGCTAAACCATGAATCACAAAGTACAGTCCAAAATAAGGTTCGTCCCCCGAGAGGTTGCACCACTCGCAGGCATTTGGCAAGTAGAGATGAGGTGATATGTTTTGTTTCCCGGCTCAGCAGATAAGATTCAGTCTATTAGCGATGGATCCGGGTCTAGTGACACTAATAGGGCTGGAACGTGGGATTACTTGGAAAGCGGGGGGGGGGACCTTCTGTGGTTATACTGGGTCCAACCAGGTACGGGTAATAGGATAGTGCTCTATGAAGAGCCATCACATCAACCGGGCCAATACGAGCACAGTGAGACCTCCTGGCGCGCGAGAGAGACATGCATCCTCGTACTTTGTGCATGTCAAACGGAATGCGCAGTTCAGTGCCGGGGGCGACTATTGGCAATGGCTGCGGGCGCCGACTGTCGATCCTCCAATCCCTCGCTTGGGCTCGTATCGTCCTCCCCAATTCCCCAATTATTGACCTGCTGCTTTTTGATTTCACGTCGCACCTCCCAAGCTCCCATCCCCGTAGATTAGTATGGCGGGTGTCAGTGCAACCCGTTCGCCTGCAAGCCACCGCAATAGACCGGGAGGCACTACGAACCATTGCGTGTGGGCTCCACCGGCTGATTCGGGGAAATGAGCTCTTGTATAGCGCGGACGGGGCGATCCATCAGCGGGAAAAAGGACCAAAAGGAATAAGAAAGGAAGAAAGAAATCGAGGAAATCAGACAAAGCCCGTGAAGATCAAAGAAATTCCCGAATCCCTGCCCAACCAGCGAATAATGCAAATAAAAATCAAAAACAAGGGGTGCCCAGTTCGACAGCCTACAGCGAATCATGGCGCTTTACGCACGCCCTTTCTCTCCACCTACCGTTCTTCCTCCCCTCCCATAATTCCCGAAAAGATCTACCATGACGGAGATCAAGTCTATCAGCTACTAGTGCCAGCTGCACTGACCACTGCTTTCCTACCTGGTAGGATCCACCGGGCCCTCTGGCCCATAGTGTACTACTTTGGGCTCGTAATGTCCAAGAGCGGGAAATTTACCACATTCATAGAATCTGGTTAATTCCTTCAATATTTCGTCTTCCATCTGACGTTCATTCTTATTGCTTCCCTGCTCCCCCACCCCCATATCAGCAAACAATACCTGAAACATATCACACCCCAAAAACGCGATTCGGGGAAAAAATAAAAATAAAAAAAAAATGAAAATAAAAATAAGAGTCTAAAACGGAAAGGCCCAAAAAAAAAGAGAAAGAGAAAAGAGAAAAGACAAGACAAGACAGCTACAGAAGAAGTCAAACACAGCCAAAGGAGAAAGCTTCAAGGAGGCGTGGAATATCTAGGATTTCAAGGAGAAACAGGGCTTGAAGAACCAGACTCCCTTTCCATACCGGCCCCCCCCACCTCGAGGACGCCTCAAGTGGCATACAGGTATAGTTCACCGTTTCTATCTTTTACCCTGTCTCGTTCGTTCCGGACTACCTTATTATGTACGGGGGCGTCTGAGCTGGAACTGCAATGCACCGAACGTGATCGCAGAGGCAAGGTGAGAGCTTGGGCCAGCTGCACCCGGCCATCCTAGCGCGATGATCGACCGCCATCCTGCAATAGATCGCCCTGGGAGGGGAAAATGACAAGGGCTATGAGCCACCCTGCTGTCATGGCCTGGAAATCTCCCGCTGATCGATGCAGTCTAGTTTCTGACCCCTCCAATAGCGGGTCGCTCTGTTCTTCATAAGCTCGGTGTCGCCTCGGAACAGGGAAGCTGGGGGAGGCTTCCAATGATATTGTCGTCTGGTGCTTGTCCTGCTGCTGTTCACCTGTATCAATCCCTTCCAACCCCGACTTGCCCCCCCCCCCCCTTCGCGTGAACCAAACCCAGGCACACTACGCGCCTTTGCTAAAGCCTGCCCAGGGATCCGTTCGCCAGATATGCTGCCTCCCGAACGAGGAGTCCATGGTCCCCTTTTTTGAAAGTCCACAAAAGAGTATAGAGAGCCGCCCTCGTGGGCCTGTCTCTCTCCAAGTGCTCCAGCCCCAGTCATCCGATGCAACCACTCGTTCTTCATCCACCGAGTCTCGCCACCCCGTTTGGACCAACCCGGTTCATCCCCGGCCCTGAGCGGCTCTTGAATCGACCGTGGGCCGATCCTCGAGGGTGTAGCCCCCAGGCTGCGTTTACCCGTCAATCTATGTCTGGCTCTCCTCCTGCTGAAGAGCCTTCGGTTGCTTCCGCGGAGTCGAACCCTTCGCGATATCCATTGGCTTCCTCGCCCGCTCCCAGCGCGGCAGAGGAAGCCCCGGTGGTGTCCCATCCTCGACCTCATCGCCCATCCTTAGGCAATGATCCGTTGCCCACCACGATCCCACCGATCTCGGCCGTTGCTCCGGTCTCTGTTCCCTCGGTGCCGTTGATTCCCCCAAGATATCCGGATCCCGGCCCGTTGTATACGGATCCTTCTCACGCTCACCCTGAGTTGCCTCAATTTCCACTAGCAGCATTTGATCGCTCCATCTCTGGAGCGGGGCCTCGTGCCATTGCACAGAGATCGACGAGGCGGACGAAGGCGCATGTGGCATCGGCATGCGTCAATTGCAAAAAGAAGCATCTTGGCTGTGATCCAGCACGGCCATGTAGAAGATGTGTTTTGGCTGGAAAGGCTGTAAGTCAAATTGCGATCGAGATGATGGCCGAGGTGTCGAGCAACCTCTCGCGAGAACTATGATTTGCTAATTGGCCCCGTCAACAAAAAAAGTCGTCATGTGTGGATGTCACTCACAAAAAACGTGGCCGACCGCCATTGAAGGCCGAGGACTCTTCTCTCCGACCCTATACGCATCCGGATCATTCACCGGTGCCAGCAGAGTCCCAGCCCGCTGGCCCTCCGCGAGCGAGCTTCCACCGACCAACATCTTCAAGAGAGCTTCGGCCGATGACAGATCTTCAAGGAGTAGGTGAACCAGGACCACCACCACCACCACCAGGAGCAGCAACGATGCGAGGTCCGCGGAGCCAGCCGCACCGATGGTCAGCTTCGGTCTTTCCTCTGACTCGTCCTATGGAAGCTTCGCCAGGGATGCTGAATGCTGCGGGTCGGCGTCCATTCTCCTCGTCTGGACCAGCTTCATATCCGCAGCCTCATCCATCTGTGCCTCCGTCTGCATTTGCGCCAGTTACGAGTGGATTCAACCCTGTGATCAAGACACCCACAGGTCCGCCAGGAATGGACATGCGATTTCAACAATATCCAGGTCCGGCATTACCTCCACCTACCACCCCGCCGCAGCCCAATCCCGCCGCAGGGATTCCCTACATACCCTACGCTGAATCCCCCGGCTCCGCCCACCATCCAGGAGCCGAGTCTCGACTGCCAGCTGGACCCCGAGAGTCCTATCTGGAGACCTCGGTCCGTCTCCCTCCAATCCACCAAGCTACAGCAAATCCCGGTCCGCCCATGTCGGCAGTGCCGCCAGGACCCCCCGGCCATGCCTACCATACCCATAGATTGAGCGATCCATATCCTGCAAGCTGGGTTTTAGCCGGCTCGGAAGGAAGCTCCCAGGATCCCCGTACTTCTGCCCAACCCAAGAGACCTATGGATTCCATTTTGGACCATCCATCGCATCACCGACGGCTGTCGTCTTCGGCAACAGGATCTTTGAACCCGATTCCCCGGCATTTAGGCCCCCTCGAGCTTCCTACGCCAGTTACACCTGCTCCGTCATTGCCAGCGGGAGCTCAAACAACCCAGCCCGTGACAGAAGCGGAGCCTGATCCGCGGCCGGTGAAAAGGCGCAAGATGGCACTAGATGACATGGTGAATGGCTGAACCGCGTTACCATCTCACTCGCGACCAGCTAAACTTGCAGAATCAGGGACTCTACTCTGGAGATTCCTTCTTGTCTCTCCTCCTTTCTAACTTCCCTTCCCCCCCCCAAAAAACGCTAATTGGCTGCCTTGGAGGCTCTATGTATTGTATAATCCATACCTTGTCGGCAGGGCCCATTCAAGCTTTTCGATACCCCATTGAGCCAATCGAAATGTCGAGCATCGAGTCGAGACCAGAAAAGAAAAGGCGAAAAAAAAAGAAGAAAAAGAAGAAAAGGGAGGCAACTTTATGTGCGCTGAATTGCGCTGGAAAGAGCAAATCGCGTGTAACCCCAATATGTACATCCGATCCCCAGTTTCGGAAGAAGCTCAGGAGGTGGATGATGTCGAAGATACCGCCGCAAAGCGACCCGAGCACAATCATGGGCCTCTAGAGCATGCGGCGTTTATTTCATTGTGTTTTCATGCGATACGGCTGTTTTTTTTTTTCTTTGTTTCTCTCTTTTGTCATCTCATTTTCCCCGCGAGTACCCCTTACTGTTGAGCGAATTTTGAAGAACATGGCATGGCGTTCTGTGGAGTTGGGGTTCTCGCTGAATGGTTTCTTTTGTCGATTCTCGCTGGATGCGATGAGCATATATCCCCATGGATAATGTATGACATATGATGGCCCTGTATTTGTCTTGCAGTAGACCTTTTTGCCGGTTTTCCCATTCCTTGAATGGAATTATCTTCCAGACCTAGAGACTAAAGAAGCCAACCCAATGGGTTTGCCGACTCCCCCTACTCGAGTTGATACCGAGCGGCAACTACTCCAGTCAGCGAGAAAGGTACTAGTAGAGGGGTCAATAATAAGGTTTTTATGTGGAGTATGCGATTATGATACAACGGTGAAACAAATGCACGTCCATGCAAGCTGGGTATCACAGCAGAAAGCAAACGAGGTAAAAGAAAAAAAAATTTTTTTTTAGAAAAACAGCCACTGCCCAACGCGCTGCAACTGAGCAACAAAGCCCTTCTTCTCCGGCTCCACGACATCCCCCGGTACATGGTCATCGTCCACGCCGCCATCGTAGCGATCGGTGTGTAGATCCATCGCGGCCGAGCGGACAAAATGGGTGCGCTTGACCAGTTTCCAGCCCAGAAACATCACGATCATAATGGGGATCTCGATGTAGTATGAAACGAAATCGACGCGCTTGAAGACGGGGCTGAAGCACTTCCAGCCTTGGACAAGGACGAGGACAATGTTGAGGCCCATGGCGAGGACGGGTCCGTAGGGGTAGGTCCAGTTCTTGAAGGGGAGAAGATGCTCGATGCCTTGCGCACGGATGGCCCCGCGGAAGCGAAGAGACGCGAGGCAGATGCAGATCCAGGAGAGTTGGTTGGAGACGCCGACGATGTTCTGGAGCCAAGACCACAGCTGGCCGGCCCCGATGTAGCTTGCGCCAAAGCAGAGGCCGCTAATGACGGAGGTGGCTAGCACTGCGATCCAGGGGATCTGGAATCGGTTGAGCTTGCTGAAGAAGCGGGGTGCGTAGCCGTCCACCGCGAGGGAGTAGAGAAGTCGGGTACCGGCGAAGAGGGCGTGGTTGGATGCAGAGATGACGGAGGTCATGATCACGGCGTTGATGAAGCTTCCCGCAGCGTTACTGCCGGCTTCCTGGAAGACAATGGTGAAGGGGCTGGTTTTCGTATTCCCGTCTGATAATCCAGGGTATGTGTAGGGCACATTGAAACCGATGATAATGATCGACAGGAGATAGAAAAGGACAATCCGCCAGAAGACATTTCGCACGACCTTGGGCATGGTCTTGGCTGGGTTCTTAGTCTCACCAGCGGTAATTGCGATGGACTCGGTGCCGCCACTACATTTCAGGGTTAGTGATCATGGACCGGGAAAAAGAGCCCTAATACGATACGCACTATGCAAATGAGGCGGTGACGAAGACCGATGCGAACCCGCCGATACCGTCAACAAAGGGTGCATCTCCTATGGTCCAGTATTGACCTCCAATATATCGATGATCTTTATTGCCCCCGGCGTTGACGGCAATGCCCAGTATGATGAAGATCTAGAACCCCGGTCAGAACATTGGTAACTGGCATAAAGCTGGACCATTTTTCTTTTCTTTTCTTTTCTTTTTCTTTTTTTTTTGTCAAACATACCACAATCGTAACGACTTTCAGCAAGCTCAGAATATATTCTATTTCGCCATAGACACGCACGGAAAGGAGATTCAGTGCAATGACAACAACTAGGAAGATCAGGCTGATGGCCCACCCGGGGAAATTCTCAGTCCAATACTTTAATAGAAGCTGCAGAGCAATAATATCAGATGCCGTGGATACTGCATCATTAAACCAATAGTTCCACGTCAAGGCAAAGCCCAGCGCATCATCCACGAAGCGTCTGGCCCCCTCAAGGTTAGTACGTATGCTTGTATTCAGATCGGGACAGGATCGTCGCGCGGTGTAACTTACCCTGCGAAGGTACAAAAGGAGCCAGCCACAGGCACAAAGGCCGCCATCTCGCCCAGACAGAGCATCGTGACGAAGACGATGCCACCGCAGATAGCGTAGGCGATTAACATCGAAGCTGGACCGCCCGTAGCAAGAGATTCACCGGTCCCGAGGAACAGGCCAGTTCCAATCGTGCCACCGATGGCGATCATCTGCACCTGGCGCCCCGACAAGCGGCGAGCCAGCTTGTCAGCGTTCACCAGCGGAGTCGCCTGGAAGTCGCCCCTATCCTCCGCGTGCGGCTGCTTCTCAGTATCTGGCGAAGCCATCTTGGCGGGTGATGGAGCACCGAAGTCACCGCGACCGTACACCCTACGGCACAGCTCCACTGGCAGTCCGTATATATCAAGTAGAGGATTTCAAACAACGGACCGATGAGCTTGCTAGCGTTTGCCTCATGTGCTGGCGTAGCTAACGTAGCATTCGAGTCGATTAGTAAGGGTGCTAGCCCTAGCCCCACGTGGCGATGTACCCCGGATTTGGCTGAGATATGACAGCTCAACGGGTGGAATGTGCACTTATCAGGGACCCTGAAGCGCGTTCGGGATGGAAAGGAGGGGAAGCCATCTTTTGGGCTGCCCAAAAATGAGATCGAATAGGGCGTAAACTGCGATGGCGTGCTCGCGCATCTCAGTGACTGGATCGTCGGTCCCGCCATCGCTCCAAAAAATTTCGATCTGCTCCACTTGACGAATTCGGATGCATCACCTGCCTAAAACATCCATGCAATACATTTGGGAGATACATGTAAGGATATCTAGATTATACTTCTCGGGCTGGTTTTAAGCACACCGTTGAACAGGGGAAAAAAAAATCATTAATCCTAGATATGCTTCTGTATTCACTATGTACCCGCACCAAAATGGGCACGCGACCAATGCTTTTGAGGGTTTCGCTAGTAGAGCAAACAAACAAAAAAAAAAAAGTAGAAAAACAGAACAATACACGCCGTGAAAAGACTTATCAACCAAGGAGTCCACTGGCCAACGCCTCCAGATCTTCCAGAGTTTCGATCTGCGGCGGCGCAGCCTTGCCTTGCTCTTCTTCGGACGTTCGTCGCCGCTGGACGCGTTGCGATCGTCTGCAAAAGAGACACGGGCCTTCTTGCTGGCGGGGAGCATCGCGTTCGGGCTCGGACTCGGATGCAGAGCCAGGGATCTCGAACGGAACATAGGGCAGGCCGCCTGTTTCTTCGCCGGACTCTTGCTGGGCCTCCTCCGCCAGTGCACGCTCGCGTGCTCGGCGCTTCTCCTTCTTCTCGCGCTTCTTCGCGCGCACCAGTTCCTTGTCCTCGATATCGGCCTCGCGAGTCCGAGCACTCTCCTGGGCCACGAAGCGTTCGCGCTGAGCGTTCGGGTCGCCACGAGCCTTGAATTGTTCTTCGTCTTCCATTTCGTAGATCTCGTGAGCGTTGCCGTCGTCGTCGTATACAAGCTTCGTTCCTTGCCCTTGAACTTGAGAAGCTTTTTCTTCGACTTGAGTAGCTTCTCACGACGTTTCGAGTCGATGACCAATGGCTCTTTGCCATCAATCTGTACTTTCTTGGTTGCGGTGTCCGCTTCCGGGCTGTCCGAATCCGAATCCGAGTCTGAGTCTCCTCCTTGACCAAGACCTTCATCACCAGCCACAAATCGTCGCTTGACGGAGAGGAAATCGGCATCCTCGTCAGCATCTTCTCCGGCTCCCGGTCCAGCGCCAGTGGCAATAAGCGTGCCATCGTCGTTGATGAGTTTCGAGTAGTGGTCAGCGAGCACGTCCTGGTTGCGACGCTCAAACATGCGGTCGTAACGGGTCCGGACTTGGGGTTCTTCCTTCTTCTTCTTCTTCTTGGAAGCTCCGTCGTCGGAGTCTTCTTCGTCACTGGAGAGATGAGCCATCTTCCATGAGGCATTCTTGCGCTCCTTTGTATCATCACCCTTGATAAACTTGATGCGAGGGGCACCAGGGAGACCCAGGCTTCCTGCGAATTCCTCCAAAGGCAGAGCCTTAATATTGAACGTCTCCTTGTCCTTCTGCACGTAGATTGACTTGACATAGGAGATGAAGGCTTTCTGACCAAGGTATTTCAGTTCCGGGTCTTTGAAACACATATTCTGAAGTTGGTGTTTAATCGTCTGCTGCTTGTTCGACTTGATATTGATCTTTTCGATTGGAACCTTCTTCTGCTCCAGTCGCTTCAGCATACCCTTTTCTTCACTTGGGTCTAAGAAGAGCACAGCACGGCCAACCCGTTCGTATCGAGCCGTTCGGCCCACTCGGTGGATATAGGTATCAGCGTCCTCCGGGCAATCCATCTGGATGACCCAGTCCACCGCAGGGAAGTCAAGACCACGCGCCGCAACATCGGTCGCAAACAGGACAGAATGCTGAGACTGAGAGAATTTTGTCGTAATATCCAAGCGACCCCCTTGTTTTTGGCGACCATGCAGATGCATCAGAGGGATACCGGGCTGGAGATGACGGAAAGACTCGTAGACAAATCGCACTTGCTTTCCTGAGGATAGGAAAACCACGGTTTTTGATTTGAGGTTACTGCGGATAAAGCTCCATAGCGTATCAAGCTTGTTGGCAAGAGGAGTCACAACATAATGTTGTTGAAGGGTCGAGGGCGTTGCTGCTGATGCGGATTCGTGCACCGCCACATACTCGGGTTCCGTCAGACTCAACCGGGCCAGATCAGAGACTTTTTTGGTTTGTGTCGCGCTGAAGAGCATGGTCTGGCGCTCCTTTGGAAGGTGGTCGAGAATGGCGTCAATGGTCTTTTGGAAGCCCATGTCGAGAATGCGATCGGCCTCATCCATCACCAACAGTTGCAGGTTGTGTGTCTCAAACATCGCAGTCTGATCCAAATGTTGTAGCATCCGACCGGGGGTGCAGACAAGGATATTCATACGGCCCAGTCGATCTTGCTCCTCCCGCAAACTCTTTCCACCGATAACCAGTCCGGCGGAGAACGCATGGTAGCGGCCGACCTTGCGGAGGACTTCGAAGATCTGGATGGCCAATTCGCGGGTTGGCGACAGGATAAGTGCACCCAAGCCATCATATTCGGTCCACTGCTTGCGGTAGAGATTCTCAAGGACGGGGATCAGGAAGGCCAGAGTCTTTCCGCTGCCAGTCTTGGCTGCTCCGAGGATATCGCGGCCCTTCAGGGCATGAGGGATAGCCCGAGATTGAATGTCGGTCAAGACTTTGAAATGAGAAGCCGACAGACCGTTTGCTGTTGGTTCGGAGAGAGGGAGATCGGCGAAGTTTTTGACGGCGGTCTTTAAGTCGAGCTCTTCCACACGCTTGATGAGGGAGGATAATTCCTCTTCGCCCCGTTTGCGCTTCAAGCTCCTTGCAGATTCATGATGAGCCTTGGGAGCTTTCGCACGAGACCCTCGAGCGGGCGCCATTGTGTTGTGAATTTGAGAGCGAGTCAGTCGTGACTTTTTTTTCCCTTCCGCATCTCCAAATCTAATCGCAGCTTTTTTTCTGCCGCTGACTCAGCCGATAAGAGTGCGCAGGTGCCCACCTTGGCTCTCTTATCTCTCGACTCATTACAACGCGAAAAACACTGCTAATAATGGCGAGCGACGACGATCAAGACGTTCTTGACCTGCTGGATCGCGAGGCCTCCGAGTTTAACAAGGTATGTATCATCAAAAGTGGCCTGTCCTAGCTCGCTTGAACGTGATCTGCTAACAACCTCAGGATGCGGAGATCGATCGAATTCGCAAGGCGTTCTCGCTCAATGCGTATGTTTACCCTAAACCGGTTCTTAGAAATGCCGGTCACATATACTGACAATATTATCCCATAGATATGCTGTGCTCGATCTACAGCCCGGTGTGACGGAGAAGGACATCAAGATCCAGTACCGCAAGAAATCGCTCCTTATCCACCCGGACAAAACCAAGAACCCTGCTGCGCCCGATGCTTTCGACCGACTGAAGAAAGCCCAGACCGCGCTTCTGGATGAGAAACAGCGCACTTATCTGGATGAATGCATTGCGGATGCGCGACGACTACTGATGCGCGAACACAAGTACACTGTGGACTCAGAGGAACTCAAGACCCCGGAATTCCAGGTTGAATGGCGAAACAAGGCCACAGAGGTTCTTCTAGAAGAAGAGGCACGACGCCGGCGCCAACTGAAAGCGCGTCTACAAGAGGAAGGACGAGAGCAGCGCAAGGAGGAAGAAGAGATTGAGGCACGCAAGCGAAAGCGAGAGCATGATAAGGCATGGGAGGATACCCGCGAGAATCGTATTGGTAGCTGGCGTGATTGGCAAAAGGACCGCAAGACCACTGATGAGAAGAAGAAAAAGAAGAAGATGAAGGTTCTCGGATGAAGCGCATTCCTTTGCTTTCCGGCGTTTTGGGGGATCCTTGCATAGATCAGGCACTGCTCTTTTGGAGCCATCATTGCTTTTACGGCCGATCTGCTTCTAGCAAAACATTCAAATGCACTCCTCTGGGTATGATAACCCCCTGCTACTATTCTGTGACAATCTCCCCTAATTTCTTGGGCGTATTCCTCATACAGTGAGCATTATCTGCGACAGGTATGATTTCATGAGCCAAACCCGACAAAGACCAGTAAATGTATCGATCGCGGATTCCTGCTATTCGACAACCTGCTCGTTCAGCAACCAGGCTGCAGTCTTTCTAGTTTATTCTATTTTATCTCAGGTAGGAGAGTGGCCATGATAGTCTAGCTCTCCCATTGGTATAGAAGGCACTCATGTTATCGCGCCCCGCGGGAAGCTAGAAGATTCGATGCAGGCACGGACTTGACATATTTGAACATGTCTTCCCCGCAACTCTGGCGGCTGTCATATCCCGCTTTCCAAAAAAGAAAAAGGAACAAGGAAATATTTCAGGGAGACAAATCAGATCCGTGTTTGTCTTCTCCACATGCTATCCGAGGATGCCAGTTATTGAGTAGATCAAGTTCTGGGGCCCGAGATCCCTCTCCGCTTCTTCTCCCCGCCTGGCAAACTACATTCCTTTCTCCCACCACAAGAATGACGGCAGCGATGGCCTCAAGCGGGTCGAAAGATGCTCTGTCACCTCAATTAATTGCCCAGGCACTGGTTCATCTCCAGCCCTTCGAACCCTCATCGTACACCTCGAACTCAGACTCGCCGGCCCCGCGCGGGGCTAATCAAATCGCCTCGGCCCATGTCGCCCACGCGACCGGAGAGCACCAGAGCGCAGCAGCAGAGAGCTATATTGACAATGGCACCAGCGAAGACAGGGGACACACAGAACAATCGATCCCGCGTTTAGAAACGGTAATCGCCCGCATCCACGCTCGCGTGCAGGCCTTCCTCGCCGAGTCCCATCCGCCAGACTCCCTCCTCGCATCAGTGCAGCAACAGACCCGGATATCGCTAGGCGTGGTCGCCGAAGCCCTGAAACGATATGAATTCTCCGAGATATCGCTCTCCTACAACGGCGGGAAGGACTGCCTGGTCCTGCTCATCCTCTTCCTCGCAGGCCTCCACCCCACCAACACCACCCCACAAGACACTCACGCTCCCTCCACCGAACCCGCCTCTCCACCAGCCCTCCAAACCATTCCATCAATCTATGCGCTTCCCCCGGACCCTTTCCAGGAGGTTGAGGACTTTGTCCGCTCGTCCGCAGTAGCATACCACCTCAGTATAACGAAATACACCACTAGCCCGCCTTCCTCGACCCTCCGCTCCAGCTTTGAAGATTACCTGTCACGGCACCCGGATATCCGGGCGATATTCGTCGGAACACGACGAACAGACCCGCACGGGGCGAAGCTGACGCACTTCGATCGGACGGACCACGGGTGGCCCGACTTCATGCGCGTGCACCCGGTGATCGACTGGCAGTATGCGGAGATATGGGCTTTCATCCGGCACTTGGGGTTGAGATACTGTTCGCTGTATGATGATGGGTATACGAGTCTAGGGGGAACGTCGGATACGCTCCCGAATCCGCGGCTTAATAAAGGTAGCCAGTATCTCCCCGCGTATGAGCTGAAGGAGGATTTGGAAGAGAGGCTTGGACGCAATTGATACCCCGGTTCAGTGTGTCTGGTGGGTTTTGTTGGTATTGAACTTTGAGGAATTTGGTTCACGAGCATGTTGACTGCAGTTTGGGAGGCTCAGCGTGCATAAATCTACATTGCCTTGTCTCCTTCCTGGCCAGCCTGAATGGCCCAGTGAACATAGATCATTCTCGTTACTAACTGTCTGATTACACGACATCTATGTTTGTACGAGACTCATAGAAGCTTTATCATATTGGACTGCGCAACCTTGAGAGGTGCGAGTTTCGAGCTGAGCTCCAAATAATGCATCCGTACACATATTGCAAAAGACATGATGCGCCGTATAACTGCAACCGAGACTGAAAAAAGAGAATCAAAAATCAAAAAATCAAAACCCTGCAACACCCAGCGATTTGCCTAGCTCACCATCCGACCGTGTAAGGACACTCGACAGAAAATCCCCAAAAGGTTGAGAAGAGCAACAGGGCACAGAAAACGACAGGAATTGGGTGGCTTTCAAACCCCGCCGAAGCTTTTCTCATAGTAGAAATACCGAATAAGCAACCCGGAATTTTGCAATACATCGAGGTACATCCTGCTGAAAGGTAAGGAATATGAGCAACAAACAGATATTAGAAGAGAAAAGAAAAAGGAAAAAAAAGTTTGTCCAGATGCAGACCCTCACCAGTCTTATCGGAACCTTGACATGCATCTGCTCGCACGGGCATGGGCACTAGGATTAGTATTCGCACTTAATCGCATGAGCGGGGAGAGGAAAGAAGAATTTCTATGTCAGAGTCGTTAAGAGATAGATTATCGAGCTTCATGTTCTCTTTGCGAGGGCTTGACATGTATGAGCGGGGCCCAAAGTCGGGGGAAAGAGGCATAGCTGTCTTAGAAGATCCACCGGAAGTGTCCCCGACAGAGTGGCCGCGGAAATGGTGACGGTACACTGGAGTACGCTCAAGGGCATTGAGGCTGCGTGAAGAAAGCGAATCCTGTCGAGCATCGCTTGGAGGGTTCTTCATCAAGGCATACCTGGAGGAAGTATTAGCACGAACAAATATTGTGTCTTTTTTTTTCACTTTGGAATTTACGTTGGCGAAATGGATGTAGCAGGGGTCCAATTGGAACCGACTCCAGCTGGGGAATTCAAGCTTCCCTGAGAGTTGGGTGGCGTCAAGTGAGAAGAAGTCTGTTTCAGACGCTGCAAGGGCGAAGGCGTAGACCCCTGCACTACTTCGACAGAGTAGTTGTACTCGCCCGCACGGTAGGCACGACGCTCGTTGCTCTGCTGCTTCAGCATCTTTTGCGCCTTCGTATCCGCAAACCGGAGCAATAGCTTGACATCATCTCCCTTGGAGACATTGTGGAACTCGGCCAAGACTCGCTCAGCGATTTCACGGCTTTCGAATCTATTCAGCAGCATCAGCAAGAGTAATGATCTCGATGCTTTTTTCTTTTTAAGAAACAAAGCAAGCAAGCAAGCAAGAAAACCATGGAGGATCGTACCGTGCAAACCCAACTTCCTTGCTGACGCCTGTCTTCTCATCGCGGCTGATTTTCTCGGAAATCACGCGGTAGGGTTCGAAGTGGCGGCGTAAATCCTTGCGAGATATTAGTATGAGGAGAGTCTCGACAGAGATCCATCACTCACAGCTTCCGTCCAGTTGATAGGAATGTTAGTACAGTAAATGTTGGTAGACGCTTTGTCTTCCAAGTCCTTCAGACGAGAGTTGCGGGACTTCTGAGCGAAGCTTGCCTGGTAACCGAGGTAAAAGAACCCACGAATGCAATTTTCGCAGGACTCAAAGTTGTAATACTGAACAAATCCGAACCTGTATAGTACAAGTTTTTAGCAAATGTTATAGAGCTGGACTGGAGGCGAGTGCGGACTACTTACCCTTTACAAAGACCAGTGTCCAGGTCGACGATGGCCTTGCAACGCTCGATTTTTCCGAAGCGAGCGGCATACGCCTGGAGCATCTCATCTGTTGTCTCTGGGAGGAAGCCGCGAATGTAGACGTTCGTGATTCCCTCACGGTTCTCGAGGCATTTGGCCAGGGTTAACTCGGAGGGGTTGGTCCACATGGCTGGCACGGCACGAGGGATAGCAGGCTCCTGTTGGGTGAGAGCCTCCATATCCTGAACAACATAGCCGCTGGTCGTCTTCATCATTTGGAGGGGCAGCGTAAGAGAGCCGAACGAAGGAGCCATTCCTCCGTATGTGTAGCCCGCCATGGAGGTATTTTCCATCGGGGTGATGAAAGGCGAAGGGTAAAAAGACACCTGACTTCCATTTTCAGCTTTCCCTCCTTTCTGAGACTCGGGTGTATTCCAAACATGTTGTTTAGTGTCCTGCGTATCATAGCTCATGTAGTATGGCCACGAATGGTAACTATTTGGAACCATAGAGTTCATATTCTGGAACAGACCAGTTGACATGTATGGGTACTGGCCCATATCAGTCTGACCCGGAACAGACCCAGCCACAAAAGAAGACAGAGGAGCAACATTGCTAAAGATGCCTGCACTTGGGTACAGGAAGAATGGGTTGGAATAAGAGTTGCGGTTTGCAGCGGACCAATCGAGGTTGGCGACGGTGGCTGCATTCTTGTGGCCAAATTTGGGTCGATAGCCATGGAGGTTTAATCCTGAGAACATTGCAGGTACATTGTTTCCACATGCATCACGGCCGGCAGAGGTTGCAGTGCCTGAGGAGTATGCTGATCCGTAAGGAGTTCGAGGGTCATGATGGAATTGGCTGTTCGGGGCATTGGAGCCCTGCCCCGAACTGACAGCACTGGCACTCAGGGAGCCGTGGTGATGCATGACCACAGAATTGATGACTGAGAGGGGGGTCAGTCACTTCGCTCACTTCACTCACCCTTCACAGGGAATGCAGCCTCAAGGTGAATGGCCCAAGAAGATGCTGCAGTAGGGCAACGGGAGCACTCACAAAACGTCAGATCAGGAAATGGTGAATGGATGTGTAAAGATGAGAAGAAGAAAGGATGTTAAGAGGGAAAGAGGAAGAGAGGTGGGAAGGGAAAGAAGGAAAGAGCAGGAAAGGGAAGGGACGATGGAATTTAAAGATGCCTGCGACTGAAGTAGTGAATGAGGGAGGGGAATATGGCCTTGAAATGCAATTCACAAGAAGATTTCCAAAAGAAGAAGCTCTCGATTCGGTCTAGCGAGAACATTCACTCATTCACTCATTCACTACCATCCCATGGGAGCACATTCACTGAGCCTCTGTAGACCCTCACTTGTATCTTTTGGCCGCCACAGCTCTCCACAACCCCACGCACACATGATAGGGAAGCTCCAATAAGCATATAACTTGCAAAGCCCGCAAAGCATGTGCATTCAGAGATGTCATGATCTAATGTTCCTAATCGTTGAACGCATCCGACAAAACCACGAAGAGCATCCCAAATCATTCGAAGCACTGTAAGCACCGTTCTGGAATCCAGGTCTCACTTAGCCTTGTTTTGAAGCCACTGGTAGACCACAGAGAAATCCTTGCCCCGGTGAGCTCCCTCCACCTCCTTGTACACCTCTCGAGCCGGTTCTCCTAAGACAAGCGGTGTCCCCGATTCGGTTGCTGCTGTGAGCGCAAGACGCAGGTCCTTATGCATCAATCTCACCCCAAAGCCACCTTCATACCCGCGAGAGGAAGGGGCAGTCTCAACAACTCCTGGAACAGGGTTGTTGACCTCGGATGGCCAGCAACGGCCGGTGGAAGAATTAATCATCTCCGCGAGCGCCTTGGGTTCCAGCCCCCAGCGCACACCTAGATTCATGGCCTCTGCGGTGGCAATGTTGTTGATTGCGAGAATGTAGTTGTTAGCGAGTTTGCCCGAGACCCCCGAGCCAGGCTCGCCTAGGTGCCATGCTTTCTTCCCCATGAAAGCTAGCACGCCCCGAAGTCGCTCAAGTAGCTCTGGCTGCTGAGAAGCACCGAACATGAAAGACAGCGTACCAGCGCGAGCACCGACTACGCCGCCCGACACGGGAGCGTCAACAAATTGGCCAGCTTGCGCGCGATGAATAGTGCTCGCGATATCCTTCGAAGTGACTGGGTCGATGGTAGATGTGTCAATGAACAAACGCTCCTCTTCTAGTTCCGGAAGCTTGCCGTGCTCGACGATGGATTCATAGACCTCTTTGACATGCTGAGATTCGGGGAGACTGCTAACCATAATCGCCTACACAAGAACGATTATCGCGCTGCGTTGTATACCTCTGCAATGGAACTCACCGATTGCTCTGCAATTTCGCGGGCACTTGAGGCAATCTTGACTTGGTATTCACCGGTTCCTACTCCCAGACTCCGCGCAATTTCCTCGGCCTCTGCGACAAAGCGCTTTGCAGCTTCCTCGTTGACATCACGAACGAGCAATGTATCCGCTGCGGGGATCTTGGCACGGAGGTTTTTGGCCATATTGTACCCTACCTAGTATAAGCTATCTGTTCTCCAGTGTCCAGTAAATCAGCTCCGACATACCCATCTGCCCCAGCCCAACAAACCCCCATGTTGCGTTGCGGTGCAATGTGCTTGAAAAAGCTCGCGTCGAACGCGACGGCCAGCGTCGGCAAGTACCTCGAAAGTGGAGATGGACTCCGCGGGGAAGGGATGAGACCAATCGAGCATTCATCTCTCAAAGACGGAGCGGGAGGGGAATGGAGAGGTGGAATGATGAATCCAAGAGGCCACCAAATGATCATATGTGATATGCAAGTGTGGAAACCCCCATGTAAGGCGGCTTTGAAAGCTTCCACGTCGCCGAGGCTATCCGCGTGCCGAACCAGCCCCGGCTAAACTCTTCGGTTCTACGGCGGAACGATTCCTGGGGATGCGGGGAACGGTCACGTGCATACTACAGTGCAAAAGAATAATCTGGAGATCTTAAGGTGTCAGTAGAAATGAATTATTCCGCCTAGCATGTGACTTGAGATAGAACTATCGAGAGGGGACCGCATTCACAAGATCCCGCTACCAGGTGTCGGGATTCTCTTTGAAATCACCAGAGGGTATCGACAAGCTCTCGAACAGACTTCCAAAGTTGTTTCTCATCCGGGGTCTCGCCGCCAAACGGGAGGCGAGTAGCCCGGGCAGCAATAATATCTGCCTCGCTCTTGCTCACCCCCTGGGCTGTCAGGTCGGTCTTCAACCCAATCTGTTCAATGAGCCCAGTGATTCTTTCAGAGACCAAGTCCGCATCCGCGACATCATCCCCTGACTGCTCTTCTCCAATGAACGGCAAAATAGCTGCAATCGACGCTGCGTTCTGCTTGCTTTCCCTTGCTTTCAGCTTCACTACTGGTGGCAGGCTGATACAGGAAGTGTAGCCGTGACCAATCCCATAGGGCGAGCCCAATGCGTAGCCCAAGGAATGTGACAAGCCAAGGCCGCCCTGGATATTCTGCCCGAAGAAACCTAGGCTGGCATACACTGCTAGGAAGCAAGCAGTGATCGTGTCTTCATTGGTTGGGTTGGCCACATATGCCGGCAGCAAGCGGAACAGCTGAGCGATTGCATTGAGTGCAATCATTTTAGAAGGGATCCAGGTGGCCGATGGATGGTACTGAGTCTCGACTGCATGATCTAAAGCTCGGATGCCCGTCGACAGCCACAAGGTCGGTGGCGTCGGAAGCGCAAACTTAGGATCATAGAAGATATAGCTGACATACAGGTCGGCATGGAACCGAATCCCCTTGACCCCATCCTCCTTGGTAAAGCCAGCGCCGGGCGTGCACTCCCCGGCGGACAATGTTGTTGGGATCGTGATATGTGACAACAGCCTCCCGGTGGCTTCGCGCACCTGGTACACCATATTCTTGGCACTATCCATCGGCGAACCCCCGCCAACACTGATAATTGTATCAATTGATTCATCTTGGGATATAATGGAAGTTGCGTCATCAATCTGGGTCTGCGGAGAATGTGCCTTGATGCCGGCATAAGTACCAGCGTGGTGCTTCGGCGACAGCAGCTCCTCGAGGTCTTTGATGAGGGACGTGCTTGTGGCAAGCGAAGTCCCCGTGATGATGAATGCTTTCGACGTTTCTGATGGCAAGCATGAGAGCAGGTGTAACTTCACTACATCAGATCCGTAGTAGAGTGACTTGAGTTTGTTGGGAACATATTGCCCATAAAGTGGACTGAGAGAGGCCTGCATCTTCCCGATGCCGCCAGTCGACACATTGCGAGGATCTTGATAGGTCATTTTCATAGAACAGGGGGCGTCTGAACTTGAGGATAAGAAACAAAACAACACAAAAGCAAGAGCAGCGTGGTGACTTTTATATCTTGGGACAACGCGATAAGAGGGCCGCAAGAAACTTCCGATCCGCCTGAGCCAACATCCTGGCGAATTAAGGAGGCTAGGCGATCCTGAGGGGCACCTTCCAATGATGGTTACAGGATGTCGATTACTGGAGAAGAGCCAACTATGACGTGGAATACATTCCCACATGGCGGGGGCCAAAACCTTCCAGGGGCCTTAAATCCAACTTACGCACTACGGAGTCAGGGGGGCTGATTGTTCAACTCCACAGCGCGCGTCGTACGCATAAGCCAAGGCCAATATTATGGCTTCCAGGTCCTTCCGGCTTGCCCTACAGATACATGGATCCGTTGGATTTTTTTTTTCTTTTTTCCCTTTGTTCTGTGATACGAGTGTCCTCCACAGCTTTATTGATGGCTCCAGGCCATTTGAGCGTAAGCACAGCCCGCGGTCTCGGCCCACCCCTTTAGCCGCCAGGACTATCACGTTGCATGAAGGCGTGCAAAGAACGTTTAAGTTGGTTATGTTGGCATCCTTCCGTAACACATGACTTGAACTCGGATGCAAGACCCGCTGGTGTACTTTTGCAACCAACACATGCCTCGCGTGGCTCTCCAGAGGTGCAGCACGCATGTACAACATTGGACGGAGTCTGGAATATTCGCTCCGTAGCGCCCACGCCATGCGCCCCGTCAATCCAACAGTTTAGCGGTATAGGCACTAAAGCACCTTGACCCCCCTCGAGGGCTTCGCAACGGAGGGTTGTCGTTCTCAATAGTGGCCAATTTGGATGGTGATTGGGCAAAGACCGCCTCTATCACAGCTGCTAGAGGCAGCTAGTATAGTGTGATATGCAAACGGGCCTTGTTGCTGACGGCTTTGCAGTTGAGCTTCAGACGTCCATATTCACTAGGTCACTAGGCGCTGCCACTATCAACATCATGAGCACACCAACAGTTCGTGGATCCCCTTGCCAATTTGAAATAACTGGCTACTTCAAATCCAACTGGTGCTTTCTTCCGTGGGTCTCACTGATAGCTCGCCACGTTATATGGTATTCTGTTGGTGCAGCTTCTATCGGACCACTGCCAAGAAACAATGTGGTGGTGGGAAGAGTCTCCCTCTCCCAAACCCAGAAAACAGCCCGAGATAGCACGTCCGCCCTCATCTTCATCGCTATAATACTAGGGTTTCAATGAGTCTTCTTCATGGAATCTCGTCATGATTCGTTGTCGAAACCTGTAGCTTTTCGCCTCCATGAAAGACCAAAAGCCCATGACTAATTCCTCTATCCACTGCCCAGGGGTGCTTTCCATCTGTCAGAGAGGGATCGATCGAACAAAGCGCCGAGCGCCTCGCGTCTTTCTTCCTCTTTCGGATCCTCGACTCAGTAGCCATCAATGATTATTCTTGACACAGCTCTGTTCTCTTGTGCGGCTCAGTTCCTTGCCTCAATATCCTTTCCATGAGAAGCCTTCGTAGTAGCAATCATCGTCCATATAGATAATGGTCCATATCATGTAATTCAGAGTAATTCAGACCCTGCATTCCGCATGGTCCTTGGGGCCTGAAGATGTACAACTCATAAACTCAATGCGGGGAATCAAATCTCGCAAAGCGAATGACTCATGCTGATTCTAGAGGCCCGCGCCCTCGACAACCAGCCTCCAATACCATAATATAAGATTCCCAGAGGATCGTTATCATCAACCCCCCCCCCAAAAAAAGAGAAACATTACGTGGAAAGTCCTTCCATACCGCGTTTTGTCCAAACCTCGCACCCGTTCTGCAGCAGCATGAGCGAGATACCAGATACCCAGCAGCTAAAAGCCAACATGAAAAAGGCATACGACGACATTGCCCCCGTTTCCCTCACATGGACAGAATCATCTCACAAGGAGCGTTTGCTGCGTCTTGAGCCGCTTATAGCAACCCTAGAGCCCAAAGAAGACCATCAGGTCAACGTTCTTGAACTTGGCTGCGGTGCAGGAGTACCGTGTACCCAGCTTCTAGCCTCGAAGCCCCACATAAACGTCACAGGCAACGACATCTCCTCGACGCAGATTGCGCTGGCTCGGGAGACGCTGCCCAGCTCCGTCGAGCTGATTGAAGGGGATATGATGGGGTTGGAGTTCAACCCGGAGCAGTTCGATGCCGTGTTGGCGATGTATTCCCTGATTCATCTTCCAAGGGAGGAGCAGCGCGAGATCCTACGTCGGATCCGCACGTGGTTGAAGCCCGGCGGAAGATTTCTCGCTAATTTCAGTGCGGACGGCTTTTTGGGCGCAGTAGATAATTCTTGGCTCGGAGGGAAGGAGGGCGCGGTATTCTGGAGTGGGTGGGGAAGAGAGAAGACGAACGAGATCATGCGGGAGATTGGTTTCGCGCTCGAAGTCGACGAGATAACGGAAAGTGTCGAGGAAGACAGCAATGGCGTTGGAATCAGCGTTCCATTCCATTGGGTCCAAGCCAGGAAATCCAGTTAAGCCTACAGATCGGGGTGAGATACAAATCAAGACACAATGAATTCTATTTCGCGGGGATGGATATCTCAATGTCATGTTGATCGTGATTCAACGCCGATGGTCAAAGCCGATCTACCATTATCCATCATAGAAGTAATTTACAGATACGCAGACGTGCACGAACAGAGCATCATAGTTCGCTCAACAATAGCACGCAAGGGGTATGTAGTCAGGATCTAACGCTTGTAAATGAACAGGGGGATACAGCCTTCCGCAGATCCCACCAGCGACTCAAAAAAAGAAAAAGAGAAAGAGATCGATCAGAACACAATGAAAGCAGAAGTATGGTCTCACACCAGCTATCTCGGCGAAGTGGGGTGACTGGTGGGGCCGTTCAAGTATTCCTCAGGGACCTTAGGAACCCGTGGCGAATTGGCCGTTTGAGCGATAGCTCGATGCTGGGCGCGGAGAAGATCTCGCTGCTTTTCTCTCTCACGATTGTTTGCGGCCCCGCCTGTGAGCCGGCGCATTCCACTCCGGATCATGGATTCCAGGGAGTGACTGTTGCCTCCTTCAGTTGCACTGCGAATCATAGGTGGCATTTGAGGAGGGGGCCCTCTCCTGCCAGATGGGGCATCATCAACGTCCGAGTGAGGCTCCTCGGCCTCGTCGTCAGAGAGGAATGCGGATTCATGGAGTCCCACAGGTGGCGTCATCAGGTGTGAGCTAGGCTGTTGCGTGTGGACGAATAGATTATTCGCGGGGGAGGTAACAGACCGAACATGCGACACGGGTCGAACGGGCTGGGCCAGATTTTGAGGCGGAATGCTTATAGGAGAAGGCATGCCAGGCCCATCAAACCTCAGGTTCGGTGGGCGAGACTCTGCCAGACCATTGTGGAAGGACGAAGTTGAGCCTGTACGAGCGAGTGATTTGCGCAGAATGGGCGCAGTTTGCTGGTCATACAGGTGGGCATTGGTGTCAGCAAAATTGCCCGTGAACCCTCGCAGCATCGAGGGCGCAGGATTCAGGGTCGGAACACTTGGCTCGGTGTCTTCGAAGAAATCATCCAAGCTGTCTAATTTCTGAACAATGTCGCCAATATTTCCGTCCGCTTGCGTGTCGATAGATTTCATAGTATCGGCCCTCAAGTGGAAGAACGAATCATTGTATTCGTCAGCCCGGAACTCTACATCAGGGGTCAAGGTATCTCGGACATTCGAGTCATCCGCCTCGGCGCAAGTATAGAAGACAGCATGAACATTATTGCGGGTCATGCTTGACTGGGTGGCAGGCATTGGAACCGACCAGCCTGAAGGCTCGGGAATTCCGTAAAGACTCTGAATGCGCTCGTACTCCTTACGAATAGCGCGCGAGGAGGTTGCAGACGCCATACTCATCCGCAGATGATGACGCTCCATTGGATTTCCAGACACTGTCATGATGTGGTCCAAGACCTCGAGAGCCTCAGGGCATAGGTTGGTCTGAAGCAGACGGAGCAGCGGGGAAATCAAGTCTGGTCCATGGCAAGTCACCTCACTACGCCGCATATCAACTTCCGGAATCATGACGCAAAGAATCTTCATAATCTTGACTCTGAACCAATCAGTAGTGTTGGTAAGGAGGCCCATAAGGAAGATTAAACAATGAAAATCAAATTGCGGAAAGTAGTACGCCTTGATCTCGGTGACGATGTGATCCAAGAAAGCCCCCTCCGATTTATATTGTTGGTTTGCAAAGCCGATCAGGGACGCAGCAAGGCGAGGGTATCCTTCGTTTTCTGCTGCTCGGGAGAGAAGAACGGCACGCTCGATCGGCTTCGGATCCGTGAATGCCTGCTCAAAGCATTGAAGGAAATGTGGAAGGTTGGCGATAATCGTGAACAAATGCCGAGTTCCATCACCGATGAGTTCATTGTTTGGAAGTGCACTCAAACGATGCAGCAGCTCTAGAGTGCGATTCAATGATTGCGAAGACTTTAAACCCTTGAAAACGAGGTCTTGAAGACCGTCAAACCCGCCCTCCCATTTTGCTGGCTGATGCTCCAGTAATTGCATCACCAAGGCGGGATCGCTCAGGTCCAAGCGGTCCAGGTACTTCTCTAACATCCCTAGAGTTTCCATGAATTCGCTCTCATGGATCGTATTGAGACAAGCACAGGTGGTCCAGAACAGCTGCGGGTAGTGCAAGATATCCGCAGGAGCCAACGAGCTAATGATAATCTTCAAAGTAGTCAAAATTTCCATCGAAAAGGTCTGGTAATCGGTTTCCTCGTCTGCAACCGTGTTCGAAAGCCTAGCGAGCATATCTGCGAGCATTTTGGAATCCAAGGAAGTCGAGATGCAGCGGAAGATTTGGAATGAGCGACACGCTAGATGTCGGACAGGGCATGATGTCGCCCAGCTTAATGCTTCCTTCGCCCAAAGAGTGCCGACATTCTCGTATCCAATACCGAAGAAGTTGACCACTTCGCGAGTCACCGAGGCCATAGATGGGGGCACTCGGCGATCATCCGCTTCTTCTTCTTTGCCCTGGTTTTCCTCATACTCCCACACAACAGCCGGATCGCTCTTACGAATCGATTCAACAAAGTCTTCGATTGACTGGCGAGCTCCAGGCGGCTGGTCATCCTCCAGTTTCGCCGCGATGAGTTCATGGATGAGATGGACAAGCATCTCTCGAGCTTGCTCTTGTACGGTAACGGTATAATGGTCCCAGAGGATCAGAACTACATGCAGTAGCTTAACCACATCATCCATTGAGAGTGTGACAGGAGCCACCATAAGGTCAACAAGGAAGATAAGTGCGACTTGGCCAAGCGAGAGCCCTGCTTGCTTGTTTCCAACCGGGAGGATTGTCGCAAGGTCTGCAACGTAGGGCAAGTTTTGGATATCAGGAGGCGGAGTGAGATCCTTGCGTTCTTGGACCATGTTCTTCGGTACTACCTGGAGCATGAAGAATTCTATCACTTTCGAGCCAGCGGGTGTTCCGGCTAGGAAAACCACGATCTGCTTAGCATACTCCACGAAGTTTTGCTCCTTACGCTCTAAGCAAAGACTGATGATGAAGTCCATGACAAGTTGGACGTTTCCGCCATGGGGACCAGTGGCGAGTGCTTGCCAGAGCGCTTGAACTTGGTTCGGCAGATTAGTACTGCAACGAATGGTTATTTCGAACAGATTTGCTAGCAGCATGTATGATCTGGCGGTTGGGCCACCATTCGGATCCACTTGAAGCTCCATGGTCTGAACCCAAGGGAGATAGCAGCAACCATGTTTCGCTGGCTATCCGCGCGAAGGTTACGGAAATGTAAAGCGAACTCCGAGAATAAAGTAAAAGCAAGATCAGAGTGCTGCTCAGCTAGGCGCTTGGATGTTTCAAACTGGGCCAATTTATAGACGGCAGTAGTCTTATCGGAGATACTGATGTCAAAGTCTTGTAGCCGGGAGTTCTTGAGATGGCGTTCCTCAAGTTTCCGCAACAGCCTATTTGACTTCATCCGTATTTCTCGCTTCTCATTTCCTAGGGTCACCAGTACTGCCCCCAAGATTCTCCAGAACTCAAGTGGGTAGTCCGGATGCTCAATCAGGACTTCGGTCACAACTTCAAAATAGCTTTCGAGGGCCTTGGGTCGCTCAGCCACATAACACATCTCCATCGATCGTTCCATAAGGTATGAGTGCTCCTTGTTATGAATGATAATGTTTTTCAAAGCGAGACGCCCGATAGTATGCCACTTGTCGCTAATGGTGCTGAAGATGATGTCAATCCAGGAGAGCATACGGCCAACATCAAATTGAAGATGAGATCCACTTTCAGTGCTGATACTGATTGGACCAGCACACAGGGAGGCCATCGCGCTTAGGGCGGCCGCGCGGAGATTTTTCTTCTCAATCTCCATAGCAGCGGCAGTGTTGCGTATCTCACCATTCTCTTGTGGTTGTGACAAGGCAAATTTCCGCATGTGATCCTCTCTTTCTGATATCTGAGCCTGGTTTGGCGAATAACCACACCAATCTTCCATCAAAGAGAAAGCGGATTTTCTAGATTCGAATGGAATCCAGCGAGACGGATCCTTCGTCCGATTAACACCTTCAAATAGTTCTTCCATCAAACCGCAATAGTGGAATCTCAAGCGCTGGAACTCCCAATCAGTTTGGACTTCGGCATCACTGAGGAAGATCCTAATATCTCTAGCATATGTGATCAGGTTATTGACAACCCAGTCGTCGTTGTAAACCTCTGGCTCGCGAAGGAAGAAAGAAGTCAGCTTATAGACATGTGTTACTTCAGTCCGAAGTCGGTCAGTCTTCCTATTGCGGCGAGAGCTACTTGGGGTCCGATGGTGGGTGCCAATTCGCATCTTAGCCTCCTCATTGCAGGTGGTTACCGCGTACTGGAGTGACTCCAGAAGAGTACGGTAAAGATTTTTATGGATGGATCCCAGCGCAATCACGATGGCATTGCGGATAGAATCACGCTCCGCGGAGAGAAGAGGGATGACGAACGCGAAAAGACTTCGTGCAGAGCTAATCTTGTCATGGGACTGCTGTCCCTTTGAGGCCTTGCGGGCATGCATTTGAGCATTTGCCAACTGGCTCTGAGACTGTGCGCCAACGTTGGTTACAGTCGTGCAGGCCATAATAAGATACAATTTCCACTGCTCAACCAAGATCTCTCTGCGGTCAAGTTACTGCGGGCCAGTGGGCGGGCCTGGTAGGCATCCACGGGGGAGAATTGAGCGGCCCGCGTGCCATCAGCAAGAGAAGTGATCATCTTGTGCATCTGGACAAGACGAGCACAGACAATTTCTCTTCCAAGCGTAACAGCAAAAGGACATGTCTCGAAGCTGACCCTGATTATGTTTGGGAAAACTTTAGCCCACAGAGTGGAGTCATAAGAGACCTCACTGCTGCACAACTCGATGAGAGTGTTCTGAGAGGCACTCCGCCTTTTACCCTTTTGAATACGACTGCGCTCAGCAACCGTCAATTGTTCATCATTCACATCCAGAATCTGCTGCGAGTCTGCTTCAAGAATTCTAATAATTCTTGTATTTTCCTTCCCAAGAGCACTGTCGAATTCTGTGATCAAGCGCAAGACATTAATAGCAAATGCTCGCACGCGTCTCGACTGCGAGCACAAGAAGAATAAGCCATGGGACTCAATTTCTTCAACATGGGCGAGAACACTTGACAGATCCAGATGTAAAGCTCGGCTACCAGAGTGGGACTTTTCCAGCTGGTCTGACGCCGCGTCCTTGGTCTTCTGCTTGATTTCGTCGATCCATATGCGCAACAGCTCAATGTAAAGCCTAAGGGTAGACTCTATGTGGCCTGGTCCAAGCATTCCTTCATCAGACATGGTGGAATATCTCGCATCAAAATTGAAGATGAACCTAGCGAATCCAATAGTCACCTGCTGAGCATGCGACTGTCGCGCAATTGCCTTTAAAGATTCAGCCGACGATATAGCAATGTTTGATTGCACATGAGCTGTCCCTGTACAAAGCAGGTTGATCAGGGAGTTGAATGGAATATGATCCGACAAGCAACGAGGCAAAGCCTGCACAGCGACATAGAGAAGGTCGTAGAATCCTTGCTTCTGGTCCACTGTATTCATATGGTCATCGCGTCGCCCAAACCCAAACGCCTCAGTTATGGGGGTCTTAGGAGTTGCGGAGCCGAATTTCTCGTCCAGAGCAGCTTGACCACCGAACGTGTTATCGCACAGAATTGTAATCTTTCCGAGCACCTCGCAAAACCTGAGATAGTAGTCTCTGGCGTTGGCACTTAGCCTCGAAGTATTCACCGGACAGGACAAGGCAGGGTCCTGTTTCGGTGCCTTGTTAGCGACTTTCGGCTCGGCAAGCAGTTGAGGGCGGTGGAAGTAGATAGGTTCCAATGTATCTGTGAATGGGTTTGGGAGAGATCCAGTAGGAATAGGAGGGCACATCTGGTCACTTGTCTCTAAATCAGACATAGTAGCTAAGAAAGAACGGATCCCAATGACCATTTTCTCCGGCTCCATCTGCTCTATCTTTACCTCACGGCCGGATAAGAACAGGTCCGAGTTGATGAGGGGGAAAATGATAGTTCTGAAACAAACATCGGGGTGCTTGAAGCCAATCATTCGGATCAAGTGGATCAGAGGGTCAGCGAAGGCAGGCTCAGTGCTGAGATGGGCTCGCCGCCCGGTGGGCAACGCAACTTTGAGTACTTCTTCCACTTTGCGAAGGGCCGTGGTTGGTGAATCGGAGTATCTGAAGAAATAAGTCCAAACCAAACGGCAAATGGCTTGAAGGGCTGGAGCTCGGGTGGGACGGTCCTTAAGTCGTGGGGACAGACTTGATACCATCGAAAGCCATTGGGACGAAAAGGTCTCCTTGGTAGATATGCAAAGTAGCAGCACATTCAAGGAGAAAGCTGCAGGCCAGTGTCGCGGCTTTGTGAGAAGTTGTGTAAGGCGTGGCTGAGTCAAGTCCAGGAATTCCTTCCAACGAGGAAGCGAAAGGTCGCATACTGGATTCGCAGCCACTGGAAGAAGCAATTTCTCAATCACGTAGCAGAAGGCTTGCTTGATCTTCTGGCCATGTGCGTTGACAAACAACCGGGCTAGAGACTTCATGAAATCACAGGCTTTGGTCCAGCTTTCTGGGTTCATCGGAAGGCGAAGATATCTCATCCCTAAAATGAGCAGCTCAGCCTTTGCATCGCCGTCGCGTGAAGGACCTCGAGATGCCTCGTCTTTTTGGTAACGATCAAGCTCCACCAAGAACCGATTAGCGACACTGGTGAAGTTCATTTCGCTCATGATACCCAACAGTTGGCCGTAGATTCTCCAATTTGCCATTCGGAGTGGAGATGCAGATATTTGGTCCGGGTCTACTGTTTTCAACTGCCCAAATACGATATCTTCCAAGCGATCGGCCATGTCCAGTGTGATTGAGGCGAGATCACTCTGATTGAAGATCTCGATCAATACTCTGCAAACCAAGTAGACAGAGACCGTCGCGCGCCTTTCGACCATAGCTATATCATCATGGCGATTATAGAATGCTGTCGATGGAGTTTGTCTTTCCGAAGGGACGTCAGCAGGTGACTGCGTGGGCTCAGTATTGCGACGGAGCAGCGGTCCGTTTTCTGTCATAATAGGCTTAGGAGGCAGCTGAGACTTCCAGTCAGTGGCTTTTGATCACATTGTCCGGAAGCAAACATTTCCACTTTACCGGTTCATTGGTCATTTGCCGAGCGGTGATCGCCGCGTCTCCCTTGCCCTTACGCCATAACATTATGGTATCAATCAATGGCTTTGGTTTTTGTCTCGCGATATGGCCTAGGGCGGATATAAGTTGATCGAAATTGGGGTCTGCACCAGGTCCACAGACTTCCTCCACGGGTGCTTCAGATTCTCCCAGTTTTAAAATAGCTTGATTGATCTTGCTGTCAGCCTGTCCGACAAACTGTTTCCTATCGCGTTAGTCTTATGTATATCTCTCATTCCCTTCTCCATTCCCTGGAGTCATACCGAGTTGAACAGGTGATGTAGCGCGTATTCCCCGACCGTCTTTGATTCCGAATGATGTTTCGAATGAGAGCGACTATGAGAGCGTTCTCGCCGTAATTTGCCGCCGGAATTCATACGTTTGTGCACGAGACTCGCTGGGCTGCCATCGTGTCTCTCGTCCGCATCTGTGTCCTGGATGGTGCTCAACGTTCCTTGCATCCCATAGCCCGAGGTCAGACCTGCTGGACTCGGGTGGCTTCCATGAGGCTCGATTTGATCCATCTTTGTCGGTATTGAAGTATCATCAGGCCCACTACGGCCGAGGGACGCGATGAGCTCTGGGCTCAAAGGGCTCGTGGAAGAGGTTGAGCCAGCGATGCTAGTATTCCGGGAGTGTTGCATGCCGTGGACAATCGAGGTCTGACGATGGTGGCCGTATGAGTTCGACGGTCGCCTTTCCAATCCCACGTCATATCCTGCAGGGCGACCGGTTGAGACATCAGGACTTTTGGAACCGGAGTGGCCGCGACGGGATGGGATGGCTGGAGCAAGAGCTGAAGAATCTGCAGCTCTTCCGCGGACGGCTGAAGATTCACGGCTGTGCATTGGAGTCGATTGTGCGGTTCTTGTCCCCCGGCGATCCGGTAGAGACGTGAGATTGTGATGCGACGCGGACTTAAACTCGTCAAGGGTTAAGGACAGCGTAGGTTGCTGGCCAGGGCCAGTTTTGGCGGAATGAGATGCCACTATGGTGAGAAGAGGATCTCCGTTAGTTAAGTCCAGGACTCGAGAATCAGAGAGGGGATGGCAAGGGTCGCAAGGGAGGGACCGGATGCTCAGGCACAGATGTGCTTACTGGTTCAAGTCAAGTACTCATTGCTGGGTAGACCTTATGCAAGCGACCGGTTTGAGAAGATCAGCAGTGAGCCATTTACCCATTGCAGCTTAATCCATGGTAAGGGGGTGGGTGAGAGGGGGAGGGGTGATTGCTGAAGCGCTCCAAAATCCTGAAGAGCGGATGGCGAGCTTCCTAGATGTTGATAGGGGCGCACGGGGACGCTGATTCTGATTGAATTACTTTTTATTCCCCCCTCCGCTGGCACTCAAAATCTCTACTCAAGTCTATGATAAGGTCAAAAAAGCTGAACTACGAGGTTCTCTGACAATTTCGGATAATTTCATATTTTTTGCATTTTTTGGCTAGTTCCACGCCCAAGGAATTAGGCGCTACTAGCAGCGGTCGTGTTCCTCGGCCGTCACAGCAAGAGGCACCACGTACGACTTGGACATGCATACTGTCAGGCACCGATGGTGATATTTCCTAGGTACGTACCGAAGTAAGGCCAAGGTTCATGCTCGATCCCCCCAGGAGTCTACTAATCATGTTCATTGCACTGCGTCGAAATGGGGAGAGTAAGCCAATCAGAGTTGTAGATGATGCAGGTTCACGGTGGCAAAACATCAATGCCCGTCGGCGGTTGAGGGGTCCACAAAGATCTGCAGGTACATTTTTGCAAGATCAGGCTATTCCCTAGGGCCTAGCTCAGAATCGAACTGCATTTGCCATAAGTACAGAAGGTTGGCGGGTTCTCTGGAACACAAACCAGGAACTCGTGGAGTCGCATGCTTTGATGTACATCGACCGTTGCAGTGGGGGGACGCGCACATTAGATCGAAAGTACCTGCTTCACTTTACTGCCTAGCTTAGCCAACAACATCCATTTTCGAGCTCAGGTCTAGATATTCAGGTCTAAGTTGACTCGAAGTATTGTAATGTCTCCTATGTATATATCATCCATACTAGTAATAGCATGATCTCCCTCAAGTTCAGAATCCGATCCGAGTCTTGAAGTTGAATTCTTAGTTTCTAAATTATCATAAACCCGAAAGCCACTGGGAGAGAGAACATGCCAGCTATTATGGGCGAAATTACCTGTTATAGTCTCTCACCTAGGCATCCCAAGACCAACCTGTAAGTTGTTGGATTCGAAAGTTGATAGGACAAAGTATCAGCCTCACAGCTGAGGAGGGCGCAGTCCGTGCCCCAGAAATGAGGATGCGGGGTATTTGTGTGAGTGTTTTAGAACCTTTCTTCTGTCATATGAAACTCGTCAGATACTTCCCAAGAAAGTGACCTATCAGTATCCAGAATTTTGGGTTTCACATGTATGAACTGGAATATGCCCACGGAATCCAATTCGATCGCCTTTCTCAGGCCCCCGCAGCGTAGGGGTATGTGGAATGCTATGAAACATGTGATGAGACCAGTACGTTGAGACGTAGCCTGCTGAGCAGCTCCTTATCGAGTAATGAGGAGGTTCTTGGGTACCCAGGATAGGTTTTTGCCAGAAATCCGAGTCCATGAATAGGCCACGTGGGATTTCCCGTATCTCCTAACGGTGCCAATTGTGCGTGATTGAGATGCTCCTAGTAGGAATTACACACTATATCAATGGAGTTTGGAGCCCCAAAAATCTCTTAGCAGGGTAGGATACCAGTATATGCACAGAAGACCTAGCTAAGGGAATACGGCCGCGTGCCGCGGAATATCCCGCGCTGAGCACAACTTGAAGGCGGAAGACGATCTCCGCAATCTTCACGGTCCTTCGGCAGAGAAGAGGGACTGGGCGCCTTTTCTTATAATCCCGGCGCGTTCGCGCTTGAGCGGCAAGAGACTTCACGACCCCATGCGAAGCCAAAGTCCCGGGCGGTCGTGCCGAGGTGGTTACCCGAGGCCCGCGCGGGTAGCTTTTGGCCAAGGGCTTTTGGGGCCACGGGCCTATTTTGCGGGACTCGAACCCAACACTCACTAGATTTCCGGACTGGGCAATTTTATGGAGTTCTTCCGGGCTGTAGATTTGATTCCCGAGTTCCAATATAATGGAGATAGATCATGGAGGATAGCACACGACCCGACTCTAGCATCCGTGTACTCCACCAAATACATGCATAAGTAGTGCATAAGTACGGAGTACTCCGTAGTGGCCATCCTATCCGGAGTATTACGCAGGGATTGTGGTTGACACCGGCGTTATACCATACATTTGCGGGCTCGGGAGGCTTGGGGCGACTGGGGTATATATACGAGACCTCCGGAATCCAACTTGGGCCGATTTCCAGACTTCACTAATCTGGAATCACGGCTTCTGACAGGCTTCTGACATTCCTTCAGACATCTTTCCAATTCAAGTTAGGGGACAAACACGGCATCGGAGGAAAATAGTGAGCATATCGAGTTTATCACACCCCACAAAGCGACCTGTCGGTGAGGTGTGTTCCTCTGCGACTTAAGGCGCTCCACTTTTGCGACCGCGCCCGCAGAAGCCTTGGTCAGACCACTTTGCCTCTTCCTTCTCCCTCCAGGGGTCTCGACACCAAGAATCTTTGGGAGGCTAATTTGCTGGCTTATTTGCTGGTTACCTCGTTTCCTTTTCCTTTCTGTCCTTCTCTCTTTTGGTCTGGATATCTGAGTTCGCCCCCCCTTCCGCTTGGAAACCCTCCTCTCCTTTCCGTCGGGATTCTCCCACCATGGCGCAACTCGATACTCTCGACCTGGTCGTCCTGGTGGCCCTCCTGGTGGGTAGCATTGCCTACTTCACCAAGGGGACCTACTGGGCTGTACCTAAAGATCCATATGCCTCATCCGCCCCGCTGAACGGCGTCGCCAAGAGTGGCAAGACTCGTAACATCCTGGAGAAGATGGATGAGACGGGCAAGAACTGTGTGATCTTCTATGGTTCGCAGACCGGTACCGCCGAGGATTATGCTTCACGTCTGGCAAAGGAGGGCTCTCAGCGCTTTGGTTTGAAGACCATGGTCGCCGACATCGAGGACTACGACTACGATAACCTGGACCAATTCCCTGAGGACAAGGTCGCCTTTTTCGTTTTAGCCACCTACGGCGAGGGTGAACCCACAGACAACGCCGTCGAGTTCTACCAGTTTCTCACCGGAGACGACGTTGCCTTCGAGAGCGGTGCCTCTGCCGATGCTTCCCCTCTTTCGTCCCTGAAATATGTTGCATTTGGTCTTGGTAACAACACTTACGAGCACTACAACGCTATGGTTCGTCAGGTTGATGCTGCTCTCACTAGGCTGGGTGCCACTCGCATTGGCTCCGCTGGTGAGGGTGACGATGGTGCCGGCACCATGGAGGAGGACTTCCTGGCTTGGAAGGAGCCCATGTGGACTGCCCTGTCGGAGTCGCTGGGTCTCCAGGAACGCGAATCTGTCTACGAACCGGTCTTTAACATTCTCGAGGAAGATGACAAGTCCCCCGACGACGAGTCTGTCTACCTCGGAGAGCCCACTGCTGCCCACCGTGAAGGCCGTGCCAAGGGCCTTACTCTGCCCAGAACCCGTTCATTGCCCCGATTGTCGAATCCAAGGAATTATTCACCGTCAAGGACCGAAACTGCCTGCACATGGAGATTAGCATCGCTGATAGCAACCTGAGCTACCAGACCGGTGACCACATCGCGATTTGGCCCACTAACGCCGGGCTTGAGGTTGATCGATTCCTTCAGGTTTTTGGTCTTGCGGACAAGCGTGACACTGTCATCAGCATCAAGGGGATTGATGTCACCGCCAAGGTTCCCATCCCAACGCCGACCACCTACGATGCCGCCGTCCGATACTACATGGAAGTTTGCGCTCCTGTGTCCCGTCAATTCGTGTCTAGTCTGGCTGCATTCGCTCCCGACGAGCAGAGCAAGGCCGAGCTTGTGCGTCTGGGCAGCGACAAGGACTATTTCCATGAGAAGATCTCCGAGAAGTGTTTCAACATTGCCCAGGCTTTGCAGAGTATTACATCTCAGACTTTCTCCGCCGTCCCGTTCTCGCTGCTTATTGAGGGTCTGAACAAGCTCCAACCTCGTTACTACTCCATCTCCTCCTCTTCTCTGGTTCAAAAGGACAAGATCAGCATTACCGCTGTCGTTGAGTCTGTTCGCCTGCCCGGTGCCTCGCACGTCGTCAAGGGTGTTACTACCAACTACCTCTTGGCGCTTAAGCAGAAGCAGAACGGCGAGCCCAACCCTGACCCTCACGGGTTGACTTACTCGATTAATGGCCCCCGCAACAAGTACGATGGTATTCACGTCCCGGTTCACGTCCGTCACTCGAACTTCAAGCTGCCCTCCGACCCCGCCAAGCCTATCATCATGGTCGGCCCTGGTACTGGTGTTGCTCCTTTCCGTGGTTTCATTCAGGAACGTGCTGCTCTCGCTGCCAAGGGCGAGAAGGTTGGCACCACTGTTCTATTCTTCGGATGCCGTAAGCAGGACGAGGATTTCATCTACCAGGATGAATTTAAGGTACGTGACTCTTGCAGTTTATTGGACTGGAACTTACTTGCCTGATTACTAACTTCCTGGAAAGAAATACCAAGAGCAAATGGGTGACTCTCTTAAGATCATCACTGCCTTCTCCCGTGAGGGTCCTCAGAAGGTGTACGTGCAGCACCGCTTGAAGGAGAACGCTCCCTTTGTCAGCGATTTGCTGAAGAACAAGGCCAACTTCTACGTCTGTGGTGACGCCGCAAACATGGCTCGCGAGGTCAACGTCGTGCTTGGACACATCATCGCCGAACAGCGTGGCATGCCCGCTGAGAAGGGCGAGGAGATGGTCAAGCACATGCGGAGCAGCGGCAGCTACCAGGAGGATGTCTGGTCATGAGTCACGATCTTGCTTATTTCCCGTCCTTTTTGTGAGGCTACTCGCCAGTGCTGCTCCTTTCATATTACTCTCCACGTCTAGATGATGCAGCATATATATTTGGCTTGGTTTTTATGATTCATGAGCTCCGCCACACATGTTTCTATCTTGGCGAGCTATTCTTTCTTTTTGTATTGATTTCTCATATCCCTATTCTGCTATATTCATTTTATGGCTCCTTGTTTCCTGCAAGCCTTCTGATTGCTCAGGTCACCTTGGAAAGCTTTTCATATTCTGCGGATTGGGAGCGGTTGCTCGGTACGGTGAAATAGGTGAACTCTAGACTACGTTGGAATCTATCAGAGAAGAAAAATTTAATTTAGTATCTATCTTCCCTTTATCCTAACCGCAATCCTCGTATCACACCGCAAGCCTACTGCTAGGACCTTCTGGGTAGCCAGTCTGTTTAAATAGGCGGAGTACTACTCCAGACCTCGACAGTGTTGATCTCAACCTGTTTTCGGCAGTAAGCGCGGATTTAAGTCGTCATTGGCACCGCCCGGCAAGACGACCTCCAAGACAAACCCGCAGACATTGACTCGGGAAATGAGCCATCACCAACCCGGCACTTGAATCATCCTACTATTTCTCACTCTGCCCAGCAGTACAGCTTCTCGGCACCATCGATCCAGCCATTAAGCAGCAGCCCCCCGCATCCGGACCCTCGGCCCCGGCGAATCGTGAACAGCCCGCGCCCACCAGACCAGCATGGCGTACGTGGTGCCCATCCACCGGGCCAGCGGAATCCGACACGCCGTAAAGCTGAACTTCATTGCCGCAGAAGAAGACTGTCTGGTAGCAGCGTAAGTGGAATCCGCAAACCCGCAAACCCGCAAACCCGCAAGCTAAGAGCCTCCAGAAAAGCGAATCGCCTTGAATTCTACACCCTCACCCCCGATGGCCTTACACTCACCGCTACTCGGGAACTATATGCGCAGGTGACGATGCTCGCGCGGCTGCCCGCTCCGGCTCATTCGACGACAGACCACCTCTTTGTCGGAACGGACCAGTATTCATATTTCACCCTGGCATGGGATGCGGAGGAACGCGCTGTGACGACGGCGCGTAGTTTCGTCGATATTTCGGAGCCGTCGTCCCGGGAATCGCAATCGAATCCACGATGCCTGGTTGATCCCACCGGCCGGTTCATGACGGTGGAGGTGTACGAGGGCGTGATCGTGGTAATACCGATTGTGGAGGCGACAAAGCGGAGGGGTCGCGTGTCGCAGGCGGCGCAGCAAGCGGATGCACCGCACGTGGGCGAGCTGGGGGAGCCGACGGCATCGAGAATCGACGAGTTGTTTGTTCGGTCGTCTGCTTTCTTGCATTCTAGCTCGAATCAGCCGTGGCTGGCGCTGCTGTATGAGGACAATCAGAAGAAAGTGCGGTTACGGATTCGAGAGCTGGAGTACAGTCGGGCTACGTCGAGTGGACCGGCGGATGCTACTTTTAAGGAGGTGCAGGACAAGAAGCTTGAAGGAGGCGTCTTTGGGCATGAGCTGGATCTGGGATCTTCACATCTGATTCCTATCCCTGCGCCACTAGGTATGTTGGTTATTTCTGAGTGTCTTCAGTTCATAGTACGGTGGGCTCGCCCGACTGACATATCAAGGTGGGCTTATTGTCCTGGGCGAAACGTCAATCAAGTACATTGATGATAATGCGAATGATGTGATCTCCCGGGAGCTTGACGAGGCAACGATCTTCGTGGCCTGGGAGAAGGTCGACAGTCAACGATGGCTTCTAGCTGATGACTACGGCCGACTATTTTTCCTTATGTTTATCCTCGACCATCTCGGCAATGTCGAGGATTGGAAGCTAGACTACCTCGGTAGTACCTCTCGCGCATCAGTCCTAGTTTATCTCGGCGGGGGGCGTCTTATTCGTTGGTTCTCACCAAGGTGATTCCCAGGTCCTTCGAATTAGCGATGGCTCGTTCGAGGTCATCCAAACATTGTCCAACATAGCGCCCATTCTCGACTTTACTGTCATGGATCTGGGTAGCCGCTCAAATGAGAGCCAGACACATGAGTTCTCATCCGGCCAGGCACGGGTAGTAACTGGGTCTGGTGCCTTTGAAGATGGAACCTTGCGCAGTGTTCGTAGTGGAGTTGGCATGGAGGAGCTTGGTGTCCTAGGGGAGATGGATCATATCACAGATCTATGGGGATTGCAGTCCCAATCAGCCGGGTCATTTATGGATACTCTTCTTGTCACCTTTGTGGATGAAACACGCGTGTTCCGCTTCAGCCCTGACGGTGAAGTTGAGGAGCTAGACAATTTCCTGGGGCTCTCCTTGGATGAGAATACTCTTCTAGCAGCGAACTTGCCGGGAGGTCGAATCCTACAAGTGACTGAGAAGAGGGCCATGATAGCCGAAGTGGAGAGTGGCATGGTTACCTTTGAGTGGGCACCTTCTACAGAAAACACCATCACTGCGGCCTCGGCCAACGATGAAAACTTAGTTCTTGTCATTGGGGGCCAGGTGTTGGCATCCTTTGATATTCGGAGTAGTGCGCAGATTATCACAGAGAAGGACTTCGGCCACGATCAGCAAATCTCGGGCGTGACAGTTCCATACAAGCCCTCAGGGATCTGTATTGCAGGGTTCCCCCAGTCGGCCAAGGTGTCTGTTTTGGACATAGATGGGTTCTCCGAGCTTCAGACAAAGTCCTTAGGCCCACCGGGCGAAGCGTTCCCCCGACTTGTCCTTGTGGCCGATGTCCTTGCTGATAGCCCACCTACGCTTTTCATTTCCATGGCCGATGGCAGTGTCATCACTTTCTCCTTTAACCCGCAAGACTACTCTCTCACGGGTATGAACAAGCTGATCCTCGGATCGGAGCAGCCAAGTTTCAAGACACTTCCCAGGGGAGACGGGCTGTACAACGTTTTCGCTACTTGCGAAAACCCAAGTCTGATTTATGGCTCTGAGGGCCGAATCATTTACTCAGCAGTCAACTCCGAAGGCGCCTCTCGCATTTGCCACTTAAATGCTGAAGCATATCCCGAATCGGTTGCCGTGGCCACTGCGCGGGACCTTAAAATTGCATTGGTGGACAAGGAACGAACTACGCAGATCCAGACGCTTCCCATGGGATCGACTGTCCGCCGCGTCGCCTACTCTCCGTCCGAAAAGGCATTTGGAATTGGAACAATCGATCGTAAGCTGGAAGACGGCGTCGAAATCGTCAAAAGTCAGTTTGTGCTGGCCGACGAAATCTTGTTCCGACGCTTGGATACGTTCGACCTTCAACCGGAAGAATTGATTGAAAGTGTCATCCGTGCTGAGTTCCCAGCCGGGAAAGATGAAAGTGGAAGAGACACTGTCAAGGACCGCTTCATCATCGGCACGGCCTACCTTGACGAGGAAAAGGACAAAAATGATGAATCAATACGTGGCCGAATACTGGTCCTTGAAGTTGACCATGGGCGCAAGTTGACCCAGGTCGCTGAACAGCTGGTCAAGGGTGCATGCCGAGCTCTGGCCACCCTGGGCGACAAGATCGTTGCCGCACTAGTGAAGACTGTAAGTGTCCACCTGGGTCTTTTTTATTCTGGCTATTTCAAGATGAAGCTAACTCGGTATCGTAGGTGGTCGTTTACAAGGTGCTCAACAATGACTTTGGGTCTATGAATATTGAGAAGCTTGCAACCTACCGGACCTCAACGGCACCAGTTGATCTGACCGTGGTTGACGACGTCATAGTGGTAGCAGATCTCATGAAGAGCGTTTGTCTTGTGAAGTTTGTTCCTGGCAAAGACGGAACTCAAGATAAACTGGAGGAGATTGGCCGACACTACCAGACAGTCTGGAGCACGGCCGTCGCTTCTTTAGACGAGAACACCCTTCTTCTGAGCGAGGCCCAAGGCAATGTTATTGTACTGTCACGTAACACACAAGGCGTGACTGATCAAGATAAACGCCGGCTGATCCCAACAAGCGAGATTTGCTTAGGAGAAATGGTCAACCGCATTCGCCCCATTCAAATCCCCCAGCTGGCAACCGTGACAGTGACACCACGGGCTTTTATGGCAACTGTACGCTCTTCCAAGTCTCCTTGTTTCCCGTTCGAAAGTTTACATACTAACCGATCTTCCGTCCTGCAGGTGGAGGGATCCATTTACCTCTTCGCGCTCATTAATCCAGATCACCAAGACTTCTTAATGACCCTTCAGACAGTGATTGCCGAAAAGGTGGAATCACTCGGAGATCTGCCATTCAACAGTTTCCGCGCATTCCGCACTCTCACACGTACAGCGGATGCGCCCTACCGATTTGTCGATGGCGAGTTGATCGAAAGGTTCTTGACCTGCGAGCCAGATCTCCAAGAAGAGATTGTGACAGAGGTAGGATCTGGCAATGTAGAGGATGTGAAGGGCATGATCGAGGCCTTGCGACGGTTACATTGATTTTCAGCTTAGGTCTGGCACGAAGGAATGCAAAATGTCACGTCTATCTACGAATATTTAATGTGCATCCATAGAGCGACGTGCGAAGGTTTGACGGTGGCAGCCGCACTTAGCGAAGTCCAGAAAGCTTCTAATTACCTTAAACAGCCTTAGAGGAACAGATCGAGTATTTCCACTGTAAAAATAAAGCCTAGCAGCGCCAGGTGGGTCCAGCGTAGCATCTGTGCGTGCGGCCGAGGCTAGTGGGAGGCCTGGACATGGATTGCGTAACCTGTCAGACGTAACTATCTAGGGTATAGAGTTGGCAGAATCTCGTATGTGGTATTGATATCACTTCCGAGTCTTCTCCAGCTCTGCTTGTTTCTGACTCGTGGGATTTCGGCCAATGGTCGCAATACAAGGAGTTGCAAGCAAATTTAATTGCAGCACTAGGGTTGACCGGCGCTTCTGTGTTAGCTCAGGGCCTTGGAAAGTGGCAGAGATAGCAGATATAATGTTGCCCAGTCGACGTCCATGTCGAATGCTTTTCCCCTCTGGCACGGACGGAATCGCTTTTGTTCAGGCTCAGCAATACGGGGCAATCGTCGGCGCTACGACAGTTTGGTCTTCTCTGATCTTGATGTATTTCGGCCCAGATGCACACTAGTTACAGATTCGAGCGCGATCAATTCAATAGATGGGAATCCCCTAAGCTCAACAAGGAGTAGAGGTGCAAGATTCAATATTTTGCACATTTCCTTCGACTAGATCTTTGCAAGGTCACCACCTTCTTTAACCTTCGTGATCCTATAGCCCCATCGAGGGACATGGACCCGGAATTCAGTACCGCTGTTCAACTGCTTGGTGATGACAGCTTCATAAGGCGTCAAGGTCAGTAACTTTCCTCTATCCTTGTGGGAAAATCCGTAGTCAGTCGGGTACACCTCCACAAGTTCTCCACGACTTAACCCCAAGGGGTCATTCTCATCCACATTGGCACTTGGTTCGGCATACTGAGCACTTTCCATGTACTCCACGACATCTTTCCCCTTGATATCCACTGATACCGACTGTGCCGACTTGATATCTTTGATCACGGCGTTGAACCGAGAGGCCCACGAGAAGACTCTTGGGAATGTCTTTGCAGAAATCGCATCTGGGAGGGCGCCTGGCATACCCATCACCCAGGCAAAGGGCCACAGTGCTAGACTGAATTAGCAGGTACTCGAAGATAAGACTCGAGGAACCAACCTTCAATATCACCCAGACTTGGGCGATTGCCACCGAAAACCCACATTCTACCATCGGCCAGGATCGTGTTCTCCAAGATGTCAAAGCAATCTCTCATCGCGACAATAGCTTCAGGCCGCATGCGTTTTCTCGCTTCACCAGCAAGAATTTTCATACCACCGTCGTTCCTATCCTTGATGAACTTGGGATCGCGCATCGCTGGCGAATCTGCAGGGATCATCTGCGCGGCTATGCCGAAGACCGACCCATTCGTTGTCCATCGGTCCAACAGCTTCTGGATCAAACGATGCTCCGGCGTGCGAGGGCTGAGTTCACTCCCCGGGAAGAGGGTCTCAAGCTTGGAGAGGATATGACGGCTGTCAAGGTAGATGTCCTTGCCAATGCTCAAAATAGGGATGCGCCGGTATTCAACGTTCAAGGCTTTCAGGTCAGGGCGAGGAAGCATATGCGGTTGGATCTAAAGCCAAGTTAGTTTGATGTAGGGGACAACACAATATGATCCAAATAGGCATACACATGAAGCAAATTTGATTCCCCGCAGGAGGAGATACCAATATATCCGATAGGCGTACGGAGAAAACGGATACCAGTAGAGGACGATATCGTTCGGGATTTCCGGCGCCATGGCTGGGGTTTCGAACGACAGGCTGGACAGTAGGTTTGAGGATTCAGTTAGAAGAGAAATCTCCCGAACATTATCAGATGAGCCAAAGAGGGCCACTTGGTCCCCGCACCGCCGAGAGGAGGTTGAGCCGAGGCGAAACGTCGAGTTAACTCGGCCCGACCATATTATCGCATGCATCATCGCACTGACCAAACCTAGTCAATTGCTGGACAGATAAGCTACTTCCTCTCGAATAATCTTCTTGGCGGATTCAATATGTTGAGCCACCAAATGCTAACCACTCCAGTCTACAGACGAGGCCATTCGATATGCAATTGCCCAGGTGGCAGATAGATAGCCATACGTGAGAAAGATATCAGGATAATTATGAGACCCACTGAGTCTATTGTACAGATATTTTTGACATGATTAGCTAAACTATATGCAGGATTAGGAGTACAGGGCCAGTTCATGTAGCATGAAGACTAGCTACGTGCCCTTCAGGTCAGCCCTGTCTACCTTTCATTTCTCGTCATCGCTCCAATCCAGCAACTGCATCATCTGGTCCTCCGTCATGTTCTCCGCGCGCTTTCCGTTCTGCTTGTTGATGCTCTTCAGATACTTCTTCTGGCGCTTGCGTGCCATAGCGCTCCACTCGGGGACACCGCTGGCATGGGGCAAAACATCCTCCTCATCCTCCTCAACCTCCTCATCCTCCTCAACCTCCTCATCGGAGCCGTCAACTTCGCCCAGGACCTTCCCACTGCTGCCACCGCCACGGAGGGCGTTGGCAGAGATCTTGGCCTTGCCAGCAAATTCGGCCCTCTCCTTTTCCTTCTTCGCCTTCTCTTTCTTCTTGGAACGGTCGTACATCCATTGGAAAAGCTTGTGAATGTAAGGGCGGATGAGCAAATAGAAAATCACAACACCAATGACCTTGGTCCACCGGCCCGCGTTCACCGTGGCGAAAGAGTTGTAAAAGTTGCGACCGAAGCGGCGAGCATACTCCCCGACGAATCCAAAGGTTTGTATGAGAAACTCATTGGCAGCGTCAGCAGCAGCGTCGCTGAGATCGGGCTTTTGGGCCTGGTTATTCGACATGGCGGCGATTGATTCTTCTGCCGGCGAGAAGTTGGTGGCGCGAGTCTATGACAGGATGGACGCGTAATCGGACCGAGCAGGAAAGGAGGAGGCGGCCCAGAGGACAGGCACACGGCCAGAGAAGGTTGTATTAAGCGGTGCAGCAGCGCAATTGACCACGAAGCCCACTGATCTGAGAATTTGACAAGCTCGAAATAAAATCGCGCTTTTTCCACTTTCTATGCGGAAGGAACGGCATACGCGGATGATTGTTTCCCCGGGGCGCGCCGTGAGCCAATCAGTAATCAGTGTTTGACGTCCGGGTACATCCTCCCATCTCGGCCCAATTTAAGAAATATCGGATGCATAGTATCCACATATATACTACAAGCTACTGAACGAAACAAGGCAGCTCTTATAGTACGAGCTCAAGCCTGAATGGAGACTACTGGAGAATGCACAAGCCCAAGTAGATGCCGTAATTGATTTGGTATACCGTCAATTCGGGCCCATTGATGCTCTTGTCGACAATGCAGGGACTTTGTCCGTCACTAGCAAGATTACAGATATCGATATTGATGAAGCATGGGTGGCATTCGCAGTCAACCCTAAAAGGAGCATACTGGTGGCTCAGGCGTTCGTTGTGTAAAATTGGCAGACTTGGCAAGTGCGGATCAACGATTTGGCCGACGCGTCTGCGGGACCGATCAACCGATTTTGCGGCGCGTTTCCAACACCTTAACTCTCAACAATCGAACCATGGCACCAACCACACAAGAACCAAGCTTGGAAGAGGTGAGGCATATTGAGGTGGGTGAGCTGAGTCCTGCTGACAGATTGTGATAGCGCATGAAAGCCGCTCTGTGGTTCTACGTTGGCAAGATTGTCGACGAGGAAACCTTGAGGCTCGGTACAACTGCCACGAACCAGTTTACCGCGGGTCTCACAGAGATCGTATGGGCTCAGATCGGTAAGGAAATGACTTTCATGGGTTGTGACTGTTGCTTGTCTCTAGAGCGAGAATGTCGTCAGCCCTACGTGGCTCCCTTACGGTGAGGCTAACATCTATCTAGAAGGCGCTAGCTTGGACATCGAGGCGTTTGCCAAGTGAGCCAACCCCAGTAACAATTGGATTTGCAACCGGACACCGCTTTTCCTGTTCTCCCTTGTCCGGAACCAACTGTTACAACGGATGCTAACCGGGATTTCCTGTTTAGGCATGCCGGACGCTCGACAGTCCAAACGTCAGATGTTCTGATGCTTGGTCGTCGTAACGAGGGATTAGATCAGATCCTTCGCGCATTCGTGGAAAGCCAAGAGACACAGCGCCAAGAAGGCCTTGAGAATGAGTCTTGAGCTCCTTGAATGGCGGATTTGACAGCCGGTTATTCCAACATGACTCTGCATTGTTCCGGTGTGGTATCTACGCACCCTTGCATTCATCTCCACGCTGGCCTCTCATTGGTGGGATCTTTTAAGGTCTCCCGGGGTGCGACAACTCATGATGTATGAACTTAATACTGATTTCTTTTGTTGCGGTATACCTTAACGTTTATTTTATGTCACAACGGTGCAACCACAATCCGTGGAACCAATCACCTGGCACGCCCTTACTGATTTCGAATATTCCACCATATGCGAGCTGGATCTCGTGCCTGCGAATCCTGATGATCATACGGTACCCCGGTCAGGCTCGACGCCACCCCGGCCGGCCCCAGGTTCATACCCCCGTCAGAACGAACACTCGGCAGTGTGAGCCCCCCCCCCCCCACTACCTCTTATCGAAGCGTCGTCACTGAGGCTGGGCATTGACATTCAAGTTGGGGCTTGATATTGGAATACGCCACTGGAAGGTGCGGCATCCTTGTATGAAATCTAGAAATATACCTATGATTCCAGCGAATAGGATGCGTTCCCTGGACAGTTGCCCTTATCTGCTGCTTTCCTCTGGTTCATGTAGCCCATCCCAACCTGCTTGTCCATAGGTCCTGACCTTGTTCCAAGACTGGTGCTTCTTCCAAGGTTCCATTCACGACATGATAGATGACGTCGAGAATGAATCAACTGCAAAGTGTCTTTTCAGATATAAATTCTTCCTGGGAGTATCTACCCAGATCGCATAATCTCCATCATACTCAGTAATCTTAATGCGACTTGAGGTTGTGTCCAGTTAAGTGGCATTGTCTCCTAGAAAGTTATTCTGATTGCCCAAGTGCTACTTCGGCCCGTCAGCGGTCGCCACAATCACCCTCGCTGGCTTCGAATCTTATAACCAGTCGAACCAACACAGTCGCTCAAACGACGGCACGTGCCGAATAATCAACCAAAAGCAATCGATGGATGCAGAGTTCAATTCTGGATCCAAGCAAACAACATCATGATGTCGAATATTACTTCTCCGACGACAGAGAAAACGCTCCATACTACGCTGAAGAGCCCGCCATTTATGGAATCCGTGCGATTCCATGGACCGAGTGACATTCGCGTGGATCAGGTTGAAGAGCCGACATGCGGAAGAGGCCAAGTGAAGGTACATCTAAATTCTTCTGTTTGCTCTGAACGAGCTTCATACTGACGTTCAAATGCAAAGATGAAACCCGCATACGTTGGGATTTGTGGCAGTGGTAGGTCTTAGAACCCACTTTACCCACTGAGAGCAGCTTCTGACAGTAATAGACCTACATGAATACACCAGCGGTCCTGTCCTAATCCCACAGGAGCCGCACCATATCACGGGCTCAACCTATCCAGCTCCAATGGGCCATGAGTTCGGCGGCATCATTGAAGAAGTAGGAGAGGGCGTTACCAATGTCCTTCCTGGCCAGCGGGCGGTGGTACGGCCAACGATTTACGACGATACCTGCATTGCGTGCAAGCAAGGCTTGCGGCATTGCTGTGAGAACATCGGGTTCATTGGACTCAGCGGTAAGTACACAAGTTCAATTCCTGCTGCTTGGTCAGAGTAGGTTTTGATAAAATCCCAGGATACGGGGGCGGTATGTCGAGGAAGATCGTGGCACCAGCAAGCCACTTCTACCCAATTCCAGACAACGTCTCCCTTGAGACCGCCGCCCTGATCGAGCCCCTCGCAGTAGCCTGGCACGCGGTGGATGCCTCCCCCTTTAAAGCAGGCGACTCGGTGCTTGTAGTCGGGGGCGGGCCTATCGGGATCGGCGTGGTGCAGGTGCTGAAGCTGCAAGGCGCAAAGAATATTTTTGTGGCCGAGCTCATGGAGAGCCGGAAGAAGCTCTGCCTGGAATTCGGTGCTACGCATATTCTGAGACCCCCGTGAAGTGGATGTCGGACAGCATGTGCGCGGCATGACGGGTGGCGCAGGCGCGGACGTGATCTTCGATGCGGCGGGCGTGGAGAGGGCCCTTCTAGGTGCTATTCATGCTTGTCGGGCGCAGGGAACTATTGTGAACATCGCAGTATGGGAGAAGAAGCCTTCGCTCCCAGTGAACCAGCTGATGTATAATGAGCTACGGTATATGGGGGCAGCGTTGTACGATGAAACATCCTTTTTGAACGTCATTGAAGCCATAAGCTCTGGTACGCCCTCCCTTGCTTGCTGCTGCTTTCTTTCATATCTTGGGGATCAGCTCTTACTAACCTTTTGAGTAGGTGAACTCACACCCGAGAAGATGATCACTGCAGTCATCAGTCTGGACCAAGTTGTGGACGGAGGCTTCAAGGCGCTGTTGGAGCATCGGGATAAACATTGCAAAATCTTGGTGGATGTACAGGCATAGGCAGCATGATTTCGGTGTATTAGCCCTTACCCCGTATAGAATTGAGGCAATGCAAAACCTTGTACTCCGCACGATGCACCAAAGCCCAGTCGTAGCTTCCCTCAGGTTCGGAAAGGCGCAGTGTGGCTGAAAAGGTCTCGAAACTAAATGTTGTGTTTCTCTCGCATCATATTTCTTCACGTGCGGTGGCGGGGCCCCAAATGGCCAATACATGGCCTGCTTGGGCCACCACACGGGCCCAAAGCGGCGAAAGGCAGGAGCGATCGCTTGGCCTTTGACATCATCCCTCCACATCTCGTGTGGCTGGGTACTTCGAGCCACTCACAGTGGGGGATGAACCAGGGATTCACGAGGGGCGTCCCACTGATCTACCCACTATTGCGTCGGAGTCTTTCATGGCCTCCTTTTCAATCTGTACTGAATCCTGTTGCCTTCTACGCGTATTTAGGCTTGGCTCATTTGCCTTAAAACTCTTTCTCCTTCCCCCCCAATCACCCAAACTATCCATACCCCGATACAAGAGAACAGAGCCATCATGGGAGCCGCTGGAGGTGTCTTTCTCCGCTTTTGCGGCCTAGTTATACGATTCCTGCAGTTCCTCGTGGGAGTCGTCATCCTTGGTATCTTCTCATACTTCCTCGCCATCCTCAGTCACCATAACCAGACGATCGCAACTTGGGTGAAGGCTGTCGAGGGTCTGGCTGGCGCTACCACTTTGTATGGCCTGCTGGGCACTATCTTTGTCTGCTGCCTGGGCGGAGTCGCATTCTTCGCTTTCCTGGGAGTCGTTTTCGACGTCCTTTTCATGGGCGCCATGATTGCTGTCGCCATCTTGACTCGCCATGGTGTGAACAAGTGCAGTGGCATCGTCGATACCCCCGTCGGTAAGGGTAACGCCAATGATGACAGCCCCTCCGACCTGAGGTACAGGACGGCTTGCAGACTAGAGAAAGCCGTATTCGCAGTCTCGATCATTGGAATGTGAGTACAGATCTACATCTTTGGATATACAGATGTCCCCCCCCTTGTGGACCAGTTAGTAACATTTATCTCACAGCTTCTTCTTCCTGGTTTCTGTGTTCTTCCAAGTCCTCTTGGCCCGCCACCACAAGCGCGAGAAACGCTTCGGTCCCTCTCCCGCCAACGGATACACATCTGGCAGCCGCAGGTGGTTCTGGAGCAAGAACAAGAATGCCCCCGACGCGGCCGGTGAAAACATCCTCCCTGGGCACCCTACTCCTCATGACATCGAGTATGGCACGCAGCCCCAGAATGAGAAGTCGTGGTTCGGTGGCTTCGGCCGCAAGAAGAACAATGGCACTGGCGCCCCAGCAGCCACCGGGGCCAATGGGTATGGCTATGGAAATTCCGCCTACACCGGTAACATGTAAATGAGATCTGGCAAAGGGCCAAGGCCCCTGCGGCTGGAATAGGACCTTACGATCCTATCCTGCAGCAAAATCGCTAGGTCCCTTGCGGGAGATGATTATTTTGTTTTGAATTTTTAACATGACATGACGATACGATAGCTGGAAGCTGTGGAGCCGTGTACAACGGTTAGCACAATGTACAATCTTTGGCTAATGTTAGCAGACACGAGTAGGCACTGCGAATAGCTTTGCCAAGGACATAATAATACTGAATTAATTTGCACAAGACCATGCGTGTGCCATTCAAGTTCTGACAGCTGGATCGCCCCCACATGCACTTAAGGAAGGAAAATGACGTGTAGATGATAGAACAATAGTATTGTTGTACTCCGTACCTGAAACTCAACTAACATACAGGTGGGTCTTGGGTCATGTGGCGGTCGGATCGACAAAAGAAGAGATCATTAAGAATCCCAAAACATGGGACATGAACATCAAGGTGGACATCTAGAGGGTGATTTAAGTGATCAAGACAGGGGGGAAGTTGAACATGCGCCAAACACCAGCATATAGAGGCGGGAGATGACCCACGAAGGAAAAGAACCACCAATCACAGGCAACTAACGAGAGGTAGTCATAGATGCTTACCAGAATCGGTGAGTAGGAGGAACAGGAGCCATGGCTCCGAAGCGACAGGACATGCCAGCGGCGACTGATCCCATGTAAATGGGGCGACTGTTGGAGCACATAGCCCAGCTCCAACCATCGGGGGGAGCAAAGGATCTCGCCAGACGTGCAAGCGAATCCAGTAACGTAGTTCTGGAACTCGTTATTGGTGGAGGCCTCAGTTGAGAGGCCGGCCTCGCTAGAAGCGACACGAGGGTCGGCAGTGGAAGAGCCAAAGCTCTTAGCAATCTTGTGCATGTTCTTCTCGGTGCTAGTAGCATCCTTCTGCTTTTCAGGAGCGGGAACGTCCTTGTGCTTCGGAGTAGCGGGGACATCCTTTTCCTTCTTAGCGTCCGTGGTCTTCTTGGTGCTGGGGGCATTCTTCGTGTCATTGCTGCCAGCTGCCAGGAAGGGAGCGCTGCCAGAGCACTTGTAACCCTTGCCATCCGATGTGCCAATGACGTTGTCACCGGGGAGAGGGAAGTCAACAGTTTCGCCCTCAATGGTCACACAAGGGCTCTTGTCACCAACGTTAGCAACGAACATCGCAGGGAGGCTGTCGAACCCAGTCAACTTGTTGTCCATGTCACGGGGAGCCATCTGGTGGTCGGAAGCCAGGACCATGGGAGGATGAGAGGCCTTCTTGTCTTCGGACATTTCCTTGTGAACAGGCTTCTTGTGGTCATGCTTGTGGTTGGGAGTGTTTGAGGCGCCACCACCGCCAATGGTGACCATGGCACAGTTCATGTACATTTCACGGTTGCCGACCTTGTTGAACCAGGTCCAGGCGAGGAGAGCGTCACCGTCTGGGGCGTCAGAAGGAATAGTGAATTTGTAGTCCTTGGGGATGGGGCAGTCGCCAAGCATAGACTCAATGACCTTGAACGTCTCGCCCTGGTCGTAGGAAAGAGAGAGTTGGCAAGAACCGCCATCGTGTGTAGCACTGCCCTCCAAGGTCATCTCCTGCTCAGAACCCTGTGGGTAAGTTGCCACGGACACAAACTTGTCCTTGGCGTACCCCTTACAAGGGTAGTCCGATCCGGATGACGAGAGAGGGTTGGTGTAAGAGTAGTCCTTTTCGGCATCGCTGTCCTTGTTCAGCGGACTGCGAATGGGATAGGGCTTGGACATCTGCATGTGTGCTGAGGCCGTTCCGGCCAGCAAGCTGTAGGCAAGAATCGTGCCCTTCATGTTGGAATAGGGTATCAATAACTGCGACCTCGTATTAGTAAAATGCCAAATAGACGGTCATAGTAATCACCATACACTCGCAATGCTTCCAAGAGAATCAAAATTGGGTATCAATCAACTTGGAATGAATCTCGAAGAAGAACCACCAGGGTTAACACGATCGAGCAACCTCTTGAAGAGCAGAATGGTAGAATGTCGCCAGAGGAGCATGCTACCGAATATAAATAACTACCCTAGAGAAATAGCGCGCACATTCCCGGGCGTTGTTTAGTGGAATGACAAACGCCATCATGTTGGTGGCTCAAGCCTTCTCGTTGAGAAGGAGCCGATGGCCTCGCAACCCGTGGAATGTTGCCTCCAGGTCGCTCCTGCTGTGCTGGCACATTCTGTTTATTGAGGATTCTGCCGAGAGGATTCCATGCATGGATGTCTCCAGTAACTCGTTAATTCTCCGATCCTCCCTACCCAGAATGTACGCGTATAAGTAGCACGCCCCATTTGCATCCATCTATGCTCCTAAGTCTCCATAATCGCGATGAAAGAGGCGACATAGAAAGGTTCGATGTGAGTCCCATTCCCACTATCAAATTAATCTCGTCCTATACGCATGGCATCGCATGGAACCTACCTAGGAGATTTCAATGGCCATGATGTCAATCAGCTTGAGCAGAATCCGAAAGCCATGCCACCAGCACTCTTGTATAGACATCAAACCATATGGAGGAAGGTCTTCGCTCTACAGCTCCGAGCATCCGAGAAATTCGACCAATCGTGGCTCCAAGGGGCACACTTCGCCTGGCCCCTGTCGCTCCCTGCATACCATCCCAAGAAACCCAATCGCATCCACTCCACAGTCGGGATGATCGCTCGTGAGGAATACCATCCGGCGCGCCACTTTGATTAGTTAGTTTGGCCCTGGGCCGGGGTTGGAGCTCCATGCGACATGCATTATGCGATGTATGGCATTCTATAACTCACTTATTAGATCTCGAGCCCTACGAGGTTCATACAATCCCCCGATCAAAGAATCGAAGAATCGACTGCCAAGGCGGGTCTGATCGTAGATGCCTCAAATGTCTGTAATAATTATCTAAGTATGGCTTAAAGCGCCAGTGCACTGGTAAGTGTTGCAGGATGCCCGTCGAGCATCCTAATTCGGCCAAATGACGATGCGTCGCGTACGCGACTTTGTCCACCTCCCGCTCTCCGCGCTTTAATGATTCATTCCTCTCTCCTCCCTTCGTAGCGCCAATAGCGCTTCAAGCACACCTGCTGCATGTTTCCGCCATCCAGACGGCTGTGTGCTCTGTCTATTCAGCATGCCGGCAAAACAAGGCCCAGGCCGGTGATTCGCCACTCCTCGTCATTGAGGCTCCCCGATCGATCGATGTCTGTGGGGATCAGATGTTCGTCGGTTCCAGGTTTTGATCATGTTCGTCATCCACTGCAGCTTGGCCGCAATCCGGGGTACGGCAAATTCTATACAACCCTTTCGCTTTCCATTCCGCCCTTAAAGCCTCCAGTTCGCCAGTTCTCATCTTCCAACCGCGCAATGGCAGTGCGTGCTAAATCAACCGCGAAGCCGGCGCCGGCCGATCTTTTGAACAATGACAGTGTCTCGCCTACTCCTAAAGTAAAGGCAACTCTTGACCCTGAATCCGAAGACGATGTTCCAATTGAGCCGGAGGAGCTCCAAGAGGCTCTGGGGAGGCCACCGCCTGTCCATAGCAGCTATCTCCCTCTTCCTTGGAAGGGCCGACTAGGATATGTGAGTGAATCATACCTTTTAGCTTGCGAAAGTCATTGCGGTTCTAATTATTGCAGGCTTGTCTAAATACATACTTGCGATCTTCGAATCCTCCAGTCTTTTGCTCCCGCACTTGTCGCATTGCCTCCATACTCGAATACCGCCATCCACTACGAGACCCCGACCAGCCAGCGCATGCTACGAAGAACCGCCCAGACCGTAGCCTGCCTGCAGATGTTGCGCGGGGACAGACCTTTGTCGAGTCCTTGGGACTGGCGAATGCGCGCGATTTGGTGAAAATTATTCGTTGGAACGATAAATATGGCATTAAGTTCATGCGACTCAGCAGTGAGATGTTTCCGTTCGCCAGCCACAAAGAGTATGGATATAAGCTGGCCCCATTCGCATCTGAGGTGTTGGGCGACGCGGGACGTGTTATCGCAGAACTTGGCCATCGAGTTACGGTGCACCCAGGACAATTCACCCAGCTTGGGTCTCCCAAGAATGAGGTTGTGGAGGCATCGTACCGCGATTTAGATTATCACTCAGAGTTGCTACAATTATTGAAATTGCCGCCGCAGCAGGACCGCGATGCAGTCATGATTTTACATATGGGCGGGGTCTTCGGTGACAAGGCTGCAACCCTGGACCGGTTCCGTGAGAATTACGCTCGTCTCTCGCAGGATATCAAAAATCGACTGGTGCTGGAGAATGACGATGTCAGTTGGTCGGTCCACGACCTGCTCCCCGTCTGCGAAGAATTGAATATTCCGCTCGTTCTCGATTACCACCATCACAACATCATTTTCAACTCCGACGAGGTTCGTGAGGGCACCCAAGACATCATGGCCCTTTACGACCGTATCGCGGCAACATGGTCGCGAAAGAATATTACGCAGAAGATGCATTATTCCGAACCCGAGGCATCTGCGATCACCCCGCGACAACGCCGCAAACATAGCGCGCGGGTATCTACCTTGCCACCCTGCATACCTACCATGGACCTCATGATCGAAGCCAAGGATAAAGAGCAAGCAGTGTTCGAGCTGATGAGAACGTTCAAGCTGCCTGGCCACGAGCTTGTCAACGATATCATCCCATTCATTCGCACAGATGAAAACAAACCCAAAAAAGGGTCTCGCAAAAGTAAGAAAAACAGCGAATCCCCTGAGCCGGAAAGCCCTGGACAGTCTGTCCCTGAAGAGGAAGTCGGCATGGGGGGGCCCGCAACGAAGGGTCTACTGGCCCCTCGGAATGGAGGAATGGCTTCGTCCTGAGAAGAGAATTCTCCGCCCTAAAACAGAAGCGAGTTCAGCAAAGAGCCCACGAGCTAAAAAGGTCAAGGTCGAAGCAACTGAACAAGACTCCGTCCATATGAGACCTGCCAAGAAGGCAACAAAGGCAGCTCGTTCGCCCGCGAAGGCTCGCACAAAGCGCAAGGCAGAAGAAATTGAGTCTACCCCCGAAACAGAGGAGTTTAGCTCTCCTGCCGAAGCAGAGCTCACGCCACAGAAGACTGTTTCTCGACGAAGTAGCCGCGCGAAAAAGGTGAGCTACACCGAGGACAGCGCATGAGAATTCTGTCTCGAAATGTATAGATATGACCTTGTATTATGTTGCATGGGCTGGCGTTGGCGTGTATAGTACAGGGGGGTTATAATTCAAATGAATCTGTACAATATTTCTTTATCAAAAAAGAAAAATCTCATGAGTCATCCTGTATTCTCTCATCCAATATGAACCCTCCACACTTGAATGCTTGTCGCTGACCACGTGATCTTTGCGTAACCATGCATTGATGAGACAACCCTGCAGAAATCCAATGCCCCTCATCTTCTTGCAACTCGCAACACTGTGTGTCGAGATATCATTCTATTTAAAAAGTCCCTACCATTGGATCTACTTCCCTGTGGAGCATAGCATAACCAGCACCATGCGTGAATGGACTACACTCTTATCATCTGTGCTGATGGTCCTGGTAGGCGCCAGAATATCTTCTCCACTCCAAATAGATGGACGCGTTACTGATCACCAATTCTCATCAAACAGATGGGCTTGGTCGGCATCAGCCTCGGCGCGTAGGTGACTATTGAAGCCTGATATCCACGTAAAACTATCCTAACATATACAGCCTCGCCTGGTCCCAAACCATATCACTCTATCTTCCTGTCCCCGCTTGGATCTCAGCAGCAGCAACGTTGCTCACCCCAGTCCTGGGACTCGCCCTCGCCGTCTTTTCCGCCCTAGCCTTAAAGACCACAAGCCAGCGTGACCGTGCCTGGTACAGTACCCGGATCCAAGGAGCTATCTCTCTGTTGAATCATCTGCATACGATACTGTCAACCGTCTTGGCAACACTGGCCTTAGCTTATATGTTCCCAGAGAGCTTGCTATCTTGCAACATCGAGCAGCAGTGGCAGCAGTTCTTCCATGTCAAGAACTCCGAAGCGGTGCGTACGATCCAAGATAGCCTGCAGTGCTGTGGTCTTCGAAGCACCCGTGATCGCGCGTGGCCGTTCAAAGATAAGAACCATGGCGACGAGGCCTGTGAAGTCCAGCTTGGCTATTCGAGGAGCTGCATAGAGCCTTGGATGGCCCGACAACGGAAAGCTTCATGGATGACATTTGCCGCTGTTCTTTTGATCGTGGTTCTGAAGGTATGTGCTCTCTTGATTTCGACTGGACAGGTTCTGATGTTTGAATCTAGGTTGCGGCCATGTCGTGGAACCGCCGTAAGCCAAGCTGGCTGAGTAATGATTTCTCCGAGACGGGAAGTGGCTCTCGAGGGTATCGTAGAATTACGAACGAGCGAGATGAGGCACATTCCGAAGACAACCTCAGGAGCTCTGAGACCAACAATGACCTCTCGAGAGGGTGACTTGCGCTTTTGTCATGAATTATCTGTCATAGTGTATTACCAGCTTAGTTTTGTACCGTCTGATAGGTCATGGGAGATATATTTCGGATCCTGATAGCCCCACTAGCTCAAAATTCATTCAACATCTCGCCCCCAAGACCACCAAAATGTGAACGCTTATATCTTACTAACAAGACCCATAGCGGAGTATTCGTATCATGTGGAAGGGGAGGAGTAGGAATGATGCTACTGTGGGATGACTCCTTCGTCAACCCTGCTGCGGGGCCCCACCAGTACGAAGTAGGAGGCCAAGTTGGAACTTCCCCGCAGTCCCGTGAGGCCCAGGTTCAGCTGGAGGTCCATTGGAATAATCAAATAATGAACTTGCGAGAGCGAACGTGGAGATCCACAAATTACCATTGCCTTGATTTTAATTCGTGCTGATCTCCCTTCAAATGTAGGAGAATATTGGAGTGGAGACTAATCGTGGGGGGGACCTCGGCTGATGACGCGCCTACTTACAGAGCCGAGGTTCGACTAAGCTGAAAATCATACGAGTGTGATTGGCGACTCGTAAACCTGGAGAAGGACAATTCTACCTTTGAACTTCCCCCTTCCTCCTCCGAAGCAACTCCAGTACTGCCACAATGCCGGAAACCCTCACCCGCGCCGAAGTTGCGAAGCATAACACCGAGGAATCCCTCTGGTGCATCATCGACCACCAGGTCTATGACCTGACGGATTTTTTGGATGCCCACCCCGGTGGCTCCGTTGTACTCGCCCAAGTTGCCGGTAAAGATGCCACGACCGATTTCTACAATCTGCACCGCCAGGAGGTGCTAGAGAAGTACAAGGAGCAACTGCTTGTCGGCACTATTGAGGGCGAGACGCCCGAAGTGATTGTGCCTGTTCCGGGCGCCATCAGCCCAGTTCCCTACGCCGAGCCACTCTGGCTACGCCCCCAGTTTAAGAACCCCTATTTCAAGGAGAGCCATCGCAGGCTGCAGAAGGCGTTGCGAGAGTTCACTGACAAATATGTGACTCCCGAGGCCCAAGAGAAAGAGCGGGATGGCACATACATCAGCCAGGAGCTGATCGACCGCATGGCAGAGACAAACATTTTGGCTATGCGTTTGGGACCTGGCAAACACCTTCACAACCGGAAACTCCTGGGCGGAGTTGTGGATGGTAAGGAGTTTGATTACTTTCACGACATGATCGTGGCGCAGGAGCTCGTCCGAGCCAACGCCCGAGGATTCCAAGATGGCAACATGTCTGGTATGACCATCAGTTTGACTGCCGTGCAGCAGTGGCTGGGAAACACAGCTCTTAAGGAGCAGGTGACAGAGGAAGTTCTGTCAGGGCGAAAGAAGATGTGTCTCGCTATCACCGAGGCTTTTGCTGGCAGTGATGTCGCAGGTCTCAAGACCACTGCCACCAAGACCCCCGACGGCAAGTTCTATATTGTTAATGGAACCAAGTGAGTGTTTCCCCGCGAATCCCATGAAATTTCAGAAACGGAGGTTAATTATTCTCCAAGGAAATGGATCACCAACGGCATGTTCGCTGATTACTTCGTGACTGGCTGCAAGACCGAAAAGGGCTTCTCGGTGCTTCTGATCCCCCGTGATGAGAACATTGAAACTAAGCAGATCAAGACATCCTATTCGACTACAGCCGGGACTGCCTTTGTGCAGTACGACAATGTGAAGGTGCCAGTCGGTAACCTTCTTGGCGAGGAGCACAAGGGATTCCAGGTCATCATGTCCAACTTCAACCACGAGCGCCTGTACATGTGCTTTGCTGTCGTCCGCGCATCAATGAGTGTTGTGGAAGAGTGCCTGAAGTGGTGTAACCAGCGAATCGTCTTCGGAAAGAAGTTGATCGAGCAGCCAGTGATGCGTCAAAAGTGAGTATTCCTAGCAGGGTCAGTGGTAAGCGTCGGACGCCTCATTAACAATGAAACAAAACAGACTCGCGCGTATGATTTCTCTCACGGAGTCTAATCAGGCTTGGTTGGAATCTATCACCCACCAAATGAACAACATGACCTACGCCGAGCAGGCCACACACATGGCTGGGCCTATCGGTCTGCTTAAGTCTTATGCGACTAGATCCGCCTACGAGATTGCCGACCACTCCACCAACATCTTTGGTGGTCGTGGTATTACCCAAACCGGCATGGGTAAGGTCATCGAGGGCTTCAACCGGGGCAACAAGTTTGACGCTATTCTCGGTGGTACTGAAGAGATTTTGGCCGACCTTGGTGTAAGACAGGCTGTTAAGAAGTTCCCTAAGGCGATGTTATAGAGCCGTCTTTTGTATTTATAAGTTCAAAGACATCGAGAAGCGTTTTCCTCAAGTTGAATCCTTATCTCCATTCTACATAATATGGACAATCCAACCGGTGATGCTACCTATTAGTATTCTAGCAGAGATGCCCATAAATAAGTTCGATGCACGGTGACCAGCGTAGCAGCTTGGATCTGTGGCGGTTTCGCATTGACTCAAGTCCTCAAGTCTTTGTAGAATTGTCTCAGAATATGTTGCCGTCTTGCCGCCCTTTACCGCCCTGTATGCCTAGCCTAGATAGCCCGCTCCCTCGGGAGCTCCTAATATGAACAACATTCCCCTCCAAGTTTTGCACCTAGTTTGGCTAGCCGCCAACAGAATACCCGTTAAGTGACAATCACGAAACGTTGATGTGAAGACCTCCTTTGTTGCTTTGATACGCGCTGTTGCAGTTCAAAGAGGCTCAAAGACAGACTATGTCCATCTGAAGACAATGGATAAAATCAACGTATCCTCAAGTACTCAAGCCCTTTAAATTCCACTACTTGCGTCACTGATAACCGGAATGAAACACGAACTTGGATACACTAGTATTCCAATTGCGCTTCTCATACTACCATTATATCCAGAGAATCGAAACACATCAGAAATGGAGTTTCCTATTCCCAGTCCTTGGATCTGGGCTCATTTCAAATATTCCCGGGCCGATGAAGGATTAAGTGCATACGAGCTGCTCTACAAGACGCTTCAGATTGCGGAGCACGATGCACATGACACCTTCATTGATACTCGGAATGAGTTTGAATCGCCGCTTATCAAAGACGTCCCAATGCTTTCCCTCCAGATACATGGCATATTTCAATCTTCAAAGGAGGCGGCTACAGAAGTCCGGAATTTTTTACGACACTGGACAGTGGATATCACCCTCGATATTCCTATATCTTTCGACAAAGATCTCATATTTGCCAACCCACTTGGCATTAATCATGCCATATACATTTAGAAAGCAATGAAGTATGCTTATCCAGCCCGAGTAGAGAAGAAACAAACTTGAATGTGTACTTGTAGAGTGGACACTGATAAGCTTCGTAGATATGGCGATAAAGGATAAGCTTCTGGATCAACTATTTTCCGTGTGGGATGGGGCGCGTCATCCTCCTGCCTGATGCGCCCAGGTTAGGGATATGTTCATCTTCACGTCTGTTTGACATTTCGCTTCTTCAAGAATCTTCCAAAATGGCATCACAGAACCCCCTGACCCCAGATCGCATCTTAGGCCTCGCAGCAGATAGCCTTAATGAGCAGCAGAGCCTCAAAACACCGCATGAGGCTGTTGCTCTGATCGGCCATGCGTGCATGGCGGCGGTAGGATTTCGGCTTGTGGGACTGGGAGAAGATCATAATATAGGTATCAAACCGCCAAGAGCCTATGATGATCTTGGGCCGCTGACCTCTTCAGACTCTTCTCCAGATGTCCGTAAGCTCCCTGCGGAATGGAACGCCAATTCTACCTTTGACTTTCGATACGCCCACGAGCAATCCTCTATGCAGTACTTGCTGAAAGTAAGCAGGCTAGGCAATAACACTGTTATAAATGCGCTTGCTCTCGGCGACGACCGCACCAGCTCCTTCGATCTCCCCGTCAAAGACTATATCTCTGGGTCTTCCTTGCCACTATCCTCCACAGATAACCTCACAAACGCCCTTCGTGAAGTATTTATCTCGCCTTCTCGACTACAAGACCTTATCAGCCTCTTCAAAATAAACGTCATTCAAAAGCTTGCTCCGGGCTTATACAAGGAAGGTTACGAGGCTGAAAGCCAAGGACAAGCATCTCGCGCACAGCCAGAAGACAGACCCCGGCGAGATCCTCTTCGCGACGACCAGCTACCTGCCCCCGCTCGCCCATATCCTTTCGATGATCCTCTAGCGGTTCCACCTCGTCGGCCTCACCCCGTTGGTGATTTTGCCCCTCCAGGGTTCGAAGACGAATTCGAAATAAACCGTCCCCCGCGTGCATATCCCCCGGGACTTGGTGGCAGAAGCCCTTATAATATTGGCGAGAGGGACCTGTACCCCGCCGGATTAGGTCCGAATGATCCTCTCCGTGGTACCATAGGGCCTGGTTTTGGGTCGGGTGGCATGCATCCCACATTTGACGACCCGCTCTTTGGTGGCCCCGGCGCAGGGGCAGGCTATGATCCCCGGGCGCCCCCGGGTGCGAGATGATGATCCTCCTGGACCTGGAGGACCACCCTTTGGACGGGGTCGCCCACCATTCGGTGGGCCCGGTGGCGGCTTCGGCGGCTTTGGTGGCGGGGACATTATTTGAAGGAACAGGCATGCTTAAGGTGACAGGGGAACTTAGCTACTGAAGCTGAAGCCCTATTCATGACATGATTCTCTTTTCCCTCTGTATATATTGATGTAAGATAGTGGTTCACGTAAACGATGCTATTTCCAGTGCACACCAATAAGATGAGGCACTTGGAGACGTAATGTGCGTCTGATAGACGCAGTATCCCGGCAGCGGCTAGCTGGAGGGAAGTATTATCCTAGAATCGGTATGGCAAGGTCCCGCACGTTCCTTCCCCGGTGGTGTTTTCCTCGGGTCATTGCGATGGCGTACCCCTCATATTGACTTGAGAGATGCAGCTCTACAAGCTGTCCACTAGCTTTGTTCAAGTGTTTGTAACTTGAAATCAAGCAAGAACATGTCCAAGTGTAGGAAATGGAGGCCGATGCCATATTGGACCATGAAATACTACCATTGGCATGCGGTTGTATCTTGGAAGGTTGTGGTTTCGCTTGAATGGGGAAATCCAGTATCACTCAGCCTTCATGTTATCTGGCTAGGGACTGATTTATTGCCTTCATAGCGCTTCAGCCATCGGTGAAGCTCAGCTATCTATGCGGCTATGCCACATTATATCGGGTATGGCAACAAAAAAAAAGAGAACAAAAGAAAAGCAACAGAAAAGAGGCAAATGCGAGAAATTTGTTGCTTGGGTGACATTATCCCAGAATCATCATTATGCTGCTCATAAGGAGTCTCTTGAATGCTGATGGAAGGAATGTATGCCCCGCTGTTGGTGTGCGGATGTTATGTGTGTGGCTGGAGCATCTTGGTGTGGCGCAACCTCCCAGACCTTTCCCTCCCTTTTGATTTCCTTGTTTCCTCTCTCCTCTCCAGCCGATCTTCTTTCCCCCCCGCTTCATCTCTGCGATTCGAGGGGGATTTGACTCTAGTGACTGAATTGCCCTCGTCTGAAACCCCCTTCGAATCCCACCCACAATCCCCCCCGTGCGATCTCCGCCCAAAACTCGGTGTTCATTTCTCACGAGACCGCCCCTCCTCCCCAGCTGGCCCCTCCTAATCCACGCCAGCGGAGCCCACCATGGACAACAACATGGAAATCGATACGGCGCGTTCGCCCGAACCACACCACCTCTCGCCCACGAGCGACCCCGGCTCTATACCGACGTTGGATGGCTGGATCGAGAGTTTGATGACGTGCAAGCAATTAGCGGAGGAAGATGTGCGGCGGCTGTGCGATCGGGTGGGTTCTCGGCCAGGGACAATCTAGATCTCCCCGATTGATTTTTCTAACGATTCCATCCAGGCAAGAGAGGTATTGCAGGATGAGTCAAATGTCCAGCCTGTGGTAAGTATTCTTGCGGCTCGGTCGCGGTAACCCCCTTCCCCACCACCGTGACCTCCGATAATTTCGACTCTAGCCATTGACCATCTGAACAGAAATGCCCGGTGACAGTTTGCGGCGATATTCACGGCCAATTTCATGATCTAATGGAGCTTTTCCGCATCGGCGGTCCTAATCCCGACACAAACTATCTCTTCATGGGTAAGCCGTGACGTGGTGACCCGTGTGGAGGGGAGTGCTCCTCTACTCCGTGCGGAGGAATGACCTGGGTTTCTAACATTTATCTGCTTTTTTTTCAATTGTAGGTGACTATGTCGACCGCGGATACTACTCCGTTGAGACCGTGACCCTTTTGGTCTGCTTGAAGATCCGTTATCCCCAGCGTATTACTATCCTTCGTGGAAACCACGAATCTCGCCAGATTACCCAGGTATACGGTTTCTACGACGAGTGTCTCCGCAAATATGGCAATGCCAATGTGTGGAAGTACTTCACCGACCTCTTCGACTACCTCCCCCTCACAGCTCTCATTGAGAACCAGATCTTCTGTCTGCACGGTGGGCTGAGCCCATCGATCGACACTCTCGACAACATTCGATCTTTGGACCGTATTCAAGAAGTCCCCCATGAGGGGCCCATGTGTGATCTGCTTTGGAGTGATCCGGATGATCGCTGCGGTTGGGGAATTTCCCCCCCGTGGTGCAGGATACACATTCGGACAGGACATTTCAGAGGCGTTCAACCACAACAACGGCTTGACTCTGGTCGCTCGGGCGCATCAACTGGTGATGGAAGGATATAACTGGTCGCAGGACCGAAACGTGGTGACCATCTTCTCTGGTATGCTATCCACTTGCCCCCTTCCCCCTCCCCTCATGTCGAGCTTCGAACATGAGAACTGACGTATTTTAGCGCCCAATTACTGTTACCGCTGCGGGAACCAGGCCGCTATTATGGAGATTGATGAGCATTTGAAATACACATTGTAAGCTCCGCTTGACTTCTTCATGTTCAAAACAAAGCTAACGCGGCCTCAAGTCTACAATTTGACCCTTGCCCCCGAGCGGGAGAACCCATGGTATCGCGACGAACCCCCGACTACTTCCTGTGATAGATTTTCCATCGTTTGTCATCCTTCAAAGGGCTGCCGGGCTAGCGGAGGAACGGGGCTGCATATGACCAGAGCTCTCACCGTCTACTTAATTCTGTATGCCTTGATGCCTAGCCAGCCATCTGTTGATACCAATCATGAAAATAAAAGAAGCTTTTCATGCGATTGCCGGCCTGAGGCCATGGTACCGGCCTTGGAGCCCCACTTGAAGTATAATGAACATGCAATCCCAATTACTTCACTCCGCCATCTGCCAGAACCCCCCACCCTGGAAGGTCACCGCCTGACCAATAGGCTCATGCAGCATCCCGGAGATGTGTGTTCCATTCTCGCCTAGGATCTGGATATGACCGTCCTGGATCGACCCTGCGTATAACCCGTGCGGCTTCGGTAGATCATCGATGTTCTTATAGGACAAGGTCCCGCGGGACTGGAAGAGCGGGAGGTAGTCAGCGCTCAGTTCTTCGCGGGGAGCACTGAAATCCCAACGCTTGCCCTCGATAATGAAGGCGCCCTTGATGTCGTCGCCGAAACTGTAGACGGTGCCGATGGCTTCCGGCATCTGGAGTAGCATCTGGGGGTTAGCGAGTGCACGGTGCTGGGGAGGATAGTAGAGCGCCGCGTACTTTCTGTGCTCTTGTAAATCTAGCGTAGAGAATCGTGGGTGTGGTTCTACTGGCATCGAAAGTGCTTGGCTTGCATATATTTAAAGTCGAGAGAGCTTTGCGGGTATTTCGGTCGCGGATGCATTAATTCCACGACCTCTAGAGCTTCCTTGCATCGATGACATATTGCTCGCGAGCCGAGTGACGGTCCTGCGACTGCGGCGTCTCACCGCTGGTCTTTACTTGCTTTTGATTCGGCGTGCTGCCCCCGTTGATCCTCTTGGTCAAGAATGTTTGGCGTCCGAGCCGGTCTCACATCTCGACCTCACGTCTCCGTTTTGGTCCTTTTAATTCTCTCTTTTACCTGAATCAGCCAAGGAAGTATCCAGGCACGACAGAGAAAGCCTGCCAGCACCCCAGGAGCATTTTCTATGCAAGTACTGCATGACGATTATCTTCCGGGTACTGCAATTAGGGCATCTGTCGTCGGAAGGGGCCATCCCCGAGACGAGGATAGTTCATTACACCGCGTGTGGGTACTGGCTACTCCGACGATCAATGTGATGTAGGGCTCAGGCCCTCCCCATCTTTCTAGAGCTGCGTGACCCTCCCAGTAGATCAGAGCAAGCGATGTACAATGGGAATGCTTGCGCGACTTGCACGGCTGGCTGAGACGGATCCACTCACACCTGGTACGTGAGAGAGAGATTTGACGGCCTCTAGTGTAGATCAGTTGGAGAACATGGCACCACACCCTGGACTCGGCAACAACGCATACCCAGAAAGCCAGAATTGGAAAATGGACGGATTTTCGTAGCTGAGAAGCGAAAGAGGTCATGATTGATCAGCTGATAGAGGCTCTTTGACGTCCTCGGATATGTGACTTGATATGGAAGCACCTACTAGTTATTTACGATATTCTTTGCGATAGCCCTCGACAACTCTCAATCGGAATACTTTGACCCGGGGGGAACTTTCTAATGGAAATTATCATTTAATATTAGATTGATTGAGATTCTGTATCAGTCCGCCAGTCCATCATGGATGGGCTATCCGCAAATGGCCCCGAATGCAAGAAAAGAAACCGAAAAAAGAAAAAGAAAGAAAGAAAGAAAGAAAGAAAGAAAGAAAGAAAACGCCATATTCATGCTGTACATGATGAAGCCAATCTATATTCATAAAACAGGGGTATCTTTTGCCTCACAGCTTCTCCACGTCGACCTTCTCCTTCAGCTCTTTCAGCTCCTCTACCGGTTCTTCTACTCCCCGGTAGTGACGGACTTGGGAGCTTCCATTAGGCACCCAGAAGCGCTTATCAACCCGTGCAAACAGGAACAACATCACGACCGTAATGTCGATTCCAAAATCGAAGATGTAAAAGCAAGCTTTGTGGTCGTATGGCGGAGGGTTGGTAGCCGGACGAGGCGGCATCCAGGTGGTCGCAGCGCGGAAAGAAGCACCCAGACAGAGCAGCACCGCTGCGGTAATGACGATCGCGCCCTTAGCAGCCCAAGAGCCATGGCCCGGGCTCTCAATCTGCCTCCCCCGCGTGAAGAGCAACAGGGCCAGAACAATCGGAAGAGGCAGGAAAGAGACGATGGCGAAGTAAGTCACTCCGTATACTTGGATGTCGCGGTCGATCCGGTGGGTGTTTGCGTTCAGGGTATAGGCAGATTGGATAACGACCGTGATCAGCATGATGATCGAGACCACGGTGATCGCGTATAATGCCTTGAAGCTCCACGAGACCGCCAGCGACCAGCCGATTCTGGGGGAATGCCGCGCGGACCATGCGCTGGGCATACAGCAAATTCAGGATGAATAGAATGAGCACGCCGGCGGCCACGAAGATCTGGGCGGCGATCGCGAGGGAGACGTTGTGAGGATAACAGGCCCATACTATCCGAATAATGCACGCGACTGTCCGTGACATGCAGAAGCCGAATGTGGCGGCGGATGGAATGAATTTGTGGCCTCGGCGTCGATTGATCTGGAACGTTGTCATATGGCCCACGGCGCCGCTGATGAAAAGCACGAGGAAGATGGCACAGATGGGTACGTCGACGCCAACGGTTGGCAGGCCCCCCAGGCCGGCGACCTTGGAAGCGTAAGGTCCTCCCATGATGGAATATCGTGTTACTATAGAGATTGCGATAGAGTGGGCCTTGCTTCTTTGAAGTCAGTTCGCCGTTGGCTTAAAAAATATTCTCGCCCCGTTGATTGTGTTGATCGATCGACAGGCACTTGATACAAACAGTCGTGTGCCAAGTGTGAGTTCGTGAGGGTGTAGATTAGAATATAACTTCAAGGAACCTCCCGGTCGCGTGTCTATATAACATCTTCGATTCGGGGTATTGACCGTCGGGGATAGCACTGGTCGAAAGGGGTCCCTAAGGTCCTAACGCCGAAGGGCCTATGCAGGGACCCCCTCCGGGATTTTCAGCTAGGGCTCGAGCCATAAGCTCGTCTGCCATGCACGCTAGCCTATGTCTGACCCCGTTGAGGCTCCGACTTGGCCGTAAAGCAGCGATGAATAACAGCGAGACTCCACGGTCGGGGAAGCGGAATCCCGAACCGCCGACCAGCCCCACCCGGTCCGCCAATGAGAACCTGCAAATTCTCGTACTTCGTCGGTCGGCCCCAGCCAGCCTCGGTCCATCACGGAGAGCGAAGCCCCGAGAACCGATATGGGCTTGGAGATGGAGGTTTCTTTCTACGGTTCGAAGGGGTCTTCTGGGATACTCAAGCAGATCGAGGGTTACTAGGGAAAGCTGATTGAATTCGCACAGAGATAGCAAACGAGGAGACGGAACTATATGTATGGGCCGTTGCTGCGTAGGATGCAGTGACTTTACTTTGAAGTCATGGAGGACCACTGCAGCACTCAAGATAGCGCCATAGCTTAAAAAAGGTTAAATCCTGACAAAGCAGGGGTCGAAGAAGCCAGCAGGTACAGCAGGTATTCTATGGCCCAAGTTTGGCATCTCGAAGGAACCTTGGAACCTTGGAAGCCCCTGCCAAGCTTGTGAAAATGCTGCAACCGCGTGCCCAGGTGGTCACTATATGAAGCACCTTGGCGAGATGCGGCGCAATAATGTCATAACGATGAACAGAATCCCCCAACAGCGGCGTCCCCTCTTTCCAATTCTTCACATCTGACTTTTCCTAGCCGATGCAGCGCTTTTCATTGGTCATTTGAGCTGCAACCCAGGAATGCTTCATACGATGGGAGTTCAGAAGCAAGTTAGGCCACCGCCAGGTTCTTCGCCTTGGCAAGAAGCTCTTCAACTTCTGCTGCATGCTTCGAAAAGTTGTCCACCAGGCTATCCCACATTTTAGGCTCATGCTCGTGCTTTTTGTTACTTTTCCATGCGTAGTCCGTGATAGTGAACGGCCTGCTGGACTCAAACATGAAGGCGATCGACGCTTGGGAGATTTGCATGACAGGCGGTGGGTGGTCACTGGCAGCTTTGAATTCTTCGTACGCCACGCCATGAGGCACCACTGACAAAAATTAGCTCCGGATATCAAGGACTGGGAACGAAAGCACGTACTCCCACATTCAAACGATACACTGCCCGGCTTGAAGGCATCGGACCGTCCACCGTAATTACCGTAAATGAGGCCCATCAGCTCTGAGGCAACATTGCGATGGTAGTAGGGCGGTCGGTAGGTGTCTATGAAAATTAGTAGTGTAGGAGAGAGTGTGTCCTACTCCACTTACGCGATGCGACATCCCAACGCGGAGAAAAGATGAGGAAATCTGCCAGTGGCGCTGTAAGATCGCGAGACTTTGCGGTAAGAACACAGAAAATCGAGGGATCAATGTGATCCACCGAGATCGACCCAACATTGACGAACTTGGTCAGGTCATATTTATAAGGGACCTGAGAAATGGTTAGCAGGATACGAAAAAAACCGGCGCTGCTCCAGGGCCCTACATAGTTTCCATGCCAAGCAACCACATCGAACGGGCTGTGGTTTTGGGTGCTCCGGAAGAACTTCCCGCCCAGCTTGTAGACGATCTCCCAAGGCTCCTGGACGATCTCATACTGAGCCACCGGGCTCAGGAAATCACGAGCGTTAGCCAGGCCATTAGCGCCCAAGGGACCCAATTCCGGGAGCTCAAAGCAGGTGCCCCAGACTTCGAGGATGTATCCCCGCGATGGGCCATCGGGGATCTCGACCCGGAACCGCAGACCACGTTGGATCACCGCGATTTCACCCGGCTGGACGAACAGCGAACCGAATTCGGTTTGGATATCCAGAGCGCCCTGTTGCGGGACGATCAGGAACTCGCCGTCCGAATTCACAAACGCCTTCTGTTTCATGCTGCTATTCGCAACATAGACATGGGTTGCCAGACCCTCGCGCAACGTTGGGTCTCCTGAGCCGGCGATTGTCTTGAGGCCGGACACAAAGTCGACGTCGCCACGGTCCGGGATCTCGAACGGGTGCCATGCGAGCTGCGTTGGGGAGACATGGATACGTGGGTTCAACGGGAGGAAGTTAGACTCGGTATCCGGATTGTCTGGCAGTTCGGTCTATTTCTGGGTTAGCAATATGCCGCAACCCGTCTCCGCTTACGCCTACAAAGCCTTGATGAGCAACAGCCGGGCGAGCTCGATACAGCCAGGACCGCTTGTTGGCGTGCCGTGGAGCGACAAAGGCCGTGGCAGTAAGCTGCTCCGCATACAGCCCAAATCGCACGTTGCGCGGGTTATTTTGACCATGGGGAATGGTCCCAGGCACTGCTTCCGACTCGAAGCTAGATGGGGTTTTGCTAGATCAGCCAGTTGAAGTGACATGATCGCACCTGGGAGAACATACGAATTGCCGAACCCGGCTTGATACTATCGAGCAATCAGCAAGGTCCATAACGGTCTCCCATCGGGTCCGTACCTTGTAGGGATCGTTGCGTCTTGTCCGGAACGATGGGATGGTCCCATCTTTCTGTGTTTCTGCCCAGTGGAATATCTTCTGATACTCCTTTGGATCAGCAAGGTCAGTTGCCGCGGGTGACATGTTGAGGAAGGTCTTTAGTGAACTATTCAACGTTGGAAAAATGAAGGGAATTCACAATGATTTGGAGCTAAAGAGGACGGGAAATCTTGGGACCAGGTGAGTTATTTATTCCCTATGAAGCCGACCCTAGCGAACTCGTATGGTGGGGCCAACTTCACCTGGCGTTACGGACTCGTAATGTAGATATCATGATGCTCCATTAGGACAATAGTACAACTTCCGGAGGCCCCGCGATAGTATCCCCACAAGGCCCCACGCCCCAGTTTCCATTCCAGTGAATTATGGAAATTGCACCTCTAAAAAAATGGAGATAACCGGCAGGATGTTGTATTCATCGGATACCCTCCCCTCCGCTGTGTCTTGCCTCTGTTCTCGAACTGCTTGACTCCCGGACGAATCGTTCACCATGCCAAATCCCCAGGTACACCATGAACGCTTGGATGCTACGTTCGACGGAATATCTCGAGACGATGGAAATACAGTCGTCAATCAATTCTTGGGTATTAAATACGGCACTGTGCCCGCTCGTTTTGAAAAGTCGGTTCCAGTCGACACTTACCGAGGAGCGGTAGTTGACGCGACACGATTTGGGTTTGTTCAGCATGTGCTCTGATGATACATTCGAGATTAACAGTTCCACAAACTCAGACCTCGGTGCCCCCAAGTGGACGTGGATGTGCGTCACTTACTTCGACTACCAGAAGACTTCATCATTCCGCCTGAGCCAGAGAGTGAATTCGATTGCCTGAATCTCGAAATTACCAGCCCGAGCGTACACGACATAGTATCGCCGCTTCCTGTCCTTATCTGGATACATGGTACTAGAATACATCATGGCTCCCTATTTGACACGGAGACGGACACTGACTTCTGCAGGTGGCTCACAGGTTGTCACGTTCTGCTCTGCAGCGTCCAAAATCTGCGGTAGGTTCCTCCGCGTTGACAACGATCACATTTACTCACGATGCACCAGATCCGACTAAGCTTGTTGCCGATTCCATAAGGGCTGGGAAACCCATGATCTTCGTTGCTGTTCACTACCGGTTGAACATTTTTGGGTTCGGAGATGGCAACGAGAGAAACCTCGCTTTGAAAGATCAGCGCATTGCTATTGGCTGGGTACGGAGGAATATCGCACCATTCGGTGGTGATCCCGTGAGAATCCCCTCTGGCCCATAAGCTGTAAACCTTTCTTCAACTAATGCTGCTTGCAGGAACAAATCACACTGGCTGGAGAAAGCGCCGGTGCAGTCTACGCCCACGCGCATCTTATTACTGGTCCTCCTGTGAAACGAGCGGTGCTGGCCTCCGGGTCTTTATATTTATCGTCCCCACTGCCCACGGAACGGGGGTCTGGAATGATCAAATCCTTGAATAGCAAAGTTCAAGAGCTGAGTGGCGGCTCGCTCAGAGAGGCGCCTGTCCCAATTCTCATCCAGGCGCTCAAAGACTTGAATGTGAATACCATGTGGCTCCAAGAAGAGCCCGAGCTGCACGACTGGGAAACCAGACCTGAGCAAACTGAAGAGCTCATGATTGGCGATGCAGAGTACGAGGTTTGTCATCTCCCCTCTCCTAACAAACCCCGTTCTAATCGTATGCGCCAAGGCTGCCATTTGGCGAAATGGCGTTGAAATGCTCACGGGGCCAGAAATCGTCGCGGCCTTCGAGCGAAATGCAGAATGGGGACTACATCTGCGCAGAGCCTACCAGGTGGTGCAGGATAGACCCACAGCCTCCAAGCTCGGTGCTTTGGACTTCGTGAATGATGCACGTTTCACGCTCCCGGTTGAAATTGTGTCCAAGAAGCTGCAAGATGCCGGAAAGCGAGTCAACAGATACGTCGTCGACCAACCTAACCCTTTTCAGCAGTCCAGCCGTCCTCATCATGCAGTCGATCTACTTTTCCTCTTTGGCGGAGTTGCCTTCCCTTCGAATCCAGCTGCAGATGCCGTCAGCAAGGAGATGCGGCAGCGCTGGGTACGCTTTGTGGCGGGAGACGAACCTTGGGCAGTCGATAAGCGATTTGCCTATGGGCCCCTTGGTGAATGCAGAGAAATTGACGAGAGCGAATTTGCGTTTCGAAGACGAGTTTCTCATTGCCGAGTCCTTCAGCAGGCTGGTAGCTCAGTGTACATGCCGATTATGGCTGCCCTTACAGCGGGCCGGATTAGCTTGTTGAATTAGATCGGAATAAGCCCCGCCCATGTTCCTTGGGCATTCAAATCGAAGCGTCTTCTCTTCTGTATTACGCAGCTAGTACGTATCTCGCTGTGGAACCGCAACGCCTGAGCGTGAGCCGTCTCTTTACGAACTTGTGCGTGGTCATTGCCTGGGTCATGATCCGGCAGTTGAGCGCCCACTGATTACCGTAGGGCCGCATTCCCCGAGCACCTCGACACGAATGACCCACAAACATTCGGTAACCAGGACATTATGAGCCCAACAGTCATCCATTATCAATCAAGATCGCCGAAATTCTAACCAATGGGACCGGATGGGTCGGAATCACCAACAGAATCGGGGGGGGGGGTATACCGACTGGAGCCTTGTGGGGAAGGGCCATGCTCTATAGCCCGAGCATCATGTTGAGACACGAGAACGTTCTGTTATACTTGCCGGCATTTCCCTGGAAATCACTACCGATGAATATTCCACAATTGCCATGAAAAGATCCGCTTCACAGCCCAAGGGATGGGAAAGGAAATTATGCTCTGGCTGTATTCTAAACCTAGAACCAAGACCTGAACTATACGGGAAGCCCCGGCATGATATAGAGTGGCGTATGGGACCATATCCATTTGTTGTTATGAAAGCTATTGAACATATTCAGGTTATACCTCTAGTACCCTAGTACCCAAACGCCAGCTCTTTACAGTCAAAGCATCCACACTCATTCTCCGAGCGGCTGGTCGTCAATAGTCGGATTCGGCTTCTTCAAAATCCACCCACCAATCAGCAGCAGCGCAGGAATAGCAGATACTCCAGTAATGATGCCCATCGACCAGCCCATGGTGCCCCAACCAGCATCCTGCTTGATAAACCCAGCAAAAAACGGCCCGATCAAACTACCAGCGGCAAACCCCATATTTGACAAGCCAAATGCTAGAGCCATGGCTCCTCCACGCCCAAAGCTGTCCGGAGACTGGTCCTCTTTTTCCTTAACGGCATGGAACACCTCTGTCACGACGGGCGTCATGGTTGCCGCAACACACAGGCCAAGTAAGGCCAGCAATGCGCAGAGGACAATCTTGTCATGCATAGAGTTGTTCTGGACGAGCCGTAACAGGACGGCGATTGGAACTGAGCACAAAAAGCCCCCTGCTACGATATAGCGAGGGGACTTTGGCAGACGGTCAATGATGACACCGGTGATGGGATCGAGGAAATGGGGAACCATCAATGGTATGAAGATGAGACCCTGACCCGTCTGCTGCCATCCGAAGGTCTCTTGAACGAACAAGGGGAGCACGCTATCGAACGATGTCAGCACTATGGCGATAACGAAATATCCCCAGAGCGAGGCGATCAGGCGATACGAGCTCAACAGCGTCACGACTTGGTGAAAGGGATTTCGAGGCTTGGGTTTCTGTGACGGCCGAGTTACGGCATCGTGATTTGGACGTTCGTTGCCAAGAGGCCTTTTTTCCGAAGGATGAGACATGGCCAAGGGCCGCATCTCAGGCGCAAGCCAGCGAGCAGCATGTCGTTTCTCGATGAGCACCAGCCGGAGAAAGATGTCCACCCCTATCAGCCCAAATGCAAGGCCAAAGACCGCATAATAACCACCATGTTGGTACAGCACGCCCCCAAGCAGAGGGCCCGCCATGGTCCCTATGCTGAGAGACATCGACACATAGCCGATAGCCTGGCCGAGGCCTTCCTTGCCGACCGTGTCCACCAGCAGTGCTATACCTACCGTCCATACCACCGCCGCGGCAGCTCCTTGGAAGAGCCGGCCAGCGACCCATAGTCCGATGCTAGTCCCGATGCAGAGAAGAGCCGTCGCAGCCCCGAGCGCGACAAGACCAAGCAAGAGAGGCCACCATCGTGACTCGGCTCGATCTGCGATGTACCCAATGATGGCTAACAATGGTTAGCTTATGCATAGCATGAAGCACTAGTCCCCCAAGACACATACGAGAAAAAGCCAACAAAGCTGCAGAATACAGAGCAAGGAGGATCGACGTCCATGTTTGAACTGTGCAGGGCATTCAATTAGCACTTTGGTGATATCCCCTCCAACCAAAAAAAAAAAAGAATACTTTACTGACTTTGATCTTCACGAAGACCTGCCCTGGTCTGTAAAGCCGTCGGAGTAACGGGGACGATCTAGGTAGATTAGGGGACCTGGGGGGGGCCAACAAAGCGTGGGGAAATGACTCCTTACTAGTCCGTATAAAAATATGTCCTATTAACCATGTTAGTGGCTTAGAATAGTGACGCTTCGAAGAACACCCACTGTAGAAGCCGCAAAAGATACAGTGAACATGATGAACCATTTCGCGGAGCGGATTTCCAGGAACCTCGGCCGCTCAGGTTCGCGCTCCTTTCGCTGGAGGCGTAGGCGACTTCGCAATCCCATGTTGCACAATGAACATCAGTTCACCTGTAACACATTAACACAGCTTGACAAAGATATTTCGGGAGACCCTTGTCACGGTTTAAAAGCCAAGGTCGACCTAACGAAACCAAGATAAGAGACTTGCGCAGTGCGGGCCCCGCGGGCCCCAACGGGGTCCGGAGTTCGCCACGCGAGATCGAGGCTCAAGCAGGAGATGTGCAGTGCATGATGTGATTCTACTGGACTCCAGTTGATCGGCAATTTGCAGGGCCCCAGGCGAGCGGGGCCTATAAAACGCTAGAAAATTTACAGGCTACATCGTAGCCTATTTCCATGGCTTCGCTTGATACTAAATAGCACCAAGGACCCCGTCCAAGGTCTTACAGGTACACACCTTGGGGGCCTTTTTTCAAATGAAATATTGAGATGTCTCCTCGAGATCGTCCACTTCGGCTTTTGGAGATTTGAGGATCCCTCGAAGCATTTGTGGCTCGCAATCTTATTGTTCAGCCATGCATGCCTCTATGGTAGCACTCTTTATTCTGTGACGGCTGCCGAGGAACCACGAAACAGCTCTCTGGGTTGTTTCGAGGAACATTCAAAGGGCGCAAGGACTGCGATCGACCGTATGCTGGAGACGGCCTGCAGTCATAGGCCTCTTAAGGAGATCTGCATCTCAAGCTTCAAGAAGATGCAGAGGCCCCATAAATCGCGAGAATGGGTAAAGTTCAGGGTAGCAGGGTCTATGCCCCAGTATTCGATAGACTCATCCCAACTGCAATTACCACAAGCCTAATTCTGCCCAACATTTTGGCCTGGTTCGGTTTATATGATTAATCAACTTGAAGAAAAAGCCAAGGGTGGATATAGTGATCACGAAGCCAAAAGTGCATCAATCCTCCCCAATGGGATCTCTGTAAGCCTGAGTATTGTTTCCCAGACCTTGAATCTTGAATAATATTCATACCGCGTCACCTAATGGCTGTGGGATAAATACGTTGTTCTCAAGATTATAGTTCGGGATATTCTTTCTCACGAGATCAGACAGAGTCAAGCATAATGAATGGAAATTCAAGAATCAGAGATACAGACTTGGGTTCCTATGCCGGCCCCATGAAAGATGGAACGTTGGCGTATTGCATAATACAATAGGCTTTGACGCTTGCCCGTTCCCAAAACGGAATATATCATGCAAGTGTGAGTCCCTTCCCAGATCATGCGGAAGTCAACTCCTCATGAATTTGGAGAATGAGACTCCACGATGTCTTGGCCGCACTATCAAATAGGATACCTCTCTGCATAGACTCCCCTCCGAAGGCCCGTCCAGCAATCCGGGAAACATGTCCCTCCTGGCTAGGACCATACACCCGGGCTGAGAACACTGTCTGGATCTGACCAGGGGTAATCGCTGGCCAGGGGCTGATGCCATGACAAAACTTCAGAACGTCATGCGCAAAGGCCGTAGCAACTTGTTTCTGCTCCGCGGTTAAGAATTCATTGAAATTCTGGAAGAGGTAAAACACCTCGAGGATGTGGTTCGCTCGTCCCTTCCATGGACCTTCCCAAGGGTTGCCCTCATTAAAATAGTAGACATATCCCTTTCCCTTCCAGCCATGGACAAAGTTAAGGGCCGGGGCATGGAACTTGATATCACCTAGGAACTTGAAAACACTTTCTACCGCAGTCTCATCAGGTGTGTCCGGTGTGATGTTGTACGCCTTTAAGATTTCGTGCGCGACGGCGGGTTGAGAGGAGAGGATTTTGTTTACGGCGTCGGTGAATCTCGCGGCAGGGTTGATTCGAATGTGAGGGGGCACCCAGCCTAGTATGCTGCTCTGTTTGGCTGTTTAGTAGCATAGTAAGTAGAAAGAAGGGTGACACGTACATCGGCTTCGTTTTCCCCGATGAGAAGCTCTTGACACCACTCCATGCCAGGGAGCGGTTTCGAATCAAGATTTTCCAGAACAGAGTGAGATACACCAGGGTGAATCACCTCATTGTCAATAGCAGGCGCTGTCTGGATCGTAACGGGAATTTTGCGCACAAGCTCGTCATCGGGCATGGTAAGAAGAGCATTGATTCTGTCTTCTGGATCGGCATCTCTGAGGCCCAAAGCCTCGACGGCTTTTTTGTACATTTCCTCGTGGAATTCATACGGAAAGCCCTTCATTAGAGGCGACGTACCACTTATGGATACAGCGCGTCTGAAGAGTGGTTCGTGTGAGTGAAGGTTGTAGACCACGCTCGCTATAATATGTTAGCAATGGTGTAGACTGCGCGGAGTGAAGAGGTTCTTACCCCCACCAGCACTCTGGCCTGCAGCCGTGATATTTTCCGGATCCCCGCCGAACTCCTGGATATATTTGTGTATCCATGTAAATGCTACTCTCTGATCGCGAATTCCATTATTAGGTTTATATCCAGCCCCGCGCAGCTCCGCCGAACTCATGAAACCTGGGGGCCCCAGCCGGTAGCTACGAATTTGTCAGAAGGCCGATCAGCAGGATAAGCAAGGGAAAGGACTAACTTGATGGTAACGACTATCGTTGGGACACCTTTCTCCACTGATAACTTCACGAATCGACGCATCTGGTATTGAGGCCAAGAATTGCACCCCACGAAGAAAGCACCGCCATGGATATAGACGAGAACAGGAAGCTTTGAAGCTGCGGAGCACCCTTCCGGAAGTGTGATGTTTAGATTGAGGCAATCAACACTGGAAGTGTCAATCCGGTGAGATTGCAACGAGTGTTGTGCATGTTCGAATTCAATGCTGAGCGCGAACGGGACTTGCAAACTCGCGTTGCTATCGATGGATCACGTCAATGTTTGTTTTTGTATTGGGGCCAGAGGAATAGTACCCAAGTTTTGTTGCATCGAGGGTTTCTGTGGACGAGTGCTGGGTAATTTCGGCTTCAGCAAACCGATTCTTGAGTGTGGCATACTTAATGCCAAGGAATTCCGTCACTCCATTTGAGGTTATACCCTTTGTATTTCCAAGAGTTGCACTCTCGAGTATCGTCATGTTGGTAAATCTGAGTGACTCGACGGTGGTAGAGCTGTCAGGCCTGGCGTGTGGTATGTACAGTTTCACGTAGCACTGAGCTGACCTTGCTACAGCGGAAATAGAGGGTGGTCTTAATATTTATATCCCGGTTATGCGACAGCACCATGCAGCAAGGCCGGTACGAATATGGAGCTGTTGCTCTGATAGACACAGGAGTGACTTATAAATACTGCGCATGATGGGGATGCTAGCAGAAGCCCCACAGGCGTGGGGGGTTTTCCGTGCTCGGCTAGTTAACTGCCGATTTGAGTTATGGCGGAGCTGGAGAAAGGAACTGTATTACGTCCGCTAAGTCGTACTATTATGAAGATATGACTGCCAGTGAAGTGTCTCCAAGTCTTGCTCTAGCTCAGGGCTTCAGAGTTTACCCCGCGGGAAGTATGAAAGAGGCACCAAAAATGACAAGTCCGGGCTGCAAGTTCTCGCGAGTTACCCTCACGTGGGACATGTTTTCTATTCAAGAGAAGCTGAGTGCCCTTTTCTTCGTCCCAAGTATAAAGGGCGACTTGAACGGCAGAGTCGAGTTCTAGTGCCAGAGCACCTTGACATTCAAATGCATCGGTATCCAAAGCCCAGTGTCTTTATATGAGGGACACGATGGACTTAGGAGGATTGGAAGTTCATCGAGTATCCGCCTGTCTTGGGGTCCTGCACGAATTTAAAGTTGTCTGTCGACAATCCAAATGGCTTAAGGAACCCATTTCCCAGCTAGAGGTCCCAACAGTTAGTACCTTGCAGACGAACAGGGTGTGGTCATTTCACTAACATCTTTCATTTTTGACATCATCTCGCCCATCTCCTTTTCCCGAGCTTCTTTGATCCGTTCAGGAAGCTCAGCTAGCGCCCGGCGGACGATGCGCGTCTCATCGGGGGGAAGAGTCATCGCGTTGAGTAGCTGATAGTCTTCCGCGGCGCCTTGGAGATTAGCCCAGCCGCCCATCTGCGATTTCGCTTTCGCACGGCGCATCAGGGCTTTGGCTCGAATTCGCTGAACATTCGTCCGTAGCTCGTCCTGCTCTTTGAGGCGTTTCAGCTGCTGTTCCTCTGTCTCCTCAGCATCATCGTCCAATATCTCGACCACAGCTTCCGGTCCTTGGGTATCGTTGGTCGTGGGTTTCGCGTGCTCTGATTCGGCCGGGGCCTTATCGTTGAGGGGCGATGAGGGAACAAGCTTCTCGAGGCGGTCGAGAGATGCCGTTGCAGAGTCTACGGCAGACTTCCAGTCGGCCAGTTTCAGATAGCAGGCGGCGATATTGCAGCGAAGTACAGCAACATCGTAATCGAGGTAGTTGGGACAGGTTGCTAACGCGCGGTCATAGGTGGAAATAGCTTGGTCATAACATGCAGACGTGAAGAGACCATTTGCCTCGGCTTTGATTTCGTGGGATTCCTTCAGAAGCTTCTGTATTGTTGTTGAATCAGCATCTGGAAATACAGGACAACAGGCTTCGTATATCGTCTTACTGCTTCTTCCTCCTCAGGAAAACGCGCATCGTGAAACACGTCCTCGTCGCTCTCCGCCCCGGTGTCTAGCACGGCATCCTCTTTCTCATTCCTGCGCGGAGCCGCCATTGTGAAGCGATGTGGGAGACTCGGAGCGGCAGCGGCAATCACGGGACTGATAAGCGCGATCCCCCGCAAATCTTATCAATATTCTTCTCGTCCCGCTTCCACGGACCACCTTCGACTTGAAACCGAAATGAGCGCGCGAAAGGAGTACGTGGGATCATATCGTTGCGAGAGAGCGAGAGAGAAAGCCATTGGCTAATCAATTGGACAGGCCACCCCGTATCCGGGCTTGTCTTTTCGACATGGACGGCCTGTTGATCGACTCGGAGGACAAATACACGATGATCACCAATGAGGTCTTGCAGATGTACGGCAAACCGAATCTGCCTTGGTCGATCAAGGCCCAGCTCCAAGGACGCCCACAGCCGGAGGTATGGACCAGCCCAATTCCCAACTGCATGCTGCCAGCTTAAGTGCTAACGGCTGCTTAGGCGAGCAAGATCTTCCATGAATGGGCCCAGCTGCCTATTACTCCGGAAGAAACAGCGGCAAAGCAGGCCTCACTGCAGGCCAAGTACTTTCCACAGTCACAGCCACTCCCTGGTGTGCCGGCTCTGTTGGCGAATCTGGTTTCGACGCAGTCGACAGAGAACCCTGTTTACATTGCTTTGGCGACGTCGTCTAACAGTCGCAACTTCTCTCTCAAGACGCAGCATCTGAAGGACCTCTTTTCGGCATTCCCAGAAGCCAATAAGGTCCTTGGTGATGACCCCCGCATTGGAAAGGGTCGTGGCAAGCCCTTGCCCGATATCTATCTTCTTGCGTTGGAAACAATCAACAAGACCATCCGTAGCAAAGGAGAGACAGAGATCAAGCCCGAGGAATGTCTTGTGTTTGAGGATGCGGTTCCTGGTGTCGAAGCTGGCCGCAGAGCCGGCATGCAGGTTATTTGGTGCCCACATCCAGGTCTTCTAGAATCGTACAAGGGACGTGAGGAGGAGGTTTTAGCAGGCCGGACAGGATCGCATACTGGTGAAAATGAGAACGCCGGCTCTCTGGGGGAACCAGGCGATGGTTGGGGTCGATTAGTGCACACTCTGGAGAATTTTCCTTATGAGAACTACGGAATTCAATTCCCCGAGCGGCTTCATCATGAAGATAGAAAAGACAATACACGGTCCTGGATTTCACTTTATTATAATCGATATACCCGAAGAGATACGTTCAAAAAACAATTTATTAGGTTGAACTAGCTGGCTGTGTAGAAACTCAAATAAAATCACAATTAAAACCTCCGGCCCAGCTCCCCATTAACCCTCCCGTGGGATCGCAACGACTGGACTCGAGATATCCACCCGTATATCGTCCCACCATGGTAGAAACCTCCAGAGATATGCATCCCTAACTCAAAAGAGGAGGCGGTAAAATACCACGCAAGCCTCCCTCCCTCCGAGGATTGGGTAATGGCATATACGGACGGCAGCGGCCACGACGGCTCTGGGAGGGAGAATGGTGGTAAGGGAGGGAAGCGAGGCTAGCCATACAGTATACTCAGCCGAGCTCCGACGAAGGTTTATCTCGGGAAATTGTAACTAGAAAGAGGGAATAGATTTTCAATCAATCAATCAATTAATCAGTTAACCCTCACTTGAAACTCTCCATTAATCGTCCCCGTAAAACTCCCCATTAAACCACCTGTAAAACTCCTCATTAAACCACCCGTAAATGCGAACGCTAAGACCTTCCATTGACCGCCCAATAAATCAGTACCATAGAAACTCCGATAGATGTGCAGTAGATGCCGATGACACAATTTCCCATGAACCCGAAAGTAGATGCCCTTTGAAAACTCCGCTAGATTCCCCATAGACGCGCACATAAAGACAAGCACTCAGTACGGATGCACACGAGCAGAAGATTTGCGAGTCGTAGACTTGCGAGAGGAACTTTTGCGAGAGGGACTCTTGCGAGGGGAAGGGTCAGGGGAAGTGTCGGGGGAAGAAGTGCCAGGCGAGAAGGCGCTAGGCGAGAAGGCGCTGGGCGAAAAGGAGCTAGCGAAAGAAGTGCTAGGGGAAGCGGCAACTTCATTGGACATAGCCAGGACTGTCTTTCCGACATGGATCTGTCCTTGCTTGCGATCGTTGACAGTCTTGTTGGTTTGAACGCGCTTTACGGCCGCCATGGGATCATCGCAGAAATGTTCTGCGTACGGGGGATCATAGAGGTGTTTGGCGGTGCGCCGACATTGCTAAATCAAAGTAAGCCAAGAGGACATTTGCAGAGACCAAGAGGTATTCAAATTTACCATTATGGCAGTCACGGCTTCCTGAAGACGGTCTACAAAGAAACCAGTCGGCTTGTTGCGATGCGGGTACGTATAGGCTTTACTAGTTAAGTGGCGCTTGAGCATGGTCACCTGCGGGGTTGTTAGCAGGAATTGCAAAACGGACAATTAGAAACATACCAGAAGCTTCCAGGAAACAGCTTCAATCCGCTCAATTGTAAAGTGACCAGTCTTGAAGTGAAGGCCAACCTTCTCATCTTCCGGCTCGAATCCAGTGACTTCGAAGTTGTACTTGAAAGCCTCGACAAGAGCACCAGCGGCTAGGTTCTTCTGGAACAGGGTCTGCGGTAGAGTGGTGTCCAGCAAATCAGTAGGGGCAGTATTCATGTAGGCCAGCTCCGCGGGCATCTCGGACTGGAGCGGGAGGATTTCGTGACATCTCGCAGAGAGCGAAAACCAGTAAGTGGTGAAAGGAACTTGATACTCTCCAGTCATTGCAAGTCCATTAGAGGAGGTCTGATTGAGCTCATCAGTTGGCGTTTGGTGGATCGAAGCATCAGGATTGTCTGCAGCCGAGAGACTGTTGCCATAATTACAAGTTTTCTCGGCAGCAGGAATGTTGTTCATGACATGAACACCGTTGTTGTGAGCAAGGGTGTTGTTCATGGCTTGGGCATTGTTGTCATGAGCAAGAGCGTTGTTAGAAACGCGAGTGTTGGCGTGGGCAGGAACATTTTTCATGGCTCGGACATTATTGTCAGGAGCTGGGGTGTTGTTAGAAGCCCGAGTATTGTCAGGAGCAGGAACATTGTTCATGGCTTGGACATTGTTGTCAAGAGCTGGGTCGATGTTACAAGCCCAAGTGTTGTCACAAGCAGGAACATTGTTCATGGTTCGGGCGTTGTTGTCAAGAGCGGGGTCGATGTTAGAAGCCCCAGTGTTGGCGTGGGCAGGAACATTTTTCATGGCTCGGACATTATTGTCAGGAGCTGGGGTGTTGTTAGAAGCCCGAGTATTGTCAGGAGCAGGAACATTGTTCATGGCTTGGACATTGTTGTCAAGAGCTGGGTCGATGTTACAAGCCCAAGTGTTGTCACGACCAGGGACATTGTTCATGACAGGAAGACTATCACCAGGAGGAGGGGCGATATCCGAAGCCGAAGTGTTGGCGTGAGCAGGGACATTGTTCATGGCTGGGGCATTGTTTCCAAGAGCAGGGGCGCCATGTGAAACCGGGGTGTTGCCGTGAAGAATATTGTTCATGGCTGGGACACTGTTGTCAAGAGCAAAATCATTTTCGTCAAGAATAAAGTCTTCAATAGCAAAGTCACTGTTATCAACAGCGAGGGCGTTGTCAGGAACAAAGTCAACGGGAGCAAGAGCCGCATTCATAGCAATTTCGGCTTCAAGACTTTGGGTGTTAGAGTCAGGAAAATTCTCGGCCATGAGCTGGTCGAGCACGAAGCTAGAAGACGGAAAGTCGGTAGAGGCATCCATCTTCCTCAGGTCGCTGAAGGTAATGTTGGAGAAACCAGAGAAGGATGGGGAGAGGGAGGAAAAGTGTCAATTCCAGAAGGCGGAGGACCTTATAGTAGGGGAAGGGAATGCATAGAAGCTATTCACTAGCGATGTCCCGATTAGGATGTTTACAAGGGCACTTCGTGAATATTAACTAGTTCTTCTGAGCACATTTGGAAAGCTCGGCTTGCCATTGGCCCAGACAAAAGCTGAGTTACCCAAAATGGCTCCCAGAAGACCTAGTGAAGAGCCCTAAGACTCCCCATTCTGCCCATGACAAACGGCGGCCTTGTATGCCAGACGTGATTGGTCAAATTGGAATAATAGCCTGACTGTCAAGGCGGACTATCGACTGTACTCGCGTGTGTTGCCATTTCCCACCCCAAGGCGGACGGCATATCCCATATTCTGATACCTAGTTCTCCATGTCGGTCTTGCGAAGGTGGTTCAACGCTGTTCTCCAACAGCTTTGCAACATGAGGGGAAGAATGTCCACAACACGTCGCAGCAACATCACCCATGGGATGAAACGTCGTGCTTGTTACCGCATCTACAATAAACATCAGCGCTTGCCACACAGCATCAAGCTTTAGCTTCTCACCGTCATGAACTTTGAATTCCCAATCCGGATCTTGCCCGCCGGCAGAATATACGGGGTTCCTCCACACCCTCATATACCCATCCGTTCCTCCAGCCCAGACCTCATGCGAGCCATCTGGACCCGCAGACAGCACATCGATCTTCAAGCGATGGTTGGTCATCGCACGACGCCCTCGCAGAAATCCGAGCATTTGGCCTGTGCCCCGAATATCGTACACAAGAACCCCGTCGCTCTTTCGTTCAGCAATATACAGATACCGGCCACAAGGACTCCACGCAAGCTGCGTGATACCTTTCCCCCCTATCTCACGGTTCGCAGGTGTCTTCGCTATGCTGAACGTGCCTAGGAGCTCTCCAGACCCATTGGAGCTGTACAAACCCACGTGTCTAGTGAAAGTGCCTGCAGCCAGAACACCGTCGCCGCTGGGGTTGACGGCCAATGCCGAGACAATGCCCTTCATTCCAATGCCGCCGCCAACAATCTGCTTACGTTTGCTTGGAATAGTTGGCATTGCGGAAACAGGCCCATCCTTACCTGGGCGAGAGATGTCGAAGAGACAGATCAGACTGTCTGAGCCGGTGAGGAAATGAGTTCCACCCAGAGTTGAAGGGTAGAGCATTGAATGGGGCGTGATGAAAGCCTCAGTCATTGGATTTACGAACGAATAACTCCCAATAGAGGTTGGGGACAGTGCTGAAGTCAGTCTGATGGGGTGGTCACGCACTGAAGAAAGAAAAAGAGTTGTGGAAGGGTCTTGGAGATCATAAAAGGGGTACATGGCAGTTGCGTATACCGGCTCGGAAGAGGAAAATGTTGAGTAAGGTGAGAGATGATGCACTGACTCAACTTCTAACAGATCCGGCGGTCTGAATACGCGCATTAGACACCATGAGATAAAGGGGTAAATAGAAGTCTACTCACAAGATGTAGGTTTTGATACTGTGATCCACTGTTTGAGCGAGAAGAGAAGTACCATCCGGAGACCTGTTGGACGTTGAAAAAGGAATCAGTCCATTCCGCCCTGAAATGAGTAGGGTGAGGAGGTGAAGGAGAAATGACACATAAAACTATCAAACACTGCCAAGGATGGAAAAGGAAAGATAGGTTAGTATGAAAGATAGGGCAAGGGGGAGAGACATGGGGATAAGCAGATGTATAAGTTATCACAGGTGGCTAGCAATGGGCAGCAGTAAGTGGGAAATAAGCCAAGGGACGGGGTATTATGGCAATAGGGAATATTGAACAGAATAGAGAGCATATTCTATGGTCGAGCCTTTGCAAAAGATGACAATGGACACCGATGACCCAATAAGCAGATAGTAGGTTGCAAGAATAACATAATAAGGGAAGCACGGAAGGCATCGCTTGTGCAAGAGTCATGATCGGGCATAGAGTGACATGCAAGAATTAGCATGCAACCTGCGGAGGGTTTTGCGACTGTCTGAAGACGATCAAGATTCTAGATTAATCAAGCTTATGCGTATTCTTGACATGATAGAGTTTCGGATCGAGTATTCAAAGCACCCAATTGAAACAATATCGGGTTTCAAGCAAAATTTCGACGGGTGTGCAAGGGTGAGATTGCACGGTATCCAAGGCCCAGTAGAAGATACAAAGGTGCATAGATTGACAATATGGAGGTGCAACGCGTCTGTTCGCGCGAGGAAAATCGGCAACTTACCATTCAGCACTTTTGAAGGAACAGTTGGCCTTGGCATCATCAACGGGTAGTTGATTCAAAGTATCATCTTGGGAAGCGGATGGGTATTCTGAGATACCCGTGGAAGCCACACATCGTGGACCACAGGTCCGATCTGTTTCCTTGGGTAGATCGATCATGGCGAATCAGTTATGTATTGAAGTTATGCATGAGTACGAATGTACTTCTAAGGTTAGAGTAAGGTTAGAGTGTAGATCATTTGATAGCCGGGCCGGAGAAACAATGGTCCGGTGTCCGAATCTTATCGGGCAGGAACGACGAGCCTCGATTGTTGTGTCCGCGGTATTTTGCGCATTCCGATCGCCATGTTTGCTCCCAAGACTTCTGCCCCGGGCAGTTTGTCAATTAACACAACCTCCGCCAATTCCCTCTTGTATGTGAGACTTCTCTTTTTTCCCCTGACACCGGACTGTCAATTCCCCAGCCCATTCCATCGGAGCTCCTAGCTCTGATCGGCAGTCCATTCTGGACAAGCCAGTGCATCCTAGGACCTTGTCTCTCTGGTCTCCCTGACGCCAAGCAATCTTTCCATTTGCTTGCAATCTGCAGAGGCCTTGGGCTGGACCGTGTCACTACGCGTTGGTACATCATCCATTGGTGCTCTGTGAGCGGTCAATTTGATAGACGCGTGTTTTGTCAGCTCATATCAAGTTTTCTGCTTAAGCCGCGCGTAGCGAGGCTGCCGGTTGCCTACCCTCCACGGGTGAATGCTTAGAAGGCGGAGCATGCTTCGAAGCCAGTGTCCAGTTGATCACTTGAATATTTGATATAACAGAGCTAACAAAGGAGTTTTTTTTTTTGACAGTGGCGGCACTTCCAACCCCACCACATCAACTTCCACTCCAGGATCAACTGGTACCGCTGGCAATACAGGTGGTCTTTTTGGCAACACAAACTCTACTGCACCAAAGCCAGCAGGCGGCCTCTTTGGCGGTGGAAGTACAACGCAAAACACCGGCTCCAGCATGTTCTCAGGTGGACAGCAGGCTGGCTCGACCGGCGGCGGTCTCTTTGGGTCTACCACAAATACCGGCACTGGGACAGCCCAGACTGGGACAACAGGGGGCGGTTTATTTGGTGGAGGGTTAGGCGCGAACACAGCCCAGACGCAAGCCAAACCTACCTTCGGTGGTCTTGGAAGCTCAACAGCAGGAGGTGGTGGTCTGTTGTAAGCTTCCGTCGCATACTTTGTCCCATAGACACCCACTAATGGTTTTCACAGCGGTGGCGGTCAAAGCACGCAGCAGCAAGCTCAGCAACCCCAGCAACCCCAGCAGCCACAACAGCCAACATTGTCCATATTTGGTAATCAAACTACAGGCCAGAGCGCGCCTCAGCCCCTTCAACAGAGCACAGCAACGAACAATGTAGTCCCGGGCGTCAAAGTCGACACGAGCAATCTCCTGCCGACAACCAAATTCGACAGCTGTACGGACGAGCTACGGAGCCAGATCGAGTTCATCGATAACTACATTCTAAACCAAATGAAAATGAGCCACGAACTCGCCGACTTGCTTCCCAACATCGAGACGCAAGGCGCCTCTATCCCAAATGATGTGGATTTTGTACAGAACAAGCTGGAGACATTGCAACACGCCCTGGAGAACGATGCCAGCGACATTGACGGACTACGAAACATTGTCCTCCGAGATGCCGGGGAAGCGCAGGTCACCTTCCGCGCGATTGACATGCTGAAGTTGCCCCTGCAGTACCAATCAGCCAGCGGTGGCTGGTGGTCAGTGCAGGATCAAAAGGTGCCAGAACGGCGGTCCACTCGTAAGAACACATTGGCGCTTCCGGATGAGGTGGACGGTGATCCGTCCACCGCTACCGAGGTCAATGGAGTTCCCGTTAATCTGGTGGACTACTTCTCGCTCCGCGCAGACGAGATGGGCTCTGTGCTAGACCGCTACAAGGGCAACCTCAAAGAAATTGAAGACCACCTGTATGGGGTGGAGCTTTCTTTGAACCGCCAAATCAATGAATTCGTCAGCTCCCGGTCTCGCGACGGCGCGGGCCACGGAGCACCTAAGTCTGCCATTAACGACTTAGCTGCCGTCCTGGGGATGTGGAGGCCGGGATCATGGGGGTGGCTGCTCGACTGGGCAGCGTATCGGAGCAAGCGCAGGAGTTTACTTTGGGGCCTCTGTCTATGGGCGAGGGTCGGTTGGGTTAGATTACGGCACAGAACGGAGTAAAGATATCATGTACACTAATTCAATGAGCTGGGCTTTGAGAATCCGGGGCCAAAATGAGAACCATCTTTCAATCGACATGTAACATGACGGTCCTAGCACGTGGGCCTAGTACGCCCCGGGCGCCCGTGGACTTCCTCCTACATACGGGTCCCCATATTTGAGGCTTTGACCAACTCCCAGGGAGGTAAGTAACAGAGGAGAATCCTGGCCGGTTGAATTGAGGAGGACCCAGGCGAATTGGCCTGTTCAGGATCTCTTAAGAAAGTTCTTCGTAAGCACGCCACGAAGGCTACTTCGTCTTCCGAATATACTCATCTTCTCGCCATCCAATCAGCCCCGAAAAAATCCAGAGGAACACAAAAGCACATCCCAAGTATCCAGCGCATTGGATTGGAATGTGACAAGAATGGGTGGGTAATGCAAACTCGTGGGCGCAAGAACCCGCCACTCTTGCGTGATCGCCGGCTTAGCGGCGACGTTTTTGCACTGCTAATTCCAACCTCCACAATGTCGCCGATCATCCCATAGCTCGTCTCAAAACGTCCCTATCTCAAATCCTGCGCACAGTTTCAGACAGGTTATCCTCAAACGGCGGTGAAGGTACAAGATATACATCGACAACTGTTGTTATTCGTCGTGAATGACCAATTTGGCCAACAACGTCACCAGAATGACGTGATCCTGGCTCCCCCCTGCTGGATCCCGATCCTGGAGACAATCTGGTCCTCACGTACTTCCAGAGAATCCGGGGCCCATCGAGTGTGGCCCCGATGCTCCCCGATCCTCGCTCTCTAACTGGTGAACCCGCAGCCTCCCGTCCCTGGATCACTCCCGCGGAACTAGGCGCTCTAGTTCGTCTTGGGTGATCACATCATCCGATGGCGCGATCGCCGTCAGCGAGCATACCGGATGTGCTCTGTAATCATCCAGGTCTTCGATTCTGGGTTTGACTCAGCTCTTGCAGGTCCACAGAATGTTCCACTTGCTGTCGTGATTGCTGATGTCTATATAAATGTTGTGGGCTCCCCCGGGTTTTCGAGTTTAAACTTTTCTTTATCAATCGTATAAACTTTCACCTGACGACTCCGCCCCCTCGATAATACCTTGTACATTCGCATGATGGCACCATCACTGGAAGAGCCAATTACCCCTTCCGCCGCGGGCACATTGTACTTCCTACCAAGGCCGACGCTGGCGATAACAAGTTCGGCTACGTGCCCGGACGGACTGTAGTCCAGCAACACGTCAATTATGAACATGAAGATCTTCTGCCCTCGTTTCCGGATATCCACTGGGACCCTCTTGAAGAAGTGCCTTATAACGATCGTGGCCTTCGGGGAGATCCCAAATTCCGCAATCTTCTCCGGGACGCGACGGCCGTGTTCGACTACAATCCCAAGATTGGCACGGAGATCCACGGTGTTGATCTAAGTAAGCTAAGTGAGGCCCAGAAGGACGATCTGGCTCGTCTTGTGGCATACCGTGGTGTCGTCTTCTTCCGTGATCAGCACAACCTCGACATTGATGCTCAAAGAGAATTGGGCCGGCACTTTGGACCCCTTCACAAGGTAAGCTAACCGCTCAATTAATCAAGTCATGATGGTGAAAACTAACTTGCAAACCAGCATGCCACTACCTCGGTTCCTCGTCGAAAGGGTCTCGAGGATGTCCATGTCGTCTACACTGGTGATGGTGCTGGTGACAACCGAGCACTGTTCAGCCCAAGCTTCCTGTGGCACTCAGACGTGACCTACGAGCTGCAGCCTCCTTCTTATACTATGCTTAAGGTGCTCACAGGTCCACCTCGTGGTGGCGGTGGCGACACTCTCTGGTCGTCCCAGTATGCCGCCTACGACATTCTATCTCCAGGCATGCAGACCTATCTAAAGGGCCTGACTGCCCTGCACTCCGCAGACATGCAGGCGAATGACTCCCGGGCACTTGGTCGCCCCGTTCGCCGCGACCCCGTCACTACAGAGCATCCCCTCATCCGCACAAACCCCGTCACCGGCTGGAACAGCCTGTTCTTCAACCCTGGCTTTGTGACCAAGATCGTTGGTATCCCCAAAGGCGAGAGCGATGCCATCATTGCCTACCTGACGGATGTTGTTGCCACCACCCAAGAGGCTCATGCTCGATTCCAATGGAATGTGGGTGACGTTGCTATCTGGGATAACCGCACTACCAACCACAGCGCCACATACGGCTTTACTCCTCACCGTAGACATGCTGTGCGTGTCGCGGCTCAGGCGGAGCGTCCTATTTTAGAGGCCTCAGGCAAGTCACAGGAAGAGGAACTCAATGCGTTGTATGGTCTGCCAGCAGTCAATAAGGATGGTTCTCGCCAGTCCAACTACAATGACTGAAGGATTATGATCATGTTTTCGGCGTTTGTTTCTTCCCTACGGTTATTTGAGCGTTATCAAATACCTAATTAGCGTTGGCAAAACTTGAAAGCGGTTTTTTATTATGCGAGCGAACCTGCAGATTTACTTGGCGCAATCTACAAATTTACTGGATCAATCTTACATTCTTTCAATCCCCTTAAAGTTGGAATATACCTAATACAGTGCCCTCTCTCAGCTGTATCATCAAACTTTGAGCTCATCATGTGATAATTGCTACTAGTATAGCTCTCGAACTAGAAGAAGTTGAAGTTCCAGCTCCCACCGCCGTTGGAGTAAAGACCCTACGGCTAGTTGAAAGAGAGCTCAGAATCATACTAGTAGAGCTCTCCCCGTTCACTGATATCAACTTGAAGATGCATCTAGTCACCGCTGGCGTCTCCGAACTGTCTGGCTAATCAGATACTCGCTCTGGGAATATATGCTTCCAAGCCCGAGGTGCGTTTCCTCCAATTGCCAAAATGAGAAGCATTCAAGTACTATAACGCATGCCCCAGACCTGAGTGGATGGGACATCCCTCGTCTCCATCAAGATTTTGTTTATGGTACATGGCCTGCTCATCTTGCCATACAACACAGCACCATGTTAAAGCCCGGGAATTCTCTAGGTGATTTTGTGGGAAAGGCAAAGCTAGCTAATTTACCTGGGCATAGGACCTCATGAATCTCTAAATTTCCTGACTCCGTCCTCGAGTCCCCTGCTCGCACTTGCTATTTTCCGCTCTCGAAAAAGCAGCCGCCCATTCTATGCCGTCCATACTCATCACCTACCATCGCCCAGGGCCTTGTCGACCTACCTCTCCGCCAATCAGGCTTCTAATCAAGAAGTCAGCACCTCAGCACAAAAGGCGATGGCCAAAGTACAGCGTGGCAAGGGAGAGGGTAGAGCTCTGGAGTCGGGGCACACGGAGCCAATTATCGCGGAGTCCGAGACGGACAGCGAAACGCTCAAGGAGACGTTCAGGTGTTTGTTCGGGCTTCCCTCCTGTCATATCCAGTTTTGGGCCTTATTCATGATTTGCAACTAAATGGCAGCGTAACGCGGATTCATTGTGTTCAAAGAGACAAGGCTCGAGAGGATGCCGATTCAGAGAGCCTCAAGCCAAGCACGTAGACCACGGAAGCCAAATTTGATCGTGATTAGCCGACGCAGGGATTTTCCCCCAAGTTACTGATGTATTTCAGAGCTGCACAGCGTGATGGGTCAAAGTTCAGAATTCCACACGAGAAAATATTGCAAACATATATTATACGGAGAGGAGATGGTCATATCGATTACTCAACCGCTTTGACGGCACATTACGTCGCCTCTGCAGTCGTATTGGATTTAAAAATACAGAGTGAACAGAAGAATGCAAGACCCAAGGCCAATCCAGCGCTTTAAAACTCAAAATGCAGATAGATAGCCAGAGTGATGCGCAAGCCAAAGCCAGCCACTTTCACTCGACTCTTGTAGTTTGTGGACTTTTTTTCATGCTTTTTTTTGTCTTGAGATCGTTGGCGCCGAACTCGAGATTCGCTTCGGTATAGTACACGTCACATGCTACCTACCACCTGCTTGCGTTTTACAGCTGATAGGTGGTTGGTGGTATGCGAAAAAAAAGGGGGCAGGGAGGCGAAAAACAAGAGACGACCTGGTGTATACTAGATCATTTATTCGTTGATCTTGGCGAGGATCCTGTTCGAACTGTTAATGATGCTGCAGAATGGATTGGTGAGACGGATCTCAAGGGGTATCGTACTCAGAGTCGCGGTAGAGGGTGTACTCCTCGTCGCCGATCTTAATGGGGCTTCCACCAAACTGAGAGGTGTCGAATTAGTTGGCAATTCTTGGTGAGGGACGGAAAAGCGCCATTGGCATCGCATTCGCAATGCGCATGCGGCGAATGACGCCGAGAAGGATCAGACGTACCTGGGGAACAAGGACCTTGTCACCAGCGGCGACACCCATGGGGATGCGCTTGCCGTCGCGGTCAAGGGCACCGGGGCCAACAGCCAGGACGTTGCCGGCGGACTCGTCCTTGAGGGTGCTCTCAGGGAGGAAGATACCAGAGGCAGTCTTACTCTCAGGCTTGATGCGCTGGACGAGGACGCGGTCCATAAGGGGAGCAAGGCTCTTGACACTGCGGATGAAAGACTGGAAGCATGTATTAGAAAGCGTTCATGGAATAGATCCTCGTGGCCAGGAGTGCGAAACAGCAAAGATGATCGGGGATGCGAAAGGACAGGAAACTCGAATCTTCTGCGATAAAAAGCTCGCGGAAGCGCAGGAGACGGCTTCCCAGGAATGCACGTACCATTGTGATAGGGATTGAGGTTCTTGTGGTCAAGAGTGGTTGATGGGATAGGGAAAGGATGAAGTGTCTGGGGGGAGGAAGATCTGGAGTTCCGCGAGAAATTTCCAGAATGCCAAGACCCGCAGCTCCGAGGACCAACCCAATCGGGTACTCGCGCGAGTTTAATGGACAAACATGCTGCGGCCGTTGGCTGTGGGATGTATATCCTCGGCATAGTCTGCTTGCTTTCAAGCTTTCGAGTTAATTCCTAGCTGCAATTGAAGGTCCTGTAGCTCGCGACAGAACATCGTTCCAGCTAGTTGGAGCTCCGGTTCGCCGAGGCCCAACCGTGTCTAGCGAATCCCGTAGAGCCGGTCATTGGAAATCTTAATTCATCGGTTATTCGCATTCGAACGCCAAAATACCAGTAGCCTTCGTCAAGTAAACTATAGAGCATAAGGACCCAACAACAAGTTTTATACTACCAACGCCTTCCCCGCCCACGCCCTCCATAGTTGCCCCGTTGGTCGTATCCTCCGCCTCCATATCCCATCTGCTGCTGTCCACCTTGACCGAACCCTTGGTTCGGGGGCTGCCCGGGGAACCCTTGCTGGGGGGTCGGAGTCCCGCCAGGCTGTCCACCCATCATGGCCTGTGCACTTTGCATGAACGTCATGGGGTCCATGTTCGCCGGATCCATGCCCTGAGCCATCATGGTTGCCAGCATACCCTGCATCATATCTTGCGACATGTCCGGCATGCCAGGCATGGCGGGCATGGCGGGCATGGCAGGAGGGCCGCTGCCGGGGGCAGGAACTGGAGGACCACCGGGCATTGGCGGCATCCCCATGCCTAAAAATGACTGCATATCATCCATTTGTCGCTTCTGGTCACTAACTTCCTTGCGCACCTCCTGCTGTTTCAGGCAATAGCTAACCCAGGTGAATTCGTCAAAGCCGTAGTTGAAATAATCCGAGATATCAGATCCTGGCCGGCGCCAGGGCTTGTCGTCTGCTGGGAAATCCGCGTCCATATCCGTCGCCATAATGGTCTTCCCTGTCGAGGGGTGTACAGGGTTGGCATTGACATCAATTTTAGATGTGTGAATGGCAGGGTATTCGGACCCAGGCTTCTGGTTTTGGGGCACTAGAGGCTTTGCGGCATCGCCGGTGCCAGGGAGAGGACTTGGAGCATCGTTGCGGGGAATGACAGAAGGGGTGGCGGGTTTGGAGATGACCGATGAGTCGGCTGAGGATGGTCGCTGAGATTCTTGCCTCAAGCTTGCATGTCGTGGGTGGGAGCTTCGTTAAATTAGTCAAAGGTCGCTATGCGCACGGGAGCTTGGGAGCTTACATTTCTGGAGCAGGTGCATCTGCAGGGGCTTCGGTGATGATATTGAAATCGTCCTGTATTGAATTAGCATAATAAGCTTCTTGGGCCAAGCTTAGAGGCGTACATCGTCGTCCTCTTCCTCCTCCTCTTCCTCTTCCATGTCGTCTTCTTGCGGTTGAGCAGGAACTGGCTCATGGACATTATTGGGCGCATGGTTGACATGCACCGTCTCAGTAGGCGCATAGAAATCGTCGTCTTCTCCGTCATCCATTGTGACTGCTTGCAATTCTCTTATCTTTGTTGGTGTAAGGGTGTCGCAACAGACCGAGTTGTAAATGTGAGTGAAGTTTGGATTGTTTGCACCGAAGAAGTAACAAACAAGAACTGTCGTGTTAGTTGCACCAAATCAGAGAGGCAGGGTGTATGTGAATATTAGATTCATGAGATGTGACATATATATCTATGTGATAGAAATCATGTGCAGACATTCACTGTCAAAAACTCAAGGTAACTATCTGTTTGAGAGGTTGGTTACAAGGTCACGTGCATTGATCCATAGACGTCAGTAGTGAATGTTTCTACCAACACGATACTACTTTTTACCCTCCCACTACAGGGTTTTTTTGTCGCATCAACTCCTACAATGGCAGACAAAGGCGACCAAAATGCCAACCCTCGTGGGTTTGCAGGCAAGACTGTCTCTGCAGAGGAGATGCTCAAGTCGCAAACCGTCGGTCTCGTACATTTATCGGATTTTCGCAAGCGGCGCGCAGAGGTCCTGGAGCAGAAAGAGCGCGAGGCACATGATAAATCGCTAGGGCGACTGGGGTCCGGTAATTCAAAAAGCGCGACTCCCTCTACAGGCGATGTAACTGACGGGTATGTTCAAGGGCGCATCCAAGATCCCATCTTCGACTACTGGGCGCGTTGAAGCTAACATGCAGCGCTTTAGATCATCCGCGGCTCCCAGCGATGAGCCTCCAAAGAAGAAAAAGAAAAAGAAGCTTCCCGCGAAAAGCAAGCTCTCTTTCGGCGACGACGCCGACGATGAGGATACAGGCGCAGACTCTGCGGCAACTCCGTCAAGCATATCTCGATCGGGCTCGAAGACTCCCGGCGAAGAGGGGGTAATTCCAGCCTCTACGCGAATAAAAGCGAACCCAAATGCACGACCACCCCCGAAAGCAGTCACAAAGGCCTCGCTTCAATCTGAGGCGCAAGTCCGCGAAACATTGCGCAAGGAATTCCTGGCGATGCAAGAAGCAATCAAGAACACCGAGATTCTGATTCCGTTTGTTTTCTTCGACGGAACACGCATACCGGGTGGATCTGTCAAAGTCAAGAAGGGCGATCCCATTTGGTTATTTTTGGACCGTTGCCGGAAAGTTGGTGCTGAGCTGGGCGTTGGCGGTGGCGGCGACGGAGCTGCTAAGGCGAAGAAGAACAACCGTCGGGAGTGGGCACGAATCAGTGTTGACGACTTGATGTTGGTCCGGGGCGATGTGATCGTACCTCAGGTGAGTTTCTCCGGCTCCGAAGTCTGAAAGGTCTGGCTAACATGGAGTCTAGCATTATGAGTTCTATCATTTCATCGCCAATCAAGTCCCCAGCTTTTCCAAACAGGGCGGCTTGCTGTTCGACTATTCCAACAAGCCTCCTTCAGACAAGCCAAGCGATGACCCTCTGTACAAACCCAACAATGATCAATTAGAGGGTGCAGACAAGGAAGCTGCGGAGACTAAGGTTGTAGATCGCCGCTGGTATGAAAGGAACAAGCACATTTACCCTGCTAGTCTTTGGCTTGAGTACGAGCCCGGGAAAGAGTTTGAGGAAAAGATGACTTCGACACGACGTGATGCTTCTGGCAATACCTTTTTCTTTTAGCGAGTGATTTTGGGTTGATACTCTTGTTTATAGCCCGGCGTTGTGGTAGAAACTCAGAAGTTAGGCAATGCTGACTTGGTCGAAGCGGCCTCCGCTCACACGCGGTCCTTCACCCACACCTCCCACCTTTCTTCAAGTTCGTACCCGTAACTCCAACCCAGCTCTTACGATGGACTTTCACCTCAGATGCAATTCGTTGACGTGCCGAGTGACTTTGAAGGAGAGGGCTGTTGTCACAACTTGCTCGTAAGTCCATCGCGTGTAAGTTCCTCGTTTTCAACCAGCGGCTCGCACTGACGAGGCCAGACACATATTTTGTCTTGGATGCGCAGATGGCCTTGGTCTCTCACATCATACGAATGAGCCCCGTTGTCCAGCTTGTCAAACCACCCTACCCAATCCAGACGATGCCGTGTCGACGATTCTCAATCCAACGGAAGACTACAAAACCAGTGTGTTGAGTGGGCTAGACCCAAATACAATTATGGAATGTGCAAGTCGCGCATTAGCATTCTGGGCATACCAGAGTACTCAAGAGGTGTATGGAAAGACGTTGAAAGCATTATGCATATTGCTCTGACTCAAATTATCAGACTCTACCAGGAATACCTCGGAAAGAGTCTTACGGACAAGTATACTAAGCTCAATGTGCACCTGGACAAGGTCGTCCACAATGCAAATTCAGAGATCTCTGCCTTGCACAGTAAAGTGGCTGGTGTGTTCGCCAACATCGGCCTGATATTGTGTTTTTATTAACACTCTCTTATAGAGATGCAGACGGCTCAGGAACAGCTGCAATCTAAAAACCAGGAACTGGCTGACCTCAACCGCGAGAAGTCCAAGAAACTATCGCAGATGACCAACCTTTACAACCTCTTGAAGGCACGGGCAATGCGGTCTCGCATGGAGATAGCCGCTTCTGACGATGTAACCCAAGCATTAAGAACCCTCAACACAACCACCAGCAAGGAGTCTACCGAATCTATACGCCTACCAAATGCCCCTATGCGTGGTCCTCAGCAACAGTCGATACCTGTGAAGATACCTGTGAAGATACCTGTGAATAGCGAAGGGGTCGAACAACTCCATAGATATCAACGAAGCGCCACAGGGAGCTCTAGGCATGTGAGCAAGACTCCAACGACTCTGTCAAGAGGAGCAGCTCCCCGTTACTCGCTACCAAGTCTTCAAAAAGGTTCGTCGTCTCTCCTTCAGTCTACTTCAAAGCTGACTCGTGGTTTTAGCCGCTCCTCCTGCGAGGCAACAACATCGAACTCGTCTTTCAAATACTGGTCGGGTCGGCACAGCCATATCAGGACTACCTCCTCATGACGAGATTGTAGCGCGGTTTGGAAATTAGCGCACCATTCTGGGGCCTATGCTAGTGACTTATGCCCGTACTCCCCTTGAACCAACGCGCGTGTCTACCTGAATATGTGAAATAGTCAATAGTGTTTAAACATAATATAGAGTCCTCATAGCTCAGACGGAGAGTGTTCTCTGCGGATTCCTGGGGTTCTCCATCCCAGAGTGTCAAATTCGCAATAGGACATGACTTGGGCTTCAACTATGGTTTTAAGCCAGCTACAAATTGAACATCCACAAGCGAATCTCCAGAGCCCCTTTCATTCTGAATTCCTATAGGCCAGATCATCTCTCCATATACTCTCCTTCCGTTGTCATTGGCCGCAATCCGCTTAGAGCCGCACCCGTTCGTCCGAGATTAGATCTCGGTGCAGCGGAAGTCGTCCCAGCCGCGGGCCACTCACACCCGCCATCCTCGCCCTTGCCCATGTCACCTCGTGATCCAGACCCTAGCTTATCCAGCTGATCGGTTCCTGGTGATCTCAATCAGCGGATCTATCCTTTTCATCGGAAATCCGGGGTGCAGGACCCGTTTTCAGGAGCTTGTGTGGAGTCTTTTATAGATCTGTTATTGTTTTACGGTATATTCGGTAACTTTCGTATTTTAAGTTTGCTACTTGCCAGCATCAGTGTATTTCTTTATGAACGAGGACGATTGAAGCCTTGTTCATACGGATGGCATTTTGAGAAGACAGCTAGAGCTTATCGACATAGACAAATGGAGCGCTCCCTTTGGATGGAATGCGAAATAGAACCAATCTTCAAGGGGTTAGCGCGTTTGAAGAGACAACCACCGCTACGTCGTTGAGCATTTCAGATGAAGCAATCTGGGAAGGTCTACTGCGCCGGGAGGGGACAAATAATTTAGAATGTAGTGGGAGTTTATTTCATCTGATATTATCCGCTGGGACATCACCTCTATCCCTGGGGTGAACATAAAAGGAAATCTAATCATGTACGTCGGCACCAAACCAGTCTTTTTCGTCCGGGTAGGATTAAACGCCATACCCTCGACCAGTGAAACGGGACAGACCCGAGGCTCGAGAAACGAAACCTCACAAAGGCATCCCGCCAAATATCATATCATGCCATGCATTATACCACACAAAACCCATGCAACAGGGTAGGAGGAGAGACGCTGCAACAAAAAGAAGAAAACAAACTGTCAAAAGCAAGAGACACCGGCATTAAAGAAGACAAATCCAATCATCACATCTATGCGCCGAATTCCTTGATGTCGGTCTGCTTGCCCTGCAGGGCGAGGGGAACGATACCAGAAACGTGCATCTCGGGGCCGTAGACGTGCATGTCCAGACCGAGCTCGACACCAGCGGCCTTAATGTTCTTAAGACCCTCCTGGTAGTTAGGACCGGCACGACGGACCCAGATCTGGACCTTGTGCTCGTTAAGGACGGGGGCAACGTCACGCAGAGCGCGGATGACACCCTTGAAAGTGCTGGCAACGTTGGTGAAGTTGGCAATACCACCACCGATGAAGAGGACCTTGCCCTCGGGGTGGGTAGGAGCGCGCAGCATCAGGTCGAGGACAGTGCGGGCGTAGTTGTAGGTCTGGGCCTCGGAGGGAGCACCGGGAGTACTCACCGTAATTGGCGAGCTCACTGACGAAGCCAGCGGAGGCAATGGCATCGGCATAGACGACGGAGGCACCACCACCAGCAACCAGGGTCCAGACACGGCCCTCGGCGTTCAGGACGGTCAGCTTGAGGGACGCACCGGTCTTGGCGTCCATGTCCGAGATGTACTTTTCCTCCTTGGTCATCTCACGACCGAAGGGGGCGGGGAACTCCATCGGCGGACCAGCGTCGATGTTGACCTTGCCGTCGGCAGGAGCGACAGCAGTCAGACCCAGAGCAGCGGGGCTACGAGCAATAGCCCACTTGGTGCCACACTCGAACTCAGCGGTCTGGTCAAGCTTGGCAGCCAGATCGAGGAAGTGCACATCGGCAGAGGTGGCATCGGCGTTGGGGATGACCACCAGAGGATTGATCTCGAGGTAGGTGAACTGGCAGTCGACATAGACGGCGTACAGGCGGGAGATGAAGTCCACCAGGACATTGTGGATACCCTTAGGGACGTTGGGCAGGAGCTCAGCCGCCAGAGTCTCGTTGGAGGGGAAGTCCTTGAGCTGGACAGGAATGAGAATCTTCTTGGCCTTAGCATCGACATCGCCAACGTCAACACCACCCTCATCAGTGAAGAGGATCCAGTCTCCCTAAAAGCCAAAGTTAGCACAATGAAGCTCCAATCGAGGATCCTGAGAAGTCAATTGTCTGCATACCTCACGGACGGAGTTGATGTTGATGTAGTACTCAGTCTCCTGCGGGTGTGGCACAAAAGGCTCGACGAGGAAGTGACGCAGAACACCAGTGACGGTCTCAACTTGGACGTCCTTGGCGGCACGAGCCTCAATCCACTCACGAGCCTCAGCCCAGGTCTTGTTCAGAGCCAGAAGACCGCTCTTGCCACGACGCTTGATCAATTGATCGGGCTTTGCGACAAACTTGGCGCCGGGGGTGAGGAGCCAAGGGTAGGTGATCTCCGCCTGGTCGAGGACATCCTTGGGGGCCTTGTCATCCGGGAAGTCCAGCGAGGCGAGACGAGCAGGAGGGTTGTGTGTGGAGGAAGGAGGCAAAGGAGTAGGCTTGATCACAGGAGCACGAGTAAGGTGGTAGTTGAGGATGGCCTTACCATCGGCCTCGTAAATGGATTTGGCGGACATGATGTGTGTGTGAAATGTGTAGAATGTGTAGGAGAGATGAGGAGCGGAATTGATCGAAGATAGAGAAAAGAGAGGAGGATATTTTTTTTTTCTGGGAGAGCTCTTTTCCAGGGGTCGGAACAAGACTAGAATATGCAGCGTACAGCGCAGTAAAAAAAAATGTGCTGGAGATTACAGCGTAGACGTGGTTTCGGCGTTGGATGCGGGGCGAATCATATTGACCGCTATTGAGAATTCGTAGTTAAGGTGGGAAAGGTGGGGGGGTTAAGGTCAGCTCTTGTTGGGGATGGATACCTGTACTGCAGTGTTCAGGCAATCGAGGGGGCCTAGCTTCCCGTTACGTATTGTAATTCCAGCTTGGCGGGTTTTCTGTTGGGTGTTGGACACCGCCGGATCCGATCAGCCCAGGCGCATGGGAAGATTTTGAAGGGCGTTGAGCAAAGTCCTGGCTGGCTTTTTGGATGCTGAGGGCAAAGTACATGCATTGAAGAGTTTAGAACGTGTAAAAGCAGAGTAGTGCCTACAGAACACTACGTTATACCAATTGACTAGTTTTACCTGAATCTGCAACTCCCTGGCAAGCCTCTCTACCGCTACGACGAGTCCGGGGTAAAGTGCATGGACCCGAAGATCAGGCCTGCTCTGGAGGAGCACCGAAGCAGCCAGCAGCACAGAGGCGGATAGATTACGGTATTACAGCTGTCAGGCGATCCTCACAACGGTGGGTCGTAGTGGGGCAGTACAGGCCGTACCTGGTATTTGTGAGTCTGTTGAGCAATTTCTGGATGGATTTTCTGGGACGAGCTGTACACCGTATCTACGAGTCTCTCCTGCTTATTCGCCATCTTTTCTCTCCTCCCTACCTCCCTTTTTTCTTCCTTCCATCTATTTCCAAGGTTCTCATTGAAGCGGGTGTTTGCACAAATAGTAAGTCCTCCATCATCCCTACGTCTAACTTTTCTACCCCTCTCCTCTTAATTTCCTTCGAATTCCTCCCTAACAATCCTTTGACTTGACAGATTCATCATGCCCTCCACTTCTCTGTCGGCCGCCGCTGGCGGTAATGCCAACGACAACATCACCCGTTTCGAACCTCCTAGCCGCGTCCTCTCACCCCTCAACCACGCCCTCTTCCACAACAAGACACGATGCTTCGTATAGTAAGTTAGCCTCCGGCCATCCGATTGCAATTGAAGTCCAAGGATGCTAACTGGAACAGTGGCATGCAACCACGAGCCGTGCAGGGCATGCTCGACTTTGACTTCATTTGCAAGCGCTCCACCCCCTCTGTAGCCGGTATCATCTACACTTTCGGCGGTCAATTCGTCAGCAAGATGTACTGGGGTACCAGCGAGACCCTCCCTCCCCGTCTACCAGGACGTCGAGAAGGCCATTGCTAAGCACCCCGATGTCGACACCGTTGTCAACTTCGCCTCTTCCCGTTCCGTCTACCAGTCCACCATGGAGTTGATGCAATTCCCCCAGATTCGCTCAATTGCCATCATTGCCGAGGGTGTCCCCGAGCGTGTAAGTTTGGAATTTATTCGAGGTTTTAGAGTAAAAGCATCAGACTGACAATTGCCTTTTTCTAGCGTGCTCGTGAGATCCTGGTTACTGCCAAGGAGAAGGGTATCACTATCATCGGCCCCGCCACCGTCGGTGGTATCAAGCCTGGTGCTTTCAAGATCGGTAACACTGGTGGTATGATGGACAACATCGTTGCCTCCAAGCTCTACCGCAAGGGGTCCGTTGGTTACGTCTCCAAGTCTGGTGGTATGTCCAACGAGTTGAACAACATCATCTCCCAGAACACCGACGGTGTCTATGAGGGTGTTGCTATCGGTGGTGACCGTTACCCCGGTACGACTTTCATTGACCACTTGCTTCGTTACCAGAACGAGCCCGAGTGCAAGATCCTTGTTCTGCTCGGTGAGGTCGGTGGTGTTGAGGAGTACCGTGTGATCGAGGCTATCAAGAACGGCACTATCACCAAGCCCATTGTGGCCTGGGCTATCGGCACTTGCGCCAGCATGTTCAAGACTGAGGTTCAATTCGGCCACGCCGGTGCCTCTGCTAACTCTCAGCTCGAGACTGCCGTTTACAAGAACAAGGCTATGCGTGAGGCCGGCATCCACGTCCCCGACACCTTCGAGGAACTGCCCCACGTCCTGAAGGCTGTCTACGATGCTGAGGTCCAGAAGGGCAACATCGTCCCTGCCGCCGAGCCTGTCGTCCCCAAGATCCCCATTGACTACTCTTGGGCCCAGGAGCTTGGTCTTGTCCGTAAGCCGGCTGCTTTCATCTCCACCATTCCGACGACCGTGGCCAGGAGCTGCTGTACGCCGGTATGCCCATCTCTGATGTCTTCCGTGAGGACATTGGTATTGGCGGTGTCATGTCTCTTCTGTGGTTCCGTCGCCGTCTGCCTCGCTACGCTAGCAAGTTCTTGGAGATGGTGCTCATGCTTACGGCTGACCACGGTCCCGCCGTGTCTGGTGCTATGAACACGATCATCACTACCCGTGCCGGCAAGGACCTGATCTCTGCTCTGGTCTCCGGTCTCTTGACCATTGGCTCTCGCTTTGGTGGTGCGCTGGACGGTGCCGCTGAGGAGTTCACCAAGGCCTTCGACAAGGGTCTCAGCCCCCGTGACTTCGTCGACATCATGCGCAAGGAGAACAAGCTGATCCCCGGTATCGGCCACAAGGTCAAGTCCCGTAACAACCCCGATCTCCGTGTCGAGCTCGTCAAGGAGTTCGCGAAGAAGCATTTCCCTTCTACCAAGCTGCTCGACTACGCCATTGCGGTCGAGACTGTCACCACCTCCAAGAAGGACAACCTGATCCTGAACGTTGACGGCTGTGTTGCTGTCTGCTTCGTTGACCTGCTCCGCAACTGTGGTGCCTTCTCCGGCGAGGAGGTCGAGGACTACATGCGCATGGGTGTCCTCAACGGTCTGTTCGTTCTGGGTCGCAGCATCGGTCTGATCGCCCACTACCTCGACCAGAAGCGCCTGCGCACTGGGTTGTACCGCCACCCATGGGACGACATCACCTACCTTCTCCCCACCCTGCAGAAGGGTGGTGCGGAAGGCCGTGTCGAGGTCAGCATGTGATTTCCCTTTTCATGATTAGCAGCGCCGTCCGCTGGTGGCATAAAGACCGTCCTGATCGGAAGGATGGCGGAGTTTGGATGGTTAATCCTTTTTGTTTTACCCTATTTTATTTTATTTCTCTATTGTCCAAAGCAGTTTCTGCGCGTGTTTCCCCAACGCCTGATGCGATTGCCCGCGGCTGGGGCTCTAGTCCCGATGTACAGGGGGCAGATGTGGATGCCGCCGGGGATGGAAAACGGTGCTATGCCCGACTACGGTTCTGATTTAATTGTTTAGATGACTAGATCTCCCTAGGGACTTAATGAACGTACCCTTGCATGATGAATATACACCATGATAGCTTGACTTTGCCTCTTTTCCAAAGTTTCTCTTCAGTACTCCTTTTGGTTCAACTAGTCCTGTCGCAGGAAAAGCCTATGTGGTTCCAAGGATTAATCGACCAAAGAACTCCACGAAGCCTTCGAGCCCTCGAAGTGAGCCAGTGGACGATTGTTATATTGACAGATCCAGAATATATATAGAGGATCTACCCTGCACCAAGGCTACGGCTCGGACAGATGAGACTTGAGAAATGCAGAGTCCCTCTGCCTGATGATCACAGGTAAAGTCTCATGGTCAATATTGAAGGTTTCGGATTTCGAGCGCATGAATGTTAGATTCGTCTCCGGATCGGTGGAACAGCAAAGCTACCAGTACTTGCTGCTCCGTTTAGCGAAAACAGGCAAGACCTCGGATCTATCCTAAAAGGGACGAAGGTGTTTTTGCAGGTTCTCATTCCGTTCATTCTACAATTGCCGCGATGGAGTTGAGCCAGCATGCTTCTTGAAAAACATGGGAGACGTCGATAGGGCCCATGCAATAATTATTACTTGAGTAGTAAGGAAAATTGTCTTGGAAAGAAACTTGCCGTTCAAAGTGAACCATTGAGCAAGAACATGACACGACTAGCGTGGCAGCAACGACTCACATCTTCATATCTTAAGCAAAAAGTTCTTAGCAAATCCCCTTGCGCTGCGCATGACACCTCTTCACTGACTCCCGCTAGGCAACCTGTACGTTCACTCTCTCCGACCCAAGCAGTATATCCTTATGCAAAACCTGGAACTCTACGTAGGTGTCGTAGGGGATCATCTCAACACGGTAGCTTATTTTCTTCGACCACACACCTGTGTGTCCACAATAATCTGTGAAGCAATCACGGATCAGATTCTGATCAATTTTGATTTGGCAGATTCTCTTCACATGGCGTGTATATGTGGAGGGTGCTTTTTCCTTGCTACACGCATAGATTGCCTCGTGTCTCCACTGGCAGGGGCTACTTGCGGGGCTTAGCCTGCGCCAACCGTAGCTGAGGGAACTTTTCCCGGACATGAGGTCTCCCTAAGCCTGGAATTAATAAGACATGCAGGGAATAAAGCACAGCGGGCGCTGACCTTGCGTAGGTACCATTTCATCTGGTCTTTTGCCACATATTGGCCTTCGAGGCAGTCCCATACCTTGTCCTGCTGCCGATGGATACTTTTATCAAATGGGACTTGAGTGTAGATCATCCCAAGGCTTTGATTCGCAAGGATCTTTCGGGAAAGTGAAGTACTGCGTGGAGTCAATTTGGCCTCATGGCCGGGACTGACATTTTGAGAGTCAAGAGACTTCTCAGTCTCAACGGGTTTCTCCCCCACACTAGCTTTCTCCACGTCAAAGGCTGATTCCTGAAGGTGAAGGTATTTTTCAGTGTCAATATCTCGATTCAGTCCAGCAATTTGCCCAGCCTTCTTGAACTTGAGCTTTTCCAATAATCTCATTATCGTACAGCGAGATGAACGTAGATTGTCACCGGACCTTGCCATGATGGGCGTGCCCGAATACACAATCCTCGTGGAATAATTGTCGGTGACAGTTTCTAAATCTTGCCCGCCGCTCATGGTGGTCAATGGACTTTCTGTTCAGGCTCTCGAAAGTCGTGATAGGAAAGAGACGAAGAAAGGAAGGTCGGGTAGCTTTGGAGAAAGAAGCGAAATTATGTGTTGGGCATTTAGAAATTGAATAATATCCCACAGTGGATATCTCCGTCAAACAAGGTAGTCGGATTGCCTTTGTAGTCTAAAAGAGTGCCCGGAGCTTTCCAAAGGATGACGAGTATATTATACGGACTGACGGCCATGCTCGGCGTAATATGCTTTATCATGCAACGGTCCCAGACGGCTGGAAACCCCTTTTACATGGCTGATAAGCTCCGGTCCCTGAAAGAGTCTCCCATAACCCAATTGAGCCCAGTAAATCTAGGCTTTGTACCCCTTGTCTCTTTATTTGTAGATTCTCACCATCAAGTAACGACGTGTAGATCTAATAGCCTAATAGATCAGCGCCCACGCTTATCGGCTTATCTTATCTAATCGCGCACCGCGACTCCATTTTCTCCCGCGATGGCCCTAACGACTTTGTCCACAAAGCACACGCCATGGTTCGCCTGAAAAACCGTTACCTTCTCCTCGACATCCTCTACCCAGAGCCGGAAACATGGCCTCCCAAGTCCAAATCTTCTACGGCGTCTCCCCAATTAGCCATTCATGCCCCGACCTCTGACGCGCTCTCCCCCGGTCTTCTGGCAAAGATGATTCGCGAAGAGGTCGCCGAACTATACGGTGACTGGGGAGTTGGAAGGCTGGGCGGCGCAGCTGCCACTGGAATCAATGGTGCGTACAAGTCTCGAATCTCCACTCCAGTTGCTTTCCGACGAGTGTGGATCGACATCAAAGTAAGTACTAACGGCGGGTCGACGTGTTAGTGAAATACCTTTCTCCTGCAACTTCCACAGCCATCATCCGGTGCCCTCGTGCCTCTTTTCGCCTTGTCTGGTCCGCACTAACATACATGTCCCATGTGCCAGCCCCGGGCCCAGCAGGGAAGAAAGTCACGGGCGGGAAGGAACGCCCATGTGTGTTCAGAGTACTGCGGGTATCAGGGACCATGCGCAAGGCCGAGGAAGAAGCAATTCGGCGGGCAAGGAGAGAAATTGTCCGCGCCCGAGGTGTTGCGGAGTCAAGCGTGCTGGGAGATCTGATTTCGGGGGCTTCTGACCCCGCTGTTCCAACCCTGAATCCTGCTACCGTGAAAACAATCGTGGATGAAAGTGAAGATGAGGAAATGTTGGATGATGAGGATGATTGAATATGGTCTTTTGAGCGACCTTTGTACCATTAATGATACCCTGTTGAATTGCGATAAGTGCGCTATTATACATCTAAGGATGGGCATGTTCCCCTTAATATCAGGCCTTGCGCCGGACCTTGACGCCGCTATCTGGAAGAGGTCCTTTCCAGTTCGCCAAATCCTCGTCCTCATCAAGGTCATCAGGATCCCCAGCTGTAGCTGCCTTCTCTGCCTCGTTCCGTGCCTGCGCTTCGGCCTCTAATTCCTGGTGTTCAAGCTCGTCATACTCGTCCTTTGCATCAAGCCATCTCTCTTGCACATCCCGCACATCCGTTATGCCCAAGCCTTCTCGAACGGCAACCTGCCATACGGTGTCATTAGCTCCTTCTGCAGGGCCAAATGCGTATCCGGATGCCCGATCGATGGCTCGAAGAAGACTCATCATGCTCTTTTTGTCCTCCACCGCCAGCGTCTCAAATGCTACGAGGCCAAACTCCTCGACCAGGTCGATTATGGCGGTGTTCAAAGCACCAAACTTGTTATGCGCAAGCCTTGAAGACTCGGCTTCGAGATGGGGAAGAAGATATGATAAATCTTGGACTTCAGTGTAGAATTCAAGGTTGAACGGGAGATCATTGTAGTTGGAGAGGTTGTCGATTTTGGTGAGGACGTTCAGATGCGGGAGATCAAGCTGTAGCATGGCGCGAAGGGAGAGGAGAAGAGCAGATATATACATGGATGGAAGAGTGAGGGCGTAGGAATCAACGAGGTGAATGACTATGAGCTAAAGACACAGTTAGCATAAGCTTTGGAAGACATCGACATGAGAATAGACGAACTCGATAGCCTAGTTTCTGGATTCTGAAAAAGATATTTCGCAAAGAGGAATGGTGTGTGAATAGCTCGACTTGGCCAGGGCAGTCGAATAGAACATAGTCCTCTGTATGTAAATTAGCTTGAAAGAACGACAGTCATGCTGGGATTGTGACGGACCTCCCAGCTCCTTCAGGCCTTCCTCTAACCATGCGTAATTCTCTTCGAGCTCTTCAAGAGCATACAACGTAGCCCCATTTGGGCCCAGCTTATCTTCATCCATAATTTCCTCCAACGTGACTAAGTCCCGTACGTCCAGCGCACATGGGTATGAAGTCTTGTCGTTGGCGGGGTCCAAATTCACGACGGAGCATTTTCGGCCAATAGCCCCCAGAAATTGGTGCATGCCATTACAATATGTTGATTTGCCTGCACCAGGAGGCCCAATGACAAGTTGTGCGAAGGGCATGCGGGGCAGAATGTTAAGAGACAATCGTTCAAAGGAAGACCGACGGGGTGACGGCACCTTTTTTTTTTATCAGGCCGCGCGGGGAACAGGCGGAATGTTCTGGCAATAAATGCGGCTGCTTCAAGCTTCAGCCGCGCCGAACGAACCTTGCTTCCCCAAGTGCTGCGCTCTTCGTTCGCGATGTCGTCCAGTAGGTACTCACTAAGATCTGATAGAATGCCTCTCTTCTAACTATCCCAAGATCAATTCAATGTGGCCTCGCCGCCGACGGACGCTATCACCGCGTTGAAATTCTCCCCCGATCCGGAGTCCACTCGCATTGCGGTGTCGTCATGGGACAAGAATGTTTACCTTTACGATCTACGCGACGAGAACGGTGAAGTGGGAGAAGGTAAGCTTCTCCAGAAGTTTGAGCACCGAGCACCCGTCCTCGATCTCTGCTTCGGCCAAAATGAAAATGAGGTCTTCACCGCAGGATTAGATTGGGATGTGCGCAAGTGAGTATCCCGATCACAAGTGCGAAGAAGCCCGAATTGGACGGTGTAAGCTAACAGACTGCTAATGTTCTAGAATCGATCTTAATACGTCCACCCAGACTGTCCTCAGCACCCATGACCAACCCGTGCGACACGTCGTCTACAGTCCCGAACACAACATCGTCATCTCGTCCTCATGGGACTCGACCCTCCATGTCCACCGCCTGGATGATGGCCCTGATTCTGAACCCGTGCCAGCAACTGTGCCCCTCCCTTCGAAGCCCTTCGCTATCTCGCTCACCCCGACCAAGCTCGTCGTTGGAATGGCTTCACGCGCATTCAACATTTACGATCTCAAGGCGCTCGCCCTTCTCACCGCTCAATCCGACAGCACCAGCACCAATGGCACCCGAGTCGAGGTTGAGCCCTGGCAGCGGCGCGAAAGCAGCCTGAAGTTCATGACCCGAGCTGTGGCCTGCATGCCCGATGATCTAGGCTACGCCATGTCCAGCATCGAAGGCCGAGTGGCCGTTGAATGGTTCGACCCATCGCCCGAGTCGCAGGCACGCAAGTACGCATTCAAGTGCCACCGCCAAACCGACGAAGCGGAGGATACCGACATTGTCTATCCTGTCAATGCGCTTGCTTTCCACCCTGTTCACGGAACTTTTGCCTCCGGCGGTGGAGACGGGGTTGTCGCGCTGTGGGATGGTATCACGAAGCGACGTATTCGCCTCTATCCTAAGTATTCCTCCAGTATTGCAGCGATCGGTTTCAGTGGTAATGGCAAGTACATGGCTATCGGTGTGAGCCCCGGATTCGAGAATGGAGAAGAGGACCTAGAGGGGATGGCCGAGGGAGCCGTGCAGGTCTTTGTTCGCAAGCTGAGTGAGACTGAGGCTAAGGGTAAGGGTCCCAAGTAGAGCCCCCCAAGTAGAGCCCCCCCCGAAAAAAAAAGATGGATCTCTCGCCGGCCTATTCAGGTCTTTCTTTGATACCACCATGCCAGATGTAATGATTCGATGAAAAATACCAAGTTTTACAATGTATTCCTTCATTTCTACGGTGCCCGTGCTCTTTTTATTTTCAAACATATCTTTCTCCTGGGCAAAGCGCCCAAGTCTGGTATCACTCATGGCTTTATGTGTCCTCAATTCAATGCAATCAATTAGTTCCGAACAAAATCCCCCCCCCCCGAAATCGACACCCTGTTCATTCCCCTTCAATCGCTGGCCGTGCGCGATGAAACAGATCCATCAGGCATACCGAAGTACGCCGCAACTGGTCGCTGACCACCGACACCACCGGCGGCGGCCGCCTGGGGGGCCAGTCAGGCCCGAGAAAATACCAACCTCGAGCACACCAACAATCTCGACGATGCGGCGAGCCAAGGTGTTAACTTCCCAAACACCCTCAATGCCCTCGCCGGTCTTTCCGGCAGCAACATCCGCCTTGGTGAGGAGCTGTGGGAACGGCGCATCGATGATGAAGAAGTCTTGGTCGGTCTTCCGGGGGCCCTGCTTCTCATCTGCCATGGTGCGGATTACAGGGTTGGTACTACCCAGCTCCTTGAGCTTGGTCAGGACGCGGTATGCGGCGATAGGGGCAACCTCGATAGGAACGTATTTCCAATTGGTAAGGAGGCGCGACTGAAGCTTGCGAGAGTCTGGGATTGTTCAAAAAGCGATTTGATTAGAAGGGTACCATGGGGGGAGGTTGGCATTTCAGATGGAGGGAGAAAAAGAAAAAGAAGGGTCCTACCAGCTACGACAATAAACTCCTTTGCCTGCATGGCTACGATCTTCTCCTGGAACAAGCAGGCGCCGCCGCCCTTGATGCAGTTTAGTTCATCGTCAACCTCGTCCGCTCCGTCAAAAGCCACATCGAGGATCGTGCCCGCGGGGATAGAATCAAACTCGACAGCCGTCAAGCCCGCCTTGACAATGAGCTGGCGGGACTGATAACCGGTTGGGACGAAGCGGGTCGCAGAGGTATCAACACCAAGTTCCTTGATAGCCTCGACTACGTAAACCACGGTGGTGCCACTGCCGATCCCGACCCAGCGGGCCTCGTGGGGGTAGTGGTTTGCGACTGCGGCCTTTGCTGCGGCGCGCTTAGCGGCTTCAACGTCGGACATGCCGGATTGGAAACGAGGGCGTAGGTGGGGTTGCAGTGGGCGAGGCCTAAGATGGGGGATCGGACAAAAGGCGGGTACGACGGGACAAGAGCGAAGAGCAAGGCAGGGCCTGGGGGAGCAGAGGAACTTGAAGTACATGGATGAAGATCGAGGGCTTTTGAACTTGAAATCCCGCTTTTCGTCGATTCCCGCCGAGTGGGGGGGGTCTGCACCACCGCGTCATTCCCGTTAGTGGGGTTCGGGCTTGCCTTCTTACACCGAGGGGAACTAAATCAGAGGTGATGATCGACCTTGGCGAGGCCATTCCATTGAGGGTTGTCTGGAGCAAATAGCACACTATTACTGGTAGGTAATCATACTCGCGTGGGATTAGTACTGGTAGCGCACAAGGCGGCAGTAGATTGCATTCTGTATAGAAAGGAGTGCCGAACTTCCACCGTGACCAGGCAGCAATTGCATAGAAGCTCTACTACATCCTGGCATCTATTGGACTCGCACCAGTAGATCCCTTATGAGTATTGGTTAGGCAGTGAGGTGACGGGCTGTAGTTTCTTCTGCGACGTCATGCACATAGCAATGCCTTTGATCTCCTGCTGGCTGATGCAACGGAACGACCGGCACGTACTACAAGATACTTAGCATTAGTATAGAGTGCTGCTTGAAAATCAAAATGTTCGCTACGACCTATCAGATAGCAGAAACCCGCATGCAGTAACTACTGAGTCTCAAGTGAAATGCTTGCTATGGTCCTTAGTACACTTGAAGGCGGGGTTGTCGGATCCACGATGGTATACACGCCAGATCGGGCAAGTAGCAGCACCAGATTACAATGGCTGTCAAGTAAAGATCATGTGTAACGGAGCAGAAGGCCACCAAGATGGAGGAGTTTGAATACTAAACACGGCTGGCAATTCTTGACTGACTAGTTGAGGATCTATATCCTTCAGTGTTCTAGTTCCCATCCACGGCCTTGGCGATCAGGCAGGCAACCTGGCGCTGTATTAGTCAAACTCCACTCAGACATCAACAACACCTCGCCATCACCACACAGGTCTAATTACGCAGATTGAGGGGTCGAAATTCCAATTTGATCATCTGGGGCCCGTAGGACACCCATATGTGCTGAGTAAATTCCTTCCTCGACAAGATCTGCTCAGCACTCGCCAAATTAAGCAAGATGGCCAGCTCATTCCTCGGGGCACACGCCGGTCCAACATCTAAGGAGCGCAAATATGACCGACAACTCCGGCTGTGGGCAGCGACTGGCCAGCAGGCCCTTGAAGATGCCCGAGTGCTACTGGTGAATTCAGATGGTGCCCTGGGATCAAGTGGCGTCGGTGTCACCGGCGTTGCTGGTGTGGAGGCGCTGAAGAACCTCGTTCTGCCTGGTGTGGGTGGATTCACCATCGTAGACCCGGAAACCGTCACTGAGGCCGATCTGGGGGGTTAACTTCTTCCTCGAAGAAGTTTCTCTGGGAAAGTCGCGCGCCGATGAAACATGCCGTCTCCTACGAGAGCTGAATCCCGACGTGCAGGGATATTCTTACTCAAAGGTATGTTCAGGTGAGCCGGTCTCTATCACCACAGAACCTGTGCTGACAACTGGATGTAGCCCATTTCAAGTCTCCTCAAAGATGATGATTTTCTGCCACGCTACAACCTGGTGGTCATTTCTGGTCCCACGAAGCGCTCAACGCTGGATCCTCTGATTCAAAAGTGCCAAGGGCTGGATATCCCTGTGCTATACACGCACTCTGTCGGATTCACTGCATCCTTCTCACTACAGCTACCGAAAGAGTTCCCAATTGTTGAGACCCATCCTGACCCAGAGTCGACCCAAGACCTGCGTCTCTTGAATCCATGGCCGGAACTGGCAGCCGCAGCCAAAGCACTCGGCGACATAAGCATTCTAGATGACCACCAGCACGGTCACATTCCCTACATTTTCATCCTCCTCCATTTCCTCGAACATTGGAAGCAGACGCATGGCGGAAATCCACCGGCCAATTATAAAGAAAAGACAGAGTTCCGCGCCCTCGTCCGCTCTGGCGCCCGCACCGACAACGCCGAAGGCGGCGAGGAGAACTTTGACGAAGCCGCCGCGGCCGTGGTGAAAACCATCTCGCCATTTAGTCTCCGCAGCTCAATCCGCGAGATCTTCGAAATGGAGCAGTGCCAGCGCTTGACCGCCCGCTCGGCCGATTTCTGGGTCATCGCCGCCGCCATCCACGCTTTCTACACCAGGCACGACCTGTTGCCTCTCCCGGGCTCTCTCCCCGACATGAAAGCGCAGTCCGCCGATTACGTTGCGCTGCAGAACTTATACAAAGACAAGGCACGCAAGGACGTGGAGGAAGTGACTGCGACGGTGCGCCAACTAGAAGCCCAGCTGGGCCGGACCAGACCGATTCTCGATCGGGAAGTAGAAGTTTTCTGCAAGAACGCGGCGCATATCAAGGTGGTCCGGGGTCGGGAAATCCCGCAGCTCAACTGGCCGGTCGACAAGGGAACACTGAAAGCGCTGCGTAGCAGTCTCGATATGCCAGATAGCACGGCGTCATTCTTCGTGGCGCACCAGATCCTCGATGCAGTCGTCAACGATATCCAAGAGTCGTGGCAGGGGGGCCATGCCCAGTCCATCGACGACGATGCCCTGTGGGCGTCGCATGAACAGCGGGTGCTGGAGACTTTGGTACGTGACGAAGAGACGCCACTCTCCGAGGAGGCTGTCGCGGGTATCAAGAATGCTATCCAGGAAGTGCGCCGGGCCCAGGGAGGGGAATTACACAATATATCTTCGCTAGTGGGCGGTTTGGTCGCGCAGGAGGCGCTCAAGGTCCTCACAAGACAATATGTGCCATTGGACAACACTTGTGTTTATGACGGCGCCAAGGGCGGAGCGAGATGCTGCGTCTGTGATGGACACTAGCGGATATAGCGCGACTTCATGGCTGCTTTACGATTTATGATAAGGACAGGGGTAGAGCTTTCTATGAGAAAACGACCATACGTGAAATACTCTTCGCATCAATGGGTATTTTATTGTCTTCATCATAGATAAATGATGTAGATGAGGAACTGTCAATGTAGTGCAGTATCTACAGAGTACGGTCTCCGCACCGGCGGTGCTTTGGGAAAGTCCCTGAAATAATCGAGCTTACCTTTTACCCGTAGGTATTCCATTCTCTGAGCTGAGTCGCCATTCGAGGCTCTTGGGCCTATTCCATGCATTCAGGAGCCGAGATGCAGCACAGATCTCGCGGTGAAAAGGGCCGCCACGATGGAGCTCGTTTCCGACGTTAGTCGGTTCGGCGTGTGAGGGAAGAATTAGTTCAACCCAAACCTGACATGTTGTAGATCACCGCTTTTTGCTCTTGAAATTCTTCTGATTCTTGGATCCTGACGGTGGGCCTTTGTTTTGGTAGATCTTCTCTTTCCCAAACGCGACGTCGGAGATTCTGAGGTAGCTGGCAACGCCCTGGTCCACAACCGCCAAGATGACATTGCGGTACCCCTGGCGAAGACGCAGGGAGAGGATTCGATCCATCTTCTCACCTTTCGGTGGATCAAGAGGCGTACTTTCCAGCAGCGCGCCGAGTTGAGAGAGGGTTGGGAGGGTGGTCTGCTCGCGGGTATTCACCACAGCGATGCGGTAGTCAGGAGGTGGGAGCGCGCTCTTCTTGATCGCAGTGGAAGGTTTGTAGATATGAAAAACGACTCGGAACGGGGCGTCTGTGTCCAATGGGTCCCTGTCCGGGACAGTAGTAGGGTCGTACCACGGTATGATAGCCAATTTCTGATAGATATGTGCTGTGGACTGTCAGCTAAAGTTCGGTCCACTCAGACGCAGCCAACTCACCATAGTTGCGATGAATCCCAGTACCCACGAGCGGACCAGCCGCCGTGGACGCCGTAGACTTAGGATCATGCATCCAATTGAAAAGCATGCTGAACATGCCCGCCAGCCCAGCGCCTCGGAGCTGAGGCTGCGTGTAGCCGTCAACCCGCCGATCGGGCGCCCTGGCCGCAGGTGAATCATCCCAGCCCGATGCTCGGACAACAGCATACCCCAGACGCCTCAAGCTGCTGTAGACTGAGTATCGTTCGAGGGTCAGCCCAGACTGACCAAGGAAACAAGCATAAGCGGCTTGCAGGCTCATGGGAATTGAAAGGTCGCTCTCCAGATCCGAACCACCTGCTACATGCTCGTCGGCCGAACTGGGCCACCGAATATCTAAGCTGCCTCTTTCGAGAAGATAGAGCGCCTCTTCTGGGAGGAGCCATATCCGATTCCACCGATCTCCCTGTCCAATCGTCTTAAAAACCACGCCCTTCGGATTGGGGACGCATACACAGCAGTTGGAAGAGACCCCATGTCCTCTGTGATCCAATTCCACGCCAGGCGGAGGCTTGGGGCCATCGGGCGCATAGAAGCCGAGGGCGTGGGTCTTGGGCGGATGCATTCGCGGATGCGAGAGCGCATTGTGCATCGCTTGGCGCGAAGCGGCGAGGATATCGGCTTGGTAGACAGTTGGATTGGGTTCGAAGTCTTTCTCGCCTCGCTTGGGCAAGCTCGAAGACGAGGTGTCGGTCAAGCTACGCCGCTAATCAGTATCAATGGAATCTATGGATCGAAGCTTGAGCTTTCGCGACATACAGGCTCAGGCGTTCCAGGAGGCGGAAATCTTGGGTTTCGTCACTCAGGTCGGTCTCGACCTGGGTCGCCTCTGCCTTGGAGGCATGGAGGGATTCTTGGTCGACCTCCATTGTGGGCGAGGTATAAGGTTGAAGATGCGTTTTGACTCAAAGAGTTCAAATTTCCGCGGATGGCGGTTCTTATCGATAAGACCACCCACTTTTCTCCGCGGCTTGATTTCCTGCTTTGTCCATTCCAGTTGACGATGGATTCGCAGTCGGCCACTCTTACAGACTATAATGAGACCCTGCGCAAGGTCGGTGGTACTGTGTTTCTTAATTTGTTTTGCTTCTTCTTATCTTAGATTTGCGCTGGGATTAGTTGTAACTATTTCTTCGCAGATCTCTAACAGTCTACAAAATGCCCTCAGCACCTTTGGGGCCGCCTCCGCACAATACCAAGTAGTGATGGAGATTCTGAAGGACTGCTTGAAGGAGATCGAAGAGAAGAAGGCGAGCAGTCAAAATCAGGAACTCGTCGACAGTGACATGCTGGCTACTGCAATGGGCTTTTTAACGATATAGTCCCAACTGCGTTTTGATCATTTCGATACCCCTCGATCGCTGTTTACACAATGCGTTTACCACGGGCCTCATACTCCCTGCGATATTCACCTGCAGATATTCACCTGCGATATTCATGGCGTTCTGCGCACTTCCAATTGATTATTCGTTGTTTTTGCAATTGATTCGAAATTAAAATCTCCACATCCAGATGGGCAATGTGCTTTCAGAACATTTAATGTTACCAAGGGAAAGAAGGCCTCCAGCCGGGCGGTAGTAAAGCACAATGAACAGAGAGACCGAGGTATCTTCCAGGTCGAAACAAGTCGCAACGCCAAAGAAACGGAGAAAACTTCTCCAATGCCCTCTCTCCGCGAAAATGAACAAATAATGACTTCCGTGAATGCCATGCAAAACTCCAGGCTCTATGCAATCGTAAGACATGACACTGATATGGCGAGCCCAGAAGGGCTCTCTAGAACATCGATCGCTGCCGCCAACTTGGATGTCAGTTGGTTCTGTCGCAGTCGATTATGAAGCCCATGTGTCTCGGGTGTCTTGCTCCCGGCGAGGGAATCACGCGGAGAAGGATTGTGTAAGTAATGTATCCAGTCTGCTTCGGTCCGGCCAGACTTATGGATGATTTCAGTCGATGAGGGGCTTTTTCTGGTTGCCGACCATTGCGACTCCGATATAGCTGAGGGCATTAGGATCGTTGGGCCGCACAATCGATGGTAGTGGGAGCATGGGGTTATCAGGGTTTACGTGGGTGGCGTCCCGTGCTGCTTGCTCGATCGCCTCCATTTCTTCTTTGCAACCGGCGTGATCGAGGGGGCAGACGACGATTGGCTGGCGAATCGTGATATCTCGTGCGGAAGTTAAATGAGCCTATGGAGAACTCGGGTTAGCCGCCGACGGTGACAGAGAGATAGCACTTCTTGGAAATCTGACCCGCACGGTGAGATAGTACTCAATCTTGTATAAGCTAGCAGTTGTCGTAAACCCACTGACACTGTACATTGGAAATGCGGTCCGGCTGCGTGGTAAGATGCCTTCGGAGTCTCGTAGATCTTTTGCGGGGAAGACCAAGCCCAAGTTTGTGAGGTAGCCTGATTGAGGAAGTTTGACGCCGATAGTATCGGTCTTTTTTGCGATTGTTTTCACTTTGCGGGTGGGCTCATCGCCCTCGTGATTGAAGATGATCTCTTCGTCGATCCCAATGGTGATCTTATTGATAGTCACCTTGCGCGCCTTGCCCATCCAGTCTTGATTTGGAGTTAACTTGACATAAACACTCACAGGGTCTAATGGACCGTAAGACCACCGAGGAAGAGATATGGCTAAGGTGACAAGATGATCCGATACACGCTCGGCGGACTCTGGGCGATTGTACATGCCAAACGTTGATAGGGTGTCATAGCGGGCGATAGGGACGGGGAAGGTGTATTTTCGTTGGTCGGAGTGCCCCTGCTGTACCATGACGACCATCTCGTAATATGTCTCGGCCGTTCGGCTAGGCAGCTGGAGACTCGCTGGCGGCACTCGACGTGAGGCATCTCGGCCCCCACGGCCGAATGGAATGAATAGTACAAACGGCAGGTCCATGGCGATGACCTCTTCATATTCTCGTCCGGCAGGACATCGAAACAAAAGCATCTCCTTGCCCACAATATCGGTCACTTCCTTGCGCGGCGGTGCCAGGCGCTTCTTGGTCACGGAATCTGCGGATGGGTGGATGGTTTCGCGCCGAAGGAGGGAAATGGTGACCAGGGAGACATTGACGGGGGCCGATATACCAGAAATTGGCCTGATCTCGACTTTACCTTCCACTCGGGGCTATAGGAAGCAAGTCAGCACGGCTGTGGGCTTGGAGTTCAAACCCTCCGCCGGTCCAGGGGAACGAGATAGAAGGCCGGCGGAGGGGGAGGAATAAACACGAGGGGCGGTGATCAAGATAAGAACCAGCTGCAAAGGGGACTCACCATAGTCGCAGAGATGCCTGGATACCCTAGGAGGAAATTGCCATTCGCCGGACCTGAAACGCGCACGAAGGCGGCCATCTCGATAGCGCAGCTCCCGCACCACCATGGACACGCGGAGGGGGCGCAATGAAGTTGTGGGGAACCTGCAAGCTTGGGACCCTGTCGCACAACTCATAAGTGATCACGGGGGTGACCAGGGGGGGGTTTTGTCCGAAGTGACGTAAGGATGGCAAGTTTGGTGAAATCTAGAGGAGTCAGAGAGGAGCTGAGTAGCTTTAGCGCTTCTCATGTGGGGGGAGAATGGACAAGAAGTGCGAAGGGTGACCCCCAGCCCCATTTACGGTCGAACCTGACTTGAGCCGCGATTGCACCAGCGAGATCGGAATTCCTCAACTGAAAGTATCACCAGCAATCTTCCAGCTCCAGTTTCCAGAATAGTCCAGCAAATCCTTTTGACTCCCGGGGTCACTACAAGGTCCTTCCCTTCTCTGCGGACTGGAGGTACTTTGATCGTCTACGTCGCAAGCTATGGACGCCACGGAGTTTAAATCCGACGGCGGGGTCAAAGCTGGTGGGCTATAGTCCATTATTTTTCATTATCTATACAATTCCCCTTCGACGGAGACTAGTATTGCTTCCTATCAGGAGTTTTTATAGTTGTCCAAGCAGATTTCTCCCTTGTTCAGGTCGAATGGCTCGATGATGTCACAGAGAGGAAGTACAAGCCTTTCATCGCACCCTTTCCACCGCCGTCCTTTTCGTTAAAGAAGGAAAGAAGGAGAGCTAAATGATCATGTATACTCCGTAGCTTCCGAGGTTAAGGATGAATAGGCTTCATAGAACAGGCACCGCGGGGTTGAAGGAATCGTACCGTGGATGATCTGGTCCAGTTCCGGCGGTTGCCAGTGCAACACGAGCCTCTCCACTCTCCGCCAACGACACCTCTCTATACCCAGACATCACCTTCTACGATATCGTCCCCGTACGTCCCGGTCCCTTGCTCTGAAGCACCAGACGTACGCTTGCACACATCTACCATGCCGCCTCGCCGCCGTGGAGCTGCTCCGGCGCAGTCCACTCTCTCGTTCGGCTCCCAGTCCCGAGTGACGAAGCCTGCAACCGGCCCGACCAGTCTCAGCAAGACCAAGAACCTAGAGTCCTCGATCGCGCGGTCAGACAAATCTGCCTCTGGCACTCCTGAGCCCCAGCAGATCCTTGCATCTGCCCCCTCCGCTCCCCACGTTGCTGAGCTAGCGGTCCGACAGCAGGCAGCCGCAGAGCACCAGGAACCCCTGTCAGCAGAAGACAAGAAAGCGCTGGATCTGAGCTTGAAAGATATCCAACGCTACTGGAAGGATGTGGAGAAGGGCCGCAAAGCCTTACGAGGTATTTCCCGCCTACGCCCGGAAATGACTGCACCCCTACCTAACGTCTGTTATAGTCCACCAGCAAGATCTCAGTCTGGAAGAAAAAATTCTCCGTAATTTCGATCTCTCTAGTCAATATGGGGTATGTCGCTATAAGCTCCTCCACGCAGAACCTGCTTTCTGGGAGTTCAATACTGACTCTTCGTTGTAGCCTTGCATAGGTATTGCTCGAATCAAGCGTTGGCGACGTGCGAACGCGTTGAACCTCAACCCCCCTCTCGAGGTACTCGCTGTCCTCCTCAAAGGCGAGGATGTGAAAGAGCGAGCCTATATTGACTACTTACTCTCGTGAGACAAGAGTCTCCATTACACGACTATTAATTCCATAGGGCCTGGTGCTTGGACTTGTATGAATAGCTATGATACACGAATAACTTGATCGGAATAGATTGATACCACAGCACACCTTCCCGGACGTCTCGTCTATTATACAACCAAAAGTTCTACCATGGGGGATGGTCAAATTGGCGTCAGCGAACGAGACACTTTAGAGCTCGTCTGCATCTGTTCACAAAGCACGTGAATATATATCAGGGCCTCGGCACAGTCTCAGTAGGAGAGGTGTTGGCAATGAATTCGTCGGTTAGAGGGGCCATAGGCCAAAGCGTAGTCTCCAGTAGGCATATGAAAGAACTTGAAAAGTCCGCACAGAAATTAGCACTGGCCCTGGTGGCTTGCTTAGTGCTCGGTTGCCGGGACTGCCCCTGCTCGAAGGCCAAGCTATCTACGAGTCGTTTTCCGGCGGCGTTGAAGCTATCATGAGCTAGCTCCTAGTGAGCAATCTCGAGAGACAAACCCATCCTCGATTAGAAGTCTCCTTTTCAAAGATACTCAATTGAGTGACGAGAGGTAGGAAACCCCGCTTCCTTCCCATAATGAAGGAAGTGAGCAATAGCATAGGTAAGGTAGTATTCGTGACAGCTGCAGCGGAACTTTATGCTAAAATAAGTCGAAAGCCGGTTATAATCCATGGCATCGCTTCTGCGCTCGACAGTATATCACAGGTCATACATAGCGGAAGAAGCTGTTGAACTCTCATATTTAGCTTTTGTGTGACATTAGCCTCGACGGTCTATGGGTGCCACCGAACAGAGTGTGGATCTTTTGATTAATGAATACTACGCTATTTCGTGCTTCGCTGTATGCCCGGGCTGCCCAACCTCCAAGTCGCTGCTAGTGTGCAATCAATTCAAATTAGATTGGTCGTGCAGTTGCTGCGCTCTAGTGGCATATTCCCAAAGCAACCAGAGTGATTGCGGAGGCAAAATGGCCCGTAGTAACGGGTTATTCTATACTTCCAAGCTAGGATTGCGCTAAACTTTGAAGCAACTCAGACCTCAAATTGCACTCGAAGCTCTGTACTCCATCAGTTGATTATATCCTATCAGAGCTAGTGGCGCGTTCTTGCATATGCTGTAGCGTATGTACGACGTTGATGCTTATTTGTGGAGATTGCCGCTTCCCCTAAACATCTCATGAGCTTCATTAGCAAGTCTGTCGCAATATGAGCGGCTAGGGCTGTAATTCGAGGATCCTTTCCTGTGGTGTGACATATGCACCAAGAATGCGTGTGTTCATTGTTGATATGGTTAATGGACACTTATTGAGCTGCCCTCGTGGAAAGCCCCAATCGCGCAGAATTCGTTCGCCCATGGGATACTGAAATGATATTAATCTGACTTTTTTGCTGAGAAGAGTGGAGATTAAAGGCTCCAATGTAATCTCAGACTCACCAGCATCCAGGGTCCCCTGTCCGTGGCGGGGATGGTTTAGCGTCGACAGCCTTTGCTACGGGGCCTGGGCTCCTTTGGAAGGCGAATGCATGTGACATTACCAGCTAGCAGTACGACCGTGTAAGCATCATGCAAGGGCACATTATGCTCTGTCGGGATACTATAAAGGATACTTTCATCCCCGTTCGAACGCCCTCCAAGTTCTTCTTGACCACACTCTTTTTTATCGAACTGAAAAATAATTTGCCTGTCGCTTCCAAGCTATAACTCTTGATCAGACACAGCCATGTTTCTATACCGCGCTCTGGTCACTCTCCTACTCGCTGGTGTGGCTCATTCCCAGATTCCCGACGTCCCCAGCTGTTCTGTATGGATAAGCCTTAGCACCAATCCTTTCAGAGTGCCTTGTATCTAACCATAACCTATCAGCTTGATTGCTTTTTGGCATCTCTGACTTCAGATGGATGTTCTTCCTTGACTGACTTTGCTTGTCACTGTCAAAAGCCCCAGTTGGTGAACGATATCACCCCATGTGTGCAAAAAGCCTGTGCCCTTTCCGATCAAGCCCGTATGTATAATAGTTTCTTGGGATTGAACAAAGAATAACTGTCCATGGCCAGGTGTTTCGAGTGTCGTCGTGTCACAATGTTCCGCCGTCAGCCATCCGATCTCCCTTCCCCCTCCTGAGACCACTGAATCGGCAAGTGGTACTTCTACCATGACCGGTACAGGCACTTCATCTCCCACTACTACGGAGACGAGCGCCGGGAGCTCCAGCGAATCTTGCTCTGAGACTTGGTCGTTTTCCACGGGACCTACGTGGCCATCTGTAGGCCCCAGGCCCACCCCAGGTCCTAGCTCAAGCTCTAAGCCAGGCTGGTCTTCCACCCCGTTGCCAACAAAGACCTGCACGGGTGGTGGTTCCAGTGGTTGTGGCAGCTCTGGCGGCTCTGGTGGGTCGGGTGGTAGCGGTGGTAGTGGTACGTCTGGAAATGGCGTGTCTGGCACCTCTGGTAGCCCTGGTGCCAAAACATCCTCTGCTTACAATGCTGCGGAGCCTCTGAAAGGAAATATGGCTGGCCTAGCTGCTGCCGCGGCGGTTGCTGCCTACATCATTTGAGGCAATCCCGCTATGTTCTATGGCTCCATATGGCCAGCTTTTGGTCTGGAGAATTTTTCTTTCCTTCACTTCTTATCCAGTTCATGGACTGTGACATAATATTCATCAATTAATTATGTTGAAGCGCCAACCGCTTCCTGTAACTCAATGTTTAGTTCGCTTTCCCACCGGCCTGGAAAACCTGCATAGTGAGCCAATGTGCGGTGATAGAGGCGGCCAGGTCGACAGGACATATAGGGCTTGGTCCGTAGTCGGTAGGTTCAGCCGGGAGTGTGGTCGAATCATTACACAGTGTTGGCTATCTCAAGTCGATTCTGCCGTATATCTACAGACCACTATCCGGAATATCATCGCTCGCTCGGTCGACGGCGACTGTAACCCTCATCTCAATGGGTCGGACATTGCTCGGGGTGTGCTGGCTGACGAAGGGGCCTCTCCTTAGGAGGAAAAAGGACAATCCACATCCGTCCGTCTTGCTGGGACACATCTGTCCAGGGCTCTTGAAATCATATCGTATGTTGACGAATATATGGTAAGTATCCTACGTAGCATCTTCGTTGACTTGACTCTTGACCAACACTCTATATTATTGTACCCTACCATATACTCATGCCGTAATAGTATCTTTGATAAGCTCTATGTTCTGAATTCGTGTAAACCAATAGCTAGCGACTAGGGGTTCAGAACCTCATCAGCCTGCGGTTGTGGAAGCTGAAAGGCAGCTAGTTTAGAGTCAAGTGACGTTATCTTTTGGCGCGGCTCCCCCCCCGAACTACTACAGGCCTCTCCCCACCCCGCACCTTCTGACCCCGCGACCAAGATTCTGGTTAACTGCAAGCTTCGAAACAATGGCAGACCCTAATAAGTTCAAAGATCTACCCCGCTCGATATTGCATCCATTGAAATGTCCTTATGAAGTGGGCCGCCTCTCATACCGTGATCCCCAACACGATAGTATGCTTACACGCATAGGGCGCAACGCTACTACAATTTTCGCAGTTCAATAAAGGATCTGGATTCCCCCAGAATGAACGAACAGCCTTCAAGCTGCAAGGGCTTCTTCCACCAAATATCCAGTCGCTCGATGAACAGGTTCAGCGTGCTTACCAGCAGTATTGCAGCCAGCCAAATGACCTTTCCAAGAATACATTCTTGGCTAGCATGAAAGCGCAAAATGATGTGATCTACTACAAGGTAGTCCAAGATTCGAGTCTTCATCCTAGCCGATATAAACGATCTGTCTAACCAAGATTTCTCTTCAGTTGATTCAAACGCATCTCAAAGAGATGTTCAGCATCATTTACACACCCACCGAGGGCGATGCCATTCAGAACTATTCCAGGCTGTTCAGAAAGCCAGAAGGTTGCTTCTTGAGTATCAAAGACCAAGATGCGATTGACGAAACATTGCGGAACTTTGCCAACGACGAGGTTGACTACATCGTTGTGAGCGATGGAGAAGAAGTAAGCTTAGCGGTCCAGCTCCGCAGACGAATTGTTTAACGCAGAACTAGATTCTCGGAATAGGTGATCAGGGTGTAGGTGCTATCTTGATCTCTGTCGCAAAACTGGTCCTCACGACTCTCTGCGCTGGCATTCATCCATCGAGACAATTGCCTGTTGCGCTCGACTGTGGGACTGATGTAAGGCTGCTGGGACTCGAAACCATATATAACTTTAGCTGACAATATACCTAGAATGAAGAGCTGCTAAATGATGGTCTCTACTTGGGGCTGCGCCAAAAGCGAGTGCGCGGGCCGGAGTATGATCGATTCGTGGACAAGTTCGTCCACAGTGCCCGCCAGCACTATCCCAATGCCTATATCCACTTGTAAGAAGAAGACCATTGAAGTTATCAGCAACTTATCGGCATCTTGGGCAATAATGCTAATGATAATAGTGAGGATTTTGGTCTTAATAATGCGAAGAGAATCCTGGAAAAGTACCAAGATCAAATACCCTGCTTCAACGACGATATCCAAGGCACCGGGTGTGTGACGCTTGCTGCAATGATGGCGGCGCTACATGTCAGCAAAGTCAAGTTAGAAGATGTGCGGGTCGTGATCTTTGGCTCTGGGACCGCTGGTACCGGCATCGCAGACCAGGTGACTGATACAATTGCTTCGAAGACACACATATCCAAAGAGCAAGCCTGCAAGCAAATTTGGTACGTTTAATGCAGGTCTGAAGATTTGAGAAAAAGAGGAAGGGGGAAAAAATCTTTAAAAAAAAATTTTCAAATACCTAACGTCAGACAATTCAGGTGCATTGACAAGCCAGGCATCCTCCTCAAATCAATGGGAACTCAGCTAACACCCGCTCAAACACCATATGCAAGGGACGATAACGAGTGGCCAGAAGGCGCGGACCACGATCTTTTCTCCACCATCAAGCATGTCCAACCACACGTATTGATTGGCACATCGACGAAGCCCAAAGCATTCACAGAGCAAATCCTCCGAGAAATGGCAGAGCACGTCGACCGACCTATCGTGTTCCCACTCAGCAATCCAACTCGCCTCCACGAAGCCGTCCCGAAGGATATCTACGAATGGACCGCCGGCAGAGCCCTCGTAGCAACCGGAAGTCCCTTCCCACCGGTCGAATACGGCGGGCAGAAGTACGAGATCGCAGAGTGTAACAATTCGACCTGTTTCCCGGGCATCGGACTTGGAGTTGTCCTTTCGCGGAGTCGCCTTCTCTCGACGAAGATGCTAGTCGCTGCCTGTGAGGCTTTGAAAGCTGAGTCGCCTGCGTTGAAGGACCCTAACGCCTCCCTTCTACCAGACGTACAGGATGTGCGAGAGATTAGCATCAATATCGCTGCTGCGGTGATCAGGTGTTCGATAGAAGAAGGATTGGCGCAAGAGGATGGTATACCGTCCGACCTCAAGGAGCTGAAACTGTGGATTCGAGCGCAGATGTGGGAGCCGGTTTATCGGCCTTTGGTGAAGCCTGAGTAGTCGTGTTTTCATGTTTCCATTCAGGCTTTCACTCTGCCTTCAGCAGGTTCATAGTGCCCTGGAGCTTGAGTTAGATTGCATGAATGCGTTCGAATTACACTATCTTTCCATATCGACATCAATTCAAGTCCGACCTGACTCATCGATACTTCTTTGCAGGTGATTGTAAGATGAAACTCGACAGGCCTGGATTATGAAAATCGAGATGAATGTAGCTATGTTACAAATTAGTCGTTGATGAGATCTGGTCTCGATAGAACCGAGCCTCAATAAAAGGATTCATGAAAAGAAGATACAGAATGTGCAAGGCGCAAAAGAAGGAGACAGATCTAAGGAACCCATAAGCGCATGTATCCACCAACATTCTGTCGGCAAGTAACGCAGCTGCCAAAGTTGTTCATAGCCAGGCTGACGCGACAGTCTTCACAAATGCAAAGGCAGCGGCATGGCCAAGTAATGATTGATCGTGGGCTGGTCTGACAGACAACGCAAGGGGCCCGTTGGGGCCCAAGCCAATCGCACCTGATTCCCAGCTGGCAGAGTCGGAGGAGATAGGGACTGCTGCGCGGCAAGCAAGAATGAGCCTTTCGAGAATTTCCGATTCCTCTTGGGCGGTTGGCTTCCGCCTAGGTCTGCCTGGTTCCAAGGGGATAGGATTGTGCACCCGGGAAGAAAAGAGAACACGAGATCTCTCTCGTTCGAGCTGTTGCCTGTACTGGCTGCGAGTGATGATTCGCCCGGCGCCTTCTTGGGGACGTAGGTGAGCGGCCAGGATGCGGGCTTCTTCTCGACTTTCTCTATCGTGAGGATCCAGGAGACGAGCTAATGTGGTAAGATCCATGAGGGGCTCTTGGGACGGTGTGCTCTCACGAGACAATCCAGGATTCGGATCTGACTGAGTGGGCGTCCGACGACCATCCGATGAGCGGGATTCCCATCCGTAGTCTTCCCAGTCAGACCCGGAAGCATTCGTGGACATAGAAACAACGCTTGTTATGTCTTCATTATCTAGCTCCGCGGGCGGGATGTAGTCGGAAGAGTGGTCTTGGTTTCCCCACGCACCACCTTGCTTCCACCATTTGTACAGTTGCTCATCGAGCCGGTTCTCATCGGGGCCTGCCCAGTTGGAATGCTCGTTCATCAAAGACTCCATCTTGCGAATCTCAAGTTCAACATCGAAGTCCCGATTCTGAGGAACTTCAAGCCGGCCATCGGCATTCAAGACCAAAAAGTCTAAGTCATTGTGTACAGTCCGACTCGTGACTCGGTTCTTGCGAGACCCGACCAGTCGCTTCAACCACTGGGGCTTGAAACGAATGCCCATGCTGTCTAGCACTCGACTGAGGCCGCAAGCGAGCCATTTCAGAATCAGCCAGAATATAGCACGGAAGAAGGTGACACCGTGCCACAATCGAAGAGACGCCCGCGCTGCACCCACTCCTCCGATTTCATCTGGTGACTGTGTTGTTTGGGATCCCTTTTTGGGCTTTTCCATCTTCCTCTCACGACTATATCCGGTTTCCCATTCCGATGAGCTGTCCTGAGACTCTGAATTCAGAAAGTTAGCTAAATCGAAGGGCGAATGATCGCCAGACCGACGATGCGGATCTGCATGGGCCCTGCCACTCTGTCTTGTGGCTTCGATCTCGGCCACTCGGTCTTGCTCAAGCCATGTCAGTGGCCGCGCGATCACCGCCTTTCCTTCATTCAAGAAAACCGCTTCGCTTGCGGCGGTCAACGCAACGTATCCAACTCGAAGCAATGAAGTATAGAAATCTTCGTGTCTATTAATGCGAATATTTTGAATCTGGTTTGAGCCTTGCATATTCTCATGAGCAAGGGTGAATCTCTCGCGAAGGGTAGGCTGTACATTCTCTTCGAACTGAAGAGAGAATGCTGTTATGGTCAAAGCAAGCCCGTATATGACGAGGCAAGTGATAATACCGAGCAAAACAAGCAAATGAGGGATGAAGCTGACAATACAGACGGTCGGGAATTTGAGGACACCCGTTTCAAGGCTCACGGGTGGGCCGTTGTCTAAACCCCAGCACATAGCGAACATGAAGCAGAGTCCCCAAACCGCAGTGTTAGCAAGGCGATACCGACTTTGGCTCCCGAAAATTTCCAGGGCGTGTGACGTTAAGCTGTTGCAACACGATATGAGGACGATCAGGAGCAGCTCGGGGGTAACATTCATCCGCTCCAGAACTTGTGCTCTCGTGAGTAGCTCAAGGGGCGAGGTCGAGCCATTTGTGGTCTCCGCTTGACTGAGTGGGTTCTTCTTTGGCAGACCAAACATGCCGAGACCAATTGACTTGCCAATCATGGATTCCGCTTCAGCGAAAGCAAGAGAATGTTCAAAGATCGTCATGCCCGTCTCCGTCTTCACGTTTCGGCCTTGCAAAGCGCAAGAAAGAGTTTCGACAAAGTAGCTAAGGCAGACGATCATGAATGTAGGCCACAAGAGGGAGAATGAGCCATACGGAATACTCGGAGTATTGGGGGTAGTGGCGACACGTGCCATCTTGACTGCGCTGCAAGCCTGCTGATCCGATTCCCATGGCATCAAGTTGGAGGCAAACCGATAGAGAGGCCCACCAGAACTTGCATAATCGAAAATCATGACTTTCCCTGGGCTTCCGTAGCGCATGGTGGCATAGTCTGGCGACGACTGGCACCGAATGCCTCGAAGGAGAGACATGATCTGGTATATGAAGAGAACAATTGGAACTATGCGGAGAGCTAGGCGGCCTTGCCAGCCAAGGCGGAGATGGCGCCGTGTAGATGCGTAGATTGTGAGGCGATTGAGGATTAGAGCCTATGAAGTGTCAGGAGCACGTTCTACTTGTGCCTTTGAGGAAATCTTACTTCAACCAGACAAGCCATGGACCAAACGCTTGTCAAATACCCAAAGAACCCACCAACTTTCCGCATTGTGTTCATGAATTCTGTCAGGTACCAACCGTCTGCCTGAGCGGCCACTTCAGCAACCCCTCCTTGGGTATCCGCGACAGCTTCTGAAGCTGCGGCTATAGCCTCCACTGCGGCCCCTCCTTCTGTCATGGCCGCAGCCGGTGTTGGCCACAGGTTCAAGTTTATATCTCCCATCCCAACCATTCGACCGATTTGCCGAGGAACCGTATTGAATGCGAATGTTTCGGCATGGTGCAGGGCGCGGAGCGGGAACAGAATAAGATCGCGTGGCGAGGGAAGGAGAGCGATGCTTGACGCGGTGGCGACTGTGCTATTGATACTTCCACTGACGGATGGCATGGAGGAAGGCGGGGTTGGCATGGCAGTTGGGTCCAGCAAGCCAGACATGGTGAGATCGCAGTTGATGCCTTATCGATGACTTGATTCAAGGTCCCGCGGGATGCCTGAGGCCCCGGGGAAGCCGAGGAGTCTGCAGTGCAAAGGTGCGCACAGTCGGATACCACGGGCACTGGGTATCTCGTGTGATCTAAAGAAACAGCATACCTATTCCAGTTCCTAGAAGCGGACGAGGGGACTTGCAGCATCCAAGTTGCGGAGACGGAATGGGCTCCGGCAATGTCTGCCCCACACCGCTTTAGCACGCGCGGGATCCACTGCCACGAGCTGGACAAAGTACATGCTTTGGATTACATGCTTTGTATATTATGCTTTCGATGAATTTATTATGATCGCTGAGTGGCTCACAGTCCCTTGGGAAGTGAGACGTCAAGGCTTAAATATGCACAGATGGCATACCCAGACTATCATTTTCACACATGTCTGCCTGTGACCGCCCCCCCAGCCTACTGCGATATGATACCCAAGACCTCGGGTGCGGAGTATCGCTCGGCAATGCTACTTTCTACTGGTATTTGAGTAAACTTTGAAGGCCAATTTGGTGAGAGCGCTAGTGATTCTTCGAATCATATCAAATGAGACCTAGATCAAGTAATGGCTTCAGCCATTGATTGTCAAATTTCCATTATTCTTGCGGGCAGAGAATACATTACCGATTAAAACTATTTGGACCTAAACGAGCGATGACTTCCTGAACTGGATCACGATGTAATAGGTCTCTGCAATTGGGCGCGAACTTCTCCCATCCATTCGAAACGAATGTCCAATTTTTGATTTGTTTTGCAATATCGGCTCTAAAACATGTCTGCTGGATAGTTTGAATGAAACGGTATAGAATAGTGCTTTAAAATGTTTCAAAGCGTGGTGGTAAGCCCTCGCACCGGGTCACAATTTCGAGAGTGGTGGTATTCTTGTCAAAATTGCGTATTGAATATATAGTATGGGATAGTGTTGAAGATCAGTTATCAACTTTCTTTCCCATAATCCTCCCAGTACTGCAGTTCAAGCTGTGAGCCTTCCATCGACCGTGACACACCATGGCGCTGCTTCCAAGATATCCCCTATAGTCTCAACGGCCCAAGTATGATCACTACTCAAGTTCATACTACTTAACACGTTTGTCATATCTAGTCTCAAAGCCTGCATCTGTACAGGCGTAAAAGATATGCGTTCATCCTTGATAGTAAGCGGGTCCCTGAAAATAGCTTCAAATTGGACTGCCAGAACTATGGAGCACCATCAGCATGGAACCAACAGTTCCTTGTATGCCTAGCTAGCTGGAAGCTGCTAAAATGGCCATTGTAGAAAGGGACGCGCTCAAATGGGGCTTCCCGGTAGTAGTGGCCTTCGTATACTTCAAGTTCCTGACTCGGGATCAATTCTCTCGAGACAGAAGGGCTTGTACTCTTTCCGGATAGTACCCGCGAGCACCGCTTGTACCTGGGCGATTGCCAGATTTAGTGGGAATCGTGGAGGCGTCGTGGGGCTGATTGGCTTCAAGAGGTTTGCACGGTCCGGCCCATTGGTGTTCAACATCATAAGAGACTAGCCAGGCAGTCTTGTTGGCCAAAACTAAGCAAATAGAGTCACGGATGCCATTCCCAATTCTCCGACTTCCCAAGGTTCGATGCATTGTGCTTAGCAATCAACAGCCACTCGTCCACGGGTTTCATGGATCGCCCGTGCGTACTGCCGACCGTCGTCTTCTCTTCTGCAGCCGAGTCATGACGACTACGACCACAATAATAGTTAAGAGAATATAAATTGAGAGGCCACTCTTGAGGCCCGATCGCGGATCAATGGTTGGGTCCTTGGCAGATGCTCTATCGCCGTAGAGTGGAGTCGGAGGTTGAGAACCAGGTGAAATAGGTGCTTCCTGCGGCGGTGCACCATTCGCGTGCTGATCTCTAAGCCAACGCTCGTAATCCGTTTCTGGACGCTCTCCATCATCTGATTCCGGAGACAAGAATCCAGTACTCTTCTGTGACATAGTGGTTTGTCGGGTGGCTTAGACTCAGTAGGGACGGAAAGAGACCGGGGCCGAAAAGGTATTAACTTAACCACAACACCCAGAGCTGCTCAAGGCTACGGGTCAAACCAACGCGCAGACGATTCGAGTACACTTAGCGTGCCCAGGCATCATTGGCTGCGCGTGGGTCCACTGGGGGGCCTTCTTCATGGCTCGGCCCCTGGTCAGACGTTGATCGCGTGAAAGAGTCTGCAGCGTACAGGCTGGCCTCGAGCCGACAGGTCGTGTCAGCCAATCACTTTCGCATTTACAGTTCGACTAGCGGGGGCATTGCGGGTGGGCTGTGGTTTTCCTGCTTCCGGGTGGACTAATGATCGAGGTGGCTTGAGACCCTGACCCCATAGGGGTCTACCCAAAAAGCCCCTAGCTGGCCCCAGTATCTAATTCCCAGTAATCATTCGCAATTCAACTGGTATTGCCGAAGATCTCCCCTCGGTAGGCTTGGAGTGTTGCGGACTCCGTCGCCTCTATCTTCCTTGGCCTTGCATTACAATCAGATTTAGGGAGATCCAAGCATCGTTTGAGAGAAGAAGGAAAATAACTCGAGTACATTCTCTGCTGTCCAATGATAGCCAACTGCTGATTGAACTGCTGATTGAGTGCATTCGTGTGTCATGCCAAGGTGCGTAAGAGCTCGGACCGGCTCTAAGAGATTCCCCAAGGTGTACGGAGTACTTTGGAGCAGTAGGTTGTCAATTTTTAGGCGCCCAATGTAGATCTCACCTTGGCCGTCTGTAAGCAGCCCTGGCTCTGAACTGGCGGCAAGATTTGCCTTGAAGATGTACTCCTTTTCTATGGTGGCGGGTAATGGAAAGAGATGATTAGTTCGATCAACCGGCACTGATCAACAACATACCTGCCCTAGCTGGTTTGCAGAATTAAACGAAGTGGTCCGACCTCACTTTACCCTTCGCGTGTAATCTGTTTACCCGCTTCAGCCCCAGATGTCTCGTATAATCTAAGCCTACCCCATCCTTAGCAGCCCCTTCCCCCTGTTCAATTCCTCCCTGTTCACACCGGCAGCTCGAGTCAAGACTTCGTACTGGATTGGCGTTTGCTTCATGCCCCTAGACGCTTTTGCATACAACCCATGAGATGCAGTTCTGCCAATCGCAAAATCCCTAAGCGAAGCCGATAGTCTTTGCCGTTGGATATACGAGGACGAGAGACAAGCAAGGGGTACCCAAGATGTCCAATAGTAGCAGCCCTTACGGGTATGCACTCCGTCGCGCCGATGCGTGCGCATCTGAAGAAACTGATTGCGGTCCCACGTGGGGTGGTTACCACGCATGCTGTCCCGGTGCAACTGTATGCCCTCATGGCAGCCCTACTTCGATATGCTGCCCCGATGAGACGGACTGTACCCATTCAATCTTAGGCAACCCACACTGCGGGGACGACACGGCGCTGCTATACTTTGCAAATAATTATTTCTGTTGCGCCAATGGCACGACAGCCTATGAAAATGAGCAAGGCTACGTCGGCTGCACAACGGATGTCAACGCCGTCCTGTCGAATAGCGACCTTACCACACTGAAGAGCATTTCGACTGCGTCGCAAACCACTACAGGTATGTATCTTGCCACGAGCTGCCGTGAGCTACCCACTTTCCTCCTGAAAAAAAAATGCTGATAATCTGGCACGATAGCTTCATCATCGAGCTCCACCGCCCCTGCCACCACGACAACAAGCGCAACTTCATTTTCAACAACAACATCATCGTCCCCAACAGCATCCTCTACATCTGAACCAGCTTCTAGCCGCGGCGACTCCTCTTCGTCGACAAACACGGGAGCCATTGCAGGAGGTGTAGTTGGTGGCGTAGCCGGAGCTGCACTCCTATTGGTTCTCGCATGGTTCTTATATCGCCATCGCAACAAGAAGAACTATGATTCACCAGAAAACACCCCAGCTCTGGCGCCAGTCCGCCAAGTGGGAGGGACTGGTGAACTGGAGGGAAGCGAAGTAACAAACCCAAGCGAACTAGCGAACTACGGATGGTATGGCCACAAGGACCCTGTACCTCCTACAGAACTGCCCGCGCATTCTGAGCCTCCGGCGAACTCATAGCGTGGCGAACTTCTTGACCCATGAACTTGTACTTAATGTCCACTTATATACCTGTTAATCACGCGCTTTTTACAGAATCGGTCCCAGCACACTTTGCTTCCAATATCACAAACTGCCTTGTCTCTGTCTGATGAAATAAGGCGAAAGTTTCTCACGGTTCGTTGGGTCCGTATTGCAGCTCACTCGGTATACCCTCTACCTAATATTCTTTCGACCGCTCCAATTACGATACAGTCTCTCGGATCTGCGTGCTCTCAGTCGTGACAAATGAGGCGAGAGAAGGAATCAGGTAACGCTCTGTCGTAAAATTGGATTCCTTGGCTAACACATCGGAGGTCTGTGATACGGTGCCTTGGTAAATACTACTTGACCATCCCAGTCCTTCAGGTATACGGTCAAGGCATTGATTCCTGTGCAGGAGGTATGGAGACAAATTCCTCGGAGCAGGACTACAATGCAAATACTAATGGAAGCGTATCTCGAACTCGGGATGTGATCTGGGAAGAGATCCATGGTAGAGCCGTCTGTCCAGTCAACTCCGGATTTGACCCAGGCGAAGCTTCCTTGGAGAGGCCTATGTTCTCGGACAGGTCATTGTCCTGGGACACAGCGGTTTTGAGCTGGATGATATAATCATAAGATTCAACGCGGGGAACCGGCGGAACTTCAAGCCTCACGGCTCGACGATCTGCAAGCAAGCGGAGCGTACCCCTGCTAAGTGGATCACACGCCAGCCTCACGAACCCAGGTACCAAAAGCAGGCTCAATAGCAACGGCGGTTGGGCCTTTCGTAAGTGAAAGGTCCTCTGGGGTTCCAAGTGTACTGTCTGCTAATAACCGGGATTCCGAGGCAGAGCGAGTGGGGTAGTAACCAAAATCGACGTTCCAAGCTTTAACTCGGAAGGGACAGCATCACTCCAATAGCCCTTCTCCATAGATATCATACACTTGATACCTTTCAAATGGGAAACCGGGACGTCCAAAGCGCGCCTTGTCAGATGGGCCTGCGCCCAGAAACCGTCGCTGAGTTCACACGGCTCTTGTACATCCAGCCCAAATACGACGCGCGTTCAGCATCCGAATACACAATCAGGTACGACAATAACGACCGCGTGTTATTCACCGTAACAGGCCACAAATACACCGATAGAGGTGTCCGCGAGTTCCGGGACGCCTCAGGGCTCCCAATGTTCGAGTGCCAACGGACCTGGCCTGCGTGGCGGTGGGGAAAGCCGTGGCGGGTGCGGCTACCAGGGGACGAAGCCGATCTGGTGGATATCAAGCTTGGCAAGGGGGCTGGGCACAACTTTGATCTGACATTTCGCAATGCGCTCGCCACGGATGTCAAAAGGGAGGAAGACAGGCTTGTGACGGTGGCCGTTCGGAAGGAATCGTTCGCATTTTGTCGGTTCTCTGCTTCGGTGGGCGGGCGCAAAGTGATGGATTTCCGGGAGAGCGTGGAGAAGAACAGGACGATTCATTCGATCGCGGCTTCGTCGGCGTCCGGGTATGTTGCGTGGCGGTCGATAATTGAGGTTCATGTTGCGGACGGGTTTGACTTCGCGCTGGTAAGTCTCTCCATGGAATGGCATGGGACCGTTCATCTTAATCTCTGCTAATGTCCCAGTAGGCTTCGTTGATCTCAATTATGCTATGCGATTCATATTTCAGCTCCGCGGCCCCCAAAGCAAAGACCATTGCAGCTCGCGAGAAGCGCCTGAACCCGATAATGGCATAGTTCTGAACGCCAGATAAGACGCTCAAGGGGCATTTCTATTGAGAACATTGTAATTATTTTACATCTCATGAGTCTTTATTCTAGCATAACCCAGCAAATTTCCAATGGCACACTCATTTTGGGGCCTTCGAGGGATTTAAGCCAGTGACAGCGTCATCAAGAGTAGCGAGGATCAGCTCGTTATCGGCGCGTATACTGTCGACACAGTAGCCGAGAGAAGGTTCTCCGACGGTTTTGACGAATTTCTATACAGCAATCAGCAATGTCCACACCGCATTTCCGTTTGACTGATCCACTGACCTTGGTGTCCTTGCGTACAACGGCGAATTTCTTCTGGAATTCATTCCGGAGGGTCTTGTTGAAATGACTCGAGTACTGGACAAAGGCGGCATTTAATTGGATCCCACTGATCGCCACCTGTTTGAACGAGTCAGTCTAGCACTCAAGACCGCGGGCCAGCATATCGAAGATCCTACATTGTGGTAAGCCTGGCACAGAATCAATTGAGTCGTAGGATCGATGACAACAGGCTGAGCCAAGCCCAGGTCCTGAGTCCCGGTCGCAACGGTTTGGTTGTAGATTTGGTAGACAAATTCAGGAGACACGAGCGGGTTCCCAAAGTTCTGAAGCAGGTTATGAGTCCTGGTATAGCCGAGATCAAGCGAATTGAGGCGCTTCTGAACCGCTGGGACAATGTCGAAGGGTTCTATCGCGTCGACCGTTGCCGACAGTGCCAGGCACGCGCTAACCAGGAGGCTGGTGATCTGCATGGCCAGGTGCGCGTCTCCTACAGCGAGGAAAGAAGATGGAAAGGAGATCGTGCCCCTGCTGCGACGGTGCTTGATTAGTGCGATGCGAATGTCCAGTGATTATGCAAGCGATCTACCGGGTATCCCGGCAAAAATGGAATAACTTGGAAATCCTTTGTTCTTGAATTGGAGACTAGTCGATCTCAAGCGTTCCTGGCCCCCCAACCCCCGGACCAGTCATTCATGATCCCTGGGGCTGAGCCTGCGAGAGCAGCCAATGGAAGCTTGGGGGATTCTCCGTTCGGGGCGTCAGAAGCTACCAAACGGAATGTGCTACGGAGGAAATAAGCCTCAATCCACGTGGTTGGTGAAGTTGTTGGGCAACGTTGCATACATCAAGGGCGGCCCCACTCTGAAGATTATTCTTCGTATTCCGGGGGCAGTTCTACTGATGCTACGCGCTAGCAGAAGGCCCAAGACACGACCATGAATGAACCCACGTAGCTACCAGGAGCAGATGATGCCCAGTGGGGTTGCCTACAGCACTAGCGCTGGAATGTCTCCCACATATCCCAAAACCCTCGACCATTTTCCACGGTCGAGAGCACGAAGTGCGGGAGCTTTATGTTGATCTACCATTCGTTTTAGACCGTCTACCCACAGGGTGTATCAGGATAGACGTTTTGATGCTCGAATGGCGTTTTTTACGCGAATGACTTGGAAACACTACGGGGTGTGAAGCGGTAGAAGTGTCATTGATCCAGACCCATGGCGCCTAAACTCCGTCCCCTAAACCGTGAACGCCTTTGTTGTACATCGGGCCATTGTAATTCGTAAAAAGCAGGCATATTGTGGGTGGGCGAAAATAAATCGAGCGTTGATTATCTGTAGGCGCGAAACCGTTAGCCATAGAAGGGCGGGCGGACATAGAGACACTCATACCTCGAATGTTTTGGAGTGGATCTTCGCAGCTTAACAGTCCAGGTAGTCCGCAGCCATCAGAACCTCAAGGCAGAGCTCCAGCGGCAACTCCATGTCCTCGACATTCAGCTCGTTTCGGTGGCGATGGTTGTAGAGAAAATATTCGCAGACTAGCTGGAGAATAACACCACTAAAAAAGATACCATGTCAGTGCCAGGGAACAAGTCGAGCAACAGTCTCGGGTTCATTCGACCTACTTGATGTTTTCGAAAACGCAGCGGCCAGTAATTGCCTCCACGAAACCATCTGCAAAAACGCAGCAGGTTAGCGAGGGACTCAAAAGATTGACGCGTTCGGGGGAACGTTACTCTTGGGGTCCAGCATGCGGCTGATGGTTCCAGAGACGCATGCCTGTTCGCGCTCAAGGATGAACTCGAAGCCATCGCGAGACACGAGCGTCACATACTTCAGAGCCGGATCAGCCATGACGGGCGGGTTGGGTAGGAAAGGCCATGGTTTGAAGGTGAGCGGCATCGCGATGAAGGATAGCGGGAGGTCCGTGCACACGATAAGCGATAAGCGATAAAGGATAAACGATAAGTTATGGAAGAGTGGGTGTCAGTACTTCAGACGGCTGGAAGCAAACAGGGTAGTTCCTTCTAAAGAAATGGCCAGCGCACTGGGGATGCGCACTCGACCAAATCTGTCAAGCCACGTCCTTTGGCATGCTGTGACTGGACCCTTTACACCGAAGGCTGGGTGCTTTCGACTCCTATCTTCTACGCAATCGGGTGAAGGAGAAGGGCGCAACAGCGCAAGCTTGCAGGGACGAACCTGTATGGTTACAGGAGGGACCTCAGGGATTGGATATGCGATTGCGAAGAAGTTTGTTCAGGAGGGTACGTCAAAGGTGACTCTAATTGGCCGGTCAGAGGAGAGGCTAGAGACCGCGGCGGCACAACTACGCGCATCTACAGCAAAGAGCAATGGTATCACGCCCGAAGTGGAAATTGTGATACAAATAGGAGACATTGGAAAAGCAGGTGAATGGCTACGAAATCTGGAGAAGGCAATGGTGACACTCCCAGAAACCCCGTCCGAAGCGCATTGACTAAAGTATACTCTAGACAGATACAGACATTCTAGTGAACGCTGCTGGAATATCACACTCTAAGATTTTACCCAAGACTGAACCAGATGAAGTCTCTCAGATTCTCCAAACCAATCTGGAAGGAGCGATCTTGACATCACGGGCATTCATGCGCGCTGCAATCCGTGGCCGTGTGCGCAGCCGCAGTGAGTCTCCTAAGTCATCCAGCAAACCCTCCAAATGCATTATCAACATCTCTTCCCTCCTTGCCCTGAAGGGCGGCGTAGGGGCTGTTCCATATGCAGCCTCCAAAGCTGGTCTGCTTGGTCTGACGAGGTCGTTGGCCACAGAGGCAGCTGCATCCATGAGAGATGTCATCATCCGCTCTAACGCAATTGTGCCCGGGTATATCGAGACGCCTATGATATCAGGTATGATCGATACTCAAAACACCGAAATGGTTTTTTTAGATACTAATATACCGCAGATTTCTCCGATGGAGAAGTTGCCCGGCTGAAAGATTCGATTCCGCTGCACCGATTTGGCAGGCCAGAAGAGGTGGCAGATGCGGCTGTCTTCCTAGCACAAAATGAATACGCCAATAACTGTGTTCTTAACCTTGACGGAGGCTTGAGTGCGGTTTGATATGCCGGTTTCGGGTCAAGTTTGACGGAATCAAGGCCCAGTCTTTGAGCTTGTTACAAATACCATCTTTCAAATCTCCATACACCAACTTACGTGGAGGGAATACTTGTCAAATGAATCCTCAATTGTCAGGGAAACTCTCCAGAAGGACTCCGTTGCAAGTCTTAAGTCCATATACGACACTAAAACCTCCCCTAATTGCTGTTGTAAAAAGATCTGCCTCATCAGATGCGTTTCTTGCCGACGCGTATAGTCGCAGCGCTGTGTATGATACATCAAGTATAAGAAAACAAGCAAATTTTGATAAATCGAATGAGCTCATCTAGTCATCGATCAAAATGGCACCCTCGTCATCCAGGTCAATGACTTCGCCATTGCCATTGCTTTCTGCGGCAACCTTCTTCGCAACGGGGCCGTTCTTCAGTTGGTCATCCTCGCTATCGCGCTTGCGTTTCCCATTGGAAACATTTCCATTCGTCAACTGGGTTTCGTCAGTTCCAGCAAGACCGTGTTTCGGTTTGCGTGGGATTTCAAGCTCCTCGGGCATCAACTGAGCAGGCTTTGCGCCTTCGGCAGTCTCCTCTCTGTCCAACAAGTTAGTTAGTTGCCGAGACAGTCTAGTGCCGCGTGGGAGTAAACAAAAGCATACCTTTGCACAACTATCAGCTCCAGGTTGACCCGAGGATCTTGGTCCTGATCATCTTCATCCACAACTGTCAGGAATGATTGGTTGCCAAGACCCAAGTCCTGCAGCTTCTTCGAGAGGTTATCTTCCAGATCTGGATCGTAGATCACGCCCTGCCCCTTGAGAATAGAGAACTCCTCTCCATATCCCAACTTTAGCTTGAGAACCCCTTCGACAATATCCTCGAGTGTTGCACTAGCCAGGTCAACGGCTACTTGTGCGCTTATGACAGAGCAGACAGCACAGTCAGGCCGGGGTGGGTTCAGCGAATCAGAATTGATGACACGAGCTCCGGATCTTTCGAGGAATACCTAATCCAGTAATATTAGCAGTGCTCAGCTAGAGGAACTGATATTATCTTACCATCTTGGCGTTCCTGAGATCATCTTGTAAGACCTTAAATGACTGCAACACACAGAGACCTGCGGTCATAGCATTCGTGGTAGCAATGGCAGGAATGATGTTGCCGGCCATTTCTACCTGCTCGTCAGCATAGGAACCCAGTCATTCATGATGACAGAAGACACTCACCTTTCGTCTTGAATTTGGAATTGGAGTCGATACCAAATATGGTACCACGTAGGATACCCGTCGCAGTCACGAAATCCAAGGTATCCTCATCATCCTTGTCGAACTCGATGGTTGGGGTTGGATCTGTGGGTGATGCTGAAGCTTTGAGTTCCTTCAAGCGACTCCTCAGGCGATTCAGAGCATCCCGGAATACCACAAAGGCCTCTGCCAAGGTCCACTCCCTCTGGTCAACCTTTGATATTGTGGAGTCAATGGAGGCGGACTCTTCATTAAGCTTGTCGTAGTCTAGTGGCTCTGGAGGCTTGCGCTCCTCCCACATGCCCTCTGCTCCTCGTAATCGCTCGATATCATGCTTGAATACCTTTTCGAATACTTTCCCTTCGAATTCTTCGGTATCCATAGACTCGCGGATATCTTCGAGCTCTTTAGCTTCTCGGCGAAGCTCTCCGATTTCTTCCGCTGGTACCCAGTCAGTATGGCGTGTGGCTTGAGTATTTCGGTTTTGTACTGACCATTTTCCGCTGTCTCTGATGTATCGATGGTGCCATTATCATCCTCCCCCTTTCCGAATAGCTCCCTATATTTGAGTTAGCAACTCTCTTCTTCCAATTGCCGCCAAGGATCTTACGGAAGAAGGTAGCTTTTCCCCCAAATGATGCAGTGGATGGGTTGCGATGGCGTAGTGCGGATGGTACACACAGGGTATGTTGTCACGGTGGGCTTTGGGTTGCAGTCGTAACATTCGGTTTTCCCCTGACTTTGTTCAGCAAACTTCAGCTCATTCCCAATGTATGACTCGGAACCCGCGTACCTTTTCAATCACCTGGACCTGACCATTGAACCCAGTTGTTCCACTCTCAATCAAAGGGACATTCGCAGCAAGACACATGTGATTTACATGGCGTCGCGCAGCCAGGTTATCCAAAGCATTGAAGACAATGTCGAACTTGCTGAACCAGGCAACATTGAAGCGGGAGTCGGTGATATTGGCATGGTACGCTTCGAGCTTGGCATTAGGGCGAAATTTTTGCGCAATTTCTTTGGCTACCTAAAAGACAGATGGGGCGACGTCAGTCGGTGATTCGGTGCGCCGTGCGACAAAGGTACCGCTTGCATCGCAAATGTCCCAGGGGAGGGGAGGAAGAGCGAGGTGAGATTACATACGAGAGCTTTCGATTTCTTGATATGCTCATGACGGAAGAGAAATTGCCGGTTGAGGTTGCTGAGGTCGATGGTGTCAAGGTCGATAATGTGAATTTCGCCGAAGCCAGTGAGGACGAGGTTTTTCAATAGTTCGCAGCCGATACCACCAGCGCCAACCAGCAGCACTCGCGACTAGTCAAAGATAAATCCGTTAGCTTCAGTCCCAATAGTTTCAGGCGTATTGTGGTAGGGCAGATCGCATCCCGTGGGTATCTTACCTCATGAATCTTGGTCGTCAGATCGACGCCGAGCGAGCGCTTAATAGAGGTGGCCGGCATGTCGCAAAGACCACGCAGACCACGCGCGAGGGGGGAAACAGACGCGTACGATGCTTGAGAAGAGGCAGTATCAAGGATCAAGGATGGTGAAGGCGCATCATGTCCTAGGGTACAATCAACGAAGGGAGGGTGGGGAGGAAGAGAAATCGCAAGGCGCGGATGCTGAGGCCGGAAGTAGCGATGACGAAGCTGCCGCGATAACAAGATTGCCCGGCGCCGACGGCCGTAGACGGGAAATTGCAGCTTTCCACCCCCCGTGCTAGTGTGTGGCAGCAAACCCCTGAAGGATTATGGAGAGAGTCTGTCCTCCAGTTTCTGCTCTTTCTGCTTATTCTACATGTTGGAGGCCATGTTTGAGATCGTTGTTTTACGTGATTGCTGATGCATTCCATGCAGTCCGTTTGAAAGCATGATGGTTTCCTGCGTCCCGTCCCTTTGATTGGCGCAATAGACAGCAAAGGATCTTCAATTGGATCTATGGTATCTGGCTGTTTCCTCACAATCTCCCTCTGGGCACTGGCATGCGTATTGGTGGAAACAATACTGCCCATCAACATGGAGCTCGGAAGCAGGAGCTCGGTCCTCCCACCTGTAGAGCCGCAGTAGCTGCTAGTACAGATGGGGATATGCCAAACATATATTCCAGGTTGCCATTGGACGTGACACAGAGACCATATTTCTGCATATGATTCCTGCTCATGAAAAAATCCCTTCCCCAATGAAATAAAGATAATTTTGTAGAAGCATTTCCTTATCAACTTGCACCTCTTCGCTGAATGGTCGCGGCTGATCCTGCTTACCTAACCACAATTTTTACTCACACAATTCAAAGCAAATTCCCCGTGGCGAGAAAAAGCCACCATTCAACGAGCTATTGATGAGAGAGTCAGACTGGACTGATTCCTGCTCTCTGGTAATCCTTGTACCATTTTTGGCCCATCACCAGGGCTGGTAATCCAGCTAGGAAAGGATCAACATCTCTGCTACCGAACCTGTCAATCTCGGGATCCAGGGGAGATATAGGGATATCTCCAACAGCTCGGATTCAATTGATCATCAACCTATAATCAACGTCAAAGATGCCATCCTGGACTCCAGTTCCGCTAAGCAAAGACCCCGATGTCATGTCTGATGATGATGCAGATCCGGAACTCGTGGAGCTGCTTCGCCAGCATTTGGGATTGAGTGGCAAGCCCTCAGCACCTGCACCGCCTGAGACTAAAGTTCTAGAGGGGGCTCAATATGTCTTTGATAATGCCATTGATGTAGCTATCAGCCCAGGTCAGACCAAAGAAGCGGCCGAGACGATCTGGCGCCTGATGCAGAAAAAAGCATACTCCACCCACACATGGTCAGACCACGAATTGCACCCCAAGGCAAAGGATGAGAGTACTGTCGATTTTATCTTCACCATGGACTTGCTGAATTTCAGTTTCTGGTCTGAAGAGAAAGATGAGTCAAAACGATTTGCAATCGAGTATCGTGGCAAGAAGTGGACTGGGTATTGGAGCTTGGTAGCGGCTCTCCAGCGAGCACTTGAAGAAGGTATCAATGAAGCCGTACGGTCTATTTAACCAGACCTGGATATCTAACACTACATCTAGGTATACCCATCACCACTCCTGACTTTTGGGTGGACGAAGAAAAATGCACAAAAGAAGTACTGCGTCATGTTTTCCGCTCGGCAACCGACGAGGAGATACCTCTTCTTCAGGAGCGCTTGGAGTGTCTACGCGAAGCTGGAGATGTACTATGCAATGTATGAGCCTAGCCGCCTCCAATACGCTAGCTCCCCCTAGTACAGCGCTGATCTTTTATAGGAATTTGGAGGCAGCTTTGCAAACTGTATTGAAAGTGCCGATTTATCCGCCGCGGGCCTCGTAAACCTGGTCACTGAGTCTTTCAACTGTTTCCGCGATGAAATCATCTTCCAGAACCGGAGAGTGCGGCTATACAAGCGCGCGCAAATTCTAGTGGCCGATCTCTGGGCCTGCTTCAACGGCGAGGACTTCGGAGAGTTCAACGATATCGATAAGATTACTATGTTTGCAGGTATGCTCATTTGTCCCTAGAGCTAGAAACCGATTAGTGATTCACCCTGCCACCCAGATTACCGCATTCCACAAATGCTGCATCAACTCGGGTGTCTTCGCTACTCACCTCCGTTGGAATCTCACATCCGCAGCTTGAAGCCCATTACGCCTGGCTCCACTTGGGAAGTCGAGCTTCGTGGAACAAGCATTTGGTGCGTGGAGCTGATCAAGCGCGAGATTGAGAAGCGGCATCCAGAAGTTAAGACTGCTGGTAAATCAGACATGAATTCTCAGCCCGAGTCCGAGGTCGGTGGCGAGCCTGAGGATGCTGAGAAAGTGGTTGATGGGCCAGCGGAGCATGCTGAGCATAAGCCGCACAAAACATACGGGATCAATGCCATCCTCATTGATTTCTTCCTTTACGATACCATGAAGCATTTGGAAGAGGAGCATAACGAAGGCATTCCCCATCACCGGACGAGAAGCATCTGGTACTAGACAAGAGTCTCAGACGGATGTTTCTCCAAATATTGTCATCAACGACATTTGCATAAGCATGGCTCTGGCAGCCGTCGGTTTTTTAAAGACATTCCAGAGGACGGACAGATTTTTTTCGGTGTTGGCTGGTTGGGCTGGAAAATATGGGAAATTAACGGGACATACCACAACGAGGACTTGTGTATACCTCATTAATTTCCGGCGCAGATCAAGAGCTTAGTCGTTTATTTCATTCATCTTGCAAAGGGTATCGATTCCATTCCATGCTAACACCTAAGTCAAGAAATCCAATATGTGTCGCGGGAGCATTACGCAGCTGCATGCCCAATTCGACTCGAGCTACCTCCGATGCGCGACAAGATATCCGCTTTCCAGTCGACGAAGTCTTCTCGGCGATCTTCACTCAACCAATCAACCCGATCTTGCATCATCGTACCCAGACCCGGCAAGAGCCCGTTATTAGGCGACTCGTTGGACCGTGATGATTTCTTCCCGCGGCATTACCTGCATCGCGACGCTTAGGGAGCTTCGCGCCTCTGAAAGCAGCATCCTCCTCATCAAGATTGCGGAAGGAGTTGCCCTCGTCATCTTCGCCGTCCAGCTCCCCAGCAAGCGGAATGTTCTCGAACCACTCTTGCCCGTTCGCCCAGCCCTGGCTCAAGATAATTGCAATCCATTGGTCTACGTCCTCACGATGCTGTCTGTCATGCGGAAGGCCCAGGCTTGTCAGAGCTGTCTGCCGCATCTCAGTGAAAGTCTTTGTGTCCATTTTCTGTGCCTCGGCGTTGGACTCTTCGCCATCTGCAGACGGAGGAGGGTTCCGTCGACGGGCTAGGACGAGAAAGTATACCGCGACAACCATAGCATAGACAAGTTCTTTAAAGTCATTATCATCAGTAGTACCTTTGATAGACACAATTGGATCCAGGAAATCAAGGACTTCCTCATCCATTCCCTCCTCGTCATTTGACATGCTAGATGTCATGTAGAGGATAGTAGAAACACCGGCAAAGATATGCGGAGGCAGGGTTCTCGATATCGGTGGCCGAGACCAGGTGGTTGTGCGCGGAGCCGGCGTGGAGAGCGTCTTGCATACTGTTCGAATGGCAGCCATCACCCACGCTGGGGCGTCAGGAATAATGGTCGAACCGGAGAGGCCCTTAGGGCGCGCTGGCGCAACTCTACGGGCAGATTTTGACGGCGTGCCAAAATTGGCAACACTTACGCTCCTCTTCAAGGGGGTGGACTTGGAGGGAGTATTTTGCAAACCACGCGGCGTTGGCGCAGCTTTCGGTGTGCGGCCCCCAATTGATCCTTTGCCGGGCGTATTTGAGGCCGCACGAGAGGGGGTCCCGGGGGCGGAGCTGCTTGCTGATCGCTTAATCCCATTGGAGCTCGCCGTGAGTGATCGGTCGAGGTAGTTATACAGCTTTTTGTAGACGCGAGGAGGACATGGTGGATGGCCCAGTAGAGGAGGGAGTTTGAGAGATCGTGTCAGCCTATTCAAAATGCAACACGATAGCTCGTCAGTAATCAGCCTGTCTTACAAGATACACTTGCTTAGGACACCCACCTCCTGCAGGCTATCTCTGCGCAAGCATAGGGTCGCGCAATCTCCTCCTCGGGCTTCAGGCTGGCTGAAAAACTCCGGGATTGCGCGACAAGACTGGTAGCCAAGCTTAAGAGCTCTTGCGGGATATCATTAGCATGTGTTGGGAGCAAATTCCCAATTGCCTGCTCAACCTGTCGGTTATTCATCCCGGATAAATCGCTTCGTCTGGTCCCAGATCGCGCGTAGATAAGTCGTAGCGCCGGGGTTGTTGATCACGCGATGGTGTGCTGAAGGGAAGGAAACAGTGCCCGCCTAAATATCTTTGCGGATGCCACCCCGCAGCCTCAGTTGATCTCTTCGAAATTAGAGCACTTGGTTGCAAATGTCTATAAACAATCGTCGGAGCCGCGCTCCTTGGGAACTCCCCGGCCTTTGGCAATGCGGTGACTAAGCACTTTATTCTGCCCGGGGCGCAGCGCCCAGCTCAGCCCTGTAGGCCTATTATTTATGATATTGCCGTTGGCTTTGGGTCTGCACCCAATAGTGATTACCATTTGTCGGAATTTTCTGGGCTCGGCGCATGTAACATTTGTACCAGGATTTTCTTTGGAACTAGAGTATTATAGTGGATCGATAGAGATTTTGGTGTTGCTAGTATTATCGTATCTCAGATCCTACTTTTGTAGGTAATTTACCTTGGAACGCCACTGTGGTTCCAAATTGCTAGTATATGGATTGACGAGAGGCTTTCTGGATGCTAAGGAAATGACTGAAAAGCTCATATACGACAGCCTCAGAGGATATAGAACAGGTCGAATGCTCTTGAATGTCGGCGACATCCCAGCTTTGCTGCCCCGAATCATTGTGGTTAAAGTTGTAGCACTTTTCCGTATTGAGGAACCTCTTAAATGCTCTTAGAATTATTCGAAACTTTACGCTTATTATGTGACAGCTCTATACACTTGCAAGTCATGGAGGCTGAGAATAGAGCCGGCCCGGATAATCCAGACTTCCGCCTGTTCAGGTACGTTACTTTTGTGGGGCTCGAACGCCAACCGCAACTTTTGCCAGTGCCCTTAACTTCTCGCTGCTCCATCGAGCTCACATCGAGCTCACAGAATGTCTGTCACTGTAGGTACCATCTCACTTAATCTCGAATCCATTTGCTCATAGCTAATTAGCAATACTCCAGCTCCACACCACCCACGGCGATCTGAAGGTCGAGCTATTCTGCGAAGCAGCCCCCAGACTGCCGAGAACTTCCTCGCGCTGTGCGCATGCGGCGCATACAATGATACCCCATTTCACCGCCTCATCCCTGGCTTCATGATCCAAGGCGGCGACATATCACTTGGACAAGCCGCACGCCCATCATCATCCACCAAGCCGATGCTCCCGTTCGAAATCCCGAAGGGCGGCACTTCCATACATCACCCGTCAGGCCTGAACCAAGAAATCCACCTCCCCACTATTCGTCATAATGCACGCGGCATCCTGTCAATGGCTTCGCGACCCGTCAAGGACCGCACTGCCCGGGCGCTCAAAATGCCACCGGGCCAACCATCAATGGCAGCCAATTCTTCATTACTTTTGCTCCAGCGCCACATCTTGATGGTGCTAGTACCGTGTTTGGCAAGGTCCTTAATTTGACGGCACAGGACGAGGGAGGCGATGTGTTGGCTAAGCTGGAGAAAGCGAACGCGAAGGTTGATAAAAAAGGGAAAGTTACGCAACCGAAAGAGGGCGATGATTTTGAGGCTCTGCGCATCAACAGCGTCACCATCCATGCCAATCCATTTGCGACCTGAACTATACGATGATTAATAATGACAACCACCACCAACCGTGTCTAAATATCGAGCAAGGTACTATGCTATCCACGCCAGGGACACCTCTTATGCGCCGCGCTCCGAAGTGCGGGGGGGTGGGATTTTGACTACCACTGCAACGTTACGCTTGCAGTGGTCTGATTGATTCCAGAGGTCTCCAATGACTTATTAATATGGACCAAACCCGCAGAACGCACTGGTTGAATGGAAACAATTGCTATTCAACGCCCGTTCCAGCTACCTGATGCTTGATTCCCAACATGACAGCAGCCTTCGCGAAGGCCAAAGCAACCGCACATTTCAAAGTAGCTCATCACAAATCACTTAATGGATATAGAAAGCTTGATATCTAACATCTCCATTTAAAATTTACAAGACTAGTATGCATCCCCAAGACGTAGATCTAAAACTTTTCGTAGCCGTCCCCATTCCCCAACCACTCATGAAAATGAAACAGTATCATCATAAACGCCGCTTTCGTAATGGCAAAAAAAAAGTCATCCCATGCGTCAAAATGGCAAGGCTGAGGCCAGAATATGCTCAAGCAAATTATTTGCCAAGAGAAGCCTCAAGAAGATCGTCCATAGCATCTGTTGGCTTCTTCTCAGCCTCTCCCTTCTTCTTTGCATCTGCCTCGTAGCCCTCGGTTTTCATGTCCTTCAGGCCCAAATCTTCTTCCTCCTCCTCCGTGCGCTCGTACTCCTCGGTCTTAAGCTGAGGATCAGCAGCAGGCGCGCACAGGTCTTGGACGTAACTGTTGGCTAAGGGGTCGACAAGAGTGATAGTGAACTTGAGTTCACCATTGATAGCCTGGTCAAGCTTCGAGAAGAAAGCAGCCCACTTGTCCTTATCGCTGGAAACCATGCTATCTCCGCCGGTGCCAGCAGAGTCGTCAAGGTCATAGATTTGCGACTTCAATTGGTCACGGACCTCAGTAAGGAGACCCTCGACGGTGGTGAAGCGACCTCCAAATAACGAGCCGGGAGCAATCTCAAGTGTAAGCTCCTCACAGATAAGACCGCAAGTGTCGGACTTCAAGATGTCGCGGGACAGATCGACAGTGTTCTCGACCTGCAGGTGGATTTTCTTTCCTTTGTCGGGGATCTCTCCGCCGCTTCCAGGGAATTAGCATTGTGCATGACACATCAGCGTCCGATCGATTGAACTCACGTCTTGATTTCTGAGGATTTGTAGCCACACGCATCACAGGCCGTTCCCCAGACAATGACGTCCTTGAAATAGGGGATTGACAGCTGATTTGGGGGTTAGATAGCGTCATCAGATAGCAGATAGAACTTGAACATACCTTCTTCACGTTAGTAGTGCACTCCTTAGTACAGCCGGGGCACTCAGTAGGAAGACTGTAGACCTGGCCGTCGACAATGTCAAGATCTTCGGGGTTCCCAAAGCTGGTAGCTTCGTGTTTTTGGGCTATGCAATGAATTTAGCATGGGCATATGTGATCAGAATTCAAAATAACTCACCTTCAACATCAGCGCTAATTCCTAACTCCTCATTCATCTCATGGGTGCGGGGGTATTCCTGGCGGACGTATTTCTTGCCGCGGTCTTCAGTGTTGGGAGCAATCCAAGAGTTACCGGTAGGGTCATCCAATGAGATGACGAACGGGAATCCGTTGCCATCCAGGATATCCTTCAGCTTCTGAATAATAGGCTCGAGGGCCGCGTAAAGCTCAGGCGCTTGCTCTTTGCGCAGGTCTTGGTCACTAGATAAATGTTCGTAGATACGGTAGACAACACCCTCGACGTTGGTCATTTGTCCATCGCCCTTAGGCATCTCGATACCAATACTCTCGATTTTGAAAATGGAGACATCACTGCGAATAACCTGGCGCTGCATATCCGCGGAGTTCTCAACTTCAAGAGTGTACTTGGTACCCTTCTCTTGGATCCTAATAGTCGACTATGTCAATGAAGCTCTGGATGCGTAAATGAATGAGTCGACTCACTGTCCTGCGCTCTTAACGCTGTTGTTTTTGAAGTTGCAGTGCTGGCATTCGAAAGATTCCAATATAATATCCCTGAAGTATGGAACACGAAGAAGCAACAGTGTGGTCACTCCATTCTCATGGCAGTTCATGCAGAGACTCTCCACCTGCATAGCACCGGTGTCTTCATTTCGCTCCACCAGATCTCCGATCTTCTGGAACTGTGAGTCATCGGTAGACATTTTGCGTCGCAAGCAATTTAGCTCGTAGGTAGATACAAAATCCGATATGGGGACGAAACAAATTGGTGCGAAAGTTCAAGTTGGAGAAATACCCCATGCATCAAAAAAATCTCCACCGCCCGAATATTCTGTCGCGTTCTGCGTGGCGGGGCACTGATTACATTGATAAGCACAGCATTTGGAGGGGTTGCTGACTCATCCCTGCAAGCTGCACACTTTAGTTAGCTAATTGACTATACTCCAAGCGTATTTCGAATTCAATTAATGGTCCAGTGAGTTCGATATATGGCGTAAGATCTTCGAACGAGGCTTCTGGATTTCTGTCAGAGGTCAGTAAAACGGCGGCTAGAAATCCTAGCGGGTGAAACCTCAAGAATTGCCAATCATTTCGCCAATGTATATTTTCGGAAGTCGTAATTTAGCAGCGGAATCGTCAACGATGTTCTTTTGCTTCTTGGCGTCATACTGTTCAGATCGAGAACCAACCTCACTGCTTCAAATTGCGTCCACCATCATTACGGCAAGGTATACTAGTATTCCAAGTCTTCAAAGTACCAACTTGAGATAAATTGGAGGTCTCCGTAGTTTTTCAGCGCTTGACAGAGCCCCAAAGGCGGTGACCTCATTCGTCAGAGGTCCCAAAACGCACGCACTGACATAATTCATCGAGCTCAGGACTGTTCTACGCTTCTCTTCTTTCTTTTTCCTATCTGTTTTCTCCAGGACCCCATTCCTTATTCTCCTAGATGATGAGTCAGTCGTCTAAGTGATGATGAGAGGCCCTACTCAGGTCCAGGCTGCTTTTCGTGCAGCTGGTGATTTCCTTGACCCCGTCCTTCAGAAAGGTTGGCAAGTCCATGCTACTTTGATACATGTGGGCTAACTGGTGAAGAAAAAATCACACAATCCAAAAGCGCTTCTTTACTGGAAAACTTGAAGGGTGACTTGGACCCGTCCACTCATAATGACGAGGATTTGAGGTTTGCCATCATAAGCAAAGCTTTGGAATTGTTGAGCTGCATCCATGAAGCTTTTGTTTCCCCCGTCGAAAACACGAGTCCTGTTCAGTCACCTGTACACGAATTCGAAGATGAAGCATTGGAGGATGCAAAGCGTCGCCGGATCCTTCATGGCTTACTGGATCTGATATCTCTGGAGGGTATCTACCCTTCATTGTCATCTGGTGTGGGCATTCCATTGCAACAGCGTGTGATCTCGGTTTTGCCCGCCGGGATTATTGCGAAGCAAGGCCCATTGCCTAACAGCGCACGCCCCCGAAATGAAAGCCTTCTTCGTCGCATTATCACAGTCCTCATGGGAATCATCTTGGACGAAAGACCCAGCATCCAGCCCATCATTCGCGGCCGTGTCCTGAGCGATGTCATTTCGGGAGCAGCCGATCTTTCTTTTAATCCACAGTCAACACCATCAAAGGACCGCGATGCACTGAGAAAGCAATTATCTGCTGTAATGGACGGGTGAGGATAACGTTTTACACCAACAAGGGGTTGCTCGATTTGCTAACCATGATTAAGAACCCCAAGCGTCATGTTGCTTCCTACTTTATCAAACTTCCTCCAGGCTGACCCTGTTATATGGTTCAGAGTAACCGTATCAAGCCATCTTGCTCGTATTCCACTTCGACCTCAAGGTGTTCGACAGACAATCATGTTCATTGCATCGCAAATCGGGCCTTCTCTTGGCCAGGAAGCGAGAGACGAACCCTCCAATGGGCCACACTTTACCCTGCAAGCAATTATGCAGATATCGCGATTACTCGGATCAGTCCCGCAGGGAATGGATGCAAATAGATTCTTCGCCACAATAGGCCCTCAGCTGTTAGCTCTCCTTGACGGAGAGGACCCCGACCTCAAAAAAACTGCATCCTACGCTATTGGCAACGGAATCCTAAACAAACGCGCATTCGGTGCTCCAAAAACTATTGGCCACTCAATATTCGTCGAGCCAATATACGGGGTGCTTACCGCCCAGCTCACCGATGGTTGTATGAAATGGCTACAGCGGTTTTCTGATGATGGACATGCAACTCCAATTCAGGATAAAATTCCAGAAAGCTCTGACATTTTGGTTGCAAGCCCGCTTGTTGATCTGGCGCTCGAAAGATTGGCAAGCCTGGTGCTACAGCATCCAAATCCAGGGCTGGCAAAGAGACTTCTACATCCTGTCTTGAGACCCCTTTGGAGCATTGCTTGCTTTGCTGATGAGCAGAAGCTCTCTAAGCTTTATGAGAAGAGCTTCTCTTTACTGCAATCGTTCTTTGGGATCTCCGTTGGAGAGAAGCCATTCAAAATTTTGGTTAATAACATCCTATGCGACGGCGGCTCAGATTGGACCTACCAAGTAGACAGCGGAGGCAACAGTATTTCAATAACAAAGAGACATCCTACGTCAAATGACCAATCGAACATCATACGCCTCGTTGATTCTCTCCAAGGTCGGACAGATCTGTTCGTCAAGTTACTGGAGTCCGATCCAAATACCGAGGAGACAACGGGTGACATTTTTCCTCTATGTGAGCCAAACATGGCTGGTCAAGTCTCCCGATGATGCGAAGAAGCCAGAGACGATCGGAGATACTGAGAATGTCATGCAGAAGCTGGTCAGTGCAACAATTGCCAAGAAACTTCTGGAAAACTTCAAGGACACCCTTTCTCGCCGGCCACTCCGTATTCTGGAGCTCATTGGGCAGGTTATCGATGGCGAGCGGCAGAGTCTGAGCAGAGAGGCAGAAAATCGCCGTTCAAAGGAATCTAGAGCTCCATCTCTAACTACCTTGGGGTCTATCGTGCCTGAGAGCAATGCAGATGAGAACGCTTCACCAGAGACAGAGACCTCGGAGTCCTTGTCGGTTGCCTTTAGTCTGCTGTCGACCGTTCTTGCATCACCAGACTTCGCTATCACGCCAGAAACGAAGCCAAATCTGGAATCCACTAAGGCAAACCTGGACCAGCTGATCCCTCTTCTACCGGATACTCTCCAGAAGCCGGCTACCACTTCGTCTATGCTGCTTGAGATTCAACTCGTATCACCCGAGAACGAAGGCACGAAATTACCACCGCAGTCCATCTCCGATCTCGAGACTCATCGTCAGGCCCTGGCAAATCTCAATTCCGAGCTACCACCAGTTCAAGCAGAAGGATTCTCCCTCCTTTCAAAACTGGTGGCTAATTCGTCACCCGTATTAGATATCCCATCGACATTAACACTTCTGCTATCCATAATCACGGACATATCTGAGTCCACCGCCAACGACGAATTTGTTTATCTCAACGCGATCAAGCTTATTGGAACCTTAGCATCTCGCCACCCTCGCACAGTCGTCAAAACCCTTGTGGATAGTTACGCTGATAAGAGCGAACGCCGAACCCTCGATCAACGTCTCAAGATAGGCGAATCGATTCTTCGGACAGTCCAGGATCTCGGAACTGCACTGGCTGGAGATACCGCAAAGATTCTTGGAGAAGGAATGATCGCCGTTGCAGGAAGACGTGGAAAGAAGCCCGAAGCTCAGAAGACTCGCAAGCAGAAAGAGGAGAAAGAGCGCCGTCAAAAGGAACGTGAAGAACGCCAACGAAAAGATGCAGCTTTGCCAGGATGGAGGGTCTCCGTCGGACCAAGCGAGCCAAAACCAGCCATTGCGCTTGAAGAAGGCGATTCTGAGACCGAGACGCCCGAGCAGACTGCACATGCGGCAAACATCATTGAGGCATGGGCAGCTGGCTCGTTCAATGATGATGAGCCTGATGATCTTCGCGTTCGAGCATCCGCGTTGTCGATTCTCGCATCAGCTGCTCAGACAAATATCATCGGTCTTGGGCCTGCCCTGGTCTCTTCAGCTTTGGATCTAGCCCTTGCCACTATCACCATCGAGCAGGCACCGGAGAGCGCTATTCTACGACGTGCAAGCGTAGTGCTGATTCTAGATGTCTTGAAAGCCATCGTTGCTGCCCAAGAAGCTCGCCACGGTGGGGATATCGGTTTTGGCTTCTCGCTCAGCAATGATGGGGCAAAAGGCAATGCGTCCGTCGGCAACATCCCTGCCATGATACAGACTCTGGGGATAGCGGAGAGCAAGGAAACAGATACCATTGTACGCGGCCATCTCCGTGCTCTGATCGAGAGTCTCGAGGCATGGTTGGAGAATTCTCTCATGAATGGATTCGGGGCCCGGCACGGCTCTGACGGGACAGATGAGATACGACTCGAATTGGGCGATAGAATTGCAGGATTGGACATCAACCCAATGGCTGGGAAGGATGGTTCGTCCAGACCTCGGATTGAGGAGATTGAGTAGACTCAGGCCAGCCCTGGAGATACCATAGCAGTTGCGTAGATGCTTAGCAATTCATTCCGTGGAAATTGAAATGGCCTGCGCAATTGTATTATGTAAAAGCATAATCTGCAAATCACAGCTGATCCAATTTCCATGACTATAGTTGCTGCAGAGAAGATTGGACATGCCGAATGAGATGACTGTCATGGTTGAGGTAGAGCTTTCGGTCCTTCATCCCGTGAGTTACTGCAAATAGGCAAATAGGCGGGGAGTAGTAGGAGTGAATAGTATCGTGCCGAACTTGGTCGGAGGCAGCCTATTGTTATTTACCCTCATTCGTGACTAGTTTTGAAAGTCTGTTCCAAGGAGAGTCAACTTATGCCTTGGAATTACGGAACAATCTATCTTCCATCGGCCATGTATTCAGTGTTCTACACCCGTGGAATGTTTATATGGCATATAGCGGCGTACACATTCATGTTGCCAATGTTTGGGAGGCAGTTAGAATTCACAATTTGTGCTGCTTTAAAACTGTACGGGACTGGCAGGAGATGGGGCAGGAGATGGCACAGGAGAAGGCATATCGGAGGTATCGGGAGCAGAGCTCAGGAAGTGCCATAAAAAGGGTCAAACAATGGCATTTGACACGATAAGCGCGTGTGAGGCCAGTGAGTAAGCTGATCAAATCTCATTCGACTCTTGGTCTCATGTCCTAACTATTTTACATCTGGCAATCCTCGCCCTAGATGTCGTGATCCTTGTCCTCATCGATTCTCCCTTTCACCGTCCTTTTCTATCGCCCGTCCGCCCCCAATACCTCTCTCCCTCAGTTTTTGAAATTGCCATGCTTGCGCACAGCTCCGCCACGAGTGCCACGCCGGGTCCCAAGCGTTGCGTTGGGGCGAACGTTGGCGCGCCCCAGCCGCCATGCGAGCCGCACGCTCCTCGTCCGACAAGTGGAACATGTTGGTGATTCCAACGAGGGCGCAGAACTCGGTGGTCTGGGGGTTGGTGTACTCGGGTGGGCCAACCTCGGTAGTAATGGGGACCTCTTCGTTGTAGATTGGTGCCGTCCGCTTGAAATTCTCGGGAACGTCCAGCTTGTTCTTCTTCACAACGTTCTGGTCAATCCACTCGGCCGCGGAATCAAGCTCCTGCTTGTATCCTGCATCTCCAAGGTTGGCGGGAACGACAGCGGCGGGGTCTCCAAGCTTCAGCTCGTGGGCGAAGACACGGGTGATGGCAAGCCACTCCTTGTCGTAGCGCAAGCGGAAGGGGCGCTGGTACTCTTGAGCGTTCCCAGAGATTGGGTTCAACTCAAGCAGTTCGACAAACGGGTCGCGACCGCCTGGCTTGTCCAAAGCCAGGAACTTGGTCTTCCGATTCCACACACCCTCCGGGACCTTCTTTGGTCCTTGCTCTTGACGGGGAGGCGGGCGCGAAAGGCTGCCGGGAAGCTTGCTGCGAATGTCCTCAGTTACGGCTTGTTTCGCGGCTCGGTCTTCGGGACCCGCAATAGGAGCAGCAGGAGCACCAGAAGAAGAGGGGATAGTTGCGCCGGCAAGGGCCCCAACCAAGTGTCTCTGAGACAGGGGAGGAAAGGTCTCCCGGGTTGAGTGCTTTGCATGACCAGCACTATGTTCAGACGTAGTGGGCATCATCGCGATCTTCTTGTTAGAGGAGATCCCGAGCTAGAGCAGCTGCTGCTAGCGGATCCCAAGTCGACTTCTTCTTCATTAGCATGGGTCGAGTTACTTCGTGCTTCATCAGTAGGGGCAAAGGTACTTCGCGGGTTCTTGGCCCAGAATTCCTCGCGCAGCTTCTGGCCAATCTCCTCCTCAAAGTGGCTAGTCCTGGCACCAAAGCTCTGCCACGCGGAGAGGCGATCTTCGGTCGAACCGGTGGCCTTCGCAATGGTGTTGGTGAAGTTGCGCGCGGCAAGCTTCTCCGTCTCCGTGAGCTCGACATGACTTCCGGGAGGAGCCTGGGCGACAGCTACTCGACGTACACGAGTTGGGTCGAGATCCGATCGACTGACAGTAGGGGATGGCCGCTTCTTTGTGGGCGCATCTTGGTCCTCCATCTCATGGCCTTCGATTTCGTAGGCCCATCCCTTTGGTTCACCGGGGAGACGCTTGGTCTTGGCCAGGCGGACATTGCCATGCGGCATCGTGAGGGCGTACCGGACATGTAAGTGTGCAGAGAACCAATAAGCAGGTCGAAGGTAGTCGAGAACCTCCCGCGCAGCTTTGCTACCCAGGGCGCCCTTGTTGGAGTCGTCCTTCAGGTGCTTCTTGCGACGGAACAGATCGGTGATATCGCCAAATTTCTCAATACCATTAGGCCAGTCGTGCGAGATGCCAACATCGACCTGGGTGCGCAGCTGCAGCAGCTTTCGAACATCCAGCTCACGGACATGGTAAATGCTTTGCACATCTTCGATGTTGTATGGGATGCGCTCGAAGTGTGGCTTGCGATAGTCATATCCCTTCCAGATGCCGGAGAGACCAGCAATACGAAGGGGACCCAAGTTCAGAACATTAGCAGCGCCCATGTAGTAGATGTTCGGGGCAACCCATCCGCCATAATACAATTCGAACAGATAGTTTCCGGCTTCATGGTTACCGCCACAGAAGATCGTCAAGAAAGGAGCGACACGCTGTCCCGAGTAATACTCATGAAAGTCTCCAATCTGCTTCCACTTGGGCAGAACAGACATGCATGCAGCGTCGTAGGAGTTTCGAAGGGTCTTAAAACGGTAAGTCAAATGGGTCAAGGAAAGACAGTGGAAGGGGAGATACCTGAAAGTCACCACCGACAATAACGCAGTCCACCGAATCCCAGTTGCGAGATGCCATTTGCGCCTTCACATTTTCGTAGATTTGATTGAGAGATCCATGGCCCTATGAAGCAAAATCAATGTTAGATTCTTGTCGATGAAATCACGCCTCGTGCATCGGAACAAAGGGTGACTTACACAGCCAACAGTCGCAACGCGGACAGACATTTTGGTCTAGAGACCAAGGAATGGGGTTGAAGGTAAAAGGGGAAGTAGGAGAAAAATAAAAGGGCAGCAGTAAAATAGCAGGCCTGCAGCAGAAGATGGACACCCAGTGAACAGGTGAACACAGACCAAGGCCGGCTCCTAGTAGTGGGACTGGGCACAAGCCTCAAGGTGCCTGTACTCAGTTGTAAAGAAGGGTGGGGGGAATGAAAAGAGGAGAGAAAGAAACACGGTAGAAGAGGTGATATTATAGCTGCTGGTGGAAAAGGGCGGTGGGGTACAGAGCAGTGAATGTAATGAATGCTGAGTGAATGAGTGCACCTTCACAAGAGGAGACAGTTGCGTATGGCTTGGCTTCACCATAAGCCAAACCTGTAGACTCCAGGACGTGAGAAGAACAAGGCTGTAAGAACTAAGCCTTTTAAAGAAACTCAGTTGGAATCAATCTTCCACGCACCCGCCGTGGATGTAAGGCTTGGAGGGTCAGGGATGTAGTTCTGGAGATTTCCCTTTTAGGACTCGAAGACTCCCGGCCCGCAATTTCACTTTTTCACCTTGGCGCGTTTTGTCTTTACAATTTATCGAATCTAGCACATTCCCTATTGCCTCCCAAAACAAGGAAAACCAGTAAAATGCCACCAGTTGAGGCACCCCGGCTCCGCTTTTTGCGAGATGCGTCGGATTGGTTGAATTTACAGAGTCCGTCGACGTCGGCGCACCTGCTGGGGGTTCATACGCAGATGCTCCACGAGGACTTGAAGCCGTTGAACGCCCGCGAGCAAAAGCACCACTGTGGGGGATGTGGTAGTATTTGGCAGGCAAAGTGGCGCAAAGTAACTCGAGTGTCTGAGACGCGAAAGGGAAAATTGCGAGGGAAGAAACCAAAGTTAGCGGCCAACGGGAGCTCGCGTGGAAGCGCGACAATCTATAAATGCTTGCGCTGTCAGCAACGTTCCATCTTAACTCGTCACAAAGGCACACCGAAGGCGGCGCCCAGAACTGCACTCACCCCTGCGACTCCGTCTTCGAAGATAATTGCACTTACTGCTTCCACGTCCACGTCCACTACCCCAGCGCCCGATTCCTCTTCGTCTGCCTCACAGGATCTCACTAAACCCGCGGAGAACGCCGGTAGCAAGAAGAGAGCCAAGGCGCGAAAGCAAGGAGGACTACAAGCTCTGCTTGCCTCAAAACAACAATCTGCGCCGTCACTGGATCTTTTTGACTTCTTGCAATGAGCTTCAGCTTCGGAGATCGGCCCCACCTTGTTCCGAACAGGACTAGCGCGGGGAAGATGCTCCAGGCATCCCAAGCTGCCCACCGATCACAGCTCCCTGACGGTCTGGACAAGCCACTAACCCCTGTGATCGCCAGGATGTCTGTCTATTCGAATGATGCAGAGCATGACCCTTTGGCCGATGAGCTTCGGGAGACCTCCCTCGTTACCTTGGAGGCTTTGATAAGTTCTTGCAACCAGCAGCTACAGCCGTACCTTGTCAACACCACAAATGCCGCCTTGCGATCCCTTAAGTACGATCCCAATGTTGCTGAGGCCGAAGATGACGAAGAGATGGGGGGAATCGAGGATGACGGAAGTGAAGACGACGCGACTGAGGACCCCGACCTCGAAGACGACGAGTTCGACGACTTTGAGGAAGAGGGCGGATACAGCGACGTGGACGATATGAGTTGGAAGGTTCGCCGATGTGCGGCTAAGCTCCTCCATACCCTCATCTCGACCTACGGCCGCAGCAAGGCTCTGGAAGACGCTACATTGTACCAGGAGGTCGCCCCTGCTCTTATCGCCCGTATTAGCCGAGAGCGCGAGGAAAGCGTGAAGCTCGAAGTGGTGCACACTCTGACTGCCTTGGTTCGGAAAACTAGCGAAGGGTCAGCAATTTTCAGTTCAGATGGGGTGTTTGAGTCTCTGAGCGGTTCTAAAAACTCCCGCAAGCGTCGACGCCAGGACAGCGATGCCAGCATGGTTGACTTCGAACCAGCCGCCGGAACTTCGTCAGCAATCGATTCTCCAGTCGTCCCATCTTCGCCCAAGTCCGGGCCGCAAGCCGACCTCGCTCGGTCTGTTCCTCTCATCGTACAGAGCCTTATCAAGGCATGGAAGCAAGCTTCGATGCCTTTGCGCCAGGCGGCGATCGTCCTGCTTAAAAGCCTTTCCCTTGTTCGATATGGAGGTTTGGCGGATCATCTGCAGCAAATCGAGAATCTAATTGCCGATGCATTGAAAACATCCTCCCTCTCCGGCAGTCTAGCGGCCCATTCTGGTGCTGCTGTCAGTGCCGGCACGCTCCAGATCGAAACCTTAAGCCTCATTTCCACGATTGCCGGCACACATCTGTCAGATGCCTTGCTTCCATTTCTCATTGCTTTGATCCCAGGCGTGGTCGAAGCCGTCAACGACCGAAATTACAAGGTCAGCAGCGAAGCCCTGGCCGCCGTGGAGCAGATTGTCAAGGCCCTCACTCCTCCACGGGTGTCCACCAACACCCCCGAGGTCGCCGTGCAGCTGGAAAAGCTTTATGATGTTGCGCACGCTCGGATCACTGACACCAGTGCCGATTTGGAGGTCCGAAAACGAGCCATCCATGTGTTTGGCGTGATCCTGGCTCGCACCTCGGGCGAGCGTGGCACGGAGTACCTTTCCACTGAACGTCGTTCCAAGGGCCTTGACATTCTCGTCGATCGGGTTAAGAATGAGACCACTCGTCTGGCAGCGGTCCGTGCGATTGACGATGTTGTGGTACTAGCCAACCGACCGGAGGATGTGAGCAGCGAATCTGTCAACGAAATTACCATTGAACTGGGGTCCAACCTGCGAAAGGCCGATCGTGCGCTTCGCAGCTCTTGTCTTGAAACCCTACGGAGTACTGCTATGAATCCCCACATCCGAAGTCATATCACACCGGCCACCATGCGCAGCTTGCAGGGTTCCCTCCTGCCTCTTCTACAGACCCCGGACTTCCACCTCCTCACACCCGCTCTCATCATCATGGCCAAGCTAGTCCCAGGAAATGGCAAAACGCTGGTGAATGCTGATATGATATCCGCAATCTGTACTATCGTTCGCCAGCGACTCGTGGGTACGGTCTTGAAAGCCTTACTTCTCCTTGTTAAGGTTATTGGTGAAGAAGGCGTGGGAAAGGACTTGATGGCCAGTCTGTTGCAAAATGTCGGCATCACGGGCAACTCCTCTGTCGTTGGCCGGGCCATTGGCACCCTGCTAGTGCACGGTGGTCCCGACATCGGTGTCACCCAAGAGGACTTCTCTCAAGAACTACAGACCGCCACGGACGGCAGTCGAAAATGCCTGGCTTTGGCTATTCTGGGCGAGATTGGCTTGCGCATGGGGACGAAATGCTCCCTCTCGCCAAGCGTCTTCATTGAACACTTCAGCTCGCCATCTGACAACGTTCGTCTATCTGCTGCGACCGCTCTTGGCAATGCCGCTGCGGGGAGCGTCAAAGAGTATCTACCAATCATTCTCAAAGGTCTCACTAAAGCAAATGACCAAAGCTACTTGCTTCTGCATTCAGTCCGTGATCTTCTCCAGCATACCGAGGTCCGTCCCGAGCTTGCCCCTGCTGCGATGAAGTTGTGGCAGGCGCTCCTTGCAGTCTCTGAAGAAGAGGAGAACAGGGCCGTCGGTGCTGAGTGCATCGGGCGACTTGCACTTATCGACCCCACGTTCTACATTCCTCACTTCCAGGAGCACTTGAACACCTCCGAGCCTGGAATCCGTGGAGTTGTCATTTCGGCCTTCCGCTTCACGTTGACCGATTCGAGCGATGCTTATAATGATGTCCTGCGCCCTTTGATGGTGCCTCTTCTCATCAGCATGCTGGCCGACAAAGATCTTGGCAATCATCGTCTGGCGCTGACCACCCTCAATTCGGCGATCCATAACAAGATGGATCTTCTCATTCCTTTCCTCGGCGACCTCCTTCCAGCTGTATTTGGTGACACTCATATCAAACCGGAGCTGATTCGAGAAGTGCAAATGGGCCCGTTCAAGCACAAAGTCGACGACGGTCTGGAGTTGCGAAAGGTAGGTTTGTTCCAACTTCTCACTATGTATCCGTTGCTGACCTTTCTGTTACAGAGCGCCTACGAGACTCTCTACGCGTCGATGGATACCTCTTTCTCGCAGTCGCATACATCCGACTTATTTGATCGTGTCATCGCCGGCTTAGAGGACGAGCAGGATATTCGCACCGTCAGCAACCTCATGACATCTAAACTTATCGCTAATGCGCCCGAAGAGACCGAGCGCCGCCTTGATGCTCTGTCGGAGCGCTACCTCGCTATTTTGTCCTTCAAGCCCAAGGACAACGCTGTCAAGCAGGAACTCGAAAAGGCGCAGGAGGCCTCCCTGGGTATCATCAAAATCACCAAAGAACTGAGCAAGGCCTTTCCCAATGCAGAAAACTCGGGCGAATTGCACAAATGGAGTGGGTACATGGACTATGTTCGGAAGAACTTCTCCTCGCAGTGGCTTGCCCTGGAGAACGAAGCCTGATCGGACTTAGCGCCCTATCCTTTTCTGTTCTTTTATTTATTTTTGCATGGCTAGGATTGTGCACCCTTAGCTCGAGTTATGAATCGATGAATAAAAGCGCGTGTGGGTCCTAGTCTCCCCCACCCGGGATCGAGTAGAATTGTGCCGGCAGGCAACCTCCACTAGGGGAACCAGAGAAATTGCCATTACATGTAGAAACTACTCCGTACTGGGCAGAGCAACCTGAATCACCCGAATCACCCGAATGCAAGAAAAAGCTTCTTTGGAGAATGTGGAGATCAGGCGACCGGGATAATCTCTACACGGGGATCTAAGTAGCTTGATCCAACGGCAGGATCACTATCCCTTCGACATGTCCCCCACATACCAGGGAGCCACACTACCGTAGTTAGCAAGGAGTCCGAGAATCAGGATGATTCGGAGAAACCGAGGTTCTCGGAGTGTTATGATCTGTAGAAAGGGGGCTCCCGCTCCCGCAGGGTTCCGCGACAGTAAGCCCTGGTCCCACTGGGCTGAAGTCCGATCATGATCTACCGTGTTGGCTTGAAACAGAGACATAAACTATGATAGCCTGTTGGTGTTATAGTACCCTGCAGTAACTCAGCATGGGTGATAAATACCCTGAACCCGCTTAACAGAATTGACCCATGAACGGAGCCCCCAACACCGAGCACGCCATACCGAGGATGATTACAGCCAAAATAGGGGCTATAACGGGGTCCATACGGTCAGCTGGGCTGAACCGTCGGTGACTTCAAGTTGAAACCAAATTCGCCACTGGATCGGATCCTGCGAGCCACCTCGCGGAGAAAATATCCGCAGAATACACGGGAGCTCTACGTCTGTGCATTGCCAGTTCTTACCTCCGTATGCGTAGCTGATCCACGCTTTTACAGGCAAGACCAAAACAAAAGGCGAGAAGATAGAGATTCGAAAAAAAAAGAAAAAAAAGAAAAGAAAAAGTAAAAGGAAAAGGAAAAGGGAAAGGAAAAGAACCAAAACAAAAACTAAGCTAAAACTAAAAACCATCAAAATGAAAATAGAAATAGAAATGAGAAAAAAAATATGAAAATTTGGCTTGAACTCCTAATGGGGTAACCTGTATGTATGTGGGGAAATTTTACTGCGTACACATTTCGCTAATCCCGAGTCTAGAATGCGTACCAAATGAGTGGAACGGAACAAAGGGGTTGTCAACATTGGTAATTACAACTGTACAAGCCCGCTTGCCAATTTCTAAACTCGACCCATTCAGGGCCAGGGGCGAGGTTTGACAGCCTCAATAACAATGAGGCAATTTCTAGCGAGGAATTGCTGATTGGCCACTTTTTACGCTCGGGGACCTTCATAGCTTTTAAGGCCCGTCTCACCTTCAAAGCCCAGGGAGGCTTAGGCCGCGCCGGACAGCTAAGGTGTTCGGGCTTGTGGATGGAATATTCCATTAGTGAATTTGGACTCTGTAACAAGGCCGTACCTGCAATGAAAGGAGAAAATCTCTCAGGGAATAGTGCAACTTTAATCACGGCAGCCAAGCTTTAAGCGATACCTGGGCTAAACCTAGGACCGCTAGACCAGGGCCCAATCCAGCCCCCTTTCAGGGTTAGCGCAGGGTCGCCGCTGCACATTTGGGTCGCATGGACCCGGCTATGTCGCCCGCTTGCCCAGCAGTGATTGGCAGCATCCAGATATGTAGTATTGAGCCTACCCAAATGGGGAAAACGCCCTTGTGAGCCCTGATTATTAGCTCATTATTCCACTGTAACTAACATACATGGCTTGGAGGCTGATGCCTGCAACACTAGTACGGAAGATGGGGCTCTATGCGTTGTGCCTCCTTCTCTTCTCTCTCTTTCCTTTTTGTCCCCCTGTGCCCTCGCAGGACCAGAAAAAATTTCCCTCGGTCTCATCTGGTGCAACGAGGAATCACGGGCTTCACTCTTTCTAGTATTCCGTTCTCTCTTTTCCTCCTTCCTGAAGAAATGGTCTCTGGTCCTGCCTAGGCATATTCCCAGGATCTTTCACCATGGAGTTCAAAGCAAGCCGTTGCAAGACCCTCGGCCGTATCCTTCTCTCACCAAGCTCATGGGTTGACACTTACTGGCCAGCATCGCGGAAGTACTGGTTCTCTTTGCTGTTCATCGGCGTGATCAGCGCGAAATCTCTCCGCATATACTCCCATCTCACTTCTCTCAGTGTCGATCGTTTCCTTCTTTGGGGCCCTACCTTTTTTATTCAAGATGCTGTTTGTATACTTATTGCTCTGGCGCTCTGCCAACAGTTCGAGCGGAGATGGGTTCGTGCGCTGGTCGCCATCGAGACAATCTTGGCTAGGTATGGTCCTGCAAACTAGGAGGGTTTATCCCAAGAGGAACTAACATTTCCTCCCTCCCCATCTCTAGCATAATCATTTCTGGCCTCGCTGCAGCAAATATTTCCTTTTATACTCAGACTGGCGCTGAGATTCACTGGCGACAGGCCCATTACTTCCACCGCGATGCCGCTTCCATCAAAACTCTACTGACCGGCCTGACCGGTGTTGTCATTGGCGAGATCCTCTTCGGTGCTCTCGCCTATCTCACCACCCCATACCTGTTCGATTATGTCCACCACGCAGTCTCTGCCGTTGGAATGGCCGTCGCACCCTTGTTCAAATGCTGGAAATCTCGAGACCGGAAGACGAAAGAATCGCCATATGAACAGGTTGCCATCGAAGACTGGGATGAGGAGACCAACGGGTCGCACGAAACCTTCTCCCGGAGCCGACAGCCCCCACAAACCACGTTCACGCGCCACCCATCGATCTTGCTGCGTGTTGTCGCCGTCTTGGTTGCCGTCTACGTCCTGATCCTTCGTTGTATTCGTCCGTCGGATACTGCGTACAGCTTCCTCTCGCAGACGGTGGCCCTTTCCCCCTTTGAGAAGCCTCCAAGCCGCAGCCAGTCCTCTTCATTCGAACTCCCTCCGATCTCTGGTGATTACAGCTGGCTATACAATCACACTGCTGTTGGCCCCACCCCTCAATTTGATTGGCTTCCCTTGCATGAATTTGCTGGATTCCGAGACTGGTACGGCGGTGCTGATGGTACAAGTGGACATCATTATGATCCGAAACTCGACCCGTTGCACATCTCTAATCTTGAGAACGACCTCATCGAGCCTTTGCGTGAAACTCTCAAGAAGGGAGGGATCAAGATCAAGCACGTCTTCCTGCTCAAGCTGGAAAGTACTCGGGCGGATGTATTCCCTGTGAAGAAGGAATCACACCTTGGCGAAATCATCACCGACTCATACTCTGGTCACATCCCTGAGGATGTGGAAGAGAGACTCGCTAACTTGACTCGAAATGCAGAAAGGTTCACCGGCGTTCAGTCTGGCTTCGGTAAGCCGGACGACCGCTTCCAGCCGCGTGGTGGCATATACGCAACTGACGCACATACGGGCGGTACCTTTACGCTGAAAAGTATAATCGCCAGTGTGTGTGGCCTTGCGCCCTTGGTCGCTGATTTCAACCGCGAGTACCTTCACCATATCTATCAGCCCTGCATGCCCCAGATCCTTGGCGCCTTGAACAACGTCATTCGCGAGCACAATGAAGAAAGCGAGCAGAATGAGGGGAGCAAACAGAGTGAGGGAAACCAGACCGACTACAGATCCTGGCCCTGGTACTCGACGCTGATGCAGAGCATCACCGATAACTACGACAACCAGAACCACCTCATTCCAGCTCTGGGCTTTGGCGACAAAATCACCGACGAGAAAATCACCGAGGATTGGCAGAAGAAACCCGGGCCTGCCCCCGAGCCCTACAATTTCTGGGGATACCCAGAGCATTTCTTAAGAGAGTACTTTGCAGAAACCCTGGCTAGGGCGGAACAGAAGAAGGAGCGGGTCTTTATTACACACCTTACCGGTCAGACTCATCACCCATGGGACATGCCTGTCGGTGAAGAGTACGAAGAAATGATCTCGCCTGGCGTCTTCAATATGAATCGCAAGATCAATCGGTATCTCAACACGATCGGCGTCGCCGACCGTTGGCTAGGAGAGATTATGGAAGTTCTTGACGAAGCCGGGGTCGCTGATGAGACCCTGGTAGTGATGGTTGGTGACCAGTAAGTTCTCCCCTGGCTGAAACATCCTTCGCGATAACCTGGACATTGCTGACATAGACAAAGTGGCCTGTCTGTCGTCGAAGATGGCGGGGTTTCCGCGTGCGATAACCCCCATGTCTCAAACTTTCACGTCCCCCTCGTCTTCTCTCATCCCAAACTACCCCAGATCAACATCGATGGCCGCGTGACCTCATTACAAATCGTGCCCACCATCCTCGACCTTCTGGTTGAGTCAGGCTCGCTAGACGAGGCAGGAACACGCGTCATCAAGGACTTGCTCCCACTGTACGAAGGCCAGTCCATTATCCGGGATCTCGTTCCCGAGAAAGACGGACTCCTGAGACTGGCAATTCACTGTCATGAACACCGGAGCCACATGGCTTTCTCTGCGGTCGGCACCCAAACCCTATCGTCTCGTCATCCCACTTGTCCCCGATGTCGAATGGCGTTTCTCCGATGTTAGCATCGATCCATATGAGCTCCACAGCTTACAATCATTCAACATCCTCCCTCTCTTGGATGAGATTGAAAAGGTACATGGCGCTGAAGCTCTTCAATGGACGAAAGACGCTGCCCATATTGCTCAGTGGTGGGTCTCGGAGAATTGGCGACGCTACGAGTACATCCCAGAGAACAACTGATTGTTCTGATGGGGGAACCCTTGCCTTTCTTTTTCGACTGAACATACTTTCCTATATCCATATTGAAACCGGCGTTTGGGGGAATGGAGCATAAGCATCATCTGTACATCATACATCGCATAAAGGAACTATCACACACCATGGAAGCTCTCCGAATTGACCCATTAGCGTTTTTGCACGCCATACTGTGCTCACAATTGATCTACGCATGGCCCTCTAATGTTCTTTAATGCACACAATCTCCGAACTAGGAATCGTAATCCAAGCATCGACATCCTCCTGCCACTCCTTCCACGTCTTCGAAATCCGCTCCAAATCCTCCACGCCCGCCAACTCCCCCTCCAATGCCGTAGTCGCAAAAGACGACTTCAGCGCCCGCTCCTGCCACGTCTCCCCCACCACTTCACATCCTCTGCACCGGTATAAACCCACGAGGTAACCGAAGACTTATATTTCGGAAGCCCGGCCTGCCTCGCCCACGAATGCATCATGCGTCCCGCATTCGGCTCAGCCCCATTGTACCGCCCCACCTTCTGATACAAATCCATCCACGCCCTCAACCCCGGCAACTCAGGAAACCACGCAAAACTTCCATAATCCGCATCCCGCGCCGCCACAATGCCCCCCGTCTTCACCACCCTCTTCATCTCGCGCAACATCCCCACCGGATCCGCCACATGCTGCAGCACCTGATGCGCAAAAACCACATCAAACGTGCCATCCGCATACGTGAGTCCATTCCCATCCCCCTCCACAAACTCAACATTCGTGACGCCACGCTCGGCTGCTAATGCGCGGCCCTTGGCGAGGACATCGCCCACCCGCTCCAGACCCGTAACATGGCCCTCGGGGACGTAGGTGGCCAGGTCCACGGTGATGGTGCCGGGGCCGCAGCCCAGATCGAGGATCTTCATGTGCGGCTGCAAGTAGGGCAGCAAGAAGGCCGCTGAGTTCTGGGCCGTGCGCCAGGCGTGGGAGCGGAGGACAGAGGCGTGGTGCCCGTGGGTGTAGGTGGCTGCTTCGGTCTTTGAGATCATGTCCAGCGTGAGTGCAGTTGATTGATCTGTAGAATTTGCAGAAAATAGAGGTGGAGTGTAGAGAGAACGGAGTTATGACTGAAACCTTGTTCTATTTAGATTTCTGTATTCGTGGAACAAGTGTGCTTGGGGGCTGGTTTATATGTCTTTTGAGATGGCGCTGAAGCACTGTAGTTCGATGGCCGATATCGGTTGCAGCTGCATGATACTCGCGGGCGAGCGCTCAGCTGGCGAATTATGTATATTTAACAGGCGAGTTGTCATTGGCGAGTTGACTGTGGAGCTGGATTGCTGGGAGTGTTGCAAGCTTCGTTTGTGGCTAGCCAGGATACTCATCTCGACTTTTGATTGAGTTGCTCGTTCTATATTCATCGTGAGCTGAAGCTAGAGTAACATTTCGATCAGAAACATTCATCACATTACAACTCGAATCGATGTTCTACATTTTACAGCGATAATACCATTGATCTATCATGAAATTATTATTCACCTGTTACTGCTTTTCGGTCTGGCCTTCATACTCTGCGCCCCAAAGCTAGATACCATAATCCATACCTCACCCCGGTATCGGACCCCGCACATGGCACATCTATATCCACTTGCAGAACAAAATAGAGTAGCGGACCAATATTTGCCAAAACACAGGAGTCTGAGAGATCAAAAAGATGCGATTATTCGATACGTATCTATGGGCATGCCTCCGGCTTCGGACCTTTCGTTCGAATTTTTGGTAAACGCCGCTCAATGCTTCAATTATACTCGTTCATTCTGGCCGAACTCGCATATCCACCTGTCACAGATCGAGATATCTGATCTGGCGAATACGTCTTCGAGATACTCATAGCTTCGCTAATAGCCCTCTTTAACCTCTCAATCGCCTCATCACTGACTTGATGATGTAGGGAGATTCGCTCGTCCTGCAATTTCACATCATGTTTCCTGCACTGGTCCAGCACCACCCCCATATCGATCCCAGACTTCTGAGCGTCGATGAAAAAGAAGTTCGTATCAACAGGAATCTGCGGAATGACCCCAAGAGCCGCTAGATCCGCTTCGAGTCTCTTCGCCTTCAGATGTGTCTCCTTCATCGTCGGCCAAACGTCCTTCAACGCAACGAGCGCAGCAGCCGTCAAAACTCCCGCCTGTCTGATGCCGCCACCCTGCTGCTTCCGCAACCATCTCGCCTGCTTGATATTCGCCCTGGTACTCGCCAAGACTCCCCCGACCGGGCACCCCAGCCCCTTGGAGACACACATCGACACTGTATCGAAATAGCGACAGTACTCGCTCAACGCCAGACCCGTCGCAGCGCTAGCATTCCACAGCCGGGCCCCGTCACAATGGACCTTAATGCCATGAGCGCGCGCAAACTCGGAGATCCTCCTGATTTCCTCTAGCGGGGTCAACACCCCTCCAATCGTCACCTCAAGCGAGATCACCCTCGTCGGCGCGGTGTGGATATCCTCGCCCAGAACAACCCACTTCTTCACATCGTCCAGGGTCATGTAGATCCCATTCGCAGGATGGACGGGGGTCACCATCGCCTGCGACAGAACGGCCAGGCCGCAGCCTTCTTCTGCGTAGACGTGCGCGCGGTAGTCGCAGAGCACGGAGTGCGGGGGCTGGGTGAGATTCACGCGCACGCCGATCTGGTTGCCCATGGTGCCGGAGAGCATGAAGAGGGCGTCTTCCATGCCTGTGAGGCGGGCGATTTCCATTTGAAATTCGGTTGTTGTGCTGTCTTCTTGGTATACGTCGTCGCCGAAGGTGGCGTTGCCCATTGCGGCGAGCATGGCTGGGGTTGGGGTTGTGAAGGTGTCGCTGCGGAATTCATTGGATGATCTGGATGATTCGCGGGAGCCCATTTTTGGTCTGGGGCTATTGCGGAGAATGCGCTTTTTTGAAAGGAGCTGGCAATAGTTACTTAGTGCAGCTTGACTCATTGGGTTTATGCGTCGAGGGGAGTTTGTCTCCACATTTTCAATATGGGGTTGGCGGTTGGATCCGTGGCAGGTCTTATCGCCCTTCATCTCCACCGGGCTATTCATATTTGATATTAACTAGACACTCGCTGCTTGTGTGGAGCGAGTCTATTTATCAGTGGCATGAGGTGTGGATTATTCAAACCGTCAAAGCCTGGTATTGAGCATAGGGACGGAGATTTAGAGGCTAAACATACTGCATCAGAGACGAGCCTGGATTGAAAGGATACTCTGGTGCTATTCTAATTTTTCATGTTTCACCAAATAGAAGACCACCCTCCGTTGGAGAGACGATCGAGTCTCTCTTGCGTACACTGGAAGCACTCTGGCAGGCCCGTATCATTCCAGCTCTGCCCGAGAACCAGCTTCACAACACCGGGCGCGCAGGTGAAGATCCGCGCCATTCCTATGACACATTAGTGAGACGAGCTGTAGAATGCGGCAATATCGAGAGCACTTACCATGCCCATTGAATCCAGCACAGACGAATTGACCAGGCAATGATTCAATCGCACCTACCAAGGGGACAGAATCGGGGGTCATCGCAATAATGCCAGTCCATGAGTGACTCAAGCCCTCTCCATGTGCAGCGGTCTGTGAGCCAGATTGAGGGAAGATTTCACCGAAATGACGGAGAGCATCTTCAGCAATCTCTTTGTTATACCCACTATCGTCCGTGCTGAAGCGGCTGGCCAGCGTCTCAGGGCTCAACGTCGGGTTTGACCTGGAGACTCCTAGGATCATGGTCCCATCCCCCTTCCGCTGTATCAGAGAGTAGAAGTGATACAGACTATAGCGTAACGAGAAAGTATTCTGGAGAGCCCCCGCTGCTGCGAAAGCCGGTGTTGGAACTAACGCATGCGCCTGCGCCCTATTGGGGGTTATAACGGACTCTAATTGAGGCAGTAAGAGAGCCGCATGCGCATTGGTACAGTGTATGACTTTTTCTGTCGTTATGGTACCCCGAGGGGTATGGATATCCCACAGACCTGGCATCGCGCTATTGGCCTTGATCTCCTGCGCTGGGCAGAAAGTGAACAGTCGGGTCCCTCTTCCGATCACTGAGTCCAAGAGGAATTGCGCAAGCTTTGCCGGGTGGCTGGAGCCCGCTGGCCATTCATATGCTGCAATAGCACCTGGGACTTTGGTGCGGGCCTGTGCATCTTCGCCAGCAAAGTATTTGATGTGGGAGACATCGCCACCTGCTTGTTTGTATGCCTCGAGGCTTTCGGCTTCGTATTCAGCAAACTCACGACTCATGCAGACATCAAATGTTGAGGTCCGGTGGAAATCGCATGGCACATCGCGCTTCTTCACGAACTCGTCAACTTTCTCGAGGACTAGCCGCTCATTAGCGACAATCTTCAGGGCTTGTTCCGAACCATGCACCTTTGCATAAGCGCTGAATCCTCGAAATGCGTCTGGGTAGCATTAGTGCGTGATTCCTTTCGTTGTCGGGAGTAGTCATACCTGGTCGGACATGGCCCGCATTCCGCGAACTCGCGCCGCTGGCTGCTTCCCGGGCTTCTAGGATGATAACGTCGTCCGCTTGTACGCCCGAGTCGAGTAGCTGGAATGCAGTCAAGCCCCCCGAAATACCAGACCCGATAACTACGTATTTTGCGGCGGTGGGAACCGCTAGATCGCGATTGGCGAACAGATGAGGGAATGCCCGCGTGGTCTGTTGCCAATAACTCAGACAGGGCGTCTCCCTCGGCAGGCTCTTGCTAGAGGTGACGTCGGACATGACGCTGGGAGGGGCCGTGTTCGTCCTACTCAGGGACCAAGTTTCCCTTGGATTGCTTGTTTTCTTTATAGCCGTTGGAATGACGAGCCTCGAGGGCCGATCATCGGGGTTGCTGCGGGGGATTCCACATCATCTCCGCCAGTTACACACTGCGGCACGAGCCGGAAATTTGCGGTTTGGGTTAGCCTTCTGTTATTGCAGGCCAAGCTGGCAAACGCTTATCTTGGACTCGGGAATCTCTATCAAACTTGGCAGGGTGACTTGTCCATGCGCTATCTTGCGCTATCAGTATACAATCGCAAACCCGATGGCAGGCCTTACTGTACTCCTCGGTAGATTCAATTCCAGATGCATTCAGCGCGCTTTGAATAACGAGACATCCCGTGTGGCTTGTATTGAGCATTGCCAGGTGATTCTATATCTCTCTTTCGTTCTCGCCGTGTCGTGAGTCACGCTCAGATATTTCCAATGCGACGGAAGCACGCCGGCTCCAGAAGCCTCATTACGCTATTGAAATTAAGCTAGAGGGACAGCGTACTTCTATTCCCTTCAAAGCAGATACTTGAATATCCCCTATAGCCCATTTCGTAGAGAAACGTCTGGCGAATACCACGGTAGTCTCTCTTTCCCCCAGCTTCTCGGTCGGACTGATCAGAGTGCCTGATGAAAGATATTGGACCCAAGAAAGCTTTTGTCAGAAGGCCTTTGGTATCGGAACAAGCAAAGGATAGGCACTGAATTTATTAGGCCACGCGACGGCGAAAGGGAGTAGGGATTGTTTTGGATGCTCGCTCGTGTGGTTCATTTCTGACTAGTATACACCCCCGTCTTCCACCCTCAGATCTCCCTTGGAGGTAACGAACGTTATCTTCTCTTAGCACACGGTACCACAAAGCGTCCGTATACTAAGCCAAGCAGCGAATGCATCACGCGGCTGGATCCTGATCATGCCTCAGGCAAATACTCTTTCTCGTCAAGCCCGATCATCGGGGCCCCTGGGGTTAATGCGGGGGAAAAGGTCTCTTATCTGCACGTCCTTGGCACGGGTGTCTCGCCTCGACCTTCTTCTGGCACAAGGACTATGTGAATGAAAGAGGGGTAAGCAATGTACCTGGACTTGGAGTATCTCCAGATGTCGGCGTTTTCACCGACGCTGCCCCCGACGATGGGATGATAGTCATTCCGTTGCAATTGGCGGCTGGAGGAAGGACCTCTTATCACGTGGAGATCTGCATGCCTTTTATCTTCCCATGGTCCAACGTCCAAGCGCGGACCCCTGATAGGAATAACGGTGTCTTCTTATCTGTTGTCTCTCTCCCAGCTTCCTGTCATTGAGACGTTTTCTCATTGAAACGTTTGGCTCGCCTGGAGATCTTACTCTCTACAATCCCCTGCCCTGCTGTACTATGGTATTCCGGGAGATCTTCCGCCGCGATGCCACCAATGGTGACGCCGGATCGACACATGAGCGATCTGCAGATGAGAAAGCTCTTGTGCGAAGGTTGGACATGTTCTTGCTGACCTTTGGTTGCCTTTCGCAAGGTGTGGAGAGAGTTGCCCGTTTGTGGTCCAGGAAAAAGCTGACCCTTCCATGTTAGTGATCAAATATCTCGACCAGCAGAACATCAATAATGCCTATGTGTCCGGTATGCAAGAGGACTTAAAGTTATATGGCAATGAGCTGAACCTGTAAGTCTTCAGCATACTCGGCATAGCTCAGAAATGAATACAGCTTACACGACCTAGTTTCACGACCTACTTTAATGTCGCATACTGTATCATGCTCATTCCTTCACAAATCATCCTTACTTATGTTCGGCCAAGCTTCTGGCTGCCCGGGCTAGAGCTCATTTGGGGCCTTCTCACTGGCCTAGTTGCTTTGGCGACAGAGGCAAAACAGATCTATGTCCTCCGCGTGTTCCTCGGCCTCTGCGAAAGCAGCGCATGGCCTGGCATGATGACCCTGCTCAGTAAGTCGCTTTTATGTGATCACTACAAGATATGCAATGTGCTCACGTTAGGCAGTGTACTGGTACACTCCGACCGAACTCGCCAAGCGCATGGGCTTCTATCATTCGTGTCAGGCAGTTGGCCAAATGATGTCTGGTGCCCTACAGGCCGCCATCTCCGATACGTTGGACGGCCACAGCGGGCTGGCAGGATGGAGATGGCTCTTCGTGATTAACGGTGTCATCACGGTGGTTTGGGGATTTGCAGGGTTCTTCATGATCCCCGATCTCCCAAATAAGCCCAACCCACGGGCCTTCTGGTTCGAAAAGGTGCACGCCGAATTATCACTCGAGCGGCTCGAGCGACACGGACGAGCAGAGCCAAACAAGATGACCTGGGCTGCCGTCAAGCGCACCTTTTCCGGCTGGGTCGTCTACTTCATTGCGGTGCTGTATATTGCCACCGTTCTAGGAACGTACGGCTACGTCTACTTCAATCTGTTTCTCAAATCGCTCCACAACCCCGATGGAAGTAGACGGTGGACCACGTCCGAAGTCAACGCGATTCCCATCGGTGGCTCGGCGATCAATGTAGTATTTGTGTGGATCTGGGCTCTGCTCTCCGATTATCTCCAGACCCGATGGACTCTGATTGTGCTTCAGGGGGTCATTGGCATCATCCCTGCATTATCATGAGCGCCTGGACTTCGAATCCCTCGTCCGTCCCGCTGTCGGGTGCGTATGCGGCATACTTTATCTCTTATATCTGTCTCGGAACTGCGCCTCTGATCATGGCGTGGCTCGCAGACATTATCCCGCAAGATCCCGAGTCGCGCTCGCTCATTGTGGGTGTGGCGGTTGCTGGCTACTACGCTATTTCGGCCTGGTCGCAGGTTCTTGTGTGGCCTGCGTCGCAGGCTCCGTATTACCGCTACGGCTGGCAGTCTTCCTTGGCGCTGCTTGTTCTTGTCATTATTATGACTTGTGCTTTGCGGTACATTGATGTGCGATATCTCTTACCGAAACGAGCGCTTTTCCAAGCGGCATTGGACAGTCAAGATGTTGGGCCTAAGGACCTTGCAGACGATCGTAGCGAGGGACCTCGTAAGCTTTCAGACCCTGATCGAAAGGTCATTGGGTCCTCGTCGATTACAGAGGTTTGAGGTTGATACGAATAAGCGCGAGCTTACCACTGAATGAGAAATGAATTATGGTTGATATATAAGGAGATGGAATATCTCATCCGAAGAATTGAAACGTGATTGTAGTCAAATATCCTGCCGGATGCCCCATCGCCTTATTGCAGAGCATTCCATCAAGCGTCACAACTTGTGCGATTCCTGCACTTAGTAGTAGATGGGATTTTCAGGATCGGTCAGGTCGAACACCACACTGGAGTGAGGCTTAGCACCTCCGCGATTGGCAAATTCCTGGGGGAAGTTGATAGAGCGGTTAAAGCTCAAGCTCCCATCCTCATTGAGATCAATGTAATGAGCCTTGTAGTCCGCAGGTGTATTGATAATTCCAATATCACCGGTCTGCACGAAGTAATCGGTGACGACGAGATGTTTCTGGTCAGGGGTGATCTTGACATAGTGCGGCCCAACAATGGGTTGAACTTCGTCAGGGTCATCCAGGCGTTTTACATGCTTCAAGTCGCTAATATCAAGAGCAGCGATGTGGTTACCGGTGGTCAACGTCAAGTAGATGAACCGGCCGTCCTGGCTGATATCCGAGCTATTGATGGTATGATTAGCACGGGCTACGTCCTTGAGTTCGGGGGAGGGGGCGCAGTGGAAAGAAAACTTACTAGATGGCGACGGTATCACGCGCCTTCTCTCCAAGGTCATAGAGCAACTCGATGGTACCCTGCTTGCCGTCTTTGTCCTTGCGGCCGGGATAAATAATCCACACCTGGCCGAGATGAACAGCTGTCGCGAGGGCAGCACCCTCGGGGTTGCCTGGGATGAACTTGACATCTTGGATTCCACCACCCTACAGATGGAGACTTCAGCTTCCAGAGTCCAATAGCAGAAAGATGAAAGAGGATATGGGCTCTTACGTTGGGGATCGTCAGGGTGCTCAGAATCTTACGCGAGTCCAAGTCCCAAAGGCGCAAAGTGTTGGCGTGACGAACACCCAGACTAGGCTTGAGAATCGTAATCGGCTCCACAAAGTCAGAGGTCAGGATGTACTTCCGCTCCCAGTCAATACTGAGGCCGTGAGGGGAGAACTGCTCTCCGAGAATGTTCAAAAGTCCATCGACATCCTCGGGCCATTCGTGGATAATATTGAAATTCTCGTCAGTTTCAATCAAACGACCTGGCGCAGTACCCACGGCCGAGCCCATGTATGTGATGAAATAACCACCATCTGGCTTGGCGCGAACCTCATCAGCAATTGAGGCCAGAACCCCGCGGTTGCTCTTCAGAAACTTGGGGCGATAGGGGTCCGATGTATCGAAGTAGAAGCCGGTATCCTTTGAAGGGTGAATTGACGGGAACGACGGTATGAGACGACAAGATAAGACATACCTGAGTCTTCAGCAAAGACAGCAGACCACCACCCCAGATGGTCTTACCATCCAGAGATGGTCCAGAATGGTGAGGATCGTTCCCGCTGGAGGGTACGTCAGTGACCCAAATGAGGGTACCGAAGGTGTCCTAGCATAAAGTCAGCAGGTAGTTCCGTACGAGAGTATGGTAAAATTCATACATCGTCGAGACTGTAAGTGGCAAGGAAATCTAAAACTCGTCAGCGGTGTCATCAGATGCTCTGTCAAGGAGCCACAGACCCTTGTGCCACTTATCGCCAGAGCCAGTCCAGAAGTAGCCGATCTTCTTCGGCTTGATGTCACTCCCATTGAACGGAGGGCTCTCCAAAGGCGGCGTGGGAAGCTGGAGAATAGGAAGAGGGGGAGCGTTGGTAGTCAAGGGCTCGGTCACCCCAGGAATAGTCGGAATGAGAGGAGGCAAGGACAGAGCGTGTCCAAGAGACACCCAAGCCGCCACGCCCACGATAGAAGATTTCATATTAACCAGAGATAAATATTTGTACTAGATTGAAGATCTTGGTATGATCTAGTGTGAGTAGTGTGAGTGCATTTGAGCTGAATTGAGGGAATTGCAGGACTTATATAGATGCGTGAATCGCGCCTATCGATGGACGTAGATTCCGAATATTTCCCATCTCCTCTCACATCGATGAGCTTTCCGAGCTATCTTGAAGCCTATCACGCCATTCGAGGTATCTTATTCTCATGAGGCGAGCTCTACTAAAATTCCAAGGCGAGATTGATTATGCATATGGCGAAAACCAGGGCAGAATGGCCCAGGCAGTGCTTGGACAAGCTTCTTCGGTTCGTGTATCGCATTGATCTTGCTACAAACCCCGCGGCGGTGCATTGCCAAGAGGAAACTATCAGTGATCGGCTCTTGGACTGGAGGGGGTTCCCTTGTTTCTGAGTACGAGGGCAATCGGTTCCTCGTATTGTCCCACGTCAGGCACACCGGGGCACCCTCGTGGCGCCCTTGATCGACATCAGCGATATACATTCCTGCCCGTGTCGGCCGCAGCGTGCAATAACAGTTTCCTTTACCTTACCGATCCCTCTCTACTGCAGATGGTCTACAACTCTTTCTTTGGCTGCTTTATGCTCAATCAACGAGGCGCATTTGACATATGCTAAGTCTTTCGCTTCTGTTGTTCCCCGAACTCCGAGCCTTGGGCTCCGCGTATATCGTGTTTAGCCCAAAAATTACGATCGGGCTATCTAACAGCCACCAAGCTCTAAACCCAGCTGGGATAACTGGACCAAGTCACCGGTTCACGGTCTGAGCACTAATGCTCAGGGCTCAGGATCGTCATGGCGGTCCAAATGCGCTTTAGTCCAGGTCTCCGTGCCACGGACTATGAGTTTTGAGAAGGATCTACAGGTGCCAAGGCAGCCAAACCACGCATGATCCAAGAGCTTGGAAACCTTATTCTATTCAAGCTGTTAGTGTGTGGAGGGAAGAGCCGGGGGACCTGACAAGACCCTTGATCGACCATATAAATATCCCCTTTGGGCTGCTTTCTGCCGGGCTTGGCGATCTCGCCAACATGCCAAGGATGAGATTATACTTGCAGCGAACATGCCCCCGAGCGCGTTGTTGTTAGGCCTTAGGCCCTGCAGGGACTGCTGCCGCAACATGGGCAATCTCGGGGACTATCAGTAGGATTGCACAATTTCGCCAAGAGGTCGGGGATACGAAGTTCGACGAAACGGGAGAACATCCTGTCCATCCACGCATCTAGTTCGAACTCAGCACCGTGATCGTGATGTTTATGGGAAATTTCGCCATTCGTGCCTGCGCATCACCGACGCAAGAATGTCTGAAATGCCATTCAAAACGGGTATATATATAAGGCCCTGGGAATGTGAGGGCCAAGGAGTCATCGTCCTGACCAGTGGCTGCTCCCTCTCATTTTCTCTGATTTTTCAAACCGAGCTCGAGATGCATCTCCAAAGTCTCTTGGCATTTGGTCTTCTCTCATCGTCTGTCTTGGCTGCTCCCAGCAATCAGCAGCGTGATTCTGACGACCCGCAGCCCATCAGTGGTAGCAAGGGTGCTCCTATCTTAGGTACGCTGCTATACACCCGTACATTATCCTGTTGCGCCCAGGTGCCATTTTTCTGATTTGCTTAGGTGGTACCGATCCTGCCCAGGATGCTGAGAACCCTGATCAGTTCCGTACCAGCAGCACTGATAACGGCTTTGTGCCTAACGTCAAATGGAGCTTCTCGCAGTCTCAAACCAAGCTCTTTCCCGGAGGCTGGTCTCGCGAGCAGGTCATACAGGATCTTCCGCAGAGCCACGATATTGCGGGTGCTCAACAGCACCTAAAGAAAGGCGCCATCCGTGAATTGCACTGGCACCGAACGGTAACCTTTCCCCTCAGGTCTGTGCACTGGATACCTTTGCTGATATACCTAGGCCGAATGGGGCTTCGTTTACAACGGCTCCCTTCTCCTCACTGGTGTGGACGAGAATGGTGCTTTCACCACCGACACCCTTGAAACTGGAGATATTTGGTATTTCCCCAAGGGCGTTGCCCACAATGTTCAGGGCTTGGATGATGAGAACGAGTACCTTCTCGCCTTTGATGATGGAGACTTTGAAAAAATTGGGTACGTTAATCCGCCCCGAGTCCTCAGAAAAGCACCTCCGCTAACTTCTCATAAGAACAACCTTTATGGTAACTGACTGGATTACCCACACACCCAAAGATGTCCTTGCCAAAAACTTTGGCGTCAGCCCTGATGTATTTGCGAACGTCCCCACCAAGTTCCCCTACATTCTGAACGGAACTGTGAGTGCCGACGCAGCCAAGACTCCAGAGGGGACTCTGAAGGGCAACAGCTCGTATGTCTACCACACGTACAAGCACCCATCAGAGCCTGTGCCTGGGCACGGCGGTACTCTCCGCAAGATTGATTCCCGCAACTTCCCCATCTCGCAGACTATTGCTGCTGCTATTGTCGAACTGGAGCCGAAGGGCCTCCGTGAGCTTCACTGGCATCCGAACGTAAGTAAACCACCGTCTGTCCTTGACGTACGGCCTGATGTTAACTTGAATGAATTCCTCTTAGGCCGAGGAATGGCTCTACTTCCACCAGGGCCAGGCTCGTGCCACCGTCTTCATCGGCTCTTCCAATGCCCGAACGTTCGACTTCGTTGCTGGTGACACTGCTGTCTTCCCGGACAACTCGGGGCACTACATCGAGAATACCTCTGAGACCGAGAAGCTAATTTGGATCGAACTCTACAAGAGTGACCGAGTTGCCGATATTTCCTTGGCGCAGTGGCTTGCACTCACCCCACCGGATGTCGTTGCTGATGTCTTGAAGATAGATATTGATGTAGTCAGGCAGATCAAGAAGCAGAAGCAGATTTCTGTTAAAGGTAAATGAGCTGTCCAGTCAATCATCCTTAATACTGAAACCACTTGGGGGGCCATGACTTTAATTGAGTTGGACCGTTGAACTTGAACATACTGAAGCTTCGTTGTCTTGATATGGAAGCGATTATTCCATAATTCTCATAAGGCCTCATTTCTCGTCGTTTCTATCAATACATTTTCACCCATTTCCATCTCCTAATGTGAGCGTTTCTTCGCTACGTTTTTATGTCCAGGTCTCGACGCTATCAAGTTAACACGGCCCAAATTGACTTAGAATACTGTTATGGGAGGGTATCCAGTAGTCCCACGAGACTATACACTGGACATATTGTATGGTCTGGCGTCGAGAAGAGCTTTCTTGCTGATTGAGTCTCCTTACAAGAGACATCCTCCACAGGAGAAGAACCCTGTCGCGACTCGGTAGGCTGCTACCCTACTTCTTCAAAGATGCCTCCCCGGAAACACGAATAGTAGACCGGTGCCTACGAAAATTGGCATATCAACTCTATCAGAGTGATAAAGTGTGCTAGGCTTACCCCAACCCACGTTTCTCGGGACAGCTGATCTGAGATCTCCAGAGAGCATTTGGAGGAAGGCTTTTCCGAATGATTTTCTCCGGCAGAAGGACGCAAGCATCTATCTTGTTGTAGATTGGGCTGGCCGAAGCGTTCGAAGAGGACCGAGAAAACTCTTGTCAAAGCCCTCGCTCCCAGACCCAGCTTCGGTAAGTAACAAGATAGACCATGAGGTAAGATAGCGACATCAGAGTACGTTAAGCTAATTTACCTTCAAGCTGACGCTCGTCACAAGATCAGAATTCTCTTCGCTGGGAGATCACGTTTTGCACGAGCTTACCCCTTTGAACAATGAGAACTTACCCATAATCCATGTGGAGCAGTTCAAGAACAGAGAGGGCACGACTTGACACTCTAACCGCAGTATCGAGAGGTGACTCCCATGAGCCAGTTCAACTAGTTTCTCAAGTTGAAAGACTGGTGAATGTATTATGATATACGGCCAGAGGACTGATTAGGGTAGCGTGCAGGTAGTTCAAGTGGTTGGTTGGATCCCCAGACTCCAGGTCTATGCGCAGAATAATGTCCCACTCAGGGTGAGTTTCCCATCTATAACAAATATGAATTTCGAAATGGTATCGATGTAGTAGGCAAGAATGAAAACCACAGGTTTTGATAAATAGTTACAAGAATTCCCCTTATTTGCACGTCCTCCAGTAAGCCAGGGGTACATGTCATGCGCCCATCAACAAGAAACCCCCCCATGCTGGCCAGGCCAGTAATGAAGAGCACGGTCAGGATTCCAGCTCCTGCCCTGTCTCCAGTCGTGATGTTTTTGTAGACCGGCAGGCTGGCGTCGGTATCTCCGCCGCCAGGCTTGGCATCAGACGAGCTGTTTCCTCCGGTATCAACATTGGCGGGCGCCGCGTCTGCTTTGAGGTATGGTAACATCGCGGCACTGAAAACCTGAACAGCGGTGATCTGATTCTCCATGCTCGCTTGGCCATCATATTGGCCGTACAGATGACCACCGCAGGCGATACCGCCATGGCCCGTACAGGCTGGACCGGCCAGACTCGCTGTAATTTGGATTTTGGGGAGAATCTTGGGCTTGAGAGTGGGGACGACTAGGGCCACATCCATGAGCCATGATATAGTCAGTCCCTTGAACAGGGGATCGTTCGCATCTTCGTCACATTGGTCTGTAGCCTCGCAAGTTTGATCGGAGATGCCGCCGCCGGTCTTGGCGAGAAAGAAGCCTTGGAACAGCGCGTCCAACAGCTTGTTCGTCCGGTAAAGCCATTTGGTGTCGTTCGTCTATAGAGAAATTCTTTCATTAGCACAGTACAAACAATCGCATACCCTTTGATGCCCACAGGACCGAACTTCTGTAGCGAGATTAGAAGACTTACATAGGCATACATATAAGCGCAGCCTGTTATGAAAGTACCGTAGTTGTACGTCCATTGGGTGTGACCCGGACCGGTGCAATCTGGGACGATGCCGCCCGTCCCTTTACTGAGACTGTCCCAAATAGACCAGGTTGCGGTGGTGTTGACAATCATGCCGGCTGTGGTTGCCCAGTCCCAGGTCTTCTCGGCCCAAGCCGCGAACGAGTCTTTCTGGTTGTAATAAGCAAGACGAGCTGCAAGCATCATAAATCCGCCATTCGACACTGCGTTCTTCATGACGTAGCCACTTTGCGCGATGAACTTCTGCCAGCGAAGCCCGCCCTCGCAAATGGTTGTGTCCCATCCTTGCCCGTTGTCGCTACTCTGGTCGTAGAACACACCCTCGGCGAGGGTGAGCCAGGTGTCGCCAGTGGGAGGGTTCGGGAACTTGTACTCTGCTGCGGTCATTGCCGCAATACCCCAGAACATTTGATCGTCATTTCCCTGGGAGTTGTTAAAAGCCGCCATGGCGCTTCGATAGGGGCGGTAGGGCTCACGATTCCAGTACTCCAGTTTGCAGGCATGTACTTTCCACTCCCCTGGTCCTGCCATTGTAACCCGATGGTGAGTTCCTTGTTGTAGGTTGTGTCGCCGGTGGTGTGCCAATAATTCAGAAGCGCCAGGAACAAGGCAGCTCCTTCCCACCAAGAGTGGAAATAACCTGGAATCGCTCCGGTCTCATTGCCGTGGTAATAGGTCATCATATCCCAGGTAGCCGAGCTAGCGGCCTGCTTGATCGAGTCTGTGGATCGGTGATATTGTTTAGCCCAGCGCTTCAACTCATTTTCCGAGGCGAGAGCAAGGGTGGATACGATCGGTCACGAGTCTGACTTACTGGGATCATTGACATCTATCTCAAGCGCAGAGACACGGCCGAGGAGCGGCAGAAGGTGCAAAAACACCACGGCAATCTGCCTAGCACATCTCAATTGCATTGTGCCAGGGATAGCCGCGGACGGCGGAGATATTAGTTGGACAAGGGGGGATGGAGAGAAGGTGGGTGATAAAGAGTGTGGGGGAGGCAGTTGCGAGTTCAAAGTTGGATCGTTCAAGTCACGGGGGGAATCAATGGAAGATCCAATCAGTCAGGGCTCCAACGTATCGCAGGGCTGCTGGGGCTAGTGTTCCCCTGCCCCACTGCCGCCCCGGTTTCACCGTTGCACCAGTCATTTGCGCCCATTTTCAGGGCCCAAATGGTGATGAACCCCCCCCTGGCCTGTCAATTGACGGCTTTGTCGACTGGCTGATCAGGTCAGCGATTTCTTCTTCAGCGTTACAAAATATACCACATGATCCCCACGGTCTACGCATTTCTGATGGCTATTATATGTGGTGCGAACGCTTTAACAGCCCCCTGGAGACTCGAGCCAATCGCCGGGCTGTCCCTTTAATAGTCTGTCTTAGTTTCCACGGGCACAATCTCCCCCGAAGGGGCTAAACCCCTGAGCGCTATAATTAGTCTACTGCAAGGGCGCCTCCAGGCCGTTCGCGAGCCCACCATCGAATCCGACGCCCAAGGCCCCTAGGCCAGAACATAGGTGCCTGTTGCCTAGACCTCGGAAAGAGGAAGATCATGGGATGATCTTCGAGAGGAACACCGCTGAAGCAGCAGAATCTGCAAAGCCACGGGGATTTTCAGGCTCTGCTGGGTCTGTCGGCCAATCACCGCCGGTCCAGCCAGCTGGGCGCGGTGATTACATAAACCATGTTCCTGGATCGGAGAAACGCGGTAAAGCTTAATCTGAATTGGCTTCATTCTTGGAAGTGTGGAACTTTCCATTGTTCTGTGGATCGAGAATCGCTGGACAAGTTGAAAATGCCAGGCCGTGCACGGCCTTGGCCCTTCTTGCATCAGATGCCTAGGGAAACACTGATTACGTGCTGGAGCTCGAGATCTCGAGAGACTCCTGACCCGCAATGTGTCGTCTCTACTCTTTTATCCTTTTGCTTCCAGGTTCTCCGTATTGGTCTTCTAATCCCAGTGACAGATCGCTTGTCATCTTCATCGATCTGACTCAAGATCGCTCGCCTACGAGAGTATGTGAATGTCGATTTGTAGACCCCAAAACGGATCTCCAGGATGTGCGATGACCCCAACCCAACAATCAAAACCCCCGTGAACCATGTGCGGTCAGTGATGGAAGTCAAGTATATGAGTCTCGAAAAAGCTCCACTTCGTTTTAGACCTACGGAATCTCCAGCCAAGAGGCCAAGGTAGCCAAGGCACGGTTGCCAAGACGCCTGGTCTTGGATGTGCTTGGCTTCAATCTAGTTTACAATCTAGTTCTGGGGCCCGTCTATCCACTTGACTTGGGACAAATCGACCTTTTCTGCCCCTCTTTCAATTGAGAGCAGTCTTGGCACAATCCATCGCACACATTCGTGCTAGTGGCGCCTGGATGACTAGAAGTGGCCGCTGGTATTACCTCCAGGGCCGGCACGCCAAGCAACGATGCTCGCAAGTGAGGGATTGCAATGCACCATTGCAAATCATCAATATATCACATGGGGATTTACATGCTCTGGTCCACCAAAGTTCTGGCTGATTCACAAACTGCAGGAATTCACACGTGTACTCATACTGATGTTTGACTCCGTTCACTCTACCCGATATAGAGATCGAGTTGATATTTGCTCTACACCGCCGAACTCGAGCTGGAAATCCACTAGTCCAATTGACTAGAATCCTCTGGCACACCGAACCCAACGTATATCCGCCCCTCCGCATTCTTTAGCACCTCACCTTCAATCATCTTGTACGGTTTAAGATTCATTCATCCTTGTCTACGATTCGTCAGTTTGTTCATTTTGTGTCGTAGTCTGGCTGGCGTACACTTGAAGGTATTCCGCTTTCTCAGGTCTCTCGGATGATCGTAGGAGTATTTGTGAATGGACTCAATTGATTGGAAAGTCTGCCATTGAGAGAAACCGGTATTAGCGTTCTTCATCGTTGATCAGACCTTGCTTTATTCTTACAGATGCCTCGTCCAACCCTATGTTGTAAGCCTCAGTGCCATCCAACTCCAGAATCAAAGTGCTGTCGAGCTCGGTAATCTCCGTCTCCGCATGACGGAGTACTGTCGTGATGTATTCCCAGAGCAAATTCCTGAAGGAGAAGAGTGCCGCAATGCAGCGCTTCAAGATCGACTGCAATGGAAAGGCCATTTTCCAAATGAGTAGAGGGACAGAAAAACAGAATAGCTTGCGGCTTCCAAGAGCCAGGCGAACCAGGCTACCTTACTTCTTATTTATCCATCGTGCTTCTTGGCAGAGACTACGGGCGAACAGGGGTGCCAGAGTCTAGACACAGAAAATGACAGGTAACAGCTCCCACTATCGCAAATCCTTAGACTCTCGTCACAATCCTACATTCCCTGCCGGACCTTTTGTCGCATGCATGACCCCCATATTGTCCAGTCAGGACTGCGAGGCTCTAAGCGAGGAAAGAAACTTTTCCCAACCAGACGGTTTGGAACGCCGATCTGCAGGCGCCAGCTATCAGGGATTTAAATCTAGAGGGAATTGAATCCGGTAAATCCGAGAAACCCACACCCAGCCCCTCGGTAAGCCCTCTAGCCCCTCAAATCTAGGCCATCCAGCATCCCAGGCCCTCGTCAGGCACGCTGGAGGGTCAAGGGCGAATAAAAAAAAAAGAACACCACGGCCTCACCCCACCTTATAACCACTTACTTGGGGAACCTTGTGTGCCAACACCAATGGCAGACCCATTAGAGGGAACCAGCTGCACCGAAAGGCCACTGGTGCATCCGCTCGAGAATTGCAGAGAGGCACAGGTCGACTCCGACAGCGTGGACCAACCCAGCAGCGCGGACCCGGCGGGCCGGTCCCCGTTTCCCCAATCAACCCAGACCCTCGGGTCCTGGGCCTCGCGACCCAATAAGAGCCGCAGCACGACACCTCCTGCATGAGGATAAACTTCTTGTCGGATCCGTGGGAAACCTGCATGCCGTTCGTGGGCGATGACCATTGAGATGAGCGGTAGGCACGGTCGACCTACCCAAATAATCCGCTTGCAGCCGGAGGAAGTTCGGCGTCTTACCGCACAGGTTGCCTTCGGGTGCCGGAATTGAGGCTCCGTGAAGGAGGAGATATTCTAACGTGGGTCCTTTGTATGCCTAGCCCCCTCCTTTCTGGTTCGTTCTATTGGATTGTTCATGTCTGGGTTCTCGGATTGTGTGTACCCGGCCGGCGTGTTGGGCAGAGTTATGATACACACTACGGGGTGGAATGAACCTGCTCTGTTTTGTTTCTTAGGCCCATCATTTCGTCATCCTTTTGCTGCGATCCATTTATGGCACTAGCAGTGAGTCTTGGGTCGGTTTTGGAGCATGCGCGTCTTTGCTTAACATTGGACACTAGAGCAGATGGACGCAAATGAGGCCTACCACAATGCCAGATTCCCTAAAAAACAGAGATCAAAATAGATATGAAATCAATAATAAATCTCTACGTCTTAGGTGCTGCTGCACCCTAAATTCCCGTCCCCTTATATTCCCCAATTCGTCGGAATATGGTCCCACGATCCGCCTCACAAAATCCAATTGGCGATGGGATTCGGCATGATGCTTATCCGCCCAGAGAAGACAGTTAAACAGGGCATTCAAGCTCGTAGCTCTCTCCCATTGAGGGTGGCACACTCATGCCCTCCTCAGATGCGCAGTTGGGCCCAGCGGGGAGGTAGGGCCGGTGGTAGGGACAGCGGAGACACCCATGGCAAGAGCCAGAGCAGACGTGAAGACGATGGTAAACTTCATGGTGACGGGACTGATTGGAGAAGAAACGAGTGGTTTTTCGAAGAAGACTGTTTGTGTTCGAGCTGATGTGCTTGTAGAATAGAAATGATCAGGGAGCCAAATGGCCCTGATCTAACTTTCACAGACAGCCTTTGTCGAATTCTTGAGAATCTCCTACCAATATTGCCACCATTACTGAGAAATCCAGACAGACGGGTCGTACCCTCCGGGGAGGAAATGGTCGGACCAACTTCCCCATCGCTCGTTACCCCACCTGGGCTGCCGGTTTTCTGTATTTGTTTTTTGGCCGTACTTTGTTCTTGGCCCTTAATCATGGATTCTGCATCAGACATGCAGGTTCCGCCTTTGCCAACTGAAGAGATGTCAGATAGGCCCCGATGTCTCACATACTCCACCTGGCTCAACCCCTACTAGGAATGTGCCGTTTCTTGCTTTGATTGGACCGCCACCACTCGTGCAACTCACGGTATATGATGCTCAACTCTGTTGCAAAGTATGTTACGAGTCTTTTCTTCCTCCGTTATTTCAGTATCCGCTAGCATATAGTACATGCTTTGAGAACTAGCCGGTTGACATGGTCAGCCACAGCTGCCCTTAGCGCGCTGAGGTCCAACCCAGAAGCATTCTTGTGTTGACTGGCAGTATTAGTTTGCGTATACGGATATTATGGCTGGGACACTTGCATGGCGTATTACTATGGCTATCCTTATTACATTATCAGGCCTCCAAGCCCAGAAGTCGACGGCCCCACAGAATAGCCTTCTAAACGACTGGGAGCTTGATTCCAGCCCTGTTCCCATTCATAATACAGTGATAGTCTGCGCTAATAAATTGAATAGAAAACAGAAGACCGACCATTGCTATGCTCATAGCAGTACTTTCCACTTTCCTCATCCCGTACCACCCCAGATCAGAGGGCTAAACCCATAAAGCCGGATAGGCGCCAAGATAGAGCCAAGCACGCATGCGTATTCTCAGCAACTGATTCAGAACATGGACCAGTCTTGCAGAGTTGAAGGATCTACTTCTGTAAAGGAGCAGGACGACTAATGGTTCAATTCCCTGCGCTTGGCACATCAATGAGGTATACAATGCGGAACTAGTACGCCGTTGGATCCCAGGCCTCGCGCAGCACATACTCACACGGGGTGGCAGGGTCTGCGGTCTACGTCAGCAGGTGTTGCATACCAATGGGCCCAGACCTCTCGAGGATCCAGGCGGGTTGCTGGATGGGAGCATCGGCCGTTTGAGTTGCGCACACAGAGAGTCTGACCCATAACGGCGGTTCGAGTGTGAGCCCGGCTATCAGATTCATGGGCAAAAGCGATTCAGTTGGAGGGATCGTCTAATGAAGAAATCAGAAAACTTTTCCAGATGTAATTCAGAATAATATTCCCCATTTAAATGATAAGACGCTTGTTGCTAGGACCCGAGGGATCAACTCCAGGAGAATGCGAACATGCAATGAACCAGACACAAAACACCCAACATGGCCCCCGCAGAGACAGGTTCATCTAAGCGCAAAGATAAATAATAATAATAAACAAAAAAACACCATGCACGCTATCAACAATATTGGTAGAATCGAGTAAATGCTCAATTGGAAGAAGGTTTGTCAGTGATGGCCTTCTTACGCAAGACACCGAGCTCCTCAAGTTTGGTCCACGCCTGTCCCATATCCGCTGAGTGATTCCCCAACGAAGGCCGAAGCTCCAGACCGTCCAGCGTGTGGAGAGAACCACTTGTACCAGCGTATAAGAGAAGCTCGAGGACCTTCCGACGGAGCCGGGTAGCGCGGTCTAGGTGGCCGAGATATTTTTCATCGGCGTGCGGGTCCGCTCGCGGGAGTGTAAAGGGATCGTTGACTTCGATGTCGGTCTCAGGTTTTCCATCCTCTTCCCAAGTGACGGCTTGGACGACATGGTCATTCTCATTAAGATCGGTTAGGGCGTCGGAGAGATCTCGGCGATTCTTCTGCTGCTCGACAGCGGCCTTCTCTTGGTTCTTAAGTTTTCGGCGATCATCTTGCTTCCCACTCCCGGTAACGGCCGGGCGGTAGAATCCGACAGTCAGGGGATTGCCCCGAATGTCCAATTTCTGAAGAGAACATGGATTGTTCCGTCCATTTCTTCCCAGGCGACTGAGAACCTGGCAGACCCTTCTCATTCGAGCAAGGCGGTTGCCGACCATGGTCAATCGTGAGAGGCAATTCATGCCGACGAGTGGCTCTAAGTCAGCAAGGGAGTTGAAATTCATATTCAACACCTTCACGTTGGGGAAGCTGGAGGAAAAGTCGCTGGGGAGGCGAGGCAAGGTGCAAGCTGCGATATCAAGCAGCTGAAGGCGCAGAAGAGGAGAAGACGGAGAAAGGCATCGGGAGGACAGCTGGTTAGATGACAAGAATACTTTGCGGATATCTTTCACGGCGCCGAGGTCCAAGTCGAGAGTAATTTCGGCCGCCGGGTCCCTCGGGTGGGACTGTTCTCGCAGAGAGAGCACTTCCAAGTTGTGGCAATGACCCAGGCCACTTATACTGGATAGTCGGTTGTGATCCAGATACAAGAGACTCAAAGACGGGAAATTCTTCATGTCCAGGTGGTCAAGCCGGTTCTCGGAAATTCTTAACGCACGAAGGCTGATAAGCGATGCCACAGGCTCCAACAGATCGATCTGGTTGGCACTCAGGTCCAGTGTAGCAAGGGCCGGGAGCCACTCGATATTTCGAACGGCGGTTAAGCCATTATGACTCAGGTCAAGGTCACGAAGACGTGTGCTGCAAAAAAAGTGTTAGCATATCTTCCTCCCTGGAAAGAAGGAGAAAAATCGTAATGGTTGCCAAACGTACAGCTCGCATCCCTCAAAGTCAACAGTGGTCATCGAGTTGTTGCTTAACTTGAGGCTAAGAAGGCCGTTGAGTTCGAGAATTCCGTCAATGCTTCGAATCTGGTTATCATTCGCCTTGAGCTCTCTGAGGTGAATCAAGCTCGAAAACCCATCCAGGGTCTCGATGTCATTTCCAGAGATATCCAAGTACTGCAAGTTGCTTAAATGACCCCATGAAGTCAATTCCGAAAGATGATTTCTAGGGATCTTTAGAGTCCGTAGGGTGGTCGGTACGCCACTCAATTGGCCAATCTCGTTGTCGCTGACGTCAAGATCTTCGAGGCGAGGGCAATACTCGCCGAGCTTGTGCAGGGTAAGAAGGCCTTTCTGACGAAGCGCCAACCGGCGTACATGTTCCCAGTACGGTTCATACGGCTCAACATCCGTGATATGCTTGACCAAGTCCTCGTCTGCAAGCGCAAATGCACCATGGACTTGTCGAAGGGATGTTGGGTGCGTACGCTCGGCGACATAACTCATCTCCAAATTCAGGGAATGTTCAAGATGATCGGGTTGGTTGACCGAGAACTCAGCGAGCGGGCTCAGATGGAAGCTATAACTGGTGTCATGTCCCTCTGAGTGAACAGGAACCAGCGAACGCCCAGAGCCGGGGCCTGGAGTTTGCTGAACATCCATAGACTCTCGACGAACGAGGCCGTATTCACTGCCTTCTTCGACTTGCTCGTCGATTCTTGATACAGGCCGTCGAATGAAGTTCTCGCCTCCCACTGATATTTCGCGTCCCGAATGAGATGAAGTTCGAGATAAGCTAGTCCCCTGGTTCGATTGTGAAGGGGCATCGGTTCGATGGCTATCCTTTTGGACGCCATGAGCATCCAGATCTTGGTGACTATCCTTCTGCTGAACCTCATCAGTGCTCCATGAAGTCGCCCTTGTGCCAGCTGGTCCAGTTGATGAACGAGAACCCTTGGAATCCACGGAGCTCTCGTTGACCGACGGAGCTCTGCCGCCCGGTTGCAGGTTGGCGTCGGGCTGGCTCTCGGTCGCTTCTTCGGGCTTACGAGCTGACAAAGGCTTTGAAGGAGACTCGGGCCCATTGGTTCGCATCATCTCTTGCAACTCGTCCACACTTAGATCTGGGATGTCCTGAAACGGGTCGTTTTCCTCACCCAGAGAGGCTTTTGGTGCAAGATTCTGGCCATTGGGCTTGACCCATGAATGCTTTGAGCGATCGTATCTGAAGCCGTTCACCTGCTCTGGGATAAAGATGCGCCACCATTTCCGAAGATAACATCCCCTTCGCTTGTGAATTTTGAGAAGATCCCGTGGGAACAGAATTGATGCTGAAGCCGGACATTTGAGTGTTGATCGTCATCAGATCTTGGGCAATGGTATCCGCAATGTCATCCATTGGGCCACTAGGCTTCCGCTTTCTAGTGCCAGGTGCAAGTCTGTCTGCTCTTCTCTCCTCTCCAGCCCCGCCATCTCGATGCTTCGGATGCATGTTCAGCGACATAGCAGACTCATTGAACTCCCCCTTCCTCCCTTTCTTGGTACTGTTTTAAATAGTTGAGGATCTGCGGGTTCAGCTGTTTGGGCTCCCTGATCTTACGAAGGTCTGTCCCATCGCGGCTAGGGGGCCGAGAAAATGCCTCCCGACTAGACTCATCTTCGTAAGTAAGATCAGGATCATCGTTATCTGGATCGCCATTGTCCAGTTCAGATTCTTGGACGCTTGATAATCCTGGTGCAGGCCTTCCTTTGGCACGGATCAGATCCATGATTTTCGTCGCTTCGTTAAGGTAGTCCTGGGTTGTGATGGACCCTTTCCGGGAAGAATCGCTTGTACCAGTGACCTTGACCAGAGGGATATCTCCGTCGAGGGAGAATGAATCGGAGTAATCGAGATTGTCGAAGTTAGATTCCGAGTATTGCCTGCTCGGTGCGATCTTGGATGACTTGGCCGAGCGGATTTGGCTAGGAGTAGGGGTTCTCGGTCGTTGCATAGACTGGGACAATCCCGGGGGGGGCCAGATAATCGCCATTGTCGAGTTGCATGCCATGTTGCAGCAAACTTCTCTGGAGAAGAGACATGCTATCGCCATACATCGGTGAGAGTTCACCTGCTTGGTGAAGCTGTTGCATTGCTTCGTTGGTTTCGCGAACGACAGTCCGACGACGTTTGGGGTTCGGATCCGCTGCTTTCTTGGGGACTCTTTTTGTTTCGGCGAATGGGATGTTCTCCTTGTTATGACCCCGCGACGAAGACCATGTTGCGTCGCCGCCGTGCTTGTAATAGCTTTGACGCATCCACGCGGACGGCTTCCGGGTAAAGCTAGAGCTTGCGGACCTCGTCTGCTTGATCGATCCTTCTCGCGACCCACGGCGAAGGTAATGTCGCCCTGAAGATCTCTTTCTAGAAGACGGACGGGTATTCAAGCCCTGGGATTCGTCATAGACTAGCTTGTGCTCGTAAGGGCTTGTATCAGAGAAGTCATACTTGTCCAACTCGCCATCTCCGAAACGAGTCAGTCGAGGCCGCTGAGCATTACGAGAGGGGGAGCGTTCGCTTCGACGGGGAGTAATTTCGCTCAAAGGCTCGTGTCGCACGTTCAGAAAGCCGCGGCCTTCTCCTTTCCGGCGTGCTTCTTCCGAGGGTGAAGGAGGCTCATCACCGTCTGAGCCATCCTCGAAGGTCTCCTCAAATTGACTCATGCGACGGAGAAGACGGTTGTTCGTGAAGGTATCATGCTCACCAAACAGCTTGAGGGGGCTTCCTGATGGCATGGCTCCTGTTCTTGGGACAGCATCCCCGGACGTCGAAGGGCGCACGTGGGAGGAGGAAGGTCGAGGGAGTGAGGGGGAACCGTTGGTCTGTGAGCGGCTGAAAAGAGGGGAGCTGCGGGTTTTCACGTTCGCGAGACTTTTGGGAGGGATGCGATAGGATGGAAAGGGCGAAGGAGAGAATTGTTGGTGGAAAGGACGATTGCCTTTGCGGCGGCTGAAGTCCAACGTGCCCATGGACAGATCCTGCGGTAAGGAGTGACTCGTCACATCCAGCAAGCTATCCTCGTGGGCGAGCTCCCAGGTCGAGGATCACTGTGATTGTAGAAAAGGAAGCTATCGCTGGCCGGCGAATCCGGTCGATTGCTAAACTTGCTGTTCTCTACGGACAACCCTTCCAATTTATTGGTTACCTGCTTCAAAGCAGACTTAATCACTTCGGAGGTGCCGTTGCCCTCGATAGTATTGTTGCGAGTGAAGGTAATCGGTGTAATACCCTCGTTGCGAAGGTCCTCCAGCCCGCTCGCGGTGCGAATGTCGGTATCTCCTTGTGACAAGCCCTCTGTATACTGATCGGCGCGGGGTCGCTTGTCCGCCCAGGGTGCCCGATTGACCGTGCCCAACGGCGAAAACATGCCAGTACCCGAGTCTTCATCGTCGCTGGCGCGTTGGGAGTCGCGATCGTTGAGGTCAGGCTCGTCTCGCTGCATGAGGCTGCCTTGCCGGGAGGTCGCATCGGTGAAGTCCCACGGATGATCGTCCTGTTTGGCAAATGCGATTGATTCCTGGGTCACAGACCCGGGGGTGGGTGGCTTGAATACGCTTTCTAGGCCCATTGGCGCGAAAAGATCGCGTTGTTCTCCCACCGGGATTTCTCCGCGCACCAGGCGCTTTCGCCATTCTGGGGTGCCTGCGCCCTCATGACTCTTTTTCGGTTTGATCTGAACGGTGTCGGTTGCCTCATAGTCGGACTGGTTGGATACATTGGAGACCGCTCGGAGGGGAGAGCGCGTCGCCATCACGTCTGGCTGTTTGGCGGATTGTTTACCAGCTTTCACGGCAGTAGCCGCGCTGGGTTTAGAGGCGGACCGTGGGCTTTTCGCGATTGGCCTCGGACTCGGTCTGGAATTCACCTTCGGGCTGGCAGTCGGGGTCTTTGTTTTGAGCTTGGATGGGTCGGGGGATCGTGGTTTGGAGAGGATTTTGGGGGTTCGCGGTGTTTTCGGGGTTGGCGGCTCCCTCCTGTGGAAATGACATGGGCGAGTGACCTTTCGACCGCTGGCGGGCGACTGTTGGTCGGGGCGGCGAGCGGCCACTGGAATGCGACTTGGGGAATTCGTCTGGGGGGTCCGCTGTTTTGGTGATCGCAGTTTGTTTGGCGCGGGCCCGGGAGTTGTGGGTGTCGCAGGCGCTGATTCCCAGTCGTCAGACAGGCTGTCGAGCCATGGTTGGTTGCTCTGGTGGCCCATCTTTTTTTTGTCCTCCGGCGTTTACTTCTCCAGGCTAGGGGTGTGTCCCACCCCAGACTCTAGAAAGGCAGGTCTCGAGTCTTTGGCCTCTAGGAGAACATTGAGCTGCAACAACTGCCATCGAATCTGAAAGGTTGAAGTGCGGAGATGGTTGGCCCGGGCAGCCTTTTGCTCCACTGAAGCTCCTTGTTTATTTTGGTGCTTCCGGGCGCGCCACTCTCGGCCAGTCACCTACACAATCTGGGGGGAGGGTTGGGATTCGGATCCTGGGAGGATGCGATCTTCACAATATCCACTTACAGTAAGAATACGAGGCTAGTACGTCAATGGTCTGATGGGAATCAAACTATCTCTGGGCTGATTGGTCGCGCTGGGGTTCAACCCCGATGTGTTGTCGAGGTTCCACTCGTTAACTCCAAAAACGCCCCTAAGCCCTGACCGATAGTTCCCAGTTCCCCAGTACTATTGACAGGCAGATCTGGAATGGAGTAGGAACAGCGTCATTTTCTTTTGAGCGGTGTACTCTATACCGTTACGCCTAAACTTTGGATATATCCAAAGTTCTCTTCCCGACGGGTCCCCCTTTGGAGGCGATCCACAAGTACTGCGTACAAGTACAACCTTGGGAGCAACCTTGGCCTCGGAACTTCAACAGGCTAGAAGTTGAACTAGAATGACACCTAGATAATTGAAATTTATGAGATGCTATGATTTTTTGAATTTTGTTCAGACCTTAGGACTTGGGTCTTGTCATTCCAACTTAAAGGGTGGTTCACCTGCCAGTGCATATTGAAGAGACTGAGAGCCCAGAGACTGACCGCAATATATATCACGTCTAAATTTGAAGATCCTGACGACCACGAATTCAGTCGGATTTTTGTCTGCAATACCACAATTCGGAAATGAAGACACGTTGAAAGAAAATTGAAGTGAATTAGGACTATCAGTAGTACTAGTGGACAGGATTCTCGTTCTCAAAGTACCTACTAAGCCTTGGATAGTAATCACGTTCCCCCCGAAGTAAGGAATTCCTCAATATTCAAGGAAGGAGCTCCTATGTCCTTCCGCTTCTGATAAATGCGGCAGAAAAAAAAATAAAATAAAAATGCATTCAATAAAACATAAGCCGCCATAATATCTTTTGGAATAGCACTGAGTTCTGGCCTTTTCTTGGGTTGCGTCGCGGTCTCCGTGGTTGACTTGAAGTAGACTATATTCTTGATTATCGTCCCAGGTTAGCTGATCCTAGCAGGCATATACAACTTCCAAGGGCGAAGATTCAATTCTCAGGGTGAACGCCACGCCAAGGACGTAGACTGATGTTATGCTAGAGCCGCTGGGTGCTAGGTAGGAATTTGAAATGACTTTAAGGGCGCTGCCTAAGAAGGGACTGATACTGTGAGATTTTGTCTTGAATGAAGCGCATCACATCATAAATACAACTTTTGAGATATATTCGCCTGGTCTAAACTCCGTTTCGTACGTGATAGGGGGAATGCTACATTATACACATGGAATATCAGATACGTCCGCCAAAACCCGCCTAGATAAGCAGTCTCTCGAAAGAGTACTTGCCCGCAGCCTTGCGATTGAGATATCCAATCTCACGTGAAGTGCGAGCCTTAGTCTCACCAGTAGACTTCTTGACCTTGGTTTTTGAGACATTCTTGGAAGCAGGCTTCATCGACAATGGTAGCATCTTGCCGCTTGCATCCGCATCAAAGCCATCGCCATCTTCTGGTTGAGTGAATATCATCAGATCGGCGCCATTGAGCTTCTCATAGCGTACCGAGTTCGATGGATTGGGGGTGGTGTCGCGTTCCGATTTGCTGGAGGCATGCTTTTTCATAGCCTGCGTGGCCTCAGTGAACGAAAGTAGCTCACGCAGAATGCCCTTCAGATAAAGCGATTCCTCGATGCCGCCGAGCGCAGCGGATACCTCTGACTTGAGGTCTGTGATGAGCTCGGCTTCCCGGCTTGCGTCGTTGAGTGCTCCAGAGCTGAGATCGAGTTCATTTACAGAGGGCAGTGCGGAAACCCAGCCAGACGGGCCAACGGCGTCCACAGCCGCACTGATCAGATCACTGATCGTCTTGAGAGAAACGGTAGGTTTGATTTGTGCAGGGGTGATGGGCGTAGGGGGGATTTTCACCGAATGGAGATGTGAAGCCACCGGTGGCAAGACAGAGTCGGAGATGATCGATCATGAACAGAAGCTCTGAACGCGAGAGGTTGGAACGGAGGGATTTGATGATGGAAGGGATGGGATGTGAATGAAGCTTGTTGAGAGAGGTATTCAAGCCCTTGAAGATTGCCTCGACGATGGTTTTCTCACTGCCAAGACGTCGAGTAAGTTCCTCTGTAGGCGTCGCAGCATCGTTGTTGGAGATGGCCCTAGCGGTTTCTTGGAGGGTGCTGAAGTAGGAGTGCACTTGTTTTAAGAAATGCTTCAAGGCGAATGACAATTCATCGGAAGAAGCAAGAATCGAGGAATGACGGATAACTTCGTTAATATGTCCCAACGATGGGTCGGAGTCGACTAAGGCTTGAACAAAGGAACCAGTAGGTAGAGGTTGGAGGACCTGCGGCTTATTGACACGGCGGAGGGCAACCTGAATGTTATCTAGGGTAAAGTGACCGAGACGAAGAAGCCACTTGCAGGTAGCTTTCGGCCATAGAACAACTCGTAGCTGGGATTGGGAAGAAGCCGTAGCTGCATCTGAGGATGCCACGTTCTCGATGGCAAAGATCTTCGACAGAATGAAGAGGGAATACTCCGAGTTGATGAACTCTGTTGGAAGTGCCGCAGGAGTTTCGACCTCAAAGAATGCCAGTAACGCATTGTCAAACTTGGTAGTATCACGAGCATTGGTTGCCTCTTCCACACCCTTCGTAAAAACATTCCATTTTTCGATTTTCTCAGTCGAATCAAGTTGCAGAGATGCCTTATTTTCTGCCTGACGCTTCTTCGACGACATATCCCACTGAGCTGCAGATGAACCAATACCGCGGCCGATCGCATCAATCAGAAGGCCATCCCGAGACCGCTTGAGCGATGGAGCGGAAGGTGTATGGAGCGAAGTTAAGTCGAACGCAATCAATGTATTTCCTTTGGTTGCGACGGCAATTCCTAGCTTCGCGAAGTAAGTGATGAAAACTGTAGGGCGATCAGTGTTCAAGCCACTGCTGGATAGAACATCACTTGTCGCAATGCTGCGCTGGATTGACTGGTATTGGGTATCGTAAACTGCAACTAGTGATTCACTTGCGCCAATCACGCATTGGGGCGAGATGCGCATGACGGACGAAAATTTGTCATCTAATATGAATTGAGATGTCACTGAAGGTGAATATTGCGATAGATCAATGTTGATAAATCCCTTGTCGAAGGACAATTGCAGCCCCGCAGAGCCCGAGTGGAAATTCCACTGCAGGGTTTCTGCGCTAACTTTCTGAAGGCCATCGACAGAGGGAACTGTCACCGTTTGAAGATGTTGAAGTCTTTGACTTTCTTCCGACGAATTGATGGACTTCGCAGGCACAGAAAATATTTGGACATTGACATCTTCAAGTGCAATATGTCCAGCATTTGTAGGAAGCGACAAGACGAGTAAAACTGACGGCTCATCTTCGCCAACATTCGATCCAGCCAGAGCAAGGGCCACAAGGTCCTGTCGGCGCTTGAATAAACCCTTACGCGCATCCTCCAAATCAATCAAAAAGCATGTGTGTACTGCGTGAGTGGACGAAACCTTAGAGATTTCGCTGTGCTGAATACTCCAGCGCTGAGTTTTCAGGTCGGATGATAGTCGGCGAACGTGACCGTCTTCATGCACCGCGATGATATCGAAAGGGTCAGATTCTACACCATCCTTGATACTGAAGGGAACAATGCCTAGGAATGCGACTGGGCTTCGAGAGTCTTTGATGGTGGTTGTTGAAGAGGAGATGGTCGGAGCGCTGGAGCCACTGCTGATCTCTTCCACGAAGGATTTGATCTGCTGTTCGGGCTTGATTGCAGCAGCAAAGGTCTGTCGTTTCACGGTCGTCTTCAATTTTCGGCGCACTGAGCATGGTCGACAAGAGAATTTTGACTGGGGCGGAACGGCGTAGGATGTGACGAGTTTGGGAGTTTGAATCTGTTTTGAGTCGGAGAAAAAATTAGACATGAAGAGCAAGGAGCTAAATTTGAAAGCTTTCAGTCTCACATTGTAAATGTTCACGGCCTCTCCGTCAACCGCCACAGCGACCTCATAGCGCTTGCGCTTCTTGGAATCAGCGAGACTGAAGACATCCCCGATACGGGTTTTGCCGGTGGTGGCGTGGAGGGGACGAGGCAGTTGTGCCAGAATTGAGGGAGATTGCAGATCCATAATCAGCAAGCCCGAAAGGTAACAATTGCCTCGAATTCCAAGTCTGTCAAAACCTAATGCCTGAAGCTCAAGACCGACAGTACGAATCAGAAAAATTTTCGGAATAAGAAAGGGCCGGACCCACACTTATACTAGCCATTTAGGGACTAGCGCAGCCAAACACTGTAATTATACACTTGAACATGCTGCCCAGATGCTGTTCTTACTATGATGATGAATACGGATGGATGGATGGATGGATTGATTGATTGATTAGTTGAATAATCCTAGAGCGTGAATCGTATTCTATACAGACTACAGCTCATAATATTGCATTTTGCGTATTCGGAATAGAGTGCACGTTCAATATTACCTAAATAGGCGCTCTATGAACAGAAACATATGATGCTTATGGACTATTTTAAAGAAGCTGGGAGCCTTGAAAAGTTTATTCTCGTGCCATGCTTAATGTACTATTATATAGATTGAGCCCTGTACTGAAACAAACTGAGAACTCGTTAAATCTGATGGCGGTGGGCAGGGCGGTCGGACCCGCAGACGCGAGATTGGGGCGCGTCGTACGTGTTGCAGCGATAACCCGCGATAAAAGCCATCTTCATTGCTGATCCTGGTTGAAGCCAGCCACATTGGGTGGTACGGCCTAATACGCATTGGAGCTACTTTTTACCTGTACTTTCCTCAAATGACCTTGGAAAACCGTGCGCTCCTCACATGGACACCGTTGTATCCCCGCCGCAAGGTATGGGACATGGAGAGCCGCAGACTATCCATCCATTCTTTCAACAAGGTACGAGAGCTATGATTTGGGGTGCCTGGTCAGCTAAACTTACCGGTGGAATAACGGCTTCACAGGCTATGGGGGGTTTGCCGCGATCAGTCCCGTCAAACGAGCCTGCAAACGTCTTGACTGCACCCAACCCAAACTCCTCAAACCATACCCATTTGCCAGAACAACCGACCTCACTTGCCTCGAAACCTCGAAGATCAAGCTCGCCTGCCCCCGAAGCCATGGAAATACAGCCCCCGTCCCCAAAAAGTCCCGAAGAAGACCTCAATTCTAGCCGGAGGAAGAGGCGAAAGACAGAAAAATCCAAGAAGGCTGATCGAGACGCACCGCTCAGAGCCGGGTTGTCAGAATGGCTAGGAAAGGAAATCGCTCCACCACGCCCCTCGGCTGATACTCCAGTTGTCCCAACTGCAACCAAGATATCGGATATTGAGCTGCCAGCTACATCAACTCTCCCTGGTCCCGAAGAACCACAGCAAGGTCAACCGATTACCACCTCGAACCAAGTTCCCTCGGCGGAGCCCACAATACCGGCAGCGCAATCCGACAAGGAAAGAAAAACACTAAGACTAAATTCCAACGGACGGTTATTGAGCTCTCCTCCTGTTGCAAGTAAGCCAGATCGAAAGGGCGGAAGCCGGGGCAGGCCTCGGAAAGTTCAGAGCAAAGTGGTTATTCTCAAATACAAGTCGCCAGACCTCGGTGCATCGATCAATGCAATCCTCAGGGGCGAGAAAACACATACTCCACCACCCCTGCTCCCCCTGCTCGCCCAGCCAACATCGAACAGAAGCCGGCTAAACCAACTCATCCCTTCTTCGCTAAGAAACCGTCGAAACCGCAAGATATCATGTCTGAAAGAAGCGATGATACTGCACAAGACTTGCCCGAGCAAAACACACACTCGGAGCCGGTTGCCAAGAAGGTCATCAAGCCTCTTGTAACAACGTTTCCATCCTCCCGGCCTCGAAAACCCAAATTCCAGGAGCTTTTACATCCCCTTTGGCCTACACGAGATCTTTTCCATGTGAGTGGAATCGAGCCTTGTCGGCAGCTACGAGGAGATGGAGCTATGCCTTCCACTCAAGATTACAAGAAATCAAAATTGGCAGCAGTCAGCGTGACCGATGAGGAAAATGCATTACTCAGAAGCACCGCCCTTGCACGCAAGATTGGAGGATTTTATAGCTCAAGCGAGAGCGCTCCTTCTCTTCTTCGGCATCCCACTCGATCCACCGCGAGCGGAAGAACTATCAAGGAGGCAGTTCTTGCCCAGCTAGCCACTTCGACGGTTGCAGATGCAAGTCGTGTACCTGTGATATCGAAGCTCGCTGCTGTGTTACCAGAAAAATATTCAGCCTTTGATTCTGGCAAGCATGAACACCAACTGTGGGCACATAAGTACGCTCCTCAGACCGCCGAAGACGTGCTTCAGATGGGACGAGAAGCTTATATTCTACGCGATTGGCTTGAGCATCTCAAAGTAACATCAGTGGACACTGGCAAGGCTTCAACTGGAATCAATGGCCAAAGGCCTAGGAAAGACAAGAAGAAGAAAAAGAAGCAGAAGCAGAAGGACGGGCTTGATGATTTCATTGTTTCTAGTGAAGAAGAAGCATCGGAGATGGATAATATTTCTGGCTCGGAAGATGAGCTTGCGGGTGATGTCACAGTTTCTTCGCACAGAACTGTCATCCGACCAGGCGACAGAGGGCTTTCCTCTCAACATGACGGGGAGAAACCCCGAATCACAAACGCAATTCTGCTGAGCGGTCCTTCAGGTTCCGGTAAAACTGCTTCAGTGTATGCAGTTGCTAAAGAGCTAGACTATGAGGTTTTTGAAATCAACCCAGGCAGTCGCCGTAGTGCGCGGGACATGCTGGAAAGAGTCGGTGACATGACGCAAAATCATTTAGTTCACCTCCTGAACGACAATGGCGAGGTCTCTGTCAAAACCAAGGATTCTGGTGTGGTAGATGATTCGAAACAAAATAAATTAGTGAGCTTCTTCAAAGGTCCGCCTACGAAGGCCCCCCAAACACCGCAGATGGACACGAAGCCGGGGGGTGAGCCTCCTTTGACAAAGCGATCCCGGGAGCAGAAACAGTCCCTCATTCTGTTGGAGGAAGCAGATATCCTGTTTGAGGAAGACAAACAGTTTTGGACAGGAGTACTTACCCTGATCAGCCAATCACGGCGGCCAATAATCATCACCTGCAATGATGAAAGCCGTCTTCCTACCCAGGACATGTCGTTACATGCTATCCTGCGTTACCAGAGGCCCCCTCCCGAACTTGCTGTCGATTATCTTCTCCTGGTAGCTGCTTGTGAAGGGCACCTGTTGAAGCGTAGTGCTTTGGCAAAGCTTTATAATGGCACTGGCTTTGACATTCGAAGAGCGCTGGCAGACCTCAATTTCTGGTGTCAAATGGCAGTGGGAAGCACCAAATCAGGACTGGACTGGTTTCTGCCTCTGTGGCCACCAAGCAGTAATGTCGACCAGAATGGTGAAAGAGTGCGTGTTCTCAGCTTAAATACTTATGAAGCGTATATGGGCTGGCTGAACCGTGATCTTTTCCTGCAAGACGAGCCCCTTGAGGCAGAGACCGAGGCACTGCGCAATACCTACCATTGGTGGAGGCTAGGTATTCAAGAAATAGAGGAAGCAAGCGGTCATACCGATGCTTCGATGATGCCGCCTGAGCATTATGCCTCGAAATCCAAGATGGAGCAACTCGATATGCTTAGCCGGGAGGCAGACTACTCCGAAATGCGAAGTTCCTTGGACATTCTTTGCTCACGGTGCCCTCTGGGTTCTTCAAAGGTACGACCGCACTTATTGTCGTACTGACCCCATTACACGCTAACTTGGAATCAGGATGTGCTTGATACAAGTCTACCTCCTATGCCAACAGCTCATCGCTCCAACTATATTGACGCATACCCTCTTCTCCAAACCGACCTGGCCCCAGAGTATAGCGGCTTGAGCGAGTCCATCGGACTCACTTTCGACACTCTTCTCTCCCGAACATTCCGCTCACCGACCGAGGATGTCGAATTGGACAGCATCAATCGAATCTTCAAAGGCTGGTCGCAATTAGCCTTTAGCCGGCAAGTATACCCATCGGCAAAAGCAGGATTTCAAAAGGTCTTTGAGCCGATCATGCGTGTTCGTTACACTGCAACCCCAGGCCGTCTTGCCCCTTCGTTCGAAAGCAGCCTTTCTCCTATCACCGAAGATCTCGCGCCGTACATCCGATCCATCATGGTATTCGACGGGCGTCTGAAAGAATACCGTGACCGCCTGTACGCTGTTTGGGCTCAGGACCAGGGCGGTGGTGACAAGCGTGCGCGTACTACTCGCGCTAGTCGCGCAGCGCTGGAGGGAAGTGACAAGGCTTTCACGCGGAGGGAAAGATGGTTCCCAGACGACACCAACTACTTCCTTGTGCAGGGCACTGGGATGCCTGAATGGCAGCATGCTTTGTTTCAAATGGGCCACTTCCACATACAGCCAGCAGCACCGACCCCCAATGAGGAAGCGGAGATGCCAGTTGTACCAGTATAACGAAGTTTGCAATGTACTTTAGCCATTTGATCTAGATATGAAACTTGAACTTACCCAACCTCCAACACGATTTTATCCTAGCTTAGACTCAGGACTCTAAGAATTGTGACAGAATTCTTGAGGGCCCGTATCAAGGGATTTCCAATTTACCCAACACAACCGCCGCCAACTGAGCGCATAATACTTTCAATATCCAATTGGTCCGCCAAGTCCAGCAATTCTCGCGGCGGAAGGCTCACTGACGGGTTGAGCCCGAGAAGATCCCATTCAAACTCATCGCCAACGTCTATATGCTCAAAGGCATCAATTTCTTCATGAGTATCTTGAAGCGGCGTCGTTTCCGGTGTATCGGTGGACATGGGAGTCAGCGGTGCCAGAATTTGCTCCAGCTGTTTCAACTCACGTCTGCGGAGAGGCGCAGCAAGGTTTCCTTTCGCTATGAGTTTGTCGAGCACACATTCCAAGTTGTCACACCAGGTGCTATTTGGGATGAGAGATGGGGCGATGGCTCGGATCAGGTAAAGGACGAAGGCTGAAGAAGATGCGTCTTCGATCTGGAATGGGAGGAAGGCATCTTGGAGAAGGTTAGTTTGGCTTTCAGTTGAGGCCGGTTTACCTCTTACCAATCAAGTCGTCGTCGGCTAGTGTCTGGAGAGTCTGGAGGATTGTCTGGGCAGAATCTGCGCAGCACTGCAGCAAAGACGATACAGGGTGAGAGAGTGATATGGTTGGCGATCGTTGCCTTTCAGCGCGCTCGATGTGCATCTGAAGGGCACACATGACCAGAGGGCGTGTTGTAAGGACAACACACTGCCTCAGGTTAGCATGCAAGCTATCTCCATGTGAAGTCTTAAAACGGTCTTACATGATGGTGTGCTAGCATCAGCCTGATTGCCATTTTGGATGCTCGACTTATCAGTCCGTGGAAATGTGTATTGAGAAATGCCGTAAGGTCGTGGGAGAGCTCGGCCATGCTGTGAAGAAGTGTTTGGGTATTTCTCACAAGAGATCCGTTGAACTCATCGCCGACTCCATAAACAGCTTTCGAAAGTGTCGTCAGCGCCAGGAGGAAAAATATAATCCCAAAAATTTACTTACTTGATAATATTTGCGCCATCAACCGAGACAGACGGACATGCAACGTAAGGTTAATGTGCTCGACCGAATCTTCGACCTCGGCTGGCAGCATCACTGTGATGTCTTCATCTCGAATGGAGCTTGGGGCTCCTATTAAAGCGGAAAACTCCCGGTCGAGCATATATACGACCCAGAATATGGTCCTGCAGCGGCGAGAGAGTTCTGGCCCAGCCAAATCCTCTGGTACATGTCGATGGATTCCCTCAATGATGCAGCCACGGAGAGCATGCCCAATCTTCCCAAAGTTAGCACGGGAAAGTCCGAGGGCGATAGAGCTACAGATACTTACGTGCTGGAATGCGGCTCGCCTCATGTCGATGGACTGTAGATAGACAGCTCCTAAAGCGAGAGCTTGGATGCATGTCAATGGATCGACATGCATCCCAGAAAGATCTGGCAGTAATGCCATTGCTCTTGCAGCATATTGGTACCCTGGCGGGATTCCCGACGGATTTTTATGGGAAAGGAATGACTTTCCAAAAGCAAGTACCAGGAGGTACTGGGCATACCAATACCTTGAAGCGGCGGCCTTTGCAGCTGGATCTTTATAGAACTCATGAAGGTCCCGCAGGTAAAGATCTTCATCAATCATGAAAGACAAGAAACCAAAATAGAATTTGACCGTGTTGAACAGAAACAAGGCGTAGTCAAGTGGCGGGAGGTTCGAAACATCAGGCTCATCATCTAGTGCGGCTGGACGCCACTGTAGCTTGAAGGCCATCCCATCTAAATGGAACGGATCAGGAGGCGAGTTTGATTCAGGAACTCGTCTCCCTATGAGTTCCAGGACGCGACGGCAGAAGGACCATGAAGATGTTGGTCCCATATACCCTATCCAAATGCAATCAGTATGCAGGCTTCAGATTCGAGGGCCAGGCCCTGGCTTACAAAAGCGCCCATCGGGTGTCTTTTGGAACGATGGATTTTTATCCACCAATGGATTCCTGGAGAACCTCGACCTATGCCCATCATTCTCAATGTCAGGGTCACCTCCCACATGCTGCTCGGTCGCAATAAGTCGATCTCGGGAAATGAGATGATACTCCTCTTCTCCGCCTTCTAAATCTCTCCAACCAACATGGGATCGATTGTCCAAGGTTAAGGGGTTCTGAGGAGTAATTGGTAAAGGAATGTCGCTATCGGTAGCCGGTGGCGTGGGCTCGGCGGGGACATCCTGTGGTGAAGAACGCTTACTTTGAGACAATTGCTGTTCAAGATGTCGGAGATAACTAGTTTGTATTTAGCAGGATGCAGAACAACTCGATGTCCCGGACCTACCGCTCAGAAACAGATATCCGTATATCCTCAGCAGGAAAATGGCATTGCGCTTTCTTGCGAGCACATCGCGCGCAAGGCTGAGAGCCCGAGCACTTTACTTTCATCGACCGACATCGTACACAACTATGGGGAATTCATAGATCAGAGAACGGAATCACGCTCCGATGTCGGTAGCAACTCACGCCCGCTGGCACTTTTTGTCTCTCGATCTGCCGTTAGACACTGGCATACCGGCTAACGGAACCAACAGAACAATCTGGCGATATCAAGCAGTTGGCATCCGGCGATTTCCACCGATATCAAGTATTTGGAGTAGCGGGGTTGTTGAGTGATCCATGTCGGAAGAGCCCTCCGACGTTCTTATCAGCGTAACCGCCACCCCGCAGGATAACATGATAAGCGGGGAAACAATGTGGGGAGTCGACGTAGTCTATAGTTTCTGTGATAAGAGCGTTGGGTCAGCGGTGAGCCAGAACGGACTGTCGGATCTTGACTAGGCGTGCCCGGTCGTGGTGTCAATCGTGGTCTTGAATCTTCAATATTATCTGAACTTTAACAGGAAGTTACTTCGACACATATTGAGGCGTTAAAATAGATTTACTGAGATAATCTAAATTTCATTCAAATGGAACTGCAGTCTTGTTAACGAACCTCGCGATAATTCAACGAAAATGGGGGTTGAAATCTGTAACTGCTTGTTCCCTATCAAGATCGGTCTGCGTCATAAATCCATATTTGATACCATGCAGGATTGGATCCAAAGCTGAGGACATTTGCTGATACTAGATGCACTTCTTCATCAATGGGAGCTCTTCAATATCGATGAGTTGACAGACAAAATCTCCCACTAGCCAAAGACCCTCCTTTTGAGCTCTACCCAAAGTGCATCAACCATATGCTGAGTTCGCTCGACCGCGTCCTTGTTTTCAATAGCCCGACGATATAGATACTGCATACATTTCCGCAACAGAACCCCAAGCCATGCATTTGAAGGCCTTGGGCACTGGAACATTAGCAGCGGAGGACTGTTGCATGGCTCGCTCATAGTTCTGCACAAGCTCACAGCTCAACTCGTCTGCCATTCCTTGAATCTGCCCGCATTCAAGCGGGATGGTAGCTTTCCCCTCAATGAGACGCCTCTGATGCATCGAAATTGCTTTGGCTGCACTAGCCGCGTTGTGTGTCGCAAGGAAGAGCGCAGCATTGGGGAATTGCAGATTCTTTTCATGAGCCGGTGTTTGGCAACTGAGTAATGTTTCAGCGATCAGATCGTAAGATCGATCAGTTTCTTCTTTGGTGTCGTGGATCAAAGAACGTGTCTCATGCTCAATGTATGCGCCTCGAACCAGCTTGATCCCGAGAGACCAAGTTTCTCTAGCAGCTGTCTCAATATGTCGGTCGACGTTGGCCTTTGACCCTTTGAGATAAGCCTGAATTGTATTATAAACAAGGGGTGTTGGCGACCTATTGTGTCTGCGCATGAGCTGGATTGCCCAGTGATCCAACCCTCGCTGTAGGACCTGCTGCTCCGCATCAATCCATAGACGAGATCCTTGTTTCTTGGCCGCAAGACAAATTTCGTCCATAGCTCTCACAAGTATCTCGGGCATTGGCTTTTGCGCCGCCATGGCGTCAATAGAGATTGGGCCAGCACCGGTCAGCCTAGGTGAAGATTAGCATTTGTTACGAAATCCTCGTAGACAGTCCAGATTGCCTCTTACTTGACCGCCAGGAAATCGCCAGCTCCCACCATGGCCAGGGTGTCCAAAGTTCCCTGCTTCCATGCTTCCACGGCCTCGTAGCACTTGCCGCTATAGGTTGTGCTGCCCGATTCATCTCGTGCCACCTTCTCATTCGGGTCGAGCACCACCTCTCTAGAATGCCCCAAAATAACCCCCTGATATCCTATCGCTTTAAGCTGAGTCACAGTCCTTGAAACCTCTTGATGATTTGTCCCTGCACAAAAATGGTTGTATACCGTCCACCGAAGAAGCCTGTTCAAGATAGGATTTCGATCTGCATTTAAGAAGGCGGATTCGGAAGTGCTTAATGTTTTGAGGAGAAATAATGCTGGAGTCAGGAATTTTTTTGATGTCATTAAAGAGGTCAAGATCAAAGATCGTACGAGGAGTCTTGTCGGTAAACGTGCCATGGGGGGGCAACTCTATCGGCGGCTTCACAGTGGTCGTCACGATAGTATCATAAAGGCGATTTTTACTTGAATGATAGCTTCTCAAAGAAGCAGTTTTTAGTGAGTCAACATGGACTCTTGGGATGTGGCGGATAGAGGGGACTTGAGAGAACATCTTGACAAGGAGTAGCTGCTCACGACACGGAGGCGTTGATTACCCACTTTAGCTTAATAGACTGAGAAACACTTTAAGTGCAGCTCAACAAGTTATTGTAGCAATCTAATAGTTCTCATGCAGCCCCACTGTCACAGCGCTCTGGTGTGTTATCCCAATCGCCATCTGATTTCCGTCGGATTGCCCATCCGACTCGGGCTGTCAAAGTTACCCCCGCATATCGGCTTGGAAGGAGAGAAGATTCCATCTCACCCGTGGACTCAAGAGGTAATATTTGTCAAAAGGTATTTTCAAATCTTGAGTTGCCAGTCAATTAGTGACACATGGCCTGCATTTCTCATGTGGACTGCGGTTTGCTTGGCCATCTTGAAAGTCCGGGAAGCACCCAAGAACATACCCTGTTTGTAAGTGCCATCTTAATCTGAAAGTTAAACCCTGCAAGAAATACAGACTACGAATACAGACTACAGGTCGACCATGCTAGCTTCTCAAGCAATCTTTGCAGGATATAATCCTCATGCTAACATTTCCTGCAATATTTGTGGTTACGGTATCTTCTCTTTCACTTGATATACAAAGTCAAGGACCTAGTTTAACGATCTCAATAGTATTGAATAGGAGGTCCTGCTAGTATCTTAAACCTCATTGGAAGGGTACTCGACCTTCTCCAACGGGATAAACTCTTCCTTAATTGTGCGTGTGCTGACGAATCTCTGCAGATGAGCCATCGTGCCCGTTTTGTCATTTGTGCCAGAGTCACGACTGCCACCAAAAGGCTGCTGCGCCACAGTGGACCCGGTGCATTTCGTGTTGATGTACAACATACCGGCTGCATGCTTTAACCGAGTCTGCGCGTGCCGACTTGCATAGGGATCCATTGCAAAGATGCTGCCTGTCAAGGCATACCGGGAAGTCGTATCGATCAAGTCCAACGTTTTCTCAAACTCAACATCCGGATAGACATGGATGCCAAGGATGGGACCAAAGAGCTCTTGGGACATGATGTCGTGCTTGGGGTTCAACGTGCGGTAAACAGTTGGGTGCACGAAATAGCCAACTTCTTTGGCAGTCTTGCCGCCTGTGACCAACTCGAGCTCGGGATCACTCTTAGCATCTTCAATGAATTTGTGCAACTTATCGAACGATCTTTCGTGGATAACAGGATTGATGAAATTCCCATAGTCCTCGACGTTTCCGACTTTCAGAGCCTCGGTCTCCTCGATCAAGATTTTTTGGAATTCTGGCCAAACCGACTCCGCTACGTATGTGCGAGAGTTTGCAGAGCACTTCTGGCCCTGGTACTCAAATGCAGCTCTGATGGTGTTCAAAGCTGCACTTTTCACATCTGCAGTGGGATGAACAATACCCCAGTTCTTTCCGCCAGTTTCACCCACTACCCGGGGATAAGAGTTATAGATGCCGCGGCCGATACCATCGCCAATTTTCTTTTGAATTCCTTTGAAGGTTTGCGTCGATCCAATGAAGGTCAAAGCACCGAATTCTGATCGCTCAAGGACAGCATTCGTCACTTCTTCTGCGTCCCCAGGGATAAATTGGATTACATCCTTGGGGAGTCCAGCTTCGAGAAGAATCTTGTGTAACAACCAACTAGCATGTAATGCCGAATCTGACGGCTTCCAGATGACCACGTTCCCAAGCAAGGCTGCGGGTCCGATCAGAGTTGCTCCAAGAGCAGTGAAATTGAATGGCGAAATCGCATAGGTGAATCCCTCTAAAGGCCTGTACTCCATCTTATTCCATTGGCCATCTGGCTGGACAGGTGGCTGCTGTGAAAAAAGAGCCCAGGCTTCTTGGATGTACATTCGGAAGAAATCGGCGGTTTCTGCGGCAGCATCGATCTCTGCTTGCCAGATGTTCTTGCCCTGTCCAAGCATTGTAGCTGCCACAATATCAGAGCGGTACTTTCCGGTGACCAGCTCGCTTGCCCGTAGGAAAATTGCGGCGCGATCTTCGAATGGCAGGGCTTCCCACGCTGGCTTGGCGGCGAGGGCGGCATCTACTGCTGCGTGGACCTGGTCTGGAGTGGCAGAGGTGTAGTTGGCCACGATCTCACGATGTTGGGAGGGATTTGCCTGAGTGCGGGATGTCTTTTGCTCAACCTGAGGAGGGGACTTTGTTAGCCAAGATCTATGACTTTCGTTTTGTTAGAAGTACCTCAATACCAGCTATAGTTATTGGAATAGGGATCGGAAACTCGCTCTTCAGCTTTTGAATGGCTTTGGTGAGCTCCGCCCTTTCGGGTGAGCCTTTTGCATAGTCTTTCTATCCATTTGCATTCAGTGAGTGCGACAAGATAGGTAAGCTCTCCACGTACCGGCTTTTCGTTCTCAAATTTAGGTCGATTTAGCATAGTGAGGCCACGCCGGGGAGTGCCATTGTTGCTGCCAGTGGCTCTTTGGAATAGTGAGCGCCTGGCCAATCGTGATACCCTAGTGGAATACATAATTTTGTCTCGGTACGCAACGAGTGGGATGCGACTTAGAGAAATCAAGAAGCTCGAGCAGCTTTTTACGTATTTCGAAATACGCAAGCGTTCGCCGATCGGACATCGTGCCCGACTATCTATGACGGATCTGGTTTCCTTCTTGGTCCAAGCTGAAGTATCTCATTCTGGGGCTTTGTAACATCTTGGCAGGTCTATAAGTTGGAAAGTCGGAGGCGTCCTCCGATGTCTGATAAGGCCTGCCCTACTTGACTAGGCAACCCGTCATTGCAGATAGAGAACAACTACTAGTGGCTCGATGACTTCCCATGCTGCATCCTATTTTCTTAGCTTTTGGAGATAAGAGGGCTATATTTGGGGCTCACGGGAGCTAAGGCACACTGTCCTCGAACCGGAGGATCGACGCAGAACCAAAAAAGGATGGATGGACAGGGGCTGGATGTACATGATATACCATCCTCGGATGCATACGTTTTGAAATCCGCGGGGCTTTTTACGGGCCACGGATTTCAAGCAAGAGTGCTATATTCATCGCCTCTTGTGGCTTCGAATCCGCGCATTCCCCACCGGTAGCATAGAGATATCTGTAGGTATATAACTTGCAGGATACGTTTGCCAGGGTGAAGGATGTATAAGATAAAAGCATTCTGCTTCAATTTCATTCCTAGTCCCCTCCAATACGTAGTTGAGGTCAGAGGGCTACATCTCACGCAGCAATGAAATCTAACTTGGTTGGCCTCAACCAGATCTTAAGATTGACAGCCCGAACCTTGGAGCGGCGGCCCCGGGTACGAGATATTTGGACCTTATCTTGGCGACCCGAAGTCCATTATCTTCTCCAGGAACGCGGGCTTCTGGAGTTTGAGACAATGTCCTTTGTTGTTCCTTGAGTATCACAGCTGCACATCAAGCTACCCTAAAATCGAGTAGAATTGTGCTCTTGTGGGGCAAGAAGAGCGTTGCGCAGCTGAGCACTAGCCACCGAGCTAGCTCCGGATCGTCGAGCCCATTCGTCATCGAGCAACCTCCGCTAGTACCTCTCACCCCGACTTCCCCTTGCGCGCCCACAATCACCTCCCCCCGCGGCGGCGTCCAGATGTCCTTGTTCGGAACGTCACCGGATGAGCCCTCTGCGGCCAACTCAGCTCACCGATCCAAGTCCTCCCTATTTGCGGACGAATCAGGCACCGGCTCAGCCTCCCTCTTCGCGGATGACGACGCGGACGACAGCTCCTCACCTTGGAGGCAGAGTAACACTGCGAGGCGGACTGCGAGGCGCGATCCCTTACGAACACTTCTACCTGCGACCGATGTCCCTGAGAGCTATGTCGACGCATATGACTTGATCCTCAACAGCGGGGATAAGGTGGGCACCGGCGTGGGCCTTACCTCTGTTCGAGAGATATTGTCAACTAGTGGACTTAGCGCATCAGACCAGGGCAAGATCTTGAACCTGGTTGTTTCAGGCGACCAAGATAGCCCAAGTGGTCTTGGCCGCGCTGAATTCAATGTCTTACTGGCACTCGTTGGGCTCGCACAGAAAGGTGAAGACCTATCTTTTGATACGGTCGATGATTATCGCAAGAGTAGGCATCACATCGCAGAACCCCAGATGATGCACCGTATTAATTCTTGATTTAGACCTTCCTTGGCCTGAGAGTGGCTTCCTGGACCGTTTACGCAACCCTGAATCAACTAACCACCGACCGACAACCCCTCCGTCCCAGCCTACGTCTTTACAAGAGCCTACCTCGGCACGGTCCCAACGGCCTCGAAGAGAGTCACTGGGTGGTTTGGAGTCGGACCCATGGGCCAGTCCTGACCTACACAGGAATCATACCCATGAGGTGCCTACCCAGCCCAGTACACTGAACGGCTACGGAAGCATTCGCTCTACCAACAACGCCTGGTCAGGGAATGAAGCTGAAGATACAAGCAGGATTGAAGTGACACGGGAGGACACGAATGACCAGACTACTGGCGCATTGGCTAGTAGCGCTGGATCAGGATGGGATGGCAATGCCGGTGTGCCAACAGACCTGCCTGGATTCAATGATACGCCTCGCGGATTTGCTCCGGGAGATCATAACCCTCTTGCACCCCCGCCTCCTCAACGGCGGTCAATAGCAATCCCCCGTTCGACCAACCCGCAAGTCGAGGAGTTCGTGACGGTTAACTTGCTCAACGAGAAGGAAGGTGTCTTCATGTTTCAACACCGCAACTATGAAGTCAAATCAGCGCGAAGGGGGAGCACCGTCGTCCGCCGATACAGCGATTTCGTATGGCTTCTCGACTGCCTTCAGAAGCGATTCCCGTTCCGCCAATTGCCCCTTCTTCCACCCAAGCGGGTATCAGGTACGTCGTACGCTGGTCGAAGCGCTCCAAATGACATGCTCACGCTCTGAAGTGAATGGTACTCACCTATCAGCCGACTCATCTTCTTTTCTGGAGAAACGTCGCCGTGGACTAGTCAGGTTTACCAATGCCCTTGTTCGCCACCCCGTCCTCGGCCAAGAACAGCTTGTAGTCATGTTTTTGACTGTGCCTACGGTATGACCTACCTGAAACCCTTCCAAAAACGCGTAATCGCTGATTTTTTTTTCCCTTCGGGTAGGAGCTTGCTATCTGGCGTAAGCAGGCGACTATCTCAGTCCAGGATGAATTTACTGACCGGGCACTCCCTCCCGACCTCGAGGATTCTTTGCCAGCCACCCTGGAAGATACCTTTGATACAGTACGCAGTGGCGTCAAACGTTCAGCTGAGATTTACATTAATTTGTGCGCTCTTCTCGAACGCCTTGCCAAGCGCAACGAAGGCTTGGCGGCGGACCACCTCCGATTCTCCTTGGCGCTGCAGTCTTTAACCGAGGTAACCAAAGACACGTACTCCATTGATACAAATGATGTTCCGGCGCTGAATACTGGAATCACGGCAACTGCCCGTCATCTATCGGCAAGCCAAAGCCTGCTAGAGGACGAGGCCCGAGCATGGAGCGAAGGTGTACTTGAAGACCTGAAGCGCCAGAGGGACTGCCTCGTCAGTGTGCGTGAGATGTTTGATCGCCGAGACCGATATGCACGGAACAATATCCCGCAGCTGGAGAAGCGGATCGAAGCCAGTGAACGCAAGTTGCAGGATCTGCGGACGCGCCCATCGGGCAGCGCAAAGCCCGGAGAAATCGAGAAAGTAGAAGACTCGATTTTCAAGGTTTGTTCGCCCTCTTCTGCTATGATCAATATCTTATTTCCCTGTGACCTAACCTCCCCTCTTCTGCAGGATAAGGAATCGATTGTGCAACAACATGCCCGTGGAGTGTTCATCAGGGAATGCATTCGTGATGAACTCGTCCACTTCCAGCAAAGCCAGTACCATATCAGCCGACTGCATCAGGATTGGAGCCAGGAACGTGTGAAATACTCCGAGCTGCAGGCGGACAACTGGCGGCGACTCAGTGATGAGGTAGAAGGAATGCCAACAGGCGAATGAAAGGTGTCGTCCCGCAATTCCATGAGGTCCTCGAGCACTTTAAACCCTGCACCAGGGGGGGTTTGATGGACCTTTTCAAGTTCTACTTTTTGCGAATTACGCGCGAGGCCCGCCAGAAGAAGCGGTCGGGCCGAGACGACGAGGATCCAGGACGATCCTGGGCCGTGCTACCATGTTTGCTTTTTGTGACTCCCAGCCATTTCTCCATCCTCCGCCATTTCTCCCAATCCCGCTCCTGCTTCCCCGCAATCGCCCCGGCTGGGGTTGCAGCACCCGAGTCCAGGCCTGTCGGCCTGTATGGATAGCATATATGTTCACCGGTATAGGCTGCACGCTCGAGGCGGGTTACTATCTGTTTTCCATCTACCGCGCCGTGCGCAGTTATTCCCCACGAGGTTGTGATTTAAGTTTCGTTCTTAAGGGTGTTTGAATTTGACTGTATCATCGCATCGTAGAGGAGGCTCTAGTAGAGAACATCACAGTACGTTCTGGTACCTTATGTAGTAAATTACTCCACACGATAACCTCCTTGGCTGCTTGTTCCTAGTGCCAATCCAGCCAACCCGTGCGAACCAAGAGAAGCAGCCAATCAGCATCTCGTTTTACAGGCTCAACCGGACCCGCTTTTCCGGAATGTCTTGTAAACATACCGGTATTTGCATACAGGACAGGGGTCTCCATGTATCATCTGCTCTTCGTTTGTCTCGTTTTTAGTCCCGGAATTCTCTCGAATTCGCTATAAATAGTTCCCATCCCCTTATATGTGAGACCATCCACGTACTTCTCCGCATTTCCCTCCTGCACTCTGGACCCTGTTGAAATCCTAGCTCGTACTAAGTTCCCGTATTGTCCGCCCCTTCCCTGCTATTCGCGTGTATTGTATCTCCGCCGGGCCAAGACCGAGTCTGCCTGGGCGTGGGGCGCCAAAGTCTGGGCTGACGACTCCCGCCCGCAACTGAACCCTGCTATTGGTGCAGACTCGGGGCGAAGAGGCACTTCCGCTTTCTCTCCTCCAAGGAAACAGATAGAGCAACCACACTGGCCAAGGCTCTGTCGGGTCTGATTCGGTATTTTGGCGTGATTGCCCACTTCTTTGCCATTTTGCCTTTTGCTTCTGCAATTTTTTTCCCCTTCCTCGATCTTGGCCACTTACTGAGCCAGCATCCTCCCTCGAGCTGATCTCGCGCATTGCCACGCTCAGACTGCCAGTCCGCCCTACCAATCGGCCCTGCATCGCCGGAGATCCTTTTCACCGGGGTTTTCCGACTAACGTCCGAGCCGCTCGAGACCTCAGCCCTACAAGGCGCGCCGCCTATTGTGAACCCCCTCCACTCCAACCCCCCCCAAGGCATGCGGCCGAATTCACATCAAAGACGGTTGAGGCGGAAATCTCTCGGTTTTTGAATTGCTGGGCAATTACTGGAGACTAGGGAGAAGGAAAGATACCCCAACGGCAAAAGAGCAGGAGCCAGCGCTTTGTTCGTTTCCTCTGTCCTTGTTGCCAAGCTCGCTGCAGCCTAACTCTCGCCATGGCATGGGACCACCTTGACATCGACAAGCCCCATCTGGCTTACATGATTCTGGGCGGTTTCACAGGCCTGTTTATGCTGTGCTCCCTGTTCGTCAAGGAGAAACTCTATATCGGCGAAGCCACTGTCGCTACCTTGTGTGGCATTATCTTCGGCCCGCATGCTGCGAACCTCTTCAACCCTCACACATGGGGAAATGTCGACAAGATTACGCTGGAATGCTCGCGCATTGTGCTGGTCGTGCAGTGTTTCGCCGTCGGCGTCGAATTGCCCAAGGCCTACATGGAAAGACACTGGAGGTCCGTCGTGTTTCTTTTGGTCCCCGTCATGACCTGGGGCTGGCTGATCACCAGTCTGTTTATTTGGTGGATGGTTCCTCCGTTGAATTGGCTGGAGAGCCTGGTATGTGCGGCCTGCGTCACGGCGACTGATCCTGTGCTAGCGTCCTCGGTCGTCGGTAAGGGTAAGTTCGCCAAGCGAGTCCCGAAGCATTTGCGTGACTTGCTCTCTGCCGAGTCTGGCTGTAACGACGGGATGGCATTCCCGTTTATCTATCTCTCATTTTACATCCTTCGCTACCGACCAGATGCTGGAAAAGTTACTATGAACTGGATTTGTGTGACTATTCTCTACGAATGTATCTTCGGTGCCATCTACGGATTCCTGATCGGTTATTTTGCGCGTCATGCTATCAAACTTGCTGAGCGCAAAGGCTTAATCGATCGTGAGAGTTTCTTGGTGTTCTATTTTGTTCTCGCAGTCTTCTGTGCTGGCTCCGGCAGTCTTCTGGGCATGGACGACTTGCTCATTGGGTTCGCCTGTGGTGTTGGATTCAGTAACGACGGCTGGTTCACAGAGAAAACCGAAGAATCGCACGTGTCCAACGTTATCGATTTGCTGCTTAACTTGGCCTATTTCGTCTACTTCGGATCTATCATTCCGTGGGAGCAGTACAACTCGCCCGAAATTGGCTTGGTGCCGTGGCGATTAGTTGTCATAGCACTGTTGGTCATTTTCTTCCGCCGAATTCCTATCATGTTGCTTCTGAAACCGCTAATACCGGACGTCAAAACATGGCGTGAGGCACTTTTCGCTGGTCACTTTGGCCCCATTGGTGTAGGCGCTATCTTCGCCGCAATTCTCGCCCGAGCCGAGCTCGAGACGGATAGTACACAGCCTTTATCCGAGAATGAATTACCAACGGCCGGGACGAAAGACTACTATATTGTACAGCTAATTTGGCCTGTAACCACGTTCATGGTCATCTCATCTATTCTGGTCCACGGGTCGTCCATTGCTGTCTTCACACTTGGCAAGCGTATCAACACCTTGACCGTTACGCTCTCCTATACCCAAGCCAACGAAGAAGGGCCATCTTGGATGAACCGTCTGCCTCGAGTGCAGTCTGTTGCGAAGGGCTCTATGTCATTCCGCAAATCTGAAGACATGGAAGCATCCTCTGAGGAGAGGCTGCCGGACTACCCACCTGGTACTTTGCCTCCGATCGGAATGCCTGGAAACTTCCTTCGGCGCCAGCGTGACGATGAATCCGAATCTCCATCCACGCGGTCCAACGCCCCACCCGTTCGACGACGGAAGAAGAAGCATCGCAAGCATCACGACGCGGGTGGCCCCATTACCGAGACTGCCATCACTCCTCGACGTCGTCTTGAGCAAGCCCCAGACGAAGAAAAGAAAGAACTGGAGGAAAGAGACCAGGCTGAGCGCGGCGCTTCGCCTCCTAATGCCGAGCGTGACCATTTCGGTCGGGAGCCGGAGATCGAAGTGTATCAGGAGGGCAAAGACCTGATCATTGAAGATGAAGAAGGCAACGTGCTTAAAACCGAAGATACCTCCAAACTTACAGCCGAGGAGAAGGAACGGATTATCGAGGAGCAACGAGCCAGGCTCGAGCAAGACCGCACCGGCTCCCTTGCACCGTCTCAAAGCAAACCCCACGAAGGGAAGACCGAGGGCGACAAAGTTGAAGAAGAGCTTGGCGAGGAAGACCGGTCATCCTTACCAGAAGGCGCGGAGCCGATGGGCCGCCTGGACTGGCTACGGAACGACCTGGGGCAAGGACAAGCAACCCGACGAAAAGCCTCCTGCCGAGCCTGCTCCCAAAGCCAAGCCTAAGTCTGCTCACGCTTACCAATTCGGTAATACCATCATTGTCGAAGACGAGGATGGAGAAGTCATCAAGAAGTTCTCTATTCCTGCCAGTGAGAAGCCAAGCAAACAATCCAAACAATCCAAGTCCGAAAGCGAAGCGGGGCCTTCGTCATCCCAGAACCCACCGCGACGACGGGGCCTGGGCCGCATGGGAACTTGGCTCGGTAAGGAAGAAGAAGGCCAGTCATCTCAGACGAAGCAGAAGCCTGCTTCTCGTGTGGACACCGACGACTGGGCCACGGACGATGGGCTGCGATTCACCCTGGCAAATAGCACCGACGTTGACTCGCATGGTATTGGCCACAAGGGCCGCCGTATGAACAAGCACGAGTTCTTCCAGCAAATCAAGGGCATGGACGCGAAATCTCGTCGTGACGTCGTTCAACAAACCGACGCTCCTGCCCCAGTGCAGGCAGCAGCCAGGGAGGATGTCAAACGTGAAGAACATACCGAGCGCCGTCTATCAGCCGCCGCTGCCAGCGCTACCGCAGGCACTATCCCTGAAGACGGGGAAGTGGAGTCCGAGTCCGTCTCCGATAGCCAGCTCAGTAGTGAGGAAGAGTCTGGCACTGACCGCGAATATGCTCCTCCAAACGTCGCGTCCTCGGTTGCCAAACTCACCCGCGGCTCTGCTGCCCATGAGCGTCGCAGCAATCTCAGCCCCGCACCCCGTGCCCGCGCTCGCCGTGACTCCGAAGACGATGGAACTGAGCGTGTTCCCCCTTCCCGCCTCCGCCAAGCTGCTGGCCTCGGAGCTGCACCCAAGCAGCGTGAAGACGACACTGGCGAAACCCCCGCCGAACGACGTCGTCGTCTCGCTGCCCTGGGCGAGATCCGAAGCGACTCGGAATACGCGTCCGATGACGACGAGGAGGCGATCGAATCTGATAGCGAAGATGACGGCGAGCCTCGTCAAGTCGCCAACAAGGTGCAATTCGCAGATGCCATGCGGCCATCAGAGAGCAAGTCGAGCCCTGAAGCACAATCCTCTGGCTCTGGCTCTGGCTCAGGCTCAGGTTCAGGCTTCAACCGTGGTCACAAACCCCGCGTCTCCTGGGGAGGCGAGAAGGGACGCGATAAATAAGTTGTTCCCTTTTTTCTTGACATACACCATGCCCTAGGTACGACTCATTGCTGCACATTGTCATGATTCGTGTAATTCCATTTTTCTCTTTTGTGCATAAGCCTACATTATCTCCAAGCCGATGCGGTATAGCTATACGGCCGATTGTGTATAATTGATGTTGCCAGAGCAGAGCGTGTCTATAATGATTCTGAAGTTCTCGTATAGATGAATCCCACGATTGGCTACTATGATAAGTAGTTCGATAAGTGTTCGTGAAATTCCTGTCATTCTTCGCATGAATTCAACATGAAGGTCTCTTATACTTGAAGGCGAACGGTCCAGTGGGACTCGATCTGACAAGTACTACGTAGTGAATGTCAGAGTGGAACAGGACGTGTGTTACAACCACGGTTGAGTTATATAAAATGAGGCGAAGAACAAAACCAAAGGATTCATGTATCCATTTTGGTGGACCCCTGTTCGTATAAGATTCCCACTTCGTACAGATATCATATACCATCCTTTCCTGCAGCATGCCGCAATGGTACAATAAGAATATGCCGAAATACAGATCGCAGTCGCTTGTAACTTGACCTTGTGGATAATGAGTGCTGAGAAGATACCAAGGTAGTAAAAGCAGATAAATCAAGCCATATCCAGCAGATTGCTGAAGCCAAAAAAAAGGTGGGGGGGAAGGAAAAGATCAGATGAATAGGTGGAAGATCGATCGTCATACTGGGTGCGCCTCTATGGACGGCTCAGCACTCCTGGGACGGCCCGTGCCACTCAAGAAACCATGGGTAGATTGCATGTAGAATCATCCATGATAAAAGAGTTCGGACAATTTAGATCACAGGTCAGTGCTGAGACCAACGGAGACTGTCTGTCAACTATTCTTTTTGAAAGAACTTGCCTTCCCATATTATGAGTTTTTTTTTCGAATACGAGCTTTGCATGCAAGATGGCTAGACCGAAAATGTACTGAAGCAGCCGAGGGCTTATGGACATTTGATTCGACGATCCCGGCCGCCTCAGGCGGGGCGGCCGACTAGAGACTCAAGCTGCGCTGAACTTCATCCAGAGAAGAATACCATGGAAGTGATGTAAAATAGCTTGAGCATGGATGCATCGACGTCGGCGACTATCGCGGCCCTTGTGGTTGCGATCCTCGCCATGATTGTGGCAATGCTGCAAGCAGCACAGCAATACATCGTGACGGGTCAGCTTATCCGGCTCTGCGATTCGGTCGTATTTGGGAAGATGCCGGGGCAAGGACGGCGAGTCTGGCAAATGCATCAATTCAGGTTTCGCATCGTATATTCTATTCCACAGGTCAGTTTGAGGAGGGATTTGTGGCCGGAGACGCTCCCTCACATCCCCTCGTACGCCAAGGGGTCGAGGTCCTTGCCTGATCTGGGATTTTTGGGGTTAACCCAAGGATTTGAGCTTGAAGCTGCCAATGGTGGGAGTCAGTCGGTGTTGGTGTCAGCTGGGGAAGCGTCCTGGGTTTCTTTTTGCAGAGCAGCCCAGCTTTCCAGTGGACACTCCATGGTACTGGATCTGGTACAAGGCGACGCCGATCGATGTCCACCAGACCTACCAAATGTCCCAATACAGATGTCAATGCGTGACATCGCAACCTTGGGGTTAATGACGGGCATGAAGTGCACCCAAGCCTCGTTTGACGGGAAGTCTCTCTCCATGCAGGGAGCGATCGGTACCATCACTACCTCCCAGCACCCATCGTTAGGCCCACTTCTGCATTTCAGCCCTCGGAACATGTCTATCGCAGAGATTCGGGAGCTTACAGTTGGCACTGGTGATATAAGTCCGTTTTGGATGGCGCGAATGTGGGACGAGGTCGTTGTGGCGGGTCGTCGATACACCCGCAAGGACAGAGTTCAAGTCGAGCGAGAAGAAGCCTTCTGGGCTGACAGACCTCGAGAGAGGGCATTGGTCCCGGCCACACGAAACTGTTCCCCTCCCCCGGATTCACTCTACGGCCTTCGTCGGCGAGTCAGTGTAAGGTCTTCTATGACAACCAACTCTGTTTCAAACCAGCCGACAGACATAAAACCTTCCCCAACCGGCTTATTTGGGTCCCAATCACTCTGTAGGGAAGGGCGACCACTATGGACGCGATCTGATGGAGACTGGCACTTGGACAACAGCCCTCCAGGCCCCCGGGTGGTATCTCTGAATCAGGCACCTGCGGGGTCAGAGAAGCAGGAAATGGGTACTACGTCGAACATGAATATGAAGATCAAATGGAGGCTCTGGAATAATCGGCTTCGATCATTCATACGCCAAGACAATTCATCCGTCTCTGATAAGCACCATGATCCATTTGTCGCTGAGATCGAGAGTGGAACATCTCATGATGGGGAGATTGGTATTTCCCAGATCGCGATGTCATCATCCACCGCACGATCAGATCATATTCGCGTTAACAAGCATATGCACCCTATGGACAAAGGAGCAGAGCTGCAACCTCGCTGGCTTATTCGAGACTACATAAATCAGAAGCAAAAGGATCTCACAGTCCTTCATGATGACGAGTTGACCCGCGACGGACCGCGCTTGATTGAATGGTATAACGAGGAGGAACTGGAAATTCCAGAGTTGAACGGAGCTCAGAGAAAGATTGCAAATGCCGTACTGGATGTATGGGCGGGCGCAGCCTATGACTTGGGTGAACATCGCCCTGCATTTTATGCTCGAAGGTGGCGATTCATCGTCCAGCAACGGCAAGCAGAGCGCGAGAGACGGCCAATCTCGCGGTCAAGGACCAGTTCTGCATCCCGACCTAAAAGTGTCCACTCGGCCTCAAGGTCTAGAAGCAGATACAGGAGTGTTGGTTCCAGGGGAACTAGTCAAGGCCTCGATTTCCAAACAACGTACCCTTACGAGCTGGACGGTTTCTCCATGCGCCAGGAGGATAGAATGATCTCCAGATCTCGCAGCCGAAATCCAAATCACAGCGCCTCGTCATTCATACATGGGGAATTAGAGCATTCGCATTCTCCTTATCGACCATCAAGCCCATCTGTGAATAGTAGCCGTCGGAGACAAAGTCGATCAAGGGTCCCATGTCCGCTCGCGTCCTCCGTCTAGGAAAGATGTCGAATATGGGGACACAGTTGTGTCTCCAAATAGCCGAATCAATGAAAGGATCGCCTTGCACTCAGAAAGCAAAAGCCCAGTATCACCTGATAGTGACCACAGTCACCCGCAATCTCGTGTCGGCTTCGATCATGCAATTCAAGTCTTTCAAACTTCAAGTGACGAGGAAGAGGAACTAGAGGATGAATCTAGCCATATCTCGCCCGTCGGTCATGGAGTCAGGTCGGAGAAGTGGCCAGCAGAAGAGTCAAGTTTCCATGCGAATTCGATACCTCCATCAAAAGGAATCCCAAAAGGAATCCTCAGGCCGCCCAGAGAGAGTTTTCCAGAAGACCCAAATCCTATTCGTGAAGGGGTCGCTCCGCTGAAAGATGCTAAGCTTGATGGTATCCCATCCGGGGCCCGGTGGACTAGAATTGATCGGAAGCTAGTCAGCCCCGAAGTTTTGGAGATGGGGAATGAGAGATTTGAGGTGACACCATCTAGTGTCATCGTGCTGCGAGTACTCACAAAACAAGAAGTTCAAAGATATGCAGCGCTGACACATAGGATGCAAGGTAAGCTCTTTCATTTCTTCCGATAAGCAAAATCTCATTCATTTCTAGTGGATGTCCGTCCCGAAGATACATCAGACATACTGGACATTGGTGAAATGAACAAGCCTGAGGAGCCACGTGGCCGTCGTTTAAGACGTGAGGGTAGTCCGCCCCGCCAAGTACTCCTAGGAGCCATCATATCCTCCACCATGAGCGAACTGTGGATTCTGAGTGGAGTGCATCCATTAAGTTAGGAGCACATGACCAACCATCCGACGATATAGGACCACACCATCCGGATTACAATGTCTCAAGTCGTCGCTCCTCAGCCTCGAACAATGATCGACGGCGTAGTAATAGCCGGATTACAGTGGAAAGCCCACAACGCTCCTTTCCACATTCACGAAGTCGGTCAAGAGCTACCTCCGGGCATAGCAGGGTATATATACACATCGATGAAGACAGCTCGGATGCATCAATGTCTGAGCCAGAGATAAGAAGAGCCAGGATCCATTTCGGACCCTACATCACGCTTTAGAGGACGCTACACAAACTTCAATGACGAATATTCTCTTGCTGGAACTGACGACATCTCCCTTGAGAGTATAAGTGGATACTCACCATTCGCAGGTCGAGGGGTAGGCGGAGAAATGAATTGGTTCTGGGCATGTCAAATCGACGTGATGCCCGGCTACCTGGCCACCCCATGGACTTCAAGATTTTCTACACAGACCTGCATTGGGGCTATAACTGTCATCCTCGAAGCCATTGGTGCCCTTACGGAATTCTCCCAGCCGACATATCTGGATCTTCCTTGCCATCCCCGTGGTCTAGACTGGATGTCCAGTGGACTATCCACTTTCCCACCCTACGGGATTAGCGCCAATCATCACCATGGAACGGTGATCTCTGGTGCGTACAGTACAACGTATTTCCCTGGATTTCAGGCTCCCCTTTTTCAAATAGAGCTTCTTCGTCACTACGGCTACCAGGTCAATCGGAATCAACACTCCGACGCCGCCAACCTGCGGGCCCGGCTGACTGAACTGATGGCTCTCGATTCATGGTTATCATACTGCGGTCGTCAGCCAGAAATATGCGGGCGTGGGCCAGGACAGGAGATGATTGTTCCAGCAGCCGGGGCAGGCGATCTCCTATATACAATGCCGAGTCTCGTGGAAAGGACTATGAACAGTTTCACTTTCGAGTTCGCCAATCTGGAGCGCACATCTATTGATGGTGGACTACAACTTGTGCAGCAAATTTCGAACAACCTACTCGACACTCTTGGTTGGAGAGTGGAGGGCCTGACACCAACCGAGAAGTTATTTGCTCTTGTTGCCATGCTGCGAGCGGCGAAGATGGCGTTGTGCATCGCACAGGGGACAGACACATCAATACTTCGAGACATATTACTGAATGATGTGCAGGTACATCTTATCTAGGAGTGAGTGGCTCGTACCAACCCCTTTTTAGTGGCTATGTCGGCTGTGCGCTATCCCAGTTCCGGCCACGGTTCTGGCGTTGGTTTTGGTCGCAATTTCGCACCTGGACCAGCGAGTGCCGTCAGGCAACCTGATCAATCCAGTCATGTTCACCACTTGCTTCCGTGATTTATGAGAAAGCTTCCCTGGGACCCTAGAAACCGTGGTGGAATACCCCGGGTCAGCAAGGCCCTGTTGTCATCCCTTCCGGGTCGATGTATTCTCCCATCAATATCAACAAGCTCCCAGAGCGTGGAATACAGTGAATGATCGGTAACAGGCCGCATGGGAAGCAGTCTAAAGCAACTGCGTAGTACCCATGACCCTGAGTTCTAAATTAGGCAAGGGCGTACCAATGGGAGTAGCACGTACTTTTGTATGAGAGATCACCGAGTGAGTACATACCTCGGGGCATAGAGTCGCATCTATTTCTCATGATGAAAGAGCCCATAGAAAGAATACTCAAATTTTTATGGCTTGGACTTTTCATACATAGACTGGCTTAGGCCTAACGCTAGGACGTCCTGAAAAGACCTAGGCCTGCTTCAGCTAGACTACTGACTAAGACCTACGATATGCGATTCTGGAATATCTCAGTCTCCTCCTGGAGGTAAGATTTGCAAGTTCCTTTCTCAGTCGTTAAATGACTAAAAGTCGCTGCTTAGTCTAAAGTACCCAGGGCCTCTACTAACCATTTTATTGACCTCCCTGTTCCGGTGCAATTCAAAAATCAATGCCAGTGGCGACATCTACGCTATAAGCTCGAATATTGCTAGTCGCCCTGAGTGGCATTAGGGGACTGAAACACAGACAGAAGCTTACAAGGGGATTACAGCTTGCTCACGTAAATAGCTGATTGTCTTCCGGTCCAGCTTTGGTATATTCTTCTCTCACTCATCAGAGAATGAAGCTACCCGTCAACAGATAGAGCTTTAACAAGCGAAAGGGGAACCTCTCCATGATTTGCTGCAAGTGCACTCATGATGAGTCTATAGAGAGCAATATTTCGTATAGCGTCACCATCTTTTCCAACAAAGACGTTCCATCTCTGGGCCAGACGTGCACGCGCTTCGCGAGATGAATCAAGGAACAAGAGCTTAAGAAGATCCACAACGGAGTTTCTCCAGTCATTCTTCATGTTCAAACGCCTGGACCGATCCTCTAACATGTCTAAAAGGTGGCTATGGCTTATTTCAGTCGTACTGGGCCTTCTGATCGGGGAGTCTGGAATATGTAAGTAAAGATCTTTCATAAACAGCGCAAAATACCTACCTTGGACCTTTTCAAGAGGGCCGAGGACTTTGAATAACTCTTTTGCATAAGCTGCTGCTGTTGCGGCTGCATAAGGTTGCCATAGATCATTCTTCTTGGAGTCGCCAAAATCGCTAACTCCTCGAATCACAGCGACTGGTAAAGCATTCATGATACCTGCTGCCTCCATCTCCATGGCAATAGCTTTGTACTTTCGGCTCATTTCGTCACGATATAGTTCCGATTTGATGACTTTATTGCCAGAGAGAATAGTGCCATGATGAACGATGGGGTAATCTCGGGGCTGCAAGACGTGTTGAGAGCAAGTGGATGGCTGCGATGGTGTTTGAGGGCGTTTAAAAGTTATTCCTTTGAATCGCTCGAGATGTGGGAGGAGGTAATTGTCTCTGCCATTAGAAGCTATGAAGCGGGCATTCAGACTGGAGATTGCAGATCGCAGCATAGAATGGCTTCCATTCTGCCATTGCTTCAGTCGTACCTCCTCGGGTTCGATTTTGACTAAGTCGTATCCAATCACCCCCGCGTTATCCCCATCAGGGACAGCAACAGCAACATCACCCAGATGAATATCATTCTCAGATGATGGGATACCGGCCCCAATACCAACTAGTAGACCGATCTCCAAGTGAGGAAGATCGCGTTTCACTTCAGCAGCCATAAAGCCCGCCACTCCGATTCCACACTCGCCGGCGGGAAAGCATACAATGGCAACATTATGGTCTTCCATGCGACCAAGATGGTAGACCAATGTTTGGCCGGGTTTACGGGCTGGCACCCCATGATGCTCATCAAGCAGTTGTATGGCGGCGGCTGCTTCTATGGCCAATGGCGCGATCCATGCCACAGAATATTCTTCCATTTCCAAAAGAGGCGGCATTATCAACGAACAATCGATCGATTCCGAGGGTTGACATTCCCCAGGCTACTTAATTATATGTATAGATAAAAGAGAGGTATCCTGGCGAGCTGTTTCATTTCATACGGAGATAGTGATTTGTCCTAATGAAAGTAGTTGTACTCCTTGCCTCATGGTGTGTTGGCGAATGGGGGCTTTCAAACTTTCGGTGCAAACGCAAGAATTAGTGTCATACCCTGGTATGTCCCGCCTCACTATCTATCGGTTGGGTTCCCCAATGAGGTGCGCTCCACTTCACTGTAAAATAATTGGCTCCTAAACCTGGTATGCTCCGCCTCGCTGTGTAATGATTGGTTCTAAATTTCGTGGGTTTGAACAACCCAACAGCACTGCCCGTCATCTCATGCAGTAAGAGCGAGGCTTAGCGTGGAATTGAATGCATCGGATACAGTCTCTTGCTTATCCGAAGATAACGAGAGATAGTCACTTTCTAAGCCAATCGAAATCTAGTCTCATCGATGGTGCTGCGTGTTTGATGTGGAAGGCTTGTGAGCTAAACTACTTATGGAGACTTTATTGTTTTACCGAGGTCTGGTAATCCCTCAATCCTGGTAAAAGGGACACAGTACCTTCGGAGTAATGCGGGGTCACTGCATGCTGAGCCTCATCATTGAGCAGCACTGAAACCTTGGAGACTGCATGCTACTTCGAAGGGTGAGGGGCGGACACCGACTGCCCAATGCAAGCCGATAAGAGATTTGTTCTTTTTTTTTTTTACGAATATTTTGGAGAGGGCTTTGTGGGTATATAAGGCCTTAAACTGCTCCTCAAATTTTCAAGGCCTTTCCATCGCCTACTTCTGGCATATTTTCAGCACAATTTGGATCGCTTGACATTTTAAATACTATGGAACCGGTCTCCCCTTCTCCCAATGACACTTTGTCTACAGAGGCCATCGCTCAAAAAACAGAAGAATGCCTCGAAGAGATGAAAAATCTAGCCCTGGAGTAAGAACCATCTAATATCACACCACGTTTATTCCTAACACATTAACTAGGAATCCTGCCTCGCCCCCAAAGGTGCTGATCAGTGTTGGGCGCCCAGGGACTGGAAAGTCCTCTTGCGTAGAGGATGTTTCTGGCTTACGTGGCTATTCACAACAATCTCTAGACCCAGGTAAGCGCTGAACGATCTTAATAATATCCTTACTATTTTTGGATAGCTGAAACGCTCTTCAGTGACTCAAAAATGCGAGTTTGCAAAGGTCAGAATCGAAGACGAACGTTGCTTTATCATGGATACTCCTGGGTTTGATCCAGAACATGCTGAAGCAATATTCCAAGAAATAGTACGGGGTATTCAGAGTATACCCTCTACTTCACAGATTGTCGGCTTCCTCTATTTCACATGCATCAACCAGCCACGTTTTGACTCGTTTGATCGCAAAGTGCTTCAAGTAGTTTGCGCTATGTGTGGCCATAACTATATTCCTTGTGTGACCTTCATTACTACGTTCTGGACTGCCGAAGGGACTTCACAACAAGCCAATTTCGATACCCAACTTCGATCCTTGAAAGTTGAGTGGAAAAAAGCATTTTCAGTCGAAGAGCTACACTCTTATAAACATGGCCGGGGATACCATACTGCAGGGACAGTTGCTGAACCTTTTATCAACTGGTTTGATGACTCCGGTCGGAATCAGATGGCGCAGCATGCAAGGAACATGATTGCAAGGCGCTATTGTGGTCCAAACATATCCAGAGCCTCGGAAAATACTCCAAAGATTGTTCATGAGCTCAGACGTGGTACCCCCATTCATGAAACAGAGGCTGGACGAGTTCTTGGGCTACAGCCGGCTCCGCGTATGCGGTCAGTGCCTACATTTAACCAGCAGCCCCAAGGAGATCCCAACCGACAGAGTTCAAGTGCGGCTTCTAGCTCGAATGCTCAATCGGATCGCAAAGACAGCCAAGATAAGGATTTTCGAGATATACCCCGGACTTCTGAGGATGGTACTCAACCAACTCAAGTGCCCGAAAGAAACGCACTTCAGACCGCACGTCAGATAGCTATGGAATGCTGTCACTGGTTCTTCCAGAACGTACAATTCAATATTGATATTGGTGGCCCACGGGGAAACATGACGCCTGCTATGAGAAGTGGATACGGTGAGTCTGCGCCGGTATACAACCAAGTCCATCATTGACAGTCCACCAGATCCGCTGTCCGCTATTGACACATTTAAAAAATACGGCCTTGATTCCAGCAAGGCTGGTAGATTGAAATATGCTGCTGAACATGGGATTGGGGGCCAGCCTTTCTCGGCGAAATGGAACGGATCGATTCGGGAAGATGTCATTCAACGCTACAGGCGATGAACGCTATATCAAGTAACAGAAGTATGACCAAAATGATTATACATAGCTTCTTAAATACTGTAATCATGAGCTGAAGAAGAGGCAATGGTTGACTGGCTATTTCAGAAGCGATATATCTATAGAGAGTCGAACATATCGGAAGCACCTGTTACCCTGGAGCTTGGAGCGCCTTTATGGGGACTTACCCAGTCTGGAAGATAAAGTACCAGGGCTGTCCAAATGTTAATTTCAGTAATCCCAAACTGAGCTATGACACTTAACTGAAGTTTAGGTGTCCTGTACAAGTCTTCTCTCACTGACATCTTGGGCAGCAATATGGTTTACCTGAAAAAGAGGAGCTCTAGTATCCTCGATTGCCCTGGATTGTCATAGGTTACCTCGGATGACGATGATAGTGACTAAAAGCGAGCTGCCTCTAGCTTCTTTAGGAGTCGTAGGAATGGGAGGGGAAAGGGGCTCGGAGATTTGTTCAAAATCAATGACGAGTGAAATTTCGAGTAATTGCCAACCAATTTGGAGTCATTATATCCAGTGCTCCACGATCAATGCGATCAGTATGCATTTGGCAGAATATATGTTGGAGTCACAAGGAACGACAAGGGCAGTGGTGTAAGAATGTTGTTAGGTACCTTGCCGTTTTATCTAGCAGGGACGACCTGCGAGCTAATTAGATCTAGACTACAGTGTTTCACCGTTGCGGTGGTGTTGGACTTTGAGATAGATTCATGGCCAATGGACCTGGATCACTACGGCTGAGTCAATTACATCAAATGTGGTACTGTACTCGAAATTCTTTTTGCGATATGAAGCGCTGTCTTCTCTCTATCTTGTCTTACTGTATACTATATCACTGTTTGTATGTATTCTTGACGTCTCCAAGTTCCCCGGTTTCTTGTCGCAGCGTTGATCCCTAATACAGTAGCGTTTGTGTATAACAATATATATCGAGATGTCCTTCCACCTGACGGTTAGGGATAGATGTATGTATCCGAGTTCTTTTTGGTGTCAACGAGATCCTTCTGCGGGATTCTGCTCTATGTAGTAGAGCAGAGCAGAGCATAACTTCAAGATCCACGATCATCCCGGCAGGTACTTGTTACACCACATCGCTGATATTTACGTCCCAAACGGAAAAATCACAATATTTGAAGATGATATATGCGGCATAGGAACCAGTTTCCTGCAAATAGTTATATTTTAATGCAAGCTTATGTCCAGTTTACTATATAGGAGGCCTGACGATAGGGATCCTGCTAATCTAGAGGTCTGACCGTTTTAATACCTGTTCATCGCTGTTCAAACTGCGAGTAGCGTTGCATTAACACAGGGATCGGAGAATTACTCTTGTAGAAATCCTGAGCGTGAAGTTTGTCCCAAAAGGTTTGCGGAGGATCGGCCTTTCCTCCGGAACGTCCAGTACTGCCAACCGGATGAGAAGTGTGTGCCAATGGTCTGGTCATTTTTACGCCACTGACGAAAGCCATCAATGCATCCAGCTGGACCTTGATTCAAGGAACCTACCCTCCAGTGACCAAGTCGCTTCACTTGCCTCTTCAAGGAGACTAGAAAAGGGAAAAAGCTTATGCGGACTGTTCATCCTCGCTCAGGCGCCCCGCGTGGGGATCGACCATCGCGGACGGAATCCTGGGGAAAGCGGGGAATGTTACATTCCAGCCCTTGCACAGGGGCTAGTGGCATAGGTGAGTGCACCTAGCCCGAATTATAAATGCATCACGGAAGAAGGAATTCAAGTTTCCCTTTAGGAGAGAGACCCTCGACCTTGGGAGGATCAACTGCCACGATGCGCCTCCTCTGGCTGGGCGCGGCCTTGAGGGCTGCCTCAGTCTTAGCACAAGGAATTAGCAGCTGCCCGGGCTATATTGCCTCGAATGTACAAGACTCTAGCAGCAGCATCACTGCGGACCTGACACTGGCAGGAAACCCGTGCAATGCCTATGGAGATGACATCAAAGACCTGAAGCTATTGGTTGAATATCAAACAGGTGCGTAGAATCAAGGGCGTCTGCTCCTGGAATGGAAATTTGAACACGACGGAAAATACGATCACTAAAAACTGACAGGATCGCGGCTACATGTGAAAATCTATGATGCAGAGGAACGTGTGTACCAAATTCCTGACGATATACTTTCAATGCCAAAGCCTGGAGATTCTTCTGGGCCGAGGGATCTGGAGTTCGCCCTGGAAGAAAACCCCTTCTCTTTCTCAGTCCGCCGCACTTCCAACAATCAAGTACTATTTAATACGTCTGGCCAAGCCCTAGTTTTCGAGTCGCAGTACTTGAGGCTTCGCACGTCCCTACCCAATAATCCCAACATCTATGGCTTTGGCGAAAACGCGGATCCACTCCGCCATGATCCCCAAAACTATACACATGTTGATTGGAATTCAGGCGAGGCATTCATGCCACCGAATGCCAATCTATATGGGTCTTACCCGATTTACTATGATCATCGAGGCGGCGATGGGACGCATGCCGTGTATCTCCACAACTCAAATGGGAAGAGAATCAATCTCGGAAATGACTCGGAGGAATTCCTCGAGTATAACACTCTTGGGGGAGTTTTTGACTTTTACTTCTTGTCCGGCCCAAGTCCGAAGGATGCGTCTGCACAACTCGCTGGTGTTATTGGCTTCCCAACCTTGATGCCGTACTGGGGATTTGGTTTCCACCAATGCAAATACGGTTACCAAGACACTCTGGAGACAGCTGCCGTGGTCGCGAATTACAGTGCAGCGAACATCCCGCTGGAAACCATCTGGAATGACATCGACTACATGGACTACCGCTCTACCTTCTCCTTAGACCCTTTGCGATTTCCGCTGAGCAAGATGCGGGAGTTCGTGAACTATCTCCACCATCATAATCAGCATTATATTGTTATGGTTGACCCTGCTGTCGCATCGAGAGATTATCCACCGTTCCATGATGGAGTGGAAAAGAATGCTTTCATGAAGGAAGACAATGGCACTCTGTATACAGGTGTTGTCTGGCCCGGACCAACGAACTTCCCCGATTGGTTGGCACCACATACTCAAGACTTCTGGGACGAGCAATTTGGCAATTTCTTCAACGCGAATTCCGGTGTGGATATCGATGGCCTTTGGATCGACATGAATGAAGCTTCGAATTTCTGCGACTATCCCTGCCCAGATCCAAAGAAGTATTCTATCGAGGGTCGCGACCCGCCACGGCCTCCTCCCGCGCGAATGTCTTCGCCTTACGATATCCCTGGGTTCCCCGCTGACTTCCAACCAAAATGCGTGGCTACCGTGACTTTCAATGTGGGAGCGCTAGTGCCAGGTGGGAATGATCTTCTACTATTTGGTGATACAGTTTCAATAGGCAACAACACTCCATTTTATGCACCCAACATGCAAGGCTCAAATGGCAGCTGGAGTTTGACGGCCCAGTTTCCAGCCAATTCCAAGGTGACTTATTCATACCCTCTTTACACGCACGAAGGCCTCTATATTTTCGAGGCGCAAAATCGTACCCTGCATACCCAGGATTGTGGATCAGTGTCTTCTGTCTCAGATGATTGGTCTGTTCCGAATACATCGGCCGTGGCAGTTCCCGATGTGTTCTACTCTCCGGTTCAGACATCCACATCAAAATTCGATTTCAACTCTTCAGATCCAGCGGGCTCAATGAAGGGCCTGCCGGGTCGAGATCTCATTTCGCCTCCATATAACATTGGCACATATGACGGACCTCTCAGCTCGCAAACCTTACCTACCAACTTGCACCACGCGAACGGACTGGCTGAATATGATGTGCACAACTTATATTCTAGCATGATGGGTAGACGAAGTCGAAATAGCATGATCAAACGTCGGCCTGGCAAGAGGCCGCTAATGTACGGCTCAAAAACATCTTATCTCCCGGACACCCCTCGCTAATTTGATATACAGTATCACTCGTTCAAGCTACGCTGGTGATGGAGCCCGAGTTGGGTAGGACTTCCCATTTGAATACATTAGGTGGCAAAGCTAAAGGGACTACAGACATTGGTTCGGGGATAACCGATCCATCGATAGGGACTACCGCCTCCAAATTATCCAAATGATCCAATTCGTTGCCATGTTCCAGATGCCAATGGTAGGGTCTGATGTATGCGGGTTCAACTACGATACGAACCCTACTCTTTGTGCACGCTGGGCTGTTCTGGGTGCATGGAACCCCTTCTACCGCAACCACGCCGAATTCAGCGCCATTCCCCAGGAGTTTTACAGATGGCCAATGGTCGCAGATGCTGCACGGAAGGCCATTGCCACGCGCTATCGGCTTCTGGATTACATGTACACGAACTTCCATCGGCAGAGTACGACGGGAACCCCTATGTTGACCCCTTTGTTGTGGGAATATCCTGAAGATTCGAACACCTTTGCTATTGATATGCAATTTTTCCACGGAGACGCTTTGCTTGTCTCTCCTGTCACAACGCCAAATGATACCAGCGTTACTTTCTATTTGCCAAATGACTTGTTCTATGACTTCGACAAGTTCACGAAGATTGAAGGGCAAGGAGCAAATGTGACCCGAGACAATGTGGGGTTCTCCGATATCCCGGTGTACATTCGGGGTGGCAGCATTGTTCCTCTGCGCATCAACAGCGCTAACACAACGACGGAACTTCGCCGCGAGAATTTCGAACTGATTATAGCACCCAGTGCAAATGGGTCAGCCTTTGGAGACCTGTATCTTGATGATGGCGGGTCACTTGAGCCAACTAAATCAAGTTTGCTACACTTTGAATATGGAAATGGCAGCCTTGCGATGCACGGGACCTTCAGATACAACGCAGGTGTCAAACTCTCATCCATCAAGCTACTCGGTGTCAACGAGTCTAGTTGTTCAGGGCACAACTCAAGCACGCAGACCATGACACGATCGGTCAATTTCCCTCTGACTAAAGGTTTTACGATCAATCTTGCTCAATGTTGACCTGCATTCTCATTAAGAATACACTGGGGTCCATTATGCTCTTCTATTTCCCGCAGTCAGTCAGATGAAATTGGACAGGTCTATATAGTTAATTCCATTAACCCAAGACACTTGCATCAAGCTCTCGGATTATTCCAGCCTCGCTAGAAGTGGACCAAGGCCGCGTCAATGTGCCGACATTCAAGACTAATCCCTCCTCATCAACTGCCCCACGAATATCCATCGTAGTATTCGTAGTCGTGAACAGAACCTTCACCGGCGCACCCATATCTCCATTGCTGCCAAGGCTCACTAAATTCAGTAGCACCGCTATCGCCTCAACCGCATAGTCGTCTTGTTCTAGGAGGACCATGCCATCAACAATGCAGCATAGAGTCTGAGACGCAGGAAGTTGACTCACAAGCCAGTAAAAAAATCGCTTACACTTTCGAGACCTGCGGTTTGGGTAATCTGCTTCCGGCTGATTTCAAGAGAATATTACCGCCATGAAAGAAGGCTCAGATATAACGGATCAGGGGCAAAATTTGTCCCGCATCACCACGCCCACCCCTACAGCCACCTAGTGTTTGGTCGAGTTGTTTCGAGTTGCTTCAAGTTGCTTCAAGCCCAAATCGTTTATCAAGGTGCACTGTTCTTGGAACATGTCAGCTCCAGGTTTATGACTCATAGCAAAATCCGGGAGTAATATGTGTATAGTTTCTGAGCTACGACATACTAAGAAAGGTTTGGAGGATGACAGAACCATGGCACAGAACGAATATCGTATTGACTTGGGGGTATCAAGAGCGCTAAGGGACGTCGAGCGAAATTCCCAGATTTCTTGTACATCATGTCCATCCAGCAACCCTGGAGCTGTTGCAGCAGCTTCTGACGCCCTATATAACTTGATGCCAGCGATATTACTCCAGCCTTCCAGGTCCAGAGAATGTAGTTCGGTGAAGACGCTTGCTTGGGGGGCATTATTGTCGTATCGTTTACGGCGGGGGTTCCATTAAGCCAGGAGGTTAACATGATACTAGGTACAAGGAGTATGAGACCTCTAGTCGCCGTTAATTTGGCAAAACTCAGGAAGAGCCCACTTCTGCATCCATTCGCAGTTCAAAACTTCCTGCGCAGTTGGTCTTTCCTCAGGGTTAAACGCAAGCATAGCCTTCAACATACTGAGCAAAGCAACCTTCTCAATCTCATCCACCTCCTCCATCCTGAACTCCTGCCTTGGCTGCCGCACCGAATCATTAAATCGCTGCTCCAACGGCCGGGAATGCGACTCAATTTTCCTTTCCCCATTCTCGTTGAACCATTTTGCACGTGCATCCCACTTCAGCCACCACGGCCCTGGTAGCTTTCCAAGGCAGTCGACTTGTTCTTTTATTACCCAGTCGGATGACGGATTGTATCCCTCGAAAAGCGGGCGTTGAGCTATAATGGCCCAGATCGTACACGCAAGTGTCCAGATATCGGCAGGAAAAGAAAGGGACTTTGGCTGTTCGAAGTAAACCTCAGGGGGAGTCAAAACTTCTGGTGCATTGGAGTAAGGCCGCGCTATAGTAGCTGGCATGAAAGACTCGCCGAAGTCAGTAAGGATAATTTGAGCTTCTGGTAAGCTAACAAGCTCGCTTTCCTTCCCTAGCCAGATGGGTACAACGACATTTTCAGGGACCCCCACGGGAAGTCGACACTGATCTAGACGCACAACCGGCTCGTATTGAGGGAATCCATATTTTTCGTAAAGCTGTTCCGGTGAGAGAGAATCCATACTTCCAGGTAGACGAACTAAGACGTTTCCATCATGCAAGTCTGCAGTGATCCATCGCATTAGATCCGGCACCGAAAAGGAAGAGAGAGAGATTGGAACACCAGGAGAGGATAGCTTACCACCGTGAACAATACCTAGAGAATGTAGGAATGTCACTGCCTGGACAAGTTGGGCAGCCATAGCCCTAGCTACAGGCAGCTGAAAAAGGCGAATAGAGGAGGCATCTTTGGCTTCTGCTAGACTCATCATGCCGGGTTCAGTGACATAACAATGGTGTACGCCATTAGGCCCAGAAAGAGAAAAGCCTTCTAGTATTGATGGGATGAATGCTGCGCCGGGGAGAGCCTTTCCTTCCAACCTGGTGCCATTTAGCCGGCGCAGGATATCGGTTTCTCGCGTCGCAGTAGAATCAAGTGTTGAGACCGGTATCTTTATGGCGACGTATTTTCCAGATTCCTTGTTTCTTGCCAGCCAAACTGTGGAGTATGAACCGAAACCAAGCTTATGGACGATAGAATATCTACCACCCAGCTGCTCTCCGATAGTTATCGGATGGTATCCTCCTGGACGATACCGTTCCAACTTCTCAACATCTTCAATCGGCATGTATTCAATTCGGTGCTGTGGATCATCGATTTTCTCGCTGGCTTTTGATTCCATGCTGCCGGTGAGGGATGTATATGGTTTTGAACTTAGTGTGGTGCAGTTATGGTGTACGGCTAACTTCATGAGCCGCGAGGAATTGATCAAGAAGAGCCTGGGACGGTAGAGCCAGGAATTCATCGTTCTCAACTATTAAATGTATACTAAGTTAGCCGTGCAGGACTTGAAATTTGCCAACCCTTAATAATGGAGAGCAACATGCATGGCTGTATACAGGGTCAGATGAAATCACCATCGCGACGCGCGCTACGATTCTCCGAGTTCTTGGCACACGGAGCACCTGACCATTCCGCTGCTTAACTCATCTTTCCGCAATTTCACGCGTAAATATGCATTTTTTTTTTGCATATTTACGCAAATTAACGGAATATGATGCTTTCACACCACCCCCGTCGCCATGGCTCTCGAGAGCCAAACGCACCATATTCTTTCAAGAATGTAACTTTGGGGGTTATTAACATACAGTTTCCTTGAAGTTGTATTCTGCAAAGCAGCATATATAAACCTTTTCCATATCTTCCCGTGTCCCTATCATGGTATACTTGTATTAGCTGTATTCCTCTTTGGCATCAGTCTACCCGCTGTTCAAACATATGGCTGCGACGATGTCAACTGTGAATCTGGTCAAGTATTATTTCTACAGAGGAATGATGCCTAAAGATCCCGAGCTTTTGCAGAACATGGTTTCCCTCGCATATCAGACAGCTAGGGACCGCAAGTTGTACCCAAAAGCGATCTTGATCAGGTACGTCCAGTCTCAGGACCCGGGCAAAATACTCAGCCAGTAGATGTATCGTTTTGAGCGTTGTTCCCTTGTATTATAGTCGAACCAGCAGCTAACAGTATACCTGGCTCAGGTCCGGATCTCACAAGACTACCACCATCAATGGTAGACACCAGGAAGATCCGAATGGTTGGCACCTTACTTTTCGTTATAAAGATTCAACGCAGCTCGCAAACGGGAGTCACACCGCGTGTCACGGATACACCCCTGGAAAAGACGTATGGGAGCTGGTGAAATCTACTCATGCCGGTGTGAAGTCAGACTCTGTTCTGAAGAAAAACGGAAAACCCGTGTGGCCGGCCGAGAACGAACTGGAGGTTGCTCCCGAAATTGGCTATGGGCATCTGTGAGGATATTGGAATGGAAGTGGTGATGGATGATGTTCGGAATGTGCCGGAGCGTGCAGGAGTCCATATCATACAACTTTGTCGGATTACCCTAGAGCAATGCATTAAGGTGGTCTTCCAAGGACGGTACCAACTGCCTCCAGCAGGACACAAGTTGTCAGATGAACACGTCTATATGGTTACCAAGATGCTTTCCGCGAAGGCACGTTGCGCGCGAAAATGGACCGAGGACTTTAATACGACAGGCGATATCAAGGCGGAGCGTGTACCTCTTGATCCGAGCCCATTGTTCTATGCCTTCGGTGTGCCGTGCCGTGCACTTTACCGCGGATATTACATTTTGGGCGGCTTTCAGGCCCTTAGGTCCTACGGAACATTAGCGAACGTTAAAAATAATGCGACCATCAAGACGGCCCAGAAAGACTGGCTGATAGGCCCAGTCCTTGCGTCAATGGACTTCGTTAATACCCAAAGGAATCTGATTCGTATCTATCATGACGGAAAAGCCCAAGAAGTCACCACAAGGCTCAATATCCGAGGCGAATTCTACGAGACGGACAAGTTACTTCCTAGCGAGCGGGACACTCAGGCTTGCAAGGCGCGAGTCGACAGAGTTACCACGAGGATTTTCGACCTCTGCTTGTTACCCGACAAAGGCAAGCCGGCTTTCAAGCGCTTGATCGATCAGCCCACATTCCACACAAAAGTCTCCGCAACTCGCCAAGGCCAACCCGACACCAAGCTCCTCAAGGAGCTTAACCCTGCATTAAGAAATCTGATTGATGAACTCGAAGTAGCCCGGGCTACCACGCCAGCGGGAGACTACAAGACCCAATTCCCTACCCTAGCCAAAAACCTTGATATCGCAGCGAATATCCGAATGGATATGCTGGCCGTGGACGGACGCTATGATGACGCTCTCGCGGCGTGGAAGAACATCCAGGATAAGCTCCATACGCTGGCAGCCATCGCCAAACCAGTACATGACAATCTGGTCATGCTGGCAAATCTTAAGGCGAAATACGGAAGCCCCGCAGAGATAGATCAGAGCTTATACAAGCCTGACTACCTCAACAAGACGAAGGGAATAGACCGGCAAGGCGAAACCCTTGGCTGTGAATGCTACCCCGGCGAGCCTCATAGCTCGTTCAAGGGCTCAGCCTCCGCCAATAGGGTTACTAAGCCCCGTAGCAGGCAGCAGTGAGAGGTTTCCTTCTCGTTTCTCTCTTGTTTCTCCACTCTTGTTTCTCTTCTTTTCGTCTCCCAGCCACAACGGGACGATGCTTTCTTCTTCGTGGGCATATTTTTACCCTGCCCAGCCGGCAGGTCACGTAGAGAGACCCCTTTTAGGTAGCTAGAACAGTATCAATGACTCATCTTTACATCTCCCAGCTTCGACAAGTCTGGACTTTGCGTGAAGCCCGCCATCTGTTCGAGACTGCTCCCCGCAGATATCCCCCCCAGTCGTCTATACAGACCACAGCGACACAGTCACTATTACAACGAGCTCAAGCCTAAGATCCGCAAGCTCTGATACTCTGAACCTCCGCCTCGTTAAAGCGTCCCAATTTATTCAGCAATACCCCGTTCTTGTACACCACCGCCCTGGTGTAGGAAACAAGGGCGCGGACGCACTTTCGAGACTACCAAGCTCCAACCCTACAGTCCTACGCACCGACAAGGGCGACCTCGACTCACTCGCTCTAGTGTAATCCCGGATCTCTCGACAACAAGCTCACGACAGTCCTTGACGAGATAATAGCATTCGCGGAAACCGTCCAAGCTACCGCATATCCTACAGATACAAACTCCCAACCACCACGGAGACCTCGCACTCACATCTGGTATCATACTTCTGTCCGATGAGTTTAAACACCGGATCGTCCAAGCTTACACCGACAACGCCCGCCTCTCGCGTATCGTCGAAACCTTATAGAACAATAACAACAACCCGATACCGGTAAGGCTACAACAAGAGATAGACGGCGACCTGCTATAAATATACCAAGTCTCAGAGGGAAAATTCCTCTGCCTTCCGCGATCTATAGCAGATGAAATTTGCAATATTTCCAAACCAGCTTCATGGGTACTTGCAGAGATCTAATTTGGTCGCGCTTCACCCATCTAAGGTACTCTGTGACCTCATCACACCTCGCCCGAAAAAATCGCTTACAACACCAAATCGGTCTCGTGCGCGCTGCAATTCCGATTTGAAGAGATCATGCTGGTCAGCAGATTCCACTTGGCGTTGGCGGATCGCTCGAAGGGTAGAATTCGTAGGAGCGCAAACAGGACAGACGGCATCGTCATCAACCCGGTTTAAGCAACGCTCATGGAACGAATGTTTGCACAAGAAGTGTACTGTAGGCAGATCAAGGGTTCCACCGCAGGATTGACACCGGCGAGACTGGAAGACAACTGGTTGCGATGCAAGGCTCTCGAGCTCTTGCTGCTTTGCAGCTGTCTCTGATTTGTAGCTTGAGATGAGGCGACGGTTCTATTTGATATTAGCAAAGTTATCTTGCTGACTCAAGGGAGACATACCGTTGCAATTTCTTTCCGTTCCCGCTCAATGTTTTCGCTGAGGTATTTCTTGACCCGACCCATTGTGACAACTGCATTGTTGCTGAGTGCTTGAATGACTTGAAGGGGTGACAACAGACCATCTTCGTCAATCCGTCGCAGCACAACATCCAATTCGTCACCTGCCTCTTCAAGAATCTGTGGGCTTGATGCAAAATAGGTTAATGCATCCACATACAGCTGTGGCTCGTCGGGTCCATAGCGTCGCAAAGCTTTAATGGCACCTTGCGTGTCCTTGGCGGACGTGAATGACCGGAAGATGTCGAGGTGTAAACCTTCCTGTTCTCGAACAAGGGTGGATCCTTCACGGAAGTTGGAAAGATCTGACAGAAGAAGAACATTCGATGTGGATATAGGAATCTGGGATAGTCAGTTGGCACGCATCAATGGCGAAATCCTGGGCACCGCTACTTACATCCTTCCCTTCGATTAGTTTCCTCGCTTTAGCCTCCCATTGCAATCGTTCTGCTGGATCCTTCTGCCTCTTGGCCGTATCAAGGTACATCTCAAATAGCGTCGTGAAGAGGTCAATTTTGGTCCCTTTCTTGAGATCTGGTTGCTGGACGAGGGTTTCGAGGAAATCTATGAATTCTTGTGGGTGGTCCACAAAGGCTGAAAACGCAGTACGCGCTTTGGGTATAGTGTAAGGGGGTGCTTGTGGAACGGCAGCAGCTTCTTCATTGAGATGTCCTGGTTGTTCTGTGCTTTCGGACCCACCGCCAGTTACATAGCGCAATGGCAGCATGCCTGCGAGACTCTGGACAGTGCTGGTAGGCTGTACCTCTGGCTCGGGCGGTGCTTCAACCTCTATTCGTGGTTGGTATTTCCCAGTGTAGTACATTTTGAAGAGCTCCGTAGTCTCCTTTGGGCAATGTGCAAGAAGGACACGAGCATACTTCATGAGATTATGGTACGTCTGATTTGGTCAGCAAAGATTGATATCTCAAGCGTTTTGTACGGCAGGAACTTACCACTTCAGGCTTCAGACGCCAAATATACTCAACCGCCTCAGCGTACTTTTTCGAATCTTCGATCAAAATATCCACGACCATGTCGTTCTCGCCGTGCTTGGTGGCAAGATAAGCAGCTTGCTCGTAATAACCTCCTTGTCGGCACATGGCAATAGCGGTTTCTAGGTCAAACTTGAGCTCGCCAGGAGCTTTGATGAATGAATCTAGCTTGCTGGTATCCTTAAGCTTCGCATAGCAATTCAACAGAAGCGTTGTATGATCAACAGTGGCGCGGCCATGATCATGCAGTTCTTCAAGATATTCAATCAAGTTATGAATTCTTTGGGTATCCAGGTACTATATTTGGCGTCAGAAATAACTTATGTAACAACCTTCAAGATAGTTGGGACTCACTCTGCGGATAACCTGAGAAGGCTCGGTGTTATCGATCGCTCGGAGATACTGCTGCATCGCGGTGTCATAGTCACCACGCTGGTACAGAAAATCTCCGTACTTTCGATAGATCGCATTCTGCTGAAGCGGATCAATGCCGATCTTCTGGGCAAGGTTTATGGCCAGAATATAAAGATTTCGATCGTAGAGAATCTCTAGTCGCTGTTGGAGACTTTTCTCTTTGTAGCGGAAAACCTTCCCATCTGTTGTCAGAACGAAGAGATCCCCCCACTCAATGAAGATTCGCTTCATTGGAGAGATGAGAGTCTCGTTGTGAGCAATGAACTTGAGATCAGTGTCCAATAAAGTAAAGGTGGTTGTTCCGAAAAGCTCATCCCCGGATTGATCCCATACTTTTTGATGGAGTTGGACTTTGCTGAGCCCGCTTTGGGCGGACAGACCAATGCCACATAGTCGCGGAAGCCATTGATAGATGTTTTCGGGCTTTCGAAAGCATAACTTGGCCCGCGCCCCCCTCAGTCCATATGTGTAAATCGCATCCTCACGGGCAATCAAAATATCGCCTGATTCATGATTAAGGGTCATGCAGCCCAGAGCGCATCCGCTGTCCTCCAGGACGCGCGCAGGCTGGCCTTGTCCTCTCCCTGCGATCACCAGAGTCAGAATGCGGCTGGTGGTGGAAATGTACAGCACAGTCACCACTCCCTCTTGTGTTTCCAGCCCGGTGATAGGTTCCTCGGATTCAAATACAATCCGTTGTCGCGCGCCGCGGTCGTGGATCAAATCGCCGCGGATGATGGTCACTGAACCGTTCGCAAAGCCCACTGCGACTTGTGAGAGGTCGTCTACTACGGCGAATGCTGAGATCTATAATATTAGGTCACAAGTCAGTAGATATCTCTCTTGTGTGGGAAGGAAGACGCATTGCGCACCGGAAACTGCCGCCTAGCATTTTGAATCGACACCGTTGACAAACAGCGGGGGCCGCCATCCTTCTTCTCAGTGTCCAACGCCCATACTTTTAGAACTGGTTCATTCAACAGATCCTCAGCAACAGTCACGAGCAAAGAAGTCCCCTTGATCTGCTTCATGTGGTTGATCGCCCCTGCATCGTGAGCCTTGAACGATCGTACCACGCGAAAAGCGGAAGAAATGATATGAACGAAGCCATCAGTTGTGCCGATAAAGAGATTAGATGACCCGGTGCATAGACTTGTAAGGTCACTCTAGGAGATGGTATGTTATTAGCCAAGAGTCGGAGCTTCAAAGCGGGGATTGAGGTCTTTACCCCGAAGAGGTCGGAGCTGCCCTCGGGCAGCTTGACGGGCGAGACGTCGATAAAATTGAACGCTTTCCACTGTGAATGTCAGCATCTGACGCGTGCCAGGTTAGTGGCCGACCTTACTGATGTCAAGGCCATTTGGGCGACTGGCCATGGACGATGACGGAGTTCTGGAGGCTGAGTTGGAGAAGGAGCTGATCCGCGAGCTGCCCCCGCGGCGCACAGACCATGTTCCGCCCAAAGGATATTCAAAGGTCAAGATTTACAAGACTTGGATATTCGATGAAGCTTGTGTGAATTTGCTTATTGATAGGATTGTTCCTCTGTTTCTGTTAGATGCTTGTATTTGTTAGTATTAGAATTTACAGCACCTAGTTTACTACTACGCAGTATTTACTGTCTGTATATATTTACGCCCGGAGACCAATACTATTATGATCTAGGTCCATTTGAGCTGCTAGAAGTAGCGTTACTATTGCCACCTAGTAGCTAGACTTTGTACTGGGAATCTGTCCATAATATCAGGCATCCATATCAGTAGTATATCACCAACACCGGCTCAAGTTTGCAAGCTTATTCTTCGAGGTCCTATACTAGTAGAACACTTCAAAAAATACTATCGTATGTCGCATGGTGACTTTTCCGAGTAAGCTCTTTAGCCCTTTTCATTTATGGGTACTAAATGATGAAGCTCCAAGGGCAATTGCCAAGATTTTACATTGCCTGATCTCACGAGCACAGAAAAAGAAAAGAAGGCAGCGGCTAAGGGACCAATAGTAGAAAAGGGGCGGTGCAAGGCAACCCAATCTCTGGCTACCCACCACGGACTTGATCTGGAACTTACTCACTTCTACTTGAGGCTATGCTCGGAGTGCCTTGGACCTTAGGCCGACTTGAACCAAGTGCAATATCCATACTTTATTTGGTGATAATATCGTTCTCCCCTTCAAGGTTTGTCCAAAGCCTAAAGGGAACGACAGGACCGCCACGATGGACCCTCTGGCAGCGATCGGCGTTGCCGGGAACATCATCACTTTTATCGATTTCTCATACAAGATTTTTAAGGGAATCGACGAAGTCCTTACCACTGCCACGGGGATGACCCAGGCGAACGAAAACCTCTCCCACTTGGCAAAAGACTTTCGTTCAGTGACTGAAGATCTTGTGTCCGACATTATACCCAGGACTGAAAATGAGAAACAGCTCTGCCACCTCGCCACAGAATGCCGTACTTTAGCAAGCCGGATAATCCAGGTTTTGGAGAGTCTGAAACTCGGTGACGACAAATCCGCATGGCAAGGAATGAAGGTTAAATTCCAGAGTAAGAAGAAAGAAAAAGAAGTTGAGAGCCTTGAGCGACAATTGAAGGGATATCAGTCAGAACTGTTAATCCACCTACAGGTGATGTTCAGGTACCTACGAGCGACTAAATCTGTCGGCCTTTAAAGAATCAAACAGGGTTAATATATCTCCAAAAACTTCACAGCCAGAAAAGCGCCACCCAAGCTTCTATGACTCAAAGACACCTCGAAGCTCTTCGAAAGAATGGAATCTCTCTAAAGAACGAAACAACTCAACGGCTTGATAAGATATCTAGACTGGTTGAAGACCTGCTCTCTAAAGCGTCATCGAGACCCGCGAACGGCAATCAAACCCCTGCAAGAGAGGAACAGATATTCCTGGTCAATCTGCATGAAGCCCTTGATATGTTTCAATCCACAGCGAACTCAATCTGCCTCGAGAACCAAATTCTCCAACGCCTTCAGTTTCCATCTATGTATAACCGAGAAGATAATATCGTGGATGCAGAAGAAAAAACCTTTACATGGATGGTGGAAGCAAGAGGGCATACCAAGGCAACCACCAATGATATGGATATTGATGAATTTGACCAGAGAGCTGAGCTCGGAAGAGATGTTACTCGAAATCAGTTCCTTAGTTGGCTTAATTCTGGGAGCCTGGTCTATCATGTCTCTGGTAAAGCCGGGGCAGGCAAATCAACGCTAATGAAATTTCTTGCAAACTCTCGAATAGTTCACTATGAACTCAAGAAATGGGCGGGAGAAAAAAGGCTGATATTTGCGTCTTTCTTCTTCTGGAAATCAGGCGATAGGCTACAAATGTCGTTAGAAGGGCTTTATCGGGGTCTTCTTTTCGAAATATGCAGACAGTCTCCTGATTTAATCCCCCCAGCTTTTCCCTCACATTTGGGCTAGTCTCCCCGCAGGCACCACGTCTCCGTCGGGAACACCGCTTCGATTCCGAGAATTAAAGGATGCTTTCAGTCTTTTGATTAACGAAATTCATGTGGGTAACCATATCTGCCTTTTCATCGATGGGCTTGATGAGTTTGAAGGCGAATCAGTCGATCAGTGGAACATAGCCCGAGACCTCCAAAGCTGGACCAAAGCAGATAACATAAAGCTTTGCGTGAGCAGCCGGCCTCACATGCCTTTCATGCAGTCTTTTGCACAGGCAGGGAACATACAAATGAGCATACATGAGCATACCAGGGAGGATATCCGCAAATTCACCACTGCAATGTTTGAAAAAGACTCGAACTTCGAGCTAGTCAAAAGCTCGTATCAAGAATTGGTGTCAGAAATAACGAGAGATGCAGAGGGGGGTTTTCCTTTGGGCTAGACTGGTTGTGCGCTCCTTACTAAACGGTATCGGACACCGTGCAAATCCTCGAGACCTGAGGAAGAGACTAGACAGGATACCAAAGGGTCTAGATGAGTTGTTCGACAGTATCTTTGACTCAATCGATCCGGAAGATCGGCCACTTTCCGACAAGCTGTTCTTGATAGCCATTAAAGGGATTGGGAAATGGGAAGAACCGTGCGACGCTATGACATTCTCGAGATTAGAGGATCTAGATGATCCTAACTTTCCCCAAAATCGGCCCATGAGACCACAGTCTCAATCAGAAATCAATGAGCATATAATGCGGATGCCATACCTGCTGGATCGCTTCTCCAAAGGGTTAATCGAGATCAAACCGCAACCAAAGCACACCACTGAGGATCATAATGAATTTCATTATAGGATTGAGTTTTACCACCGAACTGTTTATGAATATATAGTCGGAGCACGTCAACGCGAAATGGAAATCCGAAATCCAGGATTCGATGCTCTTGCGAGTGCTTTGCGATTGGCAGTGGCGAATATCAAATTTCTCAACCTGCCCGATTTTCAAGAGAGACCGGACTATAAAGGTGACTTAATACATCATGAAGAGAGACGTTCTCTCATGAAAGAACATGGTCACTTGATACGTCACCTCCTCTCCCATCTTGGTATGATATACTCTATAAGTATCATGCAATCAGCCAAAAAGATTTTCAGAGTGGACGAAGTCTCGAGATCTTTAGAGGAATTTGGAAAGATTATGGCTATCCATTCTCAGTCTAAGCATTTCCTTTTTTTTGGCAAAAGAACCTCGGAAACTTTTCGTGGCCTGTCGTGCCGGGATGTTATACATGTCCCTTTCTTTGGTCATACTCTGACACAGGGCCATTGGAGATTCATAACCACCGATTTGTTCAGACATCCGGCACATCGAAAGATAGTAGATCATCTCGAGGGGCGAAACATTGTGATCCTGGTTGGACTTTCTTTGAAAGAACTAAATATTGCACAAGAGCTTTTTGATGAGGGTCAATCGCAGGGCGAGCTGGTGCCCATACGGAAAGGTCGGCCGGTCATGGAAGCAGGGACAATGAGTTGGGGGGAAACAACGAGGAACACTTATCATCTGGAATCCAGGTCAACCTCCAGGTTCCACAAGCTCCGAAACTGGAAAGATCGAGTCCAGCGGAAGCAGCGTCTGTTTGGTTGATTTATGTTTTTCTGGCTGTTCAAATGACTGTATTTTAAGCCCAGATAACCTCTCGCTGCTCTCAGGACTTAAGCTGTTCCTGAAGAAGGGCGTAGACAAAATGTTAAGATTTTCATGTCTTTGACAACCTCATCACATAGGAAAGCGGGCTTGATTTGGACCTACCAGATGTATTATTATGCTAGCTGAAAGAAAAAAAAATCGATGTTAAATGCTTGCCAAGGACCTATATTTACTATTAGGCTACTACTATTTTCCACAACTAGACTGCAGTATATCCGTTTCAATAGATATGAGATTCAATGATATATCCGCAAATTGGAGATCATTGCAGTGCTTACTTGCTTTTCTCTTGTAGCAAAAAGTAGATTCCGTCCTCGCTTAGACCCGTATGATGTGCCCTCATGGCTCCTCTTGCAGCAATATCAGAATTGATTTAATGTAGATCTGTGACCTTATTTGACGAGGTTAGATTGAGGAATTCGCTGGTTACTGCATCGGTAAGGTAATGTTACGGCCTGCGGTTTACTGGGCTCGCTAGTTCATACTGTGACAGGGGCCCGCATATATGTTCTACTGGTTGATGCAGTGTAAGGCTTTCCTTCTTGAGTGATTAGAACATCTAGCGAATATTGTAATTACCAGCCGGCTAATTCTTGGGCATTTCTCTTAATGAGAAGTTCGCGCAGCTAACAGTACACTAACAAATCACTTAGTTGCCACCAGTTTTCCTTCCCACCGCTCCTCGCTTGCCTCAAAAAGAACGCCTCTGATGGTGCTTTCCCCCAAACCCTAGGTCTGGAATCTCATAGCGTGGACTTTTTCTGAGTGACATCACGTTGGGTTTGTTCCTTCACGTGTTCTTCTTCGGCGGCGAGCGGCGTCTTCTTCTCTAGCATGGGTCTCGCGTCTGAATGCTCTTCTTTGGCTTGGGTGGGATGTTGTTGACTTTGTTCTTGAACTTTCTCCACTTCAGCTGCTGGTGCCGCTTTCTTCCCGAGCATGGGTCTCGAATCCGCAGGCATGTTGATTTGCGAGAGGATGGACGTCTGTTGTTGAATCTTGGGATATTTGTTCACGCAAGTGGATTTTCCAAAAAGTGAAAAATAAAAAAAAGTCTTTAATGGATGATTCTGTTATCTCGCAAGTTACTCGCTAATTAATATATATATCATGGTCCAAGGGGTTCACGTGGGTTATCCTACATGACGCCATTATACGAATAGAACCGGCCAATCAAGGTCACGTTCCAGACCCCAGATTTGCATTTGCTTTGAAATATTCTTCCAATATATCATTAATACCTGGTGTTATGATTTGACAGCGAATGCAATCGAGACCGTGCGGTAAGCGTCATGCTCGACGTCATAACTTCTGCGCACGGTAGGAATCTTGTTTTAACTAGTAATAGTTACTGTAGCTGATTACATGATCAAGTCACAATAACTAACTACTAGCGGAATGACGGAAGACAAGCATCAGGGGATTTGAAACACTCTGTATTCCCTCTCTTCTCTGAAGCGGGGTCGAGGCCTTGAGAAGCTCTGGCGTTTTACCTGAACATTGATTGAGTCAGCCACCTTGAGTCAGCCACCCTTCGTGATTCGGATGATCATGTCTATCCCTATTTATGCATAGAAGCAGGTCTATAGACAATCTGGAGACACATGAGGTCTTCTATAGGTACCTGATCTTGGGTTAAAGTTGAGTGTATTCTACTTTTATCTTCAGCTAATGAAACCTGCGGAACAATTAATGAGGTGCAAGGGTTTTGAGCCGACTATTCGTACGACTGCCGAAATTGCCTGGGTTCCCTGTCTTTGGTTTTTCTATTAGGTTGACGGTGATTGATTCTCTGGGACGATTTCCGAAGTATCTCCATCGATTGCCGTTATTACGAAGCATCGAACCCAGAGAATTCAGGGCCAGTATGCCGACTTCGGGGCGGTTCGCCCTTCCGAAAGTGGTGAATTACATCAACTCTCCCAGAGACCGCGCCGCAACCCTCACGCAAATGATTTATCAGCGTTTGCGGGATGATGGGTTCGGAGGACAGGATGCCTATGAGACTGACGTATGGTTCGAGGTATCAGCAAACTAATAAACTCCCGAGGAGCTGGGCTTTCGCTGGATCCAAAAGCTTCCAATAACAACGCCTACTGCGTGTATATGACAATTATCAGGTATCAATCATTTGCGGAGATGCCCATGGAATACGGCATCGGACGCCATTATCGCACACCACGAAGACAATGCGTATAGGAGTGGCAACTAGACCACGATAAGCCAAGGACTACGAGTCTCCTCTCTTGAAGAAGAGTCAGGCACAGGAGGTGTGCACGGACAAATATAAATGTCCAAGACGTTCGACTGTCCACTATGTAGTTTTAACTAACCTCGGCCGGTTCTACATACTACCTGGAACAAGCCAAATGGTTATGCAGCACAGTATCTTCTAAATGCATGCCAAAGAGCTTTGATGCTACTTGTCGTCCTACTAGTTCTTCCTCCACTCGACCCAACAAACCGAGTTTGTGTGGAGGAAGAGGTTGGCAAAGGCAAAGACTTCAAGGTGCGAAGGCCTTTTCGAAAGAAAGGGCGAATTGTGTCGCTATTCCTCGGGGTTGATGGATAACGTGTTGGCATGGCAGTCTCCTGAACTGGGATGTCGCATCGAGAATTTCAAAGCAATCTCACATTCTGCATCCAGACCTTCTGTTCCTCAATAAACACGGTTTAGACTGGCTTGCTGTCCGTTTTCCCTTATTTGCATCAATTATCATCTGCTATCTAACAGCTGATGCGACTTGGGATGACACGGCATATTGACTGCCGCGAGCAGACATGCCTTGGTGGGTCCTCAAATAGTATGGAAATGGCGTACAAAGGAGCCTTATTGATTTGTAAAGATACTCGGATTATTTAAAGCCAGTGTCAGCCAATGCCATGTAATTTGCATATCGCTGCCGGCTGATCTGTCTTTTTCACGACGAAAGTGCAAAAAATCTAAGTCTCAAGATGACGTCATAAGCTATTTGTTCCCCTTCCGTGCCAATGTCGCTGTAGTTATAGTTATTTAATCTGTTGACAAATAACTAACTAATAGCCTGCTCAAGAGAGCTCTGCCAAAACTCCAGATCGACTCAGGCTCAAGGAACATCTCATGTTGTCGTCGTTTCGGGTCCCTAAGCTCCCTTAACAGGTCCTTTTTGGCCCGGCGTTGCAGGATAAGCTCGGCCCTTGGGACATTATTCATACCATGGTAATCGACATTCGATATGTCATTATGCAATCAGAAGATGCTCAGATGCTCCGGATCGAGAGCACTTGGACTAAGTAGAAGCCGCGGTACTCGATTCTTTCTATCAACCGCCCCCTTTGCGACTTCCTGTTTTCGACGAGGTGTATCATATCATCGACTCAGCATTAAGCTGTTTGCGGCTAAACATCTCGCAATATTGCCAGTTGCAATACTGCTAGTTGTACTAGGTGGCATCTTTAATTCGGTGGCCTACCTATAAAGAGCGGCAATGATACCGGGTTACACTTCCGCTAACCTTTCTACGAAGCTTGCAATGGCACCGATTAGTATTCGTCAGTTTTTCAAGACTTCACCTTTCCACAGACTTTCACGCGCTGCTTACGTGCCTTCAAGATGCAGCGCCTTAAGGGTCCCACTATCAACCAAGGCAGCCAAAATGAGTCCTGAAAGCAAGTCTGCCGACATGAAGAAAGATACGGTCGAGCTGAACAGCAAGCAACACATGACCACCGACTATGGCATCAAGATCGCAGACCCTGACCATTGGCTCCGCGTGGCTGATGGGAAGAAGACCGGCCCCTCGCTTCTCGAGGATCAGATCGCTCGTGAAAAGGTGGCTCATATACACCACAGCCCAAGCACCAGGCACACAAATAATAGTAGCTAAGAATTTCTCCTAGATCATGCGCTTCGACCATGAACGTATCCCTGAGCGAGTCGTACATGCTCGCGGAACGGGCGCCTTTGGCACATTTAAGCTAAATGAAAGCGCGGAGGATGTCACAACCGCAGGGGTTCTGACCGACACTAGCCGGGAAACGCCTCTATTCCTGCGTTTCTCAACGGTGCAAGGCAGCAAGGGCAGCGCGGACACTGTGCGCGACGTGCGCGGGTTCGCCATCAAAATGTACACGGCTGAGGGGAACTGGGATATTGTTGGCAATAATATCCCTGTATTCTTTATTCAGGAAGCCATCAAATTTCCCGATGTGATCCACTCGGTCAAACCCGAGCCGCATAATGAAGTACCTCAGGGCCAGAGTGCTCACAATAATTTCTGGGATTTCCAGTATCTGCATTCCGAGGTGACACATATGAATCAATGGGTCCGTCTATATAGTTGATTGTTTTAGCGCTGAGTGTTCATGACTGACCTATATTCAGATTATGTCGGACCGTGCGATTCCTCGTTCCTATCGAAATGATGCAGGGTTTTGGTGTGAACACCTACTCCTTGATTAACAAAGAGGGCAAGCGCCATCTTGTGAAGTTCCATTTTACTCCCGAGCTAGGTGTCCACTCTCTTGTTTGGGATGAGGCCCTAAAGATCGCTGGTCAGGATCCAGACTTCCACCGCAAGGACCTGATGGACGCCATTGATGCGGGCCAATTTCCTCGCTGGAAATTCGGACTCCAGCTTATCCCGGAAGAGGAGGCTGATGGCTTCGAATTTGATCCGCTCGATGCTACTAAGTTGTGGCCGGAGGATTTGGTTCCAATTCGGTATATTGGAGAACTGGAGTTGAACCGAAACGTCGATGAATTTTTCCCTCAGACTGAACAGGCTGCGTTCTGTACCAGCCACATTGTTCCTGGTATCGATTTCTCGAATGATCCTCTGCTCCAAGGCCGGAATTTCTCGTACTTTGATACGCAGATTTCACGTCTAGGACCTAATTGGCAAGAATTGCCGATCAATCGACCAGTCTGTCCTTATATGAACTTAGTCAATCGCGATGGCGCCATGAGGCATCGCATCACCAAAGGGACAGTCAACTATTGGCCTAATCGGTTTGAAGCCAACCCGCCAGCTGTTCCCGAAGAAGGAGGGTTTTCCAGCTATCCAGATAAGCAGCAGGGTATCACACAGCGGGATTTGCCTGAAAAGTTCAAGGAGCACTTCAACCAAGCTCAGCTATTCTATAACTCGCTGTCGGAGATTGAAAAGATGCACGTGGCTAAGGCCTTCTCGTTCGAGTTAGACCACTGCAACGATCCAGTTGTATACGAACGCATGACGGAGAGACTTGCCACGATCAGTTTGGAGCTAGCTCAGACTGTCGCCACGAACGTTGGCAGTGCCACTCCATCCAAGGCTCTGAAAGAAAATAAAGGGGACACCTCCAAAGGATTAAGCCAGCTGGAGTATATGCCGGAGAAGCCCACTATAGCGACACGACGTATTGCTATCCTCCTTGCCGATGGCTTTGACTTCAACCAATATACTGCTATGAAGGACAATCTTCAGGGCCAGAATGCCTTCGTCTTCACCATTGGTACTCAGAGACAGGGAGTGACGTCCGAGTGTGGACAGCAAGTGACCCCTGATCATTTTTTTGCCGGAATGCGATCCACCCTTTTCGACGCGGTTTTTGTTCCTGGGGGAAAGCACGTGGAAGGGTTGTCAAAGAACGGTGTGGCGAAGCACTGGATTACCGAGTCCTTTGCTCATCTCAAGGCCATCGCTGGTACCAACGACGCTGTGCCGTTCATTCAAAGCCAAATTGGACTCCCAGAGGTCACGGTGGCTCAGGATGGCGCTTCACTCAAAGAGTCATATGGTGTTTTGACGGGATACGGGCCTGCGGATACTTTGCTGAAGGTTGACCAGGTCGGACCAGATGCTAAGGGTCTCGCCGAGCAATTTATCTGGCACGTTTCTAGACACAGGAACTGGGCGCGTGAGCTGGACGGACTTGCCGATCAGATTGCCGCCTAATCTCATCTCCTAAGTTTTATCATAAGCGCTCCAAAGCTTGCCTCTGTGAGTGCCGCGCAGGAATTTATGGGTTTCTTGCAGCCAACCTCGCCAAATCGTAGATAACAGACGGACCGAGCTAGCCAGATATCGGGAAGATCAAGTGGAAGGATTTCTGTGATTTACAATACTGTGCCGCTGCCACGGAACGTCATGTCGAATCAGATTGTGTTGCGAATGCCAGCTGCAATGGCTTTGCGAATTGTTGTAGTGCAAAGACTAATTGTTCTTGTTTCAGAGGGATTAAGGCTATGTATCCACCGAGAATATCAAGTCGATTTCTGATCATATTCAATCGCGCTATCGTCATAATTGCTTCTCAATAGCAACATGGAGTTCTCTTCGCAACTGTCGTAGATGTGGATTTAGGAATCGGTTTCTCGAGATACTAGATGTGGTTAAAAAAATACCTACTAGTACAATCGATACGATCAAGCGTGAAGAGATATTACACTCAACTAGTAGGGCAAGGAACTGGAGAACGGGAAGCTCCCAAACAAATACAGGGAACCGAAGTAGTAATGGGGTATTTCGTCTGAACCATAGCAATCAATAATAACCAAAACCAAAGGCTTAGCGGGGCGTATTAGACCATGCGGGCCGTCTCGGCAGAGCCTAGCGTGGAGCCTCTTTCGGAAAATCAATAGACTCCTGCAAATACATTCCAGCCTCTACAAGGGCCTGGCTGAGGTCGAAGCTGTCCGCGCCCTGAATTCCCTGTCCATCCTGTGCAGTGGCGGGAGTTGATCCACTGAGGGCAAATGGTAAAGATGTCGTTTGTGTCGCTGATCTATAGGTATGTACATGTTCTTGACGGGTAGATAATGTGTGAGGTCGTTGAGAGGGCTTGTTGGACTGTGCTATTTTGTATCCATCATCTGGTGAGGGGGTAGGTTCAGGGACAGGAGAAGTGGATTTTTCAAGCATGATCTTCCTCGGAGATTTGGTGGCCTGTGGCTTAGACGGGTTCTTGGATGGCGAAATGCGTTGAGAAGATTTTTGTTTCTTCTCCGTGCTGAACGTGAATGGCGAGGTTGCGTCGATCATGTGCTGTGTGCTCATAGCTTGGAACTTGTCCTTTTCTATCTCCCTGAAGCTTCGAGGCACAAGACGCTCCGAGGTATTGGGCCGAAAGAGAGGAGTTTCGCGTGCCAATAAGGAGTCATTTCCAAGTTCCGCTATCTCCTTCCGCCCAAGAGGAGTCATGCCATGTTGATCGGGTGGGCTGCTTAGGTCATCTTGAAACGACCTTTGAGCATGCATCAAAGCAGCCTGCGTGGAGAGCTGAGTATCGGGACTGGTCTTCTGATATGTATTCGTATCCTTTGGCACGACGGTAGAGTGCAAGGAGATTGCGCGATCTGACACCCCAAGTGGACCGGGAACTTCTTGTGCGGATGGTAGCTCGGGATAGGTATTTTGCTCTGTCGATGGTGGGGGTCCTGTGCATGTAGAGACCGCGCCCTCCGTGTCCGTGGCAAACCGCAAACTCTTCGATAATTGCAAATTCGGGTCTTTGGGTGGAGGTTGATTCTCATTCCTCTCAGGAGGGACATCGGCCATTTCTGAACCAGCATCAACTGCCCCGATGTCTCCAGCATCGAATCCATCTCCATCGCCCGTTTCCTGGGCTTGCGAAATGGACCTTGACAAAGGCCGATTACAGTCCTCGGCACGCGAGTTCCTCCTATGTGATGCCGGTTTAACACCAGGAGACGAAACATGGCGACGATGCTTTCGATATTCGAAGCGGGGTAGCTGAGACGTTGACGAAACGACATTGAATGAGGAAGTCGTCAAAGCGCTGCGTTTTGACGGACTGGATGGGGTGTTCACGGATGGTGCATGATTCTGCGGATTGCTAAGGGCATTCTCTTCCTTGACAGTGCTTTTCGCGGAATGAGAGCCTCGATCTAGGACGGCAGCTTTCCGCGATCCCTTCGGCGTAGGCGAACTAGGAAGGCCTCCCGTAGAATGGAAATTCGAGCGCCGTCCATCGCGCTTCAGCCAATCAGTCGGCTCGATCTTCGCGAAAGTATGTTCGTCGATATCAGGGAGTTGATCATTGCTGGTGTTTGCGAAGAACTTCGATGTAGAAGCCGGTCGACTCTTCTCACTTGTTCTCGCAGGCCGGGCGGAAGGAGGCTTGGTCTTCCTGGCTCCGTTCGGTGTCGGTGATGCTGAATCAGGAACAAGGGGCTTGGTGGACAGCTTCGTTCCCGGACCTGGTGCTTGTTTCGCAGGCGAACGAGATCCCGATACAGAATTCCTCGAGAATCGAAGCGGTTGCGGATCCGTCTCCTGCACGACCGGCTCAGGGCTCGCAGATACCCTGCGCCGGTTAGTATTTCGCTCCGTTCGACCGGGATTCACTTCTTGATTTTTGCGCCTATTCTTCTTCCACGGGTTCGACCAGCCATCTCCAAACGGACCCTTCAGCGACGCAGAAAGTATAAACAGAGGTCGACCCTGCAGATGCGCCCGGGCGAGCTTTTCGATGCGCTGTCGTTTCGCAGCGCGCTCCTCATCATTCAACTCCTCATCAGATCCCAGAAGATCACTTTCTGGGTCGATTTCGGAGGGCGAGGGCGAGCATGTCTCCAAGGCGACTGGTGAGACGGCCCGGCGCGGCATTGGAGGTTACGACGGAATTCGTCGCTGGTAGAGGTATTTGGATCGAGTGTGCCCTGTAATCTTGTAGCCAGACGCAGGGGTTCTTGGGAGATTGTCGTCATTTCTGGTGGGGGTGATACCAGGCAGAGGCGCTGTGTAGGCGCCCAACGCCCAAACGAGTGCCACTTAACGCGTGAAATGCCCCAGCAACCGCGCGAGACACCCGGGACCCGATTACATAACGCGTGTAGAGCGGCGCCCCGGCCAGGGCAGCCAGTTTAATAAGATGATCAATTGATGGGTTGGAGATCATGATCATACGAGCAATCCCTAGTTACTGACCTTCAGCTGCGAATGGGGCTTAGAGCCAGTTTTATTTCAAGGTCACATTCTCCAGTCATAATACGGGTACTGCGCTTCCTAGTAAAGCAGCTGGCCATATTGAGCTCCAAATACAAGGGTTTGACCTGAGTGAATTGAAGCAGTATATAACTTGAATATCAAGAAGAATATTCACATGAAGGCCACATAGTTAAACAATAGTTGGGCAAAGTAGAAAGATAGGGAAAGAAAAAGAGAAACGCAATCACCACACCACTCAGAGCACAAGGTAACCCAGATCCACGACTCAGCCCTATATGGTCATCAAACTCACAGCATCGCAGAAATACAAAAGCCCAGAAGTATCAACGCTGCGCACAAAAGTTGGCGGGTAGATAAAAAGTGACATCGCGTTCGTCTATGAGAAAACACAACAGTGCTGGAACTGTCACCGAGTGAACTGCAAAAACATCATGTAGGTATAAAAGTGGCAGGGGTAAGTGAAGTAGTATAGACGAGATAAACAGAAACAGGTAAATGGAAGAGGTCGTTAAGAAGTCATCATCACGGAGGTCTCGCTCCGTTCCTTCACGCGCATCGCCTGGGCTTCTAGGGAGCGCGCCATCAATTTCGTCACTGGCCACACCGCAGCCCGGTCGAGCAGACTGGCTGTCGCAATCAATATTTTACACCCGTATCCTCCTTCCACCGCGCTTGGTAGACGTTGCATCATGCTGAGTGCAGACATCGAGCTGCCGTTCTGCACTTGGCGTTGCATTTTTGTTTCGACGTTATTCAGAATCTCCTTGATTTTGTCCACTAGCTTGCAGTCCTCGTCTTCAAGCAGCATTGCACCGGGGACTTGAGTCAGATCGGAATCGTCACGACCCAAGATGCCAAGGTATGGCCCAACACGTTCTTGAACGGTAGTGATCCACTCAGCGAGTACCTGTGCACAATCGAAAAGACACATAGCACTCTGGAGGGGTAGCTCGCGGCAAGTAAATTCGGCAAAGGTATTACCTAGCCGATCAGACATGGAAATCGAGTCGGCCGCATAGAACGCAGCTTTTCGGAGATGCTTTTCTCGTTTTGATTGGCCCGTCTTGTAGACACTTGAAAGACTTTCCATGGGGAGTTCTTGAGTTGGCGTTTTCGAGATAGCCAGACCCCCCACTCCTAGATCGTTGATAGACTCGCGACGGCCGTCAAGCGCAATATTGAGACGGGGGTCAACCAAATCAGACATGGAAGTATCCAAATGATGAGATACTTCTGAACCCCGAGCTAACTCGTCGGCCATGCCAGTCCAATCATGTTGCCAGAAAGCTTCCTTAGTCCGGCCCAGATTCACAAACAGGCGCACATAAGCTAGGTCCAACAGAGGGATGCTATCCGCAGAAAGTGGTCCTGCCCCAAAGGGATTCGGCCTTTCTAAACTGTGAACAGGATTGCTTGCCCATGCAGCCTGCCACGCTCTTAAAGCGGGCTCGATATGTGACTGCATGGCTTCTGTCTCTTGTGCCGTCCATTGGCGACCAATATGACGTTGGCGAGTTTCCCAAATATAGTTGTGTAATGAATAAATGAGAACAAGACACCCAAAGGTACTCGGCCGGTTTTCTGCGTTGCTGGGGTCTTCCGGAGTGGCGCCGTTAAAGAAGAGATTCGAAGACTGATTCTGCGGCTGCCGGTGACTGGCAGTGAGGAGGGAAGTCAGAGCAGACGAGAACGACGGGTTCTTTGAGCCAGCCATGTGTCCACCCATCTGCTTCCACGCCTGTGGCGAGTCAGCTGCCCATAAATCCTCTTCGCAAGGAAGGTCAAGTCGAATTTCGGAGTTTGTCAAGGCAGGTGCATGGTTATATGCCGATACAAGCTGACTGCAGAGCACAAAAATCGCGTAAAGCGTGCGCTTGCGCTCTTCGACGACCTTCCAGTTAAGCCAGTCTCGCCTATCTTGGGGTTGGCTGTATGAAGATGACATCCAATCATCAGGGTCGTCGGATGTGTGAATTCCCGCAGTCAAATGGTCTTGAGACAAATTCTTCGGGTCCAAGTGGTGTGTCAGCTCCGCCGCGCGTGCTAGGCTCACTAGAGCAGCGCAGTGAGTGCTAGCGATGTCTGCAGAGGTCTTGTCACCAGATGTGTGTCCGTATATCACGTTCAATAACATGGCCTGGACCAGCCAGAGCGGGGTGGTTTGGACAGAGTTATCACGGACAGGGTTCGATCGGCTGAGAGCAGCAGACATGTCGGCCTTTCTGCGCTCTTCGAGGTACAATTGAATCATCTTCTTGGCGGCTTCAAAGAGATCTTTCGAAGTAGCCGTGTCGTGTTCATACAAAGCGCCAATAGCTGCCATTGAAAGAATTAGACAGCCACCTCCGCCCGAAACGCCCGTAGAGCTGAGATTGAGGTGCCCGCTCGGGGTACGCAAGTTGTTGCTGTACTCGGGGGCCTGGAAGTTGAGAGTCGCGGTATGGAGAAAAGGAAGATGCGGATGGAAGTAGGTGATGTAGGCCGAGATATACCGTTGCATATCGGGGGGTACTTGGCAGTTGACCGGAACTGTTGAAGCCAGCCGAGCGAGCGAACAACTCTCTGCTGTTGAGAAGGCTACTTGCGGGTTGCGAATACTTGCGGTGGTTGGAGCCTGTGGGTTGCGACATGCTCGCTAATAGAGCCTGTCGTGTGGAGTCTGTAAATGTATCCGTTGAGATTGAGGGATATTGACTTCGAAGGGCACTATTCGGGAAAGGAACGTTGAGAGGATTAGGAGATTCTCCGTTTGCTGCCATAGAGGATGATAACATACTCTGCGAATGTCCTCCCAAGATAGGTTGGCCGACCGAAGTCATGGACGGAGGGGTGGAGTAGTTGTCAGCAAATGGGTTCTGGGCCATGAGCGACTTAGGTGAAATGGTCTCCGGCGCAATGCCCAGGTCATTCAAAGTCGTGGGCGAAAAGTCGAAGTCCATCGTGGCGAACTGGTTAGCAGATGCCGAGGTGTGGGATGGGAACGGGTTGTGCCAGCCATTCGAAATGGGGATGCGGTTAGGGCCATCTAGCATGGCCTCACTAATGCCGCTCTGGCTGCCCGTACTCATTGCCGAAGGTGAGGATTCGTCAATGACCGAGTCCGCCCCATTGCCCAATGCTACGGCAGTGTCGAAACCGTTCATCCAGTCGAAGTTCATATCGTCGTCCATCATAGGGTCCGTGGCAGGATGCATTCCATGGCCATTGTGGCCGAAAGGGGAAGAAGGGGAGTCACCGAAGCCCTGGGGTGAACCCGCAAAATGTAACTGTGCTGGGTTGATGGTGCTACCGTGACCCATCAACATACCGTCAATGCCCATATCGAAGCTGCCATAAACGGGGGCCGTTCGTAATCCACCTGACATATCAATGGGAAGCCCGGAAGTCTCAATCTTAGCCAAACCATTTACTGGTGGGTGGCCAGAACTGAAGCCTCGATAGTCAATATTAGAACCCAACGATGAGCTGAGACTGGGGTGGTACGTATGCCCCGGTTGATTCGGAGTAGACGACGGATTAACGGGGTTAGGGATTCCCAGCGCAGCCCCATCAATGTGACTGATAGTGTTTGCTCTGGGGCGCATGGAGGAGGAGTTAGCGATGGAGTTCTTGCGAACCCGATTAGCCGGAGCACCGGACGCTGTACCAGTACTCTCCCGACGCCCATTCCTGGGACGAGAGGACGGAGTTGTGGTCATATGCAACTTCTGTTGGTGGCGAAGCAATAGATCACGGCGCGCAAAGCACCGAGCACAATCGGGGCACTCGAAGGGCTTTTCCTTAGTGTGCGAGCGCTCATGGCGCTTCAGATGCTCCAACCGGGCGAATGAGCGACCGCACGTAGTGCAGACATGGGGACGCGGCTTATCTGTCTTGGGAGGCGGTATGTTTCCACTGGCGACCTGGCCATTGGCCTCGCCCTTCTTGGTTTCTTTGTTCGGAGCTACCGAATGCAAGGTTCAGCAATCCGAAGGGACAACTTCCAGAGATTTAACTTACCAGGCATTTCTCCGGGAAGTTCGTTGATGCTGGCTAAATCAACCACGGTTGAGCTATGATCGAAATCCTGGCCACTCATGGCATCTAAGAGCATCCTATAAGGATAAAACCGAAGCTCACACTTTTCCCAATCAAAATCACTAGGTGAGATTCTGATAAAGTGAATGAGTGAAGCTGGTGGAATAATTATCGAGCCAATGAGCACAGTCGCTCTGTAATGGAATGGCCTCGTCTCTTGTACTTCTTACTCGGTAATTCGGAGCAACTCGTCCACTTCCAGAGGGACGATCAAGGTGTCGATGAGTTTTACACTAGAGAACGTCGCATCAACGACTGATGTGATCAGACGACATCAGGTCAGCAGGATTGTTCTGTATGGATACGTCGAGTCAAAGTCATCACCGAAGACCCGGGATAACGCGAGTGACTATTCATGGGGCGATACGGAGCGCGATAGACCCACCAGGAAGGACAGCTGCACAGGCAAGATTCTATCGGGAGTACTGGAGATTGTCGGATTCGCGAATGGTTCACAGTGAACCAAGACGAATCAATGGAGGAAGGTATGGCGTTCCAAGTAAAGAGGACCTGGGGCCGGTGGGCAGGAGGGGCGTGTGTCTAGGCTGCTCGGAAGGCGGATCTGAAGGCGACGTTGGTGAGCAAGGCAACCGAAATACTAGCTGTGCGGTCGCAGGGAACCCCCATCCAAACTTACAGGTTGGGACGATGCGAAGTTAAAGTTGTCGATAAGATCGCTCGATCTTCAACACTCCATGGAACACAAGGGGCTTTCCGTCTCGAGCAACGGGGTTGTCGGGAGTAAGTGAGAGCCGGAGATAACCGAGATGCAGACAATGGTCCACGGCGACACCACGAGGAAATGAGAGGTAGGAAGGGGAGGTAGGGGAGGATGGTAGGCAAAGGAGGAAGGGTAGGATGAAGAAGGAAAAAGCAGTGAGTTTCCTCAAGTCTTTAGATTGTATCTCTATCGCTCGCAAGACCGAAAGTAGTTACTTACGGCGGGTGGAAATAGTGGCGGTTTGGGCGATGCAAGTGCATGGAGGTACGCGCGCCGATACGGGGCCGATGCTCGTGGGCGCCGGTACGCAGGCGGTACCTTGGAGGGAACTGCCGCTGCCTGCTTTTGGGTGCGTTACGGGCTGAGTGAGATGCAGATGGAGGTACCGCTCAGGTAGCCTACGGTGCCCACTCCTACGTGCTATCCGCCTAGCGGCCTCCCAACCACCACGCTCCACGCACCAGTGGTGGCAGGCCTCGCTGGCGGTAATTACGGCCAATTCGTGACCTTGGCTCTTTTCTTTACGGGTGGAGTTCGTCTAAAGGACACGGCCGAAAGAGGCCCAATCAAGGGCATGCGATTACCCAGGGTGATACCGGATGCGTCGTAGCCCCGAATCTTACGTGCACGCACGGGCGGCCATCGGCTGCCCACCAGTTCCTGGCTCTCATGATTGAAAAATGCCATTGGCCTGCCGCCACGCAGTTGCTCGTTCAGTGCTAGCGGCGTAACCAGCAGCGCGCTAGTCTTTGCTTCCCTGGTTACTCCGTACTCCGGGGTGTGGACCGAGGTGAAGAGCTGAAACCGTGGCGGATTTGGATTACAAAGAACACATCTCGAGGACTCTTAAGAAGCCCGACACATTTGGGATAGCGGCTATGGTGGAATTGACATATTTTCCCTCGGCATGGGAGGGCCTAGAATGCGCCTCGCCTTTCACCTAAAAAGCATGTTTCATCTGGTAGGATCACCGCTGACTACGGCCATTGACGTTGGGGTCTACCCGGGAGAGATACTCGATGCAGATTAGCAGTTCAAAGGCTCTGGGGAAAGGTCGAGCAAAGGCAGTGGAGCCCACAAGCTTCATCCCAGAGGACCTCGACCGGGGCTACCAGCCCCCATGGCCACGAAAACAAATAATACGAGGGCAATGATAATCAAAAAAGCGCCTCGTGACGGCCCCGATCGGCAACGAAATGGTCGAAAGTAGCGAGCCAGGCCGGTGGGCCCGGTCTATGATGGGTGGCCCCAGGTACCCAGATCCGCACGAGGCTGGGACACCAGCTCCAATGGCCTTGAGCGGACGGATCCGCATCGCCCAAAATAAGGGCCATGCGCCATTTTTGTGGGGGAAGCACAACCAGCAAAGAAAGGGTTCGTGTGGGGGGATTTCCCCCTGCAATGTTGGTGTGTCCAATAATGAAATAGCTTTGCTGCGTCGGCAGATTCAGTTGGGTCACAACCAATAATACCGAGCGCCTGGATGCGAGGCGTGATTGGCCGTGCCAGCTCACCTCTTCCGATGGTCCTGTTCTCCAGGCTGCACACATGGATCACTCTTATTTGGATGCGACCCTCAGGAATCATGTCCACATCCTCGGGACTCATTCGCCACTGGCCAGAAACGGCGTCCTTCCCTGCGGATGCACCAATTCCACTATAAATTTTCACGGTTTCTAGAAAATGAGACCGGGTTCGGAAGACTGCTTGTCCCGACGCACGATGCAGCCACCGGGTTGATTTGACTTTGGGTCGTACAGAAGGAGGCGAGAATCCCACCCCGGACTTTCCCAGATGCGCCCCATCCTCTAGTGGCAATGCGGCTGGATATTGGTAGCTGGAAGCTCCATAGTTCAATATTCTGCCCAGTGCAGGCAATGCGAGCAATTATTTCAAATAAGAGGTGCTCCTATCAAAATCTTAAGAGTTTGCTTTTTCCGCTGGGAAATCGGCGCCACAAACCATTGAAATCATCACTTTTTTCTGCGCGATTTGCCCATTCGGCACCGTCAATGTCCTCGATTTATCTAGATTGGAGCACCCGGCAGTAACGGCAGCAAATTTGACAAAGCGAGATCATCAAACGCACAGACATCTCGTTTGCAGAATCCCCAGACCGGGCCATGCGCCACTAGAGCAGACTAAAGCCACTAGGGCGAGTCTGAGAGGCCTGCAGGTGACCCGAGATGACTTACGGAAGGCAGCAAAATGAGAAACGTGCGGTCCAGTCCGTGGAAGTGCCCGCCTTTGCTTTTGGCATTAGCTTCCATCTTCATTGCTTTCCGAGAAGGCCCTGTCCTACTCGCCACGTCAATGTCACCTGGAACCCGGAAGCTACTCATCCTAAATACCGCCATGTTGAGCTACAGGCGTCTGCAGGTCCGAAAACAATGTGCTGGCGGCCATTACTGGAGACAAGGCCTTGGCACGCTATTCCCTTTTTCTCCCGCTGCAGGATGTCACAGTCCATCGCCGACAGCCGTCCAATAGGCCCAATAGTCTCCCCCTGGCGGAGTGTACTTCCAGAATGATGACTCTGCGTCATTGTGCCGCTACCGAAACGGCGTCCGATGAATCGAGTCCACGGCCGTTATTGCGTAACCGCGCTTTGCGGGTGACTGCTGGTGTACTCGTGCGACGTAGGCCATGGCTGTCATGTACAATGATAAGAATTGACCAGGTCGACTTGTGCTGTCACAAGATATCGCAATTAATTTGGGGGGGTTGGACATTCACAGGGGTACAATGACAAATTAATGGTGTAGTTATAAGACACTCCGGCCTACCCGAGAAAAAACAAACATGACACTACGATCCCTAATTGCCAGACCCAAAAAATCCGCCAGAATCCTCCAAAAGTCCCTGATTTAGATACCACCCCAAATTCTCCGATGCATGTATGCGCGAGGATCAGAGGATCATCGAGTGGCCTGTGCCCTGCACTGCACGATGGCATCGAGCCGTCGAGGTGCTACGCCTAAGACGCAGGGCTCCACATCGGTCATTTGGCCGCTCCTGAACAGATGCACTCGTTCAGAGATGCAAATGACAGGCGTGTCCTGTGGGGTCTATCGAGCTGCGAGGAGTGAATAGAAGCTGCAAGACTGTACGATTAACAGCTACACTCAGTTCCTGGATCCTCCTTTTCTTGTCTTTAGTGCTGGGGTTAAGAATCCCGCTGATATAGGCCGCTGGAAGGTATGTCAGTCATACAACTGCCGTGCATGGAGATGAGTATTTATTCGCATGAACACAAAATGGATCGAGACGTCGGACAAGGACCGATTCTTCTATCTTAGCACGGCAGAATTCAACAATTGCGCTGAGGCTCTTGTTGGGATTCGGTGGCCTTGGGCGTCAATTGCGGCCCACTTGCGATAACAGGGGCCGAGGATCTGCCGTGCGATTAATCGCCAGGGTTCTATCCCAACTGGCGGACCCTGGTTTGCATGGCGGTTTGATCGGACAGGTGAGCGAATTGTTTCAAGCGCGATCTCTAAGCGAATGTCGCTTTAAGTAACTAGCGGCACGTCCGTACTGGGAGCAACTAAACGACGAGCTTGACCGAAGCCGTGCGTTCAGGCGGGTGACGAATGCCAATCTACGTATCTAAGCTGGATAGGCTAATTAGTTAGGCCTGGATAGTTGTACCTAGTAATCTACTCCAAATTCCTTTTCTACCCCCAACCGAGTTGGAGCTCGGCAATGTGCTTACTGCCACATCCCGACATCAAACAGCCAACGATCAATTCGAAACGCAATGCGGCGCGCATATTTCCGGGAGATTTCGTGGTGGGGTCTGCAGTGTAGCCAGTCAGATGGGAACTTTATCCGAAAATCAGTCGACGGACGTCGCAATCCCATGATTGAGCCCGATGCGGAATCTTTCCCCCAAAATGATTTTCGCGGTCACTGTCCGGTGTAATCCACTTCCATGGGATGTTCATCGCCACTATGTCTCCGCCCACCAAAAAAGGGATCGCCATTATTGGCTTCGAAGGAGGCGCACTTTTTTTTTAACAGCCTGCTGGTTAAGCTCGGAGCTCACTGGATCCCAATGTCCCTGCGCGGACGATCAATAGGTCAAAGGGTAAGGGGCCAGGGCGATGGAGCCCAAAGAAGCGCCAATCAAACCAAGTGTTCAGACCTGCATCGACGGCACATTCCACACCTGCACGAGGATCACCTGGATACAGGCAGTGGCGACATGAATGTTGGGTCGGGATTTGCCGGTGAAAATAGGCGCTCCGTGTAACAGTTAACGGCAATTGGGCTACTACTGCGTAGGTCCTGAAGAAGCTTAGGAGTCAGGACGGTGATAGTGACCAGACTTACATCGACCTTACAGTAGGTCAGCAGGTGGATCGGCGGGCCTACTTTGGCGCGGATACGGCGCCGGTGACTGGTGGAAGGCTGGCCTTCGCGATATGGCGACATTGCCCAATCGGTGCACGTACATCCTACATAAAATTAGTACAATATGATTAGGCTCTCCTTTAGTTTCCGGTACTAAAAGTAGTACTAGTTTTCCTAGTGTTCCTAGCGCCCTTGAGCTGTCCTGTATTGCCACACAGGTTTCCGGGTGTCTTTGGGTCTGCAGCACGTTTCGAACTCTACTTGGTGGTAGCGCAGGATCACCCCACAGAAGATGCAATGACCAGAGCGGCTAGATCTAATACGATTGACCGGTGGCGGTTTCCTTCATGCATTAGCCGTATCGCGTATTGTGACCAGGTTCCCGCCTTTCGCTGCACCGACTCCAAGAGGGGCCTATCGTATAAGGTGCCTGTAGCTCGTGAGAGGGAATCTCCGGTAACTGCATGAATCATGACAGATCGAGTGGTCGCAGGAACCATGTGCTCTATCGTATGTACCACGCATGGGAACGGGAGAGTCTTTTAGCGCCGGGCAGAAGACGATCATCGTGCCTGACGTCGCTCTACATGGCCCCATGGTCCTTGTTGACATCGACTGCTCCCAAATTGCAACGTGAGTACAACGTCGCCAGACTGTGTCTGACCCACGACTCCACAGAGCAAGGACGCCCTTTCGCACGGCCTAAACTAATGCATCCACTTGGAGACGACGTGCCCCCAAACACCCCCCATGCATGTCATGCAGTTCGGTCGAACCCACTTCGCCCTATTCCCTTCTTATAACATCTAATTACTCCCACCTCAACCCATAGGCGCTTATCAGTGGAGCACGGCGCTCCGTGTCAAATCACTTCAAACCTAGAACCCAGAACCCAGTGGCGGGCCTACACGGCTCCATCAGCCACGAAAGCGCACTAGATCCACAAAACAAATAGCTCCTGGCCCAAGCTCCGGTCTGGCTCGCACGGACAATCCGCCAAGGTAAATAAGTAATTCGTACTGTGCATGATCGGTGCGTACGGCAGGTAGAAACGGGCAGATCCACCCTTAGACCCAGTCGTAGCATACCAGAAAAATACGGCATCGCCACGCCGAAACACCACGCACGAAACTTGAGCCACTGATCCTCCTCCCCGGTCTCGGCAGAAAAGAAAAAGAAAAAGAAAAGAACGATGCATTCCAGCCTGGCTCCATCCCACCCGCCCACTAAGCCTGCCACCCGCCGCCCGCCAGGATGTCAGAACCGCTCGGCCCACCTAGCATATCGTCGCACCCGGCTCGGAGCCAGCCAGGCGCCGAGAAATGGCGCATTATGGCGATCTAGCAGTCTCATCTTGTACCCACCCAAAGCCACTCTGCACCCACTGTACTCGCAGGCTCCGCTAACAGGCGGCTACAATAGCACAATGTACTTCAAGAGGGTGTACTAGTATTCCCTATAGGTGGGTACTAGCAGGTAATGGAGTTGCCAGCTGCAGAGATACCGCTGCACGTCGGATATACTAGGGGACGCTACCAGCAGGATTCCAGTCATTTTATTCGCTGGCGCAATAACTCGCGCTATTAGTTGCTAGTTCACGTTGACTCGTGATCGTTGATCACTGGCAGCTGGAAGGGTCTTACGTTAGTTGCAGACACTCTATACTTAGCACTAGGCGGGCCATATCGCCGCCCTAAACATGGACGAGAAAGATGTACCTTGGCCGGAGTACATTATCCCGAGTGTCGAGCTCTTATGCAGCATATATCTCACACGCACGAGGAAGGGGCGTCCCGAATGGGGCCTCAGTCGGGGCGTTCTTATTGGGCATTTCAGGTGGAAGGGGAATACATGGTTTTAGGTGTTTACACCATGATCACTGGAGGCATTTGCGTCATGCATAAGCTACGAGTACCAGACTGCACTGCCCAAGGATAGGGGAGAAATGCACTGCGGGTTTGACGCTTGCTCCTTCCGCGGCCCAGAATGCATTAGTCCCCTGGACCTGCGAAGAGGCTCGATGTATCTGATAGGAGGAATGTCCTGGTTCCGGCATCCTAGCTTCAGTGCGGGCGAGATATCGCAGGTGATTCGGGCCAAGAAAAGGATGGATGACTCCCAGAGGTGCCGCGTCTATTGTAGCTTTTTCTTTCTTTCTCTATTTCTTTCTTTTTTCTGCTCCTTATCCTTCTCGATATGCGGTCGATACCAATCTCTATGCATAATGATTAAAGGTGAAAGTCATAGCAACGAACATCAATCTATACGATGGTTATGCCCCGGAGTAGTAAACTAAGCTGAGAAGCCTGATTTCTAGAGGTTATAACGGTTAGACAGTAGAAATTTTCGAAATTCTTCGCTCTATCATACTTTCATATTATATGACGGTGCTCTGACTCCCTGCGGGATAGCACAATAGCAATACTCCACTGTACATGAATGGTATATGGGAAGGACATCACACATAAAAATACTTTTTGAAATGCCAAGATGAACCGATGGCCTAGACACTGATGGTCTTGAAAACACTGAATAGGGATGAGATGTTAGTATGCTTGGTTAAGAAAAGAATTGCGGTAATCGCTCACCTGAATCCACCACTGCCGGTTGCCATGAGCGTTCCGGGCATCTGGGCTTGCCAGTGGACCTCCTTCACGGACTCCATGTAATGAACGAAAAGCAATTGAGGAGGAATATCAGCCATGCCCGCCTGTCTGTTCTCCTCGTCATCCAATTCGACGGCTAGATCCCACAGGGTGACTGTGTTGTCAGCCGATCCAACAGCAACAACACTATCGTCTGTGGGGTGCCATTCAATGCTAGTGATAGGCTCTTTGTGGAAATCAAACGACGCGACAGGGGATGATTTGATCTGAGATGAAGGAGCAGCAGTGTCAGGCTTCCAGTGGCGCAGATCCCAGACAGCCCACTGACCGTCATCCGCGCCGGTGGCAAGGAGATGGAAGGTTTGGCTAGACCAACTCATGACATTGACGTCGGTCTTCGAGATGTGAACATCCACGGCGGGCTTGCGAGACTTGGACCGCACATCCCAAACCTTGACGCTTCCGTCACTACTTGCAGAAGCGAACACATTACGCTCATTGGGTGACCATTGGATTTCCTCAACTGATGAACTGTGGCCGGTGAACGGGCGGTTGTCGGTCACCCAGCCGCCACCTTCAGTGCGGCTAGTAACGTATATCAAACCATCATTGTCACCGGTCAGGAGCTTCCCTAAAGGCTGAAGAGGGGACCAGTCTAAGGCGTAACCTTCGGACTTGTGCATTCGAAGGGTTGAAAGAGGCTTGTTCGCAGAGGGGGGAATCACAGTGCCAGGTACATCGAAGCTGGTGAGGTGGGTAGTGACATCGTGAATGAGGATCTGCGAGTTCTCGAGCATGGTCGCGGTGAGAGTCTGCGGAGGCTTCGAGTAATCTGCGGATTGAGAAGGTGTCTGGTGGGTGCGAATGCGGTTTGTGGTTGATCCCAAGGGAATTGACTTGTGTTCGAGGATTGGTTCCCCTAGCTCGTCGTCATCCGAGTCTGACTCCTCGTCTGAGTTCTCGCCATCCTTCTCCATCTTGCTCAGCCCGCTCATCTTGAGCACCATAAGCTCATTATCCTTTGCCCTCCCACCCTCGGCCTGGGTACCCGAGACGGCATATACAGTTCCCGGGAATGTCTTGCGGTTGTCACCAAGTGAGTCCCGCACAATGTCAAAGGAAAGGCAGGGCCACGGCGTACTCAAAGTGTGGAGCATGTCGTAGGTCGAGGTATCTGGTGACAGCGTCTCTCCGGGTGCCAACTTCGTACGTCCAGGAATAAACGTCTCTTTATCAACTTCCATTGCTTCTGTTCCAATTTTCTCACATTAGCCTGTGTTCGGAGACGTCGCTAGCATAGATAGCTTTCCAAAATTCAAGTTTCTACCTTTCTCTTCCTCTTCGCGCTCAGCATCAGGGCGACCATCGACGCCTGCCTCAAAAATCTCATCTTCACTCTCAAACTCGTCCTCATATTCGTCCTCAAACTCCCCCCACCTCATCAGGAGGGGCATCTTCCATTGGGCGGTCGCCTGCCTTCAAGGCAGCCGACTGCTCGTCGAAGGCATCCGCGGGTCTCTTGGCCATATTTGGGACCAGAAGAAAAGCCCTATGGAGGGAGGGTAGAAAGAAAAATAGAACGGTGGTGTGTGGGGGAAACTGTAGAGTGCGATAAGAAGTTTTTCCAATAAATTTTGGGCGGGCAGAACATATACGCTAAGCCTATCGGGGGTTAGCGCAGATCCCACTGCGCTCCCGCATCGAATCGTCGAATCGTCGAGATGAGAAGCTGAATACCTCCGAGACGTTGGTTAGCAAGCTGCAGGCTGTCTTGGGTCCAGAAGACCCGGACTTGTATTTCTGACCATCGGCTTTTGGCCTTCTCGTCAACTCTCCCGCGGTGCCGTTTCTGCCACTGGAGATTGTTTACATTTACACCGACCTTCCAACTCTCCGTCTCACACATTGCCCAGTCGGAAAGCTTCACGCTTAGTGCATGGGATTTGACGCCCCGAGATCCACAAGGACAGTTTCAAACACGCCACTCTACGTTATCAAAGCAGACAGGACGCTATCACGATTCCAGAGCGTCAAGGCGATTGGTAAGTCGTGTGTTGAATTGGGCTTCTCCTTTCCAGCGCTAACAACCACGGGGCAGCCAGCCGCCTCCTTCTGGCAAGAACTCGTGCCCCGATAACTCGTACCCGCAACGCGACGCATATCTAAGTGTCTCAAGATGGAACCACTACGGCAACCTGATTTGGAGATTCCTGCTGTTGCAGCACCTCAACATCCCCCGGCTGAAGCTTCGGCACCCGATATACCTTCAATTCCCTCCGAAGACCCTCTCGAGCACCCAGTAGAGCCAGCTGCGGAGACTGTACCTGGCCCGGTTGCAGGAACGGAGCAAGGGTATACTAGCGACTCTAAAGGCCATCGCCACACCCCCTCCGCGGATTATCACCACTCGGCACCGGAGTATACTCCCCAGGACGACCCAGCCTCTCGCCTAAATTCCTCCCCTTCTTTAGCCCAGCAACCTCCACTGCCTACTGCATCTCGCCCTGGGTCTTCATTCTCGAATGGTCCCGACCGCAACGCGGTGCCACAACAGCAAGCACAAGAGGCCGCCCAGCGCCAACCGGCCCAGGCTTCGAAGAACAGCGTTGTGATCAAGGTTGGCATGGTCGGTGATGCTCAGATTGGCAAAACCAGCCTGATGGTCAAATATGTTGAAGGCAGCTGGGATGAAGACTACATTCAAACATTGGGTATGTTTGCCCATGAGACTGCCCGTGAATCCTACTGACAAACTTCCTCTCTCCAGGCGTCAATTTCATGGAGAAGACAATCTCAATCCGCAACACAGAAATCACTTTCTCCATCTGGGATCTTGGTGGCCAGCGCGAATTCGTCAACATGCTGCCACTTGTGTGCAACGATGCGGTCGCAATCTTATTCATGTTTGATCTAACACGGAAGAGCACCCTCAACTCTATCAAGGAGTGGTATCGCCAGGGCCGAGGATTCAACAAGACTGCTATTCCATTTTTGGTTGGAACCAAGTACGATCACTTCGTCAATTTCCCCCGCGAGGATCAAGAAGAGATTTCCCTGCAGGTTGGTTGTCATTGCTACATAACATAATGATCCAAATACTGACAACCCTTAAGGCCAAGCGATTTGCTAAGGCTATGAAGGCCAGTCTCATTTTCAGCAGTACTAGCCACAGCATTAACGTGCAAAAAGTATGCCTTCTTCTAAACCCTTGAGTCGTCTAACTTGCTAACCCGTCTAGATCTTCAAAATTGTTCTCGCCAAAGCCTTCGATCTCAAATGCACTATTCCAGAGATCGAAAACGTGGGGGAACCGCTTCTACTCTACAAGAATGTCTGAGGCTTGATATAACCTACATGGCTTTGTACATTGGGATGAAATTATGCTTCTGATGATCGATGCTGTCCCCTGGCTCTCTGGGCCACGCGAATCGCATTTGTTTCCCACCTATCGCTTTCACTTACGATGTATTTTCATATTTCTTATGTCTCCCGACTCTTCCGGTAACTGCGCTCATAAGCTATTCGACTTGTGTCTTCGCCAAAGTTGGAAATGATGAGTCCTTTCCCCCTTTTCCCTTCTTTGTTTCTATTGATTTCTTTCCGTGTATTGTGTATCGAATGAAGCGAATCTTCATCTCATTCCTCTGGGTGTATCTACCGTTTCTCTTTCTTTAGTTTCTATTTCTAGATGGGGTGATCCTTTAGCGGCCTCGAGGATCCCCCCCGGAGTGCAAATACTCAGGGTAACGTGCTGAATACCAAATCGGAAGACAAATAATTGATTTCCCCACATGACCGCAGACGGCGTAATCTGGCGTCTTGCCATATCGTATCAAAGATAAGATCTGGGACCCCATCACAGCCAACCGTGGGCCGCACGAGGCACAGTCCTATCGTTGGGGCGGCCCCGCTGTAAGAGCCTCGTTCGGCATTTCTGACTTCGCCTTGAACCCAAGACGCCACTATACGGAGCTTGAACATTTCTGACTGCTTGTCGCCTCTTTCAATTTAGCGCAGCCAAGACCTCCCGCCAAGCCACCAGGTTTCGGGGATCTGCCTCTCCCGACGTTGCGTTCTCAACCCATGAGCTAGCAAGCATCATGGCGACAGAGGAACCGCAGTTGGGATCGATACAGCAGCGAATTGCTGCGCTGAAGCAAGCGCAGGCTGGCGACGCTGAGCCGCAGTTTATCCGTCCCGTCACTGAGCGGAGTAAAACCGCCAACAATCCCCCATCTTATCAGGTCTCTGGCTCCGTACTGGACGGTGCCTCCATTGGAAACAAGCCTGCAGAGCCTACAGTACGTCGACCAGCGCCAACGATCCCTTCGAAGCCAACACCGACGCCGTCACCAAAGCCTAAAGCCCCTCCTCCACTGCCAACACGCAGAGCAGATCGCCAACCACCTCCTCCACCCGCGAACCCCCCTTCTCGCCCCAGCCTACCTGCGCGCAGACCGACCGAAGACTCCACGCGCAGACCCTCTGTTGAATCCATTACCTCCGATGCATCATACTCGACCGCAAATACAACAGTGGGGAGCGTAGGGCGCGGCGCTTCGACGACCTCTGTGAACTCCATTGGGAATGGCCGACTCAAGGCACCGGCATGGGGCGCCGAGCTACCCGTACTGCCTCCCAAGCGCCCAAAGGAAGACCCAATTGATATCCAGCCCCCATCGCGCTCTGAATCGAAACCAAGCGGCGGAATCACTAGTGGTCTAACATCCAAACTCCAGTCTCTTCGAGGCAAGGCTTCTTCATCCTCCCTCTCTTCGAACGCGCCTGCACGGCCTGCACGGCCTGCCTTTTCTACACGGCCATCCCAAGAAGACGATTTACAAAGCGAAACGCCTCCGCCACAGCCGGCGCGCCCTAAATTACCTACGCGACCGTCGCAGGGGGACGGACGCCCGAGCTTGCCTACGCGGCCATCGCAGCAGAGTATTTCCCACGACGCAACACCGCCCGCGCCAGTGCCTAGGCTGCCCCCGCGGCGACCCAGCGGGTTTGGAGCGCCATCGAACGGGACGAATGGCCAGTCCAATGATGCAGACAATGAAGCGCCTCCGCGTCTCCCAGCTCGCAGATTACCGCCACCGCCAACTGCCGCAGAACTGGATGGGATTCGGAAGAGTGGCTTCGGAGACCTCAAAAAGCCTCCAAGCATGCCTGCTCGGCCCAGCAGCACCCCAGCTCAGATCGAGGAACAAGACGGCGGCCCAAATGGCGGGCCACCTCCAGTCCCTCATGGATCGCGCCCCGATCTTGCTAAACTGCAAGCAACAAAGCCTCGCTCGCATGCCTGGATGGGGGCAAGCCCGCCGGCTGCTTCCTCAGGCACAGAGTGTATGGGATGCCGGGATTTCTCGGCCCCTGATAACCGGGGAGCACAATATCCCCGTGCTTCTCTCCCTACTCATGATATGGGATGGCTAGCAAACGAGTTGACCGCTCCGTTCCCTTCTCCAACCGACAAAGCAAGAGCCATCTTCTCCTGGTTGCATCATAATATTCATTATGATGTTGTTTCATTCTTCAATAATAATGTCAAACCATCCACACCCGCCAATACTCTTGCTACGGGGTTGGCAGTTTGCGAAGGATACGCAGGACTATTCGCCGCACTTGCCAATAAAGCTGGCCTTGAGGCAATCGTGATCGGGGGTCATGGGAAAGGCTACGGATACACACCTCTGGCACCGGGTCAGCCAGTACCGCCCTTCTCGATGGGCCATGCTTGGAACGCGGTCAAGATTGATGGCGGGGAATGGAAGCTGATCGACGCATGCTGGGGGGCTGGAACTGTCAGCGGAAAGGGGGAGCCCTACAAGCCTGGCTATAACCCCTCGATGTTCACCATGTCAAACGACGAGTTTGGCTTGAAGCATTTCCCCCAGAATAAAGACCATTTCTTCCGCGACGACGGGCGCTACACCATCTCCTGGGAAGAATACATCACCACCAATCCGGACATGCCGACTGGTCTGCCGCCTATTAAGATCTACAGTGATGTCGACAAGCACAGTATTGGCCGCCGCACCTTCGAGCCTGCAAGTGGCAAGTTATCCGTGTATGGCACACCGAGTCCCGTGCGATTCAAGTTCGGATTGGTTTGTGAGCACTGGACTCTGGCCCATCACAGCCGCTTGAAGCCAGCACTCTTCCTCCTCATGATTCATGGCATAGACGGTCGCAAAGACGACCAGCTTCCATTCAGACATGTTCCTGGCTCTGGGCCTGGTGGAGGCGGTGAATTCTGGTATGTCGACGTGCCTGATGCCCAGATGCTGGGTGCTCCGGGCCAGAAGGTGCAGCTTGCTGTGTTGACATCGTTTGGAGACCGTAAGGATTGTCGTGGTCTCACGGCAGAGGAGTATGAGAGTAAGAAGGGTCGGATTGGCATGGCTTGGGCTTATATTTGCGAGTGGGAGCTGGTTCGGTAGTCACGACTTGCATGATCTCATTCATTCCAGCGTGTCGGTTTTCTTTCGGTCAGAATAAGCATGCGAGTTTAGCAATATACAATATCAGAATCCACAATCTCAACTAAATACGGCCATATACACCGTCTGACTGGGTTTTGAAACCACTAGTATCGTGAATTCGACCAGGAGATTCGTTGATACCTTCCCCTCCGTGACTGAGTCCCTCCCACCGCCAATAATGAAACCCACAGCAACCGGCCTCAAGCCTTCTTCAAAGTCTCAAAATACTCGTCGCCCATAATCATGCTCGTCAAAGGCAACCCCAAGTCCTCCGGCTTGAACATACAAGAATCGATTCTATAATCATCGTTCTCAGAAGCAAGGTCAACAACCAAAACACCCTCCGACCGCCAACTCGGTCCCACAACCACATAGTTGAAGGGATACCAGTCCAGGTCTCCCGAGTTGTTTCCCGTAGTGGGCTTCCAGCCTTTATCCTGGTGCAGAACATGGTGCTCCAATAACTCCAGCGGGGATTTCTGGCGCAGGGTGTCCAGCCCCGGCGCGGGCGTCAGGAAATTAGAGCAAAGTTCTTCGTCAAAAAGGACCGTTTTAATGTAGTTGTCTTTGGCGATTCTGACGACCTCTTCGAGATCGGAGACTGGAACGTCGCCTTGGGCGTACATAAGGATTGCACCGAAGTCGACGTGGTAGGTCATCCACTTGTCGACTTCTTTCTTCCACGCTGTGGGTATTTGGTCTGTTGATGGCGGCGTGAAATTCATCGTATATGGTAGATTGAGCTCGAGATGTTCTGCAAGTTCTGGGCTAATACTTGTGAAGGTCAAATGTCGACAGCCTTGTTACTTCGCAGAATGGGGGGCTGCTTTAGGTTTTCTTGGCAGGGGCCAATTCTACAGGGTAACGTCATGCAATATAAAATTGATCAGCATAGTCTTGTGGCTCTGATAAATACTCAATGCAAATCTGAGCTCCTATAATGATATAGAAACACTCTGTTCCCGGCCGGAACACCCCTGGAAGCTTTCATAAGCGAAGAAAGCTGAGAGATTGAGCTCTCAAGTGCAAGTCGATTTCAAGTTGGAGCTGGACGGCCCTGTCAGGAAGCCCAACGACGGCCTTCTTGCTCATCGATACATGTATATGTGAAAACATTTCGCCAAGTGATTCTGGGTAGCTTGAAGGACTCCGGAAGAGACCAAGGGGAACCTTTGCGGAAGCGAACGAGCCGGGCCAATGCTGAAGCCATGCAGAAGGCGAGAGAGGTCTATACCAAGGCACAATTGGAAGTCGTCGGGGGTGCCAGGGCCCCGGGGACCGGATTCCTCGAGAAAGAGATCCTGGCAAACCTAGGTGACTATATTGTCACGGACGCCGTGGGGGTTTGCTGCTAGGAACATCGTACGGAGAAATAGCGACGGACAGCTACGCAGTAAGGTTCAGTTGACTCACCATGTTTATTTGCCCATTTCCTATTTTGGATACACATCTTTTACTATAGAGTAATGTCTTATTTTAGACAATGAGATTACGATTCAATTAGATCAGCCAAGTTTAGTCTGTTCGATTTTCCCACCTCGGTATCTCTGGTGATATAGTGCTAAAATTCAATTCTAGGAAATATCCCAGGATGACAGTCAAATCTACCACATTCTGTTCACCGATTTCCTCACTCTCTTCCTAGTCTTAGAAATTGAATCATCGATAAAAGGTGGGACAGATTCTTTTTTGATCCTTATAGGCGGGATACCCAGGGAACGTAAAGGTTGGCAGGAGGTGCGCAACTTTTCTATACGCGAAAGAAAAAAAACGTCCAGCACAGGATTCGAACCTGCGTGTCCGAAGACATTCGCTTAGCAGGCGAACCCATTAACCACTCTGGCAACTGGACGAACTGCTTACAAAGCGGGTCAGTAAAGGCAGTAAGTTGCTGGATATTACGGAAACATGCCACCTACGTCATCACTTTCCTCTTCCCTTGTTTTCCAAGCCGAAACCTTTTTCGAGACACGCCCTTGAAACGGATAGCTACATAGGATGAGAACACCGTGTAGTACAGTAGAGTGCAAACAGCCGTTCTAATGGCTCCATAGCAGTCCGAGCTGCGATCTATAATGAAAAGGAGGTATGCCAAGACTGGATGTCGTGTTCGTATATTACGGGCGGACTGGAGCTCAAGTCCCATGTTACTAGAAACGCTACTCTATCATCGCGGACCGATAGATAGCAATGGATTCTAGAGCAAATCTCCCGATGAAGTTCTCGTAGAAAGTATGGTCCTTGTTCACAAAAATACAAGTGTCTATCCGTAGATCGGAATGTAATTCCACGATCTCCTCCAGAATTGATCGACTACATCTTTCTTTTTCCACCCCTGCACGTGAGAGCGGATGGATCCTCATCGTCAGAATCTCTTAATCTCCGCCTCCACGCATTTTCTTCCCCCAATTCTCCCCGAGCAAACCACCCACATACGCCACAATGGTTCGCCCTCGCGGTAGGTCGAACCTGGGCGTAGACATCCGCGGCGACACTAGCGCCCCCGCGATGTCCACCATGAACGACGTCAGCCCTGTTGAGCCTACCTCCCCGACATGCATAAGGTAGGCGAATGCGTTCCTCGTCATGCTCCACGGTCTTCGGTCGCATGCTAATACGACTCTCGCGCAGCAATTGGACTCCGCAGTCTCCGAGAAGTCGAGCAAACCGCATGCCAAAAAACGCCGTGCTCGCTCCCTCCTCCATCGGTTCGCGGATACATGCCTCAAGTACACCTGGCTCTTGCCGCTGCTTATCACGGTGTTCCTGCTGTCACTCTATGCAATTAACCCCACCACGTCGAATCCCATGCACAGCGCTATCTTCCTGTCCTATCCTCAGCCGCCCAAGTACCCCGGCGGTCCTGTCATGTACGGAAAGGGCAAAAAGGACATTGCTTTTGTGGCCTTCTACACCGTCGTCCTCTCCTTTACGCGCGAGTTTATCATGCAGCAGATGATCCGTCCTCTGGCTGCGTATGCCGGAATTAAAGGTAAGGGCAAAACGGCGCGCTTCATGGAGCAGGTGTACACGGCCCTGTACTTTGGAGTGTTCGGCCCGTTTGGTCTGTACGTTATGAAGCGATCGGATATCTGGTACTTCAACACAACGGCCATGTTTGAGGGCTTTCCTCATCGCGAGCATGAGGCTCTTTTCAAGGCATATTACCTCCTCGAGGCGAGTTACTGGGCACAGCAGGCCATTGTGCTGCTGCTGCAACTGGAGAAACCGCGGAAGGACTTTAAGGAATTGGTCGGCCACCACATCATCACTCTTGCATTGATTGGCCTGAGCTATCGTTTCCATTTCACGTATATGGGTCTCGCTGTGTACATCACGCACGACGTTTCAGACTTTTTCTTGGCTGTAAGTATGGACGGAAAGGCTATAATGAGATTTAGGGTCCTGACAATTGTTTCTAGACCTCGAAGACGCTCAACTACCTCGACCACTGGATCACCGTTCCCTACTTCGGCATGTTTGTAGGCATGTGGATCTACCTTCGCCATGTTCTCAACCTGAAGATCCTCTGGGCTGTCTTGACGGAATTCCGTACCGTAGGCCCCTTTGAGCTCAACTGGGAAACTCAGCAATACAAGTGCTGGATCAGTCAATACATTACCTTCGCTCTCCTCGCTAGTCTGCAGGCCGTCAACCTCTTCTGGCTATTCCTCATCCTGCGCATCCTCGCCAACTACATCTTCAACAGTGTCAAAAAGGACGAGCGCAGCGACGACGAGTCCGAAGAGGAGGAGGTAGAAAATGCGGCCGAGTCTAAGGCCGCCCTGGTCACGGGGGTGGAATCTTCCGAGCAGGAAAACCAAGTCCCTCCCGTACTCGTCAATGGAGAGCCTGCACCCGAGCTGCATAACCTGCGTTCTCGCTCGGGGAAAGCATGAGCGGCCTAGGTGTGGAAAAAGCCCTCTCGGTGACTACATCTGGCTCCATGCCCCAGCCTGTGGTCTGTCGCATTTGACTTGTTACTATCGCCGCTACGGGGGTTTTCCCACCCCCTGTTTATAATTATGCATTTTCGAAGCTCGGGTCCTATTGCAGTCGCGGGGCTGAGCTTCTGCATTGGGTGCGTTGTGCGGATTTGAGATTCCTTCGTGCACAGTCATTTCTCCGCTTGTCATGACCTTGAATTCTTGTTTCTTTTTTCTCTTTCCCTTTTGCATTCGGTATGGCTGACGCGCTTGGGATGAATGTATATGATCACGGGGGAGTGTGTATTTGGCACGGATAGTATGATTTTTAGGACCCAAGGAAATAATTTACATGGAATTATTCAGCTTTTTGGAGTGTATTAGCGTTTCAGATGTCATAATGGGAATCCGAATATGCTATGGTAGGGAACAGGCTCGTTACCGCTATCGAGCTTTTTCTCTGTGTGGTGTAAAGTTGAAGACCCCCGGTGAGTTGCGCCTTGTTGCTCAGCCCCGCTGGCATTAACCGGCACATTCATATTGCTCAGTGAAAGCCATGAATCATGTAAAAGAATGCTTTCTAGGATATTGGTCAGCACCGTCTTGATATCTCGGCTACCAGTAGCTGGAGACTTGGAACATCTGCACGCACCTGACGGCCGAATAACTCCCTGGTCGGCAGCTCGTCGAATCGCCGGTAAATACAGAGCGCGTAGGTACTCATCCGACAAAACATTACTCCTTAGAGGCGGGGCCTCGTCATCAGAACCAACTGCTAGTTCTCGTGTAGCATCAGAGTCCACTGCCCTGATCGGCCTCGGGGCTGACTCGGGCCTCGTCTTCTGGAAAGGTGCATATACACAGCTAGCAGCAGCCCCGAGTCTGGTGCATCGATCACAGGGACTCTTCCGATCACATCTGCGCCTGTGCCGGACAAGCGGGTTTAGCATGCGACGCATCTAGAAATCATTATACGAAGAACCAGGCTTACTTCTTGCGCCGACACTCCATGCACGATAGTTGCGGCTTGTTTCGTTTGCGGCTGGGCGGAGGTTGGTTTGTTTTGTCCATGAGTGGGGGATTAGGGGGATAAATGTTTCTTGTGGCCAGGTGGACTGGCAGAGGTTTAAATCATCGAGAGTGATCCGATCCCGATCGTCCGCAAAGGTGGGGGCCGATCTGGCATGGTTCGCTTCTGATTGCTGGGAGCCATGAGATGCTGACACTTTAAGAGCTACGTGGAGTTAACAGTGCTCATGGGGGTAGGGATTGGGATTTAGGAGATAGATCTGCTAGCTGGATGTTCCGGCAGACACTGGCCTGGTGCTGCTCTTTAGTATATAGTTCTCATGAACCCCCAAGGTCGTTGTTAGTACTCATAGCTCCCTCACAACTGGAGATCATTCAGATTTCCACTACTATGAAAAGATCATAATGACTGGAAATAAGGGAGCTTACCAGTCCTCCCAGAAAGCTGCGTCCTTTGAGGTCAGAGATGGCCCTCGACCTCGCCCTGGCACAGGTCAAGTCATTATCCGCAACCGCGCCGTTGCCCTCAATCTTATCGACACATGGATTCAGTCCCGCGGCAACATGTACACATGGCTGACATTCTTATTTGTGCTCGGTTAAGACATGGCGGGCGAAGTCGCCGGAGTCGGGAACGACGTGAAGCGATTCAAAGTTGGCGACCGCGTGTTAGCCTTCAGCAGGGCAGCCGAGAAGGAGATCAACGACTCTGCCCAAGGAGCCTTTCAAGAGCATACTGTCGCGTACAAAGACCTCACGTCACGAATCCCGGCGGATCTTGGGTTCGAGAAGGCCGCTACGCTCCCACTGGGCGTCGCGACCGCTCTGAGTGTTCTTTTTGATGGCGCCCAGCTTGGACTCCAGCCTCCCACAGAGTTCTACCCGAAATCCACGAGAGAGACTGTTATTGTATGGGGTGGATCAACGAGTGTGGGATGCAATGCTCCAGCTAGCCGTTGCAGCTGGCTACGAGGTGTTCAGCACAGCGTCGCCCCGGAAGCACGAGCTCGCTCGCAAGCTGATTGCCACCAATGTCTGGGATTATAAGAGCAAGACAGCCGTCAGAGATAAGATTGCGGCTCCGAAGGGGGAGGCTCTTGCCGGCGCTGTGTCTATTGGGGCCGGGGCTGCAGACAAATGCATCTCCATCCTTCAGCAGTGTCGATTGGTCTCCATGATTACCTTTCCTATACCCCATGATGACCGGCAGAGCTTTCTCGTGCTGCGAACTGCAGTTCCTTTCCTATACGCTATAATTTCATTCAAGATCCGCAGCATGTTCCAGGGCTTAAAATATAATCTTGTTGCGATTGGCCTTACACTTGAGAACGGGGTTGCGCGGGAGGTATTCACGGATTTCTGGCCCAAGGCGCAGGAAGCTGACAATTTTGTGACTTCCTTCAAGCCAGGGGTTGTTGGAAATGGAGTGGAGTGTATTCAGTCTGGGTTTGCGTTGCTGAGGAAGGGTATGTCGGCTAAGAAGCTCGTTGTCGCACTTTGCATGGAAGTATGTCTATTTGCTTATATACTGGTATACCACTAATTTACCACTTTGATTACATATGAATAACGGGAGAGAATTAATAGGGTATCGACCCCATAATGAGAGGGAATGGAGAGAACCTATGATCAATTTGTGCGCTTAGCATGCCGCCATTTCAAGTATGCGACATACAGACTCCGTTCCAGCCTGCAGCTTCATCTGGAGACCCGTTATGGTCTCTAAGCCCGAGCCCAATTCCAACAAATCCATTGCAGGAAGAGGCGTGCTTGGATGCGCGGGCATACTATCCGAATGAGTATACTGCGGCCTGGTATAGAGTTCCGTAGCAATATTTCAGAAGGCAACCGCGAGGGCAAGCTTTCGATCGAGACCACTCCCTGTATTCTTTTCATCCTGGTTCGCTGGACTGGCAAATAATTTTGTCTAGAGATTTGCAACTTTTAATCTAAATTAGTCCAAGGTCACGCGTAGCGAACGGGAGAACCCTCAATCAGCGGTGATTCCGAGAGCTCGTTCCCCGATTGCAACTTGGAATAGCAGCCCTACGGGTGAGTATCACCAAATTCCAATGTGACAATTCTGACAAAGTTAGTCAGGAATGTTAAGTGTTTCCGGATTCAGGGCCTGATCTCGGAAAACGTCTACCCTGACTGGAAAATGGCCCCTGTAACGGCTACTCATCAGGGAGGGAAAGCGCTCATGATGTGCCGCTTTATGCCAATGAACGGTTGTCGGGCGTGGACCCATGCCCTATGTCTCCATGTGACTACTGCTGCACGTTGAGAACACCGTACGAAGGGGCTTCGGTCACACAGGCCACTCAGGCTCAGATTGAAGTTATATTCTTGCTATGGATACATGGATGAACAGATTACACGGAAAGCGCGTTTCGGGGTTCCAAGTCATATCTTGACATAGATATTTGTAACATTCGTTACCTCGTAAAAAGGCAGGATTCTACAACAGGCCATCTCGGAAAAGACAGCATCGTAGATGGTAGGTACGTAGGTACCTTATTCATCTGCCTTAGAACTGGCCTTGTCAGAACCAGACGACTCTTCCTGCTGAGAAGAATTGGACTCTGATCCATCGGACTGATCGGCGGATTGTTTCTGTAAAGAAATGGTGAGAACTGTAAACAGCTAGTTATGGGTCTCTTAGATGAACAAACCTCATCATTGCCAGACTCGGCAGAGCCTGATTTCTCGCCATCGTTCTTCTTCTCTTCTGCCGGAGACTTGTCTCCTTGTTCCGACTTGTCGTCATCCTTCTTGTCCTCCTTCTCATCATCTTTCTTCTCTTCAGAAGCCTGCTCAGGCTTCTCATCTTCCTTTGACTGTTGCTCTCCATCAGCAGTCTCCTTCTCAGCTTCAGGAGCAGAGCTCTCTTCCTGAGATTCTTCGGCATCAGAATTGTGGGACTCTTTGCGAACTTCTCCATGTGCGCCGCCATGGCTGTCACTGCGTGACGGCTTCGAAGGGCCAGAATAGATAAGGTATCCAATAATAGGACCTCCTATCCCAAGAGACCCAAGAAGCCTGTTGGAAAGAATCGCACGGTTAGCAATTGGAAGATATAGACCGAGACCAAGGTACGTACCACGGCAGATCACTGGTCGAGTGATCATCATATCCTTTGTCCTGATGCCCGCTGGATTTGAATCGGCGACCAATCACCTGGGAGGATCTTGTAGCCAAAGGAGCTGTGCGGAAAGCTCGAGCAGCATTGACAGCCTGCAGAGTTGAGCGACGTGCAAAGACCATGGTGGTACGATGGGGGTGATCAAGAATTGACGAGGCGTGAGAGGGTGAGAAGAGAGGAAGAAACATCAACGGGAGGAGCGGCACCGGGGACCAGCCTCCCCAGCTCTGGCACTAAACAGGAATAGTAACGGCATCGTAAGACCAGTTCCCTGTATATCCTGTTGGTCTGTGCGGTGGTGATGTAACCCCACAGGAGCTCTACATTTGAGGCATGCACGGCAGGGTCTCCATCGAGATTATTGGAGGAAAGTTTTCAGGGGTGACACGCTTCCCTCTCTATAATATATTGGCCATATTGCAAATAATTCGACCATTCTGGAGAGCAATGGCACATTGAAGCAGCTGGGAAGCTCGGACGGCCGTGTGGAGATGGCTGGAGCTCCCGCCTATCAGATTAGATCAACTATTGCATCATCCAGCCCCGGGACCGCCTACGAGACATAGTATTCCACCCACCTACTATGCAAGGACTAATTCAATGAATATGGTATGCTCCATGAATGACAGGTGTCTTTTGTATTGCTCAGCGTTTGATCTTCAAGGAAAAGGAGAAACTCATCACGAATCTTGAAGTTCGCTTCGACTTGCGCTCCAGGAATATCTGCCTAGTCACGAAGCATGCAATGGCACCAACCGAATGCGGACCTTCAAAGTATCTTCTATGTATTTTTGGTTACCGTCGCTACCTCCATTGCGAACACTTACAGTGAGAGAAAAGGACCAGCAATGAATCATACATAGATGTGTCACGTGTGATAAGGCATCACGTGTCAGGAATGGCGCGTGTCTCCTGATGATCCAGGCGGCAACTCCCCGCACGTCCGTAAGTGGGCTGCCAATTTACAGGCCTCCTGTTGGAACCATCTCGCTCCCTTCAGCGCACCGTTAAACTTCCTACTGCGACTGTACCTGTAGCTACTCTATCAAGCTAAGCTGGCCCTTTCTGGAACCATGGTGGACCGCCATGTCACCCAGCAGAACATCTCCAGCTTGCTGCGCAAGCTCGAAGACTCCGACTCGGATTTACGATACATGTCATTAAATGATCTTCACGGGATTCTCACGAGTCCCCAAATAGCGACCCTTGGACCTGATAACCGATCAGCAAACGAAATCTCCAATGGCCTCCTCAAGGCCCTTGACGATCAGCATGGCGATGTTCAAAACATGGCTTTGAAATGGTTCGCATCACGGGCCCTTGGACATTGATCTTGTGCTAACCCTACCTGTCATGAATTAGTCTCGGCCCACTAGCGCTCAGGCTCCCTTTCGAGCTTCTCATTCCGCTTCTTGAGCAGTTGAGCAACCTGACCACATCCCAAACCATCGACACCTCTGTCCCTAATACCGCCCTTCGCACGATCGTTGACATGCTTCCCCGGCCCCAACCCGGCCAACCCGCCAGCAACAGTGTCATGGTATCATATCGGGCTGTCTCACAGGTCCTCATTCCCCGCCTGACCGGTCCCACCAAATCTCCCTCCGGAAGACGCGGATCCATGGTGCCGGGTATGCTTGAAAAGGACGCTTCGAAAGGGTTCAGCAGTGATGCCATTGACGTGCTCATCAAAATTGTTACGTGTTTTGGACCTCTTCTCCAAGAGTCGGAGCTAGACGCTTTGCAGGGAGCTGTCATGGCCATCATCAATAATGACACTGCTGGAACCGTTGTTACCAAGCGAGCGTTGGCCGCCATATCCGCGCTAGTTCTCCACTTGTCCGATGCTCAGCTTAATAAATTTGTTGACGAGATCGCCAAAGACCTGAGTTCAAACATTTCGATTGTTCATCGTCGCCACCTGATTGCCCTGGTTGGCACGATCAGTCGAAGTGCCCCGACGAAGATCGGCCCGCATATCCCCACGCTTGTTCCTTTTGTATTTGCCGCATTGGGAGAAGGGGGCGCGCCTTCTACCTGAATTGGTTTCTCATTCTCGAAAACCAAGTCGGGAAGAGATCCCCCTGCCAGCCAAGGTGCTTGTCACAAAACGGATCCTACCCCATAGAGTCTGATTCGGCGCTCGAAAATGATTCTGCATTTGCTCATCCGCCATCATCATGGCATTGCACAATTTACACGGACTAGTGTGGGAGCATGAATTGCTTGAAGCGAAACTTTCACGATTTTCAAAAGGTATACTAAACTTAAAAGCACAAAGCGTACAGCATAACAGAATTGAACGACACCCATATTAATGATTATACCAAGTACAGAATACGTGTATGCCCTCTTTACCGGGAGGTTGCACTTTAGTAGGCGCTTATGGAGTCCACGGAGGCTGGTAGTGGAGTTGCTCTTTCCTTCCATTTCGGCTGGTGCTTGCCTTCCGCGAGAATCGATGTTTGTGCTGTTCTTTGCTTCCCCTTGTGTCTTCTCCCAAAAGCATTTGTGGTCTCCAGTGTATTCTCCATTTTGATACTCATTTAACCCAATCCGTATCAATCCAGGATGCGTTCTTATCATTTCTTCATCCCAATTAGTCTTGCACTTACCATCCTTCCATGCCTGGGCGCGTCGGTTACGGGTTCCGTCACGATTGACGAACCTGCTGAGCCAACTGTCGACCAGCGGCCGGTCTTACTCACTAGTCAGACTGAAGACGGAGCATCGGAAGCAATTCCTCAGTCCGACAGTGCCGCGGATATTGATGAGCATCTTCCCGTCTCACACCTCCGCCGAGCTTCTGGTGAGGTGACCAAAAGCCTCGAATACCGATGTGGGGAGAAATGGGGAAGATGCCCCAGTGGGACCTGTTGCTCGAGTGTCGGTGAGTAGTGTATCCTGAAGAAGAAATGTGCGTCGAGGTTGACATTCTGTCCGTTCGGAGGTTTCTGTGGCACGACCAAGGCACATTGCCGGTCTCCAGACTGTCAGATTGATTTTGGCAATTGCGACGCTCATAAAACCCCCAAGGGTCCTCCTACTAAGGAAATCCTACGTCCTCACATCGGCGCAGTTCCGTACGGACCTGAGGAGATCCGTTCTTGTGCGGTGCCCGGCACCGTTGCTCTGACATTCGACGATGGCCCTACCCGATATACCAACGATCTGCTAGACCTGCTGGACAAGTACGAAGCGCCATCCACCTTCTTCATAACCGGAATCAATAATGGTAAAGGCCAGATCGACGATCCGGATCTTCCGTGGGCCGCCTTGATTGAACGTATGCTCCTCAGTGGGCACCAGGTGGCCAGTCACACCTGGTCTCATGAAGATCTCAGCAAGGTGACAGCTGTACAACGTGCAGACCAGATTGAGAAGAATGAAGCTGCGCTTCGCAATGTCATGGGAAGCTTTCCCACCTATATGCGTCCTCCCTATTCCAGTTGTGCTAAGGATTCTGGCTGCCGCGAGCATTTGGGAAAGTTGGGTTATCACATCATCTTGTATGACATTGATACCGACGACTACAAGAACGATCATCCGAACTTGATTCAACGCTCAAAGGACATCTTCGACCAAGCTCTGTCCGCTGCTAGTCCCGCATCCAAGTCATGGCTCATCATTGCTCACGATGCTCACGAGCAGACGGTCCATAATTTGACAGAACACATGTTGAAGACGATGGCGCGTCTCGGCTACCGTCCCTCCACAGTCGGTGATTGCCTCAAAGACCCTCGGGAGCTATGGTACCGCAAAGACAGCCGCTGGCCAGGTCACCGCAAGAAGAAGGGCCCCAAGAAGGCGGCTCCTATGCAGATTTCTGTTGACGGTACTTGTGGAAAGAACTATACCTGTCTGGGCTCCAGTTTTGGTATCTGCTGTGGCAACTGGAGCACGTGCGGGAATTCAACTTCGCATTGTGGCCCTGGCTGCCAGAAAGAGGCCGGATATTGTACAATCGAGGCACCACCAAACGGAGATGCATGGGATCCCAATTTTCCGCACAAGAGCGGCAAGTCGGAGGCCGATTCGGACTATCGCAGTGTTGGTACTGCGGCCGCGACGTCGCTCTTCTTAGCAATGATGGTGGCGTTTTGGATGTAAATCAATTTTGGGCCCTTGGAGGCCGTTGGCGGAAACCATCCGCTGGCCTGGTTTGTGAACTTGGCGGCTGTCTGTGGCCGTATTATTCCCAGCTTGGTGTTTTTCTCGGTCTATGTATTATATCCACCTACGCTCCTTGCTTTGATGTTTCCAGTCGTATGTCCTATTGTGGAGGCTCGTTCGAGGAACTTGCGCAACTTCTGAGTGACCTCGGAACTTACTGGCCTAGGTGCGGTGTTCCATCAGATGAAAAATGTTAGTTATGATTCTTATTTGTGTGCACACTAGAAGTACGGTGGAGGTAGGGAGTAGGCCCATGGTTCTAGTTTTGGAGGTGCCAGCATTTGAATGCACGAGACTGGGTATTTCCTGGAAACCATGCAGAACAGTCATAGTATTGAAACATCAAGACGGAGGATGAGGAAAGCAGACAAGAGCAACGGGGTATATCGATAAAAGCAAAACAAAACAGCAAACTTCCGAGTAGCACCCTAACCCGGAGACAGAAAGAGCTGACTCCTAAAGGGGCGCCCAAATGGTGAATTCGATACTCGGCATCCATCCCTCATTTCCGCACGACCTTGAGCAACGGGGCAATTCGAGCTCGTTTGGATAGTCCGACACGATAGGGCACTTTGCCTGCCGAAAACATCGGACTTGGTCTGTCCAAGCTACTGCGCATACTGGCTGCGGGCGTTTTAGGAAGCTCACCAGGCTCGGCTTTTGACGGGGCTTCTTGTTCAGATGTCTTCGGCTCTTGGTTTTCTTGGTTGTCAGGCGGTGCATCTTTGCTGTCCTTGCCCGTGTTTGGGTTTGATGCGTCGCCGGCGGTATCTTCACTTTTGCCTGCTTCAGTGCCAGAGACTGCGCCGCTGGTCTCTGTTGCATCGTTCACTTCTGTAGGCAAGGGCTCTTGGGCGTGTCTTCGGGTACATTTTTTCGCTTCCTTCCGCGCTTCTTCGGAGCAGGTCTCTCTGTTGATGGTTTGGGTTGTTGGTTCATGGTTTGGGATGTCTTCGGTTCTGCCTGTGGAGGGTCACATGGCATGGATGGCTGTCGTTCGGGCTTTAGGTGGGAGTGCCCTTGGCCTTCCTCCGTTGCTTCAGCGGATTTGGAATCTATCCATATCACATCATCGTCGGTAGCAGTCGTGCTCTCGGTCTCGGTGGCCTTTGCCCGCTTCGTCTGTTTCTTTTTCGGTTCCTTTGTTGCCTTCTTTTTATCTTTAGTGAAGTTGGGGGTGTCGGCGCTAGTGACTCGTGAAAGTGCGTTGACGTTCAAAACCACTATCTTGCTTGCCGGCATCTCTGAGGCAGTAGTATCACCCGAACTATCATCCGCGGTAGGTATGCCAGCAGCTTTGGGGGGCCGGCCTGGACGTCGCTTTGCTGTCGGCTTGGTTGTAGAAGTCAGGTCTGAGTCTTGGAACAAAGCAAGCTCGTCGTCTTCGTCTTCGCCCAATGGCTGCTTCTTTGGACGGCCGCGCTTCTTCTTCGCGCCGGCCACTTCCACGGTGGGAATAGGCAAGGCGAGCTCGTCGTGGGTGTTTCCCGGTGATTTCTGTGGAGATACCAGACCAGACGTTTGATCCTCGTTCTTGGAAGTATCCGGCAGTGGTGATATTACTGAGGAGAATGGTTCAGTATCATGGGGTGAATAAGTAGCGGATTGAATTGGCTTGGCTTGATGCGCAGCCTTCTTGGAAAGATTATCTCCGAGATTTTCGGCGAGTTGTGCCGATGGGGAGAAGCCGGAGATATCTTCGTGCGCATCCAAATTGGTGGAGGCTGCAGGCGTGCTGAATCCTGGAAGGAGTGGCTGACCCTGCGGGAGGAGCTGGGTCGCCTCGTAGGGGCCATTTTGAGGTGCATGAGTGAATGCGGGCAAATATTCAGTTGAACCCCCGTAGCGGGGGTATTGGAATTGTTGGATTGTTGGAAAAGAGCCCGGTTGGGAAATCTCGCTTGGGTAGAATGTTGCCGTAGACGGGATATATTGACCTGCATTGGAACCCTCGTCGTCGAACAGTCTTTGCTGTGCAAGACCTATTTCAGCCATAGTTGCACCTGAAGAAGGTTCATTAGCCATACATTCGATTGGTGGTAGCCCTGCAGGACTAGGCGTATAACGGCCTCCACGGACAACTCACCAACTGAGCCACCCCCGCCTCCATCGGCAGAGGGAATCCACCTTTCTTCACGTTGGCGTTGAGATGAGGTAGATAGCGCCTGGGTTCCATCTTGGGACTGGAGGAATTGATCGAAATTGACACTCAATGCTGGACCTGGCACTTCCTCCGTGACTGGGTAGTCAGCTTGCGCGACTGTTTCGTATGGATCTTTGTTGCTTGCATCGTCGCAGTGATTTGCGGGAGACCCGAGGTCTTGCAATGGGTCCGTTGAGGCGGGGAAATCGTCCTCAATGAGGGGTTCTTCCTCATCAGAGTCTTGGATGACTCTGTCCCAGCTCATCAGGGGCAATGCAGCGCGTTGGGACGCAGAAGCCGACCTTATCAACTTATCGACGCGTTGGAACACGAAGCCACGTGATGATAAGATGTCCGGTGCTCGTCCTTTCTGCCCACACGCGAGTACAATCTGGCATGTACGCAGTACAAACCATGTCTTCTGGTTGCACAGGTGGGAATTTCCACAATATCAGATCTCCGATCAGGCTTTATTGGAAACTACCGGACTCGATAGGGCAAATGCATCATTTATGTCAATAGCGATATTTGGGTTCAAGTTCCTTGGTATATAGTGGCCCCGCGTGATGAGCCTCGACGGGTTCTTTGGGTCTTGGCCCTAGGCCCATTAGTGGATTGGGGTTCAAGCTGCAGGATTGGTCGGCCATATAGAGACTCGACATGACGTGTTGATGCAAACTGCATCGCACCAGGACCCACCTTAACCGGGCCAGGATCCTGTCGTTGTAATTGTTTGCATCCGCGTTGATGACCATCGACACAGCGTACAGAAGCCAAGCATTTCGGAGATATCGTCCTCCAAACTGCTCTCTCCGATTCAAAGATCCGAACTTCCGAATCCGCCTGACATCTTACATGTCAAACCGGAACGCCTAAGCACTTCAATGGAACTCGCTTCCTCAACTAGGGTTTGATAACTCGTGCTCAAAACATTCAGTCAAATATGTCGATCCTTCTTCGCAATGCGACCATCCTTGTTCCGTCGGGAACCCCGAACGGCTATGTCGTCCCATTGCGAGAACACTCACTCCTCATTGAGGGAAGTAAAATCTCCCAGATTGCCCCGCATGTAGAGCCGCCGGAGAATACGGAGATAATCGATTGCTCAGGCAAGATTGTCTCTCCTGGCTTCGTCGATACGCATCACCACGTGTGGCAAACGCAGTTGAAAGGCCGTCATGCCGATCAGGCCCTTGTGGAATATTACCCAAATGGTATGCAGAGGAAAATAATTGAATTCTGAACAGCTGTTGAACCTTCCACAGGCAACGCCCAACATGCAAACTATACCGCAGAAGACATCTTTTGGGGGCAGCTAGGAGGCTGCCTCGAAGCCTTGGATGCGGGTACCACTACCGTGGTGGATCATGCTCATATGAGCGAGTCTCCGCCCATAGTAAGCTAAATTCTGAGGTCGCGGGGTACGATAAGAACTTGGACCAACAAATTATACAGCTTCAAACGCAGTCGAGGCTACTATTGCGTCCGGTATCAGATCTGTGTTTTGCTATACCCCGACAGAGCGAACGAAGACATGGCACCCCGAGATGAGCGTGGACGGCAGTTTGCTCGATGATTGGGTCATAGACCATCTGAAGAAGCTTGCAGCACTGGCACCCTTTGGTGACGGCCGTGTGGAGCTGGGGCTGGGCTTCGACGGCTTTATGCTCCCTAAAGAGCAGGTTGTGCCGTTCTTCCAACAAGCTCGCGCGCTAGGCACGAAAGTCATCACTTCGCACTATGTTAGGAAATACTTCGGTCGGTCAAAGCACGGTGCCGCATAGCCATACGCTAACCAACTTTAGGGGATGAGTCGCTGGTAGACAAGCTAGACTCATACGATCTGCTTGGTCCCGACATCCTTTTGTCCCACGCTTCCAATCTCACTGAATCCGATATTCGGAAACTCAACAAGGCTAGAGCTTGGATCTCTACAACCCCAAGTACAGAGTTACAGATGGGCCACGGCGATATCGTTTGCTTCCGAGAGGGTTGTACCGATATAAGCTCCTTGGGTATAGACTGTCACAGCAACAACTCAGGCGACATGGTCTCACAGATGCGCCTTGCCTTGCAGCACGAAAGAGCAACGCGCAACGAGCAGCTCATCGCCCAAGGCAAAAGTACCCGATCACTTAATATCTTTGTCCAAGATGTTTTCCGATTAGCTACCATACAAGGTGCCCGGGCGATTCACGCGGAGGATCGACTTGGGTCTCTTGAAGTCGGGAAACGGGCAGATATCGTCGTCTTTGACGGAACCAGCCCAGGAATGATTTGTGCGGCGGAGCAAGATCCCGTCGCAGCTGTTGTGCTTCATTCTTCAGTTCGCGATATTGAGACCGTCATCGTCGACGGGCATGTTCGCAAATCGAACTCAAAAGTGGTCCCAGTATATGTGAGACCATCTTTGGAGGAATCCTTTATTTCCGAGCAAAGGCTTGAGTGGAATCAAGTGGCAAGAGAACTGGTAGCCAGTAGGAAAAGAATCGAAGATGCTGCTGCCGAGTCCGGGTCGAACTTTAATGACCGCGAGCCTCTTGTGGAGGCCTTCATGAACATGGCTCATATGGAAAAAGCGAAGTTTGTGAAGCTGTAAGGATGTATAATCCTGGTGTCTACCTAAGGGAGTGTATTCTTGTGATGAGCTTGTTCATATTTCGATTAGGCATGCTGATGATATTCTTGCTGCCTTTGACAGCCGATTGAATGACATTTTGAAATATAAAACAGAATAATGGTCAATAATGCATCAGAAATCATGCTTTGATAGTAGAAGCCATCTGGTCACCATTCTCCATGTGGATGAGTGCTTTGTATCCTCCACTATACTTCTCCCTGCCTCATGACGACCGTCCTGGCGCGTCCTAAAAGCCGGACGGGGTGTTCTCACAGATACCACTTTGGCATGTCATCCAGCCTTGCTGATTTAGAACCTACCACTTGAAATCCAGGAAAATCCATTATACTCATCATCAGCCGAATTTATGCTGGGGACCAGAAGTCTAGAAGCGCCACATCCGCAGAGATATCCACCCTCTCAGCTATACCCACCCCATATTCGTACTATTTAGGAAATATTGATGTTTGGTGATGCCTGAATATCAAGCGACCTGTATTTTACTCGTAAAAATCATGTGATTCCAGCTAGAACAACATTGAATGGTCATGAAATATTTTTAAGGCATCTATATCACCGCTTTTGGCAAGTAGGTTTTTTTTTTGGTTGGAGGGGCATAGTATCGCCCTAAAACAGGGAGGATATGATTCTGCGAAAGTCTTGTTCGGTGATCACGATGTCACCTCCGCCACGTCTGGCGGGTCGGTCATATAACGCAGCAAATGGGAGAATCATAGGAGCCCCGAAAACGGCAGCAGGTGTCATCTCCAATTTGTGTCCAGAGTATATTTGCTGAGCGAGGATCGGTGTGTGGGGGCTTTGACGATGTAGACAAGCTATATCTGCTCGCCTGGGAGGGCGGGTGTTTGACGGCGCTAACTGCCACTGTTCAAATAAGACGGCGGTTCCCTTGATACTGATCACAAGTACAATCCGCACATCCCCATTTGAAGCTGTAAACCACCACTTTGCGTCGTGCCGGAGACGAGGGAGGGACTCGGACACGCCAGTCTAGATAACTAAGGTAGGCCAGCCCTGGAGTTGTCCGCGAATAGGCCGGCGGGATGGCGGAACGAAGACTTGATCGCCTTGCTTACCCCGAGTAGGAGTAGGCTTGTAAGTAGTATGTCCTAGCCATATCGCATTATCAAACTCGATTCCCATTGCATAAAGTTGACGATCAATCGCCGTATGGAGCTGGCCGGTAACAAGTTCGTGGGAGGGGGATAGGGCTATCTGGATAAGGCCTGTAGTTCCCTCCCACTGGAAGCGGTAGTTCACGTTTCCTAGAATACCGTGGCCCTCGTCCTGTTTTCGAATTGTTGATTTTGGCAGACCGAGGACAACTAGCCACTGGTTTCCCCCTTGGTTTTCTTGGAGCAACTGTAGAATAGTTTCAGCGTCGACGCGGAGTCGACTGAGTCGAGAAAAACTCCGCACTATGTATCCATCAGGGAGACAATCCATTATGGAAGGAAAAGCAGAGAGGTGAGGTCGTGAAAGATGGAACAAGATTTCTGGTCATCATGCGACAGGCAGTGACCGATCTATGACACTTACCCACTGGTACTGAGGGATTAGAGTTGTTGGCAACAGTCTGAGCTCAATGACAATCAGTTATCGCTCATTCATCTCTCACTTATCCCTCTCTTGTCTGGCATGTAGCACTGAGAGCTGCTCTACAACTACTAGTAAAAGCCTTCAGAACTTATCGAGATCCTATAATCAAGGTTTATCGGCCTCCGCCCCCTGCGACACCTGGTCCCATACCGACTAGTTGCAGGACCTCAAGGCTATCGATAAGGGGAGACCAACTCGAACTTGGGAAATAATTGATCTTGGCTATCTATCACTAATATAACTTCTCAGGGGAGTCGCATCCCTAGTCACCTGCGTGCTCCATATATTAGAGATGGGGGTTAGTTGTGATCTCCACTAATGCCGCACCTGTCTAGACATTGGCCAACCACTTGACTAGGTAGCAGAGAAGAAAGAACCCCCCCATGTTCACTCGTTGTTTCACTCTTTTTCAACAAGCTAGCTTCAGCCACGCCCTCGAGACCGTATGATCACTCAAGCTCTTCTCCCGCATCTCCTCCCACGGGGTTATATCCTCCCACGAATAGATCCTCTCGCAGCTCCCTACCGATTCAAAAGCGCTCAGCAGCGTCGTCGTCAGCTCTTCCAAACAGGGATCCGACAGAAGACCAACAGAGAACATCCGCCAGTCATCCCACAGAAACACCCCCAGTCGTCTGTACGGAGCAACATCCATCATAGTCCGCGAATACAGTCTCCCTCCCCCGCCGGCCAACTTATCTCGACTTTCTGATCGGAAAAACCGCATCTGCCCTGGCGCCAATAATTTCGATCTTGCGTGCGAGAGCCAGGTCTCCGTTTTGTAAGCTTTGGCGGGAGCAGCCGGTGGGCTCCAGAAGCGAAATTGCCTCTCTATTTCAGCAGGAGGCTCCAGTGATCGGATAAAAGGGATGGAGGAGTGTCCCGGGAACCCCCAGGCTGCGTCTGAGAGCCAGTTGGATTGTGCTTCATTGGGGGCGACTGGATTAGAGCAGTCAAAACCCATTCCCACCAGCTCTGAGGCGACGGCCCATATTTGCTCGGCCATAAACAGATCTATGTTATTCCAGTCTCTATAGTGCTGGACTATGCCATCCGGCTCCATAGGTGTATTGTGGACGTTTTGGAGATCAGCATAATGTTGGAGGTGCCATAGTGCCCACTGGATACGATACTCTTCAATCCAGGCAAATGGCCTGCCGGCATTCCGACCGCGAATGGCGTTTGGGACGTCCCCAGTATCTTGGGATCCTACCGCAGCGACTAGATTCGCACGGAAACGAGTGAGGCAGATACATGAAAGCCGTTGAATCCGGGCTGCGGTATGGAGTACGTGGGCTGCAGTGTCAGGGTTGCAGATCTGTTCTCTGATTTCGGGGGTACCGAGGTCGAGTTTCTTATACTCGTCGACGCTGGTATAGCAGGCTTGTAGACTGCGAGCTAATACTATGCTTGATACCAGCCTCCGAATCTCGGAGGTGAATGTGACCGGGTGTGAGGATAGTAGATAGTGTAGTAGGGGATAAGGATCAGCAAGGAACACAGCTTTGACTTGTGGAGAAGCACGTATCAGGTTTTCTACACTCGCAAAGTCGCCAGTGTTCCGAATGATTTCCTGAGTAATCTCAGCTGGGAATCGCAGAAACGGGTCCATGATGCGAATACTGTGAAAGAAAGACTGACATGGAAGAAACAGGACCGAAAGGTGGTACGTCAGGGAGGGGAAGTAAACAGGGCGCAACTACGCTTAACCTGCTTGAATGGGCCCAGAAGGGCAGTTTCGAGCATCATTGGCTCTGCAAGGGAGGTGGTACTTGCGTTAGGAAACCGAATACTATGCTCTTACTCTCTTCTATCTGTCTCTGAATGCCAAGATCTTTCATATTCATGGTTTTTCATTCCTATTATTTTCAAGTACCTAGGTATCTCTGCTCCACCCTTCTGAAACTCCCAATAATTAAGGCCGTTCCAAGGGTTGGGGTTCCCCGCATACCCCTTACGCCCCCACATGAACTTTATGGGGATCCGGAAGCCCGAGGGCTTGATGTCTTCAAGTTATGAGGTTTGAACTATACGAGCATTGGTCTTACTGGTATCTCTAGAGTGTGCTGATGTGGCTAATGTTATGGAAAATTATCATCGTGGACATTGCGCGGACATTGCCCGCCCAGAACCTACTGGAATGGCGTTGGAAACAACCACAGGAGACCAGAATACAAAAGAATCTCTGCCTTTTGAAAATAGAGCCATTTCCATGCTGACGTGTATCGGTGAGCCCAGCCCTCGCTGCTAACAATATTTCAAGAAAGTATATGGATCGTCATCTCCGCCTGAAGAGCCCAAAGAAAGGGGGGTAAAAAAAAAGAAAAGACAAATGCAACGAATCGAACAGTAAATACAAAGGCTAGTCATGAAAGGCACCGGGTATCTCAAGCTTAAGCGACACACAAATGCAACGAGGTGACTGAGACAAGATTACAAGACACCGCCTGGTAAATTGATCGACGCTTGTCGCCCAGTGTCAAACCCGGCACTGTTCGGGGCCGAGGCAGGGATCCCGGCTGAATATGGGTTGTCCGATTGAATCTTCCGCAGCATAAACATGGGCTTGCGGCCCTCGCGTTCAAGTTGCTTGAACAGGAGAAGAGGTTTCTCGTCCAATTGGAGGCATCGTTCCTGGTCTCCGTACACAATATACAATGCATAGTCTTTGGGATCGCTGTGGATGTTGTACTTCCGCAACGCGGCGGGAAGCACCTTGTAACAGGGGTCTTCCCAAGAAACACGGAATGACTTGAAGATCTCTACGCTGCTTGGGCCGGGGGTGCGCCGCCGGCACGTGATTGGCCCTGGCAGGGTAGACGGGGTTTCGGTTCGGGTGGGGCCAGTTGGGCCAGGCGTGAGTCGATCACCGCGCGATTGCGTTCTTGGAGGGTCTTCCGGCGGGTCGTGCGTAAGCCGACTACCGGTAGCACCAGGCTGTGTGTAGAATCGAGGGTTCAAAGTTTGTTGTTGGGCAGTATGGTTGGGCGAGGTTGGCGACGTAGCTCCTGGAGAATGCTGTAAACCACCATTTACCGAAGCCATGAGATGGGATGAAGCGGCCACGGCCGCGGGGGAGGGGTCCAGGCGCGATCCATCATGGTGATTCCTACCTTCGTAGAATGAAGGGGGATGTGGGTCGGCGAGTTGGTCTTCGGAGTAGTCCCACCGTACGTGCGCTTCGAGAACGCACGTGCCAGTTTTGATGAGGAATTCTCGGTTAAGGTGAGCGAAGAAGTATTGGAGTGGAGAGTCGGAGAGTCATAGTGGCCATCCGACGTGACCGAGGTCGACGGAGGGGGGAGAGGTTGAGATCGGTCCTTGGCCATTTTGATCATGGGCAAGATCTCTTCCGTAGCCGCCGGTATTCATCGGTCAAGCGGCGAAGATCTGACTCGATTGAGTAGATTTTCTGGTCCCTAATCTGGATGGATTGGATGAGACGAGTAATATCATGCTGGGTAGCGTTTTCGTTCGGGCTTTGGTCCGCCGCTGGCGAAAGAACGATGTTAGCTCCGGGACGGGTGCATATATGTTGGGTGAGGGAAAACGAACAGAGTGGGATATAATGATCCACGTCAAGAGGAACATTCTGTCTGATCTTGATCTCATAGACGCTTTTTAAAATGGTTAGACGATGTCCGACGCTATTGATGCCCATTTCCTTCAATTCATCATGCTTGAGCGCAATGAGCGCTTCACCAACAATTCCATTTTCTAAGAAGGATTAGTACCTTGAGGCCGATCATTGCATGGCTGGCACTCACCTCTGAAAGAGCCACAGTACTGCAACAGGCTCAAAGATGTTAAAAAGCTCCACACAATCATCGGCAGTCCAGTTCGAGATCAATCCTCGTGGTGTGCGAGGGCCATCGCTCGGGGGGCCGAATCGAGTCGGCGTGTTCTCGGAAGAGGGGATGTCTGAGTCGGTGGGGGAGGCCTCGGAATCGGTTTGAAGGTGAGGGGACGTAATGATGCTGCGCTCGTACTCATCATCTGCATCTGAATCCGCGTCGTGGTAGGAAGTGTGGAGAGACATGGCTCAGGAGGCTGGGAGGGTACTAGGCGAAACTGGGGATACGAGATGCGTTTGATGAAGCGCCGCCACAGCGGCGTAGTGCGGAATGCGTAGGCTAATGCAATAGTTGAGGAACGCAGGAGCCAGAACGTTTGCGACGAACGCTCAAGATGACAAACCTGATTGGGTCGACACGGAGTCAGGTCAAACGGCGGCAGGGGTCGGCATTCGCTGGCGCTTGTCACAGATGCAACTGTTATATTTGTAGGCAGCTGGTTTGTTCCTCGGAAGAGTCCCAAGAAACAGTCACGAGGTATGGCGAAAGTGTGCGCTACGTTCGATCGTAGGCGCCGAAGCAGAGCGGGGAAAGCTGCCCGGCGCGAAAGGATGGACTGGGCCCGGGGCGGTTTGAACAAGCGGGAGAGAAGGGTGACCAGGATCTCGCGTGCGTTCCTTTCCGTCAGCAGCAAAGAATCGTAAGGAGCCGAGAGGGTCGATTTTCGAGATATCTCAAGAGAAGGACGCCGCTTCAGATGGGACGAGCCCATGGGGCTCCACGTGACTGGGCCTGGACTCGGTAGCTTTGCCGATAGTGTGCCGCTCTTTTGTATACGACCACCCGGACATTTTCTCCCGTTCTTTGCGGATTGAAACATGGGGGATTTTACAAACTGTCAAATAGTCTGCAGAAGACAACAGGATCACTATTTTGTCATTTTTGGCTCGATGTTGGTGGGGTAGGTTCGTCTGCGTATGTCTTTTTTTTTTCACGCCCTTATGCAGGTACTATCCTAGACCCGGGTGTCTTAGATTTGAAGATACCCCAGAACCCGGAAAGGCGAAGAATGACTTGCCTACTTATTATGAAACAGTATGCTCAGATTAAAGGCAGACCCGGATATCCGCTTATTGGAAACACTTGCATTGGATCGGAAACTACTAGCCGTCAAAGTGCACACATTTCGGACTATGGGTTGTTTCCTATCCCATCCTCCATTGGTTCATAAAAGCCTGCTATGGTCCCAAGGAATATAATAGTATCAGCAAACAAAGAGGCGTAGGTCACATTCAAGAAATGCAGCTGAGATACTACCTAACTCTGCATGCCTTCTAACTGGGCAGGGTATTTCCAGGTCCTAGATTTGCTGCGATTTCTGCCGGCATTACATACCCATTTACTACAGGTCCGAACCATTAGCCCCCCAGGTTTAAGTTTGAGTAGTGTATCCTGGTAGCGTAGCTCTATACTTTATAGAAGGATATTCAGAGAAGGCAACTCCAAATCACTTGCCTCTGCCATGGGAATGGTTGGCTTCCTTGCTAGTAATGGTGCTCTGGTGGCTGACGGCGCTTAGCGTCTTACCCAGATGAGCAGGAATTGCTAATTAAACATACATTGTATACGTCTCCGATATCATGAGCCCTCTAGCGCATAGTCCCATACAATCCAGAAACCAGGCTCCCGCTGAATCCTCTTGTGAACCTCTACGCCAGCACTCGAAGTATAAGCAACATTCACCGCTCGCATCGCCATGCTCCACGCCGATTGGCCTGTGCGTCCATTCCGATCGGGGGATCAGGCTCGCCGTACATTGTGAATTGGCTTATATATTTCTTTGTTCTTTGCCTATTTTCTTCGTACCAACATCCGAGTGTGCAATGGGTCAGGATCTCTGACCTGGTGTCTTTTCTCTTCGCCCTGACCCTATTCTTTCCTTCCGGTATTAACTTTACCTCCGCATCCATCTTTTTTGCGCCAGCGTTGCGCCAGTGTCGACGAGGCTCAATCCCATATCCTTTACTACAACGTGAGTTGCTAAGACCCTCCACGGCATTAGCACCGCGACCCCCCCCACGCCCTTGTCAGCCCTAGCTCGCCACAGCGCTAATTAAGATCGCGGCGTTCGACAGAAGCCGGACCGCGGAACCGCTCCTCGTTCTTCATACCCACTTTTCCGTGCGCCGGAAACGCCAACCAATCCTTCGCCAGGCCCTCGAGGGATCAGTGTCGCTTCCCTCAAGGAAACACGTCTACATCCAGGGGGGCAGGTTCCCCTTCTTCGTTGGCGCCACCCTCGCCGATCCCGACCCGCCAGCCGCCGGCGCATACGACATACCATACCACCCAGCCCTAGGCCTTCCATAAGAGGCGCCGTGCACCAATTCAGGGAACCGTGGTGTATTAGAAATTGGCCGAAGAGCCCTCTCTCCCTTGCACCGACGGCACCGAGCTCTCTAGAACCTTCCCTGTGGGCCTGAACCCCGCCCCAGCCTACCTTCCATCATGCCTTCATCTACTCCAGACGCCCTCGAGTCGGACCTCCTCACAAAACTCGCCGCAACCTCCGCCTTGGAGGAATTACAAGAGACCCTGCTCGGATCATTACATCGTGCTGGCTGGACAGAGCGGGTGACCAGCTTGGCGACAGAGCTTTTGCGGGCCCACCGCTGCGAGACCTTCGACGACGTCCTCGACGCCGTGGTCGCTTCTGCGGAAGGCCGCAGCCACCCGCATTGGGCTCCAAAAACAGCTCAGAACAGAACGGGGGAACGAGCAACGGGACGACAGAAGGCAAGGCCAACGGAACAAAAAAGGACGGTTCAACGAATGCGGAGAACGCACCTTACGACCCACTGAAGTACATTGAGGAGGTAGATGTGCGTATTCCGGATACAGTTGTAGACGAGGGGGGTGCGAGGCTTAAAAAGCATACTGCGGGACATGGTCGATCTGGAAGATGAGGCTCCTAATGGAGAAAGGAAATAACGTGGGTCTTTTTTCGCCTGTGATTCCTCAGTGGGTGCGCAAATTTGCATGGTGGTATGGCCTTTCCTTCATCGTTTCTGGTTTCTGGTATCTGTCTTCCTTCTTGTTCATGGAGTCTTGTCGGTTTCTGGGATTTGTTACGGCAGATACAAGCATGTGCCCATCGAATATCACTGGGTCTGCGTGCATAATGGGCTCGTGGTCATCCAACTCAAATAGACAATTGCATTGGTTCGGAGAGAACTTCTTTCGGAATATGGCACCATCTGCATCGATTTTCCATCGTAAAGCAAAGGTCCTTGATCAAGTCAACCCCTTCTTTTGAAGAAACTCTACAGGTTCGATAAGCAGCAACGTAAGGGCCTCGAGGGCTACTATACCGGCTACTATACCGCACTCGCTTTTGAATGGCCTAGAACTGGTATCAACCGATCGAGCTGCCTTGATTTCCTGCCCGTGGTGAGCTACAATATCGAACGCATTTCTTTTATGGAAGAGTAACTGAGAGTAGGCCTAACTATTCAAGTGTGCACTAGACTATTCTACCTTGATTTCGAATGGCCCAGCAGCCGGGTTGCTAAGAGCCCATGAAATCCCGTCACTCATGACTCTGTCCCATGCTTTGTTCGATTTCAGCTCTCCGACGATTCTGAATCCATGAGGAAGCCCAGGGAAGATATGGGTAGCCGTAGGGACTCTGCAAGGTTGTTAGCAATTACGTCTCGGAAATCCACAGCATACAAAAGAGGCGGAACTAACCCATTCTCACTAAGCAACTGTGAATAGAAAAGCGCTTCGTCTCTCAAAGGATCAGACCCTGCGATACCAAAAGTCGTAGGAGGAAGCTTTTTGACGTCCTCAGGGGGCGCATTCCCAGGGTTCATCCGGAAATCGTTCTCCCGCCCCTTCGCACCCCCCCTCGAGACCAAGTAACTCCATAAAGAAGTCAATCTTGGAGACCGGCAGAAGATATGCATTGGCACACTGCACTCTACTTGAGACCTCCGGGCTCCGAAGCTTCTCGACGCGCGGGGCATAGTAATGCGGGTGAACCAAGCAGGGAATAATGAGGACCTGTCCTCTGATCTTGGGCAAGGCGGCAATACGCTGGTTCTCACCTCGGACCTGTGTCAGGGTCAGCGCAGCGGCTAATTGGCCGCCAGCAGACACACCGCCGACAACGACCTGGTCAGCGAGGCCGCCAATGTCAGCGATATGGTCGTGGACCCAAATAAAGGCGTCTTCGACGTCGTCCCATGCTGTCGGGTACTTGTACTCAGGGGTGTGGCGGTAATTGACATTGACGACGACGATGGGATGGTTCTTTTCGACGTTGCCTTTGATGAGTTGTGCGCAGGCCGCGTCCTCAGTGCCGATGGTTCCCATGAGGAAACCTCCGCCGTGGAAGTAGATGAACACAGGGAGAGGCTGGGTCTCGGGCACTCCTACAGGGCGATAGGTGCGGATCTCGAGAGACGCTCCATCCCGGGAAGGGAAGGTATAGTCTTTGGTTTGGATATGTGCGCCGAGGCCTAGGTTACGAACATCAGCTTAAACCTATAGAACTCCTATACTATCATTCCTTGCTCACCTTCGCTTATAGCCCGTGCTGAAGCTTCTTCACGGACTTTGTTAACCACTGCTCTCTGCTGCTCCGCGGTAAGATCTGATGGGAGAGAAGATAATGTCGGCTCCAGGGCCACCCACTCAGGGCTGGGGATACCGTATTGAGAGAAATCAGCCATTGCGTGAAGTAAAATAAAGTCAAGTGGTATGTGGGAAGTACTCCATCCCACCCGAGGCCTCGGCACCCTTTATATACCCCGCCTTGCGTGCTAACATTGCGAGGTTCCGTCAAGAAATCCGATGAGGCTCACAATCGGAACTGTGCCGTAGGCTGCAATGGAGAGTGGGCCTACCTCAACCACGTGCAAGATCGCGGAGTGGGCGAACTATTCGCATTATCGCGCAAGAGAGTTCGGGGACCCTAAACGGATTAGTTGAGATTGGATTCACACTTGGTGAATCTGAGCGTGTACGTAGGAGACTCGGTATCATCAAATGACCGCCGTCCATTTTATCCATCCGAAATCCGTCCTTTAAAGTTGGGGCCCCACACAGGGAACCTCGGCTGGGGTTTATATTTCTGAACTGTCGGCTCTTGCAGGTCGGTTTCTGAAAAGGGCAATAAACCCGAACTCCGATTGGGGCGTCTACACAAAATACTTAAGAGTACGTAGTGATTGTCCAGTGGCAGACTTCCGGAACCAGCAGACCAACCAGGATGAATCGCCCTAGTCTGAGCCACGTTCTGTCACTGGGATGAACCAAGGCAGATAGTCAGTACAAATGGAATATACCTAGAAAGAAAAATATTAGCATTGGTACCAGTGCCGGTGAAGATAAGAGTCTCTTACTTGGAACCATGTGTCAATGGGAGCCAATTGATGATGGAGCGGAATAGCAACGGCGCTTGTATGCAAGACACTAAGACAACAGAGAGAAAAAAGAAAAGGACGATATACAGCAACTTAACTCTCCTCCACACAGTCTTCTATTCTAGCTTCCTATTCTTCGGACAGTACCTCCCCCGTACGATGGCGGTGACAAGCGGCCAACTCGAGTGACGGTGACACCATGAAGATATCGATTGTGGCGAGAACTCGAGAGGTCATGCTTTAATTCGGAGTCTTGGTTGGGGACTCAACGTATACTAGTACAAGTTTGATGAGGGACGGTAGCTTTCCACAGGCTTTGGACGTCTATACTATACATCAGAGTAGTTGTAAAATCTGTGGAGATTATGGCCGAAGACCAGCTCTATCGACACCAGCGACAGACCATCTGGCAGAAGGAACATGTGTATATCACAAGGAAACTCTCAAGAATCAGTAAATAGCAAAATAAGCACAAGCCTAAGCCCAGATGCGTACCGACCGAGGGGGTGAGCAGAGAAGATAAGTCCCAAGGAAAAATCGCTAAAACACTCCTACCCAACAGAAACGCCAATGGTACATTGCCTCGTGAAAGTGATTCCAGATCATCCGCTGAATAAACGCCGTTATCAAATGCCGAACTCATGTCGTTTATATCATTGTACATCGCCATCGCTATCAGAGGTCACCATAGGATGTTTGTCTTTATTCCCAGACAGGCTGTCAATGGTCTTCTGAACCTCAAGTTTGGCAGCTTGTCCGATCTCTGCGCCAGATGCCTCATCAAGAGAATCGGCGTTCCCAACGCGTTCGTATAACTGACGAGATATAGTGCGGTTAATATCGGTGAACTGATCCTTCGTAAGAGTATGGCTGCGATAATGCGGTTTTAGGGCTGCGCCGACCATCTTCTGGATGGTGGACTTGACGGCGAGGGAGGGACCGGGGCGGCTGGGAGAACTCTCCGGTGAGCGTGAGTGGGCCATCTCGAGAGCCCGACGGGTGATGCGGGAGCGGGGGCGTATTGTTGGGCGATGTAGTATTGTATGCTCATTTTCAGGAGAAGTCTTTGGTGCTGGCGAACCAGTGGGTGTGCCAGAAAATGATACTTCCGGGGAGAAGGGCGGGGAGGACTCCACTGGGGAAGAAAGCTGTATAGGAGAGATCGGTCGACTGCGAGAGAAAGGAGGTGGGGTGGTGGATGAGAGCCGAGGAGAGGAATGGTTGGACGAAGCGGGTGAGATAGATGGAGATGAGGGCCCGGGTGTGAGATGATCGGTGGGCGCGTTGGATGTGGATGCAGATGGGCCATGTGACGCACCGTGTGTCGGGGTCGAGGCTTCTTCAACCTCTTTCAGAAGAGATGACAGAAAGCTTGGTTCGGCCATGTTGTCTTCCTCATGCGGGCGTCGCGCTGTGGTTGCTGCGGCCGCAGCTCCTGCGCGAGAAGATTCTCCATTTTGTTGGGCCATAGCGGCGAGTTCTTGAGGTCGCCTTGTACGGGGGCGCTTCAACTTCCGTTCGGGTTCGGTGGGTTCGGGGATGGGGAAAGGGTAGGCTCTTTCCGTTTTCTAGCAGCATTCGGATTGTTCTCGATCTCTCGAGCGCGTTCAAAGGCGTTCCAGGCCCGCATTTCTTCCAGAGATTCAGGCTCTGGTGAAGGTTCTCTGGGAATTCGGGGCCTTGATGGCCGAGCGGGTTCAATATCAAAAAGAGAGGCGGTATCACGAAAGCGATTATTACCCCCCTGGCGTTCCGCGACCTCGAACCGACGCTGCCATGCTCTAAATTCCCGTTGGTTGGCTTCTTCGCGACGACGTTGTTGCATAATGCGTTGCGCAGTTCGGTCATCGTCAAAAGGAAAGTCCAGATCGATATTGAGATGATCCCAAACGGACTGCCATACACGAGCCCAGTGGAGTGAATTAATTTGATTGTGGCTCTGCAGTCGTCGCTGCTGAGCCCGCGTGCGACGAGGCCTCCTCTCAGCTGTCCGAGGAGTTCGAGCTGTGCCTCGAGGAGTCGTCCCAAGCGCCCGCTGGGTTTCGCATTGTGAGCAATACCATGAACCCGAGGGAATCTCCTCCAGGCCAACGCAATATTGATGCGATGGAGCATCGCATCCATCGCACAGAAGCAGCACGTCCTCATTATCAGCCTCTCCGCAAATTGTACATGGCTGGAAGTCAACGAGGTCTTCCTCAGCATATTCGATGATCATGCCAGGGTCAACCTCGGCGACCTGAACCCGGTCTTGAACGGCATAAGAAGAAGTTACAGGCCCTGTGGTGAGAAGACAGTTAGTCAGACCCAATGAATGAAGGTATATAATATCAAATAGAGGAGGTATCAAAACCTCCCCCCGGAACAAGGGAGACGTTACCTCCAGGTCGGTCGCTGAGCTCGACCATATTGAAACTGCGACGACATATCGGGCAGCTATTTGCTCGCTCCACCCATGGCTTTAAACAGTTATCGTGCAAGATATGCCCACATGGTAGCAGCTGGGCGATCTGACCCTGATCCTCCTCATCGCAGGCCTCAGCCTTGACCGTTGCAGCATCTTGGTGATCGGGTCTTGGCAGAGGCTCGGCGGGATCACTGGCGCTTTCGCCAAGGTCTCCTAAACAGACAATGCAGGTGTCGGACATGGACAGGTATAGAGCCAGGGGACCTTGGACGGATAGGCGGCATGAAGAGCGGCTCGAAGGGCGTGTACTGCGTATATGCGGAAGAGAAGGTGTGGGGAGGCGAGAACCGGGCCCTTTTGAAGGTGGGCCGGATTTCCAGTCTAACGCAAAACAGAGCGGGAACGTGACGGAGGCGAATCATCCGCACTTGCGAATGAGCACCGGCGGAAAACCGAACCCTTGAGAAAATGTAATGCTGCCTCCAGCAGATTGTAACCTGGAGAATCTCCGGAGGAGATCTTAAACTTACATAGATTAATGGGGGCGCGTGCGGTCGCCCTTGCAGTTGTATCGTCCACAGACCTACCTGGTATTTCGGGTATTCGTATCAAGCTTGGCACTGAGGTAAATCTACAATGTTGGAAGCCTGCCGTCAAGGTACTCCGTACGTCAGGCGTAGTCGGAGTCATGCGACTGGCTAACAAGAGACACTAGAATTGGCCGTCACTCGAGTCTGCACGAAAGCGGAACCCCCAGTTTTCAACTCTTGCCAGCGTTGCTCGAGTGCCCCTAGACGGATAAGTTGGCCTGCAGAAGTAAGCCCAGGAAAGTTCCAGACGATGTAAGAAAGGGTGCGATCGTAGATGAAAAGAGTCACGTTCCACAATTCATGTTCCACAATTCTACGATTACTAGCATGGAAAAAGTCGTCGGAAAGCATGCAAGTGCAAAACGCGGGCTCACTTTATCGGGCAGAGCCCCTCATCCATCGGTTCAACCAATGACTCAATTCACGAGGACCCGGGCAGACTGCGAAGTACCGCGGACGGAGGGTTCGATGAAGCCGACCACTGATATCGACCTGGAAGTTACGGAGGAATTCGCAAGGCGAAAGTGTGTAGTCATCAAAATCTTTTCAAGATTTTCATTTTTCATTTTTTGGTATTCAGACGTGACCGTAGAAGAGAAAGGAAACCACATTTATCCCAGATTTTTAAACCTCAGCAATCTCACGGAGACGACGGATGGTCGAGCGAGTAGCGGCGGCGGCGGGGGTGGAGACGGTGTAAGCACCGCCGGCAACGGTCTCTGAGAATATTGTTAGCCATCGCAGGTTACGGCCGGGGCTTTGACAGGATTAGAGTGTTGACGTACTTCCGCAGCCCTTGCAGTCCCAGATGCCAACGGCCTGGCGGCGGACGGTGTTCTTGCCGCAGAAGGTGCAGATGTAGCGGGCGTGCTGCGACACTTCCATCTTCTTCACCTGCTTACGCAGGGAGGCACCGTATCTGGAAATAAGAGTCAATAATCGCAGTCTTTGTGGGGTGTTCTGTCGCTAGTCTCGGTCGAATTTCATGGCAAGCGTTCGCAAGCGTTCGAGAGCGAGGGCGAAGTCGAGATCGTGGATAGGGCGATGAGCATACCTGGTACCGTATTTACCGGTGATACCGACCTCTAAGGAAACGTTAGTGAGACTGAAAAATAAAGGTGATAACTTGCTTCATTGCAAGGAGTGTATAGAGACATACTCTTGGTGCGCTTGGTCATCTTGTCTTCAGTGCGGCTGTAGTTGAAGATGGAACGGAGAAGGTCGAAAAGCGACTTCGGGAAAGACCTGGTTGTGGGTGGACTCGCTTAGGGTTGGTGGGCTTGGCGAGACATGTGGTCACGTGCTAGGAAATCCAAATGTGCGGGAGAAGGAATGTGTGCCAGTTCCTGAAGGTGTCTATAGTGGGGCTTTGATGCCACGGTATCGAGGTGTCACTATGTGAAAGTCACATGACATCATAGCATACGCGTATTGTGTACAACAGCTGAGATAGGCACATGCATATTGGCCAGATCTCTTGTATGACGCCGAAGAGACCATTTGGGCAAGAGGTGAGATCTTTTCTATTTCGAGTCCAAACCCTTCGCGTTGGCTCATATGCTCCATATCCTCGGGCCCCGCAGTAGAACGTCAGGAATTACTGCGTAACAGATCGAAATAGCTTCGGCCTTACTATCTCCCCGGCCCCACAATTCGTCTTTCTCTGTTGATTGATATGGAATCGGGGGAAATGATTTGGCCGGTTCTGTAGCTTCATTTCGCGAAATCCCAGTTTTGTTCTACTGAGTTGCCCAATTTCTTACTCATCATGACCGTTCGTGACTTGTCACACTGTGCCGAGGCTCAATCACTTCCAGGTTAAACGTCAGCTCCTTTCCTTCGCAAACCATCACAAAAAAATGGCATCTACACGGCAATACGATCTGGTCGTTCTTGGCCCAACCGGATACACAGGTCGGTTCTGTGCTGAGCATATCGTGAAGAATCTTCCTACCGATCTGAAGTGGGCTATTGCTGGGCGTTCACCTCACAAGATCGAGCCTATCGCAAAGGATCTCAAGGCCTTGAATCCTGATCGCTTGGCCCCCGATGTCTTGGCCGTTTCGCTGGACCCTACCGAGCTGGCTGAGCTTGCGCAAAAGACCAGGCTGATCATTAATTGCATTGGGCCGTATATCCTCTACGGAACTCCCGTCGTGGAAGCGTGCGCCAAAAATGGAACCCACTACGTTGACGTGTGAGTAGGATTCGTAAACCTCAATGTGCCTTCTTTATGTTTCTCTAATAAAATCCACTCCAGCACTGGCGAGACACCATGGATCCGATTAATGGTTGAAAAGTACCATGAAACCGCCAAAGCAAACGGCTCGATCATCATCCCCTCCCTCGGTTTCGAGAGTGTTCCAGCAGACATGCTTGCCTGGTCCCTTGTGAAACGGGTTCGCGAAGATCTGTCCAGTCAGACCCGCTCGATCGAATCCTGCATCAAGAAGATCAAATCGGCCGGTGCGAGCGGCGGCACTCTGAACTCCATTTTCAGTAATTTCGAAGCACTTCCCGTCTCCCAGCTCTTCAAGGGCTTCCAGCCCTTCTCCCTCGCTGTATCTACCCCACCTAAGGATGTTCCCGGTGAATCAATCCTCGAGAAGCTCCTGGGCGTGCGATACGTTCGCGATCTTGGCACCCTGACTACCTCACCGAACGGCATGGCGGACATGGCCATTGTCCACCGCAGCAGCAGCCTGATGTCCGAGCTGTATGGCAAGCGATTCTACTTCCGTCAGCTCTTGTATGTGAGGAGCTATTTCCTGGGTGTTCTCTTCCATGTCGGGTTCAATCTCTTCATGGCGTCTTTGCTGATTCCTCCCGTGCGCTGGCTCCTTCGACGTGTTGTATATGCTCCAGGCGCTGGCCCTAGCTTGGAGAGTACTCGGAATGATTATGCAGAGCTGAACGCAGTTGCGACAGCTGACCAGAATACGCCCAACCCCAAGCGTGTCTTTGGCAAATGGTACTTCCAGGGCAGTCAATACGTGCTCACTGGGTTGCTTGTTGCTGAGGCTGCTATGGTTATCTTGAACGAGGAGGATAAAGTCAGAAAAGTTTCCCGAGGTGGCATTGTCACATCCGCCACCCTGGGGCAGGCCTATGTCGATCGTCTGGACAAGGTCGGCGTTCATATTGAAACCAAGGTTCTTGAGGATTAAAGGGTCTTATGTGTTGTTCCGGGCTTTCTGCTCTATTTTGGGCGCACAATCTATGGTTCTTATCAATGCAGTAATTTAATTTGGCTTACACATAAATTATGAACCTTCTCCATTCCAGAGTTTATCAGACCCAATAGCTCCATGGATACAACGAACTTACAGCGAATTCTTGCTGCAATATCAATTCGTAATGTTTAGTGCTTAGCTCCAAATTCTGAAGCTTGACATCCATGTCTGCCGCGCATGTCAATCTCGCTCCGTGAATCACAGCTTAACCGAAGGCTTTGCTTGCAATGCAACATTCTGCAGCCAATTTTTGAGAATTGCATTGACCTCCGCAGGCTTCCCCCAGAGTGCCCAGTGCGCGGTGTCAACCCGCTCAATGGCCAAATTGGGAAGAGTCTTGCTCATCGACTTCCCAAGATGCGGGGGAAGGGCGCCGTCCCTGAGGGCCTGGATGAACAGGACGGGAATCTCGATCTTGCGACCGAGAATTGCGAGTTCATCATCATGATTAACCTTGCGAGTGCGATACCAGTTCACTGATGGCCCAATTAGTTGTGTGTGATCCCGAATGTGGTAAAAAAACATACAAGGCCCATGCATTCCGTGTCTCGCGAATTCCGTGGCGTAGTATTCCGTTTCCTAGTGAGATCAGTATACTCTGAATGCCTAGGCTGGTCATCGGATTGACCATAAACATACCGCCTCGCTCAGCAGTCTCGACGGAAGCAGCCGAGGAAGTTTGTCGAACAGAACCCCCTTGGTGACATCGAAGCCGAACTCTCTCTCCGGCGTGCATCCGCCATACAACGACAGCAAAAATTGCTTGATCTCGGACTTCGTTTTGATTACTTTCTCCACCTCTCCACTGGCGAATTGCACCTGATACATGAAATTCGGGGCACTCTTCTGCACGATTTCCTCAAGCGGGATGAAGCCCTCCTTTGGCGGGGCATAAGGCACGCAGACCGTGAAGAGGTGAGTGACTAGATCCGGGTGCCAAAGCGCAACGCGGTAGGCGAAAGCGGCGCCCCTGGGAGGACTGTTAGTAATTTCCTCTGGGCTTGGAGGAAATGTAACTTCCTTGGGGCGGGCTTACCAGTCATGACCTCCGAGAATGATCTTGGACGCGCCTAGTTGGGCGGCGAGTTCTTTGATATCATTTGCTCCCCTCTTGTGGGAGTATTCGGTATAGTCATCCGGAGCATCCTAGTTGGTACGAGGAGTTATGCGCTGTGAGCCGGGTATATTCGTCTGCTGGAGAACATACAGTGCGGCCATAGCCTAGGCAGTCTGGGGCAACGACTCGGAGACCCATATTCAAGAATAGGGGGATCTGATAGCGCCAGCCAAAAGAAATATCAGGAAATCCATGAAGCTGGTCATAATTAGAGTCAATTCTTGGTGCCTTTCAACGCAAGGCCCTGATACAGGAGTTCTGTAACTTACCAAGAAAATGGTGGCTCGGTATGTGCCAGATTCTGGTTGGCTTAGAAGATAGCCTGCACATCAAGACATTGTCAGTCTTATCCAGACTAGGCGCTCTAGCACAGCAGATCAAGCTCTAATCCTCTCGCATTGCTGCTTCGCGAGGCGTTCATCAGACCCACCATAGTTGCGGCCATTGACTGTAGCACTTTTGTGCTGGATGCGGGGGTCACCCTCGACACGAATCTTGTCTACGGACATGACTGGGATTCTCTGAGGGGGGAAGGGGGTGGGGGATGGTTCCGCGGCAGGAGGTCAACGGTCGGTCAGAGTTCAGTCGACCACTATCTTCCGTTCTGGAGTAACGTTTAAGTGGGCGCAGTCTGGCAAAGCTAGACAGACCGGGGGCCTGTCGTTCAGACCACTATATATCCGATCCAAAGGGACCTTCAGGCTTCACGTCGAATAACAACCACCTAAAACGTGACAATTGGGTGGCTGCCTCTATGAGAAATGAAATGATAGAAACTTAAATGTGATAAGAAATTGTGAAATCAGTCAAGGCAGGTACATTGCCTCCCAATGGTCCATAAGAATTTAAGTATTTGGTTACGCTATCCGAGGCGCCCCTCACACCTTGTACCTCGGTAGTCAGTGCGGTCGCATAGTCAGTCCGACGACAACTTGAAGCAGCATGACAGGCTTTAGTAGATCACAGTGTCCTCAGTGTCCTCCACAACTTCACCCCCATCGTCATCCCGATGATTCGCGTCGGTCTCGTGGGTTGAGACGTCTTCGACAGCAGGCGCAGGTGCGTGGGCGGCAGGGTTTCCGCTTGTCTCAACCGTTCCTGGGCTACGCACTCGCTCAGCTTCTGGCCTCACCTTATGGCTATCCTCATGTATGACCTGCTGCTGCATTGAAGACTCCTGCTGTTCCTGCTGCTCCTCCGGCTTGGATGTAGACAATGGCTCGAGTTTCTCGTAAGCAAAAGCCTCCGGTGGGTATCGGCGTTCGAATTCAGCAACTTCACCAGCAATCTTGGACTCCGTTTCTTCAATCTGGTCCCGAATGATATCCGCATCGCCCCGTCGAAGTTGCCACGGTTTGTAGTACTAGAACCAGAGTTAGCGGGCGATCATAAGCCACGGTCGAAGCAGAGCACTCACCAGGACAGGCTCCGTGCGCGTTTTTAGAAAGTTCGCAGATGCGCGCATATGCGCATGTCGGGTTTGCATCTGTATGATATGAGCATCCAGCATCCGGCATCCAGAAGATGAGAGGTCTTGAACATACAGCCTCCTTTTTCGTAGAATGGGGTTTCCTTCACTCGGATAGTCGCACGGCGTTCTTGACGCTTCTTTTTTAACCCATCGTATACCTCGTCTTGGTTCTTCAACTTATCTTGCTGTCTCTTTTCGATGTCCTCGCGACGTTTCTGTGCTGCAGAGTTGGAGCTCTGGGAAAGGGTCCCAAGCAACGCGCCGAACAGCCGTCTGCCACGCTTGCGATCCTCTTCGCGGTTCCCGTCGCGGCGAGTTTGCCCTGCTGGCTTGTCTGATTGCCCTGCAGATGGTGAAGAGGGGCGTCGACGGTGGGATTGCGGAGAGGTATCGCCTTGGCCGCTGAGCCGACGCCGCTTCACATCATGGTCCGAGGTCGAAGACTGGCGACGTTTGTGATGTTCTGGCGATTGGCGTATCGACTCCTGTTCAGGCACAGCGACTGCCGAAGCAAGGTTCCTGGAAGTAACTCAAGTCAGTCGCAATTCTATGCGTGAATCTGGATGTGTCGGGGTGGTAGATTGCCTTACCCTTCTGACATGGTGAGAGGGTCACCAAGACCCAGGGATGGTGGTGCTAAACGGAAGGAAAGCGCGCAGGAGCAAAAGTTGGTTAAATAGCGCCGCAAGCACCGCAATGCATTTTCACAGCGACTACCTCAGGCCATGACAAGCCTGAGATTATCAGCTCGTTATCGGCTCGTTGCACGTTACTTGGTCCGTGCACGGACCCCGACTAATAACTTCTCCCAGCTTCTTTTCGTTCCAGCTTCTTCTTCCACGCCACACCTCCTCGCTCTCCGCTGGACAATTTGAACCGAACGTTCAATCTCTGACTCCCTCTACTACATTTTTTACCACCTTCCATCATGTCTCGCCATCACCCCGATCTCGTCATGTGCCGTAAGCAGACAGGCATCTCCATCGGCCGTCTCTGCGACAAGTGCGACGGTAAATGCCCCGTGTGCGACTCTTACGTGCGCCCCACGACCTTGGTTCGGATCTGCGATGAATGTTCCTTCGGTAACTACCAGAACAAATGTGTGGTCTGCGGTGGCGAGGGAATCAGCGACGCGTTCTACTGCTTTGAATGCACGCGCCTAGAGAAGGACCGAGACGGATGTCCGAAGATTATAAATCTGGGAAGTTCGCGGACAGACTTATTCTACCAAAAGAAAAGTTTTCGAAATCAATAATCTACCGATGGCTGTTTACATCTTCTGATCGCTACGAGGCGCGCGCTTTGATTTATCGGCCAGGACGCTTCGGGCGGGCAAATCCTCGAGCAGCGGCATGATTCTGCGACGGGCTCACTTCTTCCTGCAACCGTTCGCCTGTGATTTCGTCTGGCGAGGAAGCCTCGATCTATGATTCTGTTAGCATAACCTGCGTCTCTCTGCAAACTGAGCCCATACCTTTTTCTCGATTTTCAGCCCTTCGTTCTCGGCAATCGTGATCGCCGTCCTCGCGAGCTGGCGTGCACCATGCGCTCTTTGATCGAAGACCCGCTGGGACAGGTATACACAAACACAACAACTTCTGTGCCGGGGTAGTGGTAGTATGAATACCGGGGCGACTTCTCGGAGATGTGGCTAGCGACCGAGCCAGGATCCACATCCGCCTTAGCTTCGACAAGCTGCACCGTCTCCGTGCGAACATCTACCGTCTACATTAGAGAGCCAAGTTAGCACCGAATCAAACCGTCTTACTCCATTCCCCACGTCCCCTCGTAAGCCGCTCCCCCTCCCGCGTACAGGAAGATAGAACAACTCCAGAAAGAGCAAAATATTGTGACGTACCAGCTGTACAAGCCCACCGCTCTGAAGCTCCTTCAGTGCAGCCTTCGCCTGCTCGTCAACAGGCATAGCAACGCCGGAGCCAGACCCAGAACCAGGCCCAAATGTGCCCCCAATGCCGATATCCCGGTGTCGGGTACTATTCCGAGCCTCGGCCTCAGCCTTCCTCACAGCCTCGAGCTCTCGCTCCTTATCATCCATCAGATCCTCCCGCCGAAACCCGCCCGTTGTCTCGCCATCTCGCTCGCGCCAGGCCTCACGGCCCAGAATCTCCTCTTCCTCCGTAGCAAAGACGGAAGAGGCGAACTTCTCCGTGCCGAGTTCGCGGGTCAGCGTCTGGCGGGTGGAGGCGAAGAGCATCTTCGGGCGAACGGGGGCATTGGAAGGGATGTACGTGAGGGCGACGAGGGCAGAGGAGGAGGGCCGGGGGCGGCGGAGCAGGAGGTAGATTGGGGTCTTGGGCTGCAGGACGGAAGAGAGAGACGGCAGGGCGGAGAAGAAGTCTTCCGGGCTGGACGAGGAGCCCGGGAAGGGGATTGCGTCGAGCGGAGTCAGCCTCTCGGAGGTGATTGTTACGGGCAGGCAGAAGCTCGTGTTGTCGGAGCTGAAGCGGGCGAAGGCATCTTGCAGCTCCGCGGAGACTGGGGAAGTGGGCGGTTAGTTGGGGGATGGGTCAATGGGTAGATTGGATGGATCAGATAGGTCTTCTCTGATACGTCATTGGCGTACCTGAGATTCCCGACTGCATGATGCCGGGGGGGGGGAGGGGGGTTTGTTCTGCCTCTTGAGTCTCGTGGTTGGAGAGATCCCAAGGGTTGTTTATGGAGAGGGGGGAAGCGGTGAACGGCGGGGGGAGCATTGCGCCACTGCGGGTGCCAGGTTTAATAACGGCGTAGGTTACTTGCTATCTTACAGAGCTCCTTTTACGCAGAAATCAATTGATCATGACAAAACGGGGTTACACAAATGTGTCTCATTTCAAAAATTTATCAGATGAAACGCGAAAATATGTACAAGACTGCCTGGGACAGCGGAAGTGTATCAGAACAAATGACCACGGAGGGCGCAACGCCGATCATGCTCGGTACGGTATCAAACTTTCCAACAGAGCCAATTCCCCAAAGCACAACTAAGTTCCAAGTCTCCTTTTTTCCCCCCTCCTACTCTTCAAACTGGCCACCCACAAAAGCCCAGTTTGAGGCCTCGAGCTTGCCCTTGACGAACTCGTAGACCGTGAAGGTAACCGCCTGGCCCGGAGCGACACGCATCACACGGGGGGTGATACCCTTGTAGAAAGCACGAGCACCCTCTTCCTTGAACATGTCCTTCGCGATCGCCATGATACGAGAAATAGCCGACTGGCCGGGCTCGGCACGGGTTCTTTGGAGGCGGGTCTTGATGGTGTCAATGGGGGCGTTGGAGAAGGGACCAACAGCACCGGAGATGAGGCCGATAACCGTGGTCTGGTAGGAGGGCAGCTGGGAGTTGCTGTATTCTGGCTGCCAGCGCTGGAGAGCCGCCTTGAGCTCGGTATACGCGGTGAAGTTGGCGGCTTGGTTGGTGCCCTGTCGCAGAGCTGTCAAGGAGACACCGCGGTACAGGGCGCTGAAACCCTCTTCCTTGATCACGGTGAATAGAGCGTGGGGGGCGCTACGGTACTTAGGAGCATCGAGGGGGTCGGCAAGACTGTGATGTTGTGCCTGCAGACGAATCTTGATGACTTCCATCGGGTTGACGACAGCGACGGCTTCAGTCACACCAGCAGCGAGACCAGCTAAAGGAGTAAATGTAAGCATGCGAGCATTGGAAAAGCCCGGTAGGCTATGCAACGGTGAATCCCCAAAAAAAAAGCCGTATACTTACCCAGGAAAGTAGCTTTGCTGCTAACAGAGCCATCTTCGTTGGCTAGCATCTCCTTGTATGCCTCATACGATGTGAATCGAATGGCCATCTTCGGAATGATACCTCCCAGAACAGCTCCCAAGCCCTTGTATAGGCCGAGGGCAGTCTCCTTGCGCGCAATGTCAACGCCGGTGGCAATGAAGCCGCGAGGCTTGACCTGGAGCAAACTATTAGCTATACCATTGGGGGTGAGACCTCGGGGCTGTGATTGTATGACTTACACCAGGTGCGCGGGCTCTCCTTGAGAGTTGCATGCGGACCTTGACAGTGTCTGCCGTTGTCGTTAGCGTTCGCCATACTTTTCCAGACGGATGGTAGTAATTTCCATGAGGTCACATACCCAAAGGATGACAGACGAGAGCTTCCATCATACCAGCACCACCGCCCGCTGCATGGTCAAGTCAGCATCAATCTCAAGTGTAGCGGTGCAGGGTGTAGCTACCAATCAAGTTGACTGCGGGCGAGGCTTTCTTCTTGCCATTGACCTGTACAGATTTGGCCGACATGATTGGAATGGGCAGGAATATAGTATATCTCGCGGGCTATTCACGTTCGGAGTTCCCAGAATCAGACCAGAAGAATTACAAAAGCTTAAGGTCGGCTGAAGAATTTCAGGCCGAGGTATTAAGGTTGGTCCGAATCTCGGGGTGACGCAGCGAAAGGCGGAGGAGGTCGGAAGTATACGATTCCGGGGTCGCGAAAAGCAGTAGTACTTATTCCCCGAACCACTGGAGTGATTATGGACGGAGTCGAGGAGGTTAAATACTGCTGCGCCCGCCTTTTTCTTTTCTCAAACGGCAAGTCGTCAGGAGAGCGATTGGTCGAGTGGCAAAGACGGGGAACTGAACTGCTACCTATTTGCGGAAAGGTGGAGGAAGCTCTGGACGAACGGAAGTTGCTTCACAATGCAACCCAGCACCAAAGGGGGGGAAAAGAGTCAGAAAAAAAGTACAGGAAGAACCCCCGAGGCGCATCGCCACGTTTATAAAACAAGAATACAAAATGAGTCGTCATTCCGACCCAAATCGCTCCAAACTTCATCCCGAGGCCCTTCGGAAACAAGGGCGGCTGACCTATTCCCCACCAGCTTAAGCGGCTACCAGGATCCCCCAGATCTTCATGACCTTTAGGTTCACATGCACCAGTCAAAGCTAGGTGTCACTGTCGTCATTGTGCCAAATGGACCCCAGCCTATGACAGAACATTTGCTATGGCATTGCGAGATACTCTGATCACGGCCCATCTCCAGTCTGAATTGACAGCAGATGAGGGGAGCTTCCCCCGATCTTCATTCGACGTAGCCCTCGCAAAGTAAGAGTTCCCGCCTTCCGCCTTCAAACGCGGAGAATCTGCCCGGGAGAATTCGGACACCCGCAAGCTCCCTTCAACCGAGGTTCATTTGCCGCAACTTCCCAAGCTCGGTTTGATTTGTCGAAGCTCTGAGTCAGCCGTACCTGGTAGTTAGTTACAGAGGCCTTGGGGTCTGGGCCGCTTTTGCCTGTGGTCGTGGTGCCTATCTATAGAATAAACAATTGCAGCCTCTACAGAAGAAGTTTTGTCGGTGGGATAGTGTACTCATACGGGCCAACCATTAGGGTGCTTCTGTGGTACGAATATAATATCGACACTCCCAGCTTCAAGTCACCGCAACAGGGTATCTACTGCTTCGTCACAAGGGACGTTGTCGCTCGATCTCAAGAGAGAATCAATTTAGACATGTGCGAGTTCACATGCGCCCGTGTCATTCTCCGTAGTCGGCTACCCGATTTCGGCCCACGAGCCCGTGCTGGACCGGGGAAAATGCGAAGGCTTATCAGATCATCTGGGAGAGATAACGTTGGATCCCCCTCTCAGGTCCGTAAGGAAGAAGAGAACACCGCTATGAATCCGGGGTCGATAAGATGAAGGCGCAGAAGCAATCAGGCTCAAGGATTCACCGCAACGAAGTCCGCGACCATCGGACCAGCCCCGATCGCACTATCGCGTCAAAAGTCCTAGCTTAGACTCATTTCAATCGCCATATATTATCAGTGCCAGGACCGATTCGCAAGAAGCACACCAAGGTGGGGAGGAACTGACTATGAGTTATTTCACCGAGGTCGTAAACCCCACATTATGACCGAAACGCCTCCTTCGCCCGAATCGGCTCCCTCTGCGCAGTGGCAGAGAATCACCAAAAAAGTGCTGCGACTCATTCTGCACCAATGGCTCCTCATCGGAATCGGTGTCGCATGCGTGCTGGCCTACTTCTTCCCCAACGTGGCCAAACACGGGGGCGTGATCCGCTCAGAGTATAGTGTTTTGTACGGCGTGATCGCCATCATCTTCCTCATCTCGGGGCTGAGCATTGAGCGCCGGAAACTGTTCCTGCAGCTTCTGAACTGGCGGCTGCATCTTACAGTGCAAGTGACGTCGTTTCTGTTCATTCCTGCCTTGGTGTTGGCTGTTGTCTATGCCGTTCTGGCGGGGGATAAGGGGGGCAGATCGATCGCGCCGTGTTAGCGGGTTACATCTTCACGGCATGTATCCCGACGACGATTGCGTCGAATGTGGTCATGACCCGATCGGCCGGAGGGGATGATGCGGCGGCGCTGGTGGAAGTCTTGATTGCGAATATTTTTGCGCCCTTTGTCACTGCTGCTTGGACGGTGACATTGATCCCCAGAACGCCGGAGTTCGATAGTTGGCGGTATGGCGGTGGGAACCTCGGGAGCATGTACAAGAATGTCTTTCAGCAGCTGGGATTGAGTGTCCTGCTGCCGCTTTTTGTTGGGCAGCTAGTGCGATGGACGTGGCCGAACCAGACGGCGAAAGTGTTGGCGAAGACGAAGCTGCCGAAATTGGGCAGTGTGTGCATGCTGCTTCTAGTGTGGTGAGTTGGAGTCTCGCGTACGAGCGGTTCCTTACCCCGGATTCGTTTCTAATTTTCCGCGCAGGACAACGTTCTCTTCATGCTTTGCAACAGGTGCATTGCAGACCCTTTCCGCGCCGAGTATCATATTTGTTGTGCTGTTCAACCTTGCTCTCTACATCTTCCTCACTGGAGTCTGCTTCATAGTTTCTAGGCCTCCAAAGATCTTAATCTCCCATCCTTGGGTCGAGCTTGTTTTCACACCTTTGCCGCCAAAAGAGACCATCGCGGCCTGTTTTTGTGGGCCTGCAAAGAGTACAGCCTTGGGGATCCCCCTTCTCTACGCCATGTGGGCCCCGCTTGATCTGTTCGTCAAGGCGAAGACCTCCGTTCCGGTCTTATTATACACCACCGAGCAAATTTGCGTCGCTCACTTCTTTGTTCAAATATTCCGCAAATGGAGTGCTTGGATAGAGAAGCGAGAAGGAGTCCAGACTGCCCGGGGAGACGAGGCTGCGCCTGGCCCCGAGATGTCGGAGCCTCCCGCAGGTGGACCTCTGGATATTGAACGGACGAGGAATACATAATTTACGACAGATGCATGAAGAACTGTACGCAGTAATCATTTTGAATCATTCAATGGAGATCTTTGCCCTTTCGGGAACTTTATGTTCCTTCACCTCTTCCGTCGCAGACGGTCGAGACGGAAGATATCGCCTCTTGAAATAGCGCCACTGGACAGCGTATCTCCTATGTCGTGTAGGCGTATTTTCCCAGTTTGCAGTGGGAGTGAAACGCGCTAAAAGCCCAGGCCTACGGAGTCCGGCTGCAAGAACGTGGGGACGAGCCCTGAGCAAAGCTCCGAATTGGTGGCCCGATCCTTGCCTTGCACAGGGCTCGCTGATAAAAAAGAAGTTCCAGAACAGGTGGATACCAATTGGGGCATAATAGTTGCAGATCTTTGGTATCTTGATTAGTGGTAAGCGTTTGGGCCACACTTGGTAAAGATCGGGAGTTCTCCCCTCCACTATTGTCCGTCCGATAATTAGCCAGGACTCACGATAGCCATCGAGCGCCATGATCCAATCGGCTCCTGAATCTGCCTTGTACGCGGATGTCATGGGGAAACAGAGAGATTGGGATCGGCCGTCTATTCTTCCAATGACTTGTTGGTGGGGGGCTCGGCTTTCCACCGCAACCCTATCTGACGCCGTTCGAGGTCGCATCAGCCCCTGAGCCGATCCTATTTATCTGAACGCCTCCATCAACGAAGATTTCCATCAGACAACCACATCCAATCATTGGGTACCAGCAAGTTCGCAAGTGCAAAATATGGAGTGTATACTCCGTACAGCTGATCTCCAAGCGAAAGCGCCCCAACGAACCACGGCATTCCGCTGACACTTTGACACTTTTTCAGGTTTTGTTCCTGAAAATCCGCATGGTGGGGCTTGTTACTATTCGCGGCCACAGAATCCATCCCCCTGTAGCCTACCACTTTTAGGAGTGTCGATCTTCTTCCTAGATCTTGTAGCGGATGTCGCCCGGCTCGTATATCGAGATGTTTCTGGGCCAAACAGGGCGCCCACCGGAGTGCCGACTGTCTTAGCGTTATGTTTCTAGCCCCATGCTATCCTGGTGTCCACCCTGTATCTGGCAAAAGATAGGCCTTACGGCTGAGCACAAGGCTGTATTCGAGAGCATCCATATATGGGCAAATGGTCCCCCTTCCGGGGGGCTTTGTGAATTCTCTTCAACGTCGTTCTTTTTTGAATTTTCAGATCACACTCTTTTAAGCTTAAATATTCGTCATTCATTCTAAATAATTGCAATCGGGCTCGCCCCACAACCACGCTCTTTATTATCAGTCCTTCGTTCTATAAGAAAAACAATGCGAGGTGCTCTGCTCCCCGCTCTGGGGGCTCTGTCTCTGGCTGCCGGCGCTGCGGCCGGCGCTGCGGCCGTTGACTGGCCTACCTACAGCTACAAGACCGGACCATGGGAGCCTCCTCAACTGGTCGTCAACAAGACTGACGGCTATGTTGAGAATGAGTTGATTTTCATTCCTGTCCGAGTCGAGAACACTGCCGGCACTGCGCCCACCATCTACGATACTGACGGCGAGCTCATCTACCAGGGCCCCATGGAAACCACCATGGACATGAAGCCAGCAACCTTGTTCGGCAAGCCTGTGCTCCTTTTTTGGTCTGGACAAGTTTCCGACGCCGGTGGTTACGGCTACGGAAGCGTTCACATCCTGGACGACACCTACAACGAGATCTACACTGTCACTTTGACCGGCGACTTCAACTCCTATGACACCCAGGAGAAGGACTCCTACATCGATGTCCACGAGCACCACATTACCAGCCGTAACACAATCATTGTTAGCGCCATCAACGTGACCCAGTACGATCTCAGCGTCGCCGGCGGTCCATCCGACGGCTGGATAATCGTCAACCAGTTCTACGAAATTGATATTCCCACCAACAAGGTGCTCTACAAGTGGGATGCTCTTGAGCACGTCGACGACATTCCCTCGAAAACTCCTATTACCCCCCTCCCCGCGGTAACTCTCGCACTAGTGCCTGGGACTGCTACCACATGAACTCGGTCCAAGAGACCCTGGATGGCTACTTGGTCTCCCTGCGTTTCTACTGGGGTGCCTACTACCTGGAGCACGACACCGGTGCCGTCCGCTGGTTCTTCAACGTGAGTGCTCATAAAACTTGTCCTCCAGTAATCAGAAAAGAGCCAAGGACTAACATGGATCGGAACACCAGGGCACTGGCGGTGGTGACTTTGCCGGCAATGATAACTCCTTCTCTTGGCAACACGACTTCCGCATCTACAACGAGACCGAAGACAGCGCCGTTCTCAGTCTCTTCAACAACGGCAACGGCCAGCAGAAGCATGAGTCCGTGACCACCGGCATGCTCTACGAGCTTGACATCGCCAACAAGCAGGCCACCATGCTGCAAAACCTGACTGACCCTGCCAACCCCCTGAACACCCAGACCCAGGGCTCTGTCCAGATGCTGGGCGCGGCCTCCCAGTCCACCAACGTGTTCATGGGCTACGGCTCCAATGCCTTCGTCAAAGAGTTCAGCGGTGACGGCGACGTCGTTCTGTCCGGCCAGTTCGCGCCGCTCGGCCAAGGCCAGTCCTACCGCGCTTTCAAGTCCGCGTGGAGCGCTATTCCCCTGTGGAACCCTGTTGCTGTCACCGAGGTCTCCGGCAGCAACACCACCGTGTACATGAGCTGGAACGGTGCGACCGAGTACGATACGTGGGCTATCTACTCCGCTCCCTCCGCTAGCTCGAACAAAACTACTCTTCTAACCACCACCCCCGGGTTGGTTTCGAAACTTCTTTCGATATTACTTCTTACAACGCCTCTTATATCCAGGTTGCTGCTCGCCAGGGCAAGAAAAACATGCGGACGTCTGATATTATTCAGGTTTGATCTATGCCCTGCTTGGACACATGAAAACAGGTCTAGCACTAGCCTTGGCCTGGTCTGTCTATACCTTTTTTCGCGCTATAGCACGTTTCATTGAGGTTCTTTGTAAATTTGTATGAGCCATAAATCTGAATTTAATCTGCTATCCTGTAATGACCTGATCTATGAACAAGGAATCTTTCGAGTGATGAAGAGAGGTACATATGTCGCTGCTCGACCCATGACTCCTATTAACGCTTATTCCACTCACGATCGAAAACATTGAGAGATCGTTGCGCTGGACATGTCAGCTATTACCCCGAACCAGCGTTAACCTATGAACATACCCGATGGAACCACATCTAGTGCCTTGATAGACACATTCGCAGGCTGGTTGAGCATATACAGCGCTGCGTCGGCAATATCCTTCGCAACAAGCGGTCTAGAAGACACGGAGTCAGTTCCAACCCCACACACAGGAAATGGTACCGGAGACATACTCATAACCCTCAATAAAGGAATCATAAAGCTCCTTATCGTGGCCCACCCGCTGGGAATGGAAATTCGTCGCCACAACCCCGGGTCTCAGCGCAAGGACCTTGATATTAGTCCCAACCAGTTCATTGCGCAGAGAATTAGTAAAGGCCTCCTGCGCGGCCTTGTTGGAGTGGTACACAGCCTCGCCTGGGAAAGGCGGTACTTCCAATCCCGTGACGGAAGTGACGTTCAGAATCGTTCCGGCCTTTCGCTCCATCATGCCGTGGTTGAGTACGGAGTAGGTGACATACATGAGGCCGTTGACGTTAGTTGAGACCATGGTTTGGATGTCGGCGATCTTGAGGTGGGGAAGAGGCTTGGTGCGCCGAGTGCGAGGCCTGCCTGTATCATTCATGTACGTTCAGCCTCTAGAGCAAGGCGTCATGGCTGGTAGGGGCATACGTTGTTGATGAGGATGTCTATATTCCCGGGCTCTTGCACTGAGGACTCGATTGCGGCGTCAACTTGTTCGAAGTTGCCCACATCCACAGCTCGGTACTTAATTATTAAGTTTGGATGCTGGGTTTGCAAGTTGTTGGTTAGGGTGGCGAGTTTGTCCTTGGTTTGACATCAGCCTCTGGCCGTCAAGATCGACATAAGACTATTTATACTTCAGATCGAGAAATCAGGGTGAGATTGGCACCGGCTTGGGCAAGTTGTCTTGCGATTGATTCGCCGATTCCCATTGATGCTCCGGTCTGTTGGCGTTAGGAGGAGCTGTGGGAACATGGTGCGAGTCACTTACCAGGAGCGCATGCTGACCGCGAAGAGACATGTTTGCGATGACGCTGAAGCCGATTGAAAGCCTCTAAATGCAAATGAAATGTTTTCTGGATTCGTGTGAGCTTCAATCCTTGAGGGTTTTGAATTGAGGTTGATTATCAAGCAAGGGTCCGCTCCGACGTCATTATATACTGCCCCGCTGTTGTTTCGGGCATTTCCTCCATTCTCATCTCTTTCGGAAATCCAAGTCAATGTAGTCTACACATTATTAGCTTCTCTCTTCTTCCTCAGTCTGGTGCTTCCTTCAGATAACTTGGCCAGGGAGCAGCTTTCGTATCAGGGACCCCGGGTATCCTTTTATCGGTATATGTGAACAACATGGAATCAGAGAGCCCACGACAGGCAACAAAGTGTACAAGCAAGCATTTCATTGCCATGGCGGATCCAAAACTGACGTGTATCTTAGAATACAAGAAGGGAACTATATCACACTTCATAGGAATTTATATGCAGCGTCCATCAGATCAAGTAGCCGACGTGGGATATCCAGACCGAGAAAAACAAGGAAATGAAAAAGAAAATTCACACTTTGAGTCATGCAACATTGAAGAAAAAGAAACCAAAAGCCAGTATCTCAGATATAGCTCACCTTCACCCCCATGCCGACAGTACCCTTGACTTTGTCCCATGCCGAGCCTGTAATCCGGCGGACTCTGTCACGTACACCCTGCCGGCTCATTGCCATCAGGAAGGCCAGCAGGAAAAGTAGCGTCCGTACTATTGACATGGGGTTCCCAGAAATACTCCGGAGGATATGAGTGAACAGATTGCGAAGCGCCGTAGCAACAGCCTTCGTCTGGCTGCGCGCCTCAGGCTTGAGCTGCTTCTTAGGGTTCTTGGAGCCAGATGCAGAGACAGTATTCCGCGAGGTTGGCTTTCCATTAGCTGGCTTCTCTGTAGATCGAGATCCCTTGCCCTTGGCTCCACCACGCGAACTGCCCTTTTCAACCCCGTAATCGACTTCGCTAGTCTTTCTTCGGTGGCCGTTGGGTTTCTGTGACGGAGAAGCGTTGCTCGCCTCCTCCTCGGCTTTCCGCTCGTCTTCGCGTTGCCGCTCGAGCTCCGCGTCTTTCTGACGCTGGAGCTCTGCAGCACGCAGCTCTCCTTGCTCCTTCTCCTCCTTAAGCCCTTCGAGCGTTTGGATGAACAGCTCTTTCCGCTCCTCGTCCAGGACCTCGCTCATATTAATGAATTCCTGTGCATACTCCCATTCCTCGTTTCGGGGAAGAACGTGAAGAGTAAACAGTTCGATGATACGAACACGAGCTTCCAGGTCTTTCGGGGTGTCAGCACCGCTGGTTGCGGATATTCGTTGTTCCTCGAACCCATTTGCTGCGTCTTGGAGTCGGTCTGCGAGGTCCAAATTAGGCTGGCCGTATGACGAAAGGTATGTTTCTAAACGTCGCTGATTCAGGGCTTGTGACGGCGAATGAGTCAGGATCAATGTAGCTCTGTCAATTTTCAACCCATTGTTAGCTTAACGCGACCGACAAATCCGTGCAGAGTCACTAACAGGTTGTTGACCACCTCTGGGTTAACCGAGCCTTCTCGGCCTCGGTAACCAATCTGCACCACCGTCTCCCAAATGCCCCCCCTCACGGACCTGCGTAGCAATTGCCTTCCACTCCTTCTGGCCAAATTGTTTCGCGCCTTCCTCCGCGCCTAGGTCTACAATCGCGCTCAGCAGCGTGATGTACAGGTTCCACACTTTGATTCTCCAAGTCGCGGGGGCGGTGGCGATGGGTGCGGCAGCCGAAGAATGATCCCCGTTGGTGTGTTGGTCATCCTGGGTTGCTGGGACAGTAATTATAGGCTGAAGCGAAGCCAGTGACTCTACGAGTCGTCGGGTGAGGAACAGCTGTGAAGCTTTCTTGTAGGTTTTGGAGCAGAGCTTCGCGGTAGAGGTAGAGGGAGAAGAGAGCTGAGTGTGGGACGATGTTCCGTCAGACATTGCGAATCGAAAGCATGAGATGAAGGATCTCAATGCAGGTGGAAAAGAGGGGAAGAAGAGAAATGCTCGTGGAGTGACGGGCGACGGTAACGGGGCTAGAGGCGGCGACGTCGATCGTCGACTTCCCTCGGCTCATCCAAGTCCGGGGTTGGTCACGGGACCACGATCTATAAAAAACGAAGCTTGTGATGCTTCGCTACGACATGCATATTCAATGATGCAGACCAGTGAATGTGCAAAAAGGAGAGACAGAAAGATGCGTGCACTGCTTTTCTTTTTGAGTTGATGGTGCAACTCCTTTTCTTATTCTATTTCCCTTCCCCAGATATTCTGCTGTCTTCGCAGCTTATCGCTTCTTCCTCCGCCCAGGACTGCCCAATATGGATCTTTCGTCGAAAAATTTCTCACTGTACTTGCCATGGATCCTGGCTGAGCTTTCATTGAGCTGCTTTGTCTCGATTGACTTGGAGTTCTCGGGGATTCCCCTGGCTCAGCCGGGTCAAGCCCGCAAAGACTGCCCACTGACCGAACGGTACGCCGAGTATAAGGCTGCCGCGGAGAAGTACCAGATCCTCCAGCTTGGCTTGACAATATGCCATGAGGAGCCAAATACAGGTATTTTTGTGTCACACGAATCTAACTTTCATAAGGAATGATCAACAAAGCTGACCACACAGGTATCTACGTTCTCAAGCCCTACAACATCAATGTGTCTCCCATGATTCGACAGGAGCTGGGGATCAACCGAGACTGGACCTTGATGAGTTGTTGTAAGTTGAGACGTCTTCTCTGAGGCTTGCGAGTGCTCAATCTTAGTAACTGGATACAGCCATGGAGTTCCTCATGGGGCACAACTTCAATATGCAGGAAGTGTGCCAGGCCGGCGTGCGTTACTTGTCCCGAGAAGAGGGAGCCGATGCTATACAAGTCGCCGCCAACAAATTTGATCCCGAGAAAGCGGCCGAGGCTGTTACTGGCAAAGACTTGGACCAGAAGCATCAACTTTTCCTAATCCAAGTACGCCATGCGATCAACACTTGGCTGGCTAATAAAACGGTGGGAGTTGTCCCGCCCTCTTTGAGATTCTAGGCTTTATAGAGCTGACTATGAGCAAAGAAACCCTCTTGCCAACAAAACCTCCAGGAATTCCTCAATATCCCAGGGCGAGGAAGAGACCGTCGCCCTGCCTTCCCATCCTCGTTGAGTAACCTGCAAAGATACCTGGTCCGCCAGCTGGTCGCCGCCGAGTACCCCGATCTTAAGGCTCGAAACAAGCAGGACTTTGTTCAGATAGAGTTCAAGGACGAGGCGACCAATCCCGACGAGACACTCATGGATGGAAGAGAGGCGGCTCTTCGCAACCGCATTCGCGAGCATGTGGGATGTCGGTGGCTCGTAGAAGCCCTGGCCGGTGCGGACTTATCTGGCCTGAAGGCTGGGGACTTTGCTTCGCTCCTAACCAGGGTCACTGAACCAAGGTTCACACTAGATGAGATTGCATCCCGCGTGAAGAGTCGCGTGAAAGAGAACCGCGCCATTCTGGTTGGCCACAACTGCTTCATGGACTTGGTGTTCTTGTACCGCTGCTTCGTTGGACCTTTGCCTGATACTTTGGAGAAATTCCAGGCCCTGATCCACGATGTGTTCCCGTTTGTGATGGACACCAAGTATCTGGCTACTCACGATGGCAATCTGGATAATACCAACTCATCCCTTGAAGGGATTAGCAGCACGCTCGCGAAGATCCCTGCTCCCCCTGTCTGTAAGATTTACAGCCAAGTTTCAGGCCTGACAAGCACTAACCTTTCCTAGATATTGCCGCCACACACTCGAAGTACCTCTTTCACAAATGTGCGCATGAGGCAGGATATGACAGCATGCTCGCTGCAGTTGCCTTCATCAAGCTGGCCACACAACTGCAACAAGGACACATGCCCAAGCCGCCCCGCACCAGTTTTTGGAAGGGCCGGCATGGGGCAGGCGACCTGGATCTCAAATCAACCACGGGGATTCCAGAGGCTACGGACTTGCTGATGACTATTCCTGAGCGCGATACTGACCCTACCTTCGAGGACTTCTCGGGAGATCTGATGGGCTTTTCTGATGAGAGCACTGGGAGTGTTCCTGACCGATCCAAAGCCATCTGCCCCTCGCCCTACTCTCGCCGAAACCCGGTCGATCGAGGTGGCAGCTATGGTGAAGGAAGGCCGTTTGCTTCCTCGTCTTGGGAGTGAGTTCTGGACGAAGTATGGGAATAAGCTGCGGGCATTTGGAACCATTGAGCAGACATTTGTCCTCGGCAGCATGTCCTAGACAGCGACCAAGCGCAAGAAGCATGGCAATTTATGAGTGAGTTGAAGAGAGTTTAGGGAGGCTATGAGGTTCGAGAGAAAATGGAGAATCAATTCGCGATATATTCAGCGCAATGGAACCGTCTTCTAAGAAATAAAAAAAATGAAAAATAAAAAAAAAATAGAACAGTAATAGGGCTTGAGATGTTTGCGGCGTCTATCTAACAGTACACCTTGGATTATACGAAGGTACCGCTAGCGAAAAAAGGCCTCAAAATCAATCTAAGCACCGCTTAATGATCGACTGGGTGTGGAATTCCGAACGCAGTGACGATAAGGAAATGGGTGCTTGGAGAAGAGAAGAAAAGAAAAAGCGGCCTCGCGCTTTTTTGGGGTGTTCACGGAGGCTAACCCCGTTCTGGATTAGCGTGAACGTGACTTGGGGAACTTTTTCTCGGAGGCTTCAACACATCGTCGAATAGCCAAGGGGATCCCCGTCAATTCCCCATCACCATCATGTCTACAGGCTCCAATGGCGCCCGGCGCATAGCGTCGCTGCTGCGTATGTCCACTCCCGTTCCTCCGCCTAGCCCAGAAGAAACCATCTAACCCACCCCAGGCCCAAGATTCGACGCTGCCGTATGCCGAAGCTGTCAAGAAACCATCGGTCGCCGCAACTACGCATCTGCTGCGGCGGAGCCAACAACCACATCCTCCGATCCCTCCTCTACATCTCCGGTTGTCCAGCCCGCATACACCATCAATGCCGGTGTGGTGCTGTCGCGCCCGCCGGTCATCACACGCGACCTCGAGCCATTCGAGAAAGCATTCTACCTTTATCAAAAGCGACTGAACGAGCGCCAGGCCCTTCCTTTCACAAAATACTTCTACTTCAAGCGAGGTACTCCTCTCGACGAGGACTGGAAAAAGAAGATCCAGGAGCGACAGACCCCTGCTCGCGATATCGGTAAATACAACGCGTACGCCCCCGATGCATGGAACGACGAGCTGCTCCTCGGTGCGAAGGAAGCAGAGCCCGAGTATCAGGTCGAGATGTTGGTGCGCGATGCAGAATCAACGGCCAATGCTACCTCGCAGGATACCAGCAAGAAAGAGGAGATTCCGCGGCCACATCCGCGGGTGACGGAGGCCGATAAGAAGGGAGACCAGAAGAGCTTGAACCGTCTTCTGTCCCGTACCCTGTATCTTCTGGTCCAGTCGAAGGGAGGACAGTGGAGGTTCCCTCAGTCGCAAATTGCGACTGGCGAGACTCTTCGTCAGGTAAGATTCTCCAGCGCCCAGCTGTGTTTGGCATGGCTCATGTCCGCTGACTTTTATTCTGTCTGATAGGCTGCCGAGCGTACCCTTTTCGAATCCGCCGGCAAGAACATGAACACTTGGATGGTTGGCTACCACCCATTCGGGCACTTTGTTCGCAACATCAAGCCCCGCGCTAACTCTAAGACCGGAGCCGAGAACCTGGGCGAGAAGACCTTTTTCTTGAAGTCTCGCATCATGGCTGGCCAGGCCGACCTGTCCGCCAACCTCCACAACCTCGCAGACTTCAAGTGGCTATCGAAAGAGGAGATTTCAAAGTTTGTCCACCCGCAATACTACAGCCAGATTAAGAACATGCTGGCCGACCGGTAAACTCCCGCTGGGGAAATGGCTTCTACTGCGGTCGGGATGGAATTCCTGCTTGTTTAAATAGCGAGACGGCTGTATGTGGTTGATATGAGGCGTCATTTGGCAACGCATTGCATATATTCCTGCGCATGCCATGTATAACTAGATTTTCTTTCCATGTACTGTCAATCAACATTGAATATCAATAACAAGATCATGTCCGTGATAACACCCGCGGGACTCCCAACTCCTCAATATCCCAAACCACGTAAGAATATTCCGAATCATTTCAGCGTATAGTTGCGGCCCTGAATAAGAGGCTCATCCTTGCCCGATTTGCCTGACAGGCTCTTGCCGCACATGGGACATGCTAATTATCAATCAGCGAGATCCAGGAGGATTCAGCAGCAACAAGAAAAGAAACACATACAGTGCTTCTGAAATGCGCATTTATGACAGAATTTCCTTCCCTGCGCAGTCTTGGCTTTGCAAGACTCGCAGGACCCCGAATAGGCGGCATATGGATTCTTCGCTTTTGCGCTTAACAATTTGCTCTGCAGTATGAATCAGCCATGCACACATCCAGATCAGGAACGATAATCAACAGGCTGGAACTGGAGACAAAATGGGGGTTTTGTTTTACTAACCTTCCCCACGCCTGTGGATCCGAGCGTCGCCTTGCCTTTGGCAGGGCCACCCAGCGTGGAGGGAGAGCCAAAGTACTTGTCATTCTTGTTCTTGACGCCGGGAGTTGCGAGCTCTGTCTTCTGGAGCTTCTTTTCACATTTCCCGCAAACCATGGTGCTGTTGAAGTAGTGGTGAGATGGCGCTTGGTGGGACTTGATAGCAGCGCTGGTATCGGCTAGACACCGCCCGGCAGGACTGCTCCTTGCCCTACCAGTCGGTCTAGGTCTAGTATAACTGGTCACGTCTCGTGGTAAAGTTTACTCATGAAAATGAATGTCAAAGCGAGGATGGCCTTGCTGGATCACGTAGTCCGTAGCGAGTGTCATATCTGAAGGGGTATAATGCGCCTCCATCTTAAGTAGAAGAGATAACACATAGGATACATAGCATCGAGTCTCATAAATCATAAACATTTGGTATAACAAGGAGCACATTCTAGCAAATCAATGAAAATTCATCAATGTCGTGTTCCTTACCATTTTGGATGCATTATCATTTCATGTTAATCACGAGCAGGAACTAGTACTCTCTATTCTCAGCCCTAAACCTGCTGTCTCTGAGCCTCCGAAGGCTGTGAGATCGACGCCGACCCATTGTGCGAGGCCTGATAAGCACGGTACGGTCCGCCCTCTGGAGCAGGGACCGCAGGGATTTGTGCAGCGGTGTCATGAGACTCATGCATCACAGCAGCGGGCTTTTCCTGTGGATCCTGCAGTTGACGCCAGTTCAAGAGGCACAAGATGATGCCGACGAAGAGGCCGACGCAGAATACAAACTCGCAGACTGACATGACAAGGCTCTGGTAGTCCGGGACAGAGAGGTCTTCGATGAAATCGAAGCGGATGCCGATGATGCAGTACATCACAGTAAAGCCGAACCAGCTGAGGGCTGCGAGAATGAGGGAGGGTGCTGATACCCATGACAGATCAGAGTTCATTTATCATATAGCCAATAATGCAGATGCCAGAGAATTGGATAGAGAGTTCTAGTACGTACCTTCGAAGCGAAGCGTCGGGACGATGCCTTCACGGCGATATAGATAGACCATAGCAGAATCTCGATGGCTATGGCGCAGAAGATACAAGCGCGAACACCATCAAGCTTGGCAAAGGGCTCGGCCAGCAAGGTATCCTGTTCACTGATCAACAAGACCACATATGCCACAAAGAGACCCCAGTCTGCCAGGGACAGTGCAACGAGGAAGCCGAGGACCACCCAATGAGCCTTCATTGCGGTTGCGAATGGACGCCCTGCATCGGCGAGGCGGTCCAAGAAGCCGTGGGCGAGCGAGTAAAGGACAAAGACGACGAAGCAGGACGCGGCCACGAAGAAGAAATAGCCGGCCATAAAATCGATATTGAAGTAGTTGCTTGTTTTGATACGTGCGAAGGAAAAGATCCAGGGTATGACACTCGAAATATCCCATCTACGAAGTTGTTACCTCGAAGTCGATCCAGACGATGGGGTGTATACTTACAACGCCCACGAAAATAATGCAAATGCCAGTCCCTTCAGGCGTCCGTGGGAATTACTCATGACACAGGTGCAAGCAAAAAAGGTCACGACTGCAACGAGGCTAAGGCATTCGAAAGCAAAGTCCACATAGCCCAAAATCCTCTGAGCCCTATTGAAGTCGAAAATCAATGGCTCCGTCCATGGGTGGTCATGGTTTTGCTCTCGGAAGAGTGAGGGGCTAACGGCGATGTTGAATGCCATGTTTGTATTGCGATTACCAGAACTTTGACCTACAGCTGTCTTCGGGGCCGTCTAGAGCGGCGAGAGAATAACACTTGTAGGGATAGTAGATTGATAGTTTGCGCTTCGGCGAGCGAGTCTTCATTAGACAATTAGTAGAATTACTGTCCCAGTCATACCTTCCTGCTCACAACTTCAAGGAAGACTCGATCTCATGTCCCACACGCTCATTCTCGTTGCCTAGCATGGCTTACAGAAAATCGACTTCCCTATGTTTAGATTTCTGCGGAGCTTATGCACGCTGTTGGGCAAAGGGCACGAGTGCAGATCACTTAGTCCTCTTTGTCTTATCATACTTCTAGATACATTTTTTTTTTCAACTTTGCATCGCCTTGGCCTAGGCAGGAAATGCTGTCTCACCAAACAAGCCCTAGAGGAGGTTGACTTGCAGTTGACTGCTAGTACTCGTCGTCATTGACCACTAGGAGGTTTTTCGGCATGGACTCAACACACAGATGTGGCTGAAGGCAGAAACATTATTCGTCCAGAACTAACGTGCTTGACAGCGTCGTCAACAAATGGAGGAAAGGAACCACCTATCGGGGCGCAGGGATGTGCGCACACGGGAAGCCTGAAATCTGCAGTAGCTAAATTTAGACCCACAAATAGTTTACTCCGCGTCTTGGGGGTTTCTCTCTCACACATCTGACTGTACGAGGTTGAGAGGGGATGGTCCCCTTTTTATGGGCATCGGAGTGGAAAGAAAAACCCCCCTCCTACAGTTAACACCAAGCTCCTGCGCGACCGGAGTAAGCCAACGCCCATGACGCCTGCCAGAACTTGATGATGGAAGAGCTGTGGAGAACGGTAAATGTGGCTGAGCAAGACCACCGCCACTAAGAATCTTTGGACAGACGAGCTGAGCAGGCCCAGACACGAGTCGGTCAGATGTCACTGGAGGGAGTTTCAGCTCCAATCCGCTTCCAGGAATTGGCGCACAGCCAGTTCATGCAGTGGGCCCGATCGTCTACCAGATCTGAAAGTATAATCGCGGGCAAGCGTGGCGACATGTTGCACGAGGTCCAGCACGCAGCAGGATCTTAATCCCCCGAGGGTTTCGACCTTTTTCAGCTGTATCAACCCATGGCGGCGCAGGCGCTCTCGGCCAATCGTACGCTGTCTCCCAGAGACGCCCTGCGCTTCGATCTGTCGGTCACAGACGTGATTGATCCCCCAGTCTATGCATAGTGGGCCCGCCACTTGTAAACTGGACCGCTCATCTGTCGCAGAACCGATCAAGCACGCGTCTGGAGGCGATCTGGATGGATCCGAAGAGAGGCAAGCCCGTTCATCTGGGAAAATACTTAGTAATCTGGATGCTTCTAGGGTTTAGCTTGTTTTTTATTTTTTTTTCGCCTTGTTTCTTCTACGATTCGATAGGGGGAGAGGCAAGTGAAGCGGATCTGTGAAGGGCTTGTCCCCTGAGTGCGGAGTCCCAGGGGGCAACGGCGTATAAAGACATTTGTAGTCCTTTTGTTCGTTCAAGTCCGAGAACCCGTGTCGTCCATGGCTTAATAATTTATCTCGCCTCACTTTGATAGAATTCCAGACTCCTCCTTGCTTTTTTGGATTTGTTTGACTACAGCGCGTTGCTTTTTGTGCTCTGCTCCTATGGTTCGCTAGCAAACCGCATTCGGCGCACCCGCATAACCCGCACCATATCCCGAACAGACTGCCTCTGTTCTTCGAGAGACATTGCGAACTCTGGAAACTTCTTCAGGTCCTTAATTCGAGCAATCTAAAGCGAGCTAAATTGTGAAACCTGGGCTGTAACCATTCTTTGGGCTTCGAACGATCCACCACGGATCAGCACAGACGTCCAAGTCGCCGGATTATTGGACTCGCCTTCCTGCCCCAAGTTCGCCCCATTGACCGGGCACTGATAAAATCTCCCGCGATTACCAGCTTTGAGGATTTATCACGCGCGGCCGAATCAGCTATTCTTCTACGTCTACCTGTGATCAGCGCAATTGAAGAGAAGCTGTGCAGCAGCCGCACCGAGGGTCAACCCTAGAACTCCAACCACACCGATCCAACAAAATCAACAGAAGAAGAAGAGGAAAGAAGGAGAAAAATTGAAAAGAAAAAGCCCAAGGCCAGAATGCCCCCAGACGGCTCCTCCTTCACACCCTTAAACCTCCCACCAGACTTTGCACTCCCGCAATGCATGGAATACTTCACATTAACCGCGGGCCCGAACACGGATCTATGGCGCAAGCCGCCCAACGGCGACACCTCGACGGCGCCGATCGTCTTCACCTCCCTGCGGCATCCCTTCGTGGTCGCCGAGGTAACGGTGTCCGCGGACTGGGAGATGGAATGGGACCAAGGCGGGCTCGTCATCTTCGCAGGGGCCGCGCCACAGGCGTTCACAGAGAGCGCGCTGGGAGTACGGCGCGCAGGCTCAGGCCCGCCGAGCGCGCCATGCAAATGGGTTAAAGCGGGCATGGAGTTCTCGGGCGGGACGGTGAACGCCAGCTCCGTCAGCGCGACGGCGGACGGGGCGGACTGGTGCCTGTCGCCGCTGGGGCAGACGCACGCGACGCAGATGGCGCAGTCGCTGCGGATCAAGCTGGAGCGGATTGGGCATGCGCTCTGGATCTTCTACCAGGTACCGTCTGTGTCGCCGTATGGGCAGACGCCCGGGGCGGTGGGGAGCACGTGGAAGAAGTTGCGGGAGGTGACTTGGTTCTTTTATGGGGTGGAGGATAAGTTTGTGCATGTGGGTGTTTATGCGAGCCGACCAACGGGGTTGGGGAGGGGGGGGACGATGTGGGATGCTATGCATGGGCTTTCGTTGGATCATTCGATTGCGACGGGGTCTGGTTCGCATGATGGGTTGGTGGTGGAGTTTGAAGATCTGGAAATCTTCTAAGATTGCGCTTTTTTTTTTTCACTTTCTGGTACATTGATTTCATTCCGTCTGTGTGCTTTCATTCTGGTTGTCATCTTTCGTTTTTTTCTCTCTCTCTGGGCCTTCTTGTGTGTTTTTGACCTTGGATTTCAGAGCTTTCTCTGACCTCCGAGGTCTTTTGATACCTTCCCCTCTGCGTTTGAGCAAGCGAGTCTCGGGGCATGGAGTACTTTGTGTCTAAATGGCTGGTTCAACATCTGACACTAATGAGATTTATTTATACTGGTATTGGTACATGGTCTAATGGAGCTCGAGGAACTAGATTGTCTAGTCCAAGGTTGTAAGAGAGAGGCCAAGCGCATGCGGTGACATGGTGATTAGGCGTGGCATAAGTTAGTTACATGGCTTGGGAAGCGTACTAGTTTCTGTGTCATTTTCGAAAGCATACTCATCTCCCTGGCTCCAAAAAAGCCATGTCTTACCCTTAAAGGGCTTTTCAGCAGAGCACGAATTGACGCGTTCCGACGCGGGTAGCCGAGGGTCGCGACGTTCATAGCTACACCACTGGCAATGGCCTATTAGATGACACAACAGGCATTGCTCTAAAGTAAGCCTATAGCTTCGTTTCTCATCGCAGGTGTCGTCTCTAGCGAAATGTGGCATGCCGAATCTCACGTCAGATTCGTGGTTAATATAAGTATGACAGACGGGCAGATGTATATCTGACCCAGGACCCATAGGGCTTATGCAGTACTCGCCAGACTTAGTATCAGCATATGTGCCTATCTGGACTAGATACGGACTAGCCACTGACAAGATGCCCTAGGCAGTGTAGAGCAATACTACTATTTATCGACCACGTGACTTAAATCGCATGCCATATGGAAGGTATTTGAAGAACTGCTAACCGTTGCGAAGTGCCAACGGTCCGGCGACACCTCCGTACGGCCGAGACGCTTGGAAATCACAGATGCATTGCACCACAATGCAGAGGAGATACAGGTGTGCAATGAAACATTCTAGTAGAGCTTCTTCAAAACAGACCTTCGTATCTACTAGTATATATCTTTTTTTTTATAGTTGTTCGCCAACGTACGTTTGATCGTTGATGTCACCGATGACTCAGCCGGTCCAATGCGGGAGCGCGCTACCCGAAGCCGGGAGCTAGTCCGAGTTTTACGATGGAAATGCTGGGGAAGTCGAGCTCAGCCAGATAGGTTCGTAGGGCCGGTAGAACAGGAAAAAAAAGCAGGGAAGAGGCCGCTCCAGCTGTTCAGAGCCAATTAACCAGCTTTCAAACGCCAATTGCTAGAATTGGCGGAGTGAGCGGTTGTCGAAGCTAACACGTAGCACCTGGCAACCCCGGAAGCATCAAACCCGGAGCAAGGGCCGGATGGACAGCTTTGAGCTAGGAGCTTCCCCTGGGAACAAGCTGAATCTGGTATCGGAGCTCGTGAACTTCAATCGAAGATCAGGCTGACATCTTACGGTCATACAGAAAGGGACTATAGCGGCTCCGAGGCGCTGCGGATAGGAACAAAGGAAACACGTTTGATACAGCCGGAGGACTCTAACACATAGAGTTTTGGTTTGGCTCGTTTGGAAGTTGGGATGGGTGGGCCATATTGACTCTATATGTACAGAAAGAAATAGGTGTTGTAGATGACGCTGAAAAGTAGTACATGGTAATACATCACGACCAAATACCCTCCCCGGCGGACAAAGGAAAAGTCGAAAAAGAAAAAAGAAAAAAAGGGGCAAAACCTCTATATAGGAATCTTTTTTGATTCTTTCCTTTTCTCCTTGTTCCTCCTAGCCCTTCGATTCAAACGCTTAGACGTACTTGCACATCATAGCAACCATGAGGTCGAACAGACCCATGGCTTCGACGAAAGCGAAACCCAGAATGGCGTAGGAGAAGAGCTGGCCACGGAGAGCAGGGTTGCGAGAGACACTCAGGAGCAGAGCGGAGAAGACGAGACCAATACCGATACCGGCACCACCGAGACCGATGGCAGCGGAACCCATACCGATGTTCTTGGAGACCTCAACGAGGGCGGAGGCGACCTCGGAGGAGTACTGGCGGCGGGAAGCGTTCTGGAAGGCAGCGCGGGCGTTGGCCTGGAGGAGAGTGGGCGAGGCGACACGCTTGGGGGCGGCGAAGGTGGCAGCAGGGGCCTTCTGGGTGAAGGTGCGCTTGGCGGCAGTGTTCACGTTGACACGGGCAGCAGGGCGAGCGACCTTAGCGGACTGGGCCATGGCGGTAGCCAGGCGCTGGGTGAAGACACGGGAGGCCATTGTGTATAGGATTTCCTTTCGGGAGGGTAGGAAAAGAGAGGAGTGGCTGGTTTTTGGTATATGGGATGGGAACTTTTCAGGGAGAAAAAGCTGGGAAACTACGGAAGAAGGTCTCCCTAGGACATAAATACTCTACGGCCAAATTTTCGCCCGGCCGCCTCCTAGTCGAGGCTAGTGCGCGCGTGCGAAAAGCCCTACTCTGTGCGCACGCCGGGGTATTTCACTCGCAAATCACCTGTACCAAGAATGCTGGGGGTGTGTTTTGCCCTGGTTTTTCATTTCTTACCGTAACTTATGCCCAGCTGGCCAGCTGCTTGCTGCTGTCGGGTTCGTTCGGAGCCATTGAGCCAATTGGGGATCCACTGTGTATTGCCTCGTTTCGTTCTCAGCGTTTTCCCTTCTCTTTTGGGGGGGCGCAGAGGATAGAGACGATCCACTTTCAATTACCGCTGCTCCACCTCCCCTGCTTCCAATACTGATCAAATGCTCCAACTAGATCATGTTTCCCCTGGATTGCACTCCAGGTACACTATCTATTCTACGTAGGGCCAAAGGGAAACAGCAGACAGCCTCACTTTGCTTTTTCCCCTACGGTGTCTTAGGTCTCTCATATTCCCTGTCGTGGATCGTCATTGATCCAAGTGGGTCAATCCACTGACCCACCAAACTACACCAATCAGGGATCGATTGGGGCTCATGAACCCAAGGAACTCGTTTCTGGACGAGTTCCCGGCCACCCAAAACCGGGCCGACTCGGATTCCAGGCCCACTAGCAGAGCATTCACTGGGCAACCGGCCCACCCGAGCGGGCCTTGGGTCGGTTGAATGGAGTAATCTGTGGATTCATCCCTTCCTTTCCTCGGAATCGCGCACACCGGTCTCTTTTGAGACGTAATTTAAGACCGGATCCGGCACCTGTATCAGACTCTCGTCATTGTACGGAGTACTCCGTATTTTATGCCCTGTTGGGAGCCACCACGATCAGATCTCGGGCCTGGGGAAGAGCTGGACTTTATACCTGGGAACACAAAAAGCAGGGTAATTCGAAATTACGGACAGATCCCCAAGCTGACGCTTATCAAGGGGGCGTAAGAAAGTAATAGATTACGAGTTATCCTCGCTTCCCTCGGCCTCTGCCAAAAAAACTGGATTCCGACCCGCCAGGGCCCGATTTCCCGCACACGCACATGTCCATTCCGGTTCACCCCCAAAGGGGGCCCGCTGGGAAACAAACACCCTTATACGATCGAGCACCGCGCGCGCTTCCCCAGGAACCCTTTCAGCCCCGACCGGAGTGGCTGCTATAGTGCTTCCCACGCAAAAAACCCATCCCGTAGAACCCTGTTCAGAGGCTCTGTTTTGGCTCCCCCGTGGAAAAATCCGAGCGGCTGCAGTTCGGCAGATCGCAGACGCGCAGCTTGGCGGACCCACATAAGCTCATTACAGGGTCATTCCGGAGCGCCTTAGTTTCAGCCCTTGCAGCGCCGTACCAGGAGCTATGCAGGAGGGAAAAGGAGACGGTTGTGTTTATTTTGTCGTGGTGTTCAAGAGGATGGCGATGGGGCTATTTATCTGTTGTTTACTGCTTCTGCAGACTAGGGGTGCTGACATCAGGGCCCGCGAGCAGAAGGCTTATCGGGTGTTTTAGGCTTCGAGTAAAAAATACACGTAGATTACGGCTACGATACGTCAACCTGACTCGTCGAGAGAAGGCATCATGGATGACCCGCCGTGAAGTCATGGGATCATCCTGCGTCCTGATATGCCTCGTAAAGGGGGTTGGTTATCCCCTACAGTTGCATTGGCTGGCGCAGCAGACTCATTCATTTGCAGTGTGTTTGATATCGATACGAAGAGGACGAGTATGGTTGATGTGCCGGATGTCTACTCCGTTCACGATGCTGGGTTCCCTTCGAGTCCGGAATTCGAATTCGATACCATGTGAGAGAACCAGACGAAGCCCACTCGATGGGAATACCAGGTGGATCTTTCCCAGAAACAATACTGGCGTACAGCCGTGCGTATCGGCCCCGTCAAGACGTATCGTGAACGATGAAATTCACAGAACACGTTGCGGCAGAACAGGCCTGCGTCATGGTAATTTCCAGCTGGCCAGATAAATGACCGTTGGAACCCGGAAGACAGCTCGCGGCCTTTTCAGGGAAATGGAGAGCTGAAGGCGGTTGATTGATCCGGCAGGCGAATCGGGTTGGACCTGGCTGCCACGAGCAGTTGCCGCTCGTCCAAACCCCAGGTTTGCTAGGCGTGATTAACACTGGCAGCCCAGATGATCGAAGAGCAGCCTAAACCACAGCTGTCCATCTACCGGAGAGCAGAGCCCGAATCGATCCAGTGATGCATCTCGGGTCAATGGCTGGGCAGGGGTAATGACGGATGGATCCAGTGGTGCCTGGGGCAACTGCGTCTTCCAGCCACAGGATTGTTATCTCCATAGCACGGAATCGAAATCGACTAGTCCGGCTGCAGGACGGCCGCACATTGGACCTCAGCTTTCCCCAGATCTCATTTTCAAAATGATCCACTTGTTTAAACCCAACCGGCATAGCGTGCACACAAGACTATATTTGGATGATTTGCTCCTTTGGTCTCCATGATTGTTGATTTACTAACCTTGCCCTGTGCCATAGCGTAGCCTCGCACGCAAAAATGTGCCCCTCTTCGGTACACTTTAAAGACCCCCCACTCTCAGTCGCCAGCATTGTTTTTTGTCCCGGCTGGCCATGGCAGCCTGAGGGATATGCTTGGATGATACTATTTCCATTTGCATAAATCATAGGGTTGTCCAGTGTTCTGACCAGCCCCTTTGCTTGACGCAGTGCCAGATGTCTGATTCCGTCCTGAGAATGGTGGATTTCGGGCGTGTCGCAGAGTTATAAGCTTGTTTCCTGCATCATATTCTAGATGGGTGGGTGCCATGTGCTCCAAACCATTTCCTCTGCAGACTGATGGGTATCCGAGGAGCAAAAATCTTGAGGGGTATGTTTCTGAAAGGCCACTGGCCATCATACAACTCTTTCGAGCTGGCATGAATACCAAAACCGAATCATAGAATTGAGGCTAGCTCTATTAAGACCGTTTCTCCCTTCCATTTTGATTCATGTATGTGGCTGAAGCTCACTCCGACGTTTTTCATTTTCCCCTCCAGGCCATGATAACCGCTATCAACGAATTCGGTCCTTCCACAGAGGATACTTCTTTTGCTGTTATCGCTACAATAGCAAGACTCGCACTGGGGCGTATCCTGGCGTCATTCCCTCCATCGGTCTGACTGAATCTAGGAAGATCTGACTCCGAATGATGCTAGAACCTATCGCCCAGCTACGACCTCTGCCTAGCCTGGCACTGTCCAGCCAGCTCATAGTGAGCTGGTAGAGCGGTATCCTGACTCTTATCAAAGCGGGTAAAGTCGAAAAACATGAGCTATACACGGACGCACGTGTGCTTGCCAATTCCCCTCATGCATCCCGCATTCTGGGGGCTGCCATAAAGGAATCATTGAGCTAATATCCATCTCCGGTATCAAGTGTGTGCAGGAATTCTGTATACTGTCTTCTTTTCTGACTTCTGTTTTCTTTTATTTACGTTCAGTCAGGTGGAGCTTGTCTTCACGTCTTGTATCAGGGAAAAGCAAATCTGCCTCAATCCCCGCCTGCATACTAAGCCCAGCGTGTAGGTGAAATGATGAGATACAGTCTAGACTGTGGCAGCGGTGAAGAGTGTAGGAAGACAGGCCTCAGTTGCTTCCCAGGGCATTATAGCGCCAAGCCCTGGATGCTATATTCAGTAACACCCCCCTCTTAGCGAGCTGACCTCTCCGTTTGAGTGGACCTCGATTTGCCGCGTGTGGTTGCTATGGGCTAATATCGTCGATGTCGGCGTCGATATCGCCTTTGATCCCGTGTATAGTGTACATGAGCGGGTGATACACGCGGGAGAGGCTTCGTTGGGGCAAAGCTTCCACGGCCAAGCATGCACCGAGCCCATGTTACATGACCGATCTCAGAGATCCATATACCAGCTCCAGGAATGTTGCCATATCTCGAGGTATCTCACCTGGAGTACGGGGACCGTGGATATATCAATATCTTTGATTTCACCCATCTGCTGTTTGGTCAAGCTACGAAAGTCCCACCGTTGCACTGCCTGATGACCCAACGCTCCGTTATTGGGTCTCGGAGCAAGTTAATATACGGGATCTGGCGCTGTTTCGACCATCAGAGTTTGATTGTAATGGCAGTATACGGGTGATTTACCCGAATGAGACTCGCTGCTGTCGTCTTAGTACATGGGCATAAGCTTCTATCCAGTCACTCCACAAGGCGGAATGATCTTTGGTAGCATCTTGCACTCCAATGCGTTAACTAGACCCCGCTAGAAGGAGAGCATATCCGGCGCTCGACTCGTTGGGTTGGTGGCCCTCAATATCCCCCCTGGGATCCCTGGGCCACAACGGGCCCGGCAGAAGTTTACGTATAGAGATGACAGATTTGTATCTCTTCTGTTCCGTTATGATGCAAAGCCCAAGAGTTGTTAGCTTTTCAGAGCAATAGACTTGTCCTTGGGCTACATCCGTAAATCTCAGGCTAGAATGCCTTCCCCTGCTGAGGTGCCTAGCCCTCGTTCGAACATGCCAATAGAAAACCCACCTGATGGGCATGCGGGGCATGATCTGCAGAGGGGCCTGAGACAACCCCCACAGTGCGGGGGAGCTTCCGATCAAAAAACTAAGCTTGCTCTCCAATCGCCGCAGGTAAACAAAGCATTGTGCTCCAGCAACATGGCCGCAGGTGTCCCCTACCCTTTCCACTTCGACCCAGACAGCTCTGGTGGCCCACGCGATGGAACCAGCAGAACCGTCACTCTAACCCTGAAGAATGTCCGCGGTCGAATCCCCTTCCCCCAAACCTCGCGCCTGCGAACGATGATGCTCGAGGCTCGGAATGATCCAACTAAGATCCTCGCACACGCCTGCACGTACGACGGCTTGTCGTCCCGTCTCGTCGAAGAAGCCGGGTTCCCCATGGTCTTTGTGTCTGGGTTCGTGGTGTCGAGTTCGCACGGTGTCCCTGATGCGGGGTACATCGCGATGCAGGAGATGTGCGATAAGATCCAGGAGATATATCGCCAAGTCTCGATCCCCATCATGGCAGATGGGGATACTGGGTATGGGGGCCCGATGAACGTTAAGCGGACTGTCGAGAGCTTTGCAGCGGCTGGCGCGGCGGGGATTATGATTGAGGACCAGACTTGGCCGAAGCGTACGATTTGCTGAAACATCTACAATACAAGACTAATTTGATCATTCTACGATAGGCTGTGGTCATACCAAAGGCAAAGACGTTGTCTCTCGCGGAGAGGCCTACGCACGGATCCAGGCTGCCGTTGATGCTCGCAACGAAGGACGCGATATCTTCATCATGGGCCGCACCGATGCCCTTATGTACGGATGGGGATGAAGCTATGGCTCGAGCGAAGGAGTTTAGGCGGATTGGCGTCGATGCAGTCTTTGTTGAGGCGCTACCGGATAGAGATGCGATGAAGCGCTGCGCGGAGGAGATCGACATCCCCGTCTTTGCTAATATTATCGAGGGTGGGAAAACAGAGAATATTTCGGCCAAAGAACTGGCTGAGCTAGGGTACAGCGCCGTCGCATATCCCTGGACTCTGGTTGCTGCGCATCTCAAGAGTGTTCGGGATGCTTTGGATGGGTTGAAGAGGAGCATGCTCACTGGTGCTCCGCCGATGATCTTATCGTACGATGAGGTGTGCGAGGGAGTTGGTTTCAAGAAATATTGGGTAGGTCTCATTCTGGATTGAAAGGCTGCATGTTCTCTTTTAATGCTGTGATCAGGATCAATCGGAGAGATACAAGTACAGCGAATGAGGGATCACCCTGCTACTTGAAAATTAGAATGACTGCACATCATGCAACCGTCACGTTACATATATTCCAAGAAAATGTAGACCAATTCTCTGAAATTGGGTTTAGGCAATCTTAAGGCAGCAGTGGAAATCCATGGTTAGCGACAGCCGCACCCAATATGAGTAGCGGCACTCCCGTGTTGTTGATATCACTATTCGTTATATGAGGGATGACACTCGAACCACCAAAGAAATACAAATGCACCAACATATCCGCTTTTTCTTTTGGTGATTGAAATAATCTTTCTAGTCAGCAGTTATCTCGACGCATCTGACTGCAGAAGTGCCGTTTGAACAAAATACAAGACAATGAACATGTCAACACGAAGCAAAAAGCTTGGCAGACGCGCCACCTTACGCAGCTTTCCTCACTGGAGGCCGTTTGCTGCAGATATATTCAAAAGACGACCGCGAGTCATCTCGAAAGACTTGAGACATCCAGGGAAAGCAATGAGGCAGACTTCAAAGCGTCCAACTCCAGTACAGGGTCTGGCCACCAAACAAATCCCTCTTGAAGTACTTAAAATGATTTTTTCAAATCTTGACCCTCGTACAATGCTGGTCAAAGCCCAGAGAGTCTGCAAAACATGGAATGCCATCATTAGCAACTCAGCGAAGTTCCAGCAAGCATTATTCTTCGACACGCCAACTGATCTCAACAAGTTAAGAGGCCACCACCCGTTTGCCCAAGAGCTGAAAAGATGTATTCGCATCACGGGATATCTTAAGAGTGAAACAGACTGCCAGAGTTTACTCGCAGACAAAGATTTTGTATTAGCCGTCACCAGGAAAGAGGCGAGTTGGAGGCGCATGCTGTCCCCGTTTAGCCCCTTGGAATATGGACAATGGCACCTTACGGGATGATCTAGTTGTTTTGGGCGTTATACTAGTATATCCAATGCTTTCCTTCTGCAATGTCTTATCTTTGGCTGTTGGCTCTATTCATACGTTGATCTGCACGTGATTCGTCGTCTCTACGCCTGCGGATGACATGCGGAGTCGAGGAAACTTCTAGCTGAGATTGCTCTGGTACAATTTAGCTTGAAGAGTGTGATTCTCTTCCTTCTCGAGAAGCTTCTTTCTTAGTCAAATAGCAATCAAACTTGATGCGAAATCAAAGCGAGTCCAAAGCAAACTTAAGTCAAAATCAAACGCAGCCGATATGGGAGGAACTGAAACTGAACCCCACTACACACTGCGGACGCACCGCACCGGCGACATGGGCTGGATCACCTACCGCCATGGAGTGCTTTATAACGCTGAGCACGGATGGGGCGAGCGTTTCGAAGCCCTTGTCGCCGAGGTCACGGTTGATTTCATCAAGAATCTGGATACGAGTTGCGAACGATGCTGGATTGCAGACCGAGAAGGCGAGTTCCTCGGGTGTGTCATGCTCGTGAAAGACCGCTCCGCTGATCAAAACACAGCGAAGATTCGGCTGCTCTTGGTCGAGCCCAGTGCGAGGGGCCTCGGACTTGGACGGGTTCTTGTCAAACAGTGCGTGCAGTTTGCACGCGAAGCGGGATATTCTCGAGTTGTGCTGTGGACGCAGAGTACGCTGACTGCTGCGCGGCGGATATATAAGAGCGAGGGATTCGAGCTGGTCAAGGCCGAGGAGCATGATACTTTTGGGATCAAAATGTTGGGAGAGCTTTGGGAGCTGGCTTTCTAAATGCATACTAGATCCCCAGTGAAAGGCTTCTGGATGGGATTGATATGCCTATTCAATGTACACCTTGTACGGATAGTCTGCCTTGGGAATGGGGCTGATACCTGGGAGGTCCCGGACCTGCAAGCTACCCATGTAAAAGCATCTCAGGCCTAAGGCGAGGTATGCCAACAAGTTTAGCTGAGTCTAAGTGAAGCTAATGTTAACTATCTGATAGACATTCACCATTTTCCCAACCTTCTGCCCCCATTTAGCGAGAAGATTCACACAACAGTAGAAGGCCGATCCACATGATATGACATTCACACCGAGCTCATCTACTCTCAAGCATGGCACTTCGAATGGCTACTAACGGTCTCGGTCATTCACACAACCCCCTGCCCATTGAATGAGGACGCCATAACATTCATTCCCTGAGGCTTGCAAGCTAACGTTGACCTACTGTACTCACTGCAGCAATGGATATTTAATCCCCCTCACCCTCTGCTGTTTCCCCTTCTTTTTCTTTCTCCTTCCAACAGGTTTGTGAACACTGTGCGCGCGTCGCTTGCTCTCTCTTCGTGCACACCTACTCTCTTTCGATTCTCTTGGGCTGGTCCCATCACTCGTTCGATCGTTCGTGGGCTGGTCCCACCTGTTCAAGCCAAGAGATCCTTGATATTTACCAGTGGATCATATCATAGTGAGTTCATGCTGCCTTGAAAGTTGATATGGTGAACTGACCAGTTATAGAGATCCAACATGACGGAGCAAATGCCATCATCTCCGGTCAACAGTGAGCAGGACTCACGCTCAATCGGAGGTTCTCCTGACCGCGGGTGGGTGAGCATCAAACGGGAAAGCAGCCCGCCATCCGGGGACAACCCTGAATGGCGCCCTGAGGAGGCTGCTATGAGCGACAGCACCTCTTCACCAAGCCCACCCGTCGGCCAGCCGGAACGGACCTCAGTGCCGCCAGCAGCGTCCTCTTCCTGGGCAACTTACCCACTTCGAAGGGCGGCCTCGGAACCGCCATCACGGTCGGTATGGGTACCTGGTGCCTATACCAACTCTGTTGGGCGCTCCTCGCCCTTCACTCAAGCATTCGGTGATGTCGTGGACACCGCCCTCATCAATCGGGGCGGTCTAAGCAACATTGCCGCAGTTGGCCCAGGAAACGCTTCAGCAGCGGCCGGCAGCTCACAGCGCCCTGCCATTCGAATGGCCATTCGATTTGGCAACGCCATCGTCTGGACCCGCTCTCCAGACTACTACGAGTTCATAGCCCTCGTTCAAGCTTTCCGCGAGAACGCACAGGAGTTGATCTCGGGTCTGGAGGGCGGCCTCGCATACGAGAGCGCCGATCACACTGTGAATCCGCGCTGCGCAAGAATGGCCGAGGCGGTGGATCGTGTCCTCACCGGGTTGACCAACATCGTCTTTCTCGGAGACGTCAACCCCCACGATCACACCGTCTTCGAGCCCGATATGCGGGACCTGACGATGATGAGCATGATGCGGGACATCGCCGTGCGCTACGGCTCGTTCGTCGACCGGATGAACAACATGCGCGACGTTGTCCGGGCCATCGATGCCGGGGAACAGTTCGTGGGGGGCGACATCCTCGGCGCGGCGGCCTTCCTGCGAAGGCGCATCTGCTGGCAAAATGCCACTTTGTGGCATGAGAGGGTTTGGGGCTTTTTGGGGGATTCCCTGGCCCAGTTGGAGGCGGCGGTGCCTCTCTATCGTCAAGAGGTCCACAACCTCGAGTGGTACATGCGTACGCATCGGACCACCTTGGTCAACTTGGGACCCCTTGACTTTGGGGTCAGCACCGTCCCTCTCGCCAACTGAGGGAGGGATGGGCCCAGAAGGGGAGGGGGAGGGCGGGGGTGGACGCGGGGGGGGGGGGAAAGAATTTGTATTTTTAGTTTGAAAAGGAAAAAAAAAAGAAGAAAATTTTCGAATCATTTCATATCTCCTTCTAAGCATCCATTCCTCAAAGACAACTAAGTCAAGGCGGGGAGAGGAAAAGAATATCTGCTCACAGCCACCCGAGCATTTGTAGATGCGCGCTCAGTCAGCCCTAACCCAATCTACATCGGGTGGGAGACGGAGAGATCGCCGTGGCCAGCGCCTCTCGACCTTAATTCGACAACCCTCGAGCCTGCGGAAGCCGGACAAATACATGGTAATTTGCGCTTTTCTTGGGGTTGTACCATTAGTTTCCCAATCTGTGTCCTTGACTGGTCCTATCGATCACTAGATTTATCTGTTCGATGCCGGAATGGAGCATTGTAAGTGTCGCGCGCCGGAATACCCTTAGGTATATCATGATTTGCCGACCGACGCTAGAATGCTATAGTGTGGCTGTACGGTAGATCGAAGATTCATTTGGTACGAAAAGATGTGCTACGGGTGAAGCAAAATCAGCCATGAAGAGAAACAACTGGCCTCGATGGAATTCGACACTCCCCGAAAAGCCAAGTGGATATGAAGAACTTGCCAGTCTCGACAAACTAAGCAGGAAGCGCAGCAGCTTGAACATGAATATTACGTGCTGAGGAACTAGGGTGTCTCATAGGAAGGTCTTGTTACTGCCCCTGACAAGAGGTTGAATGGCTATCCCTCGAAGTCTACCCGAGTCACGAAAAATCTGGCATATGGCTCTGGCAGTGCGATTTTGCGATTTCGCGCATTGTTGAAGCCATCAAGGGGAAGCCGGTTGTGCCGGGGCCCCGGGCCGAGGTGTCATGGAATACGTCAGAAGGGCCCTGCACGCGTACCTCAGCTCCTGTGAGGGCAAGGCCGAATTTGATGGATCGAGAGGGAGGATATTGTAGTTTGATGAAACAGTTTGAAAAGACAATGGCAAAAAAAGAGAAAGATACAAAATAAGTTGGGCGTTCCATAAGAATACTGGTATTGTTTACTCCAGATTCAAGTTCGGGTTAGGGTAGTAGCAGCTAACCTTCGGAAATCACGAGATTTACCGGGGCTCTGGTACTTTTGCGGTCACTAATTTCTTTTCTTCGAGTTTTATAAACTGGATGCGGAGAATATTTGCAAATAGCCTGATTTGAAATCATGGCATGGAATAGAGATTAAGAATTATTAGCGGCGTATATATCAGAGAGTGCTCGTTGGACAGTGACCCGAAGGACGTATTGCAGATACTAGTAGGTAATAGAGCTGTGGATATCTTTCGGTGTTATAAGGGGTATTAATCGGGATAAGGACGTCTTATAATCTGGACATTCGATTATGAGGATGGTGCCACCCACGCAGCCACCGCAGTAGCCGACACCCGCAAGGAGCACAAGGGCCCCAATGCTTGGCGAACCTGTAGATGAATATTTGGCATTCGAATATGATCGGGGTCCGGATCGACTTTGCAGCGCCCATTGTCCACAGCGGACAATGCGAGGGTGTCAATAGGCCATGCGAACCCCGCGGTGGCCCGTGGGCAGCTGCACGCCATTGACCCAGTCTTGGGTCTTATGATCGTGAGTCACAGAGACCATCCTCACCGATGTTTCTGTATGACCTCGGGACAAGCAGAATCTTCGAGAAGTGCCGGAGCCGGGTCTGATCCGCGGTATTCCGTAGATGAACCTTGGGAGAACCGTGGGACGGGACATGGCCTTGTTTACGTTTTGACAAATTGAGTCACCATAGATCGAGCGAATTTCGCATTGCCCTGAAAAATGGATCATATCACTCGCCTGATCGTGCCGTTGGCGGTGGAGTCGATCATGCCCGTCGACAAGGGAAGCAGGAACCTGATCCCGCATTATTGGCGGGCGATTGTGTTAATTTATGGGTCCTGCGCTGCTAGCGCATCCGCCATTTTAATTTATTTCCACTTTTTTTTTTTTCGGAGATCCACTCTGAATTTGATTGTCCTAGGAATACCAACGGTTCCTTGTAACGAGGAGATTGAAGCTGGCAGTACGGGAGGAGAGCCCAACGTAGCCTCGGAAAGTGCGACCGTACCCAGAGTGCCAAAGCAGAAAACAACTCATCGTTGCACACTAGCCCAATAGCCTAATAGCCTAATAGCCCAAAGGATCGCCAGTTCAGGCAGCTTCACCGCATGTTGGCCGTGGGGATCGGCCATTCAGGGCTGGATGCTATTGGGCAGTTGCAGACAAGAAAAACCCAAATAACCAAAAGGAAAGAGAATGGGCTCGCTTTCGAGACGCTAAACACTCTGAAAGGACCTAAGGGTGTTTAGCGCTGGTACCATCCCGGTCACTGTGACAACTTGCTGCTGCCCCACGTCTGTTACTGCTTGTAGTTAGCTGCTTGGGGAGCTTTGTGTTGTACATGTGCTGTTGGGCGCTTTTTTTTTTTTGTTATTGGCCTGAGCTTCCCCTCTCTCGTACTTCCTCTCTCCCCCTTCTCTCTTGACTCTTCATACTCTCCATAATCTCCATACTTGCTCTGTGAGCTGGTGGTCCTGTACAGCTAGTTGCTTGCCTGCGTTAGTGTGCTTTTGCTGGTCAAATTGCAAAGCTGTTTGCCTATTAATTCTGCCCCTCACGACCGTTACGACTTGACGACTTACAAACCATGGCAACTGCTGCAATTCAGAATGGTATATCCCAATCCTCCATTCTCTAGTTCTCTGCTTTGGTCTCTGCTCAACGGATTGCATTCTGCCTGAGGACCTTGGGACCAACCAATCAACGGCAAAGCTAACCTCTCACAGCCACTGAAGACACTCTCCCCAAAGAGCCTGCATCTGCCCCACTCAACGACGCTGAGACCGTAGCGGATGCTCCTGCGCCCAAGATGACTGCAGCTGAAAAGAAGAAGGCGAAAAAGAAGGCCAAGAAGGCTGAGAAGAAGGCCGCCAAATCTGACGAGCCAGAATCGGATCCGGTTGAAAGCCCAGCCGAGTCTAAGCCTGAGGAGCCAGCATCTGCCCTCGAAGAGGCTCCTGCAGCTGAGCAGTCTGCCGAAGAAAAGCCTGCGGAGGAGGCAGCCCCGGTGCCAACAGAGGAAGCTTCAGCGACTGAGAAACCTAGTGAAGAAAAGGTCGCCGAGGAAGCTCCCGCTGTGGAACAACCCGCTGAGGAGAAGCTCGCCGAAGAAGCCAAACCCGAAGCTACAGAGGCTACGGCAGCTGCAGAGCCTACCGAAGCTGCCCCTGAATTAAAAGAGGAGACACCTGTAGTCGAACAGCCCGCCGAGGAGAAGCCCGCCGAAGAAGCCAAACCCGAAGCTACAGAGGCACCGGCAGCTGCAGAGCCTACCGAAGCTGTCCCTGAATTGAAAGAGGAGACACCTGTAGTCGAACAGCCCGCCGAGGAGAAGCCCGCCGAGGAGAAGCCCGTCGAGGAGAAGCCCGTCGAGGAGAAGCCCGTCGAGGAGAAGCCCGTCGAGGAGAAGCCCGTCGAGGAGAAGCCCGTCGAGGAGAAGCCCGTCGAGGAGAAGCCCGTCGAGGAGAAGCCCGCTGAAGAAGCCAAATCCGAAGCTACAGAGGCCCCAGCAACTGCAGAGTCCACCGAAGCCGTCCCTGAATCAAAAGAAGAGGCTCTCGTGGTCGAGCAACCCGCCGAGGAAAAGCCAGTCGAAGAAGCTGCACCAGCACCTATGGCGACTCCCGCTGCTGACCAGCCCGTCGACGAGGCCATGCCCGAAACAACCACCGAGGAGAAGTTCGAAGAGCAGGTGGTTCCCGAAACAGCCGGACAGCCAGCTGCCGAGGGAACCGCTCCCGAGCCCGCTGAGAAGGCCACTGAGGAGGCTACAGGAAAGTCAGTAGAACCGACTTCTTCGGACAAGGGGGTAGCTGAGGCCCCAACTGAGGGAAAGGTCGAAGAAGTGCCAGCCCAAGAAAAGCCAACCGAGCAGGCTGCGCCTGAACTTACGGGGGCTTCCACCTCTGAGGAGCCAGCTGCTGATGCTACTCCCGAGAAACAAGTGGATGAGACTCCCGCCGTGGAGGAAAGTCCCGAAAATCCTGCTCAGGACGCTGTGCCGGCAACTACAGAGGCACCGGCGACTGAGGAGCCCGTTACCGAAGCCACGCCTGAGAAGCCTGTGGAGGAGACCCCACTTGAGGAGAAGCCTGCCGACGTCGCTGCACCAGAGACAACAGAAGTCCCAGCTTCTAAAGAGCTAGTGACCGAACCTACGCCTGAGAAGTCTACAGAGGAAGCCCCCGCCACGGAGCAGGGATCTTCTACAGAAGAAGCACCTGAGAAGGCCGCTTCAGAAGCAACAGAGCCACCAGCTGCTGAGGTTCCTGCTGAGGTCAAGCCAGCCGAGGAAGCTGTTCCTGAACCTACCGAGAAGCCCACCGAAGCTATCCCTGAGAAGGCCAGCGATGAGCCTCTAGTCGAAGCGAATTCAGCCGCCGAGGCAATCCCTGAAGCTACCGCCGTTGAGGAAACTACTGCTGAAGAACCCAGTGCTGATGTGAAGGAAACCGCCCCTGAGGAGCCTGTCACTCAAGCTCCAGCAGTTGAAAAGCCTGTTGTTGAGGAGGCAACTGAGGAAGCCCCCGTTGAGGCGGAACCTATCCATGAGACAGTTCCCGAATCGACCGAGAAGGCTGTCGAGGAGCCTGCTACCGAGCAGCCTGAAACTGAAGCCAAGGGAGTCGCCACGGAGGTGTCTGTTCCTGAACCTTCATCTGAAGCTGCTGTAACTGAAGCTCCCGCTGAAGATGCTGCTAAGGAAGTCACTACAGAAGAGCCCACAGAGGAGCCCGCAGCGGAGTCTACTGAAGTTGTTAAGGAGACCGAGCCCGAGACTAAGGAAGAAGAACCTGTTGTTATCGAGGAGCCTGCCACGGCTGTGGCTGAAGACGAAAAGCCTACGACCGAAGAGGCCACTCAAGCTGAGAAAACGCCTGCTCCCGAAGAGCCTGCCGTCGAAACCCTTGCTGCTGAGTCCGTTACAATCGAGGAGCCCGCTGCCGCTGCCGCTGAAGCTCCTGTCGTGGAAGAATCTGCACCTGAGGAGGAAGTCGCTACAGAGGAACCTATCACCGAAGCTCCGACAGTCGATGAGCCTTCTGGAGAGAAGCCTGCTGAAGCCGAGAAGCCATTTACTGAAGTTCCTGCTGCAGAGGAAGCTTCTCCTGAAAAGACGGCAATTGAAGAGCCAGCCTCCGTTGACGAAACTCCTAAGGAGGTGAACCTGGGGGAAGCTCCTGCGGCCCCAGAAACTACCGAAGCTGCAGCTGAAGAAGTCCCTGTTGTTGAAGAAAGCGCTCCTGCTCCTGAAGAGATTACCAGCGAGCCTGTTGCTCCTATTGAACCCGAGCCTACTAAGGAGGAGAAATCTGTAGAGGAACCATTTACCGAATCCAAGGCAGAGGAGACTCTCCAGGAGACCGCAGAGCCTGTGGTAGCAGATGGGCCTGTAAAGGAAGTTATTGCTGAACCACCTACAGAAGCAGTCCCTGAGACTGCTCCTGAGGCCGCCGAGCCTATTTCTACCGAGCCAGCTGTTGAGCCTGAGACTACTGAGGCCCCTGTAGACGAGACTCCCCAGGAACCAGCTACCAAGACTACTACTGAGACCGCACCCGTGGCCGAAGAGAAGGTTGAGGCTGCGGAGCCTGTAAAGGAAATCACGCCTGAACAGACCCCTGAAGCCGCTGAGAAGCTTGTGGAGGAAGTTAATCCTGAAGCTGTCACCGAGTCTACCGAAGAAAGGGCAGCCAAGCCGGAGGCTGAGCTTGAGCCTGTTGCTGAGCCTGTTGCTGAGCCTGTTGCTGAGCCTGTTGCTGAGCCTGTTGCTGAGCCTGTTGCTGAGCCTGTTGCTGAGCCTGTTGCTGAGCCTGTTGCTGAGCCTGTTGCTGAGCCTGTTGCTGAGCCTGTTGCTGAGCCTGTTGCTGAGCCTGTTGCTGAGCCTGTTGCTGAGCCTGTTGCTGAGCCTGTTGCTGAGCCTGTTGCTGAGCCCGTTGCTGAGCCCGTTACTGAGGAGGCCGCTGTGCCTACTGAAGAGACTCTTGCTCACCAGCCTGAAGCACCTGTTGAGGCACAGCCAGAGGTTATGGAGCCCACTGCCGAGCCTGTGGAACAGACTCCAACTCTTGCCGAGGAGACACCAGCCCCAGTAGAAGAGGTTTCCGCACAGGAGCCTGAGCCTGCTACTGAGGAAGTAAAGGCAGCCCCCGTGGCTACCGAGGCTGTCCCTGCCATCGAAGAGACCCCTGCTCCTGCCACCGAAGCTCCCATCGAAATTGTTTCTGCTGTTGAGGAGCCTGTTGCTGTACCGGCTGAGCCCGAAAAGCCTACTGAGGAAGCCACGGCCCTTGAAGGGTCTGTGCCTGAGCCTGTAAAAACCGAGCCAGCTACAGAGACTGATGCTCCTGTTAGCGAGGAGCCAACCAAGGAGATCGAGACTGTAGCGGAGCCAGTTACAGAGGCAAGTGCACCTGTTGAGACGGCTGCGGAATCTGTTGCCGAGGAGGTCCCTGGCACCGGAGCTTCAGCCGCTGAACCAGCAGTAAAGGAGCCTATCCCCGAGGCCAATGTTGAGGCTGCTGTTACTGAGGAACCTGCTGTTGAGCCTAAGGCTGCTGGGGACGCCCCCGTTGAAGACTCTGTGACTGAGAACGCCACTCATGAAACTCCTGCTAAGGAAGTTCCAGCCTCTGAGGAGCCTGCTGCCGAAGCCCCTGCCGAAGCCCCTGCCGAAGCCCTAGACTCTGAGGAGTCTGCTCCCATTGCGGAGTCTGTTCCTAAGGAGATCACTACGGAAGAAGCTATTTCCAAGCCCGTTATAGCCGAAGAGATCACACCGGCAGCCGCCGCTGAGGAGTCCCCTGCTACTGAGGAACCTGCTGCTTCAGGGACCGCTGATGTTGAGCCTGTTACCGAGGACACCGTTCCCGAAGCTGCAAAGCCCACCCCCGAAGAAGCGCCCAAGGAGCAAGTGTCTGAGGAAGCAGTCACAGAGCCCTCTACAGAGGAACCTTCTAAAACAGTTGATGACGCCCCGGCGGAACCTGCTGTCCCAGCCGCAGAAGAAAGTGTTTCTAACGAACAGGCTAGCGAGCCTGTAGAAGAAACTCCAGGTCCTCAAGAAGAGCAAGTATCTCCTCCAGATGCTGATGTCTACGGTGCATTGCTTGCTCCTCTTCATGCAAAGGACAACTCGTACCAGCTGCCTGCCTCGCAGCCGTACTTTTCTCAGGAAGAGGCCACTGCCAAGGAGCAGGAGCAGGAGCCTGAGCCTGAGCCTGAGCCCGAGGCTGAGGCTGAGGCCGAAAGCCCTTCAAACACCGAAGCCTTGGCTGCTGGAGCTGCCGCAATGGCTGTTGGTGCGGGTGCCACAGCAGGGATTGCTGCAGTCCACAAGAACGACGACACTGATGCCAAGAACGAAAGCAAAGACGCCCTTGTGACGACGCCCGAAGACGGTAAGGCCTGGCAGTCCTATGTTTCGCACCAAGCGTCTGTGCCTTCCTTCGATGCTGATCCGGTTCTCACAGCCCTCGCTGGAGATCGTGAAGCCCTCCTTCACAAGCTCAACCAGCCGTCCACCGACCAGCTGCTCGCTACCGTCGCCGGTCAGACCTCGGATGGCAAGCAGGCCGTTGTCGAAAACGAACCGCAGCCCGGTCAAGAGTCCAGCCAAAAGGCTGGTCCATCTACGGAGGGAGATCCTTCGCCGGACAATGAAAACGAAGAGGATCGTCCTACAAGCCAGAGTCGGTCAGTAGTTTCTGTCAATAACACTGGTGAAAATTGGCTCAAGGCATTCTTCCGTTCCATCTTCAAAAACGTTTTTGGTGCCCTGTTCGCTCCCTTCCGCAGGAAGTCGAAGAGCGACTAAGATGGTGCTGGAGTCTGATCATTCGCATTTGCACTTGCCTTGACGCTGTTACCCATGGCTTTCCATCGGGTCCGCATTTAGAAAATGCGAGTGCTAACATGTGATGTCGAACAGAAAGTTATCCTGGATTGCTATCGCCCTCGTTCCACTCATCGCAATACTTTGGCGCGTGGTCTTTCAGTGACCTCCAGATACCGTTCTTCGTTGCAATTACTCTGACGCTATCAAAGAAACACCGAATAGTCAGAAAGTTGTCAGAATGCTCTTTACACGCGTGATTCCCCTGTATTTGATACCTGCAGCTCGAGATTTTTACGATTTCCCTTTATATTTTCCGTTATCTGTTTCTTGTCTTCTTTCCTGGTTGGGAATGAGCGCTGTGATTTATTTTATGTTCTCATGATTCTCTTTTGTCGTCGTTGATTTGGCAAAGGGTTGGACCTCGGCTTGAAGTTGACAATAGACTTTGAGTGTTAGTCGAATCTCTCCCCGAGGTACCTAATGACGCCTATGATCTTATCTGAATGACCTTCTCATCTCTCGAACCTTTTCCCTTGAATGTAGAGTCTGCCGCGACTAAAAGAGGGGCATAGATATTGCTGTGATGGGTGAGACCATTCCGGACATAAGAGGTATTACTCAGTTCCACCGCTTTGATTTATGTGAGCATGGTAAAATCGCACATTAGACTTCGTGACAGCGCACGATACAAGTAGCTGGCTTCGGTATCCGCTCTTCAATACTAGCTCCATTACCATACGTTTTGGGACGCAACGTGATTCACCACACAGTGGACATTTTCTCCACTATTTTCACGGTATGCTGTGGTCTGCCTCCCAATCTTGAGGCTCTTTGCAGCCTTCCATCTACTGGCTTGGTTCTTCGGATCGACCAATTGCGGTAGAGCTCTCGCAAACCTGCTATTGGCAAGGCCCATCGGTCCTTTCAAGATAAAGCTGTGGTTGAATGAACTCTTTGTCGATACTACGTATGATCTTTGCCGACCGCCATTGTCTTGAAATCACTCGATGCAAGCCCAACTAGTCTTAAAATTCCTATCAGAAAACGTTCAAAGACGATGCTCGTGACCAGAAGTAATCCTCGAAGAATGGCAATTATTTCGTAGTGCGTCAAGTCGTCCTTACCTGCTGGATATGGCGAATTAAACTTGTCGTTAGTCAGTGTCCTGCACCGCGGAAACCCTTTGTAGGCGCAAGTATCCGAACATTCGATAGATCTTGAAAGAGTCAATGTCGGAGTGTGTTTTATTGTTAGACTTGAATATGCCCGAGATTTTATGTAGGGTGATGAAAAGAGCCCGTTATTACACCCCTTTTGGTCCTCAGAAAATGTACACTAGCCGACTAACAAGGGAAGAGACCTTTCCCTTCGCCAATCTCAACTCTCCAGGGCTTTCCTTCGAATCCATCTCTTTCCTTAACCTTTATGTTGAATGGGCCTTTCACAGGCCCGGTGGCCGCCAAGACAGAACCAGTATGGGGCTCAGGAGGCGTCCACTCACCTCCCTCGGGCGTGAAGTCAAAGCGCATCATGAGCATACAAGCCAATCCCAGGATCTCGCTCGCCGCAAAATGGCGGCCTGGACAAATAGGCGCTGAAACACCAAAGGCCATAAAGCGACCCGTCCGGCGAACAGTCTTCGGGTCATCCGGATGATCGCTAGGCTCAGGCGTGAGATATCGTCGGGGATTGAACTCATCTGCACTGGGTCCCCATGCTTTCTCGTGTCGGCCAATCACTTGACTTGGCAGTATGACGACATTGCCAGCCTTAAGATGATACTTGTCGGCGAGCGTGAAATCGCTCATGACGAAACGTGTTGATGCTGGGTTAGAGCCCTTCCGCATGATCTCATGGAATGTCGATATCAGTAGGGGGCAATCCTCGCGAATGGCTTTCAGGTCCACTACACACTCTCCCTCGACCATCTTGAAAGCATTCTGCTCGACTTCCTCTCGCAATTCCTGGAGCAGATCAGGATGAGAGAAGATCGTATAGATTACCCAGAAAGTAGCGGGAATGGTGTTTGAAAGAAGCGCGAGGGGCACGGATGCCTCGTTTTGCGCAAGTTCAGGGTCGCTCAGGCCCGCTTCCGAAAGCACTTGGTACCTTTTAAGAATAAAATCACACGCCTGGTTCTGGCCTTTCTTGTTGAGGTACTCTATAAATGCAGACAGCACAATCTTCCTGTTCGTGTACGCCTTTCGAGCCGTAAGCCAAGGCAAAAAGTTCATAAGCAAAGGAGACACATTTCGGTCAACCTCCCTGCCATGATAGTTAGGACCTGTGGGTATGGATTCAGGGTCCATTGATCTCACCAGAAGGCGTCTCGCACCTCTTGGGCCTCGAAAGGATTCATGGGCCCGTAGGCGGCACGTGTACCGGCAAGCGTCATCGCATAATGAACCCACTCGATCAAGTCAACAGATTCTTTAGTGGCGAGTTCGTCAATCATGGGCTGAATGGCAGAGAACATGTCACGGTTCAACTTGTCGAGCGACTTGCCCGCCAGGAACGGTGTCGAGGCATGCATTACAGTTTTGACAAGACCCTGGCCACCAGCTTCAACGGTGCGGAACGCGTGGAGGGTCTTCCCCGTCAGGCCCGCTAGGCGTTCGGCGGCAAAGTCCAAGAACGGCCCAAAGCTGAAGACTTTGCTCTGGCGCTGGACAGCGTTCATCATGTCGGGCGACGTGACCACGTATATCTTGAGGAACCCGAAATTGAGTGTGATAATGGGGTCGGTGCACCCCTTACTGTTGGCTTGGTTAGAGCGACCATCTTCGAATGGGGATGTCGGTGTACTTACGCGACCATTGGGATGTATTTCATGCCATGGCGCATCATCCCCAAGGGTGGCCTATTATGGGAATTGATGATTTTCCATTTGGGGGTTCACGCGGGTCGCCCTTGGCCAGGAGTATCAAATACCCTAGCGCGAGCAGGGCACCCAGGATTAGGAGGTGGGTGGCCTCCAACATGTTCAGGTGGATTGAATACTTGAAATCATGTAACCTCCCGGGTACCTGAAAAATGAGAAACCTACTTTTGACACCGAAGGGACGTCCAGCTGAAGACCCGAATCAGATCACAGGTCACATGACCATACAATGTGCCAACTTAGATTTCCGTCATCTGATTGGACCAGGTGGAGGCTGATATACCTTGACCTTGTGTGGAGACAGGAGCCATTTATGGGAGATTCTGGTTTGTAGAAACTAGATTTCTGTGTTCAAGAAGCATTGATTAGATACCACTTTCGAATAGGTGTAGTTGGAAAGACCATACATGCCACACTCTTTCTATACCATCCCCCTAACCGAACGACTACTCTGTACATACTGTATACAAGGCGGCTTGGGAAAACAGCCAAATTCGGAGAATAGACAAGGCCAAGGCGGAACTAGGCGTGGAAATAGCTTCAAAGAAATACCAACGCAAGGTGACTGAATTGTTAAGACCTGTGAAGAATAGAAAGAGGGGCTCTTTCTCTGCGATGTGGATGTTTGCAAGATTTGTTGAGCGTATTCAGGCCCATGGGACTGCTTATCTGCCGTGTTGTTTATTTTCAAGAATCTCTCCACGTTGAGAGCCTTCCTTGAGCACTCACTCGCAGCTGCAGAGAAAATACACTCTTTCCCCTCACCCCATCCCTCTCGCCTGCCTGCACTTTTTGTCCCTTTTGCGTCCTCTGAGTCCTCTTAAAATCCTCAATATTTCCCAATCATGGAGAGCGATACGAATATCCATGATGATTGCAAATCCCCAATGCCAGATCAACCTTCCCTGCAGCGCACTGACTCCAAGCGTGGCGGGGCCTCTTATGCTCGCAAGAAAGACAAGAGTCTAGCGGTCTCTATTCCTCGTCCCCACGGTCCTGATACTGAGCTAGGCGACATTCAGCTGTCTGCCAGCAACGCCTTTGCGCGTATGAAGTCGCGTGATATGGAGGGCAGCAAGCTTCCACGATTCAGTGGCGGTCAGTCTCAATATGTTTACGGCACTGTCTGCCCCTTTCGCTAACTAGGCCGTCATGGTGAACAGCGGGCTTTCTGGGTCCAGCTAGCCCTGTCAGTCCAACGGGCCCCATCAGTCCCATTAGTCTTTCCAGTCCTGAGACTTCCAACAATCTTCCTGAAGTTTCGCCGCATTCACTCGGTAGCAAGAGATCCAACCTCGATTACGATGAAGAACTTGCTCTGCCCATGCCAAAGCCTCGTAACCAGAGGTCCCTCACCTCGGAGAGCATTCGTTCGCAGGACCAGCAGGATATAAAGAATCCCGCGCCCGATTCTCGCGGCGTCACCGATCTTGTCGATCCCTCTAAGAATATCGTTCCTCGACCATATTTGCCAGGCACTTCTGAAGAGAAGAAAATATCTAAATTGGGGAAACTCAAGTCTAAGCTCAGCTTCAAGGATTTACGAAAGGAGACCGATAAGCAGAATGACATCTCCTCTGCCAAGTCTACTATGCAGGCTCGCCGCATTGCAACGACGTCTGGGCTCCCCGCATTCTCCTCTAGCACCCAGAGCTCCAAATCTAAGTCCAGGCCAAAGGTGCTGCATAGTACCAGGGCATCGTCCACTGCTAGCTCGATCACAGATCCTTCGCCCAAACCAAGCATTTCGACCACCAGAGCTCCCTCGCCGCCTGTAGCATGTGTTAATGCTCAGGGAACTATGGCTTCTACCAAGCTGCCGACTATTCGAACGAGCCAACCTCCAGACAGCCGTCCCAAGTCCGGCGCGAACTTGGTTGCCAACGAATCCCCAAAGACTCCTACTTCTAGTCCCTCCACTGCGAGTATGAAGGATGAAGATGATCGTGCGGTCCCTGGGGCATGGCCCCCCACCCCTGCTCCTAAAGAGCCGGTCGTCAAAAAGTCTCGTCCCTCAACTTATGCAACCCCAATTAATCTGGCCCCCAGTATCGATGACCTTGGCGAAGGTGACGGGAAGGTCAAGTACCTTCCCAGATCCTGGCTTGAAGAAACTCCCGAAGCTTTTATGCTTGATAGCAGATGCTATGCTCCGAGTCGTACCTCGAACAACGACATAGCAACATCGTTTCCCAACTACGTGCCGTCGGTCAATGAACGACTCGAACAGTCGAACATACCAGCGCGCAAGTCCACGTCGTCTGAAGGCCACAATCATGGTAAATCGCAAGTGGACGATATTGTGGATATTGTTCGCTCCATACAGCGCCAGTCTGACTCTGGTATCGCTTCTCTGGGCCACAGGGTGGAAGAGTTGTCTGACTGGGTTGGGGGCCAACTCAAGAGCCAGATTGAAAATATCTCAGATGTTGGCCGCACAAACGCTGAGCTCTTTGACAAGCAATGCGAAATTTCACGCGAGATCATGAAGTTCCAGCTCGACATTCGGCTGCAAATAGGGGTTATGGAGAGGCGCATGAGCACTTTCGAGCACGACATCCTGGATGATATGAAATCTAAACTCAAAGCCTTAGCTAGATCCTACGAGGATCTTAGCAAGAGAACCGATGAACTCGTCGAGAAGGAACTACTTTCATTCGATCACACCCACGCCTTCATCGAGCAACAGATTCAGAACAACTGCGAAATCGAAAAGGAAATTGCATTCTTGAAATCTCGCCTGGCGCTCAAGACGTCTCTCTTCCCGGCCCCGAAGAAGGAATCTCTTGATGCCCTTCGCGCACGAAAGAGTGAATCAAGCATGGCCAGTACTGATCCCCTGATCAGGAAGCCAACGGTCATTCGCGCGCTTCCGTCGGGAGGGACTCATCCATTGCTCCTGAGTGCCAACAACACCGCAACGACCACCGTCGATAACAAACCGGCCGGATTGCTTCCTCGAACCACCTCTCTCTCAAAGAGAGGTCTGCTCAAGAACTTCAGGGATATTACATCTTCCGACCTGAAAGACAAGGGCACAGAGAAGCGCACCGGCCCTGAAGAGAACAAGAAATGGAACCTCTTTGGCTTTCGACGCAGCCATGACGGCCCAGAGCGCCCCAAGCAGGGAAGCACCAAGCTCCCCCTGGTCCTCGTCTCGATCCTTGAAAAAGACGCCCAGCAACGAGGATATTACCAGCTCCCGAGCCTCGACGCCGCCTGTTCCACCCATCCCACGCGATATCCCCGAGCTGATGAAACGAAAGCCAACTCCTCCAATTTCGGCGCATCCTGCTTTCCGTGACTCCCAGACCAGTGGTGACTCGCACGATACTTCTTACGAAACGGCTGTGTCGACCAGACGGGCTTCGCTGCCCAAGCGAGTCTCTCGTAGTTTCGATGCCTCTTCCTCTCCACCTTTTCCTGATCAGGCCATTGCCTCGGTCGAATTCTCGCCCATCGCTGAGAATTTCGGGTCGCCGCCATCGCCATTTGGTAATCCCAACAGCCGCGATAGGACCCCGGACACTGTCATCCACAAGCCTGGTAGCAATGATCTGGAAAGCCATTTGCTTGCAGATCTAGACAATAATCCGTATCAGGTGTCGATTGTGGAGAAAGAGCACGAGGGCATGATCTAAATGGCTCTACCCGGCCTCCATGTCGACTATTCTTATCTTTTCCCGTTAGTCCTTATTTCTTCCCCCAAACGTTGTCAGTTTTTGATTTTTTAAAACTTTCCCGGGTGACCAAGCGCGCAGTGTGGAGTCGTTAAACGAATGCAGGGGGGCGAACGTGATACCCCGGCAAGGCAAGGACATCTATGACGAGGTGATGGTTATTATGAGATTTTGCGTGATAATGGGAATTGTGCGCGTAGGGCGCTCTAGTTAAGGATATGGCGAGCAGACTAAGAAAGAAATTTAACATGGCCGGGAAAAAGAACGCTTTTGTGGATCCTGTAGACAAAACATCATGAGGTATATACGTAAGTGCATTTACTTAGATGCAGCCATCAACTTCTCGATGTCGATCGCGGCATCGCGGACTTGAGGGCAGTAGTGCTGGCGCAGCAGCTCGCCCTCCCAAACGGAACCGGCATAGACATTTGTTCGTTCTACATCATTTGAATAAGCATTGAAGACCCCGTCGCCCTTGCGCTCATCTGTGTTCCATAAAGGAGCAATCCGGCGGGCGTGGTGCTTGGAAACTTGGTTCATGAGGGACAGAGTTGCAATCGCAGATTTCTCGGGAAGTTGAAGGGAAGTAGTCATGAGACGTTTTGAGAAGCTGGCAAGTCGGACTGGCGGCGGAACACCGTGTGCCCGGGAAAGCAAGGTCGATTGGAGACAGCGAAGGAGAAGAACCATGGGTGTTTGGAAATTGACCTTGTTCTTTGAGCGGATACGGGTGGATTCTTCTGGAGCATTGGGATCTGGAAGTCGGAGGGAAGTATCAGGGTTGTACTCGACATCGGGGTTGAGAGCGAGGCCGTACAAGGACCTATACAGATGCTTGATGAAGAATCCGAGGTCAAGATGTAATGATGTTGCGGCCTTGCTGGCATCTTGGCCTTCAAGAAGAGCGAAGGCCGTGACTGTACACAACAACGTCTCACGACGAGCATCGCGGGCGGACGATTCTGAAACGTCATTTTCATCTTGGTCGTCTTCTTCCTCTTCTTCGTTTTCGTCCCCTTCCTTGAGCTCATCGCGCTCAGCATGTGTCACAAGCTCCTTGAGAGCCTCCAACAAGTCACCGAAAAAGTCCTGGTTGATGAGATGAGCGTACTTGGCCAAACCCTCGAGCACGGGTCCCATGAGCCATGGAATGCGCTGCTTGAGAATACGGAAGTAGATTCCAAAAACGGCCTTCAGGGTTTCGGCTTGGTTCTTGTCGCGTTCTTCGTGTGAGACCAGGGCATCTGCTTGCTTCATGTCCTTCTCCACAATCTTACGCTCCTTTTGCAACTTGCGCTCACGCTTCGTCCGAAATTCGCGCTTTTGCTTCGGCTTCTTGCCATGAGTCGGCTCATCATCAGATTCATGATCAACGCGGTGTTGGGAAGCCTTCATAGAGAACTCGCCTAGGAGACGTAGGTGCAGAAATGTATCCAGGACACTCTCGTGGATCTTGAAATCGCGAGCCTTCATCATCTTTGAGAGAAGACGAACGGCTTCGAGCGAGACAATTCCATCCGCATCTTTCGCAAAAACATCCTCAATCGTCTCTCGACACTTAGCCACATCCGCATCAACCTGTCGACGGGCCAATCGGTTGACAATAATCTTGAGCAATTCGCTCCGGAAGTTGAAATGGGGAACGGCCTCGAGCATAGTGCAGGCACAGTTGATCGCCATGCTCTTCAGACTTGCCTCAGCCTCAGAGGAGCCTCTCCTGGGCTTCGCCAACAAGGCTAGCTTCTGGACGTACTGCTTGTATCCAGAGACCAAACCTTGCTCGAAATTGCGAAGCTTGCGCACTTCTTTCGAGACCTTGCCCGACATTTCTTCATCGCTGATAGGCCGAATTCGATAGCCAGGAATGACGTCTCGGTAGACAGCGGCCTGCGCTGCCAAGGCCAATTTCTTGACTGTAACAGGCGAGTCCGGGTTATCCACCATCTCCGCCATTGTCTTGAACAGGGCTATGTGCTCTTCCGGGTCCTCGTTGATCAGGCCAGCCATACGGGCCAGGTCCTCCTTAGCTTGAATGATCTGCAGCTTGATAGGGACCTTAGGCTTTTTCTCCTCGACCTCTTCTTCGGATTCCCCAGATGCGTCTTCCATCTCCTCATCGTCAGTTCCCAAAAAGCTGTCGGTCTCCTCTCCGGCATCTTCTTCATCCACCTCTTCCTCCACCGCTTGGACAAACCCCTCTGAGGTTTTTATAGGCAGTCGGGTCTGTTCGTTGGCGTTTTTATTCGATTTCCGTGGGCGCTGTTCGTAGTCTTGCTCAACGTCCCATTCGGCAGCATTGCTGGCGATATCGCGCTTACTGCGGGAGCCTGCCTTACCCCCATCGTCGGGGGGACTGAGCCTTCTCCTCTTGACCGTTGGACCTTTCGCCATTTTCGTAGAGTTCGGCGAATGACTTGAATGTTTGTCGAGAGTCGAGACTCGCAAAGCTTTGCGGCGAAAAGGCGGTCGGAAACTTTTTTTCTGCGGCACCCCCGAAGCGGTGTCTTACGTCCGGCAGAAAAGTCTCGGGGCAAAAAAAAAGAGGCCTCCCGCATATCAAAAGTTCTCAACTCCAAAGCTTGGATCGACAGGCAGACAATTTTACAAGATGCGTCCCTTATCAGAAACCGAGATGAAGACCATGTTCGAGAAGCTGGCGTATGTTGTTCAATCGTGGATGTCTGGAAATGATTAAGAAGTTAACCCAGTCCAGGAACTACACCGGCGCATCTCTGAACCAGCTCATTGCCCCAACCTCCGAAGATGGTACTGAAGGGGAGAGGATGGTTTTCCGTCTGCAAGGATCCCGAGTCTACTACGCCCCCCTGGCCCTCGTCAACTATGCGACGTCCATCCCCCGTGACCAGCTGCTTTGCATCGGCACTCAGTAAGCACTTACCGTCTTAGAAAGGGCTCGAAGCTGGTTTGCTGACTATCAGAAGGATTGGCAAATTCTCCAAGACTGGCCGATTCTTCCTGAACATCACTTCGCTGTCTGTAATTGAGAAGCACGCCCGGTTCAAGGCCTGGCTCAAGCCCAACGGTGTGCAGCCGTTCCTCTACGGAGGTTCCGTTGTGCGCGCCCACATTGGCCGCTGGAGTGAGGATTGCCCAGGGTCTCAGGGCATTGTGATTTATGACATGAACGGTAAGCGCCTGTCTCCCGCGACCGTCAAAAGAACCAGCTGACAGGTCTGTAGATACTCCATTAGGATTCGGCGTGACTACTCGCTCTACTGCTGAGGCCCGCAAGCTTGAGCCAACTGCTATGGTTATTGGTAAGCTCTTCGACGTTACATTCACGGAATCCAGCTAACCCAGTATCTTAAAAGCCCGCCAGGCAGATTGCGGCGAGTGGCTGAGAGAGGTGAGTTTTCCCTTTGCGGTCCAACATGATCGCCGAGTTGGCGATATTGATATGGAAGCTAACCCCTACTAGGAGGACACTCTTTTCACCACCTAAAAAGCCATCAGCTCGAAAGCTTGCATATTGGGGTAGGAATGGAGTTTACGGAGTCTGTCACGAAGCACAAGTCTATTAGCAACCGAAATATAATTTCATGCAATATTCATGGCATCCTTAGTAGAAGTAGCCAATGTCCCTGCTATGGTCCTATTCTGCGAAAGTAGAACTTGTGGTTTATGAGCGATCATCTATTTTCCTTGTCTCCGACTGAAAATGGCATTGCTCATATCTGATGGGGCATCATAGCGCATAAAATATACTGGGTTCACTATCGGCGAGCACAATCTCCCAATGTCACAGTTTTATTGCCCAGCTAGTCGGTTTGATAACGCGTGACGGGGGAGGCAGCGGTGATGCGGGTAGCTTTGAGATGAAGCTCCACCTCGATAGTCTCGTAGATACCCATGGACCCATTACTCAGACAACGTCCCCAATTTACACATAGAAACCGCCTGTGAGGATGTTCGGAAACACCCGCTTCTTCCACGTCGAACGGTCCCCATTATGCATTTATGAAAACAACGCAGCAGGGGATATTTGCCCTAACGGAATTTCGAGCATTGGGATCTGGCAGGCGTTTTTCCGAAGCCATTCCTCGGTTGGGCGGAACGATGCGTATTTCCGGTAGACGCCTTCCTCATTCGAGATTCATTTTCTACTCGTGGTCCCAACTGTATCCATGGAGAAGTAGCTCAGACACGAGGTTCCTGCCGAGAGGTTCTTGTCTTGTGGGGTTGGGCGCTTCGGGGAGCTGAGCTGCTGAGCTGGGTAAGCTGGGGATCAGGAGAAAATTTGCAATCCGCCATAACCAGGGGACCTTGACAAATTTTCTGAAATGGAGTTTATAGAGTGAATTTGTCTGGTACAAAAATGCAATAATCTCCTGGCTGCCTCTCTTGCCTTAGGAAGCTAACAGCATGTCTGCCATGACCCTATCGGGGGACTCCGATGATTCGAGCCAATGGAGCCGATGGATCTCGCCGGAGCCCCAGAAGTACAGCTGCGACCGTGCCCGACCGCTATTAAAATACCAGTCGAACCGACTTCGCCTAATGCATTTCCCCAGATTCCCAGAATCCCACAAGCATTTTTTTGTTCGCTGACGAAGGTGAGTCTAGAAGTGCCGAGTTAGCGCTGACCCGGTAACGAGCCTCGGATGAGCGACACGGCCCAGCCCCCTCTCGGGCGCCCAAATCATAAACAAACACGCTTCCCCCCCCAAAACCTTCTCGCTATAATATTGAAAGTGCTTTGCGCTGACCCTGCTCTTGTCCCAGGCGCAATTCTGGAGTTTTGACCATCTTCTCACTTGTTTCCATCTTGCCCATCATGTCGGTCAAGTTCCAGGAAGAGACCGTTCGTACCGTCACCGGGGATGGCAAGCATGAGGGCCTGGCTCACCGCGTCGGTGAGCGATTGACTGGTGGGAACACCACCACAGGCTATCTTGCGGTATGAAAGCTCTCCACATCTCCTCGCTCTATGCTTCCCCGATTCCCCGGATTGTCCAGCTGACCCGAGGAATGGATCTCCGCAGGCCTACCTCCACCAGTTGCAGGAGAACCCGCTGCGCACCAAGATGCTCACCTCCGGTGTGCTCTCCGGGCTGCAAGAGCTGCTGGCCTCCTATCTTGCGCACGATGTCGGCAAGCACGGCCACTACTTCAGCTCGCGCATCCCCAAGATGCTGCTGTACGGCATGTTCGTCGCCGCCCCCCCTGGGCCACGTCCTCGTTGGCCTGCTGCAGAAGATCTTCGCTGGCCGCACCAGCTTGAAGGCGAAGATCCTCCAGATCCTGGTCAGCAACTTGATCGTACGTGCTCCCCTGACCAGACGGTCGCGAATATGGCGGTCCATCGCGAAACCCGCCCGGAATTGCCCCGACTAACCCGCTCTCTCTTCTCGCCTTGTACACAGGTCTCCCCCATCCAGAACAGTGTCTACCTGGTCTCGATGGCCATCATTGCCGGTGCCCGCACCTTCCACCAGGTTCGCGCCACCGTCAAGGCCGGCTTCATGCCCGTCATGAAGGTCAGCTGGATCACCTCTCCTCTGGCCCTGGCCTTTGCCCAGAAGTTCCTCCCCGAGCACACCTGGGTGCCCTTCTTCAACCTCGTCGGTTTCTTCATCGGCACCTACGTCAACACCCACACCAAGAAGAAGCGCCTCGAGGCTCTGCGCAAGCGCTACGACCAGCGCCGCGGCGGAAGCAGCGAGTACGAGAAGCGAAGCGACTACCCTTAAGCAAAAGATACATGGACTGGGTTGTCCTTTGCAGGAATTCAATCGAACGGGGGACAAGCTCTACATCAGTCGCATGTTGAAGCAGCTTTGTCTTGGCTTGTACCGGTTGACTTCCCTGTTAATATCTTATTTCCCGATTTCATTTGTGACGTTCCCTTTTATTTCTGGTGTTTCTATGTCAGTGTACATCTCGCATCTCGGTATGCGATTATTTCCCCCACCTGATGTTATTTCAATATTACGACGAATGGCCTTGATCAATATACTACTATTTTTTTTTTGGAGAACCTTGGTTTCAAAGTCGCCATGGTTGTGCGATGTCCTAATCACCACCTAACTTTCTAAGCCCATGATCTGCCCCACAGGGAATCTAGATCACCATAAAACGAAAATAACATGGTCTTCATCATGGCGTCACTCATTATCCGTAGGACCAAGGCCCATAAAACTCCGCTAATATGAGCACCCCCCCCCCGGTGCATCTCGTACTAGAGCTATCCTAGTACCAAACAGAAGGGGCGAAAAGATAGAGACTCGAAGGAAAGAGAGGTTAGACGTGATACAAGTCTTACTCGATTTCCATTTTATTTCCATCCCGCCGGACCTTCACCCAAGCAATAAAATCGTCAATGACCCCCGGCCACGCGCCCTCCGAGTCATACCAGCTGAACGTCTCATCCGAATGCGCCTTGCGCAGAAACACCTCGAACTGCTCCCACAGATCCTTGTTAACCGGCTTCTTCCCCGCTCATCCAGGAATTCAATCCACCAGTCCAGCCAAGGCGTAGTCGCCGTGTTCGCCTCAATGCCGCCCGACTGCGCAGAGAAGAACAGGCGCCACTGCTCGACCGCGATATCAAACAGCACGTTCCGCTGCCCTTGCATCCGTGACAGGAGGAAGCAGTATCGGTACACGCGGCGGAAAGTGTCCGGTTCCGTAGGAATAGCCCTGCGGAGGCTCTTGGCTGCGGATTTCTGCTTGGCGATGTCTGGGGCGCTGTGAAATACGTTAGCTCTCTATTCTTTTTCTTTCCAAAACCAAACTTTTTTTTTTCTTCTTTATTTCCACGCACTTAGTACAGCTGGTCTCTCGGGGATGCACGTACTCGAGCTCCATCCAGCCATTCACGAATCCTTCGCGGGTAAACTCGCCCATGGCTGGGCACTTGCAGATCTCGGCGATGCCGAGACAGGTAATCTCGTCAATTTTCACTTCCAGGTCGGCGAAGTAGGCCATTGAGCCCTCGATGCCGAACTTGTCATCTTCGTCGTTGGCGGGGTCTGCGGCTGTCAGTTCTGTGGCTCGGTTTCCTTGGACGTAGGAAGGGCGCACCGCGATACTTATCAAATAGGGCGTTGAGTGAGCTTTTCGTCCCGCTTTTGCCCTCGGCGCTGTTAAAAAACCTAATTGGGTGCAAATGGTGTTAGATCGATGTCTTGAGTAAGCTAACTCTGCGTTGAAGGTCGAAGCGCGGTACGTTGCAACAGGCCGGGGTTAGAGGAATTGCGGAGCTGGGTGGGATAGAACGGCGCGCGTGGGGGGGGTTATAGCGGATTGCACTCACAGATCGATAGCTTGCTCGGGATTGTATCGAGTTTGACGCAGTAACTTAAGAGTTCATTAGCCACTTGCTGTTTTCTTGATGGCTCTCTGCTCCCAGGCGAAAATGCAGCCGTGAAAGCCGGGGCCAAGGCCAGGTCGCGTGTATACCTTGGTTGCTTGTATATCGGTCACCCCCGTGATTCCAACTACTTGGTTGATGGCATAGCGCTGGGCACTGGCAGAAGGAGGCATGATGAAGTGCGGGACCCCGCGGGGCAGTTTATAGAGGACGGGCTGGGAGAGAGGGGTCGCGCAGGCGGGTTGAGCTTTCGTAAGGAACTCTCACAGTGCCCGGAGAAACCAGTGAGGTCACGATGACTTGAAAGTGAAAAAGGATGGTGTGAATTTGGGTATAAGTCTTGCGCCGTGCTTCGTGCTGGCGAACTACCAGCCCTAGAGCAGCTGCGGAGTATTACTCAGCGGGTGCCTTTTCCCCGAGGTTCCACCCTCGAAGTGGGCCAGTGAAGAGAACTAGAGGCAGATCTGCCAGAGGTACCACACCAAACCCGTTCTCTCCAACCACGATATTTTTGCAAAGAATACATTCGGAATGAAAGCCAGAATATTCGGGCATGATGATTGGACAAACGCTGGTGCGCAGTGCATGATCGGACAATTGGCAAATCAGCGTTACCTTGCAGCTTAGTTCCAGGCGACCATCAATCCTTATAACTACTATTAGCGCTTTCTCGAACATCCAATCCTCCAATAAAATAGCAAGCATAAGCCATACTAGCCATACCATATTAGCATGTTTACATATTGAGTCAGACGAACCTCCTATAGGGCACGGCGGGCGTTAATAAAGCGTAAGGAGGATCTTTTAAGATAGTTTTCCTCGCTTTTCCTGCTCTCAGCCCTATAACCCCTCCATCAACCACTCATCGTATAAAAGTTCTAGAGCAGTCGGCCGGTCCTCGGGATTCCACCGCAAGGCCATTCGGAGCCATCGCAAAAACCCTTCTTTGTCTTCACCTTCCACATCCGTTGCCAGTTTCTCAAGAGACGTATCTGGAATTGATGCTAGATTCTTCCAGTTACCTGCCTCGTCCCAGAAGACTGAGCTCAGACGTCTCTGTTCCAAGAATTCGGGGGGCGGAGGTCCTAAGAGAGCAATCAGCTCCGCCATGTGGACCCGGTCATCAAATACACCATCTGTATTCTTGCCACTGATAAGCGTGCGAGGGCTGATGATGTCCCAGGCCTATATGTTTCAAGACATTAGCATTTCCTCGATGAAAATAGGATTAAAGCATGCGCTTACCACCATGGCAACATTCCATATGTCCACCTTGTAATCCCAGCTTGACCTCAAAATTACCTCCGGGGCTCTATAAACATTTGGCATTATATCGTCATCGTGTTCTTTGTCGCCGAATCGGGCTTCCCCGAAATCAGCGAGAACAGGAAGTCCCCCCCTGGGAAGAAAACTCAACGTCTTGTAGATTGTTCTGTCTTGGAGGGCTTTTCTAGGAGACGGGTCTGCAGCCTCGGCTTCTTCGAATCGAGAAAGATAATCTGCCTTTGGACTGGGAAGTAGCAAGTTCTTCAGCTGAAGATCTGTCACCAATATTAGGCATAAATCGGGAAACATTTGGGGAGATGGAGACTTACCAGTATGAATGATATTACACTCCGAGTGCAGAAAATCCAATGCAACAAGTAGTTGTCGGATACCAGGCTTCATATCATCAAGGGTCATTACGTGCCCAGGGAACATCTTAAGCAGAACATCCGTAGTCGTTCCAAGTGGCTCGTGAACAAGACAGATGTGACGACCATGGGGGCCTTGGATATAGAAGTGGTCGAGGAGTTTTCGAATAAAATTCCTGCCAGGATGGCGCGTTTCCACCATATTCATGTGCTTGTAGATGCGCAGCTCTCGTTCGAGGTCTCCGCTTTCGCCGGTTACATAGACTTTCAAAACAACATATGTCGATGCACTATTTTGAAGCAAGTCATTAGGATCATCATGGCCTTGCTGGGCTGAGGCAAATTCACCCCACATACATCAAGTCTTTTGCAAGCCAGACGGTTGAGGTCACTCCGTAGCCTATTTTGGCAATCGTTTGATATCGATCGTTGAAAATCTCACCCTGGCTCACTGGGTAGTATTTTTCGGCTCGGTAGGTCGGCAGCGTTTCCTCATCAAGCTCGATGGATGGGTCGAGCATTTTGAACCCGGAGGTGGGAAAAACCGTTGGGGTGCAGGTCCATTGCGGTGCTGACATCAGTGTTCGATGCTGCGTGGCTCCTAAACAAGCCTTTGGGGAGATTCGGTGACAAGAAGTGAAAGACAAGGATGTGGCGAAGGTCCTGCGGATACCCCCAATACGAATAGCCCAAGCGCATCGAGGCGCAGGCTGCATCATGAAGCGAAAGGAAGAAGCCCGTGACAGGTCGGGCGAGTAGGAGGGAGTAGGTGGGTAGAGGGGTAGATAACTTAGACAATTCAAGAGGCCCAACAGAGAATTGCTCAAGCACCGGCTGCACGCCTAGACTTCAGACTTCAAGAGCTCATATCCTTACCTCCCCAGGAATGGGCAGGCCCCTCTACGTGGTGCTGGGGACCAGTACTCGGGCAGTCGTCCGTCTGCCACGGGAGCCAAGATTCGTCCCAAAAGGAGGGTCAGGGTTAGACTACGATAGTTCGGCATATAAATTGCGAAGGGCTGGAGCAAGACTTAGACTCAGTCCAGCTAGGCCCACCCGCTGGTTTCAAAAAGCTTTGGAGAAGACGAGAGGAACAAGCTGAACAGCTATAGAAGGGGCAAGGCGGTGGCAGAACGCAAGGCCATACGCAGTACAAGGAGAAGCGGGTCTGGCTTGTGACACTTTTAGCCGTACCAACCTACGCAGCTGTATATATAGCCGGTGTTAGAGTCTACTATTTTATTCACCTGGCAAGTTCCCTGATTATATGATCTTTGCCATCGGTAAAAAGCTTTTAGCATAAGTATCATTAATATATTTGAATGGAATATATAAGATGACTCCCGAACTCGCGAGACTATGTGAAGCGCAGGCGGAGCTGGATCTTGAGAAAGAGAAGGTGTGGTATCTAAATGCAGTCTATATGAACCCAGTGCTCGGAAATTACGCGCTCCCTGTGGCGACCCAGCGATCGCCGATCCCCCAAGCACCAGCCATGAGACTGATCAAGCCATGTAAACTATCAGGAATCCCAATTCCCTTTTCGAGACACCAATGGAGGCAAAGAGGAGCCCAGACGACATTGTTCACCAGGCTTTTCTTCCAATTACGGATCTCCAGACGAAGCTGCTCGGCCTCTTCAGCACTAAGCTCCTGGGACTTGGCTCCTCCAGCGGCCTTCTTCGCCGCCAACCGTCTGTTCCGCAGCACACGTTCGCGCCACAGCACGAAGAACTGCAAGAAGATGTGTCCGAACCACCCGCGAATACTCCAGAGATCCCACTTCGCGACTCCGCCATATTTCTCAATGAACCGCTTTGAGATAATTCCTTTTGAAGCGAGGTACGCCGCGTTTTCAAGGAACTGGTAAACCACATTGGAAATCACCTGCCCGAGAGTCAACGCATGGAGGACGGGGTCTGCGGGCGGGTTCTTGATCGTCTCGGAGCCCCAAACCCAAAGGGGGATAAGGCCGAAGAGGCGGAGAGTATATCGTGTTTCTGACGCGAGGGAGGAGAGCGCTTTCCACCGCAACGATGCCTCCGATGGGGTTTTAGACGGTGCGGATCGGCCCTTAGCACGGGCGACGAGGCCTAACCGCGTTTGCGCCGCAATCCAGGGTGCCGATGCGCTCAAGTGGTGGAGGATAGCGGCGACATAATTGATCAGCGCGAGAGCTCGCTCCTCTCCGCCCGTGGTGGAGAGGAACCTTGACGCGTGTTAGCGACATGAACGAGACAACATAGAACGGAGCGCGCAAAGCACCTACTGATCTAGCCGACGGACTGTCACATCTGTCGCGGTCAGGGCTGCCAGGAGTCTCTGTCGGCTGATCGCTTTCTCTCCGATCGGACTCCCCACATTCTTTTCAGAACCAGGGCCGGTGCTTGCCATTTTGAAGGATTCTAGAGAATGAGACCAGCTTCAAACAACCAGAGCGAGGGGAGCCATGAATAATATTAAATGGCCTGTGACCGGAAGCAGCCGAGGTTAAGCTGCCTCGGACTTCTGGGTCAGCCATCTCCACTCCGCGGCACTCGAGGGTTTCGGTTTCGCCGCTGATCACGTTATTGGCATGTTTCCTCGCATGGTTGCTTGCATATGAGCCAATACACTCGTAGAGAATACCGCTGATCCTGACTTCGAGTAATGTGGCATTGTAAGCATTTCGAGGACATGGGAACGGTCGTGCGGTGCTGGGGATCGGGAGAATATATGACCAGACTTGTTGAAAATGGTCTGGATGTTCGAAAGCAAAAGCAAATCAATAGAAAAGCGAATAGTTCTGCATAATATGATCTCAGAGGTAAATTCAATACTCGGCCCAGAATAAAGCACACTGTAATAGACTCGGCCCCTGCTGCCCCACTGACAGTTATTGACATCTAAGCATGGATCATTCCGGGTCCTCTAACCGCTCTGGCGTTTTGGTCTCATTCATAATCTGACACCTGACAGCATCTAATTCCTTTCGTCATTTGGTCGAGCTGCTTGTCCGAGCTCCTTGTCCGAGCTGTCAGCCTTCGTGCAACAATCCGCAGGCAGATGGCGTCTACCCGAGAACTCCATTCATATCTCATGCACAGTTCTTTAATCTTAGAAATAAAGAGGCAGTATCCCCGCTGGTGAGACAATAGCCTTCTTTGTAAGAAAAAGTACCACTTAACTATATGACACGGTGACACAAGCACTGCCAAATTAGAATCCTACAAGTATATGAGCAACGCAATTCCCTTTGTATATAAGATTCTCCTCGCCGAGTAGGGGACACATTTTGTTGTATTAACCTGAAACCACTCCTCATGGTCCAATTTACAGTCAGACCAGGCCTGGTGATCGAGACAGCCCTTATATCCCGCCTCCAGAAGCTCTTCTCCGACGTGGCCTTGCAGAAGCACTTCCGCAACCAAGTAGTCTACCTAACCGTTTATCTAGAGCCCTGGGACAAACTACTCAGCGACCATGACCTACTCGCCCGGATCAGTAAGATTCTCAAGGCCCTGCTCCCTGTATCAATCGACTTCGTGTCACAGGAAGACTTGCACGAGATGTGTATATCCATTCCCATCTTCTATCCAACTTCGGTCGAAGGGCCCCACGACCGCTATCTTCCCGTGGTCAATTATTTGAGGCAGCATGCGATAGCGAAAGTCGAAGGATGGGTGGAGGATTATCCGCGTAATGGGCTGCCTTTCGCCCGGGAGAAGGTGTTCCGTCGCCGGGATGCGGAGTATGCATAACTGGCAGGGATTTAGATTGCCTTGTGTTGTATTCTTTATCGGGGATATCAGTAACAGCCCTCGTCGTCAAAATTAAAGATTAGTATTCCGATGAGGCTACAGTAGGTCAGTCCTTGCGGGATAGGGTTTCTTTTCTTGGAATACTGGTATCGACGTCGCACCATTAGGAAGGGTCGTAAATGCACTTGTCTCATCATCATTCTGGGCTTTGGAGGGTGATGCAGTCTTCAAATGTAGATAGTCCATTTTGCTGCGTCGCCGAAACATGAATGAAAGGAGTTCATTTAAGAAATCGGAAATATCAAAGCAGATTGGGTATACATCGGCAGGTCATTAGCTGCAAGGAACACATCAAAGATATGAATAAGGAATAAAGCGCATATTTTAAGATACAGCAGGGATGCGACAGAAAAATAAGAAAGAAAGAAAAAGAAAGAAAAAGACATGGAAGGGGTATTCTCATAAAGCTCGCTTCAACTTCAAGAATGGTCTATCCCCGACGGGATGATCGGCGGGTAGGCAGAGTAGTTGTAACAGGTTTTGGTGGGCTACTCTTAGCTCTAGACGCCTTTGATGCTTTGGCAGATCGTTGAGAAGGCGCCGGAGGAGATTCTCCTTCTCGCTGGCCTGTGCAGGTACTTCCTCTTCTTCTGGCTTACCGTCGTCCATGTCTTCGTCCTCGTCCTCTTGGTCGTCTTCTTCGTCTTCTTCACTTTCCTCATTATCCTTCTCTTCATTCCACTGCTCCATTTCCTCGTCGTCTTCATCGCTGTCTTTGTCTGCATAGCTGACGTGATGCTGCGTCGTGCCACGACTACTGCGTCGGCGCGCGGACGCAGGTATGTCATCACCCTCGCCAACATCAGACGACCACCCGTCTGCATTGCGCTTGCGTCGGGGCGTCTTGCCGGAGCCACCAACTGAAGAGGTAGACTGGCGTGGCGGGCGAGCTGACTTTTCTTTTCGTGCCTTCTTCGACGAAGCGTGGCCATTAGCACCAAGGGATTCGGGCTTTCGCTTCTTCGCCGCACTGCTGTGCGTGCTTGATGAGCTCTTTGGCTTCATTGCCGTTCGCACCACACGATCTAGGATGTCATCCATCTCATCCGGGAGGAAGTTCTTGTCTGCAACATCCTGGGCTTCACGGTGGCTAGTCATCGAGGCGAATAGGGAACTTGGGACGCCCATTTTGCCTGGGTAGGTTTGCAAGATATTTGTACCCCCGCTGCTACCACCGAACTTGTGCTGTTGAGAGTAGATATCGGCAAACCGCCGAATAGTTGCTTGCGCAAGATCAGACAGGGTATGGAGTCGGGTGGAGATTTCGTCGGATTTTGTGATGCCATCGCGGAACTGCTTTACGCGCTGAGCAATATGGAAAATAAGAGACATGTTATGTTCATTGGCAACGGCGGATAGGTAGAAGACGATGTAGTGAGAGAAGTCACTTAGTTCGGCAAGCTTCTTCGACTCTTCCGTGTCCTCGGGAGGATAGTCGGGATGGTAGGCCAGAAGAGACAAAAGGCGAGAGAAGATAAGTTCCATGACCATGGTCTGCTCGGTACGCTTGCCGCTTGCCTGTGCTTGTTGGGCAAAGTAGGCTGCACGGGACCGAAGCCAAGTGAGGGTACTCTCCTTTAGGCTCAAAGTAGGCTCCCACGCAAGCAGACATGGGATGATATACCAACGATGTCCCAAATGAGACCTTTGTACCAGCTTCTTCTTCAGATGATTGATAAAACCACTTCGCACCTGTATGAGAGGGTCTTGCGCCATCAGGGAAATTGAGTTGAACGCAGCAGGGGTCAGAAGATGGTCACACAGACTGCTCGAGGCACATAATTTGACAAGCGATTTAGCTGCAAGAAGACGTAGGCGGGGCTTCTGATTCGCGGGCGTGTCTTTTTTCTTCGACAATTCACCCTCCCCAGCGACAAGCTTGTTCAAGGTGTCATAGACAGGCTCGGCGTGTGCACGGAAGTCGTCGTCATCGTCAGCACCATCCTTGGCGCGTAAGCGATTTACAATGATCTTGATCGCCCACTCTTTCGCCTGCGTCTCCTCGTCCGTGTTTTCAGACCAGGTGTACCCGGATTGCTCCTCGGGGTTGCGATTGGTCAACAGGATTTGATTGACTGCGATTGAGATGATGGCATCGCTTTCTTCATCGGCTTCCCGCGGAGCTAGCAGGTTCAACTGCGACAGAGCAGCGAGACGAGTGAGGAAGTGGTTAGATCCGTATGTCCATTTCTTCACGCATTTTTGAACAAGATCCTTTGCGTACATCTCCTTGCGGTCGGCAGTGGCCATCAGAATAGAAACGGCATGCTTCGCGGCTTGCGGAGATGAGCTGTACAACGCATAGTTCGTGAGAGCTTGGTAAAATTTACGTTCCTTGGGCAATTTAGCCGGGAGCTTTTTCGCAAATCCGGCACAGGCCTTCAGGATTTCCTCAGAACTGGCGTCGCCGGCTGCCGAGGCTTTAGGAGCCTGTGCCTCTAGATCCTTGCACATTTCTTGCACTTGTGCTTCCAAGACTTCGGGGTTCTGAGAGGAGATCTGTTTCAACATTTCCTGCGCCGCGTTCGCAAGGCCGTTCTCGTCAGTGCGGGACAGACTCATGATAGCCGGAATATGACTCCTGTTAAAGATCAAGGAGCTGCTTCGATATAGCAGGGGGGGTCAGAGTCTCAAGCAGAGGCACGTTATTCGCGCTCTGTGCCCGTCTTTGAAGCTCCTTGATTGCCTTCGTCACTGTCCGATAATCACTGACAGCAGCCATGGCAAACCGGATAAGCTGATAGCTCCGACGATCATGGACCTTAGCGAACTTCCAGAGATCAGCTGATGCTCGTGATGGGTCTGGGAATGTCTTGGACAGAGAATCGATAATTTTAGAAAGCTGGGCTTTCGCCTGGTCCTCGTTTTTGTCAACCACGCCACCATTGTATCTCTCACAAGCCTCCAGGTACATAGTTACGGCAGACCGCATTGAAAGCTGACGAGCCAGCGTGACGAAGAAGACTCGCCTGGCCTTCTCGTCCAGACCACGAAGCAAAGTTAAGATTCGACGCACTCTAATCTTATCGACATCAATATCTTGATCAGCGTCGGTCGCCTGGCTATCCTTCTGCTTTTGGGATTGGCTAGAGCCTCCCCGGGCAAGCTTTGGTTTCACGGGTGGGTAGCCAAGCGGAAGGAGAATTTCGAACAAAACATGATCAATCAGGACATGGATCTCTTGATCATTAGTGTAGAATGCATCGAAGATTTTGGAGGGCGCATCCTTGAGGAGGGATACAACGGGCTCGCTGTTCTGCTCAATGTCTCCGGCGGCGACGGCCCACATCTTGGCCAGGATTTTCATTGCGTGCTCCCGGACCTGAGGCTTGCGATCCTTCACTCGCTCAGCAAGGATCCCCAGAATTGAGTCTGGTGAAGAACATCCGCCCTTCACGCCCAGCTTGTGGACCACATGGGAGAATCCAAACTGCCCCACAGCGTCGACGGCTGCCACACGCACCTTCTCATCTGCGTCTCGGAGCATAGAGGCGAGGCTCTGGACAAGCCCCTGTTCTTCGCTGTCACTCAGGCCAGTCCCTCCAGCAGAGGTCAAAAGAATTCGGCCTACAACGGTTGCCCAAGCAGCGCGCACCGAAGGGGTCTTATCAAGCCGTCGGCTCAAGAAGCCCTCATAAGCTGAGGAGTGTACCTGGGAAAATGGCTTGGGGGAAACAGGCGTCAGGAGAACATTAGGTTGGGGAATGGTCTGCAGATAGTCTTCCAACGTCATGGGTGGGTACGCTGCTGGGTCCATTGGTGGGGGCGGAGGAGGCCCAGCAACGCCGATTCCTGCAGTGATATCGCCGATTGTTTGTGTGGCCAGCAATCGTAGAGAGACTGACTCTGCTGATAGCTCTGCTTCAATCTGAGGGATGACATTTTGTAAAACTTCTGGACAGGCACGCCAGAGTTCTCGAATGAGTCGATGCGCTTTGCTCAATTCTTTGATGTCTTCACCCTCTTCGTCCGACTCGTCGAGATGGGACTTGCGAGCTCCACCTTTGGAGCCGTTTGACTGACCGGGAGCCGAGGCGTCGATAATCACGTTATTGAAATACTGGCTAATGTGGCTCGTCATACGCTCGGGGCAGGCTTGGCATATCGCCTTGGCCATATTGTACGCCGGGGGGTAATCCTTCAGCAGGAGGGTGTCTTGCTTGGCATCGAGAGGTGCGTCGGTTCGTTTTCCCTTCCTGGAATTATCGAGTATCCTGGGGTCGACCCGCAGGAATTGAGCGACGATGGTGTCCACGACATCTGGAGCTAGAACAGGTGTTTCATCGATCACGGTCACAAGAAGACGAGTCATGTCGAATTCGACTCCTTTGGCGATTTCTTCCCCGGTAGAGGCTTTCGAGGAGTTCGAGACGATATCAAAACAGCTGGTGAAAAGAGGGATGATGAGGCTATCGGGGTGATCCAAGTCGGTCATAAGGACAATACTCTTGACCTCGGCCAGCGAGCCCAAGACATAGATGTGTTGCGCATTGTAGGCGTTGGATGGATCGGCCAATGCGGGGATTATCGAGGTGACGATGCACGTAAAGATATCCTATTCATAAAGCCCTGTTAGCACTAGTCCAGGGAAACCAAGGATTTGGAGCCTGGAGCAAGCGCACCTTGAGTTGGTTACGTGTAAAAGGCGCGTCGGGGGCGCATAGTCGCAGAACATCCACGATGCAGCACGTGGCCCAGGCTCGGACACCCTTGTCCTTGTGGGCGAGGAGGTGAGCGCTTGCAAGCTCCTGCGAGACCTTTCGCAGAGACTCTTTGTCAATTTCCTCTTGTTCAAGCTTGCGAAGTTCCTGGGCGAGGGACTGTAGTCGTTCGAGAAGGTCTGCAATTGGGATAGCCGAACGCCCCACGCGCCAGGACAGGGGTTGATTGAAGGCCAGGCTTCGGAGCCCAGAATCCTCATCAGCCTCCTCGGCTGCTTGTCGAGTGCGCGACGGCATGATTGAACAGCAAACGCTCACATGCGATGGGAGGGGGAGAGTTGACGCGGTGCAGAAACGGTTTGGGTGGAGAGACAACGTTTGACCGCCTTTACGCGTCGCACCAAATCGCGTCCCCTCTACACTTTCTCGGTTCAGTGCAAGGTGTCGGTGCCAAAACTTTTGGCTTCGAAGCTTGCATTGCTATCCAAGATAAGTACTCCAAACTATGCAATGTTCGACTGAGTCTCCTAGGCTTGTTGAGGTGATTTCCTCGTTGTGTAGGGTGTCGAGTTCGGAGTCCAGCATGGGACTTAGCTCAATCAATGCCTCCGCTACTACCACTGGCACGGGCAGGAATCGTGTACGCAAAAGGGCATTCGCAGCTGGGTCTATATATACGCACAACTTGCACAGCATGATATGGTGTGGAACTCGGAACAGAATCTTCAATATGGGCTTTTACCACCTGTAACTCTTCGATAGGAATCTTGAACAACGGACAGTATCCATGGATTAGGCGCTCAGTACCCGTCCCTTTTTTTTAAGTCAATTTGATTATTCTCTCGACGAGGCAGTAGAGGGTCGGACTTGGTCTTTGGAAAAGACCTCCGCAAGTCGTGGTATTCTTTCGGCAACTTCTGGCGTATGTCGACTTCTTCTTCGAGCTAATCAGGGCTCTGCTATCGCTTAGATAGCTCGCCGATTAACTATCCGCGAAATCTGATCATATGGCGAATCGAACTCACATAGGCCTCCACCTTCGGGTCTTCCGTTAGACGATAGTAGAGCCAATACCCCTGATGGTCGAGACCGTGGCCCCGTTTATCATTAACGCATAGATCGGGCCAATAGCACTTGGTCCTTAACTCCACTTCCCACGGTCAACAATCAACTCATCTGAGATTTATCTCCGGCTAGGAGTAGATGGATCCTGGTGTGAGTCACAATGCATCAAGGGGCTTAGATCGCCTTCGATGCCGCTTTACCCGATGGGAAGAGCAGTAAGTGCATTGTCTATTGTAAGCACGCAGCTGACGACATAGTTAATAGAAAGGGCATTACGGAGCAGTTAACTAGTTGAGGAGTTCATAGACAGATCTCCACTAAAGCCGAGTTCTATTTTAGCGGAGTAATTTCCACGAATCAGTTCTGTGTACGGAGTACGGAGTAAGGGCCAAGAAAGCCCAAAACTCCGCAATTCGGAGACAATAGATCGACGGAGGATGCGGAGTTAACAGGGAACCGAGTCGGATATAGACTGTCCACGTGCAGATGAATCAACTACTGCGTAAAGATTATCAGATGCAAGACTGACGTGCAAGGTGACTAGTTAACCTTCCCAAGGTCCACGGGTCTATGGGTCCATTCTAGGGCTCCGGGAGAGCGGCCCTTAGCTAAGCGGAAGCTGGGAATGACGAGTTAAATCCAGAAGGTGGACTGACTGCTGGCCGACGACCCACTTTTTCAAGTTTTCTCGGTCCTTCGAAGTAGCGATTCCCCGATGCACCGATGAGCAGCAGTTTCCGTGGCTTCTTGACACAATCCAGGCATCCACTTCGGCTGCAAACTACCAACAAAACGGATGTAACTTTTTGCGCAAAAGGATGGCCGGCCCAATAGGAGCTCCCCAGCTCCGAAATCGACGGCCCCTCTCCCTGTAGTTAAGGTCTCGCTCCACCTATTTTTCCCGGTTAGGCCAAAAAAATTTTCGGAACGTCGTATGTCCATGTGGTCACGGACATAAGACCTGTAGCTTTCACGGGGTTTTGTGGATACAGCTGATATGAACTGACAAATGAAATCCAGACTCAAGTGCATGGTTCGAACCCTAGCCCCGAGCCTCCGACTATTCAGGGTTCAGGAAGATAGTAATGGGTGCTTAAAAGCACTAACTCCCCTCCCGGTCAATATCTTCTCTTCTCTAGTAATAATAAACTCTGTTCGATTGGCCTTGCCCTTGGAACATAAGGCGAGATACCACTCTCGAGTTGAGATTAAATCGAGGACTAAGCTTGCGCCCTCGGAATTGCAACTCCCTTATTTCCGCTCAGCTATTCAGTACCACGCCTTATAATGACATCAAATCAATTCAATTCAGAAACAACAACCCCACGACGCAGCATGGACGCCCATAATGCGGCTGGCACCTCTTGTCGACGCCGAAACGCCTCCCCTCTCCGATTCATTTGAAAAGGACGATATCAGACAGCAAGGACAGGAAGATACCGATGTTGAAAGTGCCCCAAATCAACAAGCAGCAGAGAAGCCGACCGAAAAAGACCCCAACTTGGTGGAATGGGACGGTCCAGACGACCCAGATAACCCCCAGAATTTCCCCAAGTGGCGCAAATGGGTGATCACCGTCTCGATGTCGTTTATGACTGTTTGGATCACCTTCGCTAGCAGTGTGTTCTCAGCGGCGAACCAGGTAACGTCGAAAGAGTTCCATGTCTCGAGCGAGGTGATGGTCCTGGGAACCAGTTTGATGGTATTCGGGTTTGCTCTTGGCCCCATTGTCTGGGCACCTATGAGTGAGCTCTATGGCCGCCGCTTGCCTCTATTCTCTGGCTATACCGTCTTTGCAATCTTTCAAATCCCTGTCGCTGTAGCTACCAACCTGCAAAGCATTATGATCTTCCGCTTCCTAATGGGTTTCTTTGGCTGCTCGCCGCTGGCCTGCGTGGGCGGTGCGATGGCCGATATCTGGAACCCCTGTGGATCGAGCAGTGGCCATCGCTATGTTCAGCGCAGCTACATTCCTTGGCCCGACGCTTGGTCCCATCATGTGAGTTAGATCAAATACCTCCATCTTGCTTATTGTCCGCAAGCTAACAATTTATTCAGCGGCGGTTTCATCACCGAGTCTCACCTCGGCTGGCGCTGGACTGCATGGATCACCTTGATCGCCGCCTCTTTCTTCGGCATCATTGCCCTGATCATCATCCCCGAGACATACGGACCTAGAATCCTTCAGGACCGCGCTGCGCGCCTGCGCCGCGAAACCAAGAATGGGGCTTACCACTCTTTCCTCGACGAGCATAAGCCAACCATCAAGGACCTTGTCTACAAGTACCTTCTGCGCCCATTCCAGATGCTCGCCCTGGAGCCAATCCTTGTTTGCATGACCCTGTACCTAGCTCTCGTCTACGGAATTCTGTACCTTTTCTTCGAGGCATATCCCATATCTTTTGCCGAAGTGCGCGGGTGGACAAACATTGGAGTGGCCTCGCTGCCCTTCATTGGCATCATGGTGGGTGTGTTATGCGGTGTGGCTCTTATCGTCTTCACCACCAAGACTCGGTATGCCCGCAAGCACGCTGCACAAGGCCGAGTCGCACCCGAGGAGCGCTTAGTCCCGATGATGGTCGCGTCGATCCTTCTTCCCATTGGCCTCTTCTGGTTCGGGTGGACTTCCAACAAGAACATCCACTGGGCTCCACAGGTGATTGCCGGTGTTCCCATCGGACTGGGTATCCTGGTCATTTTCATGCAGGGTCTCAATTATATCATTGACGTGTATATGATGTTTGCCAATTCCGCTATCGCGGCAAACACTCTTGTTCGATCTACCGTCGGTGGTGGCTTCCCCCTCTTTGCTACCGGGATGTATCACAACCTGGGCGTGCCATGGGCATCTAGCACCCTGGCCTTTATCAGTGTTGCTATGATCCCTATTCCTTTCTTGTTCTACATCTACGGCGCTAAGATTCGCTCTTTCAGTCGCTTCACTCCGAAGTTTTAAAGGAGATACGACACCTTTCTGTTCCAATACCCCCCCTTCTTTTTCTTTGGCTGGAATGGCGACTGGAAACGCATTGTGCTATTATTTTGCTTGGGGATCCAGCATGGCGAAGGCAATATCTAATCATCTAATAGACTTATCATAACTATAACTCAACGAGAATTCTAGATTAATGACTTGACGATTATGTCGAAAGGTCTAAATTCAATGCTATTCAAATTTGTGGATCACGCAGTAGGGTAGAACACCTGGGTATTACTTTATGAATAGCGTTCTCACTGTCTCCGCGTCCTATTGCTAGGTCGGTACATCACGCTCTGTGGCTCGTGGTACTTGGTTCATGCTACTTTATCCTCAGCCTGAGTCACGGTGACTAATGCCACAACCAGCATTAGTTACTTAACTGCGAGCAAAGTCTGCTCATACGTCCGGCGCGGCGACACCCCTGCCTTTGCTTACGGAGTGCGACTTAGAGAAGACGAAGAAGATACGATGAATGTTAATCAACATAAGAGTTTCTCCACTTTATTGGCTATTATGGCACATTGTATGAGGGAGAACAGGAGAGGAGTAATCAAAAAAAAAGAAAACAGGGCCCGCCCAGGTCTCAAAGCAAGTTCCTAATTCAAGTACACGATCTACCTATAGCGAATCCACGGCACAGGAAACTCAATTGAGACTGCAACGGCTCAAAACAAAAATAGTCATCCATAGCTTCCGCAAGAGATAATAAGAAAGCGAAACCGAAAGAACCCGTTTAGTCGTAGAGGCTGTCATCGTTGCCGGCTTCGCCGAAGGTGTCATTGTTCTGAACTTCCCCAGCAGAAGGGAAGCGGAAGAAGCTGCTGCCCCCAGAGTTCTTCAGACTCTGGGCGAAGGCCTCGTATCGGCGGATTTCAACATCACTGACGGAGCGGCGAGCCGACTTCATAGCCTCCTCGAAGTGAGCGCGGGTAAGCTCGGGCACGGGATCTTCCTCGTCAACATCTTCGTCACCCATGGTGACATCCTCACCAGCAGCCTCCCGGGCCTTGACACGCTCGATATCGGCAGAGATAGCCTCCTTGATGGCGAGCTTGACGGCACGCTGAGTCACAAAGCCAAGATCGGCACCAGAGAAGCCGTGGGTCTTGCTGGCGATGAATGACAAGTCGACATCCCCAGCAACAGGAGTCTTGCGGAGTTGTGCCTTGAGGATGCCCTCACGCGATGCCTGGTCAGGCAAAGGAACGTAGACGAGGGTATCTAGACGGCCAGGACGAACCAGGGCGGCATCGAGCTGCTCGGGGCGGTTGGTGGCACCGATGACGAAGACGTTCTTCTTGGAGGTCATACCATCCATTTCTGCTTGAGATTAGTAACCATTCTTCATTTGTGGTCAAGGTTCGAAATTTGGCTTACCTGTCAGAAGCTGGTTGACAACACGGTCCGAAGCACCGCCGGCGTCGCCAACGGAGCCACCACGAGACTTGGCAATAGAATCCAATTCATCGAGAAAGACAACACAAGGGGCGGCAGCACGGGCCTTGTCAAAGATATCACGGATGTTGCTCTCCGACTCACCAAACCACATGCTCAGTAATTCGGGGCCCTTGACGGAAATGAAGTTGGCAGCGCACTCGTTGGCTACGGCCTTGGCCAACATGGTCTTACCAGTACCGGGGGGACCATAGAACAGAACACCGCGGGAAGGTGAAAGACCGAACTTTTGGAACATCTCGGGGTGGTCCACGGGGTACTGGACGCTCTCGATAAGCTCGCGCTTGACTTCCTCGAGACCACCAATATCGTCCCAGCGAACATTGGGAACCTCGACAACAGCAACCTCGCGCAGGGCAGAGGGGTTGGACACGCCTAGGGCGAAGCGGAAGTTCTCCATGGTGACACCGAGGGAGTCCAGGACTTCGGCATCAATGGTATCCTCATCAAGATCGATGAGGTCCATCTTCTCACGGATCTGTTGCATGGCAGCCTCAGAGCAGAGGGATGCCAGATCAGAGCCGACATAACCGTGGGTCTCGGCAGCGATGGTCTCCAGATCAACATCCTCACCCAGCTTCATGTTCTTAGTGTGAATCTGCATGATCTCAAGACGGCCGGTTGGGTCGGGGATGCCAATGTCGACTTCACGATCGAAACGGCCGAAACGACGGAGGGCAGGGTCAATTGAGTTGGGACGGTTAGTGGCGGCCATGACCACGACGTTAGAGCGGGCCTTCATGCCGTCCATAAGGGTGAGCAACTGAGAGACGACACGACGCTCGACTTCTCCGTTGGTCTTCTCACGCTTGGGGGCGATCGAGTCGATCTCATCGATGAAAATAATGGCAGGTGAGTTCTTCTCGGCCTCCTCGAAGGCCTTTCGCAAGTTCGACTCGGATTCACCGGCCATCTTGGACATAATCTCGGGACCGTTGATAAGGAAGAAGAAAGCACCAGTCTCGTTGGCGACAGCACGAGCCATCAACGTCTTACCAGTACCCGGAGGGCCATACATCAGGATACCACGGGGAGGCTTGATACCAATGGACTTGAAGAGTTGAGGGTGACGGAGAGGAAGCTCGACCAATTCACGGATCTGAGCCATCTGTTTCCGACATCCACCGATATCATCGTAGCCCACCTCATTAAGATTACCCTCCTCATCTTCACGCTGGATTGGCTCACCCTCACAATGGATGACAGTGTCCTGTGCAACAATTCCGTATTCTGGTGGGTCCACCTCGACCACCTTAAACTCAACTTGTCTCATACCACCTCGTACAGTGAACAGGTCACCCTGTCGCACTGGCCTGTAGGCTTCGCGGAAGTATGGAGCAAGGTAGACATCGAAGAGGGATCCGGTCAAACCTTCGATGGTATCGGCGATAGGGAGGACAGCAATACGCTTGGCCTGGGAGGGAAGAAGGAAAGTCATTAGCAAATACTCACACTGACGGCTGGATCAATGGCGGACTCACATATTTGATATCGGGGCAAGGGTGAACAGTGATAACGTCGCCGTGCTTAACACGGAGGTTATGGCGCACGACACGGTTGATTCGGGCGCTTCCATCATCGAGATCGTCGTCGGCGAGGACGATCAGCACGGTGTCCTTGCGCTTCTTACCCTTAACGAGAACTGTGTCACCACGGAAGAGCTGGAGAGTCTCCATGGTGTTGTTGGATAGGGCAATAACCGAGTTGTCATCGTTGACGGCATCGGTGACGCTAGCGATGGTTGTCAGCTTTATGCCCCGCAAGTCCAGCTCCGCAGGTCCCCCAGACAGATGACTTACATCAACGAGTTGGGCTTCTTCTTTTTCTTCAAAATAGCAGTAGATGTGTCGAGTTCCTGTTGGATTCTGTTAGCATCTGCGCTGAATGGCAAGCTTGATGGCAAGCTGGAGCTGGGCTGGCTGACATCTTTCTTCTCGGCACCAGAAGCATCCCTATTTCATCATTAGCATCGGATAATATTTCACACAAGGTGTGAAAGTAAGACGTACTGGAGGTTGACCCGCTTCTTCTCATGGGTGTGATCCGGCTCCGCAGACATGATGTGGTGTGTAAGACGTGTCGGAACGATGGGGGAGAAGCAAGCTTAGAAAGGGAAGCAAAGAGACCACGGAAGAGCTAAGAGTAGCTCAATAAAGTGGACGGAATGAATAGTTATCACGACCGGCGAGGATGGAATGGAGGAGAACCGGCAGATCAAAAGGTAAGAGACCAGACGGAGTAGGAACAGAGAGTTGGAGGATCAGAGCTCCCAGGCACGCAGTGAGTGACGATATGTGGATGAGCTAAGCATGATTATGTCACCCGCTTTTGGTTCCCGCCACAGCGAATGCAATGGAAATCGGTCGATCTGCGCTGCCTGAGTGCCTGCTCTATCGAACGGGGCCACTTTAATCGTCTGTTGTCCTCTGTAGGGGGGTAATCAGACTTGTACTTGAAGTTCACAGCCGTTTCTCAGTTCTATCTCGATACTCTCAAATCAACTCCATGTGAGTTCTCTCGTAGCTAGCAAACGTTGCCCACAGACATGGATTAATGCCAATCAGCAATTACTAGTACCGAGGACTGGGAAGATACGCTTAATCTATAAAGAATTGAAAATCAGAAAATTTTGAACCGCCTCATGAACTGATCCTGCCCAAGATTGGTAAATATATTTGCGTTTCGGGAGTCTCCCGAGATCGCATACCCCGCACTCGCCTAGTATCTTTCAGAAGTTTCAAAATTCCTGGCTTTAAATGACTATACAGCAGGCATGGGAAATGGAAGAACGTCAAACTAGTCATATTTACCCATATTTCGATAAGCAAATCAGTTTATTACACCTGAAAGAAGGAACACGGAACGCCTAACTAGATGCTAGCGTGGACGCCTTCCCAACCAATAAATTTAGTTAATTCGCTCTTTGGCAGCAGACTCAAGAATAATCTATACACACGGCAGAGAGACAGTCGTTAAGGTAGACAAGAGGCGTATTATTTCCAAACGGTGGAGTGAAGCAGGTCGGATTCGGAAACCACAACATGCCACTCAAAAGAAAAAAAGAAAGAGAACTTGAGAGGAGCAGACAATGCGAGGCTGCTCGAGGTAAACGTCTCGTAGAGAATACCTGCTACCATGATTTCATCGAGGAGTTTCATGACCGAGGATGGGATCCAGGAGCCGGGCTGGCGCTCGCGCTGCTGAGGTTAGGATTGGCTAGCGAGCCACCCTGTCGTGCAACTCGCTCATCAACACGTTCTTTGTGTTGTCGGTTTCGGAGGTGGACCTCAAAGTTATCAACAGTCATGCCTGGCCCAGGGGTGTATAGTTTTCCAGGACAATCAAGGCAGCGAATACGAGGAAGGTATTGATATTTGATTTTGTGACCGGGCGGGAGGTTTTGGGGGTTTGTTATAGCGGCGAACGTTTCCATGTCAACTGCAGAATAGCGCATGATACCTTCGAAGGAGTCGTTTGGGTTCAATTCTTTTAATCTTTCGATGCCTTGGACAAGCCAGCTAGGCGGAGGGGGCTGGAAGCGCACAGGGTCATCAGCCATGCACCAAAAATTTCGAGGATCAAGAATTGGAGTTATCAAAATCTACCTACTCCAGGTACCCCTGTCTGTGGGGGATTTGGCGCATCGACCGCTCCTATTTGCTGCGTTCGTGGAGCTCCTGGGATGGGCTGGTTGTCATACGGAGGTCTCATCGCGGCCGAAGAGGAGTTGGGTTGGGGAGTGTCAATTCTTCCTCCTTGTCGCAACATCGCTAGCTTCCCTCGGGGAACTCTGAGGCGAACTATCAACTTTTCGGCTTCTTCGACGCTTTCCTCGCGATACTGCGCTGGCGGTTGACGTCGAGAGGATGCCCGAGGTTCAAGGACTGGTTCCGGAGTTTCAGACTGTCCGAGGCCAGCACGCATAGCGGCTGTAGCTTCCCTGGCGGCACCCCTCATGCCTCTTGTGCGAGCAGTACCTTGAGACAGGTATGGGCCAATTGCAGGGGACTCATCATCCGAATCTTCGCTATCGAAGTCATCTGATTCATCATCACCCCGATGTCCAGCAGCTCCACGGCGTCGGCTGGACCCTGATCGCTTGATCACATTGCTTTCTTCCATGGAGGTTGCAGAATTAGGGATAACTGAAGAAACAATCAATGTTCGAATAGTGCGTGGGCGATCCTTCAGATCTGGAAGGGCAGGACCACCGCGGCGGTTGATAGATCGCTTTTGTCGCCGTTGCTCGCGAGATATTGAGATCTCGGTGCGCTCGAGATCTGCCTCATTGAGCTCCCAGAGCGTGGGGGAGTGTTCTTTGGCAGCCTGGTAGGGCCGGAAAGCAGATGGTACAGGGGTTGGAAGGAATGAAGTGCTGAGATCTGGATCCTCAATTGGGCGACCATCGAAGGGGTGAGCCACAATGTAGAGAGATTTGGTGAAGAGTTGTGATTGCTCGCGAATGGAATGGGCAATAGCAGTTGTAAATTCGCCCGAGAGCGAAAGGTCGTCAGTCATGCGCATAGCGAAGTCCTCGGGGGAGTTTTGAGGATCATTAATATCCCACTCGAATTGATCAACTAGGGTATGCTGTCCGATTGTAATGTTCAATTTGATCAGAATGCGCATCTCGTCATTCCGATATGCAGAGTATGGTAGGTGCGGGTCAAGGGGTTCTTCGTGCATGTAAATTTGAGGGTAGTAATCCATCAGCTGCTCTTGGATATTTTGGGAGATCTGACGCATCAAGGGACCTGACGTTTCATAGGCAAGCCCAAGGTCTTCGACCAGCTTCTCTGCGAAAAAGATCTGGAGACACGACACGGTCGTGTAGATTCCAAGTGAAAGTGTCGCGGATCTTGATTTTCTCCCAGTCAATGTCCAGGCGGATCGGCACCAAATCTTCAATCTGCTCATTCTGTATTTTCATCTCACGACGGGAGACACGCAGCTCGCGTGTTTTGCGATTTCCAGGGCGACGGCGATTTGATGGATACAAGAGCTGAGTGTGCTGATTGCGAATATCGGTACGTTGATTACCAAAGCCTTCGTATCCTACACCATACAAGGCTCCGGGGTTCCCATGGTTCTCACGTCTGATCTGTAAATAGAAATCACGTTCGGCTCGCTTCTCTTTCAGAAGCTCTTGGTTTGAATTTTGCCAGGCTGAAGCAGCTGCATAGTCGAACTCGCGGTTGACGTATTGCTCTATGAGAACCTTCTCGACAGGTGTCTGGCGCGTACGGACAGCCATAGTTCCAGAAAGATCACTTCCTGGGAGAACAGAACCGTCTCGGGATCGTTTCCGGCTTTGCGCAGAGCCATTGGTGCCGTTCGATTGAGGAGTGCCGTTGATATCATTGTTGGAATCCCCAGAGGTTCCTGTCATAGTTTTGGGGTTGGGTTTGCTGTCTCCAGACGCATTGGCATTCTGGCCATTAGCTGGAAGCTCTGCTCCAAGGTCAAAAGAGTCCGCGCCCGAATCGAACGCGCCCGAACCATTCTGGAAGCCAGATTGCGAGCCCGCGGGAGACTGCTCTGGGGGGAGAGAACCACTTGCCAGCTCCGGTGATGGCATGGTAAATTGTTGTTAGAGAGTTGCGAACGGAGAAGTGTCCACCGTAGCGGTTTGGGCGCTATAGCCGGTAATCGACGAGGACGACTTGGGTGAAACAGGGGCCGGTAGTGAATAGATTCACTCTAGCATTATTGAGAGGAGACTAAGATCGCATATGTGCTGTTAGTAAGTAGTTCCAAAGTTCCAAGGTTTGCTTGATGTTCCCCCATTTTGGTTGCGACAACTGGTCACACCTGTCTGGCGGCATCGCCGATCGATGGACGTGACGCGACAGGGAGCGCGTATAGAAACCACCAGGGACCATGGAATAAGGAGATTAAAGAACGCATAATGTATTACCAATCGGTGGAAAGGATAGCAAACAAGTTGGGAAGGTTTCTCTTACCGGAAGCTTAGAGAGAAGTTTTGTCGCGTCGGGTCTCGCCTTGAATCACGAGCACTGGCACACCCAGACCGCGAATCTTGGACTAGGGTTGGAATATGTCAATCAAGACTCTCGCGCGCAGCGGTCGGATTAGGCAAGCCGGAGCCGTAATGGTGGTTCGATGCTGAGGGAGCTTTGGTGGCGGGTTCCTCACAGCGCAGGGCGGATGAGAGAGAAGTTCAATTCCAAGGTTCCAAAGGGGAGGATTACGAGATGTCCGCTCCCGGGCAGAAAAGCAGCGTGGCCGAGGTGCCCTTCAGACTCACAACTCTTTATAGACACTCTAGGGAGTGAATGTGGATTCATTCACTGGAAGCTCTCTACTCTAGGGGAGGTGAGCTATACTTGTTCAGCTTATGTTAGTCAATGCTCGAGCCCCGTTCGCTGCCAGGGCTGATTTCCGATCACTGGCATGTTGAGTCACGTGATGCCAGTTTGTGCCGGGGTACCGCCCAGCCACTTGACCCGGTCAAAGTGGCTGGTGGGCCATGCCACGGAAATATCCCTACTTATCTGGGTAAGCTATTGGTAGACTGCTCTCAAACAACAGACACAGTCCACATTCTCGTGTTCTCATGCGAATGTGCCAAAATTTGGCGGCAGATATACAACAGACCCAACATGAAAGCAATATAGCTATATCCAGGCCACTCCAGGTTGTTAACGCATCAACCTACTTCACGAGGGCAAGATCTGCAACCACAGCGCGATGGTCTGAATTCAGGACCTCACCGTCGAATTTATTTTGCAGGACGGAATACCCATCTGTCCGCCATTTTTGATTCCCTCCCACCACTAGCAAAACGAAATCAATCCTTGTCGGCGGCTCTCCCTCGTATCCGAACCCGGTGTATGTGTTATGATCTCCATATCGTTGGGAGGTAGGGACGAGTTTATAAGTATCCAAGAGACCGCCCTCTTGAGTAAACTCCAAGTAAGCTTCCTGTGTTTCTTCACTATTCAAGTCTCCTGTTAAGAAGGTCCCAGATAATAGTGGTCCGTAGGTACCCTGATGGTATTGCTGTATCTTGGCACGAATGATACGTGCTCCCTCCAGGCGGGCACGGGAGCCCTGGTCATCCAGGTGTGTATTCAGAGCAAGAACAGTGCTCCCGCTAATTTTGTGATTGAAGACACCAATAGTGACAATCCGAATTGAGGCAGAATCCCAACTCTTGGAAGGTTTCGTAGGAGTCTCGGACAACCACACAGTTTCCGCGCAAAGCAAATCCCATATGGATGGCTGGTAGAAAATCGGCGAATATTCGCCTCTTTTCTTCCGTCATCTCGACCAACCCCAATCCAAGACCATTTCTGGGAAGATGATAGATTCAATCCTTCCAGGATATCGTTAAGCTGTTCATGAAGGACCTCTTGTAGACAAATAAATGTTTCGTTGTGGCCGCGAGAATGGTAATTCAATTCGTTTATGACTAGCTGACTGCGATCAGACCAATGGAGCTCCCCCTGGAAGAGCTCGTCAGTCAAATGTCGAACATTGTGGGTGAGTACCCTTATGGGAAGGACGGGAGATGATCTCATAGTAGCAGGTGTGGAGGGCCCTTGATTGAGGCCCATATACTTAAATGAGCAAGTGGTTTTGAAAGCTGAAAGAAGCTGCTCTCGGACCGAGCGCGATACTGGACGAAGGGGAAGAAGGGAAAGTCGCGGCTGCCACTTTAAGAAGAGAAGCGAGGGGTTGATGCGGGGGAATATCTCCTACGCTACTTCTGACTGCACAGGCCTGACGCCCTAAATTTGGGGCTTGGAGTCTAAGGTCGCCTGGGCCGAGGCCTGGATACTTGTGAAGAATTGGTATCCATCGATTAAGAGAAATTCATATGCATCATAACAATGTTCAGAGTGAACCTGACCCGATTTTTGGCGAGGTCGCCTTCGATAACTACCTGTAAGGTGGGTATGAGACCCACACTCCCAAACAATACTGGACTGTCATGCCCAATTTAATGCATACCATACGGGGCCTTGTTATGAACATGGGATCACCACGTGTGCCCTCGCAGTAACTGGTTAACCATGGGCGGTACATCGTCGAGAAGTACATCGTCGAGTAAAACAGCTCAGGCGGAGCAGCAGCAGCCAATGAAATCGAGTAACCCAACGGAGCAAAATGGCAAGTGACGTCGTAGCCCTACTGCGGCCTGGTTCCTCAGGCGTCAATGTACCCCCACCATGTGTCGAGTGCTGCACACGACTTAGACTCGAACCCCATTCCTCTCTTTCCCCGCGGATTCTGGATCTGCTACTTGAATTTCTTGATTCTGTGATTCCTCGCTGACATTTGCGAGAACCCCCTGCACAATGGCCGAGACTCAAGCTCCTCAGGCTCCCCAGGCCCCTGTCGAGGTTGGTACGTAACTTCTTTGGTGCTTCCGCGAAAAGCTCTGCTGTTTGTGGGCGCTGGCGACACAAAAGCCTTGCCTTGAGCCGCGCTCCACCACGCAATATTTTGCGTTCGATGATGATCTCCGGACTTAATTGACCGTATCTGCTGGCAGACTACACCCTCAATAACCCCGACACCTTGACCAAGTACAAGACTGCCGCACAGATTTCACACAAAGTCCTCGATGCCGTCACTGGTATGTTGCACTCCATATACAATCCCCCAATAGCTTCGTCGAAATTAACATTCGCTTGCAGCTATGTGTGTGGAAGGCGCCAAGATCGTCGAGATCTGCCAGAAGGGTGATGCCCTCCTCGACGAGGAAATTGCCAAGGTCTACAAGGGCAAGAAGATTGCCAAAGGTTAGTTCTTTTGACACTTGGAATTGACCCGCCGTCGCGGCTTACTGACATAACTCAAAAGGCATTGCAACCCCAACCACTGTGTCCCCAAGCTCCTATGTCACTCCCTACACTCCCCTCATTTCGGATGCTGCCGAGGCCGAGATTGCTCTGAAAGCTGGAGAAATTGCCAAGATTCAGCTGGGTGCTCAGATTGATGGATTCGGAACCATCGTCTGTGATATGGTCGTGATCGCTAAAAAGGACGCTGCCAATGAAGTTGTTACCGGCCGCGAGGCGGATCTGATCGTCGCTACCCATTACGCCAACGAGCTTTTGCTTCGTCTGATGGTTCCCCAGGACTGTTGGCATCTGGCACCGAGGAGGAGAAGAAGAAGGCTGCCGCCCAGAAGCCCCCAACCCAGGCTCACATCTCCGCCCTTATCGAGAAGGTCGCCAAGGCCTACGACTGCAATGTCATCGAGAACACTACCAGCTGGCTGTTCAACCGTAACGAGATCGAGGGTGACAAGAAGATCATTTTGAGCCCCAGCGCTAACAGCACTCGTGGCGATGGTGTCCCCGAGGTTGGTGAGGTTTGGGGTGTCGAGATCGGTCTCAGTCTGGGATCCGGCAAGGTCAAGACTCTCGATCACCGCGCTACCCTGCACCGCCGCACCACTACTACCTACGGTCTCAAGCGTCCCAGTTCCCGTCAGACTCTTTCCGAGGTCGTGAAGAAGTTCGGCACCTTCCCCTTCAGTTTGCGCCAGCTTGATGATGAGAAGGCTGCCAAGGTTGGTGTTCTCGAGTGTGTTCGCAGCGGTGTCCTCGCCAATACGAGCCTGCCGGTGATGCGGACAACGCGCCCGTCTCCCGTCTGCTGACTACCATCGGTAAGATTGGTTGTGCACCTTCTGAAGTTTGAATATTATTCTGACATTTTCCAAGCCATCACCAAGAACGGAATCACCAAGCTTACCGCCCCCTCTGCTCCGAACCTCGAGCAGTTCAAGTCGGACAAGAAGATCGAAGACGAAGAAATCCTGAAGATTCTCGAACAGCCCCTTGCCCGCTCTACCGGCAACAAGAACAAAAACAAGAACAAGAAGAAGGCCTCCGAGTAAGAGGTTTCATACTTCTGATGTCTTTTATGTGCAATTCAGTCCGATATGAACCTAGATCGTCCTTGACCTGGTTTCAACTGTCAAACAACCGAAAAATAAAAAGATATCCATCATGACTTTTACCGGGCTTTACAAACTCCTGCTGGTAAAATGAAAATAAATGATTTTCGATTATGTGCGCAGGGGAGGCTTACTATCACTGAAGGTCATGGTATACGCCAGGTCTACAATAGGAAAGCACAATTCCTCAACATGTCTGATCTGTCAACATGTAACTAGCATTCATTGCAAGAGATCGCGAGCTAAATAGACATATTGTCAGCCCACCCATCTTCGCATCACGGTTCGGATTCCCGTCAATTGTAGCGTAGCCAAAAGGAAATCAAGTAGAGCAGAATAAGGTGACTTCGTCACCTGTTGTGTAAGTAAATCGTGGATATACCTGATCACAACATCGGAATCCCTTCAACTCATGCCTCCTCGCCAACTCGAGCGCATTTCGCCGGGAGGCCACGAAGGCAAAGTGATCCCCGAACCCTGTTCCGCCCTCCGGATGAGCTCGCGACTGATGCATACTTTGTACCACAGTCAGTCATTCTTGGTTCACGATGCAGCTACTCAAATTGATGGTTCAGAGTCGCGACATACCCACTCCTTTGGTCCTGTCTTATTAACTACAACGTTGACCAGGACCAGTCTCGGACAAGCAGATGTTCAATCGAATTCATCATGACACCACCTGCTCTCCAACCAAATGGCTCTACATCGCTCTGTATCTCCATTTCTATGATCTCTCTCGTCTCCATGGCATTGGGTCTTAGAGTGCTTGCACGGCAAAGAAGCCGTGGCAAAATCCGCACGGAAGATCTTCTGATCTTCTTAGCGGCAATACTCTTTTATATAGACCAGGGTGTCTTTCTCTATGGTATAATGAGATCTGAGTTTTCAAGGGACAAGATCATATCACTAATATTGCTACAGCCATAATGGGAAATGGCGCATCAGGTGGATCTGACTTGGCAACGATGGCATTTCCAACCCAGTTCAATCGATACTTTGAAGTGAGATACTTGAGCGCTATATTATTTCATTCTTGCCTATAGTAGCTGACTGATTATACAATTAGTACGTATATGCTCAAGAGATCTTGTTTGTTCTATGCGTCACAGTGGTCAAACTGTCCATTTTGGTATTCTACCGGCACCTCTTCTCGGTCGGCTTGTTTGTCCACATCAACTGGGGCCTCATACTGATTTGCATCATCTGGAGTATCATCACGATTTTTGTGGTGATATTCCAGTGCAATCCAATATACACTGCTTGGCGATACGACATGCAGCGCACCGGGAGAGCCGTATGTATTAGCCCAGCAAAGATGGTCTTCTGCTTTGAGATCACGAATATGGCAATCGACATCGCAATACTGATCCCATCAATTGTAACGGCCAACCGACTTCAGATCAACGCAGCCAAACGAGCCGGAGTTATGGGCATATTCTTGTTGGGTATTTTGTGAGTTCTCCAATTTGTCCCACCAACCATCACGGATCAACAGCCGAAGCCCAGATATAAGGCAAGGCTAACCATGGCAGTGTTTGCATTACCTGCGCGATCAGGGCGTATTATGTTTGGAACCCAGCCACCGGGGAACCTCGTAAGTGGCATGCCTCTCTGTTGTATAGCAAGGTGACCCATCCAGCGGCTGAGATCAAACTGGTTATCTCATTGAGATCTTGACTAACCACCCGGATAGGATCCATGGCCACGACAATGGATTGGTCAACAATTGAGCTAGCCTCTGCAATTATCTGTGCATGCCTTCCTACGTATGGTCCCGTGTTCGTTCAGAGACGCAATGTCTCGGTGCGACGGCACTGGCCCTCAGAGTCCCAAATCTCGTCTCAAGGCGAACCCAGAGCTTCGTTCCGAAACATTACAGGGCAATTCTCAAACCGTGGTGAATTTAGTGTGGGACACGATGGTCAGTATTTCCATCTTGAGGCAAAGGGCCGTGACTCTAAACTGCCCAACGATGGCCAAAAGGGGCTCTGATGTGGCTGGGTCAACCGAATGGATTTGTGCGGATTTCGAATGCCACAAAATAGAATGAGAATATGCGCAAGAACAAGTTTCTTCACCCCCTGCCTGGGACCTATCGACTTGCGACAATAAATTGCTCAAACAGTTTCCGCGATCAAATTCTTCAGCCCAAGAAGGACACGGATATAGCTGTTAGTGTTCTAACTCCCAGATAGATCCAACTTTGCCCCGCTTATCGGATGTGATGGTCGTGTTATGTCAACACTATCGAGTGCTCCTGACATCTTGTAGCGTTGTTAATCAAAACTCCTGGCTCATTGTGCGCGATCGCCGCTGCCGTGCCCTTCCGATGTTAGTCATGGGTATTTCTCGCCGCAATACTGGCAGATGCTGCTGCCATCAGGCATTCATAAGAACCTCGTAAATTGGTTCTTTCTTTCTTGAAGCTCTTTACCCCATCTGCGTGTCACCGATACAAAAGCCCTGTGTCGGGAATAATGCCCGGGTGGTTGGTGATCCCTCGCCAACCTTAATGCCACGCCTACGGCCACGGACCGAACCCTAGTTTTCTCCGATGTTCGAAGATCCCGTAAACAGCTATGGCTTGTTTTGAAGATTTCGTGTCTTGGAAATGGAGGCTTTTTTGCCTGTAATTGAGGCCTCGAGGTGGCTTGCGCCATTTGCGCGTACAAATAAGTTTGCTCATAGCAGCTCTCATTAGATCCATGGTCACTCACTGGCCAGAAATATGCAGGAGGAACTTAGCATATCTCGCCAATTTAGCTGCATTACCCAATCCGTTTCCCACGTTTTGCAGGAGTGACAGACATGCGGGCGTCTTATTCTCAGGCAAAACTCTTTGCTTGGGGCTTATAAGACCGCCATCTAGCGAGCCTAAACCCCCAATTGGTCGTATAATATCCTGGCGTTGCTGGAGAAAGCAAATAGCTATCGTGGTATAAGTTCCCTGGGATACCTCAATACGAGGGCGACAATTACCACACCACGGCGTAAAGGTCTGGGCGCCAAAGACGATCCCACCCTGGCAACTGGTTGCTACTCTCCAACCCAGTTCCTCTCAAATAAACCCCGTACTGGCTCATAAAGCCTTATAGACACGGTTCACCCCGAGAATTCTTCTTCTCAGTTTCTCACACTTCGATCCGAGGAGTACATATGTCTGTGGAAGTATCGTGCTGTTTCTTGGCTCCTTGGCTCTTGGCTCGTTGTCGACGACTTCGGGCGTAGGGTGAGGGTCAATGTAGGCAGGAGAACGTTAGGACCATGCTGCTGTGGTTGCGGACACATCTGAACTTTTCATAGTGCCAGCAAGATAATAATACCAGGTCGCGAAGCCGTCATCGACTTGGAATTTGCTGTACGTTTCTCTGGTGCGATGTTCTCAAGGGGAAAACACGGTCAGATAGTCGAAAGGCAGAGAAGTCCCCTTGAGCGGGCACTCTCCGCTAAGGTCCACACAGACCATACTAGTGCCATACACACGGGTTAGTAGTTATCATGATTTTGAAATATGACTCCAGTAACTTGAACTTGAACTCTATCATTGCACACTAGTCTGTGAAGCAGCAGCCGTGGCTAATGTCCTACCAACTAGGCCAAAAGGCTACTGTATTCGTACATGAAGTGCGGAAATGCCCATGCACGACTTGCATAGTTTTCTCTCTAGCTGGAAGCCATGACATACTCATGGCTGTTAAAAACCCGGAATTGTTATCGAGGGCTGGGAGGTCACGTAGTAGTCTATATCATCTGTAGGTGAGGTTGAAGGATACGATACGCGTAGAGGCAGGGTATTCAGCTGTCGCGGCTACTTTGCTATAGTACAGTCTGTTCGACAACGCATGTTTCTGGAAGTCAAGCAAACGATCCAATTTGCCGGGGGTGGGGGGGGTCTCTTGCTAGGCTCAGCCTTATTTTCTGCTTTGATCTTGCCTCATTGGGTTGAATGGTAGGCTGTAGAGCAAAGAGCCACATGATATCGATCTTCGCAAGTCCGTTTGCATATTCGCTAAGAGATTGATTCCTATTGGCTCTAAATAGCCAAGCTAGCGAAGTGAATGCGCGTAGTGAATGAGAGCTGATTTTTAGCTTAGAATTCTGCCTCTCTCTGCCTCCCTCTGTCTATAAAAACATCCACCCCTCCATGTTTCTTTCCTTCTATTTTCCCAACCACTTGGTTGTTTGCACGCTTGATCATCATCACAATAAGCTTGTCCATCAGCACGCTTGCCTCCAAAAAGCTTGCCTCCAACAAGATAAGCTTGCTTATCAACACGCTTATTTGTCGACACGATTGATCATCAACACGCTTGCTCTTAACAAGCCTGCTCATCATCACAATAAGCTTGTCCGTCAACACGCTTGCCTCCAAGAAGCTTGCCTCCAAGAAGCTTGCCTCCAAGAAGCTTGCCTCCAAGAAGCTTGCCTCCAACAAGCTTGTTCGTCGACACGCTTTCTCTTAACAAGCCTAATCATCATCACGATAAGCCTGCGCATCAACAAGCTTGCTCATCAACACGCTTGCTCTTAACAAGCCTACTCATCATCACAATAAGCTTCTTCACCAGCACGCTTGCCTCCAAAAAGCTTGCTTCCAAAAAGCTTGCTTACCAACACGCTTGCTCATCAAGAAGCTTGTTCGTCGACACGCTTTCTCTAAACAAGCCTAATCATCATCACGATAAGCCTGCTCATCAACAAGCTTGTTCGTCGACAAACTTGCTCCTACCTCGCTTCTCTCTTCATATATCTCTGCTTGTACCAAGTATCCGTGGTCCGGCCAGTGGTTACTACAGAGCTCCTCTTCGCGTCTTTTGACGTTTTTCATCATCTTCGAGCTTCGTACCTCTCGTTCTTCGGGAGTCAAGAATCACGAGACCTGCTGTCTAGTGTCTCGTCAGTCAACTTCGATTAAACGCTTTCACGTGTTGATAAGTAGTGTCTACAGAGGACACGTGTGTGGCAAAAGGAAAAGCGGCGTGCGCATAATTCCAGCCCTACAGCCCATATTGCCAAGATGGGTGGTAACTGGTCTGAGCGTCTCCGCCGCCGCGTCAAAGGCGGCGAGGATCCTGCTTCCGCGCCAAAGCCCGCCCCGAAGCCCGCTCCGCGTCGCAAGCTTCAGAAAAAGAAGCCTGGCGTCAAACAGCCAGATCGCACACCAACACCCTCCGACACTCCCTCCAACCATCCCGATCTCCACATCAACAACCCTCCCCTGCGGTTACTGAAAAAGCCGCCAAACCAACAAAGCACGTCACATGGGCGGAGCCTGAAATCACAGAATCCTTTGAGGTCACGAAAACACCTCAGGTCCCTGAATCACCAAGGGCCGAACTCAAGATCCCGGAAGCACCTCTAGAGGCCACTGAAGAGCCTGAGGTTGCCCGACGAGCCTACGGTCACAGAAACACCTGGGGCGACTGAGCCACCCACCCTCGGATCCCTCACTGACACGCTTGAGATCAGTGAGACGCCTGAAGTCACCGAGACGCGATCATTTCGCGTACCGCGCTGGACTCCACGCGTGAGGGCCCCAGAGAAACTCTATGACCCTTACAACATGAGGCCTCGTCCGATCGGACAATTCCCATCGGATCTTGAGTACAGAAGTGTGCGAATAGTGAAGCCCCGGTCAGCGATAAGTGATATCGAGCGCAAGAGGAAGAGAGCGGAGCTGGATGATCCACTAGACTCCGAAGAATACCATATTGGTATGCCTCTTGACGCCGCCAACCTCGATATCCCTTACCTGGTCGGCAGCAACACGCCTGCGCCCTCTTCTGAGGATTCTGTGCACTCAGCTTCAATGGCGAAGCGAGTGAAAACAGGCTCACTTCATGAGTCTGTGCGTGGGTCAAAGGAAAAGAGTAATGAGGGGAAGAGCGGGAAGCTTTCTCACAGCCTCGCCACCCCGATCTCAGAGGGGAGATCTCCTACTCCCTTTGACACCACACCTCTGGACACGCCGCGTGTCACGCCAATGGTGGAATCGCAGGAAGAGATTCCAGCCTCGCAGCCTGTGGCGTCTATGCCTAGCGCTGGAACCCTGGCTGCTTCTAAAGGCGTGGACTACGTCGCGTGGTTCCAGAGCCTTCCAAAACCCACCAGTGGGAATGAGGCTGATGTTGCAGCACTCTCCGAGCTCGTCGAGCATACCATTGCATCGGCGCAAAAGAGCAAGAAGGACCGTGTGGCTATCAGCCTCCTCTACTACTGGTGGAGCATAGGTGACGACGAGTTCAAGCTTGCACTCTTCGAAGGAGGCCACCCTCGGACGAGAAAATGACGAAGGCGCTACACTCAGTCCTGTACGTCAACGCGTCCAAGGCTCAAGCCTGGTTTGAGAAATATGTGTCAGAGAACACATCTCAGCCAGATGGCCACACCGTGAGGGAGTCAAGCCTGACCTCGTCGGTCACAGAGTCTCGGCAGCCAGTCCGTGCCGAAAGCCTGAAGCTCTCCGAGGTCTACAATGGGACCGGCGGTAAAGAACTGACGGACCTCTTCAATGCTGGCAAGATCAATACTGCGCCACTTCCCCGGCGAAGAAACCGACCAGGGCGGACAGTGCGCAGTATAAGCGGCAGCGGGAATGGAATGACGACCCTACCCGTGAAGAGGGAATCCGTCAAAAGCGAGTACGTTTGGAGGAACGGCTCGCAGACCGTCTGGAAGCCTCTTCGATTCCGCCACCAATAAGCTCGGTTCGTCCGGAGCCGCGTGGGACAGAGATAGAAGAGAACCCCATGCTCGGAGGCGAGGACGATGGCTTGGACTCGCTGTCGAACTCTTGTTACTCGGGTGATGACAGCGGTGATGAAATGGAGGTTGACAGGGAACCCTCTGGATGGGGAACCCAACACCACCCTCGGTCAACGTAAGTTCCTTCCTTTCCCCCTTTTTGATTTTACGCTTGTTCTTTTTCTTTTTGAGCAATATGCTAATATTATCCTCTAGATCTCCACCGACGGACAACATCGACGACTGTGCTCGGTGTGGCAAAGGCGGCAATCTTGTATGCTGCGATACCTGTGCCAATTCGTTCCACCGGCAATGCGTTGGTCTGGTGGGCGACCTGCCAGATCAGTGGTATTGCCCGGATTGCGACCAAGGATCAGCATACACCGTCGCCGCAGCCGATGCCCTTCGGGGACGCGAAAAACTCAGTTCGTCCCCGACCTCGAGACTCGTGACTACTTCATTGGCGTGGGCATGGAAACAACCCCCCACGACGCCAATCCGATCGAGTTCCGGGGCATGAAGAGCTACCAGCACGGTCCCCACATCGCGCGGATGACTAATCCCAAGCCATCAAAGCTCGGCGAAGAGGACAAATACCTCTCTGAGCTCACAAAACTCATGGAGAATGGGCACGTCATCCTGTGCAATCGATGTGGAAAATCGTCGGATGGGGTGCGACCCATCATCACTTGCGACTATTGCCCGAGTCGCTTTCACCTGAGCTGCCTGGACCCCCCCCCTGGCTATCCCACCCAACCGGAACCGAGCGTGGATGTGTCCCAACCATGTGACTCCCGCTGATCTGGTTGTCCACAAAGTGGTGGACGGGAAAGTGCAGGTACGGCGTCCACGGCGGCCGCGCAACTTCTCTCTTGTCGACGTGGAAGTCAAACCCACGGACGAGGACGAGATGGTTTTCAGCGATGAGTTCTCGGAAGCTCGCCTGCGTTTGGCGCCCGGTGATCTCATGCTGGACTTCATCTCCGCCGTGAAGAGAGACCGCCAGCGCGTGGAACAGGAGTCAATCGCGCGGTTAACAGCCCGCCTTGTCCAACTGGGAAGCGCGTGGGTGGCTGAGATGTTGGAGAGGGGTGTGCCTGCGACAGAACAAGAGGTCGCGCAGTTCCAGGGTTTCCTGGAGACCGAAGCACGCCGCCATGGTGGCCTAATTGCCGATTCCGAGGCAGAAGCTGCCAATGGCCTCCTCCAACTCGGAAGAGTTGCCGGCCCTCCTGGCTCTGAGTCCCGACCCGTCACATCGGGCCCAGAGTCGAGCCTGCCTTCTGGCTCTGAGGCCCCGCCCGCCACATCGGGCCCAGAGTCCAGCGCCAATCCCGAGCCTGGTGAGGCTCGAGCGTCGGTTTCCCGGGGAAGCCGACGACGGTCGAAACGGCCCCGCAGGGCCGATGATGAGGAAGAGGAGGAGGGGAGGGGAGAGGGGGTAGGCCGGCGCGCAAGCGTCGTGCCTGAACTGGCAAAAGCCAGTTATATAAAGAGGAGGCACTTCAGTCTCCGGTATATCCGTTCCTTGGCTACATGGAATTGGCCTCTCCATGTGGTTCGGGATACCGTGAGCTGATGTTGACCTGCCTCTTATATTTTATATTTATTTTTGTATTTCATTTCCCTCTTGGTTTTTGGTTGTTTTTGGCAAATTGGCCTTGGAGCATTGGCGGCGTTTTTGAAATGAGGGAAATGTTTTATGTATTTTTAGTATATCCGAAAGAACACTTGCCAATATCAAAGTTTCTGTTCTTTCGTGAAACATGACAATATCGTAAAAGTAACCCTCTCACTATTTCGGTGCTTTGCTGGGACAGTGGTCAACAAAGTTGGAGCCCATACACCCGTCTGAAGACCTCGGAAATGACCTGCTACTCGTACTCATAGGGATACTAGTAGTGATTCACATTTCTAGCAGAGACAGAATCCCCATATGCAGAATGGTAGCCCTGTATCAGATCTCGTTCAAGATCCTCAGACAATGTCCTTGACTTTTCCTGATAGTATGCAAGCAATACCTGCAGAAATCTTTACTACTAGCACGGTACGTACCTCGATCGCGACAGAATACAGAAGAGACCCTTCATGTTGCACAATGAAATTCCCGACGCTCCGGTCCATATAACTTAGCTCGATGCGGGTATCAAGGAGAAGCGCTCAATGCCTTTGCAGTCAACAGTAAATTCGTAGTCTACATAATAAGTTCCCGGGAGGAAAATGCGTACAGGGCTCTCAAGCGCCATGGACATCAAAGCTAAAAATAACACGCAAGAAGCATAAAACTAATCTCCCTCAAGATGCAATCAATACCGAAGGCTGATATGGCTCCATAATCTGCAACGTGATTTGACCAGAAACATGTTAAATCGGAATGCTCAAAGGAACTTCTTGGGCATGTTGGCACGGCGACGCTTGTAGATGACGTAGGAAGCCGCGAGCACGACCTGGAAGGCAATGACTAAGAAAAGGAAGAAGCCCATGCGTGGAGTCGAAGCAGTGATGGCTAGAATATGGTTTAGTCACATCTATTAGATTTGCGGATTGCGGCCAGGATCGTTGATCTGACTTACCACTCAGGAGAGATCCTTGGAGACTTTCTGACAAGCTGAGGTGCGAGGACCGCAGGGTGTCGTGGAGTTGGTTAAAGCGGGTGCTGTAGTCCTTGCTCTCGAGATCACGCTGGACCGTTTGCAGGGTCTGCTCCATACGCTGGAGGCGGCTTTCCAGGCCCTGGATCAGGTCGCGGGAAGTACGCAGGATTTCAGATGACCGTTCTTCGGCCTTGGCAGCTTGTGCCTTCAAGTCCTGGATAATGGTGCTAGTAGCCTTATTCTGGAGTTGAATTTGGTTGTTCAGGTTTTGGAAATAGGACTCAAAGCTTTTGTCCGTGTTACCCTGGGGGACGGGGGCCGGGCGCTGGTTAAAGATTGGGTGCTGGGCAGCATTTTCTTGAGTCGGTGGTGGCAAAGTCTGGCCTTGACCAGCAGCGGACTCGAGCACAAACTTGAAGACTTCGAATGAATCTGGGTTCTCGGGCGTAGCTGCACTAATTCCGAAAGTGTTTCCCGCAGGGAGCGCAACCTTGCTAGTTGTGAAACAGATGTTGTCGTCCACACTGACCTGGAACACTGAGTTGGTGTGCTTCACCTTTACCACAGAGGGCCGGCCCAGGTTTCGGTAGGGGTAATCACAGTGTCCGAAAGCAAGGCTGTCCACGCTACGGTGGGACTTGAAGTCTGTTGTTCCATCGTTCAGGAACCCGCGAATGCTTCCGCCCTGCAAGTATTTAGCTCATATTCATCTTGAACATGGAGCGTTTCAACTTACTCGGCCACCGTGTGTGTCAATAACCAAAGCAAATCCATCGAATTGGCCGACTGTGTAGATGCTAGAGGTGCCAACCCGGGATTCTCCGTCCTTCACGTACCATAATTGAAGGTTACCACCAGCTCTCTCGGGTCCAGTTGCTCGGAATTGGAATTCGGCGCTCCATTCGGGTTGGAAGACACTGTATCATAATTTATGGTTAGTTCTGGTGTCAGGTTCCAAGGAACTCAAAGGTTACGTACGGGCTCTGGGCCCAAGCTGAGCCACGCGTGTTTCCGGGGTAGGGGGGTGTTAGGATGAGTTTGTCGGACAGCTAGTCTGAATGTCAGCAATATGCAGGCATCACCAAAGCCGGGAGTTAACCAACCAAAGAAGGCTCATAGCTTTCGCCGCCGATCTTCCAACCAGGAATTGAGTCTCGGCTTGGGGAGATCCTATGGTCACAAAGTTAGCCACGAAGTTGACACCAGTATTAGTGACTTTGGTAGCTCCATACGTCTTTCCGTAACCAAAGCTTGAGCTTTCGATAATTTGCGCAGTAGCACTTGCAGCGAAGACTGCGAATGCTGTCAAGGTCTTCATCATGGGGAACTATAAAAGAAGGCGTGCGGGTCGTAAATGTAGCGATGAGGAAGGAGAGATATTGCGGAAGGGAATATGGGAGTCAATTGCCTCTAAACGGTTCAGAGGTCAAGTCGGTTATTCTCGATCGCAACGCTTTGGTCGACTCGAGATACAATGCTCACACGGCGTCGATCTCCAGGGACGTTCGCACAAGCCGGATACTATGCGAGTAGTGATCCACCCTACCACGATAGCAATGACACAGAAACGAGCCTCTTTCGCGACAGCAGCAGCAGAGGGAGAAATATCCACAAAATGATGCAGCTGGACACTATTGAGAATGGTATGACGGACACCGACGTCCGAGAAGTCCATGCGGGAAACTGGGCGTACTAGGGGCTGTTGATACCTGTCCTTCTCTCTGATTTGCTCTGATTTGCTCTCCCCATGCACGTGACCCCGCGCGGAGGCGGAGGCGATCGCCCGCAATGATGACCATGTCATCCTCCTTCGGCGCTTGAAGATAAATATGCGCCAGAGCTTCGATGGCTGAATTGTACCCGTCGCTGGCCCAGTGCGCCATAGTGGCTGGTGCGCTAAAGGTTCTTCTGTTCCCTGCATAGTAAGTTCGCTCCCCAGGGCGATCTTCATGTGCGTTTCATGTGTTTTTGACCGCGTCCCGCACCCGCGCGAACAGCAAATCCACCGATTTCGAGGTCCACCGCAATTGGCTCGCCATTACCCATTCTCTTCCGATTCAGGAGTGGTATTATGAGGTTGGTGTTTCCGATTCATCCTATGCCGCCGTCATATTCACACCAAAAGTAGAAAACGTCAGAATGGACCCTCGACTACCCCCGTTCTTCGCGGTCTTCGAATGGCTACTGTCGCAAGCGGCCGCCTACATTGACCCGGCGATGCTGGTGGTGAAAAACTTGGGCTACGATTCCTGGGAGACTATATACTTCCAGAGAGCTACGGTCATCCTGACTGAGCTCGTTCTTGCCTGTGCATTGAGCAAGTAGGTCAGCTCTGCAGATCTTCAGATTTCAACTTACTAACACTGAAGCTTATAAGATACATCAAGTCCACACCATTAGCTCACAAGCAAGCTGCACATGTGGCCGCGCTCTCTATATTCCTTTCGCCAGGTCTATTTATTATCGATCATATACACTTTCAATACAATGGCTTCATGTATGGGATCCTGGTCCTATCTATTGTGCTCGCCCGCAAGCAGTCGACTCTCCTTCTCAGTGGGATCTTGTTTGCGGCACTATTGTGCTTCAAACACATTTATCTCTATCTTTCGCTCGCCTATTTTGTGTATCTCTTGCGCGTGTATTGCCTTGATCCGAAAAATGTTTTCCGACCACGCATCTGGAATACTATCAAACTCGGAGTTTGTATAGTGGGAATCTTCGCCATTGCCTTTGGACCGTTTGTCCACTGGGGCCAGATCTTCCAATTGAAGGACCGGCTTTTCCCGTTCTCAAGAGGACTGTGCCATGCATATTGGGCACCTAATGTCTGGGCAATCTACTCGTTCGCGGACCGTGCTCTCATCCCTCGTGAGTTTCATTTATTGGTTCCATTAGAGCTATTATTAATAAACAGTAGTTGCACCTCGCCTTGGATTACCGGTCAACCAAGATGCGCTCAGCAGTGTCACTCGCGGACTTGTCGGAGACACGGCATTTGCTATTCTTCCAGAAGTCACGAGTGGACAGACTTTTGCACTGACATTCCTCTTCCAGTTGGTATGTATAAGCTCCTTTCATCAGAAAAATCTCCAACTAATGAAGACATAGGTGCCCTTGATTAAACTATGGACTCACCACAATTGGGACACCTTTGTCGGTGCAATCACACTGTGCGGATACGCATCCTTCCTTTTCGGGTGGCATGTCCATGAGAAAGCCGTACTCCTTATCATCATTCCCTTCAGTTTGATCGCGCTCAAGGACCGCCGATATTTCAGTGCCTTTCGCCCCCTTGCAGTCGCCGGTCATGTATCCCTGTTCCCGCTTCTTTTTACTAGCCCCGAGTTTCCCCTCAAGACGGTCTACACGGTATTCTGGCTGGTTCTCTTCCTCTTTGTCTTTGACAGGGTAGCCCCGGTCCCGGAGCGTCCGCGAATCTTCGTGTTCGATCGTCTTTCTTTGCTCTACCTAACCATCTCCATCCCTCTAATTATTTACTGCTCCCTCATCCATCAAGTGATCTTTGGGCTTGAACGGTTACAATTCCTACCCTTGATGTTTATGAGCAGCTACTCTGCGCTGGGCGTGGTGGGAAGCTGGGTTGGGTTTATGGTGATATACTTTACCACATAGCTGTACTTTTTCGGCCTCTTGTCCAAAAATAAGTATGTTAGCTTCAGCCTGTAATATCAGATAAATTTCGAGATATTTGCCTAAAGTCCGCTCCCCTGTATCATCTGCTGATACATAGTCTAAAGATATCAGAAATGTACGCTACTATAAGAAATGCTCAGTAGAGATTTAAAACATACCTCAACCCATTTAAGGGCGCTTGGAGGCAGTGATTTATCTTCAACAGGGTTCTCATCAATCCGTTTCCCATCAAGGAGGTAAACGGGGGGGATCCCCGAGTTGACGTGGGCCAAGCTCCCCGCTCTCGTACGTTTTGATGAGAGCCTCCACATTTACACGGTGGATTTGGTCCTCCTCAGTCTGCATGAACTCTTTTAATTGTTCGATCCTCTCTGCAGGCGGCAAAATGTAAGGGATAAGACAGGCTGGGCTGAAGGGAGGCTTGGAGTTGGCCATGGTTTTGAAAGGTATTAGAAGGTAGACGATTCGTTGAAGAAAAAGTGGTGTTTGTGGATCAAGGTCGTGGGAGAGTGAAGTCATAATTATATAATCCTGATTATTCAGTATTTTGAATTTTAGTATGATCCAATACGGTTTGGTGGTGTAGGATATGTAATCACGAATATACATCGGTATTTGATGGGGTAGGTGAAGCGGTATGCACACAGACTTTTGCCTCTTTATGGTATTATGGTTGAAGTAATTTCGGAGGAAAGGCGATGATGTAAAGAGTTTGCAGTGTTTGGCCACGTGGGGCTGGACCCACGGCGCCCACAGAGTCTAAACTTGACTACGCTATTTCGGGCCTAGTCCCACCGCACCCACGCATCTTGCCTGCAGGTTACCAACGGAAGTTGAAGTAACGGAGAAAATTTTATCGCCTTCATGCTCGTTCCATATGTAGCAGTATATTACTCCTGGATCGCACTCAGTAATGCTTATGTACTCCTTCCATTTGCACTATCTACATGAGCGCTTACGGGTGGGAGAGGTCGGAGCATGGCCTCAGCCATACATGTATCTATCCGCCAATGGACGCCACGTCAGCAGGACCCAAATCGTGGATCCCCACGGACTGTCTTAATCTCCAAGTTGTCCTGGCAGACTTTCCACAACTAATGTGACTAGAACTTGGAAGTAATTGAGAATAATCCTTCGAAAAAACCTGGCGGTGAAAAATATATTCAATCGCTACGCGTTAGTATACCGAACGCATCTCAAAAGAAAATGAGTAAAACTCAGATGTCGACTAAAATTTACAAATTCCGGATACCTCTATGACCTGTATTTCAAAGCAGGACCCAATAGTTTTCAGGCTGATAACGCGCCTACGCCGAGTCTAGAGCATGAAGAGGGTTTGATATGACCAACCAGGAGGAGATCCGAGGCGATTACGGCAATATTCGGCCTTCTGGAAGGTCTCGAAGACCACTTGCATGATTCTAGCAATGAAACAAAGGACAAGATCTACTCTCCACACTAATTATGAGAAGGGAGTGTGTCAAAGCTCAAAAATCTGGGGTAAGATATGCGCGGGTCGCATGAAACAAAGAGCTTGGCGCTCTCCGGGGTGATCTGGATAGCCAGTGAAGTCTGCTCGAGGAAATCTTAAATCCATTTGAGAATCTATAAAATGGGCGTGTGCTCGATCACGGCCTTGCTGAAAGGAAGATTGCTGATTGAGAGACCCAACTCGGCTGATTCTAACAGTCCTGCAACCATATATCTATGAGAAGGAAGAGGAAGCAGAGCGAGAGCGATACCACCAAAAGCAAAGCCCCCCCCCACAACGTCTGCACTGTAAATATGATAGCTCTCAGCAGCTAATGCGTGGCGTCGAAATGCATCTCGAAGACGCGTGACATCATCTTTTCGGATGTTGTTTGTGGTGGCACAGAATGAAGAGAGATATTTCCACTGGTAGATTGACAAACTGTGGAATGAGACCTCCTGATGTCTACGGAACGTATGCGAATTGTTGTGGAATATAGAGAAAAGATATTCGGTAGATGACTGGCTGCCATGTAGTGCAATGACGGTGATTTCATTTCTAGTGGACTAAGGTAGGAAAGCTAAATAATGGTGTATCGAATCTTTACTCTGTTCTAAAAAGTTTGCTTCATGCCACAGTCACCGAATGAGATGGCTGTGGTGGCTCTTCAAATTCTCTCTGATGCATTTGGGGGGATCTCTAGATCTGGGGCTAAGCACCGGGAAGATGCCCCCGGTAGATTGGTTGATAATTGGACAAAACAGGGGTGTATTGGTCATTGATCTCTTCCAAAGTAGGCCCAGCTGAATCTCTGCAAGCCCACGAGTCGAATGAGTCCAAACATGGGGGCGGTTGCTGAGGCACAGGAAAGGGGGGCAGAGTAGTCGCGGGAGAAAGGGCCGGCAGGGAGGGAAGAGGGTCTCCAGTCGCTCCCGATGCGTTTTTTCTGCTGTGGACTTCCCGCTAGCTCCTCGTCTCCACCAATCAGCGCCCGACGCGGCTTCGCGGTTGATCTACCGCTTCCTCCTCTTTTGGGCCTTTGCACCTCTCAATCTTCTTTTATTTTCTCTTCCCCCCAATTCCTGACCCGACGCGACTGGCGCCGTCCACCACGTCTCTCTTCCACCCGCCAACCCCCAGCTTCACAGCTTGATCGGTGGAGACCATCTTGAACGACGCGTTTACTCCGGTAAGTCCGCAGCTCTATTACATGTTATGCCTGCTCCGCCGCGCCCGGGAACCCTTAGCCGCCAAGTCAATGAATACCGGCATCAAGTGTTAAATGGGTTCCAGGAAGTGCCGTGTCGGGCCATGTCGCTATTTACTACGGAGGTTTCACGCGCGCAAGAAGTGCTTGATAACTATTTGATTTTCCTGAAGTGCTGTCTGCTAACCCGAGTCGCGTGTTCCTCTAGTCAATTCATGATCGAATTTGGTTACGATATCCTCCGGTAACCCGGCGCGTGGACACAGAAATAGAGGATAATGGTACGCTACCGTGCAAAAGACACCGCGCCTGTCCTCAGTATAGATGGAGGCAATGATCCTGAACCATGCCGCTAACTGGCGCAAATAGGTTCTTTACAAACGGAAGCCGGTGATCTTCCTGCCAAGGCCTGTCATTGAAGATGACAGCTCCGAGGTAAGAAAGACGATACTTATACCTGGAGGCTCAACGGATAGATAGTTAACGGGTGCGTGCTAGGTCTGGGTCATTCCGGAGACCAGCGAAGTTTTCACCAGCTACGAAGCCTATCTCTCGCGAATGGACTTTTACAAAACACGACGGTTTATTTGTGAGATAACTGGTCATTCGGGGCTGACATTCTTCGAGGCATACCGCAGCGAGGTGCGTTTGAAGAATTTACTGGGGTTCGCTACAAACGAAGGTGCTGATAGTGTGCGCAGATGGACCAGTCTCGAGAGGTCAATAACAGCTTTCCCGAGGCTTTGAAGGAGCCGATCTTACGACGAATCCAATTCTCCACAGTTTCAAGGGTTGACAATCTGGGTATGGTTTTGGACGGATTCTATCATTGTACTTGGACTGGGGCTAACATTATCTCACAGTGGACGCAATTTATGATGTGAGCTCTGACTAATAAACTCAGCAAAGCGCCACAGTACTGATATTCTCTCAGGAATTCAAATCAGACTTCTATCCGGGAGAGCCTGTGCTTATCCTGCTTAATGAAGGCACTCGGCTTCATGGAACGATCCGGGACAAGGCAAATTTTGCAGAGTCGCTCAACCCTGATGGAACTGTCAAAACCAAAGCTTTTGCTCGCTACTTGGTGAAAATCTCGGATCGACCTAACGAAGAAGCTCTTTTAGATCAAGATCATGTTACTCGGGACAGGAAGTCATTCACGAAACTCATGCTGCGTGGGTTTATTAAGAACAACGTTACCAGAGAGTCCTGGACTGGCGCCCCCTGGCTCGTCAAACAATCGGTCGCTGAAGAATACAAGATTTCCACCGAGGTTCCCAAGCACTTGCAGTACGGCGCAAAGGTTGCGGAAAAGAAAGCCATGAAGAAGGCTGATCAGGATGGATTTTTTGGCTTCTTCTCATCTCAGCAGTTGCCTGAATTAAAGCCAGCTGTCAAAGGTCCAAGGTCAAAGTCTGCTCAGGATGCGAAGTCCCGGGAAGCGCAGTATCAGGAGTACCAGCGGTCTTTGAATGGTAACCCGTCGTTCCTTATGCCATCTAATGCACCTCGCCCTGCTAAACCCGTGCTGGTCGGAGATAAGAAAACCGGTTCACCTTCCGTTGTCATCAAGAACGAACCGCCTTCACCACCGCCACTTAAATATCCTATTGAAGATTTGGATCTCGCTGTCCGTGACAGGACCCACCGGCCCACTTTGAAGTTCTTAATGGTCGATGAGCCTGAGGACGATGGCGCCGAGGATCTGCTTCCTGATGTGGTGGAACCCGAGTCCGTGGGATTGCTCTTGGAAACATGGAATACTCTGAATGTCTATTGTGAGGTTTTCCAGCTGGATTCGTTTACTTTTGATGATTTTTTGCAGGCAATGCGATTCTCGTCCGAAGAAATGGACTGCGAGCTGTTCGTGGAGATGCACTGTGCGATCTTGAAGAAACTTGTCAATTCTGAAGAAGCTGGTGGTGCTGCACAGATTTCCTTGCCAGATTTCCCAGCCGAGGAGTCTGATGAGTCGTCTGACGAGGAGGAAGACGAGGATGGCGACAAGGAGGACGAAGAGAACGGCGACCAAGACGAGGATGAGCCGAAGCGGTCTACTCGAATGACCACCCGTGGCAGTTTGGCCAAAAAGGAAGCCGACGACATTAAGGTCCAGATCGACAAAGACGATGAGCCTGCCGTTGCGCAAGTACACCGGGCAGCAGAGATGTTTGGCGATTACGGCTGGATCGATCGCCTCCGCCGCCGCGACTTCCGGAATGGTGGATGGGAATTGGTTATGATCGGTCTTTTACATCAATTGTCTATTCGCCCTCGCTTTGAGGCAATTTGCAATGATCTTTTGAAACATCTGGCACCCCTTGACGAGCCGGCTACTCAGGAGACCGCTCGGGCACAATATCGCACCCTGGATATCAACATGCGCGTCAAGGCCCTCCAAATCATTTGCACCCTGAGCTTGGAGACGAAAGCGATCCGAAATTTCATGGAAGAATGCAGTAACAACATGACTGAATTCCGAAAGGAAAAGATCGAGCACCAGAAAGCACGCAAAGTAGCGTCAGTATTGTATCTTTTACTTAGACTCCGCCTTTTACTAACGCTTTCTTTTTTGTTTTCTTTTTAGATTGGCTGAACTTCGTTCGCTTCATCAAGAGCGCAAGGCTCTCCAACCAGAACCCGAAAAATCACCATCACCGGTTCCTGAACTTGATGAAGGGATGGAAGACTCGAAAATGACCGGCATCGAAGGCGATTCCGAAATTCCCGTGGACACAGAGGATGACGATACACCTCGCCCACGTGGCTTACGCGGCGGTGCTGATCGTGCACTTGAACGGAAACGAAAGCAAGAGGAAGACCGAGTGCGCAAGGAAGAGCTGGCGAAGCAGCCGAAAGGTACAAAGCAGTACCAGCGAATCCTCAAGAAGATCGAAGATCAAAAAGCCAAGATCGCTAAGCTACAAGAAGAAATCGACATTGTGGACAATGACCTGCGTGAGGCAGACTGCCCCCGCACGCGGTGTCTCGGGTTGGATCGCTTCTGCAATCGATACTGGTGGTTTGAGCGAAACGCGATGCCGTATGAAGGGATGCCCGGTGGCTCAAGTTCCGAGGCTAAATACGCCAATGGTCGCCTGTGGGTTCAAGGACCCGATGACCTCGAGCGAGCCGGATTCATTGAGCTGCCCGAGGAGCAGCGAAAGCAGTACCACCGCGTTTTCCAAACTACCCCAGCCGAGCGAAAGAAACTCGAAGAAGGCCCAACACATGTCTCTAACGCCCGCGAATGGGGCTACTACGAAGACCCCGAGGCAATTGACCAACTCATCGAATGGCTAGACCCCCGCGGCATCCGGGAGTCCAAGCTGCAGAAGGAGCTCCAACTCCAACAGAGCAAGATCGCCAAGTACATGAAAAACAGAAAGGAGTACCTCTCCGATCGCACGGAGCGCGCCGAGTCAGAGGAAATGCCGACCAAGCGAGTGACTACGCGAACAAAGACATACGTCGATGTAAACGACCACCACCTCCGCTGTCTCAAGTGGAAGAATACCACTGCGCTCTCCGAGATCGGCCATCTTCACGTTGAGCCAGATCGGCCCGCCAAGCGCACCAAGAGGAACACTGATGATTTCCGCGAGACCAAAGCCACCCGGGGCAAGGCTGCAGCCACCAAGCCTCTGACACGACAGGGTTCGCGACGCGGTTGAACTGCGACTGAATCACGCGACCACGACTTTTGTTATTGGATGTATTATTTTACTCAACTTACTTCTCCTGCTGTCCCTTGTGAGCTCGTGATTCGTACACATTTCCGTGCATTATGAGAATTGAGGAGTCTGAAGGAGTCTTGTCTTTAGGAGGTTGGAGTTCTTTGACTTCCGCATTGTGTTCTGGAGGCAAACGATAGAGCTCTTGAAATGAAAAGGCACATAGATCTTCGAGCGTGTATGTACTTCCGCATTCATCCCAAATACTGTACTTGGTCCGACTCGTCATGTAAGCTTCGATGCTCAACGTCCTGAATGCAAGACCTATTAAGGTCATAATACTATCGAGTAGATTGTAGATCAAGAAGCTGACCATTCGGCTACTCGTGACTTGCGGCTGTTTGTTCCGCCACTTTTCGGCCCTGCGGGTAGGTATTGTATGGTAATTCCTACGGCTACACGCGGCAATCGCCGTGTTTCGGCATGTCAGCTGTGACCATTATTACGCCGACACTGCCCGACGTCACTAATGAAGGAAATAGCACACACGCTCTATTTCCCCTCTGATCCTCTTACCCCTCGACATTGCCATCTTGTTTCATTCCGAATTCCAGCTCTCGACCTTGTGCACTTCAGCGATTCAACAGTCCGAAAGTCCGTCGGGAACCCGAGGCTCGGTCCTCTTGACTGATCGCCGAGTAACGTGGCGGACCGTTTATCCCCAGACCCTCTTTCCCCCCGGTGCGCCTCGGCTGCCCAAATTTCTCCCTTCTCCCATGTCGACTGCGCCTGCAGATCATGCGCAGCTTGATCCCCTTAGTCTCAAGCAGACATATACCTCGTCTCATTCTGGCGCAGACCTCCCTTCGCCGCATATCCCGCAGATGAGTGGGATCGCACACCCACGATCCTCGGACCCCATCACAGGTGGCGCGGGCACCCGGGTCGTGACCAATATCAACGCGGAGGAGAAGAAGAAGAATGAGGGGGCCGTTAAGCCTATGAAAACGCGGAGCTTGGACTATGTTCTACGGAGCGGTCTAGCTGGAGGACTAGCAGGCTGTGCGGTATGTGGCAACCCACCCCCCCCCCAGCGAAAATTTAGGGAGCACCAAGCTAACTGGATTGCGAATAGGGCAAGACGGTAGTTGCACCCTTAGATCGAGTCAAGATTCTCTTTCAAGCCTCGAATCCTCAGTTCGCCAAATACACAGGCAGCTGGGCCGGATTCGCAGCTGCGATCCGAGACATCAAGCGCGATGAGGGCGCCCGCGGCCTGTTCAAGGGCCACTCCGCCACTCTTCTCCGTATCTTCCCCTATGCTGCTATTAAATTCCTTGCCTACGAACAAATACGCGCTATCGTGATCCCCTCTCATGACAAAGAAACCCCTATTCGCCGCCTAGTCTCCGGCAGTATGGCAGGCATCACCTCAGTATTCTTCACCTACCCATTAGAATTGATTCGTGTACGGCTTGCGTTCGAGACGAAAGCGTCATCACGGTCTTCATTGTCAGATATTTGCCGGCAAATATACTTCGAGCACACCACCCCTCCATCTACCGGCGCAGCAGCCGCAGGCAACCCTCCCTCAACGGCATCCGCCGCCGCCGAGACAGTTTCTGCGACAGTGAACAAAGCCGTGCCCCGCTCCGGCATCGCGAACTTTTATCGCGGCTTTGGTCCAACAATTCTCGGCATGCTTCCCTACGCTGGTATCTCTTTCCTCACACACGACACAGTTGGCGATTGGTTGCGCCTCCCGGCTCTGTCTCAGTACACAACCATCAAGGGCTCCGAGGCCAAATATTCCGTCCAAAACTCCAAGCGCCTTCAGCTGACTGCTGCAGCAGAACTTTTCTCTGGTGCAGTAGCCGGTCTTGTTTCCCAGACCGCTTCGTACCCATTGGAAGTCATCCGAAGAAGAATGCAGGTCGGTGGCGCCGTTGGGGATGGCCATCGCCTTGGCTTTACGGAAACCGCCCGCAAGATCTTCCTTGAAAGAGGTTTCCGAGGCTTTTTTGTCGGCTTAACTATTGGGTATATGAAGATCATACCCATGTCTGCTACGAGTTTCTTTGTGTACGAGCGCGTGAAGTGGTCGCTTGGCATCTAGATCGTGCCTTTTTTTTTTTGACCTCCGACCTTTTACCACTTGTGAACTGACTATCCTCATTTGTTTCTGGCGATAGAATTTCCCTCACTGCTGGTGCTAAACGGCATCTTTTTGATTCCCACATGGCGTTTTGGATGTCATTTTTTTTGGGCCGGAAATTCTTCAAGGAATTCTGGCTGCATTAGAGGAGCCGGCGATGGCTCATACTGATACATACCGAAGATGTACATACATTCTCCTCGAAAGGGGTTCTTTTCAAGATTTTCATCCATGTAGAAGCACATGTAGCATGTCAAAGCCCTGAAGTTCGCCCGGATGCCTGCCGCGCAGACGCACGGACCACCTCGAAGATCCGCGGCGGAAAAAAAGTTGAGACTCCACATCCGAACAACCAGACCTTTTGCGCTGGAGGACCCTGCAATATCCTCGAACAATCAAGATGGCACCAAAGAACGAATTTCTTGACATCGAAACCAGCGACGATGAAGCCAGCGCTCGCGGCTACGACTCAGAAGAGAAAGCAGCGGAAAGCAAAGGCCGCAAGGTGAAGCGACGGCGCACCCAGGCGCAAGATTTCTTCGACCTGCAGTCCGATGACGAAGAGCAAGGATCCGGATCCGACAGCGAAGCCGAGACCAAGGGCTCAAAACCCACCAAAGGAAAAAGCAGCAAAGAATCAAAGAGCAAATCCGCGAGCGGATCCGCAGACGCAGCCGCAGACGACAGCGCCGACCCCGACGAACCCTCGCCAGCTGAAAAGATAACCAAGCTTACAAAGCTCCCAGGCAAGCTGGGCAAGCTGGGCAAGCCGAGCAAGAAAGAGAAACGGGGCGTCGTGTACCTCAGCACTTTGCCGCCGTACATGAAGCCATTTGCGCTGAAGAACATCCTTGAACAGCGCGGCTTTGGGCCCATTACGAAGACATTTTTTACGCCGAAAGTCGAGCCTTCAGGGGCCCGGAAGCGCAGCAATAAGAGGCAGATGTACACCGACGGCTGGATCGAGTTCCAGAGTAAGCGGACGGCGAAGCTTGCTGCTGAGACTATGAACGCGCAGACTATTGGTGGTCATGGGTATTACGCGGATGATCTGTTGAACATGAAGTACCTCCGGGGCTTCAAGTGGGATGTGAGTTTACTGTGCTCGGGTGAGGGATGATCTGTGAGCTAACGGTTGTACAGAATCTGATGGAGCAGCAACAGCGCGAGCGGGCTGAGAGAGAGGCGAGACAGAGAATAGAGGATTCTCGCGCGAAGAAGGAGGAGAAGATGTTCCTTGCCGGTGTCGAGGCTGGACGGGTTGCTGATGGGATGGCGAAGAAGAATGCTGAGAAGAGGAAGAGGAAGGCTGAGGCCGGAGAAGATGTGGGTGAGGAACCTAAGCTTGCTGTGCGCAGACGGTTTGCACAGAACGAGGTTGTTAAGGCGAAGAAGCCGGATCAGGGTGTTGTGGATAATGAAGCGAAACGGGTTCTGGGGAAGATTTTCTGATCTTCAAAAATGCATGGAGTTATGGGGGAAGTATTTATTGTGTAGCCTTTACCATTCCTGATGAAAATATTCAAGTTAAATGCATAGGATATATGGTATTCATAACTTTTTGTCCAGTAATATTCCAGAAACGAGTAACAGAGAAATAATCAAACGCCAGCCATGATCGTCGGGACATCGGATATCTTTGTAGAGGCTTATTCGTCCTCCATATTTAGCTCATCAAAGTCATCAAGGAGATCGTCAACATTGATCTGCGGGACTTCATCCTCACTTCCACTGTCCTCATCCATCTCCATCTCTCCCGCCTGTGGGCGATTACGAGCTTTGTAGAGATCCAAAGTCTGCCGCAATTCCTGATCTTCCTCAACATCACGCAAGAACAACTCGAAGTCCTGTTCGAGACGACTCTCCTGATCTTGGCGACGATTAGAGGCATTGCCCTGGGCCATGGACTCCTCATCGTATTCGCGAGCCATGCGCTTGAGACGCCAGTTACGACCCTTAGGCTTCTTCTTGCGGGCATAAAACTTCTTGACGAGTATCACATCCGGAATGGTGGAGCCAAACCTCTTGTTGGCCTCGATAGCGGAGAAATTGTCGTCGTTGAAAACGGTTCCAGTCAAATCGTATCCCATGGCCGAGTCACCCACGTGCAAAACACCACCAAGGTGAGTGCGAGTGAAATAGGTAATGTCGTTTGAGCCGAGATCAGAGGCGCGAGCAACAGTAGCCTCGGCCAAAAAGAAGCGGCCGTTGGACTGGCCTACTGGCTCAATATCAAGAACAACAAACTCCTTCAATTCAGTGACGTCTGCGAGACCCCGGAAAGGCGAGCGCCAATAGTTTGCTGTGGGAATTTCGGCAGTTTGAAGCGTTTGGGGGTCAATCACGTTGACTGTGGTGCTGACCCGGTGACAAAGAACCAATGGCGAAATGTTGCCCAGCTGGCGTGCAAGAGGCAAGGGCAGAGCAACAAGGTCGTCCTTGCAGATAGGGATTAATTCAACCGAGAAGGTGAACTTGTATTGTTTCTTCGACTCGTGGATATCTTCCGAGATGAGCTCTTGAGCCTTCTTGTATGTGCACGGCATATTGCTCCTGATCTGATTCATTTGTCAGCGCACGGATTCTTGGACGTCAATCCCAGGAACGATATACTTACGAAGTCAACCATGGCCTCAGCTTCATTACGTTTTGAGAAGAAGAAGTCAAGGCCATATTTGTTTTCCTTGATATTGGTAGTGTCCTTGTGTGCACCATTCTTCAAAATAAGCTGCTCCAGGTAGAGGAATGTACGCTTGTGAGGCACCTTCTGTCGGACCTGAACGGTGGCTCGGAAAGCATGGTGCGTAAAACTCTTCTGACAGTCAGGGCATTGCTGGTTGGCAACTACATACTCGACTTCGAATGTTTGTTGAATAATAGTACCCTGGAACGCCTCCTGCTGGATGGTAATCTTCACCTTCACACGGCGAGAGTGGGGCTCGGTCCAGATGAAACTTGCGTCGATGATACGAACTTTGTTCAGACCTCGGAGTCGGCGCAAACAAATGGCGAGAAGTTCTTTCGACTCGGGGGCGGCGACGACCCAGCTGTTCGGAGGCTGTAGCCATCTCTCGCAGTCACGGCAGACGTGAAGACTGGCCTCTCGTTGTATACCGCTCGATACGTCAACGGTGAGCTTAACACAGTCGTGACACAGAGCACCAGCAGAGCTTGTACCATCGATGGGAGCACCACAGTTGCAGCAAAGGATACTGAAAAGGCAGGGACAGGTCAGTAACTGATAACACCAACATTCAGACTGCAAAATATAGTTCGAGACATACGTTGCTGCAACAACATTCTGCTGCATCCCCAACATGGGGACGGGAGCATCCAGATCCATCGACATTTTGGCCCTCTAGTGACAACTTTTTATCGCAAGAAATCCCAGTATTCGCAGGGACTGAATTAAAACGATAACGATCCGATTCGTAACTTTTTTTTTTTGCCCCGCGGATAGATGACTCAGCGTGTTTGCACAGTTTGCACCGGGGTATCCGATCTAATCGCAACGCGAGTTTCATGACGAAACAGTAGTCGCGACATCATGAGTAGAGCCCTGTTACGAGGGGCTGTCAGTCAGTCTGTCCGCTATGCTACCCTCAGATCCCCTCTCTCAATGCCCACTGCACATATTGCACGAACCTATTCAAGAATACGACCAGCCAGCGCCAGAGCCTTCTCTGTGAGAACTTCGTTACTTTCCGATCACCCTCCCATTGCCAACAAACCGGAAATCAGGCTTTCAGAGGAAAACAATGCGACTAAATCCGAGGTGGAAGCTCCAATGGCATCTCCTGTCCCGTGGTATCTGCAGGAGGAGGCACCAGTTCCCGAGGAACGATTGAACGTTGTCGACCATCTACCAAAAATCCCAGAAGACGCGCCAGAAATCCTTCCGAATATCTTGGAATACAGCTACAAGGACCTTGGCCTGGATAACCTAAACATGTTCGATCTTCGAGCTTTGGAAGTCCCTGCTGCTTTGGGAGCCAATGTCATTATGATCATTGGAACTGCCCGCAGTGTGAAGAACTTGAATGTCTCTGCAGACCGTCTTTGTCGCTGGGGACGGAGCCAGTATAAGCTTTCGCCTCATGCAGATGGTCTCCTGGGACGCAACGAACTGAAAATCAAACTCCGTCGCAAGGCCAAGCGGGCACGTGCTGCTAGTCAATCTGGGGCAATGGTTGATGAGAAGGATGATGGAATTACAACGGGATGGATATGTGTTAACCTGGGCGTTGTGGATAAAAACGTACCGAAACTCAACATGAGGGAGACTGAATTCGAAGGCTTCGGCCAGGTCGATAGCGGTATAAGCGTGGTGGTGCAGATTTTCACCGAGGAGAAGAGAGCCGAAGTTGATCTGGATGGATTATGGCAAAACACCTTGGAGCGTGCAGAGCGGAAACGCCTTCAGGAGGAAGCTTTACAGAACGAACCTTCTCACACAGCAGCCCAGGCCCCGGCCCCAGCCCAGGCCATTAACAGAGTAGGTGCACCTAGCGAACAGCGCCGAGGTTTCCACACAACTCGTCGGCTGGGCATGTCCATCAATGACGCATCCAAGATCGATTTTGCTACTGCCTGGTCCATTATCAAGGATGATGCAGCCAAATCGGGATTGACCATTACTCCCGAATTTTTGCTGCGAATGTATAGTCTTCTTTCCCATGAGAACGCATTGGCTGAGCTTGGAACTGGCCCCGAGGATCGTTCATCGACTCTCTTTTTGCAACTCTTTTACGGAAGCATACCAAGCAGCATGCCCGAGCAGGATGTCGCCTCTCTAAAACTGCGGCTTTGGTCTCTCGCTGTGATCCACCAACACCCGAAATACAGCAAGATAGATCTCTTCGACAATTTCCAGCAGTATCTTTCGAATGGCTATGAGATTTCGGACGAACTCGGTGGAGTCATAGTCTCTGCTCTCCTCAGGCCACGGCCAGCAGAACATGAGGGTCAAGTGTATTCGCAACGGGTTTTCGAAGAAGAAATTGATCTCGCCCTCTCAGTTCTTGAACGCCTCAGCCTTCGTGGAGTTCCGATCATGAGCATGAGAGTTTTCAATCAGCTTTACCACGTAGTGAACTTCACCAACACCTACGTTCCTGCTCCCGTGCTCTCGTTGAGGATCCCACTAGAGCAGAGATTAGAGCAAGCGCCCAGGGGAAATTTACGACCAGAATGGCAGCGGCAGTACCTAGCTCGCATTTCTAAAATGGTGGCCGCTGCCGATATTCCATTTGAGAAGGATGAGGCAGTGGAGCTCATGGTGCAGCAATTCCTTTGTGAAGATTATGATGGCTTTTGGCGCCTATGGAGAAAGTTCCCTCTCAAGGGTATTAGCCGAACCGTTGAGGATTATTATATGCTCTTCAAGCTCCATGCACACCTTGGAGATGAGCAGCGAGCCCGCGACTGTCTCTACGAGTGGGTTCCCATGATGGCACGTGAACCGACCCCTGTGCCCATGCAAAACCCAGCTCTTCTTGCCATCATGCGGTGCTTGCAGGTGGCCGAACCCGCCGTCATAGGAAGTGAAACCCTTCCATCACATGAGCGGAGCCACCTCCAGAATCTGTGGTACGAATGTGGTGTTGAACTAGGTAGAGAGGCAATGGCAAGTGGAGCAGTGACAAAGGAGGAATTGGAGGACCCAAATACGGCGCAGCAGGCAATTGAGAAGTACATCCTGACTCAAGTTGCTGTTGACGAAGGAGGAGCTAGCGGGGCAGCAGGACAGGACGGCGAAGCAAAGAAGGAGTAATGTACGATATATAACCTTGTAACATAGCCTTGTAACTATAGCAAAACATACTCTATCATCGGTGTGCCCGCTTCTCTCAGTAGGATGCGTTTCTCTCATGGTTGTAAATACCAAGAAATTAGAAGACTCGCGGCAGTCAATCAAGTCAATTATTCAGCTTCTGTCTTATAACTAGAGGAGAAATTCAAACTCTCGCGGTCCATTGAGATGGATTGTCTGGCGCATGATAGCGAATTTCGTAAACATCTGCCTGCCCGCGACCCCAGCCAGCTATAGCCGGCCTTACCTAGTTTCCAGCGCTTTCTCTGGCAAGAGTGGGGAAGTTCAGGTCTTCAAAGCCGAATTCCGAGTACATCTAGCGAGTATAACTGGGATATAGTTCAAAGAATCTTTGGATTAGTGCTAATATGTAAGCTACTCTGCTTAGTTACTCTTAGCCGCAACTTCGCGTATCTCTTGCCCACCCATCTGCCCTGTCAGACTTCCAATGTTTCATAATGCAAGATCTTAACTTGTTTATTAATTCAAACAAGCCGTGGCTCTCGCCTGAAAGCGTCCGAGACAAGGTATTTTGCTCGGGAGATGAAGCCCTCGGCAATAATCAGCTTCACTTTTCAAGCGCCGGTAGGAGAAGGCAACTCTCTACTGGTGGTTTTCCTCAACGGCTGGGGTCTATCGCAGCAGTTCCGGGCTCTGATCATTGCCAAACTGAAATCTCTCAGCCGGCAGATGTTACCCCAGAGGCCCTCCGCACAGCTCGCGAACTCATCTAAAAAAATCTTCCATCCCAGCGTAGGAAGTAAAGAAGGGTTGAGTCGGAGCAACTTACCTTCCCTCCTGCCTGAAAGTGACAAGCCGATTTTGCAAGGGCCTGATGGGAACGTGCCGTTTGTGACCATCGTTGGGCACGACTTTCACACTTTTGCTGCCGAATCTGCTCCGATGGGCAACCCTGAGTCAGTCACCAAGGCTTACACGAACCCATTTCTGGCACTGCTATAATGAGGGACTAGCGAAGAATACTGAGGTAGAAAGCAGCAAGGGGCTATTCCAGGGCCCGAACCCAGGCCCCGAACCCAGGCCCCGAACTCAGGACATTTTGTGCAGAAGGATTATCCAGATATGGTAGCCAAGGAACTGAATGAAAGTCTTTCGAAGCTTGTTTAAGGAAAAATGTCAACTGGGGGGGAAGATGAAATTTAGTAGCAGATCCTAGTACCCCTCGAGCGCTGCCTCAGTCCAATCCCAAAGCCGTGTCGCGAGCGCCTCGTCCGTTGCCGTGCTATCCAAAGACTTATTCTTTAGCTTGCCGACCGGCTCGTAGTATCCCCCGGAACCAAATTCTCTTTCGCTGTAGTAGCCGCCCACGTCTGGTTATACGCACCCTCGTGGGGCTGCAACATTTGCCACCAAGAGGCAGCATAGACGAACGCTCTATGCTGCGGCCTCAGGGTGCCCAGCAAATCCGTCAAGACGACACCAGGGTGGATCGATACCGTGGTAATCTCAGGGTGCCGCCTCGCCAGCTCACGAGCATAGATCAGATTCGCAACTTTGCTTTGTCCGTACCGGAACCAAGTCCCCATTAACATGCTCTCTTGCGTTGTCCGCAACTTATCAAAAATAATACCACCCCTCGGATGCATCATCCAGGCCTGGGAGGTAAGAATCACAATACGTGGATCCTTTCCTTGCGTGGCCTTGGCCTGCAGAAAAGGAAGGAGTTTCTTGATCAGAAGTGCGTGTCCGAGGTGGTTTGTCCCAAACTGCACCTCGTAGCCATCGGCTGTGAGACCTGGTGGTGTCGCCATTATACCGGCGACACACATTAACACGTCGGGGCCCTCAGGACAGTACTCAAGGAAGGCCTCTGCGGCGCGCTTGACTGATGCTAGCGAGGCGAGATCACATTTGATAAACGTGACATTGGTCTTGGAGCCCGACGCTATATTCTTATCAATGACCTTCTGGGCGTTCTTTGCATTACGGCCGCTGATCCAGACATCTTTGGCATTGTGTCTGGCTAGATGGTGAGCCGTTTCTGCACCAAGGCCTCCAGTACCTTCGATCGGACGTTAGCATGAGGAGCTTTTTATTGATATCAGTTTCTCGTAGAGCAAACCTCCAGTAATAAAGAAGGTCTTCCCACTGAGATCTGGGGTCTCTTTGTCAATGTCATAGTCGAGGCCCATACTGGAAAACAGTACAGGACAAGTGTCACAGGGTATATGCTGGTATATGGTTAATACTGGTGTATTGTGGAGGGCTTGTACAAGTGGTGAAGAATGAAAATGAGATTGATACAAGACACGGCATTAGGGAAATTTATAAAGGGGTTCCATGCAAAGCAGATCCTAGGAATCGGACTCGGGGTAAATCGTGATGCGCGGAGCTCTCTTGGCCCCGCTTCTACTGAAGTGAGCGAATCAAGAGCATTGGAATGCGAGCAGTCCAATGCTGGCAGGGCCCATGGCCCACTCACATGGCACATTACAGTGGGCCACTGGAATTCCAGTTCCATCATTGGACAACAGCTTTGCCCTTGCGGCTTCTCCACTTACACCCCCTTACGAATATTCCAGGTTTTCTTCCACGGCTATCTGAACGAGCACTGCATATCACTACCTAACCTGAACGTGCATAAACATGTGGAGTGGCTTTCATAATGGGTAATTATTTTATTCGAGATATGAAAATATATTTTATGAGATCACAACATCCAGCCTTTCGGGCTGTGGGGATCGTGATCACTTCCAGAGCGAGCTTCACTAACTGAGACGTCAAAAGTCTGTGTAATGTGGACAGTGGCCTTTGAATCGCTCCGAGATAAGGTGCCCTTGCGAGACGGGGTTTCTGCGCCAAGATGAGTCTGAGACTCTGACGGCTCATGCTCACGCTGCGTGGTATCCAGACTGATGCCCTCCTCATCGAGCCTAGACCAGTTGGTTTCAGTTACCATCCATGAGGGCTTGAGGGGACGAGAACCTGCGCGACCAGAGCGAGGGCCAGATTCGGTGGGCTGGTTCGACGGTTTGCTATCGGAATTCCCACTGTAGCCAAACGCGGTTTTGACACGGCGTGGCAGCCCGGATTCGATGATGATTTTTGACAGACAGGGCATACTGAGAATGAAGAAGCCGCATGTCATCTCGGCACAGGCCCAAAAGAGAAGAGGCCCGATCAGGTACATGCCGTCTGCCTCTCGGGCAAAGTCAATAGTGTGTGAAAGGCGGAAGCATGCAGAGACGACGGCGCTATAACAAAAACCTCATTAGCTTTTTTCTTCACTTTTTCTTACTCTTTTTTCTTTCTTGTATTGCATAGCAATATAAGATGATAGTACGGTGATCTCAAAGTGGTAGTGCGGGAAGAAGCAGAAAACCTACAGAATACCAACGCCGAAAATGATCGATACGCCTAGCTTCTTCTGCCAGTTCATATGCAATGTCCAGATTATCCGCTGGGGCAAGATAAACATCGTGACGTCAGAGACAACTTGTACGGTGGCAGATGTCAACATTACATCTGGAAGGCTGTAGCATTTGCTAGGCAGCCAGAACTTCCAAATGGCTTCGTGGGGCCTGCATTGCAGATTCAACAGAATCACGCAGAGAGCTCCCCAGAGACACTGAAGAGTGATCACACATGCGCAGCCCCACCAGAAGGCGCTCTTCATACGATCAAGGGGGGCAAAAACGCGGCACCAGTCTAGCAAGATTGCAGTTTTAATGAGGGGGAGAGTGGCCGAGTACGTGCAGCCGTAGACAAGAATTAACTGTGAAGGAAGATCAATATATGAGGAGAACTGGAAAAGCCTTGGGTCCACTCACATAAAGCGGTCTTACAAGGTCCCTGTTATGGAGGTTCCAGGTGTGGACAAAATAGCCTGGCGTGTATATCATGGAATACCCGGCGTAAGCGGTGCCCCAGTAAGCTCCCTGTAAAACTTTAGTCATGTGCAGTCGGAGACATAGCGGCCGAGTCAAAGCGTACATATGCAAGAAACATGAGTACTATTCACGACAGGAGCTGTTAGCGCTACACGAGGGGGCAAAAAAAGAAGGGTCCCATGGTCAGACTCACTCTCTTCGATTCCAATCTTCTTCTCCAGCCAAACACGAGCATATCCTCGAAGAAGAAGACAGAGCGTCGCAACGACCATGCATATAGTAGTCACAAACCATGCTAAGTTATTTTGATTTGGGGGATTATCAAAATTTGGAGTGACACCCTTTGGTGGTGGGAGAGCGGGCGCCGCTAGCAGCTTTGCCAGCATCTCTGGCGACATGGTGTGACGGGCCCCAAAGCCCCAGTGCTATGCAACTTAGTTTTGACGCGAAGAAGAAACCGATAACGAATGAACAAGCCTCGCGAGGGCCTGGAAGTGCGGTCGTGGCATATAAACGAGAGAAAATAAAAATAAAAAGTGCTGAGAAATCTCCAAGGATGGATTCATCAGGAGACTGCAGTAGCTGCAGCACCCCCCAACACGCGTAGGATTTCCCCCCAGGCCCGAGTATCAGAATCCGCGACCATCACGTCGCCCAACGGGCTGGGCCGTAGGGTTCCACACCCTCGCGAGCTCAGACAAAGGCATTGCCCCTATTTGTCATGTCGCGGTCACAAAATTGATCCATCCGATAGGACGGGCCAGGTGGAGGCTGCCAAAAGGCGAACGGCCAGTGGCAGCGATGCGGATATTGACTTTCACCCGTCGTGCCCGGGATGGAACCCGCTAGGGTCAACAAAGCACGAAAGGATGGGCGCTAGGAACCACAAGAACACAGCCGACACGAGCTAAATCGCCGCTGGGTGCACCCGAAGACCAACCTGGGGTGGCACGCCTAGATTTTGAGTTTTCGGTGCTCGTGGACCCCACAATCGGGACGTTTGACAGGCCGATGGATCCGATTTCCCTCTTAGACCTTGCCTACTGGGGGTGGGTGCAGCTGTTCTGTGCCGCGTGGGCGCAGAATCATTGTGTCGGGTCGTATTCAGTCCCAACGGGGTGGTGTGCTGGTCGCCAAACTTGAACGAGCTGAATTATCTTCGTATGGCATCTGTCGAGACAGTGGTCAGCAAAGGATACATGTGGGCGACCCGCAACCACCATTGAGGCCTTGGATGGATGATTGCGAACGGCCCTCTCGCGAAACAGATTAAAGATGGATCTAGGTAGGACTTCTAGTCTCCGATCCAAAACACTTCCGACGGGCGTATCCACTAACGGTTTAGAGCTTAGTTCTCACGTTTGACTCGGATTTCCCAAGGTTGCCCACGAGATGTTCCCCTGGCGAACAAGGGGTTTGATTCTTAATAACCCTCCTATTCATGCCCAAAGTCGACCCTTATTGTCTTAGGTGAATAGTTCAATCATGGCTATAAGTGGGTCTCTATATCGTAATGGGTGCGAGACTCTGGATTGACTGACATGCTCCCATAGATCGCGTGGAGCATCCCCCGCGGAGCGACCTCCGCCAGATGATGGCTCAACACCCTCTGCCCACCCTCGTCCCGATGCTAATAGACCCAGAGTTGATGAAGGGCGATGAACCAACCAGGCAAGCTACAGCGGTCCTAGAGCAGTTTAATGCTGCGGTGGCGTCTGGGGATGTTGAGGCGCTGAAGAGTTGTTTTTATGCCGATCAGGCGTACTGGAAGGACTCATTGGCTCTGACTTACCATTTGCGGACTTTTCTCGGGCCAAACGTTATTGCTGCCGCATTTCTTCAGACAAAAGTCCTGCGAGGTCTCCCCCAGGGTCTCCAAGTGGACGGTGGGGCCGTCTTTCTGCCTGCTACCCCAGTCCTTGTAAGTGCAGCAAGATTCTCACGAACTTCTGGCCGGCCTACGAAGCATGGGCTGATGCGAAATCCCGAAGCAATTTATCGATTGTCCTATCAAGTTCCAAACAGAATCCCCGGCTGCCACGTGCAGCGGAAAGATCTTGCTTTTACCTGTACAGGAGAATGGTAGTAATGCACTGACTTGGAAAATCTGGGTTCTGAACACAAGGCTTGACGACTTGAGTGTGAAACCCGAAGATGAGAAGCTTTTACAGGCCCCTGCGAGAGAATATGGCTCCGAGGGAGACTTTCAGACTGATGTCTTCATCATTGGTGGCGGCAATGCGTAAGTCTTGGAAAAACAAAAACAAAAACAAAAACAAAAAATAAAAATAGAAAGAACACCATGATCCTGTTGCAACCTTGAAGCTTACCTTGTTGACAGTGCAGCCAGTCTGTCTGCGCGCTTGAAGGCCCTTGGGGTTGACAGCGTGATGGTTGAGCGGAATGCCCGCCCTGGTGATAACTGGGCCCTTCGCTACGACTGCATGCGGTTCCACGTCCCGACATCTTTCTGCGACATGCCGTACATGGGTAAGAAATGCTCAGATCACCGTCGATGTTGGGAGACGCCTCTTACAAAACCGCAGGGTACGCCAAGGAACTCCAAGCTCCCCATTTACTGTCGCGTGATGATTTGGCAGCTCAGGTTCGCCGATTTATCGAAACCTTCAACTTGAATATAATCAATTCCGCCCAGATCCAACACACTCAGTACAACAAGTCCTCAAAGGACTGGAAAATCAGGTTTTCTACACAAGCAGGCCCGCGCACGGCAATCGCCAAACATCTTGTTTTGGCCACAGGCGTTGGGTCGCAGAAGCCCAACGTCCCACAGATTGAAGGAAAAGATCTCTACAAGGGGATTAACATCCACTCGACTCAATTCAAGAACGGCAAGATACTGAGGCAACAAGGAGCTAAAGTAAGTTGAGCGGAGCCAGAAATGATTCTTGAACATGATACTGAAAAAAAGAAAACAATTAGTCTGTTGTCGTGGTCGGATCCGCAAACACTGCCTTTGATGTGATGCAAGACTGTTACGAGGCAGGCTTACAGACGTCTATGGTCGTCAGATCTCCCACTTACATTGTTCCCACGGAATATGTCACCCATCCACTCAGCCTGGGTGCATATGATGGCGGAGTCGAGGCCGCGGATAAGCTCTTCAACTCCATTCCCACGTGCATAGACGCTCAGCTATCTCGCGGTCTATTTGGGATGTTTGGTTCGCTTGAGCCCGAGCGGTATGCCGGGCTCAAAAAAGCCGGTTTCCCTGTCATTGACAGTAACGATCCATCGCAGTCTTTGATTTCCAACTTGCTCGAAACGGCAGGAGGTCACTACATGGATGTTGGCGGGGCAAAGGTGCTTGAAGAAGGGAAGGTCGCAATCAAGGCTCTAGTGGAGCCTGTCGCCTATACTCCTTCTGGTTTGAAACTGTCGGATGGAAGTATCGTCGATACCGACGCGGTGGTGTGGTGCACTGGGTTTGCGGACAAGAATGTCGGCGAAGTAGCAGAAGAGATTCTTAGCTCTGCCGCTACGACCGAAGAGGTTTCCGATGAAACTGGAGAGCCGCATCTGGGTCCACGGGAGATCGCTTCTCGGATTGATAATACGTGGGGACTTGACTCGGAGGGTGAAATCCGCGGAATGTGGAAACGCCATTCCCGACTGGATAATTTCTGGATTATGGGAGGATTCACTTCTCAGCATCGATGGCACTCGAAGACTTTGGCACTCCAGATTAAGGCTGCCTTGGAAGGGATCCTGCCGCCGGCATATCTCGATACGCCTTCTGCAAAACCGAGTGGGGCGTGCTTATGATGTGTTTGTGAATATCATGAACAACTCATACTTTTATTTCTCGTATCTATTTACAGAATATGATATTTGAGGTTCTTGGATGACTCTGAAGCAAATATTCCAAATATTTAGCTCTTTCTCTCGATTACGGCCCTCTCTCTGAGGGTCCGACCAAAACGATAGAAGATAAGCGGCATTGGTATAGCAGCCAATGTTACGAAACCCAACAGAGAGTTCCCCCAGCCGTACCCAAGAGCCTCATACATATAAGGACCTGCCAATGGTAATAGAGCGCCGAACAAAGACCGACACGTTGTGAGAGCCGCAATCGCAGACGCTGCATACATCGGATAGGAATCAACGAGGTAGGTTTGCAGATTCCCGAAGATACCGACAGTGCCAAAACCAAAGGGGAAAAGCCCAATGATGGGAACGATCCAATGTGTCCGGGCCTGTACGGACCATCCGTACCAAAAGAACGAGATGGGGACACAGACAGCAAAGAAAATGCAGTACGGTAGGCGCATTTCCGGCTCGAAAACGTTGTTGTTCCTACTCTTCAAGCGGACCACTATTCTGTCGCTCGTCAGGGCGAAGACGATTTGTCCGATGACGAAGCCGAGTCCCACGCCAATGTATGAAAGTGAGCTGATTTCAATACTCCAATGATAGGTTTGTTGGAATACCCCGGTTATCGTTGTGAACAGAAGATAGAGGCATCCATAGATGATGGAGATATAGAGGGCGATGATGGATATGATAGGCGAACTAAAGAGGAGCCGGAGTGGCATTGACAGTTTACGCAATATGAAACGGCCTTTGGAGGAGTCGGTGGACTTTGCTGCATCGTAACAGCTTCGCAGGTCGGGTCGGTTCAGTTCTCGCTGGAGACGCTTCGTCTTGCGGTGGATTAAAATAGTCGGATTGGTTTCACGGTTGAAAATCATGACAAACGTGGTGAAAGTGCCTCCAGCGATCGCCAACGTCCAAAAAATCTAGAAATGTAAGTCGCTGACATGCCTTCGCAGATAACGACACTTACCCATCGCCATCCGGCTCCCTCTACTATGAATCCTCCGCAGATAGGCCCAATGACGGGTCCAAAGAGCGGCCCAAAGGAGAAGACCGACATTGCGAGGCCGCGCTGCTCTGGCTCAAATAAATCGGACACAACTCCGCCACCAATCGTCAAGCATGCAGAGCCGCCCATACCCGCGATAGTTCGGAAGACGATCAACGCCGAGATATTGGGTGCAAGAGCGCACCCTATTTGAAATAGGACGAAGACGCAAGTTGCCACGTTCAAGATGATTCTTCTTCCGTAAAGCTCGCTCAATGAGGACAGGAACATTGGTCCAACCTAGATTTTTTTCGTTAGCTTTTGCCTTATCGTAAATTACCATAGATCCTCACAGCATATCCAAGGACATAACAGGAGACCGATAATGTTGTCAGTATATGAGAAGTTTCATGAAACTCTTCCGCCGCCGTCGATGCACCGGGGGCGAAGACTGATGAGCCAAAAGGACTTTGTGCGAGAGTCAGTACAGTCCTAGGAGAACGTGATGGCTGATGATACTACTAAGGCCGTACCTAACTAAAGCCACCAGGCTGACTAGAGAAAGCAAGAACCACTTTCGAGGATTGGCATAATTTCTGGAAGCAAAGTTAGGACAGTGATCCTCATGATGTGAACTGAGGTACATACATACTTTGGATTCTTCGGATCGTTCATACCCTCCCAGCCGACAATCCCGTTTTGCAGATCCGTGAAGTATTTCGCCTTCGGTCGCACGCCTGTTAGTCAATTTTGTTCCAGTTCAATTTTATGCATACAGGAACGACTTACATCTTGTCTGTCGGAGGGGGCCATCTGTCGGAAATTATTTGGTAGACGTTGATGGCTTCCGCTTCGATCGTCACTTGAGAAACGGAAGTGAAAGGAATGCAAGGCTCATCGTAGTGTCAATCTGCAAAAAACAGAAAAAAAACAAAAAAGTCTGTGAAGTATTCGGACTTCGGGTTGGTGACTGCGGACTCGCAGAACGGGCAGATGCGCCGTGGATGTGGTTAGCGCGGAAACAACAAAGCGACATTATTGGCTGTTGATGTGCGTCTTATTATCTGCCGGAGCTCGGAGCACAGCATTCCCGGTTTTCAGGTTAGCGTGTAATTAAAACCAGCCCGAACAAATAGATTACACCGTGACTACAGAACCGTCATGGGGATCTTCGGGCCAAGTGCTGTTTGACATCCGAGTATTGAGACTTAAGGCGGTTCTTGCTTTTACAAATGAGGCTCTTCATACGTTCCTGCCTGCCCCCAAAGTCCAAGGTTTCTCTTGTACTTTTAAAATGTCGGCTCCTTGTTGCTACTCGGGCTTCAAACATGAGGGAACCCCCCTTGGGAAGTTCCAAGATGTCAATGGAGGTATGAATCCATGTTCCATCCTGAAGAAACGGGCTTTGAACGGAGTTGGCAGTGAACACATATATCGCGACTCCATCTCAAAACAAAGCCCCGAAGAAAGCCATTCTTTTCTTATCGGATGTATTCGGTCTCTTCGACAATAACCTTTTATTGACCGATCAATTTGCAAACAGCGGCTATTTGACTATCCTTCCCGATCTTTTCAGTGGCGATCAAGTGCCCGTCGATGTGATGGAAAGCGGGAAATTCGATTTTCCGTCGTGGGCGTCAAAGCATGGACCTGGAGTAACGGACCCGATTGTAAACTCGACTTTGAAGTATATGAAGGAGGTCCTCGGGGTGGATTTGGTTGGTGCAGTGGGATACTGCTACGGTGCTATTGTAGGTCTATTCCTCGCAAAATGATTTGGGGAAAACCATGAGCTCTTACTCCAGTGTTAGTATGTGAATCGCTTCCTGAAATCCGGGCAAATCCATGTCGGATACCACGCCCACCCCTCTGGCTTCGATTTCGCAGATGTATCCGAGATCAAGGGGCCGCTTTCAATTGCCGCCGCCGGTGAGTATTACAAGAAGCGGTTCTGGACGATTATTCTCTAATAGAGTGATCACTAGAAATCGATCCTGTATACACCCCTGAGATACGCCATGGAACCGAAGATATCTTGATCAGAACGGGCCAGCCTTGGCAAATCAACCTCTTTAGTGGAGTGAGCCATGGATTTGCAGTTCGCTGTGACTTGAGCGATCCTCAGCAGAAATGGGCCAAGGAGCAGGCTTTTAGTCAAGCCGTCTCGTGGTTTAACCGGCATCTCTAATCGGTTGCCTGGGGGTGAACTTTTGGGGCCTGCGGTGGGACTCTGTCAGAAGTGCCCAAAAAGAGATCTAGTCACCTTCGTATGATATGAATCGATTATGAAGTTACAAACAGTTCAGTCATAGATGTCATTCTAGGAATACAGATTACAGATCTCTTCGAGGTTCAAGGACTCGAAAGCACGAACGATATATACGTGTAAATTACCACGTAATAAAAATACGCGTGGCGGGCTCCACCGCCGAACAACTTCACTTCCAAGGAGGCCGACTCTCGTCTTCTTGTCCTTCAATTCCAAGTAATGACATCTCATGGACTCCCAGTCTGGATGAATGGCTCTTTTTGAGTATTTCAAACTCCTGTCAAATTAAAGCAATAGGTTGTTGGAATTTGCGTCATGTATACTGGGCACGACTCGGAGCACAAGCACCGACTAGCATTTCCAGCACGAAGGTTTTACGAGCCTCTCAACTTGTGAAAGTCGCCTGACAACCTTGGACTGATGAAATCTCTTCGAAAATGAACCAAACATTCAGCATCTCGAGCAGCCCGGTAGCTAATAGTCGCAACACTGCGACCCAGCGAAATAGCGCACCGAAGACAATATCTTGCGATGTCTGCCGGCGTCGTAAGATTAAATGTGACAGAGCAAACCCATGCAGCCAATGTGCATCCTCGTTTAATGGTGTGTGAAACTGCAACGAGTTGCCGGTATACATGGGCTATCATTACTGATTAATCCAAAAGATTGTGTCTATTCCGAGCCCGCGCGACAGAAGAAGAGAAGGAGAGTCTCTCCCCACACAGTTGAGGTGCTTGAAAATAGAATCCAAGCCCTTGAGAGGTCGTCGCCCCCGAATGGCTCCCAATCCATTCCAAGGGAATATCACCGCCACTCCAACGGGTCTGGTCGAGGGGCTCCTCCCGAAAACCCAGCCGACATGAGTTCATCTTCTGCAGCTGGCACTCCAATAGTGTTTGAGCCGGTTGCGAGAATTTATCACTCCGCCGAGAAGGGCGACTTTGAATTTCAAGGTTACTCTGCAGATCGTACCTTTATTCAGGGCTTCAAAGACGAATTTGCAGGGTGGGAGTTCGACACTGCCCACAAGAAATTACCAAACCTGTTCTCGGTTACGGGTCTTTTTGATACCTCCAGCGGCACGTTGATTGGAGATGAGCTCCCTGAGCGAGCCTTGGCCGTAAGACTAACCGAAGCTGCATTAGACGCGCAAGTCATGTTTTCAGTGATTCATCGCCCTTCTTTCAATATTTCATTCAACTTGATCTATATGCTGGACCAGCAACACTATAGTGTCCTCGAATGGAGATTCTTGGCACTTTTCTATGCGGTTCTCGCCTATGGGCGCCTCCATGCTGATATACGGAAAGACGATTCCAGTGAGATACTTTCCGAAGCGTAATTACCCGAGCACTCTCGTTCTCGCCAAAGGCTAATGTGTAAAGCAGTGCATCATACTACGAAAAGAGCAGGAGGCTTCAGGATTTTGCAGAATGCAAAGACATTGTCTCTCTACAAGCCATCTTTTTCAAGATTCTATTTCATCTAGTGGTGACACGAGTCTTTACGTCTTACACATATTCAAGTGCAGCATTATCTGTAGCTATCCGGATGGGCCTTCACAAGCCCCTGGGAAACCAACATGATTTTGTTTCACGAGAAATGGGAAAAAGGCTGTTTCGAGGCTTGTGGGTCTTGAGTAATGATGTCGCAGCGAGCTGTGGGCTCCCAAGACTCCTCAGCTCTAGTGAAATCCCCAATGAGCCGTTTTTAGAAGTGAACGATTCCTATTTCGATCGGACAAGGATGGGCAAGCAGCCTCAGGATGAGTTATGCCTTGTTGCGGCTGCGAACGTGTATCAAAGCCTGCAGCCAATTTTCCATCGGATCACAGACCTGATGTACTCGGAAAAGCGGTTCCAGGTCTCAGCCCCGGCGCAATCAATGCGGTACACTATTGACATAGAAACACTTCAAATCCTCGAAGCTGAACTCGGAAAATGGTTGAACAATATCCCCACTGCATTTAGACTGGGCAAGTCGTTTGGAAATCGACAACTATTGACGTATGTCTCATGAAACGCCCAATATCGCATAATATAGCTAATGTCTGATCTATAGTGCGCAATTCAATGTGTGCATATCATACGCACATTCTCAAATCTACTTGTACCGACCTTTCTTGCAGCACTTTACAAAATGCTCCAACACCCACATCTCGCCCGAAAGCTCACAGGTACCATGGCTAGCGGCAATATGTATACAAGCGTGTGAAAACGTGGTAATGCTATGTGAAGATATGTACCGAAGAGAATTGTTAACCGGGGGCAACTGGATCGTTTCTCGTGCTTTATTCAGCTCCTCTTTGACTCTCTTCTACGCCGTTCTCGCATCAACTGGATCCCGCCAAATGGATTCGTTGTCCGGATGCCTTGCAATGGCGAGGAAAATTTCCGACCGCCTTGCAACTCGAAATGTTCCTGCGCATCGATGGAAAGTGATGTTGACGGTAGGCTCTGGATATTACACCTACACTCGCTTCCAAATTGAAAAACTAATTAAAGTAGATTATGATCGCAACATTACCGCCCAGCGCTAAACACATTCAAGAGAGGCTGATGGAGTATGATAGCAAAATGTCGAGTTTGTGTTTCTATGACACGGAACAAACGGTTCCTGACGACACTTACACTGCATCACTGGGCGAACAAGCATTATCATTTCTCAGCAGTCAAAGCCCAGATTCAATAAAAAGTCAAGGCCTTCCTCCTCGTAGACTGGCGGCTTTGAGGTTTGGATGCATCCCAGAATCAATCATGACACCGACTCTAGCCAGACCGCCATCTAGGATGGATTTGAATGCTGCGCAAAGTATGCGGCAAGAGTATGGATCGCCATCGCAGCTCTACATCAATGAAGAAGCCAAAGCGGATTTTGGAAATGAGATCTGCGGAACCCCCGATGAGCGCAATTGTTTCGACTTACAGTTTAACCCTGAGAGTGTCGACTTCGGAAACATGGACGACTTTCTGGATCTTCAAAGTTGGCTTTGAAGCAAAATCCCGAGAACCTCAATGTATAGTTTGAGAGTACTAGTGAATAGAAATATATGAACGATCCCCGAGGTCAACTAGCACACTTGTCATCTACAATGCTACTTGTTGTAGATTCTTGGGCGGATCTTCCTCAAATTCTGTGATCTTTGGATTCGTGACAGATACTTTCACACACCCCACTCCTCGAACTTCCGGCAGTATTGGTCCTTTATATGGAACTTCAGCACATTCCCATCAATACCAGCAGAGCGGCGTTCTGTAGGCTTCGCTAAATCTATAAGTCTCCACCATAAGACCTATCAGCTGGTGGAGTGTCCTTTTCGTAAGGAATATACAACTGGGCAAGTCTATCTCTTTCAGCCTCTCGCTCTAGAGTAGTATCCATTGAAGGGCTGGTGCTTTATGGGTAATATACTATGAATGAGTCTCTGTGAGCAATGGCAAGCGCTGAGACATCACTAAACTTGTCAACTGGAGCCAATCGTTAACGGAGCAGAACGGCCACAATGCTTGTATTTGAGATCCTAGAAATAGAGAGAGCAGAAGAAGAAGAGAAGAACAAGGATAGAAAGAAGAATGACAACAAACTAACTTCCATCCAGCGATCCTCTATCCTAGCTTCCGACTTCTTGTACGGAGTACTTCTGAAGATATCTCCCGATACTCAGGCGATGATAGTGGTAAAGTTGAGTGACGGTGACAACCCCACCCTGGTTGGTACTGTTGAGCAAAGTGTGAGCTATAAATCAAGTAGCCTACAGTAATTGCCTCATCCCAGAGTTAACCCGATTGGTTTCCCAGCACACAATAGGGGGCAAAAGTCCGTGTGCATACCGCTTCACCTACTCCACCAGATACTTATGTATATTCATGGTTAAATATCCTACACCACCAATCCTTATTGAATCATACTAAAAGAAAAGAGATCCGAAGGTGGTCGAGGATAGGCGCGTCCTCGGGCGATTTGCCAAACGTACCAACACTGAAGTGGCCGAACTGTACAAGACCGGGCGGTCCCTAGTCATGCTATCCTATATCGAAAACCCAACGGTCCCGATTGGAGGCACTCCTCGGGCGGAGGGCGGCCCGCGGGTCCAGCGGGTCAAGAAACGTCTTAGTCAAAAGAGACCGCTGCAAAACAGTCGCAACCCTCGAGCTGACCAAAGCCGGGCTCGAGCGGTGCTTCCGTAAGACCATTCAGAACCTGCAAGAGCAATTGGCAGCCGTCATGCGGTCAGTCCAGAGATTAGAAGAGGAAGCTCAGGAGTGGGCCAGCGCTACTCAGACTGTCACGTCAAGTTAGCACAAATCTCCGAACAGTACGGGGAACCAGCGCCGGAATATTGGCCAGGCCCCAGCCAGCAGGACCGGGACACGCAAGACGAGCAGGACAGTAACTCTGGAGTCTAAGGGAATCACAATCCAGCCGACGACGATGGAATGGCAGATTGATCTGAGGAGTTCTACGGTTCAGATTGGGCGTTGGTAACGCAGAACTTGCCACAGCAAGTGAGGGCTCGCGCGGCATGTGTTGCGGAGGTTACAGGGATCTCAGGGTGGAAGTGGGTGGACTCCACCTATTGATTACGCTAAGTCTACAGCCAATCCAACCCACCAAACATGTGCATTTTGCAAGATCGTATTTTGTGTCTTCACAGGAACTTGGCCCCACTGTGCAATGTTTTCCCTGCTGGAAGTGTGATCTGGCATCGGATCGAAATGTTATCGCATAGCCTAGAGAAAATTAATGAAGAACAAAGAAAGAACAGAAAGGGTTGCGGCTCTCCATGACACGTTCTAGCTCAAGGATCGCCCAGGCGACAGTTGCGGCCACTTGTATGTCACGAGGATGCCACGAAGATGCCAGTAAAATGGCCAGGAAACAGGAGGGAAACGGGAGGGAAACGGGAGGGAAACGGGAATGAAATGGGAACGAAATGGGAACGAAATGGGAACGAAATGGGAACGAAATGGGAACGAAAATGGGAACGAGAATGGGAACGAGATGGGGACGAGATGGGGACGAGATGGGGACGAGATGGGAACGAGATGGGGACGAGATGGGGACGAGATGGGAACGAGATGGGGACGAGATGGGAACGAGATGGGGACGAGATGGGAACGAGATGGGGACGAGATGGGGACGAGATGGGAACGAGATGGGGACGAGATGGGAACGAGATGGGGACGAGATGGGGACGAGATGGGAACGAGATGGGGACGAGATGGGAACGAGATGGGAACGAGATGGGGACGAGATGGGAACGAGATGGGAACGAGATGGGAACGAGATGGGAACGAGATGGGAACGAAATGGGAGGGAGGTGGGGAGGGGTGGGGGGGAAAGATGGGAAAAAGTCAGGAAAAAAGCAGGGAAATATCAGGAGAATGCCACTGACTGGCCAGTCACCGTACTTCAACCCTTCTCTGCTTATCCGCTACTCGGCCTGTCCTCTTTCCCTATTGGTTTATTCCCAAACTCACACACCCCAAGTCTTTCGAATAAAAAAGAACAGTTCTTACACAGTATGATCACGATTACTACTCAATTTCCCACCAGTTCAAAGCTCCACCCTGCATATAGGAGGATCTCAGGCCAGCGGATGTTCTTTCCCAGCCCAATGCGGGTCTGTGGGAGGAGCCTATCGCCTTAATCAACAACATGGACACCGCCCCAGGGACATAGAGCCATGTGCTGATGCGCATTGAAATGGGTTAGGAGCACCTGCGACTGGGTAGGACTCGAAGATATAAGACAGAGCTGATCTCCTTTCCCAAGTTGCTCTTTATCTTTCCAGTCAACAGTCGGTCTATTAACGTACGCGGATGATTCTTTGCCTTGCTCTTCGGTTTATACCTCTTGTCATAACATCTTACGAAGCTGTTTTTGTTTGCCACGACATGACCCAGACTAATTCCACATGCCTGTCTGGCTACTTTGACGAGAGCACTTCTATGGGACCCTCCGGTGAGCCAGCTCAGGACAATGTCCGTGAAAATCATCGTGGTCTTCAAGTTCTTCCCGATTACGCGTCGTGCTATCAATACCACAGCACTCCTCCGGCCCCAATACATCAAGAGTACCAGTATTATGGCGCTGTTCGCTCTTATGATCCACTCTCTACATCCAGCGGACATCTCATTCCTTCTTCAAAGCCTTCTTATCGTGACTTCAATTACTTTCAACCAAAACATTCGCTGTTCACATTCGGAAGATTCATGTCAGAGTCTCCACTTCCTCAGCTGATAGACGCTTCGGATTCTAATGTCAGTAGCGTTGGCCTACAAAGTAATAGCGACTTGATTTTCGATGACTTCGGGTGCAATAATACTCAGCTCAGATCTAGCGCCTATTCCACAGCCCCCATAGGCACAGAACGCTCTTCGTCGCAGTTCATCCAAAAAGGAAGCTCGGTGTATAATCGTCGGGGCCCCCAGAGAGGACAACGCCCGTAAGTTTATGATGGCCTACTAGTATATATTCAATTCAACTAACAACACAACTACGAAGGGTCGAGCGGGAATACTTTGAATGCGAGCATTGTGGAGACGTGTTCGTCAAAAAGGCCACGTTCAAGCGTCATCAAAATGAGCAGCACAACAACCCATTTCCTTACCAATGTCCCTATGAGGGATGCGACAAGGCTTGCCAACGGCGCTACCGACTGAAAGAGCACATCGAAAAAGCTCATGGAGGTGAAGCACGGCGTGGGTGTCCTAAATCTTGAATCCCTCAATCCATGGAAATATCCGATTAATGATAGTCTTTTAGATTGATGACCTTGGGCTACTATCAGTCTGCATTGGTAATACTAGTAGTCATGTGGCACAAGGCGCAGCCATTCACCCCCGACAGCTTTCACGTGTTCGCACTCGCTCTTGGGCATTCGCCGTACCTTGAATCTACCAGAGTAAGGAGCCTCGCGACGCGGGATGTTGCAATCAATTGCTAGTTTGGGGGTCCATGACTGTAGCTACACCTGGACAGCCTTCAGGTTGTTTGACTTTTCTTCTTTCGGGGCTTATTTTACATCTTGTGGAAGGCTGGCGGCGAAGCTACATTCAAAATCGTGATAAATCCCGCTTGCCTCCTTGCAATTTACATATGACAATCAACTTCAGTCATTCATTTGAAACTAGGTTTAATCGTCTCGTTGGTGGGGAAACGAGGCGTTTGGTACAAGTAAAGGCGTTTTGAGTTATTTGATACATCCCGAGTCAAGCGAGTAGTTATACAAAGACACGAGCTGACCGTCAAACGATCATTGAACAGTATAGGGTTCAGCATCATCTCCAAACAGGATCTCAGGCTTCTCAGCGGCAACCTTGAGGATCGTCTGCGCGAAGACCGAATTGGCCCACGAGAACCAGGGCCGAGTGTACGCCGTGACGTTGTTGACGTTGATCGACTCGTGAATGAGGCCCAGGAGACTCGAATCACGGACCAGATCAATGCATTCCTTGATCTCAGTGGCGTTTTCCGAAGTCTGAGCCTGGATAAGAAGAGACATTGGCCAGGCATTTGTGAGGCCAACTTAAAACATGTCAGAGACCTCAGGTGGAAACTGGAGTGCGGAACTTACTGTGAGGGCCACCAATACCGTGGAAATCAGATCCTTCCAAGAAGTATGGGTTGCCGTCCTTGCTAGTGATCATCTTGCGGGTGTTCTGGTAAACCTGGTCCGTCTCGTCCAAGAAGCCGAGATAAGGCAAAGACAGAAGAGAGGGGACGTTCGCATCATCCATCAAGATACGACCACCATATCCGTCAACTTCAAAGGCGTAGACGTCGCCATAAACGGGATGGTTTACAATACCGTGTTTGCGAACCGCCTCGGCAAGCTTGTTGCCGCGCTCCTGAAGCTCATCAGCCAGGTCATCATGGCCGCCGGCAGCCTTTAGGACAGTAGCGGTCTTCTGCAGCTCGACAGACATCATGGCGTTAGGGGGGGATAAAGTAAGGTAGAATGGTGGCATCATCGCTGGGACGGAAGGCGCTTCGGATAAGGCCGGTGCCGCTGTTCAACGGGTTGCCAATACCATCGAGGTTCAAGGTCTCGGTACCAATAGTAGTCTGGCGCTGAAAGGTATACACATTCTTGACATATTGGCTCTTGGAGTTGAAAGTAGGTTTCGACTGCGCATCAATGCTGTCCAAGACGGTCTGTAGGGCCTTGAACCAGCGCTCGGTCAGGTGCTCAGTGGAGCCGGTGTTCTCGTGGAATTCGCGGCCCAACTTCAGGAAGTGAGCAAGCGAGTCAAGTTCGTACTTGCACTCGTACACAAATGACTTGCTGTATGGCGGATGCACAGTATCGACCTGAGTGTTGTTCTCGGGCTTGATGCCGCTGACCGAGGGCGCCTGAAAGGCGTTACAGTATGGTGATCCAATCACAAACTCGGATTGAGTTCGAATAGCCCCAAGAATGAGATTGTACAGATCCTTGTCCTGCGACGCCAGCTTCTGGTAGTTCGTGAGCTGGTTCGTGGAGTCGCGCAACCACTCCGCATTGATGTCGCCAGTGACGATGAACGTCTGAAGACCGCTCCAGTCCGCATTCTCGCGCTTAGTATTGCGATGCATCGCGGTCATGTTCGAGTCGTCAACGTGCCAACGGATGGTGGTGTCGAGTGTGTTGGGGTAGGCATTGCGGAAGATCTGGGCAAGATCCTTGTCGACCAGTCGCGAAGTGATATCGTCAATGACCTTTTCTACCTTTTCCGATGAGAAAGTGCGGCATGATTCAACCGGTCGCTGGAAGGGCAACTTCAACGGACCGTCGCTATAAGGCCCACTGGAAGATATTAGCTGGAGCTGGACGGCCTGCGGGGTAAATGGGCCAGTACATACTGCTTCTGGGCGGAGTAGGTGGTATAGTCAGGGCAATCACGCGTCACGACGGCCTGATGGTTGCGTCCAGGCAGAGCATTGACCTGCAAGCCTAGAAGGGCTGCGGTGAGGAAAGTGGACAAGCTCATGGCTGGAGAGGAGGAAGCAGGCGGAGGCTGAGAAGCCCGGGGCGACGCGAGTAAATAAAGAGGGGAGCCACAGCTCGATGTCGATCCCAACCAGACATGGATGTCCGCATTCCTCCGGATCCCAGATTGGCTCTAGTATTGATTACTTCGATTTTAGTCTCGCCTCGGACAAATAACGCGAGGTGACATTGGCGTTGCACTGATCTCCACCAAAACTGGGAAAATGCGGAGAATAAGCGGGGGAAACGTGCAGCGATCGACATTGGCGGACTCGGTTGATCCGGTTGCACGGCAGATTGAGGCTTGGTTTAATCTATAGAACGCCACATGGTAAATGCATGGGGAAGGATCAATGCAAGGGATCAATGCAAATTATTACGCTATGGCATAAGAGCTATCACTTTTTCCCAAAGAATGACATGATGTTCCCCTGTCCAGCTTTCGCTCCAGCTTTGGCCTTTGGTACATTGATAGCAGGTTTCTTCTTGGGTACCGGTTCGTCCTCAGAAAATGACTCCCATGTCGGCTCTTCTCGAGTTACTGCACCTGCATTAGTAGACTTCTTATCTCCATTCACCATGCACGTACCGAGATAGCCTTCCTCGTCTTTCATCTGCACCTTCTTCATAACTTGTCGCTTTCCACGTCGGCGGCCGCCTTGAACGGTGACTTCTTCCTTCAGCTGGGTCGGCTTTGGGGGTGGTGGTTGCTCAATAGGCGTCGGTTCTCGAACTGGCTCATCATCGGCGTCGGGCATCTCCTCGTCTGCGTACTGTTAGTACTAAGTCGACCACAGAGCTTATCACTGAAACATACCATCGGCGTCGTCATCATCATCGTCCATCATAGCCCTGAGTTTGTCTTCACGTTCCTTCTTGGTTTCACGGATGGTAGCAGACTTAGTCCCACTGTCAGGGAATAGCTCCTCTTGCTCCTCCTCAGAGGCATCGCCAAGCACAACTAAAATATAGTCAGAATAAATGTCGCTCGAGTTAGGTTGCAAAAACAAACCGTCTTTTTGTTCCGCCTATAGTAACATCAGTAAATAACACATGAAAAAAGAATTATTGGAATACATACTGGCTGAGAAGGGGTTTCAGGTTTTTTCTTTGGTGCTTTCGCCTTTGCGAACGAGCTGAAGAGATCACCCTTCTTCGCAGGTGCGGTTTTGGTAGTCGATTTGGTAGATGACTGCGAGTCACTCAGCTGGGCTGATTGCGACTTCGCTTCCTCCGTCTTTGTTTCGGCTTTTGTCGACGACTCAGACTGTAAAGGACGTTTTGCAGGAACGGCCGATCCAGATCCTGGCTTGGGCTTTGGCGCTGCGGCAGCGGCAGCGGCAGGCGGGGGTGGTCGAGCTCCAGTCCTGCGCTGTACTATTATGAGCAGTGAATCCCTATACATGCTTTCCACAGGCGAAACGTACCCTCACATGAGGATTTTGGATCATGCCCCATTGTTTTCCGACTTCCAATGGATCGTCCTGTGCGTAGGTCGTCGCAATTTCGCGAGCAACATCAATCAGCGAATTAAGATCTTGGAGTACCGTAGGCTGGATACTGTAGACATGAATCGAAGAGATGGATTTAAAAGCTGACTTTGCATCTGCTCATAACGATTCTATTAGCAAAAGCCGTCGCCGATTCGAATCTCCAAACACGATGCATACCCTCCAAGTCTTCCTCTCGGGCTAGGGTGATGGCCGTGTATTCGACAGAGCCAAATAAACCCTCCTGGTTTGGTATTGAGCTTGGCAGGTAGGGACTGCTCTGCATAATCTCATCCTCGTCTTTCGCATGGCCATTTGTTGCGGGTGGCTCGGGAGGGTTCTGGATGCCGGTGATGACGTAGGTCGCATGGACACTCTGCGGTCTCTTTGCATTTTCGGTCGCGTGGAAATCAAAGAGGATCCTTTGATCATGGTCAGCTTTACTGTCTTCTTTCCCATCCAGCGTGTCTAAGCATACTGCTTGGCCCGGTTGGCGTGGATCTTGAGCGCGCGGCTTAACAAGCGATAAGTGACCTGAGCCTGATTAGACAAGAATCTCAAAATATGGCATTGATAGCTCACATTCCGTCGCTCATTGAGCACCGTTTCCGCTAGGAACTTCTTGGGGTCCATGGTGCGTTGAGATCTCGAAGATATACAGGTGGTCGACGCGTGCTAACCACTTTACGCGTATCACTAAGCGGGTCTTGGCGCGGAGGCGACTCCACTCTTTTCTGCCTTTGTTTGACTTGACTTTGCTTCGTTGCGTGCAAAGGGCTGTACCCCACGCCCTAGACCTCCGGATCTCGCTGCGTGTAGCTAGCTTAAGCTGCTCTAGCATCGATGGAGCAGTCCTTTGAGCTCGCCGATTCCACCGACTGGATCGATACGCCGCTCAACCTCCTCGGACCCCTCGAGTCGTCGCTACGATGCCAGATCTGCAAGGACTTTTTTACCAGCCCCGTGATCACATCTTGCTGCCATACCTTCTGCTCGCTTTGCATCAGACGCTGCTTGAGCAGTGACCATAAATGCCCTGTATGTCGCCAAGCAGACCAGGAACTAAAGCTGCGTCGAAACTGGACGGTGGAGGAGCTGCTGGAGAACTTCAAGAAGGCACGTCCGAGTGTGTTGGGCCTTGCGCGAAAAGAAGCTGCGCGCATAAAAAATGGCGGGGATGACTCCTCGGAACCTTCGCCGAAGAAGCGTAAGGTCAATCACCTTGATGAGCCTGAACCCCCCGCTGCGCTCAGCCCGCGACGCGTCCGAACAAGGTCGCGTGGCGCAAAGGTTCAAGCTGATCCTACGCATGGGCAAGAGGAAATTGAGGAGTCAGATGTCGCGATAGAACCCGAAGTTATAGAAGATAGTCAGGATGAAGATTACTCAGGTTCGTTCCTGCCAATGTCTCGTACAGAAGCATCATTTAACTATTGAGCAGACGACGGGCTAGTCCCGTGCCCTATATGCAACCGCAGAGTTCGGCAGGACACTATTAATACTCATCTTGATACATGCTTAGCAGGAGACTCCCCGAAACCACCGCCAGTCAAATCATCTACTGCTTTCGGGTACGTATATTGTCAGTGATTGAAAATTGAACAAAAATCTAACGACCTTTCTTTATTCTCTCCAGAGCATTACAGCGGCATCCACAAGGTTCTGAATTAAAGAAATTAGAGAGATTGCCAGCCATAAATTACAGTCTGTTCAAAGAACATGCACTGAGAAAGAAAATGCGCGACCTAGGCATCTCAGATGCCGGGCCCAAACCCCTCTTGCAGAGACGACATACGGAATGGATGAACTTATGGAATGCCAACTGCGACTCGAAGAACCCCAAAAGCAAATCTCAGTTGGCTCGAGAGCTTGACACTTGGGAGCGAACGCAGGGTGGTAATGCTGTCCCGTCTGCGCCGGAGAGGAACCCCGTGACAAGTAAAGACTTCAATGCGGCGCAGTGGTCTGCCAATCATAATGATGAGTTCAAACTCCTTATCGCCAATGCTCGCAAGAAAAGCGACGCACAAGTAAGGTCCACAATACCGCGTGTGTCGGAGTCGAGTAACGCAGCTGCAGAGATTCCTTCACCTACAGTACCCTCTCCGCACTTTGGTACTCCAGCTGCAGATCAAAATGACTCGACTCCATCCGGCTGATCGGAAGCGGGGCACCATGCATGGCTAAGACTTCCGATGTCGGCCGTGGTCAAAACTGCAGTCCACAGGGCTTGTATGTTATTTAGCCGGTAATGGGCGGTCTTCCACAGACATGTTAGAGAGCCGATCCATGCTCTCTGCCAGCTGGGTGTCGACATCGGCAGCGGCTTGTGCTCGGCGGCTTGCTTCGTCGGAAGCTTGCTTGATGCTGTCGAGCTCTGCGAGTCTGTTTCGTGTCTCTTCGGCCCCCTTCTCCTCTTTCGCCTCTTGGTCGCCTTTTTCTAGTGCGGAAAGCTCCTCATCGATCTCGCCTTCATCGATCACAGGAGCGGCCTCGTTTAGGATGCCGCCCACCTCGTCTACCTTCATCATTTCCTCGCGCAACTCCTCAACCACATCCTCGACCCGCTCTGCGCCGCCGATTTGAGCATGGAGCCCTCGAAGAACCCCAGTGCTGGATTCCATCACTTGAACTATCTCCACTTGACCAGCAGCTTGTTCGATTTTGGAATAGACCTCCTCAAGCTGTGCGAGGGTATTAAGCCGCTGCGAAAGATTATGCTCGACCGTCTTTTTGGATTTAAGCGCCGCCAGAGCTGACACGCGGTTCTTATTGCCAAGAGCTGTTTTCGCAGACTCAGTCAAGTCCGAAATCTTTCTCTCGAGATTGGTGACCTGCTTTGAAATTGCAGAAATGAGCGTCTTGATCGAGGCAATAGTCGAGTCCTGCTGCGTGATATTTGGTGCTTCGTCGGATGATTTGAATTTGATGGTCTGCATCATACTCAGTGTTGATACACATTTCCGCATTTATTTAAACATACCTTGCCATCATACGCAATAGCCCCCCGGTCCCGAGATAGATAGAGAAGAAGTACATTGAAATCAGAGTCTGATAACTCAGTTGCATTATGCAAAAGCGTAGAGTACTCTTCCACAAAGCTTTCCTTGGAGTAAATCAAATCCAATTTTGATGAGTTGCCCGCGGTTGCCTTTTTGATAGCCAAGTCCGCCGCTTCCTAAAAAAAAGCCATCAGAGTCAATATGACTTCGAGTCCAAGGATACTCAGCCCTGAGCCAAGCGCGTCTGCCAACCAACCTCTAGATTCTGCACCAAGACCAATTCTTGTACTTGCATCTTGGGCGCAGCCTCCCCCTCCCCAATAACAAAGCCTTTCAATTGCCTCAATCCCCACCCGACAACATTAAGCGGATTCAAAGCACTAGGATCAATAATCCTCCATTGACTCCTCTGCAGCGAACCAGGTGTAGTCATGTAAATCGGCAACGGAACCATCGAACGTTTTCGCATAGCCTCATCCTGCGTCATCTATTAGCAAATACGATTCCAAATTTCCTAGCCCAGATCCTCCATTTGGAACAGTGATCCGCTGGTCACCTACGAAAACAGCGCCCAGAGCAACCGGTTTTCCCCACTCCGGAAGCTCCAGGTCCCGCAACAACGACTCGTCCGTACGAAGGATCAGATGGTCCGTCTTCTTGCGCTGGGGCCGGACACCTTTTTGTGATGTTGTCGAGCCGGAGCGCACGCGTACGCCTCGAGTGGAGGTATAGCCGCGCTTTGCGGCGTGGATGAGAGCCTGCTCCCATGCGCTTACGTTGACGGCGTAGCCGTCGGGGTTCGTTTTCTTTTGGGTTGTGAAGTCGGAGTAGAGGGATGGGAGGCGGTTTCTAGAAACGGGGTATATCAGAAAGACTTCGTGGCTCTCTTGTAGGGGGGATCTCCCTCACGGAGAGCCATGTGGGGATCCCCGAGTCTGTGGTTACCTTCGAAATGCGTCCTCGTTGTTCAGGATGTAGTTCAGGAGGTCACTCATTTTGAAAAGCGTATATAGCACTCGACGGAGGCTGGCTTGTTGGGGGGGTCAGCAGTGGTATGTACACCCCTCCTCTGGCTGTAGGGAGAAGAGAAAGCGGTTTTTATCGCAAGCTCCGTGGGTTGGGCGGTAGTCGGTGTCAACACCTGAGAGCTTTATCGATAAGAGCCGCCTGCATCACACAACCCCAACTTTCCAGCATAAATACAAATTTGAAGAGGCTCTGAGAGACATGAAAACTGATATCTATTGGTATATGCTATGTGGATCATGGAATGATATCTCTAAGCTCGTTCAAAGTCATCGTTTGGTTGGTTTTCAGTATCCCTTCCACTGGTGGGAATGTTGAGATTGCCCGCATCCAGCTGTCCAGGGAGCCCGATAAGCGAGCGACGATGATTCCGCTTGTCTAATTTCTCGCTGGTCTCTTCTGTACCAAGCGAGTGATCGGCGGCAGTTTCATCATGCGCGCCAAAGCCCCTGGATTCGAGATATCCCACCTTGATGGCATGACGCAAACCATCCACGAACCTTTGCATCTCTGGCATAGGGAAGACACCTTCAGTCTCAAGGACTTCAGCATACAGCCGCTCGGCCTCCTCAAGAGAACCAGATGCCATGGTAGGTTGGCCAACTTTGAGCCATTGGTCTGCGGCGAGAATATTCCACATCCCGGCTTTACGACGGCGGGCGCCCCATTTAGCTCCGCCAGCAGGCGTCTTTGAGGCATAGCAGGCTGCAACTCGCTCGGTAAATAGGACGTTCCCAACAGGACCAACCAGCCCAAAGTCCATGACCCGCATGGCCCATTTGGCTGCACTTTCAGTAGCGGACCCGCCCCTCGACTTGAGGAGCTCAACAGCAAGTGAGAGGGATCTGAGCGCATGTGTGGCGTCTGAGCACCGGGTAAGGTACGAATAGCAAGCTGTTTCGAACATCTGGTCGATATTCTCCAGCTTGATCTTTGCCGACATTGACAGCGGATTTAGGAGCGTACTCACTGCACACATCTCATGAGCCCCGGCGTGGTATTTCCAAGCCTTGTCGTTCCCGAAGTCAGATCGGATCATCTCGTAGGTGGAAGACGCCAGCTTGAAGTCCCGGAGCATGAATGCGAAATCCGCCATCTTTCGTAGAATTGCTTCCGGCGTTTCTGGGCTGTAGCTGTTAAGAGCTGGGTCGAAGTTGCCGCTACCCCCTGGTCCGCTTCCACTTGAGCGAGAGCCAGAGCCAAGGCCAGCAAATCTTCTACCCATCATCGACACCAATCGACCACTGAAGCCACGGCGTCGGGACGCAACTTGGTCGTTCCAGACAGCCACTCGATTTTCCATGAAAGGAATCACAGACTGAACTATAAGCTCTCGGACGAAGGTTTTGATGGCGGTTACATCAGAGTCAAAGAGGTAGGGAGTCCCATCTGTACCGAGATCCACCAGCGTTTCTGCAACCGGGTGAGCATTTTGGGATACAGTGGAGTTCAATCGACATACCTGCTTCCCCAACGCCTGAGAGGTGCTCCATCGGCGATAGCCATTCACATGTAGGAACTTGCACGCTATCATCGTCCGTTACCACACATTGACTGCTGCGGAGCCGTAAAAGATGACAGTGCAGCCCAAAGTGTCTTTTCATCTGGTCGTATAACTTCGTAGACTCCGTAATATCATCACGCTCTTCATCATGGACTAAAACGTAATAGCGAAGGTACTCTTGGTTCACCCAATCAGGCAGCCTGCTGTGCCCGCTGCTGCTTTCAGAATAAAGTTGCCGTAGTGTCTCCAACGGCGCTGTGTTGCGCGAGCTTATAGCAATAACGCTAGCAACCGGATGAGAAAACGTCTCGTGGGGTGCCGGGCGGGTCGATGACAGAAGCTGCCGTAATAACAGCTTACTCAAAGGCGATGTGCCCGGGAAGCCCAGCACATCTTTTGAAGGCAGAGAAGCACCGAGTATGTTATCTCCGGTAATTAGTTGCTTTGCCAATACCTCCTCCATTTGGGCGAGTGGTGAGTCCCGGGCCGACTCCCTTCCTGTAGGGATTCTGCCAAAGCCCCTCAGATTCATGAAGCGCACTCCATAATCCTCCCATGCGCGACTTGACCCGACGCTATCCCGGATCACCACCTTCCCTGAGACGGTCTCTCCAAATGGCCGAATTAACTCCGAAAAGCCACCTTGGAACCCCTTATTTCTGACCAGTTCATCTGTATCTTCGGAAGCAAAGATGGCGACAGCCGGCGAGAAGGCGCGTATTATCAACGACCTGGTATCATCCGAGCCATCAATGTTTCTATCGAAAGGAGAACCGAGAGACGAACGGGCTAATTGCGGGGTGGACGATCTGACCGAGCGAGCATGCGGCGACGCGGAGCGGACAGGTAGCTCAGTGGCTGTAGGAAGGGAAGTCGTGGGCGAAGTTGCGGTTGGAGTCTCTGGCAGCTCTGCGTCTATAGAGTGTGTGGATTCAGGCCCCTCGGGGAATCTTCCTTTGGAGGTGGATCGCGCAACGCCGCGAGAGAGGGACGGCGGAGGTTTGACCGGGGCAGCATCTCCTGGCGATGTCATGGACACCTACTGCTTTTTGAGCGAACCTAGAGCTAAATGAGAAAAGAGACAGGCCCCATCGACTGGGTTTCCTGGTGCGTCTGGGTATTGAGATGGCGACTTGCAAATGTGTGGAGCTGCGATTGTTGATGGGGAGAAGATCGCTGGAATTCGGGCCCGACAGCCGCAGGGAGAAGACACAAGAGCCTGAAAATGCCAGGAAAGTATAAATTAAGCAAGTTCTCTTTGCACCCGGAGCCAATACATGTGGAGATCAGGCCAGGTTAGATAGTATTGCAGAAAGAGCTCGGAGTTCCAAGACCAATTAAGACCTCCCGCAGTTGACGATGTGCAACCACGTGAGTCCGCAGCTTTATCGGCAGCTTTGACTCACGCACTCTACAAGCTTAATCGGTTTGGAGCTGCGACATTCTTTGGTACATGGCCCCTCTCAATGCTTAGAGCGCGCTCCTTTGAGTCATTGCTGGAGGCCTTCCACCCTTTCCACGTCAGAGTTCAGTCTCCGCTCGCCAGGACTCATAAGACCCATATACCGCGCATACGCCCACCAACTCTCTCCAGGTCTATTCCTACACCCTACTCTACCCCTCGGTTCATTTCCATGCCTAGGCGAGAGCGCGCGTCTCATTCCCCAGAGCCTCCACACAAAAGACGACGAGTTTCTTCCTCCCCGCGCGGGGCAGCCTACACGAAACTATGGACCTTGCAGATCCCACTATCGAGCTTACGCCGCTAGAGAGCACACTACGAACCCTTCTTCTCGATGTCGCAGAGTACGTTCAACATAATGAAGTGGCTGACGGGGCTAGCGATGCGGCCAAGAAGGCAGAGACCGTCTTACGCTTCACGGGTGGTTGGGTTCGAGACAAATTGCTAGGGATAGAAAGTCACGACATTGACGTGGGGATCAGCAATATGACTGGATATCAATTTGGCATGGCCCTCAAGGAATATTTGGATCAGCCTGAACGCCTTGAGAAGTACAAGAAGAGCCTACCGAACGAAGAAATGAGCGACGCAATCGTCAGCCTCCACAAGATTGAAGCCAACCCAGAAAAATCAAAGCACCTAGAAACCGTCACCACGAAGATCTTTGGCCTGGACATTGATCTAGTTAATTTGCGGAAGGAGACATATACGGACGACAGTCGAAATCCGCAGATGGAATTCGGAACAGCGGTCGAGGATGCGCTGCGACGGGATGCGACGATAAATGCGCTGTTCTACAATCTGAACGAATCGAAGCTGGAGGACTTCACCGAGCGAGGACTGGATGACATGCGGAAGAAGATCGTCCGCACTCCCCTTGAACCATATCAGACATTCAAGGACGATCCTCTTCGGGTCCTGCGACTGATCCGATTTGCCAGCAGGTTAGGTTACAAAATCGACCCCGAGGCAGAGATCGCGATGCGAAATGAAGATATCAGCGTGGCCTTGAAACTGAAGATCAGCCATGAGCGTGTCGGAACAGAGCTCGACAAGATGCTCCGCGGTCCAGATCCTCGCGGTGCCTTGGAATTCATCGACAAAATTGGCCTCTACCCCACGATCTTTGCGAACCAGTACGACGACATCATGGCGGATACATCTAAATGGTACCTGGCTTATAATGGGTTAGCCCGTTTCCTCAGTTCCGATTTCGAGGAAGACAAAGGCCTGCGGTCGACTGTGGTGAACTTGAGAAAAATGCTGGTCGGCGATGATTCGTTATACGCTTGGATGATTGCCACTTTTTCTCCGTGGGCTCCTATCCCTGCTCGGACTGCTCAGGGCAAGAAAGGACCGCCTCAGCGCTGCGTAGAAATTGCCAGAGATGGTCTTCGCTGTGACAACAAAAGTCTCACTGTTCTCCGTGACGCAGCTCTGCACTATGAAGATATCATCAAATACAGGACAGCCATCCAGGAGAAGTCACGCAGTGGCAGTATGCTCTCTGCAGAAGATCGGCAACAAACAGGCCTTAACATTCGCAAATGGGGTAAAGATTGGAAGCTCTGTGTACTCTCGGCTATACTCCAGGAGATAATCCAAGGCCACGATTTCCCAGAGGGTGAGAAAACCTTGCTGCCCACATCTTTACCTTTACAATGCTAACTCTATATCAGTGATGGAGGACTACTCACACTTCATTCAGTACATCCTTGACGAGCGCCTAGAAGATGCCTACGACCTCAAGCCCATCCTCAATGGTGACGACATCAAGACAGCTTTCAACGCGAAGCCAGGTCCATGGATGAGCAAAGTGACTGCGGCAGTAATCGAGTGGCAGCTTTTGCATCCGGACGGAAGCAAAGATGCCGCACTGGAAGAAATCACACGGCGTCGTAAAGAATTAGGCTTCTAAAATATGTAAATTAGCGTGAGGCGCAAACTTCAACCTTATTCTAGATCCCACATAACGTCCCTAGACAAATAAAGATCAGATTACATTTATACTCTGAGTATTTTAGCTTTCGTCAATAAGCGGAAATCGCATTTCCATGACGAACAAATGCCAACCGAAATCAAGATCCGCTCCGCATCAAAAAACCCCACCCAACCGCAAACTTCTGTAGCTTTGAACCTTCTCCCCATGACCACGTAATGGACAAGTTACGGCAAGAGGCGCGCACAGCCTTGAAAGAGGACAGAAATACTCTTCCCCAGACGCTTTCGTCTTCTGGTGAGGTCGCGCAACAGGCCAGGGTGCAGGATGTTTGGGCAGATGTGTCGACCTTCGACCACAGCACCTTGGAAAACGTGAGTAGCCAACCCGGCAGATGAAAGCGAAAGCTCACACCTCTATAGATGAATGAGAGCCTCTACGCCGCATTGCAGTATTTCAATGGTCGATTGAACTCTGTTCCAGGCGGGGCCTCAAGGGCTCTTGCAACCGAGGAAACAGAGGCCGTCCAGAAGCTATTGGAGTGGGCGAGTGAAGCCGCGCTGCCATCCGTAGAATTTGAACCTATTTTCAATGACGACCCTGACATTCCGGATGGTATTAGGATTCTTCTTATGTATTTTCTTCTCTGAATCTTGCTAATTGACTCCTTAGAAGTCATGAAGGCCCAAGAAGGGAGTCGTCTGAAGGGCTACCTTGCTACAAGTCTTGTCGCAATCTTGGCAACCAAGTCAACATTGGACCATGATATCACTAGATCTCCAAGGGTCATCATGGCCTTGGCCTGCTACACCTCCGACGCTGACCCGTGGACCACCGATAAGGCTATGCAAAACGCAAAAGCTACCCTTCAGCTGGTAGGACAGGATCTACCATGGAAGACTATCGATGAAATCCTGAAAGACAAAGTTCGACCTCTTTTCAAGAGCTCTAAAAACCCATCTATCACAAGTCAAGGTCGCAAAAATTTCCATCCCGTGCCCTTGTCTCGGTTCGAGGGCTTATCGCTCGATGGCTCAAACAATCCTTGGAAGAACACCGATATCTATGCCACACGAGTCCTATCGTGGATCGCGCATCAGTATCGGGTAAGTATATGCCCAAGTTATAAGCTACCATTTAACTAACAATTCTCTAGAAATACGAATCATCTGACATGGAAGCACATTTCCCGCTTTTGGTCCCGGTTATCCTGGCACTGATAGATGACAGCAACACCACGTTCAAAGCCAAAGGCTGCGACATACTTAAACAAATTCTCGAAATAATCTCCGACAACTCCTCCAAAACCCTCATTCGAATGAATCTAGTCTCCGTCTTTGAGGAAGCCATAACCCCATGTCTCCTTTCCCTTCCCACTATCACCCCCGAGAAGAGGTCACTAGAACTACTGAGTTCGGCATACCCAACATTAATTTCCCTCTTCAAAGCTGGCTACCCAATTCCATCACGAGACCAGATACCAGCAAATCCGGCCTTAGAGGAAACGTATATGAAAAACCGCAACGCGTACTCCAGGTCGGTTCAAAAGATTCTTCGCAACAATCTTATCTCGTCGTTCCATCATATCAGCTCCTCGACACCTGCTTCAAGAGAGACATCAGCTTCTTTCCCACACCCTTTTCTATCTACATTCCTGATGCACTGGATTGGAGTCTTCATCCAAGAACTTGGCTTCCACGCTATCATGTTCCTTCAAGAAATTGTTCCCGTGCTGTACACTACTTTATCGAATCCTTTTGGGACCGCCCATCCACCGCTCCTAACCGCAGCAGTGTCCACTACGAAGCAATTAATCCTAAATGCCCATGCGAGGATCTACAGGTGGCGCGGTGAAATCCTTGGTGGGCTAACTTCCTGTTACCTACACGTTATCGATGAACTGGACGAGTTGGAAACGCGGAAGTTGAAGGATGATAATCCCCGGACATATTCAGAAAGATTCAAAGGGATCTGAAGATCACCGCTATTGCCCTCAAATACACTCTTGAGAACTCTGCTGAGATCGCTGCCGCTCAAGGAGTTTCCGTTGCCGATGTCGAGTTTATTCCGAAGGATACTGTGGAGAAGGAGTTCCAAGAGTTGATCCGTGCGGATCCTAGATTGGAACAGCTTCTAATGGTTGAGAAGGATAGCCTTGTGTAATAGCGGATTTCATAGATGATCGCCCGGGTACAACTAGAAAAGAACCGAGTTTATCACAGCAGTGGATTTCAATTCAGACCGGCGCTACTACCAGAAAAACACACCGGATTCCAGAACAAACTCTTAAAATACCATAAAATGATCTGGGTATCAATTCTAATGAAAGCGCTAATGGTTTCTGCTCGTCATGCTTATCATACATCAACACGTTGCTTGAAAAGACTCTTGCCTCGCAACCACTGTCTGTAACGCTTATACCTCTTCTTCTCATAATCCTCATTTACAACAGTGAGCCCCTCGCCAGAAACGTGTAGGAACTCAGCATAATCAGCCAAGTTTTCAGCAGCGCTAGCTTCCAGCACAGAATCTTCCACGTTGCAATTTTTGGCGTACTCAAGAAGGTCCAAGTTTTGCTTGGGTTCCCGAAGTGACGCAGCCGTCACCTCATCTTCGGATGTTACAACCAGAGGTACCTTGAGCGGGTGGTTAATGTACCTCTCGTATTCTTCTGCTTCGGCCGCTGTAACAGATGGACTCAGCGAGTCGGTCACTAGTTGTCCCAGTGTCCATTGGGCGATTTGGGCTTTACTTGGAGGCGTAGGGTTGGATGAGGAATAGATCGGTGGGATCGGAGGCACTGGGGGTACGGAGGATTCAAAAGCCGACTCTTTGATGATACCTAAAGAAGGCAATTGCTTGGTAGAAGAGGGTGGTTGATTTTTCCAGCCCTGGCTGGATCCTGAAGCCGGGGCATTTGTCGTGGGTCGGCTTGATGGAGGCTCTTGGATTCTCACGGTGCGTGCATTTGGACGGTCACGCTGCACTTGATCGTGAGTTATTCGTGGCACGAATGGGCTCATGTCCAACGCGGGTTGGCCGGGGCGATATGGAGGCAGGTAACGCAGAGTAGACTTCATCTTGTAGGAATAAATCTTGGAGAGTGTGGACAGCGCAAGCGGGCGATAGTACTCAAGCCAATAGTCATCGAATCGCGAGATGGGTTCCTTTGGATGTGGTGGAAGGGGAGGGACCTCTCTCTTCTTCAAATATTCAGGTGTATACCAAGTGATGTAGTTGGGCCGCCTCTTCTCAAGATGATTTCGGGGATCTGAATGATGCAAGTAATAGTCCGTCGATAGATCCCAAAGCATCGGAGCACCTTGGGTGAAAAGATAGTTTCCCAGGAAGAGATTATATGCCTCTTGCCGCTGGGCATCGAGGAACGAGTTGTTGTAGTAGCGCTTGAAACTCTCGACCATGTCTCGGGAGTGACTGGTCCACTGATTGGTTTTGCGATAGGTCGCCATGGTGTTAACAAGATGGGATCCACCATATTGGATAGCAATGGTATCGCCATGATCATGCCACATGTTTGTGAACAGGTTAACAACGTCGCTGTCATATTCAACTGTGGTCTCCTCAATTACACCGAGGGAGTGGAGTTGATAACCGAGCGCGCGCTTGCCAATGACGAACTGAGCTGCATTGGTACGGTCCAAGCAGTCAATACAATTAGTTCTCGCAACGCCATTCTGAATCTGTAGACCCGATTCCACATCATAGCCATTTTTGAAAAAGCCGGTCTTGGGTATGATTTCGCCCGCGATGTCTTCCAATATCTGTATCACATCTTGATCCCGGCTTTTGGCAGCACGGCTCATGTCAAACGCGTTGTATATTAGTTTTTTGTCTTCGGGGAGAAACTGATTCAGATAATTTATTGCAGTGGTAAACTCCTTGAGAAGTTTCGACTCTCTCGGTGTCCGCTCGCGGGATTTAATGAGATTCAAGACATAGATGGGGGCGCCGTATCTTTCGAATAAGTTGTCGAAATGCAATGCTGCGGCCGAATAGAATGGATCCACGAGGTTCATTTCAATATCGGGCTTAGGCGTGACTGTAGTATTCTCCTGGGTCCAATGCAGAGGAATGCTCCCACGATGTTGCAAGTAGGATGTGTAGTTTGGATTCGCATACACGGTCGGGCCAGCAGAATGGAAGGATGTTGTAGTTTGCTCGCAGACAATCTGTTCGGTTTCAACATCATTCGCCACGTACCCCAGGTCATTAGCGCCCCGCTTCAGGAATCGGGCCCCTGCGAAGAATCTTGATCTCCGGGCGATTATCGAGATATAGACTTGCCGGCCAAACACGCTCAGTTTGGACTGGTCAACATAGCCATGAATGACAGGAAGGAACCATTGATATGGGTTTTTGAAATTGGCAACGGCTGGAGCCATCAAATGGTGGTTCCAGACAAACATTGTATTGTAGTCAACAGGTAAAGACCTGGGAACTCCATCGTAATGCGCCTTTCTCTCGCGGCAGATGTTATGCTGCAACGACTGGGTGATATCGTATGAGTAGCTGAAGTAAAAGGATCTGCTCAGATCAAGACTGTTCAGGATTGCCTTATAGCGTTCTTCTTCTGACTGCTTTTCGGGCTTTGTACGTGAGGCATCCGCGGTGGTAAGTGGAACAAGCTCGGTGTCGTCTATCTGATAGATGTTGTGACCTCCGAGCATAGCGACTTGACTTCTCTTCGTGACAAGGAGCATGTAATACGGCCCTGTGAATCTGATAAAGCCAAGTAAAGCCCATGCACTTGACTTTTGCTTGAGGCCTCCCGAGCTCTTGTTGCCGTCATCAATCGCATCAAGCAATTGCACCATTTCCCGCTTTGTGTAGATCATGTCATCCTCGATTATCCCTAGGTCGCCTGATTCAGAGGTTCGATCGATCTTCAAGATGCGAAACCGTGTCTCTGCCATGTTGATCCCCACCATGTAGTACCGGGTCGCGGTCTCATACAGAGTGAATTTGTGCATGCGGCTGACATCATCTTCTTCAGTATCCAGACCAAATCGGTGCTTTTGGGCCGACGTGGGGGAGGACTCGCGTTCGAATGATGTGGCAACATGAGGCTCCTCATCCTCTTCTTCTGGGGGAAATTCTGACGATATCGACGGGTCTCCGGCGGCTTCGGTTCCGTTCCCTTCGAGTCCAGCTCGACTTGCATTCAGCGAATGGCTCTGGCTGGACGACGGGGTGCCCGGCCCGACCGCATCGGTCTCAAGTTTTCTTTTCTGGTCATGGCTGGCATAAGGAGGATGCTCCTCTAGAGGTGCGAGGTCAGAGACTGGGCCGATCAGAGTCGCGTCGTCAAAACTCTCCATTATGGGTGGAGACAGGAACTCGAATGGAAGCTGTCCCCGCGCTGTGACGTCGGCCGGAACCCTTTTCGGCGCCTTAGGAATCCAATGCCTCCACAAAGGCCCTGGTGTCTATTTCACCGCGAATTGCTGCCTTTTTTGATCTTTTTATTGACTAAGTTTGGTTGGATTTATTTTTCTCTGGCTTAATGGCAATGTAGCAGCCTTGGGATAATAGGTTCGCCGTTATGCAAATTTCGCATGAGAACTGAAATAGCTCAATAAGTATAATATACATTGAGCAAACAGTGCACTCATTTTAGCGTATTGGGAGTATCATGGTAGATTTCCGTGTAAAGCACGGAAACGATGGGACTCGGAGAGTCAGACCTTTGCCTGCCGCTTTTCAAGTGCCCTGCGTCTCGAATACAAAGCTTTGGTCTCCTCACGAAGCGCCAACCCCGTCATTATCTCTTCGCTACCGCCGCCGACAACATGGACACGAGCATCACGGCTGATTTGCTCGACCCGAGCGCCTTTGCCAGCTTTGTTATAACCAGCACCTCCCAAAATCTGCTGCGCTTCTCGAACACTCTTTTCTAAGGCTCTTGTTGACATAACCTTCAACAAAGCAGTCATGCCGCCAATCCGGACATCATCCACGGGTCGATCTTTAGTCAGTTCAAGAATGTGGACGAGCTGTTCCATAAATGCGTATGCGGGCTCGATCATTAATCCAAACTTGAAAATTTTAGACTGAATCGCCTGCTTTTCAATGAGTGGTGAGCCGAATGTCTCGCGTTGAATGGCATAGTTGAATGCGTCTTCGGCACAGACCCGTGCCAACCGCAAAGACGCGCAGGCCAGGGACAGCCGCTCCGGGTTAAAGTCTAGTAAGTTGTCAGAAGTTGAAAACCCTCATGCGAAGGACTAGGCTCACTGGACATGATCAAGGGGAAGCCTTTGTTCTCTTCTCCGATGCGATTTTCGACCGGGACACGAACATCGTCTAATTCGATAAAAGTAGATCCTTTCAGATTTCCTCGTTAGTTACTTTTGTCCTTAGCAAGAACAGGTTGGTTTAGTTAGCGTACCGCTGGCATTCACGCCAGAGTTGAACATGCGCCGGCGAGTGACCCCCTCAGCAGCGAGAGGAATCACCAGTAGACTAATACCAGTTCTACCAGGACCGCCAGTCCGAACGGCCGCCGTGCAATAGTCTGCCCAAAGTCCATTGGTGATCCACTTTTTTGCACCGTTGACAACGTAATGATTTCCATCACGCTTGGCAGTCGTACGAATATTTGCAACATCAGATCCAGCTATAAGCAACAGTTAGCATCTGCCGTCATCCAATACTTGGAAGAATCCAACATACCATCCGGCTCCGTAATCCCCAGGCAAAACCGTACATCGCCCTTCGCGACAGCAGGCAACCATCGCCTCTGTTGTTCTGGAGTACCAAACTTCGCAATAGGGGGACAGCCAATGCCATTCCCGCCGCCAAGTCCCCAGACCACACCGACATATCCGACCCTCGTCAGCTCATCGCCAACAATAAGTGAGCACCAGGTGTCCCATTTCTCAGGCGGCACGTTCCCAGGCAAGTTCAAACCAGCCGCATTCTCGGGCATGGTAAGGGGATGGACGATAGCAAAGCCCAGTTCGCAATAGCGCTTTCTTACGGCCTCAGGGACCTGGCCAGCAGCCTCCCATTCATGCGCAAAGGGAGCGATTTCTGCCTCGACGTACTCGCGCACCCAAGCACGCAGGTTATGATGCAAGTCGGTGTAGTATGGATTGCGGACGTCGAGCTGGGGAAGAAGGGGCTCGCTGTATGGAGCAGTCGGAGCGCGGAGAGAGCGAGCCATTGGTCTAGTTGAGTCGACTGAAAGTGTCTAGAGGTGTGAGACCTGATCTTCCATTGCTTTTTGAAATGGCAGGATGCAGGGATCCACGTTGTTTGCGGGGAAGTGTGAAGCTCTCTCCACATGAACCGAGGCCCGTCAGTTCGCCCCACTCATTTGAGCGGCTCTGCCCAGAACACCATGACAGCTTCGAGAATATCGGGCTTCACATCTGAACATTAAAATTCATCTTTCGGAGTATAAAGATAGTGACGAGTATAGGTATTGATATGAGAAATGGTTTTATGACCGCGCGAAGGCGCAGGCTGATATCTTATTGGGCCCGTGAGTTCAGCCATGTGCCGATGATGCTTTACAATGATTCATTATACAGGGCTCGCCAAAAGATGGCCGATTGTTTTATGCTGGGATCTTAACTTTGTTAAAATATGCCTATGCTACCTCGCCATAATCTCGGAATCCATAACCCCTTTGTAAATGCAAATCATTCATTCATGCAGATAGCTTCTTAACAGCTTTATAAATCCGACGTATATGTTCTTTTGCAACCTCGCAAGACCATCTTTGTCGTGATCGGGGATTCAACATGCCTTGAATACACGCGATTAACAAATCTGCAACGGTCTCTCCGGTCTCGAGTGTCGTCTCTCCAAGGTGAATTTTGGCCGCAAAATCGTCAGGGAGAGACACCGTTCCACGTGTCAGACCATTGAGAGTGATTTGTCGCTCCATCTTAGTGTTCAACTTGTAGACAAGCTCGAACAGGATGACACCAAGCGCATAGACGTCAAGCTTTTCATCGATCTTATACTCGTCAAAGTAATCGAATTGACCTCCAGGTGATGGGCTTTTGGATGGGGGCCGATAGAACTCTGTTCCAACCACACGCTGGATTTTGGGGCCTTCGCGGAAAGGCGTGACAGCATTTTCTGGTGTTTTATCCAAGTGCGAAACATCTGCAACAAGACCGAAGTCGCCGATTCGTGGGCGGCAGAAATGAACTGGCGAGGTCTCACTGGAGCTACAAGCAGCGCATGAGTCCAACTCTTGGCTTTCAGGTGCGCATAGAAAAATATTGGCTGGCTTCAAATCTCTGTGGACGATTCCTTTTGAGTGCAGGTATTCAACGCCAGAGATAATATCAAGTATCAGCTTCAGGGAAGGCATGATGTGGAAGCAATGTCGTCTGGAGATCGATCCATCTTGGGTATACCTTTCTGCAGCTTGAGGGTTCAAGTATGAATTGAGAGAGATTGGATGGAGAGACATTTGAATGTGCAGGATAACAGCAGGTGCCTCTTGTCCAGACCGATAGTGGGGCTGTATCTGAAGCTTCGACTGGTCCTGGCTTAAACCGTCTGTGAAAATGTCGTCTGTTTGTCCCAATGAAGTTGTTTGTCCATATGTACGATTAAAATTGCGGGGGACAGACTCGACATCGTCTTCCTCTATTTCGACCGCAGAGCTTTTCCTTGTATGCCGGGATGAAGCAGGGACATGGCTGTCTAGGCGCTCGATCCTGTTGTGGAAACCATGATTCTCGGAAACAGAGGTTGTGAAAGATTGTCGGACTGAATTCTCGGAATGCTCAAAAACAATCCCCATGCTCGGTTCGTTGGACCGGAAACTCGGTTCGTTTGGTCCGAAACTAAGCCCATCACTCGACTCGGTGCTGGATGTGTTGGCCGCAGAGCGTTCAATTCGAGGAGTCGTTGTTTTTCGGAAAGGTACGTTCGTCGAAACGTGGGCTTGCTCAACCCACGCACCGTAATACCGGACAATATTGGTATGCTCGAGGCGAGCCAGAGTGCGAATCTCTTTCATGATAGTTTCCAGTTGGTTCTCACCACCAAATTGTAACTGTTCAAGGCGTCTTTGACTCAAAGGGATTTTCTTCACAGCATATTCCTGACCATCGATGTGATTCTTGGCATGGTAAACGGAGCCGAACGAACCGCGACCAAGGATCTTCAGCTCCTCAAATTCGACCGCGTAGCGGGACATACTGTTGAATTGAGGGATTGAAGGATTATTGAATAGCGGCATACTCGCAGGCGAGCTTCCAAAGAGAGGTCTTGATGCGCTAGGCGAATTCCGCGGTCCTATGGGAATACTACTAAGATCATCAACATTGCCGACCGGCGGTAGGGGCATATTGCTCTCCTCCTGCCAAAACTGTGTGGTAGTTTCGGTGAACCCTAGGCCGGAATTGGCCCGTGACATGGGCACCAACGCCTTGCGCTGTCCATCCTCAATGGGGGTTCGCACCGGAGGCTCATTCAGATTCATATGCTCAAGCGCAGAAATTCCAAGCAAGTCAAGATTGTCACGATATGTTTGCCTTGTGCTCCCTAGTTCCTCCTGCTCTATCCCTCCAGGCAGGATGCCATGGGAAGACAAGAATCTTGACTTGTATTTGTAGAGTTCCTTTCCTAGTTGTTTGGCCTCTGGACTGTGTCGAGTGTAACTACGATTGGAGCCCTTGCGCGCGTTCAGTATATCAGCAGCTCGGCTTTGGCAGTAAAATTCGAGCAAGGCAGCTGTCATGACATTGGCATGACGCTCGACGTTGACATCAAGCGTATCTTGCGACAATGCAGATATGTCCTCGAGGGAGCTCCCGCCATCCGATATGTTGACCGATTCAGACTGATCATTTGTGTAGCCAGAATGAATATTCGTCTCATGTTTTGTTTCCTCAATGGATGTTTGCTGGTCCGAGTTTGCTCCATTTTCAGACTGTACGTCCTCACTTTCAGACTCCGGCTCGGATGATGGTATTTCTCCAGCTGGCCTAAACATTGACATATTGGCCGACTTTGTGAACAAAAAGGAAGCGTATTACAGCTCGGAGGGTGTTCGCGCCATCGATCCAAAGATTTGGAGGTGTTCGTGGGAAGGTCCCGGGAATGTGGGGTAGCTATTGCATGAGTGGTAGTCTTCGTAGAAAGGGATGAATGTGAGGCGATTCGAGGTTGAAGAGAATGAACGGGATGGGTAATTTATGGAGATCGCAAGATACTTAGGCCAATGGCTCAAGAACGCTGGATAGAAAATGCCACGTCGGTTTGTTGCAGGTCTCAAGGCGGCACGCGTTGAGTCAGACTTCCATACGATTCGACTTGTCTCTGGCAGGGCGCGGCGGCGGGCAAAGAGCTGCCACCTCGCTTTGAGTTAAGTGACCAGGCAACGATACCCCAAAGGCCTTACGCTTCCGCCTTGCAACGGTTTGAAAAAAGAGATGTATTTCAAAGACGAGGCAAAAGGCAGAGGCGAAAATGGTATCCCCAGTCTATGCGATGCGATCGATCCTCGACTCGGACAATTACAGGCGGTGAGGGATGCCCAACTAACTACTGCGTATATTCCAATACTGGAGCCTCATTCAGAAGGTCATCTGAATCTATTGGTAGCCGACACCCCAGGTACAAGGATACGATCTAAGAAGGAAACTTACTTGTGAAGTTGGTCAGACCTGAGGAAATCAAAATTGAGTCCTTTCCCACCACTGGAAAATTTGCTAAAAAGGAGATGCAGTTCCAGTTATCGCCTCACATTCTCAAAATAATCCAGTCAACTTCATAGTGACCAAAGGAAGCCAGTTGCATGTTCTTTTTTCTTTATGCAGATAAGAAGACTCAGCCTACCATATGTTCAGCCATTAAATATCTGTGAAGTAATATTAACACCGCAATGTGCCAATTAGAGTATTTCCAGAAGGGATCGACCGCGTTATCGTTATCGCCCCGTGACAAATCACGCGTTAAGAGCGTCACGTACGCGGCGCGACCCGGACACGTCCAATACATTCTCTGTTCGCTCTTTCTCCGGCCTTCTCGGTGTATGCAGGCAACACTGCCCTCCAGTCATCATGCCTGAAGCAACGATGCCTCAGAAGCGCGTCTTGACTGACACCACAAACAACCAACGCAACTCGCTTCCCTCCCCCAACGCGATGAAGAAACGGAAGCTCGACACTGAGCCATCCTCTCAACTCAAGCCATCCATGCAGTCGACTCAGAGGAGAGGAGTGGGCTCTAGCCAGCCCCAGAAAAGCCAGTTTGAGGAGGAGGTCCTTGAGAAACTCACACAAGACATTGGCGATTTAAAGCGAAGCAATGCCGAGAAGGACCAGCAGTGGGAACGCCCACCACTGGGCCAATGGGACCCAGAGACCGAGAATATCTGTTTCCAGCAGATTGATGCCGAGGAGGGAAGATTACCTGGCGACAAGATGGCCGTTCGCTTGTTTGGTGTCACGGAGGTAAGGTGTTATTCTCATCGACACGCAATTGTATTGAGACTAATCATCGGAACAGGCGGGTCAATCTGTCTTGCTTCATGTCACCGGTTTTCAACACTACCTCTACATCGCCGCTCCCGTTGGGTTTACTAAAGAGGACTGCCAGCCTTACAAGGCCTTTCTCGAGACTAAAATGGCACAGACGGTGCCTGTCATTCAGTCCGTGGAAGTGACGATGCGCGAGAATATCTATGGATTCCAAGGAAATCAAAAAAGCTGGTATCTGAAGATCACAGTGACTGATCCCAGGTTCATTGCCAAGCTTCGCAGCGCGCTGGAGGCACAGTCTTCAACGATGAATTACAAGGGCCTGTGGGGCAACATGGACAGTGGAATCCTGACGTTTGACAATATCCAATATCTGTTACGTTTTATGATTGACACTGGGCTGGCCGGTATGGCATGGGTGGAGGCCAAGGCTAGCAAATATCAACTTGTGGCCGAGCAGGACAAGCAGTCAAATTGTCAAATCGAAGCCATTGTCCATTACAACGACATGATTGCGCACTCGCCAAACGGAGAGTGGGCGAAGATGGCCCCTCTTCGTATCTTATCATTCGATATCGAGTGTGCTGGTCGTCAGGGGATCTTCCCGGAGCCCAATGTGGATCCTGTCATTCAGATTGCAAATGTGGTTACTCGCTACGGAGAGACGAAACCCTTTGTGCGTAATGTGTTCTGTCTGGACACCACTAGTCTCATTGTGAACACTCAAATTTTGGAGTTTGAACAAGAAGACAAAATGCTCATGGCTTGGAAAGAGTTTGTGCAAAAAGTCGACCCGGATGTCATCATTGGGTACAATATTGCCAACTTCGATTTCCCATACCTGTTGGACCGTGCGAAACATCTCAAGTGTACATCGTTCCCATACTGGACCCGTCTGAAAGGAACAAAAACAGAGGCCAAGGAGGCCAGCTTTTCCAGCAAGCAGATGGGTAATCGTGAGACGAAAGCCACAAACACCAATGGCCGACTCCAACTCGACTTGCTGCAGTTGGTCCAGCGTGATCACCAACTTCGAAGTTACACTCTGAATTCTGTTTCATATGAATTCTTGGGAGAGCAAAAAGAAGACGTTCATCATACCATGATCACAGAGTTGTTCAACGGAACGCCTGACTCACGGCGACGCTTGGCGGTGTATTGTTTGAAAGATGCCTATCTGCCGCAACGTCTCATGGACAAGCTGATGTGCTTGGTCAACTATACCGAAATGGCAAGAGTTACAGGTGTTCCTTTCAATTTCCTCCTTTCTCGAGGACAGCAGGTCAAATTCATCAGCCAGCTGTTCCGCAAAGCCCTCGAACAGCAACTTGTTGTTCCAAACTCCAAGTCTAATGACGAACAAGACTATGAGGGTGCGACTGTCATTGAACCAAAGCGTGGTTACTATGGCGTTCCCGTCGCAACTCTCGATTTCGCGTCTCTATATCCGTCAATCATTCAAGCCCACAACCTCTGCTACACGACCCTGTTAAACAAGCAAAGCGTGGAGAAGCTCAAGTTGGTGAAAGACGAAGACTACATCGTAACACCCAACGGAGATATGTTTGCTACCACTAAGGTTCGCAAAGGGTTGCTTTCTCAAATTTTGGAGGAGCTCTTGAGCGCACGTAAACGTGCAAAGAAGGAGCTAGCCTTAGAGACCGATCCATTCAAGAAGGCTGTGTTGAATGGTCGACAGCTGGCCTTGAAGATCAGCGCAAACAGTGTTTATGGTTTGACTGGAGCTACCGTCGGGAAGCTTCCATGTCTACCCATTGCCAGTAGTACAACCAGTTACGGGCGTCAAATGATTGAGCGGACCAAGCAAGAGGTGGAGGCGCGCTACACAATCGCCAATGGCTATTCTCATGATGCTCAGGTCATTTACGGTGATACTGATTCGGTGATGGTGAAATTTGGAGTGACTGAGCTGGAGGATGCCATGAAACTCGGCGAAGAGGCCGCGGCATATGTGTCATCAAAGTTTCTCAATCCCATCAAGCTGGAATTCGAGAAGGTCTACTTCCCCTATCTGCTGATCAACAAGAAGCGATACGCTGGTCTTTATTGGACCAACACGAAGAAGTATGATAAGATGGATACCAAGGGCATAGAGACTGTGCGCCGTGATAACTGTCTGCTGGTTCAGAATGTCATCGAGACTGTCTTGAACAAGATCCTTATTGACCGAGACATCGATGGTGCGCAAGAGTAAGTCCCTTTGCTCTGGCTTTTCAAACTCAACATAATACTAATACATTTGCAGTTATGTCAAGTCGACCATCTCCGACCTTCTCCAAAACAAGGTAGATATGTCGAAGCTGGTCATTACCAAAGCCTATGCGCAAAAGGAATATGCTGCGAAGATGGCACACGTTGAGCTTGCCAAGCGCATGGCGAAACGCGATGCCGGTTCCGCCCCTGCGCTTGGTGACCGTGTCGCCTATGTGATGATCCGTGGAGCAACCAACTCGAAGGGATATGAACGAGCCGAAGACCCGATTTACGTATTGGAGCACAACATTCCTGTCGACACAAAGTACTACCTGGAAAACCAACTTGCAAATCCACTCGGTCGTATCTTCGAGCCCATCTTGGGTGAGAAGAAAGCAAACCAATTGCTTACAGGCGAGCATACTCGGTCTATCTCTGTTGCTGCGCCCAGCTTGGGTGGTCTGATGAAGTTTGCCAAACGGACACAAACTTGCATGGGCTGCAAGAAGCCACTTTCAGGCAAGGAAGAGATGGAAGGTGCGGTTTGTTCGAACTGCAGTCCTCGAATTGGCGAACTATACACCAAAGCTTTGACCAAGGTATCGGATCTTGAGGTCCGCTTTGGTCGTCTCTGGACACAGTGCCAGCGCTGCCAAGGTAGTCTGCATTGCGAGGTGATCTGCTCGTCACGAGATTGTCCTATCTTCTACATGCGGATGAAAGCCAAGAAAGATGTGGAGGATTCTCAAAAAGAGCTGGCTCGGTTTGATCATGATGCTGCGGCTTGGTAATGAAATTCTGCTGAATGTATGATGGGAAAGACTTCGCAATTGGCGTTTTCATGGGCGGCGTTGAGAAATTAATTACCTGAGCACTTGTTCTTTCCATCTTCATCATAGGATAATGGGGTATTGAAGTTAGTGTATGTATTCCAATCAAATATTTTATTCCCAACAAATTGAAATGAGTGAATGTAAGTGGCTCCGCGCAAAGTCCAAGTGCAAATCGATGATCGACACCACAAAACTCTTGGCGCGGAGAAGCTCCGACTCTTGCGATCGCTCCAATCTTCTTCCCCCTCGAAAAAGTCACGCCCGCGGGGCCAACAACGAACAACTTGAAGCCGCAGGATCAAATGGCGGGCACTTTTAGCTCCACAGACAATACTACCATGGGATCCATCCCCTGGGCAGAGGTATGTACCGTGCCAAGGCCCTGTTTTTCGCGGTCAAAAGGAAGGCGCAACAAAGCGGCCCTTGTCTAGCTGCGGCAGATTTTAGGCGACTATGTAGTACAGCAGCTAATTCCTTACTCGCAGGTATTCTCTCGCCACGAATTCCTTCTGTCTTCCCATCTGGAAATGCTGGGCGCGGTAAAGAACCAGCTCCCACACGACGGCGAAGCGTCGCGGACCGTGGCGTCGATGGTCAGCAAGACAATCCAATCCATGAATCAGTTCAAGATCGTCCGCAAACAAATGGTATGTTTGCCCACGCCCAAGGCACTCCCCCCCGAGTCTTCCTGAGCTAAATTTGTTCGCAGATGCATAGTATGTCCCGGACCTGCCCCAATGTTTTCCGCGCCATGTTCTCCTCCCGCGATTTAACAATCTTGCCCCAGAAAAAAGCGCCGACGCTCCCTCTAATCCCTTCAGCGCGAACCCAACCCCCGCTACACCTCAATCTTCAGATGCAGAAAAGGCACAGAAAAAGCGACCTCGCCTAGAAAGAGAGGCCGAGAATGCGACTCAGCCTACGAATCGTGAACTCCAGACAGGCGACACCCGTGCTTCAAAGCGCAGTCGCAGCATAATAGCTCACCCAAATCCTCCTCAGCAATACCCTCCTCAGCAATACCCTCCTCAACCAAAACTCCCCGAATACACCCAACGCTCCACCTCCCCGAGACCGAAGACATCTCGCAAGAGGTACAACGACGGCTACGCATACAAGAAGAACGCCGCCGCAAAAAAGAGAGCGGTCGGTCAGATAAGCGCAAGCGTGAGAGCATGGGGTCGAATGAAAACGCATCACCTGGCACGGCGCACCAGAGGAAACGTAAAAAGGTAGGAAAGGATAGTGTCTCTCTCAAAAAGGAAAGCGCCAGCAGCAGCCAGCGGAAGAGGTACTTGGACGGTCCATCAAGCTTGGACGCGGCGAAGACAAAGAAGTCTAAAAATCCGCGGGACTGAGGCTTGATAGTGGATTGGGGCGGTCTGCATGGTATGCCAACACAGGGGGAGGATAATTCGGTCGAGGATCATCTTATCGATCGCTTTGTCTTGGGGCGTTGCGTCTTCCTACTACCTAGATGCCGGGCTAGGATCCGCAGCGTCTCAATTTACGGTTATGCATTATAGCATGAAATAGCTTTTTCTTTTTCTGCGGTCCTTTCCGGGAGCAGCGTTGTGTATCAGGGGTACCAGGGCTGTACTCCATATATACCTGTATCCCACCAAATGGGTTAGCGCGAGTCAGCACATCAAAGATACGCATGACTATCGCTTAGAGCGGCCCTCGTAGAATCTAGACGGGACCTTTTTCACATTGGGCGCCCGACGGCACCCTCAACCTGCGGCAATGCCGGTCAGCTAGATACCAGATCCCCGCAATCGTGGAAGTCGTCGAAACCCATTGCACAGCTGCACCTTTTGCAGGAATCTCTGCACCCACGTCATGGCGTGTCCCGAGGTAGCTGACCGGCTAAAAATAACCGAGGACAAATGAAATGACAAGCCTTGGCCAAGAAGCTTAGCGTGCGCAAGGCTGGAGGGTGGGGCTTCCCATCGGCTCCGATTTCTTTTCCACGGGTCGTTTTATTTGTACCCGCCCGGTTTCTGAAGGTTTCGGTTTAGTCACATCTTCTCCAGGCACCAACAATAAGCTAGCTAACTGGCGGTGTCCACTCAAGGAGCAACAAGCGTGGCAATGGCCACCGCAGCAACGCCAGCCACCAGGATCTTATCACGAGGGCTCCCGATCCCCAATGCCCGCATGATACACACCTATCGCCCGGGGCTCCATTCAGGGACGCCCCCTGGGCCTAGATAGCCAATACCAGTACCGCGTATCATCCGTGGACAAGGGTCGACGGATAATGTAACCAGTGCCTGGTACACGGGGGAGACATAGTTCACACTAGTGGCACCGTGGGCCTATTGCCGTGTAGGAACGGAGAGTAAGAGGCCTTTTCCGATCCCATCTCAGCAGATCCATAATAAAGATCCCGCTTTCCCCCTCATTGCTAAATCTCTCTCTCTTGCACACACTCTTCCTCTTGCACACAGTCTACAATTCCTCTTACACAATGTTCGCCAACGGCCTTTTCTCTTGGTTCTCCTCCCCCTCCAAGCAGGAGGAGGCTCCTGCCACCGACGCTACTACCATCCAGGCTCAGCAGCCCACTCGCCCTGACGGCCCCAGTATGGATGGTGCCTCTGCGCAACCCGTACGTCGCAATCCTACCGGTTAATCCTCTTATGAAATGAAAACTGACTAATCTCTCGCAGAAGTCCGAGCAGGAAATGAACCTTCGTGGCGGTGGTGGAGGTGACGTCTGCTGTGGCGTGTAAGTAGAGTGATCCTGCCTGAAATGCGGCCCGAGCACTGTGGCCAGAACAGCCTTCTCCTGCCGCCGACACATTTTTGATCAACATTGCTAACCTATCACAGCTGCGCCGGTCTCCTCTGCTTCGAGTGCTGCGAGGACTGTTGCTAAACGATCAATCGCACCAAAACGTGCTTCGCCATAACGCACGTCTACGCGATCGAGGTTGGGGAATATTACGGCGTCTTCGCTGAACGATCTACATCTTTACGAATGCTCGACTAGTTGCGATGCAGTGGGATCTACTGTCCTCGGCCTCGAATTTTGATTTTTTTTTTTTTGGTTTTTTCCCTTCAGCTTTTTCAGTCGTTATCTTTCTAAGCCCCTGACGGTACTCATGATTATTCCTACGGCAAGCGCTTCAATTTAATACGGCTGTCGCGGCGCCATAATGAGATCTGGCCTACAGGATCAATACCCTTTTTTGCAAAGCAAATCCCATGACGTTTCCAACCCCCCTTCTCCAGATTCTCAGAATCGAGTAACTCAGTCGGTCTGCACCTGACCTCCAGAAATACGGTGATCAAAACAAGGAACTAGCCAAGCGTAGATTAATTTCTGACCTAGAGCCACCATCGTAGAAGCTATAACTCCCAGAACCCAAAGCAGTTTACCCCCATCAAGCAACCAACCATTCTAGTAGCTCAAATTCATCACCCATTTCGCGAAAAACGCCACCACCGAAACTCAAAGCTATACTCTCCACCAGCAAGCAAGAAACCCAAGCAAGAACAGTTTTTCGGGCCCATTCGGCTACCCCTCCCCTCCCCTCAAGCCTCAACCTAAATCCAGCCCTACCAATTGCCCATATCCCTCGCTTTCATTCTGTCCCCCTCCGCCTCAAAACTCTCCTTGAAAAGACTTTTCAACCGCTGCAACCCAGCCTCGCCTTCCTCCGCAACACCCGCATCCATAGCCTGCACCTGGGCTCTCATTTCCAGCGGAGCAGGCGAAATCTGCATTCCCTCCAACTGCCTCCCGAGGAGAACAGGGTCCCCCGCCTCGCTCGACACGACACCGAGAAGACCACCCGTGGCATCGTCGACGGCGCGGCCGAAGACCCCGCGCGAACTGATGGAGCACCGGCCCCGCGCTTTCTCCATGTGCGCGAGGAGCGCAGAGGTACTGGTGAAAGACTTGTTGCATTGGGCGCAGAGGGGGGATCTACGAGGATTAGTTACCAAAGCCATCTGTGCTGTGGAGACGGGGACGTACTCACCCACTAACAGGGATAGCCCAGCGGCGCTCTTCGGCGATATGGTTGACGAAGTGCTCGCGGGCATGTGTAGTAAAGCCGCAGACGCAGGTATATTGCTGCGTGAGGCTGTTGTGGTACTTGTCTGGATCTATTTTGATAGGATCCATGGAGGGGGGGTTCGGGTAGAGAGGTTGCGGCTGGCTGGCTGGGTTGGAGGGCTAGATTATCTTTCTTTGATGGGATGGCGCTGTTGCTCGCCAGGAGAGGCTCGTATTTTGTGAGCTCCTGTGGGGCCTCATCGTCATCGAAGGAGATCAGGTCGTTGCACTGGACGGGAGGAGAGGGCGGTTTCTCTTCCTCTGGTGCGTCCGGCGTATTTTCGACGGGCTTGCTGGTGTCGTTTGTCAGGCTTAAGACGGGCCATTTGGTTAATGTGGGCAGATCGATTACGTCCATGAGGTTCGATGCACTGCTTTGGGGGGAATCCTGGCTTGGAGTCCCGGTTTTGGGGGTAGTGGCAACTTTGGCATTGTTGGTCTTGGGCGTAGATTCCTTGGGAGCATTCTCTTGAGACGATCGCGTATTGTTCTCAGAGCTAGCGGGGTTGCTAGACGTGATATCTTTCAAAGCGCTCGTCTCTCCAACGACCTGCGTCGAGGTACCTGGGGTGACTTTGTTATCTTCGATGGCGAGCTGGACGGGAGCACTGGAGTTGCCCTTAAAGTTCCGAGGGTCTGTCTCGAGGAGAGTATGAACGTTCTGTCGGCGATTTTGCTCCATTACCAGGCGGGTGAGACTGATGCCTTTGCAATTCCCAGCCTCAACATGCTGCATCATACTAGATGCCGATGGGAAGACTGCCTTGCAGCCTTGACATTCTAGTTGTTGCTCTGGGGCATGAGTCTAGGGATTTAGTGAGCTGCTCAGTTCTTACCACATGAAGTGATGGGGGAAATCGCTGTAGTGTTTCACGTCGAACCGGTATGTAGCTAAGATTATCACTCACCTTTTGCATATGATAGTTTCGGCCAGTGTGACTCTGGAAGTCAGTGGTGCAGACCGGGCAGAGGAAGTGGTTTGGACTCTTGAGCCTATGTTCGAAATAGGTCGCCTTGTTCTCAAACTGTATTTTGCATCGACTGCAGAACGGATGCGCGAGATCCTCGTACATATGCTTCTGGATATCTTCGTGGTTACGAAATTTCGCGTCGCAAGGGTCATGAGGGCATCGGAGAGTTAAGGGCGCCGGTGAAGTAGCTTCTAGAGGTTTGTGAGCTCTGGCAGGTACAACGCGGTCCGTCATCTTGGGATTTCCCCGGGGGGTCCACGTTTTAGATTGATGAAGATAAGTAGTAAGGAAGGTAGGTAAGGAGAGGATGAGGATGGGGAAGAAGTAAGAAAGCTCAGGGAGATATGTTGAGGATTTGAATGTATGAATTTATGAGATAAGTATGGCAATCGCCGTAGGTATGATGGATCCAAATAAGAATGCAGTCAATTCCTATTGCGTGCTTCGATTGAGATCAAATCCGCTATCAGGAAATCACACTTGTTAACTATTGATACCTTGCACTCATCAACCATCCCAGTCTCAGAATGGGGCATACGGAAGCCTACAGCTCTGTTAGCGGCGTTGTCCTTGACGAATCGAGATGCACGGGATGCTCTCACCATTTACCCCGCAGAGTGATAACAGCCCAGCTGCTTCCGTCATCATCTGTCTCCTTCTCTACGTTTGTTGAAAATGAGACGCCGCTCATGATACCGTCACCGAATTTCTCGTTCAATATAGCCTTGTACGCGTATCCATAGGTTTGGATAATTTCATATAAGCGATAGATCAATGGCTCTCTCGGAGGCATCTCGACCGCCTTGCCACGGTGGGGGAAGCCATTCAGCTGCTTTTCCAACTCGGAGTGGGGAATTTGAAAGAGCTCGGATAGCTTCGAGATATCCTCCGGCCGTGCTTTGGCTTGTCCGTAGAACAGAGCGGCGGTCCCGACTTCATTTCGCCCAATGTACTGTGCGATCTGCTCGAAATTCAGCCCTTTCTCGGCTTTGGCGGCAAACAGGGTTTGAGTAGAGGTGGAGAAGCCGGGATGTTCGGATGTCTGAGTGAATTAGCGAGAAGACTAGGCGATATCAACGCAAAATGTTCAGATGAGGTCCGACAAATGCGTACATCGAGGGTGGCAATAGACATTTTGTTAGCTGTGATTCAATTTGGGTAGTCAGTTTCGGTAAGGATGAGAGAGAATATGTATGATCAAGGGAGTATCTTGACAGGCCCGCTCTTTATATATCCCTGGAAGTCCACGGGTGAGGGGAATAGTATTTGCTAATGTGATAAGGTGCGGGGTTCCATTATGCTCTGGGACACGACCAGGGTTTTGCTCGTTGAACAAGGTATGTATCTAATGCGCTAGCATATCTCCATTTGAATTTGATTGGGGGAGAATTCCTGCTTTGATGTCAACCACCGGTGCGACCTAGTTTCCCAGAAATGGCTACCCTTGGTCTTCGATGGAGCTTGGAAGCGGAAGCTGCGGAACTTGTCATCATTATGATCAGCACAGCTGCTTCTTAACATACCGTGAACAAATTGTCTGCTCGCAATTTCAAGCAAGAAATAACTTGCAGTCGATTCATATCTTCTAATTCGACCATGAGAAGGTACCTGGAATCTATGGGAACTGCGGATATTGAGTTTGACAGCACATAGAAGACGTCACCGTGTCATTGCAGGTTCTTAGTTCAGAAGCAGTAAGCCCACGTTCAACCTGAAGTCCTTCAGGCAGTGGTGATCGCGCCTCAGCAAATAAACTTCCTCATATTAGTCCGTGACAATATGCTTTGTTGGTATTCTGGCCTCAAACTAGGACCAAACACAATTACCACTTTACCGGACCCGCTATTGCGGTACAACTGAGAAACCGTAGGACCTCAAGCTCTAACTGCTAGTGGCACCCCTTACCAGAAACTTCAAGTTGGGAGCAACTCGAAAATGAAGTCAAAAGCGCGAACGGAATCGAGTACGGTTTGCGACCCACACCGTCTTTAATGTGCAGTCATATATACTCCCTGGGTATTACTGCGTAGTGTTTCCTCAACCCACTGCAATATACTCTACGCGGGATAATGAATAAATGCGTTCCCCAAGTAGCACAAGGCCAAGTGGCCCAATAATAGGATATAACAACTGTAATAAGTTCAGGCTGTGATGCCCGTGGAAACATGCTAGGCCTGGACGTAGCAGATCGATGTGGGGTGGTGCCGATCGCGGCACGACGCGCACGGGGAGAGCGTGCAGCGCAGCGCAGCTCTAGAATATCTCAGGATCGAGAAGAAGGGATGGAATCTCCGATGTATCCTCGATGTACCGACTCAGGAGATTCACACTGCCACAGGAGCGATCGCTAGGTATCGCCGTTTCCACCCGTCTCACAGCACAGCCACTTCGTCTGTCGTGGCTGGCCCCGGGGTAGCGGGGCACCTGAGCTACTAAAACAGCCTGGCCCCTCTCTCAGGCTACCATTTTCTCTTTCTCGTTTCTTTTCATAGCACTCATAATGTCGAACCAGAATGATGACCTGGCCTATGGCCAATACTATGATTCCAGTCGCGGTTCTGGCGACACTTCCAGAGGATTGAGCGATACCTTCAAGAAGTTGAAGGATACATACAAGGCCCACCAGAGCTCCTCGCAGCCGGGCCAGCCGGGAGGCTACCAAGGAGTAAGCTCATCAATTTTAGCAAACTTCTCGCTCGCAAGCTTAACTAAGTCCATTCAAGGACCCTTCTCAACGCCCACCCCAGAGCAGCCCATACGGATACAGCAGCCAGACACCCGACCCGCAGTATCAGCAGCTGCAGTATCAACAATCGCAATACCAGCAAAATCCACAGTACCAGCAAGGGAAGCCCCCCAAAGAAGACAAACTTGCCGGGTTCCTGAACAAGATCCAGGGAACTGTCGCCGAATTTGGCTCTGAGTTTGCTACCAAGATCGGTACCACAATCGATCCACAGGCCTATGCGGAGTATGGCCCACACAAACCCAATACGCGGTTCGGCAGCTTTGCGCCACCGCGGGAGCATAACGACGTGAAGTGGTACGTGGACGGCTGCAGCTACTTCTGGGCTGTTTCTCGCGCCCTTGAGAACGCTCGCGAGTCCATTTGGATTTTGGATTGTAAGTTCCTATCGAGCTCTCTGCTATGTCGTCGCTCGAATGCTAATATTATCTGCGTGCAGGGTGGCTATCACCTGAGCTGTATCTGCGACGACCACCGGCCAAGAATGAGCAGTTTCGCCTGGATCGAATGCTGCAGGCTGCAGCCCAGCGTGGTGTGCGGATCAACATCATTGTCTACAAGGAAGTTACTCAGGCGTTGACCTTGTCTTCCTCGCACACGAAACATGCGTTGGAAAACTTGCACCCCAACATCGCTGTCTTCCGCCACCCTGATCATCTGCCAAACCCGGGGGATATCACAGCCGACATTACTAGCACTCTCGAGCACCTGACCCTTGACTCCGCGAGCTTGACAAAGATGCCCAAGGACACCTTGAAGGGGCTCTACGGCACGCATGACGATGCCATTCTTTACTGGGCTCATCACGAGAAGCTCTGCATAATAGATGGCCAAATTGCATTCATGGGTGGACTCGATCTATGCTTTGGTCGCTGGGACACAAACCAGCATGCTATTGCCGATGTTCATCCCTCCGACCTGACGGAGACAGTTTTCCCCGGACAAGACTATAACAACTCTCGCGTGCTTGACTTCCACGATGTCTCTCACTGGGAAAACAACAAGCTGGACCGCAAGGTCTCTTCACGCATGGGATGGTCTGATCTCTCTGTTAGCCTCCATGGCCCAGTTGTCGAGGATCTCCGACGCCATTTCGTCGAGCGCTGGAACTTTATCTATGACGCCAAGTACCGTACTCGTAATCAGCCAAGATACGCAAAACTCGCGCTCTACGGGGCGACCAACATCTTCCAGTGGTCAGCTTGGAGGTCAACAGCACGCCGGTCCTTACCCCTCTGGTCAGACCAGCCCGCACCCACAGCAGCCTCCAAGTCAGCCGAACCAGCCCTCGTGGCAGGCACCGAGCCACACTCCAAACACAACTCAGCAGCAGCCGCCGTCGTGGCAAGCACCTAGCCACACTTCTACTCCCGCTCCTCAGCAGCAACCATCTACAGTTCCGTCTTACCTGCTGGCCTCCCAAGGCACTGGAACTGGAAGCTCGACCTACCCGCCGGCTCCGGGGCAAACTCCAAGCCCCAGCCAGCCGCAGCAGAACGCAGCTCCATCATGGCAGCCTGATAGCTCTTATCAGTCTTCGTATAACCAGAAACATGATTCTGCTGCTCCTCCAAGCTACGACAGTCATACTCCGGCTCCTCCAAGCTCGGCGGGTTACACTTATACTGGAGACTCCTTCCCACCCCTCCTCCAGGACCTCCACCGAACCAGTCCACTAAGCCTTCATCTTATGAGCCAAGCTATCAGCCGGCTTCCTACCCTCCTGCTCCGGCTCCTGGCGCGGGGAGCCCTGCACACCAGAGTCCTGCCCAAAACCAGGCCCCTTATTATCCTCCGCCACCTCCGGCTCCTGGTGCTTTGAATGAACTTCATGGTCAGTCTCAGGGTCAAGCGCCTTACTTCCCTCCTCCGCCGGGCCAGGATGCACAGCATTCTAGCACCCGCGGGCTCGAGGAGCCGCAGTATGAAAGTGAACGAGGATTCATCCCATCAGGCTTAAGCAAGGCGGGTAGCTCTTGGCGAGGCCAGCTTGCAGGTCAAATCCACCAATACCAAGACAAATTGACGGCATATGCGCGGCCAAACTCGCAGGGCTGGGGTCACATGAACTGTCAAGTTGTCCGTAGCGCTGCCAAATGGAGCAACGGGAGCCCGCTGGAGCATTCAATTGCCGATGCTTATGCTGCTATCATCCAGAACAGTCAGCACTTCGTGTACATCGAGAACCAGTTCTTCATCACCTCCACTGGCGATCACCAGCACCCTGTCAAGAACAAGATTGGCGCGGCCATCGTCGAGCGTATCCTACGTGCTGCACGGGCAGGCCAGAAATACAAGATTGTCGTGGTCATTCCTTCTGTGCCATGTTTTGCTGGAGACCTACGCGATGATGAGATGCTTGGTACTCGTGCAATCATGGAGTTCCAGTACAATTCCATCAACCGCGGTGGCAATAGCATTATGGAGTTGGTCGCGAAGGAGGGCTTCAACCCCATGGATTACATTCGCTTCTATAACCTCCGCAACTATGACCGTATCCACAACAACAACACGATGGCCGCAGCTGAGCAGTATGGCGGTGTCAACTACAACACTGCTGCTGAGCAGTATGACCAAAATGTTGCTGGAGTTGGACAGCCCGCGACGGCCCAACGCCCTGCGTTCGATACGACCGCGCCATTCCAGCAATATCAGCAGGCTGCTCACCATGATCCAGCTAACAAGGCTGCTGGCGCCGGTCACTGGGACAGTGTCAGCTCTTGCTACATGTTGGGAGGAGAGGATATTCGTAACGTTCCGTGGGATGGCCATCCTGATGCCGAGATTGATGCGTTCGTCAGCGAAGAGCTCTATGTTCATTCGAAGGTTTGTTTTCTGATTTCACCATGTCGCAAAGCCAAAAAAAGAAAAAAAAGAAGAAGAAGAAGAAGAAGAGAAAAGAAAGGAGCCCCTACTAATGAACGCTTAGGTCATGATTGCCGACGACCGAATTGCCCTCATTGGATCTGCCAATCTGAACGACCGTTCCCAGTTGGGAGACCACGACTCAGAGATTGCTCTCATCGTTGAGGACTTTACTCCCGTTCATTCTACCATGAACGGCAATCCTTTCACCGTTAGCCGCTTCGCCAGCTCTCTTCGTCGCCAGCTGTTCCGCAAGCACTTGGGCCTCCTGCCCCCGCAGGACTACCAACGCCCCGACGCCAACTTCGAACCTGTTGGTGTGCCCAACAGCTTTGACTTCGACTCCCCTGAGAGCCGAATTGTGGCTGATCCGCTTTCTGACACGGTCCAGAGCCTTTGGAACTCTCGTGCACACACGAACACAGAGGTCTTCCGTAAGGTTTTCCGCGCGGTCCCCGATGACACCGTGCGTAGCTGGGACTCGTACAAAGAATTCTACGAGTACTACTTCCACCGAGCAGATAAGGAGGCCGAGGGCAATCAGGGATTCGGACGGCCTGCGCGATATCAGTGGGGCCACATCGTTCGCGACGACTTCGCTCCCGGGCCGGAAGGAGCCAAGCAGGTCAAAGAACTGCTCAGCCAGGTCAAGGGTACTTTGGTTGAGATGCCTTTGATGTTCCTTATCGAGGAGGATATTGCCAAGACTGGGTTGACTCTGAACGAGATCACCGAGCCAATTTATACCTAGGTTGATTTTAGGCGTAGTCTCGATTGGTAACTCGTCCGTGCAGTCTTGTGCAGATGGCCCCAAGTTGACCTTTTAACGAATTTGAATGAATTATTCTTTTCATCGCATAGTCTAAGATTGGATTGCCAACGTACGGATTAGGTAGTTACCGTCAAGTGAACATGATGATTCAAGAACAATATACATCCCCTATTGTCCCCACTCTTGCCGCTAGTTCCCCTTTGGGAGTAGATACAGACTATCTTTTGTTGCTGGTTCATCGCTGATTCTCTTTGTCCGTTTTCCAGGCGGATGTCAGCCGTCACCATCCGCGTGAAAGAAAAGCGCCGAAATAGGGTATCTAGACCAGCCACGGGTCTATTGGCCCCACAGGAACAATATACACTAAGCGCCACCAGACACAGGGGCCCCTGGCCAATGAGTCGTTCCTGGGCCCAGAAGATCCGATAGTCCGTGCCTCGATTGGGGAGAATCGAGGTCAGTCAATGCTACGTGCCCTAAGCCACAAGAGCCAAACGCCTCCACCGCCCCACGGGAACAATAGAAGACAATATACCCCAACTTCACCACTCTGATCCACCAACGCCAATTGTTGCCGATTCGAGGATCCAGCACCTCTTGAATGAACGCTCTAGCGAGCAATTCCATGAGCTATCATGGCCATCGAAATACATAAATACCCTGCTAATTCCAGCGAGAGTGTCCTCTCCACTACTGCTTCAGTATCCAAACTTCCAAACAACTTAGGACACTTACTTTCACGCTTTCCAAGCAAAACCACCATCGCAATGTCTCCCGTTCAGATCCGCAACCCTGCTATTGTCAAGGGTAAGTACCTCCCCTTCCATGGACCTCTTCGCGCTCCGACCTTCCTCTCCGTCCTAACAAACTCTCCTAGCCTCCCCCGGCGGTGGCTGCGTTATCATGTAAATTTCTACATGAACGCCCCGTCTCCTCAAGAACAACCAATCCCAGGCCTGCCTCTCTTCGACGGCCTGGGCCAAAAGACGCAGTTCCTTTCCACATCTAGCTCCTGAAGCCTTCTTATCCCCATTCAAGAGATCTCCGACCACGACCATTGATTCTGTTTGCTATCTTGTCCGTCCAGTTCGCTCTTTACCGGCTGGGACTGGCTTCGACCTACTACGACTGCGGTCTGCAGTTGCCTTCACTGTGCATGACCTAGAGGATCGTTGGGCTTGAGTTTGTCCAGTCTATTTTGTGGACGATGACGGTGATTGATGCGGTGCTTGCTTCTGTTGACTATTCGGGGTCTTCCAAAGTACAAATATTCGGGATGGAGGTTTCTCGTTGATGTGGGCTTGGTTCTTGCTTTTGGTTAGTTTCTGGTGGTTTCGGATTTCTCTATTCGTTTTTTAAGTTGGTGAGATTTTGGTCGTGGTGCTAGTTGACAGAATTGATTTTATGGAGAGAATTGGTTCCAAGCGTAGGGCTCGGCTAGTGCATCTTCGTAGTTGAGCTCGATAGAAGGGACCCGTAGTGGTGGTTGCATTGCATTTTTAGTGGAATAGTGTTATATACACTGCCCGGCCCCAGTGGCCTGCATGCTAGGACTGCTCTTACGGACAAGCTCGAGTGGGGGAAAGAGTTTGAAACCGAAACCCTGGGATTAATTTCAAAGCTACCAGAGGCATTGATCCATTCTCCATACAATCCTCTCTAGTCTACACCTATTATAGATTCCACTCCTCTCAAAGTTTGGAACCGGCCGCAGAACCCCCCCTGAAACAGGACACTCTTGTTGTTCTCCTGAGTAGACACCGCCACGTCCAGCCCGGGATTCCCAGAGAAGAAATTGACAGGCTTCAACCCGACAATCATTTTCTCCGAAGGCATCACAGGCCAGTCCTCGATACGCGGGTTGTGAGTTGACCCAAACGTATGCCAGACCACAATATCCTCATTCCGCACATTAGTATCTCCTTGCGACGCAGCCTTCCGTTGCTGAATGACAGATGCAATCCCCTCACCGCCAAGCGACTGCATGGTATGCCTGCCCGCCGGGTAGAGCTCATCGTCCTTGTATCGTGTAACCCAGACAGCGTGGCTTCCAAATTCGGACCGCTTGGCATGGTACGACTGGGGATGGGCGAGGAGCATCTGGCTATAGCACGGGAGAAGCTTGAAGCCCACCGGGGTACCGGTGATCGGGTTCATCTGGTTCTCGTTGATAATCTTGAACGTGCGGTTGGTGGTGAAGTCGAGATCGAGGCCGGATTCCGTGGCCACAATGTCCGATTTAGTGTGGTAGCCCACGCCGAATGGGTTGTGGATGGTTGGGTCATTGATTGGCATCGCGTGAGACTCTTCGACCTGGAGCGAATTTGCGGGACCGTCGATGGCGGGGTCGATGCGCAGGGAGAATAAGTGCTGGTGGTACGGCGCGAGCACGCCGGGGGCAACGACGGTTCCGTAGTCTACTTTGTCGCCGACGTTGATTGGGGCCGTCGACAGGATCCCCGTGGCGCGGACTTCGTAGTGAATGGACGCGTCTTGTCCGAAGTGGAACGCAAAAATGTACTCGTAGTTGCTGACAGTGATGATGGTCTGAAGGACTAGGATACGCGATCTCGTGACAGCGGCGTTCTGGGTGCGATGGTTTGTGTGCTTCCAGAGAATGCCGTCGTCCTGCTCGTGGCAGCAGACGGCATTGGGCAGCTTCAGTGGTTCGCCCGATTTCGTCGTGTGCCAGCCATCGAAATACTTGATCAAACCCAGGCAGTCACAGCCTAGTCTAAGGTTGTTGGCGTTGATTCCAGCCCCGTCGTTCCCCAGATCGAAGGCTCCCTTTCGGGGGTATGGCGAGCGAGGGTCTCCGTACGGAACGAACATCTCTGCGAGCGAAAGCCGGTAGAAGAGGCTGCGGTCCTCGTACCGGATGTTGTGAAGCGTCAATCCCTCGCGGTAATTGAAGCCCACACGCATGGTCCACTTCTCCCAACTCAGCAGGTTGCCCTCGATCTGAAACGATGGCCCCTCGGGCTGAATGACCTGATACGGTTTCGTGGTCGTGCGTGGCGGTGGCCGCAGACTGGGATAGTATTCGCTCAGCTCAGTCGCGTGGACCTTGTTGTGATCGTACGGCCGTGCGTTTTCCGAGACTGTGTCGTTTGCAGCCGAAGGAAGATAGTATATCTTCGTGACCTCCAAGTTCTCGGACACTTCGGCGCAGAGATCCAGAGGATAGGCATAATAGTTGGCATCGAGATGATCCAGCAGTCGCATGTAGAACCAACACTACAGAAACGGTCAGATCCGTCGACTAGCCGTATTCTTGACAACGTACCATGCTAGTTCGTTCGCTCATATCATTGACGCCGTCAGTCGCATAGGCCCACGGCTCAACGACCACGGTAGCACCGGCGGGAAGCTTGAGTTTTTGTATCTCCGCCTCGATGCGTGGATCCGAGCGACAGGCCTTTTCAACCGCTTGCATATACGCGGAGTCGATATAAGGATGCTTGCCAACCAGGTGGTCTTGACGCGTGACGGCTGCTGAATCCAGGTCCACGACCATCTCATAGAAATCAGTCGTTCCGGAAGCTCCCTTGACAGTGATCTGGACCCAAGCCTCGCGGGGCGGTCGCTGAGCTGGCATCTTCTCATGGCGCTCGCGCTCCAGGAAAGCGAGCATCTCTTGCTTCCGTGGTTCTTTGAGGGTGATGACGCGGAAGTCAAGCGCATGACCGTGTAGCGCGTTGCGAACAATATCTGCTGCCTATCCGGCATGTTAAAGTAATCTCCCAAATCTGGCTCAAATCGCGCCTTGAACCTACCTGGGTGATCTCCCTCGGAGTGAGGGGGTCAAAGGGGTGGTTAAGCGCCATTAGAGGGCGTAATGGTGGGGATGGAGGAGAGAGGTAGACCGAGGCGAGGAATGGATCTGGATTGAACGAAAGCCTGAGCTATGAGACCAGAGGCGATGAGATGTGATATAAGTCATCGACAAATCGCATCGGACTCGATATCTCGTTGCGGCCGATAGTCCGATCCTGGCCAAACCCCCGCAGCCTTAAGAAAGGCGTCATCGACAGGCATTAATCAGCGTACAAACAGGGCGTGGAGAAATGCGCTCCGGTGCGCGATTTCCGCTAAGATACAAGACTACGCGATGGATTGCCTATTGCGCGTGGTGGTAAATTCGAGTGTCCCCTACGGTTAAGAATAGACGAGGGGCGCCTCTTATCGCGCAGGCCTGCCGTTTGGAGACCCCGCATGGCTTGGAGTGTCTGGAGGCCAAAGCCTATCTGGACCTTTCTTGTCGGGGTAAACAGAAGCATCAATTGGTCAACGTCGCCGCGACACGCGATCGCCGAGTTTGATAAGGGATTTTCTATCATTTGGTGGTCCCACTCGAGCTCACGACGTGCAGATTGGCAGGGCTTTTCGTCCTCCAAGCATGAACTCAATGCTAACAAGAAGCATGGAGTATAAACGGCCCCGCTGTGCTTTCTTCTCGTTGCGCGGATTGTGGGTGGTCTGTAGCCTGAGACAGCCTTACAGGCCGTTGTATGATTTTATTAAGCGACCCTGTTCTACGGAAGTCTCTGAAGAGTGGGACATGCAATTCGAGTCACCTAAATGCACTTTATCACGTGTGAAATGCGCATTCAAGTTTTCGCCAGTCCACAATTCCTGATGCGGCCGGCCGCCTCATGAATCTACCCAAAATTCTGATGAGTTTAGCCTTATACGAGGTGCCGCTGCGATTTTGAATCTGACTTGCACTGTCCCGACGGATCACTTGGGGATTCAAAACCTCGCCCTGCGGGTGAGATTGAAGGCGTTCGTGAGCCCGCTGATCCTGGCCGTGCCTTGGAGGATTCTCCAAGGCTAAAACATGATCCGCAGAGGATTGCGGCCCGTTCAAACCGATGTGGAACCTAATTTCGATCAATATTCTGGAGATGTAGAAAAGGTGGAGCCTATTCAAAATCCTTGTCAGATTTCGTTTGCATAGCAAAGCTCGTAGATGAGTACAAGGTCGAGGCCTCTTCACCCCTTGCCCAGCCACGACCAAGCCATCCCGTCTGACATCCAAATTCCAAAGCCTTCCGGTGGATCTGCAAGTCGCCAGCCCAGGGACCGAGGTAGCCAGGCACATGGCTCGCGAACATGAAACAGGTACACTGTTCATAGATCAAACAAGATGTCTCAGATGATCTCCACCGATGCTGACCTGTTTTTGAGGCTGCATTAGAGGCCCATGCACCATAGCATGGGTAACACAGCATGGCAGGGTAGCACAACCTTCCCATGCCCTGGAATGTATGAACCTAAAACTAAAGCCCACATGTTGGCCATGGCCCGTCGATCTAGATTTGAAGATTTATAGCGCCTTTCTCTCCCATCTCTGCTCGCTTCTCCTCGGGTTTCCATCAGGAGAAAAAAGATCGGCATGCTTCACGGGAATGCTTTGGCTCTTTGGGGCTTGTGGATAAGTGCGGTATCTGCCGGGGTCCTGGTGCGAAAGGGAGGGCCCCTGGTGGACCAGAGCTTTGACTATGTCGTCGTGGGAGGTGGCACTGCTGGAAATGTCGTCGCAACAAGATTGGCACAACGGTCTTTCCGAGTGGCCTTGGTCGAGGCGGGGGCATACTATGAATTGGATTCCTTAGCGGAGGTTCCTGCTGCAGATGTGATTCCTGTTGGCTCGGATCCTGCTACGCCATCCGCCGTCGACTGGGGATTTGTTGCGTACAAGCAACCTGGGGCTAACGGGCGCGACGTCCACTATGCTCGTGGAAAGTGTCTTGGTGGATCGTGAGTACGGCTAGACTATTGAGAATGAGCATGGTATTAATACATTCGAGCTAGGTCGGCTCTGAATTTTATGGCCTATCAACGGTGGGAACTCCTTTCCCGGCCATATATTGACCTGTAATGGAGGTAGATGTATGCTGATGATATCTTTCTCAGTCCCACCAAAGAGTCGATGGACCAATGGGCAAATGCCGTCAATGACCAAAGTTATACCTTCGACGAAACGCTCCCTTATTACAAGCGGAGCGTCAAGTTCAGCCCACCAGATACGAGCAAGCGTGCCCCAAACGCAACGGCAGAGTATAATGCAGCCGCTTTTGATAGCAATGGAGGACCGCTGGATGTCTCATACTCTTTTTATGCACAGCCTTTCTCGTCGTGGATGAAGATAGGCATGGAAGCGATCGGCATCAGTGAGACGGAAGATTTCAACTCCGGCACATTGATGGGAGGGCAATATTGCTCCTCGACCATCGACCCTTCGAACGAATTTCGCAGCAGCTCCGAGTCATCGTTCTTGAAGAAGGTCTCGGTGCCTTCACTCACTATCTACACCAGCACTCTTGCAACGAAGATTCTATTCGATAAGGATAAGACTGCTACTGGTGTGCAGGTGAAAGGGCCCCTCGGAAACGTTGTCACGCTCTCGGCTTCGAAGGAGGTCATCGTATCGGCGGGCACGTTCCAGTCACCTCAGCTTCTTATGGTCTCTGGCATTGGACCCTCTGAAATCCTGGATGAGCATCAGATTGACCCCGTTGCTATCCTCCCGGGCGTCGGCCAAAACATGCAAGATCATCCTTTCTTAGCGCTCTCCTACCGAGTCAATGTCGTGACCCTCACCTCGTTCGCGAGAAATCTGGTGTTTGCCGCTGGGCAGCTCCTCGATGGGGTGATTGCAAAGAACGGAATGCTCGTCAATCCCATTGCTGACTATCTAGCATGGGAGAAAATCCCTCAGCGTCTCCGCTCGCATTGGTCGCAATCGACCCAAGAAGCTCTGGCTAAGTATCCGGGCGATTGGCCAGAAGTTGAGGTGAGAATAACGGGCACGGTGCATCCAAACACGAATCATTCCCATTAACTGCCTGCAGTATGTCTCTGGTGCTGGCTATATCGGCGACTTTTCGAATCTCCTCGTAAACCAACCAAGTGATGGCTACAACTACGCGTCCATCCTTGGGGTCCTCATTGCACCACTATCACGGGGCAGCGTATCCCTTCAATCATCCGACACCTCTGACCTGCCAATCATCAACCCGAACTGGCTAGATCACCCTGCCGACCAGGAAGTAGCCATTTCAATGTTCAAAAGGATCCGCGAAGCTTTCCAAAGCGACGCCATGAAGCCCATCGTCATTGGCGAGGAGTACTTTCCCGGCATGCAAGTTCAGTCCGATACCGACATTCTTCAATGGATCAAGAACAATATGATGACTCTCTGGCACGCGTCGTGTACTTGCAAGATGGGAACCTCCAAGGATGCCATGGCTGTTATTGACTCGCGCGCCCGGGTCTTCGGGGTGCAGAAGCTTCGCGTGGTGGATGCGAGTTCGTTCCCCTTTCTTCCGCCAGGGCATCCGCAGTCAACAGTTTGTAAGCGGATTTTTCGTTGGTTACTTTTTCTCCCGCTCTGCTAACAAGCTCTCCCAGATATGCTCGCCGAAAAGATCGCGGACGATATCATTCACAATTCATAGCGGTATCTAGAAATTCCATGGCCTGGCACAGTATAGTCACGTAGTATCTCTGTTCAATACTATAGAATGATTTGTGAATACGCACTCGCCCTGTAGGTATTACCCGGTAGGTAAAGGCCGATGTGGAGAACCGGGTGGCGCGAAGCCGTGTAGGTGATTCCCGACGTACGAGCAGTGGGCCCACACAGGGAGCCATGTAGGGATTCCCCGGGGGGCTTGTATAAAAAGCACATCGGTCTTCGATCTTCGTCCCAGGGGCCAGAAAAGTCAAGAAAAACAATCAAGCATGGACGTTGTTCTGGATGTGCTGGACACTTTTGTGCTGGACCGCTTCTATGCATCCGTCCTGCCGGATACAACCTCCCGCAATGCGACAGATATCGACTTCAAGCCTCTGCTCAATCGCCATGTTGGGATATACTATAGCTTAGAACCTTCGCCGTGGGCCGAGTCCAGCCTCTGGAAACGAGACGATCTGCTCAGACAGGGCACCTCGTTCTTCCTGATTGCCCTGTGAGTGCTCTCTATCTCTCATATCATATACAACCACAGTAGCTGATGTGCATTTTTCGTCGTGGATAGGGTATTCGCTGTCTTAATGTACCTAGTGGGGAGCTTTGTCCTCTACCATACCATCTTCGACAAGCGGATGCTCCAACACCCGCGCTACCTCCCCAACCAAATCTCCCAAGAGATAAAACAAGGATTGAGCGCCATCCCGGTGATATCGGTACTCACAGCGCCCTTCTTCATCCTCGAGACCCGAGGGTATTCCAAACTATACGACTTCGCCAGCGAGTCGCCATTCTGGGGCTACACTCTCCTCCAATACCCCCTCTTCATCCTCTTCACCGACAGCTGCATCTACTGGATCCACCGAGGGCTGCATCACCCGCTTGTCTACCGCTGGCTGCACAAGCCACACCACAAATGGGTGGTGCCCACGCCGTATGCGAGCTATGCGTTCCATCCGTTGGACGGATTCGCACAAAGTCTGCCGTACCATGTATTCCCGTTGCTCTTCCCGCTGCAGAAGTGTGCTTATCTGGGGCTGTTCATGTTTGTGACGCTGTGGACGGTCCTGATTCGTAAGTTACCCGTGAACGGTGCTACTGTTCTGTGTGAGAAAGCGTATCTAACCTGCTTCAGATGACGCGGAGTATCTGTCCACTTCGGCGATTATTAATGGGGCCGCTTGCCATACGATGCACCATCTTTACTTCAACTATAACTACGGGCAGTACATCACCATATGGGATCGGCTCGGTGGGACATACCGTACGCCTGAGGAAGATGAGTTCGTCAAGGACCAGAAGGAGGGCAGTTCGAAGCAAGCTGCGAAAAAGATTGATTGAAAGTCTCGGGGTATCTGTAATTCCTTGTTGTACATAGTAGTAATAGGATCAGATTAACTAACGTCTCTTTGGCGTGCCTGCTTATAGCACCATTGGATAAACTCGTTTAGATTCCCTAGTTCATCAGTCGCGTTTCCATCAAGATAGGCAAGATCGGCACCAGGCCCATTAGTAGTTTCGAGGGTCACGGTAAGTAGCCACCAGAGTTCTTCGGCGTGTTTCGGGTATCCCAGATGTAAGAAGTGCTTCTGGGTCATGGAGGTGATCACAGAGTCCCAGATTTGTTTCCAATTCTTCGCGCCGCGGCTTATGGTGGTCAATGGAAGGAAGTGGAGTAACCCTGTTCTCGCTTGAAAAGCGAGAGAGCTAATAGCTGAAAGTGCTGTTAGAATACTGATATGTGAGGCAGTTTGGAACTTTCGGAATACCATAAATCAGGATCAAAAGGTCTTCTGGAGATAATGACGAACTCCATGTAATCGGGGGGTCTGACTCAGGCTTCTCCAGTAGCTGTGAGACGACATCTTTCAAAGGAGGTTGGAGACTCCGCATAGACCCTTCCGAGGTGAGGCTTGCGAAAGTGGCAAAATCTTCAGCCTCCCATAGCTCAGGACTCCATGGCAATGGGCAGTCCATCTCGAAAATCGACAATGCAGGATGATTCTTGAAACAAACTGTCAAGAACCCATCCGCCAGAAAGACCCAAGAGGCGATTCTGGTTGTCATTAGCTTCAAAACTTTAGAAGAGGAAGCAAATACACACCTAATACGGACTTCTTCGGCAACGAGGCTCAACCACCTATGTTCGTCGACTGAATCAAAAACCAAGCTTCGCTTCACCTGGAAGAAACCCAAAGATCGGACGGTAGATACCAAGCATGGGTGTCGCATGATGCGTATTCGCCTCCTGGTTTGTATGTCATCGCGGCTGAATTGGAGCATCTCCATAATCAAGGCACCTTGGATTAGTTGAACAGTCGGCAGAAGGCACGCTAATTCTTTCGGCGACGTGGCTGCAGACAGTTTCAATACCTTTCGAAATACATATTCCTCTGCCACATCAGATATCCAAGGAGATAGGGTGGCCCCGTCAAAAGGTGCGGCGTATGTCGCCCCCGACAAGAATATTGCGAGTAGAAGTGGGTTAGACAGATTGCCCGGGTCGAAAGTTGGGAAATGGACGATAGGCAGATGCCAATGAAGAGTCCTGAAGAACACCGAAATAAAAGCTGATATATTGGAAACCCCGAACAGGGCTGTTAGCTCCGTGATATCAAGGGGCCTTTGGTGCTCGGCATCGCCTATTTCCATGGACTTAGACGTTTCCACCAACTCGGCAACCAACTCCGTTAGCTGGCTCGATAGTTTAGAAGGGAAGAGCTCTTCAGGCGGCAGCTGTGAGAACAAGGACTCCTCGATAGAATTCAGCAGTGGGAATGAAAGAGCATCTGGGCCATCATCTCCCAAGAGCCCTGACATTGGATCAGTCGGTACCAGCGCTTCTTCTAGGTGGGAATGAATAGACTCGAAATTTCGTGGAGCAGAGCTCTTCGCAGTCTCACCAATCGCCAGTCGATCTTTCTTCACGGACGGATTGGTAAAATGGCCTAGAAAGAAGAATGGACTTTCACTCTTCACTACATTTTGGGGCACCGTGACTGACAGCGAGGCTGGGACCTTGGGCAAACGAGATCGCGCAGATGAAGCCTGCGATGGCTGCGCGGCAAAGGTGCACTCCCGGCCAAGCGAGCTGCACCGAGTACACGGTGTCTTGTTGTCACAGGCCGCTTTGGCTGCGAAGCATAGATCGCACGATTGCCGCTTTCTGCCCGGTTTCGCAGCGGGAGGAAGAGGCTGGCCGTACTTTATGGCGCAGGACTTGATATGCCTCCGCGTCACCTCTCTGTGGGGGCATTAGAGAGGTCCGATAGTCATCAGGTAATTGCAGATTCCATACAGCTTTTGGAATGTCTTTTGACAAAATGGGCAGGCCGAAGCTTGCTGTTGGGAATCTACAGATCCAATTTAGTTGCGTATATGCGAGTGAGTCAAGGGAGACTTACGAGTCACTTCGTGACGGAGAAGATGGGCCTTGCGCTGATATGACTTATTGCAAGAGGTACAATGAAACATCTCCCCCAATTACTTGGAACAGGAAGTCCCGAGCCAGTCGCCAAAGGGTTGAATCGTTGGTCACGACTGGTATGATGCGGAACAGAAGGCAAGTGGGCACCAGTCCAGATGTGGTAATCCCGAGATCCGAGCCACTGGCCATCTACGAGGAAGGAGCAGAGCAACTATTGCCTTCGCATCATAACATGATGCAGGCGCTCGCACTACTCATACAGAGCTTTGGCTCACGTACATGGTCTAATACAGCTCTCTCTGATGCCATGTCAGAATTATCGAGGATTGCGTGTTATGTCATAATAACGTCTTCTAACTAGCGCTGAATATATATTCTTGGGCAAAATGTGCATATAATGGTGAAACCCAGGCAATGTCGTGTGAGGTATGGTGCATAAAACAATGAGCAGCACCCAGGCCTCACTCTGCCCGACTTATTCCGTGCCTTACCAGACCGAGACGGGGTGGATCTCGGTCATCTTTTCCTTCTCCTCACCAGACCAGTCCTTTAACTGTTCATCCTTGATATCTTCCGTTGCTTGTTCAATCTTTTCGATAGAAGAGACAATAAGCTCGGCCCCAGCCTTAGAGGCAGACAGTTCCTCTTCTCTAAGAGTAGCAGAAGCCTCTTGAGATAGGACTTCGTCCAATGCCTTCTTGAGTGGAACTTGGACTTCGGCACGGAAGCTTTTTAAGGTCTTCTCAACTCCGATCTTCTCGCGAAGGGGCGAAGAGAGAAGCACGTAGTACAAGTTCAGTGCCGAAACAATAACAGCGCCACTTTTCTGGAGACCCTGTATCCGTTCACCCAGGGGGTGACTGGATACAGATTTGACATGGTCTGCTACCAACAAGCTCCACAGTGTCCAAAGGTGTACAGGGTCATGGAAAATGGTCTTATCATTCTTCAACAGTTCTTCTTTCAGCAAACCAAGGCCAATGTCTCCGACCGGCGGGTAGCGTTTGTTCATTAGGTACAGGGCCTTGATAGCCTCGAAGCGCGCGTGATCGGACGGATGAGCATTGAGGATAGCAGCCGGGATCTCACGAACAATCGACCATTTGTCGAAAGAGGTCATCATTACCAATCGCATAAATAGGTCATTGAAATCGCCCGGATCTGTTGGCAGCACGAATTGCTGCTGTACCTCGTGAGCTGCGAGAGCCAACAAGGAGTCATAAATGGGAATGGCTTGAATATCAATTGGTTCGCCGGGCTCCAGCGGCACCAATAAAGCGGGGAAGTTTTCTATAATGTTCAGCAACCCCTTTGCGACGCCTATCTGTGGCACAGCGGGGCCCGATGAGAACAATACTTCGCCTGCAACCCGAGTGGCGAGCAAGAGCAGGGCACCGTGACGCTCGAGGCCAATTGCGTCGACAGACTTTGGTGGATCTTCAAAATCCAATGGTTCGGCGTCTTGATCAAGTGGGGGTTTCTGCACGATAGAAAGTAGCTCATTGCTATCGATCCCGAGGTCTCGTGAAAGGGCCTGTATAGAGAAAGGGTCAATGTGAGCAAATGCTCCAGTAGGGATGAAAGAGTCGATCGCTCGAGCTTTGCAACTATGTCGAAACGTACCCTGATCTTGCCCATTATAAAATCGCGTTCTATCAACTTCTCATCATTGGCGTATGCTTCTGTAAGTGACTTTCCAGGCATTTTTTTGTTCGGAAGATAATGCTCCTGCATCCGAACGGCATACGCCATGCCCGGGTCAAACAACGAAGCAAAGTCCAGCCAGTAGGCTTTCAAAAGTTCGATCAGGCCGAATTGCAAAAACCGATTTACCAGCTTCGTTTCGCCATCTCCGTCCGGTGATGGGGATGTGGCCTCGGCTTCGGGGTCTGGGGCTGAGGGCTCGGAGACACGGAGGACAGCGGATTGACTGCTAGTCCGAGGTGGCGGGGCAGGTCGTTTGCTCGGGGAGACCGCACGGATGAACTCGAGAAAGGCAAGGGTCGTTTCGTCGGTGACCATCGATGAGTAGGCTTCGAGAACGGCTTGGAGAGAGGTTGCGATGAAGCGACTGGCCGACTTGGTTTGGATTCGGGTGTGGAGTATGGTAAGCATAGAGACCAGGCAGTTGAATTGAATCACATGTTGCGGAAGTGACCTTGCGGTGGGTTCATCTTCGTCTTCGTCTTCCTGAGGATGAAGATCCATCAAAGCTTCCGAAACGCGCAGGATGCCCTCTCGGGGGTTTCCCAAGCGCGCAACATCCTGAAGGCAATCCGTGGATGCTGGGAGCATGGGAACCAGTATCTTTACCAGGTCCCACCCGATATTCGTGGTCAACTTCTCATCTTGCAACAAGCGATGAAGCAATGGCAGGCCCGCTGGGGTCAATCGGTCCTCTAGAATGGTGAGGTAGGAGAGGTAGTCCGTCGCGGGCGGCAGTGCTTGCACAAGTAAGCTCTCAGCGTCCTGTTCCATGCTGTGTATATTGTTCTATATACAAGGTTTGCGATCCGTTCCGATAAGCACGGTGGTGGAAGCTGAAGGGGGGTAGGTCGGGCTGGCGCGAGGGGGGCATGACATTATGCTTTACGCCACGCTGTGGCGTGTGGCGGGGCCTGAAACGCTTCTGGGGATTTTAGCCTGTACATACAGAGCATAGTACGTGTAGGGCTAAGCAAGGGTAAACAAGACGGACAAGCAGATGGTCACTCCACAAAAAAAAAAAGCCTAACCATTTGCTCGACATGCACTACAGAGTACATGGGCATTACATGACGACCACTCGTCATTGATCACGATGGACTTGTCCCGATGCGGAGCTTTCAGGACCAGGAACCGTGGCGGGCCCTCGCACGGTCGTCCACGGGTGAAAATCTGCAGATGACATAATTTCTCATGTCTTCGAGGTTAGAGCCCTAGGAGCATTTGTTCCGGCATACACGGAGTAACTAACGTAAAAGAAATTGAAATCAGGGCACAGCCTTACGGGTAGGGTTGACATGGTAGTTGCCTAGGGTCCCGTGGAGTGGAATTGGTGACTGAGTAATCCGGGACCCACATATAGGTAGATCCGCTTGTGGCACGCAGCCTTACAGAGTTGTGGATGAGGATGTGCAACCTTGATCCTCGGGAGTCAAGAAATGGGCAGAGCAGAGAACGTAGTGTGCCTTGATTCCAGTAGCTTCCACAAATCCGGGAGAATGGCTTCGAACCAGGGAAACTCGGAGCTGCAAAATTGGGCTGTTGAGCATCGTTGCCGACAGCTCCGAACCCAGCCCGACTTCCCTGTTTTTAATCTTTCTAGCCCCCTTTCCGGGACCTGCGCCTACCTGCTCGACTTCCCCAGATTCCTCTCTTCCTCCTACGTCTTCTCAATCCTCTTCTTCTACCTCCGTGCCGATCCTCAGCCCTCTTCCGGTTTTCCGAAAAATTATAAAAAATAAAAAAAAGTGACAGGGCAGATTTTGACTCGGATTCAACATCTCCACTTCGAAAACCCGTCGCGCGGCAGTCTCTCCCGAAAGTCTCCAACGTCAATCGGATCAAATCACGAACCACAAACATTGGGGATTCCCTCCCCTTTTCCGCTCGACCTGCAAGGACAGCTAGCCAAGATCTTCACATCCCTATATATATATATACTCCATGGCCACCGAGATGCAATCCTTCTATACACCCTCCACCTCCACGCGAATCTCCCATGCGTCGCCTGCGATGGATGAGCTGATCTCGAAATGCTCCTCGACCATGAGCACAAGTGCACCTCCTACTTTGCGCCGCCAGCGGCGCAACCCGTTCCAGCGCGTGTAGTTGACCGCGTGCGCCTCGAATACTACCGCTACGAAGTCACGTTTGGGCTATACGTTATGACACCGAGCGAGAAGTGCGTCGCGAACTCCTGCGTCCTAGTTTTCCTCGGTTTGCTTCTCTGGGCTTTGCTTCTATATTTCCCATCCCTCCTGTACAGCAAGGCCAGCAGATTCGTGTGGCTGCTCACTGGTCAGAGCGGACAGGAGCTGGGTCTTCTAGACAAGTATGGAAACCCCGTTCCTCCAGCTGTGATAGCGGAGAATGTTATGAACTCCTGATTCTGTTCTGGGTGGCCCGTGAATACTTTAGCCGGCTTTTCTTTCCGGAGAGAAAAATCAGCTCGGAGGAAAAATCCCGAACTGTTCGCAATGAGCACTGAGCGATGGCAGTTCGACAGAGACCCTGAAAACTCCGGTCGAAGGCCCCTTCCACTTCTTCTGGACATACCAACCAGTTCAGTTGTGCATTCTCAATCTTGCGCCTTGCGTCCTGATGTTTTGATTCTTTTCTCCACCCCCTCCCCCCCTTTTCCTTCTTCATGTTTCCATCTGTTCTCATTGTTGCAGGACTCTTGCAGTCTCTGTGTACAACACGGCGTTTTAGGGACCGGACATACCACATTCGTTCTGGCGATACTATCTGGCCATGGCCTTAATGAAGCGAACCGCCATTGCGGTCGACGATACATGAGCAACATGAACCGATGCTCAACCTGGGATAAGAGATGATAGCTTGGTTTGATCAGGGCTCGTGGACCTTATCGCTACCCACTATAATCATTAATGTTAAATTTTGACTTATATAACTTCACCTACAATCCCCGAGGCATGCCCTCGTCAGTAGATGAGGCTTAGTTGACTCCATTCGTCATCAGACCCGCGGCGGACTGCCGAATTGCTTGGCAACAAGGCTCGAGAGGGTCGCGGTAGTCAGTTCGCTTAATTGCAGCGAAAGAGGCCCTCAGGGCCTAGGTTGGGTGTGTCTTATGGACATCCCTAGAGGGGCGAAAACCACTTAACCAAGGCCAAAAAAAAATGGGTCTAAGACAGGGCAAGGCCTGTGATTGATTCTACCACTCGCCGCGCGGCTGTGTTGATCGCGGCCCAAAAATAACTTTCTCCCCCGTAAATCGTGCCTGCCTGCTACAAAATCATCAACAATTTGACCGTCTACCCTTCCATCCGGTTTTCGAGTAGATATTTTCGCCTGCGCTCACTCTGATCCTACACAGATCTGGTTCCGCAACCCACCAGATCTTGGGCAGCCATGGCGGCCAACAACTACTACCACTCTGACATCCCTCAACCTCCCGCATACGATCGAGCCACTCCATCACCCTACAACCACGATCCCTCGGTCGCTCCTGCTTATAGCTATGCTCACCATGATGATCCCACGGCTCCGCAATATTTCCATGAAAGCACGCAGTCGTTCATGTCGGAGAATGCGAACTACCAGAATACAGGCCGTGTACAGGCTGAAGATGAATACGCAGACAACATCCCCTTAAGCACCAAATCACAGTTCGGCAACCACCCTGGCTACATGCATCAGCCAACCGCTTACCCAGTGTACTCGGAACCCGCAGAGGAACTAGGTCGTGGCGGGAAGCGACGGAGGCTGGGGTTCTTCAAGAAGAAGCCTGCGTGGGTAACGTGGACCCTAACGCTGGTCCAGGTGATTGTATTCATCGTCGAACTCGTGAAAGCTGGTGAGTACAGGCGATATGGAAGGATCGCGCGGAAGATGAGTGGCCGTATTAACGATTTGCTCTTTTCTTTTCCGCAGGTCAATTAACAGGTTCCCCAATCCAAACAAAGCCATCTTTCAATCCTATGATCGGCCCCTCGTCTTCGATCCAAATATTGCTGGGAGCTCGATATGACCCGTGCATGAAAAATATTCCTCGGATACAGAACGCCACTCAGACACTTCATTTCCCGTGCCCCAACGTAACCAGTAATGCGGAGGACTGTACGTTGAGGGAGGTTTGTGGATTTGGCGGTGTCCCAGACAATCACGCAAATGGCTCCCTGGACGACCCGGCTCCGAACCAGTGGTGGCGCTTTATTGTCCCTATTTTCCTCCATGCAGGATTCATACATATCGGCTTCAACCTATTGGTCCAAATGACCATGGGAGCTGACATGGAGCGCATGGTTGGAATATGGCGGTACACATTAACGTACTTCGCAAGTGGTATCTTTGGCTTCGTGCTCGGTGGAAATTACGCAGCGCAGATGCAACCAAGTGATGGCTGTTCCGGTGCCCTGTTCGGTATCCTCGCCTTGTTCTTGCTTGATTTGCTATACGACTGGCAGAACCGCCCGTCCCCGTGGGTGGAGTTGATTATCATGATTCTGGGTGTGGGCGTTTCGTTCGTTCTTGGTCTGCTCCCGGTCTAGACAACTTCGCCCACTTGGGTGGCTTTGCCATGGGACTAGCCATCGGTCTCACAATCATGCGATCGCCTAATGCCTTGCGCGAGCGCATCGGTCTGGAACGTCAACCATATGTGGCCATGTCGGGTGGCGCGGGTGATCCTACCGTCGACAACCGCAAGACTACTTCATTTGCAGACTTTTTCAAGAAGCCTAGCACCATTTCGTCCGTTGACGACAACCGCTCAAAGGGTCCCTTGGACTTCTTCCGCGGTCGAAAGCCCCTATGGTGGGCTTGGTGGATAGTCCGTGCCGGTGCGCTTGTTGCCGTGTGCGTTGGCTTCATTTTGCTTATCATTGATTTTTACAAATACCCCACTACGAACTGCTCATGGTGCTACCGGCTGAGCTGTCTTGTAAGTCTTGCTCTTGGCTTTCCGCTGCTTGGACCTCTACTAATCATTTCTCTCCTAGCCTGTCAATGGTTGGTGCGAGCAGGGCAAATTACAGATTAAGCAGATCTCCTAGGCACTCTGCACGCTCGTTTCTTCCGAGATTTACTCACGTTCCGGCGTTGATCCGGCTTGTTAGCCATGAGAGACACGATTGTAAATAAAATATTATTTGCATTGCACAGATCAATGGAATAATACCCCCATATGCACAATTATCTATTTCAAGTCGGCAGCTACCTGCAACATCTTCTTTCGCAAATCAGCAAATCCATGAACGTATTCCGATTGGAAGTGAAGATGGGAGATGTACAAGCCCCAAAGTAAGTCTGTGGGAGGTTAGCCCTAAATATTCACTCATAATTGAGTCCTCACTGCTAGTCCTTGCCACCAGTGTCCTCTAGCGATGCTGAAGAAATTATGCGCAGAATTGTCGGGCGAAATAGTCTAGAACCTTAATAGAGAGCGGTATACACTTCGAAGTCCAGTCAGGCTTCAGCATTGACTACGTAGATATTCCAAAGCATGGTCGTCAAGATCTTAATATTTATCCCCAAAATGTAGTCAATAATTAACCTATCGTGATTAGGTTAGGATCTTCTCAGGCCCACGCGGTACAAAGTACACAGTAGCAAGTAGGCGCTAAAAATACGCACCCGGCGACGGGCGCCCGGGCGTGGCTGGGGTGGCTGAGTCAGGCCGCTGACGCATCATCGACCGGGTTGACATGAGCTGGCGGTTCCAGGCACCCGTATCATTTGTCAATCTACATCGACGCTGGAGCATCTCCTTGGCCATGTGGCTTGTCCCTACAACAGCAGCGTAGCCAGCGCCCTCCAATGTCCATATTTCACCAGTTCCTTGTGCGAAACATCTTTGAAAATGGCCACCTTGGCCGCTTCTCCTCCAACCTCGCCGTCATGGCCGAAGCGGAGCACCCGAGCTTGGGCGCTTCGCTGTGAGCGCTACTGCTGTGCAGCTGCGAGCTGTTTCCCGCTCTGTTTTGTCTACGGGATCACGAGTTGGGCTGTTTATGTTGAAGCGGGTATTGGGTTTAGGGACACGAAGAGCTCTTGGCTTGGTATGCAATTGATCCGAACTGCATAGATCGGCTTCGGGGATTGAAGATGGCAGGCTGACCTTTGCCCTGACATACTCTAGGTCTTCCAAGCTCGCTTTTAGGTATTTTTCTTTATGCTGCTCTAAATGCCTCGTACACTGCTGCCGTATTCACGGACCCCGGCTCGCCGTTGACCACTCGCAGCGGGACTGATCGCCACAACTATAGCGCTCTTCCAGTGACCGAAGTTCCCGAGTTCACGTCTTATACCGCGAGTTCAACGGGTGGCAAGCGCTATTGTAAGAAATGCCAGTGCCCGAAGCCTGACCGAGCGCATCATTGCTCTACCTGCAAGCGCTGTGTTCTTAAGATGGATCATCATTGCCCATGGTTGGCGACTTGCGTCGGTCTATACAACTACAAGGCATTCTTACTATTCCTGATCTATACGTCTTTGTTCTGCTGGGTGTGCTTCGCTGTGGCGCTGACTTGGACTTGGACCGAGGTATTCAGCGACTCACGGTACATGGACACATACCTCCCAGTGAACGTAATTTTACTGTGCATCCTTGGCGGCATCATTGGCTTAGTGCTCACCGGATTTACCGCGTGGCACATCAGCCTCGCTGTCCGTGGAACAACGACTATCGAATCACTCGAGAAAACCCGCTACGTCTCTCCGCTGCGCAAAGCCTTCGAGCGCCAACGATTCGAGCCATACCCCCTCGCGAATGGCGATCACCATGACTCCTTCCAAGAAAGCCTCACCCACCGCCTCCAAGACTACGGCAACCAAATCCTCGATGCACACGCCAACGCCATCCCCGGTGTAACCCGGCCCGAAGAGGGCGAAGAGCGCCTGTCACCAGCTCCCTACCCACCAGGTCACGGCCCCAATTTTGCCGCACCACCCCAGAACAACCTCTCCCCAGCTCAGCAAGCCCTGACCCGCACCTACGCCGACATGGAACGCCAACGTGAACACGACCGATACCAAGAATATCTGAACGACGAAGACAGCAACAAGATGCCCAACGCCTTTGACCACGGCTGGCGCCGCAACCTAGCACACCTCTTCGGCGACAAGCCTCTCCTCTGGCCAATCCCTGTCATGACAACGACAGGCGACGGCTGGCGCTGGGAACCAAGCGCCCGCTTCCTCGAGGCTCGCGAGCACCTCCGCCAGCGCCGCGAACAGGACGCCTATGCCGAGCAGCAGTACCGCCGGGATCTATACCAGCGGAATATGGATAACAGCCGCACTTGGCTCGGCCCACATGCGAATGGGGCTACCCCATTGCAGAATAGCACGTCACCAGTACAGCACTGGATCCCCAATCGGCGACAGGACCCTGAGCGTCCACTGACGAGTGTCTCGATGCAGACTCTTGCGCCGGCGTCGCCGAGGCCCAGGCCTGGGGATAGCGATTTTGAGGATGATAATGATAATACCGCATTGTTGGAGCCTGGGCAGACAGGTAGTTCGGGGCGAAGGGAGACTGATGAGTGGCGAGACTGGGATTGAGATAAGTCCATGCAAGGGAATTATTTGATTTGCAGCCATTATGCATTGCTGGGCGTTTACTTTTTTGAGTCCAGGCTTGGATTTCGGATTTCTATTGTATGAATAAGATTTGGTGTTGTACGTGCGGGCATATCATGTGAAATGCATATTGCATTTTTTTTCCATTGAGTTTTGATTTTTGGATCAACAATATATCCATGACCGGCCGTACTGGTACTCGTGCAATGTACCCTCGCCCCGAGGCATACAAGTAGTAGCGGTCGTCCTACGAGCATTCTTCAAGTTTGCGCAGTGAAATTTGAACGACCTGGAATACCACCTAGATACTAGTGCACATTTGAATTAGAGGACGTCCCAACAACAAGAATCCATGGTTCGAGTGCCGTAGATCGCCAGAACGGAAAGGTCCGGCCCGAGCCCACCCGTACCACCAGAACATTTGAGCTTGGACAAGCGCATTGCCTATCAGATTTATGAGATAAGTTGAAGAGAGAGCTCCAGAGTTCAATGGTGGACATATATTCAGATCTTGTCTATCTATATTGCTCCTGCACCTGGCGATAATTGCATTCGTGGATCTGCAACGCTCATGTCGTGGTGGCAGCTGTCGAAGAAGCCTTTCATCGAATCACTCTCCAAGCTGACATATGAGAGCAGAGCGAGTCCTGCTTTCCTCGCGTCATCTACTGCAGGTTGGGTCAATCCACGAAAGCATGGAACAACATCGGACCGTATCTGGCAAGCATTTGACAGCGAAGTGCTAGAAGACATGGACGACCGGCAAATACTTTCATTGTTTACAAAAGGGTTCTTCGGGGGCTACGTTTTCGCTCTGGAGGGAATTGCTTTAAAGTGTGGAGGGTGGAGGATTTGTCCAGTGGGTTTCACAGGTGAGGCGTTAAGAATCTTTCTCGACATAGACATGGATCTAATTATCTTGCCTCAGGGTTCTCGCAAGATGAAATTGATGAGATCTGGAGCAGCACAGATATACCCTTGATGATCTATGCCCAACAGGTACCAAGTTCTTTGGTGTGTTCCAGCTGCTTGATCAATATCTCTGTGCTCCGGGCGCTGATCGTCTCAGCTTTGTTGATTATGGATTCTGTTCCGACAAGGGGACTTTCGCAGGGCGCATCGCTTCAGCGTCAAGCGGTCGATCCGTGCTCTCTCAGCAATACCCGAGGCAGGGCTGCGAGAGCCATCTATTACAATCAGCCTTGAGGGCTTTACTTGTAATCCGCAGAAAAATGAGCAGGTCATGCCTGGGGTTGGACTGAAGTTTCATGCGTTGTATGCCAGACTGTTGTTTGCTAACGGCATAGAGTCAGTTCTAGGAGGCCAAACTGCGAACTGATTAGTGGATTCGGACCGTAGAGCAACTTGACTCGATGGGTTGATGTACTAGTAGTATGGAGCATGGTATTGATATGGCGATGGGTTGTACGATAGATCCTAAGAGTGAATTGTTATCAATGAAGCATCGCCACTACAGCGCTTCACAAACTTATCGCACTCGACTTAAAACTGAGCTTGTTCATTCTCATATCGAGACATGCGACAAATCTCTCGCGTGCTATACCGCTGGCTGACCTGAACCCGTTTGTATGCTCAGACAACCCCCTCATCGCTACTACTTCAGAGAGCCACAATCCTGATAGAAGCACCACCGTAAGATCTATTGAAGGGGCTGCGAGGGCCGTGACGTTAGAATAACCCGTATACGGCCGTGAGAACGCCACTCGCTTAGAGGTGACTATACCAAGTCCCCACTATCCAGCCCGCGATCAGGCCATAAGGTGTAGCGTTCTGTAGCTGCTGACCTGAAGGCCGTCGCATCAGCGAGGAGTCAAGAGTCCTTCATCATCCATATGAGCTTGGAATCTCCGCATATCTGGTGATAGGCTCCTCTGACTCTCTGTGACTCTTCTAACCACCACACCCACCAAAGCCGCCCCCAACGAGGCCCGCCCGATAGTGCGCCTTGCGCTTCTCCGTGCGGCTGCTCGCAGAAGGTTATCCCTCGCTAATGTTTGATGACCGGACATATTACCTAGATTGTATCAAGTGAAATCTTAGCTCCAAGGCACCCATAACCGATTTGCCCGTGTACGTGCTATATTTGATCCTGGGCTGTTTTGAATATCCGTTGGACGTCAATGCGTAACCACTGACATTTCAGCATCTTTGTTGCGTCGCCACCAGGGTGCTTTATCTCCACGTTGCTAAGACAGGCCGTCCTCATCGAATTATTTGCCTGGCGCAGAACAGGAGGCTGGTGGCAGTGAGTACGCTGAGTTCCCGTGGACTTGATATTGACGAGTATCATCGGCTCAAACGAGGCTCCAGTCTTAGCCAAGCTTCTATTCCAGCGTGTTTAACCAGGGATTCTACTGAAATACTTGGAGCTATATGATGTAGCTCTTTTCCAAGATGCTTGTTTGCGGCAGAGTGAAAGATCTAGTGACGGTAATAGAAATAGATCATGTAGAATAGTCAAACAGCCCGCAGACAAATAACCTGGACCACGCTCGATTATATCGTTGGGCCATCAACGGCTGTGAGCCATGGCTCTTCAGTGCCTTTGCAATCTCTCGTTCAGGCGGGTGCTGACTAGACGAACGTTTCAAGACTATGCCGCATCCCGCATATGGAGAAGAGTTGCCTCTATATGCCATGAGACGTTACGGCCGATGCTGTACCGCCAGCGCTCATCCAGGTTCTCCTACAAAACGGGGGCTACGCGGACGCGTTACTTGCGTAAGGAGTGAGTCCACTGCTCAACGGTAATGAGGCGCCCAGTGCTCTTGAGGGTCGTCTTCGTCTTCCTCGCCAGAGCTTGTGCGACACCGGGAATTTCTTCCTTGCAACAGTCCTAGAGCTTGTTTGCCAAGTTTGTCAACAAGTCATCTGGGAAGAGAAGGAAGAAAAAGGCTGCCATCAGGGAACGATGCGGAACCCCTGGGTCGATCCACCAGCAAAGTATGGCCGGAGGTTTGAAGAAGGCTACGATGTGGAAGCGGGAAAGACCAATAGTGGAACGCATTCTCTATTCCTGAATAAGGTCGGAAGCCATTGCTCCGTATTGCCCAATAATATATTACATCTAATCCTTTTTAGAGAGCTCCGGTTGAGCGGTTATGTCTAGAGCAGTTACTATTACTGTTCGTCCAATCTGGACGTAGCATGAACGGTCCACAGCGATGGCCACGCCGGGCACCCACGGCCCTTTTACCGAACATGTGAAATTGCGAAATATCGTTTCATGTTTGCTGGTCTGAATCGGGAGAAGCTAAAATCCTGTAACAGCCAGTCAGTAGTTAGGCATGCCACGTGAAGTTGCTTTCGAATGGATCATCGCTTCTAACATGCTAGCTTACCCTCGGGTGGATTCCTACTAGGTGCTATATTTATCCCCAAAACCGCCAAAAATCGACAACCTTGGAAGCACGAAGGAATGGATAAACAGGATAACTTGAAGGAATGCTCGGAAGACCGTGCATTATCCAGATCAACTGCCAGTGATAGCTTTAGGTGTTTACTCTGCATCAGGATGCATATACTCCTTCCAAAGTAGCCCTAGCTCCTCCGCATGACGAAACGGCAGGCGTGAAGTATCCTGTCGACTTCACACGCTCAGACTCTAGATTGAGTTCGCGCGTAACTTGGCCTGCCAAACCACCCGTGAGCGCATCGGCCTTCGCTTGTGCTCGCCCAGTCTATGCAGGCTATAGCACTTCCGCCCGCAAAACCTTCTAATTTTATCTGGCGTTGACAGTGCTTGGACCATATCCGGGCGGCCCCAGAGTAGGAACTAGGACTTTTGGGGCCCACTTCAGCCTCCTGGGTTTAGCCTTCCAGTTTAGGCCCTTAATACTTTTCGAGTTCCTGAAGGAAGTGATCCACATGGGCGATGCCAAAAGGGGCCAAGATCCTGCACGCAGAATAATCAGGCCCGCCCCGAAGGAATCTCGCAAAAGATTAGGGTGTTGCACAGACGACCAGTTAAGATCAGTTCAGGCCAACTTAGACCAGCTCAGGCCTCACGATGAGAGGCCAACATCGATTTGCTATCATTTTATCTTTTTGGGCGTTGATACTTGCTTGTTTGTGGCTTGGACCCCACTTCAGTTAGGCCTACCACAATCTTAACGTCTGACTAGTGTGGCGAGGAGCTTAGCTTCATGCTAAAACTGGAGAACCGCGTAAAAAGAAATACCCCCAGATTCATCCGCGACGATACTGGCCCCTTTCGAAATGAGTACCAGAGCTCCCGTGTCCTTTTTTAAGTATATGACGGGCAACGAAATGGGGGCTTCTGCGAGCCCCACTAATTTGTCTTCACGATCCTTTGAACTCGGCTCCAACGCGTCTCCACCAATGCACGACTTCCGGCCAACGACATGGGGATGAGCAACGGTTTTTGTCTCCCTTTCGAGGCCGATCGGCAGAGCACCACGCAACCCCTGTGAATCCTTCAGCTGCAACACCAATCTCCTACGAGCAGGGTTCTCCCAAGATTGCCTACGCTCCTCTACGGTCTTCGCTGCAGGAGTGGGACTCGCGAGTCATGGGTTCGTGTGTAACAATAGACTTTGTGAGAGGGGGATGCTTCCATGGTTGTGCCTTGTGGCCACACAAAGAAAACAAAGGTCACCTCTCGTATCCCTTTGTTCAGAGTACAGAATGAAAATAAGAAGCAAGGCCGCCACAGTGGGGCAAGGAGTCTATCGGTCATCTTGCAGGATGATTGTGCCACAAGTTGTTCTGTAAGGCTCCCTTGGCGTGGATCTTCCCCCAGTAAGCGCCGCTGGGGCCAGAGGGGAACCAGAAAGGGCCAGGAGTTAGCGGGCGGCCATTGGCCCTACCATCGCGGAATATGGAGACGATAGAGCAGTCAAAAATGGGGCCGAGACGAGGTAATCTTGCCTTGGCTACTAACACCCTTGAGTCCATTTGACTTTAAAACTCGGGCCATGCCAATCCTCCAGCTCTAGCAATCGCTGCTCTGCTTTTTTTTTTTTATTCACTCCGTCGCGTTCGCCCAAGATGACTTTGACGGACAGCTCATCGCAGAACTCGATTGAGAAGGGCGTGGCCGGCGCACCTACTATTGAGGCTGCTGGCGAGCTCTATAGACCCGACTTGGACGACCCTCTGCGTCACACCATCTTCGATGATGCCGAGCAGGACCCGACATTCTCGAAGCCTTCCGACACGTATGAAGGTCTGCACCGATGGGATCCATATTTCAAGTGGACCTTGGAGGAGGAGAAGAAGATCATCCGTACGGTATGTATATCGAAATCCTGAAACCCCCTCTCATTGGTTGAAGATGAGCGGCCCCCCGCTTACGGTTTTCTGCAGCTTGATTGGAAGCTCTGCACCATGATTTGTGTTTCGTTCTTCTGCTTGCAGCTTGATAAGGCCAATTTCGCCTTGGCGCTGGCCAATGGGGTCCTTCAGGACATGGGCCTCACTACCGACGACTATGATACCGGCTCAACTATCTACAACGTTATGTACCTCGTGGCGGAGCTGCCCTCTCAGATGATCGGCAAGAAGCTGGGTCCCAACATCTGGATCCCCTTCATGATGGTCAGCTGGAGTATCGTGGTCGCTTGCCAGGCGTTCATCTCCCACAACAAATCGGCCTACTTGGGTGTCCGCGCCTTGCTTGGGTTGCTCGAGGGAGGCTTTATTCCCGCCTGTGTTTCCTACTTGGCCTCGTTCTACAAGTCAACTGAGTTGCCCGGCCGGATGAATGCCTTCTGGATTTCCTTCGTCCTAGCCGGTCTTATCGGCTCGTTCCTGAGTTACGGATTCCTTCACATTGACCTCCACAACGGAAAGCACTCTTGGATTTACATCTTTGCTTTCGAGGGTCTCATTACTGGTGTGGCTGGCATCTTTGCTTTCTTCTGGATCCCCCCTTCTCCGGTGGAGACCAAGGGAATGCTCCGAGGAAAGAAAGGCTGGTTCAACGAGCACGAGGAGATGATCGTTGTCAACCGTATCCTGCGTGACGATCCCAGTAAGGGAGATATGGGTGCCCGGGATGGCCTTCACCTGAAGGCCCTCTGGGAATCGCTGAAAGATTACCACATGTGGCCGCTGTTCATTGTTGGTTTGATCTGGTGGCTTCCTTTGACCCCTGCCAGTTCTTACCTCGCTCTCGAGATTGAGGCAGCTGGCTTCAAGAAGATCGATGTCACACTCATGGTGATTCCGTCCGCCGTAATCTCCGTGATCCTGATGAGTTCCGTTACATTCCTCGCAGAGCGCACCAACCAGCGATTCCTATGGGGCGCCGCTGCCAATGTCTGGGTCTTGGGCATGCTTCTTGGTCTCTACTTGATTCCTCCGGCGCCCATGAAGTGGGTCCGCTGGACTCTAGTGACTCTCCTCGTCGGATGCCCCAACGTGCAGCCCGTCATGACCGCCCTGACCTCCCGAAATGCCGGCTCAGGACGCACCCGTACTGTCGCCCCTGCCTTGTACACTATGGCCAACCAAATCTCCAACATCGCCGCTGCCAACGTGTACCGCTCCAACGACGCCCCTTACTACTACAAGGGCAACAAGGTCCTCATCGGCTGTGTCTGCGCCACTATCGTTCTCTTCATCTTCAACAAGTTCTGGTATGACTACTGGAACCGCACCTACCGTGCCAAGTGGAATGCTATGTCCCACGAGGAGAAGGAGATCTACCTGCGTGAGAACCCCGAGCTCACCAACAAGCGACTGGACTTCCGGTTCGCTCCCTAGGCGGATCCAACCCACGCTCTTTTTCCTATACTCTCTACCGCATGAAGCGCACTTCGATTGTGGCGCACTCGCTATAGGCAAATACTCACCAAAACACCCAAAGAAAAAGAAGTCAAAAAAAAAAAACAAGCAAGCAAGCAACCCTATGATACCACGATCTACGAGCCCCGGCGGTCGTAATCTTAGCATTATCTTTGCATTATCTTTGCATTATCTTTGATATAGATCGTTTTCTATTTAATCTTATTTACGATGCTTATCACGTTCCAAACGTCTCATTTCACTCCGTTCCAATCTGATCGCCTACCAAATAAGAGGTCCACGCCCAAAACGCATAGAAGGCTCATAAACCTGCCCAAATAAGAAAAAGAGGTAGACCCCGCCCCCACGCGTGCCGCGCCAGCACCCGCAAACCCCCCAGGATCCACCGAAAACACAGCACGCCCCTCCATCAGACATCGACCGCGAATCCTTCAGTCCGGAGCCTACTGAATCAAGCAAATCCCTCCGTCTGCATGTCCCAGCGCAGGGATCCTCACAGAAGGATGTACACGTGCAAGCGGAGAGGCAAACGAATAAATCCAAGCTGCCCGGTGTCCGCCGACACACTACCTCAACTGGACGATACTCGTCTCACCCGCCAATAAAACAAGCCTTCTGACCAGATCGCCCGGTCCACCCGTGGCTTTTGTGGCTTTGTGGCTTCTTCATAACAAGCACTAACATACGAGAGTGGGGCACAGGATGGCCTAACGTTATTTCGGCCGCTCGTAAAGTGCAAACAGTGAGGGGTCCCCTCGATGCCTTTTTTTTTTTTTTTTTTCAGGCCCGCTTGTGCAGCAGCTTCCACTTGGGGCGGAAGCTGGAAGAGATTGCACATCCGGGCGCCGATGCAAGTCAGGTTTGGAGAATCCCGATCGTTTCATGCTTTTTGAGCTAATGGACTCAAAGTAGTCTGTTTGACGAGCTATGATAGGTGATCCGTGTTTGGCGGGTGATCCTTCTGGAGGTTACACGGAAGCTTCAAGGTGTTCTCTCGGGCTGGTTCTGGTGGAGATTGGATTAGGGGGAATGAGAGCTCGATGTTCGTTTCCATGGTTCGTGTGAGATATGATTTGATTTCTTGCTGAAGAGTTGTTTTGTGTTACGGTTGAGGTAGTGGCGAATGAATGCCGACAGCTTAGGGGATTTTTGGCCCACGGGCGATGAAGAAATGCGATCTCTCCGACGCGGTCGAAATGGTATCCCGGTCACGGGGATGTTGGATTTCTGACTGCACTACGAAGGTACAGCGAGGCGAGCCAGAGCCTGTTCTTCAAGACTATCTCATTTAAGTTTCTTGCAGGGATCAGGGCACTGTCGCTGCATTTTGGGCTTATCTTGCTCCCTGGCGTTGATGCCATGGCATCTCACGATATCGTGCAGTTCAAGTTGTACAATCTAATGTGGTTGACTAGGACAGCCATAGCTCGGAGAATTCATCGCTCATGATTGGACTAACGGGTTCCATCTCATCTCGATTTTGTCGCCGTCAACAGCACATATGGTGAAGATCTCTTTACTACCGGCCCTCATATCCTCGACAGACTGCGATACAAAAGTGCCATCTAACCATCTGAGATGAAAATGGGTACTATTTCCACCAGCATAGCTAATGTTTTGAGTCACCACGGCGTTCAAAATATTAAACGGTTCCTGGGCGGCTAGAACGAAGTTCATCTTCTGGCTTCCAATGAAAGTGTTTAGAAGGTGTACAGGTACTCTGGGCTTGAGGACTTCAGTGCCCTGTAAGGAGATGAGGCCTGTAGAACAAAACAATCAGCAACCGCAAGATCAATGTGGCCCACGCTTGCTGCAACGACAAAATGCCGGTCCTTCAGACAGGACCACAGGGCCACCGGTTGCATCTTCGAAACATAATTCATCAGAACACTCCGCTCAGCTTTTTCGGGCTTCCGGAGCATCGCTGGCCATGGCACCCTCCACCCTTGACTAAAATGCGACGGCAATGGCGAAAATAGCAGTTGATCCATACGTCCAACCATAGTACACGCTTTCGTATAAAGTAGCAACACTACCACGCCTGCATGACTCGAAGCTGAGAACCTCCAAAGCGATCACAGGAAAGCCCCAAGAACGTGCTGAAAACCCATAGCCGCAGATATGTGAGCTTCAGGCGTGGTCGTCTTGTGGAGGCGACTTCATATTAAGGGTATGGTCTCCTTTGCTTTGGGATCTCATGATCCAGGGATCTTGTAACATATATCAGACATAAGAAGGACTGAAAAGGAAACTTGAAAAGGAAACTAGAATTCTTGAGGAAGGGGGAAAAGGGACAATGCTTTTTTCAGCCTCAATGGGTAACAAAACGCCTCGTTGCTTTGACCTTCCGGCCATTTGGACATGCAGTACATCCGCAGGGACACAATGCCCTTCACAAAAATCACAAAAATCACAAAGCCACACCAACCACTCGACTCTGATTTACCCCTTTGCGAGATCAGACCAACAAGAACGTGGCTCTACTAGGAGTTTATCGTGAGCGCCCACGGCTCCAGCGGTTAGAGTGGACCCGGCCCACTTAATATCAGACCAACTCACGCTCGTTCCCTCTCCCCACTCTTTTTCTCCAACAACCAAGATGACCAGCCCATCAACGAAGCGTCTCCTCAAAGAGTCAACAGACCTCCACAAGAACCCAAGCCCTTACTTCACCGCATCGCCCACCAGCGACTCCAACCTCCACGACTGGCACTTCACCCTCGCCGGGCCCCCGTCTCCCAGCCCCTACGCCCACGGCCTCTATCATGGCCGGATCACCTTCCCGCCCGCGTATCCCATGCGCCCGCCCTCCTTTCGCTTCCTCACCCCCTCCGGCCGCTTCGAAGTAAACCGCGAGATCTGCCTGAGTATCTCCGGCCACCACGAGGAAACATGGCAGCCGGCCTGGGGCGTGCGCACGGCGCTGCTGGCCATCCGCTCGGAGATTATGAGCGGCGAGGCGAAGGGCCAGGTGGGCGGGATGGAGAGCAGCGGTGAGATCCGCCGCGAGTTCGCCCGGGAGTCGACCGAGTGGACGTGCCGCGAGTGCGGCAAGTCGAACGCTGCGATCATGCGCGAGCTGTGGGATGCGTGCCGGGAGCGCGGGGTGGAGGTCGACGTCGAGGGCCACGGGTCTTCCCAACAAGTCGCTTCTGCTACGGAGACTCCGTCAGCACAGAGGACAGAGCAGGACAAGGCTGGAGGGAATGGGGGGAAGCTCCGCCGCCTGAGGACGAGGCGGCCACGGCTGCGGCTACGGCTGCGGCTAGGGCTACGGCTACGAGCCCTGAATTAGGACATGGAGGTTCGCCTCAAGCTGAACCTTTACAAGGTGGCAAAACACAGGGTCCGACCGAGGAAGTCGATAATTTACCTTCCGTGGTCGCTGCGCCTGCTTCTGGGCTTGCGCTTTCACCTGGCGAGGGCTCGGAAACGGCCACGCGGCCTCAACCACGGCCGGCGGCGGCGGCGGCGGCGACTGCTGTTTCTGCGCCAGCGAGTAACCCTTGGCTTGATCGGGCTATCATGGCGATCGCCTTTGCGCTCATTGTGATGGTTTTGCGCAGAGTTTCTGACGTTAACGATTTATAAGCGCGGTTTTGGATGGTATCCAATGGTTTGTTATTTTTCTGTCAGCCTCATACTGCTCGGTGTTATTCTTTATAAGGCGTTGGGACTTTGGGGGAGATTAGCGTGAACTTCAACAATACATTGCTCATTATCAGGCGTCTACATAGTGCAGTACAGAGGATCTTGAGGATTCGAAATCGCACTGCGTCCATGGAAGATAAAGGGTGTACTCAATGCGATGACTGATTAGTAGATCGAAACTCCGAACACTTGAACTAATGTACATGGGCCATTCGACCGAGAAATGTCTTCCCTCATTACCCCCCGGCAAGCACATACCACCAAGACTCCGTGGTAGTCCAGCGAGCCTCGTCCCCCTCTCCACAACGACGCACAGCCCCAACCTTCACCATCCACTCCTCCAGCAGCAATGAGATCTCCCACGCGGAAAGTGTAGGCTTAATCATAGCAGCGATGTTTTGAGCATCAACGCCCGGCCGAAGGAGCACAGCACCGATGACGAGGGCCACGCATTTCTCCCACATTTCCCGCAGCAAACAGCCATGGATGTCAAACCAGAGCGGTATCTTGCGATCCGCCTGAGGCACAGGCGGCGGAGTATTTGAAACCGCCTCTTGAATGGGATTTCCCCAATAGTATGTCGGAAGCGGATGAACCTCAAGGTCGAAACGGAGCCTATTCTTATCCATCTGCCGAGTCAAGTACCCGCCATCTGTGAGGCCGAATTTCAACCGGGGAGGATCAACAGGGACGACTTCCACACGGTTGTGGGCGATAAGTTCCTCGACCGCCAGCGAATCCCCGTCGCTGGCATGGTAGCTAATTTTGATTGTCTCGCCTTTCTGGAACGCGGGGTCGAGGACATTTGCCTTGAAGGCCGCTGCTTGGCGCAGCTGTTCGCTGTCAATAGCACCGCGGCGCTCCAATGCGCGCGTGAAAGCGTCATGGGTGGTGTAGTTGCGGCCGGGAATGGGGCGGCCCTTGTTTGTACTCAGAAATGATACGGTCATTCAGCAGGGACTGGGTTGCTGGCTGGAGGTATGGTTGGAAGTTTTCGAGGGCATGGGCGGCTCTGGCTGGGTCGTACCGATCGTCTGGCGTCAGGACGTTGGCGCGGACCCAAGTCTTAGCGACCTCGAGATTAGCCACATTTTGTTTCTGTTGAGGTACGGGTTTACGGGGCTGTTCCACAACGAACGGGATGCGGGTCATTAGATGGCGTTTGTTCAGAATGGTGGTGCCGGTTCCGGTGAAGAACAGTTCGTGACTGACATCTGTCACATCTTCCCGTAGTTGGAACACACTGTCGAATTGTTTGCGGGTTGCGGGGAGAGTGGGTGCTTTCTCTGATGTGGAAAACTCCAATTCGATGGTCGCCCACTCGACCACGGTTGACCAGTCGTATCCCGGGAGATCATCGTAGTCGATAGGGGGTACGGCATCCTTTTCGTAGGCCTCGAGGAACAGCTCTTGGAAGTCACGCTGCATCTTCAGAATCTCCATCCGGTTCCGGGCAATGATGGATTTTCCATGCACCTGGACAAATTCCAAGTCAGCTTTGGGGAAAGCCTTCTGCACTAGCTCCCACTCGACTGTTTTCCCTTCGTTTCCACCAGCGAGCGTTCGGACAACAACGATAGCCACCATGAACTTCCGGATTGTACTATCGGGGAGCGTGGCAAGGACCCGAGGGCGACGGGGGGCCGGCCAGCTTTCTTGAATCTGATAACCATCGCTGGTTTGGATGTTGGCCGAGAATTCGAATTGCCCACCATATGTTGCATTGGCGGGAAGAATAGTCCGGTACTTCCCACCTGGAGGGTGTCTTGGAGTTGTTTTCGAGTACTTCTCCGCATTTTAGGTGTAGCAATAGCAGGCTCACTAGCGTAGAAGCGAGAGCGCGGTTCAATCGGAGCTGCCTGGAAGCACCTTGGATCAACTGTGAGGTCAATAAAAGGCATACCATTCAGATCCGCATTAAAGACGTCTTCATAGAAGACTTCCCATTTGGAAACCTTATCAACGGTCTGGAAAAAGGTGTAATTTCGCTCCGCGGCTGCGTCTTCTGGGTTGGAGCTATTCGGCTGTGCCTTGCCATGAATTGTCTCGATAAGACCCAGCAAGTCATCCATGGCAGCTTCTGGATCAGACGAGGTAAAGAATTTGGCCTTTTTGCCTTTCCGTTTTTCGCTCATGACAGCCCTCGTGCCGAATGTTCCGTTGGTCGGGTCGAAGACCTGATCGGGATTCATCATCATGGCCATAGGCCCAATGGTCGTCATTGTCTTGTTCAGACGCCTGGAAATGGCAGGGTTGTCTTGGTATCTCCACGTATTAAGGCCCATTCCAATCGGACGGTTCAGGCTCATGAGACGCCGGACGCCGGACCCTTGCGCTTCAAAAATGGCATAACCTTCCATTTCCATGGCCAACCGCTTTTGAAGCTCCCGCTCCAGTCTCTGTGCTTTGCGCTTCTCTTCAATGAGAACAAATGCAGGCTTCCTTTGTATTTGGACAGTGGCGTGGGAGATCACAGGTAACACTTTCTTAATTTGGCCTCCCTTCAGCGGGCTGTCGGCATGTCGTGTGTTCTTCCGCATGGGCGCGCTTGTGGGAACCTGTGGAGAGAAAATATGGCTTGCATCTACGCGGTCATATGACAGGAGCTTCTCCTGCATCTCCTTGACAATCGGATCGTCGGTAGACATGTCGGGCTTCAGTAAAAGGTCCTTTGTGACCATGACGCCTTTCGGATCCTTGCCGCTAAATGTCATTCTTCGGAGTTTCCCAGAATCAACAAGCTGCTTGACTGCCACCCTTATGGTTCTTGTATCTGGTCTCTCCTTGTAATTCAACTCGGACCATTTTGATGTGAACGGATACCAAATTTCATTACCTGCAGGGTATGCACCACCTGCCGCTTCGACAATTTCCATGACTATATTTCGTCGCAGGATATTGACTGTTCCACTCCTCTCGGTCAATCCATGTGGCCGTGTAGAAGCAGATGATGCTCGCTTTGCGGGTTTACGCCCGATAGATGGTATACCTCGCACTGACGGAGATTTTTGTTTCGGAGTGTCCGCCTTTGGAGGTGGAGGGGGCATGAGCTGGCTTGCATCACCTTTCCCTGCTAAACTTGCGGCTGGATTCATCGATGGCTTCACGCGGCGACGCTTATTACTTCCCTCATCAGGCTCATCAAGTGAATGCGTCCGTGCGCTCTTTCCGTTGGCTGGGCTGCTCGGTTGAGGGGAGGTTGCAAGACGCAACGAGACCGAAGCCTGGGAATCTGTTGCAGCGGCATTTGCGGCAGCTTTGGCGGTACGAGCACCTCCCCTACGCTTTGAAGTAGTTGGTGCGTCTGTGGAATCTGGGGTCTCAGTCATCTCTGGTACAGACTTCCTTCTTTGGTTCTGCACCAGGCGGCCCTCAGCTTCAGCTCCAGTCCCGGACGACCCAGGTGACACGGGGCGCTTCGAGACAGATCGTCTGCGAGGAGCAGCAGTCGATTCGATTCGAGGGGCATCAGACATAACGTCTCTGTCTGGCATTTGCGCCTCTCTCTCATCACCACTCGGGTTGTCCTCATCGCTGGTGAACCACGGGAGCTCAGCCAGCTTGGGAGATTTGAAGATAGCAATCCTACTAGCACGCGGGCGACCTCGTGCTTTTCCCAACGGGTCGTCTGCGGCCAGTGGGTGTAACATACACGCCAGGCGTCGGTTTGTCCATGACCAAAGCGCTGTACTCCGTCCAACTTTCATCCATCCCCATGGCCTCGAAACGCTCTTTTTGAGGCAAGTGTGCGATATGTGCCCATTTACCTTTTTTCCGAGCAGGAATGGTGGCTTCCGAGTCGCGGACGCGAGTACACTCTCCACCTTCTTCCACTTCCGGGGTCGCCACAGCTACATCACCTGCTTCAGGTGATGTAGCTGTGGGCTCAATGGAATACATCCGTTTTCTCTTCGGCGCCCTCGGTTGTTTGTTTAATGAGCCCTTCGGGCGACCAACCCCATGAGGTTTGATGGAGAGATATTGTGTGCAGCCAGGCGGGGGTTTGCTTCCAGATGCAATACCTATTTCCGAGTTAGGGAAAATTTTCTCGCAGGGGCTTAACCTGCATATCCGATCGAGAGATTCTCGAAGAACTTACAGTAAGAGCCATCTGGCTTGAGGAACGGCATAGGGTCTTTCCTAGTCAGGCTGTAGTCCGTTGGCTTACAAACTGCGAGACCTTCAAATAGGCTCACGTTGCCATTCTTCTGCAGGCCAAATGGAAGAGTCCGAGGAAGCCCATGCTCGTCCAGATCGACGGGGGCATCGATTGCTGGGATAGGAGGGCCGGAGGGCTTGACCTTGTCGGATGAGCAGACGACTGCTTCCCAGAACGCGGTGCCATTTTCGACACGCTTCTCGAAGTGGCGGAAAGAGTAATGTACATAATACAGAATGGTCTTTTGGACGTCCGTATCGCGCACGATGGAAAAGTGACGAAGTTGAGGGGGTTGGGAAATCTGCCAGCAGTTGACGAGTCGGGACACCAAAGCTTCCGCTGGTCTCTTATAGAAGTGGCCATACAAAGCGCGATTGAGTTGCTTCGTCGACATATGTTAGTTGGCTCTTTGATACTTAGTGGCTAGTTTTCTTACCAGGTTGGTGATTCCCGCGGTCCCCGCTTTGTCGACGATCTCGAAGATCTGGTTGCACATATTGCGGTCTGGCGTCCATGATGGAATAATACGCCCCCGCCAACGACATGCCCTTTCTCTTGAATGACAGTCTGATTTTCAGATTGGTCGCCTTGATTGGCAGAACCTCCAGGCCCCAAATCCTCATCGTCTTCCATATCAGCTTCGCCTGCCATGCTTCGGCTTAGGGCGTCTCGGGAGTACTCGTGAAACATCTCGAGGTCGAGCGGAGTAGGATCACGGAGAAGCCTCACGCAGGGGTGGTATCTTGAGTATTGGGATTTCGCCCTCACCCGCTGGAGAACCCCAATTCGCTCGAACTTGCGGAGTGCACGGGACAGGATTCTCCAGTGCCAGAGATCTTCAAACCCTAAAGCTTCCTTGAGGTCATTGCGACTGATTAGGCGAAACTCCTTCAGCGTTTTGAATAAATTGTCGGTGAATGAATCAAAGTCCATCATCACACGTTTCTCGCCCGTTGAGTCGTCTTGTTCTTCCGTTGCGGCGTTCGCGAACCTGCGGGCGATGCAAAGGCTGGTTCGTGAACCTCGGACTTGAATGTTGCGTTTCTCAATGTAGCCTTTTCGCTGCAAAGCGTCGGTTCGCTTAGGAACAGACCGCTTGTCTTGACCACTACGCCGGATCAGCTCCGTCTGTGGAATTCCATCGGCTTTCGCGGAGGCAATGATCGATAGCAAGCCATATTCGGAGCTCGGAACCCTGGTCTCGTCGGGTTCATGCCCGGTAACTGCAAGCCATGTCCGTTTCTCAGAAACAAACATTCGAACTTCTGGAGCAGATGGAATAGGTACGGGAGGAAGTTGGTCAGATATGCCCGGATCTTGGCCGTTCTCTTCAGGCTCATCAGTTGCTGCAGACTCGGGCACCTCCGCTTGCAGCTTCTCCAGGTCTTGCAGGGTCAGATGGTTAAACTCTTTATTTTTGCCCACTGAAACCTCTGGATTGCGCGTAAGCCATGACCAGACCTTGCCTTGAAAGCGGCGGTCGACATTTTGATGCGAGTGCTGATCCTGATCATGTGCAGGACGGTAATAATCATCTATCGCTTGTAGAAAATCGGATAGGGTCGCGCCTGTTTACTCGTTAATTGTCGATGATGAATTGCAATCCCGAGCTTCAGGTGAAGCTATACATCCGGAATAAGTGGGTCCTGAGCCACGCGTACCTTGACTGCCACAGAGAGCGACCTCGTTCAAAACAAAGTTAACTAACCCTTGTAAGCTGCGTACCATGATTAGGTCATCGCAGTATCAGGTTAGCGGTAATAAAATAAATTGCGCATAGGGAGGGTGCTCCGAGAAGGGTTTAAGCGAGGGATGAAAATTTGAGGGGAAAAAGCGGCGGGTGTGGTTCGAACAGGCGTCACTTCAGATTTTGCGCTTATCGGAGGTGGATGATGCTATCATCACGTGATCGTTTTTCTTCATCGTACACAGCGGACGCAGTAGTTGATCCAGAGAAGTGCTATCTGCGTGTATGTCACGGAAGCACCGGCCTTTGAAGTTCTATGCACTCAATAGACTCTTCTGACTCGAAAAAAAATACGTTTTGCTGTATTATATGTACATTCCCGTGACTCTTTTGGCAATGCTTCTGCAGCTTCAGCATCGAGCACTTGACTTTGACAGCTACATATTGGTAGCCTGGTATCGGTTCCTTGTGAACATGATGGACGCCTACTCGCATCAGATTTCAAGATTCAGATGGTACTGGTCAAACCCGCCAATTGCCGATCGAGTCATACCATTCGGTGTTTATCTACCCTAGGATCTCCGACTTAACGCATCCCAACTGGATGAACGGGTCTCTCCAATAGAAGCAGCTACCACTAGTAGTAGTAGTAGGTATAGCATACAAGATCTACAATGGACAGCTTGAAAGACTATCTACCGGGTTGATCTCTATACCAATTATCTTTAAAGGGGTATCCAAGCAGACCTCGGGTCAACATGGCTAAAACGAGAAACATAGTTAACTAAACCGAATGCCGAGCCGCTGAGTCAGCAGGCCCCGTGGGCCCAGATATGATTACTGGTTGGTCACCTCTTCCATTAGACAAGGAGAACCTGTATGGTCTATGTTAATATTAAAATCTGCTAGCCTTGTATCTAAGCTACTGAGTCTCTAGGAACTCTAGAAACGTGCTAACTCATCCATCCGGGCATATATTCCCTCGACATCTGCACTTCTACTGCACGGCGGGGTCAACTTGGGCTCGGCAGATCGGCGGGAACTGTTTGGTCGGGATTCGCGTCCGAGTGGGATTGGAGTTCGGGTTTTCGCTTTTCTTGGTCCTAGCCCTTTATATCCTGTTTCCCCGTCCAGTAGTGCAAGGGACACTAACAACAAGACAGCCCTCACTAGACGCAGGGATGTGGGGGGATACGAATTGATTTTCTGGTTCCAACCAGTATTAGCTTCCAAACTTTCAGAGTCAGGATAGGACCGAGGAACAAATAAAACAAAATCCAAAGATAATCTCGGATGGCTTCGCAGGAGTGGGTATCTCATAATGCTCAGCATCAATTCTAGTCTAACCAGAAATTTACATGTTGATGCATAACCGCATCATAACCTGGCTATGCAGATGACATCACGGGCGACTGTCGATCGGGTACTTGCTCCCACGCCTGCTTAACTATGGGAAGCGGAAGTACCCGAGTACTCCGTCGTTTCCGGTGCAGCCAAGGTCTCGTTTTGGGTTTAGTCTGCGATTGTCACTCGCGGCCTTCTTTTCCTCTCGCCCCTAAGTCGATTCTTCGATTCTGTTGATAGAATCTTGTGCTGGTGAAGCCATGTCTGGCTCTTCTGCTGTTCCTAGCCGCCGATAAGGAAAAATTTGCCATTTGCCATTTGCCATTCGCCATTCCTACTCTCAGCCCCGAACCCCTGTACCCAGAGCCCACGGGCTCGCCACCGCGCTGATGGAGGAAGGAACCGGTCCGCTACAATCAGAGCCTCCTCCACTTCCCTATACTCTTCGCACTCGCAAGAAGTCCATCGCCCTCTTCTGGACCATCTTCGTCATCGACACACTAGGCCAGCCAGTCGCTCTTTACTGGGGGTTATGGTACGGCACGAACCTTTCTCATAACTTGGGTATGTTTGGCTATCTCGGGCCGCGAAATCATGTCTATACGCGACGGTCGCTAATAACCAAAAAGTCTTCTCTATCGTGACGGCATGTCTTGGAGGTGTCTCAGTCTTTGAATACTTCTTCCGTCTGTATAACCTGTTACGCAAAGGATCGCGCGCGCGACCTTTGAACGCGCGGGAGGGATGGGTATGTTCCAATGGCGATGGACAAGTTCGACAGGCGCTAATTCTGCTCAGCTGGACTTTTTTCACATCAACTTCACCATAGTATGGCTGATTCTAGCCGTTGAGCTGATCGTGTAAGTCATTATTCCTTCATTTGACAATCCAAGTAAGATCATGCCATGCTAACAACACTTGCAGAGGAACAGTTCCTGAAGAGCCTTACGGTAGGATCTCCGAGCAACCAACCCTTCCAAGCAAAGCCCTTCTAACATATCACAAGTGCGTCTGGTCGCAATGGTTCTCCCAACCGTCATGTTTTACTTCGGCTTCGTCCACCTTTCCCTCGATATCCTCCGCATGTGTCGGAAAAAGGCGCCTTTCCGTATTTCCTCTACACCCAAGGGATCCGTAATGCCGACCGCATTATACGCATTGATCGAAGATGTGGTTGCTGTGGATGGCGGAGGTGGACAGATATACCGCTATGCGCTGCGGACCCGATACCTCTCGAGCCCATACTTCCGCCGAATGCTCTTCGAAATGAACTGTTTCTGGAGTGGAGGATCGATTATCTGTGCCGGAGCCATTACCGCCATTGTCTTCACTGTTGAAGAATCGGTCGCATTCACTGTATGTTTGACATAAACATAAACCCCTGTTGAATCATGCTGACGTCACATGGCAGCTGGGCTGGGCCCTTCCATTCGCCTGGGCGGCTGTGTGGACATTAATCACTATCCCGTGGGTTCAGAGCGACCTGCGCCGCGAGAAGGAGAACTGGAGTCAGAACCGCGATCAAGGCGGCATTCCATGGGTGGATGACATTGACGCTCCTACCACTCGAACTCGGCTTGAATCAGTGCATGATCGTATTCCCAGCCTTTTCCCGTGGAACCGTGAGAAGAAGAGCGCTCCTTCGACACCCTCTGCGGATGGTGCGGATGGTGTTCAAAAGTCAGAAATTCAGCCCGATGTCGGAGCTACAGCAGCTGCGCGCGACCAGGCTCCAGAGGGTATTTCCGGCAATCCAGCACCCGCCGCAGCCGAGGAGCCAACGACTGAAAAAGCAGCTGAGGCGGCTCATTGAACCCATCTTGTAAGATTAATGAATTCATGATTTGTTTTTGGCCTACCCAGATTGGTGAACAGATGGTCCTTTGGATATGCTAAGGTCCATAGGACTGGACGCGAAGTGTTTACCCGACCGTCATCTGTTAATGCAATTAATATTGGCATAGATGACTTTACATTCCCTGTTTCCTGTCTTGCATATACCCGAGCAGTATGGAGTGGTATAATGTACACTTCAAGTTTGTTAGAAAACCTTGTGTATTCAATGTGTCCTCAGTTGATTACAATTCAATCATACGCTGATAGCTTCTTACAGTAACGTAAATTATATACTCTTTGGAGTAAGTAGGACAGGAAACCCTGGTGGACACATCCAAGATCTGATACATTCCATTTGTCAGACTAAAGAAGGATGCCAATCAATGAGATTTGGAGTTTCATCTGAATATAACCTTTGTATAGTGACTGGAAACAAATCGGGTCAAAGTCAAACTGCCTAATTAAGTGCAGCTGTAGTAGCCGCTCAAAGACAAGTGTTGCCGCCTAAATTGCCGCCTACGATCTGGTGGCTATAGGCAAACTTTTCGACAGGCGTTCTGTAAGCAGGTGTAGCTGCTTGTGTGAGACGACGAATATGGACTTTGAATAAGCTCCTACCGGGGTACGGGTAAGGGCCAGTTTCTTGCGGTCATTTCCTTGATTTATTCCTGTTCATGTCAGACTCTGAGAAGGCTGAGAACTCTACTACAAGCAACTTACACAAGCGTTCTTACGGAAGCGTTGTCAGAACCCTCAAATTCAATTCGGGGCCTTGGGGCCTCGCTCGTGTCAACTGCTTAACCTGATCATCATTAGTTGTAGAGCACGGTCATCGACTTGTGTTGGATAATGATATCTAGTCCAACCAATGCCGGCTTGTCAACCACTTTGAAGCTGTGAACTAGTTAACTTACGCCACACTAGGTATGACTAAAACACTCATCTCAATGTTGCCCAGGATCTTATTATTTAGTTACTAGAAATAAATGACCAGGCATTCCTTTTGGCAATATTTGAAGAAGAAATAGCTCCCAATATCAAACAGATGGCTTATCCCAGGATCTCGAATGGCAGATGATAGTCGAATTATTCTTGGACACTTTTATACAGCCCCGGGCCAGCCATGATCCACTGGCGTTCCTCTCTGCCTCTGGGTTCAGCGATAGTGAACATCTATTCTTGAGCCCCTAACGCATCGTAATAGCTTGAAGCTCTCCTTGGCGAACTCTCTTTTGAATTATTTCAAGATCAATAGCAACTGGCTGAACCAAGGCCTGCAACATTGGCCTGGCCACTTGGTACGGGCGAAGGCCCTTGTTTATTATCCTAAAAAACAGTTTTGAGAGACCACCCACCACATATCCCACGGGCCAACGCAAATGCAATAGCAGCTGCTAAGTAGAGAGTTCCACCAAACACAATTAGCCCATAGAAATCTCCGCCATCATGCTGCTGTATTGCGCCCGAAATTGGGATACCGGTCAGCACACCAATGCTGGCTATTGTGAAGGTCGTGCCATTTCTCTTGCCGTAATCCTCCGTAGAACACACTTGCGATATGCACACCGGTGTAAGGCTGATAGCTGCCCCGCTCCAAAAGCCATAGAAAACCGAATAGCAGATGATCGCAGCCAAATTGTCTCCGGACTTGAGCCATAGAGATAATGTCAGAATGGCGCAAATGAACGACGTTAAGACCATCACGTTGAATCGACCGACGCGGTCGGCTATGAGACCTGGGAGGAAACGACCTGGAATGGCCCCCAAATTCAAGAAGACGATGAGGAGGTAGCTCAACGTACTTTGCACTCCGACGTGTACGCCATACGACGCGATATACGTGTACGGAATGAAGACCGCAAATTCAACCAAAAATACAGCCGCTGTGGTTGATGCATATTTCATGTCTCTTAAAGCACTGAAATCGATGGAAGCGCCTTTCTTCAGGTTGCCCGGTAGTCTAGTCTTCAGGAGTAGACACGCTATGAAGCAAAGAACAGCACTTATGAGTGCGATGATGCGGATGGCCCAGCCAAAGCCAATCTTAGGGGCAGCAAAAAGGATGATCAGTGGAAAGACAGCACCCCCAAATCCACCTGCCGTGCAAGCGACGCCTGTAGCAAAGCCGCGACGAGCTTTGAACCAGTGGCCAACTGCTGCCACTGCGGGCGTGAATAAGGTACAGGCAGAAAGCCCGCCAAGCACGCTGAAGGAAAGAAAGATCTGGTAATACTCTGGACGAAAGCATCAGCATTAAAGCAAACACATCCCCAATGGTTGACCTACGTTCGCTGAAACTCAAGCAAATTATGGCAGCAACTATCCCGATCGACCCTGGAATGATGATATAGTTCGGGCCATAAGCGTCGAAAATTGGACCTGGTCGCAGCAGTCAGTGTATCCTTCGAATAACACAGCTTTGGTATTTACCTGCTTGAGCGCCTGCTGTGTAGAGAAAAAATGCGTAGCAGCCAAAGATCCACCCAATGCTAAATTGAGAGTAGTCTTTCAGCTGGTGCGTGCTTGTCCACGCGTGTAGCACTCCGATGGTGTTCACCAGCCCCATTGCAGGGACCATCGCACACCAGGCACCAAGAACGACGCTCCATGCTTCCCATCCACCCTCGGGGTAGCTTTCCGGATCCAGAGAAAGATCTGATGTAGTGCTGTCTTCGATGACACTCGGATCAGTCTGTGCCTCCTTCGACATTGCCCAAAAAACGAATCGCCCAAAATGTCGGGGATGGGAATTACCTGTGGGATATGAGATGATCTTCGAGTTTAAATATGAATGAGATTCTTCAGCTCCCCACCCTCGAATTCGGTGGATCTACTCATTATCTGCTAATCAGTTCTACCCCGATACCCCAAGAGCTAAGAGGTAATGGGTAAGTGCCGGAGAAATCACGTTCTGATTGGTGGAATCAAGCGAGCCGACGTCGCTCGTCACTCGATTTCTAAGGACGTCGGCCAGCATTCTCCCTTATTCGTTCATTTTGTCAGTGGGGAAATATATTCACCAATTGTAGAACTGGACGTGACGGGTCCTTATCAAGTGTCGGCCGTTCTCGCGCGATCGAATCACTTTTGCACTTTCGCCGGCCATAACCGGCGAATGGACCAACATCTATACGCATTTCGTTCGCCGATCTGTACATCTCGCAATTTGCATATGGAATCTATCAGCCGGATCACTCGAGGTCGCCCAACTGGTAGTATCTCCATACGCCTCATCTAGCGACTCTTCAAGCGGGTCTACTCTATTTGCATAAGTCAGACGAGACACCCCAAAGCTTTCTTGCAGATATGCGTGTGGAGACAAATACTCCGAATTCAAAGCCACGGCTGCGGCCTCATAGATCTAACATTGATACATCTCGATGGGCTTCATTGGCGCGGTCTATCGCGGAATTTTTTCCTCTCGCAACACGTCAAGGAAGCTCTTGGAGGTCCTATCGAGCCTTACGATCGGATATGAGTCCTCTGATCCCATGTCGCATTTTTCAATCACACTCACGCTCTACAAGATGCCCTACCAAGATCCTAAGTTATAGAACCTTGTGGACACTCTTTCCGGCTTCCGGGAAATAAATATAACATTAGTCGCCCTCTCGCTCAGGTTGCGTTTCGGTGCATATAGATATCCCGTACAACCTTGCAAGCTCCAGAGGCTCATCTCAACCGTCTCGGCAAACAGCATCACCAATCGCCTTCAATCTTTCCAGTAGTATTGCGTTACAAGACCTGATACAATGACAAATGTACAACATGAATTGAGTGGAAAGGTATCCTCAGCAGGGCTTTGTGTAGCAACAGTTCCGCCCAAAGGCATCCAGCTAGCCCTATATAAAAGTCTCGATAAAGGACCTCGATACCCGTTCCGACTATACGAACCAAAAAGCCCGTACCCCAATATTCAATCATTGCCACCAAATCAGCCCGGGAAAAAAAAAATGCTCTTTCTGCTCCTCTCCCTCCCAATCCTCACAACAGCAGTCACAATCCGCAACTACAACCACCCAAACTGCCAAGGCCGCTACGAACAGTGCAGCGACATCAACGAGAATGTCTGCTGTGACCGCGCTGCCGGACGACCCGGCCAAACTGATACGAGCTTTGGGTCCAGCGCATACAATAGTCTCCCCGCCGCCGGGCTCGGCCTCTCGTGCCAGACACTCGGCCGGAGCCAGCACTGCGGGCAGGTTGTCGATGCATCCTGGGGCGACAGTGCGTGTGCCGGCCGGGGAGGGGAATTGACGGGGTCGTTTTGGTTTACCTGTCAGGGGTGTCCGTTTCAACCAGCTGGGGGAAGTCAGAATGGGACTAGGGGGCCTGTCGAGGGAGACTCAGAGGCTGTCTATGTGTCCATGGTGGAAGAGGGAGTGAGACGTGCTTGGGAACACGAGATTGGTGCGGTGAAGCCTGATGTGGTTGGTATTGATGGCCGTGCGTTCCGGGTAAATTATGGTGTGCCTGAGCATGTTACGAATGAGATTTATGCTGTTTTTGAAGATATGAGCCTGGGATATAAGAACTTCCCAGCCGATGTGATGGAATTTGAGATTTTGCCTATGAGCGATTATGAAGTCGGTGTTCAAAGCACGGGGGGTTACTGCCACCGTCGCTGCGGTAAGTTAACGATGGATCGGAATAACGTAGTTTGTTGTGAGAAACGCAAAGCCTTCACTCCCTCTATGAATGTAAACCAGTATAAATGAAACGAGATACAACAAATATCACAAGAAAAGGAATGAAACTCGCCTCATACTTCTAATATGGAGGCCAAAGCAGGACAAATCAACGCCTATATACGGTCCCGTTGCACATAGAGGGTATATCGGAGAAAGGAGTTAGCTGTTTAAAAAAAAGAAGGAACAATGTGCTTTACATGAGCTGCGGTAAGAGGGAGACAGCCACAAGGAGATAGCAGGAGGGGGGGGGGTTCCGGGTAAGAGTAAGTGAAGAGTGGGTTATTAGGATCAACAGCAGGGTCGGTTTGAGAGGAGAAGCAAAGGAGGTCGGTGATTATTTGCGGAAAGTAAGCTTTCGCCCAATATTTCGGATTGTCCGTTTATGGCTGTCATATATGTTAGCGCTGGGTGAGACTAGCCCTTGCAGTCGAACTCACGAATCATCGCGTTCTGTCCCATTAGACTCCACGGTGGTCATTGTATGGCCGGCAGCAGTCATGGGTCTCCCAGAATTGACATGGCGACGAGACTCCTGAGAAGAACGTAAAAGTTAGCATGCAAGCCCGGGTGAGCTTATTCGGCATGACACGAACCTCCCAACGAGAATCCACATCCACTTCATTAGCGGATCGGGAGTCCGAGATCGGCGGGTCATCCTCTTCGGTATCATTGTTGCCCCGTTCCTCCGAGTTGAAGGAAACAGATCGTGCCAGTGGCGAGGCATTTGATTGCATTGATTTGCGCGAAGGATCAGACACTTCGCTATTGGAGTCCGGGGTGGCCAAACTGCTAGAGTAAGAAGGGTTCGAGGTCGGTGGGTTTTGTGAGCTGGGAAGAAGCTGAGAAGAGGAAGCAAGTTCACGCAGCCGCTTCTGCTGTTGTTTTGAAGGACGATGATGAGAAAATTTGTTTCCGAGAATGGCAGGGGCATGTGAAATGAGCGCCTTGATAACGTCCTTCTTCAGGCGTAAGGCGAGATCCAAGTTAGACCATGTCTTGTTACTGTACTCCAGAACTGGCAGGCGGAAGACAAAATTGTGCAAATCTTCGATGTTGTGTTCGCCCTTTCCTTTGTAGCTCATGCAGATGACAACATCATGGACTTTAACACGCGCCAGAGTCATGTAGTTCGATGCTCGCGACATCATTTGGGACAGATCGTCAGTAGGCTCTTTTGATTTGCCGCTCTTGGATCCCTTGACGCCGAATCTCTTCTTCTCCTCGTTCATGCTTACACTAGAGAGCGATCGCTCCGTGGGTTGTTTCGTCAGAGTCATACGAAGACTGTCTCCCGATTTCTTCTTAGACAATCCACCAGTAGTCGCAGGACGTGGCAGCTGCCTAGAAGAATCGTTTACCCCCAGTCGGCTATTTGGCCTATGAAGAGGGGTCATAGCAAGGCCTCGTGCATGACTGGAACGCCGGGTCTTTGATGACGATCGACCTTGTTCTGAGAGCGACAAGGTGGGCTGCAGTCTCAACTCAATGGAGCCAGGGCCTTGCGATCCTTGCAAATCATCCATTGACACATTATCGCCGTCAGTGCTGATAGAATATGACATCGAGTTATCATTTGAATCCTCATCATCGGCTTCGTCGTCGGACCTGTCAATAGTCTTCACATTCTTGATCATCAAGGGGAGAAGCCGCCGCTCTCAAATGCTCCCGCACCGACGTTTGGGAAGATGTATTCAAAGAGTTTCTGACCGAGTTCACGCTCCAATTGAATCTTGAGCGGGAAAAGCGAAACTTCAAAGTCATCAACAACTGGGATCCCAGCCACAGCTTCCAGCTTGTGCCACTTGACTCGAAGCATGGGCTCATCCAGAGGTCGCGGTTGATCGAAGTATGGGGCGATGATCTGAGGATAAATAGCATCAGGAAGCAGATTCAAACCACTCAGTCGCTCGACGGAAACTAAATTATAATTTGACCCGTCGGCGTTATCTGTCCGCTCATATTGGGCATTCTTAAGCTGGAACTCCACCAGGGGTGCAGACATCTCCTTCATCAAGTGCCACACGACTTCGCTCGCGGAGATGCTCCAACGTAGCACACCATTTGTTGACGCACTCGGCTCCACCCGTCGCTGCTGGGAGGTAGTGATGGCCTTCATCATGAAGAAAAGCTCATCTTCGCACTGCGCAATGTCGCGCTCCAGAGCCAACCGGTCTTCCCAGCCTTGCTTGTCCAGGTACTTGGCATTGATCTGGAAGTACTCTTTGATGTCTTCCAGTTGGCGGATACGGGCTTGCAGCCTAAAGACTGCTTCAGGGGCGCCGCGAAGATCGCTGAAGTCAGATGTGAGCATGATCTTCTCCAGACGCTCGTTCCGAACCTTCTCGAGTGGTTCACTGTAAAGCATAAGATCCAAAGCAATGATGTACATAGAATAGTACTCCGCAGAATCACAAATAGCACGGAAATGGGGGAAATCGACGCTGATTTGGTCCATTCGAGGCTCTTCTTGTGTACTGTGATCGCCCTTGCCGACCTCCTCGTTGTACTTCAGACGGAGATTGTTGTATTTGTCGTAGCGAAGGCTAGCCGATGTTTTCTGGATGATCCTTGAGAAACCAAAGGGATTGAGTTCAAAATCAAACATCGCTTCCAAAGTCAACCAAGGAGGCCATGCGGACCCTGGCACATTGCCGTACTTGTTACCCGCGTAGAATTGCAGATTTGCCATGAGATTCTTCTGCGTTGCAACAAAGAACTGAGCGCCGTCCATGTCTAAAGTAAAACGACGTTGAACAAGGCCGCTGACATCATCTGTGACACGTTCCTTGTCCATGATAGACACAACCTTAAGCTCCATTGATCTGGCGGCGACAAGAACCACTGCTTTCTTGTTCTTTTCGCTAAGGAGCTGGATTTGAGGAGCAATGAGACGCAGATGATAGCTGTTTTGGGGCGTGAACTCAGGCGCAATATTCTCGCTGGAATCGTCCGAATGCTCCGGCGTTTGATTGCTAGACTCCGCCGCCTGATCGCTCTCTTCCGCATTCACATATCGCTTAGCATCGTTTAATAGCTGCTCGATACGGTCCTCCACGTTTTCATCGTCATTATCGCTGCGAGTTTGTGACTTGGACACCTTCGGGTTCTTCCGCTTGTTCTTGTTTTGCTCTTCCACGATATCAAGGATGAACTTGACAGCTCGTCTTGACATGTAGTAGACAAAGCCTCGTCGTTGACTCACTTGATGACTGTACCGCAGGATGATGTTTCGCAGAGAGTTGTTCCACTTCAATTGCACGTTATGAATCATGAATCGATTGTTGAACCCGCTGTTGAACTCGTCATTGGCAGCGGATGAGTAGATGCCATCGGCACCTGCAGTTGTCGAGTCCGTATCGAGACCTAGTTTGGAGGATGTGACACTCGGTGCAGAGTTGGTACCCATTCTGCTACGATGAGGTGAACGCTCGTCGCGGGCTAGAAGTTTCTCCAGCCGGGTAAGGGTAGATTTCAGGAAGTTTCGCCTCCTGATGAGCTGATCAAACTGAGAAACATAGACTCCGTGATCCTCCTTCAAGCTTGGATCTTGATCAGCTTCGTTCGTCAACTTAGTTTTCTGCTCTCCAATGATTCGCTCGTAGTTACGAATCAGAGCATCCACTGTGGCAAGGCGGTCCTGGACTAATTCGATTTGCACACGACGAGGATCATTGGTCTCAGACATGACACATTCATGAGTGGGCTCGTAGCCAAATGTGCTGTATCCGGTCTCATCTGGGCCGATATCTCCATGGTCTGTTTGGCGGAAATAGGTGAAACGTGGCGTAAAGGCAAGAGGTAAGATCTGCGTGCGCGGGTTTGATTCTTGTGGAAGGATCCAGTCGGGCTCGACGAAATCATCCATATCAATCCAATCGAGATTTTGATCAGGAATGTTGAATCGCGAAAGGTCAACAGAGGCCACGGGCTGTTGGAAGGTTGAAATAACGTCATCCTTGTTCTTTTCGACATCTTCCGCTGACGTGCCTTCGATCTCAGCGGAAACAGCTCTAAAATCAGCAGATTGAAGATCGATCAATGCTTGATTTATGCGCATGGCACTCGTTTTGGTTTGCCGAGAGCGTCCTCGAGCCTGGGTTCTAATTTGCTCACGTCGCTGATGAATGTCCAGCTTCAGGCAATCAAGGCGAACCTTCAAACCAGTAGCTGTCACGGCATCCTCCGCATAATCTTCGCGGTCCTTGTGCTTGTAGATATGGGCGAGGAATAGAGGGGCGAGAAGGATCTTGTATTTGACCGTTGCCAAATGTCGACTAAACTTCTTACTCGTTTTGGTGACGCCCGGCCAGAGCGGCCCCTGACGGACAGGAAGAGACATGACTCCCGAGAAAAGAGACCACCAGTTGAAGAAGTGTGTGAAGAATCGAGGGCTTAAATGGGTTGTGTTATAGCTCGCTGATGGTTGAATACCATCAATAGACCAATCCCTGGTATGAGGAGCGATGACAGAGATAGAGAGATGAATGTGATTACTTCGGAAGCCGCGGTATGCATCATAGCTCTCCTTTTCCTCTGGGGTGACGAATTTAGGGTTTTTGAGAATGACATCGTAATGTGGCTTGAACGCGAAGGACTTTGAGTCTGCATCAACATCACGTTCAAACACGAGCCCAGCGACCCATTTGACATCGCCAGATAGCTTCATGACAACCTTCTTGAAGTGGGCCGCATTCTTCTGTTCACTTGAGGCTGAACCGGTGTCAATATCCTCTGTGGACATTTCATTCGCCCAGCGAGCTTCCGCGCTGTAGTCAGGAATTGCCAGCACGTATTCACCACTAGTAACACTCATGAATTCCATTGGGTTATCACTAGTGTGAATCTCCCACTTGACATCTCTGCGCCAACACATCACAAAGCCACTTCCGAATCCAGTTACCACGTATGGATCGCGAGATCCCTTGAGACGCAAGTGAACATCACCATCTTCCTTCCAAAGCACCTTGATGCGAGAATGGAAGCTCAAACGGATTTTATCCCAAAAGCCAACTCGGTCTGAAGGATCGATTTCGGTCTTAGTAAAACCTTCGATGATCTTCATCATATCCTGAATCACGGGCTGGTATGATACACCCCACGAGATACTTGTCGGCAGGCTTGTGTTGATCTCAATGACAGGCTCTGAGTACGTCTTGACAGGAGTCACAGACCGCCAAACATTCAGATTGAACGGATCTGTGCGAGTGCCATCGGCCGCGTCGGTTGGCGGAATGAGTTCGACAGATACCTGTCTCGCAGATTCATGGTTGCGGTATTCTTCAGCGATGACAAAGTTGGTTCGAAGTGACCAGCTTGGCAACCTCGGGGACTGGCCTGGCCTCAAACCCGGGATATGCACCATGTCCAACGGGTAATCTCGCAGTGTAACGCGCGCTTCGCCCATCTCTAGGTTAAAACTCATTGGAATGAGCAACCCAAATTGCATGGAGATTGGCATTCCTTTTCCAATCCGATTAAGGAATTTGGATGATTCTTCAATGGGGAATGAGGGTTTGTCGATTACGAGGTTAACATCACTGATGAGTGCACAAAGGAGACCCGGTCTGTTAGGAATGGCAAGGATAGTCTCCGTCTCTTTCATATCATCTGGAGGCTCGTCTGCGCCAGAAAAGAGATTGCGGGCCTCTTTGATAGACGTTCCTTGAAATTTAAGTGCCGAGTCTATTTTCTCTTTCCAAACACGAGCATTGTGTTGCTGGAGACGGTACCAAGCCACATCAGTGGCTATCTTTTGATCTGACGATAAACAAGTTGCACCTTCGGTGTCGTATCGAAATTTCCTTCCCTACCAGCAGAACTTGAAGGGGGTTCCTCCACCTTCGGCCGCGTATCAGCACTCCGACTTCTGCGGGTGTCTTGACTGGCCCGCTCGCTGCGCAGTGTGCGATGGCTTGATTTTGCCCTTAGTCTTGATGAAGCACGGCGACGTTGATCAGCATCCTTGACCTTCTGTTCTTTCAAGGAGAAGGCTTCTTCCCGAGCCAGACGCTGTGTCTGCTCAATGAGACCGACCCGATATATACACCCAAGCTTCCATTCGAAGGCATCGTCTTCAAGCTCGAAAAGAAGGGCTTTACTGCGGACTGAAATTCTTGGGACCTTTTTGGGTTCTTCAGGCTCTCGTACAGAGACGAATTCTGGGCACCGATTCTTAAAGCGATGATGCAATTGCTTGATTGCCTTGGTGGTATTGACCAGATTGTCAAAAATCCGATGCATTACCATATGATGAGGAACACCAATGCGGATAAAGTCGGCCCAGAGATCGATCGACTTCTCTTCAAGAAGAGTGGGCCCTTGCTTATACTTCATTTTGCGAAAAATCAAGCCTGACGTTGTTCATGCTACCGATTCTGGCCCAGACACCTTCGAGATTTGGTGCTTCGGCATGAATACGAACGAGATTAGCCTTGACATAAGGCGTGGAGAGTCTCTGTGAGCCACCGGTGAGACCATAGATCTGGAACAACATGGCTGGGTCTGCTGGTAAGCTTGCTTTCAGCTGAATTAGGGTTGTTTTCACGTCGACCGTGATAAACTCATGCCTTGGAGATGGTGGCGACGCTGGAGGCGGAGGGAATGACATGCTCGGAGCGCCTCGGTGTTTTCCTTCAGATCCTGACTCTTCTTCGGAAGAGGAGTAAAAACGTCTTGGATGACCGACGTAGCAACTCCAAGACAGTAGAACCGGTAAAGGGAATATTGAAGATAGACACCCTTGAAGACAGAGTTGACATGTAACACCGGCCCCATGCGATCAGTATGCGTGCTCAATGCGATCTCAAACCGAGGCATGGAGAAGAAAGCCTCTGGTTCAAGATAATCATCAGACTCAATGACAAACACATCGAATCCCCGTACATGGAAAGCCAGGCGTCGACCATCTGTTGCGCCACGCTGAGCATTTTTTGGGGGCGAGGTTGGGGTAAATCTGAAGGGAGATTCGTCCCCAAGTGTGGAATGACTAGAAGTACGCCGCCTTGATATGCTGCCCACGCTGTGCTCAGTTTTCTGTGCCTTATAGTCTGCGGTCCATGACTGTAACTGCAAGGAAACTCCGCGTGAGATATCAGACACACTCGAGTCCACACCGGCGATTTCAAGACTAGTACCAGTTGCCTCGAATGTGAATTGAAGGAGCCAAGGAGGGATCTTCCTGATGGGACTTGTCTTGAGCTCATTTGGAGGAACCGCCCGCTTTTTCTGCGGTTGTAGGTGAGTTCGGAACTGTTGAAGAACTTCACGAATTCCACGGTTCACTTCGGCGTGAATCATGTGAACAGAACACTCATTCAGACTTCCAGAAGCTATCACACAAACTTCAGGGCTTGCATTGAGATGTGCCTTTAGCTCCAGGCTCTCGGTTGTAAGCAAATTATGTTTATCTCCAGCAGGGGTTTGGTAGTAGAATTTGTGAGAGGCCACCCGGTAAATGGACGACAGAGAATAGTGGGCTCCACCTTCTGAGGAGTGGGAAGACTCAATGTCGAGAGAAATAGAAGAAATGGAGGAGATCAAAAGGTTGTAATCATCGGATGCGTCTTCTTCCACCGGCAAGACGAATCGAACCACGGGCTCGTGGACGGATAGCTTGATGCTTGCCTTAGGCAGTAAGCGAGATATTAAATGATGATTGCTTCGCTTTTTCACTCGAGGGTTCGATGCTCGAGTTTGTACCAGCTTCAACAACCGAGAAACGTGTTGAGGCTGCATATCCAGGGACGGTGAAGTGATGACGAGATTCGCAAACAGGATGTTGGAGTTCCGCTCCTCCGGATTGGAGTCATCAAACGCGCTCACCGTCTTTGCAGGCAATGTAGTTTTGATTGTCGTCGTAGCCATAGGGATATAGAGAACATTATCAGGCTCGCCCGAGTTATCGTCGAGACTCACAGAGACGGAAATGGCAGCAAGCAGGGCTTGATGAGCGACATCACCTCGCTGGAAGTACATGCGATGTTCTGGGCTCTTTTGGTCCATTCGGTGCAAGTCAACGCCAATTTCATGGGAGACGACATTCAAGAACACTGGGTTTGGACCAGGAGAGACTGATCGAGAGAGTCTGAAGAAACTCAGAGCCACTTGGATCTCCTGGATCCCACGCAAAATGGAGCTCGCGAATTCTTTGGAATCTGCCACCGCTTGCACAATACTGTCATCGCGGCTACCTGGCTTGTCGAGTTCCTCCACAAAGTCTGCGAATGACATCTCATCATCTGTTTCAGTCCGAACTAGGCCTTTCGCAGGTCGCCGCGCGGATTTGATCCTTTGCTGCAACAATTCGATATCGTCAAAAGGCACATGCAATCGACCAATTTTGAGCGCCACGGATGCATCCCGAAGACCCTCAAGGTCTTTGTGAAGCAGCCCATGGAGATTGACACCGACATGATCCAGAATCTCCGTCGGTTCACGACCATTCACGGCGAGCAAGACATTCTGAACATTCATGATCCACTCGGCCGGGCGCTTTTCTTGAGACATGTCCTTCTTCCGGCGGAATAGCTTCCCACGCTCCACCATCTTACTCCGAGTATCCACAGCAAGCGAAACAGAGCCGACCTGGACTTGGCCGGCATCGACAAAATTTATCGAAGTGTTGACTGCGGTGAGGTCGACGAGAGCGAGCCAGTTGATCTGTCGATGCAAACGTTTGAGGCGCTCCTTCATCCGGGTTAAACTCTTCCATGTTTTGCTCCGCCGGGGGGACGACTCGGGGGCCGAGTACTCGTCGGGGACCGGACTTCCTGGCACAGACGATCCTAGTAAATCTTCCGGTTGTTCCACTTTTTCCTTAGCTAGAGTTGCATTATCCACCGTAACCTTCAATTCTGTCAAGCGAATACTGATCCATGTTGGCTGCGCGAAGGAGGGGGGATGTAGCGAGAACCCCAACCCTCGGATCTCAATAGCGAGTCCCTGTTTCGGAGCATAGGAAATACGGCGAAGCGAGAAGTATCCGATGCGTTGGATAGATATTCCGGTAGCAATGCGAACGATCGCGAAGACGAAGAAGGACGAGAGGTATAGGAGGAGGAGTCCCACAAGGATAGAGATCGGATTGAAGAGAGTCATCGCGAGTCGCGATCAGCTGGGGCTGATCAATCGAGCAGGGCCACACAGCAGCACGCAGAACATCGAGGAGGCCTCAGTGCTTGCAATTGTGGTTCTATAGCTGTGAAAGAGCTCCTTTATTCGCGGTGCGATCCTCTATCCGCCGGGGACGGATCGAGATGCACAATTCCACACAAAAGGGTCAAGGCGTTAGTAGCTGAAGCAACACCACATATCAGGGCGGGACGGAAGGGTTTTGCTGTGGTAAGTCATGCTCGTGTGGAAGTGGCGATCATAGAGTCTGGAGAGGACAGGTTCATGGTCCGGCCGCGCCGGAGAACCGTAGCAAAAAAGAGCGGAACGCTGATCTACCACCCAAACCGGCTTTTTCTCCTTCTGGAACGTCTGGCGATTCTACGCTTATCGCCCCGTGAAAGGAGGGGGGGCCAAGGAACGGTAGTAAACTAGACCCAACTCAGACGATAAAAGGCCCTTGCTTCCTCTTCCACGCTTTCCATTCCCTGTGAAAGTCCCCTCCAGGACGCTGAGGTTCGCCATGATTTCACTGTGCACAACATTAAAGACCGTGGGGCCGATCGGCATTGACATTCTGTAATTTGGAGCCCCTTATTATCTTTCTCTCTGTTCCATCGTTAGTGATAATACAGTTTTGCTTCATGTAATATTGTACTATTTATTATACAAGTTTTGAGTTCTATAGTATGTACAAGAGTGCAACGGAGGCGCGCGGAAGAGAAGAGCCGGCGATAACCAGACAAGTCGGAGAAAAGCAAAATACCGTCGAACCAAAAATTTCCAACACCGGGCACTGCATAGTGTCTGTCCGTGCGTTGCACCCAGCCCACCATCGCCTATGTTGGTAGGGGGTAGGTTAACCCTCGGGCTGAAGAGCCACACAGGCTATTGATTCAAGGAGGCGTCGGTTGCTGGCCTCGACTTTTCGAGTGCTTCGATCTTTTCGTCGAGTAGAGCAATTTCAGCCTCAATGCTCAACAGTTTCTCACTCAAGATGCCACGGTATTCATCATCAGAAAGATTGCGGAATGGTATCCATTTAGAATCGGCCATGCGCTGCGCCCAGGACCTAGTGGGGGCCTGGGCCTTCTCCATTTGCCACGCGTCGAGTTTGTTAAACGCAGTTTGACCACCATAGCCGAGCAGGGAGAATACGACCAGTCCAGGGACCAGGCGCCCTCCTGATAATAAATCAGTCATCTTGAACAGGTTATGGGCTGTGGGTGAGGAACAAACGCAGTCATACCCATTAGACGCGTAACAACGCCGCCCGAGATCCCACCAGACAAGGCGCTGACATATGCACGCTGCTGTGGTGTGGTTTGATTTTCGAAATGAAGCTTAATGATGTTGCTCCGCATCCCTAAAGCAGTGCGTAACGCAAGTTTAGCCTCAAAGCTCGTGTTCAGTCAACAAATTGTAGATGAACATACACCAATAGGTCGAACCGCATGCAAACCAGTGGATACCGCATGACAAGGAATGGATCATGGGGTTAGGCGATCTCACTACTCCAGCTGCCCCGCCATATATCAAGCCAGCAGTGCCTAGATTCCCCCGAAAATTGAGATTAAGTCACGTTGAGCAACGCTGATGCCGGGTCTACAGGACCCTGTCAAGTTCAAGTACTCACCACTCAAGGCTCCCACCTTGACTGCAGATAGGAGCGAGTCAGCTTGCGAGGCATCGTATGGCCTATTTGGTCCACTCATGTCGTGATCTGGCAGTTATTAGTACTAGGATTGTAAACATTCTCTTCCAGGAACTGTGCAGGACTCCGAGCCTGAAGACATGCATATTAATCACGTGATTATAGTGTTGTTCACGTGACATGTATGAGTAGCCCGTTGTCCCTCACAGAGGCGCCATTTAAAGTCATTCGAGGATTTCGAAGATTAGGATAGAGTAGAAGCTCTGCTTAGGCGAAACCTCGTACTCGTTGAGGTTTACTCCAGATTTAGCAGCACATCTTTGTGTGATATTCGTAGCTTAGTATCGATAGCATGGACGTATCTCCGCCAGACCATCGGTACGATATAAGCCTGAAATATGTTTATGACTCGGAACGTTGAGAACCTGTCGATGATTGGCTACTTATACTAATCAAGGTTATAATGTTTCGGACCCAAAGATAGTCAATAAAGCCTACTGGTAAAATCCTGGTATCGACAAACATTTAAGAGATTGGTAAACCCCTGTGGAATGTGCCTTTGAAGCTGCGGTTGCAACCTCCCGCGTCACATTTCAGGTCGACCACTTTAAGCCTACTATAAATGGTACAGAGCTTCAAGAACGTCTTCATTGCTATAGTACAGCGAATACTTATATCTAATCCCTCACTATGCGATCGTGGGCAACGTTCTTGAATGACTGACAAACAAAGAATAGGTCGTCTGGTATCGAGCAGTCTCTTTTGGAGGGTTTGAACCGACAAAGCTGCAATCGCCGGGGTAGTGGAACCCACAAAATCAAATACTTAAGACTAAACGGCCCTGAGCTGCCTTGCCGATGTGAAATAACCACACAAAATCCCAGTTCATGACGATCTGTCCGAGTCGAGAGACGAAAGCTGATGAAACTAGAGGGGAAGGTTTCCCAGCGGGTGGTTCTGATTGGATTAGCGACACCACTAAAATTTATCACGGATTAACTAACCCCGTCCACTTCCATCGTGCAGTCTCGATTGCCGACTTCCCCTCTACCAAGTTTTTCCACGGAGTATTTGACATCACTCCTGACACGTCGTCGACTCCGAGAATACAACCCCTTGTTCTGTCGATCCCCGGACCTCCGACTGGGTGTCTCTCAGATTTTTAACTCCCGCCTACACCCCTCCGACCTTCTGTGTGAGAAGCGCGCAAAACCTCGCTGGCGCGTTTCCCACCACCTTAACCGCAATCATGGGTATGTCTCGATCTCCCTTGTTTCCTGTCTACACGCAATATCGATATGAGTCTGTAGCCTCATATCGATAGGGCTGTGCCTGGCCGTTGATCCCCGCTAACGAGTCTCCCCCACTAGCGCCCGGAAAATCCAAGGCCCAGAAGATGTCCATTGGGACCTTCTTGGCAGACGAGAGTGAGTACTGCTCGAATCTGTGCGACTTTACAAGGTTCTAATTACTCTCTTAGGCCTCGGCTCTTGGGCTGACGAAATGGAGGATATGCCCCTCCCAGGTACGTTCCAAATCTCCGCGACATGGCGATTCCACAAAACTAACGATTGATAGCCGGTTCGTCGCAAGCCCTTGCATGAACTACGCAGCATATCCATCTAACAGTTCTTGCAGTGCCCTCTACGTCCTCCTTCGACCGTCGTCCGCTCAACAACCTAGGATTCGGTGGCAGCGGTGGTGGTTTCGGTATGGCATCCTTAATATAAACCGATTGAGAGTACGATTGAAGGCCAGATGCTGATGTACATGACTCAGAACGTGAGACTCGCGGTGGATATGCCGTTCGCGAACCGCTTGATCTCCCTACCGAACCTCCCTTCACTGCTCACGTTGGAAACCTGTCTTTCGAAGCGACTGCCGATGATATCTCCGACCTCTTTGCTGGATGTGGCGTTACCAACGTCCGCATCGTGGAAGATAAGCTGACCAAGGCCCCTAAGGGGTTCGGGTATGTCGAATTTGAGACCGTTGATGGTTTGCAAAAAGCGTTGGATTTGTCTGGAACCACCCTCCAGGGACGCACCATTCGTACCAGCGTTGCGGAGCCTCGTAAGTTATTCCTCTACGTCTAGCACCTCTGATACTGCAGCTGACATTTATATAGCCAAGGAATCCCGTCCTGATATGCGTGACCTTGACTGGACTCGCCGTGGACCTCTTCCAGGCCCTCCCGAACGTCGCCCTCCGCCAGACCGTGCCAGTTTTGGGCGCAACCTGGATCCCGCATCAGACGCTAGCAGCGAGCGCGGCAGCCGTCGCAACTTCGAATCCGATGGCAAGGCCCGCGACTTCAACACCTGGGAGCGCAAGGGTCCCCTTCCTCCCTCAAGCGGCGGGCCCCGTGAAGGCCGCCCAGGCACCAACGATGGCCCAAACTCTGGCTTCCGCAAGAACTCCCCCGCTTGGGGCGAGGGTCGATCACAAGATGGATCTCGTCCCCGGCCGCTCGTCCTGAACGTGCTGAACGTGCTCCTACCGCGGCTGACATGGACAACCAGTGGCGCGCCCGCATGCGCCCTGACCAGGCCTCTAAGGAGGCTAGCAACCCGCCCTCCCCATCGGCAGCCCCGGCAGCCCCTGCTTCCCGCCCCAAGCTCAACCTCCAGAAGCGCACGGTCTCGGAAGCCACTCCTAGCCCGACATCGACTGGCGGTGACTCCAAGGCCAGCCCTTTCGGCGCGGCTCGACCTATCGACACTGCCGCGCGTGAGCGTGAAGTAGAAGAGAAACGTCAGATGGCGATCCGTCAAAAGAAGGAGGCCGAGGACAAAGCAGCAGCTGGCAAGGAGAAGGCCGAAAAGTCCAAGCAGAAGGAAGGCCGTGTTCCTGGCACAGACTCTAACAAGGATTCCATCGAGCCTCCCCGTGGTGGCGGCAACTTTGAGATCCTCCGGCGAGCTGAGGAAGAGAGTGGTGTGGCTGCTGAAAAGGAGCCTGAGAATACTGCTGTCGCAGCTACCCCAGATGCCGAGAAGCCCGCAGAGGCGCCCAATGGCAACTGGAGGACCTCTGAAACGACAGATGATAATGACGGATGGAGCACGGTAGGCGCCAAGCCGCGCAACAATCGGCGTGGCCAGCCTGGCCGTGGATTCGCATAGACTTAACGATACCCAAGAAGTAACGTCAGCTTTCCCTCTCACTCGATTTGCGGCCTTTTGGTGTGCCGGAGATCCCATACCGTTCCTCTTCTTCCAAGCCGTCTCCTCTTGAACAAGCTTCTCTCCCTCCTTTGGAGCCCTGTCTTTCGTCCGTGGCTCCAGTCTTGTTTCCAGTAATCATGATTTCGGCCAGTGCTTCTGCCACAAGCTGCAGGCGTGACGGTATTTGTTTTGTGTTCCCTTTCCATAATATCTCTTTGTGTCGCTGATTCTATGATCTTCTTTTTCTTCCCGGACTAGATTCTTGTACACGTCTAGTCCTCGCTCTGATGATCTGGCAGTCTGAAAAGTTTTGTGTGTCCCCCTGTCTTGTTTCGCTATCTAGCTTTATTATTCCCATGCGTGTGACTCGTGTGATTTGCCCATGACCATTACGGCCGATGCGAAATGAGATTTTCCTGTTTCTTTTTCGCCCCCTCCTCTCTATCTTCATTTTCTGAAGACCAGGACGTTCTACGGCTTTTAAGAAGTGGGCCCTGCATGTATGCCTTCCATTGACTCCTAGTGCGGCCGCTTATACTAGTAATGAATGCCATCATCATCAATTACCCGAATAGTATAGACCGGATATTGATCTTACATTTGAAAGTCATTGAGCTCGGACTCCGTCAGTCTACTATTGAGATATCAGTAGCCAATGTACATAAATTGCGACATGCGCATAATTAGTATACACGTCCAAGTCCATGCCATACCGCCTATGAAATGTGGAGCGCAGGGTGCGCGTCAGGGCCAGCACCGTGAACGGATGACTCTTGGGTGGTACCTCCAATACGCCCTCCCGGCAATGATCCGAGCGTGAACAGAACTGCGACAAGGATAGGGGCACTGCTGAACCTTACGTCTCTCCCAGCGCCATATATGGACGCTTCGACGCCCTAGGGATAAACTATTGAGAAAAAGGCGGTAGACTAACTGTATGTATAAACCCCTCGTGTGCAAGGGCAACAGAAATAGAATGTCACTAGACTGCTTTGGTAATATATACATATATATATACACATATACGGAGAATATTCCCCCTTTTTCCTTTTTGCTTCTTCTATACGGGAGAAATGCCATTGACGTCCACGAGCGGATTGTGCATAAACAACGACATCGGTGGGGCTGCAGGTACGAGATTCGTTCCTCAAGGTTTCGATTCGAGGCTATAATGTAGCAGGATAGTTCAGAGACAGGGAATACATAGCAATGAAACTGTTCAATGAAATTATGGACACCTTCAGCACTATTTATGAACCATGTCCGAGACACGATGGAGCTGTGGCCAGCAGTTGATTGGGCAACAAATAAAACGGTGGCGCAGTATGGAGATAGTGAACCCCTTCAGAGGGCTACCCAGTTCGGCAAAGAGTCGTGTTTTACCAGCCCTGTTAGAACCTGAAAGCCTGTGGAAATCTGTTATATGTTTCTTTGAACTTCCCTCATAATTATGGGCGGTTGGTGACGTCCATCAACAAGTTCCTCATAGCCGGTCTCCGCTCGCACCCCGTGTCCCCCGTCTTCCTGAAACAAATCTTGTGGTACGCCTTCCCAGTCGTCATGTCTGCGACGGCCACTTTCTCAACGCCGACTACCACTCTTATTGGAACTTCCTCTGCTATGGCGACCGTTGCGACTGGGACAGAAACACCCTGCCCTGTGTGTGGAGGCATGAGCGACGTCCATGATTCCTCCGAAGCTCAACGGCGGATCCAGGAGTTGGAGGGGCAGGTTCAAGAACTGACTGAACGCGCGACAGATGCTGGTAAGGGATGACCCTAGCCTTTTTCTCTCAATACCAAGTAGAAGAGTTCTTTGCTCCCAACAAAACCACCGGGGCTTTGAGCGCCTCCCATCCAACATAAAACTTCAAAGAGCCGATGCCTTGAGAACCAAGAGAATTGACCAACTTTTTCCACAGCGAACAAACTTGCCACCTACGAAGAGGAAGTCCGACAACTACGCTCCTCACAAAGGGAACTACGATACGCCGCGAAGCAGCTCATCTCTTCCACCCTCCCGGTCCCAAGAATCCGACAGGGCCGTCTCACCGACACAAGCACCCGGCTCCCTCTCCCCCGAACAGCGCCAACAGCAACAGCAACACACCTATCAAAGCCGCCTCTCCCACTTGACCTCCTACCTGCCGTACCGCCGCGGTTCCGCCGCAACAGGCTCGCAAGCCCCAACCACCCCAACCACCGTCCCAATCAATCCACTCGCACAGCAAGCCTCTCCAGCTAGCGCCAGCATCTTCAGTGACAATGCCGAGCTACAAGACGCGCTGACCCGTGAGCAAGATCTCCGCAGAGCCGCGGAGTCGCAACTCGCGCAGTCCAATACCGAGCTGGAAGAGCTGACAGTCCAACTATTCAGCCAAGCGAATGAGATGGTCGCGCAGGAGCGCAAGGCGCGCGCAAAGCTGGAAGAGCGAGTCGCTGTACTCGAGCGAAGGGACATCGAAAAACGGAGTCGGCTTGAACGGCTGGAGAAGTCTATGGCGCGGGTGGAGAGGTTGAAGGCGCTGGTGAATCCGTAAAGGAGCTGGGTCCTTCTGGCACGGTATTAATGAGGATATGAAATCTCTGCTGTGCAGGATATGATAAGCACAAAGTGGCGTTTGCATTGGTATTATTTATTTCTTTGACCTCGTGATTCCCGATTTTGCATCGTGGGTTGGCTGGCGCTGTTTTGGTTGGGCTGTGTCTTATATTATTTGAGCGGGGATGATGTTAGTTAGTTTGCGCCAGTCAGCTATGGACAGCTTTCTGGCTTTTGGAATTGGCACCCTGTAGACTTTGAAAGTGATTATCTCGAGTTGTGAAAAGAGTCATGTAGTGGGAAGTAATTAACTCAATATCTGTAGTCTCGGTCTTGGTCAGCTTTGCGTCATGACGGGCCCGCCTCATGAACAGCACAGGTGTAGAAAATCCCACCGGTCTGCCGTAGAGCATTGAAAAATACAGAGCTCCCTCGCACCCCAGGCTCGTATGCATGAAGCCGAGACTTAGAGTGATCGCAATTCGTGGAGTTGTAGTCACGAGGTTGGACCTTCCCATGTTCGAGGCGGAAACGCGAACTGGTTCCGGTGAGCATTAGGAACCCCACCTGTTGGCCTGGGCCTGCATGACATCTAGAGAAACCCTGTTCCCGGGCCACTTGTTTACTTTCAAAAGTCCTTCGCAAGTCACCAGTGTGATACGAGTGTCCTAATGGCTATCGGAATCGCAATCGTCGGAAGCGGTACAGTTTCCATCTCAGTACGCAATGAGGCATCAATATACTTAACAATATATCTTGACAGGCAATTTTGCGAAAGAGCAGCACTTGGTAAGGAGTTTCCTTCTTGGTTGATGTCCTATTCTGACATGTTTTCTAGCCTGCTGTACAAGCTTCCACCAATCTACAGCTCAAGGCTATCTATTCCCGGTCTCTTAAATCAGCCCAAGAACTTGCTAGCGGTGCAACTGCCGTTGATCTTTACTCCGAGGATTCTGGTTCTGGTAAATCTTACACAGATCTACTAACCAGAGAAGATATCGGAGCCGTGACGATTGCGTATGTTCATCCATTAAAGTTACCTTTCCAATTTTTCTGCATGCTCTACCATCATATTACAAATATACAAGAGAGAACAGGGGGGAGGGCGACTACTAGGGAAATCTTCAACTGACACCCAACCCCACAGACTCCCAATCCTCGTTCAGCCTGAGTTCATCAAGAAAGCTCTTCTAGCGGGCAAGCATGTCCTCTCAGAGAAGCCGATCGCGAAGGACATCGCAACTGCCCAGGAGCTTCTCCAGTGGTACCAAACCAACATCGATACCACCAAGGTATTCTGGGCTGTCGGAGAGAACTTTCGGTATTTGACCAAGTTTATTTTCGCAGCTGAGCAGGTGCGCCAACTGGGACCTGTCCGAAACTTCAGGATCAATGTCCACAGCCTGGTCAAGCCTGATAACAAGTACTATTGTAAGTTTGCCAAGGGACAAGGATCAAAAGATGATGCGTTCCAGTATCTGCACTTCTGCATAGGATTCGGACTCACGAAAACAGTGACTGCCTGGCGTAAGGCCCCGGAGTACCAGGGCGGATTCCTTCTTGATGGAGGTGTGCACCAGCTGGCAGGTCTTCGTCTGATCTTGGGATCTGCAGACAAGGTTACCACGGTTTCGGCTCAGTCCCAACAGCAACAACCTTATCTCCCACCTGTCGATACAGTGGATGCTGTTGTGAAGACTAGCTCTGGAGCTACTGGTATCATATCTATGTCATGGGGTTCATCTTTTAACGACAACATTTTCGAGTTTTCTTGCGAGAAAGGCGTGGTGAAGCTTCATTTTGACGGTGTTGAAGTCAACAACCATGACCATATTGTTCCATTTGACGGAAAAGGCGTCGGTCCAGAGATCGATGATTTTGCAACTGCTATCATTAATGGGCGCAGATCTAAGACACAGTCCCTGAAGAGGCGTTGGCTGATCTGGAGATGCTGGAGCAAATGCTGCAGAGTGCCGAACGGGATGGGGAAAAGATGCCGCTGCAGTGGCAGTAAGCAGGGGAAATCTCCAAGGAGCCGGACATGCCAGTGTATCTACAATCATCTGAGTAAAGCTACAAATTTATCCAGCTATGTTAACCCTCTTCTCCGATACGATGCAATGGTCATAGATCCAATGTCCCAAAATGGAAGTCTTGGCAGGGCTTGACCCCGATAACCCTAACATGACTCAGCAACCCCCGTTTCGCTTACGCCCAAATCACACTAGTGTGGGTCTCCCACCGCAGCCAGCCTGAAGTTTTTGAGATTGACTTCGTTCCGACACGACAACTCTCGAACGCCCGGCGAGACCCAGCAACACCGACAAAGTGAGATATACCAGACTGTCCTTTCGGTCGACCATTCAACATACTGACGAATTTCCTTTTAGATGGTCGCCGCTAAGAAGCACATTCCCATCGTCAAGAAGCGTATGTTACCCCGATCTTCAAACCCGCGCATCCCTCCTAGCCTCTGGATATTATCGCCCTTCGGCCGTCGCTCAACACGAAAGGATTTTTCGGCATGAAAGGAGGAATCATTGGGGAGAGAGAATGGGTTTCTGGTCGACATTTGAGCATACGACTTGGGTCATCTCGATCTTAGTTGAAGGGCGATACTATTCATGCAAATTTCGACATCGAATTTTCACATTCCCCGGCAAACGATACGATAGGAACTGACATGGATCGCATTAGGCACCAACCGCTTCAACCGTCACCAGTCTGACCGGTTCAAGTGTGTCGCTCCCTCGTGGCGCAAGCCCAAGGGTATTGACAATGCCGTCCGCCGTCGCTTCAAGGGCCAGATTGCCATGCCCTCCGTACGCAGCCCCTCCAACCGGTGAAACCAGCGGCATCCACTGACCCGTCATTAGATCGGCTACGGTTCCAACAAGAAGACCCGCCACCTGGCTCCTTCCGGCCACAAGGCTTTCCTCGTCCACAACCCCAAGGACGTCGAGCTCCTGCTCATGCACAACCGCACCTACGCTGCTGAGTATGTTGAGACCCATTCGAATTGCAGCCTGCGACATTGGTTTTTCCTTTCTTCTAACCACATATATAGGATCGCCCACGCCGTCTCTTCCCGCAAGCGTGTCGACATCATCGCCAAGGCTAAGGCTCTCGGCGTGAAGGTCACCAACCCCAAGGGCCGTGTCACCACCGAGGCCTAAATGGAATGAACCCAAAAGTTCTGTTTCATTTTTCTTTTTCGGTGGGGTATTCGCAGGAGCACGAGAGGGTCAGGGGGTTTTGTATCTTATCTCTCTGGCGATAACGAATTTCAAGGATTGTGCATGGCATGTCATGCGCTGCTCGCGCTTGGTCAATAACTGCCGGGTGGATAGAGCAAGAGAATTTCTTCTCTGAAATGACAACTAAAAAATTAAAAGCCTCCTTCTGAACATGCAAATTGTTGGAACCACCGTGTATTTCGTAGTGAATACTTGAGGGCCTGGATTGCAGCCATTCGGGTAGTCTGCAACGCCGCATCACTCGTAGATACGTAGCGCAAAAATTATCGTTGATTGGGTTCTACTTTTAAACTATCAGTGACGTTGCAGTCAAGACACTGAGTTACCACATGTTCCGCAGGTGTAACATGTGCCCCTCGCAAGAGCCCAGACCTCCTAATTGGCGCTAGTTCTAGGCCAAACCATAAACCCTACGGTCTCGACCTGTTCAATTCCAACTTAAGCCTCTACGCAGGACTCTAATGCTCCCTTCCCCCCTGAGCGTGCACAGCCCGCTTGAAACAGGATCCTGTGCCAGGGGATCAATTCACTGATCGTCCGACCCACCTTCGTCAGGGGTCCTCGTAGCCAGGGTGCTGTAGCACTGATGAGCGCTGGAAAGACAAGAAGAATGGGATCAGAGTACGGCGGAAGCACAGAAAAAGACAATCACAATCCCGACTCCGGTCTCTTTTGAAGCCAACCAGCAGGAATCTTGTCATTTGCACGCCCTATGGGGAGTCGGGAGGGGAGCTATCATTACTCTGACGAGCAACTGGAAAAAGTGGTTCCGCGCCGCAGATCTGGCCAATCTGAGCTTGAAGCCCCCGAAACAAACCCCCCCCCCCCCAAGCCACGGGCCCTCCCAGATGTACAGCTGTCATATAAAAATAGGTGTCTCCCTCATCTGGCGATGTTTCGACTTCAATATCGACTCCAGGGCATGGAGGGGCGGTTCCGAGTCTCTCTTTAAATCTTATATACCCCATCAATTGGCCCCCCCCCGTCATTCTCGGACTCTTTTTCTTTTTCTTTTTCTTTCTCCCCTCACGATGCTCAAACTCCCCGCTCGCTACTCCCGCTGGGTACCTCTTCTCGCCCCGGCGGCGCTAATCCTACTATTTATCCATCTGAACTCAGGCTTCTCGTCCGATTCATTAGCTGCCTACGAACCGGCAGTCTCCCACACTCCCCTCCACTATAGCCCCGAGCGAACCATCCAACCCAGCCAGAGCAGTCTATCAGCCACCGACTCGGACCTCCCTGCATCATGTCGCCCACTGCCGGGTATGGAAGACGTGCTCGTGGTACTAAAGACCGGCATCACCGAAGCCCAGGACAAAGTCCCGGTGCACGTCCGCACTACTCTCCGCTGCATCCCGAATAAGCTGATAGTCTCCGATTTCGAAGAAGAAATCGCCGGCCTCAAAACATACGATGTCTTTCGGAATAGTAGCGAGGAACTCCGCGCAAACGAGGACTTTGCGCTGTATAACCGGGCCCGCGAGCGCGGGCGACAAGGCCTCCAAAACACCGACCACACGAAGGTCGAGAACGGCATGGGCGGGATGTCGGGGAACCCGGGCTGGAAGCTCGACAAGTGGAAGTTCCTGCCCATGGTGACCGAGGCGCGCAACTACATGCCGGACGCAAAGTGGTACGTGTTCATGGAGGCCGATACGTATCCGATCTGGCCGAATCTGGTGGCGTGGTTGGCGGAGTTTCCAGCCGACCAGAAGCTGTATATCGGGAACCAGATGATGATTGGGGATGATGTGTTTGCGCACGGAGGGTCGGGGTTCATCCTGTCGCATGATGCGATTCATGCGGTTGCTGATGAGTATGGGTTGAGGCCGGCTGCTTGGCATGAGCGGACGCATCAGCATTGGGCTGGTGACTGTATTCTGGGGATTGCGTTGGCGACGATTGGGATCCCGCTTCTTTGGTCTTGGCCTCATGTTACGGATCGGTCGCTTTGGGAGCAGGATGCGCTGAATGAAGGGTTTGGGACGCAGCAGTGGTGTTATCCGCCATTCACCTTCCATCATATGACGCCGAAGGATGTGGATCGTATACACGACTTTGAGCTGCAGTGGTTTGCGAATGTAAGTTGGCCCACGTGGAGATCTTGTTTCTAGAAGTCGCTTGATTTCATGCTTACATTTGGTTTCAGGACAAACACTCCCTGCTCCTATATAGCGACCTCTTCAAAAACCTCGTCCGACCGATGCTGGAAAGCTACGCTGAGAATTGGGACAACTTCGCCCAAACCGAACTCAAGCGAGAGGGCGACAACAGTCCCTTCACACCCTACGAATGCGCCGAGCAATGTGCCCTCGACGTCAACTGTCTCCAATACCGGATCGATGACTCCGGAAGGTGCTCAACAACCGACCAAGCCCTTCGTGGCCGAGCTTCCGCTGGCGTGAAGTCTGGTACCATGATGTGGAGAGTCGATGCCCGGATCAAGGAGCGAGGCAAGTGCCAGAAACCCAAATTCGTTACCGCAAACCCGTGAGCCGGGTCCTTCTTTTTTTCATCTTCTCTTTGATATATAGATCGCTTTACAATTTCTTTTTTTCATGCATATAAGGGGCACAACTCGGGGCGCATGGTATCTCGGATGTTTTATATACAGAAGCTTTCTTTCATGTAAAAAGTTTTGTCACCTGTGTAGCCAGAATCTTGATCAATACTAGCATCCAGCACAGACTCGGAACTGCTTAAATATATACCAAGTGGTAAGACCAAGTTTCAAGCTGGGCTTTTAGAAAAGACTTGGATTATGACACATTTCAACTCCAAGTTGATTTGAATAGGGTACGGCTATCTGCCGCACCTACTAAGTATTTCATACAGGCTATAATGATGTATGCTCAGCCAAATTACTAAGACCAGCCATTGCCAACAAGACGCCTTAGAACTTTTTATCTAACGAGTCCATCGAATGACTCAAATGCTCAAAGATGCCCAAATCAAGACGGCGCAGACACAGACCCCTCTTCCGCTTTGATGGTAGTCTGTGCCGCATTCAGACGATTAGTCGCCTCGGAGATATTCAGCAAGCCAACGCCCTCCAGCAGAACCTGATCCGAAGACTTGGCCCCCGTGCCTCCGGCTCATCGTCACCACCAATCTCAGGAGGAACAGTTCCATGCCCAATAACAACCTCTTCGCCCTCCGCCGCAGGAACCCAGTCCGGCACCTCCCGCGGTCCATCCAGTCCATAAGGTGGCAACCCCCAATTCGGCATCCCACTACGATAATGCCAATCACCTTCCAGGTCCGCATAGGAAACAGCGTGTAAGAAGATGCCGAGCTCATGGACCCCGGGGTCCGAGTATAATTCGGTCCCACAGACATCACAGAGCGCACCGGAGAGTCGTTCGCCCTTACGCTTCTCATAGTTCCTCCGTCGCAGCCTGCTGCTCGCGAGACATGATCTCCGCCAGAACGGCGGGATCTGTGTCCACCGGCAGGTTCGGCGCAGCGGTGAAATGATTGCGGTAGCTCCCCGTATCCGGGAGCTCCGTCTTCCCCATCTTGTTCAGCCGTTCCATGATCTCCTCGTCGCGATCGCCGTGGGACTCGTTCGCTGCCAGCCCCGGTCCGAAGACCCGTCTGTTCGAGTAGATCGGGTCGTTCGAGATCGGGTGGCCCAGGAACTGGAGGTGGACGCGGATCTGGTGTGTGCGGCCCGTGAGCGGGTAGCAATGAACTATACTATACCCCTCTGCTTCATTATAGAGTGCTGGCGGCGGGGTTGCCGGGCGGGGCACAGGGCCGTCGGAAGACTGCTCGGTCGTATCAGCGGCTGGGCGAGCCGGCTGTTCCCATTCAGGCGGATAGTATGCGATACGGCGGAACTTGGTCGTGGCGGTTTTCCCGGTGGCGCGGACACGGTTGAGGCCCAGCTTGGGGCTGACTTGCATGATGGGTTGGTCGCAGACGACCACGCCGTCGGGGAACTTGCCCTTGACACGGGCGATGTATTCCTTCTGGACGGAGCGGGCGCGCAGCTGGTTTGACATTTTCTCGGCGCCCTTGGGGTGCTTGCCGATGAACATCACGCCGGACGTCAGGCGGTCCAGGCGGTTGCAGGGCCGGGCGATCCAGCCATCTTCGCGATCGGCTTGGAGGATTTCGACGACGGAATTGTGGTGGTAGCGGCCTGCGGAGTGGACGGGAATACCGGCGGGCTTGTCGATGACAAGCAGGTCGTCGTCTTCGTGGATAATGCCAATGGGTTGGCTGCTGACGGGTGGTTCGTGGCGGTGGGTTGTATGCGACAGGACTTGGCCGTTTTTGATCACGGTGTCGCGACCTGCTGGTTTACCGTTGACAGTAACCAGACCTGAATCTAGAGCTTTTCTCTGGGAGATATCAGTCAAGTGAGTTTAGTCTACTCGTGCTGGAGCCATACGTAATAATCTGGGGTTCGGTCTCGAAACTCCGAGAGAAAGATCTCCTCCAGCGGCCGGTTACGCCATCGCTCTTTACAATGGGTATTGTAGGTATAATGGTAGGGCTTGACTCGGCGAAAACCACCCTCCAGGTAGTACGGTTCTGGCCATGGATCGCAGGCTTTTACGACGCCATTTGTATGGCCAGGTGAAGGGGCTTGAGGTGTCATATCATTACTGGCGACAGCCATTGAAGGTAATGTAGAGTACACACCTCTTCCCAACAAGATCCGTGCAATGGCTATTCAGAGAGTCAACAAGCCAGTGTTGGTGAATGAAAAGAAAAATGTCATGTGGCGGGGTTATTGGGTCGAGAAAAATTTAGATTATCGATAAGGCCAGGCACAATTTGGACCACTTGGAAGTTGGGAGCCGGAGGCGGGGGGACCCCACTCCAACTGAGACGCTCGTGTACTGTGTATGTGCAGATCGCTTGTTCCTCAGGTCTTTCATTCGTCGGCTGCTTTGCGGGGAATCTCCCATCTTTCATGCTCCTATTCTCGAATGAGGTTCAATGATCAACTTAGCACAGCTCCAGGGCTCACGTTGTATAGCTTACCTAATCACAAAACAACCTCGGCTCATAGTTAGCGGATGGAGCCGTGACGCGCCATCTCTCGAGCTCCTTCGAACCCCCCGAGTCGGTGCTTCTGGACAGTATCGAATATAGTTCATATATTCGAAGCAATGGCACCAGCGGAGTACGAAGCCAAGAAGCTTCGCAAGCGGAGTGACTATGGCTATCACCAAGTCCACCAGACAAGATGGTACTGAACAGCGTTGTGTCATGTGAAATAGTCTACTGACTGTGATGCAGGTTCGACAATGACATGTATGCCCATCTCAACAACACAGTTTATACAACGCTCTTTGATACCATTGCCAACTCATACCTCATCGAGCACTGTGGCATGAACCCATTCAGTGTGAACAACCCAACTCCAAACGGCTCTGGTGACCAGCCCTCTTCAGCTGGGACGGATCAAATCGGCCTGATTGTCTCCACCAGCACAGACTTTTTTGCTTCTGTTGCGTTTCCCGATATTCTGGAGGTCGGCTTGCGGGTTGCAAAACTTGGATCGTCGAGTGTGACTTGGGAAATTGGCATTTTCCGCAAAGGTGAAGAGGATGTCAAGATGGTTGGTACATACACACATGTGTTTGTGCTAAGAGAAACAATGCGCGCGGGGCCTGGAGGAATGGCGTCCCAAGTTCGACGGGGTTTGGAGAAGCTACTCAATTCACCTGGGGCCAAGTTATAGAGGCAGCGAAAACCAGGACTTGTATGTAAAGATGAGATCTCTGAATGAGTAGTGAGTTGGTTCACGTCCCGCTAGAACGATTGACAAGATGTTGAGTTGGAAGAAGTCCAGTTGACTCATATTAAGTAGTATGCAGAGGAGCTTCGCCAGGGGCAGTCCATTGCCCCAGGGAAAATGTTCCCCGTCTCTTCGTTCTTTTAAACTCGTCGCTCTCGTTTTCTCACTTCTCCTCTCCCAGCTCTTCGTTGTCCTACTATCGTTACAACCACTACTTGTCCCATATTTCATCAATGGAATCAAGCCCTGGAGGCCAAGACGACGCGTCCTCTATGCACATGTCGTCTTCTGTGCAGCAGGTCTATCTTCTTCCGACCCCAGTCGCCAAAAAATGCCCGGGCTGTGAATCCAACAGGCCATTGTCTGAGTTCTGGACAGAGGATTGCACGATCACCGAAAAGTGACGTACTTGTCGCGTAAGTAGTCTCATCATCGCTCTCATCCAGGTCTGTTCACAGCTGACACTAATAGGCTACTACTCCCACTGTCGAGACAAGCTTGACAACTATCGGACGTATTCAAAGTACCCGCGTTTCCTCTGACTTTACCTTGCAACCCCATTGGATGGCTTCGATTCTGCAACCCAGCAATTCTATGATGTCGAACTAACCCCCGCAATGATGTTCGATCCTGGGACTCGGCTCTTCTATCACATGGCAAACAAGGCCCCATCCAAAGACCTGGCCTTCGAACCTGTCAACTTGACCAAGGGATCCGCCAAGCCCAAGGCTAAGTCTGAGGCCTCGGAGCCTTTCTTCCCCCTGCCTGCCCCTCGTAACGATCTATGCACCGTTTGTATCGAACTTCTAGCCCCCGAGTGTGTCCTCGAGCGAAAGGAAACCGAGGGCTATGCCGTCTGCAACAGCTGCGAGGTTTGTATCTTACCATGCACATCCTAACTCACACCAAGGCGGTCCTCGTTAATACAGCATAGACTCGATACCGTCTGCCGGAGCTGAATGACGACAAAAGCGAGGATACCGGCATTGACTTCGATACCGAGAGCCCGCTGTCGGAGCATCAATCTTCCGCCACTTTGGCCGGAGGCTCGTCCAACCTATTCATCGGATCTGCCATGTGATGGTGGGCCGCATGGAAGCGCTCGTGTGGAGACATAGACGGCCCTGAGACATCGCCGACGCGGGTGAGAAGTGCTATGGATACCTGGAAGCAAGTATAGTGGAGGCATTTCCCCAATGTAACTAGTGAATTCGACGCCCGATCCACCATCTACGCTGCGTAGTTGCAGAATTGAATTTCAAATTTCTGTGGAGAGGGTGAGACCGCCCCCACCGTCTGGAACGAGCATCAGTAGTCTTTACGCCGGATACTTCCTCCAAACTGGGTCTAGACATACAAATACTAGTGGCAGTAGGCTCAACAGGCTCCTCCGGTCACAGAGATAGACCTACTTTGAACCGAAAGGCACCAAGTAAGAGCCGGCAGCCCACTTTCGTTAGCCACGCAGTTCATGGGGGGGGTATGCAGCTCTTTACTGGATCCAACAGGACCAACATCGGACGTGAGCAATAAAATAGCACCGGTCCTTCGCAAAAACCAGCTTCAACTATTGGACGGGAATAGCCCGCTTCTTGGCAATGAGGCCGCCCCAGAGTCCAGCGTCGTATGACTTTTCACCGTCCCCGCAACGGATCTCCCTGAGAGGCGCTGTGAGATCCTCTAGTTGCATTTGAGCCAGATGCTCCGTTTCTTCAAGGGGACTGTTGTATGCGCAAGACGAATGAGCGCGCGCCCTGATCAACCGAAGCCCACGTGACGCTGCAAGGCGTACCAGAGATCGGCGGCGCGCACCCAGATTGGGAGTTCGTAGTATGGGGGCCGGACTGGAAGGATCTTTTGATCGGGTTGAAATAGTTTCAGGGTAAGGATAATGTGGGATGTCGAAGGTATAAAAGGCGGTTGGTTTCGCCATCGAAACTTGCAATTGCATCAACATCAAGATCTTATCTGAACCTCCGTCTTTTATACTCCCTTCACAATGCGTTTCAACGTCCTTGCTCTGGCCACCATTGCCGGTCTGGCTACTGCCTCCCCTTCTTTGCTCCAGAGATCCAACAACTGCTACGAGCTCTGTGTTGCCAACGGCGGAGTAAGGCTTCCACTGCTACATGGTCTTTTTCTTTTCACGTACTGACAGATATGCAGAGCAGCGATGACTGCCTTAACCAGTGCGCTAACACCAAGCGGGTGAACAACTGCTTCGAGGATTGCGTTCTCGCGGGTGGCGTAAGTTTTCTTCGCTTGCAACTCGTTTCTTCAATATTCTAATATTTATACAGAGTGACCAGGACTGCGAAGAGGAGTGCAAGAACTCATAAAGTCAGCACAACTGACAACACGGCTAAGACAGCACACGTTGACGCCGGGCATCACGATTGATTCCGAGTTCACGGTATAAGGCTTTCCTTGACCTCACACCATATGTTATCTATGATATCTATGAATGATGTGTCTCGTACGATGGTAGATCTGTAAAGCAGGAAAAGAATCAATCATGTTCCACTATATGAGAAAGAACTGCCTGACGGCAACAACATCCCGTATCAACAACACCATTTGTACATGTGAAAGGTAAGTGACAGAAAAGCAGTACAGCAGCAAAAAAAAAAAAAAAGCAAAGGCAACTTGGGGAATCCTAGAGCCTGGGATCTAAGATCGAGTATGCACAAGCTTGCCCTGCACCCAGACATTCTTGACATTCCGATCATCACCACTCCACATCCACTTCTGAATCTGCTCCTGCCAAGTCTCGTTCCCAAACAAGTCGATATTCCCAACCGTAGCGGACTCCGCCGCAGCCCGACTAACAAGGCTCTTGAGAGGCTTCGCCGGAAGCGGACTGATAGTCTTATTCTGCACAGCGCCCAACTCAATAAGCTGCGCATCCCAGATCATCCCCGTGTCAAAGCCCCCGATATCATCCGCCATGTGGACGACCTGTGCACCACCACGGGTAGCAAGGTACAAGACATCGTCCGGCGAAAGCTTCTCGTGGCCATCCGTGCCCTCGGCCGTGGTGTTGCCGATCAGTGCCAGGTACTCGGCGCTGTAGCTCAGCAGCCTGGAGACCAGGGACGCCTGGCGTGCGACCTCGAGAATGCTGGTGCTGTATCCGCCCGCGACGTCGGTTCCGAGGCCGACGGTGACGCCAGCCTCGAGCATGGCGCGGACAGGAGCGAGGCCGGAGCCGAGAGCGGAATTGGAGGCGGGACAGTGAGCAACAGCGGAGCCACGCTTCACGATCAGAGCCCACTCTTCCTTGGTGAGGTGGATACCGTGGGCCAGAATAGTGCGGTTGGTTAGGAGGTGGGCTTTGTCGTAGACGTCGGCGTAGCTGGAGGACTCAGGGAAGAGTTGTTGGACGAGCTCGACCTCGGAGGTAGTCTCTGCAATATGTGTCTGGATGTGCAGTGGGGGGTCGTAGGAGGCAGCGAGCTGGCCTAGACCGTCGAGAGACTCGTTCGAGCAGCTTGGGGCAAACCGAGGGGTAATGATCGGCTTGATCAGGGTTCCGTTTGGATCGATAGAGTGGATGTAGTCGATGGTCGACTTGGTGGCATTGAAGCCCTCTTCGGCAGACTCGTCGACGTAGTAAGATGGGCATTGATCTTTGTTGTCCATGCAGACACGGCCGATGAAGGCACGCTGGCCGTGTCTTTGGCAGAGCGCGGCGAGAGCATTGGTAGCGGCGACGTGGATAGTGGCGAAGTACGATGCGGTGGTAGTGCCATGCGAGAGGGTACGAGCGATCACTTCGTCGTATTCACGCAGGCCTAGAGGAGGTGCATCGTTGGGGTTTGTTTGCGTGTTGTTTGGGTCTGACTTGGACCCGAAGCTGGCCTCGATCGGATAGGTGTATTCGTTCAGCCACTCCAGGAGTTGGTTTGAACCGAACAGACCGAGGTTGGGAAACTGTGGGGCATGGATATGGGTATCTATATGGGTTTTAGCAAGAAGATAATTGAAGTACCACAGATAGGACGCCTTGGTGGAGCTCACCAATGAAGCCAGGGAAGAAGAACTCGTTCTGTGAGTCGTCCGACTTGACTACCTGAACTTGGGTAGATCCACTTCCAGACCCATCAGACCAACCATGGCTGGAGAGGAATGACTGGAAACTAGCATCATCCTTGACTCCCCAGTCATAGCCTTTGATGCGGCCGTCCTCAGCGGAAACCCATAGAACACCTTGACTTCGGGTAAGCTCAGGCTTTGTCGAAGACGAATTCAGCTTGGGAAGATAAACAAAGGTGCCCCGGTATACAGTATACGCAGATGTATCGGCTGCAGCTCCCCAAGCATTGATCAATGCAAGGCACAGGGCGCCCACAAAAGCCTTGGGAAAATTTAGGACCATGATTCAAAGAATGATTGCCAGTCGAGACTCACTGCTTGACTCGGATTTCCTGAAGAATCCCCGCATTGTTATACTTTGGCACATCTATGGGAACTGAGGAGTTATCGTGGTATCAGATAAGCGGGCCAGCGATCACATCGTAGAGTCGAAGGTTGAACCTGCTAGATTAGAGGACGGTCATACCCGTTGTGGTATCTCGCAGCGATTGCTGAAGCTTGAGTAGAGCAGAGCGATGGCAGTATCATGAGATCAAGATGATCGTCACGGCCCTGGCGGCGGTGGTCGGCTGCCTCCGACTGAATTGAATTACTGACGAGTATGGAAAAGAAGCTGTTTGATAGAAGGTGCGGGTGAGTGGAAGATAGATGTACGTAAAACATGCTCAGTGCGGAAGCGATCAGCGGATGGACGAGCGACTGTGCTCTGGACAGCGAATAAGACCACGAAGACAATATGGAGATTGTAGTTCTTCATTTCATTTCACTGTGAAGCGAATGTAATTGGCTTTAGGACAAGACTTATGTACATGTCTCGTGGTAAGGGCCCAGTAGCAGATAAAGAGGAGCGGGCCAAAGGGCTTTAGCTTTATCGACAGAGGCACAACATCATGACGTAGGAATTTGCTTGAAACTTTCTTCAGGGTGAAACTAGGCAATTTGTTATCTGTGAAGCAGGTTTTGGAGTGATTTCTAGCTGCTGATGTTAGTGTCAAGGCGTTAGTGCAAAATATTCATCAATCATGCGGCAACCGAAGCATAATCTCCCATTTCCCCATGACACTCTTCCCTGGGTCAGACAATAGCAGATGAAAAAGAATTGGCAGCTATGTTGCCATCATTCTAGGACCCAGAAGCCGGTTTGCCAATGATATCTTCTCAAAGAGACTTCACATTGGTGTATCAACTGTCACAAAAAAGGATACACCGTGGAAAATGTCGGTCAGATCGGCAGCTCGCTTCACGAGAAGAACCATGCGCAAGAAGTCCTCGTCCGACAAGCGGGGCGAACTATATTGACTTTTTAAGAGGGGGTGTTCCTGCAAAACCAGCCCAACCACGTCCTGATCCGGTTCAATAGCAACCGAAAAGATCAGAGCAAAGTCTGATTCACCCAGAGAGCGTCGACCATATACCCGAGATCACTGCGGCATACAAATCTGTGGCGAATCGGCCTGGAGCCCCCCGCAGAGTCTGAGCGCCTCAGGTGGGATTACCCCGGAAATGCGCTCCATTTGAAGACCTGGGGAAGGCCCGCCAAGCCATCCAGATCCGGGGAAGGGCTCGTGCGTGGACCCTGGAGTTCCACTTTGCTGTCGCTAGAGGGCCCTGCCCACGGCGACCGCCGGCTGCCGAGAGCTCTATGCCATACTAAGAAGGCAGAGGCGATCGGCCTGGTGGTGCTTGAGCGTAGATGGTCTGTTTAGCTTTATATCAAGAATCGATTGACCGTTTTTGGGGAGTTAGCCACTCGCTGCCCCATACCGTTTGAATATCGTTTGACAGTGTTGCGTGCATATCGTACCTATGGGGTTCAAACCTTTCCTTGGCCTTCGCGGTAATGCTCTCATCAGAGCAGCGGTGTGGCTCATTGTATGTCCGACTTTCACCTGCTATGGGTACAACATGAGTGTCGCTGGTGGTCTTTTGACGCTCGATACGTTCAATACTCAATTTCCGCGAATGGACACTATCCACACGGAAGGTGCCTTGAAACATGAGAATTCGAACATTCAAGGTCAGTAGGGAATGCTGGGAAACAACCGTACAATCTGACCCTAATAGGCACGGTGATTGCTCTTTATACGGTGGGAGGTATCTTTGGAGCCCTCTCCTGCGTGTTTCTAGGAGATATGCTTGGACGAAAGAAGGTCATCTTCTGGACCAATTTAATCTTCGTGATTGGAGCCATCTTGATGGCAACTTCCTTCAATTTTGCTCAGTTTATCGTCGCAAGAATCATCATTGGCTTGGGTATTGGCGGCTATACAGCCACCGTACCCGTCTGGCAGTCTGAGATCTCGCCAGCTCACAAGCGCGGCTCGAATGTCGTTACTGACGGTATCTTCGTCGGCGCTGGTGTCACGCTGGCCCTATGGGTCGACTTTGGTTTCTTCTTCGTAAAAGAGAATTCTGTTTCTTGGCGGTTTCCTCTGGCGTTCCCGATTGTGCTGTCAATCATTGCTATGGCTTTCATCCCAATGATGCCAGAATCGCCCCGGTGGCTGATCAAGACCAACCAACTCGATAGAGCCCGCCATGTGTTGTCTGCTCTACTGGACGTCGAGCCCGAGTCAGATATCATCACCGACACTATCCGTGACGTCGAAGCCACCCTTGCTGTATGTAAAAACACTTCGTGGACAGCAATGTTCACCAACGGAGAACAGCGCCTCTTCCACCGTGCCTACCTCGCCGCTACTGGGCAGATGTTCCAGCAGATGTGCGGAGTTAACATGATCACCTACTATGCTCTGACAATCTTCCAGGTAGGTTTCCACATCCAGTTACAGCACCCCCGCAAACTAGGGTGTCGTGTTACAGCGAATGAACGTACTAACCGTACCCCAGGAAAACCTCGGACTGGATCCCGTGAAAGCCCGAGTCGTCGCGGCTGCAATGGGCCTCATGCAGCCCTTCGGCGGATTCTTGGCCTACACCACCATCGACCGGCTCGGCCGCCGCCCACTCATGCTCTGGTGCGCCGGCGCCATGGCTGTCTGCATGGCGGTGCTAGCAGGCACAACCTCCCCCCCAAGCAGCAGATAACATGGTCGCGCTGGTCTTCGCCGTCATCGCTCTCTTCTTGTTCCAGTTCATCTTCACAGCGGGCTACTCCGGCCTGACGTTCCTCTACGCCGCCGAGATGGCGCCGTTGCAGGTCCGTGCGGCAGTCAGCGCTGTCTCCACCGCGACGGTGTGGGCGTTCAATTTCCTGCTGGCGGAGATCACGCCTATTGGCTTTGCTACGATCGGGTGGAAATATTACATTGTGTTTGCGGTCGTGAACGCGGCGATTGTGCCCTCTGTGTACTTCTTCTTCCCGGAGACCAAGGGCCGCTCGTTGGAAGAGATTGATGAGATTTTTGCGCAGTCAAAGAATATCTTTGATCCGCCTCGAGTGGCTCGGCGGATGCAGATCATTCAGGCGGATCAGACGGACTCGGAAGAGGGGGCGCGAGCAGCGAGTATGTGAAGGAGGAGGTTAAGTCGTGAAGCTAGCGGCGGGTTCGCTCGGTAATGATGAGATGGCTTCCGTATACCGAGGACCAGGATGTGACTGTTGAGTCGGGATGATGGACCTTGGCATAGGTGCTGCCTAGTTGAACAATTTTGAGAACGGATCGATATTACGAAATGAATAGCTCTTTTGGTCACTCTGCATATCTCCTGCGTGCTTGGTAAAGTATCTCACATCTACGCGTAGAATGAGACCAGTTTGGCACCTGTATTAGTGACTCGATGCATGTGGACGAGATCGAACTGCACTTAATATGGAGCAGCCACTTTTTGCCATGGGCACCGGCCATTCTAACTTGCACCTGAATTACTCTAGCTAGATGACCACTGTCTTATCTCATGGCCTAACGAGGAAATTGAAGCATTAACAATCTGAACTCGACGGAGTGAACTCAGTGCATGAAAGAATATTCATCGATTATTGATCTCGTCACTTTATGTGGAAATCCTATTCCATGTCTATAACCGGAAGCAAAATGATATCATGTAAAAAACGAAGCGAATAACTAGTCCAGCCAAAAACTTTTGCGACCCAAAATCCAGACCATAAGCAACGCTAAAACGCATGGTGATAAGCTAACATCGCTAAAACATGTGCGTTCAAGTAACTGTCGCTCGAATCGGGATATCCATTAAATACAAAAAGAAAATCAAATGAGAAGGAAAAAACCAAAAAAGAAAAAGAAAAATAGAAAAAAGAAAAGTCCTCCATGAGTAGAGCCCTCATCGATGCATACGAGAAAACCATCTACCCCACGATGCTGTTACACCGCGAAACCACCGCCGAAGCAGGCGGCGTCGGTCCCCGATGCATAGTTTCACCATCCTCATCAAGCCACCACTTCGGATAGGGCCCAGGAATGAAGCGACTGTTCGCGTCCCACACCGCAATCCAGGAGACACCGTCGTCTAAGAGGAAAAAGCGCAGCTTCTCGGGCTTTTTACTCCTATGCATACGCGCCACGGCCCAGCGGGAGCGCTCCTCGAGCTCATGGTCGAACATGTAGCGGTGCAGAGCACGGCAGTAGACGAGGGCAGGCGGAAACTTTTCGTCCTGATCACTTCCTTCACGGCGGACAAGGTGCCAGCCTTGACCGGGGTAATGTTTGTAGAAGCCCGGGACGGGGCTGGACCAGTATTGTTCTTCTTGCTGGTAGCGCTGGCGGGGTCTGAACAGTGACCAGTGCCATGGGCAGACGAGGTTGCGCGCGCAGATGTAGAGGTTTGGGGCCATGATGGGCGTGGCTTTCTCAGAAGGGGTGAAAATGTTGATATATGTGTACTAAAAAAGAGTTGAACGGCGAGAAGGGTTCAAGAGGAGCAGAAGAGCAGCGCTGAAACGTGACGATAATGAGACAGTAGGATCCTTTATAGGATCTGGTGTTATAAGAAGACGTTCATTGTGAAAAAGTGGTCGAGTTCAGATGGGTTGAAATCGATATGAAAGGTTGAAAGGTGAGAGGCAGAGGCGCCCTCTTTATTCCAGTGGAAAAGGGAGGATGGCCAATTCACCCGAGGCAAGGATGAGGGGGGGGACTGTGCTGCGACAGATCTCGCAATTGCCGTATATGTTATCGTTGCGGTGAGCCAACACCCCGGGATTTGGATAATTCCAGGGTCGGGAAGAGTCGTGATAAGCTTGGAGCTTTCCCCTTAAAACAGCCCACAGCTAGGAACCTTAGGAGCCGGGGAAATGAGGAAGGGGTCCGGGGCGAATCAAGACCCCAAGTCACAAATTGGGCCGGCTGCGTTGGGCAAGAAGCCGGGGACGTGCAGCTTAGAAGTATAGGAGGGCCGATGTTCTCGTGTCCAGCGAGCGCATGGGATGGATGGAGCTTTTAACTGGAGGACGACCGGCTTTATCAAAGTGGAAAGCCTGAAAGGGGGAGGGGCCGTAAATTCTTTTTTTCTCAAGAGAGAAGGCTGAAAAAGCTCAATGCTATAGGCCAAGAAATACAAAATCAGGAAATTGGAAATCATAATAGGCAACAAGTAACCTGAAACTTGGCAAAAAAAAATTCGCGCGACAAAAAAACCACGCGGTGGGTGAGTCTAGCTCCCGCGGGAAGCAAACCCGCATTATCACGGCGCCCATCATTCGTCCACATTGCATCCACCTTGCATCTGTTGCTTTGACTTAGCTTTGTATTGGCTGCACCTTAAAACTGATAGATTTTTCTCTTACGGGCCCACCCGAGCCGGCCCAGACTCTCGGTGCGCAAGATCTTGGGTTTTGCTTTTTCCCAGTGGTAGGGGTTGGGAAAAGTAGAACGTGAAGATGTAATTTTTACCCCTTCTGTTCTTTTACCATTCTTGTCCCCGTGTGGCACTAACAGAAGCCGCTGGAAATGGTCGGTGAACGCCGAGGGCGAGAGGTCTGAAGGAGATTCTCCCCCGGTTGCCCAGAAGGGGCTGTGGCGCAGCTGTTCACGGCTCCAAGGCTTTGGTCGTCAGCCTTATATGTGCTGCCTATTTACCGACCAGCTGGATTCGGGCGTCTGCCGTAGAGAGACTTGGCAATTGAGAATTCCGCTTGGCATGCCCAATTTCACAATAGCTCATCCTTTTGGCTTTTCAAACTCTTATGGGCAGAAAATTTCCTCCTCAGCTAGTCGGGGCGGGCCGTTCGCCGTTCGGGTTCCCTTTCTCGGGATAGCCCTAACATCCTGGGGCTTGCCTGATCCACTCCCCAATGTTCTTTAAGCGGATCACACTCTAGGCGTTTAGTGCGAACGAGTACGAGTGGAGTGACGTATAAAATATCGCGGAGAAAGCTTTCTGCGTCCTGGAGTAGAACGCGCCGACCGGGGCTGCTATACGATATGGGCTATCATCTTCACCAAACCAGAACCAACGGCTCTACTGTAGGGAGGATCTCTTCCCGGGTTTGCCCTACGAGGAATAGTCGGGGGGACGTGCGATTGGCATGACCCTAAGAACAGAGAGACGAAAGGCACGCCATCACCCTGGCTGGCCTTATACGCCCGAATGCTACAGGATGAACCAGCAATCGATCTGATATCTGCAGTTTCTCGAAATTGTCGAGCCAGGTGAATTTAATAAGAGTCCGGGCCATTTCTCGAAGAATGCTGCATAGCGTTTGCACTGATCCCCGATACCCAACGTGTGCGTCGCAGGGGTCGCTGTGGTCGCTGCGAGTTTATCGATAACGATAGCAGTCACACCAATGGCAGCATCTTGCTCTCCCACATGAACACCCAAAAATAGCCAGATGTCGGTGAAAAGATTGACACATTAGTTACGTTCCCAAATCTCAAGTTTTGGAATTGTCTCCTACTGGTAAATCACGATAAGCCCATCCAATGTGTGCTAGCATGCCCATATCATGAAGTTGCATTGGCTTGAATCAAAGTGCAAAACAAAAGCGCGACCCACCGGGGTTATGCTTCTAGTCCTCAACATATGATGACGTTGATTCCAAGTCACTACTGTAAGCGCTCTAGGAAATACCTAGATAGCCCTGGAGTTCCCCTGGATAATTTGGTGGTACCTCTGGCCGAGGTCTCGTAGATCTCCCGTCATAGACTTAAAGTTAGCGTGCGCTTACGGACCCGCGGCTGGCTACATTCGGAATTTCGTGGAATAAGACATAATCTGCTTAAAAAGTGATTCATACTGATTAGAAAGTCTATCACCTATGAACCGTACACGAGATGGAAAATACCGAAGGAAATAATTAACATTTCCCTCAAACGGCCGATAGCCATTGATGTGATTTTGTGTAGAGCCATGAGGCAAATAGCCCAAAGACATGCCGGGCTCGGGTTAATTCCCATCCAGCAGCCTACTCTAGGCTTTTGACAATATCTTCAAGCTCCTTAACAATGTCGCCGATGGAATCATTGCTGTCGCGTTTTACACCAATACTGCTGTTGCCTAGAAGATCGATATCAATATCGTCGCTGCGCTCCGCCTTCTTGACAGCAAAGTCCTGCAGTGTGGCAGCAACGTCCTCAACAGTGTCTGGGCTCGCCCGCTTGGCAAGGTTCAGGCCGATGCCTCCGAGATCGATTCCGAGGTCTTCTTCAGGGCTGCGCTTCGCCTTTCTGACATCAAGTTCACGCAGTAAGGCAGCAAGTTCGTCAACAAGATCCTGATTTTCGCGCTTCCGAAGATTGAGGATACCCAAGATATCGAGATCCTCTGCGGCTGAATTGGCAACCTCCCGTTTGGCCTCGACGCCAACACCTCCGCCTCCAGCATTGATATCAAGGCCATCTGCTTGTGAAGTAGCGGGATTGAGAGGGGCAGCAGAGGCAGCTAGTGCCATACACGTGAGCAAGTAGAAGGACTTCATGGTACTGGTACGCTAAGCTTATAGTTAATAAGGTAAATAGTCAGTGAAAAAGCTGCTGAAAGCCTACCTGGCCAAAGCTCCAAGGCGAGAAATTATAAGAATATCTTGGATTCGGGGAGAAAGAGACTCTTGTACAAGCTGAAGATTCGAAGTTTATTTCCAACGGATTTTTACGATGAATTTATACCTTTCTTCGTCGCAACCCTCTTCTCATTGCCGTACAGTTCGGATGAATAAAGTTTATGTTAGCTTCATCTGGGTGGGGCCCGGCAAAGGTGTCGAAAGTGGACGTGCGGAGAAAATCCCGGAAGAGCAAGCAAGATACTACCATATATATACCGTAAAAAAAAAGTGTTGATATCATATATTGCCACCGCGGATCTTGTCTTCTTCATTTTCTTTAGGAACACAACCGTAAATTGCGGACGCTATCAAAATAGATCCAATTTTCGTCATAGAAGGCTTTTGGCAGCAAGTTACTGTTTCCCGAAAGCAATAGAAACAGTATTTCACCGTGGGAATAACTGCTAATCATGATTACTGACACGCTATCTAGTCACCATATAAACAAGACCCAATGGGATCTTGGGTCAGATCATTCCACACGGGAAAAGGCGCCACGTCCACTATCTCAACAGGAGAGATTCGGCATTTGTTCCATAGAGTTTGCAGATCCGTGGATGGTCAATCGAGCTCGACGAACAGCTGATCACAACAGCCAATATGTCAAATATGCCCCGTCTCAATGTCCGTTTGCAGCTCTAGAGGTAGGACATCAATCAGGTTCACGGTGCAACCTATAGCCAAGTAGCCCAAACATGTCACGTAATTTAACTTTCAGTGCCCGAGATGGTTATGTCTAGAACACCTCGTTCAACTGAGATTGGCTTTCTACGTCTATTCTAGCGGATCGAGGGCCGGTCGTCGGCATTCTGCTTAAAATCAACACTTTGGATACTACTGTGCGAAGGGCCTACATGCCGAAACTTGGTGACGTAGACAACTGCGAGTATGCTTTCAAGCTCAAAGTTTTTTCAGAAACATGAAGGACGTTATGATGATCATGAGGGTGAACCATTTACGATGAATAATGCCAAATATTCCGAAATTCAGCTGGAACTCTGAGTACGAATGCTTCAATTATAATCTAGTTTTAGAAAAACCCGAAGCTTAAGTCAAAGAATTCGAATTGATTCGTGTATTCTAGACCTGATAAGAAGGCTCAAGTGAAGAGGCTCGCCTGGCTATCTTGTTTTCAGACGCGGATGATAACCGCATAGGTTAGCACTCTCATGACTTTCTGACCCCTCTCACTGTGCACGAGGCAGAAAACCGTGTTATCTCGCCAATGCATAGAGCGACCGAAAGCCCTCAGTCATGAGCAGGTTTAAGAACCCAGAAGCAAAATGGCGCGTTCTTAAACACTAGTCGGTTTCGAAAGAAAATACCTCCATGTGAAGTGCTGAAAGTGCCAGTGATTCAGATAATCCATATAGTAGTCAAAATCACGACCTTTAGGGCCATGTCTAAGGCGACAGGCTGGACACTGTATCAACTCTTCCTTTGCTCAATGTGTGAATAACCCGTTTTCTGACTCTGACTCTGAACTCTGAATATTGAACTCTGACTATCATCGTATCATCTGTCATGAAGGCTCTGTGGTACAAGTTCGACAATATAGCCGTCCTGTTTTCGAGTCGATCAGACTTCGAACTATCTGCTTGTACTTTAAGCTTTACTCACTGAATTTTTCACAAATCTAATCTGATTGAATATACTCTGACATGCAGGGTGGATATGATCTACGCCAATTCTTCGCTGAGCCTCCCATTCCGTCAAAGGAATACTCGCACGCGTGGCGACCCGTAAATTCTTCTCAACCTGAACGCCATTTGTTTTGAGGTAATCCAGAGTCTGGGACATATCTAGCGCCAAAAACCCCAGATGGCCGAATCCCAGATTCGGGGGAATGATTCCCCTCAGGCTCGTTTTCAGTGCCGTGGATATGATACAGCTCTAGGAGCCCCAGCGTATGCACTAAAGGCGTCAAAGTGTCATAGCTGAGCCTCTGTATATCAACCTGGTGCTCTGTGATTTGCGTGTAGCCGAGGTAATAAATCGTAAAAGGGCCAGCATTCATGATAAAAACAGTCCGCATGCCTAGTAAATCGACGTAAAACTGTAGGGACTTCACAAGGTCTCGGATTCTCATCATCATGTGGTAGAATTCGAATCCTGTAGTAGGTCCATTTACTGATAGCAGTTTTCGGTTTGGCCGTCATTGAGTAGATGCTCGCCGGCCGAATGAGCGCTCAAAGCGACCGGATTTGCCATCTGACAGTCACATAGAACACTGCTGTAGGTTTGAAAAATCGGCCCGGCCTATATTAATTTCGAAATGCTGTAACGCCCACGAAACTCTTAAGTAAATCTCAAGATATCGTAGTGGTCTGTTTAGATACTAGAATAGACTGTGGACTCAGAGGGGCAGGCGTAGGACATGCGGGGAATGGGGGACGTCCGAGAAGCTGGCGATTAGCTCCACATCGAGCAGATCCACACCAAACCTGGTTTCTGTCTTGTTAAACAGTGCTAATAGTCGGACTTCAGTAGTTTGAATATTTTGTTACGATGAATCGGTTTGAGTACTGTTTGGGGGGGGGGGGGGAAACTATCCATAAATTTCTGTGTCATTGAATTGATCTGTATGACAGACATCAACCTCTCGAGTATATTAGAGCTGGATGGTCAACCTTCGTGTCTACTCAATATACCATAGACAGCTTGGGGTTGAACGGTGCATATTTTTATACGTGAGCTAGCGGTGAAGAATAGGCAAGGGGGCTTGTATCGATAATGACACAGTGATGACTGGAGGAAACGTCGGATTAAGACTGGAAATCGAGATTTGATTGGGTAGTATTTTGCTCCTCGTCAGGCCTCGACACTAGATCCATCAAGGAAAGTCGATCGGAATACGTAAGAGTCTCGTGCCTTGGAAACCTCAGCGATTCTTCTGGTAAATCTGCGGGTGTGGCCTCACTGAAGGTAGCACATATGGTGAAGTCAACGTATGACGCGACTTTAGTCACTAAAACCTTATGGATCCCTTGAGACAAGCAGTGCGCGACTGTAAAGCCACAATCCTGCCAAGTCCCCAGCAAACAAGAGGGCGGATGTTGATTCCATAGCAGAGTGATCCGATGATCACCTGTCAAGTCCGACCCCGTTCAGGAATGTCCGCCCGACGCGTCGCGATCTACTACTCAAGCGTATAAATACCGACCATAACTCAAGATGATCTCATTTTCAGGCCTTGTCCAAGAAAACTTATAGTATGGGATTGTATTCAGCAAAACATTCTTTATGTTCAACAATGTTTTCTCGGAACATGGAAGATTATGAATTGAGGTGGGCTCCCCTGCTTGGTCCCATTGTTCTGTACTAACATGTTCTTCACCAGCCTGGACCAATCATGTTTATTTATCCCCAATGATGTCGATGAGAGTCCCTCATGCTGCATGAGTGGGACCTTTCGCCTACGATCGTCTCGCAGCAACTCATTCAGGAGCATTCGTTTGAGGCTGACCGGAGTCCTCAGCATGTAAGAACCTTAGTCGAGAACTTGATTCAGGAATTGACAATTGGAGACAGCTGCCGCGATGGTTTCAACATACGACATGATCGTTCACTCGGCACCTTTGAGCGGAACCTTGTACTGGCATCGACCGACAGTCTCAAGGATCTCCCAAAGTTGGAGGGCACCCATGAGTTCCCTTTCAAGATCCCACTAGCAGCAAAAATGCCTGCAAGCTTTGCTGGCCCAAACCACAAGCATCACAGTTATGAGGTGCAGGTCATTATCAGTCGTCGATTCAAGAGTGACATTGTCGTATCGAAACCCTTGCGGATCTATCATCCGCCACCTTTTGACCTCGAATCTCTGGCGTCTTATCAACCCACGGTGAGGCATCTGCAGCAATCAGCAACTGACAAAACCACTAAATCTGTAATTTCTAGGATTTCGAAGGACAAAGCGACAATGAGATTCAGTTCCGAGTTTCTGTCCCCAATCAGATCATCCCGTTTGGCTCTATGCTTCCTGTTGAATGCTGGTTCGCACCCCTTTCCAAGGATTGGAAACTGCACACTGCTACAATTGCGGTTGCCCAAAAGCATAGTATCCAGCTAGATGCAACTGCGGCTGAGTCATCTCTCTTACACATATCGAAGGTATCTTCGACGCAAACTTACGACATCTTCTTTGAGAAACACCAGCTTCTGGCTGATGACCAGCGCGAGGATCTATTCTTCAACGGGCTAGTCCGTCTACCCACGAGCTGGGACTCATACTCACAATCGATAACTTCGAAGATTATCACAATCACACACAGCCTTGTAGTAACGGCTGAGTTTCAAAGTCCTGATGGGGCGAAATCAACCAAGGTAGGCGAGATTTCTTCAGTAGGAGGTTCCTGTTCAGCTAACAGATCCTTAGATTGAGAAAAGTGTTCCGATCAGTATCTATATGATGCCTGAGCTAATCACATCGGATGGCTCTATCCAAGCATTTGACTTCCGGAAGATTCAAGAAAAAAATGAATCCACCTCCACCATACGGAGATCATGTCTCAGACCGAGTCATCATCCAAGACGGGGGAATCGGTTGTCCGTGTGCTAGTCCTGAAGCAATGGGCCGTGCGGAAAATGTCTATAGTAATGATCCACCCGTCTATGTCTCTTGATCCAGATTGGCCTCTGCGAGCATACAAAGGAACAAGTGTTATCCCCGGGTTTGATCGGTCAAATGATCCAGCTATTACAATAACAAGTCTTTTCTCCAAGGTTCGATCGACCCCGTTGAAGTGAAGTTCATACGATAAAAGTCCCGAATAATAGGATAGGCAACAATTCTGAGAAACCACACACCTGGGAAGACTAGTAAGAGCAAAAATTCAAGTTAATAAACCCAAAGTACAAAGAGCGCCATCACATCGGAGGGAATCGGTCGAGTGTCCTCTTTAGGAAAGTCCGCTCCGGCGGCGCTTCCTTTTCTTCCTGTCAACAGCCCATTGCACAGTCTTGGAAATTCGCACCGCTGAACTGTCACGATGGTGGAGTTGACATTTCTTGTTGGTCAAGACGGTCGGAATGTGAAGAGACATCACTCTTCTAGGGCGTGTATGACATGCCGCAAAAAGAAGGTATTAGCTGCTCATCTCAACCTTGCCACTCGACAAACTAACTGTCTAGAAACGATGCTTTCACGATTCGAGTAAAGGAGGCATTCTTCAAAAGTCTACACAGCCTAGTTCTCCTAGCTCAGATCAAGCACAGAGGAATTCAAGGGTGGGGTCTGCGGCATCGCAAGTCAAACCTACAAGTTTCAAATTCTCCAGTGATAGATACCTCGGCGGGGCTGGGTATCCCACGGGTCCGGGAAACTGCAGGATCGGACAATACCTGTGAGACCTTGCAGGTCGAAGGCGATGGTTCACCCAGTTCTGAGTCGGAGGCACGCCGGTTTGCGTGCGACTCAAACCCTGTTGTAATGTTTCTGGACGATCCCCACTCAAGGCTACAGGAAGGTCAAACATCCCGAGGTGATGTTGGCGGTTGGTATAATGGCCGCATCACTACGGAGCCCCAAATCAACTCTGCTTCGAAGGCTGATAGCTTGCCGAAAAATACGTTCCTCCTTCCTCCAAGGCCCAGTCAGGAGGCTCTGGTGAACATTTTCTTCTGTCGAATACATCCGATACTGCCTCTTTTGGATGAGTGTGACACGATATCGCGCTTTAGAAACGGCACACTCTATCCTCCCCTTCTTCAAGCTATCTGTCTCGTCGCCGCGAAAGATCATGCCGCGCTTTCATTGCTACATTTCGAATCAAACAACGCACTGTTACCTCTTGGCGTATTTAGCCAGCGACTGCACCAGGACACATTAAAACATGTCCCTCGTCGGCCAACTGGCAACCGCATCACTCTAATTCAGACCCTGGCTCTCCTATGTCTGCATGAATGGGGGCCTCATGGGTCAGAAGATAGCTCTTTGAGCCTGGTTCAAGCGATTCATCATGCCCAGACCATCGGGTTACATTTACAGAGGCCTGGCAAGGAGCCTGGGCCACAGATGAAAGCTCTATTCTGGACTCTATGGAGTTTAGATCGATGGAACTCTGCAATTCACGGGAGGTCCGTGATCCTTCATGATTGCGATTTAGGACAAAGCGTTATCGACATCATTCCCTCCTTTGATCCACCCTTCAGGATATGGCTTCATCTTGCCAATAGCCTCAACCGAGTGATCGCCTCTTATCGACCGATGGTCGATGGGAGTAGTGAAAACCCTCCGTCAATCCCAACGTTCACAGAGCTTCTCAATTGCTCAGACGCTTGGGATGCTAGTCCTGAAATCCTGAGTAAGTAGAAAATCTTGAGAACCTTGGAACTTACCTGTAAGCTAATGAGGTCTTTCAAGGCTCACTTGAATTTTTTCATCATGCAGTAGTACTTCTTTCTACCCATTCAAATGAGCTACAAGGCCGCTCTCCCACCCGCGAATCGGTCATCCGCCAAAGCCAGTCAATTCTGACGGTCGCGGCACTGTGCCGCAGAATACGAATGGAAGACCTGCTGCCAATCTCTATTTCCGCATACACCCTATCCCTTGCACTCTCTATCACATACAGGCACGTGAAAAGAGCTCGACTGTCAACAGACAAAATTGTGGCTATCGAGAATCTCACAGTTTTTCACCAATGCCTGGTATCATTGAGTGGTACCTGGTGGCTGGCCGCTATGATGATGCGATTGGGCAGACACGCGCTTGAGAATACGCAAGCGCTTCAAAATATACCCATAACTAATCCAGTCCAAGCCATATCAAGGCACGAAGAGTCGACTCTAACTGGCTGTCCTGTTCTTGTATCAGGTACACCCTTGAACTCCTACCGGACGCCGCGTTCGATTGACACGAGCGTCGCGGCTGGACGTGAACCACAACCCATCTCGGTGGCTTCTCCGGGTCATAAATATTCTGGTGAGATCCTCTCACCTGATTTGGATCAGTTCTTTGGGGACCTAGATTTTGCTTCTGTGGAAGAGGGGTATTTTGATACATTCTTCCAGAACTTTTTGGATGTAAACTTGCCCACCACTTTAGATGAACAGATTCTAGGTCAATAGGAAGGCTTCTTATAGCAAATACCAGCTTTAAAAAAAAATCAATCATTATAGCTGTCCTAAATGACGGGTTCAAACTGGCCACGAAATTATCGCCGTGATTGGTGCGTAGCTTCCTATGATGAGATTCTCCACCGGCCCTTCCCCGCATTTCAACCCCACTTCCCCGGATCGCACCCATAGTCGTTGCTCCTGTCCGTACCTTGACCCTCATGCTCAAGATGGAAATCCCAGATAACTCAACCAATAGCCACGAATTGTCGGTCGCCAGTCAGGGGGCCCAGAAGCCAAAGAAGAAGCGCATTCGGAACTGGACTGCTGAAGACCGAGCGGTTCATCGCGAGTTTGAGAAGTCACGGCGGGAGGCTTTTAGTGAACGACTCATGGTTGGTGGGATAAGCGGTATAAGAAAAGTCTGTGGGCGCTAATACTACGTAGGAATTGACGAAGCTCTTACCGGCCCTAAATTCAGAACCTCGTCCCTCAAAGCACATCATCGTGGACGCCAGCATTGCCCACCATCAAGCGCAGCAAGCAGCTTCTAGAAAAGCAGCCGACGCAATCGAGTCATTGCTTTCAGAACGCGATGACTTACTCAAAGAGGTCAACTACTTTCGATCTCTCTACCAACCTGGTACATCGATCCCTCGCCAGGCTCGCCCCATCAGCCCCACCGTACATGATCTCTTGACAACAAGCAAAGCGGGCACAAGCAGCTCCATTGCCGGCTCTTCAAGAAATATGTCTATTGGTACAGTTTCGGACCAAGCTTCACCGACTACCCTAGGTTCATTCATGCCTGTAGTCTCCGAAGACCTCCCTGTACATGAGCCGGTTCCCCTGCCCTCCGGTCATCCACTTCCGAGTCGCGACTCAGTGCCACCTTCAAACTATAGTGTAGTCGATTGGAATTGGTCCAGCCCGGAGAAAGAAACAGCAAATATGCCAGTCAATCTCCTTGATGAGCCTTCCATGCTATGGACGCCAGCGCCCGACATCCCGATTGCAACACCACCCAAAGATGCAAACGCCGAGTATAACCCAGGGCATCTGGTGAAAAACTCTGCTATGTTTTGGACTCATCATCCCGGTCAATTTACCCCAACGCCACCGCAAGATGCTGCCCATTTCGGTCTGAATGGAGGGTTCGTAGCAGAAAATCCATTAGTTTGGCCACCGTATCTGCCAATGGCTGCGGTTTCATCAACTGAGAGCCGGAATATCGCACTGTCAAATCAAATGATTCAATTTAGCGGCAGCCAACTGGCTCCTAATCAGTCTATTTAAACCAATTTTCTTGCCCTGCAACAAGAACAGTCGGCTAGACCTCGACTTTGCCCTTTAACACCTAGACTGCCTTCATCGCTTCTTCAATCTTGGCCTGGCTTCTCTTCTCAGCTGCAACAAACAGCGCAAGAGCTTCCCGAAGTCGCTTCTTTGTCTGCGGGTCCTCTTCATTCGCCTTATCCAACTCAGCCCCGCCGTTGGCCAAGTAATCAATATCGGTTCTCGAAAGCTTTCCATCTCAGTTCGGTCCAATGAGTGGATCGATCTGCGCGAGCTTCTTCAAACGCTCGGGTGTCGGGGCCGCATTACGATATGGGTGCTCCGGCTTCGGCACACCTTCTCCCGGCTGCTTACTTCCATCATAAGGAAGTTGAGCCAGCTGAGTGAGGACCTGGTGGGAGATTGTCGCCGAATGACAGCCCAATTCACCTGCCGCCATCGCTTCTTCAGGAGAGATAAAGCTGAGTTTCCTTCGTCAGCAAAGACACCTGCGAATTTCTCAATGCTCCATACCTTGCGCTCTTCACGAAAGGCTGCTCCTTCCCGGTCTCCTTGTATAGACGCTTGTATGTCTCAAGAATTTGGACAAGACGAGGGGACATTGGATGTAAGGAGAGCCGGGTCATTGGACTTTGGCCATAGCTCCTGCTCATCGTGCGCACGTACCTCTAGACCAAGATCGTTAACTTTGATTTTCCCTCATGGGCTTATCGGTACCTACCGTTGTAGTACGGGCTGATATACAGACAGCCAGCCTGGCTCGCAGCGATCGCCTGATGCACGCTGAACAAAGCCGTGCCAAGAGTCCGGATACCTTCTTGCAGGAGAATTGGACATGCGTTCAGCGCTGGGCCGGTACTCGGGATCTTGATGCAGAATCGATCCTTAGAGACACCGACACTCTCGAATTCGCGGGCGTAAGCGCGTGCGTGCTCGAGTGTCTTCTCGGTGTCATAGGCATTCGATGGCAAGGTCTGGAGGAGCACTCGTCCCTGGATATTGTCGATGTTGGCTTTGGACATGAGGACAGCCTGCGGTCGTCAGCTTATTTGCCTTGCAAAAAAATTATGGTCATGTAATACCATGCGAGTGTAAATTGCTAGCCAGCCTTGGTCTTTGTATTCTTTGACTACGCTCTTGAAAAGCTCGTCGTTGATCGGGTTGCACATCTGCTCGTGGACCCAGCCTTGGTTACTGGTCATGTCATGAGGGACAATGGGGAGGCTGAGGGTGTATGACGGGTCCATCCAGTCCACGTCGATGTTGACTATAGCATTTCCTTGTCAGTTGTGGCGGTGATTTCTAGAAGAGCCGGTTTCTTACGTTGCTCAGAGAGCTTCTGCAACCATGTCACAGAGTCGGCGCTGCCCATTATGGAGATCCGCAAGGAAATTGTACTAGAGAACCTGATTTGAATTAGGAATGTCGCAATGCTTGAAAGTGCTATCACCCGAAATATTATAGATTTGAGCGGCGATACGAGCTACCCTCCTCCAGCCTAACCACCCCTCCCCTTTGGGTCATTGGCGGGGTCCGCCATGCGTCTGACACACACAGGGCACCAGAACTTCTGTAGCTGATAGGACACTGCGTTCCAGACAATTCTATCCGAACGTGCCCTGTACAGGAAAGACTCCCTGCGCAGGCCATTCTGCCCTGGTGAAACCACACCGGAGCATTCCCGGGGCCAGTGCAGGGGGTCACAAGAGGCTGAAGCCAGCAGCGGCGGCCGCTGATAGGCGGACCGCCACTGGTCACACACAGGGCAAGATTACTTGGCCAACCCGGGGGTACAACCCCCATACAGGGCTACCAAGTCCGTGGCGTCATGAGTTTAATGAAAGAGGGGGGGCTGGTGCGTGGCGATTGGTTGGAGCGCTCGGCTTTGTTCAACGCTAGCGCACCCCGGATTCCAAGCCGAAGATCTCCACGAGCATACGCCAATGGTGTCCAGGCCCCGGTCTGGTGGAGTATATAATTGATGCGTGGCACCCAGTCTTGTGTGCTAGCCTCTTGCAGATCTGAATATTGGTGTGACCATGTCGAAGCGCAGTGTGGACAACCTTAAGCCGAGTACGGTGTTTGTGGAGGATGCGGAGGCCCAGGCTTCGCATTTGGGCAGCTACAGCCAGAATGTCAATGCAAGGTACGAAGTGCTGTTGCGAATCGTGCTACTCGAGTTGAATATAGAATGGGGGATCTGACAAGTTTGGACATTGTAGGATTTCCAATCCGTTGGCCGGTGTCTCCAAACGCGATCTATACGATCGAGTCGATCGCTTCTGCCAAGAGTTCGGCTTTGAAGCCGAATTGGAGACTTTTCGGAAAGGGGCCCTTGCTTCTCAGAATCAGACTGATTTTGAAGGCCTTGGCGAGCTCACTGAAGATGACAAGCGTCATTTGAGGAGGGAGACTACACGTATGGAAGCAGACACCCCAAGCTGTGCAGTACTCTAACCTGGTCAAGATAAATGGCATCTCCCAAAAGCTCTTTATTTCAGCATAGCTCTCTGCTCTCTTGGATCCGCAATTCAGTGAGTCTGATGAGTGATATGGAAGAACATTGGTCTAACCCGATTCTAGAGGATGGGATAATACCGGTGCCAATGGAGCTAACCTCTCCTTTCCGGAAGAATTTGGGATTGCGGATAATACTTGGCTGATCGGAGTCATCAACTCGGGGTGAGTGCGAGGCACTGCACTTGAAGTAAGCGGCTCTAACAGACTCTCCAGGCCAACCCTCTTTGGATTGTTAAGGTCAGCATGTCATCTATGTGGAGGTCACCATATATCTAATGCGGCGAAGCGCCTGGGCTGCAGATCCTCTGAACAACTGGCTGGGCAGACGCGGAACTATCTTCTTAACCGGTCTATTGTACGTGCTCTACGCCCTTCTGAGTTGATAATATACTGAACTTCCCTAGCTGCGTCTTTCCAGTGCTTGCACAGGCTTTCACGCAAAATTGGTGGGGCCTGTTACTTTGTCGTCTTTTCATGGGTCTTGGTATGTTTTTTTTTCTTCAAGGATTTCTCACGGCTATACGAAGCTCATGTGTCTCTAGGAATGGGTGTCAAGATCTCGACGATTCCCGTTTTCAGCGCTGAGATCTCTCCGGCGTCCATTCGTGGAGGCCTGGTAACTAGTTTTCAGTTATGGGTGGCATTTGGTACTTTCATGTGAGTGCCCCAGCGCTAGCGTATGTTTTATCCCTAATTTCAAATAGTGGCTTCTGCTCCAACCTGATTTTTTACCGTATTGGTAAACTTGCCTGGCAATTCCAATTGGCGGCTGCCTTTGCCCCAGCTGTGCCAGTTCTGATATTCGTTTGGTTCTGTCCAGGTCAGTCCTCGATATCAACTTAACAATGGTCTATCCTTATCTTTTCCGTAGAATCGCCTAGATGGCTCATGAAAAAGCGACGCTACCAAGAAGCCTTCGGGTCATTCTGCAGGCTGCGGAATACGGAGCTGATTGCAGCACGAGACCTGGTAAGCTATGACCACTTGGTGATTCAAACCCGTAATTGACGATCTGTAGTACTATGCCCATTGTCAGGTACTGGCTGAGAGAGATGCGTTCTCAGGAACATCACTTGGCCATCGTGTATGGGAGCTCGCCACGGTACCCCGCCTCCGTCGAGCTATGATCTCAAGCTCCATTATTGTTATTTCCCAGCAGTTTTCGGGAATCAATATTATGAGCTTCTATTCATCCACTATCTTCTCAGAAGCGGGGTATTCTGACCGAGACTGTCTTCTCGCTTCCCTGGGATTCGGATTGACCACGTTTGTCTTCGCGCTTCCCGCGGTATGGACAATGGATACGTTCGGACGACGCAATCTCATGTTGTTCACTTTCCCTAACATGGCTTGGTGTCTTCTGGCCGCTGGCTTATGCTTTCTGATTCCTTCCGAGTCTGGTGCTCGAGTGCCTCTGATTGCGCTTTTCGTCTATCTATTTGCGGCCTTTTACGGACCCGGTGCGTGCAACGACTTCTTATGTGGGAATCCACGGCTAATCTTTGCAGGCATTGGACCGATCCCATCAATCTACTTCAGTGAGGCATTTCCGCTTTCTCATCGTGAGCTGGGAGCCGCATTCACGATTTGCGTGAACAATGCGGTCGGCAGTGCGCTCAGTCTTAGTTTCCCATCTCTCCTGGCCAAGATAACCCCTACTGGAGGTAAGTCTGACTTTACGGGTTTTGGGATACCACTTGCTCAGGTTTCTAGCATTTGGTTTCTACGCTGGCTTGAATATATTGGCTTTTGTCACGATTTTCTTCGTGGTACCGGAGACAATGTAAACATCTCCATCCAGTTATAAGAATGATTTTCTAACGCTTGATAGGCAACGTACCCTTGAGGAACTGGACTATACCTTCGGCGTTCCTACCCATCGGCATGCGAAATATCAATTCAAGACCTGGTTGCCGTGGTTTGTGAAGCGCTATGTTTTCTTCCAGCGGTCAGCTAAGCTAGAGCCACTCTACAAGCTGGAAGGATTATAGTGAGAGTTTCCCCGTTCCGTACCTCGAAATTCTCACAACCATGTAGTGTAGTCCTTGAATCACTTTTGACATGCAATGGGCTTTCCAATTCGCACTGTTGACTATCCGCATGTTGCCTTCCTAGGCGACTGGTGGTGGCAAAGCAAAGGTTCGCCATGGCAAGCCAGCGCTTGACGTCAGCTCAGTCCCTATGAGGCTGATGGCAAATAAATCGCTTTCTATATCTACATATACGCATCGCCCGAATTCTACTCGCTGCGACTGTCTTCTTTAATAACATGTCTCTCGCATACACGACAGTTCCGCTTCAAGTTAAAGGCGTAAATCTCGAGCTCTCCACCATCCACCGTCTAAATTCGACAGCGCCGGTATTGTTTCTTCATGGCTTTGGATCTTGCAAAGAAGATCTCGCAGACTTTTTCCTTCATCCGACGCTAGAAAAATACGGGTTCATCGCTTACGACGCACCAGGATGCGGCAACTCCACAACGGACGACCTTTCCGCCATAGATATGCCCTTCCTCCTCGCGACAGTCGAAGAATTCCTCGCGCACTTCGGTATATCTCAGATCCATATAATAGGCCACTCTATGGGTGGATTAACCGCGCTTCTGTTCGCACATCGCCACCCGGGACGAGTCCTCAGCTTCGTTGACATCAAAGGCAATCTTGCACCAGAAGACTGTTTCCTCAGCCGACAGACCTACGAACATCCCTCCGAAAATCCAGACGAATTCTTTGAGGCGTTTATTGATCGGACCCGGAATACGAAGTCTTATTCCAGTCCTTTATTTGCCAGCGTGCTACGTACACGGGTACGTGCTGCAGCTGTAAAGCCCATCTTCGAGTCCATGGTACGATATTCGGATGAGGACGACTTGGTCACGAAGTTTATCAAGCTGGAATGTCCCAGGATGTTCGTCTTTGGGGAAGAGAACCAAGAGCTATCTTATCTGGAGAGGCTGGGCAAGGAAGGCGTGCAGTTAGCGCTGATTCCGGAAAGTGGGCATTTCCCGATGTACGCGAATCCTGTTGAAATGTACCGGCGGATCGCAGGTTTCCTGGATACGGTAGAAACAGGCCAATCTGATAGATAAACGGCGGGTAAAACAATCCTCATGGGCATTGCTTAGCCGTTAAGTTGTCAACCGTTAGGTTCACGTACTCGCTCCTACTTCAACGTCGAAAGAAGGATACTCCTTCCTTATTTGCCCAAGGTAATATGAAAATTCTAGTAAGGCAGTAGCTAGTCCATCCATATTGTGGAAATTCGTGCAATGAATTGCAATTTCATCGTGGTAATATATAGCTACAATAGAGTTCTATTATACCGTCAAGTTCATAGAAAGGGAGATGTTCATACCCGGGACAGAAAGTCCAACGGGGTCATTAGAAAAATCAAACCCTAGACGCCATCTATGCCAGAAAAGCAAAATCCATCACATCTGAACTTATTGAGTGGCGCACTGCGCTGGTTCATCATCATCTTCGTCATCATCCTGCCAAGCAGATCCACCGTTGGCATCTTTCGCCCCGTATTCTTCCATATTTCCATGGGGGTCATAATCGACTTCGTCCACGGGGCTACCCTCAATAGGAGCGTCGGGCTTAGGCAGGACCTCACGAAGCTTCTGGAGCACTTCTTGGCTCGGCTTCCATTGCCCGTCGGGAACTTTACGTTGACAACCAAGTATAGATCACCTCGGGCGTCGCTGCGTTTGATTGGCATACCCTCGCCCCGAACAGTAAGGACTTGGCCCGGGCTGAGAATCTTGCCGGCGGGGTGTTTGATCTCAATACCTCGCCCGTCGAGATGCTTGATTACGACGCGTGAGAACCCAGTCAAAGCTTCGGCAAGGGTGACGTCAATCTGTGCCCGCAGATCTGCCCCAGCACGTTCAAACACTGGGTGCTCTTCTTCAACGAGGCGGAAGATAATGTCGCCAGGCTCCTGGTCTGGCACTTGGTCCGCCTCGCCTTCGAGGACAATCTGTTCCTTCTCCCTGTACAGATTCAATTTTAGCAGGAGCAGAGGTTTCCATAGATAGAGTCCAACTTACCTTGCTCCAGGCGCAATGTAAATCTCCAGCATCTTCTTCTCCTCGGTTGTCCGGTTGCCCTTGCACTTCTTGCACTTATCCTTCGGGCTGTAGAACTTGCCCTGTCCATTGCAGGTGGTACAGGTTTGGGTAGAGCGAGTGAGGAACTGGCCCATGGGCTGCAGAACCTCCTTTACTCCAGCACCCTCACAAGTAGAGCATTTCTTGGCTGTCGCCTTCTCCTTGCCGCCCTTGCCCTTGCACAGACTGCAAATAACGTTCTTTGTACTGGCGAACTTCACTGTCTTGCCCTTGTACATATCCTCCAAGCTCACCTCGTAGTCCTGCTCCTCGTTCCGGCTTTTTCTGGGTCGTCCTCCTGGGCCCCCAGGCATACCGCCAGGCATGAAGCCGGGCATTCCTCCTGGACCACCCATGCCACCCATGCCACCAAACATTTGAGCCAGCAGATCGTCGAGGTCAGGACCACCCATGCCTCCCATGCCCGGCTCACCGGAGCCGTTAAAGGCAGACATGCCGTGTGTATCGTAAATATGGCGTTTGTCGTCATCGTAGAGGATTTCGTACGCCTCTTGCACAGCCTTGAATTTGATCTCAGCGCTCGGGCGCTCATCTTCGGGAACTTTGTCGGGGTGGTTGGCAAGAGCAGCCTGTGATGAGATTTCATGTAAGTGCTGTGCGAGTAGTTGAGAGGGGTTGTCTTGCCTTGCGATATGCTTGTCGGATCTCGTCCTTGCTCGAGCTCCGCTGGATCCCTAGGACCTCTGCAGAAGTAAATAGATTAGATCCACACTCCAAGATGGCATCTTCTCCAATTCATGAAGCCAACATACCATAGAGGTCAATCTCAACCTCAGCCACTGATTAAATTGTTACTAAGGAGCAACCAAAGGAAATGAAGCATCGCAACATACTGGCAGGAGATTCAGTCTATCAAAAAGAATGATAGAAGGAAGAATCAAGATATATCTAAACCCGGATGACCAAAGGAAGCGGGGAAGATTAGAAAAAAAAAAAGAAGTTGCGGTCGAAAACTCAGCTCGAAATTGCGGAGCGGAACCTCCGCACTGGGGGAAAAAAAAACCCGCGCTTCAATCCAACCGTAACTCCATCTCCGCGAAATCTCGCCATGAGGAGCGCTCGCGGGCTCTTAACTCGGTCCTGGACCTGCGTTCAGTGCAGAGCTCATTCGACCTCCGCAGGCACATCGCGCAAGCTGAAGAACAACGTGCCCGATGCCCCTGCGCGTACGCGGTTCGCGCCCTCACCCACCGGTTACCTCCATCTAGGATCACTGCGGACGGCGTTATTTAACTACCTGCTCGCGAAACGGACTGGAGGCCAGTTCTTGCTTCGCATTGAAGATACCGATCAAGTGCGTAGGCTGGATTCTCCCCCAACGGAGCAAGCACTAACGGACGCAGAAACGGACGATTCCGGACGCCGAACAGAGACTATACGACGATCTGCGATGGGCGGGACTCCATTGGGACGAAGGTACGGCTTTGGGCGCCAATATGATTATGCTAGGCTAATTGCGATGGCAGGCCCTGTGGTCGGAGGTCCATATGGCCCTTATAGACAAGTAGGTTGATGCGTCGCATCAGATGAATACTCTGGCTAATGCCTGGTTTGCACAGTCCGAACGAAAAGCCCTATACCATACACACGTGAATGAACTCATCGCGAACGGCCATGCGTACCGATGTTTTTGTTCGTCCGAGCGCCTCGATGCCCATGCACGCCACCGAAGTCAAGCCGGTCTTCCCCCCGGATACGACAGGAAGTGCGCGGATATCCCCGTCGAACAATCAGAAGACTTGGCGTCAAAGGGAGAGAAATACGTGGTTCGACTGAAGGTAAATGGATACCCTATGTTCCATGATCTGGTCTACGGCAAGACAGGCCAGAACAAGCCGAATGCCAACAAGATGGACTTCATCGATCGTGTCTACGACGATCCTATTCTGCTCAAGTCGGACGGCCACCCGACGTACCATTTAGCGAATGTGGTGGATGATCATTGCATGAAAATCACCCACGTCATTCGAGGAACAGAATGGATGCCATCGACTCCAATGCATATGGCCTTGTATAATGCGTTCAAGTGGGAGCCCCCCCAATTCGGCCACGTTCCTCTCCTCGTCGACAAGTCCGGGCAGAAACTGAGCAAGCGCAACATGGACATCGATCTATCATCATTCAAGGACCAGCAGGGAATTTTCGCGGAAACTTTGACGAACTTTGCCGCGCTTTTGGGCTGGTCTCATGCTCAGAAGTCAGATGTGTTCAATCTTGAGGAGCTCGAGAAAATCGTACGTCCTCATTCACCTCGCTTACCTTGGATGGCCAGTACTAACACCAGCCCTACCAGTTCAACCTCAAGATAACCCGCGGAAACACTGTCGTCGCCTTTGAAAAGCTTTGGTTCCTCCAAAAGGCCCACGCCCAACGCTTCGCAGCAAGCGGAGGCCCTCAGTTCGACGAAATGGTCAAGCGTGTCGCTGCGCGCGTCCAAGAAACTTACTCCAATGAGGCTCTGTAAGATTAGCTCGTCCAGCACCTACCCACCAGTATCTAACAAACCCAGCTCCCCACTCCTCAAGGGCCGCAGTATCACCGAGTACGTCGCGCCCCTGCTCCGTGCGGATGCAAAGACATATACAACCGCGGAGGAATTCCTTCAGCGCAACGCTACCTTCTTTACCACGGGTCTGAATCGGGCTCCCTATACACCTGCAACACCCCAATCAGAAGGCCCGACCGTCCCAATGCGCGCGCTGCACACGGCAGCAGCAGCCCTTACTCTCGTCCCAGACGCGCACTGGAATATCGAGATGCACCGCTCAAACATCAATTCGTATGATGGTTCTGGCGCAGTCGAAGTTGCCGAGGGAGATGTCTCCGGTGTCAAAACAGACAAGATTTTCAAGAAGGAATTATACCACTACCTTCGCTGGGCCTTGTCTGCCTCGGCGCCAGGGCCGGGGATCCCAGAAATAATGACCATCCTTGGCAGAGATGAGACGGTTCGCAGGATACAAGAGGCGAAGGAGCTAACGAAAGACTTGGTTCCGTCTGTTGGGCGGCGCGTCCCGAAGACAGGAATGGGCGAGGATCGGAGTTGGATGGGATCTCTTGCGGGTGGGAAATGAAATCAATGGATTGACTTTGTATCATATTCCGAACTTACTGTACGATAGTGACAATATATCCTCCTTATGGCAGGGCTACAAAGGAATCGGACAAGCATTTGTGAATCAAATATTGTATTAACAAGATTGGAGCACTGTACGGCGCTACATAGGCAACTTAAGGAAAAAACTGGGAATAAACAACAGATAGGTAATCGAACTCTCAAGGGAGTCGAGATTCATAGAAGACACGACCATAAGCACCGACCCGAAGAAAATCATTCGACGCAAAAAAAAAAAAAGCAAATAACACCATGCCAAACCATCACGGGAAGAAAAAGAAACATTAAATGTCCAGAATTGAAGAGAGCGAGCTTGTCAGAGGGAACAAGACATAGAAAAGGGGGTATCGAACCCGCTCTCGTTGTAGCTGCTGTTGACAGCGACGGACTGAAGCATAGACAGAAGAAAAGGAGGGAATAAACAAGGTTGACATGATGAACGTCGTAATTTTGAACATGGAAAGAGAAACAGAAGTTCAGATCGGCGTTGTCGTTGTGGAGCGCGCGGATGAAGCACCAGCCCGAGTTGATAAGCTCAATATTACGGGGATCGGGGATCGTAAACGTTCATCGTGAGGCAGGAGCCGTGCAGAGTCCAGTCATGGGATCGTCATTAACAAGCGATTGCGTAACCACAGCTCGAATTCCCCCAAAGCGCCGGCAATACAGTTGCAAAGAATGTGGCTTTTGACCTATTCAGGAGGCTACGGACGAAGAGAGAAGTTTTCGAGCCGCAAACTAGTAGGTCTCGAAATCATCGGTCCATTCGGTGTCACTACCAGCGACACGGAGGACTTGGCCTGGGTGAGGCCCATCCGGGCTGACACTTCGAATGCCCTTGCTCTTCTTGCCCATTAGGCTCATGCTGTCATCAGGGGCAAATCGCTTTCCGGGGGCGGCACGGATCTTGGAGTAGTAAACATCAGCGGGCTCCGCTTCTGAGCCTGATCCATCATCGAAGGTTTCCCAATTCTCGGAACCGGAAGTGGCAGTGTTGACAGTAGATGAGTTGGAGGCCTGACGAAGAGCAGGTGGGGAGGAGCGTGTTGCAAGTATGGGTTGGTCCGTGGGTATCCCTGCTGCGAGGAGTTCAAGGACAATGACGAAACCGATGAGTGGGAAGAGTGCGAGACACCCATAATAGAGCGCTGAGAGTTTGAGTTGGACATAACGGACGCGCTCATGAAAGAACGCATACGGTCATCGTAGACATCCTCGGGGCTAACAGGCCGAACAAATGCGCTAGACATAGCACTATTGCAACGAGGCGGCTCCATAATATGGCTGTTACGTTCCTTCGACTCCACAGTCAATGCGCGCATGCGAGGTGGAGGTCCACGAGGAGGGGCATCTTGCCATTGACAGTACTAGATGAATAATTTCCAGGTGCAGCACGACGGTCAGGGGAGTTGCTGCCATGCGGCATGTTACTCAAGGGAGCCCGAGCAGGAAGCTTGGATGGGGACTTCGCTCCTGATCTAGATCCACCGTAGCCAATAGTGTTGTGCTTAACCGGGCCACCTCCAGTAGGTGTTTTAGTGGCAGAACGAGGAGGAGGGGGCCCACGCATGGAGCTGCCTGGGCGTGAGGGCGGTTGTTGTCTGATGCTTCCCTTGCCAGCTGAAGGGGGCGCAGAAGGTGTCTTTGATCGAGGCGGAGGCTTCGTGACAGCAGGAGTCAAGCTGTCAAGGTAACGGTCACCGTGGACCAGGAAAGGTCGGCCGAACTCGTCCTCCCAGTGCTCAAGCTCCTTTCGAAGTTCTGCTTCAACCTTGGGCAATTCCTTCGCAATACGTTTACGCATCTTCTCCTCTCGCAAAAGCTTGCCTGGGTCGCGGCGCTCTCCCTTATTACCGCGAGCCATGAGACGAGATGCATCCTGAGCAGACGAAGACAGAGCCTCACGGTCCGCCAGCAGACCTCGGTGCTTCTCAATCAATTCCAGGGTAGGCGCGCGTTGTTCCTTCAGGGTCTCCAAACGGGAGATCTCAGCCTCGTGAGCCTCCAGAAGAGCATCACTGAACACATCTGAGAAAGCAGGAGTGAAATCAAGCATCTCCTCCTCAGAGAAAAATAGTGCATCCCACAGTTCTTGGAGACGGCAACGGGCATCCTCAACGAACAGATGCATATTTTGCCTCTTCAATTCGTTGAGTCGGCTCAACTCCTCTTCAAATTCATTGATAGTGCGCAGTCCACATCCGCGGTTGGTCGACAAGAATGCCTTGCGATCCGCTTCTTCAACTCCAAATCGCTCCCAAAGTGTCTCGACCGCAGTTCGGAGTTCCTTGATCTTTCTCTCGCGGCCCTTCTTCTCCTCCAGTAACTTATCCCGCTTGCCCATCAGATTGGCAAGGTCGGTCTCATGCAGTCCAAGTTGCTCTGGAGATTCGCGGTAGTGCTTGACGATGTTGGAGTCGGTCTGGACTTGAGGGGTTCCCAGCTCGGCCCACATCTTGATGATTTCCTCAGATGTGGTCTGAACGAAAGAAACGCGGCGATAGTACTCTTCGTAAACACGGGTGAACTCGGCATCTAACGATGCCACGTAGTTAGGAGAAAGATCGAAGCTAGGCGGGATGGTGGAGCCTGGGGAGGTGGGAGGGAGTTCAATGGTGAGAAATGAGTCCTCCAGGTGAGACGAGTAAGATTCCAGCGCATCGACAAGCTCTGTACGCTGTTAGAAGATACCATAACAAAGCTTCTTGGGGCCAACTCACTCTTTACCTGCTCGAATCTTTCGCGGTGCAGCTTGCTCATTGCTGCGCTCTTCTCACGCAAGAATGCGATGCAGCGGTTGAGGGGATAGGTAATACGAAGGTCGTCCCGGTTGAGCTCATACTGGCCATTGGCCCTTTCATCGCTCAGTGACGCCTCCATCTGCTGAATCGTCACAATGAGTTTTTGAGCCTCTTCGGTCAAATCATCCTTTTCTCTGTAGCAAGTTGGTCAGTAAGCGCCGGTATCAAAACAATCGCAACACTTACTGGTCCACCAGCTTGAGGTGGTTTGTTAGAGTTTCTGATAAAGAACTGAAAAGCTATAAATTTAATTAGCCTCCACACATCATTCGCGAGTTTGCACGTTTGTACATACATCGGCTTCGCGGGTCTCTCGTTCATGCGCCGGCACTCCAATCTGATCGAAGATATCATGAAGCTGTTCGACGATGTTGTTGACCTGAGTGGTCAAATAGCCAGTGTCCACAGCCATGGCCGAGCCAAGAAACCACCTGGGTTTCCCTTGGAATTGGTGAAATCAATGAATGCAGTTTCGTTTCAAAGGGCGTCGACAATCGCGACAACGTAGGGGATCGAAACAGAGAGCCCAACGCGTCCCGGCACACGGAACAGAAATGAAAGAAACGAAAGTGGGTTGGAGGGGGTGGAGAGTTGTCAAGTGCGAGACATGGAGGAGGGCAAGTGTTTATGAGGAGAATGGAGAAGAGGATGATAACAGGGCCCATATCTTCGTGCGCAAAGGCCTGTTTTAGCCTTTGTTTGGCGCAGATCGTCGCCCCGGGCAACCACGCGGGATCTCCCGACCGCCTTTGATCTGCCGGAATCTTCCTTCGCTTTCCGTTCACCGCCTAATTTCCCCAGGCATTACGGTCTGGAGCTACTGTGATTCCCCTCCATGATAACCGGATCTCTCCATCCACCTATCTACAGGTTGCCCCTCACCGAAGCTATCAAACACCCCTCGCAATTCTCGGACGCCTCACTTCAACCACAAAATGCAGGCTGCACAGCAGTCCTGGGGTATGTACTGCCTTTGCCAAATGATACAATATAAGGTACTAACCTTGATTGAATATAGAGCTCGAGAATGCGATCAAAGTTTTCGACCCGCAACGCGACGCCCTGTACAAATATGACAAAGCCGTACAAGATACTCTCAATGCTCAACGACCGTGGGCCAACGACCCCTATTATTTCAAATATGTACGCATTTCCGCATCAGCGCTATTGAAAATGGTGATGCATGCCCGCTCAGGCGGGTCCCTGGAGGTGATGGGTCTGATGCAAGGCTACATCTTACCCGAAACGTTTGTGGTCACCGACGCATTCCGCCTGCCCGTCGAAGGCACTGAAACCCGGGTCAATGCACAAGACGAAGCGAACGAATACATGGTCTCCTATCTACAATCATGCCGAGATGCAGGCCGGATGGATAACGCGGTGGGCTGGTACCACAGCCATCCTGGGTACGGGTGCTGGCTCTCGGGCATTGACGTTGCAACACAAATGACACAGCAGTTGACAGGCCCGTTTTTGGCCGTTGTCATTGACCCCGACCGCACGATCTCTGCGGGGCGGGTGGAAATTGGCTCTTTTCGCACTTTCCCCCAGGACTTTGTCCCCACTCGAGAGGGCCACGAAGACGATGATTATCAGACGATTCCGATGGGCAAAGCTGAAGACTTTGGTGCCCATGCGAATCAGTACTACTCTCTTGAGACCACCCATTTCAAGAGCACCCTCGACTCCGATATATTGTCGCTTCTCTGGAACAAGTATTGGGTTGCGACTCTCAGCCAAAGCCCCCTATTCACATCTCGCGACTTCGGTAGCAAACAAATGACAGACCTCAGCCAGAAAGTGCGCAGCGCAACCCGTCAGATTGAGAATGGGGCGCCCAGGAGCAGCGGGGCAGCGGCAGCTAAAGATAAACAACTGGACAAAGTCGTACGCGGAGGTCAGCGAATTGTGTCCGAGGAAGTCAAAGGGCTTCTGGCTTCGGAAATAAAGATGAAGTTATTCCAGAATATTGACGACAAGCCAAAGCCGGAATTCTGAGTGGGTTCCGGATCACGAATCACGAGGCACTTTCAACAGAGATTTTGCAACGATTGCTACGTTTAAACTATCTTCCGAACATCCCAATCATCATTCTTGGCGCTGCGGTTAATGCCTTTCCTTTTGCCACGTTTGCATGGTCTTTTCGACATTCCATACCCATGGCTGGCGTATTCAGATAATGATTTGTCATACTAGGCGAGACCAAGCTTCGGACTCTGATTTTGGAGACGAAAGGATTACTCTCAGAGGGCCGGGCCGTACGGGCGTTTCAAATCTACTAGTAGGAGTAACAGTGCCCGTTCCTTCCCGGGTTCATTCAAGATTGCTACTAGTATACCAGTACTCAGATCTAATTTCCATACGCATCCTCAACCCCATAGCTGTGTTTCAACAGAAACATTGAGCTCAGGCTGTTGTCATACCAATTAGCATCGAAATACCAGGTATTATCATCATTCTTCATTTTCTAGCCCAGTCCAGAGGATTGAATTTAGAACTCATTAAGAGACCCAGGCAATATTCACACCCAATCTTCGGGTTCAAATTCTTGTGACAGTCTCAATGTTATCTACACCAGCGGTGGTGGTAATGCCATGCTTTCCGTGACTCCAGGCAAATTATCTACTGGTAAGTACTGGTACTAGTCCTAGTCGTAGCCATATTAGAAGAAATCATGTTTACGAGGTAGAAAGTGTTCAAAATGAGATTCTCCATTCTGCGGCCATGGCCGAGAGGACTTGAAGTCGTAACAGATCATTATGGATGGCATCAAGACATTATTGAAGAAAGACCCACGATCAGGGGATGTGTGAAATCGACGAGATAGACAAGCGAATCGACAAAAGGGGCCAAAATATACACCGAGTAGCGGCCGGTATGTGTGAATAGTCGAATACATGAAAGAAGCCCTATAGTCCAGCGGTCCAAGAAAACAACGTCGAGAAATCGGAAAGCGATCTTTCCAATCATCCAAGGAAATTCTATATCGAGAAAGGTATATTGAACGTAAAAGGCGGTGACGTTGATGCTTCAATGCTGGAAATGCTAGACGATTTCAGAATATTCTCGCAATGAAGTTGGGAGAAAAAAAAGAGAACTTGGCGAATTCGTTAAAAGCGTAGTGACACCCGCATTGGAATGAGAGTATGAAGCCATCGACGGGGGAGGAGGTGGATGAAAAGTATATGAGAGGCCCAAAGTTGGGAAGGGTAACGGGGTGAGCGGGGGGGGATCTGCAGCTAGCCCGGTGACTGAGTCGCCTTGGCATTCGTTAAAGAAGTCGCCAGAAGTTGAATTGTCAGATCGCTCGCTAATTAGCTCGTACGTGGAGAAATCCTGGGATCCATATGCTCACGAAGATCATGAGCCTGGATGATCTGATTCGAGCGTCGAGAAGCTGCGGCGACATGGAAATTGACAACCAGCACGGGATCGGCCTGCAGATGTAGCTAGACAGTGGTCTGGCCCATCCTACAGGAAACCGGATTCAGAAAGCAGTCTACGATGGGTTTTGTTAGTCTCAATGTCCCAGAACATTCCAAGTCTTGCCAAAGAGAAAATCAAGTCAAATTTGGGTATCGCCGAACAGAAAGCCGTCCACCAATGCAAAGAGGGAAAGAAAAAAAAACCTCAGGAGATTGAGTGAGGAAGATGAGATGAGGATAGACTATCGCAAGAGCATGTGGAACTTCTCTTTGCTGAGAGACTCGTACCTTGCAATCTTTTCGTCCTCGCGTTCTCGCGGTTCTATTTCGAGACTTCGGTCATACATGTCGTGAACGTCGCCCGCAGCTTGTAGATTACTGAGAATATAATCTTGAAGCTCTCCAACGGGCTGAAGAAGGTAAGGTACATTCTGGTACTGTTGAATATCGCGAATGACCTCCGCGGTCTTGGCCCGCTTGTTGAAATTGATCAATTCGGATGGGGTAAGTGATGGAATTCCGTCTTCAATGAACGTCAAATCTGTCAGGTAGACACCTGTGAGATCGGAAGTTAGAAACCCTCCACTTGAGAGAGATGACTGACACAAGGTAATTTCGGGACAAACATCATACCAAAGAACGGAATACAAGGAGGGTTGGCCAGATGAAGCGTCTCGCGGTATTCGCCAAAATTCTTTGTGCTAGCCATCAAACGGCGCATCTGCTCCAGAATGGCGGACGTACGGCCACTAACTTGACCCCACGTCCGTCCCAGACGATGGATGGGGGCGGTTCCAAGCGCGGATATAATGGAGGTGAGAGTAGAGTAGTTGTTCAGGGCACGACATTTCTGGTAACAAAGTTAGCTGAGGGAAGGCAGAGAGCAGGGAGGTTTGACGTACATCAGCAACGTTGACGAAATGCTTGATAACAACCACACGCTTCTTTACATCGCCCTGCATCAGGATCATCTCAGCGACCCAGTTCGTCAGTTGATTCGAGTGAAGAATCAACGCCTTGACGTTGGAGGCCGGCTCTGGCTCGCCAGGGGCAACCTTCTTCTGCCAAGTCTTATTCAAACACTCGGTAGCACGAATCTTCGAGTACAGGCGTGACTCGATAATAGTCAATTGCCGAGCGAACTCAGTGGGGTCAATATCGAGGAACTTGAGTTTCTTCATGTTTTTAGGAATAATTGGTGGTGGTGCAGCGACATTCTGGGTCGGAACAAGACGCTTCGCAGTTGTGTCTTGACCGCGAAGACGCTGCTCAATCACAGCGAGCAGGGTCGGCGCACCCGGAGTTTTAGTTGTGGCAATAGAGTCTTTCGTAAATGCGTGAACGCGGCGCAAGAGTTCCATGTTAGTTTCATCATTCGGCTCCATCCAGAACTGGTCAAACCAGCTCTTGAGGATGTTGACTACACGGAAGCGGATCGGTTTCTGTTTCCGATCGATCCACATTTGCATATCATCGGAGTTCAACCCAAAAGGGGGCTGGACATTAAAGCGTTGTACAAGCATCTCAAATAATTCGGAGGCGGAGGTAAAGGAGCGGTATGTTAGGAGGAAAGTGTTGTTAAATGAAGCATCAAGCTTGTCGTGACGTGTAAGATGTTCAACCAAGCCAGCCAAGGTGCCGCACTTGAGGACTGGCACATCCGTCTTGTTATCATAAAACACCTCGCCCTCGTGGTCCATTTTGAGGAACCACGGGGTTTCTTCGGGCTGTCTGACAGGCTCCTGGGGTGGCGGATCCCTCGTAATGGCTGCAGGTGGCGCTTGTCCAAAAAATCGCTGAGCCTTGTCCATATTTCTTCGGACCTTCTCACCACCAAGAGACGGAAGCCCAATGGAGTCGGCTGCCATCCGTGCCAGCGAATCGCCACGGGTATGAGAAGGCTGTTTCGCGGCTTCATCTTCAGGCGCTTCCCCTAAGCGACTGTCACTTCGATGCGCGATTGCATGGTCATCGGGAACCTTCTCTGGGATCTGTTCCAGCAGTAATGACAAGGAGAACCCAATTTGGGAGACGAAGTTTTCAAGTTGCTTTGCGACACTGCGAACAGCAGTAATGCGGTCATCTAATGAATCACCGCGAAGCTCAGCCCACTCATCAGCCAGTGGTGCAGAGACTGCCTGGCAGCTTAGAATAAAATCACCAATGCCGTCATAGACTCTCTGCTTTTGCAAGCTGAAGTCAACAAGCTGTGGGTTCTGGAAACTCGTGCCCAATGGTTCAAGGTTGATTGACTCCACAGTCGAGATCCAAGGACGGAAGTGCTCAACGACCTTGATCGCCAAAGCCGACACACTGTCCGCAAGCTCAGCATGTTCTGCTACGGTCACAATCTTACGATTGCCGAGCAGTTTCTCCTCCAAACGACGGATACTCATAACAAATGACTTTCTTAGAAGATCAACATGATCCAAGAGAGCCGAGTCTAGGGAGACCGAAGGCTCATTTCGGGAATCTCCGCCTTCCGGGACGAGGAATGAAGTTGGCCCGGCGCTGTTCAGAGAAACTCCGTTGTTTTGCCAGCTTCCTCCAACAAAGCTGTTGCTAACGAATCCGGGTGTGAGACGATGAATAGTGGCGCGCTGCTTCTGAGCGACATCCACATATCCATACACCCCTTGCATGACCCCATCGGCTTCTTGCAAGCATTTATTGATCGAGTCGGAGCCCGGCCAATCAGCTGCGGCAATGTGCGATGAAAGGACAAGCTTGGAGAATTTGGACATCATATCCCGGAAATGAGGGTAAAGGGCTTTGTTGGTGGAGATGATAGATGGATTGCCAGAATGGTTGTCCGTGGTATCAGAACCCGCGGCCAAGAGCATGCGGAGATGGTCAGAGATATCTTCCGCCTTTCTCACATACTCCGAGCGCTCTCCAGATAGAAGCGTCTGACGGAATACCTCAACAGCAGTTCGCATATTCTCAACCAGAAGCGGCCAAGTGACAGATGGGGCTAAGCCATCATCCACGAAGTGTGACGGGACGTTGGATGATATAGATGGTCGAGGGAAGCTGTCCGCAATGGAAGTATTGGCACTTGTAGCGCCTGCACTGGTATATGATAATTGAGGACTTTTGCTGGGCTGGTCTTTCGGGCCAGAGGGGTATAATGAATCCATAGATGTAGCAGGAGAGACACCATCCAACAGCGATTGTCTTCTGCGGTGGATTGAGTCATGCGAAGCCAACATTAGGGACTCTCCCTCCGCCTCAGAGGCCGAACCGTCGTATTCATCCTCGTCACGCTCGAATCCTCGCGCCATCAACTCAGGAGGGGGGCGAGTTTGGTCAGGGACGAAGAAATTTGAGCGGTCTCTTGGACCGTGATCGGTGGTAGCTGTAGGGTTCTCGAAAGGCAGCTCCATCGTAGAGTACCCAGTGAGAGTATTGAAATAGAACAAACGGCCGTCGGGAGTTGCCTGAGGAATCCAAAAAGCAGCTTCTTCTGATTCTTTGGTGCTGGTGACTCCTTCAATCGGTAACATCGGTGCCGAATCACGGGGGTTGCCTTCTGAATCCAAATCATCCTCTTCATCGTGACCATTCCCGTAATCTTCGTCGAGACCCGACTCCGCGCTCAAATCCTCCTCGTGTCCTTGCATCAGCTGCTCGCCATAATCGTCTAGGTCCAGCTCTGTGATGATCTGACAATAGTTACTGGGGAACCACCCACGAACATTATCAATGACTCCATCCCACCATCCAGTCTCTAACCGGTTCAGGACCTGGATGATATCTCCGCGACGAAAGCTTAAGCTAGTGTGATCATCGGCGTCGTAGTCATACATTGCCCGCACAAACAGTGCCGGAGGTTCGGGGCTGACCGCATATCCGGTGGCCATTTTCCGCAAAGGGTAGTTTACTCGATCGTCGTAAGTTGAAACGCTGCTGCCCCGGCCACGTTGACGGTGACGGGATGTGACTGTGGGGGTGGTCGCCTGTTCAGAGGTGTACTCGAAAGCGGTCGCAACAGTCCCAGCCTTGGTGGCCAGCGCAGAACCAGTGTCGAGGGTTATATCTTCTGTGCGATATTTATACATGGAGTGATGAGCAGCTTCGAGCTCTGTCCGCAGGAGACAGTCAAGCGTTCACTCTTCACTGCTCATGGCTGACCGACTTAAGGAGAGAGGGGCGGGCGGGTAATTTTGTAGCCCACTTGCCGGGGGGGCAGGATCAAGGGTAAAATGTGAAGCAGCACAACACAACTGCAAGCTAAAAGAACGGGGATGCAGCTATGTCATGCAAAGAAGGTGTAGAGAGGAGAAGAACCCTTGGCGATTTCTGCTCTCGGAGGGGACAAGGAGAGTGGAGGCGGGATGGCAGAGGCGCCTACCAGTTGATCCATATTCTGGTGGTTCTGCCGCGGCGTTTTATTACGTATTGGAGGTATTACGACCATGTGGATCCGCCTTCTAATACAGAAGAGCACGTGTACGAAACTAGGACAGTATCGGGCGATACCAATATTACCCCCCGTTTTCTCCTTCGGAAACTCCATGAGGTGAGATTATATCATAAGGGACTTTGGTGCAAAGTGACCACGCTGCTAGAGCTTCCTAACACATACATCATGACGTGAGCTGATCTCGACGATCAAGCGGTGCCACCATCGGAGGATACAGGACAGATGACGGGCGCACGGAGTACAGGCATATACAGACCCATGTTTGCATAGTCTATACCGCCGAGTAGACTTGTGCGTTATGTCTGAGCAGCACCGTCTCCATAATCGAATCGCCCAGAGGACCCAGTCTTCTAGATCGGCCGCACGTTCGCGCTATGGGCTCAAGACCAGATTCTTCGGCTGATCCGTCTCGCTAGGCACTCGCCTAGACCTGATTTTTCAGAACTCTTTCGACGAGGCGTTTGACATGCTCCCCACCGTGTCACGCCTATCTTGCCCCGTTACCGTCACATCCCCGCGACTCCAGCTGCGCTTACAGAGGGGCAGGGGGGCGGCGAGCTTTGGGGCTTCCAATAGGGCGGATTTATTGCATGATTTGCTGGATTTGGTTTTTCTGCCCCCTTGAGGTCCAGGCCCAGTGTGACCGTTTTTCGCTTTGCGAGAGTACGCCCCATGTGGACCGACCGCGGTCCACGCTGATTTGGCACCTTGAAAGTGGGCCACCTCGGAACGTGAACCTCTAAACTGCATCCGCGCAAAAAAAGGGGGCCAATGGTCCATGTTGGAGAGTCGATAGGATCCAGAGTGGCTCACTATCACCGAAGGGCCTTGGTGGTCACACCTCTACTTTTAGGAGGCGCATCTTCCTCGGCCTTTATTGGGCTACGGATGCTCAACTTAGCTCAGAGGCATTCTTGTAACTACAAAGAACACAAACGAGATGGATCCGATCTACCGATGTCAAAGGAAATCTTAATCAACAGAGACGACCGGAGAGGGGCTGCTATCAGTACGAAACTCTTCCGCCACAGTGATATGCGGTCTTGACTAACGTGTAGGCTGTTGTGTACAAGGCGTAGTCGTGGAGCCCACACAAGCCCATCTGTTTCCCATGTCACGCACAAGGTGCTATATCCAACCAGACTAAACAACGCCGCGGAGATACTGCAGTCTGAGCGTATCTTATCTTTCTATTTTCGTGCTTAAAGATCATCGGAGTAACTATAGTATGATAAGGCAGGCCTATGCGACATGCGGGAGGGGCGAAGAAAACGGTCCCAGATTAGGTCATAAGCCACCAACCAACATCCATATTAGACTAAGAAAGTTACGTTTCATTCCTGAACTATTCTAGAAGGTCGAACCAAACTTTGAAGACTAGGGGCTTGCTTGGACCATACCCCGGTCAGAATCACCGGCGGAAAGCGTATCGGGTCATACAGAGAAGTTGGCTGCGTATCGCTAGATTGGCGTCTGAAGGGCTGAGCATCCCGCTCGGTAGAAGCACGTTCGAGATGACAAAACAGGTCTTGACCGACGATTAGCCGGATCAAGCGTTAGGGAGCTATGACTAAAATGACACTACTCCGAGTCTTTGAGTAGCTATGCCACGTGGAAAGCCTCGTCGGGCCCCTTACTTTGCTTTATTCTCACGGGGGTAACACAGGATACCCTCACTTTCCAACCACTTACGCGTGCTATGTTGCTTATGGTCAATTAAGGTGCACTGAAAGTGAATATAGATGTCTCCATTGCATAATGGAACGATCGTTAGAAACACTGCCAATCACTCAATTACTGGGTCTTTACCTTCCGAGCCTCGATCAACCCCGACCTACAATGAGGCTATTAGACTTCTTGGTCACGGAATTCGTCAACCACATTCCCAGTACCGGATACAATCATGTTCAAGAGGAAATGAAAAGATTACAATAATTCGTGACAGTAAGATACACGGAGTACTGCCCGGAAACTGGGCAGCAACAGCCTCATTGGCGCCGGCAAGTCCTAGGACGGGCGGCTTAGTCCACATGAATTGAGTTTATTCCGGCATTTTCGTGCTCAGACGCGGCCTATGACTCCACTTTATTAATTACCCTCGCGAAACATCGTCACTTTTGGTCTCAAAGATACGCATGGATCAAACATCCTTTGTCGGGATGCCAATATAATATATTTCAAACCATTGGCCGATTTCTTGCCTTCACCACACTTGAACGGCAGCGTGACGCAAAGTCGTTGAGGTCTGCAGAGATACACTGCCAGTGGCAAGCATGGAGGGCCCTAGTTCGTTGCCTCGTATTGTCCTCGGTACCAAACAAGGAGAGAAACTTGGTCGCCGGTGTTCTAGATGCTCACTAGTGTGGTAAGAACCTTGAGCAGTCGCTCCTGCGGCATAATCGGTCATTGTTCCTGCAGATCATGGTTTACTGTTTGGTCAAATTGCGGGGTTGGTACCGGAATTGGGAGGGGTCAGAACTGGGTGGCGCAGTTGACATCATGCCCAGGAAGCAAGGAAAGGGACGGAGTGTTATGGCTGTCAACCAATTTTGGGTGCGGCTTTAGGGTTTATGTGAACCACGGTTGGACCATTAAGCCCCATTTTGGGGCCAATCGTCCAAGTTCGCTCAATATTCAGATCGTTGGCATAATCAAAACATGTCTGACACGAGCTCGTTTGCCTAACGGCTATTTCGTTCTTAGCTTCGAATCGTATATCGCCAGCGAATCGAGATGAGAGCCCTATCTGAGTCAAGTCCGTGTGTCGTCTTTGAGTTTCTATTATGAGCCTTCCCGGCGTTATCTCTTTCCTTGCCCTTTGCAGTAAAACCAAGGCGGCGCCATACGTCACCCGGGATCAATGTAGAGCCGGTAACATATTAAGTGTAATCGCGTCCTGAAGAAATAGGGCATGAAAGTCTACTATGCGTCCCGAATTCATCTCGACTATGACCTGACTAGGCGACGGAGCGATCAAATCCAGCCTTATGATTTCAGTGTTTTCAAAATGAAGCTGTCATTCCCTGTAAAGTGCTGAAAATTCTAGGGACTGTTTCTGAACATCTAAATGTATTTAGAGGCTATAACCTTGTGTTCTCAACCGAACTCTCGAGATAGAAGTGTCTTCAAGTTCTATGTGTTCTATCCCAAAATTATACCGGGGAGTCTACATATTGAGCCGTGATGATCACCACGTGCAATAATTAGAGGCCAGCTAAGCATGTATTCACATACAGATAAGCATACACTCAGGCTGGCTTAACGAATTGGATGAAATATGGATCTAGAAATCTGAGAATACAGGAGGAATGAAACACATGACAGGACCTATGTAACAACGAAAGCCTAGAGCGACTGAATCCTCTAGAAATGTCGGCTTCGTAGAGCTCAGAATTCCTGGTTCAGTAATAATGATACTCACTCACTTATCCCCTGAGACGATGGCTCGAAAGCCATGGGTATTTGCCCGAGCTGAATCAAATAGCACCACTTTTAATCGAAATGAATGGCATAGAAAACGACACAGAATCCCAATAGCAAAAAGGGCTGAGAAAAAAAACATAATATCAGATTATTGATTTCACAAGCCTGGCAGCCACTATGGCCATTCAAGCGTTCGTTTTGAGCGCTATAGTCATTTGTGCTACATTATAAATTTTTCATCCGCAGAAGCTGCACAAATATTGATGAAGTATCCAGGGCTATTTAGCTGGTTTCTGGAGGGATCATTACCCTCCAACGTTTGTCCGTATATAATTTGACATCAAATGGTACATCTGCAAGTACTTTACTGTTTGAATATTTCGTATATGATCCTACAAAGCTCTTCCCCAGAATGGTAGCATGGACAGCTATTGTTACTTTGCTTCGCCCTTCCGACCACAACGGAGGAGACGTTGACCTTTTCCACAGTGAGAAATTTTTACTAAGCAGTCTTGATTGGAGCCGATTATTATAGTATTCAGGACAAGCTTTAGGCAGCAGTCATCACTGCGTGCGCAACGGCAGGGAATGAGATGAGAGTCAATGCATTGTGAACGGTGCGAGATGAGTGAAGTTATCCGAGGTATACTCCTCAACCCACTCGGCTTTCAGCACTCTCTGCCACGATTCTGTTGCCGTTCGAAGACGTGATACGTAAGGTAGACAGGTACATGGCGCCTGGATTTGCGTTCGGGTTCAAATTTCTCTGTTTTCAAATCATTATTGTCATAGGGCTTCGAGCTCGAAGTTGTTCTGATGACAAAGTCCAGCGTTGCCAGCAAAACGAAAAAGGAGATATGCGATATAATTTCGATCAAACAAGGAAACGTGTATTGAGCATGAGTTAAAGGTCATCATTTGGCTATGACGTAAAGAATTCTGGAGTGTTCAAAGCCCGTTTAGGCGTAAATACTAGCGAGCGCACATCCGGGTCCCACGATCTCTTGGTTTCCTTCGTCCCTGGCTTCGACACCTCAACATATGTATCGGTTGCTCTACGGGGCGAGCTATTACAAAGCTTTTCAAGGCCGAGGGTCTCAATAATATTTGTTTGGCTGTGTCTATCTCGAGAACATTCTGATAATACTTTGTTAATTCAGGAATTCAGTTCTATGTATGTAGCTGTTGTTGAGGAACTCCGCGTTGCACTAC